TAGCTTCCACGATCTTGTGTCGGAAAAAGTACGAGATTGCTTGTCGTATTTTTCTCGGTGTCACAATTCTTCCCATGTGCTTGCCTAATAACGTAGCCATATGACTCTTGAACTCATGCAGACTAATAAACCGGCCCTTCAGAGTCACAAATATATAGCACTTGTAGAACAACGCACTGATCTTGTCATCTGGTAAATCCAGTCGGTGAGTGAAGAACTGTTCAGTAACCTTGGGAAGATCCCCACCATGAAGCTCTATATAAAGTGGCCGTACTGCCACGAGATAAGCCACCATAACCTTACTCAACTTTCGTGTGGCAATACGAAGTCTACCATCAAACCGCTTGTTCTTGTTCGTAAACGTCTTGATATGCATAATGTCGTTGTAGTACACCGTGTTTCTTTCTTCATAACTGGGTGCATTGAACTGGAGCGATCGGAGTTCGGGAAACCTAAACGAGTTGGCGCCCAGAATATAACATAGTACTAGCAAATCCAAGGTCATCGAATCAATCACATCAACCACCAACTGCTTGTCAACATCAGTATTAACCAGGAATATCTGCTTGGTAAATCCCGAGATAAGACTACCTTTTCCTTGGTCCCCAACTAATAGAAACTGCTCATACACTTCTTCAATCGTATGGTAGTCTTCAATAAGTTGACTCATGGAATCGTACTGCTTTCTGAAATGGTCGTATGCCGAGTCGTACAACTTATTAAAGTACAGAGGAGAAACATTGGTGCCGTTGACGTAAACCAGTTCTCCAGGACCAGGAGTCACTTTGAATTTGACATATTCGCCCCGTTCTTCCTTCAATGCCTGATAAATATGAACCAACTTGGCCCACCCGATGAAATCACTCTGACTGAAATTGGACTGAGCAACAAACTTGTGTATGGTTCCTTGGTCATTCTTAAGAAAGAGCACTCGCTTACAAAAACTCTTTAACCCATTGAGTTTCTTCAAACTGAAATCGGTAGCTTTCAACCTGTGGGTTTTAAGGTCCAATAGAAACGGGAGTAGGGCTAAGTTTAATATATTGTCATTCTCCATCATGAAATAATCAAACAAATCTAAAATTGTAATGTACCTACCGTCAAATGTGTCAGCATACTTGACCAGCTCAAGCAATTCCCGTGCCTTCCCTTCAGCAGCAGTATTCATGAAGTCAAACTTGTCATAGTTCACCAAGATGGCATATAAGTAACCAAAGTATCTAGTGTAAACCTTCTTGACATTGGAAGTATGGACATTAAAGAACGGTGACAAAGTCATGGAGTTGTGACCCTTGGGTACATAGTAGCACCTAGACGTGGGTTTGGAAATAACATTATCATACACTTTGGTGTAGAATTCTTCTCCATTGAAACTAGTAGGTGACTGGTCCAACTTCTTCAAAAGACTGATGTGTTCTGCAGTCAACTCGACGCCTTCGCAAAGACCTGACAAATAACTGTTGTTGTTGCTGGTGTCCACCGTAGAAAAATCAACTTGCATGTGGTTGTCTTTCAGTATACTGTCATCATTGGGAACAGCGATGTAAACTATGTGATACTTGGATCCTTGCATTGAAAGTTTATAAACTGGAACCTTGATGCAACCACCAGGGTTTGCCTCCTCTAATTTCACACCATCAACTGTTCTCACTAGATACATTTCGGTAGTAGCAGGTGCATACTTCCTCAACTCCATGTGAGGAAAACAAGTCACTTTAGTAGCCACGACCTTCCTAAATAGGTTCTTCATTTTTTTTTGGATTGGACTTAGTTTTCTAACTGATTTTCTGAAATCTTCTCTAGTCTGGCCGGCGTTGGTACTTTAATAAATGGGAATGGCTTTCTGGTTCTGCCTTGGGTATGTATCAAAAGCCCTTCAACATAAGTATAAGTTTCTGATAATTTAACAACATCGAGATCGAAAAGTGGTGCTATGGCTGAGCTAACAGGTTGATCATAAGTATTCGCAGTTTCTTCGACATCACTAAATTCGTCATCTTCTAACTCATCATCAAAAAGATCATGGGTTGGTGCAAAAATCGTCATTGCTGAGGAAAAAATACAAAAGGAAAAACATATTTCAAGGAATGTTATATAAATATAGAAATGTTTCTAGAAAATGTGTCGACCGTGTATTATTCCTGTTTGGGATTAATTATACCCCCTTTCTATTTTAGCCGAACCCGGTGTATAATTAAAAAAATATAATTAGATGGTGTACTATTGTCTATTGTCTCAGTGCGAAATGGTTCCAGCCATGTTACCCCAGGTAAACAATATTTCTCCTTTCAGCTTTTCTACGCGTTTTTTGGGAACCTGCGGCGGGTCTATTCTATAAAAATACGCGAGAATCACTGGTAGCACCCGAAAAAAGATTTTGAAATTTTTACAAGTTAGGCATCCAACCTGTAAAAGGTGTATATTCCAAACTGTAAAGTCAGGTCAATTTTGTATGAGGGTTAACAACTCAAGCTCTTTTACTATGGGAGCGTAACCTGTAAGGGTTAACAACTAGTACATTCGCACCAAAATCCAGGGTTAACAACTCGCGTTCTCAATTAGGCAGGTTGACAACTAAATCGCGAGTCCCACTCCTTAGCTACCAACACTGTCCTGCACACAATCTCTCCTCTGTTTATTCTAACTTTATTACAAATTATATCTGATATTCATACTATTTTATCTATATTTTTATAAAATTCATTAATCTTTCTACCAAATATATATTAATGTTTTACCTACAAATTTCGTTTGTTTCTCTGGTCACTATATACTCTACTCACTTCTTATACACCTTGTGTGTCAACGCATTGCTGTTGCTCCCTCGATCGTGTTGTACTACCTCTGATCAATCAGCATCTCCCTCTCGTTAGCCATCTTCTCCATCCCCGATTTCTTTCATGTCTACTCTCTCCGAGATCTCACTTACCTTCTATCTCCGAGATCTGGTATTCTCTCCATCTCCGAAATCTCGTATATTTTCTATCGCCGAGAACTACCATGCCAACTATCTCCGAGACGGTCTATATCCGCTCTTCCATTTTGGGTAACTCCGGTGCTCACTTTTCATCCACAGCCACATATTATTTTATCCATCTCATTGCCCACACAATGTCTACCCGTACTATTCACATTTAAATAGTGCTCCGTTCTAACTCACAGATCTACTGTTCTCGTAAAACATCCCTAATTACATAATATAGTAAACCGTACGAATTAACTGATCTTTGGTTGAGAAGATTATGTACATCCATTGTACCATATAACTGGTTGATGTGCATTAGTGATGTTCTAGTCTCAGTTTTTCTTGTGTATTTACATCCATTGTACAATATAACTGGTTTTTGTGCACTCATGATGTACTTGTCTCATGTTGTATCGTCTATGTACATCCATTGTACAATATAAATGAGTTGATATGCACTAATGATGTACTTGTCTCACTTTTTCTTGTGTATTTACATCCATTGTACAATATAAATGAGTTGATATGCACTAGTGATGTTCTTGGCTTAGTTTTTCTTATCTATTCACATCCATTGTGCCGTATAAATGAGTTGATATGCACTAGTGATGTTCTTGGCTTAGTTTTTCTTGTGTATTTACATCCATTGTGCCGTATAAATGAGTTGATATCCACTAATGATGTTCTTGGCTTCGTTTTTCTGATCTATTTACATCCATTTCACCATATAACTGAGTTGTTGTGCATTAGTGATGTTCTTATCTTGGGTTGTCTCGTCTATTTACAGTTTAGACGATGCAGAAACACTCGCTTAGTCATTGTTGATACTCTGCAATGACCTGCAGCTGCCTGTCGTCTAATCTATATATCCCTTATTCTATATTGACCAGAAAAATATTCCAGATTGAGACTTCTCGTCTGATCGATCCATCCCCTATTGTATTATCAATTTAAAAAATATTCCTAATTGACTCTAGTTTACATCTTCGTATTTTTCAAACACTGATTGGTTAAACTTTCCTTAACCTCGTCAAAATCGGCCCTGAAATTTCATCATCCCTGTTTCCCGTGTGCTATATATTCAATATCCATACAATTCCCGCCTGATCAGTTTCATATATGATAATATTTATCTACAAACTCCTACTTCACAAAATACATACCTTACTTTTTCCACAACTACTCAGCAACTTCAATTGTTTCTGCCCTCGCGCTAATGGCTTACTCCTTTTCCTAGATCTCTTTTGTTGTGTAATTGCCGCCTGCGGTGCTCTCAACATAACCGTGCTTTGTAACTCCTCATTAAATGCCTTGACTTTAGCATTCACTATTACCTTGTCTGTGCTGAAATTCACCACCTGAAGATTGTCAAGTCTGGTGGTTCTACTCAACGCCACATATGTCTGTCCAGCAGCAAACACCCCTCGTAAATCAACACAAACCTTGGCTAATGTCAACCCTTGAGATCGATGAATAGTCATTCCAAACCCAAGAATTAGACTAATCTGTGTTCTAGATGCAAGAACCTCTCCCTGGTCTTCATAGCAGAATCTATATGGTTGCATTATAACTTCTATCGTGGGCGTGTTGGGGTTCACAAACCTCACCAAGTCCAATATCCACAAACCGATGAAGTGTTGTCCCTCCCAATGGTATGGCACTCTTGCCAGTCATTGATGTGATAGCAAAGTCATTGCCATACTTTTCTTGCAACCGCCGTTTGATATGTATCAACGTCACACTCTTTCCTCCTCCGGCTGGAGAAGTGAAGAATGTCGAAAATCCATTTTCAATCGACGTTACTATCTCCTGTTGTTCTTTGCTTAGCTGAACATTTAGCTCGGGAACTACTTCATCATTAGTTTCTTCCTCACATTCAGCAACCAGCATCACTTGAGATGGTTCTAAATATAGTTCTTGTTGGTCCATGGTAAATAAAATGGCGTGGTTTATTTATACCGTCAACTATAAATAAACGAGAATTTTGCCTGCATTTATATCCTCCCACTTCTTTCACCAACATCTTTCACAAACAATGACTACATTAACACCAATCTCACAAATGCCTCATGCTCCCAATGGCATGCCAGTAGTGCAAACATACTACTCCGATATCTACTGGGTACTTGGCCTCACACGAGTACCAAATACAGGTGAGTATAGCGAGCGGGTGAAAGCCTTTTGTGTTGACTTTACTTCAAATCCCCAAGCTGTCGATCCTGAAGGAACTACTGTTTTCAATAATATTGAATTCCTGCCAGATCAAGTGTTTGAAGTTATTTTCTTTGCCACAGACTTTGATGAAATCATCACCTCCTACCAAAACTCATTCAAAGTGATGGTAAATTATGACCAGGTCAAGGATGCAATCACTAAACCAGGCACTGTATCAATAATGAACTGGTTCTTAATCATAAATCTGAGGTTGTTACATCGAGGATTTGATGACCATTTTGAATTCTTTGCCAAGAAGTATAAAGTTGCCACAATCAAGCTGGCTCGACCACTCATTGACAAGATCATCAAGTTCCTTCCCCACAATTACATTCAAAACAACTCCCATTATGCTGAATATGTGTTTCCAGAAAATATTCTTGTTAAATTTGGATTGACCTCGGCTGTAAGTTCAAGTAACCGTGTGGCTATTACGCTTCCGGACTCTTCCAATCCTGCAACCCCGGTTCGATCCAATCAAAGTTCAACAGTGGATTCTACTAAATTAAGCACTCCAGACCTTGCTGCTCTTCAGTCAGTTGCTCATGAAATTGGTATGTCATCGGCGAACATATTGAAATCCAGAAGCTCCCAGTCTCCTGATTCTTCCAATATATCCTTTTCCAGTGTCCCTGCATCCTCCCCCTTGCGCATATCAAAGAAACCCTGCGACAAAAAAAAATTCTCTGCCATCAAGAATATCAAGTTGACGAACTCCTCAAATGGTTTGAACCAGTATATAATAATCACTAAAAGCAATCCAGTGGATTGATCAGACTTGTGTCGCTATGACTATGCCAACAACAAACAATTAGCTACCCTGTTAACTTTGTTTATTGAATCAAACACTTTATGCACACAGTTGCCAGGGTAGAGACTTGAAGGATTTCTTGGCTTGCAATCTCAATTATGATTCAATCTCTTGATGTGATTTGCCATAGGTATTTCAACGAGTAAATATCATACTTGTTCAACAAACTTCCTCGAGGAAACTACTAAACCCCCTTGATGCACATCATAAATTTGTATCTAAATAACTATATGCGATAATTGGATCCTCACATAGATAGTTTATAAATTGGAACCTTGATGCAACCGCCAGGGTTGGTCTGCTGTAATTTTACACCATCAACTGTTCTCACTAGATACAATTCTGTGGTAGCAGGTATATACTTCATCAAGTCCATGTGTGGAAAACAAGTCACTTTAGTAGCCACGACCTTCCTAAATAGGTTCTTCATTTTTTTTTGGATTGGACTTAGTTTTCTAACTGATTTTCTGAAATCTTCTCTAGTCTGGCCGGCGTTGGTACTTTAATAAATGGGTATGGATTTCTGTTTCTGCCTTAGGTATGTATCAAAAGTCCTTCAACATAAGTATAGGTTTCTGATAATTTGACAACATCGAGATCGTAAGGTGGTGTTGTGGCAGATCATAACTATTTTCAGTTTCTTTGACATCTTCTCATCATCAAAAAAATCATGGGTTGGTGCAAAAATCGTCATTGCTAATAAAAAACTAAAAAAGGAAAAACTTATTTCAGGAAATGTTATATAGATATAAAAAACGTTTCTAGAAAATGGGTCCACCGTGTATTATTCCTGTTTGGAATTAATTTTACCCCTTTCTAATTTAACCGAACTCAGTGTATCGTTAAAAAATAATTAGACGGTGTAGTATTGTCTATTGTATCTGTACAAAATGGTTCCAGCCATACTACGCCAGTAAACAAAATGTCTTTTTTCGGCTTATCTATATGTTTTTGGGAACCTGCGGCTAGTCCATTCCATCAAAATATAAGAAAATCACTGGTAGCACCCAAAAAAAGATTTTGGAATTCTTACAAATTAGAGATACAACCTCTAAAATGTGTCTTTTCCAAACGGTAAAATCAGGTCAATTTTGTATGAGGGTTGACAAATAAACCACCTTTAATAAGGGAGCATAACATGTAAAGGTTAACAAATAGCATATTCGCACCAAAACACAGGGTTGACAAATAACCGTCCCAATTGGGCAGGTTGAAAATTGAAGCGAGCCCCATTCCTTAGAATTAATATTCACAAATATTAATTTTACCAGCAAGATATGAATGAATATAAGATTGTTCGTGGTTGTATATATGAGTATCTGTGAATGCAAGAGTTGAATTTTGTTACAATGCTGAAGTTACTACAAAAAAAATTGAATATAATATCGGCTACACACTAATACTTATTCATGATATCAATAACAGTCATATTCTTGGCGTCTGGTCCCAATTTCACTTTCAATAATGAATCCTTGATTCCTTCAAAGTATTGTTTCGTTGCCAGTGAAATTCCAGGGTAAAGAAGATTAGATACCCTTTTTGTATGCGAGCATCCAGAGACTGGATTATTCCCTTGAAATATTCCATTTAACCAAGTCCAACTAGCTGGTCCTCCAACTAATTGTTCACTGATATGTCCATTCAATGTATCTTCTGCAAATTCAAACGAATTAATACCCCATTGACACCAGTTATCATAAGTGACATAGACATCTTTGATTGGAACAACCTTGTCTAAAGTACCATGGTAGACAAATATAGGAATTTTAGGAACATAACTTGAATCTAAATAAACGATGGAGTTTTCCTCGACGATTTCTTTTACTTGTCCATTTTGTAATAATGAAAAACCAGCAGGAAACATTGGGTCTTTTCCTGTAAGAATGTGATCATTAAAGAAGTACAACACTGAAGGAATAAGACACTTATTTCCAGCTTCATTAAACTTGGCCAAATGTTGTGGTGCAATGTTTTCTGCAATAAGAGTTTTGGCCACTGGATATTCATTACTCACCCCAGTCAATGCAACTGGGATTAATCCGGCAAATAATTCTCCATCAACAATTTCTGCAACAGCAGTAATATTGGTAACAAACCCTCCAAGGGAAGCACCAACTAAAGTAGATTTCAATTCAGGGGCATATGATGGTTGAAGTAAAGCAGCCCAACCAGATGCTAATGCGCCTCCAGAATATCCCCAAAGACCCACTTTGGCGTCTTTTTTGATTCCAGTAAAGTTTCCTGATTTTATTACTGCTCTTACAGAATCAAGAACGGCCTGTCCTGATCTTCTGCCTACTGTAAATGCAGAAATAAACCCTTCGTAATCAGGACTAGCAACAAAATATCCATTTTCAAGGGCAATCATCATAAATGTCATATCATATTGGGTTGCTATTGTGGAGATTGGTGCTCCCGATTGTAAACCATATGATGGTGAACAGTTTAAGCTGGCCGAATCTTCCATTGTTTGGTATGAAACAACTTTCGATGGGTCAGCATTAAATGGTTCAATTATAGTTGTGACAAAAGCTGTTGGTTGACCAAATGAATCTTCCGATCTCACCACCAATTGCCAAACATTTTTAACTTTAATGGAAATGAATAAACTTGCTAGTTGGGCAGGTGCTGGTCGAAATTTCAAAATATCACCAGGAGCTGCTGCTTCGTAACCTTGAGGAAGTGTGTAAAAGTCATCATCTAAAGGACTTTTAAGTTGAAGTGGGATTGCAATTGCTTGCAAAATAAAAAGAAACAAGAAGATTATGAAAGGCATTGTTACTTTCTAACTTTCTGAACTTCAATCTAAATTCATGAATCATCAGGTCTTTAAATAGTGCTTTGGTATTGGTGAAATCTATGGAAGATATCATTCCATTACGGTTTATGTTGGGTCCCACAAAGCTGTATCATAGGGACTAACTGGCAACTACTGATTCTCATTAATATGGAACTGTTGAGATGGTTTGTTATCCCTTAAAATATCTCACATGGATATGTAAATGTATGTATTGCTTTTGCAGTAAAAGTTGTATTTTTGTAATCACATTTCCGAATGAGTATATAAGCGCTGTTTGTCTATGCATGATTTCAAACATTGTTCTCTAAGTCAGGTGTTTCCGAAAAAGAGTCTCAAACTTGGACTATTGTTTGTGTTGTTTCAGATAAGGACGTCTAGTTTTTTCTTGTGATTTCAATAGTTGTAATGATCTATACGATTATCGTTAATCAATATATATCAGCTAATGATCATGGTCGTTGTTATCTAAAACTGTGGGTCTTTATTATTTGGCAACGCAACAATAAAAACACTTTTTTTTTTCTCAGTAGTAACATTTTGTTGCGAACGGACAGTCCATACTTGATTAACAAACTTGCCAGTTGATCAATAATTTGATACAAACTACTCTACCACCAGTTCTAATGTCAGATATCTTAACTTCATCCGATGAGGATCGAGTATTTAATTTATGCGATCTTAGTAAATTGAAAAATTTCTACAAAAAAGTTGGAAGAAACAGCACTGATACTGCACAACTTTCTACCAAAACCTAACAATCACGTTACAATTATATATAAACCAAAATCAAAGAAAATTAATTAAACCATAAACTTAATATATAATAAATTCAAATGAAAAATTTGAATAAACTAATATAAAAGACGAAACAAAAGCAACAATATGAAACTAAAACAATTATTCATAACATTAAAAACCGAAAAAAATAACCAATTGGATTTACATTATCAAAAACCAAACAGTAAATACACCAAGTAATAAAGCGGGAAGTTTAATCTTTGGTACGGTAGCATAATCTTCAGCCACATCTTGGATAGCCAATAATGAAGGTGTTGGAGTTTCTGAGGTACTAGTCTTTCTAGCAATTTCCGAAGTTGTTGTATACCATCTACCTTCATGATCTGTAGTAACATGAACTTCAGCAGTCTTGGTATTACCAGCACTATCAGTGTAGGTGGTTGTATATTTTGTTAACTCGAAATCGCTAACAGTTGTGTGCCATTTACCTTCTGAGTCAGTAGTAACAATAACTTCTGCTGTTTTTGTATTACCTTCATCATCAACATAGGTTATAGTAAGTTTCTGGGCTTCAAAATCACTGGTAGTAGTCTGTAAATTACCTTGAGTATCTGTAGAAACTATAACCAAGGCAGTTCTTACTCTTCCTTCATCGTCGGTGTAGGTTGTAGTATGTTGCTGGAGCTCAAGCTCACTTGTAGTTGTATACAAAGTACCACCAACAGTTGTGCTAATAATAACAATTCCAGTCTTCAAGCCATCGTCTTCCATGTAAGTGGTGGTGTACAGAGTGAGAGTTAAGACATCAGTGCTAGTAGAGGCACTACCTTGTGAGGAACTAGTAACAATAACCACTGTTGTTCTAGTCAGAGTGTACAAGCTTCCTCTTGAGCTGGTAGTAATAACCAGTGTTTTGGTTGTGGTGTATTCGCCCGGATCATCTTCATCTCTATGGATAATTGATGTGGAAGTATACCATTCACCGTCTTCATATGTTGTAATGTATACCACTCCAGTTATAATGTTTCCATAGGCATCAGTAAAAGTGGTTGTATACAGTACAGGTTCAGGTTCTTCATATTCGGTATGAGGCCCCTTGCTAGGAGATACTACTGGAAGTTCACTAGAAGGTTCAACAATATCACTAGAAGGTTCAACAACATCACTAGAAGGTTCAATCTCACTAGAAGGTTCAATCTCACTAGAAGGTTCAATCTCACTAGAAGGTTCAATTTCACTAGAACTATCTTCAGCCTTGGTAGATTCACCTTGCTCCTGAACCATATCTGACTGTGTATACCAGATACCATCATCATCAACAGTAACAATAACCATAAACGTATGGATTTCACCATCACCATCATCAACTTCTGTAGTGTAGGAAGTAAATGCTAAGGTGTGTGTCGAAGTATACCATTGTTGTTCTTCATTAGTACTAACAATAACTTCAGCAGTCACAGGAGCTCCATCATCATCATAAAAAGTAGTAGTGTAAAATGTAGGCTCTTCTGCATCTTCATCGACAGCATTAGCTATGACACCCTGTCCCATGATCCCATTAGCTTCAGTTGGATCATCTGAAGGATAAATTTTACAGAACCCATTACCATTTGCTCCTTGTGGAACCTCAGACACATAACTAACACAGTTACCCTCGATCATAAATAAATTTTGATTGTATCCAGCTCCAATTAAAAACTCTTCTACAACATCAGATGATCTTAATACTAAACTACCATAGTTAGCATCGTAAGTTGCACCGTTTCCTGTTTGCAATGGATAATCCAAACAAATACGTTTACCATTTCCAAACATCGAAACAAGATAAATCATACCACTATTGGAACCACCAACTTTTAGTATAGAGTTCCCACCCATAATGAAATGTTGACTTCCAGTAGCATAGAATGATTGAAGGTGACATTCCGTACCTTCTTCAAGGTACAAACAACCATTACCATAAATATCTGAACTTTGTGTAAACCTTTGGTTATACAATTTAATAATACCGCTGTTTCTACCAAAACCACTATGTTCATACTGGCCCTGTGATGGTGAGACATTATTTACTTCAATCAATCCTCTATTTTCCCACTCACCAGCCAGAATTTGTGAAAGTGGAGCACTACTTCCGGAGGTGTCAAAGATAATAGCTCCAGTGTTAACAAATTTATTGACTCTAATAGCATAACTGGTTGCACCAGTGTTACCTTCTGCTTTCAAAGTGAATGTTCCAGTGTTTTTAAACTGGCCATCTGATACCAGGAATTGCAATCCATTAGCGGATTCTTTTGTAGAAGCTAAAAACATACCATTGTTTTCAAAATTGCCTTGCAACGAAATATCTTCGCATTCTGTGATAACATATTTTCCAGACTCTGTAATAATGGTATCACCAGCTTCGTTATAAACATGGTTTTCTGGATTGAGAAATAGATTATCTTCGACGACAACCGCTAAGATTGCCAGTACAACAGTAATTAACCAAATACTCAACATTTTATGTAATAACAAATATGACAAGGTAATTGAAAATTTGAAATATCATGGTTCTTATATAGTAATTCAGGGAGAAGGGGGTTGGTAGGGGATGGCATTTAACTTGTCTTGTTTTCCAATAAGTTGTCTCCTGAATATTACCATCCCCTATCAGTACTACCGCCCCATACTTAGATAACCATATTGTAAATAGACTCGTAACCAATTTATTTTTAGAAGTCATATTTTTGCCGAATCATAATCATGAGCTATTGTATGCTTCTAATCTGACAAGTTTAATAAAGATAGCTTAAAATAACAGGCTGGCTGGTCCTTCTATGGATCCTTTTCCTGGTTTTCTAGGAGTACTCTCATTGCCATTGACATCTAGTCTTTTATTCAATAATCTACGTACAGTGTTGCGAGCCAAATATATATTGGTTTGAAGTGCTTTATTCTCAGCAGCAACTATGTGTGGTTTGTATCTTTTTAACCAAATCTCTCGAAAACTGAAATTAAAAATTATCACTTCTAGGATAATGATAATTTAATTTTTATTAAGTGAGCACTACTCAACGAACGAAAAATGTGACACATTGCAAGAATTAACCAAATGATAAATATCAGAAACCAAAGAATAAACTCATTTGATGACGGAGTCAAGTTTTGAGCTCGGGTATTTAATGCATTATCCTTGAATTCTTAAGGGGCTAGGTTAAATTTCTGTTTGAAGCACTCACTACCCATATTGGTATTCTCGCCTTTTAAGTTTTAAAACGAAAAAGTGACATTTCACTTGCATATATTGTAAATTAACTTTCAAGATAACCCAATAATATGTAATTAACCATGGTTATAGCCTTATTCTAGAGTGGACCGGGCACTTGCTGTACTTTTAAAAAAAAATCTCGATGTGGTTATTCGGGAGCTTCTTTATATACCTGGCATTGCTAAAAGAGGATAATAAACATGTGGTAGCTAAAATTAACTTGTCGTATACATATTTAATAGGGTTACATATAAAGCAAAATAGAATCACTATAAAACATTAATTGTATCATATCCTTTTGAGAATATTAAAAATAAAGTTGCAAACTGCTGAAAATCTCTACATCCTAGTAACAATTACAAATAAAATAAATACGAGCAAATGATGAGTTTTCAAAAAGTTTGAATTGTTGGAATAAAATGTGACTTTATCGTTACTTGTTGATGGGGTATGACCTCTGCCATCTGGATCTGTAGTTCGAACTTGATAAGTTGTAGTGTTCTGCACAAGCACAGGATCAACAATTAAGCTTGTAGCTGTATACCAGCTTCCCTCGGTGGTAACAAACACTACATCATATTTAGTTAAACAATATTAATGTATTTTGTGGTAAAAACAAATGCATTATAATCATTTCCTTCTAGCTCGTGGACAGACGTATGTAGTTGCTCACTATAAAGAGATTTCTCGTGTGTTGAACAAATAATAAATTCTTTGGTTTTTATATCTGGTGGAACTAGACTCTCATCAGTTGATTTGTCTTTTCTTTCGGATTCTTTAGGCAGAATTGTAAAACCATACCCTTCATTACTGGAAATAGAATCTGGGGACTCTTCACTAGTAACTTCTATATTAATAGAATCTTCCGTAACCATGTGTTTCTAGGTTTTAATTGGAGTAGATTCATCCTCTATAGCACTAGTCAAAGGTAATTCGGATTCAATTGGAGATGTCATCTCATAAGTTATGGTGCTTTCAGAACCTTCTGTTTGAGTGGAATCGTTCACTCCATCTGCTGAATTACTAAATACTTCTGTCTCTGGAAGAAGTTCATCTTCAAGAATGGAACATGAAGTATACCAAACACCCTCTTGATCTGTGAAAATAATGACAACATACAGCTGCACTATACCGTCATTACTAGTAAATTCCGTGGTATAAGATTTAAACTCCAACGTATGAGTTGAAGTATACCACTCTTCATTAGGATCAATAGTAACATATACCTCAGCTGTAACAACAGAACCACTGTCATCAGTAAAAGTAGTGGTGGCATGTTAGATATAAACATCTGAACTACAGTCATGTGTAATAGAAACTACTGACAAATACTAATCCCAATGATATCGATTGCAAAAAAAAAGTTGAAACAAAGATTGATCAGTCACACAGTATTAACAATAAACGCGAAACTACTGATTTTTTTTTCTAAATATTATGAACAAAAGAAGTGGCTTGCATTTTGGGGGGATAATTATCCTTCATACAAAACCTATTCACACCCATGTGGGTACACAAAGAAGCTCCAACAGTTGTGCCTGTAAATGATTTATTGTTTCTATGGCAAAGTAGCAACGCTAGTTGGAGGAACTCCGTTGACATTCTCGGAAGAATATGTTTAATTGTTTGACAGCGAAAGCCATGTCCTAATGGGGTAATTCTTCCGCAACGCATCCAGGAAATTCTTCCAAATTAGGAAGTGCAACCGAACCACTATATCCCCCACTAAACGAAAACCCCCACCATATATAATACACACCCCAAATCCTCTCTCTTTCCATCTTGTTTTTACACCTCAAAACAATGTTAAGACAACTAGACATAGAATCCTTAATTGAGGAATTGACGTTATCTGAAAAGATTTCGTTATTGGCAGGTTATGATTTCTGGCATACAGTTCCAATTGAAAGATTGAACATTCCTTCAGTCAGAGTTTCAGATGGTCCTAATGGTATTAGAGGAACAAAGTTCTTCAACAGTGTTCCTTCAAATTGTTTCCCTTGTGGTACTGCTTTGGCTGCTACCTTCAACAGTGACCTTTTGGTTTCTGTTGGTGAATTGATGGGTAAGGAAGCTAAAATGAAAGGTGCTCATGTTATTTTGGGTCCAACCTGTAACATTGTTAGAGGTCCAACTGGTGGTAGAGCTTTTGAAAGTTATTCTGAAGATCCTATTTTATCTGGTCATGCTGCTGCTAGTGTTGTCAAAGGTATTCAAAATGAAAATGTTGTGGCCTGTCTTAAACACTTTGTTTGTAATGATCAAGAAAGTGAAAGAAAAGCTGTTGATGTTATCATTACTGAAAGAGCATTGAGGGAAATCTACTTGAAACCATTCCAAATTGCTGTTAGAGATGCTTATCCAAAGGCAATGATGACTGCCTATAACAAGATCAATGGTGTTCACGTTTCTCAAAACAAAAAGATCTTGCAAGATCTTTTAAGAAAAGAATGGAATTGGGATGGTACCATCATGTCAGATTGGCATGGTGTTTACTCCACTAAGGAATCTTTAGATGCTGGGTTAAATTTGGAAATGCCTGGCCCTACTAGATTTAGACAAGAACTTCAAACAACACATGCTATTCAAACTAATGAAATTCACCGTGATGTCATTGATGATAATGTTCGTCAAATTTTGAAATTAGTTAATGAAAGTTTCAAGGCTGGTATTCCTGATGATGTTGTTGAATCCCCAAATCCTTCAAAAGAAGCCGAAGAGTTGCTTAGAAAAGCTGGTGATGAATCTATTGTCTTGTTAAAGAATAACGAAAATATCTTACCTTTACCAAAGACTGCAACTGGTTCCATCAAGAAAATTGCCGTTATTGGACCAAATGCTAAGGCTGCTCAAGATTCTGGTGGTGGTTCTGCTTCTTTGAATGCCCGTTATAAAATTACTCCTTTCGAAGGTATCAAGAGTAAATTGAATGATGGTTCCATTGAATTAACCTATGCCCTTGGTGCGTACTTGGATAGAAACTTACCTGATGTCGGGCAACTCTTGGTCAATGATAAAGGTGAAAAGGGTGTTACTGGTAAGTTTTATAAAAACGAACCTGGTGCTCAAGATAGAGAATTATTTGAAGAGTTCCTTTTGCCAACTTCTAGACTTTTCTTGTCTGATTTCAAGAGTGATAAATTAGATAGAAACCAACTTTTATTCTATGCTGATTTCAGTGGTTACTATATTCCTGAAGAATCCGGTGAATATGAATTTGGTTGTTCTTGTTTAGGAACTGCCCAAATTTTCGTCAATGACAAATTGATTGTTGACAACAAAACCAAACAAGTTAAAGGAGATGCATTCTTCCTTGGTTTGGGTACTAGAGAAGAACGTGGTTCCTTGAAATTGGAAAAGGGTATCAAGTATGAAGTTCGAGTTGAATTCGGTTCATCCCCAAGTTATACTTTGAATAAGGCAGCTCTTGAAGGTGGTGGTGTCTTCTTTGGTATTCAAAAGAAGGCCACTCCAGAAGAAGCCATCAAGGAAGCAGTTCAAGTTGCCAAGGATGCTGACGTTGTTGTTTTAGTAGTTGGTATTTCTAAAGAATGGGAATCAGAAGGTTTTGATCGTCCAAACATGGATATTCCAGGACACACTAACCAATTAGTTGAAGAAGTTACCAAGGTCAATCCAAATGTTATTGTTGTCAATCAATCTGGCTCACCAGTATCTTTACCTTGGATTAATAATGTTAAAGGTTTTGTCCAAGCTTGGTATGGTGGTAATGAATTGGGTAACACCATAGCTGATGTTTTGTTTGGAGACTACAATCCATCTGGAAAATTGTCCATGACATTCCCAGTCAGATTAGAAGACACCCCAGCTTATGTTAACTTTGGTTCTACTCATGGTCAAGTCTTGTATGGTGAAGATGTATTTGTTGGTTACAGATACTATGAAAAAGTTGGCAAACAAGTTTTGTTCCCATTCGGATTTGGTTTATCTTATACCAATTTCGAATTTTCTAATCTTCACGTGACAAGTGATGAAGAAAATGTTTATGCTACTGTTCATGTTAGCAACGTTGGGAAGGTTGACGGAGCAGAAGTTGTTCAATTATATGTTGAACAAGAAGATCCTGTTGTTATGCGTCCAGTTAAAGAATTGAAAGCATTCAACAAGGTTTTCTTAAAAGCTGGTGAAACTAAAAAGGTTGAATTATCTGTCTCAATCAAGGAAGCCACTTCCTATTGGAATGGATACAAGAACAAATGGCAATCTACCAAGGGTAAGTATAATGTATTTGTTGGTAACAGTTCTGATAATGCTTGCCTTACTGGTGAATTTGAAACCGAGAAAACTTACTTCTGGTTAGGTGTATAATTCTTCATAGATTACTATACAAACTAGTTTAATTGAACATAATTTCCTGGAAATGTTCCAGTATGACCATTGTATCTACCAGTCCACCAACCATTGGTATCGGCAGTTCTTTCTTGAATTTCAATAACAGCACCTGCTGGGAAGGTTAAATCTCCTTGAGCTTGAGCAGTGTAGTCGTACAAAGCCGTACATGTTTGAGTGGCACTTGTTGGTGTAGGTGGAACTTGTGCTGGTGCACCATAAGCTGGCACAGCTCCAGGAGCACTAGCAGGAGCCCCGTAGGGTGATTGTTGTCCATAAGAACTGCCAGTTGTTCCGGTTGAAACAGGAGATTGTTGACCATAACCTCCATAAGTTGGTGATTGTTGTGGATATGCTTGTTGTGGTTGGTATCCCGGTCCTTCTGGGGATTTGTAATCTCCGTACGCTTGTTGTGGTTGTGCGTATTGGCCAGGACTATAGGGAGGTAATTCACCTTGTCCAGCAACAGGTGATCCTCCTGGAGGACTATTCATCAGGGCATAACGTCTTTTGGTTGCTTCTAATTTAGCTTTAGCATGGCCAACTTTAAAATGAGTAATTGGAATGGCATCAGTTTGTTCTTCAACATTACCCTTCTTGAAATTATAAGCTTCAACAATGTCAGTAGTTAAATCAAAGTAAGGAATCTTCAATTCTTCCATTCTATTGTATAAAGTGTAGAAGATATTCAATTGCATATAGTACAAACTTATGAAAAGTGGTCTCAAAAAGTCTGATTGCATTTGGAATAAAATTGGCAATTCAGTCTTCAACATGTCGTTATAGTAATCATACTCTTGTTGGGCAATTTGAACTTCCGCTTCAGCATTATACATCTTTTCTTCGTCCTTGGCGGTTCTTTCCTTCTTTTCTTCATACTTTTTATGAGTTCTCTTATGACGATCCAAATCCAATTGCTTATGTTCTCTCTTGGTGGCCATTTTTCTAATCAGTTGAATAACCTTTAACAATTCCTGAGCAGGATGAAGAATTCTCTTTTCAATTAATTCTAAATCAGGTTTTAAGGTTTCCTTAAGTTCCTTGACAACTTCTCTGAACTGTTCTGCGGCTTTGATACCTTCTGGATTATCTTCAGGAACAGTATAAGTAGGGTCAGATACTCTACCACTAATTGGTTTATAAATCTCTTCAAATGCTTTGGAAAAGTCAATTTCGTAATCCAACATTCCATTCACTGCAGTAAAGTATCTCTGGGATTCTTCAGTTAATTTCTTGGTTTCAATCTCCAATTCCTTGAATCTTCTTTCTGCATCTTGGTAAACGGCATCTGTGGTCATCTCCCCCATGTTCATTTTCTGACGAAAAGTCTGGGGAGCCCTTATGATAGTCTTCTTAATACCCTTGAATGACATTGTATTCTTGGCCTTTGTAGCTCTGAGGCAATTGGGTGTATCAGTCTATTAAACAACTCTTAAAGGGGAGGGAGGGAGGCAAGGGAATGCGGGAATTGTCATAGTGGTCATTTTGCGGGAAAAATTGAAATCGGCAAAGTCGGTCGTGCATGATCAATTTCACTTGGGTGATTTTTTGTTTTTGTTGTTTTTTGCGTTGTCTTAGATTCGCAGCCTTTAAATTTACCCGCTCATGATTACCAAGTTGATCTGAATTACTTTCAATCATGAAGAGACTAAGAGCTACTATTGTAAGTACTATTTCCATTTGGTTTATTCCAATTGCTCTTTTGCAAACTTTTGCCCATTGGGTTGATCTTGGACGAATTGGTGAATATGTTGATTCATTCTCCCATGATAAAAGTTTGCAACCAACTATTGAAAAGGAACGTTCCACTAGGAATTTCATCTATAAAATATTAGATTTAGTTATAGATGACTTTAAAACTGTTCCTGATAGAGCTTATTATCTTGTTGATCGATACATCTTTCATTCACCTTGGTGTGTTTTTAGTAAATTTCGGTTTAAAAAGATCCAATATTATCATCATGGAGTTCCTTTAAACAAATACCAAGGATATAATGATTATTTATTACTCACTAGAAATGCTAACCTTAGTAGCAAGCCTAATAGCGCCAACAAAGATTTAATTTTACTTCCCAAATCAACTGTTGCCACTGAACCAGTCATAACACAAGAATCCATTCCAATTAAATCTGAAGTTATTGAAAAACTACCATCTCCTCCACCGGTACCTCCGAAGACTAAACTTAGTATCAAGATCCCTGCAAACAAAAAGTTGGTGGTGAAATTGAGCAATGCTCGTTCCATCACTCCCTCCGTTTCACCCGCTGACACCGAATACATCAATCAAGTATCGCAAGAAATTCAAAGAATATTTTCTTGTCCAGGATATGATGATGGATCATTAGCTCCTATTATTTTAAGATTGGCTTGGCATTGTTGTGCCACATATGATAAGACCAATGGATCCGGAGGATCCAACGGTGCTACTATGAGATTTGTTCCAGAAATTACCGACGAAGGTAATACCGGTTTAGATATTGCTCGCGGAGCATTAGAACCAATAAAACAGAAATTTCCCAAGATTACCTATTCTGATTTGTGGACACTAGCAGGAAAATTAGCCATTGAAGCAATGGGAGGTCCAACAATCACTTGGAAAGCAGGTAGAGTTGATTGCAGAGATGCTAAGTTTGTACCCCAAAGTGGTAACCTTCCTTTTGGTGATAAAGATGCCCATCACGTCCGATCAACCTTTGAAAGGATGGGATTTAACGATCAAGAAATGGTGGCTCTTTTAGGAGCTCATGCATTAGGTAGATGTCACAAACGGTTTAGTGGCTGGGAGGGAAAATGGACCTCCAACCCTATTCGCTTTTCTAATGATTTTTATCAAGTGTTGTTAAATGAAGAATGGAGTTTAGGCACCGTTCCTGAAACAGGGAGAGAACAATACTACAATCAAGACAAATCATTAATTATGCTAAACACCGATTTGGAATTAGTAAGGGATTCTAAATTTTTAATGTGGGTTAAAGCATATGCTAGTGATGAATCATTGTTCTTCCATGATTTTGCCAATGCGTTTAGCAAGTTATTGGAATTAGGTATCGAGAGGGATGAAAATTATCAGGTGATGCCTAAGAAAAATTACTAACGGTTACAATCGACTAAACTGCAACACAATAACCGTTTAAATTATCAAGTAACAATGTCAGGGGAAAAAAAAAGGTGGAAGCGAAGGATCGCTCGGGCAAAAAAAAAAAAGAAAAAAGAAATTTTTCAATCTCCTCCTCGGACATTGGTGTGAATTACTAAGTGGGACAAAATTATTTAAAGTCGAGCCACTTTTTTCCCTTTGGGCCTTTGAAAAATTCGTCCTTATAAGAACAGAGTCATATATCTCGATACAAGGAAGTTCACACAGTATAGAACAAGAAGATGACTGCAACTATAGATATTCCTAGAATGGAAGACTATAATGTTTTTCCAAACTCAGGTTTTTTACCTGAGAAACTTCCATTGGAGAGATTGCCACAACAGTACTACAAACCTTGGGAAGATATTGCAACAAACCTTCCTTCATTGATTTTAACCAAAAGAGTAAGATCTGTTATTGATAAGAAGTTACCCTTACTAGAAACTTCACAACTTACATCAGAAGAAGAGTATAGAAGGGCATATCAGGTCTTGGGATTTTTAGCACATGCATATATTTGGGGAACTGAAGAACCAACTAATAAGCTTCCACCACAAATAGCACAACCTTGGGTTGAGGTTTCTGATCACCTTAGATTACCACCCATTGCCACATATGCCGGTTTATGTCTTTGGAATTTCAAGCAAATCATTCCCACCGAGGAAGGTGAGGATATATGGGATTTAGATAACTTGACCACAATTAACACATTTACCGGGTCCATTGATGAAAGTTGGTTCTATTTAGTCAGTGTCTATTTTGAACATAAAGGTGCTTTAGCGATAACTACTGGATTACAGGCTATTAAGTGTGCTTATAATAATGATATACCAGGTTTGGTTGCTCAACTTCAACAATTAGCCGAAGCTATAGATGCATTGGGTTCAGTTTTGTTAAGAATGGAAGAAATGTGTGATCCACATGTATTTTATTTCAGAATCAGACCATACTTGGCAGGTTGGAAGAATATGGCTGATGTTGGATTAGATAAGGATGGAGTTTTATATGGAAATGAATCCAAACCTAGAGCATACTCTGGTGGATCAAATGCTCAGAGTTCATTAATTCAATTCTTGGATATATTATTAGGTGTGAAACATTACTCTACTGGTGAGAGACCATTACCATTCCGTAAGGATGTTCCCAAGACTGGACCAGAAAATGGTTTTATGAATGAAATGAGAACATATATGCCTGGGCCACATCAAGATTTCTTAAAAAAGATTCATGAAATCACCAATATTCATGACTTTGTATTACAGAATGTCGATACTCATCCTGAATTAGTATTAAGTTATGATGGATGTTTAGCCATGTTGAAACTGTTTAGAGACAAGCATATTCAAATTGTCACTAGATACGTGGTGTTACAAGCTAAAAAGACCAACAATATGGGTTCATCCACTACTTTAAGATCAGGATTAGCTAGAAAGAAGAAGAATGGAGGAGAAGAAAAGGGAACTGGAGGAACATCACTTTTGCCATTTTTAAAACAATGTAGAGATGAAACTGGTGATCCCGCTGCGGGTAACTGGGGTAAGAGAATTCTCAGTGATGGTGTTATGAGATTGAAATATTCTAAACCAAATGGAATAAACGAAGATTAGAAGGTTTATGGTGTAGATATAGAGTTATGCTATATAGAACTAATTAATATGGCTTTAGTTGATGCAACGTAGTCAAAAACAAAAACAAATTACAAGTCTATAGTGCAAAATTGCAAAGGGGAAAAAAAAATTTTTTTTTCAATTAGTTGTAAAGATTGTGAATCAAGTTGTATGATTCGTAGATTATCGTTACTCAGAAACACATTCCTTCGAAACATGTCCACTGCCCCTGTAACTTCCAATTCAAAGCCATCCACCACAGAAGCTGCTGCTGTTGCTGCTGCTGCTTCTTCTGCCCCAGCCAATTCTGGTGCACCATCTGGTAAGGCTCAATCAAAGAAGTCCAAGAAATCAAAAGCTCAAGAATTTTTATTAAAAACACCCAAGGGTACCAAGGACTGGGCCGATAAGGATATGGTAATTCGTGAAGCCATTTTCGGTTCTCTTTCAAGTCTATTCAAGAAACACGGTGGTGTAACCATTGACACTCCTGTATTTGAATTGAGAGAAATCTTGACCGGAAAATATGGTGAAGACTCAAAATTGATTTACAATTTAGAAGACCAAGGTGGTGAATTGACTTCATTAAGATATGACTTGACTGTTCCTTTTGCCAGATTTGTTGCTTGCAACAATATCAGCTCTATCAAGAGGTATCACATTGCCAAGGTTTATAGAAGAGATCAACCAGCCATGACCAAAGGTAGAATGAGAGAGTTCTACCAATGTGATTTTGACATTGCTGGTCAATATGATATCATGGTTCCTGATTCAGAGATTCTTAACTTGTTATGTGAAGGTTTAGTGGGGTTAGGTATTCAAGACTTTAAAGTTAAATTAAATCATCGTAAGATTTTGGATGGTATCTTCCAAGCTTGTGGTGTCAAGGACGAAGATGTTAGAAAGATTTCTTCTGCTGTCGATAAATTAGATAAATCTCCATGGGAGGCCGTTAAAAAGGAAATGGTTGTTGAAAAGGGTCAAACTGAAGAAGTTGCTGATAAGATTGGTGAGTTTGTTAAATTAAACGGTACTATTCGTGAAGTTGTCAACTTATTGAAGCAAAGTGAATTACTTGCTGCTAATGCATCTGCTCAAAAGGGTATTGAAGAAATGGAGATTTTGGCTGATTATGTTGAGGCATTTGAAATCGACAACTTCCTCAGTTTTGATTTGTCCTTGGCTAGAGGTTTAGATTACTATACTGGGTTAATTTATGAAGCTGTCACTGCTGCTTCTGCCCCTCCAGCAAACGCTAGTGAATTAAAAGAAAAGGCTACTAAGGATAAGAAGGAAGATGTTGAAGATGCTTCTGAATACGTTGGGGTTGGATCTATTGCTGCTGGTGGTCGTTATGATAACTTAGTTGGTATGTTCTCCAACGGTAAATCTATTCCTTGTGTTGGTATTTCCTTTGGTGTCGAACGTCTCTTTTCCATTATCAAAGCTAGAGCTGCTAAGGAGTTGGAAAAAATCAGTCCTAACCACACTGAAGTATTTGTCATGGCCTTTGGTGGTGGTGAAGGCTGGAATGGGTTCTTGAAGGAAAGAATGCAAGTCACCAACAAGTTATGGAAAGCTGGTATAAACGCTGAATATGTATACAAGGCTAAACCAAACACTCGTAAGCAATTTGATGCTGCTGACAAGTCCGGTGCTAAGATTGGTGTTATTCTTGGTAAAGAGGAATATCCACAAGGACAAATAAGAGTTAAAGTTTTAGGTCAAGGTGCCGAAAGCGATGATGGGGAAGTTGTCAAGGTTGAAGATCTTACTGAATTTGTAAAGAACAAACTTGCTGGTATCCATGAAGATGGAATTGATGATCTTACACGTATTATAAAAGCTCTCTGAATACAAACGTCTTTATAACATAAATATATACTTAATTCTTGTCTAAATTGTCAATCTTGTGTCCATGCATCTCTTTACCTTCACGCTTCACTCTATTCCAAAGGGTGTTGATATCGTTGGTTATGAACCACCAAATTACTCCACACCATGAAGTAACTTGAGGTAATGGGTCATAAAATTCGGCTGCAATTCTTCTTAATTCTGGTAATTTTGTCCAAGCAATGTATGGGAAATCATGATGTTCATTATGATACCCTACATTCCAAGTTAACAAATTAAGACTACCATAATAGGAATAAGTTTCAGCTGGTAGTTGATACCCACTGGCAATATTTGCTCCTTCGGTCTTTTGCACTTTAGGTACATTATTATCATTCAAGACGTAATGCTCAGCGATAAAATGACCAGCACATGGATGTAAAGATCCAGCCAAGAAGGAACTCATCAAGAAATAGATTACACTTTTCCAACCAAAATATTTTACCATAAGGGTATCCACTGCCAACTGTGCAATCACGTTTAATAAATGAATATAAGTGAACTTGATTTGAGTAATAAACATTGGTCTTAACGCATAAAAGAAAATTTGGCATGTAGCAAAGAATATCTTCCCAAGAACATTGGAAAGAACTATCGCTTCAAATTTAGTAGGTAAATCAGTATCCAAATATTTGTCACCTAAAAATTTGTGATGTAACTGATGATAAGGTTGGAACGAAGCGGAATAAGGAATACCAATAGGAATATTGGCGAAAATGGCAAATAACTTGTTGTGCAAAGGCTTTTTGAATAATAAATTATGAGATAATTCATGAATAGCCAAGAACAAAGCTTGGTTGGAAGTAGCACCAATGACATAGGCCAATAAGAAGAACTTCCAGCTTAATATAGAGGAGTCACGAAGGTAATAGGCCACAGCTACTTGCAAACCAACTATTGCAATAACATACCATTTCGTCTTTGGTTCGTATCCATTTAATTTACGGACTTCGGGATATTTTTCTAAAATCAATTTCCGACGGGCTATGTGTGGTTCTGGATCCTTAGTCCAGTAAAATTCATTCAACACTTCAATAGGTGCATCAGCTGGAGGTGGGTTGATTGTGAATGTATGAGAAGAGTTCCTATGTTTGATCTGAGTCATGGTTACTTTTGAGGAAGAAAGCACTAAAGGGATAAGAAAATTGGATGCAAGTTCATTTTCTTTGTTCCTGATTCAGAAATTTTTCAGAAATTGCACCACCAGTTACGAACCCGTGGTGGAAGAGAAGATCCGATCCATGCGCGTCGTTTAGTTATTTTTTTTTATATATATACCAATTTATTGTTTTTTTTTATAGCCGATAGAGTATTGTTTCTCCTTGCTATGTTTATTACCCTTTCTGTATGTCGCTTACGTATTTAACTACAAAACTAGTATTTAATTAGAGAAATACTGCGAATATGCACCATTGTTGATATTACCTGTTTCATTGTTTTGGGGGCTTTTACTCTTTTGAGATTCGGGTCCAATCGGGAACGTCCCAAACATTGGTTGTGCTTGTGCTTGAGGAAATCCTTGAGGCTGTTGTGGAGTAGGTTGCGATTGAGGGTATGATGCAAATACTGGGGGTGTTGGAGACTGTAATTGTCCCATTGGGGTAGAATGGTAAGGGAACTGAAGCTGTGATTGAGGTATTGATTGCTGACTTGGCATGAACTGCATTTGAGGATACAAATATTGAGAAAAGTTTGCAGGATATTGATGCACTTGGGTACCAATGGGTTGGGCTAATGAATTAAAAAATTTTGGTTGAATATCCTTAGCGGGTTCATGCTTCCAAATATTTTGTGTAGAACTATTCAAAGTCCCTGTAGATATGTTTATAACTTCTTTACTATCATCATCTACTAAAGAGTCCACCATATTATGTAATTGAAGCTCTGGTTCTTGAGCATCTTCAGAATTACCTTCTTGAGCGCTAATACCCGACTTAAGTTCATGAGTGTGCTTAGCAATAAAAGATTCAATTTCTTCTAAAGAAACAGGAACTTTTACTGGAGGTCCCAGAAGCTCGTCAGTAGTTTGAGTTTGAGGCTCTGGAGTTGGTGTTGGAGTTTGACTGCTTTTCTTGTGTTTTTTAACAGGACATGGTTTCTGTTCTTGAACTTTCAAGGTGTCCTTTGGCTTGTCGTCAGTTTGCTTGTTCGTTTCCTTCTTCTTTTCTTTCATTTCTCTGGACTTCTTCTCTTGACTTTCTTTAACCAAGAATCTTAAACTGGTTTCGTCCAAGCTAACATCAAACAGTTTACAAGCAAACAATAATCGTTTGCCTAAAGAAACCAACGCATGAATCCTCAAACCATTTTCATACTTTTCAATTTCACCTTCTACTTCCTTTGGATTACCAGCAAATAACTTTTGTTTATCTTCAGATAAAAATGTTGGAACCTTATCATGTAACAATTCTGAGTAATCTCCAATCAAGAAATTGATATTGTTTACTTGAAATAATGCATCATCCTTGAAATCCTTGAATTGATACTTTATCAATTTAAAATCTCGGAAATGAACATCTTCCCAAAAGTAATAACTTCGTGTAGGGCGGTTACTTTGGGTAAGCATAAGCTTCATATGCTCTTTATCCGTATTGTATTCGATAAACCTGTTAAGAATATTACATATACCTAAAACAGATTGCTTTCTAGACTCGAATGTTAAATACATTGACTTGTTTTCCTTCAACCAATTTAAAATAAATCTTAAAATAATGCAAATATTAGTTAGTTTGATTTTTTCAAAATCCAACTGTTTTAAACAATCAAATATTTTCTCAATATATCTAAATGTAAAACGAACAACTTTATCATGAACATCGACATCGTCTGATTTCTGTTTGCATAATTCAGTAAATGAAAACAATACCGTTAATTGTGTCAATATGAAATTTTCTTCCCGTACTCCAACTTGAATCAAACTTGAAAAATTGCTGGATAAAGATTTGAAAAATTCACTTTCAATTTTAGAAAAGCTTAATTTTTTGACTAAATTAGGCCCATTCTTATATTGTTGAGGGTAGTAAAAATATCCCATTAAGCAAACCAAGTAAATGTTTAACGAATCATCAATTTTAAATTGACGTTCCTTGTTATTATTAACGACATCAACTAAGGCAGTAATAAACCAATGCTTCTTAAGAACATTGTTTAAATTGGATAATCCTAATTTATACTCGGGGATTCTCGTAAACTGTGACCTAAGAAACCAATAAATGGCTTGATACTTATCATCAACTAGATTATGGATCATTCCAATGTGATTATAAGGTTCGTTCAATGCTGGTAATAACATGATACAATATTTATAATACTGAATTGCTTTACGGTACTTTGGAAAGAAAGCTTGTGTTTTATCTGAGTTTGCCAAGGATCTAAACTTGAAAAAATCCTTGTTGGAAGTAGCAGGTTGAACATAGGTTAACTCCACAAACGTTTGATGGCGGCAAATATCTCCCAAGGACAAGACACATCTATGAATTAAATACAACACATTTGCTTGGAAGTTGTTATCCTTGCATATAGCGGCACTTTCAGAAACTGACAAGTTAAAATGGGCAAGGAATTCACGAGGAATGAACGAATTCGAGAATTTAGTGGTGAAATATTTCAATAATTTCACGCAAAATTCAAAAACTTGTTTAATAAACTTGATGAAATTATCATTCACCTTTCTCATTTCTACTGGTTTCACTTTAAACTGGTTAGCTGTTCCTTCTACTTGACAAGTTTTGAATGACTCTTGTATCTCTTGAAATAATGCTTGATGTTGATGTTGGAAAAACTTGATTGTAGGATAGTGAAATTCATTCCAAATAGTTTCCAAGTATTTCATGGTGTTAAACTCAACTGTTTCCAGTTGACCTCTCTCCATGAGTGAGTAATATTCATTCAAATCAGCAATGATCCATGATTGAAATTTAGATTGCAATAGTGTATTGAATCCAATAAGTAGTGATAAATCAGGGAATTTCCGAGTGAGGAACTCATTAAGTTGATTCTTATAAGCTAATATTTCATCAGCTTGAGCCATGCTAGACTAAATTGGTGCTAAATTGGCTACGCTGAAGAAGGAAGTACACAGGCGGTGGTTGTGTGTTGTTGAATTCTAAAATTTGTTTGCTAAATTTGTTGTGCTTTGCTTTTTATTGGTAAGGAATTATTCAATGAAGAAGATTATAAAATACATTCTCTGTCTGTTTGAATGATGACTCTATACCAAAATGGTTGTTAATATGTTAACAAAGGAATAAACTAGGGATTGAGCTAATTGTTGACTGTTGTATTGTAACATTTTAAAGTTAAAGTAGGAAAAAAAAATTTTTTTATTTTTTTTGTTGTCTCTTGATTCTGTGGTAACCATCTGTTACGACACATGCAACAGCATTTGACATAAGAACTGCAAATTTAAATTTTATAAGAAGAAGTTCTATAGTATTGGGGTAAATATGGAAAGTTTGTCTTTTGTTTAAGTTAGACTAGTTCAATAGATGGACATATCATGGGTAAATTGGGAACATATCGCTTTGGTGCATGTCCACTGTTGATACATATCAGTCATCTCCCCGTGGACAGACATAAGATCCAAGTAGTACATTAAACGTATAAAATAAAACTACTGTAAAATTGTATAATTTATTTACTTAGCTGAATGGTTCGTAAAAATTTGATCCTAGCATTTTCTGTGACGGATTCATATGCTTCCGTGTTCCTCTCCCGCCATCCGTATTCCGCACCCCATATAAATAAATTGCGAAAAAAAGAACCAAGCAAAAGTTTTCTAATCTGTTGCCACCATAGAATAACAAAATGACAACAGAAACACCTGGTCAAGAAGAACAAGCCGAACAAGAATACCCTGTGAAAGTATACGTGTATGATCTTTCTCATGGTCTAGCATCATTATATTCACCCATGATTCTTGGCAAATCTATCCCAGCAATTTACCACACCTCAGTTGTCATACGCAACAGAGAATATTATCTCGATCAAGGGATAAAACTGCATTCTCCACCTGGTTCTACAAGATTTGGAGTCCCAATTGAGATCATAGATATGGGTACCACGTCTATTGATGAAGATATCTTACAAGAATTCATTGAGGATTTGAAAAATCATGAAGATATGAAATACCATGCTATAAGTTATGATTTGTTCCGAAATAATTGTAATCATTTTACTGATGTTATGGTTGAATTTTTAGTTGGAAAGAATTTAGAAGATAGGATATTAAAGTTGCCAGAATTGGTGTTGAGTACTGGTAACGGTCAATTATTACAACAAATAATATACGGGGGGTCCCCCGCTTTTGGAAATTCTGGTCAGTGGCAAAATCCTTATCAATAGAATAACTTCATTAATGGAATGTTGTTATTTGCTAAGTGGTAGTGTGGTATACACAAATTGTACGTAATGTGTAGATGGTTGTATAGTACAAAAATTGTTAGTGTGTTAATTTAAAATTAGGCAGCCAAAAAAAAAAAAATAAACAAATTTGTACCCCTTGATGAGTTTTGTTTTGGTGTTCAAATCACCACTTCACTTCTCTTTGCCTTTTCTTCTTCCTTGCATTCTTTCTTCTTTGTCTTTGATTGGCTTTGAATCTGTCCATACATCTTCAGTGAAATCTTATAAATGTCATGAACATGGATAATTCCTTAGTAAATGTATGTCAACACCATTCCCATTGTATTTGCAGCATTTTTTTTTTTACTAACTTAACGTAAGTCTTTGAACCAAATCAATTTATCAATGGATACCTCCATGCTGAGTGCTTCTAATGACTCCCTGACTTTAACTACTAATACATCTTTCTTAAGTGATAACTTACTTAGTTCGGGAGTTAATACTAGTGGTACTAATGCTGATTATTCTAGTAACGCACTGACCAAGTTTTGGTCGTCTACCCCTACATCAACCAATTTCAACAACTTATCCTTTACAAACTATTCAGTCCAACCACAAATTCAAAATCAACAGCAATTACAATCCCCGCAACAAGTTCAACAAATGCAAAGCTATGCTCCCAAATTACAATACTCGTCGTCATTACTTAGAACTGATGAGCAACCTACTACTAGCACAAGTAATAGTAGTTTGATGACAAATGCTTCTTCAATTTCAACTAGCACTTCCAACAACAAATACAACAAGCCTATATTAAATATCAATGCCCCTAGCTATGTTCCTGACTATGCTAACTACAACACGAACAATTCAAATACCATGAATGATAAGTATAAGTACTATTATAATAATGCTAATATGAATAGAGATTATGATACTTCTTCTAGTGGAGTTGATCTTACTGAAGATTATAACAAGTTAAAGCTAGAATTATTTTTAAAGAATCAAATGATTAAAAACTTAACTGAACAAATTAATAGTATGAACAAGATGAAAAATTCAGTTGATCAAGGCGGGGGGACCACGACCAATTCCTTTAAAGTTCCCAAGAATCATTATCAGTTATTCCAAGACTTGTCTAAAACCCTTCAAGAGAAATCAGACGAATTAGAAGAAACAAAAAGTAGATTAGAAGCAGTGTTGGTTTCGTTGGCACAGTCGAATACTCCAACCATGCCTGCCGATTATAATTATGATCTCCAAGAATTAAGCCACAAGTTAATTAACAAGTTATCTGAGTTACTGAATGAGAATGAAAATTTGTTGAAAATGGTCAGTTATGGAAATAAAACAAGTTTATTGATTGAAATTGGGTTGTTACGTCACGAGCTTGAACAGTTGAGAAGTAAGGAGAGAAGTACTGCTAAAGAAGAGTGACGTATGACCGATCAAAAATTTGACGTCAGGGGCTCCTCCAACACGAGTTTCCCACGTTGGGTGACTTTTGCAGCAATTAAAGAGGGCTTAGAACATGTTGTTTTTTTTTCGTATGTTTTATTTTTCCAGACTAACAATTAATAAGTAATAATGAAGAAAAGATAGTTATAAAGATAATCGATGACCTGAAAATAACCTCATCATAATATAGTAATAGTAATAAGAAACTTTTAATTAATGGAATTTAAAATGGTCATTTTAACTGTGGGTTTAGGGCGTGTATATGTGCATGGCTGGGCTGTGCGCATATATGATTAATTATTTGCATATTTTTTTTCCGAGGGTTTCACATTTTTTGCTTTTGAAGTTTATCTAATTATTTATTGTACCCTTGAGTAACCTTTGTATATAGGTTATCTGTCTATATAGTTTTATTAATTTTGTGCACAAATAAATGCGCCACATTCTAGAACGTCGGTGTTGCGTTGCACTGTACCATGTAGCAAAGGGGGGGCTCGGCAATATATAGCCTCTGTCTTAGACATACAAACACAAAAACGCGAGCAAGTTTATGTATGACATCAGGTGCTTCGGGTTAATCATAGGCACCTAAATATAGAAGCAATGTTTATGTTTTGATTTCTTTTTTTTTTTATTTTGATCTGGGCCGAGAATTAGGAATCTTCGGTAATTTTATTAATAACAATGAGCTTCAGATCAAGCTACAGGAAAAACTCTCGGAAAAAGTCGACTTAGGTAAGGAAAGGGCGGCAGCACTGTTTTTTTTTTTCCCCTGTAATGTTTTTGACGCAGTGCCAGGCGTTTCTTTTTTCGGACAGGTTGCCACTTTTGCTGTTATCAATCATCTATCTCTTCCGGTGATACATAAACAGGCAATTTTCACATCATTCATTAACCTCCAGATAGTGTTGTCATTCTTTCTTTTCAACTATTGCCGCATAGACTAAAAGCTTAATTGGTGATATAGTTGTCTTCATAAAGCTCCTCTGCCCTATAAATTTGGCAGCACTTCCAAAACATTTATCATTTCACATCAACTTAACATATACACTTCATTTCAAAAATGTCAGGATTTACATTCCGCAAAGAGTCAGTACTACCAAACCATAATCCATCATCACCATTCTATCATAACCTCCCACCATATGACTCAATACCCATAGATCAACTTGTGGACTTTTTCAAGTATTGGAAATATTTCATCAGAGCAATAATCATCTATTTCAAAGAGATCACATTAGTAAAACAGTTGGAAGCTAATTTGCATTATCAGCTACTTTCATCAGTCCAGTTCCCTGGCTGTAGGGATTTGCCAACCAAGATCATCCACGAAATAAATATTGCCAATACTGTCACAACTCCTCCTAGGGAACTTAAAAAAACTTTGTCGAATTCAAGCTTGAATAGTTTGAATAATGGGTCAACTACATCTTTGACACCTGCACCACTAACTCCAGCCCGTCCACCATTGTTAAAATCCATGTCTGCAAATAACTCCTCATTCCTTTTCAAGAATGCAACTACCAATAATTTCCACAAGAAGAACGCATCAGCTCATTCAATAAAACTGTTTAATGAATCTTCTGCTTCCTTACCGGATAGCCCACCTACAAGCACAGATATCAACACTAATGATGTCAAGATCCCACCACATTTCTTTCCTGAAGATTCCTTATATACCAACTTACCAGCAATTTTATTGAGTCACCACCATACTGAATACAATAGAAACATGAAATTGCATAGAGATCTTAACAATAAACTTATTCCAAGATTAGAAAGCTTGTTAAAGAAGCTTTCAAGCAAAATTAAGGAGATTAAGACCACTCTCAAGAATGAATCATTTGCCAATACTGACTTATCCAAAGAAATTAGCAGAACTGGTAAGGTTGTGGCTAGATATATGTCTGCTGTTGAAACATATAGTGATAATTCCCCAGTAATTAATGGGAAGAAGGAAGGAGGAGATCTAGAAGGAGAAGCAATCCTTGACGATCCCTTGTTGGTGAAGTTGAAGTTAGATTTTCAGTTGAAGTCCCAATTGTTGGTGGAGAACTATATGTTTGCCTCATATGTTAATTTACAAAATATTTCTAGGGATTTATACATATACATCAACAAGGAGTTGAATTGGATAGTTGACAAGTTTGGAAAATTACAATTGAACAATGATTATTATCAATTCTTGAAACTGCAAATAAGTCCATCACCACAATCAGATTGGGAATATTTCATTTCTAATAATCCCAACTTTCTCAATGTTTACAAGTCAACTCCAAATAACCCCAAGAGGGAAATTAGAAAGTTTAATGATATTGAATTGCCATATAGTAATTCCGTCCATAACAAATGTTTAAGATCGGGACTTCTTTACAAGAAATCTAAATTATTGAAGAGCTATAATTTATATTATTATGTCTTGTCGTGTAATTATCTTCACGAATTTAAATATGAAACTGAAGGATTATCATCAAAAAAGGTTAAGCAGGGTAAACTTGGTGGATTTATAACTCATGATATGGAACCAATACATTCTTATAATTTGAATGAATGTGCCATTATTGATGAAGATGATAGTGGGTTTAAGTTCCAATTGGCTAGGAATTCGAATGCATTCAAGAAAATAAAGTTTAAATGTGTTGATGAACAAGAGTATGTTGGTTGGGTTGATGATTTGAGAGAATTGTTAAGATTTGGTTGTCACCATTATGGCAGATTCTCGATGTTACAAAATAGATTGTCTATGAATGAGCAACCAAAGGAAGAACAAAAACAAGAAGGAAGAAATAAGAAGGGATTGAGCCTTAACTTAAATGACAACGCTTTAGCAAACGCATTTGTTCCTCAAATCAAAACGCCTTCGTTTGAACCACGCGATACTTCGTTTGCTTTTACAAGTACTTCAAATAGTGGTTCAAACAATTCCTCGCCTACATCAACACCAATGGGCAAATCTCCAAATATTTCATCACTCAATTTAGCAGCTCAACATCAAGAATTTTTAGAATTTCAACAAAAATTAATGAGCAGAAAACAACAACTGAGTATTGATGAGTTGCAGAGTAAGTTACAATCATATCAAGAGCAGCAACAGCAACATCCACAGCAACAATTTTCAAGTTATTTATCGAATGATTCTTTAGATTCATATAGTCTAGGTAAAGGATCGGTGACTATGAAACAAAAGGGAAATGCTAATTTTACCTTTCCTGTGGATGATGAGGACAATTCAATTGATCCTAATTCTCATGTTGAGTCAACTAGTCTCCCAGCTCTCATGGTTAGTGATCACTAGTAGTTTAATTGGTTTAGGGTTTATAGAATATGGATATTAATATGATATGTTGGATATATGTATAGGTACAGTTATATTTGCTCTGAACTTTCAATATCAATTAATGTTTCTTTTTGCAGCAAAAAATTTCCAAAATTTTACCCAAAATATTTTAAATTCTAGAAAATGTAAACAACTTCATCCAGTCTAAAGTACTTCCTTAAGCAAATGCAATCTCCATTTAAGTCTGTGCATGCAATAATGAAAAATCAAAGTAAATCAGGAGACTACCAATGTGAATGGTAAATGTAACACCAAATATAGTCACGTGCATAATTCTAGGGCTTGGAAAAAAAAAAGTTTTTTTTGATTCATCAAAAAAATTTTCTCAAATCTCTTCACCAATACCACCATAGCACTAAGATAAATATATACAAAAAATGGACGCTAAATCTGATGTTACATTAGCCAAGGTTATCAAGGTTTTGGGTAGAACCGGTTCAAGAGGTGGTGTTACTCAAGTTAGAGTTGAATTTTTAGAAGACTCCTCCAGAACTATTGTTAGAAATGTTAAGGGTCCAGTCAGAGAAAACGATATCTTATGTTTAATGGAATCCGAAAGAGAAGCCAGAAGATTACGTTAGGTTGGAGGTTGCTCATTATCTGTAATATAGTTTTGCATGTGTGTATCAATATATATATATAAAATAGAACACTAAGAATATTTTATCTATATAAGCATAAAGTGTAACTTTTTTTTGGGAAGGAACTTGTTCATGCAATTATAGCACGTATTTTCAGTCCACTTACATCTCTAATAACTTGGTTTGATTTGGTAATGGTGGTGGGGGTAGACTTTTTGACATCAACAAAAGATCCAACTTTCCACATATTGAACTGAACCATGCTTTGAAAGCCAACTGGATCATGTCTATATAAGTTGGCAGCGTCTATATTTAAAGGGGAATCAGGTTCAGGAGAATCCAACAACATTAATATTGCCACTAGTAAATGTTCTAAATTCCATGCCGGTGACCACGCGTCCTTTTTGAGAATGTCTAAACATATTTCCCCAGTTTTCAAGTTAATATTAGGATGTACTATTGGAGTTATGAACTTTATCACTGGTGGTTCCAACGGATATTGCCGTGAGACAGCGATGCTTAATTTCCATTGCCCGCCATAATAAAATGGGTTGTCCTTTTTGGTTGGTTTAGAAATTATAGCTTGCCAGTTAAAGATGTTGTCTTCAGATATAGGATTGAGGGATATGATTTGTGGGTTGGACTTGCTTGGTGGTGATTTCTTGTATCGGTTGTATTCTTGAAAGAGTCTACGTTCAGCCATGGTGAAAATCGGTAAAAAGACTATGGGGTATATTTGATTTGTTGTTGATTTGATTAGTAAAATTTTAATTTAAGATGTATAATCTCTTAAATAGAGTGCTTCGCCTGATGGTTAGTGGAGGAAATCCGCTATAAATATTTGCATATGATAATTAGAGCCGGTATATACGAAATTAAATTTCCCCCGCAATGTGGGAAAAACATGACAGAATGTCACATTAAACCGAGCGTTGTACGCCCGCGCCTTCCAGGTCGACCCCTCTTTTTAGTGAATGTTGCATTACAATGAAATTTAATGATCAAATCACATGAACCAGAGCACGTGACAATGTACACATGACTAGATATCAGGTGACCTGTTTCTGAGTAATTGTGAGAGTTTTATTGGCAAGTGCTCAACCGCTGCCGCAGACCCGAAAATTAACATTCGCGCCGGTTTAGGAATTTTGATTTTTTTTCTGTCTCTCTTGACTCATTGAAAAAAAATCCAGAAGCTACAAAAAGAATGTCAACCCTTTGATCTGTTTTTTTTTCTTCTTCTTCTCTCTTGGTTTGACAACATCAGCATGAGTTTCGTTACTAAGGCTTCCTGCCTAAAGAAGTATCAATTAGCTTCAATCAAAAGAACTTTCGCAACAACTTCCGTCCAATCTCAGAAAAAATTAAACAAATATTCCTCCATTGTCACCAATGATCCTTCTCAAGGTGCATCCCAAGCTATGCTTTATGCCACTGGGTTCAGTGATGAAGATTTTGACAGGGCACAAATTGGAGTTGGTTCCGTGTGGTGGAGTGGTAACCCATGTAATATGCATCTTATGGACTTGAACAACAAGTGTACTGCCTCCGTCAACAAGGCTGGATTAAAGGCCATGCAATTCAATTCCATCGGGGTTTCTGATGGTATTACTAATGGTACTGAAGGTATGAGATATTCTTTACAATCTCGTGAAATCATTGCCGATTCGTTTGAAACTATGATTATGGCTCAATTGTATGATGGTAATGTTGCTATTCCTTCTTGTGACAAGAACATGCCTGGTACTTTGATGGCCATGGGTAGACACAATAGACCTTCCATTATGGTATATGGTGGTACGATTTTACCAGGTTCTCCAACATGTGGAACTTCTAACCCTGCTGTCGCTGACAAGATTGATATTATCAGTGCCTTCCAATCTTATGGTCAATACTTATCCAACACCATCACCAACGAAGAAAGAGTTGACATTGTGAAACATGCCTGTCCTGGTCCTGGTGCTTGTGGTGGTATGTATACCGCCAACACCATGGCTTCAGCTGCTGAAGTTATGGGTATGACCTTACCTTACTCCTCATCAGCTCCTGCTGTTTCCAAGGAAAAAGAATATGAATGTTCTATTGTTGGTGATGCCATCAAGAACTTGTTACAATTGGACTTGAAACCAAGAGATATCTTGACCAAGAAATCATTTGAAAATGCTATTGCTTATATCATTGCCACTGGTGGGTCCACTAATGCTGTTTTGCACATCATTGCCATTGCTTCTAGTGTTGATATTGAAATAACCGTGGATGATTTCCAAAGAATTTCCGACAATACTCCATTGTTAGCCGATTTCAAACCAAGTGGTAAATATGTCATGGCCGATTTACAAAAATACGGTGGTACTCCATCCGTGATGAAATTCTTGATGAAGGAAGGTTTCATTGATGGTGAACAATTGACCGTCACTGGTAAGACTATTAAGGAAAACTTGGAAAAAGTTAACGATTTACCAGTTGAACAAGATATCATAAGACCTATTTCCAACCCTTTGAAGCCAAGTGGTCATTTACAAATCTTGAAAGGTACTTTAGCTCCAGGATCTGCTGTTGGTAAGATCACAGGTAAGGAAGGTACTTACTTCAAGGGTAAAGCTAGAGTTTTTGACGATGAACACGCATTCATTACTGCATTGGAAAAGGGAGAAATCAAAAAGGGTGAAAAGACTGTCTGTGTTATCAGATACGAAGGTCCAAAGGGTGGCCCAGGTATGCCAGAAATGTTAAAACCTTCTTCTGCGTTGATGGGTTATGGTTTAGGTAAAGATGTTGCATTATTAACCGATGGTAGATTCTCTGGTGGTTCTCACGGTTTCTTAATTGGTCATATTGTTCCAGAAGCTGCTGAAGGTGGTCCAATTGCCTTAGTTAACGATGGTGATGAAATTGTTATTGATGCTGAAAACAACAAAATCGACTTGTTGGTTGATGAAGAAATCTTGGCTGAAAGAAGAAAGCAATGGACTGCTCCTGAACCAAGATACAAGAGAGGAACTTTGGCTAAATACGCCAAGTTAGTCAGTGATGCCTCCAAGGGTTGTGTTACTGATCTAGTATAATCATTCCAAAAGACAAATTCAATTCAATTCTAGTTTAAATTAACATTGTATATATCCGTTGAATGGATTTAATGTGAAAGTTTTCTTACAAAGAACGATGTAGTGGTTAAATGTCTATTAAAAATATATAAAGACAAGCTAAGAATATAGTTTATAAAGTAGTTCACCATAAGAATTACTTCATTCTAACTGTATAATCTTCACCAGATTGAGTAATATATCTGACCCAAGGATAGGATTGATATTGTAATTTAGGTTCATTAATTCTTAAATATCTCACTTGAATTCCACTAGTGGTAAAATAAGGAATTGAAAAATTGACTTTTATAGGTTTATTGTTGGCAATCGCCTTTTCTGAGTCAACCACAGCTGGTAATCCTAATTCTGCCGACATGGTAAATTGTTTACCACCTGGGAAAGTCTTTAATTTCCATACAAGACAAGATTTTTCTGGGATCCACTTAACCGAACCATACTCTGGGTTGAATTTTGGTGTATCGGCATCTTCTGGGATTGGTATAATTACTTCAACATTATTTGCAGTTGATTTTTTCTTTATTTGTGCCTTTATAGAACACACAATTTCAATTCTGGAATGCTTATGCACCTTCATTCGACAATTGACCAATAGTAAGGGCTTCATGAGAAATTGTGCACTTGATAATCTATAACTCATTAATGTAAATTCTCCATCTGGTGGTATGAATGTGATAATCTTTTCATTTTCAAATTTGGATAATCTAACACATTGATGGAACTTGATATCTTCCATTTCAATACCTTTACCACTGGTATCCCCTTCTGATGTGAATATCCCCTTATCGTTAAGTCCTAACCTTAAGTCGGGCATACCACTCAAATGTGACTTAATTTTGACTTCTCCCAAGATTTCACTATTTAATACTTGTCCATTGGCATTTATTAACATGTTGATAGATTCAATAACATCCAAGAATGCTTCATTCTTCTTGTAGAAAATACCATCTTTTCTCCAACTGACAGCGTTTGTCACCGCATTTGGTGGTGTTAATAAATGTTGAGGTGAAGATTTGATCAAGGAATAGTAGTCTTGAGTAATGTATTCTTTCAATATCTTTGTGTCTGTTATTTGTGGTATACCAAAATCCATCATTTCATCCAATAATTCATATATGATGACAAAATTATCACGAATACTTTCTTCTTCCAAGGACTTGAAATATTGAGTCATGACTTCAACCAACTTGGATAAAAACATAATAATTGCCATAATGTTTTCATTCTTGCGCGTCAATGCACAAATATATAAATTATTATGATTTATGAACACATAATTGATTCCTTGGTTGTTTATGAATGGCTTGTATTCACCTTCCTCTATAGAATTTTCCAATTCCAAAAGCAATAAAGGGAACTTCTCAATTGTATTACTGGGGATATCACCCTTATAATCACGCGAGAGCAATGATTTGCCCTTGATATCAAGAAAATGAATTTGTGATGCCATACCAAAGATATATGGATAAGATCTGGATCGGAATGAATGAAATGTTATTACGTTTCCAAATTAAACGTTGATACAACAAAAAAAAGTAAACCCTGGGCCGGACACTATGCATCCAAACATCAACAAAATGAGAACATTTTGGTTGCCACAAATGTTAGTCACCAATAGTGGGAAGTAAATGACAACGAGGGTAGGTAATGAGTAGATGGAAGCATAAAATGACTTTTAATTAGTTACATAAAGCAACTATCATAGTTCAGTGTGGCATCAGCCGTTTGTGCTGGGAGTACGAAGGTATTCAACCTTAGTTGACGATTCATGACCGACGGTTGACGAACAACAACATATAGTAATACTTACAATGTTCCAGTTGGGAACTCGCCAATTGATTAATTAGATCTATTAAAGTTTGATTGTATATATACAGTGTTAATATAGTTGGGACTGTAAGGAATGCTTAAAATATTAGTCAGCAAACTGTTGCAAATGCGACTGCCAACAAAACGACAATTGTAAATTCTAAATTTAGTTCCAATCTATGAGCCAAACCAGAGGCATATTGCTTATCATCTACAAGTTTATCCAAAAACAGCTTCTTTAATGTTTCCAAAATTAAATTAAACTTGTAACAGGACATGCCAGATTAAGAATAGCTATTACTACAACAGTTACAATCCTAATTTTAGAACCACAAATTAACTTTCTCTCAAAGTTACATGACCTTAGGGGTTATATTAATCGAAACATGTGAATTTATTATTACTAAGAATACAGATTAATTGACAACGTGTCATGGAGAGTATATATTATCATAACATGTAAGGCGTGGATTCAAATATTGAACCAAGGGATGCCTATGAGCCCCGTGCTTTGACTGATACACGTCATTTACTTCATTAGGGATAATTAATTATCATAACCCTGTAATTTCAGAAGTCTCGTATAAACTCCAGAACAAGTCTATCTTGCCAAGCACAATTGTAATTTAATTTTACTAAATATTCAATCAAAACTACATTCACATCATGAGCCTAATGATCGTGCTCCACTTTACCTAAATGAAACAACGTCATTGTGAAACTGCAAAATCTGAGACATAATGCGCCGCGCATAAGCGTTGTTTTTTTTTTTGTTTATTTGTTTGTTCGTTCGTTTCAGAACACGAAAAATACCGAGAAATATTTTAGTACGCTCGTACTTTTTTTTTTTTTCGTTTGAGAATTGTGGTATGGTAATACACATGTGATCATGACGTAAACCATGACCATATGGATGAACCAGCGAAGCATAACACTGCATAGAACACATCATAAATATAATGCTATGCTAGTGTTGTACTTAATGAAACGTGTTAATATTTGTTATGTTACTTCCCCCTAGGGGGTATAATAGCAAATCGCGAATTCAGATATTTCTTGTCTCAATTAGGCAACATTGTCTAAAAACCTTCGGGAACTTTTGAGCCTCCTCCTATTTTCTTGGGGTTACTTTTTTGTATAAACAACACTTTCTTCTTTCCTGTTTCCTTACACCATAAGCTCAGCACGATGAAGTTTTTAACACTCACTTTAGCCCTTTTAACTTCGGCCTACGCTATTGACCCCATTGAAGTTAGAGGTAATGCCTTCTGGGTCAAAGATACCGATGAAAGATTTTACATTAGAGGTATAGATTATCAACCCGGTGGTTCCTCGGAATTGGAGGATCCTATTGCTGACACCGATGTTTGCGAACGTGACATTTCAAATTTCCAAGATTTGGGTATAAACACCATCCGTGTGTACTCGGTTGACAATACCAGAAACCATGACGAATGTATGCAAAAGTTAGCTGATGCTGGTATTTATGTCATTCTTGATGTCAATACTCCTTACTCGTCAATCACTAGACTGGATGCTAGTTGTTCATACAATACTGATTACTTGCAAGAAGTTTTTGCAACTATTTCTGAATTCGCCAAGTATAATAATACTCTTGGGTTCTTTGCTGGTAATGAAGTTATTAACGACAAGAGCAGTTTGGATGCTGCACCTTATGTCAAGGCTGTAGTTAGAGACGCCAAGAACTTTATCAAGAACAGAAACTTGCGTCAGATTCCAGTGGGTTACTCCGCTGCCAGTGTTATTGAATATAGATTAACTGCAGCTGAATATTTCAATTGTGGTGATGACGAAATGGCTAGAATTGATATGTATGGTATCAATGATTACTCGTGGTGTGGAGATGCTAGTATGACTACTTCCCAATACTCGATCCAAATGAAGGATTTCGCAAATTATACCGTTCCTATTTTCTTTAGTGAATTTGGTTGTAACACTGTGAGTCCAAGACCATTCACCGAAATTGAAGCTATTTACTCGACCCAAATGTCTTCCGTATTCTCTGGTGGATTGGTTTATGAATACTCAGAAGAAGCAAACAACTACGGATTAGTTAACCTTAAAGGTGATAAAGCTACCCCTAACGACGATTTTGAAAACTTAAAGAAACAATATGAAAACACCAAGAACCCAAGTGGTGATGGTGGATTCCTTGATTCAAACAAGCCAAGTGATTGTCCTGCAAACTCCAGTGATTGGAAGGTTACTTCTGATCTTCCAGACACTCCAAAGGGTGCCTTAAAGTACTTGAAGGGTTTAGTTGAACCAGAAGGTCACGGTTTCAATGCTTATGTTCAACAAAACTGTAATTCTAGTGACAATAATGTTGATGATTCAGATAAATACACCCTGACATTAGCACCAAAGACTGTTGGTGACACTTCGACTAGCAATTCTACTTCCAGTACTACATCCAAGAAGAATAATGGTGATGTTGTCGCTGTTTCAAGTTTCCTTGGGTTCTTGGCTTTAATTGCTGGATTTATAACTGTTTAGGTTATATACTTTATATGACTATATATGCTTCTAAACTTTTTGTTTGATTCCATACATCATTTCTTCCTTGTTGATTAAATGACCAATACTATCAACTTCTTCTAATAATTTATCAATATCAAAACACCAATCATTCAATAATGAATTTATATTTGAATCTGAAGTTCTCGAGTTATCACTCACTGTAGGTCTAGTTTTCTCGAACTTGATTATACCTTGAGGACGATTAATCTTAGCACTAATCATGCCATTATTGACTAATTCACTCACATATTGTTCGGATTCTGGAATCGACAATTGTAACAAGTACGCTAATCTGTCTAATTTGATAAATTGGTAGAACTTATTGATTATCCTAAGATTATGTTCAATTATTCTCTTTTGCAAGTTCTTGTAGTTGGTTTCGTTAGTCTTGGCATCAGTTTGGATTGGTGATTGGGTAAAGAAGTCCTTGTATATGGATTCAATGTTTGACCAGTGAATCAACTCGTTGGTTGTGAAAATTTCCAACAATTTGAAAATCTTGGTGTCAACATTCTTGCTAAACACTGGATTGGATTTGATCTTGAGTATTAAGTCATTTTGGTGTGGGTCATATGGAGACAAAATGATATAGTAAATGATACCAGACAAAAAGGTCTTGTATTCTGGGTCTTCCTTGACGGTTGGAATGTCAATTAACAATAATAAATTCTTGACAATTTCAATGTAATCAAAATCAAAGATGTTAATTTCAATTAAATATTTCAAATATTGTGCTTTGAATTCTGGATGTGATTTTAAACTCTTTAACAAAATCTTTCTACTCAAGATCTTGGCTTGATTATAATCACCTTTTTGTAAAGTCAACTTGATTTGTAACAAGATATAATCAATCTTCTCAGTGAAATTCATTAAGGAATAAGTTTCAACTTGTAAGTCACATAAAATATCAACGGCCTTGTTTAAATCATTCAACTTGGTTAAGTAAATCTCAGCCAACTTTCTAGAAACAACTGCACGTTCAACTTCGACAAAAATCTTCTTATCGGTGACAGTTCTGATAGTCTCAATAACCTTGATTTTCAAATCGAGTTGTGATTTATCATCTTCACTCAATTTATCTAAATTATCGACAATCTTGGCAATAAATGTTTGAATTGAAGACTTCAATTGACCGTGCTTCTTACTCAAAACAACAATTAATTCATTCAAGTATTCCCAGTCAGTATTGTCCACCAAAACATCAACAATTCTGTTCAAGACACGTTTGGAAGAAGGCAAATCTGATGATTGACGGGTTTGTTTTTCCAAAACTAAATATCTTTCAATTGCTTGTTTATAATCTGGAAGCTTCTCGATCAAAGGAAATTGTTCATCTAAGGTTGCTGAATAGTCTTTTTCAGCTTTAATTGGATCTTCTCGAGACATTGTTGTGTTATTGTTCTATAAAAGTTGGACTGTGTGCTGGTTGGTGGTGTTGGTGGCGATTTTTTCAAAGACTTACGGATTTCTGAACAAACAGAGAGAGAGTGCGGTCGTGTGAAAAGTTCAAAAATATACTATATAATTTTTTTTTTTGCACCTAAATGAAGGAATTAAAAGAATATAGGGTTCTTTTCTCTTCATCTTAAGTTCTTTACTGTGTATGGATTGAAAAGCATCTCTACAAAAATTTATACGACATCTTCAATAAATTATATCTTCCTCAAATCAATATATTGTCAAGCGAACTTGATTTAGTATTGAATCAGATAGACACCAATAATTCGACTAAATAATCAATCTAATCCTTTATTAGGATAATTTCCAAGGAGCAGATTAACTGTTCAAAACTTTCAATCCATAAGATACTTTAATATCGTGATATGGCCAATAAAAGATTTTTCTGCAAAAGAATTGTAAAAATTAGGAAACGTCTGCAAGTTCGCATGACCAATAATCCCCCTACCTACCACCACCTCGTCCTCAACTTTTACTCAATTGCCAAGTAAATCATTACACCTCTCATTATTAGCCTATATAAAGGATATATTAAAACTACTGATCGCGCCGTCGATTTTAGCTTATTAGCTAGCTGCATCCTCCTTTAACAGTTTTTCTGTATGATACCTTATCTTGCAACCGTCAAGGATAATTTAAAATTAATTAGCAACACGTCACAATAAATCTTCACATTAACCCTGGTAGTTCCTACTTAACTGAAACAGGTTTGTGATAATACTTTATCTTACTTCAAACCAGTTGGTAGTCAGCTGGTAGCCACTTGGTCCTATCACTTCAGCTCTTCAAAACCCTCATTTGAAATTAAAATTTCGAAAATTTGGTTGTATAGTGTAGTGGTTATCACTTTCGGTTTTGATCCGAACAACCCCGGTTCGAATCCGGGTACGACCTAATTGATATATATTTTTTTTTGTATATACTATTATAATTCAAGTATTAATGTCTTAGAGATAGATATTGTTTGTTGAAAATTAAGATTGCTTAACATTTTAATCAGCTGAGTATACTCGGCCTTGCCAGAAGTAAAGAAAATGAATCATGGTATAAACTCCTCTTTATTTTTTTTTGAAGTGCCTTGCTTTGTAACTATTGTTGATGATTGTAGTGCTAATATCAGAGTTGATATTGCCTCTTGTTAGAGCTATATACACCTTCATTGCATTTCGTTTGATTGTACTGGCTACCATTAGACTGTTTGTTCCCATTTTGCAATCGATGTCGCGGAGAAGAGCTGATCAAAGAGCAGAGACAAACAAAAAAAAACCCAAGACACAACCCAACCTAACAATATAAAGCAAAACCACCAATGTCATGTCATCGCATACGCTAAATACAAACGATAAGGACTTGTTAGATTCAATTTCCAAATTAGTAACTTCCCATTTAAAAGTAAATGATGACAATTTCACAATAACAAAGTTCTTACTCAATCTTTATAAACAAACATTGAATACATCCAAACCAGGTAGATTGATCGAATTTAAACGAATAGTTAAGGATAATGGAGGTGATGGATTTCCAGCTGAGTTCATTAATCAAACATTTAACTGTATTGAGAGTTTAAATCCAGGAAAACAAGAACTGGCACATCTCCCTGTACTTCATTTACAAAACCGTATTGAAGACAAAAATGATAGACCTACAGATGACCTGAGATCAGTACGACATGAACATGAGCGAAAACCTAGATATGATATACGACGAGAGCTTCATGATTTACCTCTTCAAGTTGGTCAGATATACCGTGGCTATGTTAGTGAAATCACACCCTATGGAGCATTTATAAGATTAAGACTGCCAAATAGTTACCAGTCTGGATTATGCCACATTTCACAAATTTCAGATACAAGAATCCACCTGGTCAATGATGTACTTAGTCTCGACCAACAAGTATTTGTAAAGATTACAGAAATAAAGGAACAACAACGTCGACAGAGAATATCTTTGAGTATGAAAGGTATTGATCAAGACACGGGATTAGAAGATCCAGAGGCGAATGGGAAAGAGCGAGGAAGATCCAAAGAAGTAAAGAAGCCAATTAAACGAAAGTTAACCTCTCCTGAACGTTGGGAACTAAGACAGTTAATATCATCTGGTACTGTCTCTATCGAAGATTATCCAGAATTAGCTGAGGAAGAAAACACCGAGTTTAAGCATGAACCTGAAATTGAAGTTGACATTGTATTAAACCCAACACAACCTAAATTCTTAAAAGGACAGAAATTGAAATATGAATTGCCCACTTTGGAAAATGTATCCCAACCAGCTGGGTCATTAAAGAAAATTGCTGAAAAGGGATCAGAATTAGCTAAGGAATTTAGGCAAGAGAAGTTAAAAGAAACAAAAGAAGCTACCAAAGATCAAGATGTATTTGATCCATTATTCCAAGAAGTATCTGAATCTGATGAATCCACCAACAAAAGAGAAACTTTCATATCACAATGGAAAAAGTCCCAGAAGAATGTCAAATACGGTAAAATTACAAGTCTTCCTATTCAAAAACAGAGACAACAACTTCCAATATACTCCATGAGATCTGAATTAGTTGAGCAGATCCAAAATAATCAGTTTCTTGTCATAGTAGGGGAAACTGGGTCAGGTAAAACTACACAAATTGTACAATACATAAAAGAAGAAGAAATTAACAAGACATTAGATGGGAAAACCAAGATCATCGGATGTACCCAACCAAGAAGAGTTGCTGCCCAATCAGTGGCCAAGAGAGTTTCGGAAGAAATTGGCTGTAAATTAGGTGAAGAAGTTGGGTATACTGTTAGATTTGATGATAATACTAGTTCATCTACTGTGATTAAATACATGACTGATGGGATGTTGCAACGAGAGGCATTGAATGACCCATCTATGAGTAAATACTCGGTAATTATGTTAGATGAAGCTCATGAAAGGACCATCGCAACAGATGTCTTGTTTGCATTGTTAAAGAAAGCGGCGGCCAAGAATCCAGATTTGAAAGTGATTGTAACTTCAGCTACATTGGATTCTGGAAAGTTTTCTGCTTTTTTCAACAATTGTCCAATTGTGAAGATTCCAGGAAGAACTTACCCGGTGGAGATATTATATACTAAGGAACCCGAAACTGACTACTTGGCAGCTGCTTTAGATTCAGTTATGCAAATACATTTATCTGAACCAGCGGGTGATATACTTGTCTTCCTTACAGGCCAGGAAGAAATCGATACTAGTTGTGAAGTTCTTTTCCAACGAATGAAGATCCTCGGTGATTCGGTACCGGAATTGATTATTCTTCCAGTATACTCCGCGTTGCCTTCAGAAGTTCAATCGAAAATCTTTGAACCAACACCAGCAGGATCAAGAAAAGTTGTGTTGGCAACTAACATTGCTGAAACTTCCATTACCATTGATGGAATCTACTATGTTATTGACCCTGGGTTTGTTAAAATCAACGCATATGATCCCAAATTAGGTATGGACTCGTTAACAATACATCCCATTTCTCAGGCCCAAGCAAATCAAAGAAGCGGTAGAGCCGGTAGAACCGGCCCAGGAAAATGTTACAGGTTATATACGGAACAAGCATACAACAAGGAGATGATTGCCAATACCGTTCCTGAAATCCAGAGGACAAATTTGTCTCATACTATCTTAATGTTGAAAGCTATGGGAATCAATGATTTGCTTACGTTTGAATTTATGGATCCACCTTCCAATAACACCATGTTGGTGGCATTACAAGATTTGTACACCCTCGATGCATTGGATGAGGAGGGGTACTTGACGCAATTGGGAAAGAAAATGGCGGATTTTCCGATGGAGCCGGCATTGGCTAAAACTTTGATCAAATCAGTCGAGTTTGAGTGTACCGAAGAGATTCTCACTATTGTGGCTATGTTGTCTGTACAGACTATATTTTACCGACCTAAAGAACATCAAAAATTAGCTGATCAAAGAAAACTTCGATTCCATCACCCATTAGGTGACCATCTCACCTTACTAAATGTGTTCCAATCATGGCAGTTAAATGGGTGTAGTAAAGTGTGGTGTCAAGACAACTTCATCCAAGAAAGAAGTATGAAGCGAGCCATGGATGTTAGAAAGCAGTTGAAAAGTATAATGACAAAGTATGGCTATAGGCTTACATCTTGCGGTTCCAATATAGATCTTATTAGAAAGACATTGTGTGCTGGGTATTTCAAAAATACCAGTAAGAGAATTGCGAATGAGGGTTACAAGACATTAGCTGAGGAAACTGCCGTGCACTTGCATCCATCGTCTTGTCTATTTGGGAAAAATCCCGAGTATGTGCTATTTCATTCGTTGCTTTTAACTACGAGGGAATACATGCATTGTGTTACGGTAATTGAACCTAAATGGCTATACGAATTAGCACCAAAATTCTTCAGACAAGGTGAAGGAGAGAATAAGAAACAAGAAAAGATTGTTCCATTATTCAAAGGTAATAAAGATGAATGGAGATTAAGCACGCAAAAGAAAAGAAATTTAGGTAGATAACTTGTAAAATCTTATAGAATAGACGTATCATTATAACATGTCATGTCGTAAATTTCCTCATACCACAAGTGTAACCAGGTCATTCGCAGCAAACGGATGCAACTTTGAGCAACCTGAGACAACAAAAAAATAAAACAGCAATGGAATTGAACAATGACATGTTGTATTTCCGCTCTTTTCCTAATTTGGAATTTCTTGCAGTATAAGATCGACGCTTATTCACACTTGTTCAACAATAAATGATACACTTGGTTTCTTCTTTGGAGCATTAGCTATGAGCTTTGTTAAGACTGCCAGGGATACCATCCTGGATTACATTGGGATATGTCTGAGTTCCTCCACCATATCCCTCCAATCACTTCGAAAAAAGTATCCGGATGTTCCTATCGAAACTACCGGATCTACCAACAGTCAAACTAGTATACTTGAATGTACGAACTTGGCGGGTGACCATGAGGGAAATATAGTAGAAGAAGCAACGCATAGAAAAGTCACGTTGAAAGGAATTAATGTCGATGGAGCAATGAAATTCCCCACATCTCCAGATTTACCCTCGCATAAAGGATGTGCTAATGAATCTGATAATATTTTCTTTGATGGAGATAATGTCTCCTTTGTGGGTAGACCATTCCCCATAAGCGAAGCCAGAGAATATTTTCAAAGGATCAAATCCTGGGGATATAATACTATCCGGTATTTACTAACTTGGGAAGCTATTGAACACAAAGGGCCTGGAATATACGATGAAGATTTTGTAGACTATACGATTGAAATGTTGGAAATAATAGGAGAAATTGGTGGGTTATATGTCTTTTTAGAGATCCATCAGGATGTATGGAGTAGATTCTCCGGTGGGAGCGGAGCACCAATGTGGACTCTTTATGCCGCCGGTTTACAACCAAAACGATTTACTGCAACCGAGGCAGCGATTTTCCATAATGAATCACGATTCCGTGACTCAACAGACACATATCATAAAATGCTATGGACATCTAATTATAATAGATTAGCTTCATTGGTTATGTTTACCATGTTCTTTGCTGGTAAGGATTACTTTCCTAATTTGATTATCAACGATTTGAATATTCAAGACTATTTACAACAACACTACCTTAATGCTGTACAGCATGTTTGGTCAGCAGTAGCCAAGAAACTACCACAGTTGATTTCCAATGGAACTATTCTTGGGTTTGAATCAATGAATGAACCAAATTATGGATTAGTAGGTCATCCAAAACTAGACGAAATCCCCAGACATCAACAATTAAGGGTAGGAACAACCCCCACGGCATATCAAACCATGAAATTAGGTATGGGATTTGCATGTGAATTAGACTCTTATAGAATTTCCATTACAGGCCCTCAAAAATATGGAACTAAGATTATCAACCCCAAAGGGCAGAAAGCATGGTTGACTCCTGAAGAAGCGGCTGAATTAGATTTACATTATGGATTCAAACGTGCCACCACTTGGAAAATTGGAGAATGTGTCTTTGCCCAACAAGGTGTATGGAAGTGGCCCGAGCGTATTAATACCGACTTGACAGAACAGCAGTGGTTAGTTGAAAGCTCCAAGTGTGAAATGCGCAATCCATACTTCTTTCAAGAGCTTAACTCAAGGCATAAGTTGAGCAAAGCTGAACACAAATATATTGACATGGAATATTTCATAAACCATTACTTTATGGATCATTACAGAAGTTTCAAAGAAACTATTAGATCCATCACTCCTGACTCGTTCGTATTAATTCAACCACCAACACTTCAAATTCCACCGCGTGTAAAGAATGATCCAATCATTGACTCCAAAACAATTTATTGTCCTCATTATTATGACGGGCTTTCATTAATGTTCAAAAGTTGGAACGTCAAGTACAACGTAGATACATTTGGGATAATGCGTTCTCGATATATCAACCCAATATTAGGTGTTGTTCTTGGCGAACGAGCAATTCGAAACTGTATCAAGAAACAGTTTATGCAAATTAGACTAGAGTGTAACGAATGCCTTGGTCATATTCCTATCCTTATGTCGGAAACAGGGATGCCGTTCGATATGGATAATAAACAATCATACATTACCAAAAGATTTAAATCACAAACGTGTGCATTGGATGCCATTTGCAATGCTCTTGAAGGCGCAAACATGTCACACACGTTTTGGTGTTATACCAGTGTAAATTGTCATGAATATGGTGATCTTTGGAACAACGAGGATTTTTCATTTTGGTCAGCTGACGATAGTCCAAATCATACTACAAATACTTCTGGGAGTAGATTGAACTCTGCTGATGATAAATCAAATGATGCTTCAATTATTGTTAGAAGTAGACTGAATTCAATCATAAATGCAGCTAGATTTGCGTCTACAAAAATGTCGAGAGCTTCGTCAAGAATATCCGCTGAAGAAATAAGTAATTCGGACAAGGCGGATGAAGTTCCTTCTTCAGCATCATCTATTATTTCTACAATTAGTGAGACTTGCTTGAGTAAAAAGCATTATTATGCATTTGATGGAGTAAGAGCTCCAAATGCAATCATTAGACCCTATGTCGTTGCCACCCCGGGAATTGTGAATTCTTGTGAATTTGACCTGAAACAACCGAAATTTGTTGTTCAATTGAGGACACAAAATAGTGATAAACCAACTGTTATATTCGTACCAAAATGGCATTTCCCATATTTAAGCTTTAGGGATATTTGTTTGAGTTCAGGAAAGATAAAATATAACCAAGCATTGGAATATATAGAATGGTATCATGAAGAGGGTGGAACTGAGGAAACTATAATCATAAAAAGAAGCACATAGATATAGGCAATACAATATATTTATTCTATTAAAACTCCAAATTATCCTCTCTTTCTCGTTTTCCTACTCCCTTCAATTCTTGCTTCACTAAATCATTAACAAATTTAGTGAAGTATTCGACATATGGTTTCAAACTTGTCTTTTCATAGGGATGTTTACCTTCACCTTCTTCGTTGAGGACTTCAGATTGTTCTAATTCGTTTTGTAATTGTCTTAAATTAGGTGCATTTGTTGGGTTGAATCCATACTCGTCGTTTTCGGGATTACCGGAAATATTCTTATTTATATCAAATGGAACACAGACATTACCAGTGCTTGGATGAATGCAAAATGGTGACTTTAACAAATGGATGACTTGACGAGAAACCTCAACATCCAATCTTGGGTACATGTAATAGATAATGATATCCTTTTTGGCTTCATTTAATTGATTTACTTGAATGTTTGATTTAAGCACCAGTTTAGCCAATTTGTTAATATCATCCCATTTAGAACGGGAGCTGGAATACAGATTCTTCCACTTGTTTCTTAGCTCGATTTGTAATGACTTATGTGGGATTAAGGATAATAGTTCTTCAATTTGAACCCAAGCTTTCTCGTTGTTTGCATCCATGGAAGTCAACCATGGGTTTTGCTCTTCCAATATAACTTCACTGAAACTGTTCTTTAAGATATTAAATGATCTTTCAATGTGAGGATGGTATGGTTTCTTTATACTCAATTTACTACTTTTGATCCCCTTGGCACCCAACACATCCAAATAATCAATAATGGCCTTTCTCATAGTTTCATCCAAATTTCTAGCTCTGGCATCACTAACCCAGCAATGCGCCCCTCTTCTACCGGAGAAAACCCAAATTAAATTCAGAAACCCGAAATCTTCCCTCAAGGCCGATTCAATAATTTTCGAACCAACTTGAATGAATTTCCAACATTTTGTACAAATGTCGGTTCCGGAACAACAGGTTCTGATATCATCATAATCAGTCAAATCGATATCAAACACTAATTCCTTGCCTCGTGGTTTCATGGCCAGTTTAGGTACGTTCTTTCTTTCCTTGGGATCAATGCTATATATGGCCCCAATTTCAAATCTGGTGGGGTTAGCTCTGACGACCGAATTCTTGAATTCATCGAGTGTTCCAAAGGAGTTGTATCTCTGGTAAGCACCGTTACGATATTCATATGCAAACTCACGCTTGGTGAAATCGGTAGTTGGTTTAGGTGAATGGTTCAACCATTGGAATATTTGTCTGAATGGGAGTAACCTTTGATAATAGAAAATCATATCTGTTTCTGAAGGTCTGTTTGATTGAGGGGTGGCATTTGTGTTGAGTGTTTGCAACATTGCAGGATCCTCTACTACGGGTGCCATCTTTAGTTTCTTACCTTCTCTCCGTCTATAATTGGCGTTATCTTTGATTCAAGGTTGTTTTTGCGCGTTGCAAAAAAAAAAAAATCTTGGATGGACGCGTCGTGGAGTGTATAATTTTACAGTTTATGTTACAATGCAGATTTTACATGTTATAGATATAGTCGTGCGCTATTTCAAATTTTGCATCTATTATACCTGCAACTATATAAAAATCTATTCCAGTTGGAAAACTAAAGAAACACCTTCGTCACCAGCTGTTACCAATTTCTTACCTTGTTCTAATACGGCAAAGTCTAATACACCCATATTGTGACCAACACCAACAAACAATTCTTCACCGGTTCTAGCATCCCACTTATAGATCTTACCATTCATACTTGAACCAATTAATACAGGAGTTTCATCGACAAATTCTAACTTAGTTATGGCATCGTCTACTTTTATAGTTCTTCTTAATCTCCATTGTTGAGAGTCAAATAAAAGTAAATCACCCGAGACTAACCCGACGGCTAATAAGTGGACGGATTTACACCAACTCAAGGCTTCAATGGATAATTCAGCAATGTCTTCAACATTGTCCAAGGTTTTCAAAGAATGAACAATTTTACCAGTTTCGTTATTTATTATAGCCAATTGACCATCTCTAGCACCAGCGGCAATGACATTGCCCAAGGCTTTGATAGTGACCCAAGGACTTTCAACACCCTTGAAGTCATCGTGAGGTTGCAATTTGTAATTGACGGCACCAGTGAAACAATTCCAGTTCACAATAGTACCATCTTCGGAAATAGACACTAAAGTTAATTCGTTCTCATCCTTACCTGGAATAAATATAGCATTATTACATTCTAATGAGTGGGAGAAACCAGACATTATTTGCACTAATCCAGATTCATCGATTTGGTATACCCATACAGAACCATCTGGAGCACCAAATGCAAAATATGGTAATGTTGGATGAACGACAATAAACAAGATTTCTTCAACTTCGTCCAATTCTGCAAACTTGATCCATTTTTCGCCCCCTCTTGAGGCTTTATGCACTTGAATGAACCCATTCATATCTCCAGTAACTACGTACTTACCATCAGCAGTGAATCCACCGGAAATAACCGATTCCTTGTGTCCTTTTAATTCGCCCACAAACTTAGGTGGTTGGGAATGAGTAGTCCATAAGTATGCAGTGTTATCACCACCACCGGTAACAACCATAGGTAAAGATGGGTGTTTGAAAATTGTAAATATACTGTCTTTATGTTGATCGAAATAAGTCCATGAGTTATTAGACATGTCAATTTCTAAAGTTTCTGCTCCTTCCATGTCCATATCTTCATCGAACTCTTCATCGAGATCTTCAGGTACAGGCCCATTATCCTCAGCAACCACTTCTTCTACTTCGTTAACATCTATGTATTCTTCTTCTTCCTCCTGCTGTTGTGGTTCGACTGGTTGTTCTATGTTATCGGACATTGTGTATGTATCTAATATCTTAGGAATAAATGTGAATATTACTAAATCTGATATTAGTAATCTTTAGTAGAATCAGTGAGATGAGAGGCAACCAATTTTTTTTTTTTTCAGTGCGGCGAATCTTTGAAGAAGTCGTGCAAAGCGCAAATTTATCATTAATTGCAATTCCCATAGTTACGAGATTACCTGTCAAGCACATCATAGAATAAACTTTTCCACAACTCCGATGTGCTACCAATTACACCGAGGGAAAATGGCTTCATTTAATTAAGGTTATATTGTGATTGGCAGTTGTTAGTGCAAATATGTAATTCAAATATTTTTTTATTATATGATTTAAGTTTAGTTAGGCTTTAATTGATCATGATCTATTTTGTTATAGCTAAATAAACTTTGCTATAAATTTATAGCGTACAGTCCCAGGGCAACAATTTTCACAAGAATTTGTGCGGAAAGTTACATAAAAAGTGGAGAGGTTAGACCATCACCCGATCTTACATAACTATACTTGCTGTCATAAAATTTTCATACGTTTTCTATAGATAAATGATCTACTTTTCAACATGGTATGTTACTACAACTCATAAACCCAAACTCCAATCGAATGTTACATTTACGACAAAAATGGCATATGGCCTACAATTTTTTTTTCTATTTTCATTTGACTTTTTTTTTTTCCTCAGCATTTGACAAGTCACATTTTTAATATCAAGTGTAACATAATCCTACAGGAATTGCCCCTATATTCATACGTTTGTTTATTCTAGACGTTCAAGTGGTGTCTACCAGAGCATTAAAAGCCATACAGTTATAAATATCAACAAGTTTGTCTAGTTTATCCAGTGCAACTACTGTTAATTACGTGTGACACTTCATCTTCCACTACACAGATCACTACAATCTTACCACATCATAGCTCCATAAAATAAACTGATTATTCTCTACAAATGTCCGATTGGATTTCTACATTTCCTGGTTATAAACAAGTACTAACCACTGCGAAAAAGACATTTGGCAGGATAATTCGAACTGGACCTGTGCCCAAACATGTTGGTATAATCATGGATGGTAACAGACGATATGCCAAGTCTCACAATCTTGAAATCAAAGAAGGACATTCTCTTGGATTTGATTCCATGGCTTCAGTACTAGAATTATTGTACGAATCAGGAGTTGAATGTGCCACAGTGTATGCCTTCTCGATTGAAAATTTTAAACGACTGACAGTTGAAGTGAAGTGGCTTATGGACTTGGCCAAATCTAAATTCAGGCAAATTAATAATCACGGGGAATTATGTGAAGAATACGGTGTCAAAGTGAGAATATTGGGTAATAAATCTTTGTTACCAGATGACGTGTTGGAAATATTGAATGAAACTGAAGAAATCAGTAAGAACAATACCAGAGCCGTATTGAATGTGTGTTTCCCGTATACTTCTCGAGATGAAATCACCCATCTGGTAAGAGAAACTGTCAGGGAGTGTATGGGAAACCCGAATATGATAATCAACGAACAAACACTAGATGATCACCTTTATACCAAAGATTCGCCAAAGCTTGACTTGTTGGTGAGAACTTCTGGCACTTTTAGACTTTCTGACTTTTTATTATGGCAATGTGTATCTCCAGATTGTGCTATAGTGTTTATCGACAAGTTATGGCCAGCATTTCGTCCGTGGGACATGGCGAAAATCTTAATTAATTGGGGATTTAACAAATATTGGTATGGTGGTCATGCCAACGGATATCCTCATGCATATAAAAGAATAAAACATGATGAAGACGACGATGACGAAGAAGAAGAAGAAGAAGTTAATGGAATGTTGGAAGCTAATGGAGTATCAGAAACTAATGGAAGTAGTGGATTCAAAAGATATGACGCAGAACAATAGAGTATATAGAAAGGTCATAATAGACTAAAGCGGAAACCAAAAAAAATATCTTGGTCATAGTTAATAGCATAATATTTTAATCCTTATCTAATTTGGAAAAGTTAACACGTAGACTGCAAACATTAGGGGGGATACATTATATTAGATATTGCCAGGTGGCTGTTTCCACGTGATCAAGTGTTATTCATGTTTTTTTAGTTCCACGTTTGCAATTAAAAAAAAAATGCCAGCGAAAACGGACTGACTCATTTTTTTTTCTGAATTTAACCGGAGCTTCTTGTAGGGGCCCTAGCGCTTAGAAAAAAAAAATTTACGATTAATTTTCACCTTTATCAGCGAGAGCACCCTATAAAATACTAAATCCACTTTAACTAATAGAAAAACACACAATGGACTTAGTAAACCACTTACCAGACCGTTTATTATTCGCCGTTCCTAAGAAAGGGAGACTATATGAAAAATGTTGTAACTTGTTAGATGGTGCTGATGTTAAGTTCAGAAGATCCAATAGATTAGATATCGCCCTTTCTACAAACTTGCCCGTGGCCTTGATCTTTTTACCTGCTGCTGATATCCCTATTTTTGTGGGTGAAGGTAATTGTGATTTGGGTATTACTGGATTAGACCAAATCAAAGAAGCAGAAATGTTTGATAATATCGAAGATTTATTGGATTTACAATTTGGTTCATGTAAATTACAAATCCAAGTTCCTGCTGCTGGTGAATACACTAAGCCTGAACAATTGATTGGTAAAAAAATTGTCAGTTCTTTCACCAAATTGTCCAACAACTATTTCAGAGATTTAGAAGGAAAAACTAACGACGATGCCTTAACTACCAATATTAGATATGTTGGTGGTTCAGTTGAAGCTTCGTGTGCTCTTGGTGTTGCCGATGCCATTGTTGATTTGGTTGAATCCGGTGAGACTATGAAGGCTGCTGGATTAAAGCCAATTGAAACTATTCTTGAAACTTCCGCTCACTTGATCTCTTCCAAGACTCCAAGATTCCCAGAAATTGTCGAAAAGATTCACCAAAGATTTGAAGGGGTTTTGACTGCCCAAAAGTATATCTTGTGTAACTATAACGCACCAAAGACTATTGTGAGCAAATGTTTACAAATCACTCCAGGTAGAAGAGCAGCAACTGTTTCTAGTTTAGACAAACACCTCGCTGATGACGAAGACTGGGTTGCCATCTCTGCCATGGTTGAAAGAAAAACCATTGGTGATGTTATGGATGAATTAAAGAAAGCTGGTGCATCCGATATACTTGTTCTTGAAATTGCAAACTGCAGAGTTTAAACATGTAAATATACGGATAGATAATATATAAACTACTTAATCTAACTCTACACTTCTTATACCATCCTTATCAACAACTTTAACATAAACACCTTTAAAGTCAATTGGCATTCTAGTTTCTAATTCTTTCAAACACAACTTCAACAATTTCAATCCATCATCGACAACCATATCTTTTCTATAATGCTTATCCAATAATGAAGTAGTATAAAATCCAGCATACCCGTGGGCACCGTAAGGCAATTCAACTTGAGTACCTAAATAATCAATCCAGTTCAAAGTAGGTTGATCCTTCTTGGTGTCATATCCAGCAATTAAACAGTTAACTTGATATGGTTTTCTTGATCTAATTGAAGTTGCCAATTGATTTCTAACAAATGAGGCAGTAGCCAAAGGTGACAATTCAATATCATTTTCTCTCATAGAATATAATTGAATGTTGGCTTGGACATATTCGGCAAATTGAACAGTATCACCAGCTTCCCCAGTGTATGCTATAAGATTGTGAGCATTTAATTCTCGTGTCTTGTCGTCGGTGTCTTTTAAAATCGAAATCCCTCTGGTTGCTGCCTTGGAAGTGGCAATTATTGTGGCGTCTTGTACTCTAATACCTAAAATGATATCCATGGTAAGCTTATGTTCTGTATATATGCGATAGAAGGTTTACAATTGGTGTATTCCTAAAGTTGAATTTGATTGTAAGTTTTTGTTCACTAAAACTTTGCCATCCAAATTTTCAGTGCGAGTTTTTAAGAGTGCGACAGATTTTGTATAGGAATAAATTTATGTACACTATATTTACTTTTTACTTAACAATTCATTAACTTTCTTCTCCACTAACTTCTCAATCAACTTGTTCAACACACTGTCGTTATTCTTGATTTGATTATTCAAATTGACTTCAATTTGCTTTTCAATTAATTTCCCGGTTAGATCAACTTCAATATTAACCGAATCTCCAATGGACTTTCTGGACAATATCACTTTTTCTTGACTGTAACTAATCAACATGATTGAAAATTCCGCCTTGTCATAATCAACATTGGTTATAGTCAAAGAAGTCCCATCAATAGCAATAAATCCCTTATGGACAATATAACTGATAAATTCAACGTCTCTCAACTTGAACGTAAATGTAATGGCATTCCCATCAGGAACTCTTCCTACAATAGTAGCAATTGTATCAACATGCCCTTGGACAACATGTCCGCCAAGACGTACATCACTAGTAACTGCTCTTTCTAAATTGACACCATCACCAGTTTTTAAATCCCCTAAATTGGTACGACGAAGGGTTTCAGGGGCTATACCTACTTTAAAGAAAGTTTTACCCTCGTCAAATTCAGTCACAGTTAAACAGACTCCGTTGGTGGAGATTGAATCACCAAGGTGGACATCAGTTAGAATTTCGGAACAATTGCCGATAGTCAATGAGACACCATTCCCCCCTGAGCTTGAAGTGTCAAGTGTAGTATATTCTAATACTGTTCCAATTGTTTCTATTAATCCTGTGAACATTGTGGTGTGGAGTAGTGGGAATAGTGATTAGTCAGTTTGCTTGTTTTTTTCTTCAAAAGTTCGCAGCTTTTGATTAATCATTAGTCTCTACGTAAAACTTACATAAGGTATATACAATGGCATTGGAACTATCTGTTAAGTCATGGTTCAGCAAAGAGAAGTGGGTACTTTAAAATAGTCAAGATGTAGACAAATTTATGCCTTATCCTGCGAAGTTAGAACAATTTCACTATACATTCCTTTTGTTTCTTCCTTTATATCGTGTACACAACGAACAACTCTTCCTTAAGTAAATCACGAATATGTATGTAAGTTATCAGATACTAGTAGGACTGTCAATCCAACTATTGCATAGTTGGTATACCTAGCATGACTAAGCAATTGTGGTTGCTATATTACCATGGTAACTAAATTTACTCATAAGGGTGTAATTTTCAGTACGCAAATAAGTGCAATTATTCCTCCAACCAAATTTTTCATTTACCATAAACCAAGACTAAATCACAACTTAGATTAGCCGGTATTATACACATACAGTCAAAATGGTTTTCAGATTCCCAGTTAAGTTTGCTATACCCAAACACGCACATGTTAATACCCGTGTTCTTAGAGATCAACATAAAAGAGTCCAATTTGCCGAACACGAAGTAACAAGAAATGCCTTGAGATATATTGCCAGAAACACTGAGTTACAACCAAGAGTAAGATTGGAAGCACAATTACAATTAAGTACCATGCCAGCATATACTTCTTATACTACTATTAAAAATAGATGTGTTGGTACTGGTAAAGCTAGATCTGTTCTTTCTGATTTCAAACTTAATCGTACTGATTTTAGAAATAAGGCTAGAAATGGGTCTATTCCTGGTGTCAAGGTTGCTTCTTGGTAGAGAAATAACATAGCTTGTATATATTTAATGAATTAGATTAATTTGAGAGACTTTGGTATATACCTGTTTGGGTATATCATGTAAAAAAAAAAAAAGAGACGGTGTTTCTCGAATAATATAGCCTACCCTTAATTTTCAATAGAATTTTGCTGAAGGCGTGTCTTCAGTTGCTCAAACACTTTAAGTTCCCAATTTCAGAACTTTTCTAAATAAATTTGCTTTGGTATGTCTAGCTACTCCCGTTGGCCATAGCTCAACGAAAAATATTCAATGAGGTAGAAAAAAAATCAAGTCACCAAAATTTGGCAGCACTTTTAAGTTCACCTCTTCATGCCATATAGATCCACAATGTTAGCCAGACAATCCATAATAACCACCAAGCCAACCCACCTCATACTTCAAAGACAATTTAGGTTGATCCCTGATTTTTCAAAATTTAAAAAGATCGAACAACCACCAGGTTATATTGTCGGTACTGTCAACGATGCATATATTCCTCCACCAACAAAACACATCGACGGAAGTTATCATTGGACATACGACAGAGTTGTGACTATTGGTATGATTCCATTAATGATGACACCATTCATTGCTGGTATTGAGTTCCCTATGGTTGACTCAGCATTATCTACGTTATTATTATGGCATTGTCATGCTGGGTTTAAATCCTGTATTATTGATTATATTCCGGAAAGAGTTTACGGAATTTGGCATAAAATGGCTACTGGATTATTGACTGCTGGTTCTTGTCTTGGTATGTATGGTATCTATGTCATGGAAACCGCCAACAATGGATTATTTGAATTATTAAGTAACATCTGGCATGCATGAATGAATCAAGAGAGTATAGAAGTATTGTATATAATAGTTAAAAAGTGTAAATAATAAGCATTAATTATAAGTTGTCTACTTCTTGTATCACTGTTCTATGCGTCTGCACATGTAAATCTGGAACTGTGGATGTTTTTTTTTCCAAGCTGAAAATTCAAACATCAACCAGCAACTTTAATCACCAGAGAACATTTCGGTAATCAATTTCCCAACCACAAATGAGTGATACTGAGGTACTTGACTATGAAACACGGGTTGAAAGAGAACCTGTTCGTGAAAGAGATCGTGATGATGATGTAAGAATGGAACCTCAACCATACCCACAATATCAACGTCCCCAAGGTCATTTCCAAGATCGCAGAATTGACCATATAGGACTTCAGCCACATATTGACAGTGAGGAAGATGTATTGTATGAAGTTAAGGATGATTCTACTTTCCATGTTACTAGAGCTTTATTCATTGCTAATTTAAGAAGACCGATTAATTCAGCTCATTTTCAAGAATACTTGAAAGGCTTGGCTCAAACTAGTGGTGGATATTTAATTGAACGTGCATGGTTGAACCGTGGAAGAACTCATGCTATAGTTTTGGTCAATACTGAGGAAGGTGCTAGAACATTGAGATCTAAATTGGTTGGCTCGATTTATCCACCAGAAGAAGAAGATGCAAAATTAAAACAAGAATTTGAAAATATCGAAGTTGAAAGATATGAAAGTGAAGTAAGACAATATGAAGATGCGTTAGCTCGTGCACAAGACGAGGATGAAAAGCTGGCAATTCAACCTCCAGTAGAACCTAGAAACATTGCGGTAGAAAGACATACCTTGTATGTTGATTATATTCCAGTCAAGGCAATTAATCAATGGGTATTTGAAGAAGACAAGGGACCAAGAGATGGTAAATGGAAAATTGACTACGAATTCAAAGGTGACGAAACTGTGGCCACTCATACTCTTTTGAATGGTGATTTTATTCCTAGGTATCCTGGTCCCCCACCTCGCCGTTCCTACCGTCGAGGACCTCCACGTGATTTCGATTACCGTGAAGGACCCCCACCATACAGAAACCACGGAAGACCCTACGGTAGACCACCTCCAAGATTTAGAGGAGGATATGGAAGACCTAGAGGGGAGAGAGACTCGTACATTCCAGGAGGAAATAACGATAGATCTGACGATAGAAGAAGTCGAAGAACCGACTCTTATGAACCTTCAAGAAATAGAGAAAGATCAAGATCTCCTTTGTAAAATTATAAGAACTAAGTTATTAAATACATTTTTTCTTAGATAATAAGGTATATACTGTAATTACACGTTTTTTACCAGTAGTTCTGGTTTGGGCCGTTTGGAATCTTCATTCTTCTCAACAGCCTCTCCATTCTTTCTCTTTTTTGGTTCGTGTTCGCCCGTGTTTTCATGTAGATCTGCTGGTTGATCTGATGCAGGCTCTTCCCCTTCTTCTGCTTTCGTGCCAACTCCATTCAGGTCATGAAGCTTAGGCTCAATTTCTAGATTCTCTTCCACTTTATTATTATTTTCAGAATCATTTTGACTCAACCAAGGTATTTCAATCAAAGGAATAGTAGCAGCAGATTGACCCACAACTTTAACTACAGGTTCGGTTTTCTCACCATTTTCATTGTCAGGTACATTCACTTGAGGGAAGTCATCTATTGACGAAGAAACAAGAACCAATTTCTTTAAAGAATTGAAATATTTGACTAATTTGGCATTATTGGCTATGGAATAGCCTTCTTTTTCTGGATCGTTGATCACTTCTGCGATTCGAGTTATGGTGAATGGAGGACTTTGCTGGAAGAAAGCATTGATGTGACTCTTTATTCTTTCATGATTTGATTCAATTGATTTGACAAGTTCGTCGGTGTTTTCGTCTTCCCCAGATTCTTGTTGATTCTTGGCTAAGATTACAAGTTGATCTAGCCGAGTAAGGAGTTTTGGAAGAATGTCCTTTTCCCAGGAAACTTCTGATTTACTTTGGTCAAAGGTCTTGTTTTGTATTATAAGTGAAAATTGAGCTTGAAGTTCGGAGTCCAAGGGCGGTATGGTTCTGGTAATCATTGCTAGTTTATGTGGGTGATTAGATGTGATACTGAAAGAGCACGCGAAAATCACACTTTTTAGTGTTGCAAAATGATCTCCTATAAACAGCGAGTTTTACTGATTTAGGTTTTATTAACTTAGTGCTCAAGAGAGCATGTAATGATTCATCTGTGACCTTAATTGAGAATGATATAAAGTTAAGAGAAGTTTAAATTGAGGTATGACCAGCAGTAACTGTTGGGAATTCTTTTTGTTTGTAAATATCAGAAAACGACAACTTTCTAAATTCCTAAACCAAATTGAATTGTAAATTAAACCCCTATAGTCAATAATAATGAAAGATGTAACTATTAGAGAGCAATAGCAGTTTATATAATGGGTTTTCACTTATTTAATTAGTGTATCTCCACTTCCTATTATTCTTAGTACTCATATTTACGCACAGAAGTGTATTTTACAGACACCACCAAAAATTTTTCGTTAGGTTAAAAAAAAAGTCGATCCAATTTTTCAATATCAACAGCTATACATCGAGGTTATAGAAGCGGATAATGTCGTTAATTAGAAATAGTTTAAGAGTAGCCTCCAGGTCATTACCTAGAGCTGCCAGCACCATACGCCCAAATACATCCCTTTTAAGATTTAATTCAACCACTACCACCACCAACCCATCATCTCCACAACAACCAAATGACATACAATCATCTAAAGTCAGTTTGGCTGCTCAAATATATCCAATAAATAAAGACAGTATAACTGAAACTGATGTTGACCAATGGTTAAGCGCAGTTAGAGAGTTAAAGAAAGGTAAGACTCAACACGAAACCGCTGAAGAAATCTATCTTGCCGAATTAACCAACCCAGAACAATTTTTGCAAGACAAGTTTGAACCAACTGAAGCACAACTTGAAGAAGTTCAAGCTTATGCTGATAAGAAAGTCCCATTAAGAACTGATCCAACTATTGATTATTTAGTCAACCTCCTTATGAGACATGGTAAGAAACAGCTTGCCAGAAAGACATTATCAAGAGCACTCTATATCGTTCATTTAAAACTTAGAAAAGATCCTATTGAAGTGTTGAAACAAACCTTAGACCAATTGGCTCCTATAGTGAAAACATCCACTTTAAAGACAAATACCGCCAAGAATGTTATCATTCCAGTTCCATTGAATGAAAAACAAAGACTTAGATTTGCTTGGTTATGGATTTTAGAAGGTGCAGAAAAGAAGAAATCCTCAGACATATCTGTCAGATTGGCCGAAGAAATTATCCAATCTTATGAAGGAAAATCTTCTGGTTATGATAAGAGAGCATTGATGCACAAGCAAGCAACTCAACAAAGATCTTATATCAAGACCCAATCTAGAAGACGTTAAGCGTTTTATTGTACATAGTTAATAACATTTAATATTTAGGTCTATACTTGTTGTAGTATTGTTGTCGATATTTGTAGAAGACATCAATCAACGTGTCTTGGAACAGGATAGTTGGAGTGGGTACTTTTTATGAAATGCTAGTTTCAGCTTTTCTGGTAAATTATGTTCTATTTGTGGCTGCATAAAGTCAAAATTCGTTTTTTTTTTTTGCAATCTACACAATGTTTTTTGTTTCTACATAATCCGATCTACCTGTCTTTCTGTTATTTCTCTTCCAAAATAATGAGAACTTAGAGCAATGAATATGGATACATTAATTCGAACGTATCATGATGTTCGATTTCGTGTTGATCATTTCATTATAAGCTATCGTCAACGCTATTATAGTCTAGATAAGAATCCACGAGTTATTCAAACGAAATTACACAATCAACAATTGATTTCTTTAAGAACATTTCCTCATGACAGATATGTTGTTGAACCTACTAGATTTTTGAATTTATGTGATAATCCGACTGCATTGAATAAAACAGCTGGGGTCGACTTGAATCCTGGCGACGATATTGACAATGATGAGTTACGCCAATTTACAGTTTACAATATTGATGAATTGATTTCCTTTGATGATTCCTATTCTTCATTAAAGAAATTAGCCTGTGCCAATACCTTAAGGAGAATCAATAGTGAACCTACAATGAAAGGTGACGAATTATTGGTGTTTGACTTAGATGATGAATCTTTTGAATTAAAAGTGTCCGAAGAAATTAGAGATAGAGACGAAGAAGTTAGAGATCAAGAAGTCAGATCACCAGAAATTTCAGAACAGCCAAGCTCTACTTCTTGCGGATGTTGGTGTCACCAAATTAAATCACTGTCAGATTTACCCCTTCGTGAGTCCAAAAGAACTAAAGTTGGTCAAAAATTATATCATTTTATGAAATCTAATATTGATAAAGTTACTAGTAAAGGAAGTGAATTTGTTGGGGAATATGAAACAAATCTTGATGTCAAGTCCGCAAATTACGAAAAGTCTGCTGAAGTTTCAAAGCTTGATGAATTAGTGGTAGCAGTAGCTGAAAATTTGCACCCAAAATTTTTAACAAGTAGAAAACCAAGCTTGATTCAACCAATTGAATCACCACCACCAGCAGCACCACCATCACCACCACAACAACAAAATCCAAAACCCATTGAAAGTAAAAAAATATGGAAATTAGTTCTTAATGATGTGTCATTGTCAGCCGCTAGGCTTTCTACTGGTAGCACCACCCCAATTGTCAATTCTCAAAACATTCGTGGCGATTTTATCGATGCCAAGTGTTCATTTGCTTCACAGTTACCTCAACAATCACAATTGAATAAAAACAATGAAAATGAAGATATCTTTGCCAATCATTTAGAGCAGGCTAAATTGAAATTCTTGAAACATTAATGAATACGAGCATATACTTAGGAAGAAAGCTACCATGTGATTTGTTTGAGTCACGCACTACCCATAATCACTTCCCTGCATATAACCATTCGTCCCTCTTATTTTTTTTTTATATTCCTTCATTTTTCATTGGCTAAATTTTGAACCAAAATTTCCGCCATACAAAAGAATTTTCAAATCGTTTTACAACCAAACTTGCGCGGATGTATACACTTTCTTAGTTTTACTTTAAATATACATACATAACCGACTACAGTAAGCAATGATTCGTGGATCTGCTGTTCGTTCATCATTAAAAGTGATGACTACCCGTCGTTTACTTTCCAGTGCTGTCTCCAAGTTTACCACCTTATCTAACGGAGTTACTGTTGCAACTGAAGCTAACCCAGCTGCCTCCAGTTCTACTGTTGGTGTTTACTTTGGTGCTGGTTCTAGATCAGAACACCCATACAACAACGGTGTTTCCGCATTGGCCACCAACCTTTTAGCTGGTCAATTACAAGACGGAATCTTGTTGGGTTCTTCCAACTCTAAGGAAGTCAACGGTATTGTTGCCCAAACCACCAATGATAACGTTAATGCTGCTGGTAAGTTAGTTGCCAGTATCATTTCCAATGCTTCTGAAGTTGCTGCCAAGGCTGACTTCCAAAGTGTTAAGAATGCTTTAATTGCTGAAGCTGCTGCCGTTGAATCTACTCCACAAGCCAAGATCTTATCTCACTTGGATGCTTCTGCCTTCCAAGGTTACTCTTTAGGTTTACCAACTTTAGGTACCACTGAATCTATTTCTGGATTGGAATTAGACGATGTTACCCGTCATTTACAAAGACAAATCAATGGTTCCAACACTGTTATTGCCGCTTCTGGTAAGGTTGACCATGATGCCCTTGTTGATGCCATTGAAAGCTCATTAAAGGTTGAAGCTGGATTAAAGCCACAAGTTAAGCCAGCCACCTTCTTGGGTTCTGAAGTTAGAATGAGAGATGACACCTTACCAAAGGCTTATGTTTCCATTGCTGTTAACGGTGAAGGATTAAACTCTCCAGGTTACTACCTTGCCAAGGTTGCTGCTGCAGTATTTGGATCTTTTGACAAGAACACTACCCTTGCCCACTACACTTCTCCAAAGTTGGCCACCATTGTTCAAGAATACGATATTGTTGACAAGTACACCCACTTCTCCACCTCATATTCTGATGCTGGTCTTTGGGGTTTCTCTTCTGAAATCTCCAATATTACCAGGGTTGATGAATTTGTCCACTTTGCCTTGAAGGAATGGAACAGATTATCTATTTCTATCTCCGATGCCGAAGTTGCTCGTGCCAAGGCTCAAGTTAAGGTTGCTTTAGCTGGGGAATTAAACAGCACTACTGCTGTTGCTAACGACCTTGGTTCCAAGTTATTATTAGTTGGACACAGAAACTCCCTTGCTGATGCTTTCCAAAAGATTGATGCCATCACCACCAAGGACATCAAGGCCTGGGGTCAAGCCAAGGTTTGGGACAATGATATTGTTGTTTCTGGTACTGGTCAAATCGAAGCCTTAATGGATTACGGTAGAAACAGAAATGAAATGGCTATGATGAGATGGTAATCTTGTAAATAGATGATATTTACGAAATTGCATTTTAAGAGAATACTGTTCAATTCACCAGACCTTTCCACCCAAAATATGCACATATCCAACCAACTACACCTATACAGTTAAGAGTGAACTTTGTTCTTTATAAAACAGGAATTTTCTTTTCTTTTATACATATACTGAAAAAATATATATATTAATTAAGTTAAACAAGTTAAAAGCATAAACTATATTTACATTACTCCACTCTTTTTCAAGTTTTGTTGGACAATCATATCAGTTACAGCCGAGAGGACGAATTTCATGGACGTCGTATCAGTAGCACAAGTTCTATGAATATATATCGGTTTATTTGTTCTATTCATCAAGAGGAAATTTGTTTCAAAAAACTTCATTGCTTCTTCAAAATCACTGGGGTCGCCACTATAATCAGGAAAGTACTTCTTGAGTGGATTTCTCTTGATTTTCTTTTCAAATATATCAATCTTATTCAAGAAAAGTATGCATGGAGTGTTGTAAAACCATTTAGAATTACAAATGGAGTCAAATAGAACAATTGATTCGTGCATTCGATTAACTCTTTCATCTTCAAATAACATTTGATCATATTCGGATATTGCTAACACAAACAATACAGCAGTTATACCTTCAAAACAGTGTATCCATTTCTTTCTTTCTGATCTTTGTCCCCCGGCATCATACACTTTAAATTGATGGTTGTTGATGGTAAAATTGTTCTCAGAAATCCCAGTAGTCTTGATTCTTCCTTTGAGAATATCTGTATCATTACACAAGTAATTAGGATCAGCGAAATTGAAAACATTATCGAAATAGTATCCAGCACTTGACTCGAATTGAAATTCATTACAGCGCTCAAAACATCGTCTTATCCCGCTATCCTTTTTCCACAAGTTATGAATTGCTTCAGCAATTTCTTTTCTTGTATAACTTTGTTTTGACTGACGAACTTGGTAGTATTCTACTAGATCTTCCTCCTCGATACCATCTTGCTCTTCGTCATCTTGTGCATCAGCGTCCCAAAACAGAGCGCCTTTAGTGACACCAGTACTTCTCATCCTTCGTTTACTTTTCTTCTGCTCACTATATTTCAACAAGTAATCATTAATAAAAGTCGTCCCACCAGCAGCACTAGTATCAATCTGTTCCAAACCTTCACTTCTAAGTACTATTTGTTTCGACGATATTAAGGGACTTCCTTGAACATCACAATCCAAAGAGATTCTCAATTTTCTTGCTTGAATAATTAATGTTTTCATGGATTGGATAATATCACTCCAAATTATATTAGCATATTGTCTCCGTTCCTGTTGAGTGAATCCGCCTTTATGAAGCAACCTCATTTGCTTAACAACTGTGGACTTTCCGGATTCTCCTGCACCAAGAAGAAGAAGTTTAATTGTAGATTTCGGATTAGTTTTAGCAAGATTAAGTTGATGGTTTATCTTATCATTGATTAGTTTGTCCTGATAGTATGGATCGTCATTTATGTTTTCAATTTCGATCACACTTGCACCACAACCCATTGCTGCTACGTTGTTCTCAAGAAAGAATGTGATGACAGAAAAATAAGAAATGACAAGAATGACCAAAAATAGACTAAATAATTAATCACAGAGTGAGGGGGGGGGGAACCCCAAAAATTGGGTCAAGTTGCATAATTCGAAACAATTTAAAACTTTATTTGCCGGAACATTTTAGGTTAAATCTTAACTCTAGATCTTGCATCTATTTATTTTTCTGGTGGGATGCGACAATTACGCGTAAACCATTAAATTTTTACGAGTATTTTTTTAACTATGCATTCCTCAATTTTTTTTTTTTGCTTGCAGTGTATGTCTATAAATGTTTATATAGTTAAACAAAAAATGTAATACACACCAATCACAGAGATACCCAACATCATTGAATTCTTCAAGAATGAAAAAAGATTCCATCTTTTCATAAAGGTGAAAACTCTTCTTCGATTCATAATATATGTTTGTCCTACTTTGGAATTCTTGACATATTTCATAAATGAACTTGAATTATTTTGGGTGAATGTATAATTTGGAATTGAGAATAGATGTTGTCCCAGAGCTAGAGTGTATGTTGATGATGATGGTGACAAAGGTGGTGTTTGTTCATTAGGTAAACTGTCTTGTTCTTGCTCTTTCAAGAACTTCTTGAGTCTTCGTGAATGTGATTCAACTGGAATGTTAATCACGGAATTGAGGGGAAGTAGTGACGAAGAATAAGTAAATCTAGTTGATTTTTGTTTTAAGTTCCACCAAAGGACTAATAATGCTGATATAACTGACATGATGACATAATGGATTATATTTACGTATGGCACAGGCATATAACAAATATCAGTGTTATAAACAATTTCTTCTGTGGCACCAACTGATGCAAATGATAATAATTGTACTGCTGGATACTTCTTTCCCATGGCTAAACTTATTGACTTGACAGTTATTTCTCTAGTTCCATCTATGTGTTGAATGTCACAGTGATCGTGATCATCGCCTGAAAGAATCATATCTGGTTTGACCTGGTCTAATATTTGATTGGTTAACTCTTCTGAAACTGTATTTTGGTATTGGAAACCATGTCCAAATACGTCAAATGGTCCAGCTTCTCTATGAATACCACACAGCAATTGCGGATCTCTAAATAAGGGGACGTGCGAGAGCAAAACTCGAGGATGTTTCTTTTCTTGACTTGATATTTCTTGCAAAAATTGAGTTGCCGGATACGATATATCACTAGTTGCAGAAATACTAGGTGTATCAAGCATAACGAAGTCAACCCCGTCTAAAGTAATTATAATATTACTTGGAGCAAATTCTCTATTAAATCTTTCTCTGGAATATTTGTTAACCCCATCCCCAAATCCAATATCATGATTACCAGGTAAGTTAACAAACCAGTTAATTCCCTTTTGATATACACTTTTATAAGGATCATAAAAAATTTTGTTAAATCGTCTTAACTGTGTATAAAAATATGTGTCTGTGCTTTCACGTCCGTTATCTAACAAGTCACCTAGGAATACCACATAATCTGGTGATAACTCGGACAATAATGCATGGTAATTTTTCTTGATATAGGCATCAACTGTATGCTGAGAAAGCTTGAGGAGAAGATTATTACGCCCGGGGTATGTATGGCTGTCTATTAACTGAGGATCAGCAACAAGTAACATACGGCTTGTTTTGGGGGGTTCAACGTCCTGTTCTGATATTATGCTCGGCCATTGGCATTTCCGTATGACATGAGAAGGAGTATATCGTTCGTGATAATAGAATGTGGCAGTCCATACTATAAGTAGGACAAGCAGGAGCTGGTGTATGCTTTTGAATTTTGGCATGAAAAGCATTATATGGATTGATCCATCTATATGAAAGTATCAATGTTGTGACCAAGTGTAAAGGGTGATGTAATTGTTTTTTTTTCCTTTTTTTGGTTTCTGATTTAAATTCGTGTGGGATTTCTTTTTTTTTTTTTGTTTTGTTCGTTTCGGGGTCAAGGCTCTGGAGGCGAAGCAGTCAATAGTTGACTACTGGTGGTTTTGTGTAGTAATTTACAATTATAGACGAATTAATTTGTAACCGCTATGAATTTATAAAGTAGATGTCTTATTCAAAGTAGACAAAACGGTTTGTGTAAGATCAATTTCTTAAATCAATCCCCGTACTGCATAATCGAATTATTATCATAACCTAAATAATATCCCCCTGAGTGAGAACTAGAAACACCTACTCGATGTAACTACCAACTCGTGTGATGTCATTCATTCTAAAGAACTAAAACTTTTTAGTTTAGGGCTATCTGTTGGCTTACTGCTTGTTTCGAATATCATTATAGATAGCAACACTATTTACAGGAAATTACAAGGTTATTTGACATGTGATGCGAATGCTGAAATCTAATAATGCTTAGAGCAGATTCATGATATTGTTTCTGTATCATATGTAGGATCACATCATAATGCTGTTAAATAGCCGAGCTAATACAGGTGTCCTAACTGTTTGTACCTGTATAGCTGATAGCTGATCTAATGTTACAAGAAACTTTTCTAGCAAAGAATAAAAGCTACGAAAGTTGCTAAAACCAGTCTTGAATTGATGGTTTTGTGTTTATTTACAGGTTTATTTATAGGTTATATTACTATATATTATAGAGTTCCCCAAAGGAACCAGCAATCACTACAATTCTACCAATTCGTTTGAGTTGTCTCTGATTGGGGAGGGGGATGGGATATTGGGGTTGGTTGTGACATCTTGTTTTGAAGCGCTAGTACTTTCCTCATTTTGGTTCTTTCTTGTTCCAAGGTGCGTATATATCTTCGGTTTTTGTCAAGTGTGGGGTGCTGTGAGTTATTGGCATTTGATTGATAAATTATATGCTTTGTTTTTTGTTCCTGTAATTGCAATTGATACACATTTTCCAACTTAGTTATGTGATCTACATACTTGAATAATTCCTGCTCTAGCAATTGAAAGATAGCATTTATATTGACCACAATAACACCAAGTTTCCGTATTTTCAGATCGAATTTTCCAATCTCTAATGAAACTTACTGTAGATTGTTTTCTATTACTTCGGTCATATGTCTGTTGCCTTCTGCTTTTATCTAGGACAAATTTTGGTTGAAATATTGACCTCGTATGAGTAGTTGCTGATTATAATAATATTTACCACCTTTATCAAGTCCAAAACTATCCTTAGTTTATCTCGATGGAAAGAGTAAAGTTATGGATTATTACTTTGGGTGCCCAAATTTTTATATACTAAATTTGGGGCCAATTCTTCCCTCGCACAAATTTATACGAATCTGGCGCTACCATCTGAATAATTTTCCAATATAAAAAAAACTAATCTCGTATAAAAGATTTCGAAGTTCCTCTTTAAATCGTATACCCGTCATAAAATGGAATTGGAAACGATACTCTTGGTCTACATCCTTATCCCGCTCCTACTTATCCACTTATTCACTACCCTGCATTATTTCAAGGATGTGCCCGACTTATACCTTGCAGAGCAATCCGAAATTGATGCCACCAGACACGTCAATGAATCACCTATTTATCGGTCTAACAAGCTAGAAATGGGACTTCGAGTAGGTTTAGGAATTCGGTATGATCTGTACAAACTCCGCGCGGGAAACTTACGAGATATTTGGAGCGTCAAGAGTTTACAGTTTGGTGATGAGGTTGTTATTAATGACATCCGCTTCAAATGGGCCGAGATTAATTATATGGTTGATAAAATTTCTAAACAGCTTAAGGGAGTCAAAGTGGTTAGAATTCCTTTGGAACATAGAATTGATATCAAGTGGGTAATTGTGTTAATTGCTGGGTTCATCAATCAGATTACTGTCGAGTTTTATGATGTAGGTGAAGGAGAAGGAGCAAATATCGATGATATTGATACTACTGGTGAAGGTGAGTTATACGAATACAAAAATCAGTATCTGTCAGAAAAGGACAAGGGTATTTCATTGAGAATAGTAAGACACAATCAAGGCGCAATTGAAAAGTCTACTATTGAATTCACCCAATTGAATATTGTATGCGCTGTTGCATCTACTATCAAGCATTTGCCTGCTCTGCAAGAGATTGGAAAGGATGACACCATGGTTATTGTTCCTAGCAAAAATATCTCCAATGAAGAATTACTCAATGTGATTACTAAATTTTTGACATGCTTAGTTACCCATGCTAAACTTGTGATTGCTGGAAATCCAGATGACATCACCAAATACAACCCAACAATCTTGTCTATACATGAAGATAATTTGCCAACACCACAAGCAAACTATCTTAGCTATATTAACAAAGCGATTATATCTCGAGGAAAGTTACTTCCAGGACAACTCCGAATTATTTACATCAACAATAGAATAACCAGTTGCAAATATACCGCCAAACAACTTTCACATCTTCGTGGGATATATAGTGCTAGAATTATTCGAGAACTGGGATATTACAATATTATTGGACCTTTGATTTTGACTGATTTTTACGATTATCGTACGTTTGCTAAGTTTTCGTATGGATGTATATCCCAATCGGTTGAAATGAAAATTGTTGCTACTAATGAACAGAATATTGGACTTTTGAGTGTTCGCGGGTATGTGATTGGTAAAACTACTAATATTATGAAAGATAAGCATCATAATAGTAACAGTAGCACCATGCACGAAAATGAAGGGTTTATGCCAGTTAATGTCAGATGTAAATGGGGCAGTGATGGTTGTCTATATGTGATTTAAATTAAAAAATATATGTATATAGATCTATTAAATATATGAAACTTAAACTACTCTTTGTTTCTTCGGACAAGGAACATCGTCAACTCGGGCACGCTTTAACAATTTTGGTTCTTCATCTTTGACAATAAAGATTTTCTTGTTTAATTGATTGATGAAGTATTGAGAAAACTTGATTTGAAGAATGTTCAAGTTATCTTCATTGAAGTCAGCAAAGAACTTGGTCCATTTTGTTAATTTAACTTCAATGGTTTCTTGTTTGGTTTCCCACATGATATTGGAGTTGTTCAGATCGATTAAATGGCATTTTATAAAGTCGTAGCCGAAAATCATAAGAACATTACACCAATTCTCATACTTGTCTCCGTTTAAGCTTAATTCAAATTGTAACATCTGCAAGCATTTGAATTCAAGTTCCTTGATAACTTTAGTAGAACTTGATTCCAAGCCACAAATCTTGAGCCAGGACTTGAAGGAGTAGTTATAGTCTTGGTTGAATTTAGAAGCCAAAATGACTAAACCAAGAAAGAGTTTCTTAGGATCGGTAATAGTAATCTTCTCTTTCTTGTTGATAAGCTTAGTCAAGTAAAAACAAGCAAGTTGGAGGGTTTGAATTGACGTTTTTGACCGCTTGAGAATCTCAACAATGAAAATGGAAAGATTTGTTTCATTGATTTTGGACTCAGAGTACAAAATCTTAATCAAGTTGATGGTACAGTTGACCAAGATCGAATTGAATTGAGATTTCGTTAAATGGGATGTGTAGTAGTATGAATTGATAGGGGAGACGGGAATAGTTGAAACAGTTGGGGTAGTTGGGTCTTGTTTTGTGGTTGGGGTAGAACTAGGAGTCAACAACGAAGCAGTGCTATTGTTTCTGGCGATAGTGGCCACGGGCTCGACTGTCTTTGTCTTTGGTGAAATTGGTGTATCCATTTTTGGGTGCAAAAGTGTAACTCGACTGAGGGGAACAAAAAGTAGTAAGAAATAGCAAAAATCAAAATGTGTAAACTTTTAAATAAAGCTTAGTAAGATTGTTTCATTATGAATCTGTAACCTGGAGGGGAAAATGATGTAAAAATAAGTAATAATGTGCTAACCTGTATATCTCACTGAGTATATCAAGTTATTCTATGAAGTAAATTAAACCAAAAAAAAATAATACCTAACCTTAAAAAATGTAAAATAAAAAATCGTTAAAAAAAAATCAAAAGTAACAGTTGTTATGTGTCGTTAAGTCGTGTGTAAATAGTAATCGTAGTAATGGTAAGTTGTAATATCGTTTGTTTTGTTTGTTGAAAGAAAAAGTCGTACAACAGTAAAGAAAACAAATCAAACCAAATCCAGATCTCGGGGATTTGCTGTGGCATTTATAGTGTCTTCAGTTGTCAAAGATTGTTATCACGAAGATAATTAGTCATTCCTGTACAAAACCATAAATTGCATCAGCGGGAAAATTTCTTTTTTTTTTTTGGTGCTCTCGTATGAGTCAAATTTCTGTGGTGGTGGTGGCAGCAAAAACCGCTAAGGCTCGCCACCTCCACATTTTGTAAGGCAATTACAGCGAAAATCGATAGGCGCAAGTCACGTGGAATTTGACTTGAAATTTCTTTTTGTTTTTTCGCATGACTATTTAGGAGGATCCGCGCCATGTTACTCATAACAGAATTACTCATTTCCTACTAATGCCGAAACGCCGAATCCGGCCGGAACAGCGGAGTTTCATATCTTCCACTGCCATTGCTATGATTCACGTGTTTTTGTATTTATTTACTATTTACTGTTATTACTCTCTGCTAATGACTCTAAACTGAGAATCAATAATATCTCTAATCTCCTTGAAACTGGCAATTATACATTCGTTATCATCATTACTCACCAACAATACTTTTTCGTCAATGCCACAATCTAATTTGTTTAAATTGACAAGTACTTTACTTAAATCAACCACTCTTTTTCCACGCTCATCATAACAATTAAATACGTGATCATGGAAAAGTTTGATTATTTTCAATTCTGGGGAATTAGTCAGTGACATAACATAATTTATCTTCGTCATGAGACGGAATAATCTTGCATTTTCTAATTCGCTGGTTAATTGAGCTTCCATGAAATCGTTGGCATGTTGTAGTTTATTAATAACATTGAATGTTTGCGATGATAACTTGCTCTGGAATGCTGTAAGTTCGAATGTCTGGTCTGCGTCGACTAGTTCTCTGATCAGCTCAATTAATTCTTCACTTATCCTTGACTTTAAGGTTTGATATATATTTCCGCTTCTCATATTAATAGGCAAGGTCAATGTACTCAATTCAAGCAAGACCTTACCTATATTATGTATATCATCTAATGGATCTTGATCTTCGTCGCCTAACAAATCCAGAATCAGACCACTGGAAAGTCTAATTCTATCTTTATTAGTCACGATAATCTTATTCAAGTTGATAGTGCCCTTACCAGATAATCCCTTTTCATGTAAACACTTTACTGCGTTGACCAACTGTAAAAGATAACCCCAAAGAATCTCATCATTAATAGGAGCAGAGCCTAATTTCTTGTGGTGTTCAGCTAATGTGTTTGAATTAGGGTAATAATCAAACACAGCAATAAGGCAACTTTTCCCAAAACTCAAACTCGAAAACGCATCATAGCATCTCACAACATTGGCACAATCAACACTCTTCCACTTTTTGAATTTGCTAAAATCAATTTGTTCCGGTTCAACATTTTCAATTTTCCTCATAACATATGGATTGCCATCCAATGAAGAAAATACCTTGTATAACACTGTACTATGGGCCAGCTTACTTTCTTGGTAAGTTCTGTCAATAGGAACGAGTGAATGATACTGGTTGATAGATGGTGGTAACGTGGAATGGACCATTGTTTGCAAGGTAGCCTCATTCTTGCGGTGCAAGGTTTCTCGAAGGTCATTGGGGATGAAAAGTAAATGAGGGTTCAGTTCATGTGGTGCCAATGGAAGGGTTAACCTTGGTGGTGGTTGCGGAGCATACAAGTGATATTGTAATGGGTACGTTGCTGCTGCAGGAGTGTGAAAATAATCATTCAAGTATGGGTTAGGTGTTGATGATTGTGGTGGAGGAACCGCTTGTGGTGTACTCACAGCCAATGGTGGTGGTGGTGGTGGTGGTGCAGCACTTGTTGCAGGAGGTGCAGTAGATCCTTGTGACGCAGGTGCGGGTGTGAATGATGGCGTTGAAGCATTGAACTTGTATCCACTTCCATCAGGTACGAATACCGGTATTTCCTTCATTTTAGGTGACCCAAACTTACCGGTAGCACTATTGCCAGTATTATTAGCAATTAAATTACTTGGTTGAAATGAAGGTGTATTCAAATCAAACTTCCTTTTAGATTCAGTGGAATGACTAGAATGGGCTGATCCAGCAGAAGAAGGAGCATCGAATTGGTGTTGTAAGTTCAATTGTTGTACTAATGGAGTAATACCCGCGGTAGTGTTGTTTGCTGGTTGTTGTGGTTGTTGTTGTTGTTGTTGTTGTTGTTGTTGCTGCTGCTGCTGCTGGTTCGGCCTTCTATGGCTGAACGCACATCCTTTATTTTCGAATTTACAATATCCATATATCGTGATATTTTTACAAAGGGTGTCCTTTGCATTATCTAGGTTGATATTCATCAGAGTGCTAGCAGTAATAATGTGTAATGTTGACGTAATTGATTGATGACTGTGTTTTTCTTTCGGTTTTTTTTTCTCCTTGGCCGCACGTTAGGAATCAAACCTTAATTGGTGTCAAGAGGGAAGGGGGGTGAGTGGAAAGTTGAGCGCAATGGTTTATTTGGTAAGAAAGCTTATATTCTAATATATCATGAGTGGTGTTTGAAGCATTGTCTGTATTAAGAGAATTAAACTGTTTATGATTTCTTTCGGAATTTGTAGATATTCTAGCAAAATACCACATTGATACGAGTCAAGCTATTTGGTTGCAACAAAAAGAAAAAAAAATAACGTAACGGTCGAATGCGATTATTTTATTACTCAACAGACAAGTATTGCATAATGTTATTTGAAGACTACATTGAAAATTAACCAATAAGAGAAATGAACTAAAGAACCAATTAAGAAGAATTTGACAGTGAACTATAAGTTTCTAATCTCGGAGAATTTTTATCGTAGCAAAGCTAAGACAAACTAAGCTAAATCACCTTAGAAACCTCCGCCAATCAATATCATAAAAGCTTCCATATCACTGTTGCATAACATACGATTTAGATTTCTTGGTATGTATATATCGCGGCTGCGAAAATTTTTGTTATGAAGCACATCATATATAACATATCATTTGCCCGTATCTGCTTTCTCTTTAATTTGTCTCTTGCAAAATTCTAGCACATAATGCTACCAATATACATCCTAATTCTACTATTCACATACGTCCAAGCTGAAAACTACGTGGTCGCCCTCAAACATACGGAAGACCTTGAATCATTCAAAAGCTATGATTTGCACCAGTACCCTCCCCAGCTCCAAGTAATGAAACATATCAGCAATTCATACTCAATAGGGAATTTACTGGCATTTCTGGGAAACTTTTCTGAGGAAATGATTGCCCGATTAAAACGATGTCCCATGGTTGCTGAGATATCCCCCGACATTGAAGTTTCCATGTTTGATATTGATCAGCAGCCAGAGGCACCAAGACATTTAGCTCGCATCAGTCGTAAACACAGAATGAGACCCGGTAAAACTTATCCTTATGTATTTGATAATAATTATTTGGGAACAAAGGTGAATGCCTATGTAATTGATCTGGGGGTGGACATTGGACATCCTGAATTTCAAGGAAGAGCTCAAATGGGAGTTGATTTGACGAAGGAAGGTGCTGGTGATCAAAATGGACATGGGACTCATGTTGCAGGTTTGATTGGTAGTTATACATACGGGGTGGCCAAAAATGTCGATATTATCGAAATTAAAGCGTTGAATGTAAGAGGTGCCGGAAGTTTAAGCACGATTGTGGAAGCACTTGAGTTTGCTGTGAATCATCGTAGAACCAGTGGTAGACCCGGGGTAGCTAATTTATCCCTCGGTGCGTACAAAAATACGGTGTTAAATAATATGATTGAAGAGGCTGTTAAGACTGGGTTGGTTATAGTTGTAGCCGCAGGTAATTCCAATACCGATGCATGTCTTACCAGCCCTGCTAGTTCAAAACATGCCATTACAGTTGGGGCAATTGATGATTATAATGATTCCATTGCCCATTTTTCAAATTGGGGTGAATGCGTTGATGTTTTTGCAAGCGGACATCTGGTACAAAGTGCAAATGCCCATAATCATGACAAGTCGCAAGTTCTTTCAGGGACGTCAATGGCAGCACCGATAGTTTCTGGATTGGTGGCTAACTTGTTAAGTGAAGGTTTTGGGCCATTAGAAGTAAAGAAGAAATTGATCAGGTTGTCAACCAAGAATCGAATTCCTAAATCGTCGTTATTTTTACGAAAGAAAACACCTAATAGAATTGCATACAATGGAATAAGTGAAAAGGTTTTGGATTTAATGGGAAGTGATGGATCCAGTGATGGGTCAAGTGACGACGACGAATAATTTATAATATATAGGTGTACATACTCACTCTGGATTGTATCTTGCCGGTATGGCTGTTAATAGTTTACGCTACCAGATTTTTCTTTTATTTTTATTTTTTTTTTAAAAAACAAAATGCTACTTACAATTTTTTGGTTCGCCCTTTTTGTTTCATCTTAAAATAAGGACAAACATTCAAACTACATCAAAGCTAACTTCTTATACAGTTCTTTATAACATATAAATATACGCATACAATGGGACAAGGACCTTCATCGGGAATTATCAGTGGTCTAATGGCCGATACAAACTTCAATCCTGAAGAAATTGACCGACTTCGTAAACGATTTATGAAACTTGACCAAGATCGACTGGGAGAAATTGACAAGCAAGAATTCTTAAGCATACCTGGGGTGAGTTCGAATCCGTTAGCTGCTAGGCTAATGGATGTATTTGATATTGATGGGAACGGGAAGATTGATTTCCAAGAGTTTATTACAGGGTTGCTGGCCTTTAGTGGAAAATCAAGCACAGAAGAGAAGTTGCGGTTTGCATTCAAGATCTACGATATTGATAGAGATGGGTTCATTGGGAATGGTGAGTTGTTTATTGTCATGAAGATGATGGTGGGGAACAATTTGAAGGATGAAGAGTTACAACAAATTGTTGATAAGACAATGATGGAAGCCGATGGAGACGGTGATGGCAAGTTAAACTTTGACGAGTTTAAACATGCAGTTGATTCCAACTCAATTGCAAACAAATTGACATTAAATATGTTTTAGTGTAAAATTAGTGACATAGTAAATACAAACTCAAGTATACCCTCAGAATAAGAGACTCGGAAATTTTCAATTTTTGTTTTTTTTTTATTATTTTTAATTTATGTCTGATTTATTCATCAGACACAAATGATCCATCTCGACACTAAATTGGTGTCGCTACTAGAATGGATTCACAATACTCAAGATGAGAAGCTTAAGCCTTCGTCATATTCGTACATTTCACCCAAGCTTGAAGTCCGTGATGTTAAAGGGTCGGGTAGAGGTATTTACACCAATGGCCATCTCAACAAGTCAGAGTTGGTAATACGTATCCCACCGTCATTCTTACTTAACACAACAACTGTGTTGTCTCATATTTCCAAGTACAATACAATTGCAAGTCTATCCACCTCCAACATTTACACTCCGTTTGAAACAATTCATGATGAATTCACCAAGATCTATGAATCACTAACTAAAGAAGAATTACTCGACCTTTCGTCGTTTCAATTGTTAGGAATGTACATTACTATAGAAACTCAACGAGGCAAGTCCTCCTTCTGGAAACCATTCCTTGACATGTTACCTTCTATAGCAGACTTTGAATTAATGCCATTGGTATGGCAGATCAACAACCAACACGATCTCCTTGATTTACTTCCACAACCAATCAGAAAAACCAGCGAGAAAGTATATACAAGGTTTACGTCAGATTACAATACAGTGACAGCTCTTCTCCAGACAAAAATTGACAATACAGAAGCAGTTCTTCCCCTCGACCAGTTCCTCCTTGCTTGGATTTGTATTAATTCCCGTTGTCTTTACATGAACCTCCCCACATCCAAATCAGCAAGTGATAATTTTACCATGGCTCCATACGTTGATTTTTTGAATCATTCGCCTAATGATCATTGTACTTTGAAAATTGATGGTCGTGGGTTTCAAGTGTTTTCCACATGTGCTTATTCCGAAAATGAACAAGTGTATTTAAGTTATGGTCCTCATAGCAACGACTTTTTGCTTTGCGAATATGGGTTCACTATTTCTGATAATAAGTGGAATGATTTGGATGTCACAGAATACTTGAGGCCTTTGTTCACTAGTGAACAGAAACGATTCTTGAAAGAACATGATTATTGGGGTAACTATACTGTGAATAAAGAAGGGATATCGTTTAGAACAGAGGTTGCATTGGCTGTTCTACAGGAGAATACACCAACTGAATCAAGAAAGTTGATGGGGTTGATCAACGGTATAACTGATGGAGTGGTATTCAAACTTAAATCAGATATACTTCTTAAAACTATATTAAACAAAGTGATTCACGAAGCAGAACAGTATAAACATCTTGAGTTCAATAACGAAACAGACTTAGTCACTAGAGAAAGAAAGAAGGTTATTGGCGGGTTATATAACGATAGAGTAACCATTGCAACGAATGTACTTTCGAATCTATAGATCTATTTTAAACTTATATCCAATAATGAATCGGTTGTAGCTTGATTGACCCCTTTGTTTATGGCCAATTTCATCTTGACCAAATCACAAATCATGGCATTACCCAAGGTACCTGATTTGTGCTTTTTTCCTAAATATGAGATGTAACCATTCATATTGTCAACTTCGGTAAGCCTAAGCATACGCACATCTTGTCTCATTGACGAACTATTCTTGGCAGTTGCTTCTGTGGTGGAAACAACATGAGTAAAGAGTCTTTCCGGGTTCAAGTATATCGAGGCTTCGGTGATTTGGTTTAACATCGGGTATTCCAAGTATAACACTGTAATTGCTTCATTAATGATTCTCTTGTACATCGAACTAAGCTGATCTCCCCCATAAAGAAGCTCACCATTAAAACAGTCAAACAATGCAGATAATGGGTTAATACAACAATTAACAACAAGTTTTTCACATTGAATAACCAAGAATTGTTCATAGTCTACAAGAGTAGCATTCAATGTGGGAGTATCCAATAGCATTTGAACTATTGCAGGGGTGTCTTGTTTATTCTCACCAGGAAACTTGGCAATGGTGAGCTTTCCAGGTGCTGCATGTCTTACTACTCCATCATCATCAATATATGCACCATGAGTAGCAACTACTTCATAGATATTAGGGCAATTTCTAGCCCAGAACTTCTCTTTCAAGAGCGAAGGTATTCCCATACCATTCTGAACAATCAAAATATTACTTTTTTCACTGATATAAGGAATAAAAGGTAACAATGCCAGTGCTGTTTGGTGAGCTTTAGTCGAAATTATTAAATTGTCAATATGTCCGGACTTTTCATACTTGGTGACACTGCTGAGGAAATCACTAGGTTTGAGTGCATCTACAGTGACACTATCGGTTGTCCAATTGGGTCCTATTTGACGTGCAAGCTTTATGGTTTGGGTATTTGAATCAAGCAGCTTTCCTGGTTTAACAAGTAAAGTGGGATGGAAATCTTGAGGGAATTGTTGTTTCAAGTCATGGGCCAAGAGTGATCCCATAGCTCCTGCTCCAAGTATGTGTACATTTGCGGTTGTTTTAGACATTGTTCTTATTGCTGTTCGTGTTAGCATTGCAGCCAAGTTTTGGTTGTATGGTCAGAGAAAGATTTTCAAATTTGGTTGTAAAAAAAAAAAATTCTAATAGTTAAGCGTCGTACAAAGGAGAAAACAAAAAAAAGGGTGGTGGAAGGGGGTGGAAGCAAACGCTTACATCCAAATACATTAACCATACAAATATGCTTATTGTTGGTCTTACCGGTGGAATAGGATGTGGTAAGTCCACTGTATCTAAACAACTCCAATCAAAACATAAATTAACTGTGGTAGATGCAGATCTAATTGCTCGTGAAGTAGTATACCCAGGTAAACCCGCCTATAACAAAATCATAGCTTCCTTTGGAGATATCGTGCCTAATCTAGTCAATGACGATCGTAGTTTGAATAGAGCTGCTTTGGGGCAAGCTGTGTTTGGAAATAAGGAAAGATTGGCCGTGTTGAATGCAATTGTACATCCCGCTGTCAAGTATGAAATGGCATGGCAAATCTTTAAAGCTTACATTCGTTGTAATCGAGTAGTGATTTTAGATGTTCCCTTGTTATATGAGAGTAAATTGGATTTGTTATGTGGGTTAGTAGTAACCGTTTCATGTGATAGAGAAACACAAATTGAACGACTTGTAAGTAGAAATCCTGAGTTGTCTCGTGAAGATATTGAAAAGAGAATACTGAGCCAAATGTCAAATGAAGAACGGAATTACCGCAGTGATATCGTATTGGAAAACAACAAGAGTTTGGCAATGTTACACATTTCTATAGATTCATTGGTGCACGAAATCAAACCAAATCTTTTATGGTATTTGGCAGATTTGTTTCCTCCCGTTGCCATTGTTTCTGCATTGTTCACTTTTGCTGTTAGAAGAATAACCGAGCGTTTCAAAGGTACTAAACCGAAAAGTAATTAGAATTTATATATAAATCTATAATTATTATTGTTGCTGACGAACACCACTGACAATATCGTCCACTCTCAACAACAAACAAGCACTTTCAATTGCAGTCTTGATTGATTGTTGTTTAATAACTTCTGGTTCCCAGATACCATACTCCTTCATATCAACAACTTTACCATTATCACCATCAATACCAAAAGTGTGATTACCTTGAGCTTGCTTGGCTCTCAATTGTGACAATACCTTAATTGGGTTACCACCACAGTTTTGAATTAAAGTACGTGGAATAACTTCAAAGGCATCAGCAACAGCTTGGTATGGTAATTGAGCAACACCTTCGATTGTCTTGGCCTTTTCGGATAATTTAACAGCTACAGCCATTTCAGTGGCACCACCACCTGGAGACAAAGATGGTTCAAACATAACGTTTCTAGCAACAGCCATGGCATCATGTAAGTTACGTTCAATTTCGTTCAAAATGTCCTTAGATGGACCTCTCAACATAACAGTACATGCTTGTGGTTCTTTACATTTGACCAAATATGTAAAATATTCGTCACCAATTAATTCAACTTTGAATTCTCCACACTTGGTACCAACATCGGATTCCTTCAAGTCTTCAACTCTATTAACAATGGTGGCTCCAGTAGCACGAGCAATTCTATTATTATCGGATTTCTTGACTCTACGTAATGCAGAAACTCCACCTTTAAGTAAATAATGTTGGGCTAAATCAGAAACACCCTTTTCAGTAATGACCAAATCTGGTTTGAATTCCAAGATTTGTTCACACAAGAGTCTAACTTGTTCTTCTTCAATTTGAAGTATTCTATTCCAATCTTCTTCTTTGGTGATTTCTATATTAGTTTGTGATTCACCCTTCTTGTATTCCAATGGACAATCCAATAATATAACTCTTGGATTTTCGATATTTCTCTTCATCTTTGGATGAACAACATCCTTATTAAGTAAGATACCATCAAGTACCTCGGAATCGGTAACTTCTCCGCCGGGAATCTTTTCAATTCTGACATATCTCTTGACATCAATTTCCTTGTAATCACCATTTTCAATCATAACTGTTCTGACAGCTTTTAAAGACAACTCGCACATCTTTTCTGACCATTTGGAAACATATTTAGTACCAATACTAGCACTAATCAATTTAAGCATAGCACTATCATTAGTAATATCAACAGGAGTGCTAACTTCATGAATGACTTCCAATGCATCCTTTAAAGCTTGCTTTAACGCTTGGATAATGATTACTGGATGGATGTTCTTTTCGATATATGGGAAAGTCTGAGCCAAGATTTCACCGGCCAATATAATAACGGTGGTGGTACCGTCACCGACCTCTTCATCTTGGGTTCTACTTAACTCAATCATGGACTTGGCAGCAGGATGAGAAACATCAATTTCACGCAAGATGGCATGACCATCGTTGGTCAATACAATACCACCCATAGGATCAAGCAACATCTTAAGCATAGCCTTAGGTCCAAGACAAGTACGGATAATGTCAGCCACGGCTTTGGCCGCGGTTATATTAGCTATTTGTGCCTGACGTCCAGTTTGACGTTGTGTAGAGGTGTTCATATACACCACAGGAGCTTGCATTGTTGATGAATGTAAGTGAATTGATCTAAAGCAAGGATATGGTTGTTGGCAAACTATATTGGCAAATTTTTTATTCTTCGGTTTTCTAAATTTTTTTTTTTGTTTGGACAGACGCGAAAACCTGTAAAATTCTAAAGTGCAAACATACTTTGCACTTTATGTGTAACATGCAAATAAAAACCTTACTACTAAACCAAAGTTCTTTTTGACAACCAAAACGTCGTTTACAACAGATCACGATATACCAGGGTTGACGCAATGGACGCTGATTTCATAAATTCAAACTTTGTAAACATCGAAGATCTATCCAGTCTCAGTGATAAACTCAATGAATTGGAGAATCTCAGCTCCCAAATCACCCAAATTGCTCAGGTGAAAGCAATCAATGGAGACCACCATGAACAAGCACTATCAGCTGTGGTATTTGATGAGGAAAAGTACGAGTCTGCGGTGGATAAAATTGTCAGTGTTGTGGAAATGATAAGTGAGTCTGACTTGTCTGAAGCCATTGCTAATGTCGAAGCATTAATTCTAGAATTTGGTGATATTCCCATGTTTGTCGTATTAAAAGAAAACTTGGAAAGCAAGAAAACTGTTAGTGATGACGTTGAAAAATTAACAACAGGACAAATAATACAAGAAAAGCTTAAGTCTGAATTGAGCCATACTGAATTAGGTATTGTTGCTAGAGATATACACGAGTTTAAAGATATTTGTACCAACGAAACAGTAATCAATTCGTTGTTTCAACAATTGGAAGGCGAAGTATACATAAGACAGCAACAATTGGAACCAAAATTACGGCAAATCCTACAAGAATGTCACTGGCTAAGCAAAGATGAACAGTCCAAAGTCCCCGACGAAACATTGACCCAAGTTGCTAATCTCGTTCAAGAATTAATTCTTATTCAAAATATAAATGATGCTCCCCAATACCCTGATTCTTGGTGGGCTGTTGATATCTTATTAGAGCCAATTGTCCTCCGATTCAATTACCATTTTAATTCATCTCATAAAGACACAAACAAGCTTTCCAAACCAGAATGGGCCCTTAATTATATCGAAACATTCTTAACTGGACACCTCCCTTTGCTCAATTTAATAGTGGATGATTCATTCAAACAAGTATCGCGTATAGGCACTTATGAAATCATAACGTCCTTACTTAAACCAGTAAGAGAAAAGATTTTAAGAATGATTAATATAATAAACTCAAACATTACAAAATTTCAATCAGACCCAGGCATGCTTGAGAAAAATGGACTCTTGTTATCCCATCTAATATTTGAATTGTCTTCATTTGATCAACGATTAAGAAATACCTATAAATATAATCCATATATTGACAAATTAGATGCCCCTGCAAGCGAATCTTGGACAGGAATTACCAGTGACGTTCTCCTTTCCGATGGTCTGAATGTTGCTGTGGAAAATTGGTTGAATCTTGAAAATGAACTCGCTAGCAAGAGATTTGATACTGAAATTGTTAATGCAAAAGATGCATTTATGATTGATTTTGATTATCAAGGTAACTTAGAAGAGGAAGACAATAGTAACGTCCATATGTATATCTTAAAACCTACTTACTCGGCATATGCGTTAGTCAAACTTGTCAATAACTTAAATAGTCATTTCCAAACTTTGAATATTGTCAAGTATCAGTTGAAATATGTGTCAAAAATTCAAATGAATCTTGTCGAAAAGTACTATGAAACTTTGAATAAAAACTATAAGCTGTTTTTGGACAAGTTTAATTTGAAAAGTATGTTGCTGTATATTCCAGGGGGGATGAAAGACCCAGTGGAAGAACAAGCAAGATCAGAAAGTTTAATTAGAGGATTGGAGAAATTAACGGAAATCTTTTGTTCTGCTAAGTTCGTTGTCAATGCTCTTGAACAATGGGAAGATGAACTTATATTTATTCAATTATGGGAAACTTACAAGGGTTTAACTAATGACATTGAAAAGGATCATACCAGTGTTTTCAGTTCTTCAATACTGCAATACGATGGACTAGTGACAAACCTTTTGAATGATTATGATGAGTTTTTCAGGACAGAAACTAAGGAGTTGCTCAAGAATTACGTTAATAAAAGTCAATGGGTGATGGACTCGAACGAAGACACCAACATTGCCTCGAGTTTGCTTTCACCTTTGATTAATAACCTTCCACAATACCTTGATATACTTCGTAGAAGCATATCGTCATTGGATTACTTCTACATCACCGACAGGGTAGTCACTATCCTCAGTACAATCATATACGAATACGTCCTTACAAACAATCGATTCAATCGTGCGGGGATAGATCAATTGCTTGAAGATTTCGCATACATTATCAAACAATTACATATTCATTTGTTTCTCAACACTGAAGAATATGCCGAATATTCAAATGATCTGAATGATAAATACATCAAACTTGTACAAGCTATTGATTTGATGGATTCGTTAGAACCTAATCAGGCCAAAGTATTCAAAAGCTCTTCGGAATCGTTGGCTCAATTGAGATTGAATTATGCACATGAACTCTCGGGATTGACGAATCATGATTTAACTGATTTGCTTTCAAGAATTGTATAGATTTAAAAAAAGTACATACAAAATTTATTTGCATTGCGCTACCAGTTTTTATGAACACGCTCGGTTTTAACCTTTTGCGCTTCGGAGTAAAATTGAAATCAAAATAAACAACTTTTGACAGTGTAGAACAAAGACATCACATATATAGACAAGCATCATGTCATTGATAAGAAAAAGGGTATGTACTGTCATTGTATGCTTTACGAAGCTTTAACTAACACTTTCTTAAGCAACATATAGAGGCTCTAGAATCCAACAAAAGACAAGCTGTAAATCCAGAGACATCATTATCACCGATCGCTAAACTCTACGACACGTCGTCCAAACAAATTCACATAACTATTCCCAGACCAAAGGAGTCTGGTGTTATAATAGTTGGGCGTAGTGGCTCTTGTGATGTGAAATTATCTGGAGCAGATGTATCTTCCAAGCATTGTCGATTTACAATAATCGACGCCCTGGCACGACAGTACCTTAGTGTGACCGATTTGAGCAGTAATGGATTATATGTTAATGATGACATACTTGGAAAGGGACTGAGTACCATTTTGAAAAGTGGTGATAAGTTGGGGTTTGCCAAGACTGGTGGAGAATATATATTCAAGTATATTGTGGATGCCAAAGCTACCAAGAAGAAACTGGTAGTGGTGAGGTCGTTCTTTGATGATTACATTATTGGGAAACAATTAGGTTCAGGACATTATGCTGTTGTTAAAGAAGCAAAGAATAAACTCACCGGCGAAATAGTGGCTGTCAAGATTTTCCATCCTAATAAAGTTGGGAATCAAAAGGAAGAAGAGAAATTACAACAGGAAATGAACTTGTTGTTGTCGATAAATCACCCTAATATTGTCAAATTTGTGTCGCATTATATTGAACCTATAAACCAGCATTCCCTGAACACGTACTTGGTATTGGAGAAAATGAACAGCGGAGAATTGTTTCAAAGGATTGTTAATAAGGGCAAATTATCACCAAATGAAACCAAAGCTATATTTACACAACTCTTGTCCGGCCTAGATTATCTCCATGACAATAACATTATTCATCGAGACATAAAACCAGAAAACATTTTACTTGATATAACACCTAAAAACAATCCCAAGCAAATCCTGACTGGACCTTGGGATGAAGACGAATATGATATCAAGGTCAAGATTGCTGACTTTGGATTAGCTAAGTTTATTGGAGAATTGAAATTTACAAACACTTTATGTGGAACACCAGCATATGTTGCTCCAGAAATCTTAAAGAATGATCGTCATTATACTACAAAAGTTGACTTGTGGTCTACGGGAGTGTTGCTTTACGTGTGTCTTTGTGGATTCCCTCCTTTCAGTGACGAGTTGGGTCCTCCCACAATGAAGGAACAAATTCTTTCAGGAACATATGCATTTTATTCTCCATATTGGGATGATATAAGTGATATTGTCCTAGATTTAATATCGAATTTATTGGTTGTCGATGCCAATGAAAGATTTAGTGTTAAACAGACGTTGAACCATTATTGGTTTAGTGAATCAGAAAGTGAGAGCGAAGAGAATGATGTGGTTCCTGAATTAGAGACAAGCGAAGATAGAAGTAATTCTATAATTGAACCATCTTCGCAAATTAAACGAATGTCAGTAAGATCAAATACCCAACCATTAACTTTGAAAGAGAAGTTCACTTCTGATATGAGTATGTCTGTATTATAAGCTATGTACAAGATTTTATATAATATTTGTAGTATTTAATTCCTGAATTTCATAATTCCGAGTAGTGAAAAATGTAGTCAATAACTGTTTGTTCATTAGCATAGATTGTTTGATATCATCTGGCATATTTATGTTCTTCTTGACTTTAGCAATTTTTGCTCTAAGTTCAGTAAGTTTAGTTAAAATATCAAATGCTTTAACTTTGTTGTTTAATTTCCAATAACAGTCGAATTGTCCAATAAGACAAGCAACGTCATTAGCTGCTTCCACACCTAATCTAAACCATTCAAGACTTTTGTCGTAATTTTGAAACATGTTTAATTCCAAGAACCCTAAACTCTGAAATGCGTCTTTCAATCCTCGAGATGCCGAGATTTCCCAATGATATTTGGCAATCCGTGGATCAACCTCAACATATAACTGACCCAAATAATAATGGGCTTTTATCGTGAAATTGTCAACTTCACCAAACTTGATACCTTTCTCAAAATAGTACTTAGCCTGGGATAACTCTGGTTTATTAAAATAGAATAATCCCAAATTACAATATACATGACTAGCCATGATAGTATCGTTTTCAAGCTCGATGAATTTAATCCAATAGTCATGAGCTTGATCGTGGAATCCTCGCTTGTATGCTAAGTCACCCCCCATTTTGAATACTAATGGATGTTTAATATCTGTAAGTTGTTTAATTAATTCGTTGGCACTGTTAAAATCTTCCTTGGTTATATCTTTGTCTCCTTTTAACTTCTTTTCAATAGTTTCGAAGGCAAGGATGGTAATAGCGTCATTATCACCCAATTCTGCCGCTTGCTCAATTAATTCGTTTTCCAACAAGACTAAACGAGGATGTATTGTTCCTGTGGTGGATCGTACTGTTGTCAATACGTTTTTGAACGTCATCAAGTCGTATGATTTGACATAGGAAGGTAAGAGGATATCATCGGGGTTGTCAAGGTTGCTGTAGATAGAGTTGAGAACTGGGATCATTTTCTTGTATGGTAATCTTGAGTCATTGTCAAATAAAAGCTTGTTGAGAGTTCGTTTGGAAGGAAGGATTGAAAGCAAAGTGGGACTTGAAGTAGTTACCTCAGTAGAGTATGACCGTAGTGGATGTAGGAAAGGGCGTATGCGAATCATGGTATGTCTCCTCTTTCTTGTGCTGCCAATTTTTACAGTAGTAAATTTTTTTAGTGTAATTAATTTTTTTTTTTTGGTGGTTGTAAAAATAACTGGCAACAAGACCAACCAAAGGTGTTGCCAAAATTTTAAAGCTGTTACCAACTACAAAGTATTGTGATCTGAAAAATAGTTTATAGTAATAAATAAATATGTAAAACTCTAAATATTTTATATTTTAAATACAGAGACGAAAACGTCTTTTTTTATTTTTCAAGCTTTCAGCATTGACTTTGAAATGAAATAAATATGAATTGTTGAGAATTAAATGAAAGTGTAATTGTTGTTAATGCAGTCAAAATTAGTGAATAATAAAAAAAAGGGTGGTTAAAGTGGTGAGGGTTGAATATCACCATGCAATTATGGATAGTTACTTCCAAAGTCTATAAAATTATCCACGCCATGTTCGGTACTCCCCAGATGATTATTGTTGTCTTCAGTTGCAAAATCTCCCAAATCAAACTTGAAGTTTGTATCATTTATAAATTCAGATGGATTGGTATCGGGGTTATGTAAGCTGTTGTTATTGTTAAAGTTTTGATGAGTGTATGCGTGTGCTGGTGCTGATCCTGATACGTTGGCACTGTTGTTACTTGGACTACTAAGGGAGTCTGAATCATTACCGGAACCACCATTGTTGTTGCCATTGCTGGTGTTCAATGCCAACACATGTGGTGGTTGATTGAAACTTCCTTCATTGATGGATGTAAAAATATCAGGGGTTGGTGCTGAAGTACTTATCATTGGTTCATGAATGTCTGAATTAGGATTGAAGGCAGGTTTTAAGGAGTTGCTAGATTGTGGGGTATCCTCAGAATAGTATTGGTTATTATTAGAATTTACTGAAAAGGGCGATTCGTCATTATTAGTTGTGGCACTTGTAGTATTCGAATTGGCTGAAAAGTTATTGTTGTGGAGATTGCTTGGGTTGGTTGGGTAGTGGTTGTTGTTATATATTGAGGAAGGACCAGATTGTGGAGGATATGGTATTGAAGATCTGTTACTTGCTATTGATTTCTCATCCCAAAGCGAAGGAATTTCATTCTGATCAAATTCACCATTAGTTATACTAACCGAAGTGGAATGGGAAGTATTTTCAGTAGTACCCATAATAGCTGGATTGGAATAGATTTGGTTGTTTTCCAATATAAACAGATTAAGATATTGCAATGAACTCTTAACCCCAACTAATACATGTGGAATGGAAGTACCTCCACTTTCTTGCACATAGGCTTGACTCACTTGTTGTCCTTCACTAAAATCATCACATATTGACCATTGATTAGAATTGGAATTTATACCATTGAAGAAATATACTGAAAATTTGGGCTGGTGGGCGAGGCATACTCTTAATTCATTGTTTTCCTTGTTAATGTTGTTATCCAACAATGAACAAGTAACAATTGAACTTATAGGATAAAAGATTCTGAATAATATCTTGGAATTATTGGAAATTGCCAGGAAGAAATAGTTGATTTCAAAGTTCTTCTTTGACAATATTACCAACAAGTCAACATTGTTCATAATAGTATTCAATGTAAAAGGTGACAAATTGGAAAGGTTGTTGCTTAATAATTTTTCATCGTGATATCCTGTCTTAATTCTTTGCCATGAACCCACGGATAAGGAAGAACAGTCGACAAAACAGTATTTTTCGTTGATTTCGATTGGAATATTTGAAGCTAATCTATAACTAAGATCAACTGATCCCATACTATATCTATAACTGGAGGATCTCAGGGAGATTGAAGGTGGTGGTGGGATGGTACTGTGACCTTGCTTTTGCATACGTTCAAATTTTCTTATTTTAGCTCTTCTGTTTTGAAACCATATTCTGATGGCTTTTTCATTCATGCCTGCCTTCTCACTTATGAACCTTCGTTGTTCAGGAGTTGGATTGGGGTTTCTTTCGAATTCCGCTAAAAGGAAATCTAACACTTCTCCCGTGGCTCTGGTTCTCTTTGAACTGCTTTCATCGGAAGACATATTGTTTTATTTGGGGAAGGGGATTTGACTCTCTATAGTAAAAAAACCTGTAAATTTTGAAAACCGGTTTTTGAAAAAAAATAAATTTTTATAAAAAAAGAAAACCTTTATACTAGCTTTAGGAAAACGCCGTTGGATTTTTGCAAGGTTTATATAATTTGGTTAGGGATATAATTGTGAATCAAGTTCCAAGATGATCTCCTGCTTTTTCTTCTTTATGATTGTTTAAAATAATATACAGGTATTGTTCTGCAACCAAGTTAGTCCTTTTTTTTGAATTTCTTTTTATTTCAATTTATTTTTTTTCTTTCTTCTGGCGAAGCGTTAAAGGCGGGCGAGTTGTTGATGGTGTGGTTTTGAAACTTTTTTTTTTCTTTCAAATCAGAAAAAAAAAATATAGGCTTTGGACTTTAGTTGATTTAGTTTGTAGTTTCTTTTTTTTCTTGAAACTAAATTAAAGTTGAAAATAGCCGTGGATTGTGTAAATGACAATTCGTAAAGTTGTTGGTGTGCTACTATGTCGTTTTATCTATCCTTGTAAGACGAGCAATGTCGGTTAATGTGGATAGATGTATCTCAGGAACAGTTCGGAAGTATGCACAAGGTCCTGTATCTGAACAAGAAAATTTCTTTTTCGGTTGATTGCCTGGGATATATTTTCTATGCAATGAGCAGCTTAGTTAGTATCAAGATCGAATGACAGACAAAGAACTATTTTTTGTTGTATGTCGTAGAAATTGGCGTTTTCTAAAATAATATGAAATGGATAAAGGGAAGATCTAGGCGGAAATCTATAAAATAGAACTGTCTAGAGCGTTATGGGGAAATGTACGAAAAGGATATATGGTCCGAGGCGAATTGTTTCTTTATGAATTTCTTTTCTTTTGCAGTAAATCGTGTTGCTGAAACAAGTCACACCTTTTGGGATCAATACTTGTCAATAGCTAGTTGACTTTGTGTCGGTGTTATGTCGAGGTGAGTGAATGACTAGGATGATTCCTAAAATAGTATGATGCCTCAATTGTAGTATATCTGCTCAATTTTCACCCAGAAAAACTGCCATTGCCGAAATATCCAATCCGTTTTATAATTGTACCCTGTCCTCCGTCGATTCTTGGGTTTTTTTTTTTGTTTGAAAACTTTTCCTCTACAAAAGCTGAATTTATTTTTTGTTTCACATTGCCTTTGTATAAGTATTTAGTTGTTCGTTTTACAGTTTTTTTATTATTGTTAATGATATTTTTTCCTTTATTTGGATCATTTTTATTTTTACAAGGAATGAAAATGACCTTCCACAAGATCAATATGCTACTGCATGTTATTTTTTATGTATCAGAAGAGTATATACATGATTACTTACATATAAGTGGGGCATATGAATTGCTTTTTCCTCGGGTATGACGCCGCTGTTCCCCCTCTTCTTCCCCACTTATACTCACTAACATAAGTTCAACCATGTCATCTCTTTTTCTCCAGGAGAGATTCACTGGAAATATCTAAATCATATTAGTTGCACACCACAACTAGCGACTTGTTGGCCAATGCGACATTTCTTCCTTGTTTGATTATACGAAAAATATTTTTTTCAATTCAAAATGGCCATGCTGCATTGAATGTAAACTAAACAATACAACCATAATCACTGAAACGGACTAGCACTAGCGCTAAAAAAAAAAAAAAAACTAAATCCGCTGCGATGACTTTTGAAAAAGTTTGCGAGGCAAGAACTAACGATTAACGGATATACCTTTCATTTTCATAATTAGCAATATTTTACTAAACCTTCTGCAAAAAATGTTACTAATCGTGGAAATGTAACTTTGACACCAGCCATACTCGGGTTAACGGATTTCTTCTTTAATGTAACTAGGAGCCATTCCTTTGGGTTTTGTGATCGATATTTGCCACTTCTCTATTCTTAGTCTATGTCCCATTTCGCCCCCCTCTGTCAGAAAACTTTTGTTTTGTGACATGTTTCACAAAACACATCTTTTTTTCTGATTCTTTATGCGAATATGTGATTTGGCGTTTGTGCGTAGGCGAGACGTGCAGGTAGATGGCATTTGGTAAGGCTTCGGGGTTGTTCTTATCGGCCAGATTTAGTCACTGCGTCATATTTTGGCAAGGCATTTTCTAAAGAGTGGGGGACCAAGTTGCGGAGGTATCTTCAATTTGCCTTATCGTAAGATGCAAAAATGCCAAAAATGCCAAAAAAGCAACTAGAAGATCGGATATGGCTTTATTTTTACTTACAATTCTAATGGTTGTTGGTAAATAGTAAATGCGGAAATGCAGATGCATAACTAACAATGTTAAATACAATGACAAGTAGTTATCCCGGAGATACCCAACTTATTCGATTTCTTTGTTAGTTTACAACCATCTTGTTACCTAGGTAATTTCATCTAGGCTAGAACGATTTATACGGAAAAGGCATAAATCCGTTTGGATGAAGCCAGGGTAGTTTCAGGTCTTGCATAAGGGTACATATCCATATGTTGTAACCTAGTCCTTATATTCGCCGCAAAAAATTTTCCGCACTCTCTTCTCAACACCGGAAAAATATCGGCTCGATGTTCCTACGTTTTAAAAAATATCTATGGAATTTTATTTTTGAGATTTTTTGATAACAATTGAAAAGACTAGGCTCAGCCAATAGAAGGTTGTCGGGATTAAAATGAGAAAAAATATCTTTGTCCGGTACAGGGGTGCAAGAACGCACCGACTCGGTAGATTATTTATTCTTGTAAAGAGGGATGGTTGACATGTGATTGATTACATAGGCAGTATCTCGTCGCCTCTCCCGTTCATGGCACGCACATGTGCCTCGTTCGAAAGGCTGTGAAAGTTAATAACTTTTCACAAGGATATAATATTTGAGTAGATTTGGTTCAAATTTTCCACAAGATAAAACATTTTGACCGAGGTAAACATTAACCATGGAAAACAAATGGGTGTTTTAGGTAGATGTTACAGTATTCATACGGTAGGGTTGATAGAGCGAATTTTTCGTAATTAGTCAACCGTTAGCACCGATATCACTCGAAATTTGATAAACAGAAACCCGAAATAGAAACGCATTTCTCATGCATCTATGTAGAAATTGCTTTTCATGTTTGCTGCTGCAATTAAGTCATCTCTTTGATGTTGATTCCATTTTATTTTTGTGAGGGATGCATATCCCGTTACCTATAGATATTAGATCTTGCAATATGTCTAATTTGATAAATCTTTAATCATTTCTTGGCAATCTTGGCAATTTCTTTATTTTTACTTTGTAAAAATACTAGTGAAACAAAAGATGACTCGGGCTTGACAAATGTATCAGCACGACATTTTTCCCAGTCATAAAAGTCGTAAATACAAATCTACAAAGGTACCTTTTAGGTTTGACCGTAAAATAAAATAAACTTTCAACAATCCAAAAAATAATCACAAAACAATAATAATAGACAAATCTAAAAACTGATCACCAAAATTCCACCTTGCTTAACGAAAAAAAGAAAAACAAATATTATTTTAGAGTACAAAAATAAAAGTTTTGCAGGTTGCCCAACTTCCTGTCACTGCAAAATGTCATCGATTTTTGAAGGTGGGTGTCCCCCCCCTTTATCATTCGTATCCAATATATACGGTCAGATGCTCGTGATACTTGCAGCAGCTAAGGCGACCTTTATGCGATGATCCCAGAATGCCGATACCATGTAGGTAAACAAATGAAATATTGCGCTCCACGGAAAACCCACCGCCTTTCCGATGAGGATCAACAATTTGGATCTTGTTGCTTTTTTTTTTTGCCTTGGTTGCAAGATACGAATCAACACGTGATATAGAGAAATCTAAACTATGTATGCTAGATACACACGCTGAAGATAACACAAAAAGGCATTGATCCGTATATCAGTGCCCTCCACGGCATATCTTTAGTAGGGCATTTGAACATATATTTCTGACGTAAGAGGATACTTGTTGTGTTTGTTCCGCAACCACAAGATGCCTTACGAATGTGTAAAAAAGGAGTCAAACATGCATACCTTTTACTCGGTCAAAGATCATTGGATTGTAATACGGCAAGACAAAACGTGCAGCCTATTTGTTAGGTAGCATCTCTATGTATGGGTAAATTTTGTTATAAACCTTTATTAAAATTGTATATGCTCTCCTAAAGAAACAAATCTTGAACTTCAAACTCATTCAAAACATCCAAACAATACTTAAACTCTTTCCATTGCTTATTGCTTGGATTCCAACTTTGAAATCTATCCAAAAGTTCTCTGATCAATTCCAAACTTCTTATATGACGAATATTAACCAAATCCTGGAATAAACTCCGAATATTCCAAGGAAGTAAGTTATAAAAACTTGAAGTTCCATCTAATGGTTTCAAATATTTTATTCTTAATTCGTGTGAGTGAATTAAACTGCTACTTTCAAGAGTATGTCTAATTGCTTCAAGATATACCTGTTCTTCATCAAATATTTTGCAATGACCCTTATTGACACCTCCTTCATTCACCATTCGATCGCTTAATTCTCGGATGAGATTATAGTCACTATCATGACCCAAATTTTTCATCGTGCATATGACAAGAAGGAGATTGGTTATGAATGGATTGGTGGATAAATCAGATGTAGCAGGGTTGGATGGAGCAAGCATTTCTGAATGTGTTTCTTGAGGTTGAAACAAGTTCCTATGAATATTGGGATGTTGATAATGTACAGCTAATGATGAACTCAATGGTACAAATTGATCAGATGGCACTCCAGTAAATGTAACCTTGACATTATATTCCATCAACACTCGCAAAGATTCGTTCAATTTTAAAGAAAGGGCTGAGGTCTGCTTTTGATAGTCGAATATTTCTTTAATAATTTCATTCTCAAGCTGTGAAAATGCTCGAATTACAATTTTGGAGTCCAACCCTGCAAATGGACCCAAATTAATTCCACTCATATTCAACAACCCTAACTTCTTTCTATGCCAATGCAGGTGATCTCTCAATAACTTAGCAAATAAGTTGATTGCAACCGCAGTTGAACAACCATGACCAACCATAAATATTACATCTGCTTGCTCTAAAATATCCCACCAATTCTCAAGTAGTTTACTTAATACCTCAACTCTGTCATTAACTTTCCCTGCACCTTCAAGGGCAATGGTTTCTATACTATAATCATCTATATTAAAAGATGCACCGCAATCTTCACTTAACCATTTCAACATTGCAGTCGAGGCATGATTGACAAACTTAATTGAATTTCCTGTATTTTGACCTATGAGGGATCTCACCATTTTTGTAGGAAGGAAACTATGAATTCCGATGATAACAATCTTGTTGAGTTTCTGCTTTTTCCGTTGTAAAATGTCTAGTTGTTTGAGCTTATATAAATGTGATTCTGGTTCAACTCCACATAAGATACCTTGTGAAATGATTCTCAATTTTGTTTTAGAAGTTATTGTTCGATAGTTAAATCGAAAATGGGGTGCAACTTTGGTGATGTTAACTGATAGGGAATTAGAAGCTCCTTCAACGATAGAACTTGCTGAAGAACTTCCAGGTCTGGTTCTTAATGATTTTTCTTGTATTTCACTAGGAAACAAGGGTTGTTTTCTTGAATGGTATTGCACTGGTTGATTTTCAGTTAAGGTGCCAAATACGGATAGCTCGACTTCTTTTGTATGGGTGTTTATATGGTCTGTAAATGAGCTTTTGAACGCATAATGACATACTTCCTTTGATGATTCGATTGCGGTTTTTGCTGACTTATACAACTCTAGATTTGAAGTATGGGCACGATCGAAGTCGTCTTCGTTATTAGGTTTGCTGTTCCAGCCCCAGCCCCAGCCCCACCAGCCTGAGGAGGTATTGTTATTAGGTTGAACCAGAGTGCCGTTAGCTTCTTGTGACGGCAATAGTGGTGTTTGTTCATTTGTAGAAGAATTTATTGTCGACACATACGACACAAGATTGTTAATTGAATCATAGGGAAGTGTCCACCACTGTCCTGAGGAAACTTCTTGTTTTGAGTTGGTGTCTATAATATTCCCGTTTGCTGTTTCTTCAACAATTGCATTAGTTGGACTAATAGTTCCATTAGACACTTCTGGTACTGGTTCTGATTCGTTTTCTGAATGTAATTGATCTATATCAGCCTCTTCCTGCTCGTTTAGAATTGCCACTTCATTTACCGCCACCTTGTGCTGATTCCAAAAGAGCAATGTCGAAAAACGACTGGTCTGTTCAGAACTGACACTAGGAGAAGCTACTATAGCAACCTGGTTCTTTTCGGTAATATTCTCTTTTGTGGGTAATGTGCTGTCATCAATAGTTGTTATCGCAGTTTGTGATTGTTGTTCTGGGGTTATTTGGGATGAAGTAGGAGTAGGTGATTTAGATTTGTTTGTGACATCTTGTTGTTCATTCATGAGCTCGACTAGTGCGTTAGTGCTATTTGATAGAACAAAGAAAAGAACTCAGTGCAGTGATATTCAAATAGATTGGCCAAGTAAAAGCCCTATACCATACAAATTTAGTTATGGATTCACCTGTAAACCAAACAAAAAAAAAAAGGCGTAGGCGTTATCAGAAGGTGATCCATAGAAAAACAAAAAAAAAAGTATAACGTTCTTTGTTTCTGTAACATATTAACTGTATCGTGTAATTGTGACCAAACCAAAAGTTTCTTGCCAGCATTTGAACGCGAGCTTACTAGTAAAACACCAATTGTGAAGTCAACCTGCAAAAAAAGTAACTTGTTTCTGGATAATAATTTAGTGTGTACCAGAATGAACCCAGCTTGGACCGATGATATAATCAAACAACTTGATATCCGAGATGACTTTGAACAACGAGACATCAAGTATTTTACAGCATTTAACCAATTGAGCCAGCAATTACAACTTCAAAAACTAGCCAATAAACAACAGTCTCCTTCACCGTCATTGACATCTCCTACCTTAAAGCAAGAGGACTTAGATCGTACATTCATAATACGAGAGAACCAACAGCTTAAAAACGAAAACAATGACCTTATATCAAGTTTAAACATGGCTACAATTAAAAATGAAAAGTTGGAACAGGGGATAAAGGAACGAGATTCCACAATCAAAACGTTACAACGAAATAATGAGAAATTAAAGAGTAAGATTGATAGCTTGAGTCTTGAAATTAAAGAAAAGAATAAAACAATTGAGATTATTAATGATGAGATCCTAATGAATCAAATTCAGTATAATGTTCTTAATGACAAAGTCCTGGCTCTTGAAGCCGAAAGAACAAAGAGCCAATAACAAGCTATAACCACACCTTGTTCAAATCCGCCTCTTCCAACATAATGCTTCCGACATTGTACTCTGAAGCATATTATTTTGGCATTCATTGCATATATCCCTGTAAACTGCTGGCATTTGCAGAATCACACAGTGGCCACATTTGGTCTACCCCCTTGAACTTTTGGATAGGAACACGACTATTTCTAATTATATCACGCATATTTAGATCCTTGAACCAAATTGACAACCCCTACAATTTCTATTTATAAATTCTTTAATATACCAATGCATAATGATCACATGGTACTCTTCCACATGTACCTACTCCACCTTACAAGAAATTTGTCTCCATGTTCTCGACAAATATTAAAGTTATATTTGCTCACCTGGTCCCCCTCGTTGTTTCCCCTCCCCCACGGTTTGACCAGCGCATCTTTAAGGTCCGAAAAAAAAAAAAAACATTACTCCACATTTGAAAATTATCTACTTTTTTTTTTTTGCAACTTTGTTCATATTTTGTAAATCATCGTTAAAATCAAGCTACTTAGCTAAATAAGACATAAAAGAAGCGAATTGAATCTACTTAGAGGTGTCAACAACGTATCTACCCAAAATCTTACCTTCTTCCATCAACTTGTAGACTTCTGGTAATTCAGATAAACCTACAACCTTGATTGGACACTTGATGGCACCACGGCTAAAGAATTCAATAGCACGTTGGGAGTCGGCTCTGTTACCAACATAAGAACCCTTAATACTCAAACTCTTAACAACAGAGTCAAAGACTGGGGCAACAACCTTGGCACCAGCTGGTAAACCAACTAAAACAACGGTACCAGTAGAACGAGTGTAGTCAACGGATTGTTGAATAGCAGCTTCAGAAACAGAAACGTTAATAGAAGCATGTGGACCACCATCAGTAGCCTTGATAACAGCAGCAACAACATCCTTTTCTTTGGTGAAATCAATGAAAGCTTCAGCACCTAATGACTTGACAAATTCACCCTTGTCAGCACCACCATCGATACCAATGACTCTGTAACCCATAGCCTTGGCGTATTGGATGGCAAGAGAACCTAAACCACCACCAGCACCGGAAACACAGATCCAATCACCTTGCTTTCTGTCGGCAGTCTTAATGGCCTTGTAGACGGTAATACCAGCACACAAGATTGGAGCAACGTGGGCTAAGTCAGTACCAGCTGGGATTCTGGCAGCTTGAACAGCATCAGCAGTAGCATATTGTTGGAAAGAACCATCATGGGTATAACCAGACAAGTCAGCGTTAGGGCAGTTTGGTTCATTGGTTTCTTGACAGAATTCACAAGATAAACAAGAACCATTCAACCATTTGATACCAGCCAAATCTCCAATCTTCCATCCCTTAACATTTTCACCCAAGGCAACGACAACACCAGCACCTTCGTGACCACCAACTAATGGCAACTTAGTTGGCAATGGCCAGTCACCCTTCCAGGCGTGCAAATCAGTGTGACAGACACCAGAGTACTTAACGTTGATCAAGATTTCATTTGGCTTTGGAACTGGGACTGGAATGTCCTTGTATTGCAATGGACCACCGTTAGTTTCGAAGATAACAGCTTTTTGAGTTTTTGGAACAGACATTATATTTTATTTAGGAATTGTACTAGTAAAGTATACTGGTGAATAAAAAAAGATCCAGAAAAGAATTTGAATCAATCGAGCGAAATTGGGGTGTTTATATAGTTTTTTCTTGAAAATTTGTTGTCCTTTATTAGTGGAGTTACGAACATTTGGAATTTTCACTCAATTGAGCTTTTTAGGGGGCACAATTGAATGGAAAATGGTAAAACGGAAAAGCGATATTGAAATTTTAAAGAAAAAAAATAATACATAAAAAATATTTTTTAACATAGAAAAAAGATGATTATTTTCATGCGTGAAAGGCTTGAGAACAATTCTGGAGTGTTACAAAATACTAAAAGTATTACACAAACTGCATTAGTTGCGTGTAATCACAGCGTATCTCCTTATATTTTTATTTATTTTTTTTTCTCTTTGGTGCCAATTATTTTTATTGCAAGCACCAAAATTACCACCGTCAATTCCAAACTCCAGTACCATGAGGGGGTGCGCTTATGACATGTATTCTCGACATGATAAAAAAATAATCTAAATCAGTAAAGCACATCACCAAAATGGCTCGTACATAAGGGACACAAAATAAATCAAGCCTCATAACAGCTTGTATACTCAAAGTTGCTCAGCGGGGTTGCATGTATACGTGAACTATGTTCTTAAAGACCGATCGAGGACCAATTGATCTTCAATGGTGTTAACCCACAAATCTTAATTCCTAAACTTAAACAATTGATCAATGGATATTAGTTTTAAAACTAATTGTCAGTTTTATTTCATATTCCGTTGCGTTAGAGACGTGTTTTAGGCAAATGGTATGCAAGTATAGGAGATATTTTAACTACGTGATGGCAAAAAAAAAAAAGTTTAACCGTTTTTCAACTTAATCAGTCCCGTTATTCTCTAACTAACTACTGGATCACTCTTGGCCGCGACACGTACGTGTTCCGTGGATGTTCCCTTTACTTCTCAATTATATAAATCACACGCAGCAACGTTTGCCTAGAATGAACAACAAAAACTTTACCTCAACTGATGTAGCATTAATTTACTGCTTAACGACGGACACCTAAGGACCGACTATTATAAACATATTCTATGAGGGGAAAATCCAGCATCACCAGATGCAACCCCTTCACCCCCCCAAGTAAAAAAAAAAAAAATAAAAAAATATTGAAAAAACATCTGATCACGTGTAAAATATTTTCTTACTTATTGTTAATATTCCATTGTTACATTGTATCTTAAAATCCCCCCATGATCACTAAAGTCCTGGTCACTGTTCCGGTAAGCTCAGGATCTGGTTTCGAGTGTCATGACGTTTACTACTGACATCACCATCATTGCAGTATACCAAGACATCACCCGACCTTCTACGGTCCCAATGGAAATAGCTATTAAAAAATCTTTGACAGAGATGGTAGTCATGCAAGTAGTCATTCATTAATGACTCAAGTGGCTCAAACACAATTATCTTGTCAGGGTAGGGTAAATCCTTTCCTAGATGACGTTGTAAAAATTCTCTCGGAGAATCATAAAATTGGTCCGATTGGTCACGATACTCGTTGATCTGATCTAAAGTTGGGTTTCTCAAATGAAGTGGTGGTTCACAACTAAGAAACCATGCTCTTAGCTCCGGATTGTGAAAATAACTTTGCCATGGAGTAGAATGGCACGGAGTTATGAATCCAAATTCCACCTCAGATTTAATTTGCTCTTTTTCGGCCGTAGGAGTTACTTCGGAGTATTGCTTATCCAAATATTTAACAATGTCAATTACCCCACGTTCGTTTATTACCGAGAAAAAGAAACCAACGCAAAAGTTGATCATAATCCCGATAAATATTAAATAATATGGTAAGCGGGACCGTAATTTGACATAGCCTCTAGCAGCGAGTAACAACATTATCGGATGAATGGGATATATGAATCTAAATTCCTTGTGATCGATCAATGAGAATCCAATTAAATAAACAATCCCAGTAAATGTTAACGAAGTTATCTTAAATCCATATATCATAAATGGAAGATAAAGCATCATCATGAGGGGGATTGCTTGGACAATATAGAAATGCCAAGGTGCAGTGCCATAAAATATTGATAAGTTCTTAAATACATTAAACTCAAGAAAATTGTAGATTGGAATCGTCAATTGTTGATAAAAATAATAATCCAACCCAGTATTGACAATCGCAATAATAATAACTTCAGTAATCGACAAAATCACCCATTTAAGGGAAACGGTTCGCGAGTTCGCAATTAACCATAGCCCTAATGGGAACCATATAAGCACATTTGTAGGACGAATTATACAACTGGTGAAACCAACGGCTAAGCTGATATACCAAGATTTATTATGCAAACTATAATCCCAGGGCCAATATCTTAATGCAACAATCGTCAACACCGTTTCTAAATTGTTGGAAAATGATCTAGTAAATACATACCAATTGAAAGGATTCAATAATGAAAGTATCAAAGTTGTTGCTGCAATTTGTTTCCTTTGTTCGTGATGTTTGCAGTAATTCAATACAAATTTGTACAAATTGTATTCGCCAATTGTCGCGATTATGGCATTAATAATTTTCGGTATAATATGGACAAGAGTTTTGTTTTCACCAGCCAATTTATAACCCAAAGCATATATCAAAGGGTGAATTGAAGACCGTAATTGTTGCTTCCATTCCCAGGTCAAGTACCCATACCCATAGATAAAGTGATGTGCTGGTTCAAGTGCTTGAAAGAATTCGTCTGCTTGAAAGAAAGTTTTCGTAGTAAACGCGTTCACAAGCCTGATGGCTAAGATTATAGGGATAAGATTATATGCTGACCACGTTCCGTCGCGTTTCTTCTTGGTTGATTGATTCAAACTACTCTCTTCAAACCGTACTTCCTTTTTAGGTTTCCTTTTTCTGGCTGTAGACATAATTCGTTGGCAAAACAACACTTGTTTCCTGTTGCCATTGTCTCTCTCTCTCTCTTCTTTTTTTTTTGTGCGTGTGGTTACTTCAATATTTTACTCCTTGTTGTATACTGTTCTCATAACCAGTTAATGTCTCTTTCTGAAGTACTACATCTAGTAGAATACAGTTACTTATACCAATCAATCGATGATACCGTAAAGGCAAAAAAGGGTTGTCTTCAAGCCATCAAAATTCTAAACACCTTAGCAAAATCTGACAACAGCACACAGCCACACATAAAAGAGGTATCCCAATTTGTCCTAAATCTTTATGATCAAATAGATAAGCAGCCATTAAATACATCGGGAAAACTATCATGGATGAGTTCGAAACTATCTGAAACAGGAACATGTCCTCCTGTGATTTCATTTTCACCAAACTTGAATTCACACAACCAGATATTCTTTTCTGAAGATCAAGCTTTCCAAGATGAAGACAAATCAATTCAAAAAGTTCCTGAGAATGTCCAATGGGAATCAGTCATGGTAGATGATTGGAGTTCAGAATCTCTGGATTTGACCAGTCTTTATCAGGACATTCTTCCTAATTGCTCATTTGTTTCCTCATTCCTTGCCATTATAGAGAGCCAAACAATTCCTATAATTCAACTGATATCACCACATCGACCCAGCACCCAATACAAAGTCCAATTAATGTTCAATGGTACATTTAGAAATGTGACTATTGACAATCGACTTCCTTATTTGAGCAATGATCGGAGTAGAAATCTTTTCATTAGTTCATTTAAAGATCCCCGATTATTATGGCCAGCATTGATTGAAAAGGCGTATCTAAAGGTCATGGGAGATGGGTATAACTTCAATGGTTCAAATATGGCCAATGACACCTGTTTATTAACAGGATGGTTACCTCAAATTATAAAAATTGAGAATGGGCAGCTTCCAACGGAGTTCTCCAGATTATGGGAATTACATCGTCAGGGCAAAGTATTATTGGGGATTGGTACTGGTAAATTAAGTAAACAAATCGGGTTACACTTGAATTTAATTACAGATCATGATTATGTTATTGATAATTTTAGGATGGAAGGAAATAAGAAAATCATTACAATTAAGAACCCATGGATTAGTAAATCATTGGATTGTCGATTAATTTCCGTGGATGAATTTACCTATTTCAAATATTTGTACGTCAATTGGAAACCCGAGTTTAAGTATACTCAAAATCATAATTTCCTTTATTCTCCAAAGGAATTTATCTTCAATGAACCTCAATTCACGTTTTCAAACGATACAGCTCAATTGCAAGAAGTATGGTTATTACTTGAACGTCATTTGCCTACAGATCTGCAGTGGATGAATATGCAAATATTTGAAACGGGGTCAAAAGTTCTTACACAAACTCAATTTAAGAAATTAGGCCTTGATCTGGGGACTAATAACCGAATACAACTTATTAAATTAAACATGAAACCAAATCAGTCTTATACTGCCGTGATTTCTTGTGGTAAATCTTGCAAACTCACTTTATCGATGTTTAACAATATTGGACCCGGCTTCAAATTCAATAAGCTGAAATGGATGTACGTTTTCACATTGCCTCCAATTGATGGCGAATGGACTGACAGAACAAACGGTGGCAATTGGTCCATTTCCACATTCATTGACAATCCACAATATGATCTAATAGTTAAAAAGGACACCAAATTAATCGTTGTCGTGTATGGAGATACTCAAGTCAATACTTATTTACTTCAAAGCGATAATTCGAAACTAGGAGAACGAGTTCATAAATTTGACAAGTCAAAATTATTAAACAATGAACATTACAACACCTTCTTTCAATTGAACAATTATACATTAGCACCAGGTAACTATAAATTAATTGTTTCAGCCTACGATAAATACATTGGTAAATACAAACTACTACTTAATTCGACTTCTGAAGTCCAGCTTGACAAAACTCCCTTTAGTTGGGGGTTGTTCACGACTAAGACTGGATTTAACTGGGACAATCAAAATAGGTTCAAGCTTCGTTTTTCGACAACATCTTACAATACTAAAACCATTTTCCATATTACTCACTTTAATGGTGAACATAATTACGAATTATTAACTAATTATCGACCTGCTATCAGAGCATCTATATTTGATGCAAGGAATTCCTCGCCAATTCTTATAAATGAAAAATTTGATGATTCACTCTATGGAATTTTTGTTGATTGGACACTTGAACATCCAGGTGAATATATCCTACTAATTGAAAGGTTTGAACTAGGTAATGGACGATGTGTTGTTGAAATAGGTTCGAGCAAAAAGGTTCATTTGATGTAATACTAATTGTACGTAGTTTTCTTTTTTTTTTTTTGTCGGCAATAAAAAAATTCGGCCTCCTGTATATCACGTGATTTGAAAAGTTTCAAATTGACAGGTGTAATGTTTTTGTAGAGAAAAATCCAGGTCGAGATCAAACCTAGGTTGTTTATTACATCAAGTTAAACTACTATGAGAATGCATCTTCAATTATTCCTAGTGGTGTCTGCGTTATGGACACTTGTACTCGGTGGTCTTACTGACGATCAATTGCTTAATATTGTCAAGAATAACAAGAATAAACTCTTGAATTTGAATGATGAAAATTACGAAGCAATTTTAAATGGACCACGAGACTATCATATTGTGGCAATGTTTACTTCAGAATCATCACATATCAACTGTGTTTTGTGTCGTGAGATTGGCCCGGAATTTGAATTAGTTGCCAATTCTTGGTACCAAGACCACCCAGAAGGTATCACTGACTTTGACCCTGAAGGCAAGGATATTGCACCAAAGAATGTTTATTTCTTCAAAGCAGAATATTTGGAATCAAAGAACTTGTTTGGAACTTTCCAATTGAATAGTATTCCAAAGATTTTCTATTTCAAACCTTCAGATAAAGCAGGTCCTAACAACTACCAGAGTGAAAAACTTGAATATCAATTCTTTCAAGGTGATCACAAGAGTTTGATGATTCAATGGCTCAGTGTGTTAACAGGACACCATTACAACTTACATATACCTATTGATAAAACAAAGGTGATAACTAATGTGGTTTGGGTTGTATCAAGTTTAATTGTTATTAAGAAATTCCATAAGAATATTTTTGCAGTACTTAGATCTAGAATTCCTTGGAGCGTGTTATCCATAATTGCTACTTTATTCTTTATTACTGGCTATATGTTTAATCAAATTAGAGGTACCCCATACGTTATCGACCATGACAATGGTAAGGTTGACTATTTCACCAAGGGTCAACAAAATCAATTGGGTGTGGAAACTCAAATCATGTCCTTCATTTATGGTGCCTTAGGATTATTGGTGGTGGTATTGATTAAAAAAGTGCCGGAAATTAAACATGATACTGTTGCCCTCATTTTAGTATCTGTTGTTAGTACCTTGATTTTCCTTCTCTTTAGTTTGATCTTGGCCATTTTTGGATTGAAAGGGATGGGATTCCCTTACAAATTCATCAACTTTTTCTAAGTATAACCAAAATGCATATAAATAGAGAGTTTAATTGCTATCTAATTTTGTATTCATCCGATCAACTCTTTGTTCCACTCGTTCAAGGGTCTTTATGCAAACATCCAACCTTTTACGTAATTCTTTTATTTTGGTAAATCGGTCACTTAATTCCCTTTCGTTGATATTATTATCTTCTAATATTTGCTTATAGTCCAGCAATCGTTTCTCAATGATTTTAAGTCGTGTTAAAATTATAACTTGTGATTGATTCAACAGATCAAAGTTCTCGTTGAGATTATCTAGTGATCCACTTAATAATGTATGTGCTGCTAATTCAATAGCATGTAAACCTTCTACACTCATATAAACTAAAGTATTGACCAATGCTGGCGTCTAGTGCTTTTCTAAGTAAGTTGCGTCGAGATTTCTGATCAAGGAATATACAAGTTTATTCTCACACAACAATTGTAGTTAGTTTTGATCCGGGTAACCTGTGAATTGTGATAATATCCACCAGCATTTATCTTACTGTTTCTACTTCTACTCGTAATAGCTTATATTCTGAATACCAAAAGCAAAGTGTCCAAAGAGCATTTTCTTTATATACTTAATAAATAACTTATACTCTTTATTTGAGTTTTCTTTACTCCAGATTAACTTCACATACCGAGACATGCCTCTCCACTTGACACTTCCTCAAAACCAGTTTCATATAACCATCGTATTTAAACCAGTTTATCACTCAAAATGTCTCCCAAAATATGCTCCATGCATTAGATCAGCTCTTGAGTTTCATTACACGACTTTGATAAGCACAAATATTTATTTTGCTTTCGTCCGAACCATTTCAATACTGATATATTATTGGTTGAGGAAGATTGTGTTCTAATAGATGACCTTGCCTCTTATATTCTGTAATAACTGTCGTAGAAAACACAATACAAAAAGGTTAGCTCTGTGATGCTTGATGTTTGTTGATTGGGATTTTCTCTCTCCCCCACCCCCCCCCTGCTTATTTTGACATGTGCTGCCAACAAAAAAAACAAGGGCAGAAATAGAACAAATTGTATAGCGACTGATTAACACTTTTCCTATACTATATTATGCTACATAGCTAAGAATCGGGATTATCAAAATGACCGAAGAAGAAAATGGTGATCGTTTACCTTATCTGCAAATTCCTATAGCCTTGACTAAGGATCAACTTGACAAAATGGAAGATAGAATTCTTTATCGTCAAGTCAAATCGGTTAAAGCGGGACAAATTGAACGCTTCAAAATAAACTTCACTCCACGACTAGATGGTGATTCAGTTGCAATTCCACCAACATTGTGGGTCAAGGTAAGAAATAGAGAACCAGTACCGAAACGAGCGGTGTTTTTAGGTATGCAATTTTTTTTTGGCAGCAAATAAAGTAACAAGCTTATTTACTAACTAATTTGTTCTAGCTGGTCCTTATATTTTGTATGTTGATTGTCGTCTGACTGATTACAATCCTAATCAAAAATGTTTCATAACTGCTGATCAGCCAGTGTATGAACCACAACTACTCCCTGGTCAATCCTTTTACATCCAATTGTCATGCCATACCCTTAAACCGGATTATTCCTGGAATATTGATGTTATCTCTCAGATAATCTTCAATAATACAATTTCAATTGATTTTGAAATAATTATAGGAACCTCAAAACAAATCTTGCATGAAGCATCTTATCCTGAACGACATATTACCAATAGCGACAAAACAGGCAATTTTTCACCCTATTTAAATATAGATCATTGGGATACATTCGACCTTTGGAATTTGCCTGTTCCTAAACAAGATAGGCCAATTCACTTGGTGATTTTAACTCACGGTCTTCACTCAAATGCTAGCGTTGACATGTTATTTTTAAAAGAACGTATTGATGCAGGTGCGGATCCAAATTCAAATATAGTGGTTAAGGCATTTTTCGGAAATATTGGTAAAACAGAACGTGGTGTGAAATATCTTGGAAGTAGAGTGGCAGAATATATTATTGAATTAATTACTGCAAATGAAACCTTCAATAATGGTAAAGTGGATAAAATATCCTTTATTGGTCATTCCCTTGGTGGATGTGTTCAAACATTTGCAATTGCATATTTAAAAGTTAATTTCCCCTGGTTTTTCGAACAAATAAAACCGATAAACTTTGTCACTTTGGCATCACCTTTGTTAGGTGTGGCTAATGAAAACCCAGCATATGTGAATCTTGTACTACTGGCCGGTTTTGTTGGTAAAACAGGTCAAGAATTGGGGTTGAAGTATTTTGAAAAAGACTCAAAACCATTATTGTTATTATTACCTGCTGGTCCTACGCATACTGTTTTGAAAAGTTTTAAAAGAAGAACCGTCTATGCCAATGCAATCAATGATGGTATTGTACCTTTACGTACTTCATCCTTACTTTATTTGGATTATAAAACAATTTCCCATATAATTAATAGTGAGAAGGAAAAAGTGGCTGTATCTGAAGGAGGTGGTAGAAAGATTATGAAAAATATTGATATTCTGTCTGTTCAAACCATGCTATCCTATTTCATGCCACAAAGAGAAAGTGTCTATCATAAATTTCAAACTAGTGATGAAGTCGCTGGTGAAGTTACTGATAGTGGTGTTGATGATTCCATTACTAGTGATGAAAATAATGATGAAATAGGCGAGATTCCTCCTACAACATTTATGGATTCTGCTGCATCTGTATTGCTTCCTCCTTTACCACCAGCAAAGTATATTATAGATCCAGACTCTCGTGAAAACCCTATTATTCATGATAAAGTATATTATAAAAAGGATATACCAAGACCGAAACTGCCAGCAACTTCCATAGAAATGGCTGAGGAAGATAGTTATTCTGGGATAATTAAAAAGAAAATTTTATCAGACTATTCAAAATTTGAAGAAGCAATTGCTCAGGAGTATCATAGAGATATGGGATGGAGGAAAGTTATAGTGAAATTAAAACCGGATGCTCATAATAATATGTTTGTTCGCAGGAGGTTTGCGAATGCATATGGATGGCCAGTCATCCAACACTTAGTTGATAACCATTTTGGTCCTAATCGTACTCCTGATATGAATATTGTCAGTGGAAACTCTGTTTCCAGTTCTGACGAATTAGCAAGTGAAGATTTAACAAGAATTGTTTCACGAGATTTGATTACTAGACAAAATATTGAAATTGATGAATCTGTAACTGAAGAAGAACATGCGTGGATTAATTCAAAAGATAATAGTGAATCGTTATTTGCTGTTGGGGTTACTGGATTATTGGGCGAAGTTACAGAAATGATGGGTGATTTTAGAGAACAAATTTATAAATTGGGTTTGAATCCTTCATTTGCACAATTGCTGCAGGCTATTAGTATTGTACCACCGACTGCCAATGCAAATCAAACGACTGTGAATAATGAATCACAATCAGACGTTGAAATTAGTGAATCAGGAGACTTGGGGGTTAAACAGGGAATTATGGGGGATTTCATCTAAATAATTTTTATTAATATTATACAAATAGGAAAGGTATAGATTATATATTGTCATGATTTGCTTCCTCTGCTTCTTCTACTTCCTCTTCCTCTTCCTCTGCTTGTTCCTCTTCCTCTTCAGCTAAAGGGAACAACTCATTTATTTTATCTAGTATACCTTGACAAGTCTCTTCATTGAATCTTTGATCACATTCTTCAACCAATGCATACAAAGTAACCATGGATCTGGGTAATGAGTTTACAATTTGTAATTTTTCAACCTTCATTAATTCAAACTGGTTTAAATATTTCACCAATTGTTTAAAATGATCAGCGGTTGTTATGGCACTTGAGGCACTATGATCAATATACGACAAGACATCTTTGGTTATAACTTCTAAGTTTATCCCACAGGCTGTGAATCGCTTGTTCTTTTTATCTGGTTTATCTGATTCTTTTTCATCTTGCTCGGAAAAAGTCCAGTTATATTTCTTTTTGAGTCCTTTCAAATGTTCTGCGACTTCATAATTGGACAAGAAGCAGTCTCTTTCCTTTAGTATTTGCATGGCAATGTTAAATGAGCAAGCTTTTGGCCGTATATTTCTATGTTATTGGGCTGCCTGATATCGCATCTGAATTTTCTTTTTCTAAGCAGCCGAGTCGTGTACTTGAAACAAATCAAAAATATGAACAGCTCTTTCTTTACTCTTGGTTATTAAGCAATCTCGTAACTCCCACATGTCGTGACATTTCGGCATGACAAGGTTAATATTAGAACCAGGATCTTTATCAAGTCTATATCCTGATGCATCAGTTTCACAAAATTATCGAGTTCGAATAATAGCACAGGTATTGGAATATCATCCAGACAACGCGACACTAACGCTCATACAAGTACCTACATTAAACTCAAGCGACTCTTCCACTATAACAATAAACATTTTTGAGCAATTGGGTGATATATCAGGCGATGTAATTAGAAAAGGAACAGTTGTTAATCTTGAAGGATTTTATGATGGTAATACCGTGATTGTTATTGATATTTATCCTATAAATGGAGCACATCTAAATGTGGAAAATTTGGAAACGATACAAAGTTTGAATAATTTACCTAGCTTCTACCATGATTCGGGACTGAGGCCTAATGCTAGGTAGTGTGTGTGAACTATGTCCCCGTCCCAGAAGAAATATTAAGCATTGTTCAAAAATTCAACAAACATATAATGTACATAGAGAAAAAGTATATAAATTACAAAATTAATGGTGATGGAGATGTTTAACGGGAGCGTCTTCCAATTTATAATTTCCAAATAATTTTGGAATGAAAAGTTCATATGAAGTAGTAGATGATTGGTAATCATTACTGTCACGTTCAACTCTCAATGTAGTAACAAGGGAGTCTGAATAAAGTGGATATTTAACATTACGTTCATTTGGCTCTTCTCCCTTCAAGTAATCATGACTTGGCTCTTTTTCAAAAACTGGTTGTGGGAATCTTCTGAGAACTTGTTCAGGATCATCAACAACTAAATCCTTGTACTTTGATTGTTTCGCAAGAACCAAATCACTCCAATTTCTTCTATTTAAAAATTGCTTGTTGGCTCTTTTACTTCCATCGGGTTCAGTTATGAAAATTGGAACAATATCTTCATCAGTGTCTCGGTTATATCTATGAATTCTACTTCTCTTGTTAAGCAAATTTGCCATGGCATCTGGTGGTGGTTCATTAGTAACAGCAGAGCTGATAACATTAAACATCAATCTTGGATCTTTCTCGGGGAAATCGGTAACATCGTCATTCAATTCTTCAATATCTTCACCAATCAACAAATGAGCATTTGGATGATGGTGGAATTTAGACTTCATTCTTCCAATACAACACAAATGGACATCTCCCGATAAAATTGTGATTCTAATAGCATTCTTAGCTCCAAATTCAGTTAAATCATAAATCAATTGGTTACGTTCAGCCTTGTGATGTTTGGAGCACCAATGATCGTTCAAATCATCTAAAACTTCCACATCTCCATCAAACTCATTAACTAAACCTTTGTTTAATACCCCCTTTTCTGCTAGATGACGAAGAGGTTTCATCACTGTTGAAGTTAATAACCATTCCAACCAGACTAATCTAGGATAAAATATAGGAACTCCCAACATCACAAGAACATGTTTAATGTCTGTGCCAGCAGCTTTAACTTCTTTAGTTAATCGCTCGAAAATCTTTTTATAACTTGAAGGACTAACAACTTGTTTTAACTTTCGCTCAGTTCTACAATCAACACCAAGCAAGGCGATTTCCTTCCCTAATCTGATATAGTTTGAGTGGTTCTTTTGACTGATATATGGGCCGCGTTGAGTTCCTAAAATCCACGAAGGATCCAGTTCGTGTAACTTCTCTTCAGGGTTGATATGATGCTGGAAAATCATATAGTACTTGTATGCGGTATTCCCAATCGCTTGAAAGATGGGTGATTTCATAGTATGGTCAGAGTAAGATCCAAACCCGTCAATTATATCATGGTCATCAAAAATATTAACTTGTGGAATTTGAGACATTGCTAAGGGGAATAACGATTGCAAAGTTCTGGCTTTCTTACCTTGCCAAAATCCTTTGCCAAACCAATCCATATAATGCAGTAAATAATAATTTTCAAATTCATTGGTTGTTTCTTCGGTAACTTCGAAACTGTTTTTCTTCAAAGGATTCCTGATTTCAGTCCATGACTTCAAAGCTTCTGACTCTAATTTAATAGAATCACAATAAATTTGATCACCACCACCCAACATTACATGATAATGTTGGTCAGCGTGCTTCTTTAAAATATCAAACCATAAGGAAGATTTGAATTCATTGGCTGGAGCAGCTAATGAGAAACCATTACACGAGAATGAAATTACATTCATTGACTCTTCAATTGCAGGAATATAGAATTGAAATGACTTTTTATAGTGATTGTTTATCACATACTGAACTTTCTGCTCATATTCAACCATTGTCAAATCAATTGAGTATCTGAAGAAGGAATACCCGTCACGCTCATAATATTTGGTACTTGGAAACTCGCCATGTTGAAATTTCCCAGTAGACTTAAACTCTTCACTAGCGGGTCCAACCTTATAGGTGATTGGAGGTGCTTGATTCTCAGGAGCATTCTTAACAACCAATGCTAAAGTGGCACGATAATTTGGTTGGTTGTTTTCATGGGTTCCAAGTAAGTTTATCATTGGACCACAAGTAACTTCAAATTCGTCCAATTTGTCTTCTGGATCTATTGGTCGCTTCTCTGGAACATTTTCACCTGATCTTTGGTTAATTGTTTGATAATCGTCAACTGGAATTGGTTCAAACCAGTCATCTCCTGTAGATACTGGCATATTTGGCAATAATTTGTAGTAGCGTGGTTAAGAAAAAAAGAGAGTAGTGTAAACAAAAGACTAAAAAAACGAAAAGGCTGAAGAGTTTTAAGGAGCTAAAATTCCGATTTAGAAAAGTATCGTAATGTCAAATTTCATTAGGAAAAAGGGCTGACAGTTATTCATTGTCCGATTTGGTTGAGAACAAATTATAGTCAGATGAGTACTCAATTGGGAAAGTTTGTTTAAAAAAAAAAAACATTGCAAGCCTCCGCGTAATTGTTTGACCCTGTGTAATCAATACATAATTAAAGTTGGCAATTGAGCTCTGGTTACTCGAACATTGTCTCAGTGAGTATATCACTAGACATGGTTAATTATCTAAAGACAAATTGTACTAAACAAGGACAAGTCAATATGCCAAAAATGGAAATAATCTTTCCTTTTTAAACCCTTCTCCTCCTGCATACCAAAATTGTTCCATTTTCTGAAAATTTTTTGTAGATTTGCATTTTAATTATTTTTGTGGAGCAATTGACCACGTGATTCAACTAACCGATGTATAAGAAGGGGCATGCAGGTTTTACTTGAGACGATTTTCTTGTAGCTTTTAACTTTTTTTATACTACTTTCTAATAACATCATAGCCAATAATAATCTTTGCAATTTTATGTGTCAGTATGATGTCATCTAACCATACCAAATAAGAAAATTGCACAAAATTAAAATTCTAACTTCGTTTTTTTTGCCGTAACAGGAAGGGGGGCTCATGTCCCACGCGATTGTCACATGGACAGTCAACAATTGAGTTTTGTGGTCGCTTACTTAACCTTCTGTCTATTGGCTAATTTTCTACATGCGGCTGTAATTATAGAATAACTCTCCTTGCATGCAATTGAGAAGCCTGTTTGGAAAAGCCTTTATTTTTTTTAGATAGGCTTATATTTTTCGTGAATATATGCAACAATGGAGAATCTTGCAGACAAGTACATTTATAACTAAATACTTAGCCTTTCCAAGTTATAACGGTAAAAAAAAATTTTGTTATGTTTCTTAACCATGTAGAGCCGGAGGGAGTACTATAACTGTTGAATTAATTTAGGTAACGATTGCCAAAAATTTGACTCTAGCTGGTTATGGAAATAAGACTATATTGAAATAAAATGTAGGTTCTCTTTCACCGTTTAGCTTGATCTTTCAATGGGGGTTTTGACTTTAAGTATGACTTGGTCGATCATAGAAGATTTTCAGGCTACACTAGTTGAACCATTCAAGGTTAATTCACTTCGGGTATTATCCTTGATAAGATTGAATGTGGATTGGGAAAACTAGAAGAATATTTTCAAAAAGTATGTTCAAAAATATTTTCGGTTTAATATCAGCCTTCTTTTGCTATCTGATGAAATTCTATTTGAAATATTTGGTTATATCAATCAATTTGATATTGTTCTGATTCGAGCAGTAGTGAACTCTAGGTTTTATAAATTGGGTGCAAAAAAAAAAAACATTATGTATCAATATATTACTACAATGGTCGTACAAAGGGAAATCTCATAATTAACAAGATCCTCTACACTCCTTTATTGGTCAATTATACAGTTTTGAATAAATTGCTTCGATTTAAACGATTTTGCCAGTTGCCAGATTTTGAATTGATTGACAAGATTGTATTTTATTCATGACAAGGCTTAGCATATGATTATAGAGTTGTTGTCTCAAGATTTCTCAAGGTTGAACTCCGAGTAGATTGTGATATTGGTTTAAGACCTGGGTTTATTCAAACTAGTTATCTGTTTCATATTAGAAGTGGATATAATATTGGACTCACTGTCGATAGTTCGTTGGTGAAGAAGTTAACCGTAGATGGCAATGTACTTCAAAGCAAAGGCTTCTTGAATTTACTGTCTGAGTTTATATTGCTAAATTGGTTGCAACTTAAATCTATGGAAATAGACTCGTTCCAAGTGTTCAAGACCAGGCACAGAAGTTTTAGCGTTAAGGTATTATGGTTAGAACTACTCCTGTCTGATATTGATTATGAGTATTTTTGGAGCTTTAATCTATATGAGCTAAGATCTTTTGTACTAAACATTGCAGCTTGTGAAAATTGTCTTTTGAGAAAGCTCAAATGGTTGTTTTAATCACTAGCAAAGGTAAACTATTTGCCATTAAAGGTAAATTTTAAGGATTTGGATGAGATTATGTTAGAATTTAAGTTGAATACTTTGCAAACCTTGTGTATTTATGATTCTAATGCACGTCCGGTTTATAATCCCAGAGAAATTGTAAGAAATCAGGAGGATTCTTTAATTAATTTTCAATTTAACAATAGGGGCAAGGGAAAATTCAACTCTGTGGGTTTGTATGAATTTGACAAGATCTTCCACAGTGGGAAAGTGTTTCTGCATCCTGAATTTAAGCTTTGTCGACATTATTCTAATACCCATGATGTGTTTTATTACCATTCTCTGCATTGTTATGAACTTAAGGGTTGCAAAGATTTGCCAGGAACTCATTGAAGTGCTACAAAGATATACAAATTTAAAGAATGTTCTATATCAGGAAGGATTTTATATTGTTAAAAGAGATGGATTGGAAGATTTAAAAACAATATTACTTAATTATTGGAGAGTTTTTAAAAAGGCTTTTCGGTGACTTATTCCAAACACACATTTTACATAATGACGTAACTTTCTACTGTGATGAATATATTATTTGCCCTGTATGATAATAAGAGATTTCATGTATTTTCTAGAAAAGAGATGGGGTCGAGAATTATTATCACCTTGAAAGTGATTATTTATTAGGTGGGAAATCTAAATGCAAGAGAAAGTTTTACGTGGGTATGCTGGGAGTACGAAAATGATTTATATTGGGTAGTTCTTTTGAAATTAGTTGGTAAATCGTCATTACCAGCTTCTAGTTTTTCCTTTGTTAATATGACCAATACACTTCAGCGTAGGCAAAATAATTTTGTTTCCGTCAATTCGATCAATCTCGCTCTTACATATACGAATATTTGCATCATGTCTCAATTGGGAAAAATAAGAGAATATACATGTATTTGTGAAAGAACAATATTAGGGATAAAATTAAAATTCTTCCCCTCTTCTAGATAGTTTATATTTTATCCTAAATAGAAGAGATTATTACTAGTTTTGTAACATGGAACTAGTTAGAGATGTGGTTTGGTTTTTGTATCATCTTTTTATTAAATTATTTGAAACTTGGGTTAATTGACTAAAGCCTCGATTTGTGGGGCAAATCCTTTTTTTTTCAAAGCAGGAAAAGCCTATTTTTCTGGGCTGAAATTTTTAACAATGAAGTTCGGTAAATTGCAGCCAAGCAATTATTAGGTAATCACTGATGGAAATATCCGAATTTCAACTATATATATTATATTGATAAGCTATTAGCTACAGCCCTACCATACATAAATTATAAGTCTAGCAGCAAATAAGCTAATCAATTAAAATCTCCTCATTTTCAGTCTAAAGATTTAGAACTAAAGTAAGGGTGAATTAAAAACAATTAAATCCGCTATGTAACAAGAATAACATAATTAAGTAAGTATAATCTTTTTCCAAGGAAATTCAAATCTTTCCGAGACAAGAAAATAAAGTGAAGATATTTGCAGATAGAACAAAAAAATAAATGGACTAGGCGTAGAAAGCAAGATAAACATAGCCACTGTTTAGTTTGATTGCCCGGAAATTGTTCTGAGCTTCCGGTTCTGGATCTAAGTTATCATATAAGTAAAGTTAAAAGCTTATTCGATATTATTTTGTCACATTTCAATGTTCTTCTTTTGATGCCAAAGTTGGTATCTGTAGAAAGTGAGAGAGAGCTTGACACATTTGAGATATACAGGTTGCCCTTTGATAGAGAACAACAATTATATATTTTCTGCAACTTGGAGTTAGATTTTAATATCTTAAGGGATGTTGCTCTGAAATATTGCGAGGCTGTGTTGGGTAATATATTTTTTGTGTGTATGGAATTCCGCTCTAATTGGGATTAGAATCTTCCATTCATTGTGGTGGCAGCCACATACACACATACACACACGCACACGCCTACACATTTATAACGGATCTGTTGGAACTGTTTATTATTGTTAAACTCTCAGGCACCCGCTGAACCCGGGGATAGTGTTAATCACTTGTGGTTATTTGCAGGAAAATTAATTATTTTGCCCACCGCAACTCTTAGGCTTTCCTGCATTAACGTTAGTGAAATTGACGTACATTAGGGAAATGCATCAACAGCAAAGGATCTAATCCTGTGCAAAATAGAACGTGCTTCAGGGAAAATAACAATGAATCAGAACTTGCCTCGGCAATTAACTACCTAGTTACATATACGGAGTGCTACTGCAAGTTAAGCCCTTTTTTCAGCCCATATTTTGATTTTCGGTGACGAAAATTGGGCCGATTGTTTTTTGTGTAATCTTTTTTTTTTTTAACATGACCTTTTTATCAGAAATTCAGGCGATTATTTTTTTTTTTTCTTGTTCCTTATTCAAATTTCTGTAAAGGCGCTCCTCACCCATGTGCTGGAATACAACCGGTACAATTTGGTAATATATAGCCAAGCTATTTCTCATGATTTTTAATTACAATTTTACATTCCCTCTGTTCACTCTTTCACCAAGTAATTACTACTATTTAAATTTAAGGCACTCTCACACAAAAGGTCCCATTTGATCATCTGACTTCAATCCTCAAGCAACATCGTCTGACACCCCAACACGTGATTACAAAATCAAGCGCAAAAAGCCATTGTTCATTTTCCATACCCCATATAATAAATTTTGAATTCCAATTCCAATTCCAATTCCACCTTGATACTATTGGCCATAATTTTGTTTTTCAATATTAATATCATCTTATCTCCCCCCTTGATCATTAGTTATTTATTTCCCTTTCGTTAGACAATAACTTCAAGGCATATTCTATATAACAGTTCTGCAATCTCCCCATCCCGCACTCAGCCACCACCCCTTACATCCCATATTTTTTTTTTGCTATCATTCGATTCTTTTAAGCTACATTTTTTATGACAACACTTCTTTCTGCAAGAACAGCAACTGAAAGTCCTACAGCCACCAGATCAAATTCAACCAGTTCTTCGTCCCCTGGTTACTCAACCAATGATGATTCTGCAATCTATTCCCCTTTGCTTTCACCCGTCACATCAAATACAGCCGATCATATAAACCCCTTCGGCAAAAGGACGGGATATTCTAGACGAGTTTCATTCAACAATTTAAATCCAGAAATTGATGAGTCTGTCATACATCAAGCCATATACAATTTAGGTGCTCCTAATTATACCTTGGCAACTCCACAATCATTAAGCTCTGGTACTCATGCAACTAATATAGAATCGGCATTTACTCATTTGAGTAAACCTACTTCAACCTATGTACCGAAGAAGAGACTTAAGTTGCCTGATCCACCTTCGAAGTCTATCCTTAAGAATAGAGTCAGTTTGCAACAATTGGAATATAATGAAGAGAATGATTTATATAACGATGAAGATGTTAAAGAAGGAGCCACTATAAATTACCATGAAGATGTATTGGAAGATCCAGAACCTGAACCTGCAGCTTCACCTACAACCACCAGGAGGAAGTCATATGCCGGTATGTCTGATGAGGAGCTTATGGCTTTAGATCCTCAATTTAATACTAAATCTAAGCACAATCTTGATCAATTTAAGTTTGATAATCAAAAGACGTACTACTTGTCTAGTTCCAAGAGAACAAGTGTTGGTTCTGCTGCTGCCGCTGCTGCTGCTCTATCCAAAAAGGTGGAATACCCTACATCCAATGAAAATAATTACAAATCTATTAGCTTAACTGTTAAACATGATGAGTACGATTCTATTAAGTATAATCGTACTTTATTGACGGTTATATCTGGAAGAAGACACACCTGGAATACAACCGATTGGTTGTTTTTGATTAATCAAGATCCACAACAAAACAGTTCATTTCTTGTTGATGGAGATTATTTAATTATTGCCAGTTTGATACCCTTGAAATTTTTGAAAGAATACGGAAATAAACGTAAACGGATTTCCATGGATGATTACCTTTATGAAAAATGCTCGAAGTTGTTGAATTATTTTGCTGAATATTTTACCAAGTTGAATTTGAAATTGAAAGTTACGGTGGAATTTGTTACTGATAATGAAGAAGATTATGGTGGATTAAGCACGATTAAGATTAATCGTGGTGAGAAATATATGTTGGAGCATTTGTACAAGCAATATCAACCTACTATGGTGTTAATTGGGAATAAATCTTCAAATATGAATTTCAAATATCCGATTAAAATGGCTAGCTCATATCAGGAGTATTTGATTCGATTGTCTTCGTATATCATGAAATATTCCACAGTACCGGTGATTGTCGTAGGGAATACAACTGTATCAAAGAGTGTGGCGGGAAATACTTCAACACCAACGTTAAAGTTTGACTTGCAGGCACCAAAAATCACATTCACTAACGTATCCTCTGAAGAGAAAATTCATCACCCCGAAATAAATAAGAATAATTCATCTTCAACATTATCTTCAATTGAATCATATGCTCCAATCCATAAAACCACCACAACTGAAGAAACAAGAAAACAAGAATACCATGATAATTTGCAAACCTTGAATGCTCTTGATTATACTAATCCAACCAAATACGAGGACTTGGTGAAGTGTATATCAGATCATGCATTTGTTGAAGCTTCCAATTATTTACTTGCAGTGCATTCCAAAGATGATTCATTGAAAATCGATGAAAAGATTCATTCCATGTATAGAAGTCAAGCAACTACTGATGATCATCATGAAGAAAATCCAATATATAAAGTGAAATCATTGATTAGCTATGACCCAGAAGAAGAGTTAAAGAATGAACAGAAGCGTCAACAAATAAAACTGAAGAAAATTAAGAGTGTCAAGAGTAATGATTCCTCGGCTGTAAGTTCAAGTTCAAGCAGCAGCATAAATAATGAAAAACCAAAGAAGACTTCTTTTTGGAAGAAGTTGGGATTTAAGAAATAATGACCTTTTTTTTAGCATTTCGTTTATATATAGCATTTAATATAATTATTAGACTTACTCTTAGCATTGAAGTCTTCATATTTGGATATTCTTAGACAAGCTACAATACAGCCTTTTTGGGAGCCATACTTTTGGATAACGAAGGTTGATCGGACAATTTCGGTCGTTTAAGTTCCTGTATTTTCCGAGATCAAGATTTGGAACAATTAAAAAAAAATAAATATGAATACACCGTTAAATATCCGAAATAAATGCCACATACAACTGAATTTTCTTCCGGGGGTATTGAACTTGGGTCTGACCAACAGCAAGATTCAAGGCGTGTGTTGTGTATGCATAATGTAACGTTTGCCAAGATAATTTTCACGATTATTATTATATATTGATATAAGCCACTTTGAATAGATGTGGTTTAATTTTCTAACTTTTGTTTCTAGGCAATGCACAATAGAATTATTACTGCCATGACAATTTTGAAATTCTTGCATAATCTTACGATGTGTAGCACGGCCAAAAAGAAGGTAGTTGCAACATTGCAAATACATTCACCTGAAAGTGCGAAGTGCGGCGGTCCGATCCGGACATTGACCTAATAGGTGTGGCGCGTCATCTAGCACACCTACAATTACTCGATTGCCCGTTGTATTCTGTTTTTGTAAAGTCCTATTCCAAGAACTTTCTGTAATTCGTGTATGGTCTTGGTCATAATATTATCGACTTACAGTTGAATTGCTGGTAAGAAATTATAGCAAAAATATGACATCATCTCAAACAAGGCAGAAAAAGAAGCAAACGACATTTTTATTCACTCATAATTAATAAATGGGTCATTCAGGGTGATTTATTTACCTCATCTTACTTAATCAAACAAATATTATTCATCCAACCAACTGTGTTAATCGTAAGTTGGTCCAGCATGACCTTATCCTCTGATCCCGTGCACGGACGCGATAAGAAAAAAAAATAATCTTTTTATTATGTGAAATTTTCATGTCGCATTCCACCCGCCCGATAATACCGATAAGGGAAAATGTCGTGCGGATCCGGTGGGGAGACGACATCTAAGATGGATTCAAATAAATGTGATTGCGTTTGACGTTACAGTTTGATTCCAGTTTTAAATCTTTTTTGCTTCCTTTGCTTTTTGTTTGTTTTATCCAACATGTCAGATCCGATACTTGCCAATTTAGACACGTTACCACCGGAAATCATTCAGCTAATCGTGGATTATATTCCACTAACCAGTCAAAGGTCACTTGTTGATTTTCAACTATTTCGCAAATTTGTTCTACCTAAATTGCTATCAGATATACATGTTTTACAAGGTGGTTTACTGGTGATTCGAGACCCATTTAAGGAATATTTCAATCCGGATGACCCATATAAACTTGGATTAAAAGAATATACTCCAATATGTGGTTATCAAGAGTATGAAACGATCAAGTCGGAACCATTATACTTAGCAAACTCAATCTCCTTAATTAAGATAGTGGAAAAGTATGGTGTGTTTCCGCAGTCAATAAGCTTTGAAGATCATTTGTCCTTTTTTGAAATTTTGCAGCTGTTTCCGGAAATTATTGCCAATGCTAAACAGATCTATATCCGAATGATGAATTTAAATCCGATCTCGCGCACTAGTAATAGCTGGAGACTGATATTAAACCTGGTATCGGCATTACCTTTAAATATAACTACTTTAGAGTTGATTTCCGTGCCTATTGACAATATTCAATTTTCTTCGACTTTGAATGAATTAATTTATCAAGGGAAAATAAGAGATTGCAAGCGCGTATTTGAATGGCTCACCAACTTGACTAGGCTTACATTACGCGGAGTTCAAATCCAACAAATTGATTTGTCAAGTCTTCCTGACAACATTGAGTATTTAAATATTGCTGATTTGAAAATAACTCAACCCAATTTGCAGCTACCTAAATCTTTAAAAGAATTAATTGTACTGACAGCAACAGCTGAGCTTTCGGATTTATATACAAGCTTCAGCTTGAAATTTCCGCCCTTGGAAGAGTTTCGTCGGTTTGAGTTCTCATGTGACGAACTAACAAATTTAACTACAATTTCATTACCAATGTGTGTTGAAGAGCTTGTCTTGAGAAAGTGTCGCAACTTATTCTTGGTAGAAAGCTTAGAGAAATACGTTAATCTTCGTACATTCGAATGGCTTGGTGCTTTGTTGTCACCCAGTTTTTATTTATTAAGTCCAATTCCACCAAATTTAGAAAGGTTAATTATAGATGGTGATAATGCAAAGACTTCTATGGTAATAAATATATTAGCGAGAGCAATGCCGCTGTATTTCTATTCCATATATGGCATGTATACATTTAGAGTTGGTACTGAATTTAAATTACCAGAATCATTGAAAGAATTATCTATAAGGAATTGTCAATTCCTTGAAATCAATTGTGAACTGTTGGCATTACCTACTAATTTGAAATCCATAACTTTGGAGAATTTGGCTGGATTTGTAGGCTATTTACAAGAGCTTGCCTTACCCTCCCTGATAACATATCTTAATTTTTCCCTGATGAAGATAGATTTTATTGATAGAGTGGTTTTTCCAGCTAGTTTAAGAAAATTATATCTTGATGATAATAAATTAAGAAGAGTTAGTGAAACAGCGAATCTTAGACAATTACAGCATCTACAAAAGGTAAGTCTCACTGGAAATAGTCTTGAATCAAATTACACAGTATCAATAAATTTACCTAAAACTATAACCCATATTCAAATTAATGATACACCTGTTTTAATGGAGATGCCATTTGATAATATGAAGCAATTAACGGTACCAGTACTGGTTACCAAAAGTTCATATCTATCACTCAATGCTAATCTTGAAGTTTTAGTAATTAAGAATAATTTTGAATTCAATGAAGATTTTAGATTGCCTGCTAATTTACGAATATTAATTCTTGATGAAGTTCCTAACTTGAAGATTTCAAAATCTGAGTGGTTGGAAAACCTACCAGAAAATTTACAAGAAATTAGAATATCAGTAAGCAAAAGAGGTAGTTGTGAAATACTGCCGCTCTTGCAAACTGTTAAATTTCCCAGTAGTTTAAGGTTGTTGACATTACAAAATCTTAATATTCTGAGCGAAACCTATTCAAAATTTGATTTCCTGGAATGTACCAAGTTATCGTCCATGCAAATTGACAACGGGAATGTTTCTGAAATAGATTTAAATTGTCTTCCAGAATTTTTAACTGATCTTAAGTTGCAAAATTTAAAAATTCACAATTTTATCGGAAATTTTGCTAGATTCATCAACCTAAAATCACTATTCTTATCTGGTAACAAGTTACGAAAATATGTTACTTGCAATAATTTGATTTTACCACCATCAATTGAGGATTTGAGTTTAATGCAATGTAATATCAAAACGATTGAGATTAGTAATATTCAAGAATGTAAAGTAATGCGGCAAGTCAATTTATCCAAAAATTCATGGATGGATCCAGTTAAGGTTGCTAATGTTGCTAGAGAGCTTAATAAAGTGAGTCATGAATTCAGTTGTGTGTTGGTTGATGATGTTATCATGGACGATGATTTAATATTAATGCAGCGAAATTCAAAACTAACATTCAACTTTCAAGCTGAGGGGGAAAGTTTAAAGGATTATTCCTTGATATATTCTTGTCCAACTGGTATACGCTGTCGTGAAGAAGAATATGAAGAAACTGATAATTCTGAAGATGAAATGTAAAATATCTTCAAATTTCTTATAGATTTATCTTGTGTTTTTAATGTTATAGAATAGACTAATTACTGAACTTGTACTAAACCCTGCGCATGTTGCAATTTACATTTTTGCACCCAAAGATGACTCCCCAATATTCCTGACATATGTGATCCTTTAGTTGAATTTTCTTTTTCAGGTACTTACATGTGATTGATGGTATAGAAGCGTAAAAGGATTTTAAGACAGTAATAGCTCAAAAAAATCTAGGTTTGTATCATTTCATCTTAAATTTAGTTCTAAGAGTAACATGAAAATAAATTTCTGCAAATATTTTTGCGAAATTTTTGATAAAAAATATCTTAAGCAGTATTTGCAACTTTTATATAACACAGAGATTTCAGACTTTTCTAACATATTTATTCTTATATTTCCAATAAAGCAGCATTTATTTAAACCAAACTATAGCATTTTTGTAGAATAATGAACCATTTTAAACTAGATTACGTGATATAAAATATTGCTAGTCTGAAAATCTAGGAGAATTCTTTCATCATAATAACAGGGCGTGTGGCGTAGTTGGTAGCGCGTTCGCTTAGCATGCGAAAGGTCTCCGGTTCGACTCCGGACTCGTCCATTTTTTTTTTGTTAATATATACATTATATAATTAATCCGTGAGTTAATTGTGTTTTTCTCTTAGGTTAATGAATTGAATTTCGAGGGTGATGTTTCTTGATTGGAGTTAGGATGTTTATATGCGCGTTCATAGTAGAGAGAAAAAAAAAGTGGTTATTATGTATATGATTGTCTCCAGCAAGGTAAGCAAAATAATAACTAATACTGACCAAATTAGGTTGACCATATACTTACAAGTTACTTGACGCTTAGTTAAAACCTTTTATATATATTTTTAAAACAAACCAATCATTTGTAGGGTGAGATTTTTAAAAAGAATCTCTTTTATTGAATGGCAACACATCTGGTAGCATACGCTAGATCTAAGTAAATTGAAGAATTTGGTGTAAATTTCAGCATTGATTCCGCCCCTTTTGTTCTTCGCTATCACCTCCACTTAAAGTAAAACTATCACGAAGCAAAGTAGAACTACGCGCAATGTATCCCAGAACTATTCTAAATACAGCAAGATTAACTCCATTAAGGCTGCTCAGATTATACGCCACTAGATCAGCGAATGATTCTCCCTTCAAATATTTACCAAAACAAAAAAAATGGTTTAATTGGAAAACAACCAGTTTCTTCTTTTTATTAGGAAGTTACTTAGCATATAACGAAACTTTATTCAATTATTATGAGGAGTTAACAGCATTAAATGAAGACGACCCAAGATTTGAAATCTTACCCATGCAATTAGAATATAAATTGAAGAGCTTGCCAATTTATCAAAAATTAATCCATCCCAAGAATGCGCACCAATGGTATAAATTGCTGAGTTGGGAAAACTTGGATCGTAATATCTTAGATAATAAATCTTCAATCAAAGATCAAAGCGAATATCATGAACCTACATTGACAAATCATACTTTGGCTAAACCAGGTGGGATTTTAATAAAACCAGTCATATTTCACAATATTGAAACTGATGAAGGGGTAACTATCATACATGTAGGTTATAGATTATGTGGATACCCATTTATAATTCATGGAGGCATGATTGCAACATTGTTGAATGAAACATTCAAGAGAAATGCATCATTATCCAAGTTTACCACGTCCAACTTAAAAGATGATTTCAAAGTTGAAAACTTAACTATAAATTATAGAGCTCCAACTTTTGCAAATCAATTTTTAGTCATTAAAACAAGGAAAAAGGAAAGCCCCGAAAATAACGACAAAACAATTGTTTTGGAAAGTGTTATTGAAACAAAGAAAGGTAAAGTATTAGTGAAAAGCCTGGCATTATTACATGATACAGGAAGGGCAACTAATAGAATCAAAGCCGAGGAGCAGCAGACTAAAAAGTGGTGGAGATTATGGTGATTTTGCGTGGCTTATAAGTGGAGATTTAATATAACACCAGCCTCCTCCCTCCCCCAACATGATCAAATTGCACAAAATTACAAAATACCAACTGCATATTCGGACCAGCCCTGCATATCTCTGTGTATATGATAGCTTTAAACTAAGCAAATTGTGTATCTAATACAAAGCCTCCCAGATAAGTGGGGAGATATGTAGACCTCGGCACCTCCAGCGAGATTGGCAATGTTACATGGACACAAAACCCTATCAACTTTGAAATCGCCGTGTACTCGCCGATCCAACGAAGACGTTTCCATTGTTCGATTTATCTAACAAGATCTTTCTTCAAGGTAGAGCATGAAAATGGAAAGAGAGAACGATCTTGAGTGGGGCATAATAAGAGGGGCGGGAGGATAGAGAGGAAGAAGAGGGGCGGGGGGAATATTCTAGATCATCATAAAATATAAGAACAGCAATGGATGTATAAAATATGTGGAGAAAGGGGACATATGCATCAATAATTTAAACAATAGAACTCCCGATAAAGGGCTTAAAACTGTCACCGCATTTGCATGCATATTTTTAGCCAATATGATTCGCCTGATAATGAGTATACACGGAGATGAAGGCTTATTGTCCGCGGGATTTTAGTGTTGCCGTATTAAGATGGGCAATGTTTCAACCGGACCGGGGTCTTATTAATAGAGGGATCATGCATGAATACAACGGTTATTTTTTAACACAAGATTAAAATAAAATGCATTGTTTTTCCGGAAAATATTTTTTATTAGTGGTTTAATATTTATTGCACCACCAATATTTTTTTGTTCCTGCGACGCTAGAAGGTAGAACCAGCTTGGGGTCAATTCAAAATAAAGATTTTGTGAAAGTTGGGTCATTTTTTTTTAATAAATGATGCGTTTACTAGAGTCAATCTTTCAACATTTCTTTTGTTTTATGCAATAAATAGCTATACTAATGGCCCGTAAAATAAATAAATGGAATGCGCAATCAAGATGAATATGCATCGATCGAATTTGTGCCGAATAATAATACTGTATTGATCAAAAATTAATTTCCCTGGTATTTTCGGTTAGTTGTATGACTAATGTGTCCTTCTCTTATTCTTGCTCATCCTGTACAAAACGATATCTAATGTTAACAGCCTTTTATACACAAACCTCGAATGTTTCCCTCTGCAAGCACTAAAATAGGAGAACAAGTTTTCTTGTAAAATAATTTCGGTACATACTTGAGGCGGTGAAAATTCAAGAAGAAAAAAAAAGGAAAATAATACGAAGTAATAGAACCATTGACAGAAAATATGTCCCTGTTCTGCTTTGTACAATTCAGAATATTCTATATTGTTTAATTATACTTTGTAAAGTAAATCTGTTCCTAGATGGACGATATATTTCCGTAGCTTTAGCCATTCTCTACACAAACAAGATAGTTTACTAAGGTGTGGAACCATGCACTTTTATTGTAATATGGTTAGCCGAGCAGGTTTATATTTCCACGTCTATCGAACGAGATTACACACGCCACCGATTTTCCTTCAACTAAAAGTATCATGCAGTGAAAGTTCGGAACGTAAACAAATGCAAGTGATTGATGTGGATTTAATTATCCACATTGGGCCTTAGCGCGCAATAATATGAAACAATTTTTAGTAGATACAGAAAAATAATTATTTATTGACTTCTGTATCATAGTTCTCTGTTGAGAACCTTCGAATAACACAAAACAAATATCCGCAAAATACAGAAAAATCGTTTGCAACAATATTTTTTATGCCTTCATGCAGACACTTTTTTCTGTCAAAAAATATTAATTATCTGCATTTTTGCACCATATTCTTTGACAGGTTTTAGATATTTTTTATTGTATCAGTCAGCTTTTTATTTCATTACACAATGGTCCAACACAATAGTAGAAAGTTGGAGAACAGATGAAATCACGTTAGTGGAAGGTGGATTTCTATTTCCACTATTCTTTTGCCTCGTCCTCATCCCATTCACACGTGGGGAGGGGGGCGGAGGGGGAGTTAGATCGTCGGTGAATATTGATCGTTTTTGGGTAACGATCTTGTGACTGGTAAAAATATTAAGGTTGAAAAATATTAATCAACCATATTTTGTAGTTGATTAGTTATTGCGATGCCATACAAAACATGAGTCTAGAAACCATGACCAAAATTTTTTTTTCTTTTTCCTGGTTTATTTTTTATTGTTGGTATTCGATCAGTAAGTTACGAAATATATTTTTTAAACAGTAGCATGTTTGTAAACTTTCTTCGGTCCTACAGCCAAAGGCAGAAAGAAGCATGACACATCAAGATGGCTTCCCGTATCCGAAGTAAAATTTAAGGCTTTTTTTTGTGTGGAGGTGAAGAGATGCAGACGCGATGCAGATTTTTTGTACTTTTTTTTTTCTTCGCTGTTGAATTATTCCGGTGAAAACTCACTAGTTTTGGAGCAGTATAATCCTGGTAGTTAATTCTCGAACATTATTTTTAATGGTGACGACTAAGGCTTGCTGTTTTAAAACTGAATGTTTCCTGTATATCAAAGAAAATGTATGAGACCTATATTTTGAAGAATAGCAAGGACAACCGTATCGGATAATTGCTCCGTTGTCATGTCAGAAAAAAAATGTAATGTTGCATTTCTCTCAACTTTTGTTTTCACAAAAAAATTGTACCAGAACGCACGACCTAGTATTATTTCATTTTGTCTTTTGTGAGTTGTTTTGTTACTGCTACCAACCTCTAATTTGAATAAACAGTGTGTGATTGCAAATGAGCGAGTTAACAAAAGAAGTTTCCGAGGAACCATCCATAGAACCACAAGTGCAGGAACTAACTGCAGAAATTGACCTGCTGCAACCAATTGACCTGTCAACATCAGCCAATGCTCATTCATACTCCACCAGGTCTAAACATCGGGCACAACAAGATGAGCATGAGCTTAAATCAAAATTAAAACAAAAGGAGCATAATGTTGTGGTATACCCTCGCTTAAAACCAATTCCATTCAAGCATCTGGATTTGCTAGTTAATTCGGTTCAGCCTTCGTTTACTGAAGCTACAACAGTTCGTGACATGAAATTTTACCAATGCGAAGATCTACCAATTAATAAAAGAGGCTTCAAATACAAGCCATGTAGACCTAATCCCGAATTTCAGTCAAATTTGTATTCAACAACAGACATTCCACCATATCACGTTTGTGTTGATTTGTTTGACAGATCTCCCGGAATTATCTTCGATAATGATCTAACTACAGTGTCCACCTTGCAAGGCTGGAGATCAGCCAGAGCAAATGTAGGAATACGTGAAGGAAGCTATTACTTTGAATTTGAAATCGTGAATTCTTGTGAAGATAATAGTCATGTCAGAATAGGATTAGCCAGACGTGAAGCAAGTTTAGAAGCTCCAGTAGGGTTTGATGCTTATAGTTACGGAATTCGTGATATAAGCGGTGAGTATATAACTACAAGTCGAAGAAAAACTGTTTGCATTGACCAGGGATTTAAATCTGGTGATGTTATTGGGTTTTTAGTCGAACTTCCGTCCTTGTCAAAACATAAGCAAGCTGTTGCTAAGTTTGTTGAAGAGAAATTAATAGAAGCAAAAGTCAACCCTAATAAAGAAACTGGTAAAAAGAAGAGAAAGACAACAAAGAAACCTGTGGACTTACAAGAAAATGTCAAGTTTAATATCCATGACAATATTATTCGTGATCAAATTCCAATTAGATATAAAAATTCTTTATATTATGAACAATTTGAATACACCACTACCAAAACTATGGATCATTTACTTAACCCTATAACTGTTTTTGGAGAAAAAGCAGTCTTGGAAAATGACGATAAGACAAAATCTATACCAATCATACCCAATTCAAGAATAAGATTATTCAAAAATGGAATTGAACAACAGGAAATTAAAGACCTTTATTCATTTTTACCTACAAATCTCGAGCACACTGATGATTTAAGTCTTTCTGCAAATTTGAATCAACAGCAAAATCCAAATTATAGAAACAGTGATGATGGCACGTTAGGATATTATCCAATGTTATCAACATTTCAACATGGTGTTGTTAAATTGAATCCAGGACCAGATTTCAAGTATCCACCAGTCACTAGTGTTAAACCACTTTGTTCAAGGTATGACGAAACAGTTGTTGAGGAATGGTTATGGGACATTATTGATGAGGTTGAAGCTGAATATTTAGATAGTTTTGAATAGTTTAAACGTTCTCTGGTCCAATTCTTTGAAAATCTTGATCAGGTTCAATATTATTATTTCTGCAATAGACATCATAACATTTAAAATGGAAAAAATAATCTTCATGCTTACATCCCAATGTTACTATCTCTTTACATTGTTGACAAATTAAGATCTTACCTTCATTTGTGGAAGATCCATGTCTATCAATTAAATAATCTTTTAATTCAGCAATTGTCTTTATAGAAAGTGTCATTCTATCATCAAGGGTAACTTCAAACCATCCATCGTCAATTAGTCTATCCACTAAGTTTGACGCCTCCTTTAAAGTTTTATTCAACAGATTTGCAATTTTCTGTTGAACGTTGACCTTACCCAAGGAGAACTTATACTCAGGAGCTTCAACTATATCGTCAATAATTTGTTTTATAGTGTCTAACTCGGGTGGTGAGTACAATGTGTTTTGCTTAATTATATCGTCGCCAACTGTGTTTATAAAGATGTAACATAACTCACCTGTTAATTCGTTATTCTTTCTTTCGATTTTAAACCCATGAGGAGAAATTCGGGAGTTTATATCTGCAAGATATTTATTAAGTTGTTGGAGTGGCTCTTCATGGGGTGACTCACCACTAAGGTTGGTATATATGGTTTGAAACGTTTCTAGCAATTCGTGGTGATAAATATATTTACATGATCGTATATAAGTGAGCAATACTCTATGAATGTCGGTGTATTCGCTCATTATGGCTAGTTCAATTTGGTTGTAAATAGATCTGTATTTTGGTTGTAAATGTTTTTTTTTTTGTTTATGTCAAAACACGTACAAGAAAATCAGCCAGAGCGAAAAATTCGTTACAAAAAAAAATTTTTGAAAGTTGCAAAAAAAGTAACCGCTGACTGCTTATGGTTTGCTAGGTAACACACTATGATTAAACTAAATTTCCTATTGGTATTTATATTACTGATACTATCAGTTACATCCTTGGATTCTGATGATGATTCTGACGATTCCGACTTGGAATTAGAAAGATGTAATCCATTAACTGATAACCAATGTCTTGTCACAAATGAAGCTTTAGGGACATCAATATTTGAAAGTTTCCAAACAGGGACTAGATATTTTGCCATTACATCTAGCAGAAATAGAATTATGTTTGATCCAAATGGATTACAATTGACTATCAAGAAAGAATTTGACAATCCTTCCCTTGTTTCAAGTTTTTATATCATGTATGGAAAAGTTGAAGCAGAAATTAAAGGTGCACATGGTAGAGGTATAATAAGTTCTTTCTACTTACAAAGTGATGATTTGGACGAAATTGATATTGTTGAAGTGTTTGGTGGTGATCCATATGAATATCAAACCAATTACTTTGTGAAAGGAAATACCACTAATTATGATAGAGGTAGATATCATCTGTTGGCTACTTCACCTTTAACTGAGTTTCACAAATATGGAATGGAATGGACTCCTCATAAAATCACTTGGTTCTTGGACGGTAAGAAAGTCAGAGTGTTGAATAAGAAGAACAAGTATGGTTTCCCTTGTTCTCCTTCTTTTTTAAAGTTCAGTTTATGGGCTGGTGGTGATTATTCTAATGATGAAGGTACTATTACTTGGGCTGGTGGACCAACCAATTATGATGAAGGGCCTTTCACAATGACTATTAGGAATTTAAATGTTACAGATTATTCAAATGGTGTTGCTTATTCTTATGGTAATTTATCCGGAGGAAAGTGGTTAGATTTACAAGCAAATGGTGGCGAGATTTACGACGAAGAGGACGAGGATCCAGAACTGCCAACTAAGACCAGTACTATTCCAAAGACTAAGACCAAGACAAAGGTTCCTAAATCCCAATTATTAGAAAAGACTACAAGGAAGAAAACAACAGTTGCTACAAATAACTTGTATCAACTTCCAAAAGTTACTGAATTCAAAAGTGATGGAGCCGTTCCTGCTAGCACCACCAAGACTAAAGCCTTATATACAACAACAGTTAGCATCACTGAACTATTGGATCAAGATGTTGTTCACTCTTCTAGACCATCAGCCTATTCAACTTCATGGTACAACACGCTACCAAATACCAATAATTCTACCAGTGAATATAAATTTGTTCAAGATGTAACAGAAGAAGAAGAAGATCTTATATCCGGGGTTTCACAAATTGATTCAATTCCCATTGCGGTTATTGTTGTTATTATCCTGGTAGTTACCTGGTTGTGAAGATCACCTGATGAATTGCACGTTCTCTGATTAGTAGGTCGTGCAACAATGCACATTAATTTTTTTTTAAGATCTCCGGCCTTTTTTACTCCGTCGCAATTTCAGAGGGGGGAAAGAACAAATGTGCCATCTGATGATTGTATTTGGCAACACAACCAAATTTTCTTAATTATATAGTGAATTTTTTTTATAAATACTACATCACTGTTGTTCTTGTTGTTTTTCCAGCTTCGATTCATCTTTTCTCAACCTCAATTGATTTAATAGACTGACTTGTGGCTGCATTATGGAAGGACTTAGTTTTATATCCCTTGTTACCAATAGTCAAGACAAGTTTGACAACATCGCCCGCTTTTATGGCAAACTTGGGTTCAGATTAACCAAGAATTTTTCTAGGGTTACCAGTAATGGTGCAGAAGCTGCTGCAACCAACCCAAAATCTCATTTAGGGATTTCAAAGGATTCAACCCGTGAGATCTGGTTGGAGAGTTTCCCCTTGCAGAATTTAGATAAGAATGGGAATATCCGCCCCTGGCAAGAATTGGAGGTTTACGATGGTGATTCTAGTGAAAAGTTAAGTACTGAGACCACACTCAAGTTGAGATTATCCAATGTTGACAATGTAGATGGTAATCTTCCAAAGAAGTTTATCTTCTTCACTACAGAATTGTCCAAAGTTAAAGCAATCTTGGAATCAGAAAACATAAAGTATGGACAAATCAATGAAACCATGATATTGGCAGAAGATCCATTAACCAATACTGTTTGTTTTTCAAGCACTCAAAACCCATTGTCCAGACAATCCTTCACTTCTGCCCAAGAATTTATTGATACCAGAACTCAAGAGGTTTTAAATAATAGAAAGGCAAATACTCTTGCTAGTAAAGCTTCTGTCATATCACTTGATGACACAGAATTAGTCAAACCAAAGATTAGAAAAAAGAAGATTGCCGTTATGACATCAGGTGGTGATGCTCCAGGTATGAACCCTGCAGTTAGAGCAGTTGTTCGTGCGGGTATTTATTACGGATGCGACGTATTTGCTGTTTATGAAGGTTATGAAGGGTTAGTTAAAGGTGGAGACCTTTTAAAGAAGGTTGAATGGGCAGACGTGAGATCATACTTGTCTCTCGGTGGTACTCACATTGGTACTGCTAGATGTAAAGAATTCCGTGAACGTAGTGGAAGGTTAGAAGCTGCTTACAATATGGTCATAAACGGGATTGATGCTTTAGTTGTTTGTGGTGGTGATGGTTCTTTAACAGGTGCTGATTTGTTTAGAAGTGAATGGCCATCATTAATTGAAGAATTAGTTTCTACAGGAAGATTGTCCAGTAAACAAGTTGCTCCTTACAAGCATCTTACCATTGTGGGATTAGTTGGATCCATTGATAATGATATGTCATGTACTGATGTTACCATTGGTGCCTTTTCAGCATTAGAGAGAATTACCGAAATGGTTGATTATATTGGAGCTACTGCTGCCTCACATTCACGTGCATTCGTCGTTGAAGTTATGGGAAGACACTGTGGTTGGTTAGCATTAATGGCTGGTTTAGCCACAGGTGCAGATTTCATCTTTATTCCAGAAAGACCACCAAGTGCCCAAAATTGGAAACAAGAGTTGAAGGATGTTTGTTCCAGACATCGTGCATACGGTAGAAGAAAGACTACTGTTATTGTAGCAGAAGGTGCTATAGATGATGAATTAAACCCAATCACATCAGAAGAAGTCAAGAATGTCCTTGTTGAGTTAGGTTTAGATACCAGAATCACCATTCTTGGCCACGTTCAAAGAGGTGGTACAGCAGTTGCTTTCGATAGAAGATTAGCTACTATGCAAGGTGTTGAAGCTGTACGTGCAGTATTAGAAATGACTCCAAATACACCATCACCAATGATTGGAGTTTTAAAGAATAAGATTGTCAAATATCCATTAGTTGACGCTGTCAAACAGACTAAAGCTGTAGCCACAGCTATTGACAATAAAGAATTCGATAAAGCAATGGGTCTTAGAGATACCAGTTTCTATGATTCTTATCGACATTTCAGATCTATCACCTACGATGACGATGGTTCTAAGCAATTAATGGATACTGACAAGAGATTAAATGTAGCTGTGATTCATGTTGGTGCTGCCCTGGCAGGTTTGAATGCTGCTACTCGTGCCGTTGCGTTATATAGTATTTCTCGAGGTCATAACTTATATGGTGTCCATGATGGGTTTACTGGATTGTGTCAAGGTAATTTAACCAAGTTAGAATGGTTAGAAGTTGAAGGATGGCATAGTAAAGGTGGTTCAGAGCTTGGTACTAATAGATCATTGCCATCTCAAGATTTTGGTAAAGTTGCTTACTATTTACAAAAATTTAATATCCAAGGGTTGATGATTATTGGTGGGTTTGAAGCTTTCACTTCATTACATGAATTATATAGCCAACGTTCACATTATCCAATTTTCGAAATCCCAATGGTTGTTGTTCCTGCCACTGTTTCTAATAATGTTCCGGGAACAGAATATTCATTAGGGTCTGATACTTGTTTGAATCAATTGGTCAGTTACTGTGATGCAGTTCAACAGTCGGCATCATCAAGTAGAAGAAGGGTCTTTGTTGTTGAGGTGCAGGGAGGACATTCCGGTTATGTTGCTTCATACTGTGGATTAATTACCGGAGCATTAGCTACATATACTCCAGAACTGAAAATTAATTTGAATGCTCTTCAAGGCGATCTTGATCTTTTATTCAAAGTTTTTGCATCTGATCGTGGTGAAGATCATAATGGTAAATTAATCATTAGAAATGAACAAGCAAGTTCAGTTTTCCTGACGGAGTTAATCGCCGACATTTTAAAGGAAAATGCCAATGGCAGATTTGAAACAAGAACTGCTATCCCAGGTCATGTCCAACAAGGTTACACCCCAACTGCAAATGATAGAGTTATGGCAGTTAGATTTGCATTACAAGCTATGGAATTCATTGAAGATTGGAATGGATGCGGTGTGGTTCATGAAAGAAGCAGTGATAAGAAGAAGTCCAAGCATAAGCATGTTGTTATTGGTATTCATGGTGATACCATTGAATTTACTTCCGTTCACAAATTATATGAAACTGAAGCCAATGTCGAATTAAGAAAAGGTAAGACGATCCATTGGGACGATATGATTGAAGTTTCTGATATGTTAAGTGGGAAATTATTGTTGAAAAAGCAACGTGATTTGTAAAGTATTTAGACCATTTTTTTTTGTAAACTGAAGATTGTTTTTGTATTTTAGACTCATGTAAATCCCTGTCAGAAGATTCAGACATTAATCTGAAGTTTAAAACGTGATTACGTAATAATGCAGTTGACGGGGGTATAAAATGATAAGCACTACGAAAGAGCGGGGAACAATAGACTAGTTCAAAAGTTTTTCTTGGTAATGATAAAGTTCAAGGCATGGCTGATGACGAGACTGAACATACATCATATGAAACCATTTGCAAATTTCTTAAAAAAATGATTCGATATACCTATTTTTCTTAGGTAGATCTAAATTTTAATTGCCGAGACAATAAGCGAGCAAGCGAAATCTTACATAAAAAAGGGAAAAAAAACCTACTTCACATTCCCTGTGATTCTTGCACATAAACCAAAATTCCGGATCTCAGATCCGTCAAGCTATGACCCTTTTAAATTCCGATATATCCATGGGATAAATTTGGAAGTTACGAATTTTCTGGGAAATAAAAATTTTTTTTGCAGTAAATTTCTCGGGCATGGTTTGGATTTTCTTGCATCATGATACCCTTGCATAAGCGCGCTCTTCGGTGCATAGGACTAGTGCATCGTCGTGCATGACGCTTTTTTTCTTCTGCCTTCTTTTTTTTCCGTTTTGGTGCAGTTTTTCTATTCCTAATTCCTTCGGTGTGGGTTGTGCACATAAAATGACATGTGAGCAAGAAAATAGCAAAAAAACTGCAAAGCGTTAAAGTTAACGGATATAAAAAAATAGACTGTTTTTAAACGAACAAATATGATGCATTGGGTTACCTTGTCTCCGTCCGGGGGGCCCCTCTCCCCGTTATCGCGACAATCTTCTTCTGATTTCTTAGTTCGTGTTATTCCTTGATTTGGATGGTGAGTTTTTACTGTTTCCTTACCCGGTAACTTCTCTAATTTTTTGCCGATATTCGCAATCAATCTGAATGCGGATATGCAAAGCCTATACTTGTAGACAGCAGTAAAGTTTTTTATTTTTTTTTGCATACCATCTCTCGAAGAGTTGCCGAAAAAGACAGCGCCCCCACTTGTTAAAAAATATCCAGTTCAAAAAAGGTTTTAAATATTACGAAGATCATTCTATGATATGCATCTGAACCTTTCGCTTTTTGAGGGAACAAAAAAGGGCAGAATGGCACATGCGAGGGGTCATCTCTAAACTTTTTCCTTTAGGGGAACATTTGAGAACATTGTATATCGAACAATTAGAACATTAGCAGCATTTTGTGGAAGACAAAAAAACTGGTCTGATACACAAGCTTTTTTTTTTAGAAACCCGTTTAACTATTTTTCTAAATTACTTAGTTTGCTGGGATCTCTTGTTTTTCCCCTCTCAATCCCTAAAAGACAATACAAAAAATATTTAATTTAGCAGACAGACATTTATTTAAAGGGTTAAATAGTTTTTTTGAAATCTTTTTGTTTGCAATATCCGTATTTTTTCACTAGTTAATTAATGATAACGGTTTGTGTTGCTAATTCTGACGAAATCCATGGGCAAAAAAAGAGATTAGTAAGTGAGCAATTACAAATTTGTGTCTGAAAAAATATTAAAAAAATAGCAGAACAAAAATTTAATATTTTTATCTATTAACTCTCAGACAGAAATTGCTCCGACATAAAATATCAAAATTATGGTATTATTCTATTTTATTTTTCGGTTTTTCGTTTTACGTTTTAAGTTTTTTCGGTTTTATTTTATTAATAATAATAATATTTTTTATAGAGCATTTTTATTTTAATAATACTATATTTTTTTTTGGCAAAGGAAGGAACATATTTTTTTTTCATATACAGATATTTTTTATTTTCTAGAATATAAAGCGTGAATTTCCCCATTTTGACGAACTTCAAGTTGAAAACTTGAAATCCCCCACTTACCACTCCACCTCAACAAGGCCGTTTTACGTATGATATCAACTAATTTCAATTGCAACATCTAAAAATATCAATATTCACTCACTTCAATCATGACAAAAAAGACCCAGGCAGAAGGTCGCATTAAGAAAAATGCATTTGTGCATAAATTATATACTATGCTTAATGATCCTAAATTAAATCATTTAATATGGTGGACTCAACATACTACTTTACCAGAAGGAAATACCTTTGCATTGTACCCAGGCAAAGAATTTGCGGATTGTCTCACTAGATATTTCAAACATGGTAACGTTGCCAGTTTTGTGAGACAGTTGCATATGTATGGATTTCATAAAGTTAGTGATGGAAATAATAATAGTACAACTACTGATAAGGACGTGCCACCAGTATGGGAATTCAAACATCTGAGTGGGAAATTCAAACGTGGAGATGAAAGCTCCTTGATTTATATTAAAAGAAGATCAAGTTCAAACACCGCACGAAATAATCATAACAATCACAATCATAACCATCATATATATGCAGACGGACAATATCATAATCAATACCAACATCCACATTTGATTGCACATCCGCATGCTGAGTATGCAATCCCTTATGAACAATATTATCCACCACAACCACAACCAACATACGCACAACCATATGTATATTTACAACAACCACAGCAACAAATACAGCAACACCAAATACAGCCATTCCCTTATCCACCGCAGCAACAGCAGCAGCAACCGCAACCACAACCACTCCCGCAACCTGAATATGCTATACAGCCTATGCACCATGGAATCCCTGCTCCAACTCCTATACCCGTGGCAATTCCACAACGGGAAATATACTTTGTTAAACATGACCCACCCCTGTCGCTTGACTCTCCAGCCCTGAGCTATACTCCCAATTTACAATTTAGGAAAATATGGGATGATAGCAGCAGTAATTCAAGACCAAGGAATGCATCATATTTCGACCCCTTGGCACTGCCTGGTGCAGGAGGAGCAATTGCTGTAGGAAGTGGTGGTGGAAATTTCACCATTCCAAGAAACAGCTCCGTCAACTCAAGCTATTCAACTGATTCAAAACAATCATATTTGCCACCACCTTTGGCCACTGGAATCAATAGATCAACATCATTAGTTAGCCCATCTACCCCTGATCCAGGATCAGTTTTACCCATGGCTGCCCCAACAATCCAACAAAATCAACAGCAACCACCACGAAGCATCCCCAATGATTTTCATCCAACTGCTACTAAGAAACCATCATTTTATTCACAAACACGCCCATCTTTGAGTGATTACTCCACCACCAAGAGCCTTCCTTCAATTGGTTCCATTACTTCGATAAACTCGAATGCATCGTCGGTATTTTCAAATAAATCTTCGATTTCCAGTGTCACGTCATTACCTCCACCACCATCCGCACCTACAAATTCGTCACTCAATAAAATACTTACCCCTACACCCACCACTCGTCCCCCTTCAACCCCTTTACCTCAAGACAATTATTCAAACACTACAAATGCCAACAATATTGTGCCGGTATACCCTAGAGTAAGAAGCTTATCACCACAATCAATGTTGACTAAAGATAACGGGGATTCTCCCAAACAGCAGATGGGAGTTCCACAACCACAGAAACATAGATCATTAACCAGCTCCCCCTTATCGAAAGAAAAAAACAGTAAAGTATCGGTCAATTCATTATTGGATGATTCAAAAGTTTTGTAAGTATACAAGTTGGCAATACATACACACACACACACACATTACACATTATTATATATATATTTTACATGATTTTATGCTAGATGTTTAAATAAAGAACAGTTTGTATTTTTAAAATGGACGACCTGATTTTTTAATTTTATGCTGTAGTATACCACCCGTAGTTTTCTTTACTGATCGTGCTCGAAGCTGAGAAATTTCTTCATCATCGGAGTCGTCGTCGTTGTTGTCGGCTTGCTTCACCTCTTGTTTCACTCTCTCCACTTTTTTCCGCACTGTTTCACGCAGAGTATTCCTCATCTTGTTCATTAATGCCATCATGGGCTTGGATGTAGGTTTCCTCATCTCCTTCACCTGTTGCTGTTGTTTGGTACTCTTCAAATCGGAACTTAAAAACTCACCAATAGTACTACTGCTGCCATTTTTGCTAGATAGCCCAGCACCCTGGGAGATAACAGGAAGATTCATAAATGAATCGTCATCATTGGTCTCTGGTGTTGGATTTGTAGATCGACATGGTTGTAACCATGATAATGCTCGTTTTTCGCTTTGGGAAAGAGCTAGTTGGAACTGAGCTTGGAGCGATTGTTTCTGCTGTATCTCTTTTCGTCTGTTCTTGGACATTGTTACTATATGATTAGGTGTATTCTTGTGCTATATTCTATACCCCATCTCTTCTCTGGACTAATCTCTGTCTTGTTCTATTCAGACCTAAAAAAATTTTTTTTTTTTTGTCTGTCTAAAATTTTTCGCAACATGCCAATAATTAAACCACCATCATCATTTCCACGTCAAATCAATACAAAGCAGGCAAGTTCTCTGGACGACGCTTCAATATATGCCAAAAAAAAAGAAATGCGCAAACCCGGAATCGAACCGGGGGCCCAACGATGGCAACGTTGGATTTTACCACTAAACCATTTGCGCTGGCACGGTCTTTCCTCACCCCATCTTAACACAAAGACCCTTTGTGATCTTTGCCAGACGACGCAATCAAAGAACGTATTTATATGCTCCGCGACGGGGAATTGAACCCCGGTCTACCATGCGACAAACGGTAATTCTAGCCACTAAACTATCACGGACTTGATATGTTGACTGCAAGCCATACTTGTTCTCTGCAGATTAGAAGTATAAGGCCACAAAGCGGGAGGTATGGGGTTTCTAAAGTAGATATATTTGATCTAAACCGAGTATAGACAATGTAGACGACGATATATTGCTGGATCAACAAAACTTTTGGCCTCAGCTTTTACATGTTTCTCAAAAACTCAGACAAATTGTAACGGCACATGTTCCAGTATCTTATTAATTATATGTATTAATTACTATACTCTACTTTATTCTATAGGAATGGTTCAACAAACTAAACATTTGTAGTAATTTTATTTCTAATAATACACGGTCGAAAACACCTTACACTGGCAATACATCAGTAATACCAGCCAAACGATCTATAGTTGGAGCTATTAAAGGATGGCTCAATACATCACCAATGTATGGAATCGATCTCAAGAATTGAACGATGGTGCCAAAGAAATCTCCAAACAAGCCCAAGATCCCAAAACTTTCCAACACGAATCCCACAAATGGATGTTTTACCAAGATTAGCAATATTCCCAATACGAAACAGATCGTGCCTCTGATTTTGGTGGGACGGGTGAAGAATGATATGGTACGCTGTGGACCAATGATGAGGATAAGCCCAAGGATGAAAAGTATATTACCAAGAGCAAGGAATCCTGAATCGAAAAATGTTATTATTCCAAAGAAGAAAAAGAAGATTCCTCCAGCTGTGAACCCAACTCCGAATTCTAAGCGTGTTAGTAAGTGTTGTTTATGTAGACAGTATAGTGCTATACATACTTTGTCTTTCTGATAACCAGATCATGGTTGCTGTATTGGGGTGTAGTTGTTGTTGTAGTAGTAATAGTAGTAGTAGTATGGCTGGTTTGAAAGAACAGCTACAAAAAAAAAAAATAATTGTATAGTGTGTCAACGCGCGAGGATCAAAAAATTTAACAAAATTCCAGTGAAAATTTTAGTGTCTGCATCTGACTATACTAGGCTAAATCAATCATATGAAATATTTAACACAAACAGGTTGTGCCCGTACAAATCTTAATCTAGTAAAACATGCAGCAAACTATATATTCTCTCATTTAGCTATACGAGGTAATGTCGCAAAACCTGGATATTTTTCAACGACATTTCACTTACGCCCCTAAATCGGACCGGAAAAAAAAGACCAGAAATCACAGAGGCAAAGCAGAAATTAGTCATTACCACCTTTCTTTCCATAACAGACAAACCGTAACCATGTCCAATTTTAACAAAGACGACGATTTGGCACCAGCAGATGCACCACCATCATATGCGGAGGCGGTATCTACTCAAGCGACAGGAATGACCAATGGTGGGTCTTCTTCGTATAGTCAACATTCTGCACCACCCCCGCCCGCACCCAGACCACAGCCCCCACAATCATCCTATAGACCACCACCTCCACCTACACGACCTCCACAACAACCACCACGGCCACAACAATCATCTACAAGTCTGCTATATACAGGCAACACCAATCTTCCATTCTCGTTTCCTAAGGGGTACCTTTGCTCCAAATGTAAAAACACCGGATATAAAATAAAACACGGGGATGTGTGTCGTACTTGTTGGGATAAATTCTACCTTTCAAAAAATGCCTACAATCCCAGTCCATCGTTACCGTTCAAGTATCCTCGCAAGTACTACTGTAACAAATGTCACAACACAGGTTACAAAATCAAGAATGGAAAATCGTGTCAAGATTGTTGGAGTTTGTTTGGACCAAGAAACAGCTATTCCTCAGTAGTGAACGGATACAATCCTAGCTATTTCGGAACCACTACATTCTTACCGTACTCTTCCCCCAGTGGGCTAAGAGTACCACCGGGAGATCCAAGATTGGGTGGGATTTTATGTGGACGATGTCGAGGAAGCGGGGTCACGAGATTTTTATTGGATGTTGACTTGTGCCCTATTTGTAATGGGCTAGGAAGAGTTATTACAAGCGGTACTCAGCAACATGCGCCTATGCCCCCACGCCCTCCACAACATATTCCTATGCCTCCACCACCACCACCTCAACCTCCAATGCAACCATACTATTACCCTCCAGAAAAGAGGTGAAGCGTTTATAGTGTTACTTTTGTGTATGTTTGAAATATAAGAGTAAGATTTATGATTTAAGCGTAGTACTATTACTGACTGAGTTTGGTGACAAACTGAAGGATTTGTTAAAGTTAAAACTCTATTTAAAGTACGAATAACTCGGAGTTAATTTTGCAAGAAAATTGTCACCAAATTATGCAAAAACCTCATCCGGTTGATAACTTAACCTAAAGGCAGTATCAGTACCTACTCTGGAACAATCGGGTTAGTTATATTGCAAAAGGTTAACTTGCTATTTCCCTTTTTACTATGTTAAATATCCCCTTCCCCCCCCCCCCCCACTCACACACTTAGGAAACCCGCCTGGTAGCACCCTCGTCATCAAGCCAAGTCAGGTCTTGCCAAACAAACATGCCACAAAAACTCTATTTACAGTATGTAAATCCAACATAAATCTGATATCCGTGGTTAATTCGGTAGGTCATCGACCAAACTACAATATATCCATGGAAAACGTCAATTTTATACACTTATACACTTTTACTTGTAATTAGAAGGATACTTGAAATCAGTCAATTCGTAGAAGTTCTCCTTGACACTTCTAACACTAACAAATCTCGACAATATATTACCACTTCCAGCCTTGTCATTAGTTCCCGAGGCTCTGGCACCACCAAACCATTGTTGTCCCACAACAGCACCAGTAGACTTATCATTAATGTAGAAATTACCAGCAGCATATCTCAACTTCTCCTCGGCTAATCTGATGGCTTCTCGATCACGAGCAAACACGGACCCAGTTAATCCGTACTTGGTAGCACCGTCAATTGAGTTCATAATTTCTTCGTAAGAGTTGTCAGGGTATACGTAAACGGTCAAGATAGGACCAAAGAATTCCTTGGTTAAATATTCGTGCTGTGGATTAGTGGTTCTGATCACAGTTGGTTGGACGTAGTATCCGTTAGTGCTGTCATAGGACCCACCAGTGATGATTTCCAATTCTGGGTCAGTCTTGGCGTTGTCGAGAACGGCTTTTAATTTATCAAATGATTGTTGATGGATTACTGGACCCATGAATGCATTGAGTTGGGAGGGATCAGAGGTGTTGCCAATGGTGATGGTGTCGACTGCAGCAGCGATTTGATCTTTGAATTCGGGCCAGATAGATTCGGGAACGTATGCTCTTGAAGTGGCACTGCATTTTTGTCCTTGATATTCAAAAGCACCACGTAAAGTAGACAACACAGAGTGGTTTATTGAAGCGGATGGGTGGATCAAGTGGAAGTTCTTACCACCGGTTTCACCGACAATTCTTGGGAAATCACGGTACTTGTCAGCAGCAACGTTGTTACTGATCTTGCAGTACAAGTTCTTAAAGACATCGGTGGAACCAGTAAAGTGTAACGCCGAGAATTCAGGATCCTCCAAGACTAAATCAGTGACTTGGATTGGATCACCAGGGATAAAGTTGATGACACCAGCAGGCAATCCGGCTTCTTCCAAAATAGTCAAAAGCAAGTAGTTACTCAAGGCAGCGGTAGCACTTGGTTTCCACACCACAGTATTACCCATTAATGCAGGGGCACCCACCAAATTACCGGCGATAGCGGTGAAATTGAATGGAGTAACGGCATAAACAAACCCTTCGAGGGGTCTGTACTCAGCACGGTTCCATACTCCAGGAGCAGTTTGAATTGGTTGGGTTCCATACATTTCTTCAGCATACTTGACGTTGAATTTGAAGAAATCAATTAGTTCAGCAACACAATCAATTTCAGCTTGGTAGACATTCTTACCTTGTCCAAGCATAGTAGCGGCAAGCATATCGTATCTGTATTTGGTACTGATCAAATCAGCAGCTTTCAAAAAAATTGCGGCACGGTCGGTCCAACTAGTAGCGGCCCATTTAGCTTTGGCGGACTTGGCAGCTTCAATGGCGGCCTTGATGTCTTCAGCAGTGGCTTGAGAAACATTGGCAAGGTTTTGTGAGTGGTGGGATGGGTTGACTTGTGGTTTAGTTTCATCACGGTAGATCTTCTTACCATTGATGACAAGGGGGACGCTTAATGCACCTTCATCAGTGAACTTGGTCAATGAGGCACGAAGTAAATCCCAGTCTTTGGTGTCTTTGAATGAGAAGGGACGCACTGGTTCATTGGCGAGGAATGGTGGTGATTTGATGTGGGAAAGTTGTGCCGCGTGGGTAGAAGCGGTTCTGCGGACTACAGTAGTAATGGTAGGAAGTAAGATCTTGGTGGTGCATCTGGAGGCAGCAGCCACACGAATGGAACGACAAGCGGTAGATCTTAACATTGGATATTTTTATGTAAAGAAAAGTTGAAATTTGCCGAATGATGGAATTTATAAAAGTTTAAATAAGAAGAAGAAGAAGAAGATGCGGTGGTGGTGGTGGTGGAGAATTCTGGGGAACAAAGTCGAATGGCATTTGATCTGGGAATGGAAAAGCCAGGCGAGGACAAAAAAAATTTTTTATGCCAGTGCTGCAAGGCGTTACGTTATGCATCTTCGGTTAGTTCTACTCTAATTTTTCGCGAGGTATCCAATAGCGAGATACTGTTATCTATTAATCTACCACTAGACTATCTACTTTTAAGGTCAACTTGGCTATCCTATCACTGATATTATTGACATTGCTATCAACGTTTTCACGGTATTCTTGTAAATTCAGTTGAAGTTTGTCAATCGACTCGTTCCACACCTTCATATCTCCAGTAATATCGTTCAACACTTGATCCACCAGTCCTGCCAACTTGACACTCCCATCGATTTCACTATGTACAGAATTTAATGTTTTTAAACGTTGAACGAGCAATGGGATAACTGAAGAATTTTCCATTAGCGATGGAAGTGCTTTGTATAATTCGTCAATTTTTTTATTACTTTCCTTTTGTTTCTCGGGCTGTACTGCTGCAGGCGCAAGATTAAGCATAAGTTTCTTGGATAACTCCAACTTTTCTGCTTCTTGGACCAACTCAGATATTTGTTGTTTGATTGCATCGAATGAATATTCCGGATTGTTGATGATTGATATCTTGCGCTCAAGGTCGTTCAATGTTTGCTGGATCGACTTTTCCGGACGTGCTTCGTGTTCAAGAATAGCTTCACTGCCAACAATAGTCTCGAGGGTATTGACTCTGGATTCAAGCTCGGTGATTTCTTTCAAGGAGGTATCACTAGACTCCTCCTTGTCTTTCGCTGCTACTTCTTCGAATACAGAATCTAGGTTCAAGCCTTGAAACTGGCACTGTTTTCGTGCTTCTCTGTTACCTCTGAGTTCATGATACTTTTCAATCAACTCGTTAAGTTGCGCACTGTCAACATCTTCATTCTTGATTTCCTCCAATTCTCGAGCTATTCTGGATAATTTCTCGGCCACGGTTTCATTAACGCGAGACACAATATATCCACTAGTTCGCAAGCTGGACGTGATACTGCCCAGAAAGTCCACGTCTGCATTTGTTGATAGTATATTTTTGGAGAATTGCTTGCGTGAAGCTTCTGGTTCAAGTGAGTCGGTGTATACTTCTTCTGACGTATCTGTTGTTGTAATTGACTTCTGTGGAAGATCTTCACTTTCCACGTCTGATGTTTCATAGATTTCTTGTCCTGGTGATATATCGAGCATAGTATGTAATGTCTAGTCTAGTAGTTGTGCTTTGGCTGCCTGGGTAGTACACTGAATTTGTTTACTTTGATTTGAACAAAGACAATTGCGCAGTGCAAAAAAAAAAAACTACAACGTTACATCAAATGCTTTAATGCTGTTCTATACATATCCAGTTATACATCTACTTGGTAACAATCTGCACTACATCTTCATCGTGTACCGGTTGACTCAATCCACACTTTTGTGGTGAATGCTTAGCACTTGACCCCCAAACCAATGCATACTTGAACTGGTTCTTCATATCTCGATGAATAGAATCACACACTTCCAATATACTCGAGTTATTCCGTACAACCATAGGGTCGTCAAATTGTGGTTGGACCCCTCTTCTCTTGGTATATATCCTGAGCAAATCCAACTGTCTCCATATTTCCTCTTTTAAATCTTCAATACCCAAATCCAACTCACATGACATCACGCAGGTGTTTGGTTGACGGGCCAATCTGTCACATTCTTCCAACGACACAGCATCGATCTTGTTGTACACATACAAACACTTGATATAACTGATGTGCTGTTCATTCATGACATCGATGAAGTCGTCAACAGTGACGTTCTCGTCTCTCACCAACACATCGGCGTTGTGGATCTTGCAGTCTTTTAACAACGCAGTGACAATCTTTTCATCCAAATACTTGGGAGGGGTGATTGAGTTCATCTTGATCCCACCTGTTTTTTTCAATTTGATCGAGACGTTAGGTCTGGTCTTGTTCAATCTGATGCCCATGCTTTCCAATTCATTCTCCAAAATTGTTCGTTGGTCTTCGGCCTTGGTAGCATCAAGAACCATCAAGATCAAATCACTCGTTCTCGACACGGCAATAACCTGTCTCCCTCTACCTTTACCCTGGGCGGCGGCTTTGATGATCCCCGGCAAATCGACAATTTGCACCTCTGCACCGTTGTATTCCAAAATCCCACCGACAGAAGTCAACGTGGTGAACTCGTAACTGGCAGCCTCGGACTTGGTGTTGGTGACTTTACTCAAAAACGACGATTTACCAACTGACGGGAACCCAATAAGGGACACACGTGCATCTCCAGCTTTGGCGACTTCGAAACCCTGTCCCCCACCACTGGACCCACCGGCGGCAGGCTCGAGAAGTTCTCGACGATATCTGGCGAGCTTCCCCTTAAGAAGACCAATGTGGTATTCGGTGGCCTTATTCTTTTGCGTGCGCGAAAGTTCCTCTTGGATCTGTGCAATCTTTTCAAGAATACCCATTCTAACACTTTCTCTATGAATTTACTTTGGATTGAGTAACCCTTTCAGATTGAAACAGAGGGATGTATCTTCTCACTATGGGAAAATTTTTGAACTTTTTGGGGGTCGTAAAAGCATCCACGTCACGTGATTAGTTAAGCCGCACGGCCCATTGAAAATTTACTTTGCATCTCATCGTTATCAATTTTTCTTTCTTACCAACTTAACCTTAAACTGGTTAGTGAAACACTACACAACGATGGGGAAGGCACCAAAGGATAACAGGAAGAACAACAACAGAGGAAAGCCAATAGTTGTAGCCGACACACTCAACTCGGGTGCCTCCAAAATCAAAAAGAAAATCAGAGACATCGAAAGACTTCTCGCCAAGAAGACCAACAACCTCCCTGCCGACAAGCGTATCGAGTATGACCGTGCCCTCAAAGCTCTCCGTGTCGAGTTGGCCAACGCCCAGACGCAGATCAAGGCCAAGGAAATCGCCAAGAAGTACCACATGGTGCGATTCTTCGAGAAGAAGAAGGCCGTCAGGAAATTGAAACAGTTGAAGAAGACCTTTGACGAAGTGTCCAAGACCGAAGTAAGGAAAGACATCAAGAAGGCAAGGAGAGCAGTGAGACAAGGCGAGATAGATGTTGCATACGTGATTTTGTTCCCCAAGACCGAAAAGTACATCAGTTTATACCCAAATCCAAAGGAAAATGACCAAGTTGATGCAAAAGACCCTAAAGCCATATTGGGTGCTAAAAGAACACAAGAAAGACGAAGTCAATTCAGAAAAGAAGTAGAGAAATTGATGGACGATGGTAAATTACCATTCAGTATCGACGATGCCCTCGCAGGTAAGACCATTAAGGTGGACGCTGTTCAACAAGCAACCTCCACTCAAGAGATTGATGCTCCTCAAGTTAAGCCCGAGGAAGAAGAACAAGACGAGTTCTTTGAATAGACTACACATATCATGTACATTAGTTAATAGACAAAAACACAAAACAAAAAGAACAAAGCATTTCACTTTAAGTTGACTTTCTCAGTGTAGGTAATATCTAACGCGTCATTAACCAACATGACCGTTACTTCTTCGCCATACAAGTCTTCATCGATATCCAACAGACACTTGACCACTCCTTTCTTTCCTACTAGTCTAGGCGATGCTCTCTTCAATAACAACAACTCGTCCAGTTGTTCATCAGCAACAATAACAAACCAAGACTCACGTTGTGGCTTAGGGAAATGAGGACAGTACACTTTAAACTCCAGATTTAATGGGAAGTTATCGTGAGTCAAAGCCACGGTCAACTGTTCCTTCGAGTCTTGTGCAACTTCAAGTTTACCAGTAGGTAATCTCGACCCAATTCTTACAAATTGCTTAACTGCTTCTTCATCAGTAACGGGAACATCAGCTATGATATTGTCGCCATTCACACCTATCCTCTCGGCAAACTTGTACAATTTTCCCATCCCCATTTCACCAATCGCCTTTAAATCAACCTTGTGCTTCTCATTCTTAGGCATCAACGTCAAACCAGGCAATGTAGAAACTGGGTCGTCATCATACCAGCATCTTTGTTTGATACACTTCATGACTTCCACAAACAGCAACACCACCAGTAAATATCCCATCTCGGCTGCAGCATCAATATAGGCTTGCAAAATACGTAACGCTTGATCCAACACAGAAATCGTATCCTGGGAATAATCGGCAATTGGTAACTCGACCCTGCTCATAAATGCTTGGAGAAGGAGATACGCCTTGACATGAGGATCCCAGATAAACTCCTTGTCTAAATCTTCAGCCGGATATCTCATCGCCTGCGACATTTCCATGTTGATTAGTTCTTCACCATGACGCGTAGCCAACTCGTTATATTCAGCAGCTTCACTGAGCAATTGAAGACATTGTCTGAATTGGAACTCTCTGGTAACCTTACTGGTAAAGTTACGCATGGTCATATGGGAAAGATAGTAGTACGAAGATATATCCAAGAACGGAGTTGATTGAAGTTCGTTACCCACGGTACGAACACATTTTGACTCAACTAAATTCTCAATTGTGGTATCAACCAACTTTGCCAAGTATTGAGAAACTCCATATTGGCTGACATCTTCAATACCGTAATAAGTTGGATTGTTATGAGCTCTTCTATACAAGAACGTCCAACTCAAGAAATCCATAGCCTCTTGTCTCGTTCCAATCGTACCGGCACTGATCTCGGCACCAATATGATCATCCAACACTTTATGCAACGAACTCTCCACCGGAAATCCAAGATTCAAGAAATGCTTGTAAAACACCTTCTTCAGTTCTTTGGTGTACACAATGGCAATCCCACTAGTGTCAAATGCTGGTCTACCTGCTCTCCCCATCATTTGCAAAATATCAGTCAAGTCCATATCACGATATCCTTCAATCTTGGCATCAAAGAACTGGGTACCTTTAATGATGACCAAATGGGCCGGCAAGTTGACACCCCATGCCAAGGTCGAAGTAGCAATCAATATTTGAATCTTTCCCGCTTCAAAAAGCTTATGGGAAAGTTGACGGTCCAGCTCAACCAAACCAGCGTGATGCAACCCCATACCGAATTGCAAGGAAATCTTGAGCGTATCATCCTTGACTTGTTCTAATACATCCGCTAGTTCATAATCGGACATCTTGAGGAATCGACGTGGATTCAGTTCCATACCACACAAATGAATTAGGTCTAACGCAGTAAGTCTAGTTTGTCTACGGGATGCCACGAAAATCAACACTGGTTTATCTGGTGAGTGTTGCTTGATAGCCATAAATGCAGGTTTATTCATTGTCTTCATTAACGGACAAAAGGCAAGATTGTCAGGGAATCCATCAATGTACATCTGTAAAGGCACAGGTCTAACTGAAGACGGGAAATTGAACAATCCTTCACGAACACCTAACCACCCAGCCATATCAAAAGCATTGCTGACAGCAGTAGACATACCTAATAATCGAATAGGTTGTTTGGTTTGCGATGAAATATAGTTCATTCTACTTACAATCATTTCCAAAATGGGCCCTCTGTCACTGGCCAATAAATGAATTTCATCCATGATAACAAGAGAGACTTTTTGGACAAACTTTCTTGTCTGCCAATTACGGGAAATACCATCAAACTTTTCCGGGGTAGTAATGATAATATCTGCTTCTTTGACTTCAGCAACTCCAGGAAGAGAATCACCTGTTAATTCAACTAGTTTGTGCAGGGTGTTCTTGACAATTCTTTCACGCCAATCATCAACTCTTTCACGGACCAACGCCTTCATAGGTGCGATATAAACCACCTTTGATTCGGGGAATTCGTTAAATGCATGCCAGATAGCAAGCTCGGCCACAACAGTCTTACCTGACCCAGTAGGGGAACCAACAAATACACTGGAATTGGTGTTGTACAATGAATGGAACACCATGGTTTGCATAGGATTGAAATACTTGAATTTATGGCTGTAAATCTTTTCAATGTCTGGATTGTGTAACGCAGTCACAGGCAATGGTTGAAGTCTTAATAAATCTGTTTTAATAGTCTCGTTACTTGGTCTGATCAAGTGTTGGAATGACACAGCATGAACCGATTCAGAACCAATCCAGAGATCAGAAACAACTCGGATAATCACTTGTGGTGGGAGCGGGTCTGATAATGGGATCATAAAGTCCATTTCATGAGGACTGTGCAATTGCCTTCTGTTTAGAATAAACTTTTCCACATGGAGGATATCACTTCGGTCAGATTCTTCCACTGTAAGCCAGAATATTTGGGCATTACCGTGATATCTTTCATCCCACATGAAATCAGGCTCGAGATTAACATGAACTCTCATTACATTACTCGTGATTGGGAAGATCTCAGAGTCAATCTCAATATAGGGAAACTTACCAACTAATTTGTAAAGAACAGATCCCATTTTATGGTTATGCACCAAATCACCCAATTCTGCTGGTTCCATATCACGAAGAGTATCCATGGTTGGATTCTTTGCTCTGATATTTCTCAAGACTGGTTCTGGCAATTCAAACTGTGACATCGGATGTTCAAACGCCCAGATTCTCTTATCAATAGACTTGCACAATGAAAGCATAATCTTCATAAATCTTCCCCATCTTCTATTCATGGCAATTAAGAACAAGGCACGACATATTCTTGCTGAATTCTGGGCAACATAATTAGCATCGGAAATCAACGCCGATTCTCTAATGTTTGCCTGGGACACAAATGCTTGTAACAAAATATTGGTTTTCCCCTGAGGTGAATCAACATCCCCGGCAATTTGACACGGGGTGCTATCTTCAAGCAATCCCTTTAATTCAGTAGCTTCTTCTTCCCTAAACTTAATACTATCAAATTCACTACTCATACTAATCATAGACAACACATCAGCTTCAGTAGCCAAAGGATTGATCATCTGGTTGAATATCTCTACAGAGTTATTCAACAAATAGAAATCACTTGCAATTCTTCCTAAATCTTTCACGGTGAATGCCCCTGAGTTCTCATCAAACACAATCATTTGTAAATGATGAAGTCGTTTAGCTGAACTAATAATCATCTCTCGGCGACGGTTATATAACAATGGATCTTCTTGCAATTCACGCCAATCTATACCGTAAGCAAATGGATTCTGCTTCATACGTACCAACATATAAGTGTATCCCAACCATTGAACTCCCTCATCAATATTCGTGACTGTCCCCAACGAAATCTCGGCATTTAGATTGTCAATCAATTTCGCCTGCAATTTCGATTCAATTGGATGCTGTTGGGTAAGCAAACTGACATAGTGGTCAAGCTTGTCACTGGTGGTACACAAAATACCGGTACCAAACTTTTCATACTGGGGTCTACCTGCTCTACCAAAGATTTGAATCACATCGGAAATACCCAAATCGGTAAAACCACCGGCTTTGGAATCATAGACCTGTGTCCCTTTAACAATAACGACGGCAGCTGGTAAGTTGACACCCCATGCTAGCGTAGCAGTACAGCACAACACCTTAATAGCTCCAGCTTCAAACATCTTTTCAGTAAGATTTCTATCACTACGTAACATACCGGCATGATGAACACCAAATCCTGATTGGAAAAGCTCCTTCAATTCTTTACTTCTATTCTTGCCACTTACTTCACGCTTGTACTTTTCGTAAAAGTCAGATTCAGTACAATCAAACATTCCTAGTTCATTATGATCTTGAGCCATTGATATAAATGTACGTGCTGTCTTTACAGTATCCTTTCTCGAATGGACAAACACCATAACTTGGACGCCTTGATGGATGTAATCGGCCAACTTCTCATAACTTACTTTATCTATATTCTCACGAGCCATTTTAGAGCCCGATTTACCTCTGACTCCCAATATCTGCTGTTTCAAAGGAACTGGTCTGAATGACTGGTCAAAGTAAAACATACCGACATTTCTATTAACACCAAGAAAATCGGCCACATCCATGAAATTAGGCAAGGTAGCACTCAACCCAACAACTCGAATCATCAGCTGGGTAGCTTCCACCTGCCTCAAAGTTCTAGCAACTAATGTTTCAATAACAGACCCACGATCTTCATGTAACAAATGCACTTCATCAATGATTAATAGTTTCACTTTAGCAACAAGTTCAGAATCACCATTCAGCTTACGGGTAACCACATCCCATTTTTCTGGAGTCGTGACTATGATTTGCGTACTCATGATTTCCGCATGGGTGAGCTGCATATCACCCGTGAGTTCACGTACTGAAATACCCAACCATTGCAACTTCTTGGAATACTTTTCCACGATTTCAGCAGCAAGAGCTTTCAATGGTGCTACATACACGATTTTGAATTCGTCATAATCTATATCTATAGTCACGTCATTGTCCTCACCAACTGTCTCGGTAACGTATTGATTTATAGTATGCAAAATAGTCAACAATGCCACATCAGTCTTACCGGCACCGGTAGGTGCACAAACAAGCATGTTTTCGTTGGTGTTGTATGCTACCGGGTATACCAAACTTTGCATCTTGTTTAAATTCTTGTAGTTTTTGAATGTTCCCTGACAGAGAAAGTCCAATTGGGAAATCTTGACTAGTTTGTCATCACTGATCCACTTGTTGGCTTTAGGTTCAGGGTAGGGTATGGTCAATTCTTCATGTGTAGCATATGAGTCTCTGGTTGTTCCTTGTGGTAGAGCAAATTTTTTTCCTGTAATTGCCACCATATTTCCGACATCGGGGTTCTTAAACACGTTGGGGTATCTCTGAACAGTCAGCTTAGGTGCTAATTTCTGATTCTTGGTTCGTTGCTGGTTATCAAGCAACAATTGGACTCTTTCTTCTGCAGTAAGTAAACCTGCTGCTGCATTTTGGTCGGCGGTGTTAAACACTTGTTTATTCTGTACAACTTTAGAAATCAACTTGAATTCTTCAAATCCTAAAATATCAAACAATGCAGATTGGAGATGCTCGTCACTGGGAGAATCAGCTATCAAGTTCTTGATTATGGAAAACGTTTCATCTGCAGGTAATCCACGCTCTTTACTTATACGTTCGCATTCCAGCTCAATCACCTTGAGTAGTTGACTTACTTGCTGCTGCTGGGACCGACTAGATTCTGCTTTAACAACAGAATCAAGAATTGAAGTATTCACGTCTTCAAACTTGTCAAGAAGCTTGCCAATGGGGGTATATTTGGTTGTCTCTTGATCAATCTGAGGAACCTTGGCTGGTGTGTGAACATTTAGCTTTGCAAGTGTTTCTATCATCGGCTGCATAGCCTGCATGTACGACTTAGTTGACGACACTGTATATGAAGCCATTGTGTCACGATTTGTTGTATTAATTTGCAGAAAGTTGGCAACACTTTGGCAGCACTTTGGCAGCACTTTGGCAGCACTTTGGCATCATTTTTTGTTAGTCATAGTGATTTTCAAAATAGTAAACAGTCACATGACTTATATCACATGATGTGTATCACATGGAGTGTGTCACATGACCAGACTGAATTTTCTGATGAGATGAGACGATTCAAAAAAATTTAGAAAAGTCTATTTATTCTACATAGAATTGACTTGTCTATATCAACAATGGCAAAGAATAGTAAGCAAAGCAAGCCAAAACACTCGGCCAAGGAATCCAAGAAGAGAGCTCACGCCGAAGTTGAGCAGGATTCAAACTCCCCAGGCGAAGAAGAATCTGAAAAGTTGACTGCTGAAGTCGATGCTGATTTCGATGAAGTTGCCAATTTGTTAGGCCAGGATATTAAAGACCCAGACGCAAAACGTAAATCTAAGGCGGTTGAAGAACCAGCTATTCCCGAATACACTCCAGTGGAATCCAGCGACAAGTCCAAGGAAGAAAACGAAGAGGATGTATTCTTCAAAGATGCTGAATTGTCTGAACCTACCATGAAGGCTATTACCGAAATGGGATTCACTAAGATGACCAAGGTTCAAGCAAAGACCATTCCTCCATTGTTGGCTGGTCGTGATGTCTTGGGTGCCGCCAAGACCGGGTCCGGTAAGACTCTCGCATTCTTGATCCCCGCTATTGAATTGTTGCACTCATTAAAGATCAAACCAAGAAATGGTACCGCGGTTATCATAATCACCCCAACTAGAGAACTTGCCCTTCAGATCTTTGGTGTTGCCCGACAATTAATGGAGCACCATTCCCAAACCTGTGGTATTGTTATTGGTGGTGCTGATAGACGTGCCGAAGCTGTCAAGTTAGGTAAAGGTGTCAATTTATTGGTGGCTACTCCAGGTAGATTATTGGATCATTTGAAAAACACTCCAGGGTTCGTTTTCAACAACTTAAAGGCATTAGTTATTGATGAAGCTGATAGAATATTAGAAATTGGGTTCGAAGACGAAATGAAGCAAATCATCAAGATCTTACCGAACGAAAACAGACAAAGTATGTTATTCTCCGCTACTCAAACTACAAAGGTGGAAGATTTAGCGAGAATATCGTTGAGACCAGGTCCATTGTACATCAACGTCGTTCCAGAAACTGACGTATCCACCGCCGACGGGTTAGAACAAGGGTATGTTGTATGTGATTCCGACAAGAGATTCTTGTTGTTGTTTTCCTTCTTGAAGCGTAACATCAAGAAAAAGATTATTGTTTTCCTTTCATCGTGTAACAGTGTCAAATTCTACAGTGAGTTATTAAATTATATCGACTTGCCAGTGTTGGATTTACACGGGAAACAAAAGCAACAAAAGAGAACAAACACATTTTTTGAATTCTGTAATGCCAAGCAAGGTATTTTAGTATGTACCGATGTCGCTGCTAGAGGATTAGATATCCCAGCAGTCGACTGGATTATCCAATTCGATCCACCTGATGATCCAAGAGATTATATTCACCGTGTTGGTAGAACAGCCAGAGGAACCCAAGGAAAGGGTAAGTCTCTTATGTTCTTAACTCCGCTGGAATTAGGATTCTTGAGATACTTGAAAGCTGCTAACGTTCCATTAAACGAATTTGAATTCCCAAGTAATAAGATTGCCAATATTCAATCACAATTGGTGAAGTTGATCAAGACTAATTACTTGTTACACCAATCGGCCAAGGATGGATACAGGGCCTATTTACAAGCATATGCTTCACATAGTTTGAAGACGGTTTATCAAATTGACAAATTGGATTTAGTCAAGGTAGGGAAATCATTTGGGTTTGAAGTGCCACCAAAGGTTAACATAACCATTGGTGCCAGTGGTAAGTCTATAGAAAAGAAACACAAGAAACAAAGACGAGCTTAGTTGATGATAAAGTGTTGTTTGTAAATTAGTAGATACATTATTAATAAAAGTCAATAAGCAACCATTGTTCTCTTATAGTAGTGTTTGGCACTTTTGCTTGCATTTGCAGCTCATTGCTGGAGCAATCAAATTTTCTTGGTGATGTAAATGATTGTGTGTGTGTGTGTATATATATTTTTGTTTTTGCAACATTTAACGCCCCTTCAAAGATCACACCACATCAACAAACCATGGAGAACGAACTGAAAGGTTCAGATACTCTTGATAGTTCCAAAGCTTTGCCACTTGAGAAGTCTCAGTTGGAGCATTTGAACTATTATGTTCAACTAGAAATGTTATGCTCAATTGTGATGCTTTTCGTCCACATTTCTTGTGATTTCACAAGTAGAGTACCACTTTCCCTCGTCAAACGCTTCCCACCCTTTACCCTTGACATTGGTTTGAGTTCTGGATATCTTGACAGCTTAGTGGATTTAGTCCAACTGTTTTTGAAATCATTTCCTGGTCCTTTACATGAAGCTTTTGCGTCTCTTTCTCATTCTCAGCTAAAATCAAGCTTGTCTAGTTATAACAACAACATGTTTACTTTCAGTGGCTTGGAATTTACTTGGTTCAGAGATGGTGATATAGATACATATTACAACAACTATAAGGGTCCCAATATCGTTTACGGTATTACTAAAACATTTGTTGATCAATTAAGTGCAAGCACAAACTATACGTCAGATGAACTCTTAGGTACCCTATACAATACTTATTCCAGTTCAATAAAAGACATGTGTTTTAATCCTACATCCTTCAACTTGACTGGGTTGGGAGATTATGATATTTGTCAATTGCACAGATACAATACCTCTGGATATGCAAGCCATGTGTTATTATCAATGTTTCACTTTTCCATAATAATTGTGATGGCAATTCAAACAATCGAACTGATGATGAACATCTTTGGAAAGGTATCCATCGTTGAAATTGCATTCATCAAGAAGGTTTTCTTAGGTATCGAGAATACAGTATTGATTTCCTACGTCTACAAATCTATATTTATGCAACGCAAAGTCAAAGCATTCTTGCAGGAAAATTCCGTTGGAACTTTGACAGTGGACCCCTTCACATTCTTGTTTGTGGGCTATTTTTTGTACCAAATCAGTCTTCAGTCTGTTTTACACAGTGAAGTCACAAGATTGAAGTTGTTGGAATGTTGGAAATGCCCCATCTCGGCTAAAAAGAAGGCCATTCAGCGTTGGGGGTTGTATGCATTTTTGTTTCTTTCTATAGTCCCCACTATATTTATAGTTAGTTTAGTATAGCACTATTTAGAATGCCCTAGGTGCAATTTAATTTTAGCTTTTATATACAGAAGTATGTTGTCCAAAATTTGTTATGATTGTTATCAACATTTGCGGTGCTGCGTTGTCTCTCACCCGCTAATTTAGCGTTTTTATGAGTGAGTTTTAGCTTAGAATTGCTTCGACATTGGAAATACCCCATGTCACCTAAAATCAAAAATAAACTCCATTCAGCGATGGGGGGGGGGAGGAGGCTACATTCTTTTATATTCTATCTCTAGCTCAAACTATAATTAAATTAAACAAGTATAGTATGATTTGTTGGTATAATTGCTATCAGGTTGTGCACAACCAGGCTGAGTCAAGATGTTCTAGACTTGTCCGTGCGAGACAACAAATGTAAGCTACGACTTCTAGCAACAGATTCGATCCACCCAATTCCTACAGCAAGCATATATTCTAGGCAAGTTGTGCAAGTACGCCTAACCTGCACCCCTGACTATTAGAGGCGATTGTTCTGTTGTTTAGTAGTGCTGGGATCATCACCTCCTTTTTTTGGTTGCCATAATTCACCTGCCTAACAAATTATATATATATATTTTTTTGGGCTGTTTTAATAATAGCGGCTAAGAAAAATACGGTGGTTTTACCCCTTACGAAATTTGCCTGGATATTTACCACATTCATCCTCCTTGTTCTTAACAAAGTGTTCTTTTGACAGAAATTTTAACCTAATACGGGAATTCCCTACATTCGTTCAGTTCCAGATTAGTACCTTTACAAGAACAATTACTGAATTGTCTTTGTTTTTTTTTTGCCAGTTTATGTGTTAATTGTTGAAGCTACGATTCCCAAACCTGGTTTGAGATGATTTCAACTACTGGCGCAGAGCTAAGACGAGGACATGCTCGCAAGAGATCAACATCAAAGGAGACACCGAAACCTAAACTGCTGTCTCAATGGAACTTGAAAGGGTTCTTGAAGATTGCATCAACTGATTCACATTCAGCAGCTAATGACACAACCACGACTGATCCAGCACAAATACCGCCACCTCTGGCTGTTCCTTCAACTCCTTCTACAACAGATTCACACGATTTAAGCAAGTGCTATTGCTGTGGAACAGTTCTTACATTTCCTAGTCGAGCCAAGAAGTTTAGGTGTTCTGTATGTCAAACGACAAACTTGTTTGAATTACAAACTTCATCTTTCCCCACTTCATCAGAAACAGACCTTCCTCATGTGGTTTCCTACGAATATGTCAAAAAGTTGGTGGATCGCTGTTACAATAGTACATCGTCTGAATCTGGTCAATCCCAAACCTTGCATCAAATATTTGAACCACTTTCATCATACTTGTATTTGGCGTTTAAAAGCAATGACGTTCTTTCCAAATCATTCAAGGTGAGAAAGGCAAGTAAACGAGCACATTACCACACTTCAAATATTAATTATCAGGATATTCACGATATGTTTAGCCTATTGACCAAGCTACCTACAAAACGACCCTTGTTTTCTGCATTGAAAGGTGCTCTGGAACAATTAAAGAGAATATTGATATTTAAAGATAGCAACGACCCCAGAAACTATTATTGGCTATTGATCTTGTTGGAAATACCCATCTTGCAACGTTCGTTACTTGATAACGATGCTTCTACCCTGAAGCTTATGAGCGATGTTCCTGAAATTAAGATGTTGAGTTATGATATTCTCAAGCGATGTTTGGGGATCTTGTCATGCATTGATGCGATAACTACTACTAATTACATTACCAGTTGGTTTTCCAAGATGGACGATGACCAATTTGTCAAGAATGTGGATTTGATCAATTTGTACATCACCTTCCAACTTAAGAAATATTTGTATTTGGCAAATAACCCAGGAGTAAGACTTAGTCCTAACCCGCAACATCTGCCCAATGAGCATGTTAGTCTGCATGATGCCGAGTATTTCCAGAATTTAAACTTGAAGAGACATCTTGAGGTTGATGACCCAGTGGAGGCACATTTATCCGTGACTAGTCCGCCAGCAAACCTCTTTGGCAAACCAAAAGGAAAAAAGAAGGAAAAGGGGGAAGTCAAGGTCAAGGTTCACCAGTATGGTAATGATTGGCATATCAAGTCTGCCCTTATGGTGATGAATATGCTTTACAGAGCCAACATTTCACGACTACACCCGATCCCCGTTTCGTCATTTTATAATTCATTGGTGGATTTTGTGAATATCAAATTGGATTATGATTCTTGGCAAAGCAGTAAACGAAATAGTTTGCGAGAGGGGAAAAGCACACATCCTGAGATTCTGCAAGTTATTGGATTCCTTCATGGAACTAGTATAAACAAGAATTTGTTTGATGATGCTTTGTATTATTTCTGCCAATATCCGTTTTTGATTTCATTAGGTGGGAAGATATCTGTGTTGGAATACGAAGCAAGACGACAGATGGGACGGAAAGCTGAGGAGGCATTCATTAACTCATTGGACAAGAGAACTACTATTGATATTTATTTCAAAGTCAAGGTTAGACGAGAAAGAATAGTTCAAGATTCATTAGAGTGCATCAAGTTGAACTCCAACAATCTTAAAAAGAGTTTAAAGGTTCATTTTATAAATGAACCTGGTGTTGATGCTGGGGGTTTAAGAAAAGAATGGTTTTTGTTGTTAACAAGGGCAATTTTCCACCCACAGACTGGGATGTTGCATAACGTTGAAGATTCAAACTATTTATGGTTTAATATTGTCCCTGTTGAAAATTTTGAAATGTACTATTTATTCGGGGCAGTGTTAGGATTGGCGATTTACAATTCTACAATTTTGGATTTACAATTCCCGTTGGCGTTGTACAAGATCCTTATGGGTAAACTGTTGGATCATAACGATTACAAGACGATATTTCCTGTTTCTTATAAGAACTTGATGAGTTTGAAAACAATGACTGCCGAAGAATTGGCAGAACTCGAGTTGACATTTGAAGTTAGTTATTCCGATGCATTTGGAACGAACTTAACCGGGGATTTGATTCCCACTGGTTCGCAAATCAGTGTCACTGCAGATAATTTGGACGAATATATTGAGAAATATATTGGATTCTTTATAAAGGACGGCATCAAGCGACAGGTTCGCTCGTTTCATGAAGGATTCATCCATGTCATTGGCGGCAATGCCCTTTCGCTATTTCTGCCGGAAGAAATTGAATTACTATTATGTGGAAGTGACGATAGTGGGATCGATGTAGACTTGCTTAAATCAGTGACAAAATATTCGGGGTGGAAACCAAGTGAAGATGCACAGAATTCAAATATTATCAAGTGGTTCTGGGAATACATGAATGACATGTCAAATAAAGAACGAAGGAAATTGTTGGGATTCGTTACTGGGTCTGATCGAGTGCCTGCTACGGGTATTCAGAATTTGGTGTTTAAGATAACGTTGCTAAAGGCGTATGACAGTAATCGTTTACCGGTTGCTCATACTTGTTTTAACGAATTGGCGATTTATGAATATAGCTCCAAGGCAAAATTGGTTGGTAAATTAAGTAAGGCAATTTTTGAAAGTGCGGGTTTTGGGATAAAGTAGGTATTTAGGGAATAAATGACAACTATCATGAAACTCTAACAGCATTGTTTTTGATTGCAATATGCTTCTAATATCCGTCGGAAAAACTGTGCTCTAATCACCGTGGTTAACTCAGATAATAATGTAGCTCTTAAAATTATGCAGCAATATGTCACAATAACGGCCCGGTGGCTCTTGCGAGGTAAAATCCAGGTTCATGATTGCTGGCTTATTCAGCTAGCTAAGCCCACTATACCCTTCAGCATTATAGTTTTGGTGGTTAGTCGGAAATAGGTGGGAATAGTTCGGCCGAAAATATCTTACAACCGAATAACACCGCGGCTTTTTCGTCCTAATTAGGATAACCGGTGGCTTTTCTGGTTGCAAAAAAAACATTGCATTATTAATCGATATCACAAGTTAATTAGCAGATTTATAATACCGAGGAATGAGTTGTAGACGGTATAAATATTGTTAGCAGTTCTCGTTAATCTGATATTGGGTCCAGCTGTAAATCGCAAAGCAACACACAATGACATTATCCAAATTCCAATCATCCAATTTATTCAAGCCAATCAAGATCGGCCAAACCACTGTGCGTCACCGTATTGCCCAATTACCAGCAAGTAGAAACCGGGCTTCAGGACACGTCCCTACAGATCTTATGAAACAATACTACACTGATCGTGCCCGCCACGCTGGGTTGATCTCCACTGAAGCAACCTTGATCTCGCTTGAACAAGGTATCTACCCTATGATCCCTGGTATTTTCAACGAAAGACAGATGAATGCATGGAAAGAAATCGTTGACGGCGTGCATGAACAAGGGGCTGTCTTTGCTTTGGAATTGCAAGCTTTAGGTAGAGTTGGGGACGCTAAGCTTTTGAAAGAGGCTGGATTGCCATTGACTGGACCTAGTGCCATTTACGAAAATGAAGAAAAGGGGAAAGTGGCTATTGAAGCAGGTAATCCTATTCAGGAATTAACTGAAGCTGACATCAAGGATATTATTTATAGACAATATACTAATGCTGTTAAGTTGGCTATGGAAGCTGGGTTTGATTTTGTTGAATTGCATGGTGGGTACGGATACTTGCTTGAACAATTTATTCATCCTGGTGTCAACAAGAGAACTGATAAATATGGTGGCAGTATTGAAAATAGAGCCAGGTTCTTGTTGGAATTGGTTGATCATTTAAGTACTATTATTGATCCTGCTAAGTTAGCTGTTCGTTTTACTCCAGTCAATTTCTTCCAAGTTCCAGGAGCCAATCCAACTTCCCAAGAAGATTACTCCTACATCGTTTCTGAATTACAAAAAAGGGCAGACGAAGGTAAGAAATTGGCTTATATTAGCATTGTTGATGGTACATTTGCTGATGCAACCATGGACAAGACGGTGGCTTTGGATTTTGGATATATCCACAAGATCTGGAAAGGGATTATCATTCGTGGTGGTAATTACCACAATGACCAAGAAAATTGGGCAGTCCTTGAAAGAGACGCCAGTGCTGATGATCGCACTTTGGTTGGGCTCTGTAGACATTACGTTGCAAATCCTGATTTACCTGAAAGAATCAAGAAAGGGTTGCCATTGAATGAATGTGATAAGCCTAATTTTTACACTCCTTCTAATTGGGGATATAACACCTATCCATTTTACGGTCAAGATGTCACCTTTGATGAAGAAGTTGAAAAAAAGAAATTTGGTATTCCTTTAGTGTGAGCTATTCCATAGCAAGCTCGTTAGGTTCCTTGGTCTATATTATATAGCTAAATTGATACAATAAATCTGAAGTTTATACTGGCCTTTTGGTGCTACCATGTGTGATGTATGTCTATATTTTTAAATCTCTTAGATTGCGGATGTACTAGTATTGTCCATATTCTAGAGGTGGAATGTGTAGACGTGTTATATTTGATATTCAGTGAGTGCAACTCTGTAAATCCTGCTTACATTCAACGTTGTTCTGTTGGCTACGAAAAACGCGTCTGGGTTGTGTGTATGTTAGCTCACGTACTTTTTTTTCAGAAGGAACGAATAACACTACTGGTAAAGACAACACCATCGGATCATGTCACAGTACATAAACCAAAACCTCACCAACCCGTTGTTGATTCGTCCGACACTGAAAATCAATCCAGGGGAAGAGTTTCTCCTCCCGCCACAAGGCAGGAACTACAACCATCAGTACTACACCATGTACCAACACCGATTTAGTGCTCTTAAATCTCGTACTGAAGCTAAAGCACTTGCAAAATGGGGCAACGGACAGCATGATATTGACGGCCAAACTATTTTCAAGCAGGATAAGATATTGGATATCGTTTCTGGGAAATTGTGTTGGGTCATAGGTACCGTGTACATTGATGCACCTGGAAAATTAAATATATTGAAAGATGTTGAAAATGGGGTGGATGACGTGTTGCCTGGTGTTCCAGAAGCTTATGTAAGTGAGGAAAACACTGGAGTTGTTATGTTGGAAGATGAAAGTGGGAGAGCAATCTTACATGGTCTGGAGTTTTTGGATAAGAATTTGTTAGTCACTGGATGTGTTGTAGGGGTGTTGGGGATTGAAGTTCAAGCCGGGGTATTTGAGATTATGGATGTGGTGTATCCTGCAAGTGCACCTCAGAGTAAAAGGGCTGTTGATAATGAACCCAGCAAGATTGTGCTCGTTTCTGGTTTAAACCTTTCCCCTATTGGAGATTTAAAGACCGAACTATTGAAACAATACCTTACGGGTGAATTGGGACTGGATGAAGACAAACATGTCAATTCTAATGTTTCGCAGGTGATAATCGCCGGGGATTCTATTTTACCATTAAAACAGGAACAAAATCAAGATTTCATGAGTACTAATAATTATGGTACCAAAAATATCTCCAAATACAATACTGATTCACTTAAGAAGTTGGGCGAATTTATAAATGATGTCATTGTCAGTTTGCCTGTTGCGGTTATGCCTGGAAGCAATGATCCTGGAGAGATATGTTTACCTCAACAACCACTCCACCGGTCCCTTTTAGGAAACTTTTCTTATGGTGACCGATTAACAAGACTCACTAATCCACAGTGGATTTCTATCGACGGAGTCAAGGTACTCGGTACAAGTGGTCAAAATGTAGATGATATAAAGAAATACGCCAAGAGAAGCGAAGTTACTGACATAATGAAAGCTTCCATAAAATGGCAGAACCTTGCGCCAACTGCACCAGATACATTATATTGTTACCCTTATGATAATGCCGATCCATTTATATTAACTGATGAGGTTCCTCATGTTTATTTCGTGGGGAACCAAGAAAAATATGCTAGTGAGGTGTTCCAGTATAATGGGAGTGTCACTACGTTAATCAGCTTGCCTAAGTTTAGTGAGACGGGGCAGTTTGTTATTGTTGATTTGAAGACATTAGAATGCGAGGTTGTGGAGATTGAGTGCTAAACTTTAGTGTATTATCTGTATATTATCACGTAATAGAGAATTAGATTTACCAAGCGCACCTTGTGCATCGTAGTGACGACCATTAATACGTTCCACTGCGTAGTTATGTAAATTTCAAGGTCGTAGCATGACATAGCCTTGTTTGTCTAAACTTTTTCACTCTGTTGATGTGTTTTCAAGAGCTAAAAATAGTAACCTTTTAGATTCTTAAAATAACAATGATATTGTGTTACCGATTCCCTTTTGGGGGTGGTAGCGCCAGAAGTATTTTCATGCAAGAAAGGAAACCGGGTTTGTTAGGAATATCCCAGGCCACTATCTGGATAGAGACATATTGTAAACATATGGATGAACACATTGGAATAATAGTTGGTTTCAACAGCTTTAAAAAAAAAATACTTGCCACAAGTAAGGGCACAGCGCAACACTCCAGCAAGCATATTCACCACCACATACGGCTCCATTATTGATGGTACAAAACAGGTCAATTGAACTTCTAAAGATAGATTTATTATGAAATTGACCTTATTGTTACCATCAATGATGACATAATAATTCCAGTGTGTATATTTTCGAATATATGTAAAAGTTTATTTTGTGTATGGGCCAGAGTTGCCGTCTGGCAACGTCATTGCCAGATTGCTGCAGAGACAGGTCAACCTGACAAACCAGTTGCGTATACAAATTAATAAGATGAAAACTAGTTAGAGATTTTTGGATGTTATCTCGGAGTTGCTTTGGGTGAAATTTTGGTGGTGATACGAAATTGAATTTGCCACCAGGCTTTCCCACCCCTTCTATCCCCACCTTTATTTTTTGTATCAGGAGAATGTCGTAAACGCCGCTAACAAAATAGGTTGATCATAGGTGATACCTTCAATTGCATTGGCGTGATTGACTTGACAACGGCAACATAACATTCTAAGATCAAGCTACAAATTTACAAGGACCATAATTTTTGTCGGTTTTGCATAATTGACTTGCTTTCAACTTGTTATGGTGAACCCCAATTGCCCTTTCCACTTCTTTGGCTTTTCCTGCATTTTGCCAACACACAAGGAATTTTTTTTTTTTTATTTTTTTTTTTGTTTGTTCGCTTTTGCCTTGCCCTCTTTCTGAATCAGTTTTCTTTCCTTCACCCTTGTTTAAACCTTTCTTGCAAAAGAAAGTTTCTGCCTTTCAATCAATCAATTTAAAATTGCTGCATCAATAGGGTGTTGTAAAACTCAGCCGACCATCATCATCCCCAGCACGACTACACTCTCTAATACACCAGAATTACATAGACACATTACTTACAACCTCCATACCCATATATTTAACGTTTTATAAAATTTTTCTAGTCACAAACTCTACTACACCACCCAATTCCCATGAATCCAGCAAATGATACACCATATTCAGGTTCGGAGGGGGACCAACGGCCTCTTCCTGAACGTACTTCTAGCAGAAAGGGGAAGAACTTGCACATTGCTCACAGAAGATCCCCTTCAGAATTAACGACGTTGATGGTTGAACAATACAATTTACAACGACAATTGGAACAAGTCCAGGCTCAGCAGAAACAAATCTTGCAGCAACAGGCCCAGCAACAGCAGCACCTTTATCAACAACAGGAAATGTCGCCTCCACCGCAACAATTTGGCAGATCCCAAGGTGGCTCCCATTCAAGATCATCGTCTACATCTCATAGACGTACTGGCTCAAGTGGCGGGGGTGCACCAGGTCAGGGCCAACCCCAGGGACACAATAGACGTCACTCATTACAATTGAATGAAGCAATCAAGGCGGCTGCCTCGCAGAGGCAAAGCAATAGAACATCGTTAAGTCCTCCTGTTAATAATCCATCCCAGCCGGCTGAACCCCACAATGATTCTAACGACAGCTTGGGTTCATTTAAATTCCCAGCTGGCCCTAGCAATGACGTGGAAACCAGTCCTCCTTCCTCCAGTCATAATCGCTCAAGATCATTGGCTTATGGACAACAAGCATTCACATTCCCCGCCACGGCTGGAAGCAGTGGTGGACCACCTCCTGTATCCTCCCAACCACAATCAGGTGATTCTGGCTTGTTATTACCACCAACTCCAAACTTCACCATTACTCAATCCCCAGACAGAGGACAAACCCACAATAGACGTGGATCTCATTATAGAACAAACTCCCGTAATGTCGAAGGAATCAACTCAAATTGGAGAGCCCAACAACAACCACAAAGCAATAATAACGCGTACCACGGACGTCAAGCTTCTACTATGGATCACCAACCTCAACAATCATTGTTTGTACCAGGGCACAAGCCACGTAACAGCTCATATGGAGGAGGTTCTATTTCGTCATTATCACAATTCCTTCCTCAACATGGGAACAATGCTAGTATTTCTACTTTGTCCACAGTTGCTTCTGGGTCAGGTGGTGGTGCTGGTGGCGGTGGTGCTGGTTCAGGAAGCAGTCGTAAGTCCCTTTTTGCACCATACCTCCCACAATCTTCGTTGCCCGATTTAATCAATGAAGGTAGATTAGTCACAGGTATTTTACGAGTTAACAAAAAGAACAGATCTGATGCATATGTATCCACTGATGGATTACTTGATGCCGATATTTTCATTTGTGGTTCCAAGGATAGAAATCGTGCATTGGAGGGTGATTTAGTTGCCGTTGAATTACTTGTTGTTGATGAAGTTTGGGAGTCCAAGAAGGAAAAAGAGGAAAAGAAGAGAAGAAAAGACAATACTTTAAATTCAAGAAGTTTGAGCGAAGATATTCATAATGATGCTACCGCTACCGGTGGAACCAGTGAATCAAAGGAAGAAGGAACTGAGGGGGAATCTGGGGGACTTGCCAGAAGAGGATCGCTCAAGCAGCGTCCAACCATGAAGAAGAATGATGATGTTGAAGTTGAAGGACAATCTTTACTTCTTGTTGAAGAAGAAGAGATTAATGATGAGATTAAACCATTGTATGCTGGACATGTTGTTGCCGTTGTTGATAGAATCCCCGGACAATTATTTGCTGGTACTCTTGGTTTATTGCGTCCTGCTCAAGCCGCACAAGCTGCTCGTGATAAGAAGAATGGTAAAGAATCATCGGTACATACCCCTAAATCACCTAAAATTGTTTGGTTTAAACCAACCGATAAAAAAGTGCCACTTATTGCCATTCCTACTGAACAAGCACCTAAAGATTTCGTGGAGAACCATGAACAATACGCAGACCAGTTATTTGTGGCATCCATCAAGAGATGGCCAATCACAAGTTTGCACCCTTTCGGTACATTGGTTAGCAAATTGGGAAAGATTGAAGATCCATCCACTGAAATTGATTCGATTTTAAGAGATAACAATTTCTTGTGTGATGAATATCCTGAAGAAGATGAAGAAGAAATCACGGTCAATATGTATGATTTACCACTTCCTGATCCTGAGTTTGAGAACCGGGCAAGAACTGAGTATTTGAATGATTATATCATTGCATTCTCCCAGAATGGTAGCTTTGTCGACCATGCCTTACACGTTAAACGTTTATCTTCAACCAAGATTGAATTGGGATTCCATGCAGCTGATGTTTCTTATTTTATCAAACCGGGATCTATCTTGGAACGCAAGTCCAAAAAGAGGTCAAGTTCGGTATTTTTACCTCAGAAGATGGTTAGCTTATACCCTCGCCATGTCCAACAAATGATTTCATTCACGGAAAATGAACGGAATTTGGCTGTATCAGTGATTTTCGAAATCGATACATTAAACTTTGAAGTTGAAGATTTGTATATTCATGAATCAGTGATTGTTCCTAAACAAGTTGTTAATTACGATTCCTTTGACAAAGTATTGGTTGGCGGTGAACAAGGTGAGATATCGAGTGCCACATGTGATTATATCAAAACATTCAGTTTGATTGCTAAGGAATTTAGAAGACAAAGATTGGATAATCGTGAATTGGGAATCTCGCCAAACTTGACATTATTGGATCAATTGGATGATGTAAGAGTAAGATTGAGTTTGAACATTTTCAACGATTCCTTGGCATTTGATGTTATTTCTGAAATTTCCCACAAGGTTAATACTGCAATTGCGGCCAAGATCCATGCTGGGTTGGGTGATCATGCATTATTGAGACGCCAGGCATTACCTACATTGCAAAAGATGGAAACATTTGTGAGAAAGGCTACTAATTTAGGATACAAGATGGACACTCTGACTCTGGCCTCGCTTCAAAATTCCATTCTCAAGATTGAAGATGCCACTAAACGTCAATGTGTGGAAACTTTGCTTTACAAGTGCATGTCTCGTGGTAGATATTATGTTGCTGGTAAACAAGATCCAGATTCATATGGTCATTATTATTTGAATTTGCCATTGTATGCTCACTTTACGGCTCCTTTACGTCGATATGCCGATTTGATTGTTCATAGACAGTTGAAGGCGGTGTTGAATAAAGTTGAGTATGACATTGATTTGGACAATTTGAAAGCCGTGGCTGATTATTGTAATTTCAAAGAAGATTGCGCCCTGCAAGCACAAGAACAAGCTATACATTTGTTGGTTTCCCAAACTATAAATGAAGTTAGTGAAAGTGCTGGACAATTGCTTTGCATGGGTACGGTTATCCAGGTTTATGAATCATCATTTGATGTGTTTATTCCTGAATTTGGGGTGGAGAAACGAGTCCATGGTGATCAATTGCCCTTGGTTAAGGCTGAATTTGATAAATTGGATAGAGTTTTGGAATTGTATTGGGAAAAGGGTGTTGATTCTGCAACTTATATTCCACCAGATGAACAAACTTCATTGAGTTACCGTAATTCCATCAAAAACAAACATAGAGCTTCGGCTATACATGCCGCTAAGATCCAAAGCAAGACGATCTTGGAGAAGAATAATGTGATTACTGATTCCATTGCCGAGAAGTTGGCAGAATTGAAGTTGGAACCACCAAAATTGAGTATTCCTACTTTGAAGAATGGCGAGAATGTAACTACAGCCACTAAATCCATGCCAAGTACTCCGGTGTTGAGTGGCAATGGTGGTTCTGATGAATTCCCCAAGAGTTTACGTACCAATTCCAGTTCAGTAATTACTGGCGATAGTGGACTTGCTCCATACTTGCAAGACACAATTACTCGAGTTGAAGGTGATTCATGTATACAAGTAATTAAGGAATTAACGCAAGTGCCGGTGTTGATTCGGGCTGAGATCGGAATGGCATTGCCTTGTTTGACAGTACGGGTATTGAATCCATTTTGCTAAGGTTTTAATAGAGTTGGATGTTTTAATGCATATAGTGGTTTTTCTTTTTATTTTTATATAGTCTTCTTTTTTTTAGATATGAGTTGATAGTTAATCAACATTTACGGTATATTCTAGTTTCGTAGCTTGTCTAAAATTAAAGTTTGTACCTGACGACGACAACATAGTTTTCTGGCTATTTTTATACATATATCGTATATCTATGCAACATTATCCATGGATACATCGGTTGTTATGTCACAGCTTATAGATTCCCGATCAAAGTCCGTCACCCCCTGGTATATGGTAGCGCTGTATTGATCTGCCACGTGATTTTTGATTGGAAAATTTTTCCCTATGACAATTAAGGGCCCTTTATCCGAAGTCAAATTTCAGCTCCTAATCACAATCTCAAATCAACATACAGCACACTTTGCAATGGCTGAGAAACACACACTCGAATCAAGTTCCGAAGTTAATGGAAGTAAGAACCCACATTCTCCACTTCCTGTCATCCCAACTAAACGATCCAAACTAGTTAGTGGAGCCACTCCATCGCATTATAACCCCAATGTACAAAGTTTACAGTCAGGCACTCCATTGCGTCAACGTGCTGCATCCCCTTACACTCTCAATCCACCGATTGACAGCGATGGGCTCAGTTGGCCCCTGAAGGGTGCCCGTTCTCGGTTGGACGAATCACCCGAGGAATCTAAAGCTCGAGTCGGAAGGATTGCTGATGCCGTCAAGGTTATTTTGGAGGAGCTTGGCGAGGACGTGGACAGAGAAGGGTTGTTGGAGACACCTGAACGGTACGCCAAGGCTATGTTGTACTTTACCAAGGGGTACGAGGACAACATTCGCGATGTGATCAAGGTGTTCGAAGAGGATCACGATGAGATGGTTATTGTTAGAGACATTGAGATTTTCAGTTTGTGTGAGCATCACTTGGTTCCTTTCTTTGGAAAAGTTCATATTGCTTATATTCCAAACAAGCGTGTCTTGGGATTGAGCAAGTTGGCAAGATTGGCCGAGATGTATGCCAGAAGATTCCAAGTGCAAGAGAGATTGACTAAGCAGATCGCCATGGCATTATTGGAGTTTTTGAGACCTAGAGGGGTGGCTGTGGTGATTGAGGCTACCCATATGTGTATGGTTAGTAGAGGAGTACAAAAGTCAGGGTCATCAACCACGACCAGCTGCATGTTGGGATGTTTCCGAGATCACCAAAAGACAAGGGAAGAGTTTTTGACCTTGTTGTCAAGAAAGCAATAGACGTGTGCTTGACAAAGGAAATTTCAACAGTTTTCAATTCTTGATGTGTCCCAGTGGGCTGATGCTTTTTTACGATGTTATGATATTCAACATACCTTTATACAGAACGTACTATAATAAATATAACTATATACAGATGTACTATTGTAGCGTTTCAGCTACTTGCAATACTAATTCATCGTCACCAAATTGTCCCATTAATTGGATACCTAATTTTCCAAAGGGTATGGAAATTGCAGGAATGCCAGCTAAGGAAGCAGGCACAGTTAGGATATCATTGACATAACTATTAAGGAAATTGGCATTGTCTGCATTCAAAAACTCTTCCACGGTTGGGGCTTCACCGATTGATGTTGGAGAAATCATTAAATCACAATCACCCGAAGCAGTTTCAACAAGGGCATGTTTTGTTTTGAACAAGCTGGAAAATTCCTCTACTAGTTCTTGTCTTACTTTAGTTGCCTTTAAGTAATGATCACCTGAGTCTGATGATAAAGTGTAGTTTCCGAGGATGATTCTTCTTTGAACTTCGGGACCAAGAGACTCTGATCTATTGGACACTATTAAGTTCATGGCGTCCTTTGTGTGTTGGTTGTTGTTGTTGTAGCCGTATCGTACTCCGTCATAACGGGAAAGATTGGATGCTGCTTCTGCTGTAGCTAGGGTGTAGTATGCTGGCAAACTCTTTGTTATTGATTTAATTGATATTGGTTTGATATTGTGTCCTGCTTCTTGTAACTTGGTTAATGCTTGTGACCATGCAGCCCTAGTTTCAGGGGATAACTCGTCAAGCACGAATTCGCTAGGAATACCGACGGTCAATTGTTTGCATGTGCTGGGTTTAAACTCGTTCCTTATGTTCTGGGGTAAACTAGTAGGATCCTTCTCGTCATAAACATCAAGCACGGAAAACACTTTTCGCACAACATTCAAAGACTTGGAAATGATCCCCACAGTATCCAAAGTTTGTGCATAGGGAACAACCCCCCATCGCGATATTCTTCCATAACTAGGCTTGAACCCAATCACAGAACAATAACTGGCCGGCAATCGCACGGAACCACCTGTATCTGTACCTAAACTGAAATCAGCCAATCCGGCGGCGACAGCGGCAGCAGACCCACCAGACGAACCACCGGGTACTCTCTGATCTGGATATACTGGGTTCATAGTTGGACCAAAGTGAGAGTTTGTGTTAGAAGAACCCATCCCGAATTCATCTAGGTTCGATTTACCAATGAGCTTCAGTCCTGCCTGGGCTAGAAGTGATACTACGGTTGCATTGAATGGAGACTTGTAGTTTTCGAGCGATTTCGATGCGGATGTCGTGAATCCTACTTTGGTCACTATGTTGTCTTTACAGATGTAGGTGCTGCCTGCAAGGGGGCCCTGACCAGTAGTAGGCTCTACTCTAGTAGAGGAGATCAAGACATTGTGAGTATTATTAGGAACAGTGGATCTTACCGTAGAAACCAACCGTATGGGATTGATTCGTTGACACAATCGGTGTTGTTGTCTCATTGTTGTGTTGCTCAATGTGTGGCTGTTGCCATGGCCATTTGGTTGTAAAAAAAACTTGTGCCTCAAGCACTAAAAAAAAAAAAGGTGGAAAAAAAATCCCATATAAAATTTTCCATCAATTGACTCATCCAGATCTTACCTACCTATTCAAAACCAACTATGTCCAGTTTAGAAATCTTTGGTGCTAAGGGGAGCTCATTGCTCACTCTCTCAACCAATTTGAAGCTCTGTATTGCGACCAGCGCATTCCAACCAAAATTATCCGTTTCCAATGATACTCCATCTGATGCTTTATTAAAAGATAAGAAGTCTGATTTTGCTTTACACGAAGTCAATGCCGTGGTTAAATACTTGGCCAATGACTTTTCTACTAATGAAGCTATCCAATTTGAAGAAACTCAATTGTACAAGGCATTAAAGTCTAACAAGAAGGAAAAACTTACTAGTGCCGTCAGCGGATCAATCACTTTCACCAAGGCCGAATTGACCCCTGCTCAAATTATCCTCTTTGCCTCGGTGTATCCTGTGTTAAAGGACGCCCCAACTGCTTGGTTCACTGAATTCCAAGCTATTCCTCAAGTCGTAGCTGGTATTGCTGCTGCTCTCGCCATCACTACTTTAGAACGTGAAAAGGAAACCAACACCGGAACCCAACGTGTCGTTGTCGGTCACTTGGTTCGTCCTCAAGAAAAGGCTATCCAACCTAAGGAAGGTGAACGTAACATCTTGGTTACTTCTGCTTTACCATATGTCAACAATGTTCCTCATTTGGGTAATATTATCGGGTCCGTTTTGTCGGCTGATATCTACGCTAGATATGCCAAAAATAGAAATTACAACTGTTTGTATGTTTGTGGTACTGATGAATACGGTACTGCTACTGAAACCAAGGCTTTAGAAGAAAAAGTCACCCCACAACAGTTGTGTGACAAGTATCATGCCATTCACAAGAGTGTTTACGACTGGTTTGATATTGGATTTGATTATTTCGGAAGAACAACCACACAAGCACAAACTGACATTGCTCAGGATATCTTTTTAAAATTACACAAGGGCGGGTTCTTGGAAGAGAAAACCACCGAACAATTGTACTGTCAAGAACACAAGGCGTTCTTGGCCGATAGATTTGTCGAAGGTACCTGTCCAAAATGTGCTTACGAAGATGCCAGAGGTGATCAATGTGACAAGTGTGGTAACTTGCTTGACCCGCTTGAATTGATTAACCCAAGATGTAAAGTTGAGGGTGCTACCCCAGTAGTCAAGGAATCCACTCATATCTACCTTAAACTTAATGAATTGGAAGAACCATTGGCTAAATGGGTTGCCCATTCTGAAGAAAAGGGTCACTGGTCCAAGAACTCCAGAACCATTACCAACTCATGGTTAAAACAAGGTCTTGAACCAAGATGTATCACCAGAGATTTGATTTGGGGTACTCCTGTGCCTTTGGAAGGTTATGATGAAAAAGTGTTGTATGTCTGGTTCGATGCTTGTATCGGTTATGTTTCCATCACTTCCAATTACTTCAAGGAAAGAAGTACTCAACAAGACTGGGAAAAGTGGTGGAGAAACCCCGAAAATGTTGACTTGTATCAATTTATGGGTAAGGACAATGTTCCATTCCACACTGTTGTGTTCCCATCTTCTCAAATTGGTACTGAAATTGCTGCCGGTGATAAATGGACCAAATTGCACCATTTGAACACTACCGAATACTTGCAATATGAAGGTGGTAAGTTCTCCAAGTCGAGAAACATTGGTGTTTTCGGTAACAACGCTGCTGATACCGGTGTTCCTGCTTCAGTATGGAGATACTACTTGGCCTCCGTTAGACCAGAATCTTCTGACTCTCAGTTCTCCTGGGATGAATTCGTCACCAAGAACAACTCGGAATTATTGGCCAACCTTGGTAACTTTGTCAACCGTATTGTTAAATTTGCTATTGCCAAGTACAATGGTGTTATTCCTAAATTCAACACCAGTGCTATTCCAGAGTATGAAGCTTTCGAATCGGAAATCAACGCTTTGCTCGCGCAATACATTGAAACCATGGAAGCGGTCAATCTCAGAAAGGGTTTGGAACTCGCCATGCACATTTCCTCGCGTGGTAACCAGTTCTTGCAAGATAATAAGTTGGATAACTCGTTGTATGCCAACCAACCAGACAAGTCTGATGCCGTGGTTGCCGTTGCTTTGAACTTGGTCTATCTTGTAAGTGCCATCATCTATCCATTCATGCCTGAAACCACCGTCAAGATCGATGAAATCTTGAATGTTCCTGCGTTGTCCATTACTGACAAGTTTGAATTGGTGTTGGAACCAGGTCATTGTATTGGTAAGGCACAATATTTGTTTACTAGAATTGATGAAAAGAAGATTGAGGAATGGAGAGGTAAGTATGGGGGTAAGAAATAGACATAGATCGTATGTTATGTAAATTTTATATTAAATCGAGAAAACCGTAGTAATTATTGATTTGCATTGCAATCGTAAGAGAATTTTGCAGCATTTTTCCAACTCTAAATGTATGACGTAATGACTTATCTTTGCCAAGGAAGGTAGACACGTCGGTCAAGTGGGGGTAAGTCCGAAAGATAAAGAAAGTGGAAAGGAAAGGTGGGGGGAAGAATCATAAACAATGCAGACAGAATTTTGCCGTCGAAAAACAAGAATAAAATAAAATAAAATAAAAAACAATACTTTCCAAAATGTGTGAAAAAAAAAAAAGTAAAAAAATAAAAAATAAAAAACTGGCCCCATGTTTTTACCCCGGATGGGAACAAAAAAAATACTTTTCGTTCCACGGATTGATGTTCCGAATGTAATCACCAGACAATTCACAGTAACTGCAAAGTTATGGTACTTACCTAATAAATAGATGAGGTTTGATTCAAGCTAATCTCGTAAAACTGTCTGCATATGTTTACGACATCTAACCAGATTACCTTGTTTCATGATAAAAATAAAAAGAGGGGGAAGGGTCTTGCTTTCCCAAATATTTTTTTTTTTTCTTGAATACTTAGTCTCCCCACGCCCCGGGGTTTCCCGCAACCCTCGCCTATTTAAACTCGTCCTAATCCTAAATCCTTTTTTCCAGACTTTCTTGTAAACACCAAAACGTAAATGTCATCTGTGTTATCTACCGGTTTAAAGGGATTAGTAGCTGGTCTTGTCATCCCTCCCGTTGTCACCAAATTTGTGATTATCCCATACTTGTTCCGAAATAACTTCAAGGAAATTCATTACATTCAACATGAGCTCGATCATGTCGGATGGCTTGTCCGTGGTTTAGAAGAAAATAAAGGATACCATGAAGATGATTTGTATCGTCCTGCAAGCTACTACGGTCCATACCAACAGTAGGTGAAAAAGAAAAAAAAGTTAATATATCAAAGGTATTTATTGGGTTTATGTTCTAAATATACATAATTTATAACTAGTCATCTTCTTCGAGCGACCCTTCCTCGTCAAACGATTCGTTGTCATAGAAATCATCTTCGTCTTCTTGTAAGTCGTCCAAATCTTCATGGCTAAAACTGACATTCTTGGCTTCCCAATTATTGAACTCACGATTGTCCTTGACATCACCGCCTGTCAATACTCGAATCAAGTTCAATTTCAGCGTAGCTGACAATTTCTTAAACTCGACATAATCTCGCTTATCAAACTCAGGTACATCAGGCGAGTGGCCAATACTCTGTCCAACTCGAACAAACGTCTCTACACAATCACTGGAATTTTTGACCAAGTCACGATCAAACTGAAACCTCTTCTTTTCAAACAACAATAAGATCGTAGACCCTCCAAATTTGAAGTATCCAACCTCGTCACCTCTGCCGATCTTGTCACCCTCCTTGACTAGCAACACCGTCGAACCCACCATCATGGCCCCCACAGCGATCATAATCACAGTTCCGAAATGCTCGGTCTTGATCGGGATAATCGTGCGGATATTCTCACCATACACGTCCAATTCCGATCTAATCGCCATGGGATTCACAGTATAGTACTCTCCCTCGATCTCCTTCATGCTCTGAATAACACCGTCAACAGGCGAATGGAACCTATGGTAATCCTGGGGAGCTAATCTGAATATTCCCAATGAACACTGACTAGCATTGAACAAGTCGGTCTTTTCCAAATTATTGAAATTCCCATTGAATAGTTTGGCAATGGTGAAGTTCCTTCCCTTGATCCACAACTTGGTGGCATCGTCAACCGTCTCAAACACAACACAACGGCAGTCGGCGGGTGACAGGACAATCTTGGGGTTGCTTTCATCTTCCAATGGTCGTGCATTGGGTTTGAGTTTCCGATAAAAGAATTCATTGAATGTGGGGTATTCACTTGGATTCTCAATCAAGTAATCTTTAAGATTCAATCCGTGGAACTTTATAAACGGGATGATATCGGCTTTCAGTTGGGGATTATCAAACTTGACCCCTTGCTTAATACTCAACTTTCGTAAAAGTATTCTGATTCGTTTAGTTTTCGCCTTATCTAACCCTTTGTAAAGAAGTCGGATCCCCAACCGGACATACACCGACATCTTCTCCTCCATGATAATTCCGCTCATACGGTCCTGAACCAAGATATTGGCCGAGTTACCACCTAATTGATACTTCCCATACGTCAACTTGATCAATACTTTGGTAAACCACTTTTTAGTCGCTTGATGGGGAGTAACATACGACGAAACCAAGAGTTTATTAACAATACTCCAATCTTTAGAAGCACATATCGCGAAATGAGTAATGATATCCAAGTCCTGGCGTTTGGAAAACCGTTTCTGGTTGCAGATGGGGCATCGTTCAAACTGAAAGAGTTTCAGATCATCCCCGTTCTTGGCCGACTGGACGTGATTTTCAAGGGCATTGATGATTTCTTCATGGGTGAGTAAGTCCCCGCCCCACACCAGCTTGCCCAAGGTATTGTAAAATCCATTGACGATTTCATCACTATTGAAACAACCAAAAGTGTCCAACAACGAAAGCAATTCAAAATAATCATATCCTTCTCCGTCATTCACTTTATACTGTTGTAAAAGCGTACTCCAAAACTTGCGTCTCAAGTCATCATAAGCTTCAAACCGAACTCTAATTTTAAGTTCGGGATTATAATCGCCAAACTGGCCTAAATACTTTTCCTGCAAGTCTAATGCCAACGACATAACTCTGAATTTTGTCGTGTCTATATGTGAACTAGTAATAACCTTCTTCCTCGAGAACTTCTTTCTTCGAATAGACTTGACCAAATCTTCATCATCCACGATCCTAATACTTACATTCAGTGGAGACTCGTTCCCCGTGGAAAGCCCTTCATCTATGGAATCAGGATTACGTGACATGTTTGTCACGGTAGCGTACTCAGTCAAATCACGTAATGGTAAGGTGATCCTAGCGATATTGTCATGAAAAGAGAAATGATCTTTATCCAAAACAAGAAACTGGATATTGAAATTCTGCTCCGAGCTCAACACCTCCAAGGCAATCCGTTCATTAAAAATCGGGTTCAAAGTATGACGTTTCCAACTGGTTCGAAATGTCTTTTTACCAAATGTGACAACCACAAACGGATCCATGTCGTATGCTGTTCGCGTAAAATTTCTGATGGGTGGTAGACCAGAACACGATACAATTTCAATAAAGGCCACCCCAGCAATTTCGTTATGGCCATTACGACCAAACTCAAAGTTTCCTGTCCCATTTCTCTTTTTTCTTTTCCGCTTAAGCTTGTCAAGACGTGACATCTTGGGGGAGGTGCTCAAATCGCTGGCTATCCAAGAATCATCACTAAAGCTGTCAGTGGACACTTCTGATAAGGAACTTGGATCTTCTTGCTCCTCTTGCAATTTCAATACTCGGTTGTGTGTGCCCATATTGCCTGTATCAACATCGCTTTCGTCATCACTCACGTCTATAACATCACCTGTGTTTTGATAAAACCCTTGCTCATCAGGGTTGGTGCTGTCAGGCTGCAGAACGGGATGCACCAACGAATCTAGCCACTCTTTAAACAAAACTTCCTTATCGGAAATCTCAGGTACATTTCCCATCCGTGCATTTTGCAATTGACTGGCCAAACTTTCTACACTGCTGCTTGAGTTGTTTCTCCTGGTTCTTCTCGAACCTCTCTTTCTCCTTTTGGAAACCAACTCAAATGAAACTAGTAATGATCCAGTGACAAATGTTCTTTGCAGTTCACTCGAAGAAAGCCTGTACCATTTCAACTCCGTCTTTTCTTTAAACTTGCCATCTTCATAAAACAAATCTCGAATGGACAATCTCAACTCACCGAGATAGTTCTTGTATCGTTTATGTTTATCCCAGATCGTCAAAATCATCATCTGCGAAAAATCATTATGTTTAAGGGGGACAAGTATAGCATCGTCCCAACTTGGTTGATTAGTGTTGAGTTTCTTGGATGTAGAAGTGATAGTCTGGTTCACTTGTACAATTAGAACCGGATTTATGCTCTTGCGAGATGAATATTTATGGGGTGATAACAACGAATTTGTGGTCGAACTAGTGGACACCAAATCGGCAGCCCTATTGGCATTGATCTTGAGGAATAGTCGAGAATTTAAGTCAATGGGAGGTGGGCCTTCTTGAGATGATGCTGAGGAAACCGAGTTTGATTTGGGTCTGTGAAATCGTTGTTTCATGTGGGTGTAGGATGAAGCAATGTGAGACAATTGGAACAAGGGAGAGAGGGGGGTTGTCGTACCTGATTTGGCGTTCTTTTTCTTTCCTTAATAAAAAGCCGTATGATTTTGCTTTTTTTTCGTCAAAGATATTTTCCGGGGTTGCAAAAGCGATGGTCACCACACTGGCCATTGTTAAAACGTGTTTGAGGGGTAGTAGCAAACATTACAAAATAATATATATTATTAGGTATATACTTACTTCATTAACATCTCTACAACTTGCTTAACACTCAATCTCTTAATGTCGGTATAAGTTTGACCCGTGCCTACAAACAAAATAGGGACTTTCGTAGCCATAACCATGTTGATCATAGTACCAACCAAATCACCCACAGTATCGACTTTGGAAATGATAAAGAAGTCTAAATTTCGCTTGTTTCCAAACGCATTGTTGAAATTTATCGCCTGTTCAACTGAGTCTGTTCCGACTAATGCTTCACCGACCATGATGATCTTATCGGGGTCGGCAGCATCACCAAACTTCTTCAATGGTGCCATTAACTTGGCATTGGAATGGGTTCTACCTGCGGTATCAATCAATACAATATCGAATTTCTCATCAGTGGCGAACTGAATGGCCAGTTTGGCCGTTTGCACTACATGATCTCCGGCTCCGTACCCCTTTTCAAATAGCTCAATCTTGGAAGATGTGGTGGTTGACATGTCATTTAATTTCTGCAAGTTATTAACATGCACTTTCAATTGTTCAACTGCCCCTGACCTGAAGGTGTCACAGGCACAAATCAAGACATTTAAATTGTTCTGCAAGAACCAATAAGCTAATTTGGCAAGATTGGTGGATTTTCCCACACCATTGACACCGACCACAGAAATGACATATGGTCTTGTTCCTCTAGTTTTTTGTTTTTTGATATCGTAAAGTAAATCAGTAGATACATTAGGAGTTAAAATCTTGGTTAATTCATCAGTTAATGTTTGTTGGTAAACGGCCATGGTTATGTTACTCTTGTTCTGCAATTTCAACTTTATCTTTTCTATTATAGATTTGGAGGTTTGCGGAGCAATGTTTTTGGAAATTAATTGATCATGGAATTTCTTGGACACTTCATCGACATTAATTGCCCCACCAAAATACGAAGAAATCTTGGAGAAGAATCCTGACTTTTGAGTTCCAGCACCTTCTTCTTGCTCCTCGTCATCAGATTCATTCAAAATGTCATTTAATTCATTGACAAGCACTAAATCGTTGTCCTTGACAAATGCAGTTTGATCAATGTTCAAAATTGACTTGTCTCCTTCTCCAACTTCACCTTCAACTTGTCCATTCGAATAATCCAATGCCTCTTTCCCATCAAAGTCAATCATTTCTTCACCATCCCACTTTCTCATCTTCTTCCCACCTTTAGCTTTCTTAGCTGAAGGAGTGCTTGTGCCACTAGCATGACCACTCAATGGTGTTCTCTCTCTGACTGGTGTGGCACTCTCCTCGCTCTGCTTCAACTTCATCAATTGGTTAAATTGAAGATCAACCAATTTTTTCAACTTACTGTGGTCCTCGTCATCCCCCTCCTCACTCAACTTGACAAAAGTCTTCAAGATCCCATTCAAAGTCAGTCTAATTTTCTCACTGTCAATGGTTGTCACAGCATCAAAGTATAACGCCGCATATAAATCGCCACTGCTGCCAACGTCATCACCGCCCTTTCTATGCAAACTATAGAATCTCTTTTGGCTGATGGTCTTGGTGACAAAGTTAGGTGCTAGATCAATACAGGTTTCGTTAACGATATGGGAAATCAAGTCGTTGAATGGGTGAATTTTTGTGTTGAATTGATATTCTACCTTTCCTGAAGGTCTAAATATTATAAGAGATTGTGACATTGTGTACGTCTATTTAACCGCTCAATCAAAGGGTATATCAGTTAGTCAATTGAACAAAAAAAGTAAAAAGCTTCCACCGTCTTCTGAAAGTTAACAATTTTTGAGTGACAACAAAACTTTTTTGGGTGTTGTACGAAGAACGAGCAAAAAAAAATTAATGGCGTCACAGACAGGATTCGAACCTGCGAAGGAAAATCCCAACGCCTTAACCGCTGAATTAGCAGGGCGTCGCCTTAACCACTCGGCCACTGTGACTCAATTTTTTTTGAAGGGTTTCGGTATGCATTACTGACTATGTATGCTGGAAATTTCCTATTTCGTGAACCAATGAAGTTTTGAATGATCTAATATTTCCAGTATTAATGTATGGTGATATTTAATATGTTTAAATCCTTCTCTAATCATTTAATGAATTATTTGTGTGTTTATTTTGGCCATAACTTTCTAATATTTTTTGAATTTTTTTTGCAACAATTTCACAAGAATTTTATTCAGTTATATTTTATATCCTTCAAACTTGCTTTCATCCCGTGATTCCTTTGCAAGTCTTGTGCTAACAAGAGAATGTCAGTGGTTTGATTTAGAGAAGCCTGCATGTGCCTTATTTCCAAGTATAAATAGTCTTTATGCAACTTGCAGTTGTTTGTAAATGCCAAATAATTCAAATGTAGAACATCGACAAGAGCTGAAAATGCTTCATGGATAGAGACTGTACAACGACCAAAGTATTACAACAAATAGATTACCAAGATGAAATAGTATACGAACCTGACCAGACTATCAAATCTAGTTTTGCTTGATGATTCTTGCTTAGAACCAGAGAGTTCAAGTCCAAATACATTATGTATTAAACCAGACAAGGGTTAAAAAAAAAGATCTATCTATGCTATTCTAATACAGATACAACACAATACTTAAAACAAACAAAAGAAAAAGAAGACAGCAAAGAAAGTGATAATTGATAATTGATATACGAACACAATGTCACAATAAATAATTACCAATGTCTTTCCAACAGAGCCAAAGAAACTCCTCAGCTTTGTACTTCCGCTTAACATTTTGTCTGACTTGTCTGGATAATTAGTCATTTGTGTGCTGGTTGGTTCTTGCTGTGTTGTATCTATCTTCTGGGTAGATTTTGTTTCTGTGATTGATTGCTCAGTGGCAGTTTTGTCCACATTTTTGACATTTTGATATACTAGCTGTATAGGAATACCGCCATCAATAGGACCGTCATCAGAATACCCAAGGGAAATTATGCTTTCGCTTTCGCTTTTTATTGCATAAAGTGCATCTGAATGTTTAAATTCAACGAGTCGATTATGGCCCTCCACAAGCACAACTTCAACCTTATCTTTCGAACTCAACTCTAACTTCGAATCTGATAAACTAAAATACACCTTCTTGCCTGGCTCAACTATGAATAAGAATTTGGATTCATTATCGTATTGAAATTCCTTGGCATCTCCCAAAACCAAAGAAGACCCCTCGATTGACACACCCTGACCATTGTATTCCTGATTAACGGACCGGGAATACAACTTAACCGTAAATACGGATGCAAACACATGAATGCTGAAAGTTGATACTAAAATGAATGTACGAATGAGCATGATTAAAGAATGTTTTCTGTTTGGTACAGCTAAAAATAAAGCCAGGCAAACTGGTGCCACTTATCTCGTAATATATAGATGAAAAAAGCTTTCAGGTTTACTTAGTTGTCTTGAAAACAAGGTTTAAATAAGGGTTCACAACCTGAAAATAATATTGCATGATTTTATTTACGCGAACCTTAATGACTAAACCAACGCCCACCCCGTAATTTGTTTTTAGTACATGATAAAAACCTAATTCTGTTGGTTGGGGAGGGGGGGGGGGAGGATTTCCTCGGGGGACAGGTACAAACGAGAAAAAAAAATTGGCCCAGAAAAGAAAATGTTGAGCTGCGAACTTTTAGCCTGTGGAGTTGAAGACGCTACTGGTGAGGCAGGTGATTGCTAACGGCTTTAACATGTGAACATTATTATAACAAAAATCGGAAAATCCAAGCTATTAATTCTCATCATCACTCTATTAACAACTCTGTAATCAACAGCATATCTTTATAATTTCATGTTAGTTAAAAACACAAATAAGGTTTATATACTAGCTTATTCTGATAAGTTCAAGGGTTATCACCTACTAACTTTATTGGTTAAAACACAAGGGCTCGTTTAAACTTTGAACACAGGGCGCGTCAATTGTTTACTTGAAAAACTTTAATCATGCTTTGGTACCCTTATCTACACACAGACAGCAACTGCCTCTTGTACTAGATGAATGGGTGTTTATATCTAACTTCCGTCAATGTGTTATAGACAAGAGTTGTCACTTTGATGCTTCAGTAGTTTATAGTTTGTTGATATTAAGACGGCCGAACTTTTGCAAGACACTAGAAATAATATTCAATGCTATAGATTGATTATTCAACTAAACAAAGATCCATTATGAAATCACTAGGAACATTCCTTGCTGTTACAGCGTAATTACGCTATAGTAGCATTTTGCATCCACTGATTTTTTGATAAATTGGTAATGACACACCCAACGACAACCTTACGCGAAAAATTCACCACAATAAAGAACAGAAAATTAAAGAAACTTGAGACAACACTACAACAAACATCAATCCACTACCCTCAAAAAAAAAAAAGCTCGTCCACAGACATGGCTTATTATCAACCACAGGGGAACACACCCCAGAATATGCAATTCTATCAATCGAATTATTCCTCGGCATACCAACCACAGCAGCCTCTAGCTGGCACCCCTGGTGGCGCACCTAACCCACCACTAGGACCCATGGGTTCCATGGACAACGCCTTCGGCGCCAATATGGACGTTAGAGGAGAAATGGGAAGAGGAGAGTTGAGTCCTGGATTATTAGCTGCATTTGGTACATCAGGATACCCTGGTGAACCTCCCTTGTTGGAGGAATTGGGAATAAATTTCCAACACATCAAAGACAAAACACTTGCCGTATTAAATCCCTTCAATAAAAATATAACCTCCGATATAATGACTGATTCCGACTTAGCGGGTCCAATATTGTTTGTATTGTTATTTGGTACATTATTATTATTGGCAGGTAAAGTTCAGTTTGGATATATTTACGGGGTTGGGTTATTTGGTACTGTGAGTTTACATTATTTATTTAAGTTTATGAGTAGTAACGATAGTCAAATTGATCTTGTTAGATCTACATCGGTAATTGGATATTGTTTGTTACCGCTTGTGTTGATAAGTGTTGTTGGGGTCATCACGTCTTTGGATAATTTGGTTGGTTACATTTTGAGTACAATTGCCGTTTTATGGTGCACTTACTCAGCATCAGGGTTCTTTGTTGCTGTGTTGAAATTGCACAATGTGAGACTATTAATTGCCTACCCATTGTTCATGTTCTACGCTGTGTTTGCTTTAATGGCTATTTTTGTAGAAAAGTCACCAAATGTGAAAACTGCATTGTGATAACTCACTGTGTTTATAAAAGTATTATTTAATAGAATGTCAAAAAAAACAAAAAAAAACTTCAATTTCGTAGACAGAATCCCCCACCAATACTACTACTACCACCACCGTCATGGCCACTCGCTATAACAACATGATCATCCGATCAAGACCCTGGTACATATTCAAACGTCTCAATTCAACCAAACCATTCTTTACATCCACTCCCATTTTCTACGTCAATGCCGCACCCCATATTGGACATCTTTACTCCATGTTATTGGCCGACGTGAGAACCAGGTGGGAAAAACTTGACCCAAATAAAAAGGCATATTTCCTAACAGGTACAGATGAACATGGTCTTAAGATCCAAGCAGCAGCAGAGAAACAAGGAATCGACCCTAAGTTGTTTGTCGATCAAGTGTCTACCAATTTCAAAGATTTAGCTAACCTCGTTAATATAGATTATGATAGATTTATCAGAACCACAGACGCAGATCACATCACTTTGGTACGTCACTTTTGGGAAATGATGATGGAAAAGGGGTACATCTACCAAGGATCTCATAAAGGGTGGTATTGCGTTAGCGACGAGACTTTCTACCCCGACAATCAAATTGAAGAGTTTGTGAATAAGGAAGGAGAAACCAAAAAGAGATCAATTGAAACCAAGAATGAAGTGGTGTATCAAGAGGAAAACAACTATTTCTTTAAGTTATCTGAATTCCAACTGCAATTATTGACTTTCCTCAAGAGCAACCCTGACTTTATCAAACCCAAATCCAAGTACGAATTAATAGTCAATGAATTGACCAAGAACAAATTACCCGATTTGTCAATTTCTCGTCCTGCTTCGAGATTAAAATGGAGTATTGAAGTTCCTAATGACCCTACTCAAAAAATGTATGTTTGGTTCGATGCCCTTTTAAACTATTTGACAGCAGCTGGATTCCCTCAAGGTTTCACCCTTGGCGAACAAGGACAGTATATAACTTCACCAACAAATATTTGGCCAGCTACTCATGTTATTGGTAAAGATATTGTCAGATTCCATTGTATATACTGGCCTATTTTCTTGATGGCTGCAAAGATTGATCTTCCAAGACAAGTTATAGTCCATTCCCATTGGTTAGTTGATGGAGTTAAGATGTCAAAGAGTTTAGGTAATGTCATTGACCCAGTTGATATATCCAAATATTATGGTATTGACCCAGTAAGATTTTTCCTTATTGAAAATTCCAACATTGCCGATGATTGTAAATTCAGCGAGGTTGCACTTAGTAGTACCAGAGATATGTTACTTGGAAAATACGGAAACTTGTTTATGCGTATCGGGGCAAAGAATTTCAATGTACGCGAATCGGTTCAAGATTATCATTCAGGGAAGTTTACCAATATTGAAGATACTATAAAAGCCCACACTATAAACAGAGATTCTGTTGACATCCTCATTCAACAACGACAAGAGCTAATTGAAAAACTCGATTCCTTGTACGAGAGAATGAATGAAAACTTTGTCAATTTTGACTCTATGAAGGCAATGCAGTCTTGGTGGTCAGTGCTTGATGCTACCAATGGAATTTTCCAAACTGCCGAGCCTTGGTTATATGCCAAAAAGATAAAACAGGATGATCCATCAAAGCAAGAATATGCAAACTTGATCAGTTCATATGTATTTATGTGTGCCGAAACATGTAGAATTACTTCGATATTACTTCAGCCAATTGCCCCAGAATTAGCAGAGAGAATGTTGGATAGATTAGGAGTGGCCAAGGATAATCGAAATTCTACATTTGCTAAATTTGGAGCAGATTCTAGTTATGGAGCTGGTGCCAATGATAAGGGACATAAAGTTCCTCTCGAAAAGGTTGAGCTTAGAATAGAAGCGGAAAGTTAGATTGTATAACTTGTAAATAGACATGTATATAACTACAATGAAACGTTATACCAATTACTAAACTGAACATGAAGGCATTATCTGTGGGTGAAGGGGGTTTACAGCCATAGTTCAAGTCATATCACATGACATTCGTCACATGACAATTTCCATCCCGTTTAGGGCAACCAGGGCAAAACCAAAATTGGAACACGAAATCAATGTTGACAGAATGACAACAATCCACATACTTTAAATGCAATTAATAGATTTGATGCCTCTGGTTGCAAAAATTGCAACCATTTTTAAAGAAAACTAAAACACGTCTTGATATTTTATTTGATATTGATACCTGTGGCTACGTACTACAAAAATATCGACATTTTCAAACATTACGATTCATTTAAGAAAAAATCGCCCCCTTAATACTTCTTTTACATATGGATATCTTAAAATATAGTGTGTTGGTGGTTGTCTTCATCTGGTCCTCTCCACCGTTTCAAACGCCTTTTGGTAAGAAAAACTCGACAAAATTTGGCGTTTTGTACGTGCACGTACCAATTCCTCATACAAAAAAAAAGAGATTCCAAAGCAAACAACCAAACTAAAAACTTACAACCAAGTAAAGGCAAAACCAAATCAAGTCCAACTACCACATACTGGTTTAATATTAATCCATTTAAAGTCCGGATTGGGGTCGATTTGTATTAATTAAGTGTGCAAGTAAGTTTTACCTCCCTTTAGAGCTTATACAACTGAATATTATTCCCGTGTTGTAAACAATTTATTTGCTCACCTTTACTACAACAAACGAAAAGAATTGAAAATGTCAAGGAGAGGAAAATCTAGACAGATCCCTGATGATGATGAGGATTTTGATTATGAAGCAAATGACAACGAAGTGTTGCCTGCCAGAAGATCCAGGTCGAGAGTGACATCCTACAAAGAGCAAGAGGAAGACTACCAGGAGGAGTTCCAGGAGGAGTTCCAAGAGGACATCAAACAAGAAGAAGCGCCCCAAGATATAAAAGCCGAACCAGAAGAAGAGGCAGAGGAAGATATCTTTGCAGATGACTCTTCTACTGAAAAAGACGACGGTGGAGACGACTATATAGAAGACGACAATGTCGATAATGAAGATGATGACCAGATTACCACCAGTAGAAGAAAGCGCGGAAGGAAAAAGGTTGTCAAGAATAGACATATTGGTTCAGATGATGAATTCTATGATGATGGAGATGATGATGATGACGACGATGATATTATCAGTGAAGAGGACGATTACATGGAAAAGCTTCAGCAACGTAATTTCATAGTACAAGATGAAGAAGACGGGGATAGTGCATATGGCGTATCCAGACCCAAAAAAAAGAAGGCTAAAAAGGTGAAAAATTCAAGATCTGCTTCACCCAAGCGGAGTACCAGATCAGGGAAAACCTTTGGAGAAGACATTTTGCCCGAACCTGCCGCCGACGATGAATCAGAAGATGATATTCAAAAGGAAATTGCTGATTTATATGATTCGTCTCCTATTAAGGGAAGTCCAATTCAGCATAAGCTAAGAGAAAGGGCTAAAGTCGATTATACCATCCCACCACCAATAAGCAATGATGCAATGTTTAACAGCTTCCCCAGAGCAAACACACCAAAAAGAGGTAGAGGTAGACCAAGTTATAACAAGAGTGAATTTAGAAAAATATTATATCCCACGGCAGGTCCCTTTGGTGGAAGTGATGTGATTTCTTTATTTGGAACAAACATTCCACCAGGAGGCATTCCAATTCAAACCATTCCTGGTATGCCACAAGCTCCTAGTAATAATTTAACTGCCATTGGTCAAAATTTAAGTGATTCTGATTCTTCAGAAGATGAAATTGCTCCTATAAATGGTGAAGCTACCGTTTCCAAGAAGGTACCAAAGCCTAAGTCGGGCACCAAACTAACTACTGGAGGTGATACTAGGAAAAAGAGTAACCTTTCAGATACTGATCCTCTTGGAGTTGATATGAATATTGATTTCTCCGTAGTTGGTGGTTTAGACAATTATATTAACCAATTGAAAGAAATGGTGGCATTACCCTTATTATATCCTGAATTGTATCAAAACTTCGGAATAACCCCACCACGAGGTGTTTTATTCCATGGTCCTCCTGGTACTGGTAAAACTTTAATGGCAAGAGCATTAGCTGCCAGTTGTTCCACGGCTGAACGTAAAATTACATTCTTTATGAGAAAAGGAGCTGATTGTTTAAGTAAATGGGTCGGTGAAGCTGAAAGACAATTGCGCTTATTATTTGAAGAAGCCAAGAATCAACAACCTTCAATTATATTTTTTGACGAAATTGATGGGTTAGCACCAGTAAGATCATCCAAACAAGAACAAATTCATGCCAGTATTGTATCAACATTGTTAGCATTAATGGATGGTATGGATAATCGTGGTCAAGTTATCGTTATTGGTGCTACTAATAGACCAGACTCTATTGATCCAGCATTGAGAAGACCTGGTAGATTTGATCGTGAATTTTATTTCCCCTTGCCTGATATTCCAGCAAGATTGGAGATTTTACAAATTCATACCAGGAAATGGCATCCATCATTACCTAAAGTTTTCTTGGAGAAATTGGCTGAATTGACTAAAGGTTACGGAGGTGCTGATTTGCGAGCATTATGCACTGAAGCTGCTTTGAATAGTATTCAACGGAAGTATCCTCAGATTTATTCCAGTAATGATAAGTTAAAGATCAATCCTTCAAAGGTTACTGTGATTGCTCAAGATTTCATGAAAGCAATGGAAAAGATTGTTCCATCAAGTGCAAGATCTACTTCGTCTGGTTCAGCACCATTACCCGAGCATTTAGTACCGCTTCTTGAAGACAATTTCAAAGAGATCACTAGCAAACTTAATGAGTTACTTCCAGGAATCAAGAATACCAACTCCAAGAAAACCACAACATTGGAAGAAGCCAAGTATTTGGACCCTTCAATAAAAGATGAAGATGGAGGATTCTCCAAACATCAACTTCTCAGGAGTTTAGATACTTCGCGTATTTTCAAGCCTCACTTACTCATATCTGGCCCACGAGGAAACGGACAGCAATATCTTGGGGCTGCTATCTTGAACCATTTAGAAGGATTTCAAATCCAATCATTAGATTTAGGAAATATGTTTGGGGATGTTACTCGTACGCCTGAACTGACCATTGTCCAAACATTTGTTGAAGCAAGAAGACATCAACCAAGTATTATATACATTCCAAATATTGAAATTTGGTTTAATGTTGTTCCATACACCGCAAGAGCTACTTTGATTAGTTTATTTAGAGGATTGAAGAGTAATGAAAGGGTTTTGCTTTTGGGAATTTCCGATTGTCATGTTGAGGAATTGGACGATGAGATTAAGGATGGATTTGGATTTGGCAAGAATGATAAGAGTTCGGTTGAGTTGAAATCTCCTACTCAATCACAACGTGAAAATTACTTTTCCATCGTGTTAAAGACTATTCACATGAGACCTTTCGAGTTTATCAATGACTTGGAAAATCGTCCATTAAGAAAGTTGAAACAATTAAAGATCGTGAAAGAACAAGGCAAACCATCTGATGTAGCCATTCAGAAGGAAAAAGCCAAGGAACAAGAATACAAGGACACGAAATTAAAGAATATTCTTAAAATTAAACTTGCTGGATTAATGGACCTTTTCAAGAATAGATACAAGCGATTCAAGAAGCCTATTATTGATGAAAACTTCTTGATTCATTTGTTTGACCCATCTGTTCTTGAAAATCCTTTGAATTTATATGAGGTTCTCTACGTCAAGTCAGATGATCCAGAACATAAGAATATGATTAAGGAATTGACTACTGGAAGATATTACTATAATATGGATTTGGATACTATTGAAGAGAGATTATGGAATGGGTACTATAGTGAACCTAAGCAGTTCCTTAAAGATATCAAGATGATAGTCCGCGATTCCATAACTTCAGGAGATAGAGAACGTATCTTGAAAGCTAATGAAATGTTAACCAATGCCCAGTTTGGAATCGACGATTTCTCCACTCCAGAATTTTTGAAGAATTGTCGTGAGGTCAGAGAAAGAGATTTGAAGAAGCAGGAGAAGTTGTTGGAAGAACATAGGAAATTACAAGAAGAACTTCAGAAACAAGCTGAGCTTAGCCAAACATTGACTCATGAAGCGATAGAAGGTGCCATCCCAGAAGAGCCTCATGTGAATGGCGTGGTTGTCAATAGTGATCCAGCACCAGTAAGCAGCTTGAACAACTTATTAACAGAAACTTCTGCTGAAGCACCAGCACCAGAGGTAAGTACAGCGAATGAGGTTGTTCCTATTGTTACAGACCAAGTTGAAGAGCAAGTTGAAGAGCAAGAGCAAGAGCAAGTGCTTGAGCAAGTGCAAGTGCCAGTGCAAGAGCCAGTGCAAGAGCAAGTGCAAGAGCAAGTGCAAGTGCAAGAGCCAGTGAAAGAGCAAGAAGAATCGGAATCTGACTCAGAATCAGAAGCCGAAGAGCTTGATATAGACCAATCCAGACAAGTTACCATTGACGAGGACAAGTTGCAATCATTAAACAACAAACTCGTTACAGTAACCGACAATTATAATATTGAAAAATTAGAAAACGTTATGGCCAAATTAATGGATATTGTTTGGAAAGATCGAAACCAATGGGATAAATCAGAAACTTTACAAAATCTTACAACAGCCATTGACTCTTTATAGACTATATGTATAATATTACAAAATTAATAATACAACTAGACTTTTTAACTAATCTTCAGCACTTCCATCTCTTGGTCTGTAGATAACATTTTGTTCTTCCAAATCTCTGATGATATCAGGAGGCAACTTCCCATTGACTTTAACTGCATAAAGACCCGGAGCAAACGAATCTATTCGTAACCATCTCGCTACCCATGATTCTTTATTATCGGCACCCAAGGCAACAGTACCTTCAAATGATGGAGATGTACAGTCTTGAATTTGGCCATCTTCGTTATCTTGATAATGCAAAAGACTTTCACAATTTGGACATCCAGCTGAATAGAACTTCTTGAATGGTTGGATTATACCACAGAGCATACATGCTCTTTCTGATCTGCTTGACATGGTGGTTGTATCAATGGTACAAATATCTGAATTATTCGATTTCTTTTTCTCAACATTTAAATCAAAACTCATGAAACCCGACTCACGTGACTCAATATATAAAAAATATGAAAAATTGTCAGATCGCAAAGAGAGAAGCACCAGTTTAGCAATAGAGTACAGCACATGTTTAGAAGCACTAGAATAGGGATATCTCTATCTCAAAGACGAATAGTACAGAGACGACAGTTTTCATTTGATTACCATGCGGTGATCGGTTCTATGACGGAAGCTGTTCAATTAGCCCATACCTATACTGGAATCCCATGGTGGGCACTAATACCCTTGACTACATTCACTCTCCGTTCAGTATGGACCATGCCATTGGCAGTCTTGCAAAGAAGACGAATTCAGAAGCAAAGTGAATTGAAACCAATTGTAAGTGCAACTACTCCCGTTGTGAAAATGAGCTTGGCCAAGAAAGCCCAGACAGCCAAAAGAGAAGCCGACAAGGATACCAGTATTATTTCACCTATACAATCCCCATTAGCTTCCATGACATACGAGCAAATATTAATCTTGAGTTCAAAGGAAACCAGAAAAAGACAAAAGGCATTATTCAAAAAACATAATGTGGAAATGTGGAAGAATTTTATCTTGCCAGCATTTCAAATCCCACTTTGGATTGCCATGTCGTTAACCATGCGTGATTTAAGTGGTTGGACCACTTGGGATAATGTCAAAAACAAAGCTCTTGATCCAACCTTATACGAGGAAGGATTATTATGGTTTCAAGATTTAAGTGTGGCCGACCCCATGCATGCATTCCCATTGTTACTCGGTGTAATAACGTTGTGTAATGTGGAATGGACCTTCAAGACCTTGGAACTTTCCAGACTTACACCAAGAAACAAACTTAGACCAACATTGACTTCGTCAATCTCAAATGTTGCCAGGATGTCCGTGGTGTTTATGATGGCTATTTCATTACACGCACCTGTGGCTCTAACGTTGTATTGGGTAAGCTCCCAGGTTTATTCCTTGATCCAGAATATTATTATGGACTTGACCATGCCAATTACATTCACGCCAGTCAAGAGATTGAATTGGCCAAAATCCAAGAGTGAAGATGCTGTTGATATTATGAAGAAGTAAACTTTTATATGTACATAGTAATACACTTGTTTATAGTACCACCAAAAATCGTGCAATTCCAGACAACCAAAATTGTCGCACCCATCATTCCCAGTTGACACCAACTTGAAAGCACAACAACCTGTTCTTTCTTACTACTACGTCGCTCCAATGTTTGATTTAAAACAGATTCGTAGAGCAAGTAACCAATTGTACTCTGACATAATAGCAGAGTTCTCAGAAACGCGTGGCAAATACGATAATGACAGCAAAACATTCCAAGAACTAAACCAATGGAGACTACAAGAACTACCAGAAACACTAGCACAAAGACTCGAAGATACCAAGTCAATCTGGTTGACTAAGGACGAATTGGTCTTGTTGATGGATTGGAAATTGGCCAACGGGAAATTCAGAGCAACCTTACCCAAATTGATTAGATCAAATGATGAACTGACTGTAGAAGCAGTAACAAAGCAAGGATTTCAAATATGGTTAACATTTAGGAGAACAACAGGAACTAATGACTTATGGGATGATTTTGCTTACAAAGGCATGATAAAGTCTTCATTCAAGAAGTTGTGCGAATTGAGAGGGGTAGGTCCAGCCACGGCCAGTTTGATTTTGAGTCTTATCCATAAAATAGACAAGAAATGGGCCCCACCATACTTTAGTGATGAAAGTTTCTTATATTATGTAAACCCTGAAGACAAGATAAAGTATACAGTCAAGGAATATCTCGATCTTTTCTTACCAGCTTTTCTTGTTTTACACGTTCAAGATTCTGATGTGTCCATGGATGAATTAGAACGTGGTGCTTGGGCTTTAAAGATGTATGAACTACACAAAGATGACACCTTGGCAAATGTTAAGCCAGCCGAAGAAGATGCCCCAGAAGCTAAAGCCATAGAAGAGAATGGAACAAAGAAAAGATCCAGAGGTCTGATTAAAAAAGAACTCGAATCAGAGGAAACAGAGATTACTGAACAGGAGGCCAAACCCAAAAGAGCAAGAGCTACCAAAGCCGCCTATAAAGCCGAAAGTTTGTCGAAAGCTCCAAAATCTACAAAAGCTGCCAGTACAAGAAATGCTAAAAAAGCTGCCAAAGCTGAAGGAATAGCAAAAGCTACAAAAGTCAAATCAAAAACTTCAATCAAATCAGAAGAACCCAAACCTAAACGTACAAGAAAAAAGTAAATATTCATTATCTATAAATCCATATGATCTTTCTCAAAATTAATCAACATAAACTTGTCATCATTATAGTTAAGACTCAACGTATTAATATTCTTATCCACATTTTCAAAAATGTTTTCCAAATTGCTAACTTTTTTGAATCCACCATGAACCAATATCTCACGGTTAATTTCACCCCACAATGAAACCAATTGCTTGTCAAATTCGTCAAGGATACGACAAACTTTAGGAAGGTTCAAAAGTGACTGGGTCAGCTCAACAAGTAATAATGACGAAATTTGGTTAACTTGGGCCAATTTCTCTTCACTCCTATACTCCTTAACCAATGTTTCTCGATACACGATCGCTTGCTGATACAACTCCAGCTCTTCAGATTCTTGTCCAACTTTATCGCTTTCAAATCTTGATTTCTTACATTCGATAAGCAATTTCACAATATGAATAAACTTGGCTAATTTAATATCAAATACCATTTGTGCCCCTCTAGCACTATCAATTATGCTTGGATATTCCTGTTCAAGGAATTTCAAAACTTCGTCAAACTGTTTATTCATGATATTCTTCTTAATAAGACTCCTGTTAACTGTGTGAGATTTCATTAATAAATCGTCGTCTCTTACTTTAGAATCTTGCTGTTCGGAATTGGGGTCAATCTCCAAGGAAAGTGATTTTAAATCAGAATCAAATGCTTTGAAAGTGTTGATATAACCTTCATGGTTCAAATATCCTTTAATTAGCTTATTCAACATTTGTGAATCTTCATTAATGTTTAATAACGATCTTTCAATTGAAGTGGAGGGTCTTGAAGAATCTGGATCCACGGTTTTGTTAGCTTGAATCTTATCCAACAACGACAAGTAAAGGAATTTCTGATTTTCCTGTTTGAAACTGTTAACATAATTGTTCATGTTCAATTTAAATTCCTTGAATCCGAAATTTGTCTTGATCTTTAATTTGGAAGGTTGCGATCCGGAAACAACTTCCAAATCATTGAGTTTAAAACCAATCATGGGGTAAATTGAATTATCTTTTCCTTCCAGGAATAGGTTATCATTCGAAGGATTGCTTGACACTAACTCATCATAAGTGATAACTCTTGTGAACACACCATTCAAAGTAATAAAGATAGATCTGTTAATGAAATTGACACCACAGCCAATGATATCAGTTTTATGAATTCGTTTCATATAATTCTCTTCAATCATTCTAGTTTTGAATGGGATTCCTAAGTCAATCTTGCCACAATCTAATTCATTTAAATTAGTGCCCCGATTCATGGCACTCATTCTCCGATTCATATTCAAAAGCTGACTCCGTTGAAGTGATTCTAAATTTTTGATTGAGTTGTAAAAATTGGAATCTTCAAAATTAACAGCAAAGCTTCCTTTAAATTCACCTGGTTTCGATCCTAAAAGTTCTTTAATTTCAGAGCTGGATCCAGTTGATGTGGTCATGGTGATATCATCCGAATCATTCAAGAATATATGCTCCTTGACCTTTTCTAAATCAAGAGGTGTGCCCTGAGTAACTGATGAGGCTGTGCTAGAAGTATCATCAAGGTTAAAATACCTTTTGGTAAAACCGGCACATAAATTAAGCGAAGAATCAGAATTCACAGAAGCATCACTCATGGAAATTATAGGTTTGAAATTAGTAGCTTCAGTAATTTCTTGAACAATTTCAATTTCATAGTAGAAAATACCACTTGATGAACAGATAGGCTTATCAGTGATAAAATTAAAGTATCTTGGCTTGGACAAATCCAAATCTTCAAATTGGTTAGATGTACCCTCCTTTGGTGTACTCAAGCAAATATAAGAATTCCCATTAGAATTATCAATTTCCATATTCAAAGTAGTTGACAAATAATTCAAGTATTTGTTAGGAATTAAAGGTGCCCAAGATATAGGTAAAGGATATTTAAAATAATCTTCATTATTGTTACCAAAATGAACAAAACTAGGTGGTAATTTAAACTTGTGATCAGACTTTAGCTTCATCAACGTAATCAATTCCCTCAATGACATATCCATATACTTCTTGTACTCTTTGTGAACTTGTGGCTCTCTCAAAGTGTTGAAGTTAACTTCGCCAACATTATGTGTCTTGAAAATGGATGGTTGATTCACAGCAGAACTATCGCCGCCCGCAGCAGTTGCTTCAAATAACGTTCCTCTATCCAAGTTGGGTTTATCAGTCTTTTCATGATCCGCATTCTCGTCATCTTCAATTAAACGATTCTTAAAAATTTCATAGAGTTCAAATATCCGATCGGAGTTGGCGGCCAACCGATTGAATTCCATGGGATTGGTGCCCAAGATGCCCAAGATCGCCAACTTGTATAACACTTTTTCCTTGATAATAGCATTCAAGTAAGGGTCAGGAGAGAATTGATTTGTTTGTTCTCGTTTGGGTTCGTGTTTTCTTTTGATGTTGTTGTGATGGTATGGAGAATCAGGGGTAATGACGTTAAGCAAGCTTAGTTGTTCGTTGTGTTGGGCCAACTGTTTCTGCAACTGGGATCCCATACATGTATTGAGAAGGTATGGAGGAATGATATATATAAGGGACGTTGATGGAGATGGTGATACAGGAGCATCAGACTTAGAAACAGGTGTCATGGGTGGCGAGTCAATATGTGGGGGGAGTGGAGCGGAGTTGATAAGGTGAAAAGGAAAAAGTACCTGTTTATATATTTTGTAAAGTGTAGAAATTGCTAATCAGATAATTTCCTTATGAGAAAGACAAACTGGGGAAACAGACTAGATGAAGGTTGTAAAAAAAATCGAAACTTGTTGTAGTAAAGGAAGGAGATTGGCAAATGGCCAAAAAAGCTGTGGACACAATGAAGCAGGCGCAGAAAAAAAAAGAGGAACCAGTCCCACCAAGCATCGAAAAATCAGACATCAAAAATAGCAGCGAGAAGAAGTTTACTCAAGCAAGCAGTGTACTTTGAAAAAGGAAAAAAAAATGACTGATCACCTAATTGCTGCCGTCCAAACGCATCTCCCTAATATAGATGTTAATATTATTTCTCAGGGAGCTGAAGCTTTGGTATTTGAAACAACTACTCATCCCTACAACCAAACTTCGGAAGATGCTTCCAAATACATCATCAAGTATAGACCACCAAAACCTTATAGACACCCCAAGATTGATGCAAGTATAACCAAAATTAGAACTGTGGGTGAAGCTAGAATTATGTACAAGTTGTCCAAATTAGGTATACCTGCACCTACTTTGATTCTGAGTGATTTCAACAACGGGATAGTATGGATGGAATACCTAGGCTACAATTTACCCAATGGCAATATAAGTTCGTTTAAGAATTGGTTATGGTTTTTGGAAGAAACAGCTAAAGCGCAACAGGATGAAGAAGGTGAAGACTTATCTCTTTGTGTAAGTGAAGAAGTTAAACTTGTATGCAACAAAGTGGGTGAATTGATTGGTAGAATCCATTTGAATGATGTAATACACGGTGATTTAACATCTTCAAACATCATACTTTTACCGGAAAATAACGAACCTGCATTAATCGATTTTGGACTTTCTTCAATCTCTGGGTTACCCGAAGACAAAGCAGTTGACTTGTATGTATTGGAAAGGGCCATTTTAAGTACCCATTCGGTGTTCTCTAACACATATAATACCTGGTTATTACAAGGGTACAAAGATATTCACCATTCAAAAGAATTTAAACAAGGAAGCAAGAAATATTCCGAAACTATAAAGAGATTAGAAGATGTAAGATTAAGAGGAAGAAAGAGAAGTATGTTAGGTTAATAGTGTCAACAGTTGTATACATAAAATATAATATTTTTTGATTTCTTCTCCATGATTATCAAAATTGGGAAACACCCATATTCGAAATGATATCATTCTGCAGCAATAGCAAAGAAGGAAGATAGCTTTAGCAATCAAGAGTTGACTAGAGAACAGTGCAGCCAAAACTGAAAAAAAAGAAAATTTTGAAGCAAATAAAGTTTCAATATATAAAGAAAAACATTTTGAAGTTTTAAGAAATCTCTTATTGTATACCCTCAGCCACTCACAATGATTCGTTCAATTCAATTATCAACAAAACGTCAACTTCAATTGCAATTACGTACACTCGCAACATATGCTTCCAACCCACAAATCTACATCCACAAGGTAAACCCATTGAACTACAAGTTTTCTCTCTCAAAATCTCCCGATGCAATTGAGATAGGATCATCACCTACTGCAGACCCCGAACCCTCAACATTCACAGACAATCCCAAGTTTAAAGAGCTCTTGAACTCGACAATATATTCAAAAATTCAAGATGACTTTACCTTTGTCATGGAAGCAGGTGTAAATGCGAATTCATTCATGCCAATTTATGATTTAAGAGAAACACCAAATTATGCAAGAGTACCTGCAACCGAAAACATATTTGGTTATGTACGGGTGGACTCCAAGGGGAAGATCGTTCCTGAATCCTTTCAAGCGAATGGTATGTATAGACTTATCAATGGAAGATGTGGATTATGTAAATTTTCAGATTTCTTGCACGAACAATTGCAAACACAATCAGAAATGCAGGTTGTGAAACAAAATGTTAATGCCAGTACATAATTTAGTATAAATGAATATAATATTAGATAATAGATACTATGAAGGGCAATATAGTCAAAAATATGATAATTATTGTAGAGAAAAAAAAAAAATCTGAAAAAAAATAAATGATTTCGCCCAGGATCGAACTGGGGACGTTCTGCGTGTTAAGCAGATGCCATAACCAACTAGACCACGAAACCATTTTATATTCTTTTTGTTCTATATCAGGTCTTCTCCTGATATGACGATAATGATCCAAAAAGGATATGTATGGTTTGGAAGATATAAATTATTATGGTCTGATATTATTGTTAAGATATTTATGGTTCAATATTGAAAGCTTAGAGTAAGCCTCTAGGAAGTCGTACGAGGTTATTCACGAAGCAAATGGTATGGAGGAATTGGTAATTGACCGTATGGTACGATTATAAGTTCCCAAACTAGGTAACAAACAAGGCTTTGAAGAGGCTGAATAGAAAGAGACTTCGAAGTCTCACGTTTCAAGGATTACGGAAAATGGCTCTATAAACAGCTAGTAATCGGCCGAAACTAGAATTGGAAGTTTATAATTAATTAGCTATAGAGACTTGAAATAGAGATAAATTACTAAGTTCCCAAAAAGGACCCAATTATAGAACATTTTTTGTGTTCTATAATCTGAGTCTGTTGGGGAATAACAGGTTAAATATAAGCCAATTACTTAACAAATAACAATATCAATTGGTTCAATCCTAAACCAAAGAAACTAAAATAAAACTTGACTAAAGAAAAAGATATACAAACCTAGAAAATAAGTTTCTGCGGATTTCAGTATTCTTATAGAGCATCCTGTCAATCCTTGAAACTAGAGATACGTAGCCCCTTAAACCAATAAGGCCATGCATCCTTACAAGACAGAATACTTCAAACTCCGTGACATCATTCAGTCACATACCAGTAGGTTATATTTCAAAGCTCTAAACCGATACATTTCATTATGAACAATGATGCATAAAGCGTACAGTACTCTATCCCGTAAATCGAGAGATAACTAAAACAATCCAACAATTCAAACCATAACATTAACTAATGTAAAACAATTCCACTTAATAAACCAACTTAGAGTCATATCATTGACTCTATTATGTTTCTAATCAGAGAAGCTCTGATATAGAACAAAATGTTCTATATCACTCTCTGCCCAGACTAATATCCTCCTCTAGATCGATTGCTCAGCTATTGACCAATCATTGGCAGTTTCAGTGATTTTGACGTAAGGCTCATTAAGTTTGTTCTTGTTAACCGGGTACGGTGTCTTGTAGTCACCACTTGTATCTTCTCCCAACTTGTAATTAAACTCAGTTTTTAATCTACTGATAGTCGACTTAGTCTTTTCATAATATTCATTAGCCTGCTTTCTCGCTTCATTAGCATCACCTGTGTTTAATAAAATATACCAGTATAAACAATACTTATTGTCGTCCTTGTTGTCATATCGATATTTTGCTAATTCTGTATCGTTCTCTACAACCGTAGAGAACCCAGTATCTTCCCAGTTGACATCTTTGTATGCACCTTCTTTACACCTACCAGGCTGATCAATTTTAACAGAAATGATCCTATACTCTGTTTTACTCAGAGTGTCTCTCTTTACTAGTTGATTCCTCGTCGCCCCTGTATTTGTATTTTGCGATAGCATAGCTGCCGACAAGGTAGCTTGCAAAGTACAAAACAATATACAGAGTGCGCTCGTATTTGCCCATAATAACATATTAGTTCTTCAGTGTATTTATTTATTCTTAAATTTATATTTTGTTTTATGTCTTTTTTTTTTGTTTTTGCCGTTGGTTTGGTTTTTTTAAACTCTATTTTAAATTTTAATTTCAGTTATAATTATTTATATTATTTTTTTTTCACAAGCGACAAGATAAAATAATAACTAAATTCATTAATACTGTATAGTTTATTCAAAGAAATTTTCGCAGTTGACTAAAACTACGAGAGAACAATTCAATCCATTCTAAGCCACTCGAGGCTTAGAACACATACATATATTCGCTTAATTAAATTTGTTTTAATCAAATTTTATCAATCATATCACGCGAAACCCCGTACTAAGTAATTTAAAAAGAACAATATAAATCTCTCACCAAATCTAATAGAACCTTGAGAAACGAAAATAACCGAAAGGCAAAATCTTGTCGCTTGAAATTTTCACGAGCAAAACTTCCAAAGTTTCTTCCACTTTACTTAGATATTTTAACTAAGCGTTGAAACCCCGCTTTTCTCCACAAGTGGAAACAATCATTGTTTATTCTCCCAAAGATCGAATTCTATACATAAAGCAAAATGATGATGGAAATCGTATATGTACCTAAAGGCTACTCTGAAGTCGACCTAATGGATGGCTGGTATACTATGGGATGATGAAAATACGCATGAATATAGTGAAGAAATATAAATTAAAAGACATATGATTGTTAATGATTTTCCATATAATGACTTAATCTATGTAAGACCCGAAAAGAGTGATCATGATAATGATGAAGGCGATGATGAAAACGATGTATTTAAGTTAAAACTAAGGGTGCATCGGGCAGGTACTAATTATAATAGGTATATCACCTTCAATTCTGTAGATGATTATTACCGTGGAGATGGCAGAGGTAAATTATTCGATTCCTTAGGATATGATGAATTGGATTACGATGGTTTGGGTTTTCTAACTCCAGAAAAACAAGATGAGCTTGATAAGGACAAGGTTTTAGTAATCTACACTTTTGAAAATGAAAAATTTGAAAATGAAAAATTTGACAATTGTAAAACTATTGAAGTTAGTTGTGAAGATGACATAGTGAATGACTATATCGATAATATTGAAAGTTATCTTCCAAACTATGCTGTTTTCAAAGAGGGCAAAATAGAAATCAGAAGATTTAGCGAAGAAGACTGTAAATTCATAAAAAAAGAAGAGTTAAAATGGGCCGACAAGAGCCCAATCGCCAACAAAGGTTATATGGTAGAGTTTACAATAAATGGGAATGTTACAAACTTTGAAGTCACCAAAGTGGAAGGATCCAATATTTTTGTTAAAGTTGAAACCATGGAAAATTTACTAGAATTTACAGAAGCTGATAATGAATACCGAAGCAATGCTGCATTTGAGAAGATTGGTGATAAATACAAGGTGTACAATTTATATGATCTTAAAGATACCTTTATTTCAGACAGCAAAATGAATATAATTTCCACCAAACATTTTGAATTTCTCAAAAATAACTGCTCAGCAGATACCAACTGAGTTAGACAATGAGAAAAACAATGCCAAATCCAAAATTTAAAACTTTCAAATAATATTACACATATTATTCCTTTATGATCCTAAAATTTCCAAGACTTAGTTGATAATTAAAATTGCAAGATCAATCTAAGCAAACCACAACAAATTTATTTGATATTATAGCTAGCATCTTTCACAGATGCAAGATGCACTTATTTTGTCAATATATTAGATATGCTGAAAATAAAATCAATTCTTCTCTGCTGACTGTACAACTTAATGCATTTAAATCTAAAGCAAGCTACATTTGCTATCTATGGATTCATAGTGATCATTTAGTAGTTAATGATTAACTGCCACTTCCTGTGCTTGTTCTGAAAATGTATCCCAACATTAGGAAGTCACACGAATGTTTCTAAGTTCCATTTTCATTTAAATATTAATTCTCGCAGAAACGGACAGGTTACTAGGTACTTATCCCCTACGGGTAATGGTCAGATAACTGCTAAAAAATATTATTGTGCCGAAAAAAAAAATAAATCTGGGGTATTGACGACAAAGTCTGGTGTTTCCAGTTCAGAAAAGACACCCAAGAACTTCTGACCCAGAGTCAGAATGAGTTCAACACTAAGGGAAAAGGAGCGTTATACCAAATATAATGCACCAAATGACTTGATTCAATTGGTAAATGATAGAAAACTTATCCCGAGGGAACCTGATGTGATTAGCATCCCGGTCCATCAGCTCACGAAAGACTTTGAACCTGTTGCAATCCTAAGAGCCATAGAAGCCGGAATTAAATATAAAAAGAAACAAGTTGATAAAAGATTTCAATATACTAATAAGGCTGACTATAAAAAAATGGAAAATTTTGCTTTTGGTTTACTGAAATTCTTAGATAAAAGATTAAGCATAAGCTATAAGTACAACAAGAGAGAAATATTAGTTCGAGAATCTTTGGGAAATATTGCACTCTTTTATACTCGTGGTACCTATAATTTAGTATTTTCTCCATTTGACGAAGAAACACAAAGATGTCCCAACTTTGAAAAGATCAAAGCTACATTTGTTGAAGTTTTGAATGATATAGTGTATAAGATTGATACCAGTACTTTCAGAATCAAAGCAGAGGAAAATGCATTGCCTTACTTCTTATTTTACTTTAAGACACCTCCAACCAAAGGGAATCTAACAGAAAGCCTCTTCAAAGATTATCTACACGAACAGGATGAAGTGATAGCATCTAGTATCTCTAAAGAAGTTGATATTGTTGATTCCAATGATAATCATATATCATCATACTTTGTGGTAAAATTAGTTAGCGAAGTTGCTCCACCCAAAACTAAACCAGGAAATTCTTTTGCAGGAACTTCAGTGAAAGCTTTGACTCATTTGCCAAAACGATACACACAACAACACAACACAGATTTGGAAAAGTACTGGATGTATGAAAATGGGGGACATCCACATAATATGGAACATATAGACTAGAGAATAAAAATAAAAGTTTTTTAAACACATGTTAATTCTACAAGTCGTATTCAAGTTAACATTCAAAGAAATAACCCTAAATATAATTCAATGTATCAAAACCAAAATGTAAAAGCATTGTTATCAATCTATCTTTGACCTCAAGAACTAGTGAAAACATGCTGGGCCAGATACTCTTGCCAACTTGAAAAGTTTTGGGTCTTGTTTTAAGCTCATAACAATTATTGCATCTATTTAAATTTGTTGCCGGAACCTCCTCCAAATTTAACAATGGAATAATAAATGAAAACAATATGTATTTTGCATTATTTGTTTGTTTAACATTCAATAATTGATTACATCAGTTGGAGGAATTGAGATTTATATTCAAATTCTCCCAGCAGATCTATGAATCAAGAATGAGATGTATAATCCTGATTTCCATGGACTAGATAATCTAGGAAAACAAAGGTGAAATATTACCAGCATAAAATTACCCTTGATCTATATTTATCGCCAGCGTATCCCAATGGTTGTTTCAAGAAATTATTAGATTACTCCAATATAATGTTCTATTGTCTCAATATAAATTTTTGAAATTAAACAATCAAATTTTCCTAGAAGTGGAAGATATGCAGCCAAATTAAAATTCAGCTTGTAGGATATGCTATATTGAAGAAAAAAACGTACTAGTTTCTTGCTTAATTACTTCAACTGGGCACAATTCATTCTGCTTAAAAAGTGGTCAGAAAAGATAATTAGATCATGCCAACTACACGAGCTATTTTCCTGTCATATTCACCAAGTCAGTCACTGAAGTCTAAGAATGTCTTCAAGGGTTTGGTTTTAAGTAGTGTTTGAGATAATGAAATGTAACCGGCAGACGGTGAGACCAGTCTTTACTACTTCGAAATGGACTATCTTAGATTTCACCCAACCTATAAATAGATATCAAGCCATACTTCAACTAAATAGGTAAGAGTAAATGTATTATTACGTAATCACCCTGGTTCTGATAAAAAGAAATTAAACATATCTGGAAAGATAAATGTGTAAAACCGTACCCAAAAATTTTTTTATCACTTATTTCAAAGGGAATACAGAACCAAAATTTAACACATACAATTAATCTCTAGTGTACAAAGTGGGAGCTATAGACATAATAGTTATGGAATTTCACCCTGAACATATTTGAAACCTGTTAAGTATAAAATTTGAACCCAGACATGCTTTCAAACAATAACTAGCCTAGCTCTCCGCAGCATATATTTTCTGGCAGATCAACTACATATGCATAGAACAATATGAAATAGCAATTATAAAGAAATAGGGATTTTAGTGCATAAAACCAGAAAAATAATAGGCCATTATCAGGTACACGCCTTTATGATATTGGTCACGTAAACATAGTCCAGTGGATTCACCTATGATACCCACAGATTTATTTTTATGTCAAATAAAAAAAAAAAGGATAGTAGTACGAGAAATCCCCCTAGGGTTAAGCCGCACAAGTGGGCACGTAAACACTATGAAACTGTAGGGGGTTTTTTTTTGTTGTGGAGGCTTATGTATATACGGTGAAATATAATGGATGTGACTGATCATTCAGCCCCCTCAGTATTTGTACATCTACCACCAATGAAGCTATTCAATTGGATGACCAATCATCCTTTGGTCCTTTTCTTAATAGGTAGGTTTAAAAGAGCCGAGACATGGTTTTGTGTCTGAAATAAGCAGTATTATAAATCCGTCGGAAATAATAAAAGAATTAGTATGTTTTTTTTCTTCTTGAGACCGTGGGTATTAACCATGAAAAAATAATCATAGTAACTATTTTCTGAGCTGCACAGAAAACAATAAAATAGTGGGCAGGGAGAGGGGCACACATCTATCACAAATGCTGATTAATCGGGGCAGAAAACAATAGGAAATTTTCGTACTCTTAGTCAAACTGTAATCCCCTCATGAAGAACTTCTGTCTGGTCATTTAATTTGTAAAAAAAAAAAAAACGGATTTCGGGTTTACATGAGTTAAATAATATTTTTTTTATTCGTAAGTCAGAAAGGAAAATGTCAGGGTTTGGGGTATTGAACTAGTGTAAAATCACATTTGAATACCTACCCATAAATCGTCAAACTACACTTCGTATTACATCGAGCTTCATTGACAAACGGATATTAATGAAAGGTGAAATTTGTTATAGAATCTGTTTTTCAAAAAGGCGGCTAGGATCGTATCGGCAATGAAATCCCCCCCGTACATAAGAACAAAAGATTAGCGACCAACAGAAAGAGAACTTTATTTACAAACAGGCTCTTCCATCTCTTGGCATCTATTCATAAAAGTTACAACCCTGCTATTATAACTTCAAGTTAATCACTCAATCCCAAGATAAGCCATGATAGGCTCAGTAGAGTACAAAGAGGTTTCTAACTAAAACTTCGAATAGTGAGTTCATTTAACATGGGTGTAAATTTAGACGCGGCTGTGCTACCGAAAAAGGTCAGCCCTGACAATATTTCTAAAAAATAGTTTATTTTTTAAGTGCGAGTTAAGCAGCAATGCATTTATTGTTTAAACAGATACTGGATCTTGTTTATACCAGACCCCCAACGCTAATTAAGAACCCAGTCAAACTTACAGGTTTTTATTTTTATTTTATTTTTTTTTCAATTCCTCAAGTACTTCTCCTAAATTCTTTGGCTTTCTATTTAAGGGGAGTTGGATTTCCTTTCCTTTAAGTTTTTGTTTTTGTTTGTTTTCTTTTCGTTTTCCTTACAATTTTTTTTTACAACCAAATCAATTGTAACAACAAAGTATTAATTAATCAATCAATGATTCTCAAAGAAATATTTACTTACTCTATCCGTGGTGCTGAGGGTCTATTTGCTCTTCTTGTACTTGGTCTTTCAGCTGGATATTTAGGTGTGTACGGTCATAATGTTGACAGAATTTCCTACACTCTAGTGGTTTCCATTTTGAACCTTATCTACTTTGGTTATATTGGAGGTGTGTTACCATTTGTTACTGAAGAAAGAGCACCATCCTTATCCATTTTGTTAAGTGAGGGTATTTTATCTATTTTCTATCTTGCTTCAATGGGTTCTATTGCTGATATGGTTTCTGGTGTGTCCTGTGATTTGGGAGATTATTATTTTGATGGCAATCAATATTATAGTAACCACAAGTATAAAACAACTTGTCACATTGCCAAAGCTTTAATTCCATTCACGTTATTTAATTGGTTGTTGTTTACTGCTAGTCTCCTTTTGTTCGTTTTCTACAGTTTCATTCCAGAAGTATCCACTTATGGATGGGGCCACATTATTCAATTAACAAAATACCATTTCGGTGCTATTTGGGCTAACTATGCTCAACCTCCTTTCAAAAAAGTTATTGGTGCTGAAGAAAAGGGTGTTGCAACTGGCGGAGAGGTTGCTCCTGCCGCTGCTGTTGTTGACGAAGAAGCTCAAATTGGTTCTAGCGATGAAGAGGCCAGAGAAAACAAGTATGCTGAAGCTACATCTACTGAAGGTGATGATCATCCAGTTAAACAACACACTTAGCCAAGTTGTTAGCGCGCCTATTGAATTTGCTTATTTTGATACCATTAAAGGCTAGTTCATGGCTACTGTTGTAATCTAATCTTGATTGTTGCTAACTTTTTTTTTTTTTTCGTTTCACCGAATTCGGGTTTTCGCGCATTGTTTTTATTTCCACCAGTATTATTATCGTATTTTATATATTTATGTCTTTGAAAGTTATACTTTAATGTTTAACATATAACCATAAATTACGTCACATTATGACACATAGGAGAAAAAGTTATACCTATAGAGTAAAACAAAAAAACCAAAAGAAAAAACGAAACAATTGGAAGATAACACCTTCAACTGGTTTCCTTACACTTGACTTCTAACAAAATGATCGGTCATACCGTAAAGGAAAACCGGGCGCAGTGGCAAGTGGTTCCATATCTCGTCTACCGTATTATATTATTATAATTATCCAAGATCAAATTCTAATGCAACATCATGCATGTGAAAACAGTGTATCCATGTTTCCATTGGATACAGTGATGTGGTTTTGTGGCATTGGCGTGTATGTACAACCACTAAAATTACAAAAATCAGGCGGGAAATTTGGTAGCACCAAATAGATAATAGGGCTTCCACCTAAATTTAATTTGTTTTAACTGTAAGACTGAACTTAAAGTAGTCACATATCACTACTTCCAGAATGTGGAGTACCCAAATTGGTTTGAATTCCCATGATATTCACCATTGTTGCCATCACACCTTCCATGTTAGCTTGAGAGACAGTACCAGAATCATCAAGGTCTTGCGCCTGCAATTGTCCTCTAAAAATAGATTTGGAATATGTATATTCCTGTAACAACTTAAATCGGATGATAAAAGAAGATTTAATATCATTTGCATCATAGTGGCAATGTCTATGAAATATTCATGATCGTGTTTACGAAAAGTAAACAACGTTTTATTTTTTCCCTGTACTTTAGTGAAGATTTTTATGCATGGCCGCCAAGATTTAGTGTAATCTTGCATAAGGTTTGTGCATTTAGGAAGATTAGATGCTCCGACCCTACAACCAATCTAAAATTGCAAAAGTGTTCATGAAAAGAAAAAAAAATAATTATAGCCCACCCAGTTAAGATATTTGAATATCATAACCAATATTCATAGCTTATATAAAAGGTGGGCCAATTCTGAGATTCTTTGCAATTTATAGAACCATTGATTAACTTTCATTCTCATTTACTAATATTGAACCTTATTCAACAATGAGATTATTAATCATCTATTTTATCAGTATTATTTCAGGAACCAAACTTTTCGAAAGGGATGATGACTGTATCGAAATCTGTACCAAGGCACATGCTCTTATTAAGCCATGTTATGATTTAGCCCATGACCACATTGAGTTCAGCAAATGCATCTGTGAAGACGAAAAATATAGGAAAGCACTTCAAGAATGTGCACAAAACTGTGCCGATGATACTGATTATGAATCTGAACAGGAAGATTATGAAGAATCATGTAGGGACTTTATGAAAAATTATTCTTCCTTAAAATCGCTTGTTGGCCAATTTTCCACTCCAACAAGCACCCATGGTACTACTAATTTAAAGTCAGCAACAACTGAGAAGGATACGTCTACAAGGGCAACAGCCAGTGGAAAGGATACCACTACAACAACCGAGAAGACAAGTTCTTTGACAACTCAATCCGAATCAAGCTCCAATTCTCAGGAAACCACTGAAAATAGTTCAACAAAGGGGTCAGCCGTTGGGTTAACTATTGACTCTTTGGTCTATTTGCTTGCATTTTGTTTGATTTAAATTTTTTCAAAATAAAATTATGTAATTTTTATCTTTTGTTTTAACAACCTCTTTTATGCGTTTACGTAGTTATTTAAGTAGTAAATAAAATGATTGTTTCACCTGAGAAAACATAGGATACGTAAGAGAGAAAAGGTGTTAATCTTAAAAAAAGAAAAGAATTTGACAATTCTTTGTTTTTTTATATTTTAAGTATGACAGAAAACCTGTGGGAATTCCAGTTATAAAGCTTGAAGGATTTCTGAAAGTAAACTAATTCTTAGTGGCTGCAAAAAAAAAGCTAAGATCGAGAAAAAAAAAGCTGACAGTAAAGTTTAGGAAATGCGCTGTCTTTATGATCTCTTTTTAGAGTTGAAAACCAAGATCTAGAAGGTATAATTAGCTGTCAGTAACATACCATTAGGTAGGACAACGATTGGTTTGTCCGTGTATTGGATTTCTTGTTCCCCGCAGAATTGAACACTTCTCATGGTTACGATGCATCATTACGATTAAGTATTACGGAATATCTTGATTTGTAGGACCCCCGTGGGTATAATTATTATGAAACAAGTATAAAATTTCAATCAAACAATAAAATAAAGCTTAGAATTCTTATTTGTTTAAGTAATGTAATGAAGTTACAATTGACAAGATCTCCTAGATCTAGTGGTTATATGGTGGCAGAATGAATTGTTTCCAATGAAGCCTCATTACACTTTCCAATTTTCTCTTACAATATAATTACAATATGTACTCTAAATTTGTAATAAGATAATTCCAGAACACCCCACATTTCCTAGTCATCTCCTTACTTACTACGGTCGTAGTGCGAATCTGGTGCTGGTTAATTACAGATTTTCTTTTTTTATTTTTTTTGCCTGCGTAACTGAAAACCACATTTCAAAATAACTTTTTCTATTGTTTGCCTTTGTGTTCCAACTGTGCCGTAATTACCATAGATAAGCTGGGGGCGTGCACTGAACACATTATGCTCAATATATAAACTCACACGTTGGTTCTTGAATTACACGAAAACCAACACCACATTCTTTATTATTATACTATGAGATCTACCTTAGTTACACTCGCGACTGCGTTAATTGTTGCTGCTGCCCTTGAAGAACCACAACAAGTTCTTTCCTCCGCCCCACAATGTCCAATCGACATCCCAATTTCATGTACCAACTCCACCCCAATCGTCAACAGTTGCTGCTTTGAAAGCCCTGGGGGAATGTTACTCCAAACCCAATTCTGGAACTATAACCCTGCATTTGGACCTGATGACGAATTCACCATTCATGGGTTATGGCCAGACAGATGTGATGGAACTTATGATCAGTTTTGTAGATCTGAGTTACAAGTTTCGGGAAGACAAATTAAAGATATTGTTGTTAACAAGTTCAAGGACCAGAAATTGTATGATGGGTTGAAAACCACTTGGAAGTCAAATAAAGGTGATGATGACGATATTAATTTCTGGGCTTATGAATTTAACAAACACGCCACTTGTTTATCAACTATTCTTCCTACCTGTTATGGTGCTTTCAAAGATGGCGAAAACGTCTATGATTATTTCTCAGTTGTTTATGAATTATTTGAAAACTTGCCAACTTACAAGTGGTTAGGTGATGCTGGTATTGTCCCATCCAACACCCAAACCTATACCAAGAAGCAAATTGCAGACGCATTGAGCTCTAAATTTGGCGAAGAAGTTTACTTCAACTGTGACCACAACCATGCTATCAACGAAATTCACTATTTCCACCATATCAGAGGTTCACTCTTGCAAAGAAACTTCATTCCTTTACCTGCCAAACCTATCACTCACGATAACAAAGCATGCCCCAACGAAGGTATAAAGTTCCCACCTAAGGGAAGCAGAGGTCCTCAACCAACCCATACTAGACCAGGTGAACCTGGTCCTGTCCCTACCGGAACTCCTTCTGCCGGATACATTAGACTTGAAGATCATGCTGGATGTCTTATTTCGAACGGGCATTGGTTTACTTCTGGAACTTGTGCAACGTATCATTTCATTGACCTTCAATATGGAGGAACAAGTATCAAGTCTACTAAGGGATATTGTGGATTCGATGATAAAGGTCAATTCACTTGTAATAGAAGTATTGATGGAAGCAAGTTCCATTTCCTGGTAAAGGAAGGTAATGTAGGTTACGGTGGTAAGTTTGATTGGTGTCTTAATAAAAAGGGAAGTACTGGTGAAGGTCCATACAAGCAAACACCAGTTATCTTAGCTGATGGCAAGTGTGAATCGTTCAAATTATACGTTGAAACTAGATAAAATACTACAGGATAGTTAAAAATGTTTTTTTTTTTTTTTAAAATCCGTTGAGGATAACCTTTATTATGTATAAGTTTATATAAATCTACCAGTTTGTATAAAGATAAAAAAAACAAGAATCAATTTGCTTTCCAAGTATGAAAAACCCCATTAGTAATAATAAACAAAAATAAAAAAAAACAGGAAAAAATGGAATCAATTTCCCTTTGTCCCTAAACCAAATCATTAAATGCAGTTGATGCAGTTTAAACTCATTAAGTCATAAAATTGTGTGAATAAAAAATGTGTAAAATACAGGGATAATAGAATAAAACAAACAGGCAGGTTTTCTTAAATATCAAGCACGCTTAATATCTGTAAATTTCAGCCTTGAATGGACCAGCTTCTGGAATACCCAAGTATTCAGCTTGAGTAGTGGTCAAAGTGGTCAACTTGGCCCCCAAGTGGTCCAAGTGACATCTGGCAACGGTTTCATCCAAAATCTTTGGCAATAAGTGGACACCAACATCGAATGGACCAGTCTTGGAGAATTCTGGGAATTGCTTTCTGAAATCTTCATCATTAGACTTGAATAAAGCAATTTGAGCCAAGACTTGGTTGGAGAAAGAACAAGACATGACGAAAGAAGAGTGACCGGTGGCACAACCCAAGTTAACTAATCTACCATCAGCTAATAAGATAACGTGACGACCGTTCTTCATCAAGTATCTGTCAACTTGAGGCTTGATGTTAACAACAGATTCAGCGTTAGCCTTTAACCAAGCAACATCAATTTCAATGTCGAAATGACCAATGTTACAAACGATGGCATCTTCTGGCATTTGTTCGAAATGCTTACCAACAATGATATCACGACAACCGGTGGTGGTAACAAAGATTTGACCAATAGAGGCAACTTCATCCATTGGAGCAACTTGGTAACCAGAAACAGCAGCTTGTAAAGCGTTAATTGGATCAATTTCAGTAACAATGACTCTAGCACCCATACCGTGTAAAGCCATAGCACAACCCTTACCGACATCACCGAAACCGGCAACAACAGCAACCTTACCGGCAATCATGACATCAGTGGCTCTCTTGATACCATCAACTAAAGATTCACGACAACCGTACAAGTTATCGAACTTGGACTTGGTAACGGAATCGTTAACATTGATAGCTGGAACCTTCAACTTACCGTCTCTCAAAGCCTTGTACAAGTGGTGGACACCAGTGGTGGTTTCTTCAGATAAACCGAAACAGTCTTCCAACATTTCTGGGTATTTTTCGTGGACCAAAGAGGTTAAATCACCACCGTCATCCAAAATCAAGTTCAACTTCTTGTTGTCCTTGAAGGCAAACAATTGTTGTTCAATACACCATTGGTATTCTTCTTCGGTTTCACCCTTCCAAGCGAAAACTGGAACACCAGCAGCAGCAATGGCAGCAGCAGCGTGATCTTGGGTGGAGAAAATGTTACAAGAAGACCAAGTAACTTCAGCACCTAAAGCAACCAAAGTTTCAATCAAAACAGCGGTTTGAATGGTCATGTGTAAACAACCAGCAATTCTGGCACCCTTCAATGGTTGAGATGGACCGTACTTCTTTCTGATGTACATTAAACCTGGCATTTCGTTTTCAGACAATTCAATGTCCTTTCTACCGAAGGCAGCTAAGGAGATATCGGCGACTTTGTAGTTAGTGGCTGGAGCAGACATTGTGTGATTTTCTTGATTAAAAGATATATAGAACAGGAAAAAGTAAATATAGAAAAATTTCCAAAGGGACTTTTTGTATGATTTTTATATACTGAAAAATTTTCGATCGTGTCTCAACAAAAAAACGGTTTTGTGTTACCAACGTGCCATTTCTTTTTTTGTTTTTTTTTGGCCCATCGTTTGTTTCTTTCACATGCAATTTTTTATACGACGTGTACGAGGTCACATGAGTTTAGTCATGTGGTTAAACTACCACATTAATAGTATGATGATTCTACCCTACTAGTTACTCATAACATTTCATTATATTTCTACATAATCTATATCTCAAACTTCAACCAATCCAAATCTTTATAATCATTGGTGCTGCCGTTAGAATTGCCATTTACTTGCGGCACCATATTCAAACTATGTTGTTGTTTTGGGGTGGGTATTAAAAATTCATTAGTTAAGCTCGTATAATTCTTGAAAAATTCATCATCGTCATTATCCAACATCCTTACTTCTTCTTCGTCAACTATGGTGTCCAACATAATCATTTCATCGTCTATACCTTCATGTAAGGAAATCGGCGGTTTGCTTGCTCGATACTCTTCTAATACTTGTTCTCTATGGGAAGGAGCTGATTGTGACTTGAATTGTTGTTGTTCGATAGGTGCTTGGAAGGAGAATTGTTGTTGAAACTGTTGTTGTTTGGTGGGTACTTGCTGCATGAACAATTGTTGATCGGAGGGGTATTGGTTTTTCGAAGAAGGTAACAAATCATTCACATTTGGTGTAGCAGGAACACTATTTGGTGTATCTGTAGCTTGATACTGATAAGAAGGACTTGAATTCAATGATCCTGGGGTTTCAACACCTACACTTGGCCCACTACCTCCTACTCCACATTCACCTTCAATTCCCAATTGGTTATTTTCCATAATTGTATTTGCTTGGTTCATCAATGTTGCGTGACTACTAGTTCTTGACAAACTGTTTGGTACTTGCTGATTAGCAGGGTTTTCAAAATAACTAGATTGAGGGAATCTTTGATTCAAGATATTTATATTGGAACTAGTCAATGAATTTGTAGGTGTAATCACGGCATTGGTTAATTTTCTTGTCATATTAGTCAACGAAGTTCTTCTATTCAATGTGGAGTTTTGGAATGATGAATTGCGTTTAAGGGAGTTGGAAAGGGATGAACTTGAAGAAGCAGCTCGATTCCTACTACTGAACGAGGAAGATATTGGGGTGGTGGCTTCATCAGCTGGTGTCATCATCGGCATTTGACTAGAAATATTTACTTCAGACTTCTTTCTCTTGAATGGTTGGTTAGAATTAATCGTGAATGGTGATGATGGTGAAAAAGCTTGTGAAGCTTGTGGAATTGGGATAGATTTCAAATTATTCCCACTTGGAGGTTTAGGTAAGATTAATACATTTTTATACCTTTGATTTGCCGAGATTGCCATACCAGTAGTTCCATAATTAGGTAAAGAAGAAGATGAATTGGTACTCACGGGTTTTGGTCGTATATTGGTAATTTCATTCTTGAATGATGCAGATATGTTGCTAGTACTAGGCAGTGCAGCAACGGCAATCTTTTGTGATGACGCTTGTGAAGTAGATTTTCGGGAATTTCTCTTTTTTATCACATCAGTCTTTAACGAAAGGGGACGAGTAGTTCCATGGAGTTTATAAAATAACCCACAGGCATTACAAAGAGTGTTTCCCTCGGCATCTTTTCTCCAAAGTGGAGTCTTCAAAGTTTTACAGTTGTAACATTCAGTTGGCTTTTGGTTTGCTGCAGCAGCGGCAGTGGCAGTAGCAGCAGCTGGAGGTTGTCCTGCAATTGGAGCAGATGATGAGATGGGTGTTGAAGCCGTGCTTGATGTTGGAGAAGTATTGGATTTTATCGGAGTTGGTTGAACTGACGGTCTGTTGTTCAACTTATTTAATGAAGAAGTCAAGTTTGACTTTGGTTTAATGAATGCATCATGTGTTATTTGTGGTTGTTGTTGTTGCCTAGTTGGAGCACCAGGTGAAGAATAGTCGGAGTTCGGAGTTTTGTATTCATTTCTTTGGGACGTGAAATTAGCAGTAGACATGGTGGTTGAAGTAGTGGCAATAGGTCTAGAAGCATTATTATGAATGTGATGATGATGACTATTATTCTTCAAATCTTCAATCGATAACGGTGATAGTAAATCCAAAATATTATCATGACCAGGCATGATCATATTGGGAGATGTAGATGTGTTATCACTATTTGTGGCATATAAATTATGGTTCATTTGAGCTTGGGAATTAACTTTCCTTACTTGTCTATTTTCAAATCGTGGTTGTAAATTTAATAGTTTCTTTGCTGAATGGAACAAGTCCGATATGGTCGGTCCTGCTTCAAAGTCCGATATGGTGTTATTGTTGTTAACGTCGGGATTCTGATGGGGTACCCCATTATTTTGAGGCGTAAATGAGGTCATGATGGTATACAGTATTTGTTGTTCGATGTTTGCTGGGTAGGATGGCAACTATTCAGGTAGATGTTTTGAATAAGGAGTGTAGCAACTAGACGAGTATGTAGGTATAAATATGCTTCTAAATGTATGTAATACAAGTCCGGGAATTTAGCCTATGTACAATCAAGTATGTCTCAGGCTTATAGATTGTTTCCTGTGATATATCTAAAGATTTGTTTCCCAGTTTCGACGATAGTGCCTTTGTGGTCAAATTCTTAATTAACTGACTCACACGGACCTTAGGAAAGAATTTTCTTTTTTTTTTCAGTTGTTTTTTTTTCTCTCTTTTGCTTTGTGGTGTTATTTGGCTTATGACGTTTTGGTATGAGTTGATGATGCCAGAAAAACGGTGCCAGTAGAAAGATAACAAGAAAATGTTTGAGCTGAAAATGAGTGTACTTAAAGTAAAACTATGAAAACCTGGCGATAATTGTGCTTTAAAAAACCCTAAAAAAAATTAAAAAAAAAAATTTTTGTATGCAGAAGTTTCAAACATAAGAAAAAAAAAAAAAGAACAAAATTTCTTAAAATTCAACTGTTACCCGGATCAAAATGCTTTGTGAATTGTTTTTTAGATCATGCATGAGTTTATTATTTTGGAATCATTGTTCTATTTATTGCGAAAGTTCTTTGTCTTGTTTAAGGAGGAAAGGCAGGAGCCCCCCGCTTTAGGCCCGGTCGGTCTAATAACCGAGGGCTTGATTGAGAGTCATACCACCAGTGTATCATACGATATGTATTAAAGTTCTCTCTCCTATTGCGAAAATAGGTCTTATATGACAAGTGGCGATATCTTTAGCTCTCAAATGAATCAACTAATGAGTAATTGAAAAAAAAATTCGCGTTTATTGAACTAGAACTCTTCCAGGTACAGTTTTTATTACCGATGAACAATAATGTATCATTACCGTATTGTAAAGGTTGTACACTGCTACATGAACTTACGATCAAGGTTTTATTAAACCTTCAAATCCCCTTTTTTTGCCCCTGGCTTGACGGCTTGACAACAAAACTTTACGAGCGGCTTGGTTTGACTAATATAGTTTGGCGTCCACAAAATCAACTTGAATTCTTGTAACTGAACATCTTTAAGTAGTTGAGTCAGAATCAAACCATAAAGTCAAATCACTGTGTTTTACCTCTCCTGCAGCTAAATTAACTTTGTTTGTTTACATTTGGCAGTAACTTTAGATCAGGCGTTGATCAAGAAGCCTACGGTCGACATGTTAACCACAAAGTTGGTGTTGCTAGAGAGGGGCTTAGGAAGTTAGCCTTTTAAGAAAATGACGTGGGACCAAGAGCCCACCGATTATTCTCGAAATAACCCTTGGTGCATATAATCAGTTAATTATGTGGTATACAGTTTACAAATGACGTCGTGTGAAATCTAACATTAGAATCTACATTGCTTTTCCATCATCATATACGAACTTTAAATTTTATTTATAATAATTCGGAAACGTCTCCGTTCAACAATAGAAATAGTTTAATGAAAAATTTTGTTCTATTCTTTTTGGCTTGCATTGGAATATTGTTTGAGGATATTGTTATCTTCACCCCTTAGTAACCTTTGACATATTCCTTTGAAGCCATGGAATATTTTTCTTACTAGCTTATATTATTATTTTAGAAAATTTTCAAATATTTCGTTACACAAACTGGATTTCTAGGGAAGGTCCAAGGATGACAAAGACGAAGGCGAGATGGTTTTCAAAAAAAAAAAATAAAAATATTTCTCTGAAGTTCTTGTTGTCTTGCTCTTCATCTTATGCTCTTGCTACACCGATGCATCGCATACTAAATCAATTGTCTTATCTCAGAATCTATTAATTAATATTAATTTTAATTTTATTTTAATTTTCCTGTATTAATAAAATTTGCGGTGCAAGGGGAATTGAACACCTTGTCCGGAAATACCCAATTTAGAAATCCTACCGGATTTATTGATCCGCAATTTCACGTGTAAAAATCACGTGGAGGTTTATTGGCCAGTATCATAATAAACCTGTAAAATGATAACCACTTGAACAAACTAGTGGAGGTTGCAGGGGCTGGGTGGAGGTAATTGTCATTGTAAGGTTCATTGTACATAGTTCACCATCTTAGATATTTTTATGGGGTTGCCTTTATCTTAAAGTTTTATCAAAATTTGGGTAATTTTTAATAGAAAACAAAGCAATATTTACATTTGGTATATGCCCTTTCTTGTATTATTACTTTATATAAGATCTAGAAAGATTAATTTATATCAAAGCAATAGTGTTATTTGGTTTCTAAACATAAATACCCGTTATTGATATTTTGCGTTATTGAAATAAAACGGTTACTAAAATTATCAGGTATAAATTTTACTACATTGCCACTTTTCTACTTCTTTTCTTAATTTCAATTCTCCACTATTCTTAATTTAGTATATACTATTATTAATATCATTTCCAGCTCATGAAGCAGTTATTTAAGTTTAAATTTTGTATATATCATCCAGGGACCCCATTTCACTCTCATGTTGCAGGTAGGATGGTTCGCTAATTAGCAACCCTCTCTACAACATAGAGGTTGTCAATGTTCAATCGGAGCAGCCCACGCGCAAGTGCAGAGTTACTTGAACAAAATCCCTGCCTATCTTGGCTCAGATAAATCAAATCCTTAGAAATTGTATGAGTACCCTTGAAAATCATTTACCGCAGATATCAGGAACATTTTGACATTCTTTTGCAACAAACAAGATACAAACTACTACTTTGACAGGTCTATATGGTTTACAGCTCGCACAAATATGAATCTTCTTGTATTTGGTTTACTATATAAGTTTGTGACACGCAGACTCCGTTTTGTGCCAGCACTGTTTCTTGGTTAGAGACGAAGTTGTTTGAAGCAGATGGGTTGATTTCAAAATTTACAAGCAAGGTTTTTGAATTTGAAAGAAAGATCACCAATTATACACACCTACAGTTCTTTTTAGTAAGACATGATATACCATTATATATATATATATAAACACGTCTATTTATCCTCTCCAGGTTGTTGTTCGTTTTTGTAATTACTATTGTTACTGCCACCTCTATTATATCTTCTTTGATGATGCGCATTATATCCGTGGTGGGAATGATGATGATGTCCGTTGTATTTTGCATTTCCCAGTGGGACATTTTCGTTATCAGCATGTAATCTGTATTCAAATGACACGCCAAACACTCGTTCATTTGATCCCGAATCTAAGGTACCGACACAATCACTTCCTTGACTGATCAAATCACATTCTCTGATCACTCGTAATATGGAATCACATATGATTCTTCTTGCTTGGAAAGAGGTCAACTTTTTCTTGGAGTCGTCAGTGGAATTTGCACTCTTTTTGTGGAAATTTAAATTGGAGTTCCAAATACTTATAATATCTTCGTCTTTACGTACACTTAAGACAATACCACAAATATCATTCAATAACAAGGACTGGAATTCTTCCGAGTTGGACTCTGGTATCAATGATCCGGTCATGGTTTTCAACATCAATCGTTCCCAAATCAAACTGGTTCTCTTTCTAATCTTCACAATTGATTCTTTATCATCGCCAAAGATCTTTCGACTGAATCGGAATACCCATCTTCCACCTTTAGAGTTTATAGGGTCTTCCCAAACGGGGTTAATCCCAGCTTTAAACACAAGGAACTCCGTCCCAGTAGTTAATTCATAGGTTTTCTTGATTGATGAAAGAGCCACCCATAATTGTTCCAAGGATCCAATATGTTTAATTTTGTTGCCTAGCAAGTCAACAAATTCCAATTCATTCGTGGTTTGAAGGTATGTATCGACATTAGCGATAATGTTAGCGTCTGCTGGGACAGAAGCCACACTGGCTCCTTCTTCGGCCTCCTTGGGTTTTCTCGATCTGGAATGGTGCCATATAGTCCAACAGTAAGGCAAGATATGATGCGATTCAGGAATTAATGCAAGGGTTTCATGAGATAATTTGACAGGGTCTTGCTTGGGCAAAACCACAGAGCTGGACTCTTCATGACTGGTTCCATTGACTGTAGACCCATTAGGTTTGGTTGTGGGTGCATAAGAAGGACCTGACCCTGATGGAGATCTTGTTTGGGTGGATGGGGTAGATTCCTGCGTTTGGTTCATGATTCTATTGAACAATGATTCTGCTCTTCTTAAATTATCAGACATGGTGGAAAATAATATATATACAATATAGTGAATGGAGGTGGTTAGAAACAAGGATATGCAAAGTGATCTATTCTTTTTATTTTGTAATTAATGCAGTTGTCTATATAGGGTTAACAACAATAGTAAAACTCTCAGTTAAAAGTAAAAACCTTAAAAGTCTTTTGGTGACAGAGTTTGAAATTTTCTCAATTTGAACGTAAAGGAAAAAAAACGAACTGATTTTTTTTTTTTTGATGAGAAAACAAAAAGCAAAAAAAAAAAAAAAATTTTTTTTTTCTTCTAACAATTTTTAAACTGACAGTACAAAAGTAGATCGAGTTATAGTTTATTTCTTACAATTTCAAATTATCATTCTCTGACAATATAAACATTAATTCTATATTACTTAACTAGTTTATGCCTTGGAGAAGTAATGTAAATATCCACCCAAAGTCTTACATCCGTTAATATAGTTGCTAACATCTAATTTTTCATTAATTGAGTGAGCACCATCATCACCTCTACCCATTGGCAACAACAAGACGTCAACACCCAATTCCTTCTCAAAAGTTAAAGTGATTGGAATAGAACCACCTTCTCTGGTGAAATCAGGAACAACATTCCACACATCTTGAGTGGCCTTGGAAGCAGCAGTGAATGATTCATTGAATGGATCAGAAACCCAGTAGTTACCGTCATGGATTAATTCAACCTTGAACTTGTTTGGTGATTGCAACTTGGCAAATTCTTCATTAATGTGCTTGAATACGAGTTCATCCAACTTCTTAGAGTCAATGTTTGGAACAGTTCTAATGGAGAACTTACCAACAACCTTGGCAGGAATGACGGTCTTGGCACCTGCACCAGAGAAGGCACCTTCAATACCGTGCAAAGATAAAGATGGGTATCTCCATCTGTGCTTCAAGATATCCTTCTTGTTGTCATGTAAAGAGGTTTCACTACCAGAGGCAGCATTCAATTCACCAAGACTGAAGTCAATGGCATCATATAATTGGTCTTCACGTTCAGTCAAAGGAGCAACCATGTCATAAACTCCTGGGATTTGAATCTTACCCTTGGTGTCAACCAAAGTAGACATAACCTTAACTAAATCAGTCATTGGTTCGGCAATTATACCCCCGAAAATACCACTATGTAAATCAGCACCTGGACCTTCAATTATGATTTGGTAATAGTTACATCCTCTTAAACCGTAGGTTAAGACTGGCTTAGTGGTACCTAACCAGTAGTTATCGGAAATGGTACATTGGTCAACATTCTTGAAGTAGTTGTTGGCTTCCTTGGCAACCAATTCGTCCAATCCTAAAGAACCAGATTCTTCCATACCTTCAAAACAAACAACCAAGTTAACTGGCAATTCCCAACCCAACTTGTTGTGAGCCTCAATGACATTTAACCAACCCAAAATTGGACCCTTGTCATCAGTAGCACCTCTACCAAACAAGATATCGTTCTTTTCATCATGGAACATGGTGAATGGTTCAGTGGACCAACCGTCTTCCTTTAATGCAGGTTGAACATCGTAGTGACCGTAAACCAAGACAGTCTTTTTCTTTGGGTCAGTACCAAATCTACCCAAAACAATAGGAGGTAATTGTAAAGTTGGGTCAGCAACTGGTGGTGGTTGGGTACCTAATTCTTTCAATTGAATATCAGTGAAGCCAAGTTGAGTCAATTCCTTGACTAAAAAGTGAGCCATATCGACAACTCTTGGTCTGAGTGATTCATCAGAAGACACTGATGGGATGGCAATGGCTTGACGCAATCTTTCAATGAATTTTGGTTTTAATTCATCAATGGTTTGGAAAAATGGTTCCAATGGCAACTTTTCATACGACATTTTCGGTATACTTTTCAATGGAGTATGATAGAATCTTACAAGCGAAGAAAGATGTGGTATAAGTATCCCTTTTTTCGATTGTCTCAACCATCGGAGGCCAAGCGAGGGCATTTTTTTTTTTTTTAAGTGTGGAGTTTTTTTCTTTTTTGTTGTATGTCAAAAAAAATGATGGTATGCAGTACGTGTTGCCATTTATAAAAATGGCATCAAATCACAAGTGCCTCAAAACAAAGTGCCTTGCAAAGGTGGAGTAGTGCAAAAGCAAATGTCAATTGCCTTGTAGAGTCACACGCTTTTAGTATGACGTAGATCGCCTTTTTAAATCTTCCGTTCTATTGTATGCTTTGTTAAGTTTACGAAAGAAGAGTTCCTGGCGTAATTCCAAAACCAACTGACTTTTTTCTTTCTTCTCTAAACGATGGAATTGGTTCAATTAAATGCAGGAGCAATTCGGATTATGTAAAAAAAAAAAGACTCGCCATAGGCTAGCCTTATGTAGAGTTTTGCATTTCTGTGGTGTACTGGAACATAAAGTAAAGTGAGGTATAATCACAGCACTTTGGAGTGGAGTTGAAACATAGGCTCACATGTTACCCGGACTATCTTACTTTTACGCTCAATGACGATACTGCTCAGTCACGTGCAAACAGTGTTGCCTTTTTTAAAAATGATCTGGGGCGTGTACCATATCGAAATTAACGTGTTTTACGGAGACTCCCCCTTTACTGTTTCAACATCTACACTCATCATATATCGGTATATCCCAGCCATGTCCGTGAACTTATTGGAGGCACATGTATCTAGTTCATCCTCGGAATCAGAAGATAACCTGGTTTTGTCAACCACGTCAAAGATATTTCCCCGATTTGATTTTTCCACTAGCACTACTCCTAACCCTACATATGCTTCCAAAAAGCGAAAAATAGGTTCCGGGCTGGTACTAACTCAACAAGATTCTGATTCCGACGATGCATTTTCCGTTGTTATCCCTTCAATATTTGACTCAATAGGTGCCAGGAATGATCGATTGTATACAAAAGACGCGGTTATTAAACAAGGAATTAAATCAGATGCCGACAAAGTAAGGAAAGAATACGAGAAATTGCAAAAGTGCAAAGCAGACATATTGCGAGAGTTGAATGATAACGGAGAAGGAGTGAAGTACGATAAGGATGAAAAATATATTGACAGTTTGGTCAAGCAGATGTATAGTAGAAACGATGGGTTTGGCATAGCACGACATTTTTACTTCTTAAAGCGATATGAAACTGGTCACATCGAATATCCTATAACTCAATCACTTCTTGACCTAATTGCTAGAAACCCCGAGCGTGCTATGAGGAAGGTGATTTGGCCTAATTTGCCCAAGTTCATCCTGTCAGTATTAGCATCCGAGCATAATCCAAGCCATTTAAAGCAGATCAATAAAATGATTGAAACAGCCACAAACCTCCATTATGAACTTGAAGAAGACCCATTTGAAAACAATGAGTTTCTGAAACTTGTATTTAATTATAATAATCCCAAGGGGGACACATGCAGCACCGTTGACATGAAACTTAAAATCAACCATTTCAACAACCATATACCACAGACATTGCTAAAGTTAGCCATAATATTCAACCTAAAGCTTATGAATGTGAGGTCAAGCTGTAGCTATCTTACCGTGGGATCGCGTAATCAAATTGTTGACGATTTCATTATGATAATCAGCGATTATAACGCCAATCGAGAATATGTCTATTTGCAATACTTTATCGACAGTGTATTTCCTAATATTGTGAGAGTGTACTGTGAAGATGAAGAGCATGAACGAGGGTTCTTGTATGATTTAAAACACAGCATATTTCACTTGTCGACAGTAAATTATGGTGAAAGCCAACCAACTAAAATAAAGAAGATGGATTACGAATTACAATATAACATATTAAGAAACTTGAACGTTATATTTGCAACTACCAAGAATAAAAGTGTTTTGAGGATCATAAGCTGTTTGAATACTGAGTTCTATCAAGGTTATATTGACAGCTTTGATGTCAAGCCTGACAAGAATATGTTTGACAAGCTCAAAATCAAGGATTTGTTATTCTTACTAGAATCCGAAGACACAGGAAGCATTAATGAGATGTATCACGTTCATTCTATGATCAGACTACTTAAATTCATGATTAAATCACTCGACGTGACCATGAAGAGAAGTGAAAATCTAACCAGATTAACCAATTTAAAAGCATACGTAGACGACCTTCGAAAGAATATGCTTGATAATATAAACATTATGGGAAATTCAAAGTTGAGTGACAAGAGTATGATCGATAAGGACGAGGTTGTGTCGATGATTACCAACAATTACTACGTTTTGAATAATATTTATATACAATTGGATAAAGATTCAGACTTGGTCAAACAAGATTTCTTTTACGAAGAAAGTCATGATGTTACCCAACCTTTTTAGTGCAAAATCACAAGACTTTGAATGACCAATTGAACGTATTTCCATGTACTACCAATGAAATATGCTACCAACTGCCCCTCCTAAATGTTTTTGTAGTTTCTTTTTTTCGTGCGTGGGATTCCACGGGTACGGTCTTTATTGGGAAGGCGATCTTCCCGATGTTTGCTTTAGCCCCCCGTGGTATCTTACACACAACTCATAGAAGAAATTAAGTCTTACGAACTAAACTGAACGTTTTTATAAGTTACGTTTCACTCCATTTTTCCTCCCCCCCCCTCAATTTATAGCATCTATACAAAAACTCGTTTTGCATAAATATGACAACTTCCAAAAATCAGGCTATCACGTATAAGAACCCTGAAGTTCCTGATGATCAACGACCAGGCCGCAGTGTTCACTTGCCCTTTGGGTTTGGGCCAATTCCCAAGGACTTGGCCAACAAGAAGATTTTCTATTTCGATATAGATAATTGTTTATATCGTCGAAGCACCCAGATTTTTGAAATGATGCAAGTTAAAATCCACGAATACTTCAAACACAATTTACAACTTAACGATGAAGATGCACATAATTTACATATGAATTATTATAAGATGTATGGGTTAGCCTTGGAAGGATTAGTGCGTAACCATGAAATTGATGCCTTGGATTACAATTCGAAAGTCGATGATGCGTTGGACTTACATGCAGTTTTACATTATGACCAGGATTTGCGCGATTGTTTGATCAAGTTGAAGGAAACTCACAAGTTTGACTTTTTCTGGTTGGTTACAAACGCATACAAGAACCATGCCTTGCGAGTGGTTTCTTTCTTGGGAGTAGGTGATTTGTTTGATGGGTTAACATATTGTCATTACTCCAAGTTCCCTATTGTTTGCAAACCAATGAAAGAATACTACTACAATTGTTTTGAATTGACTCAGATTGACTATAAGGACCCTACCGTTATGGCTAAACAGTATTTTGTCGACGATAGTGAAATTAACGTCAAGGCTGCCTATGATTTGGGTATGGGCCATGTGTTTCATTATGTCGAATTGGACAGCGATTTGGTAAAGATGAAGAACAAGCCCGATTTTGCAAAGTATTATGGCACTGGTGACAATTCTGACAAGTCCAAGATTAAGATCATTAGACATATTATTGATTTACCCGATGTTATAGAGTAATTTTGCGACAATTGTGATTTCGCGACATCTCACAAAATTACGACGTCCCACAGTAAATATATAGAAAATAGATAGCAAATTTTTTTTACAACCACACTAACCACAATTTGTAAGCAACCATGTCACAAGGAAAGAAACAATACAAGGGAAAGATCCTCTTCCTTCACGGATATACCCAGTCAGCCAGTCTCTTCTATGCCAAAACATCTGCCCTTAGGAAGAAACTCATAAAGTTAGGATACAAGTCGGTCTATCTTAATGGCCCATATGTACTTACACCTGCTCAACTACCATCTACCGACTCATTATCCAAGTTCAGTTCTGCCGCTAATGAAGATATGAAGTATCGTGCCTGGTGGGTCAAACGTGATTCAACGAACGATCGTATTAGCTTGGAAGAGTCCATAGAATCTATCCGTAATTATATCGACAAGGGCGAAATCATAGCTGATTCAGACGATGTGGACGAGTCAGATGCCGAGTCAGAAGAAGAAAAGAAGTTGCCTATTGTTGGTATAATTGGATTTTCTCAAGGTGCTGCATTAGGTGGTTTAGTTGCTCATAAATTTGACGAGATATTCAAGGTTGACCCGCTCAAGTTTGTGATTTTATATTCTGGATTTAAGTTGAATACTACAAAGAAATCTGGGAACGACAGGTATGATCATTATTATCCTGAAGAACAAGATGTGGAAAGGATTAATCTCAAATACCTTCATATATACGGTGAATTAGATACCGTGGTTGAAGAATCAAGAGCTCTATCTTTGTATGAATTGACAAAGAGAAGAAGTGATCTTTTAAGACATCCAGGTGGTCACTTTGTACCTAACTCCAAATTATATATTGATCAAGTTACTAATTGGATTCATAAGGTAGAACAAGAGGATAAGGAAGAAGATAAAGAGAAGAATGAAGTCAAGAATGGAGAAGACAAGGATAAGCACGACCTTGCTACATTGATGGACATGATGGATAGTTTTGGTACCATTTAGAATGCATACAATAGATTAATAGATATTTAGACTATAATTCGTCGTGATCGGCAGCAGAACCAGTAGACTTGATGCTTTGCTTTTTGGTTGGTTCAGCAGTTGCCTTTTCAGACTTACTCTTTTTAGTCTTTTTCTTCTTTTCTACCTTTTCACCCTTTCTATATTTGGAATAAAACTTTTGCTCTTTCTTAGATAATGCTCCTTCAACCGGCTTAACATCAGCAACATCAATTAACCACTGACTAATCAATACAGAGTTATTTAACTTTTCAGACTTGTCATACACAACAAACTTTTTAGTTTTTTCGTCAAAATACAACAATGAAGAATTAGAATTCCCTGGAATTTCCACTTTAGTTCCATTAACTTCAATTTCATGACTATCAACAAAAGTATTTGCAACCATAGCAAAATTAACTCTTCCCAAGAAATCAATTGCCAAAGATTTAAGCAATGGACTAACGGACTTCTTATCAGCAATCAACAAGACTTTTGGCCCTGTAACTTCATTAAACCAAGTTTGTAAACTAGAACTTTGGACACTAGGGAACTTCTTAACATAGTTCTTCAATCTGGAAGTTAAGAACAGCAACATTGCCTTGACTGATCTTTCACCTTGGTATAACTCACTAGCGTGATTTTGACTTTGATCTTGTCCTGCAACATACTTAGGAGGACGGAAAGCCATAATGGTTGGGAATCCTTGGATTTGATAATGGGAACACAATGGCTTATTGTAATCTTGATCACAATTCACGGCTGCGACATTGATGGCATATTTCGCATCCTCATGAATTAGCTTACCTAATTTCTTATAGGTTGGTTTCAAGTTTTGACAATGGCCACACCATGGAGCATAGAACTTAACAATGGTGGTATAATTTGTCTTATGGACGACTCTGTTGAATGTGTCTGGAGTTAATTCAAAAATATTATTGTCATACTGATATTCATCCGCTGATGCGAGGATTAAGGAGAGGAATGGGAGTAATGCAAGAAGTTTCACAAGCATTGTTATGGATAATATGAATGATGGATTAGATAACTGAAAAAAAAATTGGGGAAGTTTTTTATTTTTATTTTTGATGCGCTGTATATTTTAGTTAGATTTTTGTTTTTACGTGGCAAATGCGAGAATCGGTTGCCACTTTTCTTTCTCTTGACCTATTCTATTAACACGTTTAATCGTTTAGGTAAAGGTAAGTATAGTTTAATTGATATGTTGTTTGTTTCTGAAGCACTATTGACGCCAAATTAATTCAATTGATTCAATTTTAGTCTGAAACTGCAACACTTTTCGAGGTGTCAATCAATATTCTTTGTTGTCCCACTACCAGGGAGAGCATTCCAGGTGTCTGCTGGTAGTTGAGTTAACGCAAGTGGGATCAACTAGAATCAGAGTAGGGTTAGTTGGTTGTGATTGTCAGACGTCTCATTCCTGTTAACGTTACTCTGTTCTAGTTGCAACTATATTTGCAGATCCCGAAACCAGCAGAATCTGGAGTGTTTTCCGAACATTGTGCATGACCTATTAAGATATTTGATCACATTCGGTAAGAAGTATGAAAAAATACCAATTGAGTCACTGATGTATTGGTGATTACTTACCACCCCCCCTCCATATTGACTCTTTTACAATATCAACCAATATGCCTTAGTTGTACATACTGAGAATATTCAAACATTTACTGGTTGAAAATATTTGTTCATTTGAAATCAATCAGGAATAATCAATATTAGGTACAAATGGCATCTGTTCAGGACTTTCAGATCTAGTTGATTACTTGTTCACTGCACTCGACCAGGAGAATTTGAAATGTTTTCCGAAAGCAATCTGAGCTGTTGTTGATACAGATGCTTACAGCATTATGTCAATCTCAACGGGAAATTACAGAAATAAAGCATTCTTCTTGTGATTTGATTCTTCTACGATGTTGAGATCTTCAATTATTACAGGTGAGTCGATCACAACCAAGTCATGGGTTTTAACCTTGGTTTCTTGAATGCCTTCTACGATAGTGATAGGGGAGTGTCTTTGTGTATTAATCATGCAAGAATACTTGTAATTCTAATAATAGAAACGAATGGCACATTTCCCAATCAAATATCAATAAACACAGACATTTTTGATTCCAAAATGGTAGTTCACCTATAGTCAGTCAACTAGTTTAATTAAACCGAGTGTCAGGTATAGGTTGAATACTACAACACAAAAAAAAACGCAATAAATGCCTATACTAATTCTAAACTATGGGTGATTCAAAAAAAATACTAGACCTGAAGGATCATCCACAATAAAACTAGCATAGGCATTTATTGCGTTTTTTTTTGGTTTGACTCCTCTTACTCTTTGCTTGGAAATAAGACATTATGGTTGGATACCATAGAAATAGCTTTCAGATGAAAGATTTCATTTATATGAAACAAGAAACCGATTAAGCATGTTCAAGTTTTAGCAAGGTTTGTTTCAAACTTACAGATTAAATTGCTACAAGTCGATATATTTCTTTCTAAATGTACCTTTCTCCATCAAAGATGATGAAAAAGTTAGGTTGGAAAGAAGTGAATTATTTTGAAGCAGTTTTCCTCTTTAATTTATGTAGTCCAATTTTGATTTCGAATCATTTAGTGAACCAATTCGGTATCTAGTTATCTTTGTTAGAAATACGAATGAACCACTCGTATAAACTTAGTTTTTCCAACCGCTGCATGTATGAACAATAACAACAATTATAGCATTGATTTGGGATAATGATCTATGAACAGATGTATAGAATAGAGAATGTAGTAATCTATTATAGATATTTATTGCATTAACTAATATACATAGTCTAACCTATTCTAACATTAGGTCATCCACGTAGGTATTTCGCACTGGCCACTTTTAAATGTATACCCCCACGAAATTAGAAATATAAATAGAACTCAATCCAACGGCTAAAGAAGCAACTAAAGAATTCAAAACATAATTGACCAACCCCTTATTCTTAACATCACCCAAGAAGATTAAGGATAAACTACCAAAAGCAATTAAGATTAATACTGCGGTGAATATAGTAGTGTTTGTAGTGACAGCATGTAATTGAACTGGACTTGATTCCTGAGAAAACAATTGAATGTATTCTTCGAATGGTGCTCCTGATGGAGATCTGGTTGTTATATGCAACTGGGACATTATTGGTTTGACAAGGAAGAACTAGTGACGTGTAACTGATATTGTGGATATTTTTCGGGTGGGATCTTGAAAAATTGTTAGCACAGCACGTGGTAGCGCTAGAAAGATACTGCTTCTATTCAATTGCATCTTGGTAAACAAAATATGTCTAATGAAAACGATGTTGGTCGCATTCGAAGTATGTATCAAAATGTAATATATAGCAAGCTTCATAGTTAACTACCTTTCTATTGTTTTATGTATAGGGCAAATTTGAGAATTGTCCCCCCCCCTCTCCTTAGATCTTGAGAACGAAAAACAAAAACTCCTGTTCCACTCTATCATCTAAGCTTCACATCATGTCTGAAGGAGGTTGGAACACAATTGATTCCGATGCAGTATGTAACTACTTAACCGATTGGTATTGATTTGTTTTATTAACACATCTAGGGAGTCTTTACTGAATTGGTAGAAAAACTCGGAGTTCAAGATGTAGAATTCAACGATCTTTATGTGATTGACACCGACTCCCTTGCTACACTACAACCAGTACATGGAGTCATATTCCTTTTCAAATACGGAAAACTTTATAGACAATATGCCAGTGATGGGAATAAACCCTTGGATGGAACTTATGATAATGATTATTTAGAGCATGATATCTTCTTTGCTCAACAGACCATCAACAATGCCTGTGCCACCCAGGCCGCATTGAATGTGCTCTTTAATGTGGATGGAATAGACTTGGGTGAAGAATTATCCAATTTCAGATCGTTTGTTACGGGATTTGACAGTTTTATGATTGGTGAGACTATTTCCAATAGTGATTTGATCAGATCGGTACATAATTCCTTTTCTACACCAAGTATGTTTGTCGATGAGGATAAACCGCAGCCACCATCAGATTATGAAAGTGATTCGTTGTTTCATTTTGTTGGGTACGTTTACAAACTGGGACGTATATATGAATTGGACGGATTAAAATCGTATCCGATAATCCATGAAGAGTGTAGTTCCCAGCAAGAATTTATTGAGAAATTGCCAGGTGTAATTCAAAGAAGAATTGCCAAGCATGGAGAAAACGAGTTAAGGTTTTCTTTATTGGCTGTGACCAATAACAAGTTGGAGCAAGCAAGAACAATAGGTGATGAATCTGAAGTTCATCATCAATTGCACAAACGAGAAGTCTGGTCACACGAGAATGAATTGAGAAAACACGATTACACTGGACTCATCGTAGAGTTGTTAAAGAATATAAGCAAGAACAAGACAGATGAAGAATGGGAAGAATTGTTGAAAAAGGGAAGAAAACATACTCAACAATTAATCCAACAACGAATTGCAAAATCACAATTATAGTTTTCTATAGATCTATATACATTTATTCGTAACTACCAAATGAAAAGAATCCTCCACCAGTTCTACTATGTCTTGAAAAGTAATCAAAATCAATACTTGTGAAACAGGAAAGAATGACAGCTCTTTGATCGAGTGTTACTCCCTGTGTACTAATTTCACCATACCCAGATAATCCGGCAAAACTTGCTGGATCAAAACGCAAGACATATACCCCAGTATCAGTGAATAATTCTCTTCCTAACCCGACCCAATTTCTATCAACACTGGCAACAACTTCTCCCTGTTCGTTCCTAATTGGGAAATCAAATGAAAGAAAAGGTGCATCAACAGCACCGAACTGATTGTATTCTTCGGTATTCTCATCTTCCAATTTGAACAAATTGTATCTTCTTCTCCATAAATGCCAACTTTGAACACTTTCCCCTACAACTTCATACATTGTCTTATCGTCGACATCATATCCTGGTAATAAAGCTTTAATGTGCGAGTTTATAAACGAGAATGGTCTCTTGATAGTAAGTGCAAGTTGTCCATACCTGTCAAACACATCAATAGTGAAAGGACGATGTAATCTGAAAAACTGCCTTCCTAAAATCTTGAACAATCCCACATCTTTTTCTTCCATGTGGCCAATTCTTTCACCTTGGGTGTTCATAATGACGTACTTGTTTGCTTGTTCAAATCCAATAAACAAATTCATAAACTCAATTTGACGCTCAATTACAAGAGTTGGTTCTTTAAGAATGTCATATATGGGATCTTTAGGGGTAATTATCCCGTTGGTATTCTTAGGAAGTGTAAATGAGTACGGACTGTATGTATGTTGTTGGTATGCATTGTCATATTGTTGTTGTTGCTGCTGCTGCTGCTGCTGTTGTTGTTGTTGTTGTTGTTGAAACTGTCTTACTTCTTCTGGACTTATTTCTTTTGTAAGTCTAGTCCTATTAGATATAATTCTTCGTGCAGAAGATGCGGCACTTATTTGAAGTAGCCTAACTCCAGGGGGACAGCGGACTGCTGCCAATTGTCTATGTACATTCCTAACAAACATATGTCTGATGTTTACTGTAATTGGAAACTTCAAGTTGCATCTTAATGGCAAATTCCGCGGATGAAAGGTGGCGGGCTCAACGGGGCAGGGGGGAAGGAGGCAACAAACTGTGTCACCGAAAAAAACAAAAAAAACCAAAACAACTTTTCTGGTCACTACCAAATTACATAACATTAAACAACAATGGGGTTACCTTCATCTAAAAGACGGGAAGTCAGAGCTGCTGCTCGTGAAGGGTTACGTAAACTACAATCGTCCAGTGATAAAATCAAACCAGAAGATTTGGACGTGGTCCATGCTATAACTACTGCCAATCTTGCCGTTGGCGGTCAAAATGCGATACCAACTGAAGAATCGGTAGCTCCTTCTGATGCTACCAAACACAAAAATGATCACAGTGGAACCAGTGAAGAAGACGATGAAGAAGATGATGAACACGGTCGTGATTACCAACCTAGTGAAGGTGAAGACGATGAAGATGATGTTTATGATGATACGTTAGTTAAGAGCAGTAAAAGAACTGCACCTATGGACACGTCTGTTCCAACAGAAGCTAAAAAGCCCAAGGCTTTACAAGAAGGGGAAGTATACATTCCACCCAAGCAAACCCGAACGATTTTCAAATTGGATGATCCAACTTCGTCTCGTTGTGAATACTGTGGTAAGGAATTTAGAAATGTGATTGATAAGAGAAATCACCGTAGAACGCATTCCCAGCCCAAGATTCATGTCTGTTACTGTGGGAAACAATTCAGTCAAAAACCAAATTTGATCATTCATCAAACGACCGTTCATCGTGATTTACAATTGAAAGAAGCTAAAGAATTGGAACAAGCCCAAGCTGCTGCTGAAGCTGCAACAGCCGCTGCTGCCGTAGTTGCCGCTGCTCAAGCACAAGCCCAAGCTGCTCAACAAGCATCCCATGATCCTAATGCTGTTAGTACTCAACAATTCCCTGATTTAAAACAAGTTCGTGTGCTCCACTGTGATGGTCTCAACTGTACCAAGGGATTCCTCACATATGAACAATTACTCGAACACAAAAACCAAGAGCATCCTGGCTCAATTGACATTGAAGCCACTACACCCACCAAGAAATCGTACAAGAAACCAAAACTTGTTAAATCACACCCATGTCCTCAACCAGATTGTGACAAGGCATTCTCGAAAAAGTCTGACTTAACAAGACATATAAGAGTTCACACCGGTGAACGTCCGTACGTATGTGAATTCTGCCATGCCAGTTTCAACCAAAGATATCGATTGACCACACATTTGAGAATTCATACCGGTGAAAAACCATTCAGTTGTCAATATTGTGGCAAGACTTTTGCTAGAGGTGATGCGGTGCAATCTCATGTTTTCTCGGTTCATCGTGCCAAGGGAGAGGCTTTCTAAGAAATTATAATTTGTTCGTTTTTGTATATTAGTTTTGTGTATTATTTGAATATTCATGTGGCCTGACCGTTCGGGTGCTGATTCCGAGATGTAGACTTACTGCGCTGCAAATTAATATAGCCATACCCGTAGCTAATTTTAGAGAATGGAGAATAAAAAATCATTCTCAACATTTGCATCCATAACAGCCAAGGAATAACTCAACCTTTTTTGGTGAAATGAAATTTCCCCTAATCCAAACTCCGTACTGTTTGACCACCCTCTGTTCGGTTCCGAAAAGCGGATACGATAAGAAAAAAAAAATTATTTTGGGTTCCGCCGGAACTTCATCTCGTAAAAATAAAAACTCCGAGGTTTTCTCGAAGTCATACAAAAAAAAAAAAAGTATGCCCTCGGTGTGCAAATGCGGAGGAATGAAATTTTCTATCAATACCATAAATTTCTTTTACTTACAAGTATAAACTAAAGTGTAGAAACATTAGATTTGGCTTTTACTAAATACCTCTAAACTAAACCAGTTTCATCAGTTTCTTTTTATTTTTATATACGTCTTTATCATGCCATTTGACAAAATGACCTGATCCCTCCGGGGGATATAATCTAAGCAAGTTTCTTGTTGGTAGAAGCAAGAATACTGGTGTCACTATTCAACATATCCTTAATGAATTCGTAGACAGTAAAAGTAACGGCTTGACCAGGAGCAACTCTCATGATTCTTGGAGTGATACCCTTGTACAATGCGTGAATCCCTTCTTCTCTAATCAATTGCTTGGTAATCTTCATGATTCTAACCATACCACTTTCATTGGATGCAAAGGTAGTCTTTTGTAATCTGGTCTTGATGGTATCTAATGGAGCGTTGGATAATGGACCTAAGGCACCGGAAATTAACCCAATACCAGAAGTTTGCCAATGTGGCAATACTTCAGTTCCTGAACGTTCTTGCAAATATTCCTTCAACTTCGAGTATACAGTAAAGTTAACCCCCTGATTAGAAGCTTGTCTGGCAGCAGTTAAGGAAACACCACGGTATAAAGTACTAAACCCTTCTTCTTTACAGATCAAATAAGCAGCATGAGGAGCGTTTCTGTATTTAGGGATATCCAATGGATCCTTCATGGAATGATGTTGTGCTTGCAATCTAATCTTGACCACTTCCATAGGATTAACCACCATCACAGCTTCGGTAATACCAGCACCAACCCCAGCAATAAAAGTTTGACCAGTGGTAATATTGAAGTTTTCATCGTAAAACAAACTTCTGTAGAACTCGTAAGAACTGAAACGAATAGCCATCTTAGGAACAATACCAATAATAACGGCACCCAACCCTTTGTAAAGAGAAAGGAATCCTTCCTTTTGTGCAATATTGACCCCGGTCTTAACAAAGCCCGGAGGTTTTTGACCTGATTTACGATAAAGTTGCATACGGACTTTGATGGTATCTAACGGATGACACACCAATGCTTCGAATAAACCGGCGACCCCACCAGCAATAAAATCAACGGCTCCTCTCTTCTTGGGAGGTTGTCTCTTGAAGGGAACTTTGGCAGCAGTGTCTGACATGATAATCTATGATAAATATGAATAATTTAAGTCTGTAAATGGTACAAACAGTAGAAAAAATGAATAAATAAAAGTGAACAACACTTGAAAGACTACTTTGAAGAAGAAGAAAGAAAAAGATGAAAATTTTAGAGTTAGGAATTGTCCGATATTTATATGGGTATGGACGAGAGGAAAAATGAGTCGACTCACGTTTTGCATATGAAAAGAAATCCGGGGAAAAAGAAAATTATAAAACACAAAATTGGCGCTAGAGGGAAAAAATATTCTGGGGTGGCTTTACCGAATGTCGCAACAACCAATGAAAAAAATCCAAACTTCCATTAGCCCCGGAGTTTGCGTTTGTAGGGCATGTTACATGCAGGAATGACCTTTTTTGGCTGCTGCATAGCCCAACCAATGAGTTCATTTAACGTTTACGCGGTGACACATTCCGCGTGCAGGAGGATTTACAACTCCGAAATTTGTCAGGTTCCCGGGAAATCTGATAATTTATCACAACGACATTCAAACAAAGAAAACGGGTACAATTTGATCCAATGAGATCTCGTGAGTGTCTATAATACTTACTACTACAGGTAGAGCCAATCGTAATATAATATCTTTTCAAAACCAATGTCTATATAAATTGTCCAATATAACCTAAAGTTCCAGCCTAAAAAGTCCAACAAAACCAAATAACCAACATAATAAAAAACAACAACAAAAATGTCCAAGTAATTTCCAAGTAATTTCCAAATAATTTTCCATCAAGGATGATTCATGAATCATACGCATTGACCAATAAAATGTTTCTCCATCCCACATGATAAGACCCCATATAGCCGCAAATAACCAAACAATATAAAAAAAGAAAGTTGCAATCACAAAACAAAACCAGTCACAAAATGAAATAAAATGTATGGAATATCCGAAAAATACCCATTCCGTTCGAGTCACGCAAGATCTCTAAAAATTTTCGGATATTATTGCAATATCAGACCCTCGGATTAATTTAAACCATGTAAATATTCACATTAAAATTAAAGTATTCCTGTTGATTCAAAATTATATCCAAATATGTTTCCATGTCAGGAATCAACTTCTTGATAGCTTCTGCAACAGGAGTAGAAATCTGATCTTGGTTGGCCCAGTTATTGTACCGAGGTTTAACAACACGAAGATATTCGAGATGTTTACGAAGATAGTGGTCGATCTCGGGGTATAACTTATCATCGTCCAATTCATGACGACAATCGGGTCTGTATCTCAGAAAGTATCTCTTTAAAGGAAGGTGACTATAATTGTTAGTACCAGTACTGACAAATTGCATAAACTTATACATACTGTGGTTCTATTGTTTTGGCATCAAGGATATCTTCCTTAAACAAATTATCAATAATACATAAACTCTTGTAAATCTCATGACCCACATGATATCTATAGTCGTTGTTGCAAGTAAAATAGGGGAAAGTTTCTCGGTCGATTTGACTGGTTGAATGCCTAAGGTGAGATTCTGGTGACAGGGGGATCGGAATATGTAGCTCGTGACTTAGTAGCATCGACATGATCCTTCCTTGTTACCTTTGTAGAAGGTTGCTAGTGAAAGTATTAAAGGATAGCAGAAAAAAGGCGTGACAAATAATAGTTATGAAAGTGTCTGTGAAACCTACCCCAATAAATAATCTGCACAATCTGATGGTTTCACAAATAGTTCATTAACCACAAAGGAAAAGAAAAAAAGGAACAAAGAAGAACAAAAAGAAAAAAAAAAAAATAAATGTGAGACAGATGGTTTTGTTTTTTTTTAGTTGAAGGGGTTGCATACTAAGTTACGCTCCCGGATATATTACTTATTGTAGTGTCATTCTGTCCAAATGTGGCTCTATTAAGGGGTATACTTTAAAACATATTAACCTAACAGTTCAACAAATGTTAACCGTTTTCCTCTTACTGTTATACACGCTTAAGCTATTCTTTTTCGTGGTTTTTGCAGTGTGCTTCCATTGGTGGTAGCGCGCGCTAGTACAAGTTGCATCTCTACACAGCTAACTCGTGACAAAACTAATTACATCCATAACAATAAACTAACCACCATCTATACAAAAATAACTCATATGGCATATCATACACAAAAACTAAATCACTCCCTGTTTCTCTCTACTTCTTCTTCTCTTCTCATCCTCCTCTCCTCTTCTTCTTCTTTGTCATCCTCGCCATGTTCGTCTTCTCTCTACTTCTTCTTTTCATCTGTGGCAGCTGCTGCTGCAGCAAGACTTTCAGGACTAGTACCCACGGTATAAGGAGGGGCACCTTCAGATGCAGCAGCAGGAGGATTGGTAGTTGCACTTCCTGTAACTGTAGCCTTCTTCAAATCAGCCAATCTCTTGGCTTCAGCATGAACATCCAAAACATCAGAACTTATACCTTTATAGAAATCATGAATCTTAACTCCCAAAGGATGATTAGCAGCAGCAACCAAATAATGTTTAACCTTACTTTCATAAATTCCTTGTAAATCATTGGCTCTTGCCTGAGCCTTTTCCTGGGCCAATTTCAAATTCTTGGAAGCCTGACTTTCTGGATCATGGAAATGAACATATCTCTTGTCCAAATCAACGACAAAGTCCTTAAATTGAGACAGGATTCCTCGTTGTTTATCTAACTCAATTGCCTTGGCAATGATTTTGTCCAGCAAAACATACCCCTCAGCCAACAATTGGGCCATAATGGCATACTTTGGCTTGTCCTCTTGCGGAACATCCTCCAACGTGCCCAGTTTACTGGTAGATGGTGTTTGGGCAACGCTAGATGGTGAACTTATTGGATGGACGGGATCAACTTGGATATAAGCACCTCCAAATTCGGCATCATTCAAAAGAAGAGCAGTGTCAACAGCCTTCTCGGAAGCAAAAGTAATTTCAACACGTTTATATTCCCCGTTATTTAAAAGTGGCTCAATTTTATCGACGGTTCCACAGAAGGAGAAGAACTCCTTGATCTTATCTGACGAGATAGACGATGGGATGTTTGAAGCAATGACTTTAGACATGGTTAGATAAAATATATCAATTGACAAAGAGAAAAGGAAAAAATAACAAAACTGTACAAAATTAAGGATCTGGCCATACCATTTTATACATAAAAGATGACTTGTATTTTTAAGGGGGGAAGCATTACTGTGGGTTATGCATGGTGCCCCCAGCAAAACATAGCAAGCGAAAAAAAAAAAAAATTAGCTATGTTCCAAATGCAACCAAGTTTGTGTCAAATGCAATGACTGGGCATTTGCATGCATGTGATATATCCTTGTTTTTGTCGCTTTCTATTGTTTTGCTACCTTGTAATTGCAAAATCTTTCAACTTTTGATTTTTCTTTGGGGGTTTGTATCGTGTAATACTAACAAAAAAACACATCCTCGGGACATGACAGATGATGGCTACATGCAACATCACATACATACCAACAATGAGGCAGTGCTAGTTGAGTGCGTCAATCTGGAATGAATTAATTTAGAGCTAAATATAGAATCTTCTAGAAAATACTATACAATATAAATGACATTTCAAGCAGGTTCTTTATGCAGCATTATGCAAGTTGGTTATAGCAAAGTTTGACCCATGGCACATCTACCAATGGCACATGCAGCACTAACAGTATCCAAGATATGCTCTTCAGTTTCTGCCAACATAGGATTAGTTTCTACTATATCCAATGAGTTCAATAATCCAGTCATGGCAATTTCTTCAGCCACAAATAATCCTTCTCTAAGTGAAAGACCACCTTCGACTCTAGTACCGGTAGCAGGAACAAACAGAGGATCAATTGCATCAACGTCGAATGATAAATGAATTGGACAATCACGGTTAGGATTAACCTTATCCAAGGCCATCTCTACCACTTTTCCAATTCCATACTTATCAACATGGTACATGGAAAATGCTGGAATATTATGTTCTTTTAATATTCTTCTTTCTTCTTGGTCAACATCACGTAATCCAATATATGCCAATTTTCCTGGCTTTAAAATTTGAGGAACCCAAGAAAATTCAGGAGGATAGGAATCAGCGTCTATACCCATCAAGAAACTCAATGGGCATCCGTGTAAGTTTCCGGAGTCAGTGGTTTTTGGAGTGTTAATATCAGCATGTGCATCAACCCAGATAACACAAGTGTCTGGATTATGAGTCAAACTAGCACCGACAGTGGCGGTACCAATCAGGTGATCTCCACCAACAGTGATTGCCAATCTTCCACTTTCCAAAGTTTTGTAAACGGCATCGTAGATTAATTTATTACATTCATTGACAATATGAGTGTTTTTAACTCCATACTTGTCCTTGTCATCTGTCTTCATGGCTTCGTAATTGGTTGATTCAAGGGGATGCAAAGTGGTAGTTTCCCATCCCAATGAACTGATTTGTTTTTCAAAACCAGCATCAAGAATATATTCTGGACCAAGTTCGACCCCTCCTTTGGGTTGACCACCTGAGAATGGTGCTGTTATAATGGTTGTTTTTCTTTCTGGATGAAATTTATAAGAAACTGACATTGTTAAATAGATAAAGAATTAATATCAATAGATTATCAGATCAAATCTAAACCTAAATGTGATTTTGGGGAGTTTCTGTCCGTATTTATAATCCAGAAAAAGGTTGATAGATAGCTCAAGCTGTAATAGAGTACAAACTGATTCTCCAAAAAGAAAGCAACCGCGAAGTTTTTGCACCTAATTAAGATTTTTTTTTGTTTTTGTAATTAAATTTATTCCCGCGAATTTCTTGGGTGATGCCTAACAGAAAATAGAAATGGCAATACTGCCACGTACTTTTCCCCAAACGGCAATACACCGCGCACGCAGTTGACTTCCTTTAGTTGATGAATGACTTCTCCGACTTCTCCAGAATGACACAAACTTCGCACTAAGCCTGTAGGTTTTTGCCTAAACGTTTCCCGTTTCGGGCGAGAATCAGTTATCTCTTGTATTCGCCCCCACATGTTCAATCACGCCCCCCTTATTCCGACCCCTCCTTATCAGTTATCTTTTTTTTTTTCTGTCATTTAATGGAAAGCAACAACGAAATATTTACTCGTTGTTTATCGGAATCGGAATCCCACAAATTCATGACTGTGTAAGGCATCATAACCCAGTGGTGGGGTTGGTTTTTTTGTAGCGGATCCCCTCACTGTTCGAAACGTGAATGCTAGTTTTGGCGGTATCTATTTATATGCCGACATTAATGATGCCGCGCTATCTTGGGATAGTTCCGAAGTTTTTTCTGAGAGGGAACCATGTATCACTTGCTATTTTTCCAGAGCATGCCGAGCCATAACTTAATATTTGCAGATCTTAGTCTTGCAGGAAAAGAAAGTTCGTAAACATATTTGTTTGATCTACAACCGAATATGCCCGTACTGCTATTCTAACCTTGTAGGCTTCTAGCTTACCTTTCTTTGGCTTACTATTAGTTCGCTTAACTCCTTTGGCCATGCTAGCATCCTCGATTTGTCATGACTACTACTCACTTAACTAATAGAACTTAGTTTGTTCCAATAAAGTTAACTAAGCTCACGGTAAACTAAAATGCTTATATAGTGCACAGTATAACCACAACGGTAGGACGCGCGGTTGCAAATAGAATAAATAATAATAGTAAAAAAAAAAAAGAAAAGTTAAATGATGATCATCAGATCATATATCGCGTGTTGAGTCCAGCAAGCAATCTAAATTTTCATCCAGAAACTTTCATTTCTTTATTGGTACTATAGTATATGAAGATATGTTAATTCTACTGCCGATTTGGTACTTCTTTGCTTCACAAAATCGCTCAGTTCAAATAATAGACGAGGATGCAAAATATACCGATCAGGAATCTCTCATTTTTCGTCGGGATGTAATTGTTGAAGGGTGTACCTTGAATGTGAACAATATAGGTAGTTTTACAGCTCACAAGAGCTTTGAAGTTATGCCATCAGGAAAACTTCATATATCAGAGTGTCTGGCATTAACATTTTCTCGAGGATTCGTCAACAGAGGGTTGACTGTCATCTGTCTAAACTCAATTTCAAACTTTGATTTCATAAGAACTATTTCTAATTATGGGGAGCTAATCCTTGTATACGAAGGTCCGACAGAATACAGTTTACCTTTGATCAATAACCATGGAAAACTCTATTTCAGCTCATCTGGTAGGGGCAGTGCCAGAAGAATTACAACTGAGAAGTTACCAAGTTCTGGAGAGATTCACTTAAAAGGTGTATATTTTGATTTATCAAAAGAGTCATTGTGATTAAAGATACCAATTTATTTGCGTGGTCAATCTGCGATAAGTGTTATAGATAATGGCATCTTGCTGAACCCATTACTTATTTGTGTTTTCTTAAAGAGCTAGTGGAAGCTTGCAAATTATATAGGTTTAGGCTCTAGGTAATTTTTTCGTTGCCTGTACGAGTAATTCCCCTCCGAGAAAGTAAAATAGAGTAATTCAAGGTATAACTAGTGGCAATGGGAGAATCATGAGAGTAAATAATCTTTTCTGTTAGATATAGAAGATAAGATAGACGTTTTTGATCTTTTTTTTTAGGTGAAATTACCAACAGAATCACTAAAAACGATGATGAATAACAGGAACCCTGCATAAGAAGACTCATTTTAGCTCATATAAACAGAGCAAGATTTCTCAACCTAAATATATCAGCCAAATGGAACCTTGTTAATCATTTAACTTTTGTATTGCAAGGAAATGATATCAGAAACCAAGCTTATTGACTTCCATTAGCTCCTGTTGATAACAGTGGAGGCTGGAAAAGGGATGACAGGAGTTCTTTCCCTCTTATTTGGAATGGGTTCGACTGCCAAGTAAGTAGCCACCAAATGACCCTATTGTGTATACATATGTTTAATTCCAGAATGGTTTGTACTATTCTGAATCGACTGATTGGTGGCAAAAAAAGTCGAGACAAAATATGAAGAAAAGGAGAAGAAAAAGTTACAAATACATAAATCAAACCCAACAGATTTAGGATATGCTGTCCACAAGGAAGAACGATAATTCCGGCAATCTGTTCCTGGGGAGGGGGGTGGTGATTATGCATGCAGACTTGATACATGCACACCCATGAAATGAAATTGAACACACATGGATGTCCCTTTCAGGGCATCCGACAATGTCGATGTTCGTAATTAGAAAGATACTACAATGTAATAGTACAGTCGCGCGACAGCCCATTTTCCAACTTCAGAAAATCTTACGATATTACGATATTAACAGTGAGCTTAAATATACTTATCGTTGAGGACAATGCATAATAATGCAATTATACATAAAAACACACTCCATTGCTTGAGATATCTTTGTCGCCTATGAATACCTCGTACGTTATTGGTGTTCTCTGTTTAGTTTAATTCTTGATACCTCGTTCGGCGTCTGTTGTTTCATTTCCGCCTCTGATTATCTAACCTCAAACAAGTACGGAATTTTTTGTGATAGTTTTTGTGATACTGCGGAATTCGAACGGAATTCTGAGGTGATGAGCACACCCCTGTACTAATCATATCAAAAAGAACGATTAATGCAAGCCCAATGTATAGCGGGTGAGAAGCCGGGTCGTTGTAGTTGACAAATAGTTATCGTCAGACATTAGACCAACGGTGATACACCTTTGCTCAACATTTGCAACCAAGCAAAATCAGAGTCGCTGGAAAAATTCTCGGTTGGTCCAACGTGGGGCACCCACGGAATTTGCATGCGGCTCAAAGGCACATCGCCCTGTCATCAAAAAGTTTATTTTTTAGACTAAAAATTATTTATAACCATAAGGCAGCCAAAAACCCTTTTTATAAATTGTTGGGGTTAGGACACTCTTTTTATTAACCACGGGGTGTCGAAATACACGCTAGATTAACGATCTTTTTTCAGTGTTTCTACCACATTGTTCTTTTCCAACGACACACGAGGTTAAACCTGGTCTATATACCATTTTTTTTTTTACAGCAAAATAGCACCAAATCTCAGACAACACAACCTGAATTTCGTTGAGATAAGACGGTACAATGAAGTTTGGTAAGACATTTCAATCTCAATTGATCCCAGAATGGTCAATTTACTACATGAACTACAAGGCCCTCAAGAAATTGATTAAATCTATAGATGCCCTGATTCATGATTCCAATACAGATCCTAGCCAACACCCCGAGATCGTCACCGAAACCCTTGCCTGTTTTTTCTTTGAAGTTGATCGTGACATTGAGCAGGTTGATTCGTTCTATAATACCAAGTTCCAGGAGTATAATCGAAGATTAAACCGGGTGGTCAAGTACGATTCTCACATCGAGTCTACGGAAGAGTTGGATGAGATAATTACGATTTTGGTCGAGTTAAGAGCTTCGTTTAGAAATTTACAATGGTTTGGAGAATTGAACCAGAAGGGGTTCTCAAAAATCTTGAAAAAGCTAGACAAGAAATTGACCTCTGTCATGAGTGATCTGAACAGTTATCCTTTTGATAATCATAACAAGGAAGCTTATTTGACCACCAGAATTAACGCTCTTCCTTTTGCCAATGGAGTCGAGTTGAAGAACGCATTGGAAACAATTAACCATATTTTGATGCAATTAGGTGCAGATTCCATCAGACCTCGAGACGATGCTGCCTCTGCAGAAGATTTAGTTTCAGTATTCAACAGTTTAGTTATTGAGGATGGAGATGTCAGTGACGCCTTGGTGAGATATTCCGACAAATTGAGTAACAGATTCTTGCTTTTGGTACTTAATAAAGCAACATTGGCTAATTCCACCAAGTGTATTGACCAATTATTGAAACATATGACTGGTTTAGGATATGCTTTGTATGATGATTCTGATATTAACGGAAGAAACTTCTTTCATCAACATATCATTAGTCTTGGCAAGGAAAACGATAGACAAGTTGACGGCAAGAGAGCGAATGGTGTGAATAAAATGTATGGTTTGACATATGTCTTAAACAAATTAGATGAATCGCAAAGACATTTGTTAATTGCCAAAGATCAATATTCACGTACTCCGTTACATTATGCTGCCAAGTATGGATTACAAATAACAGGTAGCCTCCTCGAGAAAGTAAAATCGTGGGATTTAATTGACACCACCAAGTCAATTGATGATATTGAAGTTTGGGGAGACCAAGAAGGTTTAACTCCTTTGCATATTGCCATTATTGGGAAGCATTCGTCTACTATCCAAGCATTAATCCAATTCAACCATCCAAACAAATTAATTTGTCCTAATGTTCTTTTATTGGCTGTTAGAATGAACTCGTGTCAAATACTTGATTCGTTAATTCAAGAAGGTAATATTGATGTCAATTATACAGATGCTGATCATAACCACGAGACTGCCCTCTACATTGCCTGTAAATTGAACTACCCGGATGTGGTCCAGTTCTTGCTTGATCATGATGCCGATACGGAAATTGGTGAAATTGTATTTGGATGGACACCAATTTTCATCGCTGCTAGCGAGGGATACCTTTCCATCGTGAAGTTATTGAAAGAGTATGGTGCCAAGTATGACATTGTTGATGATTCCAAATGGTATCCCGTTGAACATGCCAGTTTGCGTGGTTACTTAGATGTGGCTGATTTGTTAATTCCAGATAATCAAGAATTGTTATTATTTGATCAATTACATCAAGAACGTAATTTACCCAGAGTTAGACCAGGAAGTGTCAGTCCTGCTATGATGCAACATGCTGATTCGTCTGGTTCTAGTATCGATAGGTTGAATAGTCTGCATCGGGAAACTATTACTCAATTGTACCAACATTTGAAAATGAATTCCAGCACTACGGCAGTAGATAAGACTATGAAACCAGTAAAATCGTTTGGTCATAGATATTTAAGTGAAGATGAATCAATTCTTTTGGTTACTTTGGGGACTACTGATTTACGGGATAATTCTCCTCCTATTGAATTAAATAAGTCAGTAGACTTGGTGTCTGACTTGGATACTGCATTATCATTATTGATTACCTGTCGTAATAAAAGAACCAATGAACCAGTTGAACCACCCGTGGTGGTTGATTTACCCATTGAAAACCATCATGGAAGTGCCACTGATCCAATAACATTCAAACTCACCAATGGACTTAAATCCAAGGATGTAGTTCTTACATTCGATTTAGCTCCAACTTATCAACACGAAAAATCTATTCTTGCTCGTGCAACCGCAATTTTAAGTGATGCATACACCAAGGTGGGACCAGCTGAACTTCGCTCGTTACATAGCGGGATTGCCACTCCGTTGATTGATCATAACCTTAACATAATGGGGAAAGTCAGATTTGAATATCTTGAAGTATTAGCATTCAAACACCCTTCCATGACCTTGACAAGATCAGACACGTACTGGAAACAATTAGTGTCAACTAGAGTCATTGGTCATCGTGGGATGGGTAAGAACCAAAGTGAGCGTAAATCATTGCAATTGGGTGAAAACACCGTGGAGTCGTTTGTCGCTGCTGCCAGTTTGGGTGCTTCTTATGTGGAATTCGACGTTCAATTAACCAAGGATTATGTGCCGGTTATTTATCATGATTTTACCGTGGCTGAGCTGGGAGTGGATATTCCAATGCATGCCTTGACCTCGGAACAGTTTTTGGGATTGACTGAGTACAAGAAGAAGAAAGAGGGTAAGGCCCAGGGAAGAAGGAATAGTAGCACTGATATTACTGGTACTCGTAACCCACCCCGTGCTAGATCTTCACACCAGTTGCAAAATAACGCATTTACCAAGTTGGACTATGATGCTGACATTGAGCGCGAGTTTGCTGATCATATAAACCAAAGAATGAAGCTTACACGTACCTGGAAAACCAATGCGTTCAAGGGTAACGCTCGAGGATTATCCATTGCTTCCAATTTTGTCACTCTTCGTGAATTATTCCATAAAGTGCCAGCTAATGTTGGATTTGATATCGAATTGAAATATCCGATGTTGGATGAGGCCCAACAAGAAGGTATGGGTGAAATCAGTATTGATTTGAATCACTACCTTGATGTCATTCTCAAGGTTATTTACGATGAGAATACCATGAAGAGAGATATCATTTTCAGTAGTTTCCACCCGGATGTGTGTATCTTGCTTTCTTTGAAACAACCAACAATCCCAATTTTGTTCCTTACCGAATCAGGAACTACCTCCATGGCAGATATCAGAGCCAGTTCATTGCAGAATGCAATTAGGTTTGCCAAGAAGTGGAACTTGTTAGGGATTGTTTCTGCTGCTGCTGTATTTGTGAAGACTCCAAGATTGGCTGAAGTGGTCAAATCCAGTGGGTTGGTGTGTGTTACCTATGGTGAAGAGAACAATGCTCCGGAATTGGCCAAAATCCAAATGAAGGCGGGTGTGGATGCTGTTGTTGTTGATAGTGTGTTGGCAGTGAGGGAAGGTCTCAGAGCTGAAGTTGATACTATCAATGGGGATATATAGAGAACTTGTTAGATATTATAGAAAGTATGAAGTATGTTATAACAATAGTAATAGTAATAATAATCTATAGCTACCAAATGCGAAGTCGCATTTTTAACATTTCCGATCTCCAGATATATTTTTGATCTTAATGACAACCATAGGGATATCTTCTGAACTATTTAATCATGAGTCAAGACAACCAAGAACAGTCTGTTTCTTCTAAAGAGAGTACTAGTAAATCCAAAACAGTATTTACTATGCCTGGAAATCGTCCTGGAATCCAAGCAGTCCACGTGAATGCAGCACGAGAAATGGTGCGATTACATACGCAAGGCAGACGTCCTCCATCTTCCACCACTGCATCCACCGCTGTCAAGGGACCAGTACCTCCACTTCCATCAACTGCTTCTAGTTTTCCCGGTGCTAGCCCACATCCACATGTATCTATTCCTGAGGGCTGCAAGAATCCACAATGCACCCATTGTGGGAAGGTAATTATTCCTGCACCACAATCATCATATCCTATTCAAGACACACCTGCCATCGCAGTCAAAAACTGGAAAATATACACTATCAAAAAGCCGATTCTTAACTCGACAGAGTTGGAAGACTTGGAGGCAAGATTCCATTTCCCATTGCCAGAAATGATATTTGGGAATTCCCGAGTGAAAATTGTCAACGAGGTCAGTGGTGAGAGTATTGAGTTTAATGCCCTTGACGCATTGGATTCCTTGGATAGCGAGAGTCATTTGAAAGTGAGTTATCATAAGGAATGGCTTGATTCTAGAAGGAGCGAACGAGAGAAGAAGGAAAAGGAGGAACGGGGTGAGGTTGAACTGAGGGATCTTCGCGAGTTTACCGACAAGTTGGACACTATAGAGCCATATGATTGGACTTATTCTCCTAATTATAAAGGAACGACCAATATTAAGTTTAGTGAGAGTAGTCAAGAAATACCAATACACAGATTGACCCAGCCTGACCCCATTCTCTTCTTTGATGAGGCAGTTTTATTTGAAGATGAATTGGCAGATAATGGGATTTCTATATTGAATTATAAAATAAGAGTGATGCCAACATGTTTGCTCTTGCTTTGTCGATTCTATTTGCGAATTGACAATGTCATTTTCAGAATCAGAGACACGAGAGTATTTGTTGATTTTGATCAGGATTTGGTCATTAGAGATTATCGACAACAAGAGTATGAATATCTGGAATTATTAAAATCTGTACAACGGAAAAGCATTGGCAATGATCCAAAGAAGTTGTTTAGGGACCATGATTGGGTAAGCAAGAATATTCCTACTATTAATAAGGTCGTTGAATCAAATCAATAATATTGTGTATAGTAACTATATTAATTTTATATGCAGGAGTTCAAACCTGACCTCGAACCTTTAGGGTTGAAAAATTTTTTTATTGCACCAGATATCAAGTAGTTACAGCACCACCTATAAGTCAACATAATGTTTAGTAGAGTCATTGCCAAGAGGGCAGCTGGTGTCAGATTATCTACCAGATCGTTACATCGTGTTCCCAAGCTCGAACAACACCACCAGTGGAGCCAAGAAGGTATTTCTGGCGTTTATTCTCCAGAACAATTCAAAATGGCCTGGACCGACTATCAACACTATTTATTAACCAATTTGACCTTGTTAACCAATGGGACTGCCTATGAAAACAAACACCCATACCAAATCATCCTACAAAGCGCCAAGAACACCACTGACCAGCATATATTCCACTATGCTTCCCAAGCCCATAACAACCATCTTTTTTTCCAACAATTAACCAGTAAAGACCAAGCCCAAGAAACTAGACCTTCCAAGTTCTTGATGCAAAGATTGGTCCAACAAGATATCGCTGACGTTGCCACTTTACGTTCTAAGATTGTTGAGCTTGGATCAAGCACTTTTGGCCAAGGGTGGTTGTTCTTGGTTGAATACCCAGACAAGCAAATCAAGTTGATGAGGACGAACAATGATGGTACCCCATACTACTATGGTAAGTCACAAGTGTTGGATTTGAATGGAGGTGTTGATGAAACGAGTTATAAGTTTGTGGAAAACTTGAAACAAAGGGCGGCCAACGGTGAACGTGAATATACCTTACCTTTGTTGAGTATTAATTTGTGGGATCACGCTTATATTCGTGACTATGGTGTTAACGGGAGAGAAAAATATTTAGAAAATGTGTTTGATTGCATAGATTGGAACGTTATCAATAAGAGACTTTTCCTTGTATAAATTGAATGTGTATATACTGTAAATAGAACAGACTGTCTTAGTCAATTTCATTGAATTCAAATGCGTGCAATTGTTTTGTAGTATAATATCCAACTGTTTCCCTGTTAAGAACTGATGTTAATTTGGCTATTCTTTGGGAAATGTCGTCGCATTCATTCATGACGCTGACTAGTGACTCATCAGTGTACCAGTTAGTAGGTAAGCTAGAAATAAGTAGGGGTATTAAAGAAGAGAGCTTCTTTAGGTTGTCCCATTGTTCAACTAACTGTAGTACTTGCACTCTAGAAGCTTTCTCGTCGATTGTATCTTCTTTTAGATTGACGTACTTTTTATTAACTTCTTCTAGTTGAGAATTAACCCATGTGGATTCAACAAGCATTGGCTTGATTTCATTTGTTATTAGGTTTTGAAGTTCATTGACCTTGTCAAAATATGCGTCTCTGTCATTATTACTTGTTTGTGCCTGCTTTACAAGCTTCAAACTTATACCTGAATCTAAGTCATATAACTTTTGCAAATCGTCGAGAATTTTTGTTTCAGATTCAGTTAAATTGGAATAATGTATGGATTTAAGTATGGGTAATGTCATTAATAAATATCTATTGAATAATTTGTTGATTTTAATTTGGGTATTTTGATTAGTTAAAAATTGTAAAAGTTCTTCATTGTCTTGAATGTCAAATTGAGTTTTAATATTGTCAAGTTGTGTCGGTATGCTGTCTGAATCTAACTCTTTAAGCTTGTTCAAGTAAATCAATCGACTTAGTTTGTGATTTAGTTGTTTGTATAATGTGTAATATTCTTGTTGTAATTTCTGGGTTTTGTCTAGATCATTTGATTTCGAACTTGCAATTTTAGGGATATCTGAAGAATGTTGAAGCAATGACGTATACTCTAAAAGCGAATCACAAGCATCAGCTAATTTCTGTGACATTTTTAGCAAAGTGTAGTCAAGTAATTTTATAAGCACAGCTAATGTTTACATTTCCACAGTGCCCTTTTTTTTTTTACAACCAAATTCTTCAGAAAATTCTCAACTACGTATTTCATCCGTAGACAACGCTAGCATGCCTGACACAGCCTTACTCAAGAAGAAGCTTCTTCATATTGCCGCAACGGGCAGTGTTTCCCAGTTTACACCAGAGCAACTCCACTCACACTATCAAGAATTGAACCAATTTCTTGCCTTGCATAAAGATACCCTTGATCTGATTGAATTGTTCAACTTGTATGAACTTGAGTTTTATTCATGCATCTTGACCAACCATGATATAGAAGCTAAAGCGGTGATTGATTTATTATTAGATCAATTCCAATCCAATTCCAAATCTCAAAGAATAAAGTTATTACAATCTATATATTATGAAGCCATTGGGGATGGCAAACAGGCTACACAATTATTGACCCAAGATCCCGATGAATTGTCATTGTCTAGACGATTAGTTACTTTCTCTAGAAGTGATGGTTCTGACAAATATATCAAGAATTTATGTTATTATTTGGATTTACAACCAAGTGACTTGTCTGCCTGGGCTGAATTGGGGAATGAGTATAAGAAAATCGGCAAGTATCAAGATGCAATTTATTGTTTAAAAGAAATCTTATTGCATGAACCATTGGCCTATCCTGTATTCTACAAAGTTGGGTTATACCATTATTACTTATTCTTGCAAGAATTGGCTAAACCAAAGACTAGACTACACGATTTGATACAATTGCTAACTCAAGCACGAGATAATTTCCTTGTGAGTGTTGAAATCAATGATAAGTATGACAAGAGCTGGGTCGGATTATACATATTAGCTAACCACGAATTCAATCAAGATGACAAATTTAAAAAGAGTGACGACGTTGTCAAACAATATGTGGTAGAAACTGAAAAGTTAAAATCGCTAGTACAGAAGAAAGTCACGGAATTACATATTGATATCAGTAGTATCATAGAATAGTATGCAACACATATATTGAAATATATTCCTATATAAGTAAAAATCAAACCACCAAGAACTCTTTAAAAACCCTTCATCATCATATCATAATAGAATTCCATCTGAACACGTGGAATGGAAGTAATATAGCATCACATTTACTTCTTACTACCGCATTGACATGATCCAGCAGAAGCACATTTACAGTCGGCACCGCAGTCGCAACCCTTTGGTTCACTTGAATTAACTAATTGGTAAAGCATTTTTAATATATTGTTTGTAATTGATTTATTTATCGATGTAGAAATAAAGATCAGCTGAAATCTAAGAAGGGGGGATGTGGGAAATGCCAGGGATATTTATATGGGGAAACAACCCAGATTGCGCGGATTTCGCCTCATTGGCTGAATTAAAGTTTTGCTAGGCAATAATGTCGCACCGCAAAATTAAGTCATTGTGCTTCAACGTACGTTTCAGGTTGCGAGATATCTGCCGTGCATACAAGATGTGCGATAATTTCGCGACATCAACCTGTTACTAGTTTTATTATCATCCAGTAAGAGGTGGTGGATTTGTGTTGTATCCGGCCATGTGATTAGCCAAGGATATAGCCTTAGATCATGCCATTGTTGCCGTGGTTTTAGCCGATCTGCTTTCGCTGCGGATCATTGTTGTAACGTGAACGCCTTTTGGTTGACTTAACGACATTTGTCTTGAAGATTCTGTTAGAGTGGCGTTTCTTTTAATCTGGACTGGAATTTACTAAACTGATTCCTCATAAGACATCACTCTGATTGATTTGGAATAATGTTTAGATATGAATCTGTATTGGGTTAAACGAAGGATGTTTACAGTTCACAAATCTTAACTCTTGACAAAAAAAAAAAATAAGCAACACTATTCTAAATTAATGGGATTTAATTAAATCGCCATCGCAACCAAATTTCTACACAATTCGTCCCCCCATTGATCGATTTGATAATATTTCTGATCATTCTATAACCTTGAACCCAACATTTTACTTTCCTACGCGAATTGTTTCTCCCCAATACAAATTTAAATTTTTGGGCATGGGTTTCCTACTCGGGTAAATTAACGTCTATTATGTTTATTTTATTTTTTTGAGATTATAATCTATATGAACAATATGCAATATATAAAAAGGTATGTGGATTAGAAATCACCCTTGTAATTCAAATCATCACGTTCTAAAACAGCTTCTAAAATACCCGAGGCAGCAGCAACCAAACCCAAGAATGGTCTCGATGGATCCAATACCTTGGATAAATATTCTGGATGGTATTGAGTACCAGTGAAGAACTTGTGGTCTTTCAATTCAATCATTTCCATTCTCTTTTCGGTTTCATCCTTACCAATGAACTTCAATCCCTTGGCTTCGATCTCATCAATTAACAAAGGATTGACTTCATATCTATGTCTGTGTCTTTCGTAAACGGCATCAGCACCACCATATAATTTTCTCAATTTACTCCACTTAGTGTCAGCCACGAATTTAGTTGGGTGGATACCTAATCTCATGGTACCACCTAACTTAACTTGATCGACATCAGGCATGTAGACAACAGTAGCTTCTTCTTCACTAAGGGAAGGATCAAATTCCATAGAAGTAGTACCGGTCTTTCCCAATACATTTCTAGCAAATTCGATAACAGCGATTTGTAAACCTAAACAGACACCCAAGTATGGAATATCGTTTTCACGAGCGTATTTGGCAGCAGCAATCATACCTTCAATACCTCTGTTACCGAAACCACCTGGAACTAAGATACCATCGGCTTGACAAACATAGTGCCATGCCTTGTGGTATTCGGACAAGTTGGTTCTCTTGGTTTCTTCTTCCAAGTTGGTAGATTCAACCCATTCAATGGTCAATCTTCTGTTACATCTCATAGAAGCATGTTCCAAGGACTTAATCACAGATAAGTAAGAGTCCTTCAAATGAGTATATTTACCAACAAGAGCAATAGTGACAGTTTCAAAAGATTTATCGTGACTGGTAGTTAAGTGCTTCCATCTAGTTAACAATTCTTCACCACGAGCTAAAGCAGTAGCATCAATGTCACCAATAGCTAACTTCTTGGTCAAGTATTTCATCATCTTTTGTTGTTTCAACAATAATGGAACGTGGTAAGTCGAGTTGACATCATGAACAGCAATAACTTGCTGAGGACCAACATGACAGAACATACCAATCTTTTCAATAGTGGCAACTTCCAAAACATCTTGACATCTACAAGCAATCATATCTGGAGTTAAACCCAAAGATCTTAAATCCTTGATGGCAGCTTGTGTTGGCTTGGTCTTTTGTTCGCCGTGGATAACAGGAACCAAAGAAACGTGAATCAAGGCAAAGTTTTCAGTACCGACTCTGAATTGAAATTGTCTCAAGGCTTCAACGAATGGAGCACTTTCAATATCACCAACAGTACCACCCAATTCAATAATACAAACTTCTGGTTCCAAACCAGTGTCATCGACTGGGATCTTGGCAACACGTTCAATCCATTCTTGAATAGCATTGGTGAGATGAGGAACAACTTGAACAGTCTTACCTAAATAATCCCCCTTTCTTTCTTTTTCAATAACTTGGGAATAAATCTTACCAGTAGTTATGTTATGGTTACGAGTCAAGGTGATGTTTAAGTAACGTTCGTAGTTACCCAAATCCAAATCGACTTCACCACCATCGTTCAAAACAAAACATTCCCCATGTTCCAAAGGAGACATGGTACCGGCATCAATGTTCATATAAGGATCAATCTTGATGGAAGTAACTCTCAAACCCAAGGTCTTGAAAAGTAACCCAGTAGAAGATGCAATAACACCCTTACCGATACCGGAAATAACACCACCAGAAACAACGACGTATTTCATTATAGCTTGACTTGACTTGACTTTTATTAAGTTAGAGTAACTAAGAGATTAGGCAATTTTTTTTTTTGTGTGATGAGATGCTTGACACGTCTATGAACTAAATTAAACACGTGAAAAACAATACAAATTTATGTGGATGGTATTCGAAAACGTTCCCTTTTAGATAATGATATACAACGGATATATCGAATTAAAAGTTTGCCCCTCTTAAATGAATGATTTAAGCGGGAAGAAGAAAGAAAAGAAGGAAGTAAAAGAAAAACAATAGTGAGAATTTTTTCCTCTGGAATTTATAAGATGAGTTTTTTCCCGCTTGGCGATTCTGAAAGAGATGAGCATGAGCCATAAGAAAAATATAGTGCCGTGGACTTCCTATTTAGGAAGTAGACGTATCATGTGCTATACTAAGAGGGGGGGCTTGACTACTTTGGGATAATTAATATGTTTGCTAAGTTATACACCTTGTAAGAACTGTCTTTTGTCAGACTCTGTTACAGGTACCTAGAATGTTAGCAATACTACTGAAATAAAAACATATTATTATGTGCCTAAGCAACCTTCTCTCCCGAAGAACCAAAGGTTAGTGGCAGTACATCTACAATATTTGTTCTGTAGTGACATGCTGCTGTTGATTATCTACACAATCTTCACCCCACCAATTTCATTATTCTCATTCATTAAAATCTGTGCTTTGCCCAACTTCATCAAATACCCCTTAATAATCTTAATCAAGAAAGTTTCATCTAAACCCCTTATTGCCTCGGGTAATCCGCCTTCGTCGCTCTTAGTCAACTCGTACACGGTCAACACCGTGCCTAATTGGCCACTATCATCGACATATTGATATAGCAAACTTCCCCAGTCTTCGAGCTTTCTCCAATATATGAAAATACCCAATTCTGGCTTTTTCGAATTGACGTATTCTCCCGAGTTTAGTTTATGGATTAACGAATTAATTATTAATGTTTTGAATTCGGAGTTCACGCTTCGATTGATAGCGGTATTGCTAAATATGGGAGGAAGAGAATCAAGGTCAATTTCAAGTTGTGAATGTTTCGGTATTCCATCTTTGGATATCCTCGTGATTTTGTAGTATTCACAGTATTCAAGTATGATTGCCGTCCATGCTTCCAATTGCTGTGTTAATATAGTGGTGTTGGGCTGCTTCGTGTACAATGGAGGAAACGAATGGATCTTAGGAAATTGAAATTGCGGTATATCAGACATCATTGATAGATCCCTGGTTCTACTTTGGTTGTATAAGCTTGTTTTAGAGTTATGTGTTGCTAGATAATTTCGCCTCTCTCGCTAACATTTGATTTTTTTATCTGTTTTCTGTAATCAACGCACGACTTGGTATACCTTATGCTGAACCACAGTTTACACTACAATATAGACTAGATATTACCTGTTTGTCATTGAAATATAAAAGTGCAACCAAAACTAAAATTACATGAGATATTCTTATTACGTTTAAACTATTATTTGTTTATTTTCCGTTAAATAAAAAGGATGTACCTCCAAACTTAAGCTTCAGCCATGTCTCTCAAACGACGGATGGTAGATCTGACAGTAGCAGCAGCGGCAGTAGAAACAGTGTAAGCACCACCAGCAACGGTCTTTCTACAGGACTTACAGCTCCAGATACCAGCAGCACCTCTTTGAACAGTTCTCTTACCACAGAATGAACAGTCGTACTTGGCGTGTTGTTGGACTTCCAACTTCTTGGTTTGTCTTCTTAAAGAAGAACCGTATCTGACACCGAATTTACCAGTAATTCCAACCTTCTTAGTTCTCTTGGTCCTATAAAGTAAGTTAGTATTTGGTTCGTGTGATTTGAAAAAGGAAATGAAACATGGTGGGAATGTAATCAAATAAGCAAATTTAGTTTTATTTAGGTTTATAGAAGTCACGATGATGTTATTAGATTTCTTGTATTGTATCCATTAGTCTGATTGCCTTGTTGATATAGGTTCTCTGTGGTTGTCGAATCCTTTTTTGCAGTGGTTTGTTGATATATATTCTGTAATGAATATTCTCTTTATAAACATAACTTGATAGTATTTCTATCTGCTTTTCGATACTTGTAGTTTTATTGCGTTTTGTAGTTGCTTATTGATCTTGACTATCATATCGACTTTCAACATGATCGTTTTGCCTGTTGATTCTATACCTTGGTGATTAGTTTATTCGATACTTCTAGTTTACTTTGATTAATCACTCCATTATCTCGTTCATTTCCAGTTATTCGTGGTCTAAACATACATTTTGTATTATATGATGCTATGTAAATTAAGAAAGAAGTATACTATAGAAAAATTTTGAAAAACTTTTTTTTAGTAGGTGAAAATTGAGCTGGTACTGTGCGAGCAATTAGTTTCACGCTGTATGCAGGTATTCCTTTTCTCTCACAAAATACTAACTAATTTTTCTTAGGAGTGCGACCTGGCTAAAAAAAACAATTCATTTAAAATAAAATTTCAAACCTTTTCCACGTGATTTGAGTATCACGTGTAATGTATGTATTAGGGTTTCAGCCCTGTCTTATCCTAATCTCGTTTCAAGTTGCCACACTGGCTAGCATAATAAAAATTAACCGCTGATAACAGCATTAATTCCGCTATATTCATTCAATGGCCCATGGGAGAAGGCAAAGATGTTTTGAGGAATAATTACACTGATCTAAGTGACACCACGTTATTTGCATCCCTCTCAATAGGTCCATCAATACGTAAGTAGACACGAACTTGACAGTATTTTTTTGCAACCAGAAACTAACAATTTAGCGTTTAACCAAATTATACCTCCAGAAGGATTACAAATTGATGAGATGTCCATTCCCAAGGTATCTCAGGACAATTATGACAACAATACTCCTACGTTGATGATGAGTGGTGGTAGTCAGGACAATGAGATAGATGTTTATGTTACAACAAGACAATTCCAATTTTGGGAATCTACTTCTAATAGTCCACATGATATCCAGGATGACGCCCTCTCTTCATGTAATGCTGAGTTTGCATCCTGCTTAGAATTGAGTCCTGCTATCTCCACCCCTGTACATAATTCCTTGAAGAGGCAATCTTCAAATATGAATATACTAGCTGAAGTCAACAAACGAAAGAGGTCTGGGCAATGTGATTCCAACGAATCATTGACTCCATTAAGTTTCAACCAAGAGTTGTTTGATTCAGTCTTTTCTGAAGCAGAGCTTTTCGAGCAAGGTGATTCCATTTATAAACCAAATATAGAATCATTCACCAATGTTGAATACCTAAATAAACTATCCCGCGAATCTTCAACAAGAATCCAAGAATTCGCCAATTGCTTAGCTTATAGACTACTGAAATACACTGACGAAACATAAAACCCATTTTTATAGCAACATATACAAAAAAAAAGTGATTATATATAAATATATAAGATTAGGTTAAAGGCTGATAATGTGATGACTTATGGAGAAGTATTTCGAGGGAAAAGATCAACTTGTTCCATCTCAACATCCTCATCTTCTTCAATTATTTGTCCAGCTCGTTCGGCATTAGGAAACACGGGGGTCTGGTCTATTTGTGGGGCATTCTGAGGATTGGCTTGTCTTTGCCTACCTGTAGGTGTAGCTGCTGCTGCCTGTTGTTGCTGTTGCAACCTTTGTTGTTGGTGAGTTCTAATCAATAATTGAAAATGCTCTCTCATCTCATCAGGTCCCATGTCTCCTTCGGTTATTCCTCTAAATATATCTCGGTTAAGATCAGCCATGGCAGGATCTTGCAACATAAATCTTTCCAATCCATTGTTACCACCTGCTTCGGCGGCATCTGCCCGCATTTGCTGTTGTAATTGACCAAACCTCCTGGCTATTGTGTCGTCATTTATGGGATCGTCGTCTAAATCCATGTCTCCACCCGCTGCGGCCCGGGCATTATTATTTCCGCCTAAAAATCTTCTTCTTCGCTCATGAAATAATGCTTGAATGTCACCTTGATCAATCTGATAAGTGCGTTCTTCCATTACTTGATTTAAATAATTCCTCAATTGGTTAACTCCATGACCGCTAAATACACAAAACAACGACTTTTGATGTTCGTTAAAGTCAGGGGGAGGATCACGGCAATATTGTGTGATTTCCCGTCTTAAAAATGATGAAATTCCAGTAAGGGATAAATGAGTTAATTTAGGACAACTCTTTAATAATAAATAAATAGGACCAATGGTTAAATTGGTACAATATGACAAATGGACACGTTCCAAACAATCCTGCTCGCCTCGTCTTCTCACCAATTCCAAAATCCCTGAATCGGTGATCAATGAACACTTAACCAATCCAATTCTGCGCAATTTAGGTAAATTGGCCAATTCAACCAAGGTCCAATCTGTTAATTGTGAACAGCATGCTAAATCAATATATTGGATCCGATGACAAAACCTAACAAGGGAGGAGACGCCGTAATCTGTAATCAATCCACAATGACCTAAATGAATATAATGTAAACTTCGACCCAATTGACTCAAGGCTCGAAGGGATGCATCTGTGATTTGCATACATTTGGACAAGACAACGTTACGTAATTTAGGTGCACATGAAACCAACTTCTCCACTAGTTTATCAGTAACGGCATTACATCCCGTTATATCAATAATTCTCAATTTTTCCAAAATGAACCCCTCAGGAATCAATTCAAATAATTTATCAGTTATTCCCGGTGCATTACTTATTCTAAATTCTCTTAACTGTGATAATTCTAAAAAGATTCGCTTCAAATTCAAATCAGTAACTTGTTCGCATCCATGTAAATCAATCTCGACCAAGGATTTGCAATTTTGATACATAACCAAAATACACTCATCTGTGATATTATTACTGGCGTTAAACTTGACACGTTTCAACATGGGACATGATCTTAGTAATTTGATGATTGCTTCTTCCGATACATTGCTGCATCCAGGTGCATACAACCCTTGCAATCTGGGACAGTTATCAGCTAGGGCGTTTATTATATCGTCATGGATATCCGTGACTCCCGTCAAATCAATAGATTGTAGCCGTTCACAATTTTGTAATACTTTAGTAATGGGAAATCTCGTCAATTTAGCACAATTTACCAATGTCAATCTTTCCAATTTTGGACATCCCACAAATAAACCCAACAATTCATCATCAACCAACTTGGTCATGAATGAAAGATTTAGTCTCTTGACAAATAAACGATAATCCCAATGAGTCTTATCTCTGGGCAATTCCATAACTTCCTTAATTCGTTTAAACGACCCGTCATTCTGCATGTTTGGACGAAACCATAAAATTTCAATAATCAAATCGGCAATTTCCTTACAAACAGTCAATAATGCATACAAATCACGTCTATCCAAATGATGGAAAATCTGCAACAAGATTTCCGTGGGCAATCTCAATAATGAATTTTTGTCTATCTGATATCTATCAAGTCGAGACTCGTCCTTGGATTTGCTTGATAGCCTCTTTTTAACAATCAATGACTTCCGTAATTCTTCGTAATCGTTATATTCGTTATCCATTATAAAGTTGTTCATGTCGTCATTGTGGTAATGATGTGCGTTGACATTATTCGGTGATATTGAATTTCCTGATTCGGGTGCTTTATTCGTTGATTCACCGCTATTTGAATACTCCTCTAGACTAGTTGGTGAACTCATGATAACAATGATTCAATAATCAGGAATAAAAAGTGAAATAAAATATATGCTAATGAATGGGCGAAAAAAAAACGTCCCCTATTTATATGTTGTGGTTTATTCCCTTAGGTATGGTGTTTGTAAACTTTTTAAAAAAAATGATAATACCTGACCACAAAAATTGATACCAGACAAGGAAAGTATGTGAGGTTAGTATGAGTAAATGCGTGTCTTTGCCCTGGGGTAGGTCTAAAGCAAGCGCGTTCAAACGGATGATGTTGTAGTTGTGGAAAAGTAGCTGTAGTTTGATCAGTGACTATCCGATAAGAACAAGCGTGTTATATATGGAAACCAGATCAACTTTCTGGGCGGTGGGGTGATCTTCCTGTTGGTGTATGCTTGTAAGTATGAGCTTGTGATGGATAGATGGACAGCTCTATTGGATTAGCACGTAAGCTTGTGGGCCGATGATTGGTGTATTATTTTTGAATGATTGCTGATTTCACGGGTTGTAAAATGAAGGCTGGGAAACTTTTAAAGAGGCAAGTACAAAAAAAAAGATTGGTCGTGTGTACGTGGCGAAATTTTTAGTTTAATCTCGTTTTAGTTTGTATTGATTTTTTTTGTTTTTACCACTTGCCTAATTTGGGAAGAGTGGGGCAAAAGAGTTTATTTTTAATATGCAATTATACGTGAGTACAATATATTTAAGTCTAATAGGGTTGACAACGGATATCTATATACAATGAGATGATTACCTCTTGATTGTATGTAACTAATTTATGGTGTTTAGTGGCGAGTGTAATGGTATACGAGTTAAGGTGAACGGTTTGTTCTTTTTTTCTGTTGTAGAAAGAGGCGTAAAGTGCAACGCCGTATCGCCATGCATTTATATTTCTAAATCATTGGTTAGTGATAGTGCCAATACAGGTCTTTCCAACTGGAGCAAATTTTCAGATCTTGGATATACATTTAACTAGTTAGACTATTTCTACTTTTATTCAATACTTTACATTATCGATGACAGTTGACTGCGTATTACGTAAAAAAGCTGCAAAAATCGTACCAAATACAGAAACACACACTTTCCCGTCCTTGGTACAACATAACACCAAACAAATCCATCTGTTTTTCCTTTTTTTTTGACTTCATTAATACAAAAAATTAGTTATTATTTCAAACTTATCGTAAAATAAGTACATTTCACGGGCAAGTCAAAACTGTAATTGGTAGCGCTGCCATCTATAAATGTAGTTTAGGAAGTAGTGTAATGAGAGCATTCTTTCACTACATAAAAACCAATGATCATATTACTATAAAAAGGAGCCACCCGAGATAAATTTAGGTCCATTTCTGTTGGTTTTCTTGTCTTTACATTTGCTGCCAATTTGGATCTACTTTCTATCTCCCACAAAGATCTTGGCAGAAGGGGAGAAAAAAAAATGAGACCAGTCAATTTACAACAGTAGACATCCATCACTTGAATCACCTCAATGAGCGAGATACTTCTCAATTACATCAAACATGTCAATCTATATATTGAAACTAGAGACAGTAAAAAGCTCCTAGGATGTTTCACCATCAATCCAGGTAAGGAAGAAGGAGAACTTCGCGCCTCATTCCCGCCACCTAATGATTTTGATTTATATTCCATTCCAGAAAAGTTTCGCCCTGTCGTCGTGAATCATTTGAAAGTAATTGCTGCGATATATAAGGATAACTCATTAGCTGCTGCTTTTGAGTACTCTAATGAATTGGTTCTTTCTCTTATTCGAGCTAGTGAATCAGCAGAATTTCTTTGGATCCAACCAGTGTTGTTAGATTGCTTCAAGGAATTGGTGCTTGTTTATACTGTCAAGGAAAGGCAGGATCCTGATGATATTGAAAGTATCCAAATGCAAGATATGGATGATGGTGGTGAGTTTGGTTCTGGAAAGAAAGTCAGCTGTTTGGAAAAATTGGCCATTACGTTTAATAAGGGATTTAAGTTGAGTTTGAATGACAAGAATCCAGATTTGGCCAAGAGTAGAAGAAACGATATATATTTCTTTATGGCTAACTTGATCAAGATTTACTTCAAGTTGGGCAAATTTGAATTGGCAAAATCTGTTCAAAAAGCAGTCAAGGGGACAAGATACCCTTTACCAGAAATGAAGAAATGTAAATCTCAAAAGAAATATTGCGTGGTTTATTTGTACTATTCTGCATTAATGGCATTGGATGATGGAGATTATGTTACCAGTGAATCAGATCTAGACCTTGCGTTATTGTTAATTCAAGATTATCAGGATTATAGCAAGAGTAAACAAGTTCAACAAATTATGATGCTTTTGTTACCATTGAAATTGTATAATCGAGGTAAATTACCAAAGAAAACATTCTGGTTGAAACATCCCGCCCTTCGAGTAATGTACAGAGATAATATCTTCCGAGCAATCTTGACGGGAGACCTTCGTAAGTTCGACCATGCCATGAAAAATTTCCGAATTGTTCTTCTCAAGAATCGATTATATGTCTTGGTTGAGTTATTACGACAATATTGTCAATTGGCTCTTATTAGAAAGACAGTGGCTATGATTAAAGAAATTAAGAATGATCACATCATTTCGTTAAGCGCATTCCAATTGGCATTTGAGTATTCGCAATACCATGAAGATAACTTCAATATCAAGTTCGATTTTGCTAAGGATCATACTTACAATACTACAATTGCGGAAATAGAATGCATATTGGCCAACTTGATCGCCAATGGGAAAATTAAAGGGTATATAAGCCATGCACAGCGTTGTATTGTTTTGTCGAAAAGCAATCCATTCCCTAAAATAGCCACCTAAAACAAAACAAAACAAAACAAACAAACAAAAGTGGGCTATGTTAAAGTGTAGTACAAAGCGCGTAGAGGTAATTATAAAGTAAATAGAAATCAATAAGTTGGTTTATGCCAATTAGAGTAAGATACAGCGTGTTTCTTTACTGTCAATTGACGTGGAGGGAAAGGAGTTTTTGTAAGCCAAAAGTTGGACATACTACTGTGAAGCACCGACGTGGTTCCAGAAACATTCGCCGCGCGTAAATTAATAACCGGCGGAACAAAAGACAAATACAACACAATGAAAAAAAAAAACTCCCTGTCAAAACAACCGGGGTAAACTATAATCGGTAATAAAACAGACAAGTGCACAAACGGGTCAAGAAAATACTCAATTTTGTATATCAAGATCGATCAAAACCAAGAGATCGCTCTTGCTCTATATTTAGAAGTAGTTACTCATTCCAAAAACTCTAGCCAAGATAAACATCAACACTGCGGAAAAATAGTCATCAGTAATTAAATAACATCGGGAAAAAGTTCTTGCTCCGGAAATATAAAAAAGGGGAATGTCACGTGGGACTCATACGTTATTTTCGAGTAAATTCGAAGGCGGTTTTCTATTTTATTTTCTTTTTGTTTAGTGTTATTTTTTTTTCTTTTTTCTGTCTCACGTAAGTTCCAGGCAAACCATCAACAGCACGCACGCACAGTGACCCACTGCAATTGTTGGCCGGATCAAAGTGAGCGCTTTTTTTTTATTAACTCTCTCTCTGTAACTTTAAGTTGTATTCGCAACATTTTGACAACACAGTCAGTACGAGCCACTAAATCTATTGTTCACATTCATTAGTAACACCGCCCAGAACATCTTCCCCCTATTCCGAAAGGTTCCCCTTAACTATAGACAAATAACACTCACTGCAGCCAACAAGCTTTTGAAAAATCCTGGAGAATAAGCTCATATTTTTCCCGCCCCTATTTTTTTGTTGTTTTACTCATACATTTTTTGGTTGCCGAATTTAAAAGTGATCTGTTTTTAATTATCCACTTATACACTTCTTATTAGTACATATGGACAATTTCAGCAATTCGCCTTCGTCGTCGTTGCCATTGTCTTCAAAACACTCGTCATTAGCGGGAGCCACGGTATACCCTCCTCCTACTTCTGCCACGTCTACTACATCAAATAGTTCGGCTGCATCAACCACAGGACCTGCTGCCACTACTACTAGAACCAGAAGCAGAGCAGGTACTTTACCTTCGTCGTTCTTGAGTGCCCCTACCATTTCCAACAAGTCATTATCTAATTCGCCTTTGAATATAACTCATGACAACTTGGCCATACCTACACTAGATAACATGTCGTTGGGAGGATTACTCTCCACCTCACCTAACCACCCTGCTCCTTCATCAGTTAATTCAAGTAGGGTAAGATCAGGCTCATTATTCTCAACTCATTCAATTTGGAATGATGATAACTTTTCCCATCCACTTGAAAACAATGGAAGTTCCAACAGTAATAATACCAATGGGAGTCATTTCCTAAGCCCCTTGTTGCCCACCGCAAATGGCACGTCTAATATGCCATCAGGAGATATCTCAACCAGAAACAGATCATATACCACTACAGCCGCTATCCCTAGCGTTTCATTTAATGCATTCGGTGATTCGATTCATTTGCCAACCATTCCCCAACAACCGCAGACACAAGTCCCACAACAGGCACAGCAACAACCCCAACTTAATAGAGCATCTAACTCTCCATTTATTACAATGAATGGGAAATCCAACGATATGAATTCGTTGTTGGACAGTTTGATGTTGAATATGAACCAATCAAATCTTCCTAGACATAGGTCACAGACTTACTCTGGTTCCACCCCAACGTTCACCGAAGCTAACTTGTACCAACAAGTACCACAACAGCAGCAGCAACAACAACAACAAGCTAATCAGAGCTTCAACTCGCAATCGGCAATGTTGCAACAACAATTCCCATCAATTTCTGAAAGTCGCGACCAACAACAACCTGTTTTGCTTGATGATATCGATTTTGCTCATTTGATTGTGACTACCAACTTTGAAAATTCCAACTTGGCACCTACTAAGTACCTTTTGATTGACAATTTACCTTTATTCATTGATTCGTTTAAATTATACAATATTTTGAATAATTCACTAGGAACTCAAAAGTCATTTGGTGGCATCCGCAGTATCAAAGTGAGTACCACTACAACATCCAAGATTTCCCTTGTAGAATGTACTAATGTTGATATCGCCATGGCCCTCAAGGCAAGTTTTAATCATTTGGAAATCGTCCCTGGAGTTATTTTATACGTTGCGTTTGCAAAACTTGAATCGGACCAACCTCAACAAAAGCCACAACCAGTTATTAACAATGTACCTGCTACTGTTCCACCTACTAGTTCCTCGGTTGCAGTTTCTGCTGCTGCTGCTGCTGCTGCTGCCACTGCTCCTGCGCCACGCAGTATTTCTCCAAGCGCTAGTCCAAGTAAGTCGGACAAAGCACCACCTACGGACATCGTTGCTATTCAAAAGAACATTCTTGATACCATTGGCAAATTAGGGTCTCATGTTGATATCAATAAGATCAAGTCATTAATCAACAAATGTATTGCTTACCCTAGTGACAATTATCAAGATAATTTCGGACCATTGCCTGATCCAATCCCAATTAGACAATTTGATTCACCTAAATTACGCGAATTAAGAAAAGTATTGGAGAACACCGAGGCATTGGGACATCATTCCAGTGGAACTAACACCCCTGTGGATGGTGATACCACAACTATGAATCAGTTAGAATTGGAGGAGTTGTGTCTTGCTATGTTGGATGAATTGCCTGAGTTGTGTTATGACTATTTAGGAAACACCATTGTTCAGAAATTGTTCACTTTAGTTGATTCTCCCTTGATTAAACTTATGATGGTTAAAGAGATTGCCCCATACTTGACCCAATTAAGTATTCACAAGAATGGGACTTGGGCCATTCAAAAAATTATTAACTTATGCCACGAAGATAAACAACAAATGTACCTTATTGGTGCCAGTTTAAAACCATATGCAATAAAGTTGTTTAATGATCAATTTGGTAATTATGTCATCCAAGGATGTATTAAATTTGGATCTCCATTTAATGATTTTGTGTTTGAAGCTATGTTGGATAGTTTTATTGAGATCAGTTTTGGGAGATTTGGAGCTAGATGTATTAGAACTATTTTGGAAAGTGCCAACGAATCAAGTTGTGTGACTAACGAACAAGTGTTGTTGGTTGCTGGTTTGATTGTGGAATATGCCAATGAATTGGTGGTTAATGCTAATGGTAGTTTATTAATCACATGGTTCTTGGATACGTTTAATGATACTGATTATAAGATTCAATTGCTTTCTGGCAAATTTTTACCTCATTTACGATCATTATGTGTTCATAAATTAGCCAATTTAACAATTTTAAAGATCTTGAATAACAGAGCTGAGAATCAAGTGCGTGAAGTTATCCTCAATGCTATTTTTGAAGAGTCTAATTTAGAATATATCCTTCTGGAAAGCTTGTCTAGTTCTGCACCAAACACGGAATATTCTGCTGGTCCAATGTTTATTTACAAGATCATAAGTAATCCAATCCTTGCCGAATATGCTAACAATCATATTGGTACAATTCGAAGACTCTTGCACGATTTACCAATTGTCAACCTTCAAAATTATAAGAAATTAATGGATGAAGTTGGTGTATCCAAGACCAACAGAATTACTAGCAATGGCAAGCCTAAGAGAAGAACTGGACGCACCGGGAAACAATATGATCAAATGTATGTCCCTATGTTACAACAACAACAAGGTTCTCATCATCATCAACAACAGCAACATTATCCACAGCAACAACAACAGCATCAACATCAACATCAGCAACAGCCACCACAACAGCAACAACAATACTATCCACCATACCAACAATTCTACCCCCAACAATATGTTAATGTTCCTCCATATTTAAAACAACAACAAATGTATAACTCCCAACAGGCAACCCAGGCACAAGTTCAAGCTCAAGCACAGGCACAAGCACAAGCACAGGCACAAGCGCAGGCTGCACAACAAGCTCAAGATATGGCCGTGATGCAACAATTGGAACAATTATCATTGAGTTCGGCGGCATTGGGGTACAATTCCAACCCAGGGACTCCTACCATGCTGAGAAACCAATACATTTAGAAAAGATATGTACATATCACCGTCATGCTTACATGAAATTTTTAAGATATTTTAGTTAGTTTGTTTTTTATGATTTAGTCAAATAATGTGTAATAGATAATTTTATTTAAGATCACAATGGTTGTAGGATTATTGGTGATACAATATAGTAGCTGATTTATGTGTAGGGAAACTTGTCAGATCTCAAGTCACGTGACTCTGAAAATTTTTTTGCCATTCCCATTCAACCTTTGAAAAAGATATCACCAATAAATTTGTATCATCTCAAGTGTTAGATCATCAGCCAACCATGTCATTCATCAATATCTGTCGTGACAATACGGATCCGTTCTACCGTTATAAGATGCCTGTTCTTGAGGCTAAGACGGAAGGTAGAGGTAACGGTATCAAGACTGCCATTCTCAATCTTGCTGAAGTTGCCCGTGCATTGAACAGACCACCTACTTATATTCTTAAATTCTTTGGGTATGAATTGGGTGCTCAAACCAACAAAGTTAGTGCTGGTGACAGCAGATTCTTAGTCAATGGTGCCCATGACGTTAACGAATTACAAGATACTCTTGATGGATTTATTAACAAGTTTGTTCTTTGTGGATCTTGTAAGAATCCAGAAACAGAAATTGTTCTCAAGGGTAAAGACACTTTAGAACGTGATTGTAAGGCCTGTGGTAAGATCACCATGATTGATCCTAAACATAAGTTGTACTCATATATCGTTAAGAACCCTCCTGAAAAGAAAGGTAAGAAGTCTGCTACTGCTACTGCTAATGTTGTTGGTGGTGGTAAATCCATTTCCGATATTGCTGCTGGACAAACTACCCAATCCCAAGAAGACGTCAGCGGTACTCAAGATGATGACGATGACTTGTTAGCCAAGAAGATTAATGCCGAAGCTGCCCAATTGCAAGCTGTTGAAGTCAAGGATGATGATTGGGCTGTGGATATGTCCGAAGAAGCTATTGCTGCCAGAGCCAGGGAATTAGAAGGTTTAACCTTAGCTGAAAACAAGTTCAATGAATTTGGTGAATGGTTATTGAAGGAAGCTCCAACCTCCAAGGATGATTTACCATCTGATGTTGAAATTTATAAAAAGATTGTCGAATTAGATATTGGAAGCAGTCACGAAACTGCCCAAGTCTTGGCTCAAGTTTTATTCGATGAAGATATAATAGAACAAATAGAACCTCATTTGGGTTTATTGTCGAAATTAATTGGTAACGAACAAGATTTCGAAAAGGCTTTCTTGGGTGGATTGGAAAGATTCATTGGTTTAGAAAAACCAATTTTGATTCCTCAAGTTCCAAAGATTTTACATGCATTTTACGATAAGGATCTCTTGAGTGAAGAAGTGTTGATTTCTTGGGGTAGCAAGGTCTCTAAGAAGTACGTTCCAAAGGATGTTTCTAAAAAGGTTAGAAAAGCTGCTAAGCCATTCATTAAATGGTTACAAGAAGCTGAAGAAGAAAGTGACGAAGAATAAATTTAGTTACATATTTAGTTTAGTATTGTATAAATACACGTTTTTTATATTTCAATTAGCTATATAAACACCTTCACCTTGGTGGAGGAGGAGGTGGTGGTGGCGGCATATTAAATTGGAAATTAGGCATATTCGGCATAGGTGGCATACCTGCTGGGGGCATAGGCATACCTGCTGGGGGCATAGGCATACCAGGCGGCATTTGCATACCTGGAGGCATTTGCATTCCCGGGGGCATCATTCCCATAGGTGGCATTCCCGGAGGTAACATACCCATTGGTGGCATACCAGGTGGAGGTGGAGGAACACCAGGACCAGCACCACCAGAGCCCTTCATAATATCAGCCATGACCTTTTGAGGGTTGAATTCTCCTCTCGTACTATCTTGCTTGTGACAATATGCTGTCCATGTAAATTCGTCAAACCCGTAATTGAAATAATCGGATATATCCACCCCTGGAGCTCGCCATGGTTTCTCCTTTAGTGTCTCCAAGTCTATTGACGTGATTGGCTTTCCTTCGTAATCGGCCACTGCATTGACGTCAATCTTGGACTCTGATTGATCTTTGGAAACAATTATTGTAGTGGCTGAATCCTTCTCGGCATCAGTATCAACTACTTCTGATATCACGTCGTTGCCGGGAACAAGACTCAGTACTTTAGGAGCAGTCTCCCCTATTATAATATCTATATCATCTTCTGAATCTTCCTCTTCTTCGTCATCGTCCTCTTCGTCATCGTCTTCTTCGTCAGCTTCCTTCTGTTCGGCAATTGGCAGTGCTTGTTTGGGCTCGGTCTCTTCTTGGTCCAATTCAGTATCCGCAGCTAGTTTCTGCTTCTTTGATATATGTCCATCTGTTTCTTCATCTGAGCCATAGAGAAAGGCATCATCGTCGTCGTCTGAATTAGCCATGATAGTGTAGCACCAATAGTATGTTTGCGAATAACTAAGCTTGATTGTATTATTAAACTGGCAACAAAATTTCCGCAGGGCAAAAATAGGTCGTGTATTGTCGAAGTTTTTTTTTTTTTACTTTGGAATATAATTGTTGCAAAATTATCAGAGAAGTGTTACATTACAGATATAGACCTTTGCTGATATTTGGCCAAAATTTAGCGTTGATCCATTTAACTAATCAACTAATTGATAGATTATATATTTGTGCCAATATCATCATATCTCAATATCTGATGATCCAGATACACCCTTATGCTACTATTTTTATGCAAGAGTGAGCTACATCTTTATAGGTATATCCACGAAGAGATTTGTATCTACCTATAGTTGCGAATTCCAATGGAAATGGAATGCCCAGGAGAATATCTTAAATTCTTTTGTAAGTATTTACCGGATAGATATTGTTTATTACCTATATTTGGAAACATTAAAGGACTTACAACGATATAAAGTAGCAATATTATGGTTTTTGTTAAAGGTAATTTTTTTTATTGCAAGTGTTGAAACACTGGTTAACTAAATAACATAAGAGTTGGGTTATTTTAATAGTCAACTGCATCATTTGCTATATGATAAATACAGGACGGATAGTGGTAGTTGAACCAACTTATTTACTCCCAATTAAGCTATTTAACTAACCAAGTCTCTTTATATTGACAACTTCTTTTCCATATCTTTCTATAAAGCAGTAGTTGTTTCCAATAATCAAATGTTTCAACTTTGGGTATCTACTGGAGTTTTCTTTCATGTATCTAATCAAATCAACATCCACCTTCCAATGAACCTCGAAGACACATTCAAATGCATCCTTGAAATAAAGTAATGGATGATATCCCCCTGTTCGAATAGCCACTATTGAAGCCTCCTGGTTCCTTAAATGTTTTTCCAATTCATGATATATAGAATCCAAATCGTGAGAGGTTTGTTTAAATGCAAACATTTCAAGTGTATTTGGCTTGAACTCACCCATTATATTCGCAAATGCAAGAATTTCTGGTGATAGATATAGATTCTTGACATTTACCAACCTAGAAAAAAACCCTTTAAGATCCCTCTCCAGAGTATCTGGTAGTTTACAGTACTTTGTTTCAAATTGAAACGTGTCTAAGCTCTCTAAGTTAAAACATTCCTCCAACCGTTGCAAACCATTAATATCATACTCACCAATTCGAATAGCCAACTCATTGATTCTCAAATCTCTAACCCCATAGTTCTCAAGTTCGGTTATTACTCTAGAGATCTTTTTACCAGAGATCTCAACACATTTTAATGCTTTCAATTTAGAAATATTACTTATGGAACCAGGGGCCATCCATTCTGCATTAAATTATAACTTCGTTACTGTGAAATTGTCTCTGTGTAACTCAAAAGGTACGGCAATGCAAATACAATTAATCCTTCTACTAAGAAGCAGTCGATTAACTATCCGGTTAAAGTTCCCATCTTTCAGTCTGAAGGAAGTTTCATTACTGTTGGAAAAGAACCTTTCTCTGATGATTTTGGTTTCAGGTTTAAATAATGATACCTTTCTAGTCGGTGAGTTAGCAGGCGGCACACTTGAATCTTCATATATATAAAGATCTTTAACTAAATTCAAATGGGGTGAATTACACAATTTATTGAAATTAGTTCTGGTGTTGATAATTGAACGGCTTAGATAGAATGGTAGGTGAATATTATCAATGACCAATATCCGGACTTTACAAAAACGAACATGCACTGAACGATAGAGCTTAGTTGTTGCCAAATTTGAAATTCTTTTGTTCAACAATCGCAACCTGGTAATTTGAATCTGATTTAGATGATCAAATACAAGATTGATAAGTTCATCTGGTAATGATAACATCCTATGGTATGAAGTGCTCTTTGTTCGTGCAGGGAACATTTGATTCACAGTTGTACCACTAGTGTTAGATGCAAATTAATGCAAAGAATTTGATATGCCTCGTTTGTTCCTTGGCACGTTACTTCATTCTAGCCAGTTTTTAATCGATACTGAGAAATCACTCCTTCAGATTACAGTAACAAAATCTAAACCAATAACTTTTTTTTATTATTACTATACAAAATACATTTTAAAATAAAGTAAACACACTTAAATAAGCATTGAACCGTTACCGTTCATGGGGATCTGCTTGGGTTTGACCAAGTCAGCAGCTTGCATCATAATATTAACCCATGGTTGACGACGGAATCTGTTTCTATAAACAATCTGTTCCAAAATTCTCACCCAATCTCTCTTTTGTTCTTTATTAGGAGCTCCAAAATCAATAATTTCACCGTCAGCAAATCTTATCTTGAATGCATGTTCAAGAAGCAACACGTCACTAAAGTTTCTGTAGTTGGAAGATGATGAACCTGGATTTATATTTTCCTTGTCCACGTATATAACATCAACAATTTTGGATAAGTTAATTTTGGCTCTTGTCTTGTGATTATATTCACTGTGAGCAATCAACGACGCTCCTCGTAACTTAAAGAATCTTCGTTTCCATACAGGACAGTCTCCACCTTCTTGATGTAAGTAACCTTCATAATAAGTATCTAATTCACGACACAATTCGTTGACACTTTCATATGCTGATCTAATACTAGTTGGTAAAATTTCATGAGCATCTGAACGAGGAACAAACAACATCTTAACTTCAAGTTGGGCAATCTTATAGGCTGGACGACGACTGTTATCTTCAGAGGTCTCCCATTCGTTAAAACAGTTGAGATCAAAGTTAAGAGCTTGACCAGTTACCTTATCTTCAAATTGTGCTAAATCAATGTAACATCTGGCGAATGATCCATCATTAGCAAATTTATTTCCCCAACTATTTGCTGCTTGTTTAGGAACAAATTTGGTAGTGGTTATAATATCCTTCTGTCCTAATAATCTGCTAAGTCTATTCTTTGGTTTGACTGTCTTTCGTTCAGTAACTTCAACTAATGTATCTTTTGGTTTATCATAGGTTGCTTTCATTGTTAAAATAAACTCTAAGGAATCACCCACTGTTAATTCAAACTCTTTACCAATTGGAACCTTGCGTGAATTTAAATCGTAATCAGGAGTTCTGATACAATGAACACCATTATCCAATGTTATTGAAAACTTGGCATTTTTATGAACACTCAAATCAGGCAATTCGATATTCTTAATTCCAATTACCCGGAAGAACAACTTGCCACGTTCCATGAATTCCTCGTCTGGTAATTCATCATCAACAATCTCAGGAGAAGGTAACTCTCGGGAGCCCAATGTATGAACAGAAGTCATTCTTGATTTATATGGAGCTTTTGGTTCAATACTTGCTGCTGCCTCCTTTTCAATTTCTCTAGAAACTCGGTCTCTCAATTTACTATTGACAATTTCATCACCAGTAAATTCTGGCATATGAGTCTTCAAATGATCAACTTCAATTCCAGTTACCATTCCATCTCTCTTGACTAATTTTATAGGAGATCCTCCAATCTTAATAGGGGTCTTCTTTGGCTTTGGTTCTGGAGTTTCATCTCTCTTTGGACGGAATGGATTATATGAACTTTGTGGTGGAGCTTGAGGAGAAACATCGATATCAAATTCACTAGATATTGGTGAGGCCAAATCTTGTTGTGGAGTATGTTCCAACGATAATCTTGGGAAATCAATGTTGGGCAGAATTGCCAGTATTGGTTGAGGCAAAACATGAATCTCTTGTTCATTATCTTTAAATAACTTATCGTCAGCCAATAGAGCTTGTGGAGATTTCTTCAACTCGTCAGCTAAATAAGGCAATACACTAGTAGACAGTTCCAGATTTGTTCCAATCCTCCCACTAGATTCCTGAGTGGAGTTATGGTCATGATATGAAGCTTGTTGCAGGACATCCTCAACGTGTAAATCGGGTTCATCGACAACTGAATTCTTCTTTAATCTACCTGGACCTGCTAATTTCACTCTGGCATAATCATCTTGAGTTATTATTTTCTTGGCATTCAATATCCTCTTCACGTCATCTTTATCCATACTTGGTAATGTCTTCATACCATCAGCTCTGATGGTTGGCTTTTTGGGCGTAACATCTTCAAAAAGTTCATTATATTGATAATGAGGAGCTAATGCAGAAGTAGATCTCTTGATTTCAAATGTCGGCACTCTAAACCTTGATTTGGCCAGGATTTGAGGTGTAGAACGGACCAGTGGTGGTGGCTGTGGAGGATAACCATGAGGTGGGATCAGGTCTCGATTTCTTAACTTCACAGAAGCAGCTAATATTTTCGCAGTTGAAATTGAATTATCAGGTTGAGGAGGCTCAATGACATGAGGGTCATTGTCCATATTTGCAAGTACATCCCTGGTACTTAAGCTTTGATTACTTTTCTTTCTAGCCATAATGGCTGAAGCTTGGAGCTTAAGATCGTCAAACCCAGAATCTTCCGATATTTCAGGTAAGAAACCAGACACATGTAAATCTTCGAAATCAGGGTTAACTATTTTTCTTGACATAACATGAACTTCTTTAAATTTTTTGGTTTGTAAAGAACTTGGAATTTTGCAATGGTTACTACTGCTAAATTCTGGCATCGCCATCTTGTAATCAGAAGCATTCAGGGTGGTCTTGGATAATTTCAAACTACCATGTTTCTTTTCCTTTTCATGCTTGCGCCAAATAGATATAAAATCAATACTAGGAGATTTTCTTTCCACATCATGTTCTGCTGACAATAAATCTTCATAGCTCTTTGACATTGAATCCATATTCTTTGTTATTTCCTCAAAGGAAGAATAGTTTGTTGGTTCCACAACAGGTAATGTAATTTCTTCAGGAGGAGCAACATTGGATGAGTTAGCCAAAACATTCTCAGATGAAGTGTCGGCCTGATCTGTCTTTTCAGCTGACGCATTAGTTACATCAACGGCTTCATCAAATCTCGGAGGTGCTAATGTATGAGGGGCTAATATATCGGAAGCATCTTGGAACGATTCTGATGATGAATTACCAGCTTCGTCCTTGTCAATTTTCAAAACATCTGAATGTGTTGTATCATCCATCTGGGTGGCATCGTTATCTTCTCTGTCTCCATCATTGCTATCCTCTAGTTTCCAATCACTATCCATATGGAATTTTATTGACATCTTTGTCGAATTTTCTGAAGTAATAGAGTCCTGGGTCTGTTCACCATCATCAATATTTGGCTTCTGTTCACGTAACTGATCAACTTCTTCTTGGGGAGTAAGATCTGTGTGCATAGAAACGTGAACACTAGGAATCTCAGATTTAACTGGAACTTCACCATTCTCTTTCTTTACAATTTCTTCGTGAACATTTACTTCTTCACTTGGTTCAGCTTTGATAGAATGATCTGATTCAATTTCTGGTTCAAACTCCAGTTTAACTTCTTTTTCATCGTGAGCTTGTTCCTTCTCATCAACAATGGTTTCTTCACTGTTTGCTTCATTAGACAAATGGTCCAAATCGTACGATTTAGAAGTACTATTCAATAAATTCAAAATAGATTGTTCAGTATGGTTATAAGATTTATCAAATGAATCATTAAACTCTTCATGTATACCAAAAGAAGGAGATCTAACAATTAGTTCTTTGGTATTGTCTGGAATCAATGATTCGACTAGATCATCCGACAATCCTTTTATTCCATCATTCAATTGAATACCACTGTTTCGTTTACCTCGTTCTTTTTTCATCTGTAATTTACGATTGTCGTCTCTCAATGAAGTCAATGAAGATTGTGAAGATCCTGAATGTAATTGAACATCAGGAGATTTTAAGGAATCCATAGGATTTTCAATTACTTTTTGAGGAGTTTGGATTGAAAAGGATAAATCTTGAATATTATCATTAGTCTTGGAATGTGCTGCTTGGTCCAATTCATGTAAATGAGTATCCATTTCTTGATAAGGTTTTCCTGTGTTTGATTCTGTGGAAAGATACAAGTCCAATTTCTCATTTAATGATAAATTGCTGAAGTTTCCATGTTTCAACTTCAAACCAGTCAATTCTGAATGCTCAGGAATTGGTTCATCTTCATCATCATTTGCATTGGCATTGCTGTTTACAAGATCATTGAAAGTGGAAGAAGTGTGTGGTGGGGGTGGGGGTGGGGGAGTATTTGTAAGATCATTTTCCTCCGAGGTGTTTGAATGTTGTAATTCACTCCATTCAGAGTTTACTGGTTCAGTCTCAATTTGATCGTTCAGGGTATCGTGTTCACTATGGGAAGTTTCTGTGCTTACTTCTGTGTATTGATGAATTTCAGGAGTGTCGTTTGTAAAAGCAACTGCCTTCTTCGGAGAAGACAAATCTTGATTGCTAGAGTTCTTTTTCATAATAGATTTACTTGAAGGAGTGATTGGTTCTTGATATTGCAGTTTTTCGTGCTGTGTTTTCTCATCTAATAAGTTCGTTGTTGATGTCATGGGAGTTTGGAATGAAAATTCGTCCAATTCGGGTTTCCCTATAGTCTTTTGTACTTCACTTGAATCGTCCAAACTGAAATTACGATCAAAGGAAGTGTTTGGTACTTTATTATTGTTTGCTTGTTCATCGGCGTCGTCACTGGCACAAGTGTCTGATCCAGAGGCTGGGGATTCTTTTGGTTCTATTATTGGTTTACTGATTGATCTTGGGAAATTAAGCGGTTTTGTAGGAGAATTAAATATCGAAGACGCGTCATGACTGTCTACCAATTGAGCAGGATCTAAATTCATTTCTTTCAATAACATGTCAACAGAGTCTACATTAGATTGAAATGTTAGTAATTTCGCTTTAGTACTTGGTTGAAGATTGAAAAAATACGTACCATTCTCATGCTTAAACAAGTCTTGGTTACTTGGGGAAGGAGATACATTATCCACCAAACTTTGATTTTCTTCTGGGAGTCCCAATGTGGCCATAATTGGTGTTGCTGTTTTCTATTCGCCCTGATGTTCAGTAATGTATGTTTATGCCTGTTTGTGAATTGATAATGTTGTCTATGCAAACTAATATATATCTAGGTTGTCAAAGTAATCAATGAATATCTCTGTATGAAACCAACTGATACTTTTTCAATTACAAATTGAGGATTGTTTAAAAGTTGTCAATTAACGCGAGTATGACTTATACTAGTTACTCAAGTAAAAAAAAATAAAAAGAAGGTCACTTGTTTCTTGGAATTGGAGTTTTCGAAGGGCGGCAGCTAAAAAAGAGAATGACTTTGATTTGTTTTGGTTTTGGGCAGTGGTTTGTTTACACTTTACTCAAAGCGATCAGAGAAAAAAAAATTTTTTTACGATTGCTGCAAATGAAATTTGCCCCAATTTGGCAAACAAAATACATACAGCAGAAAACTTAGACACTGTTGTTACAGTTACGCGAATTACTTGAGTAAACGACGATTACATGGGTATTACGATTCTACTAGTAATGTCTAACTTACTAAGTTACTAATTGGGACATTCTGCATGATATACACTCATATGAATGAAAAGGCCACGACGCGCAAGAAAAATGGAATAATTGTAAGGGCAACATATGCCAAAAAGAAAAAGAATTTGTCTAAAAACGTCAAATCTAATTGTACCTCAAGATTTCTTGTGTTTTAGAAGTTTTTGGAAATGGGATTATCATAAGCATCTGATTGTGCTTACTGTATGGGAACCGATCAAGGTGGAGTAAATTTGTAAATAAATCGTGTCACGTTTGAGAAAATAGAACACACTAATTTTAAGTTTAGTAAGTGGCTGGCAGAACAATCAACCATCGTATCTATTGCAGTGGAATTACAAACCAATGTTGACGTGATTATTTTTTATTTTTACTTTTGCCAATACTATGGGGGTTGTTTTGAGCCAAGAAGTTTCCCAACAAAGCCGAATTAAACTATAAAATGTGTTTGTTGTTTCCTGTTTGTAAGTTCGTATATATGCAGCTGGGCAAGCATTACAGCGATCGCTCATGCTCAAGAAAACAGTTTAAGCGCATACATTTTTGTCTTTGCCAAGAGTGTTTCGTTTATTTTTTTTGGTACGGCCCCGCGTAATTTTTTTGTTTTTATTTTTTTTTTGCAGTGTGGTAGTCAGCACTACGTGAGGAGAACACTATATAGAAAGTTTATTCGCAGCCCCGCATATCGGAACAGCCATACTTCTTCGGTTAACCAAGTTCTCCTATTTCCATTCTCTCAAGAGGTGTCTGCAAATCGGCTACCCCCCCCCCCCCCCCATATAGCATACTTCTATCAGATACTCGTAAATAGATTGAAATGTTATCGATTACTGTAAAATATCAATATTTACTTTTTAATTTTTGTCTTATGTCTCAATCCGAATTTAGAAATTATAAGGTTATTTTATGCGAATTGGATTTACCAAGAAATTTTTTTATTTTGATTCATACGTACGGTTAAGTATGCTTTTTCAATATCCAAACCTTAATCATACGATAAAATATGTGCACTGTATAAATATATACTACTAGAATCACATAAAAAGTGTAAAGTTTTAAAAAAAATTTTAACTTCTTTTTCATAGCCTGTTTAAAACTCCGTAGAATATCTAGATAGTATTCAGGATGCAATTGAAACCATTTCTCCTTTTGTTAGCATACGCAATAGTTGATGTTTTCGCAGCTGACGATACTAAAACCACAACAACAAGTAAATCTGACCCATGTTCGTTTAGTACTACAATAATTGAACCTACTGGAATTCAAGAATTAAACACATGTGCTACTTTAAAGGGTGAAATAACCATTAGTGGCAATGCCATAGGTCCAATTGATTTGCCAAGTGTTCGAGAATTAGCCGGTCTGTTGACGATTGTTAATTCCCCTTCGGTTGTGTCAGTCTCGCTTAATCTGTTACAAAACATTACTGGAAAGTTCCAAATTAAGAATGCTACCCAATTGAATTCGATTGACGTGATTTCATTGGAAAGAGTCAAGGATTTGCAGTTCATTTCCTTACCTTCATTATCCAACTTTAATTTTAATCCTTCGATTAAGGCTGTAGAAAAGATTGTGTTATCCGATACGGCTCTTTATGATTTAAGCGGATTGACCCATTTTACTGAAATCAACTATATGAATCTTAACAATAACAAAAACATTACTGAGATTGAATTCCCTAACTTGAAGACTGTCACTGACAATTTGATTCTTTCATTCAATCATGATGATGCTAAAGTGAAAATGGACAAGTTAATTTGGGCTGCAAATTTGACTATTCAAGATGTTGCAAAGTTTTCGGCTGTCAATTTAACTGCTGTCAATGGTACTTTGGGATTCAGTTATAACGCAATTGAAGAATTGAAATTGGATAAGTTGGAATCTGTGGGTGAATCATTGCAAATTTTTGCCAATGATGATTTAGATAACCTTTCTTTAAAGAAGTTGTCCGAAATTGGTGGCGAATTCAAAATGTTTAACAACACTGAATTGGACAATATGACTAGTTCATTTCCTGAACTTAAGAGAGTCAGAGGTGCTCTTTCAATTACTGGAGATTTTAAAGATTTACAAATGCCCAAGTTAGATCGAGTGCAAGGTGATTTTAAGATGACTTCTAAAAACGAAGATTTCAGTTGTAAGCATTTTGATGATTTAAAAGATAGGGGAAGAATTGAAGGCCATAATTACGAATGTACTCCTGGAAAGAAGGAAAAGTTGGGTAAGCAAGGCGACGATGACGACGATGACGACGATGATAGAGACAGTGGCTCTAAAAAGACAAGCAGTAAGAAGAATGGTGGTAACAATGTGTTAGTTCCAATGAATTTCTTAACCAGTGTGTTTGCATTCCTTATTGCAAATTTTGTTTAAGATTGAAATTATGAGTTTAATTCTATAATAGCTTGTTTGTTTTAAAAATATCTTACGTTTTTTGATATTTTTTTTGGTAAAGTTTCGTAAATAAAAAACAAGAACCTATCAATTTACTACGAGTCTTCTCTATTGTTTTAAAAAATAGTAAACTAAATTTAATTAGATTATTGCAAGACTTATTCTTGTAAGTCGTCATTAATTCAACACATCATTGATAAACAGCTGCAAAAACTCAAACTCACACAACAAAGGATAAATCCAAAAAAGGCTCGTGTAAAACAAAAGCTGTTCCTGGAAATTAAAAAAAAAAAATAATCACGTCCCGTTTCGGCTAAATTGTAGGTGTAATTCTCAAACCAAGATTTTTCTAAATATAGAAATACCATGCTGTGCGCCTATTATCACCATAATGAAATATGCAGTAACTTGAAACTGCATTCAGATCAATGTGTCTTGTATTATTGGATGATTTAGCCACTAAAAAAATCCCACTAAATCACAATTATGAAATGGTAAGTGTAGGACAAAATATTTTTTTGTAACTTTTGTGTTGTTATGATTTTCCAGAAGGGGCAATTCTGAAACAAGAGACCGGTAAGAATCAATAAGAGGTCTATTAATCGAAGGAGGCTGAATCTATATTAAATTATCACACAAGAAAATTATGTAACTTGACACATTGCTTAAGTAATGTTCTAGTTTGTAGAAATGTGACCTTGTCCTGCGTCCTGGTCCCTCTTTCGTTTCCGCGGTTCCAAGAGATTAAGAATTTCTTAACCGCAGTTCCGCGATCCCCCAGACTACCATCAGGTGAATTAAGCAAAAATAAAACTACACAGACGCAAAATCGAATGTGTACTTTACGTCAGTGAAGTTTGCTCTCGCTCTATCCGGAAGCTAAACACGGGTTAACACCGAGACAAACAAATATCTCCTCCCCCTCCTAAAAAAAAAGGAGATACGTGATTTAATGAAAATGGAAACTAAAAAGCAACTTTGTGGTAAATCGTGCAATTTGTTACGCCTAATTCTCGTTTCAAACTGGTTGTAGCTAATGGTACAAATTCAAAATTCATACGGTTAAAAATAGAAGCAGGCACTGGGGCCCAGGCCAAAAAAAGAAAAAAAAATTTTTGGCACTAAATCAACACACAGCAAAACATGGCAGTTTCTTTTTTTTTTTAGAATTTCTGTCTTTGTTTCCAACACATTTTTATTTGCAACTAACCGGAAATAACTCAACGAATCTAAACTTAGTCTGAGAGTATATATAATATCGGGGAATTCCTAAATCATATTGTGGTTTTTGTTTTTTTTTAATATATCCCCATTAAGTTTATATTTTTTTGCCGTTTCATATCAAAGAAAACTTTAACTGTATCGTTAGATCAATTCACCAAATACGCGTACACAAACCAACCATATCTATATAGACAACACTCGAATAAGTTATAATGACTGTACCATCTCAAAACCATATAATAGAATCATTTAAAACCGCCGGTCAAGACCAGTTGTTTGAATTTTACGATAGCTTGACTATTGACCAGCAACAAGAATATATTAAACAACTTTCCAAGATTGAAAATCCTTCGGAATTGGTCAACACTGTTGAATCAGCTATTAAATTTTCTTCATCAAACTCAAGTTCAAGAAATTTCACTCAATTGCCTCCTCAACAAACTGCATCTGTTTCTGATCTTGAAGCCGAATTGAAGGAAAAATGGTCCGATTTAGGTTATCAAGCTATCGCCAATGGTGAAGTTGGTGTATTGTTGATGTCTGGTGGTCAAGGAACACGTTTGGGATCCTCCAATCCAAAAGGTTGTTTTGATATCAAATTACCTAGTTCCAAATCATTATTTCAAATCCAAGCTGAAAAGATTTTAAAGATTCAACAAGTTACTAAGGAAAAGTTACAGTTATCTCAAACCCCAAAGATTTATTGGTACATCATGACCAGTGACGCTACTAGAAAGTCCATTGAAGCATTTTTCAAGTCCAATAACAATTTTGGATTATTGGTTGATCAAATTGCATTCTTCGATCAAGGTACTTTACCATGTTTCAATTTGGATGGTTCCAAGATTTTATTGGAATCTCCAAACAAGTATTGTGAATCTCCAGATGGAAATGGTGGGTTATACAAGGCCCTTCAAATAAATGGTACTTTAGATGATATAATTGCCAAGGGAATCAAGCACATCCACATGTATTGTGTTGACAACTGTTTGGTTAAAGTTGCTGATCCAATTTTCATTGGATTTGCCATTGACAAAGAGTTTGATTTAGCTACCAAAGTAGTAAGAAAGAGAGATGCCAATGAAAGCGTCGGTTTAATTGTTTTGGATGACGATATCAAGAAACCATGTGTTATTGAATATAGTGAAATTTCTTCAGAATTGGCCAACAAGACTGAACCAAATGATCCAAGCAAATTATTCTTGCGTGCTGCCAATATTGTCAACCATTACTATTCTGTTGATTTCTTAAAGAAGATGGTTCCTCAATGGACTTCTTCTCAAGAATTCTTGCCATTCCATATCGCCAAGAAGAAAATTGCCAGCATTAATCCTGAAACCAAGGAATTTTACAAGCCAACCGAACCAAACGGTATCAAATTGGAACAATTTATCTTTGATGTTTTCCCATCGGTTGAATTGCAAAAGTTTGGATGTATGGAAGTTGAAAGAATTGATGAGTTTTCTCCATTAAAAAATGCCGATGGGGCCAAGAATGATACTCCAACCACTTGTAGACAAGATTATCTTGCCCGTGGTACTAGGTGGGTCAAGGAAAATGGAGGTTTGATTGAAAATGGTGCATTCGTTGAAGTTGATACTTTGACTAGTTATGGCGGTGAAGGTTTGGAATTCGTTAAGGGCAAGCAATACAAAAATGGGGACGTTATCTAAACCTGTTGAGCAATAGAGATAATTTTATATTTATAACCTAATAAAACAGAAATAATAGAGCTAATTCAAACTAGCAAGATAAGAAATTTAACCTTTCAGCAACTCCTCAATTCTGAACTGTTCATATAATTTTTGAACAGTTATATCCTTTAACTCTTGTAAATGGGACCCGAAGAGTATATTTTTAACTAATTTGAAGTCACATAAAGTTTCATCTTCTATATTAATGGTGCCAGCTTTATTGGTTCGGGTTAATTTACCGGTACCAACTGTATTTGACCCAATGATTGCAAAAGGAATCGATTTTTGCAATTTTGAAAGATATTCATATTCTGTCGATTCCAATTCCGGAATTATTTTTGCTTCATCATCACCTTCCAAGAAGTTGAAAATCTTAATTTTGTGTTCCGTGATATCTTTAATGACCACTTCTTTGACCTTGTATAGTTCAGAAAAAGTTAATCCATCCGACTTGGCAATAACAGGTATCAAGTTGACTCTTTCACCAATAGTCTTCATCATACATATGTCAAATGTAGATAATCTAGTATTATGTTAGTATATGATATTGCTATAGCTAATTATGTCATACGTACCCTTTAATAGCTGCATGAATGAAATATAAGGCAACGTGAATTCTAGTATCATCGATATTGGGATTTCTATTAACCTTTAATTCTTCATCAAGTACAGTTCGATATTGCTTTTCAATGAATTCCTTTATCTCATCAGGGGTATTGTTTCTCTTTAAGCTGAACCCACAATTATGGGTAAGAAACACTCTTAATTTGATAGGAATGCAACCTTCTGGAGAATATTCTATTTGTGTTAGTAACTTTAGTTGCAACATCACATGGGGTGGAGGGGTGTAAAAACTTACCAAATAAATCTGTATTAATTGAGAAATCAGATTTAGATCCAGCTTGGCTATTAGATTGCCACTTGTCAAGGTTGTAGCATTCTCGATCGCATAACGAATTGATGAATGTTTTCTTGCCTAAATCATTTTCGCCAGCAATGAGAATATTGAAATTAATACCTCGTTTGGCTTGTTTCCTAAGTCTAATTTGTTCTGGAGTCGTCTGCCGAGTCTGTTAGTATTATATTCCGATGGATTATCACGTTGATTGTACTTACTGTGCTCCCTGCGGTTAATGTTCTTGTCATTGATGGAAATAAAGAAATGGTTTTTGCAACAATGTTACGCCACAAAAAAAAAAAATAGCGCTTTAAATCAAATCAGAAAAATCAAGCAGAAATTCAGGTTATACATTGTAAGGACCAATTGAATTTTCCATTCATTACTATATAAATTACTTATGCTATAAGTTTATTCATTTGTTCAACAGCATAATCCAAGATATACGTTTGTTCAATCATATCATCAATTCTTGAATAATGTCTTTCGTTATAAGGAACTATAGAATCCATGATTTTCATCAATCCAGGAATATCAACCAACTTTTCCATGGCTATATTATTCAATATAACGGCTAATAACTTCTGACTCAATTCGAAAAACTTGAAGTTAATATTCCAATCTCTGACCTTTTTGAAAAGCTTAATCAATTGATCATCATTTAATTCAACAATCGTTTCTTCTAATTGCTTAGAACCAATTGGTGATTCAGGATCTTCGTTAGTTTCAATACTTGCCTTGATGACATTATAAAGACGCATAGAATGGTCTAGAGTTAATGCTAAAAGGAAGGCATTGGCCCAATCCTTGTTCTTGATAAAGTTAGACAAGTTTTGTTCTTGTTCGATTCTTTCTTTGTTCTGTTGTTCTTTCAAAAGCAATTCTTCTTCGGTGTTATCAACCCACTCAGTTAATTTCCCATCGGCATCAGCACTGATAAAATCTTGACCATCTTCTTTCACATCAAGAGCCCAGATTCTATTGTCATGATTATCCAAAGATTTAATGACTTCTCCACTCTTGTAATCCCAAAGCTTGATTAATCCATCGGCACCTGCTGATAATAATTGTGGGGAATCAGAATTAAAGAACTTGACTCTTTGAATGGAGTTAGTATGACCTTCAAATGTCTTTTTACAACTGAAATCAACCAAAGACCATACCTTGACGGTTTTATCACCACTTGCAGTAGCAATCAACTTATCAAACTTATAGAAATTGATATCCCATAACCCACGTTTGTGTCCTTTTAATATACCGATAGTTTCTCCAGAATCAGTGTTCCATACTTTTGCCAATTTATCATAGGATGCAGTAGCAAAGAATTCATCATTAGGAGAGATATCAATAGAATTTATATCCTTATCATGAGCTCTTCTAGTATATTCGGAAACTTTGACTGTCGAATTAGGAGCAGATGGTATTTTCCATTTTTTGATTGTCAAATCACTGGAACCGGTAAGAATAAATTTAGGGACTTCAATGTTACCGCCAGATTTGGAAATGGATATGGCAGTAACGGCTCCAGCATGACCTTGGAATCTTGCAAATGATTCAAATTCTTCCTCTTCGTCGTTCCATCTCCATAATCTTGCTTCATTGTCCTTAGAGGCAGTAGCTATCCACTTACCATCATCAGAAACGTCAATGGCATTCAATAAATCAGTGTGTCCCTCGTATAATTTCAATTCCAATGGTTTTGAAGGATCAATGACTCTAAGAGCCGGAGAATTGGTAGCTAATGCGACAAGGTTGAATTCAGGTCCAACATATCTTATGTCCGCTATAATACCGTGGTTACCTGCAATACGTTTAACTATTGGGAATTCCAAATGATCTTCTTTGGAAGTGATTGTTTCTTCTTGTAAACTAACTTCAATAATTGTTTGATCACTAACAACCAAATATAATGAAGTATCATCTAACTTAATAACATCGATGATTAATAACTCTTCACTAGTCTTTAATGGAGTAGTTGATTTTGCAACTAATTCTCCAGTCTTGATATCCCATATTCTTAAAATATTTTCTGAACCAGCGGTGTAAAAGTATTGTCTGTTATTATGTTGTAATCTGACAAACCCAGCACTTTCTATCTGTTCATTAATAGGATGGGTGAATAAAGGTCTGAAATTCTTGGTGTTATAAATGATAGCAACATTATCTCTTCCAGCACTAATAAAATATTCTCCTTCGTCATCGAATCCTAGACCTCTCACAGCTGTATTATGTTCCTTGATTGTGTACTTACATTTTCTCTTGACCAAATCCCAAATCTTGACAGTACCCATAGTATCACCACTGGCCAACTTCCAATCAGTGGAATTCAATTCTCCATAGAAATTCAAGGAACAAATGGTAGTACCGTGACCCTTTAATGAATGTGTAACATAACCATTTTGAATATCCCATACAGTGATAACCCCATCGGAACCACCAAATGCAAATAAACTCGAAGTGAAATCAGCAGTGGAAATGTATACTGGCGAAGGCAATTTAAAAGTCTTGGTCACGGTTCCTAAAGTCACATCGAAAATTCTTAACTGTTGAGATTGTGATAATATAGCCAAGTTCTTTCCGTCTGGTGTAATGACTACATTGGTGATTAACTCTCCATCACCTTCTATTTTATGTATTATTTCATTAGTGTATAAATTGGTAATAATGACATCTTCATTTAATGGAGTAGCCAAAAATTGACCATCGGAAGATATGGTACAACTGATGCCTCCCACATAGAATGGTTCTATGTTATTATGCTGTTTATATGTGGTTTTTAACGAAGCCATGGTTGGATAGTTGTACTTGTAGATGGTATTAATTTTTCATTTTAGATTCTCTAAAAAAATTTGGTAATGAGCATCTCACCGACCGGAAGTCGCATTTAATACCTTTGTCACGTGATGTTAAAGTACTTCCGGGAACAAACCATAATCTCACCCAAGTCAATATTGAAACAATCTTGATCGCCGACATGATAAGAAGATTGTTGATAAGACTGAAAGAAGTATCTAGAGAGTATCCTAGTCATTTGTTATGTGCTATTGTTTTAAATACGTAGGTATCTGTCATATTAAAGTCATGTTCCAGGTTGAAATTGGCCATAACACCAGCTATTTAGCCTTTTGATTCCATTTGAATTATATAGCACATACCTTTATTTGCAGTTATTTAGTGTGCTACTTGGTTGCAGAATGTTGCTATTTGGTTGTGTGTGTTGCAAACTGATGACTATCTTAGGGGGGGAGATGATTTCCTGAGCAATTGTCTAGCCTGTGTCATTTTCATGCTTTCTTTCCTATTTCAAATGGTGTCCAAACGCTTACAATAACCCAATTGGTATTACTTACTTTATACGGAGTATCATCAGAACAGATTGTACCACCCGTATTTATTTATCAGCAAGCAAAACAGTTTTGGTTGCCTTTTTTTAAGTTGTATAGTTGCGCTACCAATTTTGCCAATTAAGCAACGAGTTAAAAACGAACGAAAAAAAAACCACACTGCTCCGCAAAGCAATAAAAAAAATCTTATTCAAAATCAACAATCTTTACCACACCATAAATAATTCAAACACGCACAATGTTATCTATATCACGTCACTTGGCAAGATCTACTGTCCGCTCATATTCTACTGTTGCTGCCACTAGCACTCCTAAGAAAGTTGGTGCTTTCAGAGGTGGATTTGTTGGTTTTTTACTTGGTGTAACTGCCACTGGGGTTGTATCATACTATTATTTATTAGACCAATATAAATTAGCCAACACCGTTATAGTTGCTGATATTGTTTCCTTACAAAATTCAATTTCAAGTTTGGAAAAACATATTAAAAATTTAGAAGAAAAGAAATAAAGACATACAAGTGACTAAAAGTGTATGATTTAAATATATATATATATACAGGCACAATACAAATAATTGTTCTATAAACATGAGTTTATTCTTTTATGATGCACTTTGAAGGAGTTGGGCCACATCAGTTAAAAACCATTGGAATTCCTCCTTTGACAATTCTCCTTCTCCCATGACAATTTCTGTTCTCCGTCCTCCAAATTCACCTCCTTCCACAATGGCAAGGGTAATTATTCGATCTCTGAAAAGGAATGGGATTTCTGTACGATGGGTCACATTCACGAAATCGTATCTTACCTTCTCTCCATTAATATTTATGTCAATGGAGGGTTTACACAGTAACTTTTTGTCTCCTTTGAATTTCAAGTTAGATTCTTCCAAGTAACGAGGAAGGTCAGGTTGATTTTTAAACCTCCGAGAACTACTACTGATTTCTTCATCGGATACTTCTTGTTCGGAACTTTCATGATCAATCTTCAACAAATCGCCGGCAATAACTTTCGATAATTGAACGTCACATGCGGCTTTAGGGAATGGAATGGCAATATTTTTGACTGCCTCGGCTGTATACACAAGCATAGTTTCTGGATTGGGTACCCCAAAAGTATTTATATCTGCTTGTATTTCAACCGGAGGGTAGTCCAAGTATTCCTTAACAGATTTGGTAGATCCTTCCAGTGTGTGAAATAACGAAGGCGCAAATCTGATTTGGACCTTGGTAGTGTATGGGATATCCACAGATTCTGCAGCAGAAGGTAATGAAGTGATTATGTCACTGATATAAGGTATTCCATTGCTGACAAATTTGAATTCGCTTTCTGCAGTAACTGTTTCGAACTTGGGGAATAATTCATCGGACTTCTCAGACTTTAAAAGGATGTTACCGAATTGGGCCGTGATTGCTTTGCTCAAAATTGCATCCCCAGGAACGCCCTTTAATCGAGCAGCATAACTAGTGTCATTGAGTTGTTCATAAAGGTTATCAACAGCCGAGTCACTGAAGTAATCGGATAATTCAACCGTTAATGGTTCTTCATCGAATTCAAACCCATCCTCTTTGCTAGATTCTTCTGTCATATCTGTAGTTAAAAGCTCATCTTCGGATGATAACAGTACATGTTCTTTTGTTACAAGTTGATCTGTCTCTTCCTTTGATTGAGATAACTCATCATTGAGCGAAAGCTTCTCAAACTCATCCATGCCAAAATTGTCAGTTTCTTCCTTGAACAAACTTGAAATTCCAGAAAGCTCCTTCAATGCTTTTTCTTCCATTGCTTTTCTTTCCAATGCCTTCTGGTCAACTAATTCATTCAACACATTTGATTCTACTATAGGGTCTCTCATCTTCAGCAATTTGGATACCAAAAGTGGATTAGTTGGTGTTTTGAAATCTTTCATTTGTTGATAAAAAGAATTAGTTGATTTTTCCACCCATGCTAAACTTTCATCATTGCTTACTGGAATAAACTTGTGGTTAAAAAGCTCGTGCTTATTGTAGATTTCGTTGACAATGTGTGGGTTAAAGTCCAAAGCCCAAATCAAGAGCTGTTTGGCTAAATCTATCGAACCCATATATTCAGCATGGATAATGTATTTTCCGTCTTCAATATGCTGGAAATAGACATGGAGTGTTTCTTGAACATACTTGAATAGAAGAGCTGCTCTTCCTGCTTTGTTAAACTGTTCAGCAAGATGTGACAAGTCGATCTCTTTACGCTCAAACCCAGAAATTGTATTTTTGATTCTATGCTCTGCAATATCCAAGCTTGTTTGAGTTCCACTCATGTGTAAAGCCCCGTTCTTCATTTCCACGCTGACACCCAATGCCTTCAATTCTGAAAATAATGATGATCTTTCTGGATGGAGCAAGTATTGCTGTGGTTTGGTAACAGGGACGGTTTTCCTTTCAAATACATCTGTTACTAATTGTCCTTCGGTTTTGGTTAGTTTCCAGATATCCAAAAGTATCGTGTCAATGTAATCCTCTTTTATAACCACTCTCTTTCCCTTTACTTTTCTATATACAACATGGTGGAATTCTGGCTTCTTTTTCATTTCATCGACGTATTCTTTAAGTTGACGTTTTGTGAATGCTTTACTTAGTCCTTTTGAAATGTTTTCGTATTTCAGACTCCCCACGGTATTCTCGACGGGAAGATAGTACTCTATATTAGTTTGAAGGTCTGATGGCGCTATGCTTGTCTTGTCGCTGCTACCTATAGTATCAGCGGTAGTGGGTACAGCTTTCTCACTTTTAAGAACAGACAATAAGGTTGGATTAATTCCCCATGAGCTTTTTGCGGGGGTACTTTTCGTGGGAGATTCTTCAACATCACCGTGTCTTTTCCGCTTATTTTTCTTCTTTTGATAAATTTCTCCTGAAGTTAAAAAGATTCGTTTAGTTCGATCAACCTTAAGCATAGAGGAAGTATCCTTAAGTTCGGGCTCACTAAAATCGGGTATTTTCATCTGAGATACGACACTGGTACCGCTGATGCCCCGTATTAGCGTCCTTATATGAGATTCGCATTTCTTAGAACATCTAATCAACATAATTTTCTTGATACCATATATAGAATTGACGGTTGGTTGCAGATCCTGCTCATCACAATCCATCTTTTCAATTGTGCTCAAAACTTTTTGCACATTTTTCTGTTGAAGGGTGCGGCTTAATGCATGGTCACGTGAACTAAACACCGCTACCAGATTGTTGGAATTCAAAGTTGACTAATTCACAAACATACACACAAATATCGCGTGTAGTCATATGGTTCGTATATGCCTATATAAAAGATAATTCTCATTTGGAACTAAATCAAAACACGAAACAAAGTTTCCAACCGAAATAATCCGACACGGGTTGTACTTTCCGTCCCTTTGTAAAACAAAGAAGATCAGCTCTTTTGTATCGGCTAAAGTACATAATTTATGAGTTACTCCAGGTTTCCCTGATGTCATACATAAGCGAAGATCCCCTTTGGAAACTACAATAACAACGGTAAATAAATTGTTTCATGATTGATTTTCGCCTTGTGGAACGGGAATGTGCACCCGAAAAGTCTTGGCTGATAAGCAGTTTTAAAGTTTAGAAGAAACCTTCGGAATGCGATATGAAGCTACATTGGAATCATAACTCTTACATTCGTCTTTAGTTATGGCATCTCCAAAAAAAAAAAGATTGTACCCTACGGCATTTACATTAGGCAGTTTAAAAGAAAGCACATGCGCTCGGTATAAGGCGGCTGCCCCCCGAATTTTAATTGTCTCGGTGTAGACTACCTTTAGGCAAGTGAGGACATTTTCGCATTTCATTTCCCCAAGAAAAAAAGTGCGGGTGGCATCCTACACCAAACGGTTTTTCGCATTTGAGGGGCAGACAAAAAAAAAAATTTTATGTCGCTTCTGTTTTCCTAATTTTCAAAACAGTGGTCACACCAAATTTTTCCTTCGGGATTCTTTTTTTGGAGCGGAAACTCCGTCGCTTCTGATAACCAAAATTTTTATGCAATCTACACTAAAATATTTGGTGCCATTTACAATGATTATAATCATTACTTTTTGAGATAGTGAGGCATCAAGTGGTCTGTTTCGGATTATAAATAATGACAATATCCTACCCTTCATCTTTTGCCCCAGATTTTCTCTTTCTTCTTTAGGTTATCAAATGTCTCTCTCTTTATATTCTAATGCTGCACTCCGCAGATCAGCCGTTGCTGCTTTACGCACTGCACCAGCTTTGCGCTCGTCATACATACCACTCCGTCATTTCAATATCCACCCTAACAAGAGGGCCACTACCACTATGACCAACACAACCACCAATGTTCCATTGCATACCAAACCAGAAGAACGTAGTTTTGAGCATCTCAGTGTATTTACTAACAAGGAACTTCTTTCTTTCTTAATTATGGGATTGTGTACTTTGAATAAACCTATCCTTAACACCTGCATAAAACTATTCCCATATGTCCCACTTTCCATTGTCAAGGCATTGGTTTATCGTATCTACTGTGGAGGTGAAACCATCGAAGAAGTCAAGACAACCGGGATGAGATTGCACGAACGTGGAATCAATAATATGATGATTAGTTTGACCATTGAAGCTTGTGATGGTAATGACAATGTTGATCCAGAATACATTGTTGATGAAACTTGCAGATCCGTCAAGGAAATACTTGTTCCTCACATGGAAAGCATGCTTGCCAAAGCTTCTGATGTCAACTCCATTCCACCAGGTTATGTTGCCTTAAAACCAACTGGTTTTGCCAAAGATTCAGCCAGAGTTTTGCGTGAATACAACACCACTTCTGCTGCTGAATTTGAAGGATTGGTGGAAAAAGCCACCAAGGTGTGTCAAGCCGTTTACGATGCTAATATCGCCTTGCAAAAGAAGTACCCAGCTAGAGTTGCGCCATTCACTGTAGCCGTTGTTGATGCTGAAAAGCACGAATTACAAGAAGGTGTTTATGAATTACAACGTCGTTTATACTCCAAATTCAACAAGATGAATGAACCTATTTCTGTGGTTGGTACTTTGCAAATGTACTTGTCTGAATCCTCATCCTTGTTAGCCAAGGAAGAGCAATTGGCTGTTAAGAACAATTACAGGGTTGGTTTGAAATTAGTTCGTGGTGCTTACATCCACTCCGAAAAGAACAGAGCTACCATTATCCATCAAACTAAAGAAGACACTGATTTCAACTACAACCAAGGAATTGCATACTGTATTGATTCAATCTTGCATGATAAGGGTAACGAATCCACCATTGGTCACTTGGTGGTTGCTTCTCACAATGCCGAATCCTTGCATTTGGCTAGTAGTGAAGTTTACAATGAATCCACCAAAGACAATAACAACAAAACTAACGTTGTCTTGGGGCAATTAATGGGTATGTCTGATTCTGTGACTTTTGATTTGATTAACAGACACCAAATTGGTAATGTCATCAAATATGTTCCATGGGGTCCTCCTTTGGAAACTAAGGAATACTTGAGAAGAAGATTAGAAGAAAACGGTGATGCTGTTTCTAATGACAATGGATTTAAATTAGTCAAGTCCACTTCTTCGGAATTATTAAGAAGAATTATGGGTAGATCATGATTGAAGATATTTATATAGAATATGTAACGATATAACGCGGTTTAGAAATATAAAAGTTTATGTAAAAGTGTCTGTAGTCTATATATCTATTGTGTATGTCGGTGATTTCCAAATGATTCCTCCAATGACGCACTGAACCAACCATTCCCAATCAACGACTTTTACTTTCTTTGATTCTTTCTGTTTTTTGATATTTCTTGAAGCCATGTTTGACAATACCTTGTTTATGGTGTTTCCATCGTCATACACTATGATATCACCTCCCAACAGCTTGAACAACTTCTGTATTTGTCCCAGCTTAGAGCAGTACTGTAACGATCTAGCTCCAAACGAATGGAATATCAATTTACTAGTTTCCAACGAATTAGCATTAACGTTAATGGTCAAGATAATTACATCGATGCCATGCAACAAGTTATTGTTGAGACTTAGCTGTTCATTCAACATGGCCCCACATTCGTAATTCTTTCTGAACTTGAATACATCGTAACTCTTTACTGCATTCAACCGTTTCGATTGACCCGAAGGTAACAAATAACCCGGCCACGCTTCAAGGGTAGAGCTATCGTTTATACAATCGTCAATATAAACATCTGAAAGAATGGGCCATCCTAAAGCCAATGCTTGGAGGTACTTGGCACTACGACAATAACTGTTTGAAATTAATGCCCCGAAGGATAACCCGGCAAGGTAATCCGATTGCAATACTAGCGAATCTCCAACTGTGCTATACTGAAATATTTCATTGAGCTCCCGATCAATCAATGTTCCATCATTATTTTCAATCATTTGCTTGATTTCATTCTTGCGATCGCCAACTATCCCTGTGATACAAAATAACCTACCAGAAAATAAACTAGTCCTTTCATGGGTCGAGCGACGTAATGGCGATGCTTTACTGCTTACTTGGCTTATAAATGGTATGAACTTGTTTGTTTTTGTCGGAGTCAACGGGACTGTATCACTCAACAAATCGTGGCTTTCTATAATGAGTTGATAGTTCAGTTCATGTAGGGCCCAATCGTCAACTTCCATGAAACACTCAGATAATGATACTCTGAACTCGTGGTCTTTTGGTTTGGAGGGGAACTTGCACAAGTAAACAACATTGTATCCTCGAATGCATTGGATAAATGATGACGATTCCGAACAACCTAATCCAGTGACCACGTATTTGTGAGCAGAGTTCCTGATATTCAACGTGTCACCAATTCTGATATCCAATAGTTTCAAATCAGTATTCTTGATTCGGTAAATCCCATCCCGGAAGTCGACATTCAGATACTCAATATCCTTGTTTACCACCGTGCCACTATATATTTTCAAGTTGTTATATGTAGCCCAAACACTGTTGTGGTTTACAATGTCATCTTGCGTTAACACATTCAGAGTCTCAACTCGCAAGACTTTCGTATCATTACTTTCGTCAAAAGTAGTTTCGTCCATGGTAGGTTGGGAGTCTATGATGTTACGTATCCTTCGTTTACCAGGAATTGGCTCATCTACATCGTCGATATCTTCCAGTTCTGAAGACCCGTCTTCAAATGGAATGTTAAATTGAGGAGAAGAAGGCGGATGTATCCTTGTCGGTTCTTCATCGGGAATAGTTGTTTCCTCTACCTCTTCATCATCGGGTATGGTGGTATTTTCTCGATCTGTTTCCTTGGTAGGACTGCTCGTACGCTTAACTAGTTGCACTGGGGGCGATGATTGACTCGTTAGTGTGCTGGGGCTGGCTAGCACAATTGGTTCACTCTTCATTCGTAAATCAACTGGAGTTTTCATTTCGGGAATTTCCATAGTGGTTTGATTTCGTTTTAATCTTTTGATGGGACTTCCTGGCTGTGACATCTTACGTTTGAGTCTTGTGGCTAGCAAACTGTCCTCGAACTGCTTGTTCTCGGACTCTTGTTCATCATCACTTTGTACTTCAAGTGTGTCGTTGTTCCCCTGGCTTGTAGTAGTTATATCTGCCTGTTCTTGGGTGTTGAGCACTTGTGTATGGGATATGAATTCGGGTGGAGGAACAAGAAGTTGAGGGGAACTGGTCATAGTCTGTTTCTCTGGTGAGCTTGTAGATATGTTTCCGTTTTGGTTAATTGGTTGTGTTTCTTGGTTTCCTGAACTAAACTGAAAAGATTCTAGTTTGATTTTCTGGGTTTGATCTATAAGTTGGGTTTGTGCTTGGGTAAAGGCTTGAGTGTCTCCGTCTATTTGTTGAATAAAATTGTTGTCTATTCTCTGCGTATAATTGTCTATTTGTTGTGTAAAATCGTTGTCTATCCTCTGCGTGTAATCGTCTATTCGTTGTGTTTGGTCGTTGTTTATAATTTGAGTGTCTTGTAGTTGATAATCACGTCGTACTTGGTCGTGACTGGCTCCCGATGACGGGGTTTCCGTCTCATATGAAGCAATCACGGGTGATTCACTAATTTCTGGTAGATTTGGGACATGCCGTACGCGTGTTTTCTGATCACTTGAAGAAGGTGAGTCTATAACTTGGGTATCACCTATAAATTGTGACTTGGGTGATTCTATATGTTCTTGCTCAATCACTTGGGTGTCCTGTAGATAGCTCAACGGTATACTCCCATTTTCTTTCTTTGACGGAGTGGAGAATATATCTTCATTGAATATTTCACATTGCGTTTGATCTAGCTCAGTTATGTCTGGGTGTATTTGAGATTGGTCGTTTCCAAACACCAAACTTGAATTGTAGTCTTCCCGGATCTTTAGCGAAGATATATTAACCTGATGGGTTTCCTCATCTTGCTGGGTTGGATTGGAGGCAGTGTTCATCCGGTTTACCTTCATTACCAGTGTTGTAACATTTTGCTATGAATCTTCTATAAATCATTTTTTATTTTTTTTTTTTTTTGGCTATGATAAGAGAGGGTTCTACAGAATATGGAAACTTTTCAACTTTAACTATTAAACTGCACACTGCAAACTACCTATTAGGACATTTCTAGATTAACTCGGTACTATTACAGAATACTATACAAATATTATATACATAAAATCATCAAACATAAGTTGAGTTATTGCTTCCTCCAAGTTGACTCATGATCGCTTCGAATGAGAGTCCTTCGTTGTAACTACTGGTGGAAGTAACATTGTCAGCAGCAAGAGCTCCAGTCAGAGGTCGATAATCTCGTTTCACGACAAAAGCAGCAAATAACCCAATTCTCATATCCCTCTTGTGGCTTTTTACATATGATGGCATATTATCGTCCCTGAAATCAATAGGCATGATATACGCATCTTTGACAAACCATGGCTTACCTGATAATACACCAACCTTATCCTCAAGTAACAAATACTGATACAACTTATTGAATTGGTCTTCTTGGAGAGGGGCATGTTTAATCTCGACAAATATCAAGTCTCGGGAGCTTGTAATTTTGTTTAAATATCCATCGGCAACTTTTCGATCTAGTCTTCCTTGAACATGGTAAATTTTTTGATCTAAAATATCATGACATATAGCTTGACCTTTGGCATGGTTGATGGAATAATTGGTGCAAGTATGGAATTCTCCAATTGCTTCAAACTGAGTGAAATCAGGAAACTCGATGGTACCTTCCCAAACTTTCGGATTAACAATCTCAACTGGTTTTATGGGTTTTCCACCTGTTAATATTGGGAATAGAGCATCCTCGTCCGGGTGCTCTACTTGTTCCAAATCGCTTGATTCAGAAGATTTCGTTTCGGGAGACAAATTTTGTTTTTCAGATGTTGCTTCAGTCTTGACTGTATTTTCTTCTACTTTTTCTTGCTTCTTCTCCTCCTCCTCTTCGTCGTCATCGTCATCATCATCAGAATCTTCTATACGAGGGTTGAGATTATTATAAGTACTTTGTTCTATACTACTAGCAGTTATACTTGGTTTCCTTACATCAGGAGTACCCTCTTCTTCACTAGAGAAAATCCTATGATCAACCTTCTTGGTAGTTATACTTGCATCAATCCAATCAACTCTATCGTTGTCATTCTCATTTTCTTTAACAATGTCACCTTTATGGGTTCGTCTGATAATTTCATTGGTGTCATTTTCATGCAAGATAATGTTTTTAATGTTTTCTTTATTTTGAGCTTCAATTTTCTCGATATTCTGGTTGATTTCTTTAGGAGTCTTCTTGACAATATCTTCAAAAGTAATGGTGCCCAGTAAAATATCCTTCATGAAATACTTCTTGAGTAAGAACAAGATTCTTCTACCTTCTGAAGTATACAATTTCCCTTGGAATTCTCGGAATATGATATCCTCGATCTCTAACGCCCATTCAGTAGCCTTGAGCTCTTTTGCTTCAGTTGAACTTTGATCTTCAGGTGGGAAGCTTCTTTTGAAAAAGTTGAAAAATGCCTTGGCGGTGCTTAATCTGGTATCATCCTTTAAACTATCAAGGGTGACAACTGGTTTGGTATCTAGTTTAGGTTCTTCTTCCTCGGTGCTAGTTTTCTTCTCGGGGGTTTGTGATTTTGCCGACCTTCTTTTAAGTTTTTCTTTGTCGTATAACTCAGGACTGCATTGATCGCAGGTGTAATTTTCTGGAATACGCTTGTTTCTGGTAAATCCCATACACTTTGCGTGTTGCCACGTGTTACACTTGTCACATTGGATAAAAGTACCACCTTGATCGTTTTCTTCGTCATAGTTATCTTGATTTGTTCCACAGGGGCGACAATCAACCACCCCTTCGTCTTCTTGTTTATACTCCTTGTCATCCTCGTGTACACCTTCTTGAATCTTTTGTTTCTTCACACGGTGCTTATCAAGCAAATCAAGATCATCCCCGATGATCTCGTCTGTGAATCTCTTGCTGTGTTTACCCTTGGTACTTCGCGAGGAACGTCTTTGTGCTGTCATGGCTGGCTAGTTTTCTTTTCGTGTGACCACTTAGAGTTTTTTGTATACAAAAGGGGGTCTGTCGCAAAGGAAGGGGGAGCAAAGAAATTAAATAATATAGAAAGTATTGGATAAAATGAATATAGATTAAGGTCTATTTATTTAGAGATATTTCTCAGTTTGATTTGGTGATATTGCTGTGTGTTGTTGAACTGATAGCTTGGGACAACCAGCTTGTAATTTCTTTGCCGTCAAAAAATTTTTTCCTTGATAGAGAAAAAAAAAAAGAACGGAATTTAACGCGAGGCAGATTTTTTTTTCTTTCCATGGGGCTGACTATATCAGGTGACTACGCTGGCAGCCTTTCTTCATTACGTATAGATCAGATACATAGAGACGCCCCAATTATCCGTAAGGATAAAACTATTATAATATCTCACCAAAAATGATTGTCTTTCTATTCAATAACTGAAATCTTTTCACTTCTGAATATACATTCGACATTTTTGGGCAACAATAATTGTTGAAAATGGTTAGAAGTAGTTGGCCACACAATTGACTTGGGCAATTTGCTCGTTGAAAGATCAAAGACTTTCAAATTGGGAGGTACATAATCTATATCCACCTTTTTGATCTTACACTCTCGCATCTCGAATCTGAGTAGCCTAAAGTTGTAGTTTCGGTTAAATAACGGGAACTTCAGAGTCAACTTTTTAATTGGATTACAATTTACTCTTAATTGGAGAAGGTTAGGAGGAAGTATCCAACCGTCTAAACTCTTGATCGAGTTCGAAGAAAGATCTAATTTGTATAAATTCTTGAGTTGACTCCAATCACTGTACGATAATACATCCTTAATCTCATTATGTATCAATCTCAAGGAAGTTAGTGATGGAGGAAATAGGAAATGTGACAAATTGCCGAAGTAACAGCAATGTAATGCCAACCCTGTCAAATTACTCGGGAATTCTCCCACTTGTCTCTTGGACAACTTCCACGGTACTTCTGCCGCAACTAATGTTTGTAAATCCCCGGGTAGTCTCTTCAAAGTTTGAAGGTGCTGAATTGGATTACCAGAAATATCCAAGAATTTCAATATTGGTGGCCACCCAATGGTTTCAACAAGTTCTTTCACGGCATCATCATCAAATTCATTATCTGCCAACAGTAAATACTCGAGACTTCCCGGCCATGACTTCCCCAGGATCGTATATATTTCATTCTTTGCTAAACTTAGATATTTCAAGCCAACAGGCAACTCGTCAACTACGATGGATTCCAATCCAGCGTTTACTAAGTAAAGACGACACAAGTTCTCGGGTACCTTAGCCTGAAAAAATAAATAATCTAAGATGTAACAATTAGACAAGATAATAGTATTAACACCTTCAGGAATTTTCACCGCGAAAACCTCAGAGGTCCTAAATGTTGACATGCTAAGAGATTCCAACTTATCAGGAAACCTAACCTTCAGCCAATCACTCACATTGAGATATGAAATTTCAATGCTAGCGAGATTAGGATGGTTACTAAATCTCGGATTATTATTCAACTCCAGTTGTATCATTCTCAAATCCATTCGTGACAAAAGAAGTCTCTTTAAATTATCCAATGATAATAAATACTTGAAATCCTCGATTGTAATCTTGCAACCTACAAGTACAACGTGTATTTCGCCAATTTTGTGAAATATATCATGATACTTACGTAAAATCTCCATTACATCTTTGAAATCGCTACCACTATGTATCAAATCTACTGTGTTAGGGGTAACGTCAGGGAAATTATCCATAAATTGGTAAATTGCAGTCGATCCTTGAACTAAGACATTTTTATAACCACAGCTGGTGCATTTAATTCCATTATATGATGGAGTTATTTCAAGGTGTAGTCTATGGTAGTAATAATTACGACTAAACCCTTTGATTTTGCTATCAGGAAAATGTATAAGGAAATCAGCTAGATATTCTGGAGTAAGAAAACCAAAAATGGATGTAATAATAAGATCAGGAAATTGGGGAAAGTAGGTTGTTAGAAACTTTACTAGGTATTCGTCACTGTCAGTCATCTTTAATCAATTATATACTTGTTTCTTTGTAAATGGTCCAAAGATAATTTTTTGCATCTGGCTCTCGCTTAACAAAATGAAAACAACTTTTGTGGCCAAGCCTTAAATTGCCCAATCGGGAAACTTGCGTGCAACGTTATTCGGAAGGGTATATTTAAATACAAGTTATTTCGGATGTAGTTTTTATAGCATCAACACATCATCGCTCGTTTCCTACATATTCTATTGAGAAGTAAGTTCAACATTGCATCGAAACTCACAATCTTTTGGTTAAAAGTCAAAGCTCTAGCCATTGAACGTTTTTGTTAAATATTCGTTTAGTCAGAATTATATGCAGCGTCTATATATACAGAAGAAAATATTGTACATTTTGCAATAATTTTGCAGCTATAAGTAGCAGGAATTTATCTCGGACTTGTTGAAACTTTTGCTTGATCTTATCCTACTACACCCAATAAAATGACAGGTGTTACAATTTAATGTTATAGCTGAGTGCTTCATTATTCCTCTCCAACCCAAATATCAGCATAATAATCAAACAAATTCTGTTCCCATTCTTTATACTCAATCAATGAGCCTTGGATCCTATTAACCTTTCCCATAGTAGATAATCCCCCGACTATATCGTATGCACACCATGTATACCCTCGACAATATTTATGTTGATCCCAGCCTCTCATTGGCTCGCCTAGCACATTGACATGAATTGATCCATCATATGGTGGGATTATAGCATTACGAATCCTCAATGGGGACAGATAGTGTTTTTTGAATGAGTCTTCATCCTGAGGAAGGAATTTCAACCCGGTATTAAAGGTTATTTCCTTGGAATAATCTACTATATCTGCATAATGACAATTTGCAAATCCCGAATTGATCCATAGTAAAGTATGACCATCTTCATCACTGATATGCCCGGGGTGAGAAGAACATAATTCTTGAGAACGTAGTGGCTTATCATCCGGACCTAGTCTTTCCTGGGGATCCGTTAAGTTCCCTACAGATGCAGCTCCGAGGGTATTGACATAATAATTTTCGTCACCATTGAATGCAAATCCAAGAAAGAATAATTCTTTGTCTCCGTACACTTTACTGGATATTGGTGAGAAGAAATTAATCTGCAGAATAACAAGCATGGAATTGAAATGAATGTTTCTATTAAGAACAACTAACCCGGCCTCGATGTAATGATACAATTTATCGAAGAATGGTCTTGATATACTATAATCCGTCATTATTGGTATATCAAACATGATTGAATCAATCGTAGCTGGTCCTAACCTTTTAAGAAACTCGCAATCATCCAGTTTCCGGAAGGCGGATGTACGGTCCCGAAACATTAATGCTCCAGTTTCTTGATATTTCTTTATATTGAAAAAGTATTCTGGTGATTGCAACATGACTGTATCATCATCAATGAGAATAAACTCTTCAAAAGAATTGAATATGGTAGCCAAGAATTTATTTCCAAAATATTTGAATTTGTCTCTATAGTGGCGATCAATGGCATTGGCAACACTAACAAACCATATCTCCTGCTTGGGCAATCCTCCGGGCCCCAAATAGTCAGAACCAAGATGCTTAGCTACTTTATCGTATGATTTAGGTAACGTTATGAAATCAGATTGGGCAGCAGTTACTAGTTTCTGTTTTGTATCGAATGATAATGGTTCAAAGTTGACAATTTGAATGGGAAGGGTGTTTTTGAGGGCCCGTAATAAGTGAATAAGATTAACCACGGTATCTACATGCGAATCTGGCATGGTTAAGACTAATCCCTTACCATTACATTTGTTTTTGAATTCACTAAGGAACGACGAATAGGTCTTGGAAGTTGATCTTTTTCCCCAGTATCCCTGGCCTGTTTTGAGAGTAGGTGGGTCAAAAAACGTTGCTCCTGACCAATGTTCATATAATGGGTATTCAAAGGATAACCAAGGGTACACTCTATGTTCAAATGCATTTAATCCTACTGATTTAAAATCAGTCATCCTTTCTCGTTTGGTCTCTACAAATGCAGGAGCTTCAAGTATTTGTGTTTTCTGTCTATTCACAAAGCTTTTGGTGGCCTCTATTTGGGTTCTGTTGTCATTAGTAACATAGCATTTGTTAAAGATTCTCAACGTTGAAAGATACTCCACTATAGTCTGTACATGATCATTCTCTTTTGCTTTGTTGTATTTTTCTCTAATGAAGTTGGCTAACTCTTTAACATCTCTTCCACCTCGGTTAGCATAAAATTCTTGTTTGAATTCATCGTAGTGTTTATGTCTAAATTCCAAAAATTCCTCAAAGTTGTAGTCTATGTTAAACTGTGTATCAGGATCTAATTTCCAGTTTTGGTCAGCCACATATAAATTGCGAAAGTACAAATCACACCTTTGATTGAAATCAAGGTTGGATAGCACACTGCTTATTTCATGATTCTTGAATATCTGGTCGTATACCAGAGAATGTAACTCAGTTTCTAGGTTAGACAGATCTTGCAAATCTGCCTGTAATAATTTTATTATGGGATCTTCTTTGAATGAGGGTAACTCTAGCTTATTTTCAGGAACCGCTTGTTCCCAGTCGTTGCTTGTAGAGGAGAAATTCACAGAATGTGTTTGACTCGGGAGGAATTGTATTACGCTTATCCAAGTTAGTGCAGATATAAACCAAGTTATTACCACAAGATAAAAGAACAACCTTGTATTACTCTTGCTATGTCTTGTCATACCACTACCCATATTCTATAGAGCTGATAAAAAAAAAGAAAGATACATGTATTCTTCAAATTTTTAAATTGTCAAAAGCTGGAGATGTTTGGGGTGTGTTGCAGTGAACGATCTAAATTTTTTGTGTACTGTTTCCAATTTAACTATAGATGCAAAAAAAGCCTCTTTGAACGTGGGTTTTTTACCCAGATTGGAAGGACCCCAGATCTACTACGGTCCAAAAACAGTGGCTATGCATATAGTTGCTTTACACAAGGCTTGGTAACATCTCTTGTGCCGTTATGACGTACCTTACTATTGTTGGTGAAAACTTTTTCTATTGTTGAGATTATGTAAGATTTTGTTTTGAGTGGGAATCACGGGTACTGCATGGATGTTAATGGTTGCTTTGACACACATAAGGTTATCCAGTTCATCCATGACGTATTTGCTATATTCATTCTGAAGTAAATCCTCGACCAACGGCAGCAACTAGATCGGTACTGTGCCTGATTGTTATGGGGTACACGTTCCATTCAAGTATGTGGTAATTCAAGCCTTTGTGTGGGGGGCTTTAAATTATGCTCCGCCTTTATTGTTTGTTCTAAAAAAATTTATTCTATTTATACTGCTTATTCTAACGCTAAATATGTGTCAGCATAATACTTGAATAATGCCGTTTCGTGTTCTTCAAATGTAATTACCTTTCCTTCCAAATAGTTACTGCTGCCATCTTTCTTTTTTCCACCAATACTGGAGAATGAACACCACATATACTTGTGGCAGTATTTAGTTGACTGCCAACCTCTCAGCGGTTCATCTTCAATATTATGATGCCAGCCTCCATCATATGCAGCAATAATAGCATGTTTTATAATTAAAGGACTAGTGAAAAATTCCTTAAATGCCTCAACTGTTTGTGGGACAAATTTGAATTTGGTGCCAACCTTTGATTCCATTTCGTAATCGACTCCACTTGAATGGTGGCAAACCGATAGTCCCGAGTTAATCCACAATAATGTATGTTCATCTTCATCACTTATATGGGCCGGGTGGGCCGAACAAAGTTCTAAGGAATAATGTTCTTCCCCATTTTTCCGAAGTCTATCTTTAGGATCAGTTATTACCCCCGCGGCTGCAGCTGCCATTCCGTTAATATGATATTTTTCATCTCCATTTAATGCCATACCTAACCAAAATAGCTCTTTATCTCCGTAGACTTTTTTTCTAATCTGGTCAAAGAAATAGGTTTGAAGAGTGACTAAGATTGAATCAAAATGAAGTTTTCGATTCATCATGACTAGTCCAGCTTCAATATAATATGTCGTTCCTTTGAAAAACTCTCGATCAAGAGTGTATTCAGTTATTATGGGAATATCAAACATAGCTGCATCTACAAGTGATGGTCCCAATTTTTTGAAAAATGTTCGCTTACCTGAACTACCTGTAGTTCTATCACGATACATCACGGCCCCTTTTTCTTGATATGATTTTAGATTAAAGAAAAACTCGGGCAGTTTTAACATTGCAGCATCATCATCAACAAGCATGAATTCCTCAAATGAATTGAAAAACGCAGCCAAGAATTTATTTCCAAATCGAGTGAATTTGTCTCGATAATTCTTGTTGATGGCATTATGAACACTTACAAACCAGACCTCTTGTTTAGGTAATCCACCTTCATTATGATTGAAATAATCATCACCAAGATATTCCGCTACTTTTTGATATGACATGGGTAAGGTTTCAATATCATCACGAGCTGCAGCCACAATTTGCTTTTTATTTTCAAGAGCCAAATCTTCAAAATTGACAATTTGAATTGGTAGTCTGTTTTTAAGGGCACGTAACAATCTAATCATGCTTACAACACCGTGTGTGTGATGATCTGGTAAAGTTAACACTATACCTCTACCGTTGAGTCTATTTTTGAACTGTTTTATGAAATTTGACGAACTTTTGGATGTAGATTTGCTTTTGTATGCTTGTGGATTGAGAGATTGTGCATCAGGGGGTTCATGAACCATAGCACCAGTCCAATGTTCATAAACAGGGTATTCGAAAGTCATCCATGGATACACTCTGTGTTCAAAAGCAGAAGGTTCGATATGTTTTGCCACAGACAATTTCTCTGGGTCGGTATGTTCAAATGGATATCGATCTGACTCTCTATCAAGAATCTGTCTTTGATAATCTATGAATGAATTTACTTTGGATATTTGATCTGGATCTTCATTTGTGACAAAACATTTGTTGAATACTCTGACTGTGGTAAAATATTCCACTAGTTTTTGAGGAAATTCGTCGTCTTCTTCACTTTTGAATCCATTAAATTTATCCTTAATGAAATCTTCCAATTTCTTATCATATTGATTTGGCTCTTTTGGTTTATCTTTTTTTCTATCAAACTCTGCTTTAAAGTTTTCGTAATTTTTCTGTCTATATTCTCGAAATTGTGCTGATTTGTGATCAGGTTTCATCTGTTGATGGGGGTCGAGGAACCAGTTATTATTCTTGACATATAAATTGTTAAAGTATAATTGACATCGTTGATCGAAATCAAGATTTGCAAACACCGATTCCATCTCGTGATTGGCGAAGATTTGGTCGTAAATTGACGCATGAAGATCTACTTCTCTAGTGTCCATCTCAATCATTTCCTGTTGTAACAATTGAATTGCGGGTTCTTCAACAAGATTGTTGGTTTCTATTAGTGCCAGGTCAATCAGTAATTGAGTGCTATCAGCATCATCAGCATCATGCGATTTGAGGTAGATTGACTCTAGTTCTTCATAAGCCATCTCTCCATGATAAGAAAAATAATAATACAAAAAGAATAGTATTGACAACGTGCTCATGGCATAAAACAGGGTTGCTCTCCCCCTCAGATGCCCCAAACGTAGGGATGTCATGGCTATGTATATTTGTATAGGAAAAGAACAGTAGAAGGAATGCAAGAGAAACAGGAAGAGGATTAGTATGCCAATTTGTACAAGTCATGGGCTACATCTTTAATTATATACGTAATTTAAAGCCAAAATATTTTTATTACAGGAAAATTCTATTAAAAAATTATTGGCACGGATGATCTATCTAACCGGGCAGGCGTGTTTTTATTATTATTATTCTTATTTTTATTTTTAGTTTTATTTTCTTTCTTTTTTTGTTTTAAACTTTTGTTTTACCGCTCTGCCTTGTAAGTAAATTTAGCAGTCGCATTACCATAGCAACGTTCTCTAGACAAAATAATAAGCCAATGTAGAAAGATTCCACAAGCAAGATAGCAGCCACGTGCTAGGAAATTATTTCATTTATGAATGATCCATTTCTGTATGATTAATTACGAAATCTAGTTCTGGAATTCCGTAATGATAGTGGGGGTGAATCATGTCACGGCTAAATGATGTGGTGGTGTCACCCAGACTTTTTTTTTCTTTTCACATGACTATACATGCGCTAGAAAATTATTTCAAGGTTACTCTTGGTACGAAAAATAATCCAAACTCTATGCATCTCCATGTATGAACACGACTGTTAAGAAATATTTAAATTTCTTAAATGTCTAAGAAATTTGATAGCTTACGTGTATTAAATTGTCCTTTCGGGAATCGATAAAAGTAGAGTGTGTTAAGGTATCATGATAGTACAAAATTCCGTGGCATGTAGTTTTCTTGATATATATATCACATTTAACAAATGCCATGAATTAATTTTCTATATTCATCGCAATTCTTGGATCGTGTTATCAGCTTATGACGAGAAGAACTAGACGATACAATTTCTGATAGGTTGGAAGTATCTGTCATGTTTTAATATAATTTTCTATGCATTTCAAAGAACGTGGTAATGGTTATGAACTCATACATTACGAAAAAGTTTCTGTATTGAAGTTTATAATTAATAGTTTAAATTTTATTTAGGGATGACGTGTGGTCTCGAACAGTCCCTCGGATAGCATGCATAACTGTATGGAATATTCTCTTTTAGCTATGTTATAACAATAGGTTTAAGTCATTTCAAATCATCGGTTATATATGCTAGTTTTGAATGTCCCTACCTAGCCTTGCATCATTCCAGTAAAATGTATAAGCGCTATACATTGCTCTTACTTAAAGCAATTTAAGTAAAAACAAAAAATGATAAAAGAATACACGGGGGGGGGTAGGGCTACTCTACTCCTGTCCAAATATCACCATAATAGGTAAACAAATCTCGTTCCTGTTTCGAAAAAGTAATGATTTTACCCTCTATCGTATTATCGTCTCCCGAGTTGGTACGACCACCGACGCTAGAATATGCACACCATAAATACCCAGAACAATAGCTGCTCATCCTATACCAACCTTTTCCTGGCTCATCTTGATTGTTTTTCCTTGCGGTAAAATCTTCAGTAACTGGAGGAATGATTGCGTGGGAAATACGAACAGGGTCATAATAAAACGCTTTCAATGCATCACCAGCATGAAAATTCTTAAACCGTTGCTGTTTCTTAATCTCGTTGTCAAAGTCAACGGTGTCTGCTTTATTGCAAAATCTGAATCCTGAATTGAACCAAAGTAACGTTCTACCATCTTCACTAATATGACCAGGATGAGAAGAACAGATTTCTTTGGAATGGTGTGGGGTTCCATTAGGTCGTTGTCGGTCGTCTATTCCCGTTAGTTCACCAACAGCAGCTGCAAAGTAATCATTAAAAACATATTCCTCATCTCCATTAATGGCAAACCCCAACCAAAACATCTCTTTGTCGCCCCATAGCTTTGAACTTGCTGGTTTTAAAAGGTTTATTTGAGCCATCATTAATATCGAGCTAAAGTGTCTGTCTCGGTTTAACACAACCAATCCTGATTCCATGTAGTGACGTAATCCACGAAAGAATTCTCTTTGAGTAGTATATTTGGTCATCGTGGGGATGTCAAATACAATTGAGTCAACCAAGGACGGACCCAATGTTTTAAAGAAAGTCCCGTCTTCAATCGGTCTGGTTGCGGGACATGTTCTATCTTTATAAAAATATGCTCCAGTTCTTTGATATCCTTCTAATTGGAAAAAGAATTCTGGGTTTTCTAAAAATACTGTATCATCATCAATTAACAAAAATTCATTAAATGAGTTGAAAATCGTGGCTAATAACTTATTCGAGTAGGATTTAAATTTATCCCTGTAAAACCTATCAATTGTACCATAGATATTAACAAACCAGACTTCTTGCTTAGGCAACCCTCGATCACGATTGTTTATATAATTTGCGCCGAGATAGCTCTTGACATTTTCGTAAGATTTCGGTAATATATACCAATCATTCCTTGCAGCCTCAACTAACTTTTGTTTGGCCGCAAAAGATAATTCCTCATAATAGAGAATTTGTATGGGTAGTTTATTGTTTAATGCCCGTAATAAGTGAATTAATCTTACTGCCGTATCCACACTTGATTCTGGAATAGTTAGTACTATTCCTTTGCCATTACATAGCTGTTTAAATTCCTGCAAAAAATTGTTTGATTTTGTTCTGTCTCGCTTTCTAGAATTGGACTTTTGCTGTATGATTGGTTTGGTTAAATCCGGTGGTTGATAATATCTGATTCCACTCCAATGTTCATAAATAGGGTATTCAAAAGAAAGCCAAGGGTATATTCTTTGTTCAAATGATGATAAACTGTAAGGCTTTTGTACCTGCTTAATTTCGGAAGATATAACCATACCCGAATCTTTTGCAAGCTTGGATACCTTTTGTTTTTGTTCCTGAATAAACTGAGAATGCACTCGAGTATCAGCAACATAACACTTGTTGAATATTCTCAATGTAGATATATAATCCACCATTGTTTGCTCCTGCTGTGGTGATTTGTATTCCTGGAATTTTGATTTGACAAACTCCTCAAACTGGTCATTTCCTTCCGAAATGACATTGCCTTCATAGAATTCTTTTTCCAAAGTTTCCTTGTGATTAGTTTTAAATTCTCGATATTCGGCCCTATCAAAATGAATATCCAAATCAACGGAAGGATCAAGAAACCAATTAAGATTCCCTTCAAACAATTTTTTAAAGTATAATTCACACCTTTGATCAAAATCTAAATTGGCAAGAATGGAAGTAAACTCATGACGACTGAATATTTGATCATAAATACTAGAATACTTGTCCAGACCAGCTTCATTATCTTTGGAATATAATTTCTTCAAATATTTAACAACATTTGTCCTTTCCCAAGCTCCTAAATTTTCGAGAACAACAGATTCCGAAATGTATACTGATTGAGTTGCAATTTCAAATTGTGGTTGGGCTATATACCATTGCAAATAATATAACATCACTATTATCCAAAATACAAGCACGGAAATACCAACGGTATACCTTCTGGATTTATACTTCATCGGCATGCTAGCTTAGGAAGAGAAGTAGTTTATCTACATTTTAAAGCAAAAAACATGGCTTCTTTTAATGATCACAATAGATTTGATGACCTTCAAATTATTTTTAACAATACGTAATTGTTCCATCTAAATATTTTTTAGAGTGATTTTTAACACACATTGGTAGCTGCAAACTGGGGGGATCAAACTAATTTACGCCAGTATCATGGCTATCTCATATTGTGCACCCCATTATTTCATGGCTATAAATTGTAAGTTCTACCATAATTCGAAACGTTGAAGGATTTCATCTGGAATATTTCAGTATTAAACTACTGAAAAATATGCGCGAATATCATTTTTGTAATACCTTGGTATAACCGAAACCTGTATTGTGACTCTAGTAATTATATCTCTATCCAAACTTTCAGTTTTATAATACCTACATCATCTCTACAATGTATATTGTTTGGTAAGCTATGTGCTTCTAGTGGATTCTAACAAAGTTAGTATACCAATTTTTGCGAATCTATGCCAAAAGTTCAAGTAAAACATATATTAAATAAAACAAAAAAAAAGGACTTCCATAACATCATTGGATAAATTCAAAGTTAGTTATAGGAATAGATGATGAGTTCATGGACTTTATGCAATCTTTACACCTTTGGGCAGATCTATAAAAAGCACAAGGCTACCAGTTGTGATCACGTGATATTTAGTTGGTTAGGAAAACTAGATAAATTATTTGTTCGTACTATCTTTCGGGATAGTACATTTGTCAATTTTAACAATACAGAGAAGATTAGCATTGTCCTTGCATAAAGATGACACGCTTTACAAAGAGATTTAACATTTTTTTTTATTAACATAGATAGTTGGATAGCTTGGTGTTTCTTATTCTTAAGGATTTTCTGTTTTTGACATTGGTCATTGCTGTGGGTTGAACTGTTACCCCCTTTCACCGATAGCATGTTCAATATCTTTTTTTTTGGAAAAAAAAAAAATACTTATCAAAGAGCCTACAAAGTAGTTTATAATACGACTTCCTACATTTAAACGTAATATGTATCGTACTTCTATTTTATAACTAAATAAATCTATTCTTGGCCAACCCAAATATCCCCATAATACTTAAATAAATCTTGCTCTTTTTGAGTGAAGTCAACAATGGTACCTTCAACATAATTATCACGACCATTATGACCTTCTCCACCCACACTTGAGTATGCACACCATAAATATCTTCGACAATACGATCCTTCCATCATCCACCCATAACCAGGCTCATCTTGGAAATTACCTCTTGGTTGTAAATCATCTGTCAATGGAGGCACAACGGCATGGGTTATACGTAATGGCGCAAAGTAGAAAGCCTTGAATGCTTCTATATCATGAAGAAATTTCAATCGACTTCCAAGTTTGAATTCGTCCTCAAAATCAACTTGTTCGGCTTGATGACAGAATCTTAATCCTGAATTGATCCACAATAAAGTATGTCCATCACCATCATATATTTGTCCCGGGTGATTGGAACATAATTCTCGAGATCGGTGATGAGAGCCATCAGATCTATGTCTGTCACGGAAATCTGTGAGTTCACCGATTGCGGCGGCGAAATTTTCATTGAACTCGTATGATTCATCTCCATTAATGGCAAATCCTAGCCAGAACATTTCCTTTTCTCCCCACATTTTCCCATGGACGGGACCAAAGAAACTGATTTGGGTAACCATTAATAAGGAATTGAAATGCTTGATTTTGTCCACTAATACCATCCCAGCTTCTTGATAGTGGAATAATCCTTTGAAGAATTCTCGATCTAATGTGTGTTGCGTCATTACTGGAATATCAAACATGATTGTATCAACAAGGGAAGGACTCATTCTGTGAAACATTTCTCCATCACTTATTGCTCTTCGTTCAGGAGATGTTCTATCTTTATAAAAGTAAGCTCCTGTTTCTGTGTATCCTTTCAAATTAAAAAACCACTCTGGACTTTTCATCATGGCAGTATCATCATCAACTAACATGAATTCCGCGAATGAGTTGAACAAAATGGCAATGAATTTATTAGCATAACTCACAAATTTGTCACGATAGAGGTCATTGATTGTATTATGAGCATTAACGAACCAGAGCTCCTGTTTAGGCAATCCTCCATTTTTAGTTAAATAATCTTTAGGGAAGTGTTCGGCGACTTTCTCAAATGATTTGGGTAGGGTCACATAATCATCACGAGCAGCAGCAACTAGTTTTCTCTTGGCTTTTAAGGATATATCATCGGTACTAACAATTTGAATAGGCAATTTGTTGTTTAATGCTCTTAATAAGTGAATCAAATTAACAGTTGAATCCACATGACTTTCAGGCATGGTTAAAATTATACCTCGTCCATTAGATAAAGATTTAAGTTCACGTAAAAATTGTGATTTTGGACCAGCTTTGGGTTTAGAAGCAAAAGAACGTTTAGTTGTTTTCCCACGGAAATCAACCTTCTTTAAATTTGGAGGTTTATAAAAAGTAGCACCACTCCAATGTTCATATACAGGATATTCAAAAGATAACCACGGATACACCCTATGTTCAAATGATTCATAAGTGGAAAAATCAGTTAATTTTTCGGATTGAATTTCTTGAAATGGAGCAGCAGCTTTTCCAACTCGATTAAGAAATTGTTTTTGTTCGGTTATAAATTTTTGGGATTTAGTTTGGCCATCAAGATAACATTGGTTGAAGATCCTAAAAGTAGTTAATGAATCCACCATTTCTCGGTCCAAATAGGGTTGTTTGTAAGCCTTAAATTTGTTTCTTACGAATTCCTCAAAATGCTTGTTATATTCTTCTTTATCTTGAGGGAGATATAGCCTTTTGTTGAATTCTTCAAGAAACTCTGTCTCGTGGTCCTGAAAATAGCCTTTAAATTCGTCACCATCCCAATGTAAATCCAAATCAATATGAGGATCAAGCTTCCAGTCATGGTTTTGTAAGAACAAATTCTTAAAATAAAGGTTACAACGTTCATTAAAATCCAAATTTGCAATCACGGATGATAAATCATGATGCTTGAATATTTTGTCATATATTGTCCCATACATGTCTGATCCCTTTGCCTTTTTAGAAACTAGTTGTTTTAACATCAAAAAAGTTCGATCATGAGTCAATTCGGGACGGGATTTATCAGATTCTTGTTCTTCCTCCTGCTCTGCAAATACATTACCATGGTAGTCGGCATTATTTTCTGGATTGGAAATGGGCACTAGTGAATGTTCTGATCGGAGATAGTTATAATGTATGAAATATGTTATGCATAGAACCCAAAGAAAACCACCACCATAAACTGCGAGATTAAACTTTGAATTTGATTTCCACTTTGGCATATTTGTACATGAAGTTGCTGTAACCAAAGATGTGACGGTAAAAGTGCAGAGAAGAAGAAGAAAAGGGAGATAAAGACATATTTATATTTTACACAAATCATCTGTACGTCCAAGTAAGGGCTTGTTGTCCTTTGTTTGACACTAAACATTTCATCCTATTGTTCTCATTAATTTGTATTGTTGGAAAATAAAATTATTACGTAAATTATTTTTAGAAAAAATTTTTTTGTGCAAGATCTAAAAGCAAGTCTATAGAATTGCAATTGAAACCGCAATGTATTCCGCGGGTCAACTGCTCTATAATTATTAGCTGTTAACATGAGATAGATACAGCAAAAGATTTAGACAAGGATACTGTTATCTTGAGAAAAGTTTCTTGCGGAATGTGACAGAAGGAATGTGTCACTTGGTCACAACTGTCCCAAACACGGGGACCCTGAAAAAAAAAAAATCTTAGATCTCGATCCCAGATTCCTCATTGAAGCAACGCTTTGAAAATACAATCCAGTCATCTTTAAGACAAGTAAGCAACAGGTGATGAAATTTCTATATTCCTGGAAATATGCAGTTCTAGGTGATGATATTTTTAGTGCCCTTGTTAATTAATATACGAAATTATTTTTATTATTCACAAGGGATCCCCACACCACACTTTTCGAAAAGGACAAGTCATTCTTTAAGTCATACAATTATCAGACTAGAAATTCTTATATTGATATCCAGATTTACTACACATTCACTGTGTTTTATGTAGACCTTGATTGAACCTACCTAGCACTTATAAGGTAAACATTTTGAAATATTTTACAGCCGATATTGAGAAATGTTTAACCACCAGACAAAAAAAAAATAAATCTTGTGTGTTCAGTACAATGAATTACGAGAAAGAGAAAGGCGGTTTGATAATATCGAAACTTTACATTCATTGTTCATTTAAATTCCTCGTACTTTATCCCCTATCTCATTTCTGACAATATTAATTAAAAGAAATGAACACTCTGTTCAAAATATTGTATATCCCCGCAAGCTAAGGCGAGATATTAAGCCACCTCCCTAGACTAAGGAATGAACTAGCTTATTCTGTAGTTCCGTTATCCCTATCTAGTTTCATTTAGAAATAATATTAAAAGAATCCACTCGTAGTTAGACATATTAAAAGCTGAGCGTAGTTTATTGAATGTTTATTGAATGTTTATTGTTTGGTAGCAACGGTGTTAAAAGCTATCGAACAGCATAAAACTACTACTTGTCTATAAAATCATGCTTGTATTATGCAAAACTGTCTACTATTCTATTCCTACCCAAATATCACCTAGATAATTGAATAAATTTCGAGCCGATTCATCAAAAGTAACCAATTTCCCTTCCAATTTATTGGATTCCCCACTTGTAGTTTTCCCACCAATACTGGAATAACCACAAAACATATAAGCAGAACAATACCCTTCAAGCATCCATCCCCCTGATGGTTCACCTTCAATGTTTTCCAAAAGTCCCAAATCGGGACTTAATGGAGGTACAATGGCATGGGTGATTCTTAATGGAGAAGAATAGAATGCTTTGAATGCTTCTTCGGTTTTAATATTTTTGAACTTGGTACCAAGGACCAACTCTGATCCGTAGTCTATACTGTTTGCCTTGTGACAATTTCTGAATCCAGAGTTTATCCAGAGCAATGAGGTTCCATCGTCTGGATTAAGATGGGCTGGATGGGCTGAACAAATTTCAAGAGCTTGATAATTGACTCCATCCAGTTTTACTCTTTCTGCAGCTGGAGTTAATTCACCAGCTGATGCTGCAAAATGATCTGTGAATTGGTAATCTTCATCACCATTTAATGCAAATGCAAGCCAAAATAATTCTTTATCTCCATAAACCTTATTAGTTATAGTAGTTATAAAGTTCAATTGTTGCATTAATAAAATTGAACTGAAATGTTTGTTTCTGTTAAGCAATACCAATCCTGATTCCATATAATGATGTAATCCTTTGAAAAATTCTCGCTTCAACGAGTGATCTGTCATTATTGGAATATCAAACATAAGTTTGTCGACTATAGAAGGGCTCAACTTTTTAAACATGGTGGCGTCTCCTCGTGAACGTCTTGAGAAAATAGCTCTGTCTTTAAAAAACAAAGCTCCTGATTTAACGTACCCTGAAAGGGCAAAGAAATGTTCTGGATTGGTCATTATGATTGTATCTGCGTCCATTAGTATGAACTCTTCAAATGAATTAAATAAAGTAGCTAACAATTTATTAGCAAACCCTTGAAATTTTTCCTTATAACTATTGTTCAAAACGTTATTGGTATTGATAAACCAAACCTCTTGTCTTGGTAACCCATGTTGGTTAGGATCAAAATATCCGGGTCCAAACATATTAGCGACATTGTTGAATGACCTTGGTAATGTCTTAAAGTCTTCTCTTGCGGCTATAATTATCTTCTTTTTCGATTCCTTGGATAAGTCTCCATTGTATACAATTTCAATAGGAAGGGCATTCTTTAAAGCACGTAGTAAACGGATTAAGTTAACTGTATCATCAACATGCTTATCTGCGATTGATATAACAATACCTTTACCATTGCTTGAGTTTTTCAACTGATTCAAGAACTTTGATTGAGTCTTTGATGCCTTTTTGTTTATACTCTTTTTGGATTCTTGGTTACTACTTTTAAGTAATTGTTTCATATTAGGAGGGTTACTGAACACTTCACCAGTCCAACGTTCATATATCGGGAAAGAGCGGGATAACCAAGGATAAACACGATATTCAAACTTAGAAGCTCCATAGGTTGAAGGATCAAGCATACTTTCAAATTTCGTGTTTGTAAATGGAGTAACTTGTTTACCAGACTGTTCCAAGATTTGTCTCTGCTGAGATATGAAATCTTCATTCTTCTTGATTTGGTCCTTGTTGTCATTGGTTACATAGCATTTATTGAAAATTCTCGTAGTGGCAAGATAATCACTCATGGTTTGTTCCCTAACCACTGCAGTTTTCTGTAACCATTGTTCCAGTATGAATTGACGGAGACTGACTCTAACAGAATCAATTTCCTCATATGCTTTCTTAAATGCCTCTTCATTTTCCTTCGCAAACTCTTTAAATTCTTCAGATTCAAAATCGTTCAACTGCCTATTAGGATCAAAAACCCAATTGTGATCATGGGAAAACAAGTTTCTGAAATACAAATCACATCGTTGATTAAAATCCAAGTTCCCAAACACGGAATCCACGCCATGATCTTGAAATATGTCATTATATATTAATGAATGTTTATCTATCCCACGATCGTCGTTAGTTATCATTTTAGTTTGTAATGTCAACACGGTCGAATGATACTTGAAATCACCACTGGGTTTCTTGATCGGTTTCGGCAGCGGCAGCAGTGGTTCAGGTGGATGTAATTTTTGTTGCAAGATGTATTGTTCACTATTCATATCATATATCGAATATTCAGATGGATCTAAGACGTTTTGATTGTTATCGTTTGAGCATAGCCAATATGTGGCGTATGTTATCCAGACTAAGGCACTAACATATAAAGCTTGTCTCACAATTTGTCGTGATACATAATATTTCGGCTTCAGCATAATCAAAGAGTCTTAATCAGTACAACAGTATATGAAAACAAGTTCAAGCGAACGAAGAAAATGTATATAAGGAAAAGGCTTTTTCTTACCATAAATTTCCAAATTGTGTTGTTTTGGATCTCCCAATATCAAACTTTAACCTGGTCATTGTGTGTGTAGTGTGAGCTACCATTGTTTACATAATTATTTTGAGATTTTTTTTTAAATAATTTATTTTCCCATTGTCGAGATCTCCAATTTAAAACAGGCACGTTTTTTTGAGCCGCACCGTGGAACATCTGAGATTTAACGCTCGTACTATTTTAAAAACTCTATGGGTGCAACCCTGTTGATTGCTAAGCTTTAATTTCGTACAGAGTACAACAAATTCTTCTGTTTATATCCCCTACCAGGATTCAGGGGGGTGGGGACACCTTTCAACACAAATTATTTACTTTTTTCTTATCAACCACTATAATTAGTCTTCGACTTCAAACAATGTCTCTAATCTTACACAGAAACGGAGTAATTTCATTGTTGACGTAATCAGAAATGAGACGTGTAATGAGCTGTACTCTATGCATTTATCAATATACAGCTATCTCCATGCTTTTCCTAATTTGATAGCACTTATGCTTCAGTTGATTTTGAGAATCCTCAATAACAAGTACCTCTTTTTCTGATACGCATTTCAACCTTAACTTTTTTTTTACTTCCTTTCTTTTTAAAATAGTTCATTGTTCAGATAGTTATTAGTTTTGAGTGACGTTTGTATAAGAGGTGTAAATATGTCTACCAATGTCTCTCAAGAGTTGGGCAAATTTTTAACAAATTACTTCCCTATTATTCCTAATGAGATTATAATCTCTATAAATTACTTCCTTCAACTTATTTTCCTGATTTCTTTTTGAAATTTCCAAATGCTAATATCCGGTGGGTTGCCTCTAATTATTTCTATAGTAAGCTTAATTTTGTTATCAGTCCAAAGATAAATGAACATTTTGGTCCATCTATTGCTGGCAGGCGCATTAAATTTGTTGGAGTGAATGCAATTTCTTATTTTTTTTTGGATAGCTTTCCATAAGTTATCAACAAAAGACTCGTTTCTTCAACATAGAGTTGATGGTTTTGAAAATGTCCGAGAATTATTGGATATATATCAAGAAAGAATTAGTAAAGTCAAAATGTTACATGTGGTTCTTTAGCGTTGTCAGATTGAAATTGCTGATTTCAATTACTTATTATCGTTTAACAACTTGAAAAGATTAACCTTCGCAGAAATGAATTTGACCCCGATTAATCAAGGCTAAATTAATAATTGTATATTGGCAGGACATCTTAATCTTTGTACATTTAGATTTGTACGGGTGGCGTTTGAACATTGGCAAGCTGTGAAGCTCCCTTAAACTTTGGAAATTCTTTACTCCGAATTGGTCCAATACATTTCAATTAATTCCAAATATGTCGATCTTAATTTACCTGGATCCGAAACTATCGATGATCTTCCTGCTGGATTAACTTCTGTAAGTATATCGGGCTGTTAAATAACGAATTTTTCGTGGAAGGATTGGCCTACAAATTTAACTGAATTGTAGATGGATTATAGCTATTTAAGCGATAAAGTGTTGGAAGAAACAAATAATACAATTGGATAGCCTATGAAATTGAAGCTTCTATATCTTGAAGGTAATGAATATAACAATAATTCAATTTTATCCAACTTACCACAAAGTTTTCAGATATTAAACCTTTCAAGTAACTAATGGGTATGTGACAACCTAGCAACTAGATTTGAATTCTCTGAGAACTTACAAGACTTGTACTTAGCTGCTTGTATGCCTTACGATTTGTACCATTTCCAGTTTCCGTCATCGCTAAAACGGTTACATTTGGACGCAATAATAAAATTAAAGATAAATGTTCATATGTTGATTGGAGAAAACTCGTTAATTTGCAAATGCTAAACCTTCTGGACAATCAAATCACTAACTTGAATGATTGGATAATCCCTCCTAATATTACCACGTTACATTTACATGATAATCCAATCACCGAGTTAACACTGATTTTTCCCTTGTTTGATAGCAAATTTAGCTTCAAACTTGTTTTTTTAGACCTATCTCTTTGTAAACTAGAGAAGGTTAACATAGGTTATATTCCCAACAACATAGAAGTATTAAACTTCTCCGAAAATTCCTAGTACCTGCTGTTTGTGGTTCCTAGTAACCATTCATGTCATCTATTCCCACCCACTGTTAGCTTTAGGGAGCTCCAACAGAAGCTAATTCTTTAAATAACATTCTAGCGAATGACCTTACGCATAAAAGTACTCCTTCTTAGGGCTATAGAGTAATGCGAATCAATTATACTAAATATATTGTTTCAATTTAGAGAAAGGGGGAGGGGGAATTATAATATATGAAAGTAATTGTGCTAAATCAAAACTATTAGTATATCACATAACCTATAAGATATATGGGAACCGCTTTATAATGTACTAAGGCTTAGGCATGTGAGGTCAACTTGTTTTCCTGAAAGAATAGAATGTGATAAACTGGAAAAGTTTACTCTCGAGCGGTTTACGTGTTTTACTTTAAGCTTCTCTAATGGAAGGTAAATTTAAAACCATGTGGATTGATCTTTTCAACCCACCAAGTATTGGTTTATACTACAGGTAATTAATATTTATACCTTAACATTAAAAAATAAAAACAACACTTACGCTAAGACTAACCTCAAACCAAACCCAAAAACAAATTAATATACTATAATCCCTTAATAAGCATCATTAAATCATGATCATCGCCCAAGACTTCCTCTACATCAACCATTGCATTTTCATGAAACAATCCCGATTTTGTGGGTCTAAATCCTTCGGCTACTGCTTCCATTATTGATTGTCTTCTTCGTTTCAGTTTAGAAGAACGATGAGGGTGTTTCTTGATTTGATGTTGATTTGAATATCTGCGCTTAAAATCAGCTGGTTTATGACTAATGACCTTTTCAGGCTGGATTAATGAATTTTGTAATACTGATTTGTTTCTAAATGCACCTAATGGAACCAGTTTCTTTTGGTTATTGAAATCACGCCAGATTTTGACATCATTTTCATCATCATCGTCTAATTCACTCACATTTAATAACTCATCTAACCCTAAAGCCAGATCATCAGATACTGCTTGGGGTACTGGTTGTATGATGACTTTCTTGGTGGAAGGGATGGTGGTTCTTGGTTCTTGTTTGGTTAAACTTCTTGTTGATAACCCATCAATAATTCCAAATGGTTTACTATCAATTGTAATCCATGATCCGAGCACTGGTGGTCTATAATCGGCAGTTTTAGAAGACAAGACTTCCTTGGCTGATTTTGAACCCACGGTGGTATTGCTAGAAGGTAATGATAAATCAACATCGGTAGATTCTCCACTATCATAATCTAAATCATCATCCATGTCCAAAGAGTCATTAAATGAAGATTCTGGGGCAGTAATTGGTTGTTTCTTCTTAGGAATGTTGCTGTTGTCAATCTCCTTAAATAAATCTTCAACTGGATCAGTTTCATCTGGCTCTCCTTCACTTGAATTATTATCTGAACTAAAGAAATAATTCCACAAGTATGAATCATCATCTTCGTCACTGTTGCTTTTCTTCTTGTTTTTTGAAGCTTTCTTATCAACTTTGTTTAAACTGACAACAGGTTTATCTTCAGTATCACTCTTGTCAAATAATGGAACATCAAAATCCACAAAATCTTCATAATCTTCTTCTTCTTCACTGTCTTCACTTGTTTCATATTGAATAATTGGTTTAATTCTGTCACCTTCATTTCCAATACCTTTGAAAGAAGTAATTAATCTTATGCTTGAATTGTCACTGTCAAACCCATCAACATTCAATTCATCTTCGTCAAATCCATTATTTTCAAATTCATTAACCAAGAATTTTTCTTCTTCCTTCAAGAACGCATCTTCATCATCAACAGATACAATTGACCCTTGTCTCGACATGGTTGGCGTTGGCTTTTCAATTAATTCATCCATGTCATTATCAACTTGTAAAGCAGCTAACAATTCATTGTCATCAATTTCATAATCTTCATCGGAATTGATTTCTTCTTCGTTGATCTTAGGAACTAACTGGTTATCAAAATTGAAATCAAATGCATCAATATTATCTTCTGCTTCAGGGATAGTGGGTGAATAATCAACTTCTTCACCGATATCCTCTTCTTCTTCTGGTTCTGGTTGGGCTTCTTGTTCTTCATTTTCGGAACTATCTTTGGCTGCATCGTCAAATTCAAAGGTAAAGTTAATATCTTCAGGCAAGACAGAATCTGCTCGTTTTCTGAATATAATAGAACTCTTTCTGCGATTATTTGCTTTCTTTGGAGCAAGAGGAACATCTGATAATTCATCTGAATCATCTGAAATTGCACTTTCGTCGTACTTCTGTTTAGGCAAGTTCTTCAAAGCTCTTACCGCCTTCATAGACTTGGCTTTTCTTTCATGCTGCAATTTGACAAAGTCAATTTCTGAATCATCATCAGAAGACGAATATGCTTCAGAAGAAGAATTTCCAGACTCTTCTTCGGATTCTCCACTGTCTTCGTGTTGATGTCTACTTTTTCTTCGTTTGTTCATAAGGGAGTATAAACCTTCAAGGTCATGCGGCTCCTCGTCATCTTCGTCATCATCATCATGCTCTTCTTCTTCTTCCTCATCGTGTTCATCATATTCATTGTCGCTTGAATCATCGATTGCTTCCTGGTATGCAGACCAATCAACTGTTTTCTTAGGTGTTCTTTTCTTAGCATAGGTCTTTACTTTCTTACCAACTGTTTTTCTACCTTTAGTATAAACCTTTTCCAACTCTTTTCTACTTAATTCTTCATCGGAAACAGCAGTGAGGGAAGACTCCGAATCGGATCCGGAATCAATAGCATATATCTTTGTATATTTGGTCTTTTCTGAATCTGAAGACGAACTTGAATCAGCGATACTGTATTTTCGTTTCTGGTCATAATTATGATGATTATAAGATTTTAAGTTCTTGCCGGCATAGGTAGGTGTGGTTCTGTTCTTTTCTGTTGTTGTTGTTTGTGTAGGAGTTTTCTTGAATATCTTGTCAGATACTCCTTTCCGTGGACTTTTCCCCATTGTAAGTGTTGTATTATCAATTCAAAAAAAAAAATCTAAGCAACCCTCTATTAGCAAATTAGTCTTTATTTCCCTGTTTATAATATATCTCTATTTATAAATGTATTAGTTATGTGTATAAATGGTTGATGGAAATTTCGATTTAACATAATATGGAGAATATGTAAAAAAAAAAAGCTAATATATCTGGGAATATAACCGGTGATGTTCTGATTTGACAACCACCTTATTTGTATTTCCTAGTGTGAAACGTTGTTGCTTTATATGGTTGGTCCTTTTGGTAGGATAAAGCAAAAAAACAGGGGGTGTTAAAAAACTAGATCAAGTGCTTGGTAAGTATGAAACTGGGGGTGTAAAAATATAAGATGGGGAGTGTACGAAAAACTATTAGATGCACACGTTGAATGTAAAAGCTATTAGATTGATTTGCCTTCTTGAAAGCGTTGATTACTGAATGTAAATAAAGAGAATTGATACGGTTGTCTTATTTTATCTTCTTTTTTTTTGTGGCTGTAAATTTTTCACTGTTTGGTTTTTTTTTCCGATGAGATTGAATTGGTAACTGTAACATTGCTAAAACGGATCCACAGTTTAAAAAGTTAAACTGACTTTGCATATGTTAGAAGTATGTAGGTATAAGCAAGCTTTTGTCTAATCTGTAGAAAGTATTTAGAGTAAATAGTGTTGGATCAGATGTGATTTGTATCGGCTTTACCCTGTGTCCGGTGCCTAGTCCTGCCTTGTTCGGCTTAGACGATTGAGTATTATTCGGCAATAAATTTAGTATGCGCCTTTCACTAATCAAAATTTGTATTAATTCAGTCTATTCCGAACTATATAACCATAGCTACTTTATACTCTATTCTTACAGAAACGGGAGTACGCACTAATATACACAAGCCTAAGCTTCATACTTGTTTTCACCACTGGCAGCAGTTAATCTTGCACTCAATTCAATTTGATCCTTAACAGCCTTGGTTAAATATTCAACCATAATGACATCTTGATTGTGATCTCTGAATAATTTCTGCAATTCTTCAATGTTACTTAACAATTGAGGTCTGTTTAATAATGTGTTACTTAAAAGTCTTAACAAATCAACATTGTCTGACTTTCCTGAATCAATGTAGTTTATCAATTCAGAAAGGTTTGAATCTACCTTTTCCAATTGTTGAGATAAATAGCTTAAGTCTTGGTGTAAATTGGTGGTGTTTGTTATAACTCCTTGTTGTAAGTTGTTGAATGCAATCTTTTCAGTGGTGGTTCCGTTTATAAGTTGGTTTGGAATTGGAGTGAAAATATATGAGTTAGTAGCAACATTAGTATTCCAGCCAATTTGAGCAGTGGTGGCTGGTTTACCAACAGCAGCACCAATATAAGTAGTCACTTTAGGAGCAACAATTTGGTTATCATTATTTAAATATTCAACATTCAAGTGAATAGCAGGGAATGGATAAGCTCTGTCGACACCTTTACTGTAAAAATCGTGGATCAAACTAGTGGTGGAATCAATGGTGTTGGAACTACCAAACCAACCTAAAACGGATTGTTTAGGGTGACTCTTTTTGTATAATTGATATAATGTCTTGTGAGTTTGATCTTCAATAGCAATAGAATCCCCGGTTTCGTTACATGGAACCATAAAGACATCCATAATCTCGAATATGTTACCGTCTTCAGAACGGGAACCTAACAATGTACCAATGATTCTCTTGTTGCTGGAAATTATTTGCTTGGAAACAATTTCCAAAATAGAAAGCATGGCTGGAGTGTGGATCTTAACTTGAGCATTATGGGCGGTAGATGCAGCTGCTGGTGCAGATACACCTGGTCTAACCAAGTGCATAAATGAATTATCTGAAGACATATTCCTTGTGTCTCTATGTGTATTGGTTAGAAACTATTCTTCAACTGAGATTCTAAAAAAAATTTTTCACAAATCGTAGGTGGTTGAGGTAATATGCAGGAATGCTTGATCATTAGTGGTGTTGCAAAAGTACCACCCACCTACTTTGACTGGAGATAAGTCATAAGGCAGAACAGTGGAATTGCAATCGGTCAGTGGTGGTATATATAGGGGTAAATATACTAGCCCATAGACTCATATCAATCTTTAATTATTTTGAAGCTTATTTGGTTACTAATGACGATATTGACAAAAAAGTTACAGCCAACTTTTCCTGCAATCAATCTGGCTCACAGCGGGTTTTTTTGGTGAGCTTATTACCTAAACAATTTGAAGTAACATAAATTGGTGACTTTACTGGTTCAGTTTATTGGGGTTGTTTAACAGTTTGGCAACATTTATTCCCACAACTTGTTTTTGGCTGCCATTAGTTGTGGTCACTTTTCTCACGCTAACAATGCGTCTAAAAAAAGTGTTCTTCTCTCTACCTCTGACACCGCTGGACTGCTCAAGTGAACATGACAGAACCTACGAACATACCGACTGAAGAGGATACAGGGCCAGTAATACCCGTTACTAAGCATCATGATGAAACATGGATCTTTGAAGAAGATGCATTCTGGAACCATTCACCATCCAGAAATCAAAAAATGACCATTTCTCAAGAACTCAAGGCCAAGGAATCCATCCATGACTTTGTCATTCGATTAGGCTCAAAATTAAAACTAGATGCAAGAACTATACTCAGTGCCACTATTTATTTGCACCGTTTTTATATGAGATTACCTATAACATCTTCAAAGTATTACGTTGCCAGTGCAGGAATCACAATATCATGCAAATTGAATGACACGTATCGACAACCGGATAAAATTGCATTGCAAGCTTGCAATTTGAAAAACACTAGTGGGAAACCTATAGATGAACAAAGTGACATGTTTTGGAGATGGAGAGACCAATTGCTATATCGAGAAGAGTTGATTCTAAAAGCATTGAATTTTGATTTGAACATAGAATCTCCTTATGAAGTTAGAGATAGACTTATTGAAGATAATTTTGAGCATCAGGACACTGTCTTTGCAAAGAAAAGAGTGGATTTGCTTAAGAATTCAGTCACTTTAATAGAAACATTGTCCAGTTTACCCATACTTATATGCTACGATATAAATACCTTGTATGCAACAGCAATAATTATTACCTTCTTTGAATTCAAAGCCAAAGAACCAGATTTACAGCTTCCAAATCGATTTTTAACAGATGAATTAGAAGTTGATTTACAAACATGCATGAAATGTTTCTTGTTTATAAAGAAATTGTTAAAATATAGTCAACAAGATCAACATTTTGTTAGTAATAAAGTTGCTGCTAGGAGAGTTTTAAGTATTCCTACAGTTGAATTTGAACAGATTATAAAACGTATGGAAGAACCAAGAATCAAGCTTGCTCAACCTTAGATGAGGAGCTGAACAATATCAGGGTTATAGAAAATCAAACAATAAAGGACTTAAGTAATACCCTTATAACATACATTCGGAAGACATTTCTTATTTGGAATGTTATGATCCAGTACATTGAACCAAACAATGCATATTGACTGTTTGCACAGAAATAATATCATAAAACCATGTAAATATTCACGGTAGTTATAAGAGCTGGTGCTCCCAATTAGTTCACAAACTAATCATATAATTTTGAATTAAAGAAACAACTATACATGTGCAAAATACCTTGTTAAAACTTCAAATAATTTTGGATAGTTTGTATTAATTGGATTAACTTCAAAAGAGCGAATTATCAGAACTACACCTGCCTGTTAAAGGAAGGAGATTGAATCTGAAAGAATGTGGTGAACAAATACAGCTTCTGAATGAGATACTAGGACAGATATTTTTTGTACCTTAATCAAGTTCACTTTGCTCGATTGAGACTAATACATAGTCATTTGTATAATGTTTTTAATTCTGCATTATTTCATTCAATTTATTATAATGATATTTAAGACACATTGTTAGTAGCTGATCATGTCGTAAATCTATTCACCTAGAATTATATCATTATTAATACATATGAGAACTTTTCTCGATCGCTCTAGATGTGAACTTTAAAATATGTGCGTGAGATCAAGTATTGCTGGTGCAGCAATCAAGTTATAGAGTTAGAACTGGAGATAAACAGAAAACATCCCCCATATCTACTTTGATGTTGATAAAATTATTATCTGTCCTGTACAAATTCGTAGACTTGGATTTGTGGTTATTGCAGGTCATCCAATGCAAACAGAATCATGTGATCCAGCCAGAGATGATTAACGATAGAGTACATAACCGTTTATCTATGGAAAAGAGGCAACCGACAGATAGTTCTGGATATTCTTTGTAGTTTTACAAGTATTAGAACCTTTGTAAATTGAAGTGGATGGTCTGGATGACTTTGAAGTTTTAAAGCATAGGGGAATATCTTGGAAGAGACTGAAGTCGTTAAATATTGTTATGGCATTGGTGAAGGAAACAAATATTACTATTGTTAGGGAATTATTGGATTTGAGTCTACTTAAATATTTAGAAATTGTTATGGAAAACCCGGAAGCTCAAACCTTCGAGGAATATACGAGAAAATGGACTGGTCAAGATAACAACATAAGGATTTTAATCTCACAATTGCCATAATTTAAGAACTTAGGTTTAATTGGCCCTCGCTTCAGTCACAAGTATGTATTGGAAGGATTGCTTCCAAACACATTGAATCCAATATGTTTAAATACAGTGTTTTTATAGATATTGGGATGTGTATACCGACCTAGTTGAAATTGTAGTCAAACAGTAAGAATCAATATCTAGGATATTTATAGGTTATGATCTAGAGTTTGCATGGAAATATATTGATAAAGTCTTTGCAATTTGTGATGTATTTTATAAACTGGGGGTTTCTTTAAAGGAAGTTGGATAATTTGTACTTAATGGGTCTAAATTTCCAAATTTAAGACAGTTTATTTACAAAGGAGAACATATTATTATTATTCCTACTAGCCAGAATAATATGGTGAAACTTGCGTGTATCAATTGAATAAGGTAGATCATTTAAGATTACCATAATATGCTTTTCTTTGTGCATTTCGGCCTAGTGAGAAATATGATTAACTTTCTTTAAAGTCATCATCATTTCTAGGATACACATCTCAAACTATTATGGAAATAATGTGAGATTTGTTGATCAATAGAAACTAAAATCTTGATGTGTGAACTACGGAAAAAGTGCTATTGGATAAAATTAAAGTTTGATACTGGAATTCTGTTGCTTGGTGGCAAAATGTTTGGTTGTTAATCTAGGAGATTCTTTTACCTTTAAAGAACAAGGTTTAACTTACTTAAAGCTTAAAAAATTGAATATTCGTTTTGTTCAAGAATTTGAAATTGACATTACGACAATTAAGGGATTGTTTGATGTGAATCAACTTGAAACTTTCGAAGTTATTATTGTGTAACCTTGTCGAATAGTATAAACTCTGTAAAAATGGGTACACATGTTGTCTATAATTCTAATAACTTAAGAAAGCTAATTTCTGAATTTGCTTCACTTAAACATTTGGCTATATTTGTTATATTCTTGGAATACGAGAATTTATTGCGAGGATAGACACCAAACCCTTTAGAATCACTTTTCTTTTAATTATGTTGTGATACTACTAAGGCTGGTGAAAAAAAAAGAAGGAGTCTTCTAGAAGCACCGGTCGGTCTTGTTCAGTGAGAAACTGGTTTATTGAGACTTTACAAACTTCTAAAGAATCAACAAAAGTCGACAAGTAGAATTTATCGTTGTTATCACAGGGATTTAAATTTTGGATTGGGTAACTTTGATTGAATTTTGAAATTTCGAGAAAGCCCAACAAGTTTGACACTAAAGTCTATAACATAAGATGATGAATTGTTTACAAATCATGAAACTAAATTTCCTAAATTAAGGCAAGTTATTCATAGAGCAGAGAACTTTATGAATACAAAGGAGAATAATAGGATATCTATTAAATAAATCAGTTAGTTAGGGAATATCTGAATAACACTTTATTGCTATTATATGAATCTCAACTGTGATAATTATAGAACTTCTTTTTGCAGCATATGAGATTTTTTGCACTATCAATCAAGGGCTTTTTTTTTCCCACCCCATGGTAAATCTTTATTCCCGCATTCATAATCTGCATTTTTTGATCTTACAACCACCACATTAGCTAGTACATTCAAGCATAGACTAAGAATAGCAACCATGGATGGAACTCCTGATATATTTGCAACCCTTGATACATCTCTTCTTGAAATATTTCAACGAGGACAATTAGTTGACCATTTGCGCAACTTACCGCCTGAGGAGCAAGCAAGAAGACTCCAAGAATTGTCACGAGCATTACGAGATAACCAACCACACACTTTTGATTCGATCACAACGACGGAAGTCAAATATTTTTATTTCATCTGGTTATGGAAGATCCCACTTCTTGTGGTTAACTTTACTCAAATATGGCGAGATATGACTGTTGCTAATGTCCTTGATTTTACATTTGACACAATAACAAAGGTTATTATGTTCACCCTACGGGTTGTTCGATTCACTGTGTTTATGGTCACTTCATTCATATATTTCCATCGCATCATCCGCATATTCTTTGTGTTTTGTGACGTCATGACATTTTCAAACCATTTCATGAGGGATGCATTCACGTATATTTTTCAGAATTCGTTAGAAATGTTGAAACGACATGAAATAATCATGAAAAATGATGGTAATGTCTTATACTTTCTTCAGTACACAAACAGTACGGAAATGTCAAGTTTTAATGTTTTACATGCCGCGATATACAACACATTGTCGGCCACACTTGTCACTACTTGCATGAACAAAGATGGAAAAGTTTCATGCCGGTTAGACACCGATAGTTTAATATTTAAACTTTCTGATGTGATAACCACGCACTATCCTTCGTTGAATTCATCTACTGGATCAATTCTATTGAAAATCCTCACCATATTATTATATATGACCTATGCAATAATCGGAGATATTATCTGCATAAACATTTGGTTCTTTTGCATGTATAATTTCCTTGATCGGGCAGTAAAGTATAAGCAAATGTTCATTAATTTAAGAGGAATAATTTGGAAATCATTAGTTAGGTATTTGATATAGATTCTTTAAATATACATTTGGCTTATTTAGGTAATTCTAATTGCGCGACGCAAATATTTCTCCTGGGAGAAAGCGGAAAAATCTTATACCCGCGCGAATCTCCCTAGCCCCACTTTTCAGGTCGAGGTGTGTTTTTGAAAATTATACATTTACTTTCATTCACCAATTGAGTCAAGACTATAGTAATGACAACAATGAAAGCAGTGGTCTATTATGGACCTTATGATATCAGAACTGAAACCAGACCAATCCCCCAAATCCAGTCCCCGCTGGATGTAATCATCAAAGTGAAATACTCAGGTTTATGTGGTACCGATCTTCATAGTTACCGAGGTCACATCAAAGGTCCAGTGGACACAATTATCGGACATGAATTTCTTGGAACAATTTCTGAAGTAGGTAAAGATGTTACCAAATTCAAAGTTGGTGACGACGTCTTGAGTACATTTACTATTCAATGTGGCCAATGTTGGTATTGTAAGCATGGGTATTCGGGGCAATGTGATGTTACTAATACTTTTGGTAAAGTTGGTCTTGATGGAGGTCAGGCAGAATACGTCAGAGTTCCTTATGCAGAAAATACCTTGATTAAAAAACCATCAAGCAATGACGGTGTTGATGATTCAATTTATGTGCTAATGGCAGATATTTTCATTACTGGTTATTTTGGAGTTAAAAAAATCAGAGATTTCTTTGCCCAGAAATCTGCAGAAGGAGTTGCTATTCAACAAGCTAGGGACACAACTATTTTACAAATTGGTGCTGGACCAGTTGGTTTATGTGGATTAAGAATACTTAAACATTTTGGGTTTGAAAAGGTTGTTGTTGTCGATGGAGTTGATTCACGTTTACAAGAAGCAACCAAGCTTGGCGCTTACAAAACGGTCAATTATATAACCAACCCCGATGATTTGGCTAAGATAATCACTAATGACACCAACAATATCGGGTTTGATGCAGTATTGGAATGTGTCGGTGCAAAATCAGCTCAACGAACTGCATATGAAGCTGTGCGTAGAAATGGGTTTATTTCTAGTTTAGGTATGGGTCATGATGAATTACCATTCAATGGATTAGAGTGTTATCTTAAAAATATCAACATTTCATTTGGAAGGTGTCATGCATGGTCGTTATTTGCTGAGGCACTTGAAATATTTGAACAATTAAAGCTGGATTTTACAGATTTTATTGATTATAAGGCTTCTATTGATGACAGTAAACTGGCATTTGAATTGTTTGACAAACAAAAGGTTAAAAAAGTTGTATTTGATTTAACGTTATGAGTAGCACAGTTTCAAGAATAGTTTTGTAGAACTAGAAAAGTGAAATTTATTTAGTAAGCTCTTTAATAAGGTCGCTAACACTCAGTACACCGTAAAGACAAAAATTTTCAATTTTGAACACCTTTCGTAACCACGTAGTTCTTATGATTGAGAGATTGCTTTTGCCAAGGATTCCAACAAAAGAAAATTAGTCAATACATATTTTTGCAACCATTTGGCAAAAATTTTTAAAAATTAGAAATACCATAAAAAACAACTTGAATACAAAACATTCATTTTAACCTTTAAATAAAACAAGAGCAAGCACATGGATTAAACTTTTGAGGTGGTTTACCTTGCTGTATGCATGCAAACACGGACTTTAGAAAGACCGAAAAATATTCAAATACTTTGTTGTGTGACAAACAAACCTCTACGACCAAATGTTCCATAATCGCACTAGTGCGATTAGAAATATGATTACAGCTAAGCAGTCACACTTGCCACGTGACCATGTTGCAAGTACTGCACAGCGTGTCAAGAGTGACGCGTGTTGAATAAGTTTGGTTAATGTCACAATAGTGACATTTGCAAACTATTTAAAGTGAAAGTGTTCACTTTGTGTTTTTATAGTTTCATATCTCTTTTCTTTAGTCAATCTACAATTGCTCAAGCATCTAGAATCGAGCCTCGGTTTAGATAATCTGTTCCTGTATTCCTGTGTATATAATACGTCTAGCTACCTGTCATTATAGAACATCTGGTAGTGCTTAACCTATTGTGACTTGATGGTTAGATTTGCTGTTCCCGATTCCGATTCCGACGACTCTGCTGTTTTCCGTTCCCCTCCTTCTGCTCCTGTTTCCGAAGATATGTCTAATCCGCCCCCTACTCAGCCTTTCGCTAGCTTAGCCCTTAGTCAAGAGCAATTTGCAGCTTTACTTTCCCGTGATCGCCGGTCCGATACCCGTCACCCGGCCCTTTTGAAGAACCCTCGGGATCCCGAATTAATTTATCAGTTCATTAATGAAGTGGAGCTCTTTGCTCCGCTTCATCACGTCGGTGAGGGGGAAGTCGTGGAATACGCTTTAAAATCCTTTGGTGCTGATTTGCTTCGTTGGTATGCTGAGCGTATGTCCACTATCGCCAGCTGGATAGATTTAAAGACTCAATTGGTGCAATGTTTCGTACCCCCACGGTTCGAAGATAATATGGCCGAGAAGTTGTACCTGTTACAGCAAACAAGCACTGTGGAAGCCTATACCTCTGAATTCAGACGCATTAAGGGTTACCTCACGCACGAGTCGGCAACCGATCGCCAAGTGAAGAACTGGTACGTCAAGGGGTTATCCCCAGCGTTGTTCCCTTACTTAATTGAAGACGTGTACAATCCTCAGGTGAGCTTTGATTCTTTGGCCTACAAGGCCCAGATTCGGGCTGATCTTACCGGCCCGGTGCCAGTCGTCGGCTTCTATCCTAGATATGATGTGCCAGGACACATCCCTCCCGCTCCCGCTCCCTCCACTACAGCCGTTGATCCGGATGCAATGGATATCGATGCTTTGGCCGTGCGTCGTAAGAAGTTGAGCCCACAAGAACGTGCTCATCTTATGGCTACCGGCGGCTGCTTTGCATGTCGGAGACCGGGTCATCATGCCTCCCAGTGCGCCTGGAGTTCCAAAGGTAGGTCTGCAGGAAACCGTATGAGCCCTGTCAATACTTCGCCAAAAAATTAATTAAGTCCCTTGAGCTTCGGGACGTAAAAACAACCTGCTCACCCCTCAGACCCGCCGCTGATTCTCCTGCTGTGGCCTCTGGCCGAGGTGAGCTTCGTCCTGTATTTACTATGTATGATACTATTAATATTGATAATATATATACCCCTGCCAATTGCCATGACGAAGCTAAACCTAAGATATCGGTTGAAATGGGATCTACAAGCTTCCCTTCGATCGCCCCGCGGACCCACGTCAACTCCGCGGATGAAATAAAATTTGAAATCGAATCGGTTTATCCCGCTATCCCTGTTCCTGCTCCTGCTCCTGCTCCTGCTCCTGTTCCTGCTCCTGTTCCTGCTCCTGCTCCCGCTCCTGCTCCCGCTCCTGCTCCCGCTCCTGCTCCCACTCCTGCTCCTGTTCCCGTCACTAACCCAGTCCTCACTCACGTTCTGGTCCCTGCTTCCGGGCCACCCTTAGGGCTGCCCACCGCATCTCATGCCGAGGCAGCGGCTCCTGCTACCGTCGACAATCTTTATTTTTCGGGTATTGAAATTGCCTCAGTGGAGACACCAACATCGCCTATAGCCACACCAGCCACAGTGTCTCCGGTTGACTTCGATGAAAAGGCCGTACTCGCCTTGTTCCAAATGGACCCGCAGGAATCCTTACCACATATTGAGAATGACCGGTTTAGGGTTCCCGTTCGTATGCTCACTAATAATCAAGAGACGTTGGCGTTATTGGACTCAGGCGCCGGTATGAACTTTGTCAGCGCTGCCGTCATGAAACGGATGCCAGAGGTGGTCCGCTATACCGCCTCCGTTAACGTTACTCCCGCATTCGGCCCTCATAAAAAGGCTACAGAACTAGTCCGCCTCAAGTTCGCCGCAAATGGGGCCACATTCGACGATTGGTTTGTGGTATTGCCTCAGTATAAGGAAAATCTCGTATTGGGGCTTCCCTTCTTACGGAAACATGAGGATTTGATTTCCTTTAGAAACAATACTTTTGCCGGTATCAGCGTTGACAACCCGATCGGTTTGGTCGACTCAAATGAGTTCTTGCGAGAACTCCAATCCTCTCGGGATATCGGTTTGATGTATCTACGATTTGATCGGGAGGATACTGCAGCCAAGGACCCTAATAATGTGCTCCCTCAAGATGCTTCTGGTCTGTTTCAGGACCTTATTGCAGCCCATTCGCTGATCTTCGCTCAGGAGTTAACCGGCCCACCTCCTTCCCGGGGCAAGTGGGATCACCTGATCGAGGTGATTCCCTATACTTCTCCCCCTAGCGCGAAACAGTACCCGTTGGGGAGACCCGAATATGAGGAGTTAAAGAGTCAAGTCAGAAAGTTGATGGACGCTGGCATCGTCCGTCAGCTCGGGGCAAACGCCACGGATTTCAATGCCCCTGTTTTGTTCGTCAGGAAGAAGGACGGCACATACCGGATGTGTGTGGATTATCGATTATTGAACTTGACGGTGGTTCAACGGAATTTCAATATGCCTGTTGCCGAAGACCTTCTTAAAGAGGTTGCTGGCCATAAATACTACTCCACTTTGGATATGACGCAATCCTTCCACCAGATCAAGCTATCCGACGATACAAGCCATGTCACGGCCTTCGGAGCTTTAGGAAGGAAGTACGCCTTCAATGCCTTACCGTTTGGGTTTACAAACGCTCCAGCAGTTTTGCAAGAGGTTGTCGCAGAATTAATCGACGACATCCCTGGGTGTAAGAACTATATCGACGATATTGTGATATACTCCAACACACTCGAGGAACACAGGAAGTCATTAAAATTGTTGTTCGAAGCATTTGAACGACATCAGTTCTACTTAAAGGGGAGTAAATGTGTTCTCGGGGCCAAAAGCGTCAAATTCTTGGGTCACACGGTCGGCGAATTTGGTACGAGTATTCCCGAGGATCAGTTAGATGCCATTAGAAACTTGGAACTCCCGGAAACCGCTAAGGAAATGAGAGCTATATTGGGCTTCTTCAATTATTTCCGTCACTATATCAAGAACTTCGCCCACATGGCTGAGAGTTTGTATACGTTCGCCTCCACCAAGAAGCAGCGTATGACCGAGTCTCACGTTCGTTGCTTCGAAGCCCTTAGAGCTGCCTTATTGGAGGCCCCAGTGTTGAAGAAAGTGGACTATTCCCTTCCCGTTCAGTTTCAGATTGAAGTGGATGCTTCGTACCACGCGATTGGGGCTGTGTTGAAACAAGTCCATGACGGAAAAGAATTGGGGCCTATCGAAATGATTTCCAGGAAACTAAAGGACGCGGAATTGAATTACCCCGTCCGGCAGAAAGAGTTGTTGCTGATTGTGTATGCGGCCAAGAAATTCAGACACTATATTTTGGGTTTCCAGACCACAGTGCTCACAGACCATCAAAGTCTCGGTCAGTTGTTTAGCTCGGGAACACGTCCCGAATCAGACCGCATCACCCGTTGGTTACAAACCTTGCAGGAATTCCACTTGAAGATCCGTTATCGTTCCGGTGAAGAGAATATCTTAGCAGATGTGTTATCCAGGTATGTTAAACACGATAAGTCCTCGGAGGAGGTTGATTTAGACGACACAGACGCTGACAATGGTGACAGACGTGCACCTACTGTCACGGCTATAGTGACAGATGACACCGTCCTCACTAAAATTCAGAGCTCGTACGATAGTGATAGTTATCTTACGCAGATTAAGATATTCCTAGATAACACGGGTCCCGATGCTCCCCCAACTCCACCTGAATTCCGGAAGGCAATTAAGAAATATAAACTCGAAGACGAATTGTTGTATTACAAGACTCATGCCGGTTATAAATTGGTGGTAGGAAAAGCCGTGGCCCTCGAAATTATTAAGAAGATCCATACCTTTGGACACTTCGGTATTCAAAAATGTTACTTTGCCATCCAGCCACATCTTTTCGTTCCCGATTTACTCAAGCTCATTACCAACTATATCAATTCGTGCGACTATTGCCAACGTGCTAAGCATTTTCACGGCCCGATCGGGGGGTTGATGATTCCCAGTGACGTTCCCAAAGACATCTTTTCCACCATTAACATGGATTTCATCACCGGGCTCCCCACTACCCCTGAAGGGTACGACTGCATCTTAGTGGTTGTGTGTGCCCTTAGCAAGTACTGTATCTGTATCCCGACTTTCAAATCATGTTCTTCTCACGATACAGCTCGCTTATTAATTGATCACGTCTTCTCGGTATTCGGAGTCCCGGATATAATTAAATCGGATAAGGACATTAAATTTGTCACGCAGGCCATGGGCTATGTGTTCGAATATTACAATATTGATTACCGTACCACTAGTACTAACAACCCCTCCACTAATGGTCAGGTCGAAGCCCTCAACAAATCAGTGGTGTCCACCTTAAAGAGTTTCTGTTCGCTCCAACACTCCCACTGGGCATTGTATTTGAAAATCGCACAGTTTGCCATTAATACCAACTATGCCGGTGCCATCAAGATGACTCCGTACCAGGCAGTCTTTGGGCGCCTCCCTAGGGATCGAACCGGAATGTTAGACATCTCCATGGAACACTCTCACGCTGAATCCCAAGACCTCGTTCGGAGAGCGGAGGTAATCCGCAAACAGATTCAGGAGACAATGTCGCTTTCTCAGGATTCCATGGAGCAGAAGGCTAACCGGGGGAAGGTTCCTGCGGTATTCAAGGTTGGCGATTTGGTTTTATTGCATCGTGATGCTCGCTTTTCATCCGTAAAGTACAGAAAGTTAACCGACGTTTACTATGGACCCTATCGGTTGGTCAAAAAGATTAATGATAACGCATTCGAAGTCGATCTCCGCGTCTCAGACTTGAAAGATCGAGTGATTAACACCAAGTATTTCCGGTTATACATAGAAGAACCAGGAGTTGGTACATTTAAGGACCCTCCCCGCTTCGAATTGGAAGCTACGGCCCGCGCACACGAATTGAGTGCTATCTTGGGTGTTGATCTTCAGAAAAAGACCTTCGATGTAACGTGGCTCGGTTGTCGACCAAATCATTCCAGCGAAGTATCTATTGAGTGGTTTTATAAGTCCGTCCCTGCCGCTCTCCACGCGTCGCTAATTAACAATGCGACCGACTTCTTGAGCATCGACATCGACGCGGCCGCCCGAAAGGCTCTTGGTATGAGGCCTAATCTGGCCGCGGGGTGATGTTCCATAATCGCACTAGTGCGATTAGAAATATGATTACAGCTAAGCAGTCACACTTGCCACGTGACCATGTTGCAAGTACTGCACAGCGTGTCAAGAGTGACGCGTGTTGAATAAGTTTGGTTAATGTCACAATAGTGACATTTGCAAACTATTTAAAGTGAAAGTGTTCACTTTGTGTTTTTATAGTTTCATATCTCTTTTCTTTAGTCAATCTACAATTGCTCAAGCATCTAGAATCGAGCCTCGGTTTAGATAATCTGTTCCTGTATTCCTGTGTATATAATACGTCTAGCTACCTGTCATTATAGAACACTTTCACAAATTTTAATTTGTGACTAATTTTGCAAAAAGTTTTCGGAAAAATCGCCGTAAACCACTTCAACCCCGCGCGGAAAAACTTGAACTAACATAGATGGACGCTTACATTGAATTGGTGTAGAAATATACAATAATACAAATAGTGTCTACCTATATATTTGCAATAGAAAAATATGTCTTTGACAGTCTAATGTCTAACCAATTTCTGAGCCTAGCTTCGTTTCTCTTTAGCCAGTTTTCTACCCACATTAGGACTAGCCTTGCAGAGGTAACCGTCCTGCAACTAAAAATTACATGCAAGTTCTATTGATAGAACAGTCTAACTCTGTGCTATAAAGACACCATATCCAATCTGAAACTCAGCTAAGCTGTAACAGGTCTTGATTCGGGTTTCTTTGGCTTTGGTTCTGACTGGCTTTCCTTTGGTTTTGGCTTGTTTTTAGGTTGGCTGTTACCTTCTTCTTTAGGTCCTTCTTTGTTCTTTGGTTTTCTTCTGGGTCTTTTTCGTTTTGCAGCTTCTGAAGTTGACGCTTCCTTTGATTCAGGTGCAGATTTAGGTGGTTCTTTAGATTCCTCCGGTTTCTTCTTGGGTTTATCTTTCTTTGGCTTTGGCTTGGGTTTATTGTCTTTATTGTCTTTGGGTTTGGTATTTTTGTCTTTAGATTTGTCTTTAGCTGGTTTATTTGGTTCACTCTTTGGCTTATCACCAGTCTTTACCTCCAACTCCTTCTTTTTTTGCTTTTCCTTGTTCAACTTTCGTTGCAACTTCTTTCTCGCAGCCTTCTCTTCTTTTGTCTCCTTCTTTTTCTTGGCCGGCTCAGCTGCATTCTTCTTATTCTTCTTCTTAACAGCCTTATTCACTTGTTTCAACTGAAACAGATCAATTTCGTTATTGACAAAAGCAACAAACTTCAAGTATATCTCGTCATCTTCAATATTCACCTCTTTCTTCTTTCTTTTGTTCTTATTCTTCTCCTGAACCTTAGAGTCAATCATTTTATTATATATCGACTTTTCAATTAGTGGAATCATGCAATCTTCACGCTCATCCTGGAATGATTTCCCTTTGACATAAGTCAAGAACTCATTGACGTCGTTGGAATTGTTGAAACTGAGATAACTTCGCGAATACTCGGGCAAGTCAAAGAGTTTGACAGGAAGTGCACCTTGGTGATAGTATGAATGGACAATTTTCGTGGCGTGGTAAGGGTAGTACGACGCTAATTGATTCAAAAACTCAGACTCGGTGAGGGTTGGTGGAAGCAAACGGATGGTTAGCTTTAGGTTTGAGTTGCTTATGGATGTGGAGTGGTTGGAACTTGTGCCTGTGCCTGTGCCTGTGCCGGCGCTGTTGCTATTGCTGCTGCTGCTGCTGCCGCTATTGCCATTGCTGGTCAAAGGTCGCGACGGTGGTGGTGCCGTCCTTGGTGTTGCTACTGAGGCCATATTTAAGTGTGTTGCTGTGCTGATTCGTACTGGGTGATAGTGAATAAACTTTTTCTTCAAAAAAAAAAAACAAAGACTATTTTGCGAAATTTCTTACAACCATCTTGGTGCCCAGTGAATGACCATGCCCATGATGAACATTGTATCACAATACATTCAAGAAGTGAACAATACCAAAAAGCTACCTCCCCATGATCAAATCACACAATTGTCCGTCCTTCTTTCAATCGATCCCAGGATCAACCACTACATAAATGAGATTCACAATAGTCAACAAGCCATACCGTCGGACATAACCACCGCCTACGACGACGACTGGTCAGCATTCAGTATTGTCGTATCGAGCTTTCTCAAATTGAGCCACGAACTTGATCCCTGGTCTCTTCTCGTGTCATTTGACTTGTACACTTCTTACATCTCTGACTTGTCGGTGGCATTCAGCAACAACCGGTACGGCTGGTTGTTGAGTAACGTCATTAGACAAACCATCAACCAAATCATACCCTGGGCTGTAAAGATGGACTTGCAGTTATATTACCAAGAACATGGAGGAAAATACCGGTTGAACTATCTTGCCTCGATTCTCTTGAAAATGTTCAATAATATAAGATCACAGATTAATGATATAAACAAGCACAAGAGGGATATCATATTGTACCTTGGCAACAAGTTGTGTTTTATATATACCCGGATCAACCAGCCGTTATTGTGCCGGAACATATTCAGTAATATGAACAACACCAACTTGAACTTGCTGGATTTTAAACCTATTGAACAATTACAGTACCGGTACTACCTCAGCAAGTTTTACTTGATAAAGTATCAGCTATTGGATAGTTTCAATCATTTACAATGGTGTTTACTAAATATCAATACCTCCAGTGTCAAAAACTTACGATTAGTGCTCGAGTTGTTGCTTCCAGTCAGTTTAATTATTGGGAAAGTACCCAATTTCGCCTATGTTAGACAACTACTCCCGCCAAAAGACCAATGGTGGATGGAAATGTATTATCAAATGTCATTGCTCATCAGATTAGGCGACATACACGGCTGTCTCCGCTTGATCGAGTCAAACCACGAATACCTAAAACTGAATAACATACTATTGTTACTCCAAAATAAGTTGCAAATCCTCATGATGAGAAACTCAATCAAGCAGAAATGGATAATGTTGAATAAACCAAGCACGTTAGATTACGACTCCATAAAGCTCGAAGATAACGATGACGATTACATTATTGAAAACGTGTTGATTACGCTAATTGATCAGAATTTGGTCAAAGGAAAGATATTCACGCGGTTAAGAAAAGTTGCTCTTAGTAAAAACGATCCGTTCCCTAATGTGTTTGAGATTTACAAGGTGAGGTTCTTGACCAATGTCGATAACAAGTGGATGTAACAAAAGTCTAGATCTAAGGTATGACGTTCTAGACGCGCACAAAGTACAGGCTCATACTCTTATCTCATACGATGGAAAAGTTCAAAACTAAGGTTACGATAGATACGGTTGGAATCTAGTTAGCCCATGCGCTATCCGCTGGTCCTGGATACGTATGACTTGCTGATGCAAGGGGGGGGTGTATTACAGTTGCATGGGTAACCAATCACAGAGTCAACTCCGAGAGCGCATAATGTATAGTATTGCTTTTGTAGACAACCCCTTATAGGGTAGCAATGTAATATATATATATAATCGTACTCGTACTGCATATTCAAACATTCTAGATTCAAGTTTAAGGCAACGTTTGCAGCTTTCGCTTAATTGGGTTACTATATAAATATACTATAAATAGAAATTAAATAAAAAAAAGCAGACAAGGTTGCAACACAAGGACGAAAGGAAGTTTACCAAATAAGGTTAAGGTTTTATGATTCTCTTGCGTGATGTTTAAGATTGAAAATTTTTCTAGAGGAAGCGAGCTAGCGAGCTGGTAGTTTTTGTGGGGTATGCCTTTGACATCTGGACTAATTCTCGGAAGTGTATAGATCATTCCCCCTTGTTTGTTCGATGGAGTTTAGTTTGTGTAAGGCAACGCTATTGTTGGTTACATTTGGAAATCTTGGCGCAAATTTCTGTTGCCACAGGCATTCGGGAATCAAGGGGGGGGGGGGGGATCACTCATTAGGTAAATCTCTGCACATGTTCTTTCGTTAATGTTCATAGGAAGAAGCTGACAAATCTGCTAATCTGACTAATCTGCTAACCTTCTAACCTGACTTAATCGTACGGATACGGTTAAGGTTCGTCTAGACCATTTAGGGTCAGACGGAAAATCGATTCATTATTTTTCACTTGCAACACAATACACCTGTCTAATGTGGAAATTTTTTTTTGTATGGAATTTGGTTTTGTTCCGCTTGAACGAGAAAAAATAGAAACACCTCTCAAATTAAGAAAAACAACCTTCAAGGCGGCAAGCAACCGAATTGAGGTAACCAAATTCGCACCTACGGCAGTGTACCTCCGGTGGTCCACAGTTTACAACGGAAAAAAAATAATGACAACAAGAACCTCATCACGGCAAAGCCAAGAATAAAACCAGGTGGCATCGTTTACAGCATAGCCATAAGGAGGAACGGAACTATACAAGCACCACCACAGTTTCACCTTTTCTTGTAGGGCATTCTGAGTTTTTTTTTTATTTTTATTTACATTTTTTATTTTTTTGGCCCTAGGTTTGTAGCGTTCCCCCCTCATTAAGTTGCTCCACTGTTACCAGAAAAGATGACACATTAAAACTTTAAATAACATTCATGTACTGCAACCAAATTATATAAATAACCGATAAATTTTCACCGTTTTGTTGATCATTTAATTTTTTAAGACACTTTGTTACTTCTTGTCCTTTCCCTTGCCCTTGCTTGGTTTTATCTGATACTTGTTTCATACTACACATTTACTCGCTAGTGTCTGCCGTGTTTTTTTGTTTTTTTTTTCGCATCCGTCGTTAACCGTTAAACTTTTCCCCACAAAAAACCAGCATGATCACTATACTGGAATTACCCCTTGACATATTAAGTTTGGTTGTAAACCAAATCCATCATTCACTGTCCACAGAAGAATACCAGCATGCATTAACCTCATTATCACAAACTTGTCACTACTTCAACAGAATTGTCAACCCGGTGTTGTACAAGAATATCGTTATTTATGACAATGAAAATGCCGCCATTACCAATTCTGGCTCCACTACTACCACAACTTTCATTCACATTTCGCATTTACCAAAATTTATAAATTCCCTCAGCATATCCAACTTCAAACTCATCTCGTCCATTCATATTCATTGTCATTCTAACTTTGCAACTTTTGACTACTATCAGTTGTACAACAAGTTGAACTACTTCTGGAGCAAAACTAACCACGCTATAGAATTTATAAATTTCGATGTGGACAATATACGTCGATTCCAATGCTTGAACCATTTCATTTCCCATAACAACGGAGCTAATATAGTGGAGGAGAATGACGAATGGTGGCATGGCGACTCATACCCCAAGAGTCATCACAAGTTGAACAATCTCAAGAACTGGTCGATTTTGTCGATTCAAGAATTGTACAATATCCCAGTGAACCCCAATTTGACCAACTTGGATTTCTTTATTGAAGGTGTTAAGGAAAGTTGCGTAGCTAATCCAACTAATTTGATGCACAACTTGCGTTTTATCAAGACCTTGCACCTTAATACTACTCCTTCCACCAAGATTTTCACTGGTTTGCTGAATGTGCATTGTGATAACTTGGAAAACTTGTCCGTTTGCTATAGTCACACTTTTAACCAACCTAAGTTGACCTTGAGTTTACTCACTGACAAAGTAAATTTCAACAATTTACACCAGTTGGAGTTGAAACTCAATTGCTTCCACCCTGACTGTGACTGTATTAACCAGTTTTATCACGATTTGGCCCTCTTACCTGACGAATTCACTAATTTAACAAAATTGTCCATCATCAACTACAAATCCAAGAATTCCGCTAACAACTTGTGTCAATACAATTACCTCGTTTCCAAGCAATTATCCCCATTGTTCAAGAAATTCTCAAAGATCAAGTCATTATACTTTAATATTAACGAATTTCTCAAAATCGACCAGTTAAAGATTGACTGGAACAAGTTCATCTCGGCCATTTCCACATTGACCAGTCTTGACTCGTTGACTATTGTCGACTTTTTCAACTGGTGGATGCCCTCAATTGCGTTACCTAACAGATCAGTGTTATCTCCTGAAATCCTTCTTAACTCTTGTGGATGTTCCCAATGTAACCAAGCCAGGTACAAGTTCACCAAGATGGCTGAATACGACGCTGAAAACAACTATACTCATAAATTCTCCAGTTTCAACCACGAAGAAGTCCGCGTGGATAAGTACAAGGTGATTTTGAACAAGTCAAACTCCAAGTTTCTTACGTTTATCTACCAACAGTTTAAATCTCAATTCAACCAACCATTAATATATTCATTACATGCTAACAACTTTAGAGAAAACAAGGAACTATGGAAAGAGTTTCAGCTTTTGTTTAAACACAACTGTTTGAACAGATTAAGTGGTGAAATCAAACACGGTGAAGATTATTTGAAAGTTAATTTGGGTGGAATTATTGCATAGCTTAATAATTTAATGTGGAAATCTTTTTGCATAGCTTAATATATAATCATATGTGGATTTACTCTGTAGTCTGTTGCACTTCTTGAAACCGAGCAAAACTAAGGTTTGCTGCTAATTTTCCCAAGTACCCTGCTACTTGTAGACCAATGTTTGCCGTTTGGATAATTCCCATCTGCGACTGCTTCTTTAGCCGTGACGAAAATCTTGACTTGTGGATTTTGGAAATGGTGTAGTTGGGTTGGGTACTCCTGTGGAAGACGGAAAAGTCGGAAATGTACCCTTGGAGGAACAAGTTCTTGATTGCCCGTTTTATTCGTTTCCATCTTCGGGCTCGGGTTATTCTTGGTGGTGGAAGTGATCTCATAATGGGTGGGTGCAAAATAAGCTAAAGTTCTTTGGTACTCCTTAGATATAGAGTGGGAAGTTTGTCGACAAAAACAATCGAATATTATTAGCAGATTATGGTTCAAATATCCTCAACCTTTGATATTCTCGATGTGTATTGGCATACCTCTGCCAATATTTGGTATGGGATCTAAGATTCACCACCCAATTGGAAAACTGTGGCTGGTATTTCAGAGCTACCAAATTTGGTTTTTTAAAAAAAAATCTAACCAAAAAAAATGAGAAACTCCAAGGTACTACAACAGGAAAATTGCAGGTTTTTTTGATGGAAAATCCATCTGATTTGATACCTAAAATAGCAGGTTATTCACTTCAAAATCTCATCCAAGAAATAGTATTGAACTCTATTGATATATACAGGTCATATAATACTAGCCAATAGACTTATTTGACCAGAATTTCAATTTTAAAGTCCATTTTCATAAAGACTTATTGTATCGCTTTCAAATACTAGAGGCATACAAATAGTCTATAAAACTACCTTCTTTTTCTTATTTTTATAGCAAAATATATCTATTATATCGCTACTAATCCATTAAACTGTTTTTATCACATAAAGACGATCCAAAAATATAATATTTTGATTGATTTATTTCACCTCAAAACTCCTTTCTGGATCTCAATTTTTTGCAACAAAACTCGATCTTTTCTCGCACTTTTGACACTTTAAAAAAAAATAAAAAAAAAAAAAATAGAGCAAGACATACACGTTTTCCTTTTCTAACAATATTGTTGTCAATAAATTACATTGCAATCAATCCAAAGAGCACCACCATACCATAGTCCAAGATAGCTAGTTTTCTTTGCTCGATGATAACAGCGGTAGTTTTAAACCATGAATGTAATTATCCATCAAATACCAATCTCAAATAAACGAGACAACAATTAATCTACTAACCCCCCCATGAAACAGGACAACCAAGGTAGACATACACCTAGAACTTCTTCGGGAGTGCTTTTCAGGTAGTACTATTCTGATTTAACCATTGAAAGTTCAGTTGTACCTTATTAGTAATATCTGATTGATTTTACAATTGAGAGATCGGTAATATGTTATTCTGGAAAGAAATACCTCCTTTGATCCTCTCCAGGGTGGGACTAAATAATATGCTTTGTACCATTAGATATACTTTATGCAATACACACAATTACTCGTGTATATCATTACAGTATACATGAGTTCGAAAATCTAAAGCTTTTGAATATGATTGATCAATTTTACAGAGTATTTTGGATGACCACCAGCTTTATTTTCTGTTGGTTCTTTGGTGTTGATATTTTTCATTTAGATGATTGAAGCACTATGATTGATATAAAACTCAAACCACTTTAAGAAATTTGACTAAATAATTGAAAAGTTCATTACTGGACTGTCATCCTGACAAAGCAAAAAACATCTACAGATTTGTATTACTATAATGAATTCAGTTGAAATCAAGAACCAATACTAATGTTATTAGGAACTAATTCGGGTTTTTCTGTTTCAGTAAGTTTGGATGAAATAATACGAGAAAGAATTTTGTTTTATCAACGATAGAAGACATCACAAATTGAACTTAATCTCAATTGCTTCCATGATATCTTTAATATTTACTAAAGGAATACTTTCTTTTTGTTTTGTTTGGCAACCATTTTCTCCATGTCACGTGCACGATTGCGAAATTTTTGTTTGTGTTTTGTTTACACTGTCCTGGCTGCGAATATTTAAATTTCCACAGATTCTCGATTTCTTTTCTTCTAATTGCAAACACCTTAATAACATTTTACTCAAATTATCTCAGTGAAATCTTATTACAAGCCTTTTAACTTTAAGTTTATTGATTAAGTATCACCGTTTTACCATTTCAAGTATGTTTTTTTCAAAACCTACTAATCCAAAACCCTTTATAAGAGTTTTGGGTAAACTTGCAGTGTTAATCACAAACTCAACCGCTAGCAACCACCAAATCATCAAAGACAACCAACAATTTTACCTTGATGATACCAAGAGAAGCAAGGTCAAAGAATTCTTTAGAAGATTCAAGTCATTTTTTTTGAGAAAGGTCCAGACACAAATTCCTGTAATCCAATCGACTGCTACTTGTATGTTTCAATTTACTGGTGAAGTTACTGTTGATAGTTTTAGTAGTGAAGAAGAAGTGTTCACCTTAGCTTTGAAACCATTACTTAAAACCGGGTCTCCTAGTACTATTGTCTCTACCGCCGATGTTGTTAATGAATGTCCAATTGTTGATACCTTTGAATTACCCGTTGTTACCGCTGATGATTTCGTTCCCAAATATTTATCCCATCCATTAGTTGTCCCTGCTGAATCCATTGCCGCTCCCATTTCCACTGTTGTTGAAAGTGCTTGTGCTCTTGAATCCTCTGAACCAACTGAAGCTGCACCAGAATCCGTTCCAATTGCTGTTACTACTGACTTAGCCACAGAAAAGGTTCCCGATTTGTCTAGATCCAACAGAAAGAAATTTAAGAAGCTCTTTAAGGGAATTAGATGTTCTATTCATAGAACTAAGAATTATGGATCCAATAGCCAACCTCATACCTTTATTGATGAAACTGCTGAAGTTAGAGAACAATCCTCTGTTGTTGATGCTACTGTTGAAAAATGTGACAAAGCTGAAGTTAAGGAACAATCCTCTGTTGTTGATGAAACTGCTGAAGTTAAGGAACATTCTTCTATTGTTGATATTACTGTTGAAAAATGTGACAAAGCTGAAGTTGAAAATGTTAGATCCAAGAGACAAAGAATTAAGAACTTGTTTAGAAAACTGAAATCCAATGGTCAACCTACAACCTTAGCAAGAGAATCACCTGAAGTTAAAGAACAACCATCCCTTGTTGACGTTACTGTTGAAGTTAATGAACAACCCCCTGTTGCTGATGCTACTGCTGAAGAATGTGACAAAGCTGAAGTTAAGGAACAATCCCCTGTTGTTGATGCTACTGCTGAAGTTAAGGAACATTCTTCTATTGTTGATATTACTGTTGAAAAATGTGACAAAGCTGAAGTTGAAAATGTTAGATCCAAGAGACAAAGAATGAAGAACTTGTTTAGAAAACTGAAATCCAATGGACAACCATCCCTTATTGACGAAACTGCTGAAGTTAATGAAGAATCCCCTGTTGCTGATGCTATTGTTGAAGAATGTGACAATGCTGAAGTTAAGGAACAATACTCTGTTGTTGACGTTACTGTTGAAAAATGTGACAAAGCTAAAGTTAAGGAACAATCCTCTGTTGTTGATGAAACTGCTGAAGTTAAAGAACAATCCTCTGTTGCTGGTGTTATCGTTGAAAAATGTGACAAAGCTGAAGTTGAAAATGTTAAATCCAAGAGACAAAGAATGAAGAACTTGTTTAGAAAACTGAAATCCAATGGACAACCATCCCTTATTGACGAAACTGCTGAAGTTAATGAACAATCCCCTGTTGCTGATGCTATTGTTGAAAAATGTGACAATGCTGAAGTTAAGGAACAATCCTCTGTTGTTAATGCCACTGTTGAAAAATGTGATGGAGTTGAAACTCCTGTTGTTGCCGGTTATTGCACTGAAATGGCTTCTGTTGGTTCTGGTGTTCAAGTTGAAAATGTTAGATCCAGAAGACAAAGAATGAAGAACTTGTTTAGAAAACTGAAATCCAATGGACAACCATCCCTTATTGACGAAACTGCTGAAGTTAATGAACAATCCCCTGTTACTGATGCTATTGTTGAAAAATGTGACAATGCTGAAGTTAAGGAACAATCCTCTGTTGTTGACGTTACTGTTGAAAAATGTGACAAAGCTGAAGTTGAAAATGTTAAATCCAAGAGACAAAGAATGAAGAACTTGTTTAGAAAACTGAAATCCAATATTCAACCAACAACCTTAGAAAGAGAATCACCTGAAATCAAAGAACAACCATCCCTTGTTGACGTTACTGTTGAAGAATGTGACAAAGCTGAAGTTAAGGAACAATCCTCTGTTGTTGATGAAACTGCTGAAGTTAAGGAACATTCTTCTATTGTTGACGTTACTGTTGAAAAATGTGACAAAGCTGAAGTTGAAAATGTTAAATCCAAGAGACAAAGAATGAAGAACTTGTTTAGAAAACTGAAATCCAATGGTCAACCAACAACCTTAGCAAGAGAATCATCTGAAGTTAAAGAACATCCATCCATTGCCAGTACTATTACTGAAAAGAAAGCGTTTCAAAAAGTTTCAATGTTGTCGATTAATGAATCATCAATCAATCGTACTTTAACTATTGGTACCTCAAAGTCCGTGTTGCCTGCAATTGCTTCTGCTATTAGTACATTAAAGTCTACCCCTGTTGTTAAATTACCCACTGCTTCTGCCGCTGCTGCATCAACTCCAGTAATTTCATTTGGTCGCTCGGGGAAATGTGCTTCTGCTTTTGATCCATCAAAAAAAGTATACCCTGTTTCTGGTTCATTAGCTTCTGTTGATCCTGCTAAAACTTCCAAACCTGTTATCCCAAATTTTACTTCAGGTATGGCATGTACTGGACTTTCATGGAATACTCAAATTGGATCTTCCAAAGATGCTATGAAATGGCGTGACCAAAATTCACAATTGGGCAACAAATTTGGTGCATATATGGAGTATAATTATACCTCTACGGGATATAATGATTTTTAGTCATGAATCGCTGAACCATTATATCCTGCTTTAGGTTAAGAATCATTACTGGACAATTCAACTTGTTCAACTTTTTTAAAATAAAAAAAACATAAAAAAAATTAAAAATTAAAAAATAAAAAAAATAAAAAGAATAAAAACCAATAAAAAAAATAAAAAATAAAAACCAATAAAAAAATTAAAAAATAAAAACCATAAAAAAATCCAAAATCATTTCATCACTATTATCCATATCAGAAGAGGAAAGACTAGATTAAGAAAGAGGTATTATATTTAAATCATAAAATAAGTGGAAAATTTGAATTGGCTGGAAGAACCATCATAATTACTAATTCTAAGGGTTCCGGAGAAAAATGAAAACTACCCAAAGAAAAAATATTTAACAATCACAATGTTGCAAATTAAATACAAGTCCGTTCAAACCAGTATTCCACAGAGTATACGTCTGACAGAGCCTCCATCATGACGATTGGAGGGTGTTTTGACAATACCAACTACCAACGAGGAGAAGAAAGTATTCCACAGAGTATACGTCTGACAGAGCCTCCATCATGACGATTGGAGGGTGTCTTGACTATATCAATTACCAACGAGGAGAAGAAAGTATTCCTGAATTGGTTCCAAGAAAGCTCTCAATTCAAATACTGCTGCTGAAACTGGATATAATACTATATCTATCCCTACAACTATGGGGCTGTTATATTATATTTAGGAGTTCACATAGTATAGGAACAACATTACTTGGTGTTAATTCACCAGTCACATTGCCATCACTTTGCGAAGAGGAAAAAGCAAAGTGGTGGTGTAGCTACTACTTCATGGCCATCACTTTGCAAGAGGGGAGGATGCAAGGTGGTGGCATAGCTACTACTTCATATCCATCACTTTGCGAAGAGGAGAAAGCAAGGTGGTGGCATGGCTACTATCATCACTTTGCAAGAGGAAAAAGCAAGGTGGTGGTGTAGCTACTACTTTATGGCTACTATCATCACTTTGCAAGAGGAAAAAGCAAGGTGGTGGTGTAGTCACTACTTCATGGCCATCACTTTGCAAGGGGAAGAGAGAGCAAGGTGATGGCATAGCTACACCTAGGGCTATAGAAACAATTACTACATTATTATCATCACTTTGCAACAAGTACGGGAAGGGACCAGAGTGGTGGTGTGGTAGTTGTTTTATAGCATCAGTCACAACTTTATAAACATCACTTTGCAACAAGGAATGAAACAAAGCAAGGTGGTGGTGTGACTGAACCTAGGGCTATAGCTCCAGTTACTACTTTATTACCATCACTTTGCAACAAAGAAGGGAAGGGACCAAGGTGGTGGTATGGTAGCTGGTCCAAATGCTATAGCAGCTACAACTTTATTACCATCACATTTGCAGGAGGGAGATAAAGCAATGTGGTGGTTTGACCACTCCTGGGGCTATAGATACAGTTACTAGTTTATTATCATAACCTTGCAAGAAGGAAATCAAGCAAGGGATGGTATAGTAGCTGTTCTATAGCAATAATCAGGACTTTATAGCCATCACTTTGCAACCAGAGGAGAAAGCAAGGTGGTGGTTGTGGGGCTACTACTTTATTATCATCACTTTGAAATGGAAGGAACCAAAGTGGTGGTATAGTAGCTTCTTCTACTTGAGTGGGTACTTTTCGTTCTGCTCGAGTAGGTATTGTTCCTTCCAGTTGAGTAACTACTGTTCCTTCCAGTGGTTACTGTCCCTTCAAATTAAGTAGCTACTGCTTCTTGCCTTCAGTAGCTGCTGTCCCTTCCCTTGCTATGTTTTTTTGCTATCTTTTTTTGCTACCTTTTTTTGCTACCTTTTTTTGCTACCTTTTTGCTACCATTTTACTACTAACATTGCTTTCTAGGCTGGCTAATTTTACTGCACTATACTGCTACCATTTCAGATAGTGCAGTGGTACGTATTACCAACACTACTGTTTCAATACCATTACTAACACTTATGCTAGATATTTCTCGCTACTATTTCAGATAGTGCGAAGGTACGTCTTACTTCCTAAATACTGTTACTTACTCTACTATCTCAATACAGTTACTAACACTTAATCTAGATATTCCTCGGTGTCGCCTAGGCCACCGGGGTCATGGATTTATCAATGAGTACCAATTCTGATCCGATATTCATTGAGAAGTCTAAGGCCCCCTGGTGGTCTAGGCCACCTCCACTTGTCCTTAAATCTATTTGGCCAGTGCTTCACTAACATTTCCCATGTTTGCAAATAAAAGAATTAATTGAACTGATGATTATACCTTTAATGGGCGAATCTCCTACAAATATTTCACTGTTGGTAGTGGTGAAGCTTACAATAAAACTAAAAATGTACAGGTATGGAAGCTGGTTTGCTTGAATCAACTATAATTAATGAAACTATTTCCACCAACTATGATTATGATGACATCTTTCTACTATTGAATTTATTTGAATTAACTGTTGCAACTACTACCATTGATTTTATTGTTAATGATACCTCAAATAGTCCCATAATTGTTGTTAGTAATGATTGAAACCACCACTAATGCTTTATTGAATCTAATACAAGCTACACTGTTGAATTCTGCACATCATTTTCCAACTACCAAAGTTACTTTAGTTGCCCTGACAAATCAAACTTACAAAGAGGTTAAAATCCAGCATTATCCTAACTTAGAAGAAGACATCAATAGTTTTGTTGCTTTATGTTCAATTTCAATTTCAATTTCAGATGGAAATCAACCACATTGTTCAATGAAAGTCGTTTGCTTCAACCTAGAGATTATTAAAACAAAATTATCATTACACCCTGTATCTTAAGTAGATGATTCCAAAAGTATTTACATGCACAATCCACCAACTTTAAAGGCTTTCAATGGTAAATTCATCCATTGAATAATCCAAATTAGCTATGGGTCACTAAATTCCAAAATATGAACTAGACTTAATTCAAGAAAATACTGTGGATGAATCTAGAATCCTCCCTCGATAAAATAAATAAATGATCAACCAATATATCACAAGAATCATCATGAACAGGTTCCCTCGTTTTATCATTCAAATAATATAAGTCAGTGAATGACATTGTGATTCTAGCTTGTTCATATAATTTATGGCATAGTCTTAATTTCCGGCATTGGGCTATTCCATAAATTATGAACAAGCTAGAATAACATGTCATTCACTGGTTTATATTATTTGAATGATAAAATTAGGAAATTTGATCATGAAAGGATTGAATTATTGATAACGTTTATGTCTGATATTCCTTGGAATTTAGTAGAAGAATTAAGTATATAGGATATAGTAGTAATTTAATTAATTTGTTATCTTGTAAAGATATATTCATGACTATTTCTTAAACTGCCACAGGCAATTGCAACACTTTGATTAATCATGGAAAGGAAGAAAACAACGGCTTATAGGTTGCGTTGGTAAACATTTGAAGACATGTTTTACATATACGTGAAGTCTATTTCTGGTATGGGGAATTCTGTTACCTATCAATATTATATTTTAGACTTAGTTTAATTCCAATTTTACAAAAGTTCTGTAAATTGGGTTCATTAATCCAAAAGATATCTTTATTATTTCCTAGACCAGAAAACGAATCTGTAATTTGCAGCCCGTCTACTATCACCATTTGAAGGGGTTTGCCCATTTTGCAATCGAAATAATAAAAAGCCATGATGATGATAATAATGCTCGAGCACGTGACTCATGCCATCGCTGGCAACCACCGATTTCTGGTACAACATCTTCTCAAAGCGGTTACTCATAGCGAATAGTCAATCAATCAATCACTTACCCACCTTGTATGAACAAATATGGATTAGTGCTTGGAATTGGTGCAGATATTCTCCAATCAACAAGAATAGCACGACTATTAACCAAGAGCCCTTCATTCGTATCGAAATTCTCGAAACGGATCCTACATCCAACATATGAGTATCCTAAACTTGAGAAGTTAGCTCAATCACAGCAGGTTCAATATCTAAGCGGTGCGTGGTGTGCTAAAGAAGCCGTGTTCAAGACATTAGACTTACCTGATCAGAAACAATTTGAGTTTAAACTGTGGTATAGATACTATGACTCCAATGGCAAACCCTATATCAAGAATGACATGTATAAACATTCTGATGAAGAATTCCATCTAAGTATATCTCACGATGATTCGATAGTCATGGCTACGGTACTACGACAAAAAATCATAAATGTCTAATTATTTATTTTTTTTTTATATATAAAACAAGAATATATATAGTGAATAAACTATTCCCATTCAACGGTAGCTGGTGGTTTACTGGTAATATCATAAGTAACTCTAGCAACACCATTAACTTCATTCACGATTCTGGAAGCAACTCTCTTTAAGAAAGCGGCTTCAAAAACAAACCAATCAGCAGTCATGAAATCAACAGTTTCAATGGCTCTCAAGGCAATAACTTGTTCATAGGTTCTTTGATCACCCATAACACCAACTGATTTGACTGGTAATAAAGCAGCAAAGGCTTGGGAGATTTGACGGTATAAGCCAGCCTTTTTGATTTCTTCAATGAAAATAGCATCGGCTTCACGAGCAATCTTGACTTGTTCCTTGGTAACTTCACCCAAAACTCTGATAGCCAAACCAGGACCTGGGAATGGGTGTCTCCAGACAAGTTCAGTTGGAACACCTAATAATTCACCTAAATGACGGACTTCATCCTTGAAAAGTTCTCTCAATGGTTCAATCAACTTCAATTTCATGTCTTCTAATAAACCACCGACATTGTGGTGGGTCTTGATGGTTTGTGAAGGACCCTTGAAGGAAATGGATTCAATGACATCTGGGTATAAAGTACCTTGTAAAAGGAATTCAATTTCGGAACCATCATGAGGCTTGATCTTGGCAGCTTCATCTTCAAAAACGTGAATAAAAGTGTTACCAATGATCTTTCTCTTCTTTTCTGGATCAGTAATACCCTTTAATCTACCCAAGAACAATTCAGAAGCATCAACTACGGTCAAGTTGATACCTAAACCTTCAGTCAAGGTTTTGTGGACAGTTTCGGTTTCATTCTTTCTCATGACACCATTGTCAACATAAATGGCATGGAATCTGTCACCAATAGCTTCCTTCATGATCTTGGCACCAACAGTAGAATCAACACCACCAGAAACAGCACCAATAACTTCAGCAGTTGGACCAACCAACTTTCTAATTCTGGCAATTTCAGTATCAATGAAATTTTCCATAGACCAGTTGGTGTTGGCGTTACAGATGTCAACAGCAAAGTTTCTCAACAACTTCTTACCTTGGACAGTATGGGTAACTTCTGGGTGGAATTGAATACCGTAGATCTTTTCATCTTCGTTGGAAATACCACAGAATGGAGAGTTGTCAGAAGTAGCGACAACCTTGAACCCGGTTGGCAAAGCGTGCAATTTGTCACCGTGAGACATCCAAACTTGTGAATGGTCAACGTCTTTAAACAAAGCACAAGTAGGATCTTCGACCTTCAATTCAGCAGGACCGTATTCTCTCTTGTCACCTCTGGCAACACCCTTACCGTTAATCCAGGCTAATTCTTGCATACCGTAACAAATACCCAAGATTGGAACACCCAACTTGAAAATATCATGGTCAACATGAGGAGCATCTTCAGCATAAACGGAGTAAGGACCACCGGAAAGAATGATACCCTTTGGTTTCCAGCTTAATTCGGAAATCTTTTGAGTACATGGTAACATTTCAGCATAGACTTGAAATTCTCTTAATCTTCTGGTGATCAAATGGGAGTATTGAGATCCAAAATCAAGCACTAAAATAGTGTCAAAGACCTTGGAAACTTCAATTGGAACATCTTCAGTGGAGGTGGACATCTTGTATGTGTGGGGGATAGTACCAAACCAAAAAAAGAAGAAAACAAGTGATGACCTTTTGGTTAAATTTTTCACTAGCCGTGGAATTATACCTCATCGAAAAAGAAAAAAAAAAAATTATATATTATTTTTGACTCTATTTTTGGGAGCAATAAATTAAGTCATATTGCATGAACTGGTTGCAAATAATATATCCACGCAATTGGCTGATAAAATGTTTATGGTGTTGTTTGGGTATAGTTTGCATTAGAGAATGTAGTATTGCACAGCAGTTTTACGCAGCAGTTTTACACAGAAGGAGTTTATGTGAGTCATAATTGTAACAATGCACTGGCGCTACCTGTGCCAAATACAGGACATGAACTTTATAAAAGAATTCTTGCTTTGACTAAATGAACAATATATGAAAATACTCGTAGCATTTCGCATAAAAGGACGAAAATATTTCTCTACAACAAATCTTGCATTTTCTGCAACCATCAATAACGTTCTTCGCTCTAACTTGCTCAATACATCTACAAATAGATTCGCAGAAACTTAAAGTAATTGTTAATTCATAAAACAAATATGTAAAAAATTGATTGGGTTACAGTCATGTTAAAGTGACCAGGTCAACAAAATAGCTAAACAGAGTAAAGTGTCGATGGAAGAAACGATCGAGTTGGCTGAGGATACCTTCTGTTCAGATCTTCCTCTGGAAGCTAACGTTCTGTTCACACCAGGAGGTGGGAATGCCTCAATATCTTGCTTTCCGTTACTGAAGTCTGATTGTGCTAATGATACTTCCTTGTCGTCTAAATCAACCACGAAATATATGCTTCGTAACACATCCATTCCCAAAATTAATTCATCATCATTAAACATGATATCAAAAGTACATCCATCTCCATCTCTATCAAAACCTAAGTCTTTTACCGGAACTGTGATTGTCTTGCCATCAAACTTAATCTCAATTTTTAGATTTTCTATTTGAGAGCAATTAGGAGAACCAAATAAGAATTCAGATTCCAAATATTCGGATCCTTCTATTTGTTCACGCAATGTATCTAAAACCAGGTTGGGGAATCGTGATTTAGCTGTTCCTGTATCCAAAACAAATGCTGATTCAGAAATACCTCCAGATACTTTGGTACCATTGATATTAATATCTATTCCCGAAACATTTACTTTAATTTCTGGGAAAGTTTTATTATAGACAATGGGAACTGTTTGTAAGTCACCTAAATATTTCGAATGATCAACTGCTCCGAATAGAATTGATCCAGGTTTATTAGGTTTATTCAAGAATATTGAATATGCACTTCTATTGGTTATTCCCTGATTTGACAATTCGAAAGGAAGAGATCGGCCAGTAGAATTTGCCTCTGGGAAACCTATCCCCAAAATTCCAACCTCCAGTGAAGCCCAAACAGCAAGTCCAAACTCAAATCCTTTAACAGCCACATCTTTACCAATAATGATGTCATCAGTACTATATACACCTATTGCAGATTCTTTATCCGCGTATGTTGCGTTAAACATTTTCTTTTTGTTATTGAAACTTTCAGACTTTTGATATGAAAATGTTCCATGAGCTTTACATTTTGGAGCTTTATTAGTAAGGGGGCTTTCGGCACACGTAACATTGGAGCTCATGACCCATAATATGCTTGAACCCGTGTCAACATTTACTTGAACTTTATCTCTGTTTGATCCGATTCGAAGTTCCGTTAACATTTGGGTTTGCTTGTCTTTTAAGGAAATATCTACAGCATCTCTTTTCCCAAACACATCTCTGGAAACATGACTTGGTTGTATTTCTAAACTAAAATACCCGGGTGATGCAACTGCAAATATTGCTCCACATAAAACCCATTGTAATAGCAAAAGTTTGAGCATTTTTCAAGTTTTCTTTTATAATTGTATATTCAACATGATATCGAAAGCATCAAATGAATGAAAACATATCCAATTTATATTGTATCTGATATAGATTGTCAGGTCATTTAGATCACCTAAAGTCATCTTGGCTACATGGTGTAGCTACAAAAGAATATTTTGGATGCTAAAAAATAATATGCAAACATATGACCAATTCGAAAAATGGAATTGAAAATAGAACACATGTGAACTGGGCTTTTGTTTGTCCTCTGGGAGCTTTGTCCCTCGGCTGATGTTTGTGTTTATTAAACATAGAAGGTAACATGAAATACTAATCATAGAAGGCAACGCCAGATTATGTAGAAGCATTTAAGTGCCGCTGATGCAAGCGATCCACAATTAGGATCTGACAGAAAAAAATCCTTTGATGCGATGACGTAAATGGGTCATTTACTCGATCTTCTCTTTATTATCCTCATGTTCTAATTCAAGATACAGGAACATGATGCCTTCCTCATTAAGTTAATTATTAGATGCCTAAGGAGAAGCTTTGATTTGATCATACTTTGTAATGTGAGCAACTATTGCAGTTTATTTTATCCTTGTCTTTTAATCAATCACCTGAATACTTATTCTACCAAGTATACTCATGTACCTATTTAATAGATTCTAAATTCATCAATGAATAACTCAATAGAGATTTAATGTTGTGTAAACTTTTCTACCAACAGATGTATATAGAACGATATAGTTTTGTATTACCTTATAAAATACAATCAAACAACTTAAACATAGAACAATTGATTCATAAACATTTGACATCTCTGGTATAGATATCAACCTAAAGAACCCAAGCGCACAAAATTGCCAAGGCGAGTAAAATATCAATAGAAATTGAGTTGGCTGAAGAAGCCTCTTCTATAAAGGATTTGCCTCGAGAAACTGAAGTTCTATTAACATCTGGAGGTGGGAATTGTTCGATATCTTGAGCATCAGTATATCTTGCTTGTGCTAAGGAAACTTCTCTGTCGTGTAAGTCAACCACAAAGTACATGCTTCTTAAAACATCAATACCCAAAATTAATGTCTTATCATCTTGATTATCGAAGTTCATTTGCAACAAACACTTTCCATTTTCTTCACCATAATCTAACGACTCTGCAGGAACAGTAATAGTCTTTCCGTCAAACTTGAAATCAAATGACATGTCATTTAACTTGGAGCAATCGTCAAACAGAACGGCATGCCAAGTGTTATCATAAGTACCACCTAATAAATTTTCAAGGAACCCTGCATATTCAGCTGGTAATCTTGATCTGGTACTACCAGTATCTAATACGTATCCCATCTCACCAACATTACCTGGGATGGTTTGTCCATTCATGCTAACATCTATGCCCAAAACATTTACTTTAATTTCTGGGAAACTTTCATCGTAAAGAATAGGAACAGTTTGTAATTCATCATAATACTTTGCATGGTCAACAGCACCAAACATAATGTTACCATCAGCATGACGTTGATTCAAAAATACAGAATATGCATTTCTTTGAGTTACTCCTTGGTTCATCAACTCCTTTGAGAGACTGTGGCCGTGTACAGATCTTTCTGGGAAAGTAAGACCCAAGACTCCAATATCCAGTGAAGTATCACTAGCAACACCAAAGGCAAATCCATTGACAACAGCACCACCCACAGAAACATCATCACTACCCCAAACACCTGTGGTCTTTTCACCACTCAAGTATGCAACTTCAAATTCACCCTTGTCGTTATCTACTTGGAACGTATTCGAGTTCAGCATTCCAAAAGTGCCACCTGCTTTACAGTCGGTGGCTCTTTTAGCCATACTTCTCTTGCTTGGCTTGCTTTCACAGGTTACATCAGAATCCATGACCCATAAGTATTCTGAACCTGTATCAATAGCAACTAATACAGAGTCCTTATTAGATCCGATTTGGAGTTCGGTTAATAACAATTCGTCACCTGACTTTACCGTAGCGACAACATCCTTGTTCTGAGCTCCACCAGTGGAGCCCAAAGACGAAACTAAATCCAAGTTAACAAACCCTGGAGCAGCTGCAAATGCAGCTCCGGATAAAAACCATTGCAAAATTAAACTTTTATGCATTTTGTAATATACTTTTCTTACTGCATGAGTATACATCGACAAATCTGAGATATGGATCATACATCTAATTTATACTTGGATCGTGTTTTCATGGTCAGCACATTTGAGACTCGTCACTAGAGAGTCATTTTAATTGCATCACGCAGTTGCAAAAAAAAAAATTTAGGCGGAAGAGACATAATAAGTGCGACATCGTATGACCTAAAATGTTGCAGTGATGAGCGAAAAAAAAATTTTGGGTCGAGGGGGTGTATATGTCGGTTATTCTTGAAATAAGTTTAGTCTTATTCTTTGGTACATCTTACGACAGATCATAGAAGTCTGGAGGGTAGAGACAAAAAAGTACTTATCATATACTTTATTTGATTTGTCTATTTATACTATTTAATTATGAATTAATTAATTTACGGATAATCTCTGTTTTAGAAAGGGGGGGTGTAAATTAGACTATAAATCTCAATGCAGATCTGCATACAGCCGTGAGGCGCGCCCGCCTCACAGAGAAAGTCATTATTAATACATGATTTAAACCACTTGCTGTAGTACACGTACATGATCTAGTATGTAATAGCACGTTGTCAAGTATATTGATTTATACAAGAATTGAAAATATTGGATAGAGGAGGAAGGGAAGAACCAACAAAGGTTCAAATAAGAACTATAAAACTTGAGTAACTGTATCTTCAACAGTTTTTTCAAGGGGGATAAAATCAAAGCCAAGAATTTCTTTTGTTTTGGAATTATCGAACTTTTGGATCAGCTTTTCAAGTTCAACATCCTTGGAAATGTCTCCTTTTGGAACAGAAGAGTCAGGGAATTTTTCATTGATAATATGAGCAATTGAATCAAGACTGAATTTTTCTGAAATAAGTAATAATCTTTTCGGAACAGCTCTTTTGTTCTCAAAAGCAACTAAATGAGCACGAGCAACATCTCTAACATCAACAAAAACCGAACCAAAAGATTCAATTTTGTCATCTTTACCCAATTTAACTACAGTGTTGATAATTTCATTGGAAAGATTCAACTTTTTCTTGTTCTTGACACCGTAAGCTTGAGGACCAAATACATAACATGGAATAACAAAAGATGTATCAAAATTTGGTTTTTCCTTTTCGATAAACTCAAGAGCTGCCAATTCAGCAAATTTCTTAGATACAAAGTATCCAAACATTGGATTGGATAAACTCTCTTCATAGGTGATTGGGTTCCAATCATCTTCAGTATAAACTTTGTTCCCATCAAAGTGTGGGCCAAAACCAAAAACGGAAACAACAGAGCCAGTAATCACAACCTTGTTGATCTGAGGGGCATATTCGGTGATTGCCTTGAGTGCATTAACTGTACCATCAACAGCAGGTCTTATCAATTCTTTTTCAATATCGGTAGCAGTGAAACCAACGGGTGAAGCAATATGCATGAACCCCGTAACTTCGGGATGTTTCTTCAAAGCAGCATCAAACCCCGGCTTATCACCAAGTTCACTGATAATCTCATAAGAAAACTTATCACTTTTAACCAACTCCTTCAATTCATCTCCTTTGGTAGCTGATCTAACTGAACCAACAACAGCATAACCTTTAGCAAGCAAAAGTTTAATAACATGTTGAGCAACGAAACCATTGGCTCCAGAAACGAAAACAGAAGTAGGGGACATTTTTTTTTAAAAATTAGTAGAATTGACTGATGGATAATTCATATAACATTTAATCGATCCAATGTGGGTTTTGAACACATATTTATACCCTGTAAATTTATCAAATTGAGAGTATGTGGTTTTGCAACTATAGGAAACAAAGTTTTTGTTATTATGCAGGAAATTCTTGCAACCATATCAAATGCGGGTTTCTTATTTGGGAAAGAAACCCTCCCCCCACAACCCTGATTTGTCAGCTTCTTCGTATTTGCCACCTAATATTATTCTTCTGAGGGGGGAGGGGGGGTTCTATCCTTGTATCAATGTCAATGTAATTGTGTATCAACAAAGTAAGCATAGGAGCTGACAAACTATTTGCTGACTAATATTCGTATCTGTTGCTATAACCTCCACACCGGAGAAAGAACTGTTTTTGGTAAGAATCACCGAGTGGAAATCATTTCCCACTGTTTTTATGGATCAATAAATCAGCTCGGCTCTATTGATAAGGTACGTAATTGCAAAGGTAGGTTATATAGTAATAAACAGGAGGAAATGCTTATTAATCAAATTATTATAGCCTTCTGGCAAGTGTTTCTGAATGTTTGTTATCCACTTGAAGTATAGCTGTTCTCACTAACTTCAATTGTTAAAATATTTTGACATTTATCAGGTGCTATCAATAAAATATGGCTATAATGAAATAATATGTTCATTGGTTTCTTTGTTAAAGCAATACAATCAAACCACAAAAAAATATATAGTGGCTTGTTTACAAGCTTCTATTTTCCAAACGGGGTCTAAAACTTTACTTTCTTACCTTGCATAGTCTCACGAACATTATATAACTTCGAAATCTTGATGTAACCAGTTAGATCATGTTTCTAGCTACATCAATCAACCAGTTTACAAATCTTGTTGCTTTATCTCGTATATTGAATACCGCGGCTATTTTTTCTTTTTCTTTTTCTTAGCAATGAGTCAAAAAATTTTCCCAACAATATACCAACAGTTGCTAACCAATGGCTTCATCAATATCTGGTCCTGTACCACTTCCTGCTTCCAAATATGATCTCAGCACATATTTTGGTCGTGTTCGTCACTGTGCCGAAATCCTGGACCCAACCATGCTTCTTACAACTCCTCATCAACTTGAACAAGCGAAACGATTAGTATGGGATTATAAAAATGGGGTATTGCCTCAGATGACACCAGATTTATGGAGAGCTAAACAAATCCTCGACTCCTCATTGCACCCAGATACTGGTGAAAAAGTCTTTTTGCCTTTCAGAATGAGTTCGTGTGTATTATCAAACTTGGTGGTTACTGCAGGTATGTTAACACCTGGATTAGGTACTGCAGGTACTTTGTTTTGGCAAGTAGCAAACCAAAGTTTGAATGTGGCTATAAACACCGCCAATGCTAACAAATCACATCCTTTAACTACCATGCAAATCGCCACCAATTATGCCATGGCTGTGACTGCAAGTTGTTCAGTTGCTGTGGGTCTTAATTCAATTGTTCCAAAGTTAAAATCGCTTCTGCCAACCACCAGAACCGTTTTAGGAAGATTGGTTCCGTTTGCTGCCGTTGTTTCAGCGGGTGTTGTTAATGTATTTTTAATGAGAAGTGAAGAATTAAAGAAGGGGATTTCCGTGTTTGGTCACCTGGGAACTGAAGTTGGAACATCGAAAACGGCCGCATGGTACGCCGTGGGTGAAACCGCTGCAAGTCGTGTGATTAACGCCACTCCAATTATGGTCATTCCTCCATTGATATTAATGAGACTTCAAAAAACAAGATTGTTAAAGGGTAAGAGCAAGGCAGTCGAAACTGCTGTAAATATTGGATTGATTTTTGCAACTTCCCTTGTAGCATTACCATTCGCCTTGGGTGTGTTCCCACAAAGAAGAGTATTACCAGTTACTACATTAGAACCACAATTCCATGGGTTAAAGGATAAAAACGGGAATGAAATTACTGCATTAGAATTTAATAGAGGTATCTAGATTATGCATATTATTATTAGTTACTAGCTAGAGGTAAATTACCAAAATCTCCATTCATTATTGTTGGCAATTCCTAATGCCTGCTCTATTTCATGTCTATCTCTATATCCACAAAATAACTCGGTGGAAAACAAATCGGCATTGGAAATATCTTCTGAATATAATGCACCCACTCCTTTGCCTCCTAATGAGGTATCAAAACATTCAAATCCATGTTGAGAAAATTCATCCATCGCCTTCTTTAATTCAGTTTCATCTACATTGGCATTAACCAATGTAATTGCACATCCACCACCTCCTGCTCCTGTCAATTTGGTAGCGCCGATATTGAATTTATCGCCAATTATCTTAACTTGTTCTAAGGAAGGATGGGAAACACCTAATGCGACTAGCAAACCGTGATTGACATTAATAAGGTCTTGTAACTTCTTTTGTTCTAATTCTCCAAACTTAGATGTGGTCATAATATCATGGGCTTCCACGGATAAGTTACCCATGGAGTTTAAAACATCCTTGAAAATCGTAGGGTATCGTTTGGTTAATTCGCCTACTCCACCAACCAACTTGGCAGTACTTCTAGGAACAGTGGTGTTGGTAAGCAAGAGTTTTAACTCGGGGAAATTACGGATATTGGTTCGTACTGAAGGTTGGTTATCCGCGCCGACGTTTCTTTGAAACATAACAGCACCACCATGGGTAGCAACAGCATTGTCAATACCACTTGGATTACCATGGAAACATTTTTCTCCAATAAGGGACCATTGGTCAATAAATTCCAATTCCTCGGCATCTTTATCAGTTGCAGGTTCGTCATGAGAAAATGAAGCCTTGGTTACCCAGTTTCCAAGTACAGCTAATGCAGACGCAAGACATACAGAAGTGGAGGCAGAACTACCTAATCCAGCACCAATAGGTAAAGTAGATCTCACAACAAATTTCATCCCTGGAGTTTCTTGGGAAACCAAGTTACTGTACAAGTAAAGGAAACAGAAACAAGCAGTATGATGCATTTTTGATTCAATATTCTCAAGCAATGGTGACAACTTGTCAGAAATCTCGGGAACTAGTTCTTCAGTGACCTTTGGACGACCTTTATCGTCGAGTTTAACCAACGACTTTATAGCTTCGAACGGGATATCATGCTTGTTCCAGCTATGATTCAACTTGATATCAGGAAACTCTAAAGTTATTCTGTCGTTGTCGTTTGGAGAAACTAACAAGTAACAACGTAAACTTAATGCTGCGGCAATAGCAGGTTGACCATACACGGCGGAATGTTCACCAAAGATGATAACTTTCCCAGGAGCACTAACAATGAATGGAGACTGGGTAGAACTGGCCAATTTTTCAGGAGATGATGAAGTCATAATGACGATCTGTGGAGAAACCTGAAAAGAAAAGTGGTGGGTGGGAGGTTGAGTTGGCAAAATATAATGTTACATTGATTCGTTACGCGAGATATACGATGGGCGTTGCAAAGAAAATGTGGAATTTTTTCACTAATCAACAAATGCAGTGTGTCTGTATTGCTCACTTCCTAAATAGGCAGTCTACATCTCAGGGCAAAAAAAAAACACATTAAAAATCAGCACCTAAAATTTGGCAACAACATAAACAATCCAAAACTAGTAAACCATCAGGCATGAGTGTTGTCCAATTGAACTCAGGCAAACCTGGGTTAGGTGATCCTACATCTACTGAGCTAGGTAAAGGTGATCTACCACTTAAATCAATAGAACCAAGTCAGTATTGGACGTTTGACAATGCCCTTAATTTGCTTAAAACTTGTCATGATCCATACATCCTTAGAACCCTTGATGAGTTCCTTTTGCTTAACAGTAAGGTGTTGATTAATCCATCACCGTTTGCAAATACTGGCACTGCTTCTATATCAGGTAAGGAAATGTCTTTAAGAGCAATCAGTTACGATATATTACCCGTCAACATTTCCGATGCAGAAACCATTGGAAAATACTTACCCTTCTTAGACCTTAAGGAAATCATTCGGGTGATTTCACAAACATGTAAGAAGATCCCGCCTAAGTTCTGTCATGAATGGACCGTCAAGAGTAAACTTCATGAAGATCGTGATAAGTTGTTGGATAACGAGCGGTTATACTTGTACACATCAAAACTTTTACGAGAACGAAGAAGTGTGTTGAAGATGGTTATTGAATTGGTCAATAACAAGTTGAATGAGTTCACATCCACCACAGTCAAGAATTTGGGTAAAGAAATTGTTCTTTCTAAAGACTATATTGGTGAGTTGATTGACTCCTTACAGGCAACATGTACATTTATTACAGAAAGGAAATATGTAACCGGTATTTCCAAAAAGTTGGATGAATTGGTTTATAATGAATCGATTTTATTCGCAATACAATTGTGTCAAGTCATGGTTGAAGTATTAATGGGCCAATCCACCCTTGTTTTTAAAGAAGTCAAACATTGGTTTCAGTTTATGAAGTCCAATAACTTTGGTATGAGCTTGGGTCCTTTTATCACTTATCCAGATTCATTCAATCAATTACAATCTTTATTCACAGTGGTTTCTGTGTTGGTGTTGGATTTAGATGGTGCTTTTGATGGACAGCATAAATATATCAGTGTTGCTGATGTGTTTCATACTATAAATGATGCTATAACTAACAATTCCAACAACACTAATGCAGTGGTATTATACAGTTGGTCCATTATTGTTCTCAGGAAATACTATTATATCCAAGAGTATCCTTCGAAGGAATTCACTGTACATGAGCTAGACCAAATCATAAACTCATTGAATCCAAGAAGCACTCAAGTGTTTTCCCAATTACGAAAACATAACCAAATATTACATTTCGACAAGATTTATTCAGCAATTTTATCTACAGTTATTGTTGCTGCTCTACCATTAGTCAACTTGACCACCGAAGTGGTTGAAGCCATTCATGATATTGCCAGCAATTGTCCTAATCATATTATCGAACGATTTTTTGAAAATGAATCTACCAGAAACACTATTATCCTTGCAAGAACTAAATTCCCATTATTACTTACTCCCTATATTAAACTTTGTTCAATTCATGGAAACTTTGCCCTTCATGAGTTCAATGAACTTTTATCGTACATTCAAGTGTTTAACAAGGATGAATTTGTTAATATGTATCAAATTGATGATGAAAACACCGAGTTGGTTAAATTGACAGAATGGGTCGACATTTATCCTCCATTTGAAGCAAGCAATAAGAAGTTATCTATGGTATTGAAATCAGGTACTAAAGCTAAGATATTACCTGCTTCTAATCCAAATGAGGTGTTGGTAACTTTCTTGTATAAATATAATGGATGGGCATTCTTGGGAAGAGTATTGCAAAATATTTCCAAGTTATTCAATAGTGCTGATCCTACTAAAGTTGAATTAGTGGTTGATATTTTGAATTTGATTAATCGTGTTGTATTGGATAATGGAATTGATGAAGCGAAATTGGTATTAGAATCAATGTCGGCATATACTGATGATTCAGATATTTTAGAAGTTATATTGAGGTTACTTGAACAAGGATTGCATTCAAGAAATGTTGATATTTTAGTTAGTGTGATTGAATTGTTAACCAATGTCATGCCATTCTTGTCATATAGAATTTGGCCATATTTATCCAAGTCGGTATTGTTTACACAAAATGGTAAAGAAGGATTTGCAGCTACCATCTTTGGAGCAATTGAAATGGTTAATGGAGATTATGAATTCACAATTGCATTGATTAAGATGACCGAATCATTAGTACAAAATTGTCTTTCCTTGGATCAAGACTATCCTGAGAAATCAAAGAGTGTAATCTTGTCAAAAATTGTTACACATTTAATTAACTTGTTTGAAAGTTTTATATATTGTCGGTTCAATAAATCTTATCAAAAGATGGAAATGGGAGTATTGATTCTTGATATTTTGTCAACAATCTTGGCTACTGTGTATGGAATTGACCCTGATACTCCAGTTGAACACAAAGCTACTAAAGTATTTGCCAGCTCAGCAGTAAGAATTCTCGATGCATTTTTAGTTACTGACAAAGATAGTTCCCGTGCCGCTTCTCCAATTTTGACCATGATTGAATCACTTTCCCAGAATTTGGAAATGTATGAATTGAATGATAGTTCAGGATTTTGGCATGAGACTTGGATCAGATGTTGTCTTTCCTATTCTCATTTATTGATTACGATCAGGTCAACTTTGAGTTACCCACCTTCTGCGTTTGAACGCAACTTATTTATGCATTTACCAAGTCTTGTAAGTTCATATTCAAGATTTGAATCTATTCGTAAGGATATTCTTGATTTGTTGACTAGTTTGACTAATGCCAAGTGGGATCAAGATAGCGCAACTCCTTCATTGTTGTCTCATTTAGGTAGTGATTTCAGTCAAATGTTGTTGCATTCACTTGCAGCCGATTTGGATAATTCATTTGATGATTACAAGTTGAAGGTTTCTTTATACGATTTCATATGTGCAGTTATGATGGGAGGTAATCAAGAAGGGCTTTCTGTTCTTTTCATTAGTGGAAGAGATGTGTTTGGGGATTATACCAAGGATCATGAACACAAAGAAGTTGAAGAGAAATTGTCATTGTTGCTGATCCTCAAGGGTAATATTAATGATATGAAGTATTATCCTAATTCAGTTAGTATTCATTTAGTTGATGCCTTGGCATTAGCATTCAATTTATGGACAACCACCAAAGAAAATGACAATGATGTGGAATTTATCAATACTTTGATTTCAAGAGTCAAATTACAGATGATTGACCCTCCAGACACGGCCGAGAGTTATATCAGTAGATGTTATGAATTGAAATTAGTGGCTAAGGTGGCTGAGATTCTTGCATTGCATTTATTCACCACTAGAAATGATAAATTGAAACAAAACATTCTTGATTTTATCACCTCAGATTTCATTGATATTGCCAAAACAAAGTTTACTGTAAGTGATTACAAGTCCAATTTACATAACAATTTACAAATCTCATTTGAAGCTGCCTTCCCTAAATTGAAGTTATCACAATTTACCACTGGATTAACCAAGAGAAATAGATATGGAATTAGCACTGTGTATAATTTACCAGTTATGGATTCACTTTTCAAACATGAATCCGAATGGCCCCAGATTAGAGAACAAGTGATTGCATCAAGTATTAATTTGCAATATGTTAATGCTCAAGTATCCAGTGCTAAATCTTTTGGTGCTTTGATTACATCATATTGTCGTACATATGAACCAGCATTGGATGTGCGTATGTTGGAATTTATTGACTATTTATTAAGACAGAATATCAATGAAGGGATTATTTCAGAATTAGTTCTGTCGATATATTACGAAAGGGTGGAGTTAGGATTCTATTTGATGTATTCATTTTATAGCAGATGTCCAAAGACTACGAGTGGCAAGGATACAAAAGCAGTGTTTGAAATCATCAAAAGTGGGTCAACATTATTAAGCTCAAGCAGTATGAATTTCCTTTCTAGTTTGGCTGAACTGCAAGGTTATTACCGTCCTTTATTGAAGATTATTTATTGTGGATTATTGTTGATTTCCAACGATGAAACTATTGTAATGGAATATTTCAGTTTATTCAGGGATTTGTTTGAATTGATTATAACTAAGGGAACAAAGACATTGTTGATTGAAGTTCAAAACGACGTTTATCTTTCTCGTACTGATAAGAACCACAAGTCAGTAAAGATGAATGATAGAATTGATGATCTTATGATGATTCTTTCCATATTGAAAATATTCATTAAATTAAGCGGAGGCAGTCGCTTACATCAAGAAATGGCTCTGCTTGTGGTGGACAATGGTACCATTAAATCCTTACTTAATCTTTATTCCATATCCCATGCAATTGAAGTAAATGATGATTTCATATTTGCCCAATTGCTGTTGATGTATACTCTTGAATTAATGTCGATTGAAGTAATTGCCAATGAATTCATTAAATCAGGCTTGTTTGTTGTGTTGTTGGAATCACCAATTCTGATTCCTATTAGAGCCGGTGGGCTTTCTATCGCCCATGGTGCGCAATATTACAGACTATGGATAAATGGAATTTTGCCAGTGATAATCACCAGCTTGTCAAAGCTTGGTCCGGGAATTATACCTGAAGTATGTGTTGCCTTGCAATTGTATAACAAGCAATTGGAAAATTGTATTGAATCATGGTCAAGAGATTCATCATCTATTAGAATATCCACTTCGATTGTGGCAGAAACTAATCAAATCTTGCTTATTTATGACCTACTTAAGTCAATGAATGTGAGTGAATATTTGAAGGGGAAATATGAAGTAAGCAGTGATGAAATTGATATGAAGATTTTACCTGGATTGGAAAGTGAAGCTAAGCGAGAGTCATTTGGTGAATGCATTGAGAATTTGTTGAAGCATCCAAAATTCTTGACTTCGAGGGTTGCCCCTAGTTCGTTGGAAGAACAGCGGATTATTGAAGTTGGTGGGGAACGGTATGAAAAGTTTGTCAAGGGGATTATTGATGAGATTAGAGACTTGAAAGATTATTTTGGTGAGTAAGTTATTTGGAGTTTTTTTTTTAACATGTACAAATGTATAATAGAAATAAAATTATCTACTGTGGTTTCTATTTATAAGTGTATTTCTTTAATCTGAGGTCATGAAATAAGATCGTTGGATTTCCAATGGAATTTCAGCATCTGGCTTGGAAGGATTGTCTAATTTGACACCTAAATCGTCAACATACCCTGGGGTTCCTTGTAAGGTTGTGTTTGCAATGGTTGGTAATTTCCCACCACGGTTTTCTCCATGAACCAATGCTTTCCAACTTTGATGACATTGTTTAATAACTTCAATTGTTTCTTTGGCATTTTTGTAGACGGCATTGAATGCAAATGCATTTGGTGGTTTGCCATCAGGTAATTTGTAATCCATAAACCATTGTCTGGTGGTTTCCAATAAACCGGGACATTTAGTGTATAAATGATGTATATCGTAAACCTCTTTAGCCAAGGGATCTTCCACATCAACAACAATGACTTTCCAGTCTAATTCTCCGTCATCAATAAGGGCTATTGCACCCAAGATCTTAACTCGTTTGATGTCACCGGTGTGTAAGATTCTCGACCCAATTTCACATACATCAACTGGATCATTGTCTCCGTATAATCCGTTAACGTGCTGTGTCGTTGGGTCTTCCCAAGTTTGTGGGAATGCCCCGTAATTATGAATATAGCCATGGTGGGGGAACAAGTTTTTCACGTATCTAACCTTGTCACTCTTGCTATCCTGGACGATGGGGTTTCCAGGTAATTTAGTATTAATCTCAAATTTGGCGTTGGTCCATCGAGGAATCTCCACCACTATGTTTGCTTCTTTGGTTGTAGGATTGAGCTCAAGTGGTACGTCATGGAAATACGAAATCACTTTGTTGTTCTGTACCGCATAATTCTTGAAATCAGAAGTGTATTTGGTACCTTGGTTAATGTTGGCAATAGTGGACAATCTCCTAGGTGCAAGATGTTGCTGGGTTAAGTTTAATCGAGCAATAGCTCTGGTATTCAAACTCATGATCTTGAATGTTCTCAACACCGACATGATTAAGGTGAATGTGATTTTCTTTTATAATGAGTTAGCCCCTCCAATAAAGAATGAAATAAATTATTTATTTTTATTTTTTTTTTTTGGTTGTGTTTTTCCGAGGTTGAAAAAAGAGTGGGGAGATTGCTGGAACTTACCTGTGGGACTTCTAAATTAGAGTTTTATCCAATCAGATTGCTCATAACGGGTTGGACCAGGGCTTTGAACGTAGAAAAACGTTGGGTTAGGATCTAGATGATTCTACAGAAATTTCTGTGGTAAGGCTATGAAAAATCCGTCGGCCCAAGTCAGCGGGGGAAGATATGTTCTTCTACCCCACTTGAAAAATGTCGAAAACAATAGTCCAATCCAAAGCCACAAGATGTGTAAATTTCTGTATCTGTCGCTAGTACTGCTTCTTTGAATCGTATAAAGTGCATCATGTATACATGCCAAATATTTGTATATCTATATATACATGACATGACAGTTTTGCTAAGATTCACCTAAATGCACATGGAGATATCGCTATATTTCCTTCATTACAACGCAGCTACATACTGGCGCAGGGTGCATAATCAAAAAAAAACTAGGCTGCAAAATCAGTTGACACATTAAATTTTATAAATACTCTATTAAATACTAATTAGGTGGTTTACCCAAGTAAATAATGCCACCTTTTTCATCAAATCCAGCATTTTCATTACTTATATTAATCACCGACTTCAACTTATCAATTTCCAAATCACTCAATCCCATTGGATCACGAGGAATCCAAACCCCAGGACATTTAGCAGAAATGGCTGGTGGATGATAAGTATGCTTGTTTTCTGGAGCTTCGGCTGGTTCCACCATATAACTCAGGGGCAAGATGGACTTGGCGTGTCTGAAGTTGAGGAACACGTCTGGTCTTACAAAACGAAGTAACGGAGTTGGATTTTCGATGTTGATTCGTTTGAAATCACGATCAGCCAAAAGGCGAGTAGTGGAGACCTTTTCCAAATCTGGAGAAAGTGAATTTTCATGTTCATGTTCTTCTTGTTCTTCTTCGTATTCTTGCTTTTCCTTTCTCTTTCTTCTCTTGTTGAGAACTTTTTCATGGTATTCGGTGTGACCTGAGTATGAAGGAGTATCAGAATGTCCGTCAAGTGCCTTCATACAGTCAACTGGAATCACAGTCAACAAGTGATCAAATGCCTCCTTCAAATGAACATGCAAGAAAACAGTAGTGACAATCCCAATAACTTGCAAGACAATTGGTCCCCATCCTTTACCCACAGCGAAAATACCCAACATACAAATTTGACCGAGATAAATACCAGTGAATGTCTGGAATAAAGCCACTGGGTAATGCATACCTCTGTTGTCAGGAGATTCAACAAACACATAGGTTAAGTTATAACAATAGGCAATATAAATCAAAAAGAAGGCCACACAGGCAAAGGCAATAATCAATGGAGAGATGATCGAGTAAGCCAAAGTGATACATGCCAATTGGGTAAATACTGGGAAAACAGTACCCCAGCTACAAGTACCCAAGCCACTAAATCTGGCCCACTTCTTACGAACAGTGCCGTCTAACAATGCCCCAAGAATATAGTACAAGAATAAACCAACAATTTGGAATAAGGAAGCACTAGCAACAGATAAACCTTGTAAGATCAAATATGAAATGTAGAAATTTGATGATAATGGTAATTTGTTAGCAAGAATACTCATGGCACTAGTAGGTTGTTCCACAATTTTAGTAACTGTTGCAGTTGCAGAAGATGCCAATGCAGTAACCAAGAAACCGTTAACCATAAGGAAACCAAAATAAGCACGTTGAGTATACATTTCGATTGCTTGAACTGAGGGAGAACCGGAAATAATAGCCATACCTCTAATGAACATTGGTAACAACATCATCAAAATAGCTAATAATGCAGTTGGCAATAACCCAGTAACCACACCAAACAAAGCTGGGGGCATTCTTAAAATCCACCTTAACCAGGGTAATTTATTTGTCAAGAAGGTGATATTAGAAATTACCCCGACAAATGCCACTGGAATAGCCCAGAAGACAATAACAGCAATAATTGCTGCAAATGACCCGAATCTTCTTGCAATTCTTTCCCACCAGAAAAGTCTCATGTTAGACCATTTAACATCACTTGGTTCAATACCGATGTAGGAAGGTTTCATACGAAGTGGGTTATGGTGAACGGTAGATTGGAAAGCTAATTGAGCATAATATTGATTTTCAAATTCAACAAAAATAGAATTCATTGGTTTGAAATGACGGTAACCCTTTTGTAATTGTCTGATTTCCTTGTTTAATCTTTCAATTTCCTTATGGCAATGTCTAATGGTGTCGACTTTTCTGGAAAAGAATCCACCTTCTTTCATTCTAGGACGTTTACCTTCTGGAACATATGCACTAATTTCATCAGCAGGTTCAATTGGTTCACCCTTTTTATCAGCCTTTAACTTTTTCTTGACAGCTTGTTTCAACAATTTGTTTTCAGCAGCTTCTAAACGGTTAACTAATCCAATTCTTTCTTCAACCTTCAGTTCGAGTTCTTTAGTTGATCTGCAGACGTAAATTCTCTTAACACCGTTGAAGATCTTGAAGAATTGCTTTTCGTCTAACAATTCATCAGGAACTGATTGGAACAACACAGTCCTGGAACTGTTCTTCTTGGCGTACTTTGGACTGGACAACACAACATTACGTAAGGAATTGTAAAAGAACAACTCACGGTAAATGACAAAGATGACAATACCGTACCATACCCAACCAACAAACACGTGAGCATAATAACGTTGTCTGTGAACAACATTGGCAATGGATAACTGATCAAAACCTTTATTACCATTACCATTGGTGGCATTAATAGGTAACAAAATGATATAGGTTAACAACCCCCCGAGGAACAAGTAAGCAAAAATCTTGAGGTATCTCAAAAAGAAGTAACCATCCAACCCAGCTTGTTGTAAGATGAAGGATTGAGGTTTAGTCAACAAGATAAAGACCCATCTGAATGGGTCCTTGGGTAATGGTTCTGGTTTCTTGTCTTCTTCGACGAGATCAAACGAGGATTTAGGACTGTAGATTCTTTTGAATGGTAATCTGAGGAAAAGGAAACAACCAATGAAGATCGCAAACACGATCAAATTGGCAGTTAATGTCGATATGACCGTGGATGTGGACACACTACTTGGTGCAACATCACTCATCTTGACGTATACTGTAGATCAAAAACGAAAAGAGGAAGTGGTAGGATCAAGAAAAATTTTGTTGATTTTTATATTGTTTGTTGTTGGAAAGTTTTGTGTATTTGAGTTCAGCCCTTTTCAATGGAACATTCCAAGTTTGACATTGTTTTAGATGGAATTTTTACATCGTTGTTTCTATAGGAAATGCTGCCAAAAAAAAAAATTTTTTTCTTATTATTATGGATTTATTTTTTTTTTATTTTTTTTTTCTGTCACAAAAGTTATGCACTGTGTGCAAACTAAAGCACAACGTCACCGCAAACAACAGAAATGCTACAAAATTCATCGGAATTTCAGATCACGCACGCGCGTAGCCAAACATAAACATTCACACAAAATAACGCTAATTAATCTAAGCCAAAAAAAATAATAATAATAATTCCAGATTTCCATGATCTGTACAGGTGGGGCATCGCTAGCAAATGTACTGATCATGTATTGTGGCTATTTTGCTATTAGCAATCGGTTATTGTAACCGCAGAAAATTTTTGGTTTCTATTTTCTGCTGAGCTACCACGGGCTGTTTCTGATTCTTAGCACCATTTTAGTGCGCGGGTGGAGGTGAGACGTGGCAAAGGTTAAATTTGTCTAGGCAGGGCCCTAATAGTAAACTCTTGGCTAAGTTTTTCTTATCTATATTCAGCATGGAATATATTTACTTCCTACAATGTAAACTACTTCCTTACAAGTTATGGTGAACTAGCCCTAGCTATTATTTCCTGTCTGTCCCTGATTTAATTTTTTTTTTCTTTACTCTTTGTGAGCAAACTCCGGCCCGACCATTTTATAAGCCTGCCCCCCCTTCCCCCCGATTTTGGATCAACTAATCAATTGATACACAAGCAACTTGATAGACAAGTAGGTTGAATTTTGTAATATATATAAATATATATATATACGTTCTACATATGTTTCGATTCATCCGGATCTCTCGACGATCATTTGGCACCTCACAATTGAATCATGTGCCTAGGAGACTGTTTGCCCGTCGTGTGATTTATCCTACCGCCATAATCGCCACCCTGGTGGGGACAGTCTATTGCATCGACAATATCTACTATTCCTCGCTTATCACAAGATCAGTACGTGCCTTATATGTTCTTCTTTGGATTGCCTATCAGTACCGATTCAATATTCGCAACTACAACGATGTAAACGATCTTCATGAAGTGGCTGCCGAACTGCTTTTACAACTATTAATGAAAAACAAAGGGTTATACATTAAACTAGGACAGGCTATTGCTAACCAAGGTACTTTGTTTCCACGAGCTTATCAAGTCAGATTTCCCAAGCTATATGATGACGCCAGTTTTGATGAGTGGTATAGAATTGACAATGTGTTGAAGACAAGTTTAGGTGAGGATTATCAAGACCGATACTTTGAATCGATTGAAACAACTCCCTGTGCCAGTGCTTCCATTGCTCAAGTACACCGTGGGGTATTGAAACCAGAATGGGGCGGTGCAAAGGTGGCAATTAAAGTTCAACATGACTATATTGACAAGCAAATAGTGGTTGATTTAATGGTGTATCGTCTCATGTCTCGAGTTTATCAACAATTATTTGATATTCCGATGACTATGTTTACTAAATATGTGTCTGAGCAAATGATTACCGAAACTGATTTCATCCACGAAATGGGCAATTCCAAAAGATTAGAAGAATTCATTGCCAATGACAAACAATTGAATGTGAATGTGTATGTTCCTAAAACGTATCCGGAAATCACCACCCGTAAAGTGTTAGTTGCTGAATGGATTGACGGTATTTCATTGACTTCTAAAGAGAAACTATTACAAGAAAACTACAATTTAACAACAATTATGAAGCAGTACCTTAAATTATTTGGGCGGCAAATCTTTGAATATGGGTTTATTCATTCAGATCCACATCCCGGTAATCTTTTGGCAAGATTTGACGAAAAGGGGAAACAACAATTGGTAATTCTAGATCATGGATTGTACATCACCTTATCCAACGAGTTTAGACTACAATATTGCAATTTATGGAGATATATATTCCTGTTGAACAATCAAGGAATTGAACAAATTGGGAAAAGTTGGGGGATAAACTCAGTAGAAGTATTTGCTACACTTGTTCAATTAAAACCAGTTCTTATCAAACCAGAACTGGCAGCAGAAGCTCGTCAAGATACTCGAGATGCGTACGATTTACTTCGAGATTTCATTGGCGATGAAGGTAAATTCCCTGGGGAATTGCCATTTCTTTCAAGGACTATGAGAATGATCCAAAATTTAAATCAAACGTTTGGTAGTCCTGTAAATAGAATTAACTTGCTAACCAAGGAACTGGTTAATGCTTTACTTGATGAGAAATTGACATTCCTGGACTTTTGGGATGTTTTAAAGATTAAGTTGACTTTGTCATTGTCAGGATTTGTGTTTTATATGATTCGATTCAGACAATGGTTATATGGGGATAGGTTTGGTGAAGGGCGAGGATTTGAAGATTATGTTGAAATTTATATGCAAAATACTGCCAAATCGTTAGGATTAGAGTGGATCTAGACTTGTACATACTACCATTACTACTACTAATACATTAGATATTTCACCATAAATGGCAACAATACTTCCTGTAGATGCTTCTAATTTACTTAATAATACAAATTGAGCAGCACATTCGTCAACATCAGTGATTTACTCGATTAGTGACCTTTTTAGAGTTTGTGCAATCTTTTCCTCAGAGAGCCGCTTCTACCATTCAGTCAATAATAACCCAGGACAAACTGCATGCACACGACATTTAGGACCTTGGGATTTGGCCAACATCTTAACTAAATGGATCAAAATACTTTGATACTCTAGTTATAGCTAGGGCGGTTAGATGTTTATTATGGAGACGTGTTCTATCCTCGTTGCTTACTATTATAACAGTAATCTTGCAGAACACTTGGAAGACTATCGGTAATATATCGATGCTGCCCAAGATGAAAAGAGAGGTATCACTTTGTTGCATATTGTGGTGCATTCGATTACTTGTCGGTTTAGATTATGCCATAACCCACTATTTTGTGAAACAAATATCTAGAGTAACTATAAGTGGGGATCCGGAAAAGCCCGTATATTGAATTTGAACCATCGAGGTTTGGCGGTAGATGCCAAGTTTGTGTAGCCTAAAAGTCAAAATGGGTGACAGACCGATATTATCTATGTTTCACATGTTACAGAAGTGATTCTGGAGCTGCATAAATGTCTCAACATAAAAGAGGGGAGAGCTGCAAGCGTTGTTAGAAATTATGTACACAAATGGCAGAAAAGGCTTTGAATCATAAATTTGCAGTCTATTGATGTTTCAGAAGCTGCAGAAATGATGCAAGATCTTCTGGAGCTGCATAAATTCCCCCACATAAAAGAGGAGAGCGCTGCAAGTGTTGTTAGAAATTATGTACACAAATGGCTGCAAAAGTGTTGGGTTACCAATTTGCAGCTTAACTGTGTTTCAGGAGCTGCATAAATGATGCAAGATCTTCTGGAGCTACATAATTATCCCAACATAAAAGAGGAGAGCGCTTCAAGTCTTATCAGAAATGTGTTTGTGAACTTTGGTTGCAAAAAAAAAGTTGGTCTATAAATTTGCAGCAAATCTCCCTTCTTTTCAAATTAATTTCTTTCGCTTTCTTCTTTACCAAATAACCTTTTACTGATTTGATATTAGTTTAATTTTATTTACTCCTTCAACACTTTCAAGTTTACATCAAGTTTTAACCAACTCAAACTTTTTCAATTAACAATGACTTTACATTTATCATTCAGAAAAGTTTTTAACAAGCACTCTGCTTCTACCAATGAAGACACAACTACTTCACCTATCATCAATGAAGACACAACTACTTCATCTATCATCAATAAAGATACAACTACTTCATCTAACATCACCAATAAAGTCATAACTACCAAGTTTACACCTCATCCTTCCATTGACTCTAATATTGAAGTGCCAACTACTGAACCTACCATTAGAAAAACATTCAGATTCAAACGTGCTTTGAAGAAGGTTACAAAAATTATTCACAAACCTAAACCTGAAAGTCCTATCAACTCCATTAATGAAGTCCCATGTTATGATCATTACTTACCCAAAGAATTCTCAAGTGGTGAACCTTCCATAAATTCCAAGTCTGACTTTCCATGTCTTGAATCATCCATTAATTCTATCAGCAAGCTTCCAAGTTCTGAAGTTGAATATGGATATCCCAATACTAAATCATACAGATTCAAACGTGCTTTGAAGAAGGCTAAAAAAACTATTCATAAATCCAAACCTAGACATTTCATTAAATCCATTAAACAAGTCCTAACTTATGAACATGCCAACTCCACTAATGAATCGTCAATTGAAGAAACCTCCATTAACTCCATCAGTGAACTCTCGACCTCTAAAGTTGAATCTGAATTTTATATAGTTAAATCATCCAAATTCAAAAGACTGTTTAAGAAGATTGGAAAACTCTTGAAGAAAAGTCCAAAGATTTTGAAGAAAAGTCCAAAGTTCTTGAAGAAGATTCCAAAGATTTTGAAGAAAAGTTCAAAACTCATGAAGAAGATTCCAAAATTCATCAAGAATATTACATACATTATTCAAAACATCAAATTTGAAACTTTTATTGACTTCATCACAGAAATCCTGAGGTATAAAGTTCATGTTGGACCTTGTTTTAACTTCTTCACAGAAATCCTAAGTTATAAATCTGAACTTGAAACTTTTATTAACTCCTTCACAGAAGGTCTAAGTTATAAAGGTGAATTTGATCCTTTCATCAATTTCTTTAGTGAATTTCTAACTCCTAACGTTGAGCCTGAAGCTCCCATTACTAAATCATCGAGGTTCCAACGCATTTTGAAAAGGATTACAAATTTCATTCACAAAGTTGAACGTGAATATTTCAATAGCTCCTTCGATGAAGTCCTAAGCTATGAATCATCAATCAGTTCTTTTGAAGTATCAAGTTATCAAGAAGAATTTGAACCTACCAATGAAAAATCATCCAAATGCATTAGTTCCATGAAGAAGGTTAGAAACATTATTCACAAGAATAAACCGGAAGAAGTTTTAGAACAATCACAATCAAATGCCTATTCCCGCTCGGATGAAGATTCACCATATGAGTATAGTTCAAGCGACAAAGAAGATTGTCCAAGAGATAAAAATATCTTATTGTCAATCAACTCAGAATCAACCTTTCAATCATTGAAGAAACTCTCAAAGATGGAGAAATTCAAAAGATTTTTTAACTTTATGAGAAAGGATCCAGTATACCAAATTACTTTTACTGTCACTAATAAACCATTGTCTGGACCAGAAAATGCATTAGGTGAAAGTCCTATGGAGATCTCCCTGTTTGAAAACCCTTATCAAGAATCGTTAATATGTGAGGGAAATATTAAATTCAAAAGAAATGCTGAGTGTGTTGCTTTTAAAACTGTTCAACTAGACGGTACCCAAACTTCTGGTTCCAAATTTAATTTCCTTAAACGAAAGTTTTCCAATAGCTATTCATTTTGCCTGTCACCTTTCTCCTCAAGATCTACTTCATCTTCAACTATCCCTACAACTGCTGCTGCTTCTATTATCAATGGTCTTCCTACAAATCATGTTCACATATGCAAGTCAGTTCTTAAATCAAAGAACAATATTAATTATGCAACTGAGGCAATGATGTGTGAACTAGAAGATGGGAAAGATACTACTAAATTTTTTGAATACTTCATTGATAAAGGCAATGTGGAATACGACCGAGAACACAGAAAACCATATACGCGATTGGGACGTTCAAAACAACTTGATAATTACTACGAGTTCAAATTTTGATTATAAGATAAAGATCCATCATCTTCACTACCAACTATATTTCCTCCCCTCCCCTCCCCCTTATAAGAGAAAGATATCCTAGAATCAAAATCAAACGATTTGAATTTTCTGAGCAAAATGTGGTTGAAACTCATCTTTATTGTTGCATAGGGCCCATGTGACTTTATTGGTGTAGTTGACGCTGCTGCTTGCAAAGAGATTCAAATAATATGACGATGATTCTAAGGTTCTTAGTATTTTGGTGGGAATATCTAATTTATTCAATCTATAGTAGCTGAAACTCACTTTTATTGTTACATAGGGCCCGTGTGACTTTATTGGTGTAGTTGATACTGCTGCTTGCAATGAAGAATTCAACAAAGATAATAGTGGTTCTTAGTGGTTTTCAATGGTTTTCAATGGTTCTGATTCTTAATGGTTCTGATTCTTAATACTTCAATGGTGCTAATATACATTCTATAGATTATTTATTACCTTTATACATATATAATTTTTTACTATTGTAAGGAACTTTTGTTCTGCATTAAGGTCTAAGTCGTCATATTAAGGTTGAGGATTTTCCATGAGGTTCTGTTGAAATCTGGAATATTTCTCTCTTAAATACTTGGTCCTAGCGGAAATGTACTTTTCAAAGTTAATATTTAGACATCCAACATATAAAATATACAAAAAATCTACTTATCCCTTTATCAAAGAAACGGAATAGCACTGGTCTTCCTAGCTCTGATATGAAACACTAATTCATTTAGAATCATATCTATCTTACTTAAATCACCTTGTTCATCAAACATTGAACAATCATCGTTAAATATCCTACTCAATTCAAATAGTTTTCATCTACTAAATTTTAATCATGAAATTATTAACCTCCTTTCCCAAACTAATAATATTGCGGATTTGACATTATCAGTTTTAAATACGGTGTTCAAACCTTTAAGGATCTCAAAAACTTTAAATTAATTTGATACTTTTGGACAATAATCTGGTTTCTTACAAGAGTTGTATGGATGCAACCAACTTTCTTGCTTATAGGTTTGGTGAAGGTCGAGGATTTAAAGGTTATGTTAATATTCATACACTGAAAATCGTTAGGAATAAAGTGCATCTAACTTGTACATACAACTACTAATAGACCATTATATAGATATTCCACCATCCATAGCAACAATACTTCCTGTAGACGTTTCTAATTTACTTAATAATACAAATTGAGCAGCACATTCGTCAACATCAGTGATTTGTTTGATGGGCGACATTTCTAAAGTTTGCGCAATTTTCTCTTCTGGAAAACGTTTCCCCCATTCAGTCAATAATAACCCAGGACAAACTGCATGCACACGACATTTAGGACCTTGGGATTTGGCCAACATCTTTACTAAATGGATCAAGGCAGCTTTACTTACAGCATATGGAATACTTGATCCATAACAGATTCTACCAGCCACGGAAGCTGAAGCAATAAAGACACCACCATCTTTATTGTTATCAAACACTTTCTTAGCAGCTTTGAACAAAAAGAAATGTGCCTTGACATTAGCCGTGAACGTCCCATCCCAAAGTTCATCATCCAATTCTTCAAGCTTATCATAAGGAACAATCTTGGTCCAACCAGCATTAGACACCACAATATCTAGTCCACCCAATTGTGACACGGTTTCATCAATAAGTTTATGAATGTTTCCTGTGTCAAATACGTCACCTTTAAGGACAATACTTTTAATTCCATATCTATCAGTTAATTCCTGGGCGAGTTTTTCAGCACGTTCTTTAGAATTAGCATAATTAATAGCGATATTTACACCTTCGGCTGCCAATTGGTGGGCGACAGCAGCACCAAGTCCTGCACTTCCCCCTGTAACAAGAGCTACTCTTCCCTTTAAATCAAGCATGTTGTGTGATGTAGTAAGGAACAGAGTTGTTTAGATTTCAAATCTTTTGTGGGGTCGGTTTCCGAGGAAAAGGGTCCAAAAAAAAGATTAGCGGAAATTATTATCAATTCCGCGGGGCATAAAAATAATACAACAAATAGTGCAATATTTGGCGTGGATGACGATCTCCCTCACGATAATATAACTCTTGTTTATAAACCAACTATGAACAAATTAATTAGATGAGTTTATATTAGAGTATACTGAATTTAATGTTGTATGTCTAAATAATCTTTCAATACCAATTTTTTGCAACTTCTGCACCAAATATATTCAAAATTCAATACAATTTAAAAATTAACCCTCCATAACTACCAATTGACATGACTAATAATATATTCAAACCCTATATGACTCAAAACAAGGAATTAAATCTATATTGAAATAAAAAAATGAAGGATATATGAAAATTTTCAAAATTGTCCAACGAAATTATATCCAATATTTCACCGCCTCCAACAGTACCCATAAAATTCACATTCCTTCAATATTGGTTTAAAATAAGATATATAATAAGAATTAAATTTGGGATACCTATTAAATTATAGAATTATTGGTATTTTCATTGAGAAAATAGCAAATTATTCAGACTCACCTGATATGTATACTGGATTACCCAATCACTGAAAATTCCTCAGAAAAAAAAATTGGACAGTGTGGCCGAGTGGTTAAGGCGACTGACTCGAATTCTTCTCGGGCTATCAGTTGGGATTTTCCCGCGCAGGTTCAAATCCTGCTGCTGTCGCCATTTAGTTTTTTTTTTTATTTATTTTTTAATAACTTTCAACCCAGACTCATCTCTTTAACTCCATCTTTCTTTTATACATACACTATACAAGAATCAATGCCTAAGATAAAGAAAGTCAAGAAGAATGCCCCTCCACCAGCGGGATATTCTAAACTTGAGCCGACCTTAACCAAATACCAAGCTAAATTAAAACAAGCCCAAAAAGTAGATACAACCACCAACAAACATGCATCGCTATGGAAAATATATCAAATAGACCATCAAATATCGCGATACGTGTATGATATGTATGTGAATAAACGTATCTCTCGGGAGCTATATGATTGGCTTCTTTTGCAGAGCTATGTGAATAAAGACCTTATTGCCAAATGGAAGAAGCCTGGGTATGAGAAGTTATGTTGTGTTTCTTGCATTATGGAAAAGAATCATGGTGGAACCTGTATTTGTCGTGTTCCTAAGGTGAAATTACTTGAAAATGACAATGAAGATAAAGTGAAAACTGAATGCATTACTTGTGGCTGTAAAGGTTGCGCATCAACTGATTAGAATTACATACATTATTCAGAAGAGAATGTAAACTACGATTGTGGCCCTTATTATCAAGGAAATCTCATAGAAGATTGGACAACACAGTTTGATCCCAGCATAAACCAAGAGATAAAACAAGTCAAGACTTGTTCAGATATGAGCATTGAAAGCAGTGTAGTGTGTAGCAAGGAAAATCGGACCGCAACGAATGCAACTTTTCCTGTTCTATCCCACACGCGAGCCCATGAAGCGAGAGTACATACTAGTTAGCAAGTAAATAAAGTACACCTCCCCCCCCTCAAAATCTACTTATAATCTAGCCAAGCTGGGATACAGTGAGTAGAAATACACATAATAAACGATAATAACAAGCCTACAAGAAAAGAAATACCACCAATGGTAGAATAGTAAATAAATCCAATGTTTCAATCATCAATTAATTTTCAATGCTTGTATGAGAAAGGTAAACTCTAATATTACAAATTATTACATTTATTAAAGACAAACCTATACACTTGACTTCCTCCATTGATTTCCTTAAAATCAACCCCAATAAATTAAATATACTATATGTATGACCCAACTTTTATGCAGAATTACCTTCCAATTTCTTTAAATCATGATATAAATTCTTTGGCGAACTCTTGTCATCATCATTATTATTATCCTCCAGTATTATTGGCGAAGATTGAATTTCATGTTGATGTTGTTCTAAATTGCGTAAAATCATATCGTCATCATCATAAGAAGGTAAATTACCAGCAGGTACCGGCAATGCCAACTTATGTTGCGACATGTGATTCATGGGACTGAAATAAAAATCTTCTAAATATGAAGGGGAATTCCATAATTTCTTAATCATGGAATTTGTTTGTGGAGTACGGATATTTCTTAATGGTGTCTTCATGATATTTGATTTGGGAGTACGTGATAGTTTCATGGATTGAATATAAGGGTTTAAATGTTGTTGTTGCGGTTGCAAAATTTGGTGATGATTCTGAATATGCAAATTAGCTGGAGTGATCGGTTCCAACAATGGTCCAGTTTCACTTGGTCTGATAGGAGATAATTCGAAGTTGGAATTACAACTAAATGATGAGGTATATGTGAGATTCTTGCCAGCTAATAATGGTTTATTTGGAGATTCACTGATGGTAAATGGTGGGTTAGTTGTTGTTTTGGGGGTTGCAAGAACAATGGTATCATGTGATGCATTTTCCCATGGAGGTCCTAACTCATGATCATGCTTTTGTTTCTTGGTAGGTGGATCAAGAATATAAGTTAAATCTTCGTCTTCATCATTATAAGTATAATCGTATTCATCATCGCTAGTGTCATCATCATGATTACTAGGTTTTCTCTTTCGAATATAAGTTGGGGATGAGGGGATATTAGAATATGATTTCTCTTTAATGAAACTTGAATCCTTGGACTCAGCAGTATTAGTGGTCTTTTCCTTGGAAACTGATTCTGGTTCATCTTCTTCGGCAGTCTCGGCGGCAGCAGCGGCGGCGGCAGCAGCAGCAGCTTTTGCTTCAGCCTCAGCTTTTAGTCTAGCATTGATTATATTGGCCTGGTTTATTTGGTCCATTACTTCATGATAGGAACTTTTCTTTACACTTCTACTTTTCAAGAATTGTTCTTCAAACCCAGGCTTAATACACCAGAAATGACCTTTCCCATCTTTAGATTTCTCCCCCTTTATAAATGCTTTATTTAATGACAAATTATGTCTAATAGAGTTTTGCCATCCGACATCTTCACGTTTATAATATTTGAAAGTATCGGAAATCCATTGGTATATCGATGACAACGTTAATTTCTTGTCTGGATGCGACAATATGGAAATTCCAATCAACGTAGCATATGAATATGGTGGTTTATCATGGGAATGTAAATTAAAAGCCGGAGATTCCTTTGGTTTGGTCTTCTTTGTAGAAGATGTACTGCTGACTGTTGAAGATACACTAGGAGTTGGAAGTGACTGTGCCAGTTGGTTTTTCTTGATCGGACTAGATTGGTTGATTGAATGAAACTGGGAAGGTGATGAAAAAGCTGGTGAAAGGTACGAGGATTTGTGGTTCTGGTTGATAATACTAGGATCTAAATGTGATGTAGTCGTGATATTCCCACTCATCGAAGAAGATGTCTTGATTGGTGTTTCAAACGAAGCGGTAGTTGAAGCAGAAGTTCCTTGTTTCTTTCTTACAATGAATAACGTCTCTGGAGGAGTAGTGATCACTTTTGTTGAAGATTTAGATGGGGTATCCATGAATGTACCAGTAGGGGCAGCAGCTACTGCATTAAAGCTTGATGGTGATTCTTGTAGCGCGTATCGCGTTCCTGTACCATGCTGTACTCTTCCTGTGGTGGACATGACTGAAACAGGTGTGGATGGTTCGGAAAGTTCTTGGTATTAGGTGTGGATAGTGCGGAAATGTGGTGAAATGGTTGTATGGAATGTAGACTTCAAACTGGCAGCACTGATGTAAAAAGTTGTGACGGGTACTACTAGATGAATATATATAGATATATATGTGTGGGTATAAAAAAATAGCAGATGTAGAATGAGTAAAATGCTTGTAGCAAAACTTGAACTGCTCAAAGTGCAAATCAGGAAAGCGAAACTAATTTTATATGAAAAGTCCTCTGTCCTGATGAGATTAAATCTAATGGCGGGTCTTTTGCTCCTTTGTTACAGAAAAACGCGTGTTCTGTTAATTTCATCTGTCACCTTAAACAAAACATCCTGTATACTAATTCGCGACACGATTTTAACGAATTTCCTAATTGGGAAGTACAATCAATCCATTGCAACATAAATTCGCGTATTTAGCAATTTCATAATCACATGATACGTTGCACGTGAATACAACATCATTCTGAAATATACTCTACTGCACAGTAAGTACCAGTACTAACTAGTTAAAGGATCATAGAAAATTCAAAAGTAAATCTTGCCTCTTTGGAGCCATCATCTACTTCGTCCAACCTCAACGAATACATCACATTGTGTAGTTATTATGGACGATTCAGTTAGATCACTCATCAGATTCGTCAGCAGAGGATTCTATAGTACACCATATGTTCTTATATTGGATGCAGTATTACGACATTCAGTGTTAAGTGAAGATGATTTAATTCACCTTCTAGGGATCAAACGTAAAGAGCTTAGATCATTATGTAATAGACTTGTCGAAGATAGGTTATTGATTAATCACATTCAAAGAGAAGAAAACAGTCAACAGAAGTTTGTCACTAGAACTTATTTCTTTATTCACATCACTGAAGCTATCGACTCTATAAAGTGGAAAGTTCACTCCATAGTCAATCACCTTAAGCAAGAAATGTCTACTTTTGGTAATCCTCAAGGCTATGTCTGTCCAAGATGTGGTAAGAAAGTCAGTCAGATTGACGCGATTTCTTTACTAAGTGAAGACAAGACTGAATTTGTATGCGATGTCTGTCAAGGTATTCTTATTGAAGATGATTCATCACAACAAGCTACATTAAAACAAGAAAAATTGGAAAAATTAATGAAGCAGGTTGATCCAATAATTAAATATTTAAAGATCATTGACGATTCAAACATTCAAGATAATGATTTTGAAAGTGCATTAATCCAATCCATTCCCGCACAATCTTCAAGTACCGCATCATACACGTTGTCCAACAAGATCAGTTCTAGATCAAGATCTGTCAATTCTTCTGCCGCTGCAGCATCCAAATCTCAAGCTACATTGCATGTTTCCATTACCGCCAATGATGAAAACTATGAACGAGAACAGGAAGAAAAAGAAAGAAGAAGACAAAAGTTGGAACAAAATGCATTACCATCATGGCATTCTTCAAGTACTGTGGGACAAAGTTCAGCTACATTTGGTAAGTTTGACGATGATGAAAGAGAAGGTACACCTTCTAGTATAAAGGAGGAAGATGAAGAAAAGCCTTCAATTGACGATATTGAAATGAAGGAAGAAGTTGAATCAACAGCTGAACAATCTTCCACCATGGCAACTCCGGAACCTTCCACCAACCAATTCACTAATACTAGTACTAATGCTTCGGAATTGAAGGATAAAGAAGCACAAGACGCATTGGCTGCGTATTACGCACAATTGGCAGAACAAGAAGCTGCTGAAGATGAAGACGACGACGATGATGAAGATGATTTCGACGATTTGTTGTTGGAATAAGCTATAAGCTTATATATAGAGAAAAAATACATATAATCTGGGGTTAACCACACGCGATTTATAGAGACACAATTGTAATTACAAACTGTAGCACATAATTTCAAATTGAACCAGTGAATTTCAATTAATCCGGCTACTACCATTCTACGTAAAAAAATATGCCCGGGGATTGGGCAAGGGCGTTGTGAGCTGTTTTTTTTTACTGCCGGTGGTGAATCAGCGGGGGGCGTGCGGAAGGGTTCAAATTTTCGCTCACCCCTTAAAAAAACCCATCAATTCTCAAAGTGTCTCCAAACTTTATTCCCTAGCCTTCCGGTAGCCAAGCCATCGACAATACATTACAATTGCTGAATTGCTATATTCCGTTATACATACACAAACATACCCCCACATCTGCACTTCATCAAAACCATCAAAAAAAGATTATCTAACAAACCAATTACCCTGGATAAACAAGTGGTTGTAAAAATCTAGACACATTCAAAAAAAAATACAATCACCTAAGAAAAATGACCAATGCAATTATTACACCCCATTCTGCTCCAAGTACTCCAATTGGCGGGTTATCTGCTTCTGCTACTCCTATCATTCCAAGTAGTAGTGGTTCCAACAGTCAGAAGGTTAATATTCCAACCTATGAGAAACCTTTGCACGAGAAATTCACTACCATGTACAAGACATTATTAGATTTAAAGAACAATCGGAATAAATACATTGACTCCAAACAAGTTTACCAAATTTATGATTCATTTTTGAATTTATTGAACGATTTGAAATTGACTAGAAAGGATGAAGAATTGAAAGGATTTACTTTGAATTTACCTAATGCTAATGATTTGTTAATTGATGATATTTGTCAATTGTTATCATTATGCTTTGTCACTTGTGGATTGATCAAGTTTGCTCCTGCTACTTATAGTTCTTTATCTACAGTTATGAAATTATTACTTCATTTACAAGAATCTAACGTCTATACTGAAGAAGACTTGCAGCCCATTGGTAAAAGATTACAAGAAATTAGAGATATTATAATCAACAAGGGTGATAAGTACAATGATGACGACGAAGAGGAGAAAGCTGACAAATCCCATCAAATTGAAGAGACTTTATTACGTAATAAGTTGATCAAGTGTGAAGCAGTCTATCAGGAATTGGAAAACAATTTCAAGAATATCCCTCTGGATTTAGAACCAATTTATCATAAATTGATTGAATTAAGAAAGAACATTTTAGCATACATAACTGAATTAAATGATAAGGAACATCACAACATTATCAAACAGGAGAAGTTGTTGATTAGAGTTAGTCAATTCAAGCAAGAATTGAAGAAGATTGAAAAACTAAGAGATGAATCCGATGGGAAATTTAAAAGTGAATTATTGGATCCAAAAGGATTAGATTCAATACAAGCTGTTTTGAATGGGTTAATCGATGAATGTAACAATCTAATGGAAGATTTAATCGCTCATAATGCAGCTGATGATGACTCCAAGCAAACAGAATTATCGTTATTATTAGCCAAGTCATTAGTTCTTAATGAAGAATTCACTAAATTAAACTCCAAATATGAATCATTATATACCCAGTTATCCGATTTAAAATTAACTTTAGAAAATGTTTTAGTGACTAGAAGATGGACATTGAGAGAAACTGATTTATGGAGTTATCAGAAGTTATTAAAAACTATAGATGAAGAAAGATTATCATTAATAGAAAAGGCTGCCAACATTGACCCCACTTTACAAAAACATTTCAAGAAAAACCAAGCCCTTACATTATACCTTGTTCGTCGATGTTATTCGATCATTTACAAATTGTTGGAAAGTAGTGAACCAGTAAGTGAAAGTTTAACTCCAATACACAATCAATTAACCACCGTTAAAAGATGTTTATTAGAATTAAAGAGAGTTCATGGATTGAACAATTTACGTGAATTATATCCATTCCAATTTAAATTGGCTTCTTTGGATAATTTACGTAATGATGGGAAATTTATTGTAAATAATCAAATCCCCGAAGGTCAAGGAACTTTAAATGCATTATTGGCTGAATGTTTTGATATTTTACAAGAATTGAAGATTGAATTGTATGAAACGGAAGATGATGATGATGAACAACAAGAAAATGTCAATGGAGGAAGTTTTACCAATTCAACTGGTGGTGTAGGTGGAATTGCATCTAGTCTTGCCAATGAACTCACTGATGACGAAGTTGAGATTAAACGTAATAGATTTCAAGAGTTTAATGAAGCTGATTATGATTTGGATAGTGAGTCTGAATTTGTTGATGATGATGATGATATAGAAAGTGAATATGAAGGAAATGATTATTATTAAGTTTAGTTGTTTGTTTATAAATCCCGTTTTTTTTTACTGTATGTATATAGGGTGAATTTATATATCTTTATGAAACTCCACAAGTAGGAAATTTTATCAAAGTCAAACAGCAAAAAGGTGATAGATTGGGTCTATATCCATCTTCTATTATTATTATTATTATTAAAAAGGTCGTGCGAGTTTTCAATTTATTTTACTATAAAAGTGGATGCAAAGATTTGCTACCGCTTTTCTTGTTTACATTTCCTTTCAAATCTTTCATCTTGAAATTCAATCAATGCACTTTAAATAGGTATAATGTATTAATAATGATCAAGTAAGTATTATTCTCCTTGGATATTTGTTGTTTCAACCGTGATATTGAGCGTTTGGAAGGTCTCCCTTTTGTCAATATTTGGCAACCAAAATCCAATTTGACAACGGTTGACTTAGTTGCAGTTTAACTCATAAAAAACAAGTGCAACACACCTATTAGATCTTCAGATACAGTCAACAACACATCAATCTTGGGATTTTATTTTGTGTGTCGTGCAACAGTTTGTTGCCACTTTGGAAATTGTTTTACAACGAACACAGCCAGGTCCAACAACGTGTAGTTTCTCTAGGCCAGGAATGATTAGTCCCAGATTCTTAGCATTTATTGTTTGGATATTTTATGCTTATAATGTTGTAATGTTGGCAAGAGTTCAAAGTTACAATCAGTCCTTCAAGCTAGAATTAGCCACCAACTAGAATACAATTTTCTAAAGTCAAATGACAAGACTCAAATTATTTCCAGGTTGGCTTGTCAAAAAGCTCCCACTTAAGTGACTGGAACAATTAAGGAACACTTAGAGAAGACATTTCGGTAACAATTAACCTGTTTGTATCTTGTGGTTTAGATTGGTAGCACCTATGCATAGGTCGTGTAATCAGAAAATAAACAGAAAAATTTCTTCTGGGCTTAAAAGAAGAAAAAAAAAGAAACGTTAGTAATTTCACCCTGGTTGGTTACATTCTATAAGGATTCTACCATTTTACATTTTTCACCAATACTTTTATCAGTAATAGTATAGGTACTACAGCCATTCATCTGAATACAGGTTTATTCATTCTCACTAGACAACTGTCATACTATATATTTGGTCACACCAACATATTAGCTTTCACATAGCACTTTACAGTACATACCACCACTCTTCGCGCAAAAGTTTCCTATTGTTGCCAAACTCGTTACACATATTTGCCACTCGTCAAAGTAATCAATATATATCACAAAAAATATAACAAGATGATGACAGCTGGATTCCACTGGGGCGTCAGTGCTAACCCATCAAACGCCACTGAAAGTACCATCCATGATCACCAACATCGTAGAAGCAAAGAAAGTTCAAAATCAGACATAACATTAACCACAACTTCTATACCCAATACCAAGAAAAGAAGATACGATGATGACGATATACCTAAGACTATAACTACATCACACGGAAGAAAATATTCCATCCCTACCCCTATATCTAAATCGAAACGGTCTAAAACTCCACGGATAATTGGACAATCATTACCTACTAATAGATTAATTGAAGTTTTAGATAAATCAAACTTAGAAAATCTATTACAAGACTTGTTACGTACACATCCCGAAATTGAATCTTCTATTATAAAACTAGCAGCCAAACCTCAATTATCCAATTCAATTAAGTTGTTACAATCCAAGTTTGATTCTATCCTTAATCATTTACCTTATAAGTGTGACGTTGAAAGTGATTATTCATATTTGAGAATAAAGCCTCATTTACAGGAATTCTTTAATTGCTTAAGTGATTTCATCTTGAACTATTTGCCACCAATTGAATCCAGTATAATAAACTCATTAACCTTTTTACAAGAAGTAACTAATTTGATTCATAATATACCAAACTTTTCAAATAATGAGTTCCAGTATACTAAGTCAATGGCTTATGAGCAAATTGCAAACACTTGGTTAATTGTAGTTAGTCAAGAGGATGATACTACACCAGTTCCGTCAAGCACTACAGAAAACACCACCACTCCTTCTGAAGAAGAACATAAGCAAATCATATCAATTATAAAAGATTATGATTTAATTGAGAAATTAGAAAAACACAATGATATTTCTAATAGCAAATTTCAAATGGTTATTGATTATTTGAAGTCAGAATTAGAACAACATGAATTAATAATGTCTAGAGCTACCACCACTAATCCATTAAGTGATTTTATTACTGTTGATTATTCAAATTTTTCAATGATGGCAAGAACATCTCATTAGATAGGTTAATATCCTGCAATACATACCTCTATAATATTTGACCACAAAAAGCCGTAATATTGTAAACTAAATTGAACCTGATAAGATTGTGGGTGAATCTCTGAGACTTTAGAGTTGATGACACGAGCAAAAGTTCTCTAACTCAAGTAACTCTCTACTCAATGGCGGTACTCTTGGTATTCGCAAAATTTCCGTAAAATTCCGGATTACATTGTGCAGCCAAAAAAAAAAGTGAGGAATAGCGAATTTGCAATCTGGGCGGCTGCGAAAATATCCACTATAAATTCAACTAAATTTTGACTATCTTTTCTTGTCATTTTGTAAACTTCTTTCTTTACCTTTTACTGATTTGATATAAGTAGAAGTCTAAACTTTTATTAACTACAACTTAAGTTACTTAAACATTTACTTAACAACTTAAACATTTAGTTCAATAAACAATGTGGATGTTGGCAGCGTTTATTGTATTTACAGCTTCTGTATTATTTGGAAGTTCACAACCGGATTCTACTTCAATTGATACTGATGAAGCTAAGTTAAACCAAGAAACTAATAACACTCCAGTCACTATCCCATCTAAAGAAAGTTTTACTTCCAAGTTATACCAAAACCCAACCACTGAAGCCGCCAATGACACATCTAAAAACAAACACAAACTGATCCACAAACACTCAATTAGAAAATTAAAACAATTCTTCAAGAGTAGATTTCACAAGAAGAACAAATCTAAGAAACAACAAGTCAATCAACCTTTAAATAACTTCAGCGGCTCCTTGGTTCAACACAAACAAGAATCTTGTTCACCCAGTAATTCACTTGAAGTGTTTTCCAGTAATTCAGAAAAAGAATATAATACACCTGATTCAACCCTAGCAAGTAAATCACTGAGAACATCTTCCAAGCGGGAGAGGTTGAAAGAGTGGTTTGCAAAGAAATCAGAACCTGAGTGCTACCAAACGGAATTTAAAGTTAAACTCAAACCGTTAAACCCTGCTAGTAAATCTGGTCCAACAATTCATAATTTGTCTATTTCAGGGAATCATAATAAACGTTCTGCTGATTGTGGTAAAAAAGTTACATTTAGTTCGCTTGTCCAAGATGTTAAATCAAAATTAGTTCCATTATCTGAAAATATTCCTAGAGTGGAACCTGTTATCAAATCTCCTGTTAAAAGCAACTACAAATCTATTCTTAAGGTCAAAACAAATCCAAACTATGATAAAGAGTATTTTGAAGATTATGATTTTCTCTTTAGAGCTTGGTGTGAGCTTGAAGATATGAAAGCCAGCTTATCTCCTGAAGCTCGTCAAACTAAACGTGAAACTACTACATTACTAAGAAAAAAACAACTTCAAAGATTCTATAAACAAGAAGGCCGATAATCAATGACTCCCTGCTAATGTACTTGAATTAACAAATTGTTAAAGATGGAACGAATCCGCTAGCTTCGAGGAACCTGAATAGTATCAAGCTGAACTTTCAGGATAATTAAATCTTAATTAAATATTCCTTCACTTCAAGATTAGATATTTTCACTGATTTTGAATGAGTTAGCCCATTCCGAGGATTCTGAATATAATTCTACTACACGTTATCAATGCAATGTTCAAATCCTTCAATTTCATCTTTATATGTTAATTTCAAAGTACATTAGAATTCTTTTTCAGGTTAAGTTACAGATTAGTTAAGGCATGGTTATGATTAAATCACTAGGCAAATTTGGTTATTTGATTAAAGGTAGTTTGTTGTCTTCTATGGTTTCATGTTGTATGTGTTTGTTTTGTACGATATTATGGATATTTTGTTTTGGTTATTTTGGTAAAGTCTTTTGGTTATGATTACACGGTCACTCAGTTATGTGGTTTTATGGTTACACGGTCTTATGGTTACACGGTCTTATGGTTACACAGTTTTATGGTTACACAGTTTTATGATTACACGGTCTTATTATTACACGGTTTTATGGTTACTCATATTTGTTCATTTAATACTTTTTCTTTGGTTTAAGGTGCTGCATTATATTACCTTACATTAGTCTTCACTTCCTCTACATTAATTTTTTTTGATTATTCTCAAAAAGCTTTGTAAGCTATGTGTAAGTAATCTCTATCTATTGCGCATCTAAAAGCAATTCTTCAATGCTTCAATTGCTTCTTGGTTACCAGGAGTCAACATCAAACTACGTTGAATGTCTCTTAAATCTCCAGTTTTCAATAATGTTTCTGAATATTGTAATCCATTAACTTTAACATCTTGTAATGTAATTACAGCCTTGGCCATTTCATTACTGACATGTTTCCATACATTATAATCAAATGGGAATAAATAAGCATACTTGAGCCAGACCGATTTGTCATCACCTCTACCAAGTCTATTATTGATCTCGGTAAGCAACCTTGGGACATCTCTGTATGTATCATTAACCAATTCAGTCAAATCCAACCCTTGTAATTCTTCTTTGATTGCTCCTAAGTACTCTTGGTAATTTTCAACTAAAGAAATTGCCCCCAATGTCAATACAACAAGCAAAGAAGAACCATTCTCTTCAATATGGGCGAATAATTGATCAATGGAGGCTTGCTTGGATTCTTCTGTGCCATGAGCATAAAGAATTTGGGCAATTAATGTAACAATACGTTGGGATGAATTATACTGGCTAAGAATTAACTTTAATTCTTGTATGGAAGATTCAAACTCATTGGTAAAGAAATAACTTAAACCTATAGTTATATGGCATGATAAAGTGATTTCAGGATGTGAGTCGTCACCTTCAATTAATTGCAATGCCATCTGGGCATTTTCCATAGCCAGTTCATAATCGCCTAATCCTAAATAAATTCTTGCAACTTGTGATTTTATTAAACTGAAATTTTCCAACACTGATTCTTGTTCAGTCTCTTCATATTTCTTTTCTAAAATCTCACACAATTTATTACCCAATTTAATTGCATTTTCAAAATCTTTACATCTTTCGGCAATAGTCAACGCGACTGACAATGCATCTTCATCATCTGGTTTGTACTTGAGGTATTGTTGCATGGCTTGATTACTGATACCAAATTCTTGAGCAGTTTCAATATCACGAGGATCAAAGTTTCCACCAACACGTTTATTAATCACAGATAAACCATACAAGAATTGGGCCACAGCCAATCTCCCCTTAGATAATGTGAATGCATGTGTATAGTAAGTAAATGCTTTAGTTTCATCACCTAAAATCTCAAATGCAATTGCTTGACCTAACCAAGATTGTGAATCTTGAGGAGCAACAGATTGTGCTCTTAAGAATGCCTGCTGCGATAATTCTAAATCCCCGTATTTAAGAAATAATATTGCTAAATTAATCCAAATACCCCCATCTCTGATTTCTAAAGTTGTTGCTTTAATATAACAATGTTGGGAAATTTGAGGATTATTATAGAAGTACGCATTACCTAAACCAATCCAGTAGCTAGGATTATGATTTTCCAATTGAATTGCTTTCTTGAATAATGTGACTGAGTTTTCTCGGTATTTTTCATTCTCTCCATTTTGATAGGTTTGTAATAACGCCAATCCTAAATTATACAATGCGGTTGAACGTAGGGCTTTGTTCACTTTCACGGGAAGATATTTGACTCCCGCAATAGCACAAAGAATAATGAAGATATTCAAGGATTGGACTTTCTTGTCTTGATTAAACAATTCAATGGCATGGGCTAATGATATTGACTCATCAAGGGTAATGTCACTAAGAATAATATCATCAATTTCAATATGTTTAAATATAGCAATTAAATCATCAAATGGAACTTTATCAATATTCAGTTGGACTTTTGAGAAGACTTGTAAAGAGTCACCAAGGGACTTCCAAACTTTTTGAGAAGTTGAATTGGAAAGAATGGAAGCCTTGATAAATTCTAATGCTTTTAAACTTGAATCAGCAGCTCTACCAAAAAATCCTGAATGGACATACTTATGGGTATTTTCAAGTTGTGCTTCATAAATGGCAGTTATAATGCATTCCTCATTAGGTTGACTTTCCAATGCTTCATATAAATAAGTCAATCCCTCGTTAAATTCTTTCATTTCACAAGTAACAACTCCCAATAAATACTTGACGGTCCATGGAGCTTCTTCTTTCATAGCAATTGCATGATGGAAAACTTTTGCAGCAGCATCATATCTACCACAATTATAATAAGCTTCACCTAAACCAACCCAACATTCATAATCATTTGAGTTTATACGTAATGCATTTTGGAAATATTCAACTGCCTTGGCATCATCTTGGACATTAAGGGAACCACATCCTAAAACACGATATGGCCAGGAGTTATCTTTATCATCTGAAGGTCTTAAAAGTAATCTTCTTGATGATTCATTAGTGACCACTCTCTTGGCTAAGACCTGGGCAACATCCCATTCATTCTTGGCGGTTGCGTGTTCTACCAAATACTTGGCAGCTACTATTTCATTGACATCCAAATCAAATGCTTTAAAGAAACATTTTTGGGCTTTTTCTAAATCACCATAATAGTCGTGAAACAAAACACCTAATAAAGTGTATGATGGTGCGTAAGATTCTGAATCTTTTAAAGATTGAATCAAATAAGTATAACTTTGTTTGATATTGTCCTTATTGGTGTCGTCTTGCATAAAGTATCCTTTAGCTAATCTCCAATTAGCCTTTGCACGGATTTCACCACTGTACAAATCAGTTCCAGTAACCTTACTAATAAACTTTTCTAATCCTTGTTTACCTTGTTCAAATTGTCCTAAGTTAATTAAGCACCAATTATATTCTAACTCTGCTTCGGAGTTTTCTGGATGTTCTTGCAATACCTCTTCCAATATTAATTTAGCTTGTTCCAAATCACCTTGTTCGGCAAAGATTAACCCTTTACCGACTTTGGCTTTAATATTGGTGGTATTTGATTCAAGAATCTTGTCATAAAGTTGCAATGCTCGACTGAAATTCTTTGGAGCCTCATAATAAGTATATACAATTGCTAAGGAACAAAGGAAATCTTCTTTAGTGTTTGACAAGTTTATTCCAAAAGTTCTTTGAATATCGGCCAATAATCTGATACCATCTCGGCATCTTTCTGAAGCCATGTCATATTCACGTAAATGAATGTAATAATTGACAATTATTCTATTGGCAAGAATTGAATCTTTAGACTTGCTGTATCCTTCTAATATATATCCTAGTATTTCGTCAGGAGGAAGATAATATTGAGAAAAGTCTTCTGGTTGTTCTTCTTCGTTCTCTTCAAGACCTAAAGCACTGGCATCTTCCTCTTCAAGCACTTTTTCCTTCTTCTTCTTCTTGTTCTTCTTGTTTTGGTTGTCTTCATTGTATGATATTCCTTTAACTATTCTCTCTTTATTATAAGGGGAAACTCCACTCATTACAAATGCAAATAAAATCAAACCTAACCCTTCATTTTGAAAAATTCTTAAATATGCAATAATTTTTTCTTCATCTAAATCGAAAATGGTCTTGGTATCACACCAATCAAAGTATAAATTCCAACAAAATAAACTCTTTGTATTTACAAGAATCATATCCTCGAGAGTTTGTTTGATTTCATTGAATAATTCTGTCTTATTGGGGGATATCTTTAACAATTCATATCTATATTTCAAGAAATCTTCTTCATATTTCTGTCTCAATTCATCATCATTAGAAATGTTGAGGAATGACTCATAAAGCTTGCTCAACTGTCCATCCTTGTAATATTCCCATGCAATTGCATCTAATGCTTGTTTCTGATCAATAGTTAAGTTACGTCCAAACTTGACTCTTTCCTTCAGTATTCTTGTTTGAACTAGTTTATCAAGTTGAGTCTTTTTAAAATCAAGTAATTTTTGAATATTTGATTCACCACTACCTAAAGCAGATCCAACCAACTCACCAAGTTCAGTACCCGGTATAATAGATTTTAAATATAATTCATACAACACATCGTTGCTCTTGTACTTGTTTGAGTCTAAATAATTGCGCAAGTCTTTTAGAGTTTCAGCTAGTGGCAATTCTTGATCTCGTTGTAATTTCACTAATTTGGTAAGAACGTCGAAAAACAAGCTGTAGTCATTGGATGCTCTGACTGTTTGAAAATATCCCTTCCATGCAAGGAGATTCTCTGGTTCAATCTCAGTGGCTCGTTTGAATTGAGCTATGGCCTGAGGAACATCTCGTAACAATTGGTAAGATTTTCCCTTGAATAAATAAGCAAAATAACAATTGGAATCAATTTCAATGGCTTCGTCTGCATACTCCAATGCTGATTCCGGATCATTCTGTTCTATGGAAAGCTTAGCAGACTTTAATAATTTCTTTAATGAAGACATGATGTCCCTTGCTGCATGTGGGTTGTCTAAATTCTGTTGCCAATTTTCCTGATTTTTTTTTCAAGTTGTTCAGAGATCAACTTTGAAATGCATGCTACCAGTTGACGTTGGTGCTACCAATTTCCTCTATAAATTAACTTCAGCTATCTAATTAACCTATTGATCACACAATACTGCCACTACAAAAGGGCACACTGCACCTCTTACAACCATTAAATGAATGGAAGATCTTGGATTTAAACAGGATGAAATTTATATATATATATACATTTTTCCTTGGTGATAGAAGTAAACTAATGCATCAATCTAGATTAGGAATTGTTATATTAATCTATACAACGTTTATTTAAACCTTGCTAATGCTGGACCCAATAAATCTTTTTCTTCAGGTATACCCTTGTCTTGTCTATACTTTCTTTGTCTTGCCTCCTTTTCCATCTTCAAATTCTTTTCAATACGGACTTTTCTTTGATCAATAACATTTTGTCTCTTCTTTCTTAAATGAGATCTTAATGCTGAATTTTTACCTTTGACTTCTGGTCTTATGTCCATCTTACTTGATCCCTCCTCGGTGCTTAATTCGTTAATTTGATTTGGTTTTAATCTTATTGATGTGGCGCGCTTATCAACTGTACCTATAACATTTGGATCAAGAGAAATAGTGTCTGGGGATAATTTGTTAATCAACAGTCTAACCTCTTGTTGTTGTCTTTGTTTAGCGGTTTCGTAAGGGTTCAATTCCAAGGCATCATAGTTGGCTTCACCTGATCCAGGAACAATAATCGAACTGAAACCTTGTTGGTGACCCACTCCCAAGATATCTTCAAATGGAACAAACTTGCTCTTTTCAATCTTAGAACCAGCAATAAGATGGTTCATATATGGATTTGACTGGCGTTGTTTCAAAACATCTTTCCATATAGTTACATGAGGACCCCAACCAACACTTAACAACCCTGTATCGGAAATGTCCAAGGAATTGGCTGGTGTTTGAGTGTAATAATGATCAACTTCTTTCAATTTTCTTAAATCCCATATTTTCAACGTCTTGTCAGTACCGCTAACTGCCATATATTTACCTTCTCTATCTATAGCTAAATCTCGTATTGGACCACGACATGATTGGATCTTCACTAATGGATCAGGCATGTTTGGTGCCCATAAGGATACCGTCCCATTTCCGTGACCTAAATGTATTACTGCATTCCAGGGATTTTGTTTCATGGCTTGTGTAGGGCCTAATTTGGTTTTAATTTCAGAAACCAATACCCCGGTGGACACATCGTGGTATTTCAAGAACCCGGTGTTTCCTGCAGTAGCAAGCAAGAAATGATATGGTAAGAACTCCAACAATGTAGATTCAATGTGTTGGTTAAGTCTATGCAATTCAATCCCTTGTTTGTCATATATGAAAGTGTACTTCTTTTGAGCCACGGCAAAGTACTGATCATTATGTAAATATTTGACAGCATTGACAGTTTCATTGAGATGTAATTCACAATCTAAAGCACCGGTTCTCCAATCGATGCTGGCAACATGTCCTTTTCTTCCTCCTATCAATAATTGTCGACCATTTCTAGAATAGTCAATGGTATAAGGACCAAACTCGGGTAACTTCAAGTCAAACTTTTTATTGGCAGTACTTGAATCAACGGCTTCGGCGATCTCATCTTGTTTGAATTTGAAAGTTTTTTCCATTTCATCTTCAGCTTCTAAGAAACCAGCTTCTTCTTGTAATAACAAGTCGGTTCCGGCTGCCGATCTTAATGCTTCCTTATATTGGTTATCCATTTTCTTTAAATTAGAACGTAATTTCTTGTCCTTGGTGAATTTGGCTTTACGTGAATCGCCTCTTTCATACTTGGATGTTCCGTCCCTATCATAGGACCCCATTTTACCTGTCAAAGCCATGTTGTTCTGATGTCTATCTACTGTTTGTATCTACAGGTAAAATATTTTGGACCTCTCATCTTGAAAATTATAGAGAAAATTTTAGTAACTGGTACACGACCCATCTCAGGAAATCAAGTGCGGCTCATATCTTTGTCTGGCTGTATGCAGGAAGGGTGTGTGCCTCACCCCATGGCGCTTCCATCCCTCAAATCAAAGTTCAACTTTTTTTCAACTACTATTGAACTCCACTAGATAGCGTTGCAGCAAACGTCTATACAATGAACAAGCTATTCCAACGTACTCTTGCTAGACAATTGAGATCTCCTTTTGGATCCATCTCCAAGAGATTCTTGCAAACCAAGAGAGCCACCCTTAAGTCAAGTATAATACCAGGACCAATTTTGTTCATTGGTGGTATCGGTGTTGTTGTGGCTGGTGGATACTACATGTTAGATGCAAGATCAGCATTCCACGAATATGTCTTGTGTCCCTTGATTAGAACATTCACTGATGGAGAACAAGGTCATAAATTGGGGATTTTCTTTATGAAGTACGGGTTATCACCAAGATTATTGGATGAAGGTATCAACGACCAAAGCGATGTCTTGGGGGTTGAAGTATTTGGTACCAAGCTTAGAAATCCTATTGGATTAGCTGCTGGATTGGATAAAGATGGTGAAGCTATCGAAAGTTTGTTCAATTGTGGGTTCTCGTATGTTGAAATTGGTTCGATTACTCCCGAACCACAACCTGGTAACCCAAAACCAAGATTCTTTAGATTACCAAGAGATGATGCTGTTATCAACAGATATGGGTTCAATTCCAGTGGTCACTTCAATGTTCTTGCTACTTTAAAACTTAGATTCAACAAGTTGTTTAATGCTAATGCCCCTTCCAATGCTTTCAAGGATGGCAAATTGTTAGGTATCAATTTAGGTAAAAACAAGTTTGGTGATGAAATCTCAGACTATACTAAAGGTGTTGAGAGATTAGGTCCTTACGCTGATGTATTAGTTATTAATGTTTCCTCTCCAAACACACCGGGATTAAGAGATTTACAAAGTGAAGAAAAGCTTACAAACTTGTTAACCACCGTTGTTAAACAAAGGGATACTTTAGGTACTAACTTGCTTGGTAAGAAACCACCAGTTTTAGTTAAAGTTGCTCCTGATCTCACTGAACCAGAAATTGAATCAATTGCAAATTCTGCCAAGGAGGCAAGAGTCGATGGAATTATTATTTCCAACACTACCATTCAAAGACCAGTGGAAAAGTTGTTAACCACTGACTCTCAATTAATAAACCAAACTGGTGGATTATCAGGTAAGCCTTTGAAACCAATTGCATTACAAGCATTAAGAACTTTGAGAAAGTACACCAAAGATTCAAACTTGGTATTAGTTGGATGTGGTGGTATTTCTAGTGGTAAAGACGCATTGGAATTTGGTAAAGCCGGTGCTACTTTTATTGAACTTTATACTGCATTTGCTTACAAAGGTCCAGGTTTAGTTGCAAAAATTAGAGATGAGTTAGCAGCCGAATTAAGAAAAGAAGGTAAGACTTGGGAACAAATTATTGGTGAAGAAAATAAGTGAGCGAAATTAAACACACCGCGCGCACTAACGAAAACCATAAACATAAACATAAACACAATACATAGTTCTTTCTCTGTTTATTCTATATACAATGTCATCTAATCCTGTTACACCACAAAACAGACGTCGTCTGCATAGATCGTCAACCGGACCTTCCACATCCTCCCCAGCAATTATACCCATTGATGCCAATAATTTACCATTTGAATCACAAGCAATGTTGGCTAAATTCGCCAGATTGGCCGATGGAGTAGAAGAATTAAAATCACATGTTACAAGTATGGAAAAGGTTCATCAATCAGTTTCACAAGAATTCAATGAAGGTTTGGCAAGTTTATTGTATGGATTATCCATGACCATGTGGTGTGTTGGTTTTCTGGGTGGTCCAACCAAAGTCAACATCGAAAAATTTCAGCAAAGAATAGAACGAGCTAAAAAGATTGCTCAACTAAAAAAGAGATTGGCCAATTCCCAAAGGCTAAACTCAAACTTGAAGGCACAGCTACAGGAAGTTAAACAGAAACAGCCAGTGCCAAGAAACACCAGAGTTGTATCAAAACCAAGACCTGCTCCTGTGAAACAAACTCGTATTCAAATATTAGATCGAAGCAAAGCTTCCGAAGTGCCTTCACTGAATGATAGCACCTTTATAACTAATCCTAGTCAATCCAAAAGAACAACTACTACTCAACCAGTTAGAAGTCCTTCATACAAGCGTCCAAATCTTAACCAACCATCAAGGTATTTAGCAGGTTTATTTGGCGGAACCTCAAACAGGGAACTGGTACGCAAGCAACCAAACAAACCTAGGTTTGCCAAGTAATTGCCTATATATTATGCTAACTTCATTGCCTTGGGCTGTCTATTTATTTGCTAAATCTAAACTCTCATGGACCTATTTAGATTTCTGTAACAATATACAATACTTATCAACCTTCATTCACTAGCTTCAACTTGAGCTCATGCTTAACTTGTTGCACGGATTTGTTTTGTTGTGATGCTATAATCAACAAATAATCCTTGTTCTCCATTGAATTTATAATAGTTTGACGTCGTAATTGTTCTTGGTAGTTTAGTGGCAGTGTTAAATCTTCATATTGGTTGTTGTTGCTGCTCATTGTTGTATTCCATGGTTGTCTTACCCCATAGATATTAGCCGTGTCCGCTTTTTCCGTTGTCACTTTTTTTTTGTTTGTTTGAACTACCATTTTTAACAGCTGGTGAAATTAAATTTTACGTTGTTAACTTTTTCTCCGTCATATCATACACTAACCTACATAATATGTCAGAACCAGAAGTTAAAAAGGAATTGACTGAAGCTGAAAAGAGACAACTATTACGAGAAAGAAGGAAAGCCAAGATGGCCAAGGGTCAAGCATCCGATAGATTAAACAACATTTTATCTCAAGGATCATCAGTTAAAACCAATGTCAAATCAGTTTTAGACGAAGAAGAATCGGTTGCCAAGGCTACATCACCTAGCCTTTCTAATGAAGAAGATGACCCCGAAATCCAGGATATTACCTCAATTGCCATGCAACCACCCATATCACCAACTCCACCAATTGGTGAAGGAACACCAGAAGATATTGATGCAATTTTCAATAAAATCTTCCAACAACAACAACAACAATCAGGTGATTTCAAGGAAGGTGATGGTAATGACCCAATGGCTAACTTAATGAAGATGTTTTCTGAAGGTGTGCCAGAACCTGGATTATCAAGAGCAACTACTGAAAAGCCATTTGACCAAGACCCTGCTATTGCCAAGTATCAAATGGAACTTTATGAATATCAACAATACCAACACAAACTTTGGAAATTTAGGTTCTTAATTATAAGATTCATCTGTACTTCAGTTAACTTCTTTTACCATTTTCTTACTATCCCTGATAATGCCTTCCGTGCTTCCAGTCATTCATATGTGAGAGGTTTAGTTTCCAGTACTCCTGTAAATACGTTTATTATGTGGTTTCTTACAATTGAAGCAGCTATACTTGCATCATACTACTTTATAAGTTCTAAAAACGGATTGTTTCAAACTAGAAATGAAAATAGTTTAATTTTGAAGGGTTTGTCTTTAGGTGCTATGGTTTTACCTCAGCTCAATGCAATTAAACCAATAGTTGCTAGAGTATTCCAATATCATGACCTTGTCGGTATTGTATTAGGTGATTTAGCATTAGTTGTTGTTTATTTCGGTTTATTAAGCTTTACGCGTTAGTTAACTATATACATTTTAAATCTTTCCTTGTCTTTTGGCAGCAATAATCTTATCAGCACTCAGGAATTGTCTTGTTTTCCATACGTTATATAATAATAATATTGTACTTGCAAATGAAACTCCAAACCACGTAACCAAGTATTGCATATGATTATTGTTTAATTTAATCTTGGGAGTGGCTGCAATAGGAACACCTTCTTTGATAAATTCAAATTCTTGAAATTGTAATGTTTCATCTTGTTCTGCGAGTTTTGCAATGAAGGCATCATCATCAGTTACATTTTGATCCTTTGAATGAACCAATAACCCTAATATTGACAGTTTCTTCTTGCTTGTATTATCGTCCTTCTTCTCTTTCTTCCACTCGATATGATCACGTAAATCATAAATCATTTGACAATAGATAGGTAAGGAACCAGATTGCTCAGCCATAGCAGGAACATCAGGGAAGTGGAACACTCTTGATCCCATTTCATGTTCAAATTGTATGGAAGATCTAGTGGGCATGATTCTAAATAATGCTTCAATCTCAATTTCTCCTTGAGGCATGGCCAAATGTGATAAATAACCTGTTTTACGTCTTTCTGGAATGACCATATCCTTATGGATCCACCCACGTTCAATCAAAATCGGCTTACCTCCAGAAGATCTAACAAATGGAGTAACAACAAGATATCCAGCAACCCCATCTTTGATTCTGGGGCCTAAAAACATCTCATTATCATAATCAAAATGACCCTTAACTTTAAATTTTCTATATTCAAAATCAGGAATAACACTAGGATCCAACACTGCTGGTAAATCATCCATTGATGGTTGGGCCAATGCATTTTCACACTTTGCTATCAAATCGGTTTTCCACTTCAACCGCTTAACTTGCCAACATCCTAACCAAAATGAAATTATTGGCATGGCAAGCATCAATCCTAAGAAGAATGCTCTAAGTTTAGGTGATTTGGCTTGTTGTTCAAGCAAGGATAAATTTCCAGATACTGATTTAATAGGTTTCCAATCTAACGTGGATGTCTTGACCGATCTCTGGAATTGCTTTAATTGACTTCGGGCATGGATTAGTCTTTGTTGAGCTCCTCTTCTAGCAATAGTCCCTATTCCAACAGAATTAAGTAACATGGCTGATATTGAATATACTTTTGCTTACAGGGGGTTTCACGTAAACAAGGATCAGTATAATGAGAATTTTTTTATTGGTTGGATCACGTGATTTCTATTTTAGTGAGAGATGTTGTAGTCCATTATTTACACCGAAATCTGTCTTACTGTAGAAGAACTATTGCCATACCATACCCTATGGCTATTGAATCTTGAGGTTTTGTAATAGCATCAATAGAAATGAAAGACAATAAATTTATTGCTAGACACAAAAAAAAAAAGAGAGGTTGGTGGTAACAGTTTATCTTATGGCTAATAATTATTGCAAAATTTCAGTAAATAATAGCTAAAATCTAATGATATTTATCAAAAGTGAGGTTATTATATATAAAATCAGAAAATAAGAGGTAGAACTGTCAAAAAATTAGTCCAATCAGCAATTTTGCTACGGTCGTACTAGTTATTGCTATAATCGTCATTATTTGCTCATTCCATAGTCCGATTTCGCAACTCAATTTTGTATATTATTTTTCAAACCCCCGAAATTATGAAATTTCTCCACACTCTAAAACGGCTCTTTATTATATCTCACATCAATGGTTGTATTAAACGAAACCAAGAAACAAAGGCATGAAAGATTTACGAATCAGCTAATATATGCTGGTCTTTCCGGCATGCTCAAAGCATCATTGTTTGCTTTGGCCACCGGCTATTTCCTTTCATATAAATTCAACCATGGTAAAAATACCGGATATTTTAGAAACACATATAAATTGTGGTGGTTTGTTGGTTGTAATATTGTGGGGATAACATGGGCTACTGACATTGCAAAGATAAACATCAGCAAGCAAGCAGCTCTTGAAGATGAAATTAAAAGAAATTTACTATTTGAAGAAGAATTGAATCAACTTAGTGGTAAATAATGATTTATGGCTAAATATATATATATACACACACATATTTATTACGAATAAAATGCTTCCTCGTGGAATTTTAAACCATACTCACTGGCCCATAATTTAACATTGTCAACCAACCCTCGAGGACCAGCAGATATAACCCATATTTTCTCGGCATTTATATCTTCTTGAACAACTTTATTGATTGGTAAATCACGGCAGCAAACTAAATTATGATCTTGATCTTCGACAGGCCCAGTACATTGAGTAAACCCTTCATTGATACACCATCTGTAATATTTTTGATTCAATTTTGGTCTTCCTTTGTAGATCTTGTGTTCTATGTTAAGAAGTTTGACTGTATCCCTATACTGTTGTACCCACGATTTAGATTGATTTGAGAAAGATTGTGAGAAATATGGCACAAATGGTTCGTTAATACTTGATTTTCTCGATATGACTTCTTGTAGTTCAGGACCAATACCAAGATGGTTGCCATCGAATTCCACAGGCTCTATTTCTTCTTCTTCTTCTTCTTCATCTTCTTCATCTTCATCATAAAATGATGGCGATGCACTCAAACTTGGGCGGAACAAAGTATGAATTGTACAATCTGCATCCAAATCCAGATCTTCTTCTGTATCATCTACTCCAAGATCCACATTCTCAACTCGGTTTTCTGAACTCAAACTATTCGTTTCACTTTCATCAGAAATAACATCTTCAAGTAATGGGGTTAATTCTGACAAATTATTCTCCAAGTCCAGATCCTTTGGTAACGAGTGAATGCTAGCTCTTTTTAGGAAGCTTGATTGTACACTCTGTTTATTTTTCAACTTTCTCTCTTCTTCTATCATATCATCCCCAGTGATAAATATTTCAAAATCATCACCATGAATGAATCCTTCAAAATATTTCAAAATAATGACATCACGGAAATCTTTAATAACCCAAAGAATCTTTATGGGAATACCATGATAATTCATAACTCTTAATATTGGTAATGCGAATGAAATAGCTGATCCTCCAATAACAACCAAAATACGTTTAGCGTTGACTGTTAGCTTTGATATACTGAATTTCTCATTTGGTGAATTTCTGGATCCAATAAAAAGTAAATGCGGATCATAACTCCCTGAAATTAAATATTTTTGATTGTTTCTAAATTCAAAAGTACTTTTTCTAATTATTAGCCTTTGAAAGTTATCATGAGGCAATGAAACCACTGTATATGGATGGTAGTTTGGAATAAGTTGCTTGTAGATTCTAATTATAAAGTTTGGACTATAATTTGTCAATCGAATATGTGATCCTGGTTTCTGGGCAGGATTAGCAATTAAACTATTAGGAAACTCAATAAGTGACAAATTAGGAGAAACATCTATCCGTCTAACATCAGTTAGATAAGGTGTCGTTTTTGTCAAATGCAACCTATAGTATATCTGATAGGCTAATATTAAAATGTTTATTGCAGTGTATATCGTGAACTTAACTGGTCTCACGTGAAATTGCAAACAAATAACAATAATCCATGCACAGACGTAATGATTAAAATAGAAAAACTTGAACCAGTTTGTACGAACTCTCAGAATTGACGTAACTATTATGATTAAAAACCCCAAGAGTGCTGCCCACCCGTACAAATTCTCGGTCTTTAATGCCTTTTTCCAACCTTTCCTTGTTGCATAGTATCCACAGTAGATCGCAGTATGAATAACTGCTTGTACTATGATCAATCTAGATAACCACTTGTGGATGGGTAATAATGTCAAATAAAGTGTATTTGGCAAAGGTGATGGTCTCAAAGTTAAGAACAACAATGCTGGAAGACAGTTTGCCGATACTCTCCCTAATCGCTTGGCCAAGTATATCAAGTCTCCATGGTTGATTTCAAGTAGAGACAAGATTGACAAGAATGCAGTCCAAAAGACTATCTGGAAAATTGTTGGTGCCCGTTGTAATAGTTTGAAAATTGCATGTTTAAGAGCATTTGCTGCTCTAGTTTGAAATCGTTGTTTCCAAGTAGCTTCAGAACAATTGGGTTGATGTTCATGATGAATATAATGATTAAGCTTCAGACTCAAGGGTTTCAATATTTGATACCTCCTAGTGAATTTATATCCACTTATGATGAGGTATTTGTATATTGGGATTGATGCTATGATGATGATCAACAACACTGAAGTTATAATTCCATATTTTCTTGTTGTCTCTGATCGGTTCCTTTTGTAGTCCCGTGACTTTTCATTAGGATAATGAAAGTATTCTGAGACAACCTGATATAACTCAGATAGTATACTGTCTGACATTTTAGATCACTAGTCCGGAGAACCCCCAGTTTCAAATCAGAAAAAGGGCCAGTCAGATCAACGCGCATTTCTGTTCGGAAATCGGAATTGTATAGATCGAAAAGATAAAAAAAAAAAATTACTTAGACAATGAGATTCAATATGCGATGCCGCCACCACCACCACAATTACTAAATTAATTAATATTAATACGCATTAACATATACTCTATAAACTCTAATATTTCATAATTTTATTCTTCTTTTTCTTACTATTAGCCTTGGAACTTTCAATCAACCCAGATCTAGTTGGCCTTGCACCACCACCATTTCTATTTCCAGAATCAAAATTTCGACTATTACTCTTTTGAATGAAACCACTTCTTGTTGGGTTGTTTCTATTATCGCTCCTGCTGTGATAATCATTTCCATGTCCATTTCTCGGCAAATATCCTGACTTAGATCCTGTATTACTTCTAGGAGGAAATTTTCCAGCACCTGAGCGGTTACCATATGAGTTAAATTGTACATTTCCAAACCCTTGATTTCTATTCCCAAACAGATTCTGTTGTCCCCTATAAAAATCTTGTGATTTATCGTAATAAGAATGATAATCCCGTACTGAGCTTTCGGGATTGTATCTTGAATTACCATTGTTTCCTTTCTTTAGTCTCAAAAAGTATAAGGGTCTGAATTTCCTAGGTAAATTGCTACCACTAAACGCAGTACCAAGGTTAGGCACACGTGATGATCTAGGTTCTGGGCACTCATCTCCATAATGATCACTGCTTCCACAATTGTAACAAGCAGTGACAGGTAAAACCAAACTTTCCTCATCCGATTGATCATTATTTGGTTTGGTTAAGTAGGATCTCCAAATACTGGGACAGTTCTCATCACCATGACTAAAGGTATCACAGTTACGACAGTACGTTCTCTTCTTCACTTTACTTTTGCAATTAGCTGCGATGTGTCCCTTCTCACCACATCTAGCACATATTAAAGTCGTAGGGCAGTGTGTTTCATAATGATCACCAACAATTCCACATTTGTGACACACAACAGTTTTGCACTTTGCACGAATATGACCACGTTTATGACAATTTGCGCAAAGGGGACCAAGAGATTGTTGAGCGTTGACATCATCTGGATCCGTTACTCCAAAATACCTTCCTTCTCCTCGTAATTCGATCAATTCACTGGCATCATCATTTACCTGGTCAAACGAAAGTGATACAATGCTGGAGGTATTTTCCACAGGTGTAGCTTCTTTGGATGGTGTGGAGGGTTTATATTTACTTCGTTTATGCTTCGCAGGGACAGTATCTTCTATAAAGGGTAGCTCCGACATGATGTAAAGTGTTGTTGTACGATTCTACTTTGTTGATATCTTTTGATGCAATTTTTTTTTTTTCTAAAGAAAATTTCTTTTGTACAGTAATATGACTTTATAGTGCTCAAGCCAACCCCCCCCCCCCCCCAGTATGGCACTTATCACTATACACCAAATTACATCTTCTTTATAGACTATTTTATAGTAAATATATAAAGCGATAAAAAGAAGAGGTTATGATAATTAGTACAAACAGGAAAATTAAAAATCAAACTACTTATTCACGTGTATAGTTATATAGACCGATTCACAGATTATCCACGAAACCGAATCACACAATTCCATTCGATATCCACTATTTCTATGAAACCTATAATACGTTTCTAATCACATGTTGTCCAACTTGGGCTTCAAGATCACTGTTTCCATTACCAGTAACATCAAGGGTGGATTTCATAAATTCTTGGTGCTTAAAGTAAGCCAACGCATAGCAAGCACTAGCCAAGGTGAAAAAAACAGCAACGACAATCAAACTAGTAGCTTGCAAGGTCAAGGAAAGCCATTGGATAACAGCATTCAACAAATAGAACCCACATCTTGGTAAGTTGTCATCGAATCTTCTGACGAAATTAACAAAGGTATCAGTTAAAGGGCAAATCTTCAATAAGAATGGCATCTCAACAAACACCACAATCAACCCTTGGACAAGACATATAACGGAAAATATAACAACCAAGTTAAAATGAAATATGTTGGCTACCCCAAGCGCTAAACATAACAATATAGTGATGAGGGCAATCCATTGGCCATAAAGGGAAAAGTTTTTCTTTTTGAAGTCTTGAGAAAGACCACCAAATATATTCGTGAAGATTGATCCTACGCTGAGTGCCATTTTCTTTTATAGTTGTAAGGGTGTTAACTAATTTTAAAATGAAGATGTGTTATATTTACAACGGTGTTATTTTTTCTCTGTCCCACAAACCAGATCCATTTTTTGCTGCGACCGACAGTCACAATTTTCCAATACAAAATTCTCGTGTTGTCTAAGCTCCGCTTAGAGGAGGCGGAGTTATTACCTAAACCTCTGCGATGTCATACCACGGGAATTACATATCACACTGAGGATAAGGCAATTAGTACAAAATGTTTTCGATATTTGTAGATCTCTATTTCCAGGGTCCACTCAAGAACACGTGTATTCTTATTAAATGAAAGGTAGAGAGTACTTTTCTTTCCTAAAATAAAACTGCATCAATTGATTTCGAAACTCTAGACTAGCTTATTTTATCACTTAATCCTTCTCCAGATTTATGTTTTTTAGTGAATTAATCAACCAACTCTTCCCCACAATTGTTGGTGAAATAAGTCCACAGTAAAATACGAGGATCTATATTCAGAGAAATACCATAAAGAGAGTTCAAAATAGACAAGTAGTCGAACTGGTGACTATATACTCGACTTAATTATAGTATTATAAGCTCCAAAGGGTTCGGCAGTAGGGGCTAACTATGTAGGAATCTTCGTTTGAGCAATTAGAAGAGTTAAACCATGTGTCAATATTTCTTTTCTTTTGTTTTTGGATATTATACTGTATCAGGTAGTAACATATACCATAAGACCTATAATTATTAGGAATTCCAAATAAGATGCTTATCGCCAAGTTTTCCTTGAAGTGTAACAACTTTGGTAAAGCCAGATAATAAACGAAGAGCTCAAAAAAAAAAAAAATTTCTAGTCCACGAAATTTTCAACTCTTGATTCACAATGTACACCAGAAGAGATGGGACGAGAGATAGTTATCGGTTTGGTGGGGAAACCCTCCAGTGGTAAATCAACAACATTAAACTCTCTTACAGATGCCAATGCAAAGGTTGGTGCGTTCCCGTTCACGACTATAGATCCAAACAAGGCCACTGGGTACCTTGAAGTAGAATGTGCATGCTCTCGGTTCGGAAAACAGTCATTATGTAAACCTAATTATGGATATTGCAGAGATGGAAAAAGAGGTGTTCCAATTATGTTATTGGATGTTGCGGGTTTAGTTCCAAATGCACACTTGGGCCGTGGTTTGGGGAATAAATTCTTAGGAGATTTAACTGAGGCTGATTGCTTAATCCATATAGTAGATGCCAGTGGAACCACTAACGCAGAAGGAAAAGCAACTAGAGGTTACGACCCATTACAGGATATAGAATGGTTGCAAGATGAAATATTCAAATGGATTCTAGGCAATTTGATGGAAAGATGGGGATCAGTTGTGAGAAGACATGTTGCTACAAAATCCTCCACTTTAGAGACCCTAAGACAACAACTAGGAGGATATTCCGCAAACAAACAATTAGTTGGTCGAGCTCTAGACTTAATACCAAACTTACCTCCTTTGCAAGACTGGGACAATGAGACAATTGAAAAAGTTGTGAAATCTTTTATGGCAGTCAAATTTCCAACAGTATTAGCCTTGAACAAGATGGATCACCCTGATGCAGATAAAAATGTATCCAAGATCATATTAAAGTATCCTAAACTGAAGGCTGTGTTAACATCATCAATAACAGAAGTTTTTTTGCGTAAGTTGGCGTCGCAAAACTATATTAAGTATGATCTGGGAACAGAGTTTATTGATACGATAGATGACTTGGGCCCCGAGTCAGGACTTAGAGAACTAGATGATAAATTACGTAATAGAATTGAGAATATCAGAGACTTGGTATTGTATAGATTCGGTTCAACAGGTGTTGTTCAATTATTGCAAGCTGCTGCAGATTTGTTGGATCTAGTTCCTGTGTTTCCTGTTAAAAATATTCATAATTTCACTGGTGGTTCAGGACAAAACGTATTCCGCGACTGTATATTAGTCAAGAGAGGAACAACGACGATTTCTGTTGCTAGAAAAATTATGGGTGATGTAACTATCGCCGCTATAGAGGGTGTTGGTGGTATAAAAGTCGGAGAAGACGATATCGTGGATGTGGGTAAAAACGACATTTTATCATTTAAAATTGTCCCAGGTAGCCATAATTAGATGTATAGGTTAACGTTTTATAGAATTCAAGGATTTTTTTTTTATCCACCAGGAAATATATAGTTCACCACACTACACATGACTAGTGCATTCATCCTAGGTTCGACCGGATTGGTTGGTCTACAAATTCTCAAACATTCTGCGACAGTTTTTGCTAAGGTAACCACAGTTAGCCGCAGACAACCCCAGGCAAGCTTTCCAGAATTAGATGCCATTGTTGAACCTGACACCTCCAAATGGCCATCGGTCATTTCAGAACTGGATTCAACCGTTTACTTCTCGGCTTTTGGAACTAATAGGGCAGCAGCAGGTTCTGGAGAAAAGTTCAAAGAGATAGATTATGGGATAAATTACGAGTGCGCTAAGGCTGCTAAGCAGAAGGGAATGAAAACCTGTGTATTGATTTCATCAACAGGAGCAAGTGCTTCCTCACCATTTCTATACTTTCAAACCAAGGGCCAGTTGGAAAAAGATATAATCGATTTGAAATTTGAAAGAACCATTATCTTACGCCCTGGAATGTTACTAGGAGAAAGAGATAAACCAAAAGGTTTGTTCAACGATTTCTTGGTAGCAACTTTGAAGTATACACATGGAAACTTCTTATCTCGCTTTTCTTATGCTATATATGGGGAAGAATTGGGTATGATTGCTGTTCTGTTGGCAAATGAGGAATACGATGCTTCCAATGGTCCAATAGTCAAGATTCTAGGAGGATTTGAGTTGACAGAATTGGCTAAGAAATTGCATAACAATAACCCATGAATTGAACCAAGCTTTCTATGTTTATTTTTCTTGAATACATGTATCGTTTCAGCTACAAGCAGTACTCGTATCTTGTTTACATGTTTATCAGATCTCTTCGTAGAACAGATTAGTCTTGACGTCCTGCCACTGACAAACACTTTAGAAGTCATCTATAGAGTCAAGGTGCATTCAAAAATTATAGCTAGGTTGTCAAAGCATCCAATTTGTTGTAAAATAAACGCTTAGGGTTGAGTCACCATCGCATCAACAACTTAGAAAACCATTATTCATCATGTCTCAAAGTTAAATTGTCACATGATAATATAGTAGCACACACAACTGCTTTGACGATAAGTTTACATAGGATAAGATGATCTCACACGCAACATTAATGCTTCATAAAAAATGAGATAAGTTCTCCATTAGACGAGGTCTAGAAAAGTTATCTATAAGTAAACCTGTTTTATTCTTATTTTTAAATCAACTTGATATATTTTTTAACCAATTAATTATTCATAAAAACGTCCGATAAAAAGGAACTTGACCCAAGGAAATTATTATTTCCAAAAGAGATAACCTGGAACAACATAGCCCAATTACAACCAGTTATGAAAGAGCCAAGAATATCATAATCCAAACACAAAACATCAAGAAATTGTGCCAAGGAAATCAAAGAAAGTCAAAGTAAGAAAATACTTGCAATTAGTAGTTGGGTGATTCGAAATTCTCTATACTAGCAGGTAAAACGAAAACCATGATCCATATAGACGGAAAACCCCTTACTAGGCGTTAAAAAAAGGGATACCATATCGATCATCTTCTGAAGCTCGACAAACAGAACGAAATAAAAGTGCTTAATCTTCTGAACGGCTTATCACGTTATTGAAGTCGTAAAAAATTTAGGTCCGATGTCGCAAAATCAAAATCCGCCACCAAAGATCTCGTGAAAATAAAACGATCTTTTTCCCTTTTATCCACAACACGAGCTCCATCTACCTTACCTTAAACTTACATTAATGTCAGAAATTGAAGTGGTGAAAGCCTCCATCAAGTCCACTAACTTGTCGGATGCAGAAGCAGAAAAACTTTCTTCAGTTATTGAATCTATCCCTGAAATTTTGAAGGGCTTGGATAACCCAGAATACGATGAGATATACGGCTACAGAATAAACGAAACAGACAAGGAACATGTTAATGAAAGTATTAGAAACGAAATTCTATTGAAATTCTTGATAGCTGATGGTTATGACATCGACCTATGCAAAGAACGACTCTCCAATACCCTAAATTGGCGTAGTAGCTTTCAACCATTGAGTGCAGCATTTGAAGAGAAGTTTGATGCAGAGTTGAATGCTTTGGGAGTTATTACCAATTTTCAAAATGTGAGTCAAGACAATCTATACAGTGCAACTTGGAATCTCTATGGAAATTTAAAGGATCCGAAGAAGATTTTCAAGAAATTCGGAGATAATCAAAACAAAGAATTACCTGGCAGTCAGTTCCTTAGATGGAGAGTTGGATTGATGGAAAGATCTCTTCAATTAGTGGATTTCAGTGACTCCAAGCACAATAAAATTGCTCAAATTCATGATTACAAAAATGTGTCAATGTTTAGAATTGATCCCGACATGAAAGTAGCTACTAAACAAATCATCGAGATTTTTGGAGCCAACTATCCTGAATTGCTATCCACCAAATTTTTTGTAAATGTTCCACAAATCATGGGCTGGGTATTTACTTTCTTTAAAGCAATTCATGTGATAGATGCTGCAACCTTAAAGAAGTTTCAGGTGTTGAGCCACGGAGATTTACTGTCGTGGTTTGGTTCCAATAACCTACCAAAGGAATATGGAGGCCAGCTCTCTAAAGATTTATTTGCCTTAGATGTGACAAACATAAAAATGACCGAGTATGCTGAAGTCATTTTGAAGAAGATTGTTGATGAAGAAATTGCTCAAAACAACCTCGAGGTTGAGTAATTTTCAGGGCACTAAGGCTGGAACTACATCTCCCACTAATACTCTAGTCTAGTACTGTACATTATGATCTTATAACCATAATGGCTGAACTAGAAATACTCATTTATATATAGATTCAAATTTCTAGAATCAATTGTTATACATATGAATATCACGAATCTCATTGTAATCTATTACGTATAATTTGCTCTATATCATGTCAATCATAACAGTCCATCACTTCCAGATATTGAGTGGATCGAATTTAACTGCTAACAGAAGAAACGGAACTGCCACCGCTCTCTACAACTTCTATTTGATCTGATTTCTCCTGCAGCTACTGAAAATGATAGAAAAAGGTTGAATTATCCTCTCTGCCAAAAACTGATAACACTCATTCAATGTCTCCTAATAAACTTGATCTTGTTTCTGACCTACAACTACTTCGTCTAATGATACCTACTTTCCTCAGGTAATGATATCTGATATTGAAGAAAACTGGGCCAGTAAAAAATTATCTGCGAGTAACCACAAGCACACTTTGGGGAATATATCCATTGACCTTTAGCAGTATCTAATTCATCCCGGTAAATACTAATAAAACAATAATAGATATTTATCATTGTACAGCTTGAAAACTTACTAATTCTAGCCAAAAACTCTCTGATGAGAAACCTAACCTTCCACTCTACTCGACTCTATGACCCAAGTCTATCAAGCTAATAAATACCAAGCACCTTTAGCCAATACAAAGTATTTTAAAGCTAACTTGAAACTCAGCGAATTCTCTAATTATTGCAATCACCATACACTACATCACATATATTACACAAGCTTCTTTCAGATCCTATGATCAGGATGAATTGACAGGAAGCCGTTTTAGCAAACAAACTGCAACAAACTTCTAATATCTTTTGCAATGAAATTTGAAAGAGGCCATCCACCTAATCCCAATCATGGATTTACAATTTACTTTAGCAGATGATTACAGATCTAACGGAAAGAAAACATCCTGTATAAATGTACAAGAACTGTAGCTCAAACTAAAACTGTTGAGATCAGGAACTAATTCTCTCTGTTCGTAATAAACGCTCAAACCATTTTACTATCCTTTAGCATAGCTGATATACACAAGCTGTTATATATGAACTACAAACATATTCCGTAATGGTTCCGCATTACTAACTCTTAGCTAAATATCAATTGCACCGAATCACCAGAACGAACAGTATCATTTGCTACCATTCTACTCTACATCTATATTCTCCATTAATAAGATTGCCGTATCTATTATGAAACCATTCCACAAGGAACTCTGTTTATGTACATTTCAATCCGTATTGCCTAGCTTTACAATACAGTTCGTACATATAACAATCAATTATTGTTTGTAAACCTACTATTTTCCCATGCGATATCTTTATATCCTTGTGGATATATTAAGAACTTGGCACTACCGAAAACATAGCTATGGTGTAACATCATCGAAACAACATATGATATTTAGCAAATGTGTGCTAGACATCACTTGATATTTTGCCGAATTTAAACCTATCACTGATATTGATCATACTTCTGACATATACTTAGGAGTACTATTCCGTATATTAGATTTATTTTGTACCTGTATTAGTACTCTTGCAAGTACTTTAATTAGCAAGTCCAGTAATTGATACAAATCAATTCATCGCTTGTAATAGTCAAAGCATATTTCAATAATATAACAGGTGTTCTTTTCTACTATTAGGTAAATCGAGTCTAAAAGTGAATGAATAAAGAAAGCATATTTTGAATAGTATGGTAATTGTTTGCTTAGCTAAGATGTTATGATCACTTATGATCAATTTACATGAAGACATCAGTTCCAGTTTTGAACATATGGTATTGAAGTAGATTGTTAAGCTCGGTGTAGATCTTTATTTACTTTCGAACATGAATACACTCGAAAGTCATTAAGCTTATAACATTATGTGAGCGCCAGATTCGTACATTCATAGATACTGAAGACCCAATCAATACGTATCTAGATTTATATTGCATCGGAGAAGGTAGCATACGTTTGGTATAATGGTTATATCATGCTAAAGTTGGAATCATTTTGCAATTTTTCATCAGCATCTTATAAGTTTGGTAACGGATCTAATTGACGTTTGAGACAGTACAATGTTACATAGCTTTACTTAAGCAGTTGCGGTATATATTTATGGAAGAAAAGTACTGGCACAGACTTTAGTACCCCATTGCTGCTACTCATTCGTTGTTAGAACTGTCGAAGCTTAGTAATAAATGATATAGTTTTTTGAGTTCTATGTGATTATCTAGGGCATGCGTAATAGCAGAAGTTAATGTATTCTATGATATACAGTGGGTATGTTTGCAATAGCCATGTAATAGTGTGTAATGAGATAGGATATAAGAGATGTGGGATTGTAATTGTGTGGTGTTTCTAGGGCCGATGCGAATTGATGAATTTACAATTCATTTTTGAATAGTTGTAGTTTGATTAAAAGTCCTAAGCATCACTGAGTATAGTATTTATATTTACTGTTTGTTATCTCTACTGAATTGGTACAATGATCACTGTTATTAAGATCAATTTTACTTTCAGCTTCTCTGAGAATATATATATGTTGACTTGAGTTCTGAACTTGGTACTAGTTGTGGTTTAAAGTGAAATTATAGAAGTAGTTAATTGAAGTTTTAGATTTAGTTTGAGAGGGCAAGTTCCTGGTTTGATATCAGGCTGAGCATACTTTGATTTAGTTTTAGTATATATAACTGCAAGCTTCTAGTTGCTGGCTCGAATGTGTCCTGATAAGTTGTTGGAAGTGAGCAACTACATAGTTTTATGTTTTGGTGTTATGACATTGCTGGTACACAGAGAGAGGTTTGTTTCCAGTATTCACAAATGCATTGGATTGCTGAATGTGTTATCTAGTACGTTATCTTAGTACGGGCGCGGTTATTGTTTTAAGAGTGGGTTTAGATTGGTTATAAAAGTTTGTTGAACTTGGGGATGTTGCTCTATTGCGGTATCTCTGGTTATTCAGATACCACAATTGGCTAGGAAAGGTTGTGCCATATCTAGTTTTACGTGTCCAGTCTTTTTGATGTTGTTGTTTATTATAATTCTTAAACATGTTTTGAGTCCTTATATTGAAGTATATCTTCGATAAATTGGATAGTTATTGGTATTAGATGAGAGAAGTTGTAATTCTAATGCCTGTTAGAATTTGCAATAACTATAAATGCAGCTTGAGGTTGTTTCTTTTTTTTACGGTGTGTTTAGGGGGAGAATTGTCCTTGAGAGTATCCACAGATTGCTTGTGTCTATTTGATACGAGAGTGAGAATAAGTGGATTGATATCAATTAGAACATTTTTGTTACTTTGAGTATAGTTTAGATATAGACTCTCCAGATTTGTAGAATGTGATAAATCGTTGCAACATTGCAACTTCAGTTTTAAGACACCTTGAGATCTTACAGCAATTTCCTTTGATTTGGTTTGAATGAAACTTATTAATTTGGTACTCAGCCTTAAACTAGGATTGAATACTTTTGCAGAGGTCAAGTAATATATCAACATTTGACTCCATACGATCAAGAAATAATTTTACTTTAATAGTACACGGTTATATTCCTTTGTCTCTATTTGGAATATATAATTCTACAGGCTTAGAAATGAACAAGTAGCATCTGTAGCTGCGCTACACTCCTTTCCAGGATCCTTCCAATTCATCAAACCTCCTTCTCCCCACTTGTCTCCTTTTAGCACCACTATAGTCATCATAATCTCTTTTCATGTTTTCTCTCTTTAATCTTCTTAAGTTTCTAATTCTTTCGTTTTCTCGTCTTTCGATTTCAGAAGAAGTCAATACCTCGACCAACGGTTCCCAATGATCGTTTCCATTTTGAATACTAGTTTCTGTAAAAATTCGGATTCCATTTTCAAAAATTATTCCCCTGACAAGATGTAAATTGTGTATTTCATTGTTAAAAGTGCCTTCTATAATCTCTTTCTTGACACGAATGATTATTTCATGCAATGCATGCGAAATTGCTGGTTTGAATTCCAAGGAAAGACCTACATCCGCCACCACGATTTGTGCAAACTGTTCAGGAGTCACCTCGTTTTGATTCAAATCCCATTCAAATCTATCTTGATATAATTGTTTGTTTAAATTTACAGCCAAGTCAATAATTACATTGCAGGGATTATTAGTAGGCAATTGCAAATTGGAAGCAAAATTGTATTCCTCAATTTGTTGATTGATAGAATCAGCTATCTGCAGAATCATTGCATTTGGTAATTCTAAATCATTGCACACGATTTCAGCAAATTGATAAGGCGTTATAAGGGATTCGTTTAAGTTCCACATGAAAAAATCAACAAGCTTATGTGTGGAGTTGGAATTTTCTAAAGCTATCTTGATTGGAATCAAAATTTGTGGTTTTCCAACCAATTCCGAGATCTTTTGTTCATCATCAAGTTCTTTCATATAGGGAGTGTTTCTAGCAGGAGAAAACTTTTGGACATTGGCTTGAGTTTGATTGGTAATACTTCCTTTGTTGGTGAGGTTGGCAGAAGGAGTGTCCTCAAAATCAAAGTCATCTATGTAATCTTCGGAATAGTTAATCTGTTGGGCAATACGCTTGGCTTGACGGCCAGTAGGAGCTATATTTAACAATAATGAATTGTCATTTTCCTCCAGTAATCGCTTGGAAAGACCCGAAGCTAAGCCTTGGACAAAGAAGGATGTAGTATCAAATGAGAGGGATGACATGGATATATTCTTGGTTTGTATGTAGTGTTTGTTTAGTGTTTTTTTTTTCTTTTTGAACTTTTCTGCCAAAATGTATTTTTCAGACACATTGGTTTCCACACACGACCAACGATTTTAGAGCCAAACATAAACAAACACGTCTGAATTTAGGCACTACCATCATTGAACCTTCAACATGGAATCATCTAGTATTTTGAGTAATTACTTGATGTCACTGACAGAAATTAAGTCAGATATATCGTTTGAAAGTTTTTCCAGAGAGTTTCCCTCCAGAACTCCGCAGGACGTGGTTAGAGCAATTTACGATCAATTGATAATACAGCAAGAGCAGAATATTCGTTCAAAAGTTATAGATACTATCAACAATACTTATAAATTTCCTGTGAATCAAGTTTCATCGGTTATTCAAAAGAATAGCAGTGTCAAAGAGAAGAAATTGAATAATCTCATTAATCAAATGGAAAAACTTGCATCTACGTTATCTTTACAAGAGCAGTCTTTGAGTGAAGAGTCTGACCAGTATATAAAGGAAATTAAATTATTAATAGGAGAATTAAGCAGTCTAAGGTATGGCAGAAAAGATGATTTTTATGAGCCTGCTATGGATGAAGCACGGGAATGTATTGCAAAAATTAAAAAGTTTTTCGATATCAAAAGGTAGGTCTCAATAGTTGATAGCTTTCAGCTCCTTTCCCACTAATGATTCCAATCTATGTACTTCATTTTGGCCAATCCATTTCCAAATTTGAAATTTCCAATTTAACCCATCCCTATCCCCTAACTGATAGTTTGATTCCAAGCCTCCTGTGGGTGGTGTCCCTTGCAAGTACACAAGTCTGCCAATTCTCGAATGGACAAGGGCCATGCAGCACATGACGCAAGGTTCATGTGTTGTGTAAACTATCATATTATGACAGAGATATCCCTCGCCATCTTCTTGGGAACTATGTTTCCTCCTATGCAATTCATTATTTGCAATCGATGAAATTGCTTTCATCACACTATGGTCGTATGGTGTTTTGGATCCAGTATTTGCATGTATAGTTTTTAATTTGATCGAATCATTTATATTCTCTGCTATCAAAGTAGCCAGAACACCACTACAGTCACTGCTGTCTTTGCTTTTCTTGATACATTGTTCAAGCTCATCGAGAAGAGTTGAGACTATTTCCTCTTCACGGGAAATATCGAACTCAACTGTATTAAGGAATTGGTGGTTTGGATTTCCCTTCCAAGCTAATGGCCAATATTTCAGTGACCAGGCTTGTGTAATGTCTTTGGTTTGTGGAGCGTATCGAGGAACTTCAATTAGTCCGACGCTTCTTATTTCCACACCAGGGCAGTGTTCATGAATCAAATTAATGAGTTTCCCTTCGTCAATATATTCCAATGAACATAAAATAGATCTTATGCATTCATTCACTTTCATAAATCTCTTAATGTGTGTTAATGACACGGGATCCGGATCTGTCAAATGGTCTCGAATTAGGGCTACTATTTTTTGAGTGTCTTTTGGGTTAATATCACAATACCACACACTGACTAAAGTTGGCTTCTCGGAAATCTGGTCTTCATTTGCTCGAATCTGCTTTAAAACTCCATAGAGAATTCCTTGCTCGAGATTGACATGTTCATTTTCACTATTTTTGCTTGTCTTCATTTAAGTTGGATCTAGTTAGTTTGGTGTGAACTTTTTTCTTGGATACGAAATCCAAATATATCTTGGTTATCCTTTGCAAAAGAAATGAAATGTTCATTGCGACAGCATATAGATCAACTCTGTATAGACTTATCATCAGAACTCCCTAGCTATTTGAAATTTTTAGACAATGTGGTGATTGCCAGATTATCATCACGTAAGATACACATCTTACCAGTGCTTCATCCATCAAATACGTACTTGGATTTCTTGGACACGTTAATCGCGTACTTAGTCTCGCAAAAGTCCATCAACGTGTTGGCCAGTGGTTATAAAGATTCCAGTATGGATAATCAGTGTAATTCACGAACTATGAGCTCCTCATCGAACTTTGCAATGAATTATATGCGTAATTCGAACTGGAGCTATACATTTCAGTTAATTGGAGCTCATAATTTTTTAGAATTGGTTATAAACTATAAAGGGTTTAGTGCTGTTGGCAGTAAGAATTCGCTACAAGTATTTGGTGATTCCAATCAGTTTTCTTTTAAAGATGATTTCAATGCAGTATCTAAGAACAGAGTGCTAAATAGATCAAATGGTTCTGGAAAAGGTAACAAACGTTGCTTACTCCCTCGTGAAGTTAACCAATTACTTTCAGACATATTTCCATCTTATAAATCTAAGCCAGGTGGTATGCCAAAAAGCTTTCGTAAAATAAGGAAAACCATGCTTTCGGTTATTTCAAGAGACCAGAAGTTGTCTTATAATGCTATATATTCTAAACTAATCGGCTATGGTAAGCCTAACCACCACGAAATCGAGAGAAATAGAACACCTCTCCAGCTTGTTGTAAGGCTTTGCCTTGTGATCCTTTATAAGCTACTACCACTTGAAATATGGGGTGGAAGTGAGAATAAGAAGATTTTACAGAGTGAGATTTCCAACTTCATAAGGATAGGTGTACAGGAAAAGGTACATGTGAAAGATCTACTTCGTGGTATTAAGCTTCTGGATTTTAAGTGGCTAGGAACTACCGAGAAGATTTCATCTAAACAGGATTTTGAATTGAGAAAGCAAAATCTAATTCATTTTTTAGACTGGATATTTGAAACACTAATAAAACGGATCATTACAGCTTTCTGGTATGTAACTGAATCCCAAGATTCTAACGGAATGCGGTCACTGTATTTTCCTCATCATATTTGGGCGTGTATTACTAGTAAATGGTTATCCGTTTACATTCGCGAAAATCTTGTCAAGCAGGAAGTATCAAAAAGCTGGAGTACGAGAGAAGTGTTTAATATTGGTTTTGTTCGGCCCATTCCTAAAAAGACGGATTTTCGATTTATTTGCGTTCCTTCTAGAGGTAATCTAACGTTTCTTGCGAGCCAGTCGGAACCGATATCGAGGGAAAAGGATAGGTTTGAATTCATTAAATATAATTTGGAGATATTACAGCTGATACTGCAAATTTTGCGTCTGAAATTGAACCGAAGAAGTAATAATAACCCGTTTTTTAATCCCAAATGTCGATCTAGTGGTGATGTGGCACTGTTTATGATCAATTTTCGGAAGAGTTTTTTGAACTCACACCAAGAAAAGCTCCCCAAGCTTTTTCTATTAAAATTTGACATGAAGCATTGTTATGATCGATTAAACCAGGAAGCAATCCTAAAACAAATCGAAGGATATTTTCATGGCGAGAACGAAAACACTCCTTATTATTTCCGCAGGTATGTACAATTGGATGATTCTCTGTTTAATTGGAAAAAGACTTCTTCCAGGATCCATAACTCAGCGCACAATTTCAATATGATTCAAGAACTGGCCTACTTGAATGGGATTCGAGGTGCATATTTGGATAAAGTTAAAACCACAAAGTTGTTAAAGAGAGATATTATACTGATTTGCAAAAACTTGATATTTGATTCTCAAGTAGTCATTCGGAATGAACAGGGGCATTATGAATTGTATAGAAGAAAAAGAGGTGTGTTCCAGGGGTTCCCTTTACTGGGTACATTCTGTGATATTGTTTATTCAGCCATGGTTGAAGAAAAATTCAACTTTTTGCAGCACCGTGATTCGAAGTCGTTGTTCTTGAGGTTGGCTGATGATTTTTTGCTTATATCAACAGAGATTCAGGATTGCATAGACGTGAGAAAAATCATTGATGGTAAAGAGCTTCATAAGTTTGGGGCGCATGTGAACATTGACAAGACTTTATTTAAAAGTACCAATGATTCAATTAATACAAGTATAAAATTTGTTGGTTTAGATTTGGATTTGAATACTATGGAGATAAAAATGGAATATCCTCATTTCATATCAAAGACGTTAAAATATCGTTCATTCAAGACACTATTGACTTATTTGTATAATGCCTATAAAACCCGTTTACATGGGTTTTTAATGGACCTTTCGTCTGGTTCCATAGAAGGGGTCTTGTGGAATTTACGTGGATTGTTAGAAATTATTTTGGTAGCAATCTCACATGACTACAAGCGCATTAAACGAGGTGATGCGTTTTCCAATGATAAATTTATCAATTTTCTAAAGGATATACGTGATCATACCATAACAAAGTTTGTAGAAGTCAACAATTCGTTTGATTTTCTTGATATTATTATATCAGAATTTAATGCAGTCATAGTGAAATGCCTTGGCGGGAGAAAGGAATTTGGATTTCTCCTCGAAACGATACCAATATAAAAACTAAATATATGTCAGTTGTATTTACTACACAATGCCGAACGAACTTTTTAAATTCTCACTGTCTTTTTGTGATCTCATTTTCTCTACTTCAGCTATTCCTCCTGACTTTTTGAGTTTCTTATCTTCAACAAAATCTCCCAATTCCTCTTGAAACTGGTTGAGTTTCATCATTTCACGTTCTTTTTCCCTCAATTTCTCTGCTCTTTCGATTGCCTCTACTCTGCTTTGATGATCAGGTACAAGGGCAACCACTTCATTCAAAACTGCATCCTTTATATCATGTAAACTTTCACCTGGCTCCGGTATGTAAAGGTTTGCAACAACCTTATTTCGTTTCCTTGTACTTCCTTTGCTCTGTTCTATGGAACATTGTTCAATCAAGGTAAATGTCTCTTCCATCTTTTTGATGTCTTCTTCCAAATCAATGGTTAATTCATCTTGTACTTTAAAGAAGTGTTGTTCCTCGCATACTTTATCAAGTTCAGTTTCCCAAATCTTTTTCCAGACATTTCTTTCTTTTGAAATGAAATCGGTCATAGAACGAAGAGCCAGTTTGGCGTTCTCTATCTCTTTAACTGTATTCTTGATTTGCTTCTCGCTGATTCTAACCCCTCTTTGAGCTACATCCTTTCTTAATTCCTCTACCAAATCTTGTAAATCATCAACCTTGGTGATCAATACGTCAGATTCCTCGGATAATTTAGTATGGCACGTTTCCATGAAGGATCTATTGGAGTCCTTTGATATTTCAAGGCCATATTCCTGGAACTGATCAAGTTTTTCTGTCAACAGCAGGATAATCAGCTTGAAATTATCGACCGATGATCTGTGTAATTGTCTGAGGGCTTTCAAATCCTGTTCAATCTTGCGGATCTTCTTCAAGTCATACGAGGAAGTTCCTGTGGCTGTATTCACTTCTTTATGACTAGTAGGTAGGACTGGTGCTGGAATATCTATCGAGGAAATGGATTCTTTTACTTGCAGAATAACATTGGCATTCATAGCTTCTATTTTCTTGGACAAGTCTTGTATCTTCAGCTCTAAGTCATTTATTGCTTTTGCTTGGGAATCTGGCTCGTTCAAGCACAAGAGAGTCCCTGATTTGACATCTGACAATAAATTCTCTTCAAGCTCGTATAATACTCCACTGCCGGGGTCTTGGATATAAATTTCAGGAAAGCTTGCTGATCCAGGTGAATATGCAAATTTTTCCACAAATAAAAGTCGAAGGGAAGCAAATGTTACTGGGAATTTTATGTCCACTTTCTTTGTTTTCTTGTTGATTTTCAAAAAAACATAAGATTTGTTGCCATCATTGGTTGCATTGATGGGTTTCCTTTCCGGGATGTCTTCGTGTGAAGATTCATTCGCGAGTGAGCTGCGGGCTGCGGTGATACTCGGCAATGTACTAGGAGTAGAAATGTTTGCAAGTTTGGCATATTGGTAGGCACTAAATCGTTTAGAAGCTCGACGTTGAAGAGCATCCCCTTTTTGTAGCTGTGACAAGGCATCATTTTTGACTGGTGGTTGGGAAGAATGGGATGCTACTCTTTCAGGAAAATCATGTTCTACTGAACTTGGCTTTAATAAATTCTCGGATGGTGGGGAAACTGTTGTTGCTGGTGATGCTGCGCTTTCTATCAGGCTCTTGGATGATCTGTCTTGGGATAAACTCTTTGCTTTGGCTTGTTTAGCTTTTAAATTCTGCAACAAAGTAACAATGATATTCCGAATGTTTGGTAAGAACCTGTCCAAATTTTCTTGAGAAGGCGCTTCACTTAAAGCAGCTTCTAAGATGATTCTTAAAGCTTGAGGTACGTTACCAATATCTGAAATATCAATCCCATTGCTGGTGAATGCTCGAGTAGCAGCTCGGAAATCGTTTCCAAGTTTAACATATGCGTCCGAGACAAACTTGTCATCTGCTTCCTGGCGAGCCCATTGCGTTAAGCTCTCCAACAAATGCTTAGTTGATACAAGAAGTCGAGTTACACTTGTTTCGATACTGTTCAAGCGTCGGCTTCCCGTCATAGCTGGAGGAGAATTGGATGTTGACATACGTTGGTTGTTTACTAATGTGTAATTGATCTACATTTATTTTTTTTATTTTTTTTTTTTTTTTGGTTTGTGAATTCAAGTGGACCAACTTTGGATCACTGAGGTTAGGCAGCTCTGGCTGCGTATCAAAATTGGTACAGTTTGATCTGCTTTTAATTCGAAAAAAAGAATCTGTGTGTATATTAGAGGGAGTTAGTGTTAGAAAGTTTCTATTTAGTTTCAGCTAAAGTATTTCTGGACAATATCAATATCCGCTGGGTTCTTTTGTAAAAGGGCTATGGCTTCACTGTGAGGTACAGAACCCAACAACTGTCTTGTAGCAGCAACGACTCTTTCCGCAGTAGCACCAGCAATAGAAGCATGTGCAAGTGCTTGAATAACAGAATCGACAACCTTTGGAATTTGATTGTTAATGGAAGGATGGTTGTTTTCAATCAATTCACTCAAGAACATATAAGCAAAAGGAGCCGCCGATTCATCTTGAACAATTGGCAATAATGTAATCCATTGATCAATTATAGTGTTCAAGTTTGGTATAGTGCTGGAAAACCTGTGACAAATCTTGGCAATGGCAGAAACTGAATTTTCTGTGGCATGGATGTTTTCTTCGGCTCTGGCATCAGGAACCGAAGCCATTTTAAACATAGGTTCCAAACAAGCTAAACAGAATTGAGCGTAATCTTCTCCTCCAAACTGGGCTGCGACACCAACAGCATATGAACTTGCTTGTCTAATACTAGCATGGGGTGATGTGATAGATTCAGCAACAACATTAGCAAACATATCTCTATAAATAACTGAGTTTGGACCACAATGTTCCAAAATGTCACACACAACACATAACCCACAAAGTTTGATATTGGTATTTTCATCATTAATAAATGAAGCCACGGTTGGAATTAATATTTGGAAATGTGGGAGGAAGTTAGCTTGTGAGTTCTTGAATATGGACGAAAGGGCCTTATTAATCTCATCGAGTAATTCTTCGTCAGTATATTCATCTTCATCTTCTTCAACATCTTCGGTATATTCGTCATCTTCGTTATCACGAGCTTTAATTCTCTCACAAATTTCAACAAGATTGGTATTAATAGACTTGGCCAATGAATCCAATTGAGGTGAAGAAAGGGAGTTTGGTCCCAATACAGTGATGCATTCCACTAAGGCGGTATAATAAGCCACAAGCAATTCTGGAACTGGCTCATTGGTCAATACTTCAACCAACTTTTCGGAGATCTTGGACCAGAATACCAATGTTTCAGTAGAATTGTTTCCAGTTGCAACTACGGAACATTTAAGCAATGAAGCGAGGGTTAAAGCGGCAGATCCTCTTACTCCGTCATGTAAATAAAAGTCCAATCCTGGAATGGCAATATCCTCGATGATTTCCTTGACCCATGGGAAAAAATCACCCTTTAATTGAATAGCATAAGTTCTGAGTAAATCAATAGCAGCAACTTTTTCATCTAAAGCAGCGGTATGAACGGCAATCAATTTCCCAGATAAGTTAATGACATCCCATTCTTCGTTAGAGTTGAATTCTTCAGCTTGTTCTTCTTCCAATAAGGAAATATCTTGGGTAGCCTTGGCAGAAGTCAATAATGGTGGTAACACTGAAGGTAAGTAAGGAATGAAATCCTTACCTATTATTCTACAGATTCTTCCCCAAGCTTGCTCAAGATATTGCTTGACTGGGTCATCATCTTGAGTAGCGGTTTCTTGAATATGACCAAATAATTGGATCAAATCTTGACAATGAGGGGCAAACTTTTCTTTACCAACAGCCAAGGCAATCAAAGTAGCACATTCAATACACTTGGCCTTCAATAACCTGTTTTCGTCACCCATATCTGTTTTTAAAACATCAGTGAGCAAAGGCATCAATGTGTCGTAGTACTTTATAAATGTCTTTTCAGCAGCATCGGCAATTATAGCAATGGTGGTCAATACTTGTTCTTGGACATAACGTTTAGGAGATTGTAACAAGCCTAATAAGTTGCTCAACAAGTCATCCAAGTATGGTTCCAATATTTCTTTTGAAGCAGCTTCAGAAAAGTTGACTAAAGCAGCAGCAGCATGCGATTGGACTCTTGGCACTGATTTATTGGTCAACTTTGAAATTAACGCTGGTAAAATCTTATTACCTGCAGTTCTTTGAATCACGTCGGCAAAATCAGTAGACATTTGACCTAAAGCGTTACAACAAGCGTATTGAACCCTTGGATGGTCATCGTTCAAAGTTGGTAAAATCAAATCTAAAATCTTTGGGATTTCATTCATCAACACGTCAGCACAACCTTCGGCGGCAGAAGAAAGAGCCATAAGTGCTGCTTGACGTTCTCTCCAGTTGGCAGATTGTATCATGGCTGGAAGATATTGGAAAAGAGGGGCAGCTAATGCTTGACCATTCAATCTCAATGCGGTTCTATCCAAAGCTTGTCTGGCAGCATCATGTTCAGGTTCTTCATCCTCATCTTCAGTGTCATCGTTGTTGTTCCATTCAGCGGCATCATCGTCATCGATACAAACTTCAGTCAACATAGACAAGGTTATTAATACCATTTGCTCGGTATAAGATGGAGTACGCTTACACATTGAAGGAGAAACTTCAGCAAATGTAGTAAGCAATTCAAGTGATGCCATTCTAGTGTTTGATTCCAAATCTTTGTTTTTAGAAACAGCAGCACAGAAATCGATAATGGTAGGGAACATGTCTTTAAACATCTTTGGGGCCAATTCAACTAAATCAATCAAAGATTCTAAAACTAATGCTAATGCTTGATCTTGACCATTTTGTAAAAATCTAGGTAATGAGTTCAACAAGTTTGGTAATAATGGAGATAAAGATTGCCAGTTCTTCTTTGGGAGTTCTCTAAAGAAAGCTACGAAAGCAGTACATGCAGCAATACGAACGTCATCAGTTTGGTCCTCGAACCCAGAATTGAAAACGGGCAATACGTCATTCAAATAAGACTTGTCAATCAATTCAGGAGTAGCTGAGAAAACTCTGAAGGCTGATTCGCGGAAACTTGGATCTGGATTTCTAGTGGCTTCAAATAAGGTAGGTATTAACTCATTCCAAGAACCTGCTGGAGACGCATCTTCCTTGGCAACTTCAGAAATTGCATCGGAAAGCTTGTGTCTGACTTGATTTGATTGTTGAGAAGTGAATCCCTTCAATAAGATTGATCTAATTTGGGCTCTGACCGGTTCACTAGTAACACCAATTGTTCTATCGGTGACACTGGATAATTCACGAGGAGACTTTATGGCAATTCTTCTAAACAAGACTGCTGCGAATGATCTAATGGTATCGTTACTTCCCATGCATGATTGCTCGGCTAAGAAAACAAGGAGCATTTCAACGTTGGCTTGGATGGTCCATTCATTATCAAGGGATTTCTCAGCAGCAGATCTGATAGCATTGTCGGCCGAGGATAAATTTTCCAACAACTGAGCTAACACAGCCTGTACATCTTCTGGTAATAATGACATTGTAGCAAAATGAGGAGCAAGGAAATAGTTTCAGTTCTTTAGATACAAGAGCTGAATTTCAATACACCTAAATGGTACGCTGATGGAATAAGTACAGGTAGTTTTGTAATCACTAGCTATGGTTAGGTTACTCAGTTGAAACGAATCTCCCTTGCTTAAATTTTCAAAAATTTTTTTGGAAAAAAAAACCCTAAGAAGAGATCACGTGATCTAGAATACGGGCTTAAGTCTAAAGACGGGGATAATGAACAATGAGTGAATAGAACTTGATTGGATGATACAATGTTAGAATATCCTTCAACTACTTGGATGGTCCTAGTTTTGAATAAGTTTAGAGTTTTGAATCATTCTTTGCTTATTGTGTAAAGCAGGAGACTTTTTTGTTATATTTCGCAGCTTTTTTTAGATAAACATGTGAAAAGAACCACGCTAGAAAACGTGTACAAATAAACACCTGATATATTAACAAGGAGATGCGGCATATATAATTTAGAGAAATATTACTATATCAGAATCCTTATTTAACAAAGCAACACGAATTAGATATAATTAGAGCTATAATAGCGAGTCATTCATGGTGATCTTCTTTGTGCGCTCAATGCTATCCCAATCTGAGGATTTGCGTAACCAGCTTTTGTAATTGTTGATCTCGAGTGAACAACCACCACTCGAACGATAATTCTTCCTGTATTGAGTTTGTATGTAGATCACAAACAGACACAGTCATGTTACCTAGAGACAAATGTTAATAACAAGACACCACCAATGTAAACAGTAATCCGTAATTGGCAAAATGATGTAATTGAAGTCAGAAAGCAAATTGGATCATGCAGAGAACTTATTGCATTTGTGAACAACAGTCTTGCAAATTAATGGACGTTAGTAGTGATGTAGAACTGCAGTGGTAAATTTGAGGTGGACATTTAACACTTTTTGACACTTCTTGTCAACCACATATCAATATTGGTATGTTAGTTGAAGCAAACATACAGAAATTCAAAGAAAGGAAGAAAGAAAGAAACACGGATCCAAAACTTCAATGCAAGTTTGCAACTAATTTATACTCCAGAACCCACAAGTAAATCAACCATACAGATTGATTGAAACAATCACATGACCCAAGCCACGCGTTTTATTATTTCATGGTTCCATATAAAGCCCATTGCAGTAGCTTTTCACAAATAACCTATACTACCGTATAAGACTTTGTAGAAATGAGATTGCTATTACCATCCATCAGCCTTTAACCTGTTAGGTAATTGGCTTTAGCCAATAGAATCATACCTAATCTCGTACGATAATACTGAAAATTCTGCAAAAAAAAACAGTCTAAAAATACCAGACTAAAACTTAGCTGCAAATATTCTCGTATACTAAATACTAGCAAGTATAAAGATTACTATATGATCTGAAAATATTAATTGGTACAGACTATACAAATTATAAATTACAAATTACAAATTATTTCAAGTTGACATGAAACCAGATAATTGCCATCGAATATAGTGAACAAAGTAATTGTTTATTAGGTATGTTACAAGTTTTCTACTTTTTCAAAATAGTGATAACGTCTTCGTCTTCTAAAACATGTCCAAGACCGACAATTTGAGGTTGATGCTTTACTGAAGTACCAAAAACCAATGCATTTCTAAAATCTTCCACCAAGGACTTGTGGATGGAATTACAGAAATCTTCAACTGTACATCTATCGTTTCTTAAAACCACTGGCTCGCTGAAATCAGGTAATTTACCCTTTGGCTTAGTGTAGACTCTCACCAAGTTAAGCTTTTCCCACATTAATTCCAACAAATCATCCAAGTTCCAACCATTACCGGAAGAAATTGGGATAGCATCAGGAATTTTGGTTAAAAGGTTCAATTCTTCGATGGAGAATGAATCGATCTTGTTCAACACGTAAATGGCAGGTATGTATCTTCTTGCCTTTTCTTCTATAGCGTCAATCAAATCATCAACGGTGGCGTCGCATCTGAATGCAATGTTGGCCGAGTTAATTCTATATTCGGACATGACAGCTCTGATTTCGTCATTGTCCAAATGAGTTAATGGAACTGTGTTGGTTATATTTATACCACCTCTTTCCTTCTTGGTAATGACAATGTTTGGTGGTTGTTTGTTTATCCTTATTCCCATTCCTTCCAATTCATATTCAATAATTCTCTTGTGTTGCAAGGGCTTGTTGACATCCAACACCAAGAACAACAAGTTGACGGATCTAGCAACGGCAATAACTTGCTTACCTCTACCTTTACCGTCCTTGGCACCTTCAATAATCCCCGGTAAATCCAACATTTGAATCTTGGCCCCCTTATACTTGATAGTACCAGGAACAGTGGTCAAGGTTGTAAATTCATAAGCAGCTGCTTCAGAATGGGTTCCAGTTAATTTAGATAACAAGGTTGATTTACCAACCGAGGGGAACCCGACGAACCCAATAGTGGCCACCCCAGTTCTGGCGACATCGAACCCAATACCACCACCTCCTCCACCGGAGGAACTGTCAGTTAACAATTCTCTTCTCAACTTGGCTAACTTGGCTTTAAGTTGACCCAAATGGAAGGACGTAGCCTTGTTCTTTTGGGTCTTAGCCATTTCATCTTCAATAGCCTTGATCTTTTCCACAGTAGTCATGGTGCCGAGTTAATTACAGTTGATAAGAATAGCAATCACTTATTTAAAAAAATTTTCAGATCTGTATATTACTTTTTTTAGGTCGTGTGAATTGTCCAAGAAGTCATCAACCGCAGTTAAAAAAAAATGGTGAAAAAAAAATTTCATAGTGGTTGACACTTGCTAGTATATTTCCATAGATCAACAATGGCTAAGAAAGGAAAGAAAGGAGGTAAATCTGGTGGTGATTTCTGGGACGATGAAGACATGGCCCAGGAACAACCGCAAGCTGAAGAATTCGGCAATGGTGCTGAGTCAGCTGAGCCAGTTGAGCCAGCTGAATCAGCTGAAGCTACCCCAGAACCAGCTGGACCTCAAGAAGCTTCTGCAGACGATATAGCTGGAGATTTCTTGAGTTCGATTAGAAAGAACAAGCAAAAGAAGGACCAAAAGGAAGAGGACGACAAAAAGTCTAAAGATGGACCAAAGATCTTGTCCAAAAAGGAAAAGGAAAAGTTAAAGAAGGAAGCTGAAAAGCAGAAAAAGAAGGAACAAGCTCAATTGAAGAAGGCTCAACAAGCATCCAAGAAGGAACAAATCAAGCAAGCTAATAAACAAAATGAATCCGCCAGAGTTTCTGCTTCTGCCACTCCTGAACCTTCTCAAGAAGCTGAAGAAGAAAAACAAGAATCCAAACCTAAACCAGCAAAGAAGGGTAAGAAGGCCCCAGCTGGTCTTGCAGCTTTAAAGAAACAATTGGAATTAAAGAAACAATTGGAAGAAGAACAACGTCGTTTGGAAGAAGAAGAAGAGCAACGTAAAGCCGAAGAAGAAAGACTCGCCGCTGAAGAAGAAGCTAGAAAGGAAGCTGCCAAGGCTGCCAAGAAGGAAAAGGAAAGATTGAAGAAGGAACAATTGAAGGCTGAAGGTAAGTTATTGACCAAAAAGCAAAAGGAAGAAAAGAAGTTGCAAGAACGTCGTCGTCAACAATTATTACAAGCCGGTAACATTACTATTGCTGGTTTAGAAAAGTCCGACGAAGCTCCAAAGCCAAAGAAGGTTGTCTACACTAAGAAGAAGTCTACTAAGCCAAAGACTTTTATTCAAAAACCACAAGCTTCTAAGGTTGAAGAAAAGAAGGAAGATGAAGATGATGAAGCTTTGATTGATGATTGGGAAAAGATGGCTTTGGACGATGACGAACCACTTGCTGATGATTGGGAGGCTGCTTTAGACGATGAAGCTGAAGCCCAAGAGGAAGAACCAGAAGCAGAAGAAGAAGAAGAACAAGAAGACGACGATGAAGCTGAAATCAAGGCTAAAGAAGAAGAAGAAGCTGCCGCTAAGGCCGAAGCTGAACGCCAAGCCAAGATTGAAGCTGAACGTAAGGCCAAGGAAGAAGCTGAACGTAAAGCCAAGGAAGCTGCTAGCAAGGCTACCGTCAAGGCTGCCACTCCATCCGACAAGGACTTGCGTTCTCCTATTTGTTGTATCTTGGGTCATGTCGATACCGGTAAGACCAAGTTATTAGATAAGATTCGTCAAACCAATGTTCAAGGTGGTGAAGCTGGTGGTATTACCCAACAAATTGGTGCCACTTATTTCCCAGTCGAAGCCATTAAACAAAAGACTGCCGTTATGGCTCAATACGAAAAGCAAACATTTGATGTTCCAGGTTTGTTAATCATCGATACTCCAGGGCACGAGTCCTTCACCAACTTAAGATCTCGTGGTTCTTCCTTATGTAATATTGCCATTTTGGTTATTGATATCATGCATGGTTTGGAACAACAAACTCTTGAATCTATTAGATTATTAAGAGACAGAAAAGCCCCATTTATTGTCGCTTTGAACAAGATTGATAGATTATATGATTGGAAGGAAATTCCAAACAACTCCTTCAGAGACTCTTTTGCCAAGCAAGCCAAGTCTGTTCAAGCTGAATTCCACAATAGATATGAACAAATTAAGTTGGCTCTTGCTGAACAAGGTTTGAACTCTGAATTATATTTCCAAAACAAGAACATGGCCAAATACGTTTCTATTGTCCCAACTTCTGCCGTCACCGGTGAAGGTGTTCCAGATTTATTATGGTTGTTGCTTGAATTGACCCAAAAGAGAATGTCTAAGCAATTAATGTACTTGTCCAAGGTTGAAGCTACTATTTTGGAAGTTAAGGTTGTTGAAGGTTTTGGTTACACCATTGATGTTGTGTTATCCAACGGTATTTTGAGAGAAGGTGACCGTGTTGTATTATGTGGTTTGAACGGTCCTATTGCTACAAATATCAGAGCGTTGTTGACTCCACCACCATCGCGTGAATTGCGTATTAAGTCTGAATATATCCACCATAAAGAAGTCAAGGCAGCCTTGGGTGTCAAGATTGCTGCCAATGATTTGGAAAAGGCCGTTGCTGGTTCTAGATTAATTGTTGTTGGTGAAGATGACGACGAAGAAGAAATTATGGATGAAGTTATGGATGATTTAACCGGGTTATTAGATTCTGTTGATACTTCTGGTAAGGGTGTGGTTGTTCAAGCATCTACTTTAGGTTCTTTGGAAGCCTTGTTAGATTTCTTGAAGGATATGAAGATTCCAGTTATGTCTATTGGTTTAGGGCCAGTATACAAGAGAGATGTGATGAAGGCTACTACCATGTTGGAAAAAGCCCCAGAATTAGCCGTCATGTTGTGTTTTGATGTCAAGATTGACAAGGAAGCCGAACAATACGCTGATGAACAAAACATCAAGATCTTCAATGCTGATATTATCTATCACTTGTTTGATGCCTTCACTGCTTACCAACAAAAATTATTGGAAGCTCGTCGTAAAGAGTTTATGGAATATGCGGTGTTACCATGTGTATTGAAGACCATTCAAATTATCAACAAGAGAAACCCAATGATTATTGGTGTTGATGTTGTTGAAGGTGCTGTACGTATTGGTACTCCAATTTGTGCTGTTCGTACCGACCCAGTCACCAAACAACCAAATGTTATGGTGTTGGGTAAGGTCACCTCTTTGGAAGTTAACCACAAGTCAGTTGATTCTGTCAAGAAGGGTCAAACTGCTGCTGGTGTGGCTATGAGATTGGAAAACCCATCGTCTGCTCAACCAACCTGGGGTCGTCATGTTGATGAAACTGATAACTTATACTCATTAATTTCCCGTAGATCTATTGATACCTTGAAGGATCCTGCATTCAGAGATACAGTTTCAAGAGATGACTGGTTGTTGATTAAGAAGTTGAAGCCTATTTTCGATATTAAGTAATGATGACGTTTGCATTGTTTATAACTTTTTCTATATACATATTACTGTTACTCTAAGTGTACAATAGCTATGTAGGTATGGACATGGTATGGTTGTTCTAGAAGAGGTCGTGCAAAGCTACCAATTCTTGCACCAATAAACTGCTCTTATTTCGTAAGAAAAACTGCGTGAAAAAAAACCGAAGGTAGAGAAAGTATAGCATATAACCAAGTAAATACAATCAAAGAACGATGCAAGACTTACCACCAGTTGGAGGTTACGAGCCAATTCAATGGAAGAGAAACATCCCAGCTAGAGGATTCAGTGGGAACGTCTATTTTTGGGGTATCACTGCATTTATGGCATTTGGATTTTATAGATATTACAAGGGGGTCGATGAACAACGAGAATTGTTGAGAGAAAAAGCATACGCCAGATTCAACTTAGAGCCATTGTTGTTAGCTGAAGAAGACAGAAACCTCGCTAGAAGATACTATGCCGAATTAGCCAGACAAAAGTTGGTTAGAGAATCCATGTCCCCAGAAACCAGAGCCAAGTTTGATGAAGAAGTTTACCACGATAAGTCCAAGTTCCGTTTCCCAAGATTCACATCTGGTATCGATGCAAAGGATATCTAGAGAGTTTCTGTTCATTAGCATTCATTTCTAACGAGGTATAACCAAGTATTCAAAAGGAGGGTGACGATTTTTATGAAAATTTTCAAGTTATGTCTAAAGTGCCTTGTTTATAAGACACTCTAGCTGTATTTGCGACATTAGTCTGATTATATAACCTTTTGTATATTTCTGTACGATTCAAATAATATTTATTAAGATTAACCAGCCATAAACAATGGGTGACACATTTTTCGCGGTGTTTGCTAATTTCTACTACGCCAGAAAAAGAAAGAAGGAACTGGGAAATTTCACCAACACGTTTACCTTATATTAGCAACAACCATGTCCTTGAAGATCACCAACAAACAACAAGTAACTGAATTACTTGACCAGTACGACTACTTCATTTTTGACTGTGATGGTGTCTTGTGGTTGGGAGACCACTTGCTCCCACACATCCCAGAAACTTTGCAAATGTTGAAAGATAAAGGCAAGACTGTGATTTTCGTTACCAACAACTCCACCAAGTCTCGTAATGACTACTTGCACAAGTTTGAAAAGTTGGGCATATCAGGAATCACCAAGGATGAAGTCTTTGGTTCATCATATGCTTCTGCTGTTTACATCGACAAGATCTTACAGTTGCCCAAGGATAAGAAAGTTTGGGTTTTAGGTGAAGCTGGTATCGAGCAAGAATTGCACGAGTTAGGATACAAGACTGTTGGTGGTACTGACCCAAAATTAGTTGAAGATGGGGTCAAGTTCAAGCCAGACCACCCATTGATTGACAAATTAGACCCAGAGGTGGGTGCAGTATTGTGTGGATTGACATTCAATGTCAACTACTTGAAGTTGTCAATCACGTTACAATACTTGTTACAAGAAAACAAATCGTTGCCATTCATTGCCACCAATATCGACTCTACCTTCCCAGTCAAGGGTAAGTTATTGATTGGTGCTGGGTCAATTATTGAAACTGTGGCATTTGCCAGTGGCCGTCAACCAGATGCCATCTGTGGTAAGCCAAACCAGGCCATGATGAATGCAATCAAGGCTGATAACCCGGGATTACAAGCCAACCCTAAGAAGGGTCTTATGGTTGGTGACAGATTAAACACCGATATGAAGTTCGGTAGAGATGGTGGCTTGGATACTTTGTTGGTGTTGACTGGTATTGAAACCGAAGAAAATGTTTTGGCATTAGCTCAGGATGTTGCGCCAACATATTATGCTAATAAATTGGGGGATTTATACGAATTTTAGACTTGTATAGAATTAGATAATTATAGATAATACTTCGTACAGCTACCAAATGGGTCGTTTAACAACCGTGTCGGGATCTGGGACAACAAACGGTCACCATGTAGTAACTGAGTAAATAGAGTTAACGTTTTTGACATTCACATGGTATAAGCATGATTTATAGTTTGCCTATGCGATATTTTCATGGCATGTCTCTTCGATGATGTCATAGATTTTATTTTTTCTCTGTCGTGGAATGACAGCCCTGAACAATCATGGTGTGACAGAATGACGATCTGTTGACGGAACATAGAAACATTTGACGAAATTTGACGACATATATCTACTACGTATATTGCTGGCTGTTTAGAGCATAACAAATGTTATGAGGTGGTCTGTACACTAAAACGCCAAGGCGAATGTAGAAATGGTCTAGAATGGTTCACGGCCGATCCTTTTTTTTTTTGCGTTGGGGTGGTGGGATAAAAACAATAGCCTTAATTTGTAAGCCCAAGAAATACCAGGAAGGTAAACGAAAAAAATAAAATAAAACATAAACATGACAATCCAGAAAAGGATGATCTTGCCAGAGATAAACAAATTAGAATAGAAGGTCCAAAATCTTGTGTCTGACAATTGGCTCATTTATGTCAGGTTTTTGTTCCTTGTATTTTTTTGGGTAATTTTTCTTGAACTGTCTTTTTGGAGGACATTTCCATTTACAACCTCCACTCGGCTCACGCACAAACTCTAAAAAATTTAAATAAAAAATTCGTCTTAAATTTTGAACGTATTTTTTTATAAAACTAAAAACCTTCCATCTCAAATTAGTGTCCACAACACATTTCTTTCCCGTTCCCCCCCCCTTCGCTCGTCCTTTCAATTACCCATTGACTCTTGTGGTTATATCTGTTGTTATTTTATCGTTCCTAGTGATCCATTCTTTTACTCACATACCTCAGTTAACAATTTGTGTTTGTTCCCCCCTCCCCCCCCCTCACTACTACTACTGCCACCACGTCCTCCCCTAATCCAACAAGAAGAATAATATAATATTACCCATCATGTCAGAAGATAAAAAGAAAAAACTACAAGCCACGGGCTTAGTGGACTGGCCAGTGTTTAGCGAAATAATAGCCATGGACGAAGATGAAGAGGAATTCTCCAAGTCGTTGATACAAACGTTTTATACTCAAGTGGAAGAAACTTTTCAAAAATTTTCCAATTTGATCAACGAGAAAAATTTAGAAGAGTTATCCAAAGCAGGACATTTTCTCAAGGGTTCAGCCGCTGCTCTTGGATTAGGTACAATCGCCACCCAATGTGAACGAATTCAAAACTATGGTCATAAAATAAACTTTGACAATTTTGAGTATCCAGCTACTGCCACTACCACTACTACTACATCGTCACCGCATTCTATACACACCAGTTCTTCAGAAAACAATACTAATAACAACAACACCACCACCACTCCTGACGAATCAAGTGATGATTTCTGGATAGCATTGATCAAAGATGCATTAGAAAAAGCCCAAGATGGATATACAAAGTCTAAGAAGGCATTAACTGACTATTATTCGTGAGTATAAATATTTATATGCTGTGCCCTTTCTTTTGCATTCTAAATATACACATCAATCTTCTGTTCTATTTATATTTTCAATTCGTTTTAATGCACAAAATTCCATATACTCTATGTTGTAAGGAATGTACTTTCGCAAGGTTTCTGGAATATAAATTAGTTTTCCGATAAGATTGTGGTGGCCATTGGGGTTGATAATTTTGTTACAGGTGAGTATTTCCCAATTTGGATCTACTGACATATCTGGTTTAATCACCAGGGGGAAACTTTCCAATTGCGTATTATCAACAAAGTAGTCACATTCTTCCAAGGGAATAACCTTATCACTTTCAAATTGATTGCGATTGTTCATATGTGATGGCACATATGTGGTCAGGTCAATTAGGGATCCACCCTCATGGAAATCTCCTGGAAGAAGTCCATCAAATCCGCTGTTGACAAATTGTAGTCTGTGGTTTTCAGCAAGAAACAACGAGGTGGGGAAATGATACCATTCCTTACCCATACATACATTCTTGAAAGTGTCTGTACTAGGTTCATGGGCAACAGCATAAAATGTAGTCAATGGTGCAGAATAATTAACCACCAAGTTCAATATTCTCAAGTTAGACACCACGATAACTCCAAGAATAAATCCAATCTTGAGTAATTTGTACAACTTAGAATATGATTTAATCACATTGAACAATTTCGACACGAAAATTGCAGCCAGAAGGGATAACAACGAATAGATAGGATACAAGAACCGTTCTTCCTTGTGTGGTTGACTAAAGAAAACCCCACACCAAATTATCACTTGTGATGAAGTAAACCAAGCGATTGGTTTAACTTGTGTAACTATCGGATTAACTACCAAGCCAAGGAATGCTAATGGCAATATAACATGGAAGTTCAACAACAAGTTAAAAATGTAATACGTCACTGGCTCTACCCCAAATATCTCTGGTCCTTCTCCTTCTTCTCCAAACACATTATACAAGACAATATTAACAGGTATGAATGCTCCTAACTTCTGATAGAATATGGAATCAATTATGACAATAGGCACAACTATACTTGCCAATGCCAAAACACAACGGATTAAAATGGTAAACTTGACATTCTTCTGCACAATCTCACTGAGTATGTAGATTCCAACAGGCACACCCAAGGCAAGGGCAAATGGCCATCCTAATACCCCTCCAACAAAATACCAAAACACCGCACAGACCAATCGTGAATCCTGTTTAGTTTTTACATAATCTATGATATCCACCATGGCCAACATAGTAGTTTGCATAGCTAAAGAACTAGGCAATAACGCCACTCTAGCATGACTCATTCCTGGGGCAACTGTATTAAATAATATCCACCAATTGGCTAAATTGGTTGAATATTGAGAAAGTTTGATAAATAACTTGATTTCACAAAAACTGGTAAACCCACATAACCCAATCAATCTAATGATATAGAAAACTTGTTCCGGTGACTCAACAAATGGTGAAACAACTTTGGCAATGGCATAGTAAGGAATCAAATATGCGTATGACCTAATAGAGAACTCGGGTGAATATTCCCAAGTTTGTTTTCCAAATCCACGAAGGAGTAAATTCAAGGGTTCCCAATAATTAAAAGTCTCATCACAATCGGCAATTATCATATAAAATGAGGAATAGGCCAGATAAATTAGGTTTAGTATGATCAAACCATATTGAAGTGGTGTTAATTTCATGGTTGCACAGATTACTTACTATACATTACATATTTTTCTAAATCCTGGGTATTAATCAAGACGGGTGAAAAAATCCAGTGCTACCAAACGAAATGAAAATTAGCTACACAAATTGACATCAAGCTAAACAACAAGATAACGTATGACAAGTATATATCTATATATATGTGTGTGTGTGTGTTAGAGAAATACTACTGTGTCAGAATCCTTATTTAACAAAGCAATGCGAATTAGATATATTTAAAGCTATAATAGCGAGCAATTCACGGTGATCTTCTTTGTGCGCTCAATTTTATCCCAATCTGAGGAGTTACGTAACCAGCTTTTGTAATAGTTGATCTCGAGTGAACAACCACCACTCGAACAATAATACTTCCTGTATTGAGTTTGTATGTAGATCACAAACAGACACAGTCATGTTGCCTAGAGACAAATATTAATAACAAGACACCACCAATGTAAACGGTAATCCGTAATTGGCAAAATGATGTAATTGAAGTCAGAAAGCAAATTGGGCCATGCAGAGAACTTATTGCATTTGTGAACAACAATCTTGCAAATTAATGGACGTTAGTAATAATGTAGAACTGCAGTGGTAAATTTGAGGTGGACATTTAACACTTTTTGACACTTCTCGTCAACCACATATCAATATTGGTATGTTAGTTGAAGTAAACATACAGAAATTCAAAGAAAGAAAGAAAGAAAGAAAGAAAAAAGTAACACGGATCCAAAACTTCAAAGCAAGTTTGCAACCAATTTATACTCCAGAACCCACAAGTAAATCAACCATACAGATTGATCGAAACAATCACATGACCTGAATAAAAAACAGAGTGCTACCAACTATTCTGCGCACGTGACTTTTTTCTGAGATGAGGTTTCTTAATTTTTTCAAATATAAAGTTTGCAACATAGCTAATACTTACCAATTGAATCAGTGACCATGCCAGAACAAACCAATCAAATCAAGATCAAATTCTTCACTAATGATGAAGATGAATCATTACACGTCAGTGATTCTCCATTATTTGTCCCAGTTTCCTTGAAAAGATTTGGGTTATCCGAAGTTGTAAATCACTTGTTAGAAAAAGATAATGACACACCTATCCCATTTGATTTCTTAATTGATGGTGTCCTTTTACGTGGCTCCCTTGAAGAATACTTGACCAAACATGGGTTATCCAACGAAGCGTTCTTAAGTTTGGAATACCAACGTGCGATATTACCTCCTTCATTCTTGGCCTCATTTAACAATGACGATTGGATTTCTTCTCTTGATGCCATAAACCTACAAAGCCAAGCCGTTACTTCATCAAATTTATCCATCACCCAAGCAAAGATCTTATCTGGTTCCTATGATGGTATTGTTCGTACTTATAATATGTCTGGTAAGGTGGAGAAACAGTATGTTGGACATAATGCTCCTATCAGAGCTGTAAAGTGGATCTCTCCAACTAGAATTGTATCTGCTGGTAATGACAGACAAGTTAGATTATGGAAGACATCACACGAAGAAATTGAAGATGAAGACGAAGATGAACCGGAAGAAGGTAAGACATTGGCCATCTTAGAAGGTCATAAAGCCGCTGTCGTTGATTTATCCGTGGAATACTCCACCAACAGAATATTGACTGCCAGTTATGACCAAAGTATCGGGTTCTGGTCTACTAATTATAAAGAAATGCAATCTATCCAACCATTTGAATACGACTCTAACGTCATTTCTTCTTCTTCCAAAAAGAGAAGAAAGATGGCCTTGCAGGATGCTTCAATCAGGCGTCGTTCTCCATTGTCTTTATTAGAAGGACACACACAACCAGTAGAAGCCGTTATATTCGACGCCAATGATGCAACTGTGGGTTACTCCGTATCCCAAGATCATACTATCAGAACTTGGGATTTGGTCACTTCAAGATGTGTAGACACTAGAACTACCGGTTACTCCTTATTATCCTTGTTGCAATTACCTAAACAAAACTTATTAGTTACTGGTTCATCAGCCCGTCATATCAATCTTCACGATCCAAGAACAACCACGGAACAAACAAGCACTAAATTAGTGGGACACACTAATTTCGTGGTGGCATTATCCGCATCACCAAATAACGAGCATATGTTTGCATCAGCATCTCATGATGGAACCGTCAAGGTTTGGGATGTCAGATCGGAAAAATCATTATACACAATCACAAGACAAGACGGACTGAAAGGTAAGATATTTGATGTGTGCTGGGATGGTCAAATAGGTATTATAAGCGGGGGTGAAGATAAAAAGATTCAAATCAACAAGGGATCTGATATTTCCAAGTAATAATCTATAGATGTAATATATACAAGTTCTATTTGTTTTCCTGGCGTTTACTAGTAAACATGTTCAACGCATAATAACCTTGCCACATACTTTCTGTATCGGTAATATATCCGAGCAAACCTGTGTCGTTTCCAATGCTTGAAGGAGAAGTTAATGAATCAACATAGTCAATATCAACCCAGCCAGTCTTTTGTCTAATTGCTTTCAATTCGTGAGCATTCAATTCAACTTGAGCAGCTGTTCCATATTTCAATGGTCCAACATTAATCCAATACCCAGTCTTGATTGGTTTGTTTGTGGTTAGTCTTTGTATAGTATCTAAATAATCCATTAAATTTTCAGCAGTATCAAGGAAATATACCGACACCACCACGACATTGGTATATTTTTCAACTTCAGGGATGGAGAATTCTAGAAAATCTGAATTATGAAGGTGTAAGCTGTATGGCTTAGGACATAATGGTGATGACAATTTTATTGAACGTAATTGAGATTCGGTGCTGTAAAAATTGGAATTTTGGTGAATATAAGGATGCACGTTGTAGATATGCTCAGTTGATGAATTATAGTTGAAATCAACAAATGAAGTCATTAATCCCGAGTATTCAACAGAATGAACAGATCCGTAACCAAGTTTGCCAATTTCATGAGCAATTCTCCCTAATCCAGATCCCGGGACGATGATGCATGTAGACGATTTCTCTTCTTCTGGGATTATACCTGACAATTGTTTATTAATATAGTTAAAAATGGGTTGTAATTCGTCACTTAACCGGTCTAATGAGCTCCAGTCACGTACGTAATGGGATAATGCCTCAATAACACGATAGTTAGTTGCAGAAGCGCCTTGAGTTCCTTCCTTAACCATGTCAAAGTCCTTGTAGGTAATTCCGTACTTCTGTATACAATGATCAGCCACATCGTTGATAAACTTCAGATTAGCCACAATTGCCGAGTTAACCTTGGATAGCTTATCCAAATAACCGACTTGTTCACACACCTTTTGTTGTCTCCAGGTCATTAGCTTAAACAACCGTTTCCTTCTGTCCACTTGTACTTTGGATGCCAGTTCGTAGTTCTTGAGTGATTGCATGGCAGTTAACAATTCAATCTTTTGAAACTCCAGTAAGGTTTGAAACACTCCATTAGCAGCTGTATCAGGGATGTATGGTTGGGCAGTGGTTGCAGTCTTTACTGTATTGACTAGGTTCTTGAATATTTCGGTACGTGAAACCATATTAGAGAATATGAATACTGATACAAGTAACGGGATTTGTGAGTTTTTGTAGATGGTTAGCAATAAATAGTATAAAATCAAACAAGTTATGGTTGTAATGAATACCAATTTCAAATCATCCGACGGCATAGCATGCACTGATAGGTAATAGAACTGACGTAAGAGTTGTTGTTGTAGTACTTTGTTTATATAGTGGTTAATGTCGTAATGTCGCGTTCTAAATTTTAACTTTTTCCTGCATCATGAGGTTTCAGATTTTCCCTACAGAAAACCCAAAGGAAACAGACAACCTTATACCAACTACCCCAGAGTAAGCAATGACATACGACTATTCTGATATAACACCAGTGAAAATCAATACTGAAGAGCCTCAGCTTTGCCAGATTCTTTATGATGAAGAATACAAGCAAGTAATGGGATTGCTTCTTGCCTTGATGCAACAAGAAGAGTATTCTGAACGAGCATTGGCCTTGACAGAAAAGGGAATTGACTTGTTGGCATCCCACTATACCACTTGGATATACCGTTTCAATATTCTCAAACATCTCAACAAGGACATGCTTGAAGAATTAGACTGGTGTGAACAAGTGGCTTTGGATAACGAAAAGAACTATCAGATTTGGAATTATCGTCAGTTGATAATTGGCAACTGTATTAAGTTTGATCCTCATAGAGAGTATCCTATCATGAAGGCAATGTTGGATTCCGATCCCAAGAACCATCATGTGTGGTCCTATCGGAAATGGTTGGTTGAAAAATTCGATTTATATCACGATGAAAAAGAATTAGAATTTATTGAAAAAGCCATAACTTCAGATTTGAGAAACAATAGTGCCTGGTCACATCGATTCTTTTTAAAATTCAGTAGGAAGCTCTTGACCGATGATGAAACTATTGAAAACGAAATTGACTATGTTAAAAGTGCCATTGCCAAATCCCCTCAAAACCCTTCAACTTGGAATTACTTGTTGGGAATTTTTGACAAGTTTGATAGGGACCTTCCTGAATTGGAAGGCTTCTGTTTACAGTTTGTTGATTTAAAGGATGACAGTGTGAAAAGTTCGTTTGCTTTAGAAACATTGGCCAAAATTTATAAATTGCAAAAAAAATACGATGATTCAATTAAGGTATATGACTTGTTAAAAGACAAGTATGACCCTATTAGAAGTAACTATTGGAAATATGAAGTTTCAAGGGTTGAATCTTTAAAAGCTTAGTTATGAGTTTACGTAAATATATATATATATATATATATATATATATATTGTTTGGTTATTGTCTTGATATAGATCTAGTCCTTGTAGTGCATTTAATGTGGGGGAATTGCCTCTATAGATTTTTTTTTTTTTACTCTGCCCCTGGTTAGAACACCAAGAAAAAATACAGTACAGTTTTTAGAAGAAATTCGGAAGATGTAAATTTTTTGCCTGTTTTTGCCCAATGACAAAAGAACTACCGTATAACTATTCAAAAAATAATAAAAAGAAATGGTCCCTAGCAGGATCGAACTGCTGATCTTGGCGTTATTAGCACCACGCCTTAACCAACTGGGCCAAGGGACCTATTATTGAAGTTTTGTGAAGCAAAATTGATTTTGCACTAAATTAAATATACCAGTAAATTAGATCACGTGATATGATGCTTTTAGTTTCCGTTAACGTTTCGATTTTCTTCCAAATGAGCATAATTACATCTAAAAGGATCACTAATACAAATTTTAAACATTTTGTGTATGTTTTTTTATTTTAATTTATTTGCTAGCTTAACACTCATTTGTTGTTGCTATAATCTAGATTTCTCAGTGTCAATTAATTTTGTAATTTTTTTGTCATATTTTTTTTGCAATTTTAGTTTTCCGTGGAATATTCAATTTTTTGCACCTTAATGTTTGGTATTTGCCATAAAGTTGTCCAGGTTTCTCACTAAACTATTCAGGTTTTGGCTGCAGAGTATACTGGTTGGATACTAATTTCAAAAATTTGAGCAAGGTAAATGTATGTTAACGGGGTCCATGTACCTATGATTGTCGGTTTATAAACCTAGGGTTTATATAAGTTGCGAAAAGTACGATTTTATAGACCGATGAACCAGTGATTGTAGGCTAATATCTACCCACGGGAATGGCCTTTTTCCTGTGTATCAACAACTACCGCAGAGTAGTTAGCACCTTACCCCTAATAATCACAAAACCACTTAAATTGTCACATGGATAATATATAATGAAATATATAGCTCATGCGTTTTAAACAGGATATCAAGTGACAATTATAGCAACCCTGTAAGCTATAGAATAAAGATAATTATGCATCGTGTACTTTGTTCAAAAATCGCATTCCGAGAAGACCTCGGTAAATGTATGGTTCTAGGATGACAATCCTATGAAATATATAGGCTGATGCAACTATGATGAATATTGTGGGCTCGTAATCCTATGAATTTGGTGAGTTGAGAAAGCTACGATTTTCACAGTCTTAAGACCGTAATATTGTAGCCTGAAAAACCTCTAGTTTTTGTAAACTAATATACCCCCGATGGTAGGCTAGTGAACCAATGATAGTAGGCTGTCACATCCACACACACATATATATATATATATAATAAAATCTGGGGAACCAACCAATGCTATAGGATGTGGTGCCAGTAATTATAGACTACAACGACATGATAAACCTATGATTGAAGGCTGGCAAATCTACAGCTTTAAGTCCACCTAGATACTCTAGGCTCTCTGTAATCACATTTCGATGGTCTCCTTATTGGTACGCTCTCTAGCCTTCCAATTTGGATTGTAAACGTGACAGTAAAGCAAAATGGTGGGGTGACATCGATATTACAAAGGCAAAATCGATTGCTTAATTCAGTAAGATTGAGAAGTGACCTAATAGAACTTGTTATGAAATTGGGTTAAATAAATGAAACAACATTGAGCCTGATATTGATTATAAAGCTTAAATTAGGGGTTATCTGATTGGATCTTAACTCAATTTCTATTTCTCAATTCTCTTGTAGCTTCTTATAATCGATACCTAGCTAGAATGAATTACAAAGAATTAAGGAAAACCCCCCCTTTTTTTTCTCTTTAGATAGACAATCTTGTAACTAGGTGGGATTGTAAATCACCAACTAAAACCCGTCTAAATTCTTCGGAAAAGCGAAAAACATCCCCACACGGCACAATAAATCCAACCAGTTACCGAGTTAGATTAAGCATAACGGGCTGATTTACCTAAATTTCGCAGCACTTACTTGAAATTTTCAAATGGAGCTGTTATTTATCATTCGATTTTTCATAAAGTGGAGAAATGGATAAGGCAGATATTCAATATTTTTTATGCAGTTTTTAACTTTTGCGCTATTGCTGCAACGTCTAAGCAGGTGAAAGTTTCATGGGTACTATCCTGATAAATCGAATTGAGTATGACATAATCGCTCTATACGAATCGCTTCCATGGATACGCATAGGCTATGCAAGTACATGCCGATTGAATGAGAAAAATATAGAAATAATAGAATAACTATTATGCATATGTAATGAGATGCCCGTTATTGGTCGCAAATCACAACTTTACTTTTATCATCTCGGCTTTAGATTTTTGATAGAATTCTCATTTGAAACACGTTAACTTTAGTTAGGGCATAGTTAATAGTCGTATACTTATCTAGTACGATCTTGTTACTACATTAGATGGTTACGAGCCAGTCGTGTGAGGGATAAATCAAGTGGCACAAAACAATTAGCTGTGGTGAGTAACACAATTTTCATTGTGCTAAAAAATATATATATATATATTTTTTTTTCATGTGCGTGTAGTTATTACGAAAATTAATTACCCTACACTGTGGTAAACCGTTTTATTTTATATGTCAGTGCTTACTCCACTACTGCTACCGAGCAAAAGAAAAGACAAGTATAAGAGAGTTTTCACATAAATGCATTATGTATTCAATTGTACTTGTTGTTTAAACGATCGTTGCAAGGAATCGAACCATTAGTGACTCTTTGTCCATTGGTCAAAATTTTGATCGTTCTGTAGGCTTTGGATATATTTTTTAGCTAGCACGATTTATAGGGGGGGACAGTCAAATTTATTGGTTGATATAATAAATATTAATTTATTGATAGCATAAATTCTTCTCCTTTTCCCAACGTGAGCCGTACTCAACAATGAGTTGCGTTCAAAGCCTGTATTATCCAGTTTTACTCCGCGTTTACGTAAGTTTCACATATCTGCTGATCATGTTAAGCTATAACTCAGAAATGATATTCCTCCACTAACCTAGTTTAAGACTAAAGTAGAATACAAAAACAGATTATTGCGTGAACACTGACTAAAAATTGTTGCGCAAATTCAAATATTTTTGAGTGGGTCAGCCTGTAGTAAGTCAAGAAAATTGGTAAGACAACCATAACCTGTAAAAGACAGAATATTTTTTATGCCTCTTTACGCCTATTTTAACGATATTTTATTTTTTCGTCCTTACTAATGTTGTGAACTGAAAAATTTTTACACTTTGGATCTAGGTATTCCAAAACCGATCTATTGTTTCACAAGCCATTTTCATAATCAGCAAATTACGATCTTCCAAATGCGGTAAATTGGTGATGACAAAAAAAAATGTCGAAGGTGGGCATCCGAACGGAATTTGCCCCCCTCCCTTCCTTTCGAATACGATATGAAAGTCCGCAAAGTTTGAAATTTATCACATTCTAATCTATATATCTTCACTCTGCATGAAATAGTTAATTTCAAATAACCTAATTTCACACATGTAGTCTTAATTTTAGTTGTAAAAATCGTACGAAAAAAAAGAGACACAAGATTTAAACAGTGGCACACCACCCCTCCAGTTGTTCATCATCTCACTAAAAATAAGAAAAAAAAAGAAAAGAAAAAAAAAAGGATTGTGAAAAAAAAAAAAAATAAATTTGTAAGAGAAATTTTGATCTAGTTAGATTTTTCCTACTGCAGTTAAAAAGGGTCAACCCTCGCACACTTAAAACATTTAACATCCGTTACACTAACTTAATTTCCCTTATTTTACCACACAGTGCAATCAACACATACACTGTATCCAAACTTACAACTAGCATCTCGATATTTTTACCCGCCCAATCTTAATTTTGCCTTGAAAAAAAAAAGGAGAAGGTCACATTGTTCTGATCTGAATTTTTACAACCAAATTTTTCAAATTCATAAACACCCACATTCCCTTGTTCAAGGATGAACGAATATGGCGGTCTAGGAATAGTGATCGAAGAAAACGAAGAGAAAACATACGCCCCTGATTTGAATTTAAAACGCCCGAATATACTATCTAATTCAAACTCTATGAATTCAATGATGACCCAATCTACATCAGTAGCATCATCTCCCATGATAATAGAAGAAAATGAACATACTGAAGACCAGCAAATACCCGTGGTTGAATACGCCGAACAACAAGATACCAATAGAAATGAATCCACCACAACAATCCTGCGAGCTTCTATAGAAACTGAATCTTTATTGCCACCACTTCCTGACGCAATCGAAGATTTGACCACGAGCGAAAAACCTCCAGCAAGTACCACCACCACCACAACCACATTTGAAGATAGCCATTCCACTCATAGCAATGACAGCATTTTGTCTAATAAAGATGCAGAATATAAGAAAACCGTCTATCTAACCAACAACAATCCTGCTGGTAATTTCTCCAATTATGCATTAGATTCCTTGAATCAAAATAGTTCATTACAACTCTTTCCAAGATTATCCAAATCAACCCTTGACGAATCATTAAGTTTAAACGGCAGTTTATCTGCTACAAATACAAATAAGTCATCCCCACAACTGACTAATGGAACGACAATCACTGCCAATGACAGTACCAATAGTAACAACAGCACCAGTTCCCATTCTCCATTAAAAAAATTAAGAAGTATAAAGAATGGAATTAGAAAATTATCCCTTTCTAATATGAATGGTAGTAGTAACAACAGTAGTATTGCTTCATCACCTTCAACACCAAAGATTCCAAACTTATCCTACACACAACCGGAGCCAATTCATATCCATACACATTCACATTCGCATTCCAATTCAACATCCTCCAACTCATCTTATTCTTCTAATTCAGTTAGAAGTAAAAGAAGTCGTGTTCCAAGTCAAAGTTCACCACCAATAATGTCACCTGTGATCACCCTTAGTGAAAATTTATCTTCAACTAAACGTACTTTAAACAACATGGAACAAAATTACTTTGATTCAAAATTTGATATAAATTCATTTGAAGAGATGGATAATGTTGAAGATTTAATCAATTATCTGATCTTCTTGACTCAGCAAAAGAAGTCCTTGGATGAAGTATATAAATTGACCAAACAAAGGTTGGTAGACAGTGGATGGTGTTCTGATCATGATTTACATAATTTGCAATTACAACAAGATGCTTCAAGGTGCCAGATTGATACTTATTTGTTAAAGATTGAAGAAAAATTGAATAGAGAACATGCTACTTCACTACTAGGTAACAATCCTACACCAGTTTCCGGTACAAGTACTCCTACAACAACAGCTCCAACATCTAGAAAACAAAGCACCATTCAAATACAAGCCATGCATAAAGAATTGCCAATCAGTCCAAGTTTGAAAGTTCTTGAAAGTAGATGTTTTTCATTTTCTGATGTTTAAAAAGTTGGTTTATGTCTTGATGATTTGATTAGATTTTTATTATTTGCTTTTTTGTTTTTTTTTTTTAGAAAATTATTTTACTATATAGAGTTTTTGGGGTTTATACTATTAAAGGTTATTTATTTAGGTCAATTCTTTAGTTAGATTAATAAGAATGGTTCTGTGATATAATGTGTTTTCTGGGGAAACCGTAAGGCAATACCAACGATGAGCTCATGTGATTTTGACTACTACCGGATGAAAGGGGTGTTCCCCACCATGGTTACGAACACATGACTATGAAACTTCAAACAGTCACTCACAAAAGTTTAAACTTAATAGATATACCGTATAACAGCTCGTTTTGGGAACGATGATGTATATCTTCACCCAAGTTTAACTTGACACTACAAATGCTTTACTGAAAAAAAAAAATTAAAATATTTCGAAAACGCAGAATCCAAGATAATGCCTTTTAATTGTCGCATACTTAGTATGAGGACGTTGTCGAAAGGTTTGTTCTAGCATTCTTTTCCCCTCCACTCATTCATTGATAAGTAAATGGTGCAGTGAATAGAAGGCATTCGTATCAAAGAAGAAAAGAATAGAAACATTTTAAAAAAAATTTTTTCACTAAAAACTTTAATTTATAATGAGGGAACATGGTAGCGTGACCATTACATCTTAATACAGCATGACTATTATTTAAACTGCCTCTCTTGCCAAGAGATAATCCTCTCACTAATAGAACATAAAAGAACATCAACTGGGTTAAGCACAGCAAACGTGAAGGCTGTTGCCTTTTGACTTCCAAAATAGAGTTACCCGGACGCACAACCAAACTGCCAGCCTAGGGCTATATATGATTACGCTTACAATCAACTTAAAGAATCAAATATATACATTAGTCCTATTTAACAGGAGATTCTTGTTTTTCATGTTCATCACTCATTTCGCTATCAGAAACTGATTGCTTCTTTCTTTCTTCCAAGGTAAGTTGCCAATTTAATTTACCTTCTCGTTTTTTGGCAGCATATACACCCCGTTTATGTCTTCTACTAGCCAAATGCAGATCATAAACATCTTTTCCTAACATTACATGAGGTTTACCTGATTTATCTTTACAAATGTCACAAGTATAATGTTTCCATTTCAAATCTGCATCCAAAACTTTTTGACTACTGGTTATATGTCCCTTCGATTTAGTAAACATATGCATTAAATGTTTTGGTGCTTGTGGGATTTCCACGTTTGGTGGTCCATGTTCGAGGAATTGCTTGGCTATTTCTATTCCTCTTTGTTGAACATTTTCATGCCACTGGGTTAAATCGGTAGCGTCAAGGATGTATAATTTCCCACCATATTTGTAATTAAACCTTGCTTCCTTTTCCAATTCAATTAAAAGCATATTTAAGATCCATTTGATTTGATATTTGGCATATTGTCTCGTTCGGATCTTCATTCTTTCCACCCCTTCTTTGAATAAGGAGTCGTCTGTCTTGCCTGAAGTCAACCAGGGTAAAAATTCTTTAAATCCAATGACTTGCCATACTCCAGATGTACATACTGGTTCAGGGGTTCGCGACTTGAAATAATCATACATTTCATTAATTTCGTCAACAGCACCTAATTCCATCATTTTGTCTACTCGGGTATCAAGTCTGGGATTAAGCACTTGTCTATCACAGTACACCCAGAAAAGCAATGTGTTGTACTTAAGTGAACTATCTTCCAATTCATCCAACTTTTGTTCTCGATATAAGTCAGAAGCTTTGTTTCCAGTAGTATACCAAATTTCCAATGCTCTTCGTAACTTCCGATCGTCTTGAGGATGGTACCTCGAAGCAATTAGCGGGTCAACCCGTTGCAACTCTTTAAAAAGTCTGTCTACCGGGCCATCCAAAATCTCCAATTGTTCTTGAGACAATTCATGCTCAGCTTCCACTTCACCTACAGTCTTGTTGTTGAAAAGTAACGTCTGCAAGTAGTAATGGGTCCCACCTATCACAATGGGGATTTTGCCCCGAGCATGGATGTCATCAATCGCAGCTATGGCAGTTTCCCGGAATGGATGCAAGTAGTATTTCTCGTTCCAATCTACATGATCCATTACATGATGTGGTATCCCTTCTCTTTCTTCCATAGGGTGCTTATTGGTGATTATGTCAAGTTTCTTGTACACTTGCATGGAATCAGCATTGATGATCTCCCCATTGATGGCTTTGGCTAAATCGATACTAAACTGCGATTTTCCCACACCAGTAGTTCCAACAATGCTAATGATTGGTTTCTTGGGCTTGGTCATTACAAGATTCTTAATGTACTTTGCGTAGGTTAATAGTCGCATATAACATTACACTATCAGTGTTTATTACTATATATAAATTTTTTTGGAGAAATGTCGCGAGATGAGATTAGCTGAACTTTATTCCCGATTGAGGGTTCCAAACTGCCTTGGTTGTTTTCGGTGATATTACATCAGCTGGAGCCGTAACAGGAGTGTGGTTGTGCTGCTGCTGTTCATCACGAATCTCAATTCGCTTTCTATATAAATAATCTTCGCATTCTTTAAGCACGACATTGGATTTGGTAATAAAGTCAGTATAAAATTTACTTCCTTCATTCAAATTACCAACGATTTCCAAATACATCGAATATGCAGTCTCCAATGATTGCAACGCCTCTTGTCTCTTTGATTGTGAACTGCTCTGGTGCAAGTTTGCCTCTTGGTGAAACCTATTATTTAGAACGTCCAACTCCTGTTCTAATCGTATTTGCAACTCCTTCAGAGATTCAACAAATTTAACATCCTCAGCAAACATCTGAATGTGTTGTTCATAAACTGGCTCAAAAGCAAGCTCTTTTAAATTTTCACTTTCATACAAGTTATAATTTGTCTTGTACTCGTCAATTAATCTTGGAAGAATGTTGTTATCTCTTGACTTTATCTCGATAGCTTCCAAAAACTCCGTTCGTTTCTTACGAACATTATCAATTTCAAAAAGAATCTTTCGCAAGTCTGATATAACCGCTATCAAGTCTTCATCCAATTTTGTATAGCTTGTGTTTGGTATGAATGAAATCAACCCGTCATATCCCTTAGTGTATATTTCCAAGTATGGCTTGACACCAAGAAACTTATTTAAAACTACATCATCCCCGGTTTTGGCTTGGACAAGGTATTGTTTCATTTTATCAATCTTAGCAAGTAATTCCTGTGGTGGTTGAGTCTTGTTACCTAGAAGTTCGTCATCAAGAGTAATTCTCTTCTCACATTCTTGGACAATATGCATACAGTCTTGTCGCAATCCCCCAATTTTAGACAAGGAATCTTCAATTGAGCTAGTCCCACCCATATTAGCAAACTCTCGAGAATGGTGTATAATTGAATCAGGTATATTTTCCGATTGTTGGACTGAGTCAATAGATGCCGGTAATCCTCGATCGGAAATGTATTTGGCAAACATCGTGTTCAATGCTTGAATTGGATCATAAAATCGTTCTCGGATGAAATCATCTTGTCTTTCCCTAAATGCTTGGGCAACATGTATGATTATATATGGAAGGAGGTCTTTAAGAAATGGATTTTCAATGGTTATATTTTGAGGTTGCCCCGGATTTACCATGGAAACACCAATCAATGGAGGTAAATCTTGTTCTCCCGGAACAACCTTGAGATAGATCAAGTCATTATCCCGTTCTGCACTTTTCAATACAGATTTAATAGTATCGTACAAACCTTGAAAGTCATCTAGAACCAATTGGCTCACATACCGTTTGTACTTGGCCCCACTATCCAAGGATTTACTGGCTAATCTCAAGTAAGCAACTTGTTCGCCATAATTGAACGAATCCTGAGCAATATTTGCCTTTCGAAAATACGCAGCTGCTTGAAAATGAAACTTCTTAACAGCCAAGTGGTTTATCCATTCTAATTTTATATAATCAGAAGAATTACCTAAACTCAAAGCTTGAGAATAATACTCTGATGTTTGAAATGATAGTTTGGAAATCACAGAATCCTTCATGGTAGAATTTCCCAATGCCTTCTGCCAGATCGTTTCTTGTGCTTGGGCCAACATCATATACGTCAAACATCCCATTGTGTCCTTGTGGAATTCCGGTGGGATATTCTTGGTTGACTCAGCTAAAGCGGATATAGATTTGAAACAACCTGCAGCCAATTGAAAATACGAGCATGCATTTTTTAAACCTGTATCGGTATGTCTCAGTTCTTTTAATCCAAATTGAGAGTACACACTGCCCAATTGGAAGAGTATACTCATTTCTTCAATGACCAAAGATCTTGATTTGAACGGGCCATAGGCTAAACTGCCCAACCACCCAAATTCAATGCAATCATCCGAGAATTTCTGTTTGATGATTTGAAGATACGCAAGGAACTTCAACAATGCCTGTTCATCCTGCTTGGTAACTTGTTCATTCTTGATGTTAGAAATGGTGTTGCGTAAATTAGCAATCAACGACAAATCAGATTGGAATGTGGACAGAGGTTGGAAATAATCACGATTGATGACATCACCCAATTCCTGACCTAGATCAATCGGAAGTGATTGTCTTAGCGGGATATAAAGTAAATTGGTGTTCATAGTATGGTGCCCTGAGTTCTTCCCCCTCCTTTTGGTGGCGGCCGCCAAACTTCCCCAACCTTACCAAAAAAAAAAAAAAATGGTACCACCAGAAAAATATGTTTTGCGTCTATAAAAATTTACACACAGTTATTTAATTGCCCAACCTTTTCACTGTCAATTCACGAACTTGCTCTTGAATGTCACTAGTGGATTGGCTTAACCGGTCAACTAGCCCTTGAAGTCTGGACGATTCAGCTTTAAAGATTATTTCCTCTTCTGAAAGTCGATCTTTTACAAAGTCATATTGTTCATCAGCTGCAATCAATTCCTTGGATGTCGCGCCGATAGAAGCTAATAACTGGTCTCGCTTAGCTTCGTATTCCGACGAGTAAAGCTCATCTATTGCTTTACTAGAAGCTTCTTTAAGCTCGTGTAATTTAACGACGATTTTATCGGCCACTTCTTTTGACTGTGGAAGAGTGTATCTGGTAGCACCGACATTCTTTTCAGCCTGATTGATATTGGCTAATTCTTGGTCTATTTCAGCATTAACCCTATCAAAGGATTCTTGATCCAAATCTTCCACTAAAACAGCCTGATAACTTGAATCTTGATATTTTCTATAATCTGATTTTACCAACTTGATGTATTCTTCGGAAATTAACTTGTCCAAGTCAGTTCCCGTAGACTCCAAGGTTAAACTATTAGGATCAGGAACTTCAAGGCCACGCTGTATAACCTGAGATCTACGTAATTTCGACTTTTCGTCATCTAATCGTCGTAAAAGTTCTAAATTTCTTAATCTTTCCCCTTGATCTTGACCATCATCACCGATATCAGCTGAATCAAGATACAATGTATCTTCTTCACTATTGAAACTAGGTATTACTGTTCCATGACGTACTTTTGCCGGTGGTAATGATGAGAATGCATTTTTAAGTAGTTTAGCTATTGAAGCTTTTGTTTTCCGATCTTCTTTTGAAGGTTTGGTCGGTACCGTTGTCACCTTAGATGATATCTGCTCACTAAATAGTACTGAGGTTGTACCTTCTGAAAGCGATTTCAACTCTCGTGCCTTTTCTAGTATTATTGAATCCATATCTTCCACTTGGCTTCCTCCACCAGGCGCCGGCAAATTCAACTTTCGCCTTTTCAATGGTTCATCCAAAAGTTCAGCAGGAGCTTCTATGCCCAACTTATGCTTCTTACCTTCCGTTTTAGAAGTCGTTTTCCTGTCTTTATTTCCCTCCATTTCAATACCTTGTCTAGACACTTGAATACTAAACTTTGATTTTTCATATTCATTTGTTTGAACTTCTTCAGATATGTCATATGGCCCGTGTGGCACGGCATGTTCATGAGGAATATCAGCATTATAATCAAACTCCATTCTCTTCTTTTTATTCTTGGACTTTAAACTAACATTAAACCCGGCAGCCTTTAATTCTCGTCGTTTCTGCAATAATGCAATTCGTTTACTTTCTTCCAACATTCGCTCACGAGCTTTCCTCTTGGCTTTCTTACCTTGAGTGTTTGCCAATCTTGCCTTGGCTTCTGCCAACATTTCTCGTTCTTCATCGCCTAAATCTTCTTCATCAGGTCGGGCCGGTTTACTTTCTGGGTTTATATTCAAATCACCGGCCTGGCCAACGGCTGGAGCTGACTCTATACTTGGGCCTGTCAATTTGAATTGCTCTTCGTCATCATCATCATGCGTAATTCCGGCGGCTTCATCTATTAATTTTTGATACCTTTCTACACAATGTGTAGCACTTCTACCACCTATTATCGAAGCAATGGTTCTCCATTGATTAGGTAACAACTTAGCTAGAGTCAACAACTTCTCATCTTGTTCAATTGTCCATTCAGTTTTGTCTATATGAGGATTTAACCATTCGTCCCACCTCGCTTTGGCCTGTTTGGCTGATTTTTTAGGTAGTAATGAAGCTACTCGGGCCCATTGGGTTAGACCATACTTGGATACTGCAGCTTTAAGGATTTCATCTTCAATATTGGTCCATACACCACCTTTAACATACACCGGTGCCATTATACAGATTAGACCAAATAGAGTTAGATTTTTTTCCTTCCCCCTCCAGTATGAGATTTAGATATATTACCTGATCAGGAAATAACAACGAACAAAGTGGAGATTAAGTGGTGAGCAAACCATCGCTAGAAAGAAAAAAAATCAGGGGAAGAAATTAAAGTGAGACATTTACCGCCGAACGTCAACCGAAAAATTAAAAAAAAAAAAACAAAACCACCCACGGTTGGTTTTAGCTCGTACAATACAACCATAAGCTTTCCCACCTTACACCACTATTTAGGGAAAAGACGAGGGGAGCGACTTTGTTGTTATTCCAATTTCACAGTTTTCCCATTACAGGAAAAAGTATTGGCTACCATAAATTCCATTTTGCTAGTTATATATATTTAGGTCAGACAAAACACCTCGTGTCGACAGGCAACACTTTTATTTTCACCATTTTATATTCTTATACCTTTTACTGCTACTACTAACCACTATACACAACAACAACAACACCAACCACAATAGCTATGCAAAACCTATTTCAACATAAGCATCAGAGATTGATCTTACAGTGTTATCCCGCGGGGAAAGCAGTGGACAAGAAAGCAAACTCGTCGGAATTAAGTTATTTACTATACTATGCCTCGTCTAGGCGAGTAAAGTTGGAAAAGGTAATTACTTTTCTCAAGGAAAGAACCGACAAAGACGCCTATAGAAACAGAGCAGGTAACTTACAAGTGACATTACAAATAGTCAAAGGCTTAATTGAGAAGTGCTCGGGTAATTTGAACGTTTTTGCCCAACAGGTATGTGATATCTTACAAACAGTTTTGGACACGCAAGATGTCGCCCTATGCAAGAATGCAATAAAAACGTTTGCCGTCTTGTGCGAAAAACTGGACGGTCCTTTATTCACCGGTGATAAGACATTCGTACTTAAATTTACGCAATTGTCTCAGACATTCATTTCATTCGGAACAAAAAAGACTGGGCCGAATCAATATGAATGGCAGATGATATCACTTATGGCAATTAACCACGTCTCAAAATGTTTGGGCCATAGCTCGGCCGTCAGTGGAAAGTTAATCTCCATGTCAATACCAATGTTAACTCAGGCAATCAAAAGTAATAACTCTCAAACTGGGATTCTAACAAGATTAAAGTTGAATGTGAATGATGAATCGGTTGAAGATAGAAGGCTATCACGAGTTGTGCTGGCCAAAACTCAGCAAGATATTGCTCGACAAATCGATGAAGATTTCGCTAATGACGCGTTAACTTTGGATGATATCACCGAACAAGCATACACCTGTATGGCGGCATTTTTCAATACCACTTCAACAAGTCAAATTTGGGAAGTAACCAAAGCCGTGGTACAAAACAATATTGATAGTCGAGTTGATTTAGAATGGGGGATTACCTTTTTAGAATTATGTGTTTCATGGACTCCAGTTCAGCTAAGATTCATCAGTTTATCCAGTTTACTTTCAACATTGACTCGGTTAACCAATGATGCCAGTAAGAGTGCCAACTACAATATTCGATATCAATATGCTCGACACTTGCTTGGATTGTTGTCTTCTACAAGAGTCAATATGATTGGTCTTTCCGTAGCCGATATTATCCAACAATTACTTACTTTACAAACTGACTTGTTCTTAAAGATCAACAAATTCACCCGAGAACAATGTAACACATTAACTGGAATATATTCGGATTGTATGTGTAACTTGGCTACCCATATTTATTATCATGATCAAGTCCCTGATTCGATTCAGGAAATCTTATCCAAAGTTGATGGTGTTTTGGCTGATTCATTTACCAATGAAAATCAATTGACAACATATACCGGCGAACAAGTATTTGATTTAATCATTCAATTGCTTGATAATATCACTAAGATTTTCCAAATATTGAAATCAAGCTCGAGTACAATCAGTCGTAATCATGTTACGTTGGAACATTGGGATATCAGTTTGGGAATTTTGGCTCCTCATCAAGAATTTCCCGAGAAGCATACAATTTTAACTGACGACCATATCAATACCATTCAATTAAAATTCTTGGAAGTATTTGATGATTTCTTAAATAATGAATTGGCAGTACAACAAAAATTTGATTCTACACATGAACAATCTAGTCCCAGAGATTCAGTGGAAAGTCTTAACAACAGTAATGATGAAGGAAATGATTATTTGACACCAAATATCAACCAATACATCTTTGAGCAACAAAACTTCATAAGTCATTTCTTGATGTATGTGGATAAATTTTTGGACAATAATGTTATGGGTGATAACTTAAAAGTCATCACCACTTTGGTAAAGGTCGTCAAGAACATGGTTAACATCCTCGGATTAAATCTATTAAGTAACTTCATTCCATTTTTCCATCATTGGCAATTGAATACAAAGAATGCCCTTGAAGTTGCCCATATTCAGAAATTTAAAGATACATTTGCATACATTGTGTTTTATTATATCGTGGAAAGTTTGGATGGTCAGTACAGTATCCTTGAGGATTATTGCAGAACTTCCAAATTGTTCCAACAATTATTTGAAGGGATTGAATACAGAAAGAAACATAAACTTTGGATTTACGGAATCGGTAGTATTCCTACTGAATTTGATAATGCCAATGGTAACAAAAATGGAGTTTCCACTGATGATATCATCATTTTCAGAATCAAGAAAAGTGATATTGAAGCATTCGCATGCGAGAGCAACTTTTTGATTCAATGGCTATACCCATTAAAGCCCCTCATTACAGAAATTGACAAGGCTTTAATTGGAACAGGAGAATCCAGAAACAATGATCTTGAATTTGCAATGCCAATATCTCCTTCATTACAACCTGAATATGACCAATCGTCACCAAGAATTGCCTCTGTCTCGCCAACTAGTGCATCATTCAATTCCGAGAAGGGGTTGTATACCGGGTTAGGGCTTGGAACAGCTGGTGATATAACATCAATCCATAATGAGATTTACCAAAATAGCCAAAGATCTCATCAAAAACGTACAGACCATAATTCGTTCTTGGCCCCTGTCAATGGAAATGGATTCGGAGGACTGGCAGGTGGAGATTTTTCATCCCTTTATACATCCGACAGTAAAGGTTTTGTACGGGTGTCCGATTTAAGAGAGGTGATATCTTCAAACACCAGTTTAAGGAGACCAAGTTTCCAATTGAACGATCATGCTACTAAACATGCTAGTCCAGGATCAGTTTTAACTAGGAACATAATGACTACGCACGTGGATTCTATACTAGATGAATTGGACAGTGAAGATGATTCTGCAGTTGTTGTTTAGAGACAATTGATTTGAATTGATAGAGGTTAATTTTCAGACCATGCATTTGTTATAATTAACAGTATATATTTATGTAAATAAAATTTAACAACACAAGAAACTCTATCACGCTGTAATTTTTATCTCATTTGGTGACAGTAGATATGGATTATATCATTTGATTTATGTTTTGCCATGACACAAAGTTTATCAGTTGCTTGAACTTAGAATTATATAGTCAATGATTTCGTTACACCAATTACAATAGTTAATAGATAAAATGTCTAGAGAAATTATTTTCATCTAATGAATAAACAATAATAGCACTAACCATAAAGATAATAAACATCGTGAATTGGCATAATTATATAAATATTGACAAAGATTAATAAACCATAGGAATAAATATAACAAAGTATCGAAAGGCTTCCACTATGACAACTCCTAAGCAAGCAAGTTAGTCAAAGAATATAAAAATACTATCAATGTCGAGATCGTGGAAATCGAAGCGGCTGCCGTGGGAACAGAAATAGCTTGTGGAGGAGCAACCAGTGGCAGTTGGAACGCAATGCTGACAGTGTTTCCAGGACTTCCATCATTATCGCCAGATTGTCCGCCTGTATCGGGTCCATGACCTTGGCCTCCTTGACCTTGGCCCAGACCACCTTGACCTTGGCCATCAGTACCTCCTTGTCCTTGGCCATCGGTACCTCCTTGTCCTTGGCCCAGACCACCTTGACCTTGGCCCAGACCTCCTTGTCCTTGACCTTGACCTCCTTGTCCTTGTCCTTGACCTTGACCTTGGCCATCGGTACCTCCTTGTCCTTGACCATTAGTACCTCCTTGTCCTTGGCCACCTTGTCCTTGGCCACCTTGACCTTGGCCATCAGTACCTCCTTGTCCTTGACCTTGTCCTTGGCCACCTTGACCTTGGCCCAGACCACCTTGACCTTGACCACCTTGTCCTGGAACTTGACCTTGACCATCAGTACCTCCTTGTCCTTGACCTTGACCTTGGCCATCAGTACCTCCTTGTCCTTGACCTTGGCCACGTTGACCTTGGCCATCGGTACCTCCTTGACCTTGGCCACGTTGACCTTGGCCATCTGTGCCACCTTGACCTTGGCCTCCTTGACCTTGACCTTGGCCACCTTGACCTCCTTGTCCTTGACCCAGACCTCCTTGACCTTGGCCATCAGTACCTCCTTGACCATCAGTACCCCCTTGACCTTGACCTTGACCTTGGCCATCAGTACCTCCTTGACCTTGACCTTGACCTCCTTGTCCTGGAACTTGAACTTGGCCATCTGTGCCACCTTGACCTTGACCTTGGCCACCGGTACCTCCTTGACCTTGGCTATCAGTACCTCCTTGTCCTTGACCTTGACCTTGACCTTGACCATCAGTACCTCCTTGACCTTGACCATCAGTACCACCTTGACCTTGGCCACCTTGACCTTGAGGACCAGGAGGACCTTGAGGACCAGGAGGACCTTGAGGACCAGGAGGACCTTGAGGACCAGGAGGACCTTGAGGACCAGGAGGACCTTGAGGACCAGGAGGACCTTGAGGACCAGGAGGACCTTGAGGACCAGGAGGACCTTGAGGACCTGGAGGACCTTGAGGACCAGTAGCTCCACCAGGACCAGTAGGACTAGCAGGACCGGTAGCTCCACCAGGACCTGTAGGACCTTGAGGACCAGGAGGACCAGGAGGACCAGGAGGACCTTGAGGACCTGGAGGACCTTGAGGACCAGTAGCTCCACCAGGACCAGTAGGACTAGCAGGACCGGCAGGACCAGTAGGACCAGTAGGACCGGTTGGACCACCAGGACCAGTAGCTCCACCAGGACCAGTAGGACTAGCAGGACCGGTAGCTCCACCAGGACCTGTAGGACCTTGAGGACCGGTAGGACCGGTAGGGCCAGTGGGACCAGTAGGACCAGTAGGACCAGTGGGACCAGTGGGACCAGTTTCAGTTCCAGTAGGACCAGTGGGACCAGTGGGACCAGTTTCAGTTCCAGTAGGACCAGTGGGACCAGTGGGACCAGTTTCAGTTCCACCAGGACCAGTAGGACCAGTGGGACCAGTTTCAGTTCCAGCAGGACTAGTTTCAGTACCAGCAGGGCCAGTTTCAGTTCCAGTAGGACCGGTAGGACCAGTCTCAGTTCCAGCAGTTCCAGAAGGACCGGTAGGACCAGTTTCAGTTCCAGTAGGACCGGTAGGACCAGTTTCAGTTGCAGCAGGACCGGTAGGACCAGTTTCAGTTCCACCAGGACCGGTGGGACCAGTTTCAGTTCCAGCAGGACCAGTGGGACCAGTTTCAGTTCCAGTAGGACCGGTAGGACCAGTTTCAGTTGCAGCAGGACCGGTGGGACCAGTTTCAGTTCCAGCAGGACCAATGGGTCCAGTTTCAGTTCCAGCAGGGCCAGTTTCAGTTCCAGCAGGATGTTCTGATGTCAAAATATCAGTATCTGTACGGGTTAAAGGGTGGTATTCAATTACAGTAACAGTTACTTCATCCGTAGCAGACTCGGTTGGTAAGGTCGTGTATGAGGTAGTCGTCCCATCATAGGTGGAAGTGAGGGTGATAGTAGTAACTGGAATTGCCACAACAATTGTAATTGTTTCATCACTGGATTGATGAGGCAAGGTAGTGATACTAGTAGTCCGGCCTGAATAAGTTGAAGTAATAGCTACGACTTCTTTTCCTTCAGCATCAGCATTATCATTTCTATACGGAGTCCAAGTGAGCTCTGTTCCTTTATTAACCTCACTAGACAGATTAGCACAGGTAAATGTATTAATGTACTTGAGAGACAATTGAACATTTTTTTGAACTTTAACTAACATGTCAATAAATGGTCTATATCCCGCGGGAATGTTTTGATACTCAACAACAAAACTTGTTGAGGTGCACTCAGTTGTGTAGTCAAATGAGTTAGAAGCGCTACGAGGATGATACCAGGGATTGAAGGAGTTAGAAATTCTGGCATGGATTGAATTGCAATCAATTAGACCTGTACCCCGAAGAATCTCCATACCTATTTTTCCAGATTCGTATCCGTCTGGGCAGTTACCACCTAATAGATACGGTTGCATCTTATTCAATGTTGGAATAATACGATTAGAATATACCAAATCGTCAGGATCAGTATATGTATAACCACCTTCAAAAGTAGCTTGAGTGCTAAGTTCCTTATCACCTTCAGTAAAGATAATAGTATTGAGCCCATCAAAAAATTTAGTAGCGCATTTCAAGTCAGTGTTTATAGCAGAAGTTCCAGGATTAAAAGTAAAGGGGAATCTAAGAGTACCATAAGCCTCGGTTAATGGAGTTACTGTATCCAACAAAGTACATTTCAATTCCGAAAACGCAACAACAATATCACCTGGATGGAAAGTACAAATAGCGAAGATCTTATCATCAGTTCCGACCTCAATCATTGTCTCATGAGTGGTAAACTTGAATACACAAGGCATGTGTAAAGTAAAAGTATCACCAGGCTCCATGGTCGTCCCATTAATGGTCCAACTGAATGTACCAATCCAATTAGGTGTAGCTGGGGAAATAATAGGGTAATTCCCACCCTTCTCCCATACTAAAGAATCAAACGAAGTAAAAAAACCAGTATTATCTTTCGACGAAACGATTGTCAGAAAAAAAATCAACAATAGTAGTGACAAAATCATCTTTGGCTGGTTATTTGACCAGGTAGGTGCATCGAACAAGAAGAGATTCATCTCCTTTTATAGTACTTCAGAAACATGGGCCCATTAAAAGGTGGTTCCCATGTCCAAATGCAACAATTTGCTGCAAGTATTTTAGAAATATCCTAGGGCTTCTTTGCAACCAAATTAGATAAAAAGCTAGCAATAACATGGTTCAGGTTCTGCATAACCACCTACTTTTTCCAAGTGTACCATTACTGAAAAGTATTCCAAATTCCCCACAACTTAAGTCGCATGCATGTATATCTAAACTAACCATTATGAAATTAGAAAGTAACGCCATCTTCCTATTTTCTTCATTCTTCAAACTTAAACTTATTTTGACATACAAAATATCTATAAAAATGACCCAGGAGCAAACCGAGAGGTTCTCATTTTGTTTCGGAGTCCTTTTTATCAAAATCTTATTAAATTTCACTTACAACTGGGTTGGCCCTTTACTGGAAATGCATACAATTTAATTATTTTAAAATCATTACAGAGCCAATTGCATATTACATATAGGACAAACCAAACTCATTTGGGGATAGAAAAATTAGGTGTTTCTAACGAACGTGCCCGGTTTGAATTCTTGGTTAGGAAAAGCAAGGGGAACAAATACCGTTTGTTGGACCACTTCTGGAGTTGAGTTTCACAATTAGTTGCGTTTCAGTTAGTTTTATGAGCTTTGTTTCTGACAATTATCTATATGTTTTTCATTCTGGCTTAATAAATTAGCAGTTGGGATGAGCTGATTACACCAAAAGTATAACCAATTGGGATTTAACTTCAATAATTATTTTGAACGCGTTTTTTTTTCTTCGTGGTTTGTGTTGTCACCATGGCTGCCATTCTTTCATACACAAAAACTCTACAGTTATACAAGATGCCATAGAAACAGTTTGCTTAGTAAAAAAAAAAGAAAATTAATTACTTGATTTCTTTTATTTATGGTCTTTTTTGAATTATTTTAGTTTATTTCGCTATATCAATATTGCTTTGCTATGATAAACTAGCTAGGGACACAGGGATAGGAGAGGTACAAAGAAATATCGCAATTAAACAAATTCTGTTCCGTGCCCAAAAGAAGAATTATGAGTTTCATTTTCTGTTCAAGAGTTTGTCGAACAGTGGTACGATTTTCCATTTTTCAACACCTTTTGGGTTATGAGTTCGTACGATTAAATATGTCATAGTATGACATGTGTCAACGTATAGACTTCAAACTTTGTTAATCCGTAAAGTGTTCAAATATATGTTAAAAGTCCGCAATATGCAAATACTGATAGGTCAAGAAAAGTCCAGGCAGGTTCTTCAACCATTTGCAGCAATGCGATATTACCTATTGGTAGTAACTTAGTTTACGTTGAATAAACGAGAGGGATATAGCACATATTTTTAGCAGATAATTTAGTGGAACCAGGGGACCCAACCTATAAATGAAGTAATCGGTGCTCTTAATATGAATGGCTTCAATTATGAAACGTCCAAAAACAGATAGGTTTGAAGCCGCAAGGCCAAAGCAGTTTCGTAACCAAAAGTGTCCTTTTATAGTTAGTATTGGTGGAATTTTCAAAGGTATGGACATAATCATATGAAATTTCAACTAAAGCCACTTCAGAAAAAACCACATGTATTAATTGGCCAAAAGCAACCAAAGCTGACAACGATGCTAAGTCATGAGAATACAGTTCAACCAAACTTTGAATGCACGCTTTGTAGATTCTTCTTACAGGCATAATGTTTGTAAGTATGGAGTGCTTACAGGTCATTCCTAGAACTGGTTATACTTGGTTTCAAATCAAATCCTGATATTGTGCATTTGTTATAATCAACAGTATATACTACTATACAATGTAAAACGGAAACCAATTGCTCATAATAAATATGAAATACAAAATCCCACCATATATTTGAATTGAAAAAAAAACCAAAAAAAAAACCTCAAAAAATGTACATCCTAAAGTTATAATACTTTAAACAAACATGTGTTTGCTCTTTTCCTGTTTTATCTTACAATTGACACGAATACATAAGGAATTTTGCCTATTCTTCGTCGTCATCGTCATCTTCTAAAGCAGCAAATGCATTGAATGCTTTAACAGGCTTATCAGCAATAATTTCTCTGTGGTCAACTGGCTTGGAAGAACCCAAGTTCTTATTGTTAGGTCTTGCTTTAATTGTTTCTCTAAATTTGTTTCTTTCTTCAACACCTTCTTCAGCACCAAAAGATTTCTTTGGCTTGGATAAAGTTTCCCATCCATCTTGGTCAACTTCACTCTTTTTTCTCAAGTTTGGCTTGCTACCACCGGTTCTGGAAGCCCTTCTTCTGTTCATGTGGTGGTATGATCTTTCATGACCATGCTCATCGATATAAGTATCACCATTACTCCACTTCAAGGCTTTATGTTTTTCATATTCGGCAGCTGCATGTTCCTTAACTTGGTCAATCATTTGATTAAAAGCTTCTAAGATTTGAGGCAGAGGGACATAAGCCTCCTCTCTTGCTTCCAATAATTGTTCTTCAGTGTATTTGACCATGGTGTTGTTACTACTTCTTCCAAATAGCTCTCGCTTGAGTCTTCTTCTCACTAGTATGATTTTTTTTGTCTCCTCGCTCGAGAAGAAAATGTAAAATTTTTTTTTCTTCGCCAAATGTTTTGAACTGCGCACACGACTACGTTTTATCAAGCATCAAATATTACTTAACCAGCTCAAGGGTAGTAACTTGGTGTGTGTGTGTGTGTGTTAGTCAATCTATAAGATCAGTAAAAAAATACCCAAATGGCGATAGAATAGCTGATGAAAGTTTGATATATATGTCATACTATAGCTATTATAAATTGTACCGTTGCTTTCTAAAAAGTGATAAATATTTATTTGGGGCAATTTGATCATCTGTTTCTTGTTGAGGAGCTGAAGCAAATCTTCTTGTCTGATCATTTTGGACAACCTGAAAATATTCCTTGGGGGTCTTATGGATATTGTATTGTTCAAATTGCACCCCTTTTCTTTCTTTATCAGAACTTTCGAACATTGAACCAGATAAGAATGAGTTGAGGGAAGCCAGATTCTCTATACTGTAGTGGTGTTGTAAAATGGACTTATGGGAGCTGAAAAATAACACAAAGTAAATTAGAAGTACTATCAATTCAAAAATCAAAATGGTAAGCACATAATATCCCAGTCTAAATTTGGTTCTCCCAACTATCATTAAGATGATAAATCCAATATTACAGGTATTGAAAAGGAACAAGACAATTAGATTCAAGTAATGGTATATCGTTCTCTTTTTACAAAAGATGAGGGAATATAATAAGAAGGTGAATATCGAACAGACGAAAGATGAAAAAACCCCTATCCAAGTTATGAACATGCTTGAAGTCACCCGATAAACAAAGTACGTATTTGAAGGCACATCCTCATATAAGGAATTTAATACAGCAGTTAAGAAAACTTTTAACATCCTAATTCTGCCCTTATAATTCCATACATCATAACCAAGTTGAGGAAATTCTTTAATAAGACTAGTTTCAACCTTAAGGAGTTCCGAAATATCAATCGAAAAATTCCCTTGTAATTTGTTTTCACTGAATCGGACTCTGACTAAATTTGTAGTCCATTGGATTACAGGCTTAGTAACAATTGTTGGTTGGTTTTGAATGTAGCCATGGTCCTTTTGTGCATACCTTCTTGGAATTATGTTTTCTAAGTTCAATACGGTGATTCTATTCAGTAGTCCTGGATTTTTCACTAGACCTAAATCAATATCTGGCAACTCTATTGACAAATTTTGAATTTGATAGTTTATATAGTTGAAAATCAGCAAGAAAAGGAAAAATACGAGTACGTAGGAGATATTTCCTGCTGAAGCTTCCCAATTTGAATTCCACAACCAGTTAATACTTGATCCAATCGAACTTACTATATTTTTGGAGCTTTTATGTGATTTTGTCATTTTGTAACTGGCAACGTTCAAGTGATTGCAAAAAAAAAAGAGAGTACAAAAATGAGTCAGGGACTATGTAGTGCAATATAACAGATAAATTCAAGAAGTTACTTTTTTTTGGAAAAGTCTCTATGCCACATTAAAAGGTATAAATGACTAACTATTGAACCAGAATTTGAGGGAAACATCTATACAGCTGTATATAGTTTTTATTTGTACTTCAATGGGGAAACAGTGCTACTATATATCTTGCCAAAAGAATTTAAACACTATATGCAGGTCGCCATCGAATTCTAGCTGCCAATTCTTTTTTTTTTTTTCACTTAGTCTTATCAAAAATAGCTAAGGTTTAAGGATATTGTTATTATTATATCATCAACCATTAGTATTAGACATGCCTTTAGCTCATAATTTAAATAAGGTAACAAAGAACTTGTCCAAATCCACTGGGCAAATGCATATAAAAGGACGAAAGTTCAAGCAGTTAAACCGAGCAACCTTGAGAGATAAAAAGATCAATGAAAGGAAACTCAAGACTTTGCAACAGAAGGAAAACGAATTAGCCATAGTATTTTTCTTACAAAAGTTGATTAATGATGACGATGACTTCAAAGTCCAAGAAACCTTTTCCTTGGAAGAAATCAAAGAATTTATTGAATTGTTCATTGGTAGATTTGATGATGAATTGGAAGAATTACGAGCCGCCAGAAGACCAGGAAGACCAGCAACTTCAAGACAACAAATATTAGAAGAAAAAGTCAAGCATGATAGACAAGTGTATGCTACTGGTGTCAAAGTACCAGATTTAGCCGATAAAGAAACAGTACAAAGATTGCGATTATGGAATGGAACCACTGGGGGAGCTACTATTATGAAATTCGTACATGTTTCTAAAGATATGACTGAATTTGCAACTGCTGAAGTTGAAATGAAATAGATAAGTGCCTACAGTATCTACATTAGATAAAAAACAACAACAAATAATATAGATCTTTCGAGAACTTGTATAAAATGCAAACTATCAGCAGCTTTTAGCTAAAATGTCCAGACTTAGACTTATTTGCTGCTCCAAAGTAAACCACGCCACCACGAAGATTCGGTGTTTGACTCAGATTCCAGATTTGAATCAACAACAACGTCTTTAAACTCTTCCTTTCCAAAGACCAGTGTAGAAACGCGAGTCGAAGGAGTATCTTGTGGGATTGTGACTGTAAATGGAGTTGGTGGATTGCTTGCAACCATAATATCACCCTTGTCCTTTATCTCTTCTTCTTTCACGACGGTTGGGTCCTCCAACAAGAAATTAACCCCAACCAAACTGACCAAAACAAATCCAGTAACTGCAAAAAGACTCTTGACTTTATCATATAGAGTTCCACGTCTATTTCTACGCGATCTAGCCATGACAAAGTACTTCTTGGTTCCATCAAATTTACTCCCTACTATCTTCCAGTTCTTTTTCTGTAATTTCTTGATACTCCTGATTGGCTTAACGAGTTCTTCCTCGCGGAATTTGTTCAAAGCTTCAAAAATATTCTCCTTGGGTAAATAACCATCAATAAATTCCTTCTCAGTAGGGATAGCTTCCCCATTCATGTTAATCAAAATGAAACTGTAGTCATCGTTTTTGATATTGTTGAAATCAATATTTTCATGAGAGAAGGCTTTACTCCATTCGAAAGCTTCACTTTCACGTTTTCTACTTTCATCTTCCTTCTTTATTTGCTTTAAGAACGATTCCAAATCACGAGTATCGATTATTTCATCATCATATTGTCTAGAAGAAGCGAGCCTTTGAGAATCTTCAGAATGAATACGTCCTTTGATTTTAAACGGAGCTTTCATTTGTTCAAGTTCATCTTCGGTAGTAACAATATTCTTTTTAGGTGCTGTATTGGAATGATCTTCGTGTAATGCAGTATGAACTCCTTGCTTGACAGAATCCACCATAGTAGCATCCCTAACAAACTTGAAATCAGCTCCAGTTTCTTGTTTGTTTAAAATCTTTAACAAATTCTCACTATCATGATACTTCGCACGAGGTACAACTGGCTTCTTGAAGTCATTAAGGTCAAACTTGGTATCAATAGGTTGAAATGTCGCTTGGGTCTTATCATATTCCAAAGTTTCAATTAAGTCTGTATAAATTCCTTCAATTTCCGTTGGTGTTATTGTCATTCTTTTTTCGGGGTGGACCTTAATAAAGTCAAATAAACGATACAAGAAAGTAGGATAATGTTGAATCTTATAATTATTCTCTCCTAATTCATCAATAACAGTAACTTTGTATAAATATTCGGGTGAATTTTTATCCAAACCATTTATATATTCCTCACAAAAATCGTGGAACATTTCCAAGCTCATATTGTCGTAATCTTGTATTGGATCCAATAAAGACAGGACAATATCATACGAATTATTCCGGAGATAAGCAACATGCTGACCAATAATTGAAGGTTGGGCTTCACGAATCGATTTCTTACTAGGTTTAGCCGATTCAAATTCCATAAATTTAAATGCACTCGAAATAACAGCATCTAATGCACCAGCATGTCCATTATTATGTTTAAATAATCTTGCCAAGTTAATATAGAGTTTTCTCCAAATAATTCTCTTTTCAAGGTCAAGATCTTCGTCATTAGCCATGGATTCAATTTTGCTCAAAATTGCATTTGTGGATGTATTTTCAAACTTGGACACTTCAAGTGCAACTTTCAACTGACACAATTCAACAAAGTATTCTTCCAAGAAGAAATCGTCGGGGATCTGTTTATATTCACGAGATTTATTAGCTAGTGATGATTCAAGGTTTCCAAACACATCATGGTTTAACAACACCGAATTAAGGATTTCCAAACAGTTTGATGAATTACCTCTACAAAACTTACTCAACCTGTACTCAAGATTGAGTAAATTGTAGTAATCAACATTACCAGGTAATACTTGAGACTCGTTTACGACGTCTTGAATCAATTGTGAAAATTTCTTCATAAATAAATCCTTATTCAGGAAAGATCCAAGTTCTGACTTCAAGTACTTGATTTCTTCAATATACAGTTCTAATGACATTGTATCGGGGATTTGCTTGTACACATCCTGTTTCTTATAATCTTCAAGCAAATCATCCAAAACATATAAATCCCGAGCATAATACTCTTTTGAAGCGATCAAGACCTGAGATAAATGCTTCATTTTTTCGAGATCAACATCCTCATCGAATTGCCCTAATCTAATCAGCACAACTGCGTTCTTGAATGCCTTTTCATCAACATCTTTGAAATTCTTTCCCAAGCTAGACCTGAATGATTTAAGGTATTCAGAGTATTTCCATAATTGTTCATAATTAGGAATACGATAGTACGAGGGACAACCAATAGCTTTACAATACGCACTTGCAACTTTGGCACTAGTGAAAAACCTGCCAACATACTTGCTATCTACTCCTAGAGCTTCAAGACCTGGTAAGCGTTCTTTAATCTCTTTCCATTTGATTTCGTTCAAGTTCCTAAGTTGATCAAGTGGGATAGCTTTCAGAACCAAAGCACTAAACAAATAATTATCTTGTAATTGATTAGAAACAGAACACATTTTAAACCAAGAATAGTCACTGAAATATTCCAATGCTTGTGGATCTTTGATAATTGCAATAGTACAACCTTGCAAGAGTTGTTCAGCACTTTGTTTCAATCCCGGTGGCTTCGTTGAATCATTTGCAATGGCAGAAATAGTAGGGGCAATCTCGTAAAAGTCTGTAGATTTATCAATCAAGCCAACAGAAGCAAGTAAGTGCCATTTTCCAGCAAGTGCTGAGACAGCTTCTTTAGTTCTCAGCTTATCCAATGCAACAAGATGCTCTCTATAGGTTGCATACAGTGGATTTTGAATAATGCTGACAATTTCAGTAATATTCAAATTAACATTAGTTAAAATATTAATTAACTGTTGATAACGCAGCAATGTCACTTTGTTTCGGAAATAGACCGAATCGTGAAATTCATGAGCAAGATGTCTTTTCAGGTTAGTGATATCTTCCAAATATTTGATTAATTCATAAACCGAGCTTGCTTCTTCAAGATGATACTTCTTTATCAATGACAAAATTTCTTGATCAAACCATATGAGGCCACTTTGCAAAAAGTTAACTCCTGCTCTATATGTTCCGGTATCCACGATATAATTCTCTAAGATAATGGTAAAGTTGGGGTTCAGGGTAGCTTGCAAGAGTCGCGTCAAATAACCACACATGTTGTCGTACTTGTTGATATTATCTTTTCTGATTTCTGGAATAGCACCATTATCATAATAGTGCTTGAAGTTAGTAAGAACATATAATAATTCTTGATTAGTCAAATGCCAAGGACTGCGATCACTGTTGTTTTGAAGAATTGATAAATATTTCCGTAAAGTCATTAATTCGTTATAATAGTGATCGAGTTTCTTTACCGACAACGCCTCTTTAGCATCCCCAGTATCAATTACATACTCTTCCGTACGGAACATGGGAGCAATCACAGGTTGTTGTTTCAGTAATTCTTCATTTGCTTCTCTGATAGCTGTTCTCACCAACTGCTTGCTGATTCGGAATTGTTCTTGCAAGGCCACATCTTCAGGAATTAGTGATGCTTTCTTTGCTAGTTTCTTCTTGGAAGTTTTCTTAAGGGTGATCAAATCAATTTCAAATTCAGAATCATCATTGGAATACTTCATAGAACTGGCAAATTTCCTAATTGACAATTGAGGGGTAGTGATAAATTGATCAGAAATCTTGACACCATAACTATTGGTATATAGGGAAATGCCTCTGCCATAAATGGCCACGGACCCAAGGGCGATTCTTGCAACCGCCACAGGAGTAGCGCTCGTGTGAGTAAAAATCACTCTGGACCTAGCTATGGTGCGTCTCAGAAGCATTGAGGGTAGTATGAATGATTTTAGTCAAATACAGGTAAAGATCGATTTAAAAAAAAGGGCAGCTAAAAATTTCTAATCAATATTAGTTATGAAAAAGGTGAAACATTTGGGATCATCCGTTTAGGGAGTCAAAATTTGTGTGAGGGGATTTTTAGTTGATAGCATGGGGGGTTTGACACAACATCCATACTTACATACTAGATTAGATATCCGGATCTGGAAGCAAACGCAACCAAATTAGAATCTTGATAAGAGATTATACACATGTATCGGAAAAAGCATCTTACCGTGTATTAGATGATCTAGATCAACAGGGTATATCTAATGATTTGTATTGCTATAACCTAGATTATCCAATAGTGAACATAAGCGTGATGCGAGGTCCGATCTTCGGCCGAGCAATCAAGGGGGGGGAGAAAAGCCCTATGGGTAGACGAGGCATTTTGTTACCTACATAATTTGTTACACAAATATCTATCAAAACACCTGACTATAATTAATTATTATGTAAGTAGTTGACCAGCAACTTTACTGTCTTAGTTCGCTGTGTAGTGTTGCAAATATGGATCATCTTGCGCAACCTTAAATGACAGGGTTTCGAGCTCAGAAGCATTGTCTAATCTCAATTTTAAGTATTTATCAAGTATAGTGGCATCAGAAAACATAGTTATAAAATCTTGCTTCTGCAAATGTGCCAACATATAATGAATACCGTCTGCATAATGTAAACTCATTAAATCAAAACAATCGCCTAGTTTCTCAGGAAGATTTGCAATACCAGCATCAGCGATATATTTCTCCAATGGTACTCCGATATGCAATAAAGAACTAAACACGTAATTTCTCATTGAATCTTTGGAAACTACATGGATATCAGGATGATGAACTTGTAGACCTTGGTTATATTCTCGACTTGAAACAACATATGACCCCCATTCACTCAATACCTCATTTGCAGCATGACGTATAACCAGAGATTGACTCGAATCATGAGCTAATGAATATAACTTGGGTGCCAGTTTATAAAAGTCGTTGATATCGGGAATGAGGTCCATAAAAAGGAGTAAATTAACGAAATGAGTGTTGGAATGTCCTACATCATACCATGTATGACCAGATTGACAGTCTAAGAAGTGAATATATTTGTCAAGATATGGGTGCTGCAAAATGTGTCGAAGGACAATGGTATTAAATCTATTGTGCTTATCCAATATTTCGATGAACCTGACTAATTGTACGTTTGCAACTGAGTTCTTGAACCAAGTTGAATCAACTGTGTGATGGCTATGAAGAAACTGCTGAATCTTTTTAAGTTCAGTTTCCAACTTTTGTGCCAACTCTTCAAACGTTTGAATGTCATTAAAACTATCATATTTTATATAATAGTATTTGACAATATCAATAACATAATCTAACTTATCTTCAAAAAGGCTGATTATTTGTTCACTAAATTCAATTTCCAGGGTTATAAGGGCCATATTTCTAGCTATATTGGGATCATCGTCTAATAATTTCAATAATCGTTTGCACATATTACGATAATAACGCATGTTGTTTGGAGGAATTATCCCATCATTCATGCATTCCTGATGAAATAATTTCAAATAATGTTTCAAATCTGTGGCCAGATATTTGGACAAGTAGTAATCTTTATCCTTTGACTTGATAAATTCTTGAAAAGCTGCGATTTCTGGATAATAGTCAAAATAGAAATGGAAATAATCTCTGTGAGCTCCTAGGTAATCCATAAAATAAAAGGGCTTTTCGTAAACGTGATAAGGATGCTGTGCTTTAATTAATGCGGGAACCACTGGCCGTTCATGATCGCTTTCTTGATCACCAAGAAATTTTGGATTAAACACAGGACGATTAGATTCGATACTTGTTCTTGATGGGAATAACTTTAGGCTATTGCATTTGGTTAAATTAACTTGGAATACTGGGTTGTCTTTCCACAGTTTAGTAGATGTAACTTGTCTAATGGGATAAACTAACTTTTCTTCTACTGTAGCCACAGCAAATCTTTTTGTAATAAGAGTTAGCACTCTTGGGTGGATTCCTCGACGGGAACTTGTTCTGATTTCGTTAGATAGCATGATAAACAATGTGTATACTACGGAATAGCAAGAATAGGAAGAATGTCTGTAGTTTAAAAGAATAAGGTTGATAAGTTTCTTGGGAGTTGTTAAATCTAAAGTCCTTTTTTTTTTTTTTGCTACAACAGTTTCTGTGGGGCAAATAGTGTGGGGGATGCGGGCACCACCACAAGCGATCACTCCGAAAAATAAATCTTCACGGTGGTGGTGGTAGTGGTGGTGGTTGTAACTGTATGTTAACTTATAATTGGGAGAATTATGCAATAGCGTCTATATATGCCAAACTCCGATACAGACCTCCATGATCAAACTGACTTGATGATATTAGCACATCTATGCGAAATTAAATATACAAGCATTTCCGTTGAGTTGTCCCCTTCAGTTTTCGACGTACGGTTATGTTGCGCTCCTATTACTGAAAAGAGAAAAGGTTTGTTCCTATGGGAGCAAGGACGAGCAACAGAACTAAGAAATAAGAAAATCCCGCTATGATGATGTAGTGTGGGGTAAAAGTACCAAATTAAGAAAAAAAAAATCGTAAGATTAAGTTATGGGGGAAATTTTTCTTGGATAGGATGGTGCTTACTTAGCGTTACACGTTACTTTAGGAGACACTGTAGTCAGTATCAGTATACGGATAATCCATTCTTTTAAAAGGGGGAGACTCCTTACTTTGACTCAAATTAAGAATCCAGTCATAGTCTAAAGTTCCGGAACAACAATATGTACAACCATGTTTCACATGAGAATATATCGTATGGTGTTTGTTTTGCATACTTCAGGAACAAGAAATATCTTATTAGCTCATCTAAAGGTATCTTGGAATACACCGTGTAGTCAAGCAAGATGTTAGGAAAGACCCCGGAACAACGACTTAGAAGTTTGGTTTTGAATTTTATATGCAGCAAGGATTAAATGGTGGTGTTGCATAGTTAGGCAGAGATGAAAGGGTTAGCTCGCATATTTTAAAGTTGTTGTATAATGAGTGTAAAAATTGGTTTAGAGCAATTAAAGGCTATCTGATTTAAATAGTCGATTGAACATGACCCGAGGAGATTTGGCTCAAGATCCATTCAGATCTGTGGTGGCGGTGTACTGTTCGTAAGAAAGATTTAACTAGAATTCGGTTGTTGTGTCCTCAACTAGGAAAAATAAGAGTCTCCCTTACAACAAAACAAACTCCGAAAAATTATCTTGAAACATCTACAATTATAACCGAGTTAACATTCTAAAAGAAATAGTAGCAATGAATACATACAATGGACGTCACTACTGATTAGCCGTGGCTATTTCCTCTAAGAAATGATTACACGTGAGAAGCCTAAAGGGTTTGATTCATAGTTCTCTCTTGTAAATGACATAACAAACCAACCAGTGTTGTTAAGTTAATCTCGAGGAAATAATCAGGATCTCTTTTTTGTAGATTCCTATAATAAATAAAAAAGAAATGTTCTGGTTAATTAGCTTCCTGTGCTGGTGACTGGAAGAAATAAGGTTCAGTCACACTGGTTCGAAATAACCGTGACGTCAATCTCAGGTGCGGCGTTCTAATTAATTACCAACTGCCGTTTGTGAAATTGTAAACACGGTATCGCGTAGATTCGGGTTGACAAGATAGATAGGGCACCACGTAAACCCTTCCGAAAGCAGTAGGGCTGCCTTAAAAAATTAAAAATCTCATGACCCTAATAAAAAAAAAAATTTTTTTGTACTTGCCGCCCCCCCATACTTAATTTGTTATGCCTTAATCCATAACTAACTTCCACATGGATTATTGTTGTCCTTTCAGAACACAAAATGGTTAAGGGTTATGCTATACTTAGTGCGTGTTGCTGTCTCGAAAAATCACAAAACCCAAAAGTGCATCCTCGTTTTCCTAAAATTAGCTATAATTATTATTTATGGAAATTCATCTTCTGGAAAGTTTCCTAACTAGGCTTATTGGACTAAAAATATTATTAGAAGATTATCATATGTTCCTGCCGCAGAAAACAACCCTACCAGCAGTAAACAATAGTAAACACACTATCCCCAGTCAGGAGAAAAAACTAAAGACTTAAAATAAAAAAAAGAAATTTTTGAAACTAGAGTTAGTGTTTTTATTTTTGTTCTATGGGTTGTAAGCGTGGGATGAGAGAGGGGGCATAAGTGGGACAGAGGGGGAATTGGGACAAAAAAAAATTCCAGTCCTTGGCAAGCACTACCGTACAACCCTGCGGATATTGAAAAAAAAAAACATCGTTCGTAGAAACACAAAAACAAAAAATAACTTGTTTATTAACTATGTAACGGTTTGCAAACATGCATCGAAATTCATTCATAAATTTCTTTTTTTTATTATTTTTTCTTTCTTTTTACACGGTTAGCAATCAATTTTTTTTAATTGCTAGGGCTTTTTAAATATAACCGAATACGGTTTTCAAAATTTCAAAGTTTATATAAACAATTCATTTGAAAACAACTCCTTTTTTTAATAAAGACAATAGCGGTGGCAACGAAGAAAAGGACCTGTGTTTTACTTTACTACAACAAAGCACACATCACAAAAAGCCACCACATCCTTCATTTTGAGAGAAAACGTTTTTTTCTCTTTAGCGAAAATAATTTAAAAGAAAAAAAAAAAAGAAAACCACCACATTTTTTTTCTTATTTATCCACAGCCTAATAACAAATATAAACATATATCTCTAACCGAGATCAGGTAGACATAGACTTACATCCTACTATAGAACAACATCAACCCAGCCTACTATCCCCCTTGTTCAACACATTACATGCATTCAGATAGAGTAACAAACCAATGGAGATGGCTAATACTTTAATGAGATCATCTTCAATGTCAAATGGGACAACCCAAACATCGAGAACGTCCTCATCCACAATTATGGCTGATACCAGTTCGTCGAAATCATCAATAACAACCTGTACCCCAGTGCCAACCAAACCATACAACAATATCAACAGCTACCCAGTCTCAGTGGTACCCACCCCTTCTACAACACCAGTACAGGCTTGTCCTCCACTTGACGAATTGGTCAATGATTGTTTTCTTGACTCAATAGGTCAATTGGAAGATCCAGTTAAAGTAGCATTTGTCAAGAAATTTAATGATTACTTGATCAAACAACACTGTCAAGAAAACCTTCATTTCCTAATCGATATCTTCAATTATGAACTTTATTACAATAAGATCTTCCCTGATTCAAACACATACAATGCTGATAAGGAAAGGTTGAATAGTGCCCCCAATGCCAGTTTATTAGGCTACATCACCAGCAACACTTCATCCGTTGATTCTTTACTTAAAGTTAAACGAGACTCAATATCCACCACCATTTCCAAAAGATATTCAATTACCTCCACTGACGACTTGGATCCTCAAGAAATGTTTGTATCTACCATCGATGATTTGGATGCTAATGAATACGCCCAATTCAATGTAAATATATGGGAAGAATTTGGACAACGTCAAATCGAAGACGAAGATGATGAAGACAGTAGTCAGTATGTCGGAGATGATGCTACATTCACCGAAGACGAAGAAGTCGAGGCATTGAATAGTAGATGGCACTATATCATGCATACTTATATCAAACACGAATCAATTCAACAAATCAACATTTCCCAAAAATTATTTAAAGAAATCGTGGAAGAATCTTCCCACTCCGGTGTTCATAACCCATTAACATTAATCAAAGCAAGAAACGAAACCCTTCGTATGCTTAAGGAAAATGGCTACTTATCATTTGTAAGTCATTGTAAAAGAGAACGTGCTAGTAGTAACCAACCAAGTCCAACCGTTAGCACTTTACCTAATTCACCAAGTTCATTGAGTTTAGAAGGATCTCCTGGAAACACCATTGCAAAGCCAAAGTCTATTCCAAGAGCAACTTCACCATTACAATCTAGCATCAATAACAGCAACAGCAGTTTATCACATAGTTCATCATTAATTTCCAAACTTTCCAGCTTGCCCAAGAGAAACCGGGGACCTCTCTTTTCATCCGCATCTTCCGATGAGTATCAAGCACCAACTCCATCATCAATCAACAACATATTATCTCATTTGAAACTCAGTGAAACCACCACTACCAACAATAACAGTGTTGCTAGTACCAGCTCCAGAAATGTTGATAGTGCCTCTAGTAGTAAACGTCAATCTAGAAGTACCACCCCCAAAATTTCATCATCAAATGGTACCAACTCACCATCATCAGGCAAGGAAGATTCTTCTAGTTTGAGCTTCAAATTTTGGTCAAGAAGGAAATGATCGGTGATGATTTAATATTTATTGTATTATATTTATAGAGATTTATAGAGCTTCAATATACTAGTAATTACAGGATTAATCAAATATTATTTTGTAATCAGCATGGAAATAAAAACACTATTCCACATTTCACGTACTTTAACATGATGAAAAATTGGCACTTTTTTTTGTAGTTAGAGTGGCCCATTCTCTAAATGAAATAGTTCAATTAATGGACGACTAGCAAATAGCCACCACTACTATAATAAAGTTACTATTTGAGATGAAAAGAAAAAGAGAAAAGGTTTCACAAAGCTCAGTGGCGTTTAAGCCGTGTTCAGAGCAAATAAAATGATATTCTATGGCGATAAAGTGAGAACATGTGTTACTAATCCCAGAGGTTTAAGAGAAGAGGTCTTGGGTAATATTAGTTCCTGTCTGGTTTTAGTGTAAGAAACTTCGATTCTTGATATCTTGTTGCCAGGAAAAGAACAACAGAATTACATAATATCTGAGAAATGCTTTTGTACTTATTCTCTAAATACTAATACACATTAATGAACAAAGAAGAAATCCAATCTTCTAGCACCTTCGTCGTTGGTTGTATGACGATAAGTTACTTGCTCTTCCTCAGACATGGCATTCCAAATCTTAGCCTTGCTCTTATTTCTCCAAATGTAGTACAATTTAGTTAATAACAAAACACCAATGGTACCAATAGTGATGAAGAAAATTTGCATATTACCACGATGATACAATGGCAAATCATCTTGTCTATAAATGTTATTTCCGACAACCCCACCCAATTGGACAAACATATTATAAACTGCAGATGCAATAGATCTGGTTCTAACCGAGTTGGAGTTTCTGGAAACCCATGCGACACAAATAGCATGGATATAAGGTTGTCCCAAGTATAAAGTGTTCAAAGTCCATGTTGGCCAAACTTTGACACCGGCACCAGGCCACCATCTAATTATGGCAATCAATGGAAGACAATAAAGTGGAGCAAGAGTACATACTAATGATCTTTCATTAACAAATTCAGAAAGCCAAGTAATTGACAATAAAAAGATGATATGGATAACTTGGTTAGGGATATTAAGTAAATTAGTGTTGAAAGTGTCAAATCCCAAACGTCTATTAATCAACCCAAAATAAGCCCCAAATGTACCCAGTCCAATATAAGCAATAACACCGATAGCATATATTGGCCAAAGATCAAAATCAATAAGGGATTTGAACAACATCTTTGGTGTTAAGCCTTGACGATTGTGCATGGTACCTTTAGATGGATCATCTCTAAGAATACGATTAACGACAATTTTAACCTCACGATCAGAAAACCAACCCTTGGGATGCATCCAATTCTTTGTTTGGACTGCTGAAGGAACCATCATGTAGAATGAAGAAATACCAATAAGTAAGGTAACAATACCTTCAATTAAGAATAACCATCTCCAACCAGCCCAGCCAGCAACCCCTCTCATTCTTAAAATACCAAAAGCCAAAAGAGAAGTGAAAATACCAACAAATGACAAAGTGGTCCAGAACCAAGATAACCTCACTGGTAACTCCTTACTGTTGAAGAAATAACTCAACCACAACACCAAATCAGCAATGAATCCACCTTCTAAAGCTCCAATTATAGCTCTGGTAATGTAGAAAGAAGTTTTACCTCTAAGAGCAGCCTGAGACATAGCAACAATACTCCAAACACAAATTTGGAAAGGGATGAAAATATCTGGACCTAAGGCCTTAGAAATTAATTGGGATGGGACTTCAGCAAGAAGAAAACATACTGTGAAAATAGTATTACCAGTGTTATAATCATTAGTAGTTAAACCTAAATCGTCTAACATATTATCCGTGACGGCTTGACCCAAGTTACCTCTGTCTATTTGTAATCCAACAAACATAAGGCATGCAGCGGCGGCAACTCTAAAGTTAAGCTTTCTAATAAGCTTCTTTTCTTCTTCCTCAGTCCATTCGAAATGAGGATCAAATGCTGAATAACTTTCATATTTGGAGTCAATATACACCTGACGGTAGTATTCTTCAACTTTTGGATCTAAGAATGGGTTTTTAGCAAGTTGGTTCTTCTCAGAATCTCCAGAAGAACTGGAATCAATAGCAGTAATATTTACAAATTCATCCTTCTTATCAGCAACAGGGGGGATTTTTTCCAAGGAGTTGATTGATCGAGCCATTGTGGATAGTTGGTTAATGAAAGTAAAATTTTTCAAACCATGATTCAAGGGGGGGGGGTATTTATAATATTCGATCTCGTATAGGTTAATTCAATACTAAATTACAACTGATTTATTGCAACAATTGAAAAATTAAAAGAGTACAGTGGTGGTATAAAAGTTGTGGTGGATTCATTAGTAATGAAAGATTTAATTGTGGCTGCAAATAACAAAATTTAAAGAAAAACAATCATGATAAAAAGTGCGGCTGCAAAATCAACAATGGAAACAATAAAGTCAGGCTCCTGGACGTTTAGGTGGCATTTTGAAGTGTGGTGAATACGAAAGAACGATCTGATTCAATTGCATCACAATAAGGGTGACTCCCATCATTACCGGTTGAAATTACACCACAAGTTTATACCCACCCCCCTGTTTGATTAATGTTCAATTAAGCTCTCATAAGCTTTATATTGGAAAATGCCAAGAAAATCTAAATGCCACAAAAATTTCTCTTTATTCCCCATGACTTTGACAGGTAATATGGAAATTCTTGGCATTATATCCGTTATTACCGATAATATCAGAATATGAAACTAAAACTTGTTCATTATAAAAAAGCGGATTAATTTACTTGGATAAGGAATCCACAGAAGTGTAATCAAGTTACAATGAGTGGAAATAGGAATATAATTATTTGCTGACAATTATCCATGCCGTTAACGGTGGAATTTTTTTTATTGTGCTACCCCCACTTTTTTGTCGACATAAATTCGGAAGTTGTGGACCTGAGGCTTGTTGTGAAAATTAGATCGCGCAATAGTTGCATTCTTAATAGCTCCCTAATTTGGATTACTGTGATGCTGCACGATTCAACCTGACACAACCTTTGGGCGGGAATTTCAACCGAAGGCTTTTTTGTGTCTATCCACTGATGTAAGTAAAACGTGCTGAAAGGTTTGTCTGACTGGGGAACGTAACCAAAATGTTGTTCGTTATAACCTTTTCTTTGATTGCGGATGCAACTTGGGCTATACCTAATCCGACTCTTACCTAACAGATTGCATACTGAAATCAAGTCACTTGCATGAGTATGAATTAGCAATAGAGAAAAATTTAGAAGTATTGACAGCGACTAGGATAAAAACAAGAATGTTACAGTGCACAACAACCTACTCCAGCTTTCAATTCCAAAGAATAATTATAATCTTTAATTTACATTTCTGCAAACGGAATACCTTCTTAGTACCCTTATATTTAAATAAAGTATTATAATAAAGTATGCCAACTATTACTGTTTTCGTTTGAAATTCTAAATTGTAACATTGCGCTGGCTGCAAGCACATTATGTGTTTCATTTTTTCGTAATATTTAGTAATAGAAAAAAAAAAAAAAATAACTCATACTTTTTTTTGCGAGTCATCCCTTATCAACCCCAGAAACAATAAGGAGATGGAATTTTAGCAGGGAGGAGGGAGGGACTATTCAAGCATACCAAAATTTATAATACGCCACAGCATTTACAGAATTGTTTTATTTTTTTTTTAAGTTTCGGATAAATAAGATTCATCAGACATTAACATCATTCGGATACGAGTTGCCATAGGACATTATTCCATTGTCGTTTGTTCCTTCCTGCATTTCATTTCTTGTATATCCTTTGAGTGAGATACACAAATACCATATATAAACAAGTTGCATTATACACATTCGCCTGTATCATTTTAGCCGACGTATCTTCATTGTTGTTTAATGGGTACTCCTGATCCTTCTGAAGAGTTGGCATCGTCAAATGCGATGGTTAAACCTGAAGCTTCTACCCCTAGAAACAGAACCCCAGATTTAACCACCTCAATCGAGAATGGTTCTTCATTATCTACTTCATCCACAAATAAAACTGGACTACAGACTCCTGAAACATCACCCAGGTTTCAAGTTCCAGGGGATGTGCTTAAGAATCTCACTCCATCAAGAAGCATGAAGTCACCTGAGAAGCAACAGCAAGCTATTAAAAAACGACAAGCTCATTTAGATTCTATAAGACACAGATTGAAACGTAAATCACTTGAATTATCTAACCGTTTGCAAATTTTGCAATTTAAAAGGCAGGAAGAAACCCGTAGAAGGATCAACCGGATAAATAAAGATTTGCATGAAAAGAAACAACGTAGACTGAAGTATCTTGATTTAATTCGTGAACGGGCTGGTAAATTTTATTTGCGTAATGTTTCCATTTTATTTAAACCTACAATCACTCCAATTAAGAAGTATAAACAGGATGTAGTGGAAGCACCAATACTTGTAGATACTGGTTTTATTACTGATATCCAAAGAAAGTGCCGGTTGATTTTGTTTCGCAAGTACATTGCAACCTTGGAAGAATCAAAATTTTTAGACGAATTTGAACTGTATTCATTTAATAAAATAGTGGAAATATTGAATACTAATTCTACTATTAAAACTAGTATGAATTTCATTTTGAAATATTTGAATGTCCCTCGATTATTTGGAGCTCAATATAAATCCTTTTTTTATTGTTTTATATTAGTTGGGGATTTTAATGATTGTATGGAATTTGAAAAACATCCCGGTTTCAATGCAAATAATAGTTTGTATGAATCAGAATTGTATTTTTATAATTCTATCTGGTTATTGGTTTATAAATTTACTAAATTGTTGATTAATGAATTTAAATTGGTGGTACGAAATCGAAAATTACATGATAATTTCATATCCCTTTGGTATGATTATAACTTTATATTTAAGATTTTTAAGTGGAATCATTATAGAAACATTTGTGATATTTTATCTGATTCTTTAGCAATAGTTGACCAGCAAATCACTGTTAGTGAAAGTAACGAAGGAAAGCTTCAATTGATGCAACAGAAACTGAAGTTAGCTCAAGAATTGTCATTGTTGAATAGTTATAATATTGAAGAATTGGCCAAGTTTAATGAAACGGTTGAAGTCGTTCAATTTAAGAAGTCATTTAGTAATATCGTAGCTGAATTTTATGCAAAACCGACCCATCATGTACTTATTCAAAATAAAACCCGAGTTATTCAATTTAGTACTTTTAAGTTTTATGTGCCAACATGTGAAATTTTGAAAACCAGTGAGTGGAGAAAATTCTGGTTTGATAAGTTTAGAAGGCAAGAAGATAATCGAGAGTTTCCTGAAACAATACGAAGTGGTTATATTAAGAATTTAATTGAGAGAAATGTGGATGAGTTTATTCATGTTGATGATATAGTATCTCGGAAAGTGACGGATGATGTTGAATTTCGTTTACCACAGATTTATAACGATTTACGAGAGTATTATATCGAATTTATGAAGGCCAAAAACGATATAGACCTTGACTATATCGATTTAGATACAAATGACAATTACTATTTAAAGCTAATGGAAGAGCTCATACGGCACTATGATTATGATAATAGTATACTTCTTGACTTGACTGCAAAAATCTATCAGAATGGTATTATTTCGAAACGAGTGATACAGGAACTTGAAACTTATGTGTGTAATTTATGGATCAACAAGAGTAAGTTTACCGAATTCGCCAAGGTTCAGCAATTTGAAAATATATACACATTGATTAACACGGTTAATTTTTCCAAGTTAAGATTTAACATTTTTACATCTAGTCCGAATTTATTATTCCAAAACTTTTACCAGATGATTTTAAAGTATAATCAACCAATGCTTGACTTGAGTGAAGATACTCAACGAAGGATTTTACATTCTGCATTCAAGAATTCAGTATCGCGTGTTTTGATCAGTGCAGATAAGGAAAATTCCCGACAATTCTTTACTCGTTTGTTTTATAAAATTATTGTGTATGAAGATAATTTGCAGCCTGATGAATTAAATGGATTATTTTGTGAAAATTTTACAAAATTCCATACCCGAATATTACAGTTAATTGACGCAACCGTTTTCAGAATATTATACTCAAACTATATATATCCCAGTGACAGAAGCAGAGCCAGATTAACCAAAGTAGAGGTGCAAACGCTTGTAACAAGATTACAAAACACTAAAGATGTTGCTAGTGTTTTACAAGCTGCAAATATTGCAGATTTCGGATTTTTCAAATATTATACGAAGTCACACGAGACGTTCAAAACTTTATTGCAAGGTAAAGTTTTCAACATGTTACAACTGGGGAAATCGAAAGAAGCATATATAATTATCGAGGGGAACTTCCCAGACTTTAATGGCGAAGTGTTAGAGTTGGCTAATGACGTTTGGAAAATGACTTTTTTTGTTTATAAATTATATAATCCAATTCTCAATTGGATTTATATAGACTTGGGAATGTCTTAAGGTTAGGATTTACTTTGAGAAGTCGTGCAAATAGAGACACTTTCTTTGGGAAGAACTTAAACAAAGTAATTGAGTTATCTTTCATTGATAAATTAGTCACGTGGAATTTATATAATTAGGACAATAGCAGGCACCTGCATACAAGACGCATTTTTTATTTACTGATTTGGAACCGCGCTTAATTTCTTTTATTACTCTAATTGGTTGACTCATTCAAAAGAAAAGAGATAAAGAAAAAGAAAAAATTTTCAGTAAAAATTTCAATTTCATTCACCACTTTCTTTTACAGTTAGCTTAGTCTTAGTAGTTGATACATCATGTTAAGAAGAGTTAGTGAAAGATCTATCAAGAGATTGTCTTCTGCTAGATTAGTAGCACCTTCAGTGTGTGCTACCCCTATTTTCGTCAAGGCATCCACACCATTTGTTCAATCCGCCAGATCTATCTCTAGTTCTCCTATTTCATATTCCACCAAAGCTACCGTGATTCAATTATTGAACAATATTGGTTCGAAGCGTGAAGTTGAACAATATCTTAAGTATTTCACCTCGGTTTCCCAGCAACAATTCGCCGTCATTAAGGTTGGTGGTGCCATTATTACTCAACAATTGAACGAATTAGCGTCCTGTTTAGCATTTTTATACCATGTGGGATTATATCCTATTGTCCTCCACGGAACTGGTCCCCAAATCAACGAACTTTTGGAAAATGAAGGGGTTGAACCAGAATATATCGATGGGATTAGAATCACCAACCCAAAGACCATGGAAGTTGTCCGTAAATGTTTCCTTGAACAAAACTTAAGACTTGTCACCGCCTTGGAAAAAATCGGGGTTCACGCCAGACCCATCACTACTGGTGTATTTGGTGCTGATTATTTGGACAAGGATAAATATCAATTGGTTGGTAAAATTACTTCCGTGGACAAATCTTCGGTTGAAGCTGCCATTAACGCTGGTTACTTACCAATTTTAACCTCCTTGGCTGAAACTCCATCGGGTCAATTATTAAATGTCAATGCTGATGTTGCTGCAGGTGAATTAGCTAGAGAATTCGAACCTTTGAAGATTGTTTACTTGAATGAAAAAGGGGGTATTATAAACGGTAACACTGGTGAAAAAGTCAGTGTTATTAACTTGGATGAAGAATATGAAGATTTATTAAAAGAATCTTGGGTTAAATATGGTACCAAGTTGAAAATCAAGGAGATTCACGATTTATTACAACATTTGCCAAGATCTTCCTCCGTTGCCATCATTGACGTTGATGATTTGCAAAAGGAATTATTCACTGATTCTGGTGCTGGTACTTTAATTAGAAGAGGTTATAAATTAATCAACCGTAACTCTTTGCAAGAATTCGGCAACCCTGATCTTTTAAGAGCTGCATTATTGAGGGATCCTGAAATCAAATCTGGAAAGTTCTCCGTTGCTTCATACTTAAAACATTTGGAAACTGTCAATTTTAAAAGCTATGGTGATGAACCATTAGAAGTATTGGCCATCGTCTTGGAAAACAACAATGTTCCTAAATTAGATAAATTTTTGTCTTCCAAGACCGGTTGGTTAAACAATGTCACTGATAATATTTTCAACGCTATTAAAAAAGATTTCAAATCTTTATGTTGGATAGTCAATGAAAATGATTCAAACTTGGCATGGTACTTCTCCAAAGCTGATGGTTCATTTACCAAGAAGGGTGAAATCTTATTTTGGTATGGATTAAACACCGAAGAAGTTAGTGAATTAATTAAGCAATTTGACAGCTCTACTATTGGATCTTCCTTGTCTTCTGCCAAGGAATCTGGTGTTTTCAACTCTTCTCAGCAAAAGAGAGGTTTCCACACTGCCAGAAGATTTTTATCTACTAATCCACCATTGCGCGAAGGTACCAACACTGAAAAGCGTAAGGTCGCCTTGATTGGTGCCAGGGGTTATACTGGTCAAAATTTGATTAAATTAATTGATAACCATCCATATTTGGAAATTTCTCATGTTTCTTCTCGTGAATTACAAGGTCAAAAATTACAAGGCTACAACAAGGGTAACATTATTTATTCAAATTTACAAGTTGAAGATATTAAGAAGTTAGAAGAAAATGGAGATGTCGATGTTTGGGTCATGGCTTTACCTAATGGTGTTTGTAAACCATTTGTTGATGCAATTGATCAAGTTAAAAATGGTCATTCAAAAATCATTGATTTATCAGCTGATTATAGATTTGATACTACTGGTAAATGGGTATACGGTTTACCTGAATTAAATGATCGTAACGTTATTTCTCAAGCCAAGAAAATCTCCAATCCAGGATGTTACGCTACTGCTGCTCAACTTGCGATTGCTCCTTTAAAGAAGTACATTAATGGTACTCCAAGTTTATTTGGTGTTTCTGGTTATTCTGGAGCTGGTACTAAACCATCCCCTAAGAACGATGTTAAGTTATTAAACAACAACTTGATTCCTTATTCATTAACTGACCACGTCCATGAGCGTGAAATCAGTAGTCAATTAGGCTTCAAAGTGGCATTTATGCCTCATGTTGCTCAATGGTTCCAAGGTATCTCCCATACCATAAACATTCCAATCAACAAAGGATGTTTATCATCCCGTGAAATCAGAAATATTTACCAAGAATTTTACGGCAATGAAGATTTAATAACTATCAGCGGTGAAGCTCCATTAGTTAAAGATATTAGTGGCAAACACGGGGTTGTTTTGGGTGGATTCGCCGTTAACTCTAATGAAGATAGAGTCGTTATTGTTGCTACCATTGACAATTTATTAAAGGGGGCTGCTACTCAATGTTTACAAAATATTAATTTATCACAAGGTTATGGGGAATATGAAGGTATACCAATTGATGTAGTCATCAGGGGTTAAACCGCATACTTTGTTAAAACGTTACTTTATAGAAAGTGAAACAAAAAAAACTATTCATATATTGTTTGTAAAAGTGTAGAAATAGGCAATAGGTAGCATCAAAATATTCGCAAGGAGTAGTTAAGGAGTTAGCCAGGGTGCTTTGTTTTTAACATCTCCCCTTACTGGAAAGAATATTAAAATATACCTATTCTGCAATCTTATTGTCCATGTTATTTTTTGGAGACGTTTTCTTGTTATTAGGTTTTGTGTTATATGAGTAACAAGTAAATATTTGACTGAGGCTTCACGACACTAGCTGGTGATTTATGTAAGCTTTCTAGATTGATCTTTGTGATATAAGCAAGAAGAGACAGGGATAATGTTCTCATTCCTAATAGAATTGAATGAAAAAGGAAATTTGATCGTTCGTATCTGTACTGTATTTATTATCGTAACTTGAAAATTGCAACCCTGCTGCAATTGTTTGATTCAAGTTTTACAATTTCTATTTTTAGAAATGTAGTGTTTGGGAAATAATCATAATCATGGAAGTGCAAGACCGTTAAACCATAAAGTGGACATTTCAGGTAACTAAAACTAGAGATTTAACTTCTATACTCTCAGACAACGGACAGTTGTTCAAATTACTGCAAAAGAATAAACTCACAGAAAACGTTTACTTTGTTAAATTTATTCTGAGTGGAAGTCCCACAAAATTGAATTACGGTTATGAAAAGCACATAAACACTGCTTAGCAAGACCAAGAGAACAATCGCAGATTAAAAGTAGTAGATGCTTTGCAAAATTTTAATTCTCTATTTCTGTAATAAAAGTTTTATTATAAGAGTTTGTTTTTGTCAACGTTAGTAAAACCTTCCAAAACCTTCACCTTATTGTGAGCTTAGTGTGATTAGTGTCTACAATTCTTTTTGCGAGAGAAATTTAATGATCTTTAAGTTATTAAATGCCACGAGCAGCTTTCGTATTAGGAGAATATATATTGTCATTGTTACTGTTGATCTCTTTCATAGACCATTGGCTGTAGTTTTACTGCTCTTCAATACTCCATCAAGGTAAAATAGGCGAGGTGGAATATTGGGGCCGAAATTGTATATTATGGGAGTACTATATTAGGAAGTGCAGTTTATAATTCTTGGGTGTGACAACCATGTTTTTATTATTCAATTTTATACAATCACAAAATAGGAGACACCCATTGAAATAAAATCAAGGCGGGTTATTGGTAACGAATTTAAGGTTCTCTAGGAGTTCCGAGTTTAAGCTTTATGATATGTTGACTCCTGTAGGACATGTTTGTTTACTGTTCTATTTTTAACCTTTCCATGTTCAGCTTAAACATAAACTAATTTTTCCTAGTTTTACCTTTATAGGAAACACATTGCCCCATGTTGTCTTGCCTCAACGTAAAGCGGAGTAGCTAAGGGAATGTTTGATGAAGCTAATTTAACTTTTGTGTTATAAAAATGTGACGTGTCTCGGTGTAAAACAAAGTATCAAGTTGATATTTTTTCTCTAGTCGTATTTTCTGATTGTCTTGAAGCAAAGAAAAAAAAATATACGAATGACAATCTACAATTCAGATCTTCGCTTAATGATATCTACAAGATGTTTATGCTATTGGTAAATGCCAGTTTATAGTTTGAGTCAGCACGTTTATCCAATAAACTCTTGATTATTTCCTTATTATAGTCTGAAGAAAGAATACCATGACAAAGAAATAGAGTATGTCTCAAGATCTTTTCGTCAAATTAGTTTTGTGTCAAGATTCTTGAATAGTGTCCCCAATGTTTCACTCGTAAATTCATCATGCAGGGGGATTCTTAGAACGGAAAGAGGCTATCCAATTTTGGCAACTTTGGCTATTATCTGTTGCAGCAATTCATTTGACGAAGAATTGATTATGAAAGTAGTATGGTAGTGAGGATTGACGAAGACCTGTAGCAATTGACGAATGCAAGCTCCTTTCTTTGACCAAATGTCAATTATAAATAGAGCGAGAAAATCACCCGATTGACTGCCCTTGATTATATCCATCAAGACTACAATTTGCAGCAAATCATAAAATAAAATGCAGTGCTTATATTTGGTCTATTTATTGTTGCTCCTGTTTGCTGAAGGTACATACTTCGACTTCCCCGAGCTCGGCGGATTCCCTGAGTTCGGCGGATTCCCCGAACATCCCAAGCCAGAAGTTCCAGAAATTCCAAAAATTCCAAAAATTCCAGACCTTCCAAAAATTCCTGACCTTCCAAAAATTCCTGACCTTCCAAAAATTCCAGAACTTCCAAAACCTCCAGCACCTCCAGCACCTCCAGCACCTCCATCTCCTCCAGAACCTCCAGCACCTCCAGCACCTCCATCTCCTCCATCTCCTCCACCAGAACAATGTGTTTGCACTTCATTCATTCCTAAATGTAAGGCCAGTTTTGGAAAGCATGCCTTCTTAAAAGGATTCCCATTAGTTGAAGAATTCAAATTCAAAGAAGCTAAAATGATCACAGAAACCTCCTGGGAAGTTACAGTTGAATTTTCTATTAAGAAAAAGTTTGGATTCTCGGATTGTAAGATCATCAAGCTCATTGACCACAAGGGAGGTGAAATTTCCAAGATCTTTGACAAAATTCATGGTATTAAAAAGATGATAGGTAGTGAATTTAAGTTCTCCGTCAAAATCGTTATAGATGTTACTAGTCATGGTGATTTTGTTTGTTCAAATCCATTCCTGTTTGAATATCTTTGGAAGGGTATTATTTCCAAGTATCACCTGGGTTGTGGATGGTTTAGTGATTGTCCTCAAATGTGCTGGAAGAAATGTCCACCTCTTCCACCACCTGAGAATCCACCTCCTTGTAAGACTTGCAGTCCTCCACCACCTGAAGCCAGTACTCCTTCACCAGAAACTACTGTTCCACCACCACCACCACCACCAGAACCCACTCAACCTCCTCCTGAGAACCCTCCACCTGAAAACCCTCCACCTGTTTGTCCAACACCACCTCCACCTCCACCTTGTAAAAGATAATCTTCCAAGGGATCTCCTGACTGTTCTCCATCCAATTGCAGATTGGAAATAAAAGTCTGGTCTTAACTTTAGTACTTCTTTTGAACAAAATATTCATCCAGAATCAAATCCTGCGATGTATAAATTTTGTTTCCTATATTCTTGTTTTTCTTTATAGTTTAAATATATGAAACTAGATGCTTTTGTATTAATTTTCGTAGACAATTACCATAGATTAACATAAATCAATTCACACGAACAAAATTAATTGATACTTAAGATACCCTAAAAGAGGAAACAGAACTGAGGCCTATATTAAGATGTATACGAGAAAACCCTAGGAGTCTTCTTATCTGGAGTAGTACTCCAGAACATATCAACACCACCGAAATTACTAGTTAGAACGTATTAAGAAGGTCAAAGTCTGCTTATAGTACATTAGCCAGGTAACTGATATCACCAATAATCTTTAAACCCGTCAAGGAAACCATTAAACCTGCTTTGTTTTTGGTGGCTCAGACCGGCCATAGTTGTACCTTGTAGTTGTATTTATAGAACTAAGAACTTTTCTACATCAGATCTTAAATATGCCAATATACATTTGATTTACAAAAGCTATTTCCAAGATAATATAAGTTTCGTCTAGAGACTAAACCATCTTTGGACGTGATGTTCGTGTCTCTTAGATTAGATATATAGTTCCATACTACGGATTGGTAGCACCCAAGAAATTGTCGTGGACAAATCAATTTCGGGAGAAAATAATAGACCACATAAAAGGTAGCCAACAATCAAAACGGTTAGAGAGAAAGCACAAAGATATACAGGGGTTTTATTTGGTTCATCAGGATAAGGAATGTTAGTATCACCAAATAACTTTGGAGTTGTTGAGCCAGGGTTATATCGATGTTCTAAATTGGAGAATGATAATTTGCCATTTTTATCGACATTAAATCTTAAATCAATCATTATATTAGATGCTGAAAAACCGTCAAGATCGATAAATAATTTCATAGAACATAACAAAATTGAGCTCTTCAATCTTGGTGGATTGAAGATTAGTGATAGAACCAGAAATAAGACCGATGATGAGGAAGAAGAGGAGGAGGAAGATTTGACTGGAACTGAAGGCACTACAGAACGGAATGTACGTCGACATAGTAGAACTCGTAGTACACCAGGAGAACATCGTGGCTCAATTACCGAAAAGCAGCTGACAAAAAACAATACAATAGATATTATAAGTTTAGGGAGTAAACGGAACAAAACTGAGCAGTGGATGGTTATCGAGAAGAATGTGATAATCCAAGCATTTGAGTTGATATTGAATAATCACAAGTATCCCATGTTGGTAGTTGATTCTACATCCACCTTAATCGGGATATTAAGAAAGATACAAAAATGGAATTTTAATTCAATATTGAATGAATATAGAATCTATATGGGAAGTTCAAATAAAAACAACTATTTTGCTGAAACTTTCCTCGAGTTGATACAAATTGAATTAGTGTCGTATGAAGTCAGCAATTTCAATTCCATGAAACAACAACAACAGCAACAGCAGCAACTACCGCAACATAAGTATCTGAAATCAAAGGACATGTACCAACCTCAGCCTCGACATTCAATTGATTTGGAAACAGATTTATCACCTACAAACCATATGAAAAGTCCATATCTCATGCCTACTTCTCGTCGAGATTCATTAAAACCACCATCAATGCATAGAGTTTCTATAGATGAAGATATTTCTGATGATGCCAGTGTTGATGATATGGACGACTTGGACGATGATTTGCTTTCAGCTTCGCCGCAAATTCCCGAGAATTTACTTAAATTTGTGGAGGAAAGAAAACAAGACAAGCAGATGCAACCTACGGATCTGGATGATTTGGTGATAACACCAGGAACATCACCCCAGCCAGGATTAGGAAGATCCAGTAGGAACAACAGTTTCAGTAATGACTTATTACGAGGAAATGGCGTTGATAGAAGACGATCAGTTGATGTTAAGTTGGTTAGAAATGTCAAGTTTAGAAGTCCCATGCAACAACAACAACAACAACAACAACCGCCACCTCCTCCTATTCCACTCCAAACAAGATCGTCGTATGAAGGTCCATCGTCATGGTCTAAACGCAAGGATCTGAGTAGAACTTATTCACCATTTGACATTGAAGAAGTTAAACGACAATATGATTTCAAATACTACAAGAATTTAAACAAATACCCAATTGTTTATGAAAATGTTGGTGTATTGAAATTGAAACTTCCAAAAACTCACAAATTACCTGATTGGTTTGTAAAAGGAAGGAACTATTGGGAAAGAAATTATAAATTACTAAATAGCGAATAAGATATACCTCTAGTGCTGTGGTCTACCCCAACCAGGTTTTGTTCCTGACGTAGAATTCTGTGAACCAGGAGCTTGAGGCACTGTGTTCATACTCACTGAGCTTTGAAGCATTCTCTCTCTTAACCTTGAACCAGTAGGTGAAACATAACTGTTACTTCTAGCCGGCTGCGGTTTGTTCTGTTGGTATTGGTGTTGTGCTGGTAAACTATACGTAGATCCGGGCAAGGATTGTTGACGAGATTTGTTGTACATGTCTTGTAACCTACTCGACGATCTGTAAGATGTTGTCTCGTTTGGACTAGGTGTTCTCTCGGTATAGAGATGCTGGTGTTGCTGGTGTTGTTGCTGCTGCTGTTGTTGCTGGCTGTAACTATTATTATATGAATTATTGTGACGAATTGGTTGAAATTGAGATTGAGGTTGCGGTTGACTATGGGGATGAAATTGGCCCTGTGCATGTCCCTGTGGATGGCCCTGTGATTGCGAGTTTCTTGGTTGAGCTGAAACCTTCACTCCCAACCATTCGGGATAGGGTAATCCCTTAGAATCGTAGTATTTAACTAATGAATTATGAATTAAAGTAGAGTCATCAGAAGAACCGTCTTTCTCTGTGTGTCCACTTGTCAACGACAAATTTGAAAACTTTGTGCTATAGTTTTCCTTAATCTTTGAGAAGAAACCAACATTAGCTTGTTGCATAGTGTGAGATTTGATATATTTATAAACAGTCGTTGACCGGTTTAAGTTGCGGTTCAAGTGAATTAAGGGTTCGGAGAATTCACTTTCGGGTGATCATGTGACGTGAATCAGATGACATATATCACGTGCACAACAATGTAAAAAAATATCTCACCATCGGAATTTTTTTCACTAAATAAAAAGTTTACAACCAATTTATCCCCTTGGTACTCTTTAGATCATAGCAATCATGTCGTTGTCTATAATGATCTCGTTGAGACAACTTTCTCGGTCATTCGCAACCAGCGCTAGACCTGTCGCTACGTGTTCCCTTAGATCACGTGGATTACATACAAGCACAGTTCATTTTAATGAAACCCCTTCTACCACAATTGATCCAAGTACAATTCCTAAAACTCCTGCTGATCTCGAAGGCAAGGTCAGCGCTAGTATAATCGAATCATTGAAGCGTAACAATTTCAATACATTAACTCCAATTCAACAACTTTCTTTGCTTCCCCTTTTAAAAACTGAAAAGGGTATGGTTTGTCGTGCTAAAACCGGTACAGGTAAGACCCTTACGTTTATCATCCCAACTCTTGAAAGCGCCATCGCCAGAAAGACCCCTGGTGTTGACACTTTGGTGGTAGCACCTACCCGTGATTTAGCCCAACAAATTTTCGAAGAATATCTCAAAGTTATTTCCAAGTTACCTGCTAAAGTCCGCAAACCTCGTGTGGCTTTAATCACTGGTGGTAGATCGGGAAGAATTAATTTGAGAGACCCTGAAGCTATTGTTATTGCCACCCCAGGTAGATTGGCCGCTGATCTAGACAACCGTTCTGCTGCTGAATTATTTGACTCTCTTTCGTTCAGAGTTTATGACGAAGCCGATAGACTTTTAGACATTGGATTTGAACCTACTTTAGATAGTATTCATGACAGTATTATGAGAGTTCGTGCTAACCCTGATAAGCCGTTGAAGTCATTATTATTCAGTGCTACCATTGATGACTGTATGACCAACTTTGCTGTCAAGCACATTAACCCAAAGTATGATTATATTAACACCGTTGCTGACGATGAACCAAATGTTCACGAAAACATTCATCAGATCTTGGTTGAATGTGAAGATGCCATTGATAAATACCAGACCGCCATTTCATACATTGCCGATGCCGTGCAAGAAGAACATTTCCGTGGTATTGTTTTTCTTCCAACCAAGACTTCTGTTGATTGGCTTGAAGATTACTTGAAACAAATCAGTCAAGCTGGTATTGCTTCTGAGCGTAGATTGTTTGGCCATAAGGGAGAAGCGCAACTTCTCAAGATTCATGGTGGAATGACTGTCAGCCGTCGTGAAAATGCCCTTCGTATGTTCAAAAACTGTCCAAAGGGTTTGTTAATTGCCACTGATGTTGTTGCTAGAGGTATCGATGTTAAAGAAGTTACTCATGTTTTCCAATTTGGTGTTTCTGACGACCCTCTTGATTATGTTCATAAAGTTGGTAGAACCGGTAGAGCGGGTAAGACCGGTAAGGCCGTTACCTTTTTAACGACGAGTGAAAGACCCTATACCAACACTTTAGCCAGAAGGGCCCAAGTCAGCTTTAAGGAAATGATTAAATCCAGCGAAATTCACCAATACGATATCTACAAAGTTCAAGCTGACTATGAAGAAACCAAGGAATTTATGTTACCTAATTTCTCTTTCTTGATCCAAACCTGTGATAAATACAGATTAAATTTAAATAAATTAGTTGAAGAAAATATGGAATTCTTCCGCCGTGTTACTGGTGAAGCCGATGCAAAAATTAGATTATCTGGATTTATGAAGGGTTCATTAAAGAGAGTCAGTCGTGATATCTCCGATGAATATTTCGTTGGTGGTGGTGGCGGTAGTGCTGGTGGGTACCGTGATGGTGGATATTCCAGAGGCGGTGGTTACAACAGCGGAAGACAAGGAAGTTACGGAAATTACACCCGCAGTGACAGAGGTGGTTACAATAACAGAGGTGGCGACAGAGGATATAACAATAGAGGAGGATACAACAGAGGTGACAGAGGATCTGGTAATAGAGGAGGTTATAAAAAGGGATATGAAAGATCTTCAAGGAACCGTGATGACTTTGATGACCTCTTTGGTTAGACATAACCATAAGAATAGGCTTTTATGTTTCCTACCCCAGTAGCTTATTATTGGACCTTTTGTACATAATTATACACTTTACATGTAAATAGAATAAATTTAGGATCATGCCTTTTTGTATTTGTTTCGTTTAGTAGGTGTGAATTTCTTGAATGGGGTTGATCTAGGAGTACTGACTTTCCCTTCAGTTTCATCGTCTTGTTGAACATCAATATAAGTATCTCTGGTAAGGATAACATACACTAAAAGGCAAATAATAATGATACTATTGAACACAGTCACTCTTTTCTGGAAGGTTAATTCTGAAGTTAAAGTAGAAACTTTCTTATTTGAGTCTTGCAATAGATGGTGGTAAGATTGTAACTGGGTTTCATACAAATTCCCATACTGATCGTGAAGAGAATTGAATGCTTCTTTAAATGATGTCAACTGATTAATTAATGTGACATTTACTGAACTGATAAGGGCATTGAAATTTGCCGTTTGTCGTTTTTCTAAATTTGAAAATGCAGTAGATAATAACTTCAGTTGTTCTTCAATATAGAGCAATGACAAAGTTGCGTTTGATTCCAATAACGACAATCGTTTCATAATGTTTTTATAGATTGATTCTTGTGTGGTGGGGATTGCAGTTGATGTAATTGGTTCTGATTGAGGTAAGCAATAGTCTTGAGTTTGGTTTATGTCTTTCAAAAATGCATTTAATTTCAAATGGGGCATAATTATGGGACATTCATTACCTGTTTGATTAAGCATGAGAATATTGGTCATTTGAGGTTCCTCTTTGGAGAACAACTCAGGCTTCTCTTTTTCTTGTTGCTGTTCCTGTTCCTTTTGCTCCTGCTGTTGCTGTTGTTCAGTATCTTCTTTAAATTCCTCCATCATAGTCTTCCCATGAACACGAACCACAGAAATAGGACAATAAAATTCACTACCATAATGGCTGAGTATTTCCAAACGTAAATACCTGGCCCAAATCAAGGGATTCTCAATCTTGAAACTTTGAACATCACGAATATTTTTGGCAGTGAATTCACCCAATACTTTCCAATTCAGGGTGGGGAACCTATCACTTACTGATATTCTAATCTCTTTAAACATGGATGAGAAAAACTCGAAATTACCAATGACAACCAGATCAACAAGAATATCTTGACATAATTCAATCACCACAAACTTATTAGGAATTGAACATTGGTTGAGAAGGTATGAATCCTTGTTTTCTTTCAAGATAGCTGAAGGTGATTTAGCATTTGCGTTGGTTTTAACTATTGTTGCGGCACAATCTACTGATGCATAATTGAACTTATCTTTGTATACCTTACCTTCGGTTTCTTTGATTGGTTTCGCCAGGGCATCTTCTTCAATTGTTGTTCCATTAGGTGAATTAGATGCGGTTGATGTGTTATTGAGACTTTGAGTAGAGCAAGTGTTATTTGCTGAGATACACTTGGATGATGATATGCTGGATGCAGTAGATATTGAAGAAGAAGAAGAGGAAGAAGAAGATAGTATCCTCAGAATTGAAGAGGCCAGGGTATGATTGTTCTTCTCTATGATTTTCTGTTTCTTCCACTCTTCAAATGATAAGAAATGAACATTGTCTATTATGGTATTGTTCTCCACTGGCAGGGGAAGTAATTCCGCGTGTGATATTGACTGGTTTGTTCTAGGCTGCTGAAGTAAACTAGTTGGTTCTAATACAGGTGTGGTTGCACTCGTCAAAATATGTAGACTTGTAGATGATTCCTTGGGTAGTTTTGCTGACGGCAAGGAAAGCTTAGTAAAACTAATTGCTGTTTCAAACACAGGGATGTCCAATTTAATAGGAGATATTTGTTGACGATTGGAGTTATTTGATGCTGTGATTGATTTTGAGTTAGAGTTGAATTTTAAACGGGAACTTGGCTCGTCTGTAGCAGTTGTATTTAAGTTCGTATTTTTTGGCTGTATAGTATCAGTTAAACTTTTCACCATATTGGTTAATGCTAGTTTTGACAGGGTTGGGATCTTCGAAGATATGGTAGTCAATCCAGTAGTGGTTGTAGACAGCGTTACATTCTCGCCCCTGACATGTAAAATACTTAATACAATCCATATAATGAACCTTAGTTGATATATCATACTTCTTCTTCCCTGTAGTTTTCCCCCAAATTACAAATCATGGGATTCAATCAACACAGTTTCCTGATTTGGATTAAACTCCGTGGAAAACTTAAGGTTTTTTTTTGTTCGTGTATATGCGCTACCAGTTTCCAACGATCATTTTCAAAAGTTTGGAAATATTGCATATCACAACCAGTGTTTGAAGGATATACAGAGAGCAATTGACTTGAAATAGTCATTTCAAGGTTGTTAAACTTTTTTTGTTTCATGTATTGTTGAGTCTTTTTTAGGGAGTGGTATTACACACATGAACTATGAGGTGAGGGGGGGGGATGTTTCAAATATCAGCAAATAGGTAAACATTGCCTTGCCAACTATGCACCAATTAGGTATATTGTTTAATTAATCCTATTTTGGTCTCAATTAACATTGTTTAAGGAATGTGGGAAGGGATATAAAAAATCGTTGTTTACAATTCAAAATCTCTTTGTTTTATTCATAAAATAATAGAAACACAAAATAAAAAAAAATGTAATTAAATGGCAAAAGCCCCGATGCATTAATTACTACTTGGAGTTGAATTAGGAAATAATTCCTCCATTGAACAACATTACAAACCCGAACAAACCCTTTGATGTTAAAACTCAAAAATTCAAACTTTTCAAGTGTTCAAATACAGTAAACACTGGTGTCAGAGAAGACCAGATTGCTACTGAGAATTTGTGCTTCCACTCCTTGTGACAATTCAGAGTGCTTATTCTACAAAGTTTAAATCTGAACTAAAACGAGATGCTAGTACAATGGTGGCTTTCCCCGCAAGGGCTGAACCATTCATATCGCTTAAAAAGCCTCTACCTAATGTACGAGGTAATCTCTATATATCCAATGTTATGCCACACCGTACTTGACGTAACAGTAGAATTATCGATATGTAAACACACATGCAGCCCGTACCTATGGTTATGAGAACTTCTCAAACTCTATAACTGGTCACATACCAAAGTTTTTTCTACTTGGTCACTGCATTAATGCATATGGTGCTATTTCTGAAATTTGTTATCATGTCAGCCTCGAGGCATTACCCCACCAGAAACGGCACTCGATCTTCTCTTCGTTTGAGTGTCCCTAAGGCGGCACATTACTGGTCGGTTTTCAAATATTATTTAATGGCTGGTTGTTAGGTCGAATTTTCCCACAGGTACCTTGCATTAGACAGCGTCGAATGTCAAGAAAAACTGGAAACTACAAGTTAGAGTAACCTTTACCGTGATTGCCGGGGATTGCTTTTACACTGGAAAAAAAAAACAAAATCATGCAACTTTGGTAAGAGAAACAGAACAAAAAATTCTAAAAATAACCTGGAAATGTGACCATGTGCGAAGATTGCAACATCACGTCATTAAAAAATATTATCATTGTCTCAAATATACGTAAACAAGCGCAAAGATCAATAACAATGCAAGAAAATATTATCTCTACACCCATAACAAATTTCAAAAGTGTAAATAACCTTGCCCAAAACGGAAGCAGATTCTAAATTTGGTACATGGATAATAAAAATACAGTCCGTCGAAGTTGAATCTCCCGGCATATTCATAAATTTCCCCCCAACTATTTAAAGAGGTCAAAAAGTGTGTAAGTTTTACTAAGGTGTTCTACTTTTTCTTCTTCTTTCCTTCTCTACTATCTATTCTCTCCAGATTTTAACTTATATTTTATAAACATTCGCTATGAAGGTCACTACTTTAGCCACTGGTTTACTTTTCGCCGCTGCCAATGCTCTCGCTGCCATTGTTCCAGTTACTTTATCTGTCAAGTCTGACGATACTGCTGTCAACGGTATGGGTTTGACTTCTACCCACGAAGGTGCTGGTATCAACTATATCTTCTTAGATACTCAATCCCAGGAATTGTTATATGACGAAGAAAACAAGCAATTGTTCATACTGCTCGGCGGTAGCGGCCCAGAACTTAGACAATCATTTTTAGTCTCTGGTAACGTTGCTCAATTATCTGTTGCTGGTGCCGCCACTGTTACTTTTGATGACAATGGTCTTCTTAAAGCCGAAGGCGTTGACCCATTCTATGCTGCCAAGAACATCAACGACCCATACAACTATTCTAATGTTAGATTTGCCCTCGTTTCTTATCCAGATGGTCAAGCTCCAGATGGAGCTATTGCCGTTCAAGTTGTTGGTAAATTCACTAGTGCTCCATCCGGTAATGACACCACTACCACCACCACTTCTGCTCAACCAACTTCCACTCCTGTTCCAACCCCAACCCCAGTTCCTGGTGCTGCTGCTCAATTTGGTGTTGGATTAGCTGCTGTTGGTGCTGCTGCTGGTCTTTTACTTTAAGTAGACTACCCTCTATCTTTTAATTCCCTTCTTTATGTATAGGTACATAATATGCCCATTATGAGAAAAAAAACTTACGTGAATAAATAATAAATTAATTATCAAAATTAAATGCAAATACTAATAATAAATTAACAATATTAAACTATATAAACTCAAAAAACCTAAAAGACCGAAATATAAAAATTAAACAAAAGAACTAAAAAGCCAAAATTATGCTGCAAAAAATTGAGGTCAACTAAGATCTTCTTGGAATCTGGATACGGAGTTATTATTTGACCCACCTTGATCAGAAAATACATTGTGATTACCATAATAGCCAGGTCTACGAGGTGGTTCTCCTGGCAAGACAAAATCTTCATCGTCGTCATAATCGAAATCAATATCTGAATCATTAGTATTTTCATTCTCGGTATTATAATTCGAACTGGTGTTTCCTGGATCTTCAATTGGTGATTGTAAATGGGTTAAGTGTGATAATGCACCTGTACCATGTGGTGTAGGAGGTGCTCTTCTTTCTTGAAAATCAAAGTCGTGCGAATTTGCTCGTGGGTGGCCATATGAATTCATTCTTGAATTAATACCACTATTATCATTACCACCACGACCACCTCCAAGTGACGAGGACCTTGTACTCATTTGAATGGTAGAATTTCGAGCATTGGAAGTATTACCACCACTACCTTTGAATATCGAATCTAAATTATTAGCATTACTAACCCCACGATAGGTGAAATCGGTCGATTCATCATCTCCGAGATCAAAATCACGTCTTTGGTTATTATTATTAACTGTGCTTCCATATGGTTGAGAAGTGTCTCTTTCTTTCTTCAATCTTGCCGCAGCAACTGCCCCTCCAAGTCCAAGACCAGCACCGGCAGCTGCACTATGCTGCAATAAGTTAGATTCCGAATCTCCATGCGCACCACCACTACCAAATTTACCACCAAACATATCAGTTAACCAAGAAAATCTCGATTTTTCCACAGCAGAGTCATGGTAAATTTGATGCTTATCATCAATAGTGGTACCATCATCGTCATCTTCATGTGCTGCTCCATTGAAATCTGGATTTTGATTGCTCAATTGTCCACGCTTACGCTTCTTGAGGAAAAGGAATAACACTACTAATGCACCAATAACAATTGTGCCACCAATGGATCCAACTAAACCACCAATTAACTTGGAATTTCTTTCTGCAGTAGATTGGGTATCTTCAATGGCATTGGCAGAAGTGGGAACGGTAATGACTGTAGTAATTGTAGTATCAGGGTGTTTAATGACAGAAGTAAACGATGTGGTAAACGATGTCATACTGTGAGAAGTACTGGAAGGTGTTGTGGTTGAACTGGTGAGTAATAAACTTGACAGTGATTTTGTAGATGATGATTTTGCAACCAGGGACGATGAAGAACTGGATGAAGAAGACGATGATGAAGATGAAGAAGAAGATGAAGATGATTCTGATGATGTCTCGGAACTTTCTGAGGCTTCTGAACTGGATGGTTCTTCAGTACTACTAACTTCCGAAGAACTAGGTTCCAAGGATGAACTGGCCTCAAAATCTGTAATTGACGAAGATTCTATTTCTGATGATGAACTGGGCTCTGCTGATGAACTTTCTGCTTCTGTGGAAGATGGTTCGAATGAAGAACTTTCATGTTCTGTTGAAGATGGCTCGAATGAAGAACTTTCATGTTCTGTTGAAGAAATCTCTGATGATGACGAAATTTCTGATGATGATGAAATCTCTGATGATGATGAAATTTCTGATGATGATGAAATCTCGGATGAGGACGTCACTGAGGACGAGGATATCTCTGATGATGATGAGGAAGACATACTCGACGAAGACTCTAAACTAGATGATATCTCTGACGAAGAGCTAATTTCTGAAGAGCTTACTTCACTCGACAGACTAATATCACTTGATGTCTCGCTAGCGAATGTTTCACTGGAACTTTCCATAGACGAAAATGATTCAGTTTCTGATGTAGTTTCTATCTCGCTACTACTGCTTGAATGGTCTGCAGAGGAGCTAGTATCTATGGTTTCCGATGACAATGTTTCTGATTCAATAGTTGGATCTGAACTGGAAGTCCACGGTATTGACGAAGAAATATCGGAAGACTCAGAAAATTCGGTCGTACTGGAAGATGACTCTATATGACTTGAACTGTCAGATGTGGTAGATTTTGAATCTGACAGAGAATCGGTTGGATCTAATGAAGTTGTGTGCGGTGTTTCAAAGGAGAAAGTAGACGAAATATTATTACCAAAGGCGTCAGTTTCTCGTTCTATTAGCTTAATGTAGCTGGGGGTAAGGATAGGTTGCTCTATCCTTGTGGTTGGTGAAAAGAAATTATTTATATATTGGGGAACCATCATCCTTTTTTTTTCCTGTGTGTAATGGGTCTATTGTTTAACATGTGTGTTTCGCACAAAGGTGGTGAAATTCTTTCGTAAAGAATTGGTTTTGTGTAACTTGGGAAAAATAGAAATTCCTTTTTTTTGCAAATAAATCTGTGAAAAAAAAAAAATAAAAATAAAACTTCCGTTGATGTCACACTTGTTTCTTATGAAGAATGATGTCAACAGTAGTTAAACTTTTGTGATACGGTAAAATATATGTATGATGAGGTATATCAATGGTGGTGCATAATTAAGCACAGGTACAGTAAACTGCTATCAAATTCCTCTCTCTATTGTTTCAACAAGGGTCAACGAGGTATTTTTGTTTTTGTTTATGCTTCTAAATTAAGTACGCAAATAATAAAGCCCAATTTACCAGAACAAACAATCAATTTAATTTATGTGGCAAACAAAAAGAATAATTTTTTAGTGTCTGCCCCCTTATTTTTTCCGTTGAAATGCAGGTTATATTAGCTGCACTTTTTATTCCGTAATCTAATCTATGCTTTGTCCGGATTGAAACAGGGAATAATTTAATGTGGTAAATATCGACAATGACAAGGAAGTCGGGGGGTAAGGAGGTTGATTGTAGCGTCAAAGAATGTGGTCGTATTTCTAAAGATTAATTCCAGGATCCTGTCCCTTGTTTAAAACTTTGATCTGGAGATAAGAAAACTTGCGTGTGAAAGCTTAATGCTGCAAATGCAAGATCTATTACGTGACTGCGGGAAGGGGGAGATTCTGATACAGTTGATTTGACTTTGACTTATTATCTGTAGAGTATGAGATAATTAACCCTTGTACTAGTAGAATAATCAGTGGATCCAAAGGGTCGAATTTAAGGAACTAGATCAAAAAAAAAAAAGAAAAATAAAAAAAAAAAATCAAAACGAGATCACAATTTCGAAGAGGAAGTTATAAGAGCGACTCGAGTCAGTATATATAGTTCGAGATCACGGAACAAGATCACAAACTTGTTGATATCACATCTACCCCTGCTTAATTTCCCCATGCAGAAAAAGTAACGTTGCTAAGTTGCAAATAACTATTACACCCCATGAATTTAGGTAGTTTAATTCAAGTTTTCTGTACAGTTTTTCATTAATGAATCAGGGCAAGGAATATTTTTTATGCTAATTAATTACTGAAAAAAAAAAAATATTTGAGGTTGTACCCTACCCTCTTCGACTAATGTGAACATGTTTTGATTTACTATTTATAACCTTCGAAAGTTAATGCAGAGAGCATTAAATATGATTACAGTAAGATGTAGGAGGCAGTGCCCGAACTATGCATTGCCTTGTTTAGCAAATCACGAGCTTTTTCTAGACGGTCTCACTTTCACAACACAAACTTTCTAAGGGGCTATATTTTTTTCCGCCAAGCCCAAAATTTAACACCTGCCACAGAACAAAAATTTGAACAAACCCAAGGGATGGGTTAGTTACTCCTAGCAACACAACACACATTCTATGTGTCAAGGAGATGAAATTCTCAATTTATTATGTGTATTGCATCGATTTCCATTGAGATCTGCCCCTTGTACTAGAACAATAGTGTCTTTTTTTTTTCAAAGCCGCCATCTGCAAGTTTGAAAGGCTGCCCCTAAACCACTTGCATTATCTGGCTCTTTTTTCCTTGTTACTGACAAACAATTTCTATTTTTCCCACGTAAGATTACGGTGTGTCAAATGGCATACATAGACAATTGCACTACGCCGCCTTATTATTAAAAATAACAGTCATCAGTTTCGAGAATCCGTAATTGAGAGGTAAAACAAAGAATTATTTTTTGATGAAAATTTTTTATGGGTGCAATTTTTTTTTTAATGTTCTCCACATTGAGTAAACTAATTACGTAACAAAAGAAAAGGGATAATCCGTAGTTGACTACTAGTCAAAGTTACGAGAAAGTTGTTGTTTTAGATTTGGTTTCCTTGTTTGAGTAGACTTATTCACCCCCTAGTTTTCCTAAACCCATGTGGCTTAAGAAGTTTCTTCTAACCACGGATAACTGCAACATCATTCCGATATGACAACAACAATAGAGAGAGGGGGGGGGGGGTGGATGGAAAGATTCTCGCAAAGTATTACAACCTGCTCAGTGTTGGGTATTTATGCGGAAGTATTTTCTTGCCCCTTAGATTAAGGTTTTAGTAGTCATGTGGATTGGTATATATGATCTGCAGCAGCTAACATGTAAATTTTACCTTAAAAATATCCATTTTATTACATACATTTGTTGCAGTGTGTACAGCCTCCATCACCAGCAATTGTATTTAACCGGCCTTGGATACAGTTCCTCTTCCACTCTAGACTTAGTATCACTTTGCATACAAACATTAAGATAAATTCATAATTAAACTTTATTAAATTAGCTATATGCATATATAAAACATGCATTAAGAATTAGGAATACATACATCCTCGTTTCTCTAATTAATATTAACTCCCCTCATTAAATAAAAGTAAACAAATTAGCAAATAAGTCATACAAGCAAAAAAACAAAAAAAACAATTAAAATAAAACAAAACGAAGAACATCAGAGGGATCAGGAGAAAGGGAGACAGTATTAAGACCCTCTAAACTTGTTGCTCTTCTTTCTTGTGCTTGCTTTTTAACCAATCTTTAAATGCAAACAATGACATTATCCATGCCATAAACAAAGTAACAAATCCCAAAGAAAGGTTCAAAGTGAACATTTCAGTCAATCCATAATATTCAAAGGATAAAACTACGGGATCGGTACTTTCCATAAATATAACACCTCCACAAAGTAAACAGAATGCAACCATCAATTCGGTAATTGGTCTTCCTGCACGAGTCAAATCATGAGGAAGCTTTGACGACAAAAGCATCAATAAATACGTGAGGAATCTAAAGGCACAACCAAGAACAAACAAGTTCCCCCATTGCGCGTGTATTGCGGTGGATAAAGCACTAGCTTGTTGATGGGCTGACATAAGAATACCAGTCCAGTAAATAGTGACAACTGGGAATGGGTTTGGTGAGTATCCTGGACTAGCCTTGGTGATAACACTAAGATCTTGGGCTGGGTCTGCCTTTAACAAGTTCTCCTTGGCTTGGTGAAATCTCCAATCCTGTAATTTGTTTTCACAAATAACCCCACATAATCCACATCCAATGTAAATGAATGCAATTGAAGCATGTTGCAAATCCTTGGGTGACCATTCCCCGCCAGAATTGGCCAAATGTTCCAAAAAGATATTGGTGGATCCATAAAACAAAATCAACGAACATTCCATCATTTCCATAGTCCAAAGTCCTTGGTTTTGGAAAGAGAACCATCTGCTACGATTAGCACGGTCAACGAATTTATGATTCCATGCCCACCCTTTGTTCAAGAAACCACCAGAATATCTGGCCAAGGTCAAGATACCATAAGCAAAAAACACCCCACCTTTAATGAAATGGGCCAACAAGTTAAACACAGTGTTCCCCTTTCCATAAACCAAGAATGTGGCAATCCCAGTTGGGACAGTGATTATAAAGTAAAAGAAATGACCCCAGTTAAGGAAATTGAACCCAATAACAGAAACCTTGTGAAACTTAGTTTGAGCAATCCAAATTCTTAATTTCATTAATTTACCAAAGAAATTATTGCTATTGTTACCAATTCTCTTTTCAATGTGATGTACTGAATCTTCTTCATCGTGTGTAAGAGAACTTCTCAGCTCATCATCAGAATGCAAAGTGTAATAGTCAGAACCAGCAGTATTAGGATCAATTGACCTAATCAAGGCAAAAACTAATTGTAAAATGGTAGTGACAAACAAAATTACCATCATCTTAGAATATGCGTTACCAGGATACAAATTAGGAATTGAATTAATGAAAATGGAATAATTCAACAAAGCAAACCCGATAAATCCAGAATGAACTATCAAAGTTGTCATGTACGATTTCTGCATATTCAAGTTGTTAAAAATAAGAGCAATTGGGTAAATAAACACAATGGTGGTTAAGGCAAATCCAATGTGAAGATACAAGGCAGGACGATGTTTGGTTGGAACATTGAAGTAAGTAGTTGTATTGTAGTTTTCCCAAAACAATCTTTCTTCGGGAAGCAAATCCATTTCTAAGATAGGAACTCCGTGCATATGGTGTTCAACGTGAGGAATTGGACTAATAGTACTGTTGGCAGATTTGGTTGCAACTTCAGTTTTGGTGGCACTTGGATGTCCATGTTCTCTGGCATCATGGTCATGGTCCATTTCCATAGCCATGGATATACCGGCAAACAAGTATAACAATGTTATGAGCTTCATATTGTATTTAATGGTGTGTGGGTTGTATTAAGGATGGCGCGTTATCTAAGGTTATTGGTTGCCTTTTTTATTTTTTGAAAAGGAACTTGTGACTATAAACTGTCAGGGAGAAAACTAGGCGGAGTAAAAAGTATCCAAATGTAGCAATTAAAAAGTATATTAGGAAATCTGAATGACCGGCTTTATCAATTGATATAACGGGATTTGATTCGGATTAAGGAAAAGACTGGGAATGCGGTTGGCCCGATGACTCTGTCTTTCGGAGATAAATTTTTTTTGGTTAGGTAGTGGCTCGGCCGAAAAACAATAGGGCCGATGAAATTATAATTGAAATTGACCTGGCACAGTAAATTGCAGGAATATAAAAATTAACTAGCGAAAGGGGATGAAACGCAAGGACTTTAGAGATACTACCACACTTGATAGGTACTGGGGACTTATTGCTGTATTTATAAGGTCATATTAAGAAAAAAAAAACTGAACTTAAACGGCAATTACCAATTGCATCACTGTTTTTTGTGTTAACAATAGAAAAAAATATGCGATATTTTTAAATCCTCCCTTAGCTTTCTTGTAAATAAGGTTAAAAAGAACAATAAAACTTCCATTTTTGTCCTTGCTGCTGATTCATTTTAAAGAACTGTATTACTAATACCGAGGCAGGCTTATAAACTAGCATGGAGACATACGAACTTGCTAGCAATGCCAGGGGAACAAATCGTAGTTTCATGTTAGAGTTTCTCCTGTAAGACCTTCTATCTCTAAAACAAATCCCGGCAAAATCCGAATCGAGGGGAATAGGATATCTCGGCTCTAATTATGCGCTTTTCTATAAGCTTCCATAAAATATCCCGTTATTAGTCTTACTACAATTCCTTTGTTTATCCCCATAATTGATTTATAATGTATGCTATTTTTTTTAAATGCCGGTCTCACGTGCTCGGAACCATCGGATTAAACGTCATATTTGAAGCATTAGTGACTCATGCTTAATCAGTGATTCTTAAACTTGTAAAGGTTGCTTTATCATTCAGGTTTTTAAGGCAAAAGTTTCACGTTGATTGTTATAAGTGCTAGCATGATTCTTTTTTAGAGACGGAATCAAACTAAACTAGGAAAAGGAATTCTTAACTAAGATGCCGATTTGTGTAATCCCGTTACTTCCACCCGATCCGGACAATAACGCTTAGTAATTATTACTCACCGATGTTGAAAGGCAAAATAATTACTTGCAGTTACATGCGCTAATTCACTCGAACAACTCTAAAATGGCATTTATGGTTCGATATGATTTTACATTCAGGGATTTATAGGTGGTATTCGATCGGTTGGACTTGCTCTGGGGTTTTAAATGGATCACAGTAGCAAATTTTAGTCCATGGTTGAAACGGTTGGCTAATTCCCATGACAACCTAAAACAAAAATGAACTCATATCAACTGCTTTTGAGCAACTACAATATTTCAAACCCCATTGAGTAGTCTTCCCAGTTAATTTACCAGAAATGGTAGAAATATTATCCCTGTAAGCAATCTTTCTCAATTTTAAATCCGATCTTCATTGCATATAAAATAAAATAATACAAAAGAGGAAAAAATCGGCATCTCACATTAAAGTAAAAATATCACAAAAAATAACATCAGCCGTGTATTGAAATTAAGTAGGTGAAATACCCCCCTAAACCAATCCCCTTGGTTCAATTGGCAACGTTTAGAACCAATTGCTTATATCCAGCAAGGTAGTATTCTTCTATATGAGAACTGTCGGGATACTTCGGGTATGCACTTAAAAGCATTACCTAACTACCGTGAGCCATTGTCATCCCTGAGACGATATTACCACTTCCCTTGTTCTACGATGTAAGAAAACGTAATGAAGAATTGACAATGAGATAAAAACAGTCCGGAAGCTCATACCGAAACTGGGGGGTTGCAATAACAATGGACCGCCCCACCTTTTACCTACCGTAGGGGACTAATAACAAGCCTAATTGTAATAAAACTGTGGGTGGGCGACCTTCTACATTTACATTGGAAAAAAATAACCCTCGACTCTCCGCTCATCGCTTTCCTATATACTCCGCCCGTTTCTTCTGTTGTCATTTTATTCGAACTATAATTCAATTTAAGGTCTATATTCATTGTATTTTGTTAAGTTACAAATCACAAATTTCAAAGCATATGAATCACTATATATATAAAACAGTTTTACAACGCATTCTTCCTGGTTAAATAATCAAATCTCGAATAAGTATATCCAATAAATGGCAAATCTTCCTTAAGATTCTTTTTCCCAGTCTTGGCGTCCATTTCCCGTTGTTGCATGGCTTTACTCAATGCTGGGTTTTCAGGAACATTCTCCAATTCATCGGTAGGGAAGAATCTAGTGTCGGTAATTGATCTTAATTTAGGAATGAATGGCGCATCCACCCGTCTAATCGTTTCCCAATCAACACCACGGAAGAACGGATGTTGCTTGATTTCTTCAGCCCCTCCGTATCGTCCAAGTCTATTTTCAGATGATGTCAATAATCTTCGAATAAGATCTTCGGCTTCGGGAGATAAATGAATATCTTCTGGTATTTGCAAGGTTTCCTGCCAGTTCAAGATCTTACGATATGTCTCATGAGGAGTTTCAGAACAAAATGGTGGCCATCCAACAAGACATTCAAACATAATTGCCCCAAGCGACCACCAATCACATTCTTGTCCATACCCTTGATGTATGAAAATCTCAGGAGCAATATAATCGGGAGTACCCACGGTCGAATATGCCATCAATCTTCGTGATTTTCTCCATGTTTGCATTTGTTGTCTATTTGACATGGTCAAATGGATGGCATCAACCATAACTGAATTACGTGCTCCATTGGCAGTTTGAGGTTGTAAATGTTGAGTGTTTGGTGTTTCCTTTTCCAATAATTTCTTGTAATAGTTGGAATCATGGGTCTTGTGGAACCCAGTAGATAACCCGAAATCACTTAATTTAATATGTCCTCTAATATCAATTAAGATATTGTCAGGTTTAATATCACGATGGATAAATCCTAATTTATGAACAGCTTCAATAGCCAAGACACATTCAGCCATATAGAATCGAGTGATATCTTCAGTAAAGATTTGCCATCTAATCAACATGGTCATTAAATCACCACCAGGTAAGAACTCCATAATCAAGTATAAATACTGAGAATCTTGAAATGAATAATATAAAGAAACAACCCAAGGAGAATCACTTCCTGCCAATACATCTCTTTCAGCCTTGACATGGGCTAATTGGTCCTTTTTATACATTTCTGACTTTAATAATGTCTTCATAGCATAAATCTTCCCGGTATCTTTCTTTTGCACTAATCTAACTTCACCAAAGGCACCTTTACCAATAACTTTCACGGTGTTGAAATCTTCCAATGCTAATTTAGTTCTTCTCAATCTCAAGAATTGAGATTCCTTCTTACCCAAGTTTTGCAATTGACGGTTCTTTCTTTCTTCCGAAGATCCACTTTCTTCATTCAACAACTTGTGTTCTAAGTCTAATCTTCTTTGGTTTCTTTCAATGGCATGGTTGACAGACATGGTATAGTAGTTTTCCAAAGTTAATTTGATGGAGGCAGCCTTCTCTTGTGAGTTCTTGGTGAGCAAGTTCGGCTGTCTGACAATATTGACTGTGTTCTTAGCAGCAGGAGTAGGTGCAGCTTGAGGCTGTGTAATACCGGAAGGAATAGTACTATTGGTTATAACTGGAGAACCCACGTTTTGATTTGAATGATGGGATACCAAAGAATTGGTGGCTGAATTGCTACTAATTTCAGAAAGATTAGTATGACTGTTGTTGTTCAACTGAGTGAATGCTGAAGTTGGAGGTCTGAAATTCAAGGAATCTATCGAGGTGAATTTCCCGTTTTCGAATGAGTCATTATTGGTATTGGTGAACGGGCTAGCATTGTCGAATCCCAAGTTGAATCGGGGTGATGTGGAAGATAATGGCACTGTTGGCTCCTGTTGTCGTCTAACCGGAGAATTCTGATCTTGCACTGTCGGAGGCTGATCTAGTATTTGTGAAGTGTCTTCATCCATATAGCTATCGTCGTATTGTGCATATTGTTGAGATATTTGTTGTTGTTGTTGTTGTTGTTGTTGTTGGTATACGATGTTGGGTTGTTGTGCGTACTGGTTCATTTGCGGGTATGCCTGTTGTTGTGTGAACTGGGGATATTGTTGTTGTTGAGCATTCTGGTGGTATTGCTGTTGATATTGTTGTTGCTGTTGCTGTTGTTGTTGCTGCTGTTGTTGCTGTTGTTGTTGTTGTTGAAGGTGTTGGTAGTAAAGTTGTTGTTTCTGAGCTTCAGTGAGCTCGTCAAAATTCATGATTGTTTTCTAACGTGGTCACTACCTCTTCCAAAAAGCCTATTCGGTAATATTACCTAAATTCCGTAGGGGATATAGTAATGTGTATGGATATTGTTTGATGGTTGTCCAAGTAATGAGATCCCACAGAAAAATCACCACAGTACTCTACGACTTATTTGTTAACAAAAATTTCTACATGCAGCCAAAAAAAAAAAAAATAAACATGACAAGAAGTTTCAGAAATCAAAACAAGTCGTCTCGTTTGTGCTAAGTTTGTACGTTTCTTATTGGATAGATCTTGTGTCGACAAGATCGGGATTTCATAGAAAATGATAGAGAGATATAGTCACTGATACTACTAAGTAATTAATAATGATGTGGGAAGTTAACCGTGGGCTAGCGAGATTCGCACCTGCTACGTAGTCCACTTTTTTTTTGGCCTAGGCTGAAATTGATTCGGAATTATAGCGGTATTATCAGGCGCGATTGTCCCGAACTAGTCGAGTTACTCTACATGTCAAAATCTCAATAAAGGTATGTATTCCTTAATACACGAATAAAGTACAAGTGAAATAGTCAAACACCACACAAATCATTAAATTAAATGTATATTCTTTGTCATGAAGGGGTTTTTCTTATTTATAAATTTTATAATAATATGTAAACCAACAACACTACTAGAATTGTAAAGCTTGACCCTTTTGCTTCTTGTCACCACCCAATTCGAAGTGCTTACATCTCTTCAAAGATAATTGAGCCTTAGTCTTACAGACGACACATTCTAATCTCAAGACAACCTTCTTGGTAGTCTTAGCCTTCTTGTGGAAAACTGGCTTGGTTTGACCACCGAAACCGGATTGTTTACGGTCATATCTTCTCTTACCTTGAGCGAATAAAGAGGCTTTACCGGCCTTGTATTGAGTAACCTTGTGTTGAGTGTGCTTACGACATTCCTTACCCTTACAGTAGGTCTTTCTAGTCTTTGGAACGTTAACTAAAGTTACAAGTTAGTATATGGAGTTCATTAATTGATTTTGGAGTTGGTGGTGATATGTTTCCATGTAATTCATAAGTTCATCTCTACTTTCGGGAAAACCTCTAAAACTATTTCACTTGGGATATTATCATTCACGTAGTTGTCATATTCATGGTGTGCTCGATATATATATCACATTATATAAACATTTCCCATCTCCTGTCTGTCTTTGGTTATGTTTGAACATACCCATCGTGTCTTATTTACTAAAGTTAAGGTGGAAAGAGAAGTACTAAAATTTAGTAGTATTGAAAATTTCCTCTTTTTTTTTCTAGACTCTTGGTTGCGACGTTAAGGTGTGAAAAAAATTGTGCACTAGAAAAAACTAAATTGTATTGATGTATTGATGTTTATATTATGCACTCTTGATTCTTTGTCACGTGTAATAATTTTATTAGGGCTATAACCCTGGGTTGGCTCTTTGTTCGCGCCTTCTGGCTATGAATCCAAATTTGGAATATCCAGCAAGAAACAGCCAATTCCGTAAATAGCAAGACATTATAAATTAACCTTTGTGTAATAGTAATAAATAATAAATATGATTCTACTGAACTAATATCATAAGGGTATACTTTTATTATAGTTACATAAAGATACAAAAACTTTTATACAAAAAGACTGGTACAATCATATTTTAGTCACCGTAGTGTAAATAGTAGAAGTCAGGGTGATTGGTGGTTCATCGGTTTCTGTGTCGTAATGGTAGTAATAATCGACATAACAGACACCATCGGTTGTTTCGGTGGTAATGCTGTCGATTATCCATGATGATGGGAAGGTAGAAGGTGCAGGAGTTGTAGTTGGGGTATGGGTAGTTGGAGTGGCAGTGATACTGGGTGATTTAGTTGAAGAAGGAGCGGTGGAAGTTGGATGACTTGTAGAGGGGTCAGCTGTAGGGGTATTAATATCGGAAGAACTTGTACTTGGATCAACGGTAGGATCACTAGAAGTCGTAGTAGTATCATTATCAGAGGAGCTTGTAGTTGGATAGATAGTAGGATCATTGGAAGTAGAAGGATCATTGGAAGTAGTAGGATCATTGGAAGTAGTAGGATCATTGGAAGTAGTAGGATCATTGGAAGTAGTAGGATCATTGGAAGTAGTAGGATCATTGGAGGTACTAGGAGTATCATCATCAGAAGAACTTGTGGTAGGGTCAGCTAATGTGGATTCAGGGGTGCCACTGGTAGAACTAGTAGTTGGAGTAGTGGTTTTATCATTATCACTAGAGTCAGTACTAGTAGATTCAGTGCTAGTAGTTGGTCCATCTGCTTTAGTTGTAACAGCTTCAGCTGATGTAGCTGGAGGGTCAACAGTAGCAGTCTCAACTTCTTTCACCACTACCTTGTCATCGCCTTTCTTCTTCGTATGGGCCTTAGGCGAAACACTGACAGTTTCCACCTTCTGTACTTGAGTTGGTATGCTTTGACCCGGATAAAGCGTAACGGTGACGGTACCGGTGATTTTCGTGGTAGTCACGGTTTCCATGTGAACTATAGTGTTAGTAAATGTTGACTGCGATCTTGTCGTGGTAGTATAGTCGGTGTAGACGTTCGTTATTGTTGTTAAAACTTCATCTCTTTTTTTGACAACAGGGAATGCGTGAGAGATTACAAGGAGTGTGGGTAATAAGAATGCTGAGAACTTCATGGTTGGAGGAGGTGAGGTTTCAATGGTATCCTCTTTTTGGAAGAAGGAGCAAAGTCAGATTTCTTATATAGAAATTTGAAACGAACGCAAACATGAAACGCAAATTTGATGATAAGATGGAAGGCTGGTTGTTGTTACATTTCCAGAAGATGACTCCATAGTTTATTTACTCGTCTCGGGGAAGTTGCAGTGGACAGGTAGTAATTTTTTAGCGACCAGTTTAAAACAATTCTGAAAATGGCTGGTTGGCTGCGAAAAAAAGGGAAGGTCGCGATTGTATCATATTTCCGGAACAATATTGATCGAATGGTTTTCCCATCACAAAAAGTAAGGATTGACGAGAGTGGTTGTTCTGTGCTTGACGAGAGTGTTACAATGACTAGAGTGTAACTGGGGTGCAGTAAGTAGATGCAAGATAGAAGTTGTGTTTCTGGTTGATCATAAATGAGGAAAGTGATAAGCTCGTGTAAGTTTACGATATCTCGAATTAACGAGATTGGCCAGATGGTCACTTCGTAAGTGGCCGCCTCTATTTTAATCAACTTGTGGCTTAGTTAATTGTATCAGTTGCTGTGTATTTCATGTCAAGCTGGAACTTGAACAGATTTGTCCAAGTTTTTGCCGAGAAATCTCAAAAAGTATCATCAAAATTTCAAGCCATCACTATTGGAAAGAGATCAGCAGCGAGACTTATACCCAAGAAATAACCATATAAAATCATGCAACCAATAAAGTAACATGTCTGATCTCTCTTAGATACAAGAATAGATCAAAGTGTAAACCAGTACTAACTACGGTGGTAACATTTCCGCAATTCCGGTTGCGGCTCATGCAAATCTCCGAAAATAACAATTTCCCTCATTTTTTTTTGTTCTCAAACTCACACAATTTTGTTGTGACTTTGTCCACCCTCGTCATTCCCACCGGATTATTCAACGACAATTTTACTTTCGGAGATCTAAACCGGATAATCCAAAACGCAAACAATGAGTTTTTACAACAGCAACCAATCGCTTGTATATAGTGCCTACCGGTCAGATCACTTGCAGCCACAGACTGAAGCCAATGCCAGTTCTGAGTCCACCAACGCCAATGCCGCCGCCGCCGTGGTTGCTGCTGCTGCCGCCCAGCATCAACACACACAACATCAACCCCGCCAACAGCAGGACTCAGCCTCACCGGAACAACAACCACAGGTGCAGCAGCAACAGCAGCAGCAGCAACAACAACAGCCAAGTGAGATGCCAGTGAAGAGGCCGCGTCAGAACAAACCCGGGCAGAAGTTCGGGGCTAAGAAGAAGTCGTGGGTGTGGGTGTGGTTTGTTCAGGATTCTACGGATTCCAATATCGCAGCTTGTGACTACTGTGGGAAGATTATCGTTAGATTGGCCAGTGATAAAGGCAGTCCCAAGAAGTTGAGTGAGCATTTGAAGGTTCATAAATTGGATAGACATAGTATTAACTATTCAAGAAGTGTGCCAATGGATGGATTTGGTGTTACTTATAATCACAATGGACAAGTTGTGAGCTATCCTGAAAATTACGAACCATCCGTGCTGCATCGTCCAGGAGACGCCCACCACCTCCAACACCAACAGATGGCACAAGTGCAACACCAGGATGCGATCATGGAGCCATCTACAAAGAAGCAAAAGACAAGCGACCCTGATTTAGCAAGCAATCCATTTGAATTGGGTGCTTCATCAAGATACTTGTGTGCAGATTTTGACAATAGCCCTTATTCAACAATGAAGTTCCATAAGCATTTATTAAAGTTTCTCACCGATAATAAGCTTCCAATCAGTGTTATCAAGTCGCAGTCATTCCAACAAATAGTGTATGATCTCCGCTCCAATTCAATTGAAGATTTATTGGAATTGACTGGGTTGTATAATTCCTTGATCGAAGTAAGTGGATATGGACCTCGCGAGGGTAATAACGAGAGTGAAAATCCAATTAATGCATTGACTAATGTCGTTGCTAGAGCATCAAAGTAAATGTATATATAATTACTACATGATTCAATTCTTTGTATCTATAATGTAAATTCTGGTAAATCCCCAGCTATCCCATCAATGCTAACATGTCTTGTAACACTCGTGTACAATGTGGGCGTGCTTGAGTTGTCATAATTCGGAGGACTGAATGTCCTTATATCTTCATAAGTTGGTGGCACTTCATCATCCCAGGCGATACCCAACCCTGATCGTTCAGTTATTGGGAGTTTGAATTGCATGCGGAGAACACGGGCGGCACCGGTGGGTATCGATGCGCTGGCTGTAGGTGCAGCTGGTGTAGGTGTGGTGGCAGCAGCTGATGCAGAACGCAGTCTTGATGAACTGCTGGCAGTAGCAGGTGCACTTATGCTTGGAGTCAATGGAATTCTTGATATTGTAGCTCCTCTTGTTCTTGCTGTTGAGAGGGGGATTTCTTTCGGAACAGTGACTACTTCTTCCGCAACCACGACTTCGACAACGAATGTATGATTGACATGAACGCCTAGTGTAGGGTCATCAATGTCACAGGATATGTTTGCATTCATTAATGACTCATGGGGATCGTCATTGTTGTCATTACTGGATATAGATGTAACTGTGCTTGGTATACCACTAGTTATCAGGGATATGTTTATGAATGCACCAAGCTCAATCTGACCGCGGCCGGTAAAATCTGATTTCCAGCCCAGTTTGATGTTACCACTAGCTACCGTACGGGTTTCTTCTATGTATAAGTGTTTTTGTTGGTCGAGTTCAACGACAGCAGGTGATTGTTCTGGGCTTAATTCAGCAGTGGTAGGTGCAGTGGAACTATTATTGACGAAATCTTCCACGAAACTTTGATGAGCGTTGGTTACTGGGATAGGTGTTTCTTCAACTTCTGGTTCTGGTGGTTCAACTGGTGTACTATTGTCATTATCGGTGTGGCTATGACTGTGACTGTGACTATGCTGGTGATGGTGATGATGACTGCGGGGTTGGCGAGTAGGACATGTCAGTAATGACATGCTGGTGTGCACACCCGGTTGCCTCGTTGATTTCTCACCATTGATCTTTCCATACAAGTGAACAACATCCGGTAACTTTGCCGCATGAACATCACAAGTTCGTGCTTTGACTTTGGTGTGTTCGTCAATTCTCCATGTCAACTTCCTCATTCTCCATCGGCGTTTCTTAGAGACTAAGTTATCCAACTTGATCTCGATCGGGAATGTAGACTTAGGATGGATAACATTGGGAAGGGTGACTGATGCCTGGACGTCAGTTGGTGGGAATATGCGTAGTGAGTTTCGTTCCGGACCTTTCAAGATCAGTCGAGATATGGGGATGGGCATTGATAGTTCGATAGAGTTGTTTTTGGACTTAGCTATTGCGATAAGCTCATACTTGATGTATGTGGTTAATCCTGTCGGCGATCCTAATTTGGATGTTGGAGGTAGTGATCCTGGGAGTAAATGCGAGAAGGGGTATTGATGGTTCCCCTTGGAGAAGGTAGTTCTGGATGTGAGGACATCCCATCTGGCTAATTCATGAGTAGAAATATTCAAGGAATTGCATTGTTTGCATATGATACCGGGAACAGTGAATGGTTTGGCATATTGCATGGTCTGTACTAATGAAAGAGTGACAGATTCAAGTTTTACCGGTTTGGAAGTGTTGACGGTGAGTATTCCTGATATTATTGAGCCAGTTGATACTGTTGGATTACCATAGAGGACTATCGGTGGTGATTCCAAGTTGATGCTGATGTTATAGTTGGAAGGCTTAGGAGGTTTCGTTTCGGTGGATGGTATCGGTGATAGTTGCCTAGACCGTATTGATTTTGGCAGTGGTGGTGATTGATTTCGCGAGCTTTCACCATGCAAGTTCAACACTAGTGAAAGGAGTGACATGGTGGAGTGTTGGTGATATCGTTAGATAAGAAACGGTATTCGCTAAATGGAACCGAATCTCCGATCGGTGTGGTTTTAAATGAAACGAAGGCAACCAAGTTGAAGAGGGGGAGGGGGAGCGATCTCAAGGTGTGGCTCAGCTCAAAATTGCTAGACGTTGATCACTCCACTGTAGATGTCTATTTGTCCAAGACAAGCTACTTTGATGTTAAAACAGAGTTGAATAGAGGAGTTATCCCTGGTTAACAATGTAACTAATATTGGTTGTAAGAAATTTTGGTTGTAAAACACAATTTGCGCCGCACAGAAATAAAAAAAACCGACCTACCAAAACATCCACCCCCCAACGAAGCTTCAAATAAACAGCCATGAAGCAACACTTGATAATAGATAACGGGGCATACTCAATCAAAGCCGGGTATTCTAATAGATCCGCTCCACTCAAAGTTCAAAACTCCATCACAAAGACCCGTGATGGTTTGCTTCACATTGGTAACTCCTACCTCAGCCACACAAATAATTATGTCGGACTTATCCAAAAACGACCTCATGATCAAGGACATTTAACTTCTTGGGAGACAGAGAAACCGGTGTGGGATTATACCTTTGACCAACTCCTGCAAGATGAGATTGATTTCAGCAAGACTAAACTTACATTAACTGAACTGCCGTTCCAATTGCCTCAATTGAGTATGAACACTGACCAAATCGTGTTTGAAGAGTACGGATTTGATGAGTATTACCGATGCATCCCGGCAAGTTTGGTTCCTTGGAGTTTAGACATGGATAAGGTGAATGGCGATTTCACGTTAGTTATTGATTCCGGGTTTAGTGCTACTTGGATAGTGCCGGTTATATACCAATCAGTTTATTGGCAAGGTGTGAGAAAGTTGCCTATTGGTGGGAAATTACTAAATGGCTTACTCCGGGAGATTATTAGTTTTAGACACTATGACATAAGTGACGATCCCATACTTGTAAATACCATCAAGGAATCAACATTCTTTTTAGCCACCGATTTCAACCAAACACTCAAGAACAAACAAAAGTACAGTTGTGATTTTATACTACCAGATTTCAAGACTACAACTACAGGATATATGAGAACTAAAGAAATGACATTACCACCAGATACCCAAGTGCTCAAGCTTACTGACGAACGATTTTCCATTCCTGAATCATATTTCCACCCGGAAATAGTATTTGACAATACACCACTAGTACAATCCTCACCATTCAAAAACATAACTGACTTGATAGTCGAACTGATCATGGCATGCCCGGAAATAACAAGACCTTTATTATCGGCAAATATTGTGCTTGTTGGTGGATCCACCAACATACCTAATTTTAAAACAAGACTAGAGCTGGAGTTGCGAAGAGAATTGTTCCAAGACTGGCAAGTCCGAGTCAGTGAGTCAGACATACCCGAGGAAGCAAGTTGGAGAGGCGGAGTTGAGTTGGCAGGAGAAGCAGACGTATGGAAAGAAATCGCGGTTAAAAAGAAGGAATATTTCGAGCATGGGGCCAACTGGTGTCAAAAGAGATTTGGATTTGAGAGTTAAAACTTATAGGTAATTATTTATTAATCTACAACTCTATTAAATGATTAAAGGTCAAATATCGACTCAACAACAACCATCCATATCTAAACCATACCATTTGACTGAAATGGCCATAGCACATGGCAGCATAACTAACACTCAACATGTTCAAATCAGAATAAATCTTGATGGAGCTTGAAGGTGCTGCAGTAAAGAAGCTTACATTGATATTAAAGTTAACCACCTTGCTAATAAAACTGGACAAGTGATCCACAAATAGTTCAACGTCAGTCAATAAAGTAAAACTATACTTTTCCCAAAAGTTCACACTCTTGAGAACAAGCAATCTAGTAGACGTGGCGTTTCCGTTTCTCTTGAAATAGCTTTTAGTACCATGGTACAATGCAATGTGGTTAGCATGACTAGACACACCACCTTCGTCGAATGTAATCAACACAGTCGGTTTTCCTTCAACTGGCTTCACATTCTCTTTCAAGCTTTGTCGTATATCCAGTAATGCCCACGTTTCATTCATACCGTCGGGGTAATTCAACACCGTGACATCTTGAACACCCAATATTCTCGCGCTGTCATACAACTCATTCCTTCTAATTCTGCCCATGGATTCATCCACAGCATCACCACGGGAGAAACACACCAACTTCACTGAGTTGTTGTACTTCAGCTTGGAGATCTCCACTACCGATGGCGAAAAGAACATGACTTCATCGTCGGGGTGGGCTATTATGAAATACACCAGGCTGTTGGCTATGGGCAATGGTGTAGGCAGAGTTATGGAATTGTAGGGATACTGCGATCGCCTAAACTTGTTGGTTCGTACTTGGTTATTGGAGTATTTCATGGTAGTTTGTGGGAGGATGGTGGTGAGGACAAGCCATATTATGAAAGATAGCGCAAAGAAGCGGAATATCGCCCTGGGTATAGTGAATATCATAGTAATATAGTTGGGTGTATTGTAAAGAACAAGAAATCTAGAAAATACGATTAAAAAATGCCAATGAATTGTTGACACATGGTAGAGATGATCATTAAACTGTGTGTCCCTCACCCCTCCTTTGCTTGCTTGCTCGCCTCGCTCGTGCCGGCCTCCACGGAATTTGCCAACAAAAAAAAAGATGCCCAAATTTCACAAAACTCCGAAATGTTGGGGGGTTTGAGAACTGGACCTTTTCCTAATCAGGAGTTATGCGGCGGTCATTTACCAAAATATTGCCCACAGCTGACCGCCAAATATATCGCCCTTTGACCTAATGCTACAACTGTGTATGTGTTGAAGTGTGTTTGCAGTAATATCTAGTAGCTTACCCGAGTGATTGTATTGTAGTAGGACTGAGGAACCTACTACTGCAGGTTGACTAACCTGCATATCTTGTCAAATTGTTGAACTCGTGGCTTTAAAAAGCAACAGCTGTAGGCTCATGCCGATATGGTTGTAAGCTCAGAAATCCATAATACCTTTCAAGTTACGGATGAGTTTCTCTGGTGTAGTTTTCTACAAAAAAATCAAATCAGGCTACAAAGACAATATATTGTTCTGCAAACGCTACTTCTTTCTAATAAAAGTGTATCCGGTATTCCACACCAAATCAACCGTAGTGGTTTCTCTATCCCATCCAGTAACCTCCTCCAATTCACTCAAGAACCGGTCAAGGAAGGTAGTATCGCCAGTAGCCTCAACATAGTTGTGCAATCCACTATAAGTACCTAAATAGTCAACGTACCCTTGCAACTTCAACCCAGTCTTCTTTAAATCAAGATCAACCTGCTCATCCGCGTATGGCTTTTCAGCACTAGGAATAAATGTGTTGATGGTTATATCGTCATACAACCCCGGAATGTGGTCATTCACAGTGGTACAGAAATGCTTGAGGATGTCGCGTCCAGGTTGTTCCCAATGAGGACCCATGAGCTTTGGGTCGTCATAGGCGTATTTCAAGTACGTATCATGAGCCTTCTTGATCACATCAGCCTTGTCACTCCCAGAACCGGAAAAGTTAACAATTATGGGGTCGATATAGTAGAAGTACGCCAAGACACCACCGGGCCTCAACAATTTCGCAGCATTGGCAAAGAACGCGTCGTAATCCTGAAACCAATGGATACATTGCGCGGCTGTGATCAAATCCACTTGTCCTACGTGTTCATCCTTGGCGACAAACTCCTCCACGGCCCCAGTGATGAACCGGATCGAGCTATCTGCGTATCCCAACTCCTTCACCCGAGAGGATTTCAACGAATTGGCGGTATCGATCATGGAGGGAGACAAATCAATTCCAATCACATTCTTGGAGATGTTGAGCAAGGGGTACGTGGCTACTCCTGTCCCACAGCCGAGATCAATCGTGGTCTGCAATGGTAATGGTCTGGCCACATACTTGCTAAGAATCGAGTAGAAACTGGGTGGGTATTGAGGGCGGAAAGTGTTGTAATGTAACGTTTTGAAGTTTGATTTCGAGAATGTGGACATGGTTGCTTGAGAGTATGCCTGACGAGGGAGATCTGGGAGAGCTACTGGCTGTCTATTTATAGTGGAGATGTTGTGGTATACACGGCTCAACGTGCTTGTTTAGTGGAATTTCGGGTGGGGTTAAAACGAGGGAACGGAAGTTCGGCTCCGAAAATACGGATTGCGAAAGATGAGTAATTGCAAAAATCGATCCATTGTCTTTGGTGAAATGAGAGGTCACGCATACGCAATTGCTTCCATGGGTACTATCTATGTTTCACAAATGGCCTCTTCGGTGCCTGGCTCGGCCATTATCCTTAAATCCTATTTCCGCCGACTCTACAACTATCATCATTTCAGAGAAGTGGACGGGAGATACAGTAGTAAAATCAATTGAAGTACATAATAATACATAGTATATAGATCACCCAGTAAACTTATCATCCAGCATTACCAGATCAGTCATGTCCAAGAAAGGAACCAACCCCAAGGACCCATCCGCAGCAAACTCACCTACAACCAGCAGGCTCAAGTTAACCTTGTATGGATCAAACTGGAGTATGCTTTCCAAATTGTCCAAATCGGTATCGAGAATATCGCTGAAATTCGACATGTCCAAATTGGAATAATGCACTGGCTGCACAGGAAGTGGCTGACTAGGGAGGGTGGCGTGAACCAGTTGTTGTTGTTGTTGTTGTTGCTGCTGCTGCTGTTGTTGTGGGATTTGTTGCAGATAAGACACACCACTATTGCCATTGCGGAAATTTCGTGGGTCTCGCTCCACTGCGGTTTTGGTGATAGGTAATTGATGAGGCAGGATCTTGCGACGAGTTGACTTGCTCATGTTTAAGATACTCAATAATGCAAGCTCGAGTAATCGGAAGGAGTTCTTGTGAAGTCCACCAGGGACATCGATTCTCAGCTCAATACTCATGTTTTGGATGGTGTCAAGAAGCAATTGTTTCAGTTTGTTGAAAAGAGGCCCACCCTTGATATAATCAAGTGTACCCTTGGCCACAAGTAATGCAAACAATGATTGTTCACGCGTGATGTTAATTGGGATAGGTAAGATTGTAGATTGAATGTTGTTGGAAATACACTTTAATACCTCCAAGATCTGAATGGTAGATTGCTGGATAAGACTTACACTAGACACAACCGCGGTGTTGGGACCTAGCCCGTCATGTCCATCTGCCATTTCACTCTGCTTGGCAAGTTGTTCCTTTTGAGAAAGCCCAACATCGTGGTGGTTTCCATACTTTGAGATAATCGGAAGATAAATCAAGATCTTGGCATGGTAGTAAAGGAAAATCAACGTGAGTTGTTGCTTGTTGTAGTTCTGCCACAAACTGTTCTCGTCAATATAATGATTCTGACCATCTTTCAAAGACAATCCGTTAATATCCATTTCAAACTTAAGGTCCGCAGGAAGATCACGTCTCCAACAATCCAAAGTCCGATCACGAGTGACTGCCTTTCGCTGAATATCGCCAGTTTCAAATCTGGAATAAATCGAATCAAGTATGGTAGCAAGTACTTTACAATAAAGCATCACACTCAACGAAAATCTCAGCACTTTACCAACAATAGACAAAGCTGTATTGTTGACAATAAGAATATTGACATTGTCGTCGTCGTCATCATCACCATTCTTACCTGCAAACGGCATGGCACACTCAATCTCATAATCCTTGAGAAGTCTCGGGATACCAAGATTAAGCGAGGAATACACATCAAGACAATAAATACACCAAAACAAGATTCTCCTCTCGGCTTGCATGAAATTACGTACTCCGGCACGTTCACTGGTGCTGGTGATACTACTCACCATTCCAAGCACAGCGGCAGGGCATCTGTGTAGACGCAATTGTTGAGCCATGGAGATCACTCTTCCTCTTAATTCGTAACAGGTGGCAATATCACCGGTGGCTAAACAATACTGGAGCGCTAATGCCAAGATTTGAAGTGATTGAATGGAGCAATGTTGGGTGACTATACAATTTGGTTTGATGAATTCGTGAATGAGTTGATCATAGTCGTTCAACCTGTCCTGGGAAGATTTGCTCGAGAACATACTTAAACTGAGGATTAAAATCATTATGGCACCAAATTTTTCAAGCAGGTCATACAGAGACGACTCATTGTCATGGGCGGCAGGGTAATATCCTTGTTCGAGAACAGATGTGAGTTTAAGATAATTCTTGAGAAAATTGTTCTTGTCGATTATCGGAAGGGCATTCCCCCATTCTTGGAAATAGATGGTGATAAGACGATCCATGTCTATACGTTGAGGCAAGTTGATTAAATCTCGGACAAATACAGTAGCTTCTTGTTCAGGGAGTTTTGGTTGGGATCGATTCATAATCATCCCGAGTAGTTGTGACAGTTCTTGAGTCAGGCGATGATCCAGTTTCTCCTTCAATGATGCGAGGGTGTTTGCTGCGAGGATAGCTGGTTTAGAATCATATCCGTATGCTTGACATATTCTTGCTAACAATGTAGGGACACATAATGTCTCTTCTGTACTTCTCGGTATAGACATGGCTACCAACGAAGTTAACATTTGTTGCTTGTTTGTCTCTTGCTCCAACTTTTGTTGTTGTTGTTGAAACACTTTATTCTTTTCCATTTGAGCAATGGCGGTAGCTGCTGCGAATGCCCCTGGAGCTGGGGTAATTTCTCGATTCATAGAATTAGAAGCAGCAAAATGTCGGGATTTCCTATGGTGGTGATGATGATGATGGTGGTGGTGGTGGTGGTGGTGGTGGTACCCGTATTCGTCAGCACTCAACATCCCATCACTGCTGTCGTCATCGTCACTATCACTTAAATTTATTGAACCTGCAATAGATACTGGTCTATCGATATTATCATACAACGAGCCAGCCACGGACACTGGTTTTTCATGCAAAGCATGGGGATTTGAACAACCACATGGACAACTGCCGTCATGCAAGTGCGAATGAATATTCTCTCCGTTCAATAAACTTAAATTGCTAGCAGTGACTTTGGTGCTATCCTCCTGATGTCGATCAATCTTGATATCAGGAATAGTAGTTTCAGAGTTTCCCTTTTCTTCCAACCAAGTCAATCGTTCCAATTGTTCATCCCGCAAATCAACCAAGCCAACCAACTTTTTATTCTCGGCCTCCAACTGTCGCACTCTCTCCTCGAGGGTCTCGGTATACCCCTTGGGGAATGCCTTACGCAGGAGCTTATCCGACACGATACACTCGAGTCCGACAGCACGACAGGTCAGACATGGGTTCTGGCCATCACATTTGGTCTTTTTTGCTCGACATCGATCGCATGCCTGGGCCACTCTCTCTACCTTTGACCCGGGTGCTTTTATAGTTTTCGCTTTATGGCTGTTTGAGCCAGTGATAGTCTCTAGTTTGAGTGACATGGTTAAAGCATGCAAGCTTACAGAAGAAACCTGAGTCATAATTAATTTTCTTTTTTTTTTTTTATGGTCTTACAATCAAATAGGCTTTGATAGGAAGATCTCCGCGGATATAAGATCAGACAATCAGCCGGTGATACGACCAAGTGGTGACACAATTAAGCGGCGATACGATCAAGCGGTGATATAACTATGGCAAAGAAAAGAGTAGTAGAGACAGTTGCAGCAGTCAAGCGGATTAAGACCGAACCCGTAGATACAAAACCTCGGTATGTGAAATATCTCGATATTGAACACCCCAACGTGTTTGCCAAGGCTGACCCAGCTGATGCCTCGGTTGGACCACCAAACTGGGTCGATCTCTACAACAGAGTAGTCGCTATGCGTGCCAAGTTCATGGCGCCAGTAGACACCCAGGGATGTGAACGCATGCCAGAAACCATCTCGCCCGGTGTGTCCCAGCTGAACTCGAAGGTGTACCGGTTCCAATTATTGATATCGCTCATGTTGTCCTCGCAAACCAAGGACGAAGTCAACTTTGATGCCATGACAAAACTACACAAAGCCATGCTTGAAAAGGGGTACAAAGATGGCCTCTGCATCGAAGCAGTACTAGCAACTTCCGAATCCGACATTGATAAACTCATCGCCAAAGTAGGATTCCATAACCGGAAAGCAGGCTATATAAAACGATCATGTCAAATGCTTATAGATTCGCATAATGGCGACATACCTACAACCATCGAAGAGATTACCGCACTCCCTGGTGTAGGACCAAAAATGGGATACTTGCTTCTACAAGCTGGTTGGGGGATCAATTCCGGTATTGGAGTAGATGTGCATCTCCACAGGCTAGCTCAGATGTGGGGATGGGTAAGTAAGAAAGCAACCACTCCAGAAAAGGCCAGATTGGAATTGGAAGATTGGTTACCAAGGCAATATTGGAAGGATGTTAACCCGCTAATGGTTGGATTTGGCCAAGTGGTTTGTGGGAGTAGAGCAAAAAACTGTGACGTTTGTAGTTTAAACACTATGTGTGCTGGTAAGGACAGAAAGTTAGCAGGGAAAGAAGTTTCCAAGGAGAGATTGGAGAAGTTGAAAGCTCAAAGAGCAGATCTAAGTGTGTTGGTAGAGGAGGTCAACGTTAAACAAGAGATCAAACAAGAATCTTTACTTGTATAATTAGCTACTTTATAGACAATGCAAATTAAAAACAAAAAGGAGCATATCAAGCTAGTTCTTAATCTATTTATTGTTCGATACTTTAAATGTACTTCCCTTCTTTACAAAGAGAATAAAATATACTCAGTTCATTCTTCAACAAATTGGCAGGAGTGTCAAACTCAGCAACAACCCCCTTGTCCAACACCAATATCTTATCACTGTCCATAATAGTGTCAATTCTATGAGCAATAGTCAAGATTGTCTTATCGACAAACTCACTTCTAATTGTCTCTTGAATAATCTTATCCGTTTGGAAGTCAACAGCAGCAGTAGCTTCATCAAGAACCAATATCTTGCTGGTATCATTCAACAAAGCTCTTGCCAAACACAACAACTGCTTTTGACCACTGGATAAGTTACTACCACCTTCTTCAATCATAGCATCAAGACCAACTTTTCGAACAAGCTCTTCCTCCTTCTTTTTCTTTTTCTTCTCTTCCTCGCTAGGTTCAGTAACCATACTCTCCACATGTTGTTTCAAATGGGCCAACTCTAATACACGCCAGAGTTTATCATCAGTATATTCACCAAATGGATCCAAGTTCTCACGAACACTTGCACGGAAAGTATGTGCTTCTTGAGGAATAATCGTCAAGTGGTGTCTTAAATCGTACAACCCAATCTGGCTAGTATTCACCCCATCAATCTCAATCGACCCCTCAGTAGCTTCAATGATTCTGAAAAGCGCCATAGAAAGACTGGACTTACCAGCACCTGTTCTACCAACAATCCCCACTTTTTCCTGCGGTTGAATAGTAATATTGAGATGCTTAAGCACCGGGTCGAGATGAGCACGGTAGGCGGTGGAGTAATCATTGAACTTAATAACCCCCTTGCTGGGCCACGATGGATCAGGACGATTGGATTCAATAATCATGGGTGCTTCACTAGGCAAATCACAATACTCGATAATACGTTCCACAGCAACACCATCCCCTTGCATTTCCGCCCAGTAACGAACCAAAGCATTAAGGATATATGTGATGGTCAATGCATATGTCATAATGAACCCAAGAACACTAGGAATGATCGGATGCTTACCACCAAGAGTAACAACAGCAAGCAAGGCACTGGCAAACATGATTGTCGATGACACCGATTGTAATCTCATAGATAACCAACGATTACTGTTTTGAATAACCACCCCAATCAACGTCTTGTCATCAATCAACTTCTTCAGCTTAAACACAAATCTGTCTCTTTGAGTGAATGCCTTGATCGTATCCACACCATTGATAGTTTCTTGGATAGTGGCCAACACGGGAGATTTAGCTACTGATTCCAAACGTTTCAATTCTCTGGTGGTTGGAATGAATATAACTCGGAAGTAATTGTAAACTACAAGTAATCCACTGATAACAAACAACATTACTGGAAGCGTAGACACAATGATACCAAAAGTAATTATACCATTCAAAGCAGTAGTAACAAATCCAATCAATAACCAAGGCAAATTCATATCAATCTTTCCAATATCTTCCGTGAATCTATTCAAAATTCTTCCCACAGGAGTAGTATCAAAAAATGACATTGGCGAACGCAACACTGAATGGGCCATCTTATTATGGAAATAAGCAGCACCTTTTACAATACAGTAACTCCAGATGATAAGTGCACCAATATAGGTCAAGAACCCAGCAACAACACCAAGTGAAGCATAAACACCAAGATAAAGACCAGCGTCAACAGTAGTACCATTCTCAGCATTAATGTTAGACCAATAACTCAACAAGTACTTTTCCCCAACAGTAACCAATAAAGTAGCAAGAGTGCATCCCAAATAGAATGAAAAGTACTTGTAATCACAGGCAATAATGTATTGCTTGAACACTTCCCATGGGACAGATCCCTTACGAGAAGTTTCCAATTCATGTGATGTTTTAAGGGGAGTTGACACGTCAATTTCATCATCTTCGTAAACATGAGAAAAGGAAACACGAGAAGCACGACGAAGCTGTTCCTTGACAACCTGTTCGATATCCTGTCCATGGAAAGCAGCTATTTCGTGATCACTTGGTACTTCTTCTTCATCATCATCATCAACAATGGCTTCTTCAGAAGCAGTCTCTTCTGGCTCTTCTTCATCTTTTCTTCCATAATCTTGAATCAACTTGGCCAATTCTCCATTGTCACTCATAACCTTATCATAATCACCATGTTCAACAATGCAACCTTGTCTGATTAAATAAATATCACTAGCTTCATGCAAGACATGAACCAGATTAGTAGCAAGCACCTTGGTACGATCACCAATAATCCCATCTTCACTCAACACTTGCTTAATTAAGTTCTTACCAACATGGGCATCAACGGCACTTAAAACATCATCCAACAAGTATATGTCAGCACGGGAGTAGACAGCTCTAGCTAAGGAAATACGGGCCTTTTGACCACCACTAAGAGAAATCCCCTTTTCACCAACAATAGTTCTGTCACCATCCGGAAGTGACTTGAAATCAGAAACTAACTCACAGGCTTTGATCGTGGCTTGGTAGAACTTAGCATCGTAACGATGGCCAAACAAGATGTTTTCCTTAACTGAACCATTTAAAATCCAGGGGTTTTGTGGACAATAGGCAATAGAACCAAATGTTTCTACTGAAGGACGAACAGCGTTGCTGTCTTCCGAGAATTGCGGGATCTTAAGAGGGATATCTCCCAAGATTGCCTTGATTAATGTGGACTTACCAGCACCGACTTTACCAACAATACATGTAAGCTTCCCCTTTTTAGCATTAAAGCTAATATTGGAAAGAGCAACATTGGATTTGGTTTGTACTTCACTTTCTTCATCCTTATATTGAGCAGCAGCATCCTCGGAATTGTTCCAGATAAAAGTGGCATCCTTGACAATCACAGAATCACCAACAAAGTCCAAGTTGTCTTGACGTTTAACACAACCACCTTGGTTGTCATCCAATTCATCCATCACCAACAATTCCCCAATTCTTTTCAAACTGGTAGTCACTTCAATGATACTGATGATGAAATTAGGAATCAACAACATAGGTTCGGATAACAAATCAAAAAGCGCCAAGGCAGGGAACACAATTTCTGGAGTAAGATTACCACCAGCCATAGCAAATGCAGCATATGTGGCACAACTGATAAAGAATGGGATACAACTCCACAAGAACTGAGAAAGAGCACTAACAACCCCGATCTTCTTGATATTGTGTAATTCTCGGTCATTTCTAATGCTATTAAGTCTGGTGAGCATTGGCTTCTCCCAGGAATAAAGCTTGATGTTCTTGGCCAGGTTAAGGATTTCGGTAATCAAACTTGTTCTATCATCTTTATCCTTCATTAATTGAGTGTATGATTTAGACATGGTGGAATTGACGTAAGTTGCAAATGGAATCACGATAACTGCGGTAATGACACCGGCCCAGGTAGCATGGCCAAACAATTTATACAATGACACAAGACAAACCCCCAATCTAAGTGGGCCAGCAAGGAAATCACCTAATTGCCAACAAAACCAGAAAATAATATCAATGTCCATAGTGATGTTATTAATGATGTCACCCGTAGGTTTATTCTTTCTTGATTGAGGCAGGAGACGAAGTGCCTTTTCATAAATGACGGTGGTAAGACCCGAGGTGATCCCAAACCCAAGCTTGTATTGATAACTGAATGATTGATTGAAAGTGATAAAGTTACAAACGGATATTGTGAACATAAGTGCAGCCCAACTGTACCCGATAATAATTGGAGGCTTATTTTCTTGATCGGCATAAAAGTATAAAGAAAAGAACAGGATAAATTGTTTCAAAACGAATGGTTGGGAAAATTGCAATGTGGTTTCAATGATTTTAAGCAGGAAACTAGTAGTGAAGTAACTAGAAAAGGCAAAGAAGATTGACTTGAATAAACTTGGGGTAGCTTTTTCTTTTCTTCTTCTAGTGATAAATGACCAAAGTTTTGATATCCAACTTGGTTTCTTGGCTAATTCTTTATTCCAATGGGTAAGTATCTTGTGCTTGGTGGCATCAGTTGAGAGTTCATCCAAAATATCTGGTAGATCCTTCATTCCAACATCATTTGTAGCATAGATTTTGTTAATAAGTGGTTGAAGGTAAAAAAAGGTAATGGAGGAAAAGAGATTGACAGTATCCATATACTTTTCATGATCAGTTTCAAATCCAGCAACATAGAATCCAACTTCAAGGATGAATATAACAAGCTTATTTAACAAAATAACAGATTCAAGGGCATAAGTCAAAGTATCATCAGAAAACAATTTGTGAACAGACACTGAATCTTGAACAAACACACCTATCGAGAATAAACTTGTGATTAGCCAAAAAAGCAATAATGACGCCACAGGAATAGCTGATCTTCTAAATTCGAATAAATGCACCAAAAATGCCACGCCCACAGCAACAATTTCATAAATAAAGTAATCATTGGTAGTAGCTGACCAGAACCATACCAATAAAATCACTTCTAATGCAACAAGACACGTCTTGACGCGTTGAAGTACTGGTGTCGAGGTATAAATCACATGTTTCTTCTTGCCCCACAACAATTGAATAAGCTGAAACGACATAAAGGCTATAAAGACTGTAGAGATGGACTTTCCCACAAATTCGACAAATTCTGGATTCAATGCATTGCCATGATGAGAAAGTAACGGGTCAGGAATGGATATCTCAGGTTTCGTGATTGGAACATCAGGGAAATTCAAACTGTGTAATGATAGGAACGGCGATTGTACCGGCGTTCTCTGTTGAGGAACAAACCTCATAATCAATTCATCAGTTTGACTCATTGGTTTTTTTTGGAGGAGCTAACTTGAAGATGAAAAGACCCAGAATCTGATCTGGTATATATATAGTGATGTATATGAAAATTCTTCCTGCCAGGCAAACTTTATCAATTAAGAAATTACGGCATGGCTTATCACAATGGGCAGGACCTATACTCCATTGTATGTTACGGCACCAATTTTTCAAAAATGGAAATTTCGTGTGTTTATATGCAGGTACGGGCGTAGGTTAGTCATAACTAGTCGGGTATAAGTTCGGGTTAAGGAATAGAACCGAGATAATCCGTTAAGATGACTCAACAGATGTTTGTAAACATATTAAATAGTCAACATTAGTTGGCTTGAGTTTAATTGAAGGGGATCAAAATCCAGTTTGCTTTGAGGGACAACCATTAATAATTATTAGAGCCCGTTCGGCCCTCGGCGCTATCAAACAGTCATAATTGATTCTTTTCTTGTAATCAAGATCTCAAGAGCAATTAGCTATCACTAGCCGGCTTAAATTAGCAAAGTAAAGGTGTATACTTACCAAGTGTTTTCTTGTGTTGGATCATTGTTTATTTTCGGATTTAAAAAGTTTGGGGAATTTGAGAAAATTTAGGAAAATTTTGTTGCAAATTATTTGACCGCACACAATTTCTAGAAGTGTTGTCCCAGGAAAACGTTTATACGTCAAGCGTTGCAACGATTACAAAGTTTGATTAGATTGAACTATAAAGATTTGTTTATTACATGAAAAAAAGCTATTTGTGGATCAATTAGAGCAAGGCAATCCCTACTAAAACAGCGAATGAAGCACCTAAAGCAGTGGCTCCATTTTTAGATTTGGTTGCAGTTGTGGTTGCAGGTTGGGTATTATTTGATACATTTGTGAAATGAGTTGGGCTATCAGTATGATTTCCGTTGGAATAAGTAGTCACAGCTGGGGAATCTTCTTCAGAATCGTCACCAGAATCGGCACCAGCAAGATTACAAAAAGTTTGCTTTACATCTTTAGGATCATCTAACTGTGACTGACCAAGACCACCGAATTGGAACTGATCACAGTTTTGGACACAGTTGGTGAACTTGGGAAAGAAAGAGTCATCCAACCCGCAAACACATTTAGATACCTCGGTAATTTCATAGTCAGGATAGTCAGGGAAGCATTGAAGTAATTCATTACCGACATCTTGGCAAACTCCAGAGCATGCATCCTTTTTTGTGATTTGTGCCAAGTGCTCAACATTTAACTTGGAAATCTCGGTTGCTGAAGCCAAGGAAATCAAAGCTGCTAAAATTACGGTAGTGAACTGCATGATAAAGTGTTGATGCTTTTTTTATTAAAAAAAAGTCTTCGAGAGTAGAACTTTGGACTTTTATGACCATTTTTATACCCAATTATTTGAACAATACCTCATGAAATCGCCCTTGCAAATTTTTAGGTTCAATAAAATGTGTCATGCAAGCCAAGAAAAATGGTTACCGCAAAAGATCGTACAAACAGGACTGTCTCGTAATTTTGTGGCGAGTTTTGGATACTTGATTCCCCGTACGGCCATAAAATATATATAGTGCATTAGATTGAAACACAAATACTCGTTCTTACACAATGCGATATCTCTCCCCGGCAAAAAGAGAAAAATGGCCCAAAAAAACCACCTTTGTTATTAGCCGGATTGGCATTGGTGACTACTAGAAAATATAATACGCATGTTAGAATATAAAGTAATACTTATTTGAATGGACTATGCACAGTCTAAAATGGGGTAAGTACTATTTTTGTTTTGATTGTATGACTAATGACGGTTACAACTGAACTGAGCATTCTAACAATACTTTAGTCACAGCGTTGTTTATGTTTTCATTTCGTATTGTTAGTCATTCAGTTTTCAGATGACCGACAAAGATGATTCATCTTTTCATAAAGCCAGTATAGAAACTCCACGCCAAGATTTTAATTATTTCTATTAAAGTTGAGATTATGCTATAGGCTATTTGTCTGACTTGACGATACTTTCTCGACTCTATCTATACTTCTTTTCTGATTGTAATTATGTCAAAGCATATCAAGATGAGCACATGAACTTTAACTGAAATATCTTGGTATAATCTTTCTAGATTCTCTCTGCACGACCAACAGTCACCATCTTTATAAATTTTGTGTTTGCCTGTGGAACTCATTAACTGTACTTTTAGTCACCAAAACCAAAAACCAAATGACAATATTGTGATTGGTCAACAAAAGACTCTCTGATTTTGCAACAATTGAGCTAGACCACGCTATACATATTCGGTCCTCGAAGCATTAAATATTGCTAGTTTTCTTCACCCACCTTTCTATTTAAACCATACAATCATAAACAACACCGAGAACTTCGACAAATTGTGTAGTTCCCCTAAAATAAGTTTGATGAAACATCTTTCTATCTAGGAGACATTTCCCATCTCATCTAATGACTTGCACGTTAGGAAGCTTGAATTATTAAATCCAGGGACAAAAAAAAATAAGCTGATGGTAGTATTTTGAACATAATGTTTACCTCCGAGGATAATAATTGTATTGATCAATTTCTTCTTGAGAATCCGAATGTTAAGTTTGTGGTTTTACCTTTTGAAATCGATTGTGATAATTTTACGGTTAAGAAAGAGTACCTCTTTCCTGATAACATGCTATGGGATCGAACATCCAGCATCAATAATATGAAGGCTTTAGAATCTGGCGAGCTTATGTGCGAGGAAGACCCCAAGAACTTCCAAGTGCTTGAAAGTAATGGTAGTGAAAAAAAATCAAGACCAAAGAAATTTGCATCATATTTAAGGAAAAACTAACGAACTTGACAGTGTTAAAGAGGCTGGAACATCACTTTGATTTGAAGAAGATTGTATCCATCGAGTACTGGCACTATATTGTTGAAAGAATAGGTGCTGAGATATTCTTAGAAAGACCCAATTAAGTTAGCAACCAATTCGAATACTATACTACGCAAGATTTCGTTTCCACAGCAGTAGAAGAATGTCAATAGGGCATTCTCCAAGGTTTTCACGATTTACTAACAGCCACTATCTCGGTAACTGGTAGCACCCGGCAAGAAAGGTCGTGCGATGACAATTTTCACAATGAGAAGAAGGAAATAGAGGTCTTAGAATACTATTCAAGAATAACTAGTACAAGCTCTTCTTCCCAACTAGTTTGATGGTAGTTCTTTCATCAGCCAAGTAAGAACGATCTACTTTCCTGCATTGATCTCATTCACGTCTTTTTTTACAGCTCAGTTTGCCATTGTTTTGTTGTTCTTCTGTCAACTGAGATCTTCAGTAGTTGATTTTTTTTTCTTTGATCAGTTTTGTCCATTCTCAACCCACCAGGCAAAACATCGGTTTCATATTGTAAATACATCAAGATACACAATCGTATGGTTCTGAAAACAAGAGGCACGTATTTGTAAACACCTGAACAATATATAACATTTGATTCAACCAGATATACAAAGGAAAAGCGAGTAGAATTTTTTAACTAAAGAATTCAACCAAGAAGGCGAAGCCAAGAAGGTGATGAACGTGAATAATAAATATCAACATGCCGCTGCTCAGATCCAGGGTCAGCCACAGACCAACTTACAAGCCCAGCAGATCTTATTGCAGCAACTCCATCAGGGGCAATCACAACAACAACAACAACAGCAGCAGCAGCAGCAACAACAACAACAGCCAGGGGCTAATGCCTTAGGTGCCGGGTTCCAACCAAATGAGAACTTTAATGACACACTAAACCAAGGGATATATCAAGCTAACTACCAAAGAGCTCAACCATCGCAACAACAATTGCAGCAGCAGTTTTTCCCCCAATTCCAACAAGGACAACAAGCACAAGGAAATGCCCAACAATTACAACAACCTTACCAACCTCAACAATTGCAACAACAGCAACAACAACAATACCAACCAAATCAACAACAACAGCAACAACAAGTCCCTCGTCAACCTCCTCATCTTCAACAGCAACAATTTTACACTCAACAACAACAACAACAACAAGCAGCTCTTCAAGCCCAACAACAAGTCCAACTTCAACAGGTTCAGCAACAAGTCCAACAACAACAACAACAAACTCCTGTACAGAAATTGTCCACCATCAATATCGATAACCCAAACTCTCTCTATTGGCAACATCAACAACAATTGTGTCAATTGTCAAGAACATCAAACATCCCCCATTCATATGCCAGACAATATGCTTCTAATTCCAGAAAGAATAAGAACCCTTACAATGAAGTTAAATCAGTAGGTTTGATTGAAGCTACGAAGACAATCATTGCCAGCTTAGAAGAACAAGAAAAAGCCAACAACTCAAATAATCAACAAAGCACCCCAACTTCAAATACTGCCTTGTTACATAATAAGAAACATTCACAAGACTTGGATGATGATACCATGGAAGAACAAAGAATGAGACTCAAGACTCAAGGGAAGCAATTGTGGTGTCAATTGGATTTGAGTGGTCAAGGATTGGTTAATATTTCCCCTAAATTATTCCACTATGATTTCTTGGAATCCTTATACTTGAGTAACAACAAATTAACCCTGATTCCTCCAGTAATCAGCAAATTGAGAAGTTTAAGAACATTGGATTTATCACATAATCGTATTTCAGAAATTCCATCTGAACTTGGGTTATGCTTTAATTTGAGATATCTTTATTTGTTTGACAATAATATTAAAACCTTGCCTAATTCTTTTGGAAATTTGATAGAGTTGTTATTCTTGGGGATTGAAGGAAATCCAATGGATTTAAGCATTGCCAATTTATTAGCAGAAAAGGGCACCAAAGAACTCATCACCACATTAAGAGATCAAAAGATCACTCCTATTAGAACTCCTAAACCAAGACCTTGGTTATTATTGGAAGATGATGGTGAAATTGCCGATTCAGTTGAAACATTCAGAAATGATACCAATGGGGATTCATTCACCTTGTTATCATACAATACCTTGTGTCAACATTATGCTACTCCAAGAATGTACAAATTCACTCCTTCATGGGCTTTGGATTGGGATTACAGAAGGAACGCGCTTCAACGAGAAATCTTGGGATACAACACCGATATTATCTGTATGCAAGAAGTGGAAACGCGTACTTTTAACGAATTCTGGCTCCCATTAATGTCTGAACATGGATACAGAGGTGTTTTCTTTTGCAAGACTAGAGCTAAGACCATGAGTGAAGCCGATGCTAAAAAGGTTGATGGTTGTGCCACTTTCTTTAAAGCAGAAAAGTTTAATTTGGTTCAAAAGCAAAATTTCGAATATAATAGTGTTTGTATGGGATCAGACAAGTATAAAAAGACCAAGGATTTGTTTAATAGATTCATGAATAAGGATAACACTGCATTGATCACATTCCTTCAACATAAAGAAAGCGGAGAGCATATGACAATTGTCAATACTCATTTACATTGGGATCCTTCATTTAATGATGTCAAGACATTGCAAGTTGGGATTTTATTGGAAGAAATGCAAGGAATCATCAAGAAGTTTTTGCATACTTCGTCCATGGAAGAAGTCAAAAATGCCACCATGATTGTCTGTGGAGATTTCAATTCCGTTAAAGAAAGTGCAGTTTATCAATTATTCTCCACCGGTGCTTCCGTTAATCATGAAGACATGGCGGGACGGGACTATGGTAAGTTCACTGAAGAAGGATTCCGCAATGCATTTAAATTGAAATCAGCTTATGAAACATTGGGTGAGTTGCCATTTACTAATCTTACGCCAGCATTCACGGATAATATTGATTATATTTGGTACTCAACCAATTCTTTACAAGTTAGAGGATTGTTAGATAAAGTTGATATGGATTACGCTAGCCACCGTATCGGATTCCCCGATGCAAATTTCCCATCCGATCATATTCCAATATTGGCTAAATTCCAATTTAAAAAGGGGAGCGCAGCCAAGAAACCAGACTTTAAACCAGACTTCAAGACTGGGCCTTCAAGAAAAACCTGATTGATAAGCCCGTCTATTGTCATAATGAAATATTGTTTTTGTTATTTTGTATATTAATAATGTTGTGTTGTTATTTTTGTGGCCCTGTTTTTTTTTATTTGTTGAGTGGGGGGTTACTCCTATTTTTTTTGATTTGCTTGTCTTTTATTCAGAGGATTATCATAAATGAAGATTGTGTTATATCCTCAAAATGTAACGTTTCATTTTTGCTATTTGTTTACATATATATTTTTGTTCTAATTTTAAATACATATTCAGTTTCACAAAAGTAACCGGTGTTTGATTAGGATGATCCTCCCCCCCCATTTGTAAGCCGAGATGGGCGGCGGAGTTAAGGCAGTCGGCGGTTTTATTGTATTGCGCGCTATTGTTCTTGTTTCTTTTCTGGGTCTAGATCTCAACTCCCTCCGATAATTCCTCCATGGCTATAATGAGTAATAATTTCCAGGCCAGATCTAATTTGAACACGAGGTATAAATACACGTCTGAAATTTCCACAAGTTTTATTCTTTGTTTAACTTTCTTTCCTAAAAAAAATGTAGTAATACTCTCAGTAGACAAAAATGACTAAGCAATCTCTTTTGATTCCCACCCAAGACGACTATGATGATGCCCATGGCAACGTTGAAGACGAAGTGAAGTACCATGACCAATACAAGACTGCCCGCAATGACAAGGACGAAAACGGAAACTGGATCTACCCTTGGTCCTTTGAAGTTGTGCCTGGGTTTTTCAAACAGTGTGATCCAAAAACCGACGATTTGAAATTCAACTACTCGTTTGAAAACATGGGTAGATTGAAACCATGGGATGAAATGATCTCCGAATTGCAAGCATTGAACGAAAACGCTAATGACAATGAAGTCTACAAATTGGTATTTCTCGCAAGACACGGACAAGGATATCATAATGTTATTGTCCAAAAGTATGGTGTCGCCGCTTGGAACGAAAAGTATCACGCCATGACCACCGATGGAGAACTTACTTGGGCCCCAGATCCACAATTGACCGAAACTGGGATCAAACAAGCACAAGAAAATAACCAGTTGTGGAAACAAGAGATTCGATTGGGTGCACCTATTCCTAGTAAATTCTTTGTGTCTCCAATGCAAAGATCAAGCAATACTTGCGTTATCACCTGGGATGATATCAAACCAAAGGAGCAACGTCCCGTAGTTAAGGAAAAGTTGAGGGAAACATGTGGTAAAAACTTGTGTGATAAGAGATCTAGCAAATCTGTGATTGATGAAAGATTTGGAAAGTATGGATTTGACACTCATGAGATTGTTGAAGAGGATATATATTATACTGAAGACAGAGAAACCATGGTTCATCATTCCTTCAGAGTTAATCAATTCTTGCAGGAATTGTTTGAACAAGATTGGGAAAATGGATCGGTTGATAAGACAAAGGCAATTGAAAATACTTTTATTTCAACCACTTCTCATGCAGGAACCATTAGATGTTTTATCACCGTTCTTAAGCATAGAAATTTCACCATTTCCACCGGTGGAATGATTCCAATTGTCATCAAAGCTACTAGAAGATTAGATTAAGGATAAATAAGTAATAGATATAATAAATATAGTTTAATTTGTTTGCTTGCTGCAAAAAATGCCGTTGTTCTTTTCGTTTGCTTAGTTGCAAAGGAGCAAAACAGCAAACCAAATAGTATGGCAAAAAAAAACTGATATAAAAGAGAGTCAGTTTTCCGTTCATAACTCAAAATTGTTCTTCCTAACGGCAAAGTAGAATGACAGAACAATTAGATGTTGCCACATCGGTTAAATTGCAATTAAGTAATGGGAGAACAATCCCAGCATTAGGGCTAGGAACAATCCCACCAGATGATAATCCTGGTTCAGTAAAGGATCAAGTGATTGCGGCCGTAAAAGAAGGTTATCGTCACATTGACACCGCATGGTATTACGGATCGGAAAAGTACATCGGAGAAGCATTGAAGGAATTGTTTGATGAAGGTGTTGTTAAGCGTGAGGACTTGTTCATCACTACCAAAGTCTGGCCATCATTTTGGCATAGTCCTGAGAAATCCTTAGATATTTCTTTAAAAGATTTAGGTATAGATTATGTTGATTTATTTTTGCAACATTGGCCAATTGCCTTACATGGTAATGACAATGGACAACCCACTACACCCAAAAACGCCGATGGTAGTTTAGTATATGATGATGATCCTGTCAACGGGACAAAATATATTGAAACTTACCATAAAATGGAAGATATACTAGACAACAATTTAAAGGTAAAGTCGATTGGTGTTTCCAACTTTTCCATCCACAAACTTGAACAATTCTTACCTGAAGTTAGAAGTTATAAGCCAGTAGTTAACCAAATTGAACTCCACCCTCAATTACCCCAACAAGACTTGGTTGATTATTGTGAAAGTAGAGGGATTGTTATCGTTGCTTATTCCCCACTTGGTGGAAACGGTGCTCCAGTCTTGGAAATTCCTTTAATTAATGAATTGGCTAAGAAGTATATGGTCACACCTAATGAGATCGCGGAAGCTTACCATATTTTAAATAATAGAGGAGTAATTTCTCGTTCAGCAAATCTTTCTAGAATCAAGACCATTACCAGGTTACCAAGATTGACCGAAGAAGAATTGAAACAGCTTTACCAAGTAGGGGTAGAAGATCCAAAGAGATACAACTGTTCCTCTTATGGGTATGGTATAGGGTTCAGATGGTGGGATGGTCATAGTTTATGCAATCTTTAGATTAAAGATCTGCTATAGTTAGTTTGTATTTATATACATTGTATAAAAAGAATATTTTTCACTTGTTTTGAATAAAGTTCATCTAAAAAGACAACTGTAAGGTTTTGTGTTGTATAGCTCTCGGATCGGACATGACGAGGCTGAAAAATTCAAACAAATCATTGATAGCAATGTTCTAGTAAAAATGTATTTTTCAAATATTTTGCTGTGTCATTTCGTTGCTCTTGGCATACGAAAGAGCAAAGCAGCAAACCAAAATGTATTATGGCAAATAGTAGTATAAAAGAGAGTCAGTTTTCTGTTCATAACTCAAAATTGTTCTTCCTAACGGCAAAGTAAAATGACAGAACAATTAGATAGTGCCACATCGGTTAAATTACAATTAAGTAACGGAAAAACCATTCCAGCATTAGGACTAGGAACAATCCCACCAGATGATAATCCTGGTTCAGTAAAGGATCAAGTGATTACAGCCATAAAGGAAGGTTATCGCCATCTTGATACCGCATGGTATTACGGATCGGAAAAGTATATTGGAGAAGCATTGAAGGAATTGTTTGATGAAGGTGTTGTTAAGCGTGAGGACTTGTTCATCACTACCAAAGTCTGGCCATCATTTTGGCACAATCCCGAGAAGTCCTTGAATACATCCTTAAAGGACTTGGGATTGGATTATGTTGACTTGTTTTTGCAACACTGGCCAATTACCTTGCATGGAGACGAAAATGGACAACCTGCTACACCTAAGAAAGACGACGGTAGTTTAATTTACGATGACGATCCTGCTAATGGTACTAAGTATATTGAAACCTACCACAAGATGGAAGATATTCTTGATAAGACTGACAAGGTTAAGTCAATTGGTATTTCGAACTATTCAATCAAAAAGCTTGAACAATTCTTACCTGAAGTTAGAAAGTATAAACCTGTGGTGAACCAGATCGAGCTCCACCCTCAATTACCTCAACAGGATTTAGTTGATTACTGCGAGAGTAGAGGGATTGTCATTGTTGCCTACTCTCCAGTCGGTGGACCTGGTGCTCCAGTCTTGGAAATTCCTTTAATTAATGAATTGGCTAAGAAGTATATGGTCACACCTAATGAGATTGCTGAAGCTTATCACATTTTAAATAATAGGGGTGTGCTTTCTCGTTCAGCAAACCTTTCCAGAATCAAGACAATCACGAGATTACCCAAATTGAGTAAAGAAGAGTTGAAAGCACTCTACCAAGTAGGGGTAGATAATCCAAAGAGATACAACTGTGTTCCTTATGGATTTGGAATTGGATTCAGATGGTGGACTGGTGATTTATATAGTACTGACATTGGAGTAATGAAGCCACATTTCGAAACTGTTTAGTTGTCTTTATATAGTATAAATCGAACTTTGTTTGCTTGTTTTTGATTTTCATACAGATAATCGTAGGTTTCTTGGATGTAATCCAGATATTGACGATAGTAAAAAATTTCAATAGTCATGATAGCAACAATATCGTAATCTTTAGTATTGGTCTACGCAGAAAAAGCAATATAGCTGCAAAAACTAATGCGATTGGTCATTATTGTAGTGCAATAATTGCGAATTCTTTAGCGGCGGCACTAATATAAGAGAAACTTAAATTGCCTTGCCAACAATGGTGCAATCATACCATAGGTACAACAAAAGATAGAATATTATATAACATGTTGATTGCTGAAGATTTCGCAATATTTCTTCTTGAGAATGCAGAGTTTCCTTTGCTTTTGCTACGGGGGTAGCAAAGAATACCGATAGCAAAAAAGCAATACTTTCAAGAATGATATATAAGGATGTTCATTTTCCTCCATTTACAAGTCATATATTCTTATTAACCACAACTCAAGAATCAACAATGAAATTCGCAACTACGGTAGAACTCAAGCTTAGCAATGGGAAGTACATCCCAGCATTAGGATTAGGAACAATCCCATCAGGCGATGCCAGTGATGTCAAAGATCAAGTTATAACCGCTATCAAGGCTGGATACCGTCACATTGACACTGCCTGGTTCTATGGATCGGAAAAGTACATTGGTGAAGCCTTGAAGGAAGTATTCCAACAAGGTATCATTAAGCGTGAAGACTTATTCATCACCACCAAGGTTTGGCCTTCGTTCTGGCACAGTCCTGAGAAATCCTTAGATATTTCCTTGAAGGATTTAGGATTGGACTATGTCGACTTGTTCTTACAACATTGGCCAGTTGCTTTACACGGGGATCAAAATGGCCAACCTGCCGTCCCAAAGAATGAAGATGGCAGTTTAAAATACGATGATGATCCAGTTCATGGAACCAAATTTATCGATACCTACCATAAGTTAGAAGATATTCTTGAAAACACTACCAAGACCAAGTCAATTGGTATTTCAAATTACTCAATTCCTAAACTTAAGCAATTGTTACCAAAGATTAAAAAACATCGACCAGTTGTGAACCAAATTGAACTTCATCCACAATTACCTCAAAGGGACTTGGTTGACTATTGTGAAAGCAGAGGAATTGTGATTGTCGCTTACTCCCCAGTGGGTGGACCCGGTGCTCCAGTCTTGGAAGTTCCATTGATTAAGGAATTAGCAACAAAATATGATGTTTCCCCAAATGAAATTGCTGAAGCTTATCATATTTTAAACGGCAGAGTTGCTCTTTCTAGATCTTCTAATCTTTCAAGAATTAAGACAATCACAAGATTGCCAAGGATTACTGAAGATGAATTGGAACAACTTTACCAAGTTGGTGTTAAGGATCCAAAGAGATACACTTGTGATCCTTGGGGCTATGGATTGGGATTCAAGTATTGGAAAGGAGATACCTTGAGCACTGAGTTTGATTAGTGGAATTAAACTAGTTTGTTTTTATATACTTTTCTATAAACCTATTTTGAATAGTATGTTACGTGATGTTTGAAATATCAAGACTTGAACTCTTTCAATTTTCAACTCTGATTTGTTTAAGTAACTTACCTTACCAGTTAAAAATGGTGCACCTGCCTAGAACCTATCTATCACTATTGATATTTGCCATTTCAGTGTGTGATAGCAATCAAGGAGCCAGTCTAGAAAAAAAAAAGCAAACTTGACTTGACTTGTTGGTTATAAACCACCATGTGGTGTCGCTACAAAAAATTGCTCATCCTCAACTTTTCAAAAAATAAATAAATAATAAATAAATAAATAACTCTTCTGAGAAAGTGTATCCGTAAGTCTTCACGTCTGGGTCTAGAAGGGTAGCCCATTGAACCAACTCAGATTTGATGTGATTACGGTTATGAAGTTTTATTTAGCTGCAAAAATTCACATGACTTTAAGTCACGTGCGCATCTCTTTGCTGCAGCCATCGCGAAATTTTTTTAGAATAGCTCAAATGGCGAAGACCTTGTTTGTAAACTCCTTCACTTACTCCTCAAGAAAACGTACACAATGGTCAAATCATATGATAGATATGATCAGGAGAAATCCTTTGGGGTTATAACCTCACAGTCCAACATAGTATGGCTTCCACCATCCGACGTACAGTCCTCGTCCACATCTGCAGGGCGAGCATTAACTTCTGCCCTTGAAGAAATACTCATTTGGGATATCAAGACCGGAGAAATTCTCAGTCGACTCAGAGATGGCCTTACACCTGGTGCTTCTAACGCTCCTACTTCATCACCACCTAGTGTAGTCACCACTTTAGCATTCCATGAAATGACCAACATCGTGGCAGCAGGGTATGGTGATGGGAGTGTCAAGGTGTGGGATGTGAGTTCAGCCAGTGTCGTTATTTCATTCACGGGCCACAAGAGTGCAATTACCCAGTTGAAGTTTGATAGAAGTGGAACGAGATTGGTTTCAGGAGCCAGCGACTCCACCATCATTCTTTGGGATTTAGTGGGTGAAACTGGGTTGTTTAAATTGAAAGGACACAAGGGACCAATCAGTGGAATTGAGTTCTTGTCAGAAGTGTACGACAATGATAATGTCGATGATTTGGAAGATTACTTGTTGAGTAGTTCAAGAGACGGGTTGATCAAATTGTGGGAATTGAAGAGTCAGCAATGTATCGAGACTCACTTGGCCCATCTGAATGAATGTTGGTCCATGGCCGTGGATCCAAAAAGAAGAGATATGGTGATCACCAGTGGGAACAAAGATCAAGTTAAAGTATGGCATTTGGACCTTGGCGAAGAAGACGGATCTAAGATTACTGAACGAGGACTGTTTACCAAGACCAGTAAGAACAGAAGTAATGAAATTGTGTTCAAGAGAGCAAAAGTCGGATCTAGTTACCTTGACTTGTTTGCTGTTCAAAATTCAGATCGAACAGTCGAGCTTTTCCGAATCAGATCCGAAGACGAAATAAAACGAGGCATAACCAAACGTACTAAAAGACTAAAGGAAAAAGGATTAGACGATGATGAAATTTTGCAATCGATCCAAGAATCGGAAATATCAATGTTGATCACTCCATTCACAACCTTGCGTACCATGGCCAAGATAAAGTCCATTCTGTTCACCAATACTTCCAAACAACTCAACTTGTTGATTTCATTAACCAATAACAGCATTGAATATCACAATGTACCAATCCCAGAAAACCCCAAAAAAGCCACCCCTGGTGAATTATACTCGGTCAAGAAACACTCGCTTGATATGGCGGGTCATAGGTTTGACATTCGTGCCATGGATGTTTCCGACGATAGCAAACTCTTGGCCACTGCTTCCAATGGAGAACTCAAGATTTGGAACCTTCGCACATATAACGTCATTAGAACATTTACTTTAGAAGGTGGATATGCCCTCTGTTGCAAGTTCTTGCCTGGTGGAAGTTTAATTGTTGTTGGGTTCAAGAATGGGGATTTAGAGTTGTACGATTTGGCTACTTCTTCCCTAGTTGATAGAGTCGAAAGAGCGCATTCACTCGCTAATGATGACGAATCTGCTGCTATTTGGTCGCTTGATGTTTCACCCGATGGAAAGACTTTGGTTACTGGTGGTAATGACAAGTGTGTTAAATTTTGGAACTTCAAAGTTGAACAAGAGGTTGTGCCGGGAACCGATGCCGTTATATCCCAATTGCGTTTCAAGCACACCCAAACGTTAGACTTGAACGAAGACGTTCTTTGTGTTAAGATTTCCCCTGATGGGAAGTATCTCGCTGTTTCGCTTTTGAATAACAACGTCCAAGTTGTATTTTTCGACAGTATGAAATTATTCCTTACGTTATACGGACACAAGTTACCCGTGTTATCGATTGACATTTCCTCCGATTCCAAGTTAATCATCACCTCATCGGCCGATAAGAATGTTAAGATCTGGGGGTTGGATTTCGGGGATTGTCACAAGTCCATTTTCGCCCATCAGGATTCGGTCATGAATGTCAAATTTATTGGCGACAGTCATAACTTCTTCTCCAGTGGTAAGGACGGGTTGATCAAGTACTGGGATGGGGACAAGTTTGAGTGTATTCAGAAATTAGCAGCTCACCAGAGTGAAGTATGGTGTATGGCTATCAGTAGTGATGGGTTAGTTATGGTGAGTACTTCGCATGACCACTCTATCAGAGTATGGCTGGCTACTGATGACCAAGTGTTTTTAGAAGAAGAAAGAGAAAAAGAAATGGACGAATTGTACGAAAACACGTTATTGAACCAAGTTGCCGAAGAAGAAAGACCAAGAGACGACGATGAAGAGGAAGTAGATGAAGCCACGAAAGTCAGTAGACAAACCATGGAGACATTAAAAGCTGGTGAAAAGTTGATGGAAGCCCTTGATATTGGAATCGAAGATATCGAAGCGGTTAAAGAGTATGAGCTGTTGGTCAAACAAGGCAAATCCGCCGTGAAACCTACTCCAAATGCCATCTTGCTTGCATTCAATATGACTGGGTGGGAATATGTCCTTAGTGTGTTGATCAAGATCAGACCCAGTCAAATCGACGATGCTTTGCTTGTACTTCCGTTTTCATACTCGTTGAAGTTGTTGCAATTGATTGAAATTTGGACCAACAAGCAAAACATAAACACCAATATTGTGAATTTGTCACTTATTTGTAAAGTATTGTTTTTCATAATCAGTTCCAATGCCAATGAGTTTATCAATCAAAAGGACCCGGCTATCAAGAACCAGTTGATTAAAGTGAAGCAGCAATTACGGGACCAATTAAGTGGAACATGTCGTCAACTTGGTGTTAACACTGAAGCATTGAAGTTTGTCAAACAACAATGGAAGTTGACGCATGAGACTGAGTTTATAGATGAACGTCAACAGAGAGAGTACGAGGATAAAAAGGCAATCAAGAGAACATACACCACTATATAACCGTGTATAATCCATCGATTTATAGAATACTGCAAAAGCAAAGAAAAGAAAAAAAAGGAACATTTTTTAGCGCTCGTAAATTGTGCATTGCCGAAATTGGCCATTTTTGAAAAATAATGAACATGGTAGCGGGGCATAGCAACAATGTGGTACAAGATAGCAAATGTGCAAATAAACAGGGCGAGTCTGGTTATTTGGAAGGGAAACGGCTTTTGAGGATGGCACTAGCACTAGTTTCACATGCAGGGTATCTAGATTTAGTGTAGACGACGAATCGGCTAACCAAGCAGGAATATGCAAGATATTCTGGTTGTCGGTGGTCAAAAAAAAAAAAGAGAACATGAAAATACTCCAGACTGGCAAGATAAGAATTAGACTGTGATACATCTTCATAGACGGTATTGGAACGATACGGTACGATGCGATATCATAATGTCTTTCTAGAACAATGGGGAGATTAGTAATGAGCCATCTACATGGTGTGACTGATAAGCAAATATATATGTATATAAAAATAGTGGCCATTTGAAATCCGGGCGAAGCGGGGGTGGAAAGGAGAACGTTTGTAACAAATCGCTTCAAAGGGTAATTCTACCTTAGCCGTGCGGCAAAGTTACCCTATAGCCTGTTAATAACCGGGATGAATGATATTGAATTTCGTGTATATACCAACTACTATATGCTGCTAGTTATATCATGAAATTTCAACACCTATACTGTATTGGTTGGTTCATCAAACTACGTTCCATTAGCGGATTGAATTCGTAATAAAAAAAAAATTAAATTAAAAAACCAAAAAAAAAAAAGAACTGCATCATTTTTTTTGTTTTAGTTTTGGGCGAAATTCTGAGCCTTTTTTTTTTTTCTTTTCCACACTGTTTTGTTGTCTGTGTGGTTTGACGTTACACACTTTTTTTAAACTACCTAGACGTTGCAACTCCTCCACACCCCCTTACCCTAGTTAATAGATTCGTATAGATAGATATCGCAGTATAGAAATTACATCTCAGCCATCTCCACTATCTAAACAGTCCAATTTCTTTCCATAATGAGTAATTGGCAATCCCCTAACATCATGAGTATGATGCAGCCAGTCAACAAAAATATAGGTGTGACGTTGGAAGATCGACAGAAAGTGATCCAGGTGGTGCTCGCCACCTTCACCCGTACCAACTTCCCCGGCGATCCACCACGATTGGCCAAGTCTGCATGCGACTTTGAAGGGTGGATCATGAATCGTGCGGCTAATAAAGAGGAGTACGGTAAGTTGGTACATATGAAACTTGAGCAGATTAAACAGAAGTTCCAAAACCAGCAGCAGCAGCAGCAGCAACAACAGCAACTTCAATTCATGCAACAACAGGCACAGGCACGAGCCCAGCCACAACAACAAGCTCAAGTACAAGCTCGCCAACAACAACAACAACAACTCCGTGATATGCCCAACATGAATCAACAACAAGTTCCTCCACAAATACAACAACAGCAACAGAACCAGCAACAGCAACCACCACAACAACAACATCAAACTATTGACCAGTTGGTTCGAAGCACGCCTATTCCACAAGTAGTATTAGCTAAACTTCCAAACTTACCTCCAGGAATCACTCGCTGGCAACAAATAATGGAACTTATCCAAAAGAAGAAAATGCCAGAAGCATATTTGCCCATCATTAAGGATATGTATAGCGCTCATACACAATTGGTTCTACACGATCAACAAAAAATGAATCAAATGCAAAGAAACGTCACCAATGATAGCAACAACACCATCAGTAGCAGTCCTCCTACGATGAACCCCACTAATACCACATCCACCACCACCAACAATAACAATAATAACATGATGATGAACACATATGCCTCTGCTGGGCTTAACAATTTAACTCCACAACAACGCGAACAATTGATGCAAAGACAATTAAACAAAAGAAATATGCAACAACAGCAAATGCAGCAGCAGCAGCAACAACACCAACCACCAATGCAACAACAGCAAAGTCCTCAATTGATGCAACAAATCCCAGATTCTGCCTCTGTACCTCCCATTCCCCAACAGCAACAACCACCGCAACAACAAATCAAACAACCTCAAATCCAAATAACTCAGCAGGATTATGCCAATTATTCTGCCAAAGCATTGAAGATGTTGCAAGAAATAGAAGCAAGAGGCCAGCTTAACCAACCGCTTACCCCAGCCATGAAGGAAAGCTTTGTTAGGAGATTTATTATTCGTCAAAAGCAGAACTTGTTGCAACAACAACAACAACAGCAGCAACAACAACAACAACAACAAGCTCAGAATCAACAACATCCACAACAGATTGCTCAACAACAGCACCCATCGGTACCTTTACAGCAACCACAGCCTATGCAACCCATGCTTCAACAAGGTCAACCACAACAGCTGCAACAACAGCTGCCAATGTTGACCAATATCAAAACTCCCATGATGAAACCAAACCAACAAACGCCAATGAGCAACACCCTTTCGTCTCCATTGATGCCCCAACAACGAGGACCAACTGCGCCAGTGGGGCCAACTCCGGTACAATCTGCACCTACAAGTGGCATTGCTCCTTTGACTGAAGAAGCTAAACTTCAATTGAAACAATTGTTCACTGAGGTGGCTAGTAAAGAGGTTATGCTTAAGGATGTAACGAATATGCTAACCCCAGAACAAAAGGAACGAGTCCGGACTTTATTGAATGAAATCCAAATTCAGTTCCCCAACATTGATGCCGTGATTAGCTATGTCTACGTGTTGACTCGAAATATCGAAGTTACTAAACGGTTAATTCAGATGAAGTTTACCATTAAGAAAATTTTGGATAATTTAAGAAGCGGTATATATATCACCAATCCAGAAATGTTGACCAAGCTAAGCATGCAGCTTGCCAAGTACTTTGGGTATGTCAGAGATCAGGTGGCTTTAAGAAAGCAACAACAGGGACAACGGGCACAAGTACAGGCACAGGCACAACAACAGCAACAACAGGCACAGGCACAACAGCGTCAAGTACCACCCCAACAAACACCACTTATGCAAAACCAGATGAATGTTCAGCAGCAGCAACAACAACAACAACAACAACCAGGGCAATTTATGGGCCAGAACCAGCAAATTCCACCTCAGCAGCAGGTGAATATGGGTAACAGCAATAGCTGGAATGGTGCCGGTGGTCCAGGCGCCAGTGGTCCAGTAAAGACATTCCCCATGCAAGGAGCAGTTCCAAGACAAAACATAAGTGGTAGTCCTCTCATGCCCCAAGTACCCGTTCCTATGCAAATGCCGGTCTCGGTTCCACAACAAACGATTCCACAACCTCCCCCATCTGGCGTGCCCATGCTGCAACAGCAACAGCAACAACAACAACAACAACAGATCCCAACTCCACAACAAATGGCAGGCCAACCACTCGCCAAGGCCCGCCAACCATCTAAAGTTGGTCTTGCAGCAGCAGCAGCTGCTGCCGCAGCGGCCTCACAAGCCAGTACACCAGCCGCAGCCAAGAAGACCGTCGGCGGACAAGGCCGTAAAAAGAAACAATCGATATCGGCAGCACCCACACCGGCAGCTGCATCAAGTGGCAGCACGGCACCTATGACAGCGCCTACGCCTACGCCTGGGCTGCTCGCCAATGCCATCAAGACGCCCAATTACAACATTGCCACGCCCCAAATACCACAGAGTCAATCCAATAAGAACACGCCGGCGGGACAGTCGCCCAATGTTCGAGCAACCACGAATAATACTGTGTCTACGCCCGTTATTGTTGATGCCAGTGTTGATTTGTTTGCTATGATTCAGTCTGATCCGAAAGTTGCCAGACGAAAGGAGTTGTCCAATAGTGATCCTGTCAAGTTTTTCTATGCTTCGTTGGCTAATTTGTTAGAGTTGGACGAGAATATTGTGGATGGTAGTGCCAAGAAAGGGAGGTCGCCCTTATCTCCCGTGATGACTACACTCACCAGTGCAAACGGTAAAGGATGGACCTGTGAGATTAAGCCGCAGGCCATTACTGGTTCTTTCAGACAAGTGGGGTTGATTCGGGAGTTGGTGGATGATGATGATATCATTGGCCGCTGTGAGGAGTTGGCCTTGGGAGAAGTTGGGGTCAAGCGAGAGTTTGAGTCTGAAGATTTAGATATGTTGTTTACTGATAAGAAGCCGAGACTTGATGACCATATTAAGGAGGAGAGTAATGGTGGTCTTATGGATGATTACAAGTATGTGTATGAGCCTGTTGGATTTGATGAGTGGAAGGATTTCATTATTTCCTCGATTCAATAAGTTTGTATGTTTTTAGTAGTTTTGTATATTTAAACGTTTTTAAGGCTATATGTGTAAAGGTCTAGATCTAAGAATAGCCTTAAGAAACAAACAAAAAAAAAAAATTACGAAATCTGATTGATGGCACTGGACAACCACAATGGCTCCATTGTTTACACCGCAAGAGAAGCAGATCTCAGTAGCATTTGTATGTTTAGGTAACATGTAAGTAGACTATATGTGCATTCGCACGTTGATTTAATAATACTGACCAGTTTAGTTGTCGTTCACCAATGGCAGAAGCCATATTTAAACACAAGGTGCAACAATTAGGATACGCCGACTACTTCAACCGAATTGACTCCTACGGCACCGCCTCCTATCATGTTGGCGAATCACCCGACCGCAGATCAGCAGCTACATGTCGCAAACACGGCGTACCCGTGAACCACCGCGCCCAGCAGATCCGTCCTAATGACTTCCGCAGTTTCGACTACGTCATCGCCATGGATCAGTCGGTATTGGATGATTTACGCTACATGAAACCACGAGACTCCAAGGCCGTCGTGGAGTTGTTTGGACACTGGAATGACGAAACGGGGAGGAAGATCATGGAGTTGAGTGACATAGTGGAGGACCCGTACTACGGTGGTATCCACGGGTTTGAACACAACTACAACCAGATCTGCTACTTTCTGGACCAGTTCTTGAACCAGGAGGTTGGTAGTTTAGACTAGAACTAGATCTTTGTTTATATAGTTAATGTATATGTTAGTCTTTTGATGGCCGTGGTAGATTTCAGAACGGGTAGGTGTAAATTGTGTCCCGGTTGGAAAGTAGTAGACAAAAAAATGTCAAGTCCAAACCACAGTCCACATACATATAGAACTACAGTAGTCAACCATGAGTGCTAGGAAACTACAACAAGAATTCGACAAGACCAACAAGAAGATCGCGGAAGGATTATCGTCGTTTGACGATATCTACACCAAACTCACCACTACGGAGATATCTCTGCAGAAGGAGAAGCTTGAAAGTGATCTCAAGAAGGAAATCAAGAAATTGCAAAGGCTGAGAGAACAATTGAAGTCATGGTTGAGCGACAGCAGCATCAAGCTCGATAAGAACTTGCTCCAAGAGAACCGTACCAGGATCGAACATGCCATGGACCAGTTTAAAGATTTGGAAAAGTCTCTGAAGATCAAACAGTTTTCTAATGAAGGGTTGGAATTACAAAGTCAAAAAACCAAATTCTCTAGGTTTGGTGGTGATGGCGACGATTCTAAACGTGTAGAAGCGCTTAATTATATCAATGACATTATTGAGCAATTGAACCAACAGAATGAAACCATGGAACAAGAGATAGAATCCTTGGGTGGGCAACTGAAGAAGGGGAAAGGTGGTGCATCTACTTCTTACGCGGTACAATCGTCAATTGATGACTTCAAGTACAAGATTGAAAGGAATAATACTCATATTGAGAAGTTGGAGAATATTTTGAATAACCTTGAAGAAGACAAATTGGATCCCGCCAAGATTGATGACATCAAAGATGATTTGGAATATTACGTGGAAAACAACCAAGAAGAAGATTATGTGGAGTATGATGAGTTTTATGACCAATTGGAAGTGGATGAAGATGAAGATGTGGTTGAAGTACAAGGATCATTAGCCCAAATGGCTGCTGAAACTATAAATGAAGAACAGCAGCAACAACAACAACAACAACAACAACAGCCACAACCACAACCACAATCAGCTAAACCGCAACCTGGTTCTGCTACCCCTGCAGCAGCACCAGCTACCGTAGCTCAAGGTTCCTCTCCTTCCCCATCCACTGCAGGTGCCACAACTGCCACATCTTCAGGCAGCACCCCAAATAAAAGGAAGCCTTCGATTGTGCCTGCACCTGCCCCACCTCCAATCACGGCGTATTCCAGTGCCATAAAAGCAGCACAACAACAAATTCAAAACACGCCGCCACCATCCAATGTTGCTCCAGCTACAGCTTCCGCCGCTCCTACAACTGCATCATCCAGTGCCTCGTCTACTCCTGCCAAAATGCCACCTCCAGGCTTGAACCAACCTAAATCACAATCGGCATCTCCATTAATCAGTAAACCTAAACTTGCCGGTTCAGATGATGATTCTGACACCGATGCCATCTCGCGAATCTCGTCGATTATTCAATCGCGGTTAAACAATCCATTGCCCTTTACTTCTATAAGCAACCTTGTTGAATCGTCACTATTAAACTGTCCAGATTCCTTTGATGCAGAAAAGCCAAGACAATACATTCCTATCAATATCCACCCTTCCCTGATCGACTACCCTCAGGAACCAATGTATGAATTGAACAGTGCCAATTATATGAGGAAGTTTGACAATGACACATTGTTCTTTTGCTTTTACTACAGCGAAGCCAATGATAGCTTTGGCAAATGGAATGCAGCCAAGGAATTGTCTAAACGCGGGTGGATATTCAATACTGAGTTAAAACAATGGTTTTTGAAGGATAACAAGAACAGATCTATGTCGGTAATACAAAAGGAGGAGGAAGCTGAGCATGCTACTGTTGATGATGACGAAGCTAACTATAAGTATTTCGATTATGAAAAGACATGGTTGACTAGAAGAAGAGAAAATTATAGGTTTTCTAAGGAGTTGAGAAAAACATTTTAGAAAGGTGTACCTAATGTTGTCTTCTTCTGTTGTAATAATATTGATATATCTATATATATACATATATATATATTATAAATTGGTATAAGTTTTGCCGTTTACAATTTTGCAATGTTTCATGTAAGGTGCACAATTTTGCAATGGATTGGGTTTCATGTAGGAATCTGCACGATCCTGAAACGTTAAAAAATAAATTTCTTTTTTTAGTGTCGCTCGCTAAATCTAAATCTAGACTTTTTTTTGTGGGTTGTACGCGCCTAGTGTAGTGATCTCGTGTTACGATTCCCAGGTAAGTCAATGTAGGTTTTGACATGGGATATGTATGGAGTAGTTTAGCTGGTAGTTGCATGAGTTCACATGAGAGTTTCATGTGCGATGGGATGGAAACATATCTGAGCCAGGTATGGTTACACTAACTACGTAGAACCTGTAACAGATCAAATCACTCATGTGACAGGTATATGTACTCTGCAAGATCCTCTCAAGCGAGGATGTAGTGCAAAGACTGGACAATACTTGCCACGATCTACAATGACCAGTATCTTCTATCCTCTGTTTCGTATCTGAACCTTTGATAGGTTAAAACCTGCCAGCGCCAAAAGTTAAATCGAAAGGAGGGGACAAGAACAACAAATCGATTCTGAAAAAAAAAAAAAATTGCTTATTATTCGTATTGAGAAATTATTAGATTCGTGCCCCTTGACAACAACACCTGTTTTATTATATATACATATCAGCGTCTGCCTTTACTTTTCAAGCAAGACATTTCCATAACATTTTCATATTCTGCTTGCACACAGTTCTATAGTGCACTGTTTTATTACATCCCCCTTCTAAATTTAGAATTCCATCCCTTGTTACAGCAAACTAGACGAATATGGATGCATCACCACTAGCGCAGTTTCTTCAAACGCGTGATGATAACGGGTGTATTCAGTGTCCGCCCTCAGTTGGTGTGTGCCCTACGTGTCCCAAAGGGCAATCATGTCAACTAAAATCACCCACATGCACCCAATGTGCAGAGTACTACTGTGCAGATCTAGGAGAGTCTGATTCCAGCAAACTACCTATTGGTGGTATAGTAGGTGGTGTCATTGGTGGTGTGTTGTTTTTTGGTTTGATCGGGGCACTAGTCTACTATTATTACTTTATATATCAAAAGAAAGTGAGACTCATGTTGGAAGAAGACAATTTCGACTTGATGGATGACGATTTGAGCCAGGAGTTTGCCGAGTCGTTGAAATACGAAGATGAGCTACAACGAGGTCCGCTGTTGAATAGCGGTAGCGGTGCCAGCAATGAAACTGCTGCTGGAGCAGTTGGCGGGGTTGCCGGGGTCGCCGGGGTCGCCGGTGCTGCCGCTGTAAGACCATTGGAGCGACCTGTGAGGCCACGAAGAGCTGGTCAAAAGAGATTGTCGGCATACGAATCATTCACGAAACCAACAGCAATCAAGAGTAAGCAGCAACAGTTGGAAGCTCGACAAAGACGGTTAAGACAACAGCAGATTGTTCAGCAGGCTAATAAACAGTTGAAGCAACAGCAGAACCAGCACCAGCAACAACAGCCGCCACCACAACATACTGACATTTATCTCGATTTGGCGTCGTCTAATCGTAACTCCATCGCCACCACAATCTCATCCACAAACGCATCGAATATTTTACCGATTGCTTATATTCCTGGTGTCACTGTGCGTCCTACCAAGAACAACACAAGGTCTATTTATTCCTATGAGACCGATTCGATATTCTCCGATTTGAATACAATTGAAAACGCCTCGATTATTGGTGATGTCATTCACGCCAACCAAACCATCATTCCTGAACAACAACCGGCTACTAGCATTACGCAACCAGGTACCATGACGGCCATCAAAGCACAACCAAGATTAGTTAATGTCGACAGGATTGAAGAAAAAGATGAAGATGTCACTGATGAAGAAGACAACAACTCCATTCAAGAAGAGGGCACAGAAAACTTCAACATCTCCAACAAGTTCAGAATTGTTGAAGACCCCACTGAAGATGAGGGAGACTCCGATGTTGATTCGGATATCATTGAAATCAACCGGGCCACCTCGGTGAAGACCCAGAAACGTCCATCACTAGTTAATGTCAAGCCTTATACTTCTGAGAATGAAATCTTGATTGATTTGGCCACGAATCATCCGGCCCCAAGCATACCGTTACAATACCTTGATGATGATGGCAAGGATGCTGAGTCGACCATAGGGTCGTTTGTGTTGGATGTTCAAGTTGACCATGGTGATTTTGAAGAGACTATGAGGAGTCCATTTGAAGATCCTAGATAAGTTGTATATTTTTGTAATTATATATATGTATGGGGTTATCTGAAGTTTATTGTAGAATTTTTGCAGCACTTTTCTTGACTTGAATAGCAACCAATAAACAATAGATACGGCAATTGATGGGGTTATCCGGAGTTTGCTATTCGAAATGAGACTCGTATTTTGCTCAATTTAGTTTGTGTGTGCCTTCTAGAACTACAATAGGGATAAGGTAGGGTTTGAATAGAGTCAATAGTTACTGGTAGGTAATTACTGTCTTCGACACAATGGCGTTCGCCTAATCACCTGCTTCGGCCATGATTATAAAAGGCAACTCCGGTTTCGCGTAATTATGATTGTGCCGTTAATTCCGCCGGTTGGGGGGGGGCCAAGACAAAAGATGATACAGATTATAAATCAACGACAAAAAAAAACAGAACTAATTCCTCCGGATATATTAAAAATAGAAAAATGGGACACACGTTTGACGGGCTAAGCGATGGTAAACATGATTTAGCCACACAAGGAAACTGCAAGAAAAGGTCAAATACCCTCCACGCGGGCACAATTGCGGTGGTGGGTGGGGGAGACAGGATCTACTAAAAAATATCTCAGGGTGTATGTATACACTCTCAACTCTCCTCTTCCATCGCTGGGCGTTCGGAACAAACGCAGGTGGTATTATTTTTTTTTTTTCTATTGCTTTTTCCTTTTTTTTTTTTTTTTTTGCCCTTTTTGTTGCGGTACAATTAATTAAATCGCATTGTTTTTACTAATGGTAACGTTATTTTCCATTGGACGTTAACGCTGTGTAAGATAAACCGAGTGGGGAACGTTTGCGAATTTTCGAAATTGCCAGGATTAGCGTTTGTAAATTTTTACTAACACATTAATAAGGGGAAACCCCTAGAAAATTTTACGTAATCTGCCTCGGAAATGTTTGAAAATGAAATTCCCACCACCACAAATATTCCTGAAACACAGGTTGTCAATTGGTCATTGACCTTCAAAAACGGTTTAATTGCACTAATGTACGCCGCCGTTGGGGAAGTTGAATCCAGACAAGTGTGGTCATTATTAATTACAAAATCGAGTGCAAAATTAAACAAAAAGAAAAAGAAAATAAAACAAACAAGGAAGGTGGTGGAAGGACGTTCCGAACGGTGCGGTCAGTGGGTGTTTCCACGTGAGCAACGTAGACAACGGTTTCGGAACAGCCCTCGAAACTGACAAATCTGCCAGAAAATATTTTCTCGTCCACGTACGGGCAAATTCTATGCGACTGCTGGGCCAGATTCTGAAAAATTATAAATATTTGCCAAAGTCACCTCCCCTCCCCTTTTATAAAAACTTTCCTCTTCTTGAAAAAAACCTAACTTTAATTTAAAAGACCGTTTTATTCATTGTTCAATTGCCTCAATTGCTATCCAATTAGGAAATTTTCAATTGTTCTTCTTAAATTAAATTTACACTATAATGACTTCTGCTACCATTGATCAAAAAGCCGTCAGCACCATCAGATTGTTGGCTGTTGATGCCGTTGCCGCTGCCAACTCTGGTCACCCAGGTGCCCCATTGGGTTTAGCCCCAGCTGCCCACGTTCTTTGGAAACAAATGAAATTCAACCCAAGAGACACCAAGTGGGTCAACAGAGACAGATTCGTCTTGTCTAACGGTCACGCTTGTGCCTTGTTATACTCCTTGTTGGTTCTCTTCAAGTTCGACTTGCACGTTTCCGACTTGAAGCAATTCAGACAATTGGGCTCAAAGACCCCAGGTCACCCTGAAGTTTTGGATGTCCCAGGTGTCGAAGTCACCACTGGTCCATTGGGTCAAGGTATCGCTAACGCTGTTGGTTTAGCCATTGCCCAAAAGCAATTTGCTGCCACTTACAACAAGCCAGATATCACCATTTCTGACAACTACACCTATGCCTTTTTGGGTGATGGTTGTTTGATGGAAGGTGTTTCCGGTGAAGCCTCTTCTTTAGCTGGTCACTTGAAATTGAACAACTTGATTGCTTTCTGGGATGACAACAAGATTTCTATTGACGGTAGCACTGAAGTTTCCTTCGATGAAGATGTTATTGCTAGATACAGAGCTTACGGTTGGAACATTGTTGAAGTTGAAGATGCTGACGACAACTTGGAAGCCATTGCTAACGCCATTGTTGAAGCCAAGAAGTCTAAAGACAAGCCAACTTTGATCAAGTTGGTCACCATCATTGGTTACGGTTCCTTGGCTCAAGGTACCCACGGTGTCCACGGTTCTCCATTAAAGGCTGACGATATCAAGCAATTGAAGACCAAGTGGGGTTTCAACCCAGAAGAATCTTTTGCTATCCCACAAGAAGTTTCTGACTACTACAGCTCCCACGTTCAAGAAAACATCAAGGTTTACAATGACTGGCACGCTACTTTCAAGGCTTACAAGGAAAAGTATCCAAAGGAAGGTGCTGAAATCCAAAGAAGATTGGATGGTAAATTACCAGAAGGTTGGAAGGATGCTTTACCAAGATTCACCCCAGCTGACAAGGCTGTTGCCACCAGAAAGTTATCTGAAGGTGTCATTTCTGCTTTATCTCCAATTATTCCTGAATTCATTGGTGGTTCTGCTGATTTAACTCCATCTAACTTGACCAAGGTTGCCGGATCTATTGATTTCCAACCACCATCCTCTGGTTTAGGTGACTATGCCGGTAGATACATCAGATACGGTGTTAGAGAACACGGTATGGGTGCCATTATGAACGGTATTGCCGCTTTCGGTGCTAACTACAAGAACTACGGTGGTACTTTCTTGAACTTCGTTTCCTACGCTGCCGGTGCCGTCAGATTATCTGCTTTATCTCACCACCCAGTCACTTGGGTTGCTACCCACGATTCTATCGGTTTAGGTGAAGATGGTCCAACCCATCAACCTATTGAAACTTTAGCTCACTTCAGAGCCATTCCAAACTTGTCTGTTTGGAGACCAGCTGATGGTAACGAAACTTCTGCTGCTTACTTGTCTGCCGTTGAAGCCACCTCTCACCCAACCATCATTGCTTTAACCAGACAAAACTTGCCACAATTGGAAGGTTCTTCCATCGAAGCTGCCTCCAAGGGTGGTTACACTTTAATCAAGAACGACAAGCCAGATGTCATTATTGTTGCTTCTGGTTCTGAAGTTGCTATTTCCGTTGATGCTTCCAAGAAGTTGGCTGAAGAAGGTATCAAGGCTAATGTTGTCTCCCTTCCAGATTTCTTCACCTTTGACAAGCAATCTTTCGACTATAAGTTGTCTGTCTTGCCAGACGGTGTCCCAATCATGTCTGTTGAAGTCATGTCCACCTTTGGTTGGTCCAAGTACTCTCACGAACAATTTGGTTTGAACAGATTTGGTGCTTCTGGTAAGGCTCCAGAATTGTACAAATACTTTGAATTCACCCCAGAAGGTGTTGCTGGTAGAGCTGCCAAGACTGTTCAATTCTACAAGGGTAAGACTGTCTACTCTCCATTAAACACTGCTTTCTAAGTGGATGTATAAAAAAAGATATGTTTAGGTAATTTTAATATAGTACAGTATTGTAAAAGCCCCCATTGTGACAGGTGTAGACTATCAATAGGAAAACCCAGCTAAAGTTTTTTGGAGGGTTACTCAAACTCAGTAAAGTTCCCAGGTATTACAAATCGATAAGCGTAAAATTTTCATTAATATGCTGCTCTATAAACTACATAGATTTTTTTGCCCTAATAATTAGCAAATTTGGCATCCCACTTTTCATTCTGGATAAATTCAATCAATGTCTTACTCCCAGTTTGTAATAAGGGATGCCCCGCAACAGTGGTGAGAAACTTTTCCAACCCTTGTCGTCTCTTTTCGATATTCAACTCGTCGAATTTATTCGAATTCAACAAGATTTTCCCCGGTAAAGGCGGGATGATCACCCTAGTGGTCTCCTGTTCGAGAATCTTGCGGAAAACTACAAAATCACTATATCTTCTGCGAACGCGACTGTTGCGTTTCTTGAATGCGGGGATGTTGGTCCGACACACAATCTCATAGTCGGTGAATAAGTTCAGACCATACCCGTGGGTGACGGGATTTCGTACTTCTACCTCGAGAAAGTCTTCGGGCTCGCCGTATATCTCATTGAATGATTGTGTTTGACGCTTGGGCGGACTGGTATTGATTACATCGCTGATTGGCTGGAATGGTCTTGACATTTTCAATGCTAATTGATGGGAAGGTGATTTTTAAGGTTAGTTTTTCTTTAGTCACGACTATTAAAGTTTTCTCTATCTAGTTAAAAAAAAAGGGCCTGTGTGTTATATGCAGGAGCATTGTTTTGAACTGAGAGTATGTCTTCTTAAATGAAGATCTTGAAGAGTTATAACACGGTTGACAAATCATCCTAAAGGTGTGTGTGAACCTTGGTTATTACTGTCTGCATAAACCTACATTTCTCCAATTCATGTAGCTCATAATTTTTAGCAAAAGCAAGGTGAAAAATATCACTAAAAAAACGACAAAAATATATCAAAAATATAGCCGAGTGGAGCTATTCAAACTCCGAAAGAAACAACCTACAAGCACATTGAATAATGTATTTCAAAAACCTGTTTTGTATATTCAAATATAACCACCAAATATAAACTTATAACCCGTTAATATTAGGAACATTGTGCAACTTGTTGCTAGTACTCAGCCATACAAAGGGCCAGCCCAACATGATAATCATTCCGGAAAACCAACCAGCAACTGGAAGAACTCTGCGACCGTAATACACGTATATTGGTGTAGGTCTTAATTTGTTGTATGCTAATCTAAGGGTTGGGTTCATTATGTATATGTTCTGTTAAAGCCAAACAAAAATCAAGAAGAAGAAGTAAATAAGTAAGTAAAAATTTGGATATTAAACCGGTATTTATAGTTATGGGCCCAACTGTAAAAATTAAAGCATCAAGTTTGATTGGACATTGCAAAAGGTTCCAGTTACCAAGCAAATTTAGGTTGCATGATGTATAACCCCATTCTAGGCTACCAACGCAACCCAAATTAGCCAATTTTAGTGGGTGCAAAAATAAAAATAAAAATAAATAAAAAAAAAAAGCTTTGGTTATTCCACTACCGCGTAAAAATCGAACGATTTTTTGCAAACCTTCAAGGAATTTACCGGAGTTGGCTGTAACAAACAATAATATCGCTCTAGATCATACGTTGATGTCCCAATCTCGCCTGATTTTTCCACTCGTTTGAATGTTGATTCAGTTGGGGTTCTCACGGAAACGTCCCCGACGTAAATTGATCTACCAAGAATTTTTCAGATAAGAAACCATACATGGCATATACGCCTCCAGTTCCTGAAATTTAACGGCTTTACACGGTTCACTCAAGTTGATTTTCATTTTATCCATTCGCTATGCATAATAATCTAATAAAACAAAATCGAAAACTTCGATCCACTATATAAAAATATACAACAAAACAACTAGAGAGAAATCTCATTCCGTTTAATTCTGCTTTTCCTTGGCCATCATTTGTTCTTGTAATTCAAATGTATCGGCTATAATATCCCCGTCTTTAACAACAGCTACTCTCATGGTAGCCAACAAGTTGTGAGCAGCGTTGGAGTGAGCGTAGACAGCACCATTGAAGGCTTTGGTGGCGTCCTTACCCAAGGAAGCTCTAACCAAAGCTTGTCCACCTGGATGTTCCTTGATGAATGCCTTGACATTGTGAATAATACCAGAAATAATGATCAAACCTTCCTTCTTGGCACGTTCATTAAATTCATGTCTGGTCCAAACTGGCAATTCTTCAACTGGAGTACCCCAGTTCAACTTGGACTTCATTCTATCCAACTTCTTTTGTTGTTGTTGTAATAAACCTTGTTCAATGGCATTTTGAGAGAAAGTCTTCAAATTCCAAGCTAAACCAAGCTTAGATAAACCCCAAATAACAATCTTGGTTGGATCATATTGGTACCACTTAATGGCATTTCTGTAATCAGATGGAAATTCATGATGGAAGTTGTGGTAACCTTCACCAAAGGTAACAAAGGCAGTTAAAACATGATCACGAGGGGTTCTTCTGTCGTCAAATGGTTGAACACCAATCCAATGGGCCAAGGAGTTGACACAGAAAGTAGCTTGTTGAATAAAGAAACACTTCAAGATACCTGCATAAATGAAACCTCCCCAGTAGTCACCCCAACCTAAACCAGCAACAAGAACAGGAGTAATAAAAGAGGCAAGAATCATAATCAATAAATAGTGTCTGTGTTGGAAAGTAACAACCCAATCAGCAGCAAAATCAGAAATATCAGCTCTGGCTCTGTTCTTTGGGTTTGGCTTAGACAACATCCATCCCATGTGAGAAAACCAGAAACCTCTTCTGGCATCATATGGATCTCTGGAAGTATCAGTATATCTGTGGTGAATTCTGTGAGAGTGACCCCACCATTTAATAGAACCTTCAATGGCACCAGCACCAAAAAAGGCGAAAAAGAGTCTTACAGGTAAAGCAGCATCATAGGACTTGTGTGAGTATAATCTGTGGTAACCGGCAGTGATGGAAACACCGGAGAAGACATATAATACAAATGCCAATGCAAGGGTCTTAATTTGAGGAGGGTGGAATATACTGTGATAAACACCAAAGGCGGGAATGGCAACAACAAGAATAAAGTTTAACCAATTGACATGTTGGTGGAAGTTGGATAATGTCACTGGTTGTTCAGAAATATGCTTCTTGTTAGCGTACTTGGCCTTTTCACGGGCATCCTTTTCTGCAAGGGATTCCATGGAATCCTTGGTAATTTCTTCAGCAGTGACCTTGACCATATCGGCGGTACCCATTAATTTACCACCTAAACCAGCAGCCACAATTCTTGGGACCTTCTTATTAGTACCTGCAGCAATCGCATTAAGAGAGGTGATATCTACCACTTCTAATTGTTCTTCAGACATGTTGTTATGTGTGTGTATATATGAGATGTGTTGTAGGATGGGTATAGTTGTTAGTGATAGGTGGTAAAAGTAGGATGTGGTGAGAAAGAAAAGAAGCAACCAGAAAAATGAAAAGGGATATATTGGTTCAGTATTATATATATTGTGTACTTCTCTAATTGCAAAAATTTTATTAACCTTAATTAAATTTCTTTTTTAACTGTTGTTTTATTTTTATTTTTTTTGATCCTCGTTTTAGCAAAATTGGGTTTTGTTCGATTTTTTTGTTAAATAAAAAATGTTGGGTATTGCTTATATGCAGGTTATTTCCGGAGCATGCATGGTTAAGTCCTAGAAAATAATTATCCATCCATTGTTCCTAGTATGCCAAAAAATCAAACCCCCGATGTTTTATTGTCTGTAACCTATTAATGTACCGAAGCGTGCATTCAACTCCGGAGATTAACAAAGATTATAATAGAACCAACAAAATTTATATTACATTCAAGCACCACTTTTTAAGGAGTCGTTTAAAAGGAATGCTTTCTTTTTTCTATTGTACTAGTGGCTATATTTTCTTTTTTTTTTTAACTTGTTTTTTTTATTTGCCTTTGGCCGAGATGCACGCCAAGCGATAACCAACATTTCAATTTTTGTTGTGCTGAGGTTAGACAACCTGGTATGCTTTGAGCATTGGGTCAGAAAAGTCTCGCCACTTGCTAAAATATTTCTTACAATCAGATAAGTCTCAATTGTCAACTGTTACAAATGTCATACGATAGAAGTGGTCAATTGTTGACGATAGTGTATCTTTATCGGTTTACGCGGTACATCCTTTTCTCCGTATGGCTCAATAGTAGGAGTTTCGGAACTTTTTTTTTTCCCTTTCTGCCAACAAAATTATATTGCCCTTCGGGTAAAATGCGAGGCATAGCGAATTTCATTTTATTTGCAACCATTAAACCGGGCTTTGTCAGTTCATTCTCACGGAGCGTAAATATTTTTAGCTCGAATCGTCAGAGATCTAAGTCATACGATGGCTCACAGATCAAATTTGTAATTATATTGTTGGACTATCATTTAGAAGTGAGCCAACAAAAATAGCCACAGTGTTTTGAACGTGATATTAATGAAACTTTTGGAAAAAATCGAGCTTGTGGCCTTCCACAACTTATGCTTATAATTTTTTATCATATGTCAGAATAAGTTTGTTCAACCGAGTATGTAGCGATTGTAACGTGACTTACTTAGCTTAATAATCCTCTCAATGCGTTTCCTTCAAAAGCAACCCACATTATAAGGTACCAACACAAAACTTTAAGGGATTTAGAGTGTAGTGTAGCTGCATTATCTTGCATGTTCGGGATACAGCCGGCAGTTTTCCCGTTAGACGTTACCAGTCTGCACCAGGATTAATCTAGTCCACCGACTAAAGCTTCGGAGTGCACAGCTGCGAAAAAAAAATTAGACTTAAACCATACATGAATACACATCAAAATGACTGTCTTGTGAAGATTGTGTTAGGGGTATATATATCCGAAGACTTCCACTTACAACTGTCACATAAATTGTTTTCAATTGTAGTAGTACTGCTATGATTTTTGACTCTCGTGCTCAATTGCGACTGACTTCAGGATATAGAACAGACAGACAAGATCATGCATACTTAGTATGGAAAAAGTACAATAAAGGGGTAAACAGAAAACGACCAGTGTTGAACCTTTATGTAAACTGGCCAAATAAACAGAATAGAGAGAATAAACTATAATGAATGTATTATAAATTATGTTGGATATATTATAAGCTACAGTTAGATAATGTAAATAGATAGGAACTGGGCGAGAGACTTTAAGTAGTGTATAGTTAAAAATTCAATATCTTCAGCGTTTCTCAATAACTCTTAATTATTATTGTAACTGAAGTATGTTTCAGAGTAGAATGTAGTATTTCCTTTGATCTAGTTGGTAACTTGTTCGTTTGAGGCGGTTAGGTTAATCTGTGGGGCCGGGTCATTCATTTTTTTATTTTTTTTAAAATTTTTTTTTGCCTGTTCAAGTAAATTTTGAACTTAGTTTTTATTCGGTACCTTAGACTTGTCTGAGAGAAGGAATTCCAATTGACTGCGATTGATGGCAGTAAATCCGGGTTATACCTACTTGATATCTACAGAAGTTTCTACACAAGTGCATATACCTGTTGATTAAAATTTTGTAATGAATACGAATGACGAATGACGAATAACCGACATTCCATTGTTGTTTGGATTTTAATGCAAAGAACATATGATTTTTCTATTGCATGAATTTATACGAGAGTTTAATAGTAAAAGACCAAGCATTTCAACTATAAATCGATTAAGATTGGATCGAGTAGGCTACCAATCGCCACGTTTATTTCTTGCGCTCTGGTGTTTACAAAGTTTCTGTCACATTCTCACCCCACAGTTTTTTTTTTTACAAGCAATGAGCAACAATTGACAACTATACATGCGTCATTCCCCCCCCACCTGGCTACTTAGACACCGTAATTTTTATTAAATTTCTTAGATTTAATTCTTAATCCGTTTCCGTCTCCCTCTTCCCTGCTTTACGATTTACCAATCTATCCAAGTGTCATCCAGTCATTACTTTTTACTTATTTAACTTAGTACTAACCACTTGGCCGGACACCACCCCCTTTTTTTGCCCATTTTTTTTTTCTTTTCTGGTTTTTGAATTTCAAAAACTGTCGACTCACCGAAATCGAGATTCAATCAGAGAGACAACACCGTTTAGTTTTGACAATCTATCATAATTCTATTCGTTAATACTCAATTCATCAAGTGCTAGATAGATACTTCTTCATCGTTCATTTACTTAATTGCTGTACATATCATTATTATAGACCTTTCCCCATCATGGTTAACCCACCATTTCCTAGACAAACTCCAAATTCGCCCCTTCCACCCCACGCTTCTATAGCTCAACAACAGCAACAGCAGCAGCAGCAACAACAACAACCACACTCGTCTGCTAGTTCTGCCTCTGCAGGTGCTGAAAGATCTCCTACTTCAGCCCATGCCCAACTCGCTAGTCATCACCCCCATCTTCACCATACATCTCGCAAGCCTTCAATTGTGGAATTGTTAAGCTCCCCACCACCATTGCCGGTCGAAGAAAGTGATTCCATCCACCATTTCAGTCTTTCACGCAATGCATCAATTAGCAGCTCTCGTTCTTCACAATCGCACCAAATTGGCCAACCTCCTCCAACACTGGGCCATGCCAATTCAATTCAAGGATTAGAGTGGAGTGAAATCCCATTGAGTGAATTAACCGAGCTGAATAAGTTGATTAGTATTCACAGTTCGGATTCCGTGCAACAAGCCTTTGAAACTTTGGTTTCTCATAATTTAACTAGTGTACCTGTATCAACTAACCAAGAAGATCACTCAGATTTAACAAACTGTTTGACTTTTGACTATAGTGATTTAAACACTTATTTATTGTTAATTATGAATAAAATTCCAATTCTGGAATTATGTGTTGATGACATTGGCACTGAAAAGGATACCCATGAACAAAAACAAGAACTTATCAACCAAGCTATAAACAAGGCTAAACGAGGTGAAGAAGTGCCAGTTGAGTTTATTATCAAATTACATCCTAAAAACCCATTCATTAAATTTAAAGAATCCGACACCTTATTCCCAGTAATGGAAACCCTTGGTAATGGAGTTCACAGAATTGCTATTACAGATGAACCAGGTTCAAAAATTACTGGGATCTTATCACAAAGAAGATTAATCAAGTACATGTGGGAAAACGCCAGAAGATTCCCAAGTTTGGATTTCTACTTGCAATCAACTTTACAAGATTTAAAGATTGGAGCAACCAATCCAATTACTATTTATGAAGATCAATTGTTGATTGAAGCCTTGCATAAAATGTTTAATGAAAGAGTATCTTCATTAGCGGTAATTGATAGATCAAGAACATTGATAGGTAATATTTCCATTGTTGATGTCAAGAATGTTACTAGTTTGAAAAATTCACATTTGTTATTTAAGTCAGTATTAAATTTCATTAGTTATAACTTAACCCAAAAAGGTATTGAAGAAGGACAAGATCAATTTCCAATTTTCCATGTTGACCAACAAAGTTCATTAGGAAGAGTAATTGCCAAATTGGTTGCTACTCAATCACATAGATTATGGATTGTCGATTCTCGTAAAGTTTCAACCAATGGAGGACAACAACAACAACAACAACAACAACCACCCCAGTCTCCTTTAACCTCTACAGCTGCCACCGTTGAGGGTACCTTAAAGGGATCACTTGCCCCATCATCCGCTGCATCATCAACCCCATCAACACCACAGGAACCAACTTATGGAGGATTCCCTGGCAAGTTAATTGGAGTGGTTTCCTTGACTGATATTTTAGGATTATTTGCTACTTCAAAGGGTAAGAAGACTGATCCACAATTTGCTCGTAATCAAAGAAGAAGATCACTGACTTCTTCTACCACAAGATCAAGTCTTGATGGTAGTAGCATTAGTGGAGAAATAAATATTCCTGTTCCTATTAGACAACCCGGAGATTCCAATAGTGATATTTTTAGAAAATCTTATACCAAGACTGACAATGGTAAGGAATGATAGTTTTTATAGTTTTAGTATTTTGTTTATTGTTTTGAATATAATTGTAGTAAAAAGAGAAGAGTTTTGTAGCTTACATAAAGGTTAAGTAGTGCAACTAGGAATCGAGACTTGGTATTACTGATTTCCAAGTTTAAAGTTCAAGTAGAGGTAAAAACTTTTGAAATTCGTGATAGCCTCAAACATGTTATTGTCTTCTAAAATGTGGATCTTTTCGGGATCTGGAGGTCACAAGAGTATTGACAACCATTAGTGTGTAACCACCTCAAGGTCTACCCCACCTTGTTGGTTATTTAGTCAAAATGAACAATCCCAGTTGTATGTAAATTGTTTACTTTACCCTTTAGTAAACTTTACTAGTAAGTTCATACCCTCTGAGTTAATCAAAGTTGCCACCACTTACATAATAGAAAGACAATTGCTGCAAAATCAACAGCTGACCCATTTATTAGCCCAATCCGTTTACTTGACACGTGTGAATCAAAAAAAAAAAAAAAGAAAAAATTGATAGTTCTTACTAAATTATTTTTCACCAAATAGAACGAATATTCGATGTAATTGAAAACTAACTCTGTTTGGTTGATGCAGTTTCTTTCAGTAGGTCCATGGTCCTAACAGCAATTGATTATTACCTTTCTGTGTGTGTTTGTCTAGAATATTCTAGTCATTTCTTTTCTTCTTATACGTTTGTGTAATTGTTTCTTGGATTTCTTTTTTTTTTTTGCCAGCACACTAGAGATGAGATCCAAAGAAAACTGCAATTATTGGGGGGTAAATAATGAAGTAAATTACACTGGACAAACCTATTATAAATAAGATCCATTGATATTAGCTCCTAATTGACTATTGAGAAAATTACACTCACAATTGACAACACATTTCCCACACATATTCCAGATTTAGCAAATTAAGCTTGAAACAAAACGATCCATGAAGGGTGAATAAAAAAATTTTTTATTGTTCATTATTTTTTTTGCCTTGCAAAAATTTTTTTTTTCAGTGGTGATCTGTTTCCTATAAATTACTGAGCCCATCCCCCTTTTTTTCACAAAGAAAATTTTTCTACTTTTCTCTTTCTTTCTTCCTTTTTGTTATAAACTCAATCAATCAATCAAAAATGGGTAAAGAAAAAACTCACGTTAACGTCGTTGTTATTGGTCACGTCGATTCTGGTAAGTCCACCACCACCGGTCACTTAATTTACAAGTGTGGTGGTATTGATAAGAGAACTATCGAAAAGTTCGAAAAGGAAGCCGCTGAATTAGGTAAGGGTTCTTTCAAGTACGCTTGGGTTTTGGACAAACTTAAGGCTGAAAGAGAAAGAGGTATCACCATTGATATCGCTTTATGGAAGTTCGAAACTCCAAAGTACCACGTTACCGTTATTGATGCTCCAGGTCACAGAGATTTCATCAAGAACATGATTACCGGTACTTCTCAAGCTGATTGTGCTATTTTGATTATTGCTGGTGGTACTGGTGAATTCGAAGCTGGTATTTCTAAGGATGGTCAAACCAGAGAACACGCTTTGTTAGCTTACACCTTAGGTGTCAAGCAATTGATTGTTGCTGTTAACAAGATGGACTCTGTTAAGTGGGACAAGAACAGATTCGAAGAAATCATCAAGGAAACCTCTAACTTCGTCAAGAAGGTTGGTTACAACCCTAAGTCCGTTCCATTCGTTCCAATCTCTGGTTGGAATGGTGACAACATGATTGAACCATCTGAAAACTGTCCATGGTACAAGGGTTGGGAAAAGGAAACCAAGGCTGGTAAGTCCACTGGTAAGACTTTGTTAGAAGCTATTGATGCTATTGAACCACCTTCCAGACCAACTGACAAGCCATTGAGATTACCATTGCAAGATGTCTACAAGATCGGTGGTATTGGTACTGTGCCAGTCGGTAGAGTTGAAACCGGTATCATCAAGGCCGGTATGGTTGTTACCTTTGCCCCAGCTGGTGTTACCACTGAAGTTAAGTCCGTCGAAATGCACCACGAACAATTAACTGAAGGTGTCCCAGGTGACAACGTTGGTTTCAACGTCAAGAACGTTTCCGTTAAGGAAATCAGAAGAGGTAACGTCTGTGGTGACTCCAAGAACGATCCACCAAAGGGTTGTGACTCTTTCAACGCTCAAGTTATTGTCTTGAACCACCCAGGTCAAATCTCCTCTGGTTACTCTCCAGTCTTGGATTGTCACACTGCCCACATTGCTTGTAAGTTCGACACTTTGATTGAAAAGATTGACAGAAGAACTGGTAAGAGTTTAGAAGCTAACCCTAAGTTCGTCAAGTCCGGTGATGCTGCTATCGTCAAGATGGTCCCAACCAAGCCAATGTGTGTTGAAGCTTTCACTGACTACCCACCATTAGGTAGATTCGCTGTCAGAGATATGAGACAAACTGTCGCTGTCGGTGTTATCAAGTCTGTTGAAAAGTCCGACAAGGCTGGTAAGGTTACCAAGGCTGCTCAAAAGGCTGCTAAGAAGTAAAACAACTAGTTATATATTTATATATTTGTTGTAATGAGAATGTATTTTACATGAGAAATAATAAAACTGTAGAAATGTGTAATATAAAAACTATATCAGTACCGCTTGGAATCCTTTACCACTGATTACTCCCATCCAATCACCTTTATCCTTTCTCCAACAAACATTATTAACCTCTAAATCTTCTTCGTAAGCTAGTACGGGAGTATCTAGTACAACACCAGTGCTACTACTAGAACTGCCACTCTTTGGAGTCAAATTATTACAATCCCAAACAAGCGCCTGACAATCGTCACCACCAGTTAACAAGTAATTCAGCGTTGGATGCCATTGGATCAGATTTATCAGGGCATGATTGATTCCTCCGAATGATCCGTCCAACGTCGCTACTGGTATTCCCGGCATTCTCATATCGATAATTATAACAAGGTTGGAGTTGATACCGACGGTGGCAAGATGGTGTTGGTCAATATTTGAAGTAGAAAGACAAATCAATGCCTTGGAATTAAATGTGGATGAAGCTGGATTGCTGGACGAGGAGGAAGACGTGGCCGTCATCGTGGGTGGTTCATAGATTATAGTCGAATGTTCAAGACTCCTCAAGTCAAACACTCTCATTGATCCATCATTGCCTACTGATGCAAAGACATTGGTTGATTTATGAATGCACTTCACGTCAAACACTTCAGAGTCGTGGGCAATTAATTGGGTTTTAACCGTGGCGGTGTCGGTGGTTTCATCGCGCGGGTGACTGCGGTGTAAATCCCACACTGTGCATGTTGTGTCTACACTCGATGTGATTAATATGCTAGGATCAGTTTTGTTCCAATCAAAAGACGTTATTGGAGGGTACGTGTTTATATCATCGTTTTTGGAGCTTGATCCATTGTTGCCAAGCGAGTTCGAACTTGATGTGCAACTGCTGGCGGTATTATTGGCCAATATGTGAGTCTGGGTCAAACTGTAGTTATTATGATGGTTGTTGTTACTATCGTACCCTTCTTCCTTGTTCACCTTATACAATCTTAACACTTCACTGGAAGCAGCAAGGCGTTCACTGCCGCCGTTTGATGCCATCATTGGATCCCATTGTAAATGTGTAATCGGATAATCGACACTGGTCTCGGCCACCCGCAGGAAATAAAATCCTTGGACAACGTCATCATCGTACCCGGCAGTAGGCGACATCACATCGTCATTATTCTTAAACTCCTGTTCGTAACTTACGCCATGGATAATCTCCAATTTATTCGTGAACCCTTCTTTGTACGAACCTAGCGCGATGCAATCCAGTTCGGAATTAGCAACATACTGCCAGTCACTGGTGTAAAGCGGCAACTGGCTGAAATAATATGAATTCCGTTCTAAAGGTGTGGTAGTAGTCATCAAGCTAGGTGATGAAGTCGAGCTGAGTGGAGGTGTCTTCGGAACCGGGGTGGTTCCACTAGTGAATCGCAGCTGGTTGTGACTGAAAGGAGAGTGTAAACCTGATGGACCCTGCGACGACATGTTGGTAGAGATTGACGAACTGGTGGATAAGATCCCATACGAGGCAGGAGAATATGATGGGGCACCTGTTGATATTGAGCTACGTTTTGATCGATTGTTGTACCAGTCCATTACTATTTAAAGCCTGGTTGGCGTGGGTTCCGTATATTACAAAGAGTCAAAAAGGGCTGAACAAAAAAAAAAAATAGTTTATTTTTCTTTTTTGTCGCATGTGGTGAAATTCGGGGGTGCTACCAAACAATACCGCTTGCAAAAAGATCATTCGATAGATCTGAACAGGGAAAAGGGGGGGTGAGGGGGTGGGATCTACTAATAAACGTCTAACAATTACTTTATATTATACTATATTATATTAATAAATAAAACTAAACTACTCACCGGCAATTTCTTCAACAGTAGGACAAGTACAGATCAAGTTCATGTCACCATAAGTATCGTCCAATCTGGACACAGTTGGCCAACACTTGTTGTTCTTTAACCAAGGTAATGGGTAAGCAGCTTGTTCTCTAGTGTAGCCTCTAGCTTCCCATTCTTCTTGTGGGGTAGCAACAACATCTTGCATGGAGTGAGGAGCGTTCTTCAACACCATACCACTCTTGTCACCGTTGATGTAAGCGTCAATTTCACTTCGTATCTTGATGAGTGATTCGACAAATCTGTCCAACTCAGCCAAGTTTTCTGATTCGGTAGGTTCAATCATTAAAGTACCAGCGACAGGGAAACTCATGGTTGGAGCGTGGAATCCATAATCTTGCAATCTCTTGGCGATATCAATAGCTTCAATACCTTGGGCTTTAAATTCACGTAAATCTAAAATGAACTCATGGGCACAATGTGGGGTGGATTTACCCACGAAAAGAATGGAGTAGTATGGTTGTAATTTCTTGACCATATAGTTGGCATTCAACATGGCAACAGCGGAAACATATGGAAGAGCATTGGCACCAAGCATCTTGATGTATGAGTATGAGACTGGGATGACACTAGCGGAACCGTAAGGAGCAGAATTGACAGCTTGTATAGAGTCTGGCTTAGTGACATCGGCATTGAAGGTGTGGCCTGGCAAGAATGGTTTCAAATGTTCCTTAACACAGACTGGAGCTTGACCTGGACCACCACCACCATGGGACAAGGCAAAAGTCTTGTGGATGTTCAAGTGACAGACATCGGCACCTAAATCACCTGGGGAGGTAAGACCAACTTGGGCATTCATATTAGCACCATCCAAGTAAACTAACCCACCATTGGCATGAACGAGATCAATGGCCTTCTTGATTCCTGGTTCGAAAAGACCATAAGTGGATGGATAAGTGATCATGATGGAACAAAGGTTAGCAGCATGTAATTCAGCCTTTTCTTGTAAATCAACTAAATCAATAGAACCGTCATCTAAACACTTGACTGGAACAACCTTTAATCCACACATAGCAGCAGAGGCAGGATTAGTTCCGTGAGCAGATACTGGGATAAGACAGATGTTTCTGGCTTCGTATTCACCTCTTGATTTGTGGTATTCTCTGATAAGTGATAACCCAGTATATTCACCTTGGGCACCGGAGTTAGGCATGTTGGTGGTAGCATCAAATCCAGTGATGTCGTTCAAATCCTTTTCAAATTCACTAATTAATTCCTTGTAACCTTGAGCTTGGTCGATTGGGGCAAATGGATGGATTTGAGTGAATCCTGGCATGGAAAGAGTTTGCATTTCAACAGTAGCATTAAGTTTCATGGTACATGAACCAAGAGGGATCATAGAGTTGGCAAGGGACAAATCCTTGGATTGTAAAAGGTGCAAGTAACGTAACATAGCGGTTTCGGAGTGATGGGTGTTGAAAACTTCATGAGTTAAGATTTCGTCAGTACGGATCAATTCTTCTGGGATGGTTGGAAGTTCAGTGTCAGCTTCAAGAGTAACTTGCTTACCGGTAAACAATTCAATCAAGTTAACCAAATCAGCTGTTTCGACAGTTTCATCAAGAGACAATGAGACAGTTGATTCATCCACTTTAAACAAGTTAATATTGTACTTGGACAATGCTTGAGCCAAGATGTCATCGGCAGAAACACCAGATAACTTGACAGTTAAAGTATCAAACCACTTATCGTTCAAAACTTGATGTTCGGTTTGACCAATGTATTTAGCTAATAAGGTGGTGAAACCGTAAACTCTGGAGGCAATGTTCTTTAATCCTGCTGGACCGTGGTAAACAGCGTAGTTGGCAGAAATGTTGGCTAACAAAGCTTGAGCAGTACAGATATTGGAAGTAGCCTTTTCTCTCTTGATATGTTGTTCTCTGGTTTGTAAAGCCAATCTTAAAGCTGGTTGACCTAATCTGTCCTTTGAAACACCAACAATTCTTCCAGGAATCTTTCTCGAGTATTTCATAGTGGTACTGAAATAAGCAGCATGTGGACCACCATAACCGAAAGGAACACCAAATCTTTGAGTGGTACCTAAAGCGATATCAGCACCAAATTCACTAGGTGGTTTCAAAACAGTCAACGCCAAGATATCACAGGCCATGGCAAATAAGACCTTGTGAGAATGTAAGATTTCACCAACTTTGGTGAAATTATGAATTGAACCATCGGTACCAGGATATTGGACTAACCCACCACAGACGGTCTTAATGATTTTGTTTAATTCAGTAATACCTTCTTCAGTGGATAATGGGAGCTCGACAATTTCAACACCGATATTGCCAGCTCTTGATTTCAACACATTGACAGTTTGTGGGTGCAAATTTGTGTCAATAACGTAAACCTTTTTCTTGCCCTTCATGTTGTGGAAAGACAAGGACATGGCTTCGGCGGCGGCAGTACCTTCATCTAAAAGAGAAGCATTGGCCATTGGCAACCCAGTCAAGGAAGAAACCATAGTTTGGAAATTCAACAAAGATTCCAATCTACCTTGGGAGATTTCTGGTTGGTATGGAGTATATGAAGTATACCATTCTGGAGATTCCAATAAGTTTCTTTGAATAACAGCTGGGAGCTTAGTACCGGCATAACCTTTACCAATAAAAGATTTAACGATCTTGTTCTTAGCAGCAAGTTTTTGTAAATGTTCAATCATTTCCAGTTCAGTATAACCTTGAGCTGGGGAGACTGAGAGTTTACGCTTGATGAGGACATGGTTTGGAATGGCCAGGGTAAGGAATTCGTCTAAATCGGAATATCCCAATGTTTTAAGCATTTCTTGGACATTGGCGGGGGTAGGACCAATGTGTCTTCTAGCAAAAGTATCCAAATTAGCAAGTGATACCTTTTGAGCATTTGGGTTGTAAACATGGCCGTAGTTTGTGGATGAGGTGTTGGCAGTGGCCAAGTGTCTAATGAAGCTGGTGGTGCTGCATTTCAATGCAGTTGATGCAACAGTAGAGACTCTGACTCTTGCTGCTGATCTCAATAATGATTTGGTAGTAGCAGAAATCATTATTTAGTTATAGCGATATAGAAAATATAAAGAAAAGAGAGGAGAAGAAGAAGAAGAAGAAGAGAAAGAAGAAAGTGAAAAAGTACGTGAAAAATCCCGAGTTATATTTATTTGGTTAAATAGGAGGCCAGTCAAAACATTTTACCACCAGATGATCTTCGGACTAGCCCCGGAATGATAAAGTAACTTTCTTTTTTTTTTGTTTGTTTGGTGTAACGCGCACCGAAGAAGTCATGAAATGAGTTTTCGACTCTGGATAAGGCGCTCTGTCCAAACAATGGAATTCGAGACAAGAGTCAAGTTAGATGCGGAAAGTACCAACCGTTAATAATATTAATTATAAAATACGTGCCTTTCGTTTATCGTGATCTAATTAAAACCAAACGGCATCTCGAGATTTAGTCTTGCGGTTTTTAACTTCCAGTCCAGCTCCACTTTTATCGAAGTCAAAATGAAAAAAAATTTCTAAAGGGTTTTTCTTTTTTTTTTTATTCATTTTTTTTATATTTTTGGAACGTTTGCAATCATGTGATTTTGTTTTGAAGGGTGCTGGAATGTTGGTTTTGTGTAACAAACGAAATTCGATATCTCCGACCAGGTCTAATAACAATTTGCAGCTGGTTTAAATATTAACGAGAGTAATGTAACTTCTACTAGCATTTTATTGACATTCTTTTTTTTCATATTAAATCACTGACTGTCTCCCCTTTCTTCTCTCAAATTTAAATGAACAACTCTCTGCGATTCACTCCAGAAGAAGAAGAAAGTGCTACAAAATGCTCGATGTCTATTTACGATAACAAATATTCTACTACTTTGTGCCGTGTATGATATTAGAAACCTGTTTGATCTCACGTGGGGTGGTACCACAACACCCACCTACGATCCTAACATTGTCATTTTGCAACCAATTTGTAACACCTCTGATCCATTCATAGTCATTTTTTTCCTTCGGCCTAGCATTATCCCCTTCTACAATATATCCTAAATTAGGATTTAATATCACAGGAAGATGAATTCGTTCAACCATTTTCGAGATTAGCGTGTACTCGGTACAATTTATTCCAAGTCCGATAAACCATTCATCACTATGGCTATCAATATAACTCACTAGTTCAGATAACAGGGTGCCATCGGGAAGATTGTCTCCATCATTACTAATTATACTAATATAGTACGGTTTGGTATGGTTAAACTCATGGAACACAACAAATTCTTGCAATGTAGACACCGTTTCCAAACCAATCAAGTCCACCTTCGCATTGTCTGAAAAATACTGAAACAAAGGAATATGGTACGCCTGTAAAAATTCGTTGCTTACGTCAATGTTATTGCTGTACTCGGCACCACTTCCTAAACTAGCGGAGTAAGGCCCAATTGACCCCATAACAAGTACATCTCTATTGTCTATCGCCTCTAATGCAATATTGATTGCACTCTCCCAAATACCTTCAATCTGGCCATCTGTCAAATCAGTGTGCTGGCGTAACAAATTTTGTGATAACTGATAGGTGGCAGTAGCAATTATATCAGCACCACTAATAATATATTCTCGATGTACTTGTGCAAGTATTTCCGGTTTTGCTAATACTGCAAATCCCGACCAGAGTGGTGTCTTTGGGATGAATGGCTCTAGTTGTGTTCCTAAAGCACCATCCATTACCAATCGCTTACTGTGAATGATCTCTCGAATGTCTTTCATTTTGACACCACAGCACCTGACGCCCTCCCCCCACGATTTCTTTGTTCTAAGTCCGCACGAAATCTTCTTCAGTTTCACCACCATACAGAAAAAAAAAGAACCGGATGGCCAAAAATTTTCAACTATTACCATAACAACAACAGTTACCAGTCTCTTCAATTAGCTCAATATGGACGTCAATCCAGCTAAACGTACACGTGATGAGTATGAGCGTGATCATGAAGACACTCACACACATACTGCGCCCACTTCCGCATTAGATGAGTCGTTTTCTACCAAACGTCAGCATGTTGACCCTACCACCGAACTTATCAATAATGTATGTAAAGATATAAGACGTCTTGGTGAAAACCCCAACATCGCCAACCAAATTGACGACATTGCATACATATCCAACCCTATTGTTGCTGAGTTTGAGAAAATTGATGAATTGCGTCTGGCAATTTTGGACACCGTTTATGCCGTGATTATTGAACAGCCACACAAAATTCATGCGTTGGCAAACTTGGTTTTGGTTTGTAATTCCAAGAACTTTGTTGTTGCCAAATACGTAGTTGAATTCTTACATGCTAAAGTACAAGGATTGCTTGATCTGGTTGGACAAGAAGTGGAGATTAAAGAAGGATTCGATAAAGAAGGTGCTGGTGTATTCAATGATATCAAATGTGTGTTGAAATTCTTTAGTAGTTTAGCACCAATTATTGAAGGTTACGGCATTGTCAATATCTTTCTGCAATTGTTACAATTTGCTATTGACTTACAAGAAAGTACACCAAAAAGACACGGTATTGCCCAAGAAATTTACTATAATGTGTTGATCAGTGTTCCATATCTTTTAAGCAATGACAAGTCTCCAGAAATACTTGAAAAAATTGACAGTATCATTGAATTGGCCAAGAAGTTCAACATTGTCGAAACAGAATCTGTTTTATTACAGCCATTTGATTCTAGACTAGGCAATTATGAATTACCCTATGTTCCAAAGAAACTTATTAATTTGATCTTGCCTTCATTGTCTACTTTGCAAGAATCTAAGTGGGAAGATTTTAAATTATTTATTGATTTTGCTCCATTCCTTGATCCTATAATTGAAGAAGCGCTCAAGAACAACACCATTTCCAATGATATTGTCAAACATTCACTTCCCCAGTTTTCCTTGCCATCAGTCGAAACTATCTTGAAATATTCTCCACATGTGAACTCTATTGACAGATTATGGAAACATAACTCGCGTCTTTTGTTCCAGGTATACAACAACTCGACCGATTTCGAAACTGTTCCTAGAATCGAAACTTATCTAGGTCTTTTCTTCAAGGATATTGCCTTTGACATCTTAACCAACCTCAGTTTCAACAAGAATGAAGCCGCTATCCAGCTTTCCATTCTTGATTTGTTCTACGCCAAGGATTTATTTACCGCTCCTGGTTCCTCCATTGATCAACTTGCTGAAGTGAACAAGGCCAATCAAGCTGGAGAAAATACACCTGCGTTATCTACCTGGAAAATCGAAGATGTAGCCGTTGAATCTATCCTTACTATGATTTTCCAACTTCCAACTCCATTGCACCCTGAAATCTACTACTATACTGTCCTTATTGCTTGTTGTCGTGAATCTCCGGAATCAATAGCACCCGTGTTTGGTCGTGCCATTAGATTCTTTTATAACCACTTAGAAACTCTCGATTATGAATTGAAGGTTCGTTTCTTGGATTGGATGACAACGCAAATTTCTAACTTTGAATACAGTTGGAAATGGGATGAATGGGTTGGTGACTCGGAAAGATTGGCTGGGTTGAAGTATCATCCACGCCGAAACTTTATAAAGAATTTGATTGCCAAGGAAATTAGATTGAGTAACAAATCGAGAATTAAAGACAGTTTTGTCAGCATGGTGCAAAACAGACCTATTAGTACTACCACGGGTGATGTTAGTGATGAAGAAGTCGAAGATGCCGATTCTAACGCTGCTGATGCAGGAACCACTATTGTCCATCTTCTGGAGTTCAACCAGTATTTGGACATATCTATGATGGCACCTAATTCTGAACAGTATGTTCTCGACTATGACGTTGAACTCTACGGTACTGACGAAGTCAAGGATACCTTGATAAAATTGTATGAGCAAAAGAAGGAACAAATCAAGGGCAAGAGTTTAGTCACTGCTCAAGATGAAATTATATACAACTTTGCCAACCCTGATTTACCATATAATGAATCAGCCACCAAAGTATACGAATTTGTGGTTGCGCATTGGAAGACCAATGACGAGTTCTCCACTTTATGCCAAGATATCTTGACCTCCCTTGAATCACACCCTAACCCTATGCAATTCTTGGTCAATCTCGTTTTCCAAACGTATGCTTACATTGGTTCAAGATCTATCTACTCAGTTGTGTCGATTCTTTCCCGAGACATCAACAAGTTGAAACACCTCAGTGGTGCCACTATAACGTATGCTAATGACGAGCCCCACTTTGATACTCCCGAACTCACTCCTGAAGAAGTTACCTTACGTCAACAATGGATTATTGATGCTATTTTCCGAGTATGGATCCATCAACCACAAGTGGTGTTCCTTATTCTTGAATACTTAATTGAGTTTGGCATCGTTGATGCAAAACACATTGTTACTAAAGCGCTCGAGCTGAACTTAATCATTGATAATGTAAGTTGTATGGAGAGTGTGAATCGTATCCTTGGTTCTGCTAACAAGGAGTTGATTATTGTGTTGTTCAACCAGATCGTTACCAATTTAAACAAGGTGCAATTTGGTGATAAGATAGAGGAAGACAGCGATGATCAGTGGTTATTTGTTGAATATTTGGGATTACTCAAGAGTTATCTTAGAAAGTATATCAAGAACAATACCAAGGTTGATTACATTGATGAATTAAAGGAGTTGTTTGGAGCTGTGGAAAATGCAAAAGCAAAAGAGGAGATCTTGCAATGGGTGGATGAATGTGACGTGTAGTATAAATAGAGTTGTACAAATATATTACTAATTTTTCTTACGTGTGGATTTATCTATACAATTAAAAAACAAACTGGGTGAAGAATTACTATGTCATACTTCTGAAAGAATGAACGGAAAGCACTGGTTTCAAACCACCGGCTGGGTCTTCTTCCTCTTCCCAATCTAATTTTTGATGCTCGAGTTCCTTGTTGTTGTAATGATGGAATATCAACCAGAAACAACAACCAGCAATGAAACAACCAATTCCAATACCAGTATATGTCCAGACCATCTTTGGATTTTTGGAAGTTGAACTCAAAGCAATACCCAATACCGCACCAAATGCATTAGTAACTAAGAAAAGGGATGTGATGAATGACTTCATACTAGCTGGTGCCTTGGTGTATGCGTATTCTAACCCAGTAATGGAAGCGAGAATTTCCGACATGGCAATCAACAGGTATGCTGGGACTTGAATAGCTACATGTATTTGATTAGGAACAGTTTGGTATTCTGGTGCACACTCTTTGGGAAATTGGTAACATGGTCCCGCGGAGTAAATGTAATGTTGCAAAACAGCAGCATAGATCATGGCTGCCGTAGCAAACATGAATCCAAAGAAAATTTTGGTAATTGCTCTGAATGGAGTGAATCTTCTGATCAAGGGGTAAATCCACCTTTCACAAATTGGAATAAAGACAATAATTGTGATGGAGTTGATTGCTTGCAAGAAATCATTGGGCAATCCATGAAGCTCCATTTGACCTGCTTGGGAAATAAAATTGTTCACCATCTGTCCATAGACTAGCCAATATACTGGATAAAACACAAACACTTTGCAAGCATACAATGATCTCTTGACTTCCTCCACAAAATGATCAGTCCATGGATATCCTCTATCGGGGTTCACGCTTGGTTTTGCGGCATCTAAGTTGAACTTATTTCTAAGTCCAATCCAAATACATTGGAATGTTTTGTTGACAATTTTATCGCCGACTGGAGTTTTAACATACTGCTTTCTTCCAAGGAGAAGACAAAGTGGGGCAATAAAGAAGAAACAAAAGGGAAGTAAATATGCGGCCCAGAAATCAATCTTGTGTTCTAATTGAGTAGTGGCAAGCACAGACAATGACCCAATATTAATCATCATATAGAAAAACATAAATACATTTTGAATAGTGATGTTTGCATCTTGGATGACACGTTCACCTGACTTCAATACTTTAATAACTGGCTTGTGAGTAGGCACTTGGTCGGCAATCAATGGTGAGACATTGGACTTGACACCGCCGGTTGCCAAACCAATAATAATAATTGAAACTATAAATCCGCCCAAAGCCAGGTTATGATTGTTGATCGATGGAATGGAAGTGAGGAATAAGATAAGAATCCCAACTAAATAAACTCCACAAGCAAAAGTGATGGTTTTGTACTTCCCCCAATAAGTGTCAGCAAGCCAACCACCAAGGATAGGAGTGATGTAACACCAAAATTGGAAAAAGTAAGAGAGAGCAGTTGCACCATTTTGATTTAAACCAAGAAGACCTCTAGGTGAGTCTTGTGGGGTATTTTGCATGTAGTTCTGAAATGGAGCTGACAACCCATAGTAACTGAACCGCTCGGCTAATTCAACAATAGCCACAAGCCAGCATCGTAATGGGATTGGTTCAGCCACATGTCTAAGTGTTTCAAGTTCTAAATCTGTTGGTGCCCTACCTTCATCTGGAATAACGTCAGGAGATATTTCTTGGAAAGAATCTTCTGTTCCTTTATCGTCTTTACTTGGTTGTAAAGAAGACATGATAGTGTATGATGTATATATAAATAAAAAAGAAGAAATGGAGATCAGGGGCAATCTGAATCTATTTATACAAATCCAACGGTTAATTTATCTATGGCATGATATGGTTACAATGCCCCGGGTATAGCTGACCAGTGGATGACGTATGGAATTTGCAACATTCCAAGACTAGGTTACATTTTTGGGGCAATTTTCGCACGGCGATCGGAGTTTTGAAAAAACACCACAGTGTAATAAGGTTTGATAGACACCCAGGTTTGAGGTGACGCAAGCCTATTGGCTCAAATTTGCAATTAGCCAAAGCTTGTAAAGATATTATTTACAGATATGGCGACTTGTCAGATGTTATTTTCCAAATTTGGGGATTCTGTGGATTTCACTAGATAAGTACCACTGGAAATCAAGGCATTTGCGATCTTCATATCTTGGCATTCATTCTCGAACAATGATATCAAGATATGAAAACTCTTGGTTAAGTTTAATGACTTTTTGATTTCGTGCCGTTCGTTATAATTAGAATCGTAAACAAATTTCACATAAACATGCCAAGTATTTCTTATCGTGAATTTTCACCTGGCTTGAAGCTTATTTTTATTGCATCCAAACACAGTTGGAGCTCCAAATTGTTAACTTTCTACGAAGGTTTCTAAAAGAGCTTTATATACACCAGGGAAATTATGTCAAAATATTGACAAAGTTCTTTAGTTTACCATCAACAGTTGCGGGGTGTAATAGCAAATTTTGAAATTGTCTTGGTTTTCTATATTGTTGTACAAAAAATTATTGCAAACTTTCTTGGCTCCTCTGGGATGAGCACTGTCTTTTAATTGTTTCTAAATTCAACAGGAAGAGGAGCACTGCCACTTCCCTCCCTCCTCCTCCTCCTCCCCCCCTCACCCTCTAGTTGCTTTGTCATAACTTGATAAGATCCTTACTCCACAAGTTAAAATCATACGTTCTGTTTGGTTGCAAAACTAGACAAAAGAACAGAGGTCTTGTGACTGCATATAACCATCATATCTACATACGTAAAACATGGTCTTATCCTTTATCTTAAATAATCATATCAATGGAATTCAGAATGAATTAGCTCTTATCTATAGGTATAAGCCCCGTGGTTCCAAAGATAATGAATAAAAAGGATAAACAGGCGAAATCCTTAACTGTGCCGTGCTTCCCCGGTGACTAAGTAATATTTAGCGAAGAAAATAATCCCGAGGCAAGGATCACAAAAGCTTAATGTTATGTACTCTCTTTCAAATCTACCCCACCCTCAATCGCCGTGTATTTTAAAGAGGAGGTTCTATGGTGAAAATCAGATTGCTTAGGTACTTTTAAGGAGCCACATTTGAGTCCACGGCGGGAACTAGACCGGATACTTTATCAAAAATCTACATTTTTATGTACTGAAGCTGAGAATGATATAAAAGTTTGTGTGATCTATAAGGATGTGTGAATATCATATTTTCTTTTGACAAGGTTATATTCAACACCAAATCATGAATTGGATCAATCATTGAAGTCGCCTGAATGTTTGGTATTATGTTAGAAATATTTTCTTAACAAACGATATTGTTTTTTTTTAATACCTCTTCAAAAAATAAACAATGCCAGGTAAGCCGAACAGTGATATATAACCATATCCAATTGATTGCGTCAGCAGGTTATATATGATGAATAATGCCACATTACAAACTCCAATGCAAGAGGTAAAATCCCAAGCGTCTATATTATCCTTACCAGATGAAATCCTTTTCTATATCTTATCCCATGTGAATCAAAAGTCAGTCTTGGCATTTATTTTAACAAGCAAGAGATCATATAATGTAGGGATGAAGAAATTATACCACTCCATCTATGTCAACCAGCGACGAATTATTACTTATCCAGCTTTGAGTTGCCAAGCGGATATCCCCTTTAATTTTCAATTTACAATTGTCAATGAGTGGAGAAATCTCGCCATGTTATTTGCCCTGAAATATATTGATCTCGTCACCAAAATAGTGATACGGGAAGAAGAGGACGAATTCTGTAGTAGTATTGTGAGTAGATGGCCCCATATTCAAGCATCGCATGAATATTGTTCTGCACTGGGATTGACAAGGTTTGGTGAAAAGCTTGTGTTTCACTCTAACCTTTATATAGACCTACCTATAGAGGATAACTATCTAATCAAGAACTTTGTTCTCAATCCCCATCAGCTGGATATCTTGAACATTGTTCCTAGTTTGAAAAGTCTTGAAAAGATATCGTTGACCACAGTACAATTAGACCCATTGATAATTAAGAACGAAACTCCCATTGAAATCAAAACTTTATCAATCAGCGCTTGTTACAATCATCAAGGAGAATTCAGAGAGCTAGCAAGGTTATTTAACCTAAGTGAGGTGCGTAGTTTTGATATATACTATACTTGGGTACCTCGAACACCAGGGGATGTTCGAATATTCATTAATGAATTGACTTGGCTACTCTCTAAATTATCCAAAGTTGAAGAATTGACAATTGCAAGCATTATGATACCAGAGGCAATTGAGCCAGTCTTGTTATCACTAAGACCAAATCAGATACGCGTATTGAGGTTGGTGTGCGAATTGGATTACCCATTTTACCTAATGACTGGTCTTAGAAGTGGGCTAATTTCTCAACGACACTCTTTAATTGAATTCCACTGGGACTCCGGAATTCAAATACTGATTAACCCGAAACGAATTTACAAATTACCAGTTAATGATAGAATCTACTTCCAAATACAGGCTTTCCTTGAAGATGAGTATTTATTACCCAAACTTCATAGAGTGTCAATTGAAGGATATCACTATCTAATCAACAGAATTGGGGATGGGATTCCTGTATTTCTCCCGAATGAATAAGGAAACTTGGATTTAAGTTTCCTAATCACATTCAAAGAGTACACTATTGTGGGAGTTTAATATACATATTATACCAATAGCCATTTCTCTAATCTTGTGAATTTTCAAAATCCTCTTCTTTAACTACTGGGCATATGCTCAGATAAGAATCACCCCATAGTTGAGTTGAGTGTTTTTTTTTTTTAATTCGCAATTTTTCACATTCAATCCCCGTTTCCTTTGAACCACAATTCCATCACTGATAGAACTTATAGACCATGAATAACGCGGACAACACAAAAGACACTTCACTCGCTATAGAAACGCATAAACTCACATACACATTCCCTACCTCCCACAAGATTGGACTTCAAGACATCACCCTTGAAATTCCTTGGGGCACCACCAACCTCATCATTGGTCCCAATGGGGCTGGGAAATCTACCTTGCTTAAGATCCTTGCTGGTAAGACCCTTATCAAGAGTGGACTTCTCAAGATTGGAGGGTTTGATCCATTTGAATTCAGAAGTAACCGTAATGAACAGCACAATTCCGATATAAACAGTTATATTACTTATTTGGGTACTGAATGGGCCGCCAACTCAGTAGTAAAACGTGATATCCCTGTTAATTTGTTATTATCCAGTGTAGGTGGAGAAGTTTATGCCGAGAGAAGAAACAGGTTGATCGATATTTTGGATATTGACCCTAGTTGGTCTATGCTTAATGTTAGTGATGGTGAACGAAGAAGAGTGCAAATTGCCATGGGATTGTGTAAGCCATGGAGGTTGTTGTTGTTAGATGAAGTTACCATTGATTTAGATGTGGTGGTTCGTCTGCGTCTTTTGAATTACTTGCGTGAAGAATGTCATCAAAGACAATGTACTGTAATTTATGCCACCCATATTTTTGATGGGTTAGGACACAATTGGTTTGACAGAGTAATTCATTTAGATGCTGGTATGATGTTGGATGATTTGAAACAGTCTGAGATCAAGTTTGTTAATGATAACAATGGTAATGGTGTTAAAATTGAAGGAGGAGCACATATTCATCCAGCTCATAGTGTTTCTATTACCAAGGCAGAGTCGTTACATCCATTGGCTTTACATTGGTTATATGATGATTTAGAGAGAAGAGGTACTAGAGAAGACGAAAAAGAGAAAATGGCCCAAAGGCACAATGATTGGGTCAACACACGAGATGGGAAGTATTTTGATGCCGAGGATGATGTGTTGGTGAAATACTTTAAAGCTACCAGAAGTGGTAGATGATATAGATATGCAAAATTATGTATAAAACTATAGACTATCTAGGCTTGACTATTACCTAACCTAAACTCTCTTTCCATGCGTAAAAACTCATTGACATCTTCAAGATATTTCATTTTGTATTGCATCAAATAATTGTTATAGTTAGTTTCTATTTCCTGAACTGTGTTTCCATACATAGTATAATCACCAAGTTCAACCGGGTGTAATTTAGTATAAGCAGACAGCGATTTGTCTACTGTTGAGGATGCAGTTGTAGTTGTTGTTGTTGCAGTTGTTTGTTGAAGCTCTGAAAGGACATTGACTCGTGAGGGTGTAGGGGGTACCTCTTGTAACTTTCTTCGGGTATTGACCACTAATGCCTGTTTTATCGGCGTGGTGGGGGCTCTTTTTCTATTGTTGACTAGTTTTATAGGAGATTCACGTAAATGTGAAGATGAAGGAGGCATTAAATTAGGAGAAGTTTCCTGTAAAGGCAATTTGTTAGTGACATTATTATTGTTTGACAACATTTTCTGGTTCAGATTGTGATTTTCTATGTTATCTATGTCCATGATGCTGAGATATAGGATGATGCTATGTAAATGCTGACTGAACGAACCGTGGTATACACAAAAACAAAGAGGGTTGTAAAAACAAATAAAAAACGTAAACAGTGCGCGCGGTCCCTTAAAATTTTGAAAACTTTGATCTCATGTCGCAAATTGAATCAGTGTCGCAAACTACGACATTATAAATGTGTCAAGGCAAAGGTAGGAAATATCGGATTTAGTAATTAATTGTATCTTACACCATATTGTTAAAGATTGCTTAAGCCTCGCTTTTTGTTACAGTTACAAAGATAGTTATTGTCCTGTTTGAAAATAATGTAGGATCCCCCTCCCCATTAGCAATCGTTCAGTCATCAGAATTGTAAAGCAATAAATCTGTTGCCTGTTATTTCATCTGGTTCTTTGACTTGGAATTTATAATCAAAACATATAGTAATATACTAAGGGGGAGGTGAACATAGCCTAGCCTTTAATTTATAGTTTGACTTTCCCAAATTGTGGGCTATAACCATAAATGATCATACTCTAACTTTGCGCTACATTTCTTAAGTCTGCATTAACGAAACCAATACCATTCATTTACGAATACTTGCAAATTCTCTGATGACATCATCATCAAAGGCTCGGTTAAGGTCGGCTGGATCTTTAGTCATTGCTCGGTACTAACCAGGCTGTGTGGTGAGTGACCCTGTTTTTCGATTTTCCTAGTCCAGCTCGTCATGTGACAGTCGGAAAAACATACACCCACATACAGATGATGAAATTTGCGTAAATCTTTTTCCCACTATATAAAATGATTACTAAGTCCTTACCAATTGGACAAAAGAAACTAATCAATTTTGTTTGATTCCAATCATAGACTACATAAGTTCTTTTTAAGATCAACACATCTTATTTCAGTTATCAACCCCTACTTTAACTACAATCAATCCAATAAAATACACGCACGATTTGCCCCTATAATTTTAAGTGCCCATGTTGAAGTTCAAGAATAAGTTCAAATTTGGATTATCGGAGAAATCTCCCAATTCATCATCAAATTCATCACCAGCCTCATCACATAAGGATACCACCCCGGAAAAGTCACCCGAACCGAGAAAGACATTGACCTCGGATCTAAGCGATAATATTCTGAAATTGACCCTTGGTGACAGTGAAGCCGGAGCTAGCGCCACTGCTTCTCCTGATGTTCCACATGGCCAAATACACGGCACAGAAAATGGTGGTCCTTCAGCCTTATTTTTAAATGAACCACCATCCTCAGATTCCAATATTACCACTAACAACTCGGCCGCGTCTTCCCAACGCACTACTGCGTCCAACTCAAGACCACCAGTACCAACAATGGAAACCAGTAATTCTAATGATTCCGCTAATCCCCACACACCGTCCAGTCCAGGCTTACTAACGGTTAAGATTTACACGTCAAACAATATCCAACTCCCGATCAAGATCAACAATTCCAAGCAAATTCTTCATGCTCTTGCCATTAACTCAAACAATGAAACCATCGGTCAACAATTACTTAAGAATTTGGAAACCTTAAACAATGCCGAAGGTGATAACCATCCTTTAGTTGGCGATCTTCTCCCGGGAACAATCGCATCGAATTTCTTGCCTTCAATTATCACTATTCCTAATGCCGAGAATTTGGTCAAGTCATTACTTTATTTGACGATTGAATTTGACAATAACGTTTTGGTGATCGAACCACAAAAGGGTACCGTCAATAGAAGTACCTGGAACCAGGTGGTTTCCTTTGATGTTACCAAGAAGTCCCAAGAAACAACCAATGGTGGAGATAACGAAACGGGATCGAGTTTCCTTAACCTTAATTTGTTTATTAGGTTACCTAACATGTTGATTCCTGATTCTGAAAAGGTAACAAAGAAGCATTTATTCACTAATTCTGGTCTGCAGCCACAACTGCCCGGGAAATCAAATGCGTCTGCTAACTCGGGTTCTGCGCCAGCAAACATCGGAGATTTACTCATTGGTACCATTAAATTGCCATTGAATCTCAAGTACCATAGCCAACCAATTAGATTAATGAATCACGAATATCTTAAGTTTTCCAATTACAATGCCAATTTGCAAGATTTAATTTCAACGGAAATGGGAGAGATTATGTTGACTATTGAATTCAAACCAATCACTAAGAAACATTTGGCCATTACAGATTTTGATTTGCTTAAGGTTATAGGTAAAGGTTCGTTTGGGAAAGTCATGCAAGTTGTCAAGAAGGACACTAAGCAAATTTACGCTTTGAAGACATTGAGGAAACAACATATTGTTTCAAGAATGGAGGTTACTCATACCCTTGCTGAAAGAACTGTGTTGGCCAGAATTAACAATCCTTTTATTGTTCCTTTGAAGTTTAGTTTCCAATCACCGGAGAAGTTGTACTTGGTGTTATCATTTATCAATGGGGGTGAACTCTTTTGGCATTTACAAAGAGAAGGTAAATTCAGTATGGATAGATCAAGGTTCTACATTGCTGAACTTTTAACTGCGTTGGAAAGCTTGCATGATCTCAATGTGATTTATCGAGATCTTAAACCTGAGAATATCTTACTTGATTACCAGGGACATATTGCCCTCTGTGATTTTGGACTTTGTAAATTGAACATGAGTAATGATGACAAGACCAATACGTTTTGTGGTACCCCAGAATATCTTGCTCCTGAACTTCTTTTGAATCAAGGTTATACCAGATCAGTTGATTGGTGGACTCTTGGAACATTACTTTACGAGATGCTTACTGGCCTTCCACCATTTTATGATGATGATGTCCCTACCATGTACAAGAAGATTCTTCAAGATCCACTCCGATTCCCAAGTTTCCTCGACCATACAGACGCTCAAGATCTTTTGATCAAACTCTTGCAGAAGGATCCTGCAAATAGATTAGACGATGCCAATGAAATCAAATCTCACCCTTTCTTTAAAGACATAGATTGGGTCAAGTTGTTGAATAAGAGCTATTTGCCACCTTTCAAGCCTAATGTTGAGAATTTATTGGATACCCTGAATTTCGATCAGGACTTCACTAGTGAGAAACCTCAGGATTCGGTCGTGGATGATTTCTTGACTGAGAGTGTTCAAAAACAATTTGGTGGCTGGACTTATAATGGAGATAATGTCTTATAATTGTGATCCCTCGCGGATTTTAAATAAATGTTATAGAAAATAGATATTAATGTGAAGTTATATATGCTGTAGTTTGAACATCTGCCAGTTGATTATACATGGACATTGGGGTAAGACATAATTACTTGATTAAAACAATACCTAAATTCTACATAAAAAATAAATAACACAAACTACCTTACTTGTTAGCAGCTTCATGGTAAGTAGCACTTGATCTTCCCGGGAATCCCTTATGGGCATTCTTGCTGGTTTTCCCCTTATTCAAAGGAGCCCCATGTTTGCCATAATTATCAGGATAATCCCCCATTTGAATCCGTTGTTGTTCCCGAGCGAGAAATTCCGGATATTGTGGATTAACATGCTGTGGAGGAGCAATGGCTATATTAACCTTGTCTGGTTGGATGGTGTATGCGTTTGCTGGGGGATATCCTTGATATTGGTTTGGCTTTTCGTATCCATAGCTGGGCTGTTGATATCCTGGATTGTAGCCTGGTTGCTGATATCCTGGATTGTAGCCTGGTTGCTGATAACTGGGGTTGTATCCTGGCTGTTGATATCCTGGATTGTATCCTTGATTAGGATTGTCATAGTATGGTTGTTGGTATTGTTGCTGCTGAGGTTGCTGCTGTGGTTGCATCTCCTCATAAGGAGGTGGTGCATCCATTGGGGGTCTGTTATAAGATCCTTCCTTTTCTTGCTGTTTCAACTGTTCTTTCTCTGACATGATGATTACACTTTAAAGTTAGATTAATTGGCAAGTAAAAGAAAGAGGCACTGTTTTACGTGAAATTAATGATGTGAATATTGGCACTCCCCCTAGATTTCATTTTTGTGTCACTTTCAAACTTCACACCAGAAAAAAAAAATATAGAAGAAAATTTTCACAGAGAACCTTAAGACACCAACAGTGAACCAACCCTTCAAACATGTTCAAATCATTCGCCAAACCCCAGTCATCCTCGGGTGTGCTCACATTCATTCGTGGAAAGAGAATATCGGCAACCAACCCAGCCACCGAAAGAATCGTCCAACAACTTTCCGTTCTTGCTGCCGGTAGAAAACAACCTAAGTTACTTAACTTGAGTAATGAAGATATCGTCAAGCACCGTACTATCATGAGTGCATGGAAGTTGTTCACCAGGAAAAAGAAGCGTGCTGAACAAGAACAACTCAACCAACAATATGAAAGTATCTGTAATGCCATGAATGATTTAAAAGAAACCAGTCCAGCTTTGTTTGAACTTGCCAGTCATAAAGAAAAGAGGTTAAGATTCCCATTGGAAATGAGATTCCCTACCGAATACCCACCAAATAGACCATGGGTGTATAACTTCACTGGTCCTGTAAAGAAGAGAAAGTAGAGTGTGTACGTTAACTTATGTAAATAGATTATAATAATACAGCATGTATATATAAAGACTAATCATCTAAGACTCGTGCTTTACGTTTTCGCATGGGTGTTCCTGAACCGCTGGTACTGTCGCCAGGAGATGCCGCACTTACAGCAGTTGCGCCACTAGTTATACTTGCTCCTGGCGAAGCAGCATTGGCATTCTTCATACCTGCACTTCCTGGATCAATGGAATCCTCATAATCATCAAAATCGTCTTTATTTGCATTATTACTTCCATTCATGCCATAGTTCCCTCCTTGTCGTTTCATTAAACCCTTAATGTAATTCACCGAGCTCAAGCTGAAAATATGATCATCTTCAGTATACACTATCCTTCGTTTATTCCCTCCAAATCCACTCAGTGCTCCCCCACCTCCTCCACCGCCACCACTACCACCACTACTTCCACCACCTCCACTTTTGGAGAAGTTCTCAAACCCTTTAACGATATTCCCGAAATTACTCTCCTCGAAGTAATCAAGTTCCTTTTGATATATTGAATCTTCCAATGAAGTTAGTTTCGTAGTTAGTTCCTGACGTTTTACGATCTGTTGAATAAGTTTATTCTTTAACTTGTTGTAATTCTCAACTCCTTCATTTTGACTCGTGGGTTTATTGGTTTCTTCGGTTTTATTATTGATATTTAGATTTTCTATCTTTGCTGCTTTTGGTGAAGATGCTACTTTGCTCGGCAGCCCTTTGCCATCTTTTTCTTTGCTAGCCATGGTTGTATTGCCTTGCCCTAACCCTGCTTATGTTGATATTTGGGTTGACTTTAGATCATTGGAAAAAATATGAAAATGTCGCGCATATTCCAAAGAAATGTCTCGCTTTATACGATATGGAAAAGCGCTACCATATCCCTGGACAATTGGCTAATTATGAGAAGCTTTCAATTAGCGTTTGGGACTCTTTCATCTGGATTTCAATGTTGAGTATTATGAAAGGTTCACAAGGTCAAGACTCTTTCCTCGAAATGCAAACATCGAATACCAATTGGTCTTGGTACTCAGCATTAGCATTTTGGCAAAATAGTCAGACGGAAAAACCTTTCTAGAAACTCATCAGATCTTACGCAACCAGCCAGTACGGTTTAAAGCTTATCTGAAAAGGATCTTTGATTTTGGTATAAGTTATATACATGGATGGTTAATTGTAATTCCAGCTATTAAACTTCTACAACTGGTCTAAAATTCAACAAAATCAACAGTATTTTGGGTGTGTCATTTTTCATTTCCCCCTGGTCACTAACTATAGTTGCGTGGTAGCTATCGGACTAGTTTCTCAAGTGAGGCAAACTAAATTGATCTATAACATGTTTGTATCCGTTGATAGTCACAATTGAGTTAGTTTCTCTCTTGGTTAAGTGTATTAAGAACAAGTATTGAGTTTACTTGAATAACTTCGAAAATGAGGAGTATACTTTTCATCACTCGATTTCTCTGTGTGTGGGTATAATCAAAGTTATGCAGGATATAGTTCAAATTAGGATTATGGGGAAAATTTTACCTTTTGGTTGATTTTGTTACTCAAAATGACTCATTATGAATGTGAAGTGCCTAGCTATTTTTGTGTAACTAGTATAGATTTCGTTGAATTTACAATAGTAGTGTGTTAAAAGTATCAATTGAACAGCTACGCATGATGTACTAGTTGCAATGTGTGCCTCGGGCGAAAGCTACCAAAAAGTTGCAACTCTCCGGGGAAGTTGTTCACAGTCCCTCCGAGGCGAGTAAAAATTTCCGCACAGTTCCGGGGCCGGAGAATATGGAAGGGGAAAAAAAAAAAACTACCATGGCGGTTAGTTGCTGACCGAGCATGCTTTTGTGGGAGAGGGAGGCGCTATCATTGTTGCGCGCATTGGCCAACTCCGACGCCGAACAATTTTTTTTAACTAGGAAGGTTAAGTAAAAAGTTGGAGAAATTGAACAGCAATTGATAATTATTGGCTAGCAATTGGGTATCAATTGATATGAGATTCTCATTATAGAAATTTTTCAGTTACGTAGATTACTCATATGATGGTATTAAGTTTCTAATTACAAAAATTATAAACAAGAAATCAAATTAACGTTACAACAGAAAACTGTGGATATGCTCGTTGTTGCGTTCGGTGACACTTGACGTGCCAGGGCACAATCACGCTCTAGCAAGCCCAAATTAGCAACTAAACCATATCCTGATGCGCCCCGTTGGCTGTTGTAAATTAAAACTGAAAAAAAAATTAATAGCTTATCCGGGAAAGTGTGGCCCACTATTTTTTTTTCCATCAGTCCATACATACAAAATTAACGCAAGCCCGTTTTTGGCTCACCCCTCTTGTTTTATTTATTTATTTTTAATTAAGAATCTCCTTATGTTTCATTATCCCTAAAAACTCAATTGTGTAATTTATTTTTTTTTTCACGTTTTTCAGATTTTATTCCAGAGAGTTCCGTTAGTTCTATTATAAATAGAATTGTTGTTGTCCGTCAATTCAATTTCATATTTTTATTTCTCTTTTTCTTCTTTCTCTTTTTTTTCTTCTTTGTAGATTCAATTCAATTGATATTATACATATACAATGGCCATCACTAAAGTTTTTGCTAGATACGTTTACGACTCCAGAGGAAACCCAACCGTCGAAGTCGACTTACACACCGAAAAGGGTTTATTCAGATCAATTGTTCCATCTGGTGCTTCCACTGGTATTCACGAAGCTTTGGAATTGAGAGATGGTGATAAGTCCAAGTGGTTAGGTAAGGGTGTCTTAAAGGCTGTTGCCAACGTTAACGACATCATTGCTCCAGCTGTTGTTAAGGCTAACTTAGATGTCACTAACCAAGCTAAGGTTGATGAATTCTTGTTGTCTCTTGACGGTACCCCAAACAAGTCCAAGTTGGGTGCTAACGCTATTTTGGGTGTTTCTTTAGCTGCTGCCAAGGCTGGTGCCGCTGAAGTTGGTGTCCCATTATACAAGCACTTGGCTAAGTTGGCTAATGCTAAGGACGACGGTAAGTTCGTTTTACCAGTTCCATTCCAAAACGTCTTGAACGGTGGTTCCCACGCTGGTGGTGCTTTAGCCTTCCAAGAATTCATGATTGTTCCAACTGGTGCTGAAACTTTCTCTGAAGGTTTAAGAATTGGTTCTGAAGTTTACCACAACTTGAAGACTTTAACCAAGAAGAAGTACGGTCAATCCGCCGGTAACGTCGGTGACGAAGGTGGTGTTGCTCCAGATATCGGATCTCCAAAGGAAGCCTTGGACTTGATTACTGATGCCATTGAAAAGGCTGGTTACACTGGTAGAGTTGGTATTGCTCTTGATGTTGCCTCTTCTGAATTCTTCAAGGACGGTAAGTACGACTTGGACTTCAAGAACCCAGAATCTGACGAATCTAAATGGTTATCTGGTGAACAATTGGCTGCTTTATACGAAGAATTGATTGCTGCCTACCCAATTGTTTCTATTGAAGATCCATTTGCCGAAGATGACTGGGATGCTTGGGTTCACTTCTACTCCAAGGTTGGTTCCAAGATTCAAATCGTCGGTGATGATTTAACTGTCACTAACCCAATCAGAATCAAGACTGCCATTGAAAAGAAGGCTGCCAACAACTTGTTGTTGAAGGTTAACCAAATTGGTACTTTAACCGAATCCATCCAAGCTGCTAACGATTCTTATGCTGCTGGTTGGGGTGTTATGGTTTCCCACAGATCTGGTGAAACTGAAGACACCTTCATTGCTGACTTGTCTGTCGGTTTAAGAACTGGTCAAATCAAGACTGGTGCTCCAGCCAGATCTGAAAGATTGGCCAAGTTGAACCAAATCTTGAGAATTGAAGAAGAATTAGGTGACAAGGCTATCTACGCTGGTAAGGACTTCCACACTGCTCAAACTTTGTAAGTTTAAATAGTTGTTTAACATTTTCTTATGAATATAATTAGAAGAGTAAAACGAGTGTAGCATTATAACTATATGTCTATTTTAAAAGGGTATGGTTCTGTTCAATTGCATCCAATGCCTCGAAGAGTCTTTGACTGGCATGATATGTCTCAGTAAAAGTGTTGTACAAAGGCAAAGGAGCTAAACGAATAACATCGGGTCTTCTTTCATCACAAATAATTCCTCTATCATGTAAGTACTTGTTCACTCTTTCCATGACATTCTTTTCCTTGTCATCAAAATGAGGTTGGAACAAGATTGACAATTGACACCCGCGTTCACTTGGATTTAATGGAGTTAAGATCTTGAATCCGAGTTTAGAACCATCAGTATCGTCTTGTTTAATGTAGTATTTGCTTGAAGTTAACAAATCTTGAAGGAATTGTGTTAACTTTATCGATTTTTTACGTAAAGTTTCAACCCCACCTACTTTAGCAAATAATTCAAGCGATGATCTGACCGCAACAGTGTCAATAACACTTGGGTTGGACATTCTGTATGAAAGCGCCAGATTAATTGGGTCAAATTTTTCAAGCATCTTGAACCTTTCATCCAGGTTGTTCCCCCACCAACCGGCCAATCTCGGTTGGAAATGTCCCGTGGTGTTATCGCGGGTATAATGTTCATGGACATATATTCCGGCAATACCTCCTGGTCCCGAGTTCAAGTACTTGTATGAACACCATGCTGCGAAATCCACATTCCAATCGTGGAGGTGTAATGGGACATTACCAACCGCATGGGCCAAATCCCACCCTACTTTGATATCAGATGATTTTTCCTTGATGTATCTGGTTATCTCAGCGATATCAAATAATTGTCCGGTATAGTATTGAATCCCTGGAAAACACACAAGAGCAAGTTCATCGATATTTTCATCGACGAATCGTTTAATTTGCTCGGTGGTAAGATGGGTCTTGCCCTTTTCGACCCCAACTTGAATCAAATGGGATTCGTCATATCCAAACAACTTCACCAAGTTTAAAAATGCATAGAAATCACTAGGAAATGCCTGTTTTTCAAATAAGATCTTGGTTCTTTTACCCTTTGGTTTATAGAAATGGATCAACAAAGCGTTTAAATTGGCAGTAAGTGATCCCATTACCGCAACTTCATTCTCTTTAGCTCCGACAATTGGGGCCACCAAAGGAAGGAGAGGCAAGTCAATGTCTACCCATGGAGTGCTCAGAGGGTGATTAAAGTGGGACTCAACTGCACGATGTTCCCAGGCAGTCAATTCTGCTAAAATGGCTGTTTTGGTTTGTTTTGGCATAAGGCCAAGGGAGTTACCACAAAGGTATATGGATTCGGTGGAGGGAGTAAGTGTGGGGCCATTGGTAACACTAGGTGGGGAGATTCCTAAGGTTTCAAATGTTGGGATGGCGAATTCCAGCTTATAGGTTGGAAATTCCTCATCCAACTGGTTGGCTTGTTGTAACGACATTGTATATGCAGTGGTGGTTATTCCAAAGATTGTAACATATCTTTGCAATTTTTTTTCAACCCGGATTTAAATTTTCCGGGTTGGGCAGACTACTAAGAATAAACAATAATATCACTACCATGATTCATTCAGTATTAATATGTATGTTTGACATCTGTACATGATATCAATAAATATACTAACACTCTAGTTCAGTTAATAATGACGGATTGCCGCGTCTAATGAAGTTCTATACCCAGGTGGACATCCCCACCCAACGACTTCTCCTTCAACAAGTCCACCAATTGATATCTGTTCGAACACCACAAGAATGTTCGTTTATAACCCCACCATCACTTCTTGAAGATGTGGAGGACATCAAAGTGATTTATCGTCATTATGCTACTCTTTACTTTGTGTTTATTGTCGATGATCAAGAATCAGAATTGGGGATCCTCGATTTGATCCAAGTGTTTGTTGAATGTTTAGATAAATGTTTCACCAATGTTTGTGAATTGGATTTAGTATTTGGATGGCAAGTTCTTCAAACTGTATTAGAGGAAATTGTGCAAGGTGGTATGGTCATTGATACCAATATCAGTAGAATAGTAGCTGCAGTTGATGAAGCAAATAGTCAGAAAAATGGAGGTACCAATGCAGGTGCATCCATATTGCTGTCATTGTCACGAGATAGAGGATTTTGGGGCAGATAATATATGTATATTACTATTTACAGGGAATAATAGAACATTTATAAGTAGCAGTGTTTATTTCCACCACCACCACCACCACTTTTTCTTTTCTCCTCCACTTATCAAAGCTTCAGCTTCACGCATTTCAGCTTTAGCTCTTTCAACTTCCTCTTTCAGTTCGTCTAATGCTTGATCTCTTCTTACTCCTTCGTAATCCACCAACTGTTGACCTAAATTACGTTGATCCTTCTCAAACGGGGACCCGATAGGACCAGTTTTCCAAATTGGTTCATCCAGCTTAGCAGTTTGTTTCACAATTTCCATCAATCTTTGCTGTTCCAATTCCCGTAATGCCTTGTTACGTTCATAGTCTCGACGAACTTCGGGTGAGAAGGAAGCAATTAAATCCTCTTCACTAGGTCTGATTGTGTTGTAAAGAAGAACCCCGGTTCCAATAATACATCCTCCGGCAAAGTATACTCTAGCCCATCGGTACCATAATGGTTTAGTTGACATGTTGTGCTTTTGTTGGCTTTGCTTAGTTTAGCAAGGCTTGTTATTTGCTGTGGTTGATATATCAATCTTTTCTTGAGGTTCATCTTGGTCATGCGTTTATCACGTGTGCAACTAAATTGAAAAATAATTGACAAATTCAAGTGCCTTGTAGTGGCATGAAAAGCTCGGATTACATCAGAGTTTTTCATTATCTAAAGATTGATACCATTGGAGGAAATGAATTTTTATCATTTCTCCCATTTGAATAAGTGCTATCCTAATTTTGGATTGGTTTGAGGGTTGAACTTCTTCAACACCTATATTTTTTTTGCAACAATTTGCCACATTGTTTTGAAAGGAACTGTGCGTCTAAGTTGAATTGGCAAATTACTCTTCCTTAAATAGAATCATGACAGACTATGACCCAACAAAAGTGTAATAGATACAATTAGCATTGTGTTATGCGGAGAGGGGGGGAAGGGATTGCGATTGTGAACCATTAATTCTCTTGACGAGGTTAAGTAGAAATCGCCACAAATAGAATAAACAATCAAGCTGCTGAATCTAATGTATTAAGAACAACTAAGTTGCATTATCAATTCAATTCTTGCCCCATTTAGGGAATTCACCCTGACTACCCAGTAATAATTTGCAGCACATGATTTTCTTGTAAATTAATACATTGAAATGTTGAAATGTTTGAACGGTGAATTAACAAGAAAAATGCAAGAACTAGTGGAGTATACCATGCAATATGACGACTACAATAGGAATGCACTTGGCTGCCAAGATTATATCTTAGAAGGAATATTCAGCAGTAATCACCATTGCAACGTAGCAACATCCCAAAGCCTCCATGGATAGAACTGCGATTATTACGATTAAAAGGAGTCAAGAGGCGACTTATGTCGGCTAAATCAGGGGATGGCATCGGCGCAAGTGTATACTCTTAATTATCATTAAGAAGAACCTAGTGCCGGAATATAGACTAAAAAGATCAGCTGTTTAATAACCAAAACAATGTAACGTTGTCGGCTCCAAAAAAAATACAACGGTCGTGTACCACCCATTCAATACAGGGGTGACACAAAAGAAATAAAAAAATGAGAAAAATTGGGAAAATTTTTTAGCCCAAAAAAAAAAAAAAAAATTCCCTAGGTCAATTTGTTTTGTAAACGAGCTAAACGACACACTGTTTTTAACAAACAAAGCATATTGCTGCACTACACAACCAGTTAAGACGCGCCAGTTATTATTGACTAATTGGACCTATCACATCAAGCGTTACCACACTTTACGTCAAAAGTTATTTTACCCCTGACTGACACCAAACTTTCCATTCACTTTGAGCTCAGCCTGAATTAAATTTTGGGTTAATTTATCTGATCTAGTTTCCTTTGCTCCCTGTTTTCTTTTCCAAAATAAGCATAGCCACCAAGGGTGAGTGGATTTTGATCCTTATTTTGTGAATTGCGGAGGTTTAAAACACAATAGGTTTCGTCGTTTAGGATTTACATTCGTTTATTCCATTCCAGCTAATCATACCAGTCAATTGTTCATTTAATCCCAGACTTTGGTCAAAATTAAACGCTAAGTTGTGAACTAAAGCACCATTACAACTACTACTCTTTTTCAACAAAAACAGTACATTAAAGTCAAATCATATAAACCATGACTGAAAATTCAACATCTAGAAAGTCATCAATTGATCACCAGGAACATCATGATGAAGACCATCTGCAATCACCAGATGCACATCGTGGCAAGAACAGAACATCAACCGGGAAGAGAAAGTATCATCTGAAGTCAAGAAATGGATGTTCTACATGCAAGAGAAGACGTGTTAAATGTGATGAAGTTAGACCAATCTGTACCAAATGTAAGAATTTGAAATTGGATTGTGGTTATTTACATGATGATTCTAATCAAAATAGCGATAGTCATCACCAGCAACAACAACAACAACAACAACAACAACCATCACCTCCTACAAAAAAGAGAAAATTCAGCAAGAGTGGGGAGACAATTAAAACTCAACAGGCAACTCCCTCATTGACTCCCAGTCCTAGCGTTATTCACGATAAAGTAAAGACGGAGTCTGTGACTGCAGCAGTACCAGAACCTTCCCTTGCTCAGCTGATGCAGCAAACGCAACAACCTCAACCACAACAAGCACCTCCAAACAACACATTGAATGCATTAGCTTCAGGATTATTAAGCGCGGGCAATTTGAACAATATTAATGTCGCCCGGCTAGTCAATGATTTATCAAGTATGAGTGACTTGTCTGCATTGAGTAATTTAGGAAGCATGGGTAATTTAGCTAATCTTTCAAGCTTGGCTACCTTGGCTCAATTTCCCATCGATTTGAGTAATTTAGGATCATTGCTTGATTCTGGTGGATTAGCCGCTGGTATGGCAGCTGCTGCCACCGCTGCTGCTGCTGCAAGAATAGTTCCACCAACCTCATCATCTAGTGCTACTTCAACAGCTATGCCAAGTGCTTCATCTTCTACGCATGGAAATAACAATACAGTCACGCCATTAACTCCAAACACCAGCCTGTCGCTTCTTAGTGAAATTGAAGCAGAGCAACAGCAAATGGGATACGCAAATTTAGCTATGCCCAAGAACAATATAACCGATCTTCCTGATTCTAATCAAGCAAATGGCGAAGAAAATGGTTCAGTCCCCCCATCTATTCCCCAATCCAATCTCAATATGCAAGATCTTCGCTTAATGTTTCATTATACTTCCCAAGTTGCCAGCACGATTACTGGAGCTGGGATTTCCGATACGAATATTTGGAATTTTGATATTCCCATGTTGGCATTTAACTACCCTTTTTTAATGCATTCGCTTCTTGCATTCAGTGCTACCCATTTATCACGTACTGAAAGTGGATTGGACCAATGTGTTACCTGCCATCGAGGAAATGCTTTACGTTTACTAAGAGAAGCAGTATTGAATATCAATCCTGAAAACACCGATGCCTTAGTCGCCAGTGCACTTATTTTAATTATGGACTCTCTTGCCAATGCATCATTCCCTTCGTCAACTTCACCTATATCACTTCCTGCATCAGCATGGATCTTTCATGTCAAGGGGGCGGCCACTATTTTAACTGCAGTATGGCCATTAACTGAAGCTCTGAGATTTTATAAATTCATCCTGGTTGATTTGGGAGATTTAGGAGATATAATTAATCAACGAGTTAATCTTGGTAAAAAGGCAAGAAATGGCAGTGGCGATTCCGAACAGCAACAACAGCGATTCTATACTGATTTGGAGTGTCATGATAGTGACATTGCTGATTTGTACCCCGTGGAAATTGATTCTCCATACTTAATGACATTGGCATATTTGAATAAGCTTCACAAGGAACGGTACAAATCTGATTTCATTTTACGAATATTTGCATTCCCGGCATTATTAGATAAGGTATTTCTTACATTGTTAATGTCGGGTGATGTTAAAGCCATGAGGATTATGAGATCATATTATAAGCTTCTTCGAGCATTCACGACGGAAATGAAGGATAAAGTATGGTTCCTTGAAGGTGTTTCCCAAGTACTTCCTGTGAATGTTGAAGAATATGCTGGTGGTGCCGGTGGTATCAATATGATGTTGGATTTCCTTGGTGGAGGTCCAGCCATGGTCGAGGATGAGTTGGAAGACCTGATTGTGGAGTTTGATGCTGCGGGTAATTTGAACCAAAAGTTACCCGATATGAATGGGATGCCTAGTGAGATTACTAGTGGGATGGAGGTGATGCAGGGTGATAATGGGTTTATGAATATTCGGTAGATTTTTTAATTCAGTTGGTTGTATTTTATGTATATATGTAATATTGAGATAATTTAAGAAAACTAATATTTAGAAACTGTGCAGAGAGATGGCTTGGAAATTCCTGGAATGTGTGGCAGTGTCGGAACTTTTCTGGGATTAGAGTAGAACAGCTTGGGTAGAAACAAATATACTTGTAAATAACTACATGTTGTATGAGCAACTCGGTGGTTAATCAGGAAATCATATTCCCAAAGTCGGAAATTTTCTTGGGTCAAGCTTGGTATCGCGTGCTATTTGTGTTTTTGACCAATGAGGCGGCATAAAATTGTAGCACCATAGCCTTTTAGCAAAGACAACCATTTATAGTCAGTTCTTATGTCACATCAATTGGGAGACTTCCACATGCTAAAATAAGCTAGGTAAGCCACTGTGATTAGCTCTCGCTAAGCACCACAAACCTCGGGAGTTTAACTCGAATATTTAATTTAAACAATAGATGGTAGCGCCATGGTAAGGCACCAGTAATGTGATAATGAATATTATCGTATATTTAAACTCGGAAATCTTAGATATTGCCAATTTACTCTAACCAAGTTGTGTCTAGTTGATATCATTCATTTGACTGAATAGTCTTGATGTTTGACGTAACTCGGTTAAGTTAGCTGGGGGGGTGACTTTGATGTGGAAATTGACCAAAAAACGAAAACAGCCCAAAATTAAAATCCTAAAAAAAAAAAAAATTTAGCGGGAAGGAAAAAAAAAAATCAACAAATCGTTAAAATCGAACAGTACCAGCTCACTCACTCACACCAACGTTTCAAACACAATTCACAACTTAGATTTGAACCACACGCGAACCGCTCCCCATCATTTCTCCAAACCGTTAGTAGTGTCAAATAACAACATTGATCAAGTATAAACTGATTGACTCAACTACTCAAATTTCGCTGGATTACTAATTTTGTTATCTATCCTTACCACACGTATCTATATATATTTAACTAAGTTACACCACTTCCTCCTCCCCAAAAATAATCAACAAATAAAATATACCAGCTAAAATGCAAACTATAAAGTGTGTTGTTGTCGGTGATGGTGCCGTCGGTAAAACCTGTCTTTTAATTTCATACACCACTAGTAAATTTCCTGCTGATTATGTCCCTACTGTGTTTGACAACTATGCCGTCACGGTTATGATTGGCGATGAACCATTCACGTTGGGGTTGTTTGATACTGCTGGACAAGAAGATTACGATAGATTGAGACCGTTATCATACCCATCCACTGATGTTTTCCTTGTTTGTTTCTCGGTGATTTCTCCTGCTTCATTTGAAAATGTCAAGGAAAAATGGTTCCCTGAAGTACATCATCATTGTCCTGGTGTCCCCTGTTTAATTGTTGGTACACAAACTGATTTAAGAAACGATGATGTTATTTTACAAAGATTGCATAGACAAAAGTTATCCCCAATCACTATGGAAATGGGTGAGAAATTGGCTAAGGAATTAAGAGCCGTCAAGTATGTTGAGTGTTCAGCATTGACTCAAAGAGGTTTGAAGACTGTGTTTGATGAAGCCATTGTTGCTGCTTTAGAACCTCCTGTCATTAAGAAATCGAAAAAGTGTACTGTGTTGTAAAAGGTTATGTCCTGGGCTATTTATATTTACTTGATGAAGAATATAGTTTAGTCTAAATAGATTGAATGTTTTTGTATATTAAACAGCTACCGTAGGCTACTGCTGCTTCTTTGTTGAGTTTAGACTTTGCTTAGTAGTTTTTAACCAAGATGCTGTTTTCCTCGGCTATTTAACGGGCATTGCCTGATAATTATTTTGCTCGTTGTAGTTTACTCACGCGATATTTACTTTCTTCTTGGCTTGTTTTGGTGTTTACAGATGACACATTAGTCGATGAATTGGAGGGGCTGTGTTTATAAGCCACCTATCCTCCCCCATACACTTTCTTTCCAATATCTTTCTTTCTCCCGCATCGAACTGTCTTTCTCAAAAAGTGCATTGTTCTTGGCAGCCTTTGTCTGGTCAACTCTCCACCAGGCATATATTTACGGAGGGATTGCAAACCTTACCAGTGTTCTCACGGTACGTATGGGGAACGCCTTCGTCTTCCTTTCATCATATTGTTCTTTTTAGTTTTTTTTTTGTTTGGGCTCCGCCTTGTATTCCAGTAGTTTAATAATTACTTGGTCGTTTCTCCTCATACGTCCTAGATCCTTCCATATGCGGAACTGCTGTGACGTACTGTGAGTAGATGCCCTATCATCGCATGCATTGGAAACTTTATTGTATCGCTGTGGTAATTGTAATACAACGAGAAGGATGCATTTAGATCAATTATACTTTATTATATACAAGATAATTGACTTAACCAACGGTATGCCCAATGTAATGCTAGTAAATACATACCAAAGTAAACTGCTCCTTTATTTATTTGCAACACGTCTTGTTAAGATTGGTCGTGCATTTGCTCCCAAAACCCTACAATTTTTTTTTTTTGTTCTTCCTTCTTTGTTGACCATATAATTTTTTTCACTGAGCATGGCAAATTACTTACAACCAACTACTACAAGCTAATCTACAATAATGTTCTCAGCAGCTCGTTCAGATACGTTATTTCTAGGAGCACAAAAGATCAGTGGTGATGATGTGCGCACCCAGACCGTCCTTGCCGCACAAACCGTGGCCAATGTCGTGAAGACCTCGTTGGGTCCGGTGGGTTTAGACAAGATGTTGGTGGATGATATTGGGGATGTCACCGTCACTAATGATGGTGCTACTATTTTATCCCTTTTGGACGTCCAGCATCCTGCTGGTAAGATTCTTGTTGAATTGGCTCAACAACAAGATCGTGAAGTTGGTGATGGTACCACCAGTGTTGTTATCATTGCTGCTGAATTATTAAAAAAGGCTAACGAATTGGTAAAGAATAAGATTCATCCAACTACCATTATCAGTGGATACAGATTAGGATTGAGAGAGTCTATCAGATACATCAACCAAGTGTTGTCTCTGAGCGTTGACAGCTTGGGTAAGGAAACCATTATTAATATCGCCAAAACATCCATGAGTTCCAAGATTATCGGATCTGATTCCGAATTCTTTAGTAAGATGGTTGTGGACGCTATGCTTGCCGTCAAAACCACTAACTCCAAGGGTGAAACTAAGTACCCTGTCAAGGCTGTCAACATCTTGAAGGCACACGGTAAATCTTCTTTAGAATCGGTTTTGGTCAATGGGTACGCCTTGAATTGTACCGTTGCTTCTCAAGCCATGGTTAAGTCCGTCAAGAATGCCAAGATTGCTTGTTTGGATATCAATTTACAAAAAGCCAGAATGGCCATGGGCGTTCATATCAACATTGAAGACCCTGATCAATTGGAAGAAATTAGAAAGAGAGAATACGGAATCATTATTGAACGAATTCAAAAGATCTTGCAAGCTGGTGCCAACGTCGTGTTGACCACCAAGGGTATTGATGATTTATGTTTGAAGGAGTTTGTTGAGAATGATTGTATGGCTGTGAGAAGATGTAAGAAGGAAGATTTGAGAAGAATTGCTAGAGCCACCGGTGCCACCTTAATATCTTCTTTGTCCAACTTGGAAGGTGAAGAAACTTTTGAAACTTCCTACTTGGGTTATGCCGAAGAAGTTGTTCAAACTAGAATCAGTGATGATGAATGTATTTTAATCAACGGTACCAAGCAACATTCCTCCAGTTCGATAATATTGCGTGGTCCAAACGATTACTCCTTGGACGAAATGGAAAGATCTATCCATGACTCTCTTTCTGTGGTTAAGCGCACTTTAGAAAGTGGATATGTTGTGCCAGGAGGTGGTGCAGTTGAAACTGCTTTGAATATATATTTGGAAAACCTTGCCACTACTGTGGGCTCACGAGAACAATTGGCCATTGCCGAATTCGCCAATGCCTTATTAGTCATCCCAAAAACCTTGGCCATGAATGCTGCTAAGGATGCTTCTGATTTGGTGTCCAAATTAAGAACATACCATGCTGCTGCTCAGTTGGCCAAGGATGACGATGACAAGAGAAAGAAATATAAGAATTATGGATTGGACTTGATTGAAGGTAAGATTGTTAATGAAGTTACTCATGGGGTATTGGAACCTACCATGTCCAAGATCAAGTCTTTGAAGTCGGCCTTGGAAGCCTGTGTATCTATTTTAAGAATTGATACTATAATTGAAGTCAATCCTGAACCTCCAAAGGAAGATCCTCATGACCATTAAGGTATATATAATAGAATATTCGTCTAACTTAAATCACCATGTTGTAGTAAAGTGAAGTGGGCTGTGCGGAAGGTTACTGCACTGTGCTTCTTCTTATTTAGCATCGCCTTATTTAGCATCGCCTTGGAATGTTCGCGTCGTGAATACTACTTATTTCCCAAAGGAGGTAAACTCCGGCTGCGAAAAAAAAAAAACTCTAAAAAATTTATCTATTTCTTAAATAAACTACTACAAACAAATTAAAAGTGTAATGGTACAATGATTTGCAATCTATTTGGAGGGGTATATGGTCCTGCCTGTGAAATGAATAGGGGGTATGCGTGAGTGTGTGTATCTAGAAAATTCGAGATGATAATAAATTAAAGGAATGGGTAGATCGTTTCATCTTAACAGGAGGATGTTGTTGTTGGTGGAGCACATTAACTGACTTGTTCAGGAGTGGAACCCGCTTAGGTACAAGGTCGTATTCTTCATTCTCCAGTATTATCGAAGAGGATGATGCGGAATGTGGCATGCCTCTAGCAAGTGATAAATTAGATGATACCGAGTATGAGCTGTCCAAAGAATAGTTTGAACTGACACTTGATTTGGATGTGCGGATGGACCAGTTGGATTTGGATTGGGCTTGTAGTAACTTGTAGTAATTTGCGCGTTGTTCCGATTCGCGTTGGCGTTCGCGAAGCAAGGATTGTTTTATAGGTTCGAGGAAAGGTTGGAGTGCAATGATGAGTTCTTGGTGTTTGATGTTGATGTTCCATTTCAACAAGCTCAACAATTCGCGTTCAGCCATATTGACTTCTTGTTGTGAAAGTAATCCATCGGTGTACTTGGTCCAATGTTTGTTCAAGGGTGAACTGTCGTTTAAGGATTTAGCAGCGAGGATTAATGTCGAGAGGAAAATTCTGTGTCTGGTGGTTTCCATTCCGATGGCGTTGGCAGGGAGTAAGTTTCTGAGTTTGTTCAAGTAAACGAGCGTAGCCATCAAGGTGGGTACTTGCACGTTAGAATAGTTGATTAAGTTGTGAATGAAGTCGGTCAACGATATGGTGTTGTTGTGTGGTGTTATTATGAGTTGGTTGTGATGTTTTGTGGATACTGGCTTTGCTGGTTTAATTTGGATGATGGAGTTGGTGGTGGCCACCAAAAAGTTGACCATTTCTGATGACACTCTTTGTCTGGAAAATATAGCCAAGGCTTCTCTGTCGGACATGATAGGTAAGGTTTTAATTAAGTAAAGTAGGATAAGTAAGTAAGACAAAAATAGAATAAATTACAAAAGTAGATTTTGGGCATGTTTTATAGTTTTGGAGATTTCCAAGTAAAGTTTCAGACTATAATTAACAATAACAATAATCCCAATTAAGTTAGAAGACGCCATGTATGTACCGTGAACAATAAGATATGGAACGTTTTAAACTTTTTGTGTCAAAAAAAACTGAAAGGGATGTCTGGCGAAAATAGAAAATACCGCGACAGCGCGCGTTTTTTTCCCTAAAGGGATGGATAAGATCTTCAAAGATTTAACTATATTCATGGGGCAAACTCCCAATACTAACATAACTGAAGTAATTCCCCATCCATAGCATGATTAATCAACATCTTTGAAGTGATAAGTCATCTTCTTAAATTGGTGGACATGACAATTTTCAAAATAAACAACGCGTAGAAACATGCAAGTGTGAACAAAAAAATCCTTCTGTTTATTTTGTTTAACCCCTTTGACATCATGCAGTAATTCGCGGGGAAAACGCGCAAGACATTTATTAGTCGGCTATAAACTTCCTATGCATTAGTCGGTTTAGAGTTGTAATTAAAACAATAACCATGCCTATTCTGGAAATATTTGGTCATATGATAATCCCGTATTCACTGAGTTGATATTTAACACAATACTAACCAGATACGAACACAAATGCTAGACAAGATACACCAGTAAAAACACTCTCTACGTATATAGGAGAAGCATTCATATGGTACACTTTATGGATAATGTTTCTACTTATTGTTATATACTTCGTAACGTAGATTTACTAATACAATGATACATATACACTACAACATTTCATCGGGATGGTAGAAGAACGCCAAGGCAGCAATCAAATACATACTCAACAACATAGCCCCTTCCAACCAATTGCTCTCACCGTCCAAAATAACTAAGTTGGTAATAAATACACTGACAAACAAAATTGCTGTTTCAAATGTGGAAAAGTACAAGGACATAGGCACATCAATGGCCCAACCAATCAACACCATGAATGGAGTAACGAAATTGGCAATTTGCAAGGAAGAACCGACAGCTACACCAATGGCCAAGTCCATCTTGTCCTTCATGGCGACAATGATGGCAGTAACATGTTCGGCAGCATTACCTACGATAGGAATGACGATCAACCCGATAAATGTTTTGGAAAGACCAGTAGTTTCAACAATTTCATCAATTGAGCCAACAAGGTAATCAGCGGAAATGGACACCAATACAGTGGCAGCAAGTAAAACAATGATAGATCCAGTGACAGTCAAGTGGGTTTCATGGTTGTGACGAAGTTTGTTGGAGGTGACAGGAGTCAATGTCAAGACATTGTCATTGTCACTCACTGTTCTAATGACATTGTGGTCTTCTTCTTCACCTTCAAATAATGCCTTGTGAGTCTTCAATGAGAAGAACAAGTACAACACATATACAATTAACAAGATAACAGAGACTCCTCTAGATAAAGACAAGATTAAGTCGTCTCCATTACCAGGAGCAGGCTTGAATCCAACATGCTTACCGCCACTGGCAGGTAAAGAGGCATGGAATGCAGCTGGAATCAACAAGGAAGCAGTGGCTAATGCCATTAAACTGGACATGGTTTGGGCCACGGTCTGGTTAAAAGTTTGTTGTACTCGGGTGATACCACCGGCAATAAAACAACAACCCAAGACTAAAAGCAAATTACTCAAGATACTTCCCAACATTGATGCTTGGACGATTCTTACTTGGTTCTCCTTCAAGGCGATAATTGACACAATCAATTCGACGGCATTACCAAAGGTTGCATTCATCAACCCACCAGCGGTTTGTCCCACGAAATCACTAATTTCTTCAGTAGCGTAAGCTAAGATGGAAGCCAATGGGATAATGGCGACAAAGTTCAACCAGAATCTTGCGTTAGAACTCCAATTGAGCTCACCAGCAGCGATACCCAATGGAAGAAACACAAGCAAGTAGTTGACGGGTGATGACTTGAAGGTCAATTTTGTTGTCCACCAAGTAGTCGTCAAGAATTGTTTTAAATATGAATCATCAGGATTAACGAATGGGGAAGAAGAACGGCGGGTACTTAATAATGGAAGGTCACTCATGATTACTGAATTGGTTATATCGTAAAGAAGGAGGTCTCCTGAAAAGTCATTCCCTGGAATGGCTGGAATTCTAGAAATATTTTTTACAATCATCAGCCATCATACTGTAAAAAAAAAAAAAATATGGCGGCGGCGTATATCAAACTTAAAATTGCCTACTGCATACAACACAAGTTCTCTTACTTCTACATGGAGCAACATTGACGACCTGCTCACAGTCACCACCAAACACGTCCTCTTGCATTTCATGTCTAACTGCAATCACTGGTGAAACACCTCTGTCCCCCCCCCCCTTCCTTAACAATCGTCAAAGTTGCTGGCTAGGTTTTTACTTAGTCATTGTTCTTTTTTTTTCCAGTGCTTTGTTTGCATTCTTACTGGATACATCATCCACATCATACGACGACGTATACCGTCCATCCCCAAGTCACGTTACCGTATTTGCGGTTGTCATTGCAATGGTTCATTTTCATTTCCTTAGCTGATCTAAAAAATCAGTGAGAGAAGTCCTTATTTGGCTTAGAGGACTAGGCTTGGCTGGGCTTAAAATACGACGATTGTTAAGGGCTATTCTTTCCCGTTTTAGGATATTTAATGTTGTGCTACCATGTGGTGGCCTAATAATTGCAAAAGAAATTTTGTTACCATTGGCTGTTACAACAGTGTTATACAACATGTAATGATTGATTCTATTGTACATACAAAACTTATCTATATAAAATATCAAGTGTTTCATAAAATTCTTATGCAGCCAATTCATTCCATAAGTAAGGTGTGAATATAACAATGGCAGTAAATATAGTTTGAAAAGCTTCTATCAAGGCAATAGGGAACCCAACCAAACCATGATGTCTGAAGTTAACATAGATGGAATAGAAAGCTACACTAAAGAAATGATTAAACAACAACATAGGGAAGGGCAACATACCACTCAACAACCCAATTGGACCATCAACACATTCTCCACCACGTTCAAAGTACTTGAAACATCCAATTTGTAAAATCTTGAGGGCTCGTTTATCAGCAGCAAACAAAGAGTACAAGGCAATGGAAAGAGTATTTATCACGGCATCCAAGTTCTTTCTCTTTCTATGGAACTTGTCCAATCTCTGGGTCATGAATTCGTAATCTTGCAAGTCTTCAACGTACTTTGGATGTAATAATTTAGCGAGCAATACGGCATCGTTTAAACCAACAGTCATACCACCTCCAGTCAAGGGGTGTCTCATGTTCAAGGAGTCACCCAAAAGGATAAAACCTTGGTTGTTGGCCCGGCCTTGTTTCATAGCGGGCAAGTATTGGTTAGGCATGATTCGGTAGACCTTCAGTTCAAGAGCCTTCTTAAATGAAGGCAACGTTTCCTTAGGAACGACGGGCAACACTTCCCTGCGTAAATATTCGTAAACTTCGTTGTTGGAAGAAGATGGAGGTTTTGTTGACTTGTAAGCACACAACATTCTGGTTTCATGAGGAGAGATTTGATAAATCAAAACTGGAGCATGGTCACCCAACAAGACATGGCCCTTGTTTTTAGATGGTAACACGGCATCTTTCAAATGTAAACCGATAAAGTAGGAACCAATCACGGGGACATTCGTAGGACTTAATTCTTTTCTAAACTTGGAGTAAATACCGTCACACGAAATCGTCAACTTGGCATGATGGTCTTGTAATTCTCCATCTTTACCCTTGGCCTTTACCCCAATGACGATATCGGGATCTTCAGGATCACGAAGGATCTTCGTCACGGTAGCTTCTAACCAGTCAACGTTAGGTTCTGCTCGGACTATATTTCTCAAATTCATGATGAAATCACCATGGTGGAATGCACATCCACGGACACGTTCATCCTCCTCCCAGGTCTTGGTGCTGATGGTGGTGTCATCCAACAACCGATCATTATCACCATGGACTACATCCCAAATAGGAACCACTGGGTTGGTGGTATTAGCCACAGACTTGTAAGGGTAGGGAATCTCGACAGCTTCGTTGCCAAACTTGACATAGTATCCGGTACAGTCAATAGCTTCAATGTTATTTATAGCCTGGATCATTCCCAACTCACGAAGGGCTTTGATCCCACCTGGTTGCATTAATTCACCCACGATTCTGTCGGGCTTGGACCAGTCACGTTCGACAATAAGGACCCGTCTTCCTTGTCTAGCAAAGGCAGTGGCTATGGATGGCCCAATGACACCGGCACCAATAACAATCACGTCGTACTCTTTCATAACAGGTTTTTTTTCTTTTAGTTCAGTGGATATCAGTAAAACCTAAGAGGTTGTTGTCTTGGTAATAAGTGAAAATAATCTAAGGTAGTAAAGTCCAAAGGATTCTTACGATAATTTATAGAAGTTTGGAAATGAAAAATCACATTCACTTGAAGAAATGACACCACCAAAAGTACGACCAAACAAACGATGGTCGCATCCGCACCACCACCGCGCGAAAAAAAAAAAAAAGAAAGAAAAAAATATTGCAACGGTTTATACGATTTAAACGAGGACATTGGCAAAAGTTACCAATTGTAATTCTTGGATTACGTTACATTATACTATATGCTAAGACTACTCCTCATCACTGTCACTATCAGTATCTTCCTCTTCATCTGCTTCCTGTAACCATGTTATAAACTTACTGGTCAACTGTCTAACCTCAGCTTCATCACCTTTGGCATCCCACCATTCCAAGATATTTTCTTCCTCGGTGATATCCAAATCATAAAGTGTTTTGACTGCAAGGAACAAAATCACTTGGTTATACGAAGAACTCAACTGTTCAATCTTATCTTCCAAGATATTCAACAAGTCAACCTGTTCTTCACTGCTGAACACTTGACGGGTAAACATTGGTCCCCAGTGGTTGAATATCTTGGTACCAGCTTCTTGAGGCTTTAGTGTGTCAGTAGACACAAACTCGACAATCTTGTTCAACAAAGCTTGAACAGTAACGGATCTCACTTCGTGATAGGTTACATTCATCGACATTCTCAATGTGTTCAACTCTAACAACGCCGTATCTATATCGTGATTGTTTTCAATGGCTCTAGCAACAGTAGCAACCCCTTCTTTGGTGAAATCTTCTTCTTCGCCGTCGTCATCGGTGATGAATCCTCCGTCAGAAATCATCGAGTTGGCAGAATACCTTCTATTTCTAGAGTGCGAACGTCTCTTGGTTCTTCTGTTGGATATCGAGGCAATGGACTCGTCGGAAACATTAAGATGTTTCATCTGGTAAATCATACCTGAGTAGGAATCAGCTACTGATTCAGATTCATCAAAGTCTTCGTCTTCTTCACGGTCGGAAACATACATGAACCCCTTACCTTGTTCACCCACTAAATCAATGTCCTCGACTGCAAAATCAGGAATGACAACTGCAGGCTTGGCGTGTTCTTCTTCATCTTCGGAATCGCTGAAACTGTTATTAAAATCATCGCCTTCTCTAACGATTTGACTTTCAACAATACGCACATTGTTTCCAATAACTTTATTGTCTCCAATAATAACATTGAACCCGATGACGGAACCCGGATTCAAGGTAACATTGGCTCCAATCTCAGCATTGGCAGCAACAATAGTATGTTCGAGCACGGAATTATCTTTTATCACGGCATTATCCCAAATATAAGAATTGTTAATGATGACATTGTCACCAATCTTACAGTTTCTTCCCACCACAGACTTTTTGATGCATGTGCCTTCACCAACAACTGTTTTCGTTCCTATTGATGTAGATGTGCCAATCTTACAAGACTGGGCCAAAATCACTTTATCTTCTTTATAAATATTATTGAATTCGTAATTGTACGAATTGTCCTCGATCAAGTTTGAATCCGGCACAATTGGGTAGCACCATCTGGCCAAGATATCTTGAGACACGGCATCATAAGTGCCCCAACTCTCAACTCTGGCAACATATTCTGAACTGTCTTCAGTAATGTAGGCATAAATAGTCTTTTTCAACAAGTCAGAAGTCAATACCCCCTTGACAAAGTCGCTTCTTAAAGTTTGATAATCAAAGTTTTCTTGAAAAATCTGTGGCACTTGGGGTGAACAGATATCAACATGGCAATCAATCAAATCGTTTCTAATGACGAACTCGTCTTCTATATCTTCCAACAACTCAGGATCGATATTTATACTGGTCTTCTTTCCATCGACAGAAGGTATGCCTTGGTAGTACAAGCATCTATCGGTTTTCTTATCCAATATGAACGTAGCTGGTTCAATATATGATCTCGTTCTATGCAAAGGCGAGGCTTGGTTCAACACCATAGTCACCATATGATCTTTATCGCTCAGTTTCTTGGCGCGGTGGAAATTCAAACACTTGCTGAAATCCATATTGGTCACGACATCACCCGAAACCAAAAGAAAATCACCCGAGATCAACCCACGGTTATCCAAATCTCTCATGGCATCACCGACAGATCTGGACTCTAATGACATGATCGTAGCTATGTGGAAAGGGGAGTTTTTCGATTGACTCCATTTAGAATTTTCAATATAGGTTTGGATTTGATCTGCATGGGAACTACACATAAGGTAGACTTCATTGACACCGGCTTGCGCCAAGAATTCCAAGGTGTATTCAATCAAGGGAACGTTGGCCAACGGTAAGAGACATCTGGGTTTGACAGCAGTCAACGGCATGAATCTCGTTTGGAACGAATCGGTCAAGACAATTGCTTGAAATCTGTCATCTTTAACAATTTCCTTCTTGGATTTAGACTTTGTTGCCACGGGACTAGCTTCTTTTTTCTTGGATTTAGGTGGCATTGCTGGGGTAGGAAGGCAAGATGTGTTGTCTAATAGTTTGACTGATTTTTTTTTTTTTTGACTAATATCCTGCTTGAAAAAAAAATAAAAAAAATTTTGACTAGGTCACGTGTATTCCTAGAGATGTCTACTACTAATATTAGCATAGGATAATAAATTTACTATATACATGAACTGAACTATTTAGACGTTGCTAGCGGCCTCTTCTTGCTTCTTCTTTTCTTCATACTCTCTAAGAATTTGCTTTTCTTCAGCTTCCTTTTCCATAATAATTCTCTTCCAACGAGGAATTGGTGGTGGTTTAGCACTTTCAATCTCTTGTTCCTTCATAGCCAACAAGATAGTACTCAACAACAAAATAACAGTTATACCCTGAGCGTACATTCTTGCTTGCACGGCCTTTTGAGTAGTCGACATGATCTTGTCTCTATTAACAAATACCCAAGAACCATACATTGAAGCGGCCCAAGCACCGATAATTATCTGATACTTGTTATTGCTCAACACGGTGAAGATCTTATTGGCCAAAGATAATCTATTCCATTCACGATACTCTTCCATCATTTTAGCTTCGTGGTAATCCGATTGATGCATTTTTTGATCAAATTCCCATGATCCCTGATCAGCCCAGAATGCAGCGATCGAAATGGTGGGCATGATGAAGATACAGGTCTTAATGGATGGGTTGAATCGAGCGTACTTGATTGGGTGTCTCTTCTTCAAGTATGTGAATATACCGGCGGATACCAAGGCACCGTAGACTAATCCTTTGGTACCTTCGGCAATCACATGGGATGTGTGGGCTTCCTTTTCTTCAGTGGTTAAGAGCTTCATTGTATGGTTTATGGTATACTACTAGTATTGCTTTGAAGAAAAAAAGATCAGATGTTTTGCGAGTGTATTTATATGCTATCATTTTTTTCTTCAAGCGTCGTTTCGGATAGTTGGGTTTTCCGAGGCGTTTTCTGGAACGATAAGAACTGGTGATGCAAATGTGAAAGGGTTGGGTAATCCTTTGTTACCTGTATTGTGATATTACTCGATATTGCATGTGCGAACGGCTAAGTAGTAAACTCAAGTAGACATCACGTAATGACTACATTTTGCCCTACTGGGAAAGTTAAATGTAAAACAAAGAAACAATGGAATTCAACTTTTCCCAATCTATTTGATCAATAGCATTAAAGTACATTTTACGAGTTGACAGGACAAGAAATTTGGTTTCGAGCACTTCAGTGTTTCACAACAAAAATAATATTTCACCTTTCTTATGTATATTTGCTACTGGGATTAAATTTAACCAAACAGTATAAAAAGAATATGTCAAAAATATCGCTCAACTATTTCAGATATGTTGGAGAATAGTCTTTTTTTTTCGGGATATCTGCAAAACAACCTACTTCAGATAGATTAATGCCGTTTCCCATTGTGATTAATTGCACCAGAAACAACGCTTTATCATAACCACAACTATATAGCTGTAAAGATAACCTTTTGTATAAATATTTTGTGTAGACCTTTTCCGAAATCGATGTTCTTTTTTTTTCCGTCTAATCTCAGAACTAAATTTATCAGATCTTTAATCGTGTCTTCTTTAACTCAACCATGGATCACTCAATGATGGACCACTCAGGTCACGCTGGTCATCCTATGCCAGACATGCCACCTATGGACGATATGTGTTCTATGAATGTATGTGGAAAAAAAAAGCTTTTATTCTAATTTTAACAAAGTACTAACTAATCTAGATGATATTTACTTGGGATTGGAAAAACACCTGTGTCGTGTTCAACTGGTGGCACATCAAAACATACTACGGATTCATCTTCACCTTATTTGCAATAGTGCTATTGGGAATGGGGTACGAATTTGTTCGTGCTTGGTTTTCCTGTTGGGAAAAGGCGTACTTTGCAAGATTGGCAACTCCTACCAATCAAACTTCTCAATCGTTAAGAAATTTCAGATTAAGCCGTGGTGTATTGTATGGGTTCCAAGTATGGTATTCATTCATGTTGATGTTGGTGTTTATGACGTATAATGGATGGTTGATGATTGCCGTAGCTGTGGGTGCGGGTATTGGGAACTATTTATGGGGAACCACTACTGAGTCCGGCTCAGTTAGAGCCATGTCCTGTCATTAGATAGATTTTGATATTACTCTAGACATATGAATGCAGGTTATTCTAGTTTTAAATAAAATGACTAACTTTTAAAAGATAAAAATTTTTGTACGATAGTTTCCATTTGTTTCAAGTGCACATATTTTTGAAAATCATCCCTTAATTAAAGTAGTTACTATTATCGAACGAGCTAAAGAAGGTGTCGTTGTTTGGGAAAGTCAAGGAGAATTATGATTTTCTGCAGTTTATTGCCAGCTCTATGTATCATGGACAAAAATACTGCAACAACCATGATAACTTTGCAACCACTATTCAGATAAATTTAATAAGCTTTAAACAATAAGAAATCCACTTGCTACTGTAATTGAAAGTTTCCGGTGGTCTTTCCTTTCATCTGCTCCATGCTAAAATATGGCTGCAATACCCTATTTAACTTTCCTAGTTAATTCCTCTTTTCCTATTCTGTATACTAATTGCATTATATTTCAATCTAATTTGAATATTAGTGTATTCATACATCGAAGATAGTGTTAAATATGCTATTTTTACTGTAAAAATAGTAATAGTTAAATATCAATGCAATTTATATTTAAAATTCCTGCAAATTTTTGCTCAAATCTGTTAAAAATTAGAAAAAAATCGACATTGTCATAAAAATAACCTTATGAAGTTTTTCAAAAAGATTTCATAAAAACCAAATCTATAGAAAAAAACTCTATATACTACTAAAAGCTACTTAATTATCATGTTTCCACTGGGGTATTTTCAAAAAAAAGTCAATAATGTTAAAAAGTTATCCTATTAGATACGGAACCGGATATCGGTCGGAATATAATTAATAATCACCTTATAAAGCCCATATAAATTGTAATTTAGTCAAAGTTACTAATCGAGAATGTACAATTGCATAATATATCTAAATATAATACTGGGGTTATACAAAAGAGTCACTATTGCAAATACAATTGCAAAAATAAGTACTTTCCCTGAAACCCCTATTCCCACGTGACTCTTCTTCAGTGTTTAAGACCAGAAAAATTTTTTCGCCATCAAGGTGCTCCAGTGGCGCAGAGGTTAGCGCTTCGTGCTTATAGCCGTGTTACGACGATATGGTTATACCATAAGTCACGGTCGTGTGAGGAACGCGACGGTCGTGGGTTCAAACCCCTCCTGGAGCATTTTGTCTTTTTTTTAATACTTCTCCTTTTGTTTTTATTGGAGTGATCGTAGGATCAGTGAGAGCAGGTTCTCGATTGTATTATGCTTTGTCTGTATTGATGATTGTGCTTGTCTCTGTGATGTGCTAATTGATTTGGAGAGTTGACATCTTTAATTTTGGTTGATTTAATTTGATCTTCGCACAAGAAAAATTCTAGCGCGAACAATTTGCTTTTGCAACCAAACCTTATTAAGGTTTCCTCAAGTGAACTTGTAGCATCTGCATCTGTATTGGTTGATGTTACTTAAAGTCTTGACAAATATGGTATTATATTATATATTCCTATATATTCTAATTGTTGACACAAATGAAGAGATTGGGTTAGAGTACAAACGTCCAGAATGTATAGTTTATAATTCTGACATACAACCATCAAGTTGAAATAAGCTCATGTTATCAAGATGAACTTGGTATTTTATTTTAAAATCGTTTATAGGAACAATGCTTTCGTTTATTGAGATTTTCGAATTTATAATTTCAAAGCTTCAGTTTGGCCCCTGTTCTCTACAACAGAAGAGCTTGAAATCATCGCGATATCAGAATGGAAAAAAAAAAAATTCAAAAAAATTTAAAACTCAGATTCAACTAACTACTCATCGCTACGATAACCCCTGAACCATGGCTGAAAAAGTAAGATACTACCTTGAACAGTCTATTCCTGAATTAGAAGATCTCAAGAGGAAGGGCCTTTTTGACAAGCATGAGATCACGATGATCATGAGAAGACGTACTGACTTTGAACATCGTATCCAAGGTCGTGGATCCAAACCACGGGATTTCCTCAAATACGTTGAGTTTGAAGGCAATCTTGAAAAATTAAGAAAGAAAAGATACAATAGATTGAACAAGGTTGGGTTGGTTGAGACCAAACCAAGTATCAGTGATTGGGCTGGTGTTCGTAGAATCATGTTTGTATTTGATCGTGCCACGAGAAGATACCCTGGTGATACTGAATTATGGTCTCACTATTTACAGTTTGCCAAGGAAAACGGTGCCATTAAGGTTATATATAAAGTATATTCCCGTTTGTTACAATTGCAGCCTAGAAATGTTGATGCTTGGTTGTCAGCTGCGAAATATGAGTTTGAAGAAAATGCTAATGCTAAAGGTGCCAGAGTTTTATTCCAAAGAGGGTTGAGATTGAACCCAGAGTCGTTGGAATTATGGTTAAGTTACGCTCAATTTGAGTTGACTTATATTTCCAAGTTGTTAGCTAGAAGAAAAGTCTTGGGATTAATTACTGAAAAACAACAACAAGAAGCATTAGAAAGCGAACAAGACAAATTGGCCAAGTCAATCACAGAATCCGCTTTAGGTGACGACAATGACGATTTCAATGCTGACAAGATTGAATTACCAACAGCGGCTGAAATGAAGGACGAATTGAACCACTTACCTGAAGCGGATATGAACATGTTGGGTAACCCAGAAACTAATCCTGCCTTGAAGGGTGACGTAGCATTAACAATCTTTGATTTATGTGTTCCAAGCATTCTTAAAACCATTCCTGAATATTCCACTGTTATCAATCCTCAAGATAAGGTATTTGAAATCGTGGAAAGATTCTTGAGTTTAATTGACAAATTTGAAGATTTAAACAGAGACTACTTAATGTTGCATGTTTTAAATTATGTCCAAAAGGAAAATCCACAAGATTTAAGAACATTGTTCATTGATATTACATTACCTATTAGAAATGTCTCCAGAACAAGCGAAAACTTGGCCGAAGCTTTACAATTGTCAGTTAACAAGTTCATTGCTTATAAATTGAAATTAAAGGATGCATCAGAAAGGACCACTTTAACCAACATGTTCATTAACAAGCTTAATAACCAATTCTTGGCCAACACCGATAATGAAAACGAAAAGGTGGATGCATTATTGAAAGCAATTATCACAAAGTGTCGTAATGTGTAGTTATACAGCTATTTAATAGAGAAGGAATTAATTAAGTCTATTGTTTACATTTAATCTTGTTTACCAATATCACCGTCCAAATGCATATATCTATTCTTCTTGACTTTATGCATGACCCAACCGTAAGTAATCATAAAGATCACAGCACTAGCAATTGCGGAAGCAGCGAATACATAAGTGTAGACGATCAGGTAACTAATAGGAATGGATGTCATTGGTAGCCTGTAGAAACCATCACTATAAGGCAAGTTACTATCTGGCGTTCCCTTGGAGTAAGCTTGAGACAATTGATCAAACCATCTAACTGCCAAGTTCAAAGTAAGTTCATCCCCAATGACTGTTCTAGTAGTATTTGTTCCTGAACCAAAACCAATGGCACTAACAAATGTATTTTGTTCTGGTTCCTTAGTAGATGGTTTGGTAAAGATTATATTCATGGAAGGGTCAATATCCAAATGAGCATCATGAATTTCACCTCTGAAATTGAATGTGAATGGAACATAAGCACCACCTTTTTCAATAGACAATGGTTCTGAAGAAAGGGCCATTCTGCAACTGAATGGAACATCTTGATGGATATATAATTGGAACAAATGGTACAACTCATCTGAGAATTGAATGGTACAATTCAAATCTTCGTTGATTCCATACTTGAAACTTAAAGGCTTTTGAGTTTCTTTACATTTAGGAAATGGTCCATATACGATTTGATGCTTGTCATCGAACTTATGTTCTCCAGTATCTATGTTTCTTTGAATACAGTCAAACTGCACATCTTGTCCTGTGGAGTATGGTTTGAAATCAGTCGGAATTTCTCCTTTACTATTTAGAGGATACCATTGGTTACCCTTGGCTTGTATTGTTGTTGAAAAGGCCAAACTTGACAATATCAATAAGGAAGGAAATCTCATTATATTTGGGATTAGTATAGAAGGAATATGTGTCAATAAAGTTTAAATCTTTTGGATGTTATGTTCTTTTTTTTTTTTTGGCTGTCAGATTTGTCCACTTTGTTTTTGTATGGTGCACTATGACGTAGCAGCACAAGGCTCATTCTCGCTTGGCTTTATATCAAAATATCCATGCAATGTCAGTTAGAGTTATCAGCGATACAACGTTAGTTAGATTTACTACTACAAGTTCAAATAAATGTACGTTTTTATATTTATGTGTGGGGGGTGTTGTTGTATGGTGGTTGAGATTTTGCCTTGACAATTAAATCACTTTAAAACTATACAATATGGTTTGAAGAAAATTAACATTAAAATACACTTTTATTATGTCCCAAATAGATAATTAGGTTATATATTCCTTCAAGCAATTTAGTTTCTCTTAGCAAAACGTCTGTTACCTCTTTGAGCAGAGATGTTGACGGTTTGGATTGGGATCTTGAAACCCAAGGACTTGACTAAGTCAGCGGTTTCAGAATCAACTTCTAATTGACCGTTAGTGTGGGATAAGTCCAAAGCAGAAACTTCTGGAACATATTGATCCTTTCTTTCTCTTTCTTCTTCTTGTAACTTGAAAGAGATACCTCTAACTGGACCCTTTTGAATTCTCTTCATCAAGTGGGTGGTGTAACCAGCAATCTTGTTTCTTAATCTCTTAGATTGGATAACGGCAATTTCAGAGGTTAATCTCTTGTTGGTTTCGAAATCCAAAGTTAACTTTGGGTAGAATCTTTCGATCAAGACCTTGGAAGCTCTCTTAACGGTTTTAGTTCTAACACGACCCTATAATAAAGTTAGTATTGTTATTCTTAATAATAGAAGTATCATGTTTTCATGTTGATTCTAATTTTATAATATGGTTTAATTCTTATTCCATATAATCCTTAAATGTTCAATATTATTTCAGATATACTCATTTATTGCTCTATCAACCCCAAATAACATGTCATTCTGTTTATATTCTTTCTGATCTAGTTGAAAATCCTTTTCGTTGATGTGAAAATTTTGGGTAGTTGCTCAACATAACTTCATTAAAACATTATCGCTTGTTCCACTTTAAGCTGGTTGTAGCTGTTCGCCTATACGAATCCAGATGAGGTATGATACTGTTTCATTTGGTCATTACATACCATCTTTGATTATTAGTTTGCTATGGTATAGTATTCAAAAAAGATGTAAAAATTCAATTGAAATTTTTTTGGTGAATTTTTTTTTTCTTCCCTCAATTTTCCTCACTGTTGGTTTAGTGATGTTTTTCCCACTGTAACTGAATGGATGCTACCATATTTTTACATAGTTAATTTTCTAGTGCGCACATAAAAAGGGATTTGCCAGAGTGCAAAAAAAAAACTGTTTTTGTTGGGCGTGCACAAAGCACAAAATATATTTTATGTACAGGACGCAGTCACATGACTAATGTGACTGCTTTTTTGAAACCCATGTGACTTAAATCACATGGTACAGTATCACATGACATATATTGGCAAATTGACACGACATTACAAATTATAGACGGATAATAAAAAAAACAACAGTGGAAACAAAAATAACCAACAAAAAAAAACATTGGTCTTTTAAAATAAGCGCCTTAATTAAGAAAACTGTCACTTGTTTAGCAGCAAAGGTATCCACCATATCATTGTTTTCACCTTCTTTGCATTATTTCCTTTTGTTGTTATAATAACGACATTTCCATATTTCACTTCATTTTGATTGATTAGTCAATAGATTTGATTGATTAATTTCCAGCATTTTTACCTTTTTGTATTATTATAATTTTTGAAAATATACCAAATTTATTTTTCTCCATTTTTACATTTTGATTGCAAAAATTAATTACAAACTTGTTATTGTCACATATTCACATATTCACATTATAAACTACAACATATACATATATCATGGATGTTAAAGGAAGGTTATTCCATTGTGACGTATGCAGTACCGACTGTTCCAACAGAATACGAATCAAATGTGCCATATGTAACGATTACGACCTTTGTGTACCCTGTTTTGCAGCGGGACTAACCACCGGCGACCACAAGCCATGGCACGATTATCAGATCATTGAGCAAAACACGTATCCTATATTTGAACGTGACTGGGGCGCCGATGAAGAATTGTTGTTGATTCAAGGTTGTGAGACGTTTGGGTTGGGGAATTGGGCCGATATTGCTGATCATATCGGAAACAGATCTAAGGAAGAAGTAGCCGCTCATTATTACAAGATCTATCTCGAGAGTAAGGATTATCCATTGCCGGAGATGAATAAAGATTTCCATGACGTTACTCCGATCCACTTTTTAGAAGAAAGAAAAGAAAGATTGGCATTGAGAAAGTCACAACCATTGCCACCACCCAAGGGAAAGCCAGTTCCTTCTGTTCCTTTGTGTCACGAAATTCAAGGTTATATGCCAGGTAGATTGGAATTTGATCATGAAGCCGAGAATGAGGCAGAAGTGCCAATCAAAGATATGATTTTTGATCCCGAAGATCTGATTAATGATATAGAATTGAAATTGACGATTTTAGACATTTACAATTCACGATTAACCACCAGAGCTGAGCGCAAACGAGTTATGATTTTGAATAACTTGTTAGATTACAGAAAGAATATAAGCGCCGATAAGAGGAAGCTGAAGGAAGAAAAGGATTTACTTAAACGAATTGATGCATATATTAGAATATTATCACCGGAGGATTTTGACACTTTTACAAGAGATTTCTTGACTGAATTGAAATGTAGAATTAGAATACAACAATTGCAAACCTGGAGAAGAAATGGGATCACTACTATTGAAGATGGAAATAAATTTGAAAAGGATAAATTGATAAGGACGGCACATTACCAAAGAATGGGCAATGGTACGTTATCAAGCAGACACTCTGCTACACCGACTGTAATGAATGGTAGTATCAGTGCCAGTAATGGTTATGGCAGTGGACGTAAACCGTACTCCAGTGCCAATTCTCCTGCGCCAGAATATAAACCCAAGATTTCTAATAATAGAGCTCCTTTGGATATTAGTCATGCTGCAGACTTTGATTTATTATCCAATGAAGAAAAGCAATTGTGCTCAACTTTGAGAATCTTACCTAAACCATATTTGGCAATCAAGAATCAATTGATGAAAGAGGCGGTCAAAAATAACGGTATTTTGAAAAAGAAAGATGCAAGACAAGCATTAAAGATTGATGTTAACAAAGCATCCAAAATTTACGAATTCTTCGTACAAATGGGTTGGTGTTCCCAAGGTTAGGCATCTATTTTATAGAGTATATAAACCTTTAATCTAAATAGAATCAGTCAAATTAACCATTTGGTCAACCATGAGTTTGAACTGGTTAACTTTTTTAGTTAATTCCTCTTCTTTATATTCCATTTCGCATGCAAGGGAATTCATGGCTTCATTGATTTGTTGGAACCTTTTGTGATATTTATATCTAGCTAACATCAATTTAAGAGTTATTTGGCCCTGTTCTTCCATGTTGTGAAACCCAAGCTTGCACCAATCTCTGAATGAAGAGTGAAGTGAAAGTTGATATCGGTTGGCCAATGAAATCGAATCTGGGGCTATTTCACAACCTTCTACAGGTGCAGAAAGATTGTCATGGCATGGTTCAAATTCTTTGACCGATTCTACCTGTTGGCCAGGTACAGTCGAAGAAATGATGTTGGATTGGGAAAACAATTCTTCAATTGATTCATTTATAGTTTGGTAATTAATTGAAGCTGCTTGTGTTGATACCTTATGACTCCCAAGCTTATTTTTAGATTCCTCTTGCAAAATTTCTAAAGTTTTGTATTCCTTTGAAACCTTCTGATTTATGTTGAGGTTAGCATTGGGAAGCGGAAGGAGGTACTTGTTGAGTGTTTCAATCAGGGCAACCACTTTAGTTTTGTTGGTGGTGGCTTTCTTCAGTACTTTATCGGAATTCAATTTAGTTTTAGAAGGAGTAGAATTTGGAGAGAGCGAATCAGAGCTTGAGCTTTTAGATGAATTTTTGCTAGATTGATGCAGTCTTGAAACCCTAGACATGGTGGATAACTAAAGTAAAAAAAAGGAGAGTCTAGATTTTGGCTGCAAGTTTTTTTATTTACAATTTTTACATTCCAACTTAAAAGTGGTGACAACAAAGCCTACACGACTTTAGACCTATAGACAATTAAATTAGAATATATATATATATAAAAGCATCTTTCTGTTGAAGACTCAATCAGATGATTTTATGTGTTGTAAGTTTGCTAATATACAAGTAACCTCATGTTGACTAAAATTCTTTCGGATATAAGGCACAGTTATTTTGCGGGAAAATGCAACGGTGTAGGATCTAGATCCAATAGGGAACGTAGACCGCGCCTTAATGTCATGGAATTTTGAAGTATTTTAATAATTATAGTTTACGGGTGAATCGAAATATTCAATGAACACAGTATGTTTCTTTGAAAATCACCTGTTTGAAGTTCCCACCTTGGATGTGGGGTAAATTTTTTTTAAAGGTAATTTTAACATGAATGGACTGTTAAAACCTGCTGATTACAAAAAGGCGAGCGAATATATAAATGTGTAATTAGACTTAACAAGAAGTTCCTGCATGGTTAAGAATGGACAACCCTGCAACAATAGCCGCTTGTGCATACCATCACGAACTAAACAAAGACGTGCTTCTAACCATCTGGGTGGGGTGCCGTAGCATGCAAACACAAAGAATAAAAAATTTTTGGCTAAACAACACTGGTAATCATCCTGTATATACGTTTCACCGGGAGAATATAAAATTTGACCGATCAGATTAGCAAATCTGAAGATTGGATCACCTTAAAAAGGCGTTGAGGTGATTAATCTTTGTGAAACAGACAATTACTAATTTACGTGGGGCGATCTCCGTTGTGGTACAAAAGTGAAAAAGTCAACTGATTTTTTTTTATTTTAGTAAAATTCGCCATTTTGTAAAAATTCTAGCGGGAAATCAACGCATTTCACGGCAAAATATTAACTGAAACAAGCTAATATTGAACTAGGCACACCTGCAGGATTTGGGGGATCCTAGTTAATTATTTTAGTCACTGCTGTTTATCCTTCTAGACTTGACCCCCGAGCCCTCAACCCACAGGAAAAGCAACTGATCATCTTGCATTAAAAATTTCCATAATAAGAAGAAAATTTACGCTTGACATTTTTTGATTTTTTTTTTTTAGACCTGATTTTCTTTTGCGCACGGAATTTATATATCCACATAAAATACCAGGTTTATTCAAGCTCATCCACTGTCCCCCCCTCCCAAATTCCAAGTACTCTTTCCAATACATCTAATATCGCGGATACTGTCAACTACACACACCAACCACAGTGCGTCTACATACTCAACTCGTGTACATATATTTAAACATACCCACTGAATACCCTTATCTAGATGCTGGATTATTTGAAATTTCTTTCAAAGCCCTCAGGCCGCCATGAGTCCAAACACCACATTATTATAGTAGGAGCAGGTATTATTGGGGTTTGTACCGCTTACTACCTTGTCCAACATCCAAAATATGACCCGGAAAAATACCATATCACTATTGTAGAATCTAAGAGAGTGGCGGGTGGAGCCAGCGGGAAAGCTGGAGGATTGTTGGCATTATGGGCATTCCCTGAACAAATTGTGTCTTTAAGTTTTAATTTACATCAGGAGTTATCCAACGAATATAACGGAGCAGAAGAGTGGGGTTATAGAAGATTAACCACTGTTTCGTTAGAAGGTGACATATCTCATTTGGGCGATGAAATAGATGACGAAGAAGAGGAAGAGGATACAGGAAACGGATCCACTAATATCGGCTGCAAGACTAAACCCACTATTACTGTTGGTGACAATGATAGCGACTCATCTTCATCTCTGGCAGATAAACCACCAAAGAAAACTGCCCGTACTCGATCGACGGGTGGATTACGTAATAGGCTACCAGTTAATTTAAACTGGATAAATTCAGCCTTGATTGATAATTGTTCAACTTTGGGTGGCACTGATACCACGGCACAAGTGCATCCTTATAAATTCACTAATTTCCTTCTTAAAAAGGCGATTGAATACTCCAAAGGTTCAATTGAATTCGTGTTGGGGAAAGTCAATGAGATAACATATAGTTTTGAAACTGGTAGTGCAACCGGTATAAAATACCAACCTACTTCTTTCAAAAGCGGAGCTGAAGGTGAAACAGTGACATTGAATGCTGATCAAATAGTAATGGCTGTAGGTCCATGGACTTCAAAGATTTTACCAGATTGTCCAATATCTGGATTAAGAGCCCATTCAATCACCATTTCTCCTTTCAAAGACCAACCTGTCAGCCCCTATGCGATATTCACTGAGTTTAAAACAGGTCCTTATTCATACATTTCTCCTGAAATTTATGCTAGACTGGATGAAGTTTACGTATGCGGAGAAGGAGATTCAGCAGTTGATGTTCCTGAGACTACCGATGATGTTGAAGTGGTGAAATCTAAATGTGATGAATTATTCAAACAAGTTGGAAAAGTATCTCCTAATCTAAGAAAAGGACATATTCTAAAACGACAAGCTTGTTATTTACCAGTATTGGATGTGCCATCATCCAGTGGACCTTTAATTGGAGAAACCAATGTTGGTAATTTATTCCTTGCATCTGGTCATTCATGTTGGGGGATAAATAATGCACCGGGGACTGGGAAAATTATGAGTGAGTTGTTATTAGATGGAGAAGTTAAATCAGCTGATATTTCCAGTTTGGATCCTTCATTATATTTCGATGCCAGTGTATTAGTTGATGAGGAAGAGTATGAAGATGCTGAGTCAGGTGAAGAAGGAGAAGAGGAGGCAGATATTGATTACGGAAAGAGATCAAGGACAGCCTCACAGGATCTTCCGAAGAGAAGAGTTTCTATTTTATAGAGGAGTAAAACGAGATTGTTATGTAATGAATATAAATCTATTTTTTATGAACCTAATCTAACTTCTTACCTATTATTCCCTTAGTGTTTTTGTTTTGCTTGTACAGTACAATTCTCTTTTTAAGGTAGTTGAAGAACTGTAAAATTTTCATCATGAATATACTCAAGATCATGACAATCAATGTTGAAATTAATTTTTCATTCTTGGTCCACAAGTCGTAATCCAACAAATGTACTTCGTCATTGTGTTTGTTTCTTATGTATCGGTCATTTGAATTACGTATAGGATTCCAATTTGGTTCCACGGAATGGAAATTGTTATTCTTCTCAATTTCACGAGAATGCATAGGATCGTTTATTATATCATTGAATATTTCAAATCGATCAGGAAACTCTGCCATGTGGACACCAGGAACAGGATGAATGACCCCTGGTGAATCAGAAGTTAGAATGATTGTATAATGTGGCGATGGTAACTTTCTCAATATCTTTCTTAATAATTCATCATGGTTAAGGATTTCAAGGTTACGTTCACTACCAGTAGGTAATTCACCAAGATCAATTCGAATAACACGTTTACGGATATCAAAGTAGTCAACCACTTCCCCTTCGTCTTCATTCCACACATTGATAACCTCTGCCTCACAAGTGTTGACAATGTAATCCTGCAAGAATTGTAAATCTATAACGCCATCAATTCGTGGAATACCCACAGTAGTTGATGACATGTAGAGGTATTTACGTAACATTGGCCAATGATCTTTATTAGCAGTGATCAAGTCTTGGTAGGTTAATCCTGGTTGATTGACTATCAAGTATGCATCTGACGAACATTCTGTCACCAATTTCTTTAGAAGATTAGTCACCGACGTGACATTATGAGGTTCGATATTTGATGGATTTATTAGCTGCTTTAATCCTGGCACTAGTTTATGAGATGCAACCAACAAAGGAGCGAGACTAGCTGATGCTAACGCAAATATATACACTGTGATTAGTAGTTGTTGGATCTTCATCTTGTGGAGTGACGTAATGATAATTTTACTTGGTTGAGCTTGTCCTTTCCAGTGAATGGCACCTGGGATTTTTTTCGCATTGTTATACTAAGCCATAGTTACTACTGTTCTTCAATCGTGGTTGCATCTTCATTTAAAACTTTTCCTTCTTTTGACTTCTTTCTCCTTCTTCTGTACCTGACCTTTTTTTTTTACAACAACATTGGTTACATCCCATCATGTCCACTAAAGACCTTACACGAGCATTGAAATATGCTCAGGAATTTGTTGATTTTGTCAACGCTTCACCAACCCCATACCATGCTGTCAACACTGTGAAATCCCACCTTGCAGCTGCTGGATTCGTCGAACTCCATGAACGTTCCAATTGGTTTGCCCAATCCAACCCTGTTTCTCGTGGTGGTAAGTACTATGTTACCCGTAACGGATCTTCCTTAATTGCCTTTACTGTTGGAGGTAAATTCCAAAATGGAGATGGTATCGCTATTGTTGGTGCCCATACCGACTCCCCATGTCTTCGTATCAAACCAATTTCCAACAAAACCTCCGAAGGATTCATTCAAGTTGGTGTTGAACAATATGGCGGGTTGATTGCTCATTCCTGGTTTGATCGTGATTTATCCATTGCGGGAAGGGTCTACGTCAATGAAGACGGCAAATACGTTCCTAAGTTGGTTAAGGTCGACAAACCATTGTTGAGAATTCCAACCTTGGCAATTCATTTGGATAGAGAAGTTAACACTAAATTTGAGTTTAACAAGGAAACCAAATTGGTTCCTATTGCTGGACAATTAGCCTTGGACAAGAATGAACAAGAAAAGGAAGAAAAGAAAAAGACTTGCGCTGATGATCCAGAATTACAAATGACTCCTGAACAATTTGAATCTGTTCAAAATGTCATCTCTAGACATAATGAATCCTTGATCAACTTGATTGCTAGTGAACTTAATGTTATCCCCTCTCAAATTGAAGATTTTGAATTAGTATTGTACGACCACCAGAAATCAGTCATTGGTGGTTTGAATGACGAATTTATCTTTTCTCCAAGACTTGACAATTTGGTTTCTTGTTTCACCTCCACTAGAGGTTTAATTGAATCTAGTACAGAATTGGAACAACAAAACGGTATTCAATTGATTTCCTTGTTTGACCACGAAGAGATTGGTAGTAGATCTGCTCAAGGTGCCGATTCCACATTCCTTCCTGATATAATTAACCGTCTTACCAAGTTTGATTTCAACAATGGTAAACATGGTCAAGTTGACTACTTCCACGAAACAATGGCAAAATCGTTCTTGTTATCCTCAGACATGGCCCATGGTGTCCATCCAAACTATGGCGACAAATATGAAGGACAAAACCGTCCACAATTGAACTTGGGACCAGTTATCAAAATCAATGCTAATCAAAGATATGCTACCAACTCACCAGGTATTGTCCTCTTAAAGAAGGTCGCTGATAGAGTTCAAGTTCCATTACAATTGTTTGTCGTTAGAAACGACTCTCCATGTGGGTCTACAATTGGTCCAATTCTTTCTGCCAAATTAGGTATTCGTACCTTGGACTTGGGTAACCCACAATTGTCGATGCATTCGATTAGAGAGACAGGAGGTACTTTTGATATTGTGAAGTTGACTGATTTATTCAAGTCATTCTTTGTCAATTATCACGAATTAGAAGAAAAGATCTTGTGTGATCACTTATAAATTTCTAAATAAATATACACTTTATAATGGAGCAAAAACATTCATGGTACTATGACCAATAACATTACCATGAGGACTATAAGAACAGATTATATATCTTGCTCTTGGACATTGACGATATGCACATGCTACTTCAGTAGTGCTCTTCCATACAATAGCCGTGAAATGATTATATATCGACTCAGTTCCGTAAATATACTCTTCTCCTTCTTTATACCACGCATTCATGGCCCCTAATGGAGTATAGCCATATGCTAGGTTTTCACCAAAACTTCCACCTGAATGTATTAGTTTTCCAGAACAATCGTACTGAGATGCATAGGCTGAAGCAAAGTTGAAGCAATTAGCTGACCACTTGAGTGGATCAACACCATGTCTGGCTCGTTTTCTGTTATGATCAAGAAGCATCTCCTCTTGGAACGTTTTGTTGAGAGCATAAGGGCCTTTGTAATCGTACATAGCTACAATTAGTGGGTCATTAGGTGGGATTAGTGGAGCGGGAGTTTGGTCAACTGCTGTGAATTCAATAGTGTGTATTGGAAATGGTTTTGGCTTTTTAGGAAGCAGTATCTGGAATTCAGAGATCCAAGCTGTTTCTGTTATCGACTGAGTAGTTGCTTCTGCCATCGTGCTCTTTGTTTGGGTTACTTCTGATTTCTTAACTGTGGTGGGGTTGCTTGCAGGTACTACCACAGATTTCACTTTAGTTTTGGTTTTCTGGGGTCGTTTTGGTGTTTCAGTAACAACAACATGTACTTCTTGCGTTTTAGCTTTCCTAAGGTTAGGGTATTTTGTGGCCACCACTTGATGCACTACTGTTCGTGGTTTCTTAGTACTCTTTCTAGGAGTTGCAGTCACAACAACATACACAAACTCCGTCTTTGGCTTCTTTTTAATGGAGGAAGGAATTTCAGTGTCAAGTGAATGTTCGTGCAATGTTCTTTCCCGCTTAGTGAGAGCCGTACTAGGGCTTGTGAAGCCCACAGGAACAAGTTCTAACTCCAGCTGAACAACCTTTCTCTTGTCAAGCAAGTCGGCCCCAGGAACAAGTCTCAAAGCTTGAACAATTGAAATAAAGAAATACACTATAATATATGATACGTATATGATCATTTGAAGTGTAACTGTAAAAATAAACTTAAAAAAATTGTCTGATGGGTTAAGTTATATATCTGATTTATCACCTGTCTTTTTCGCAGTTAAAACCAATTTTTTCGCAGTCATTTATTTTTTTTTTACACCAAATTGCGACAAAGTTTGAAACAAAGTCAATACTGAACTTGTCTACAAATTGTTTCAATATTAAGCAAAGTATATTAATATTATATAATCATTACAAGGTCATTAAGGTCTAGAAATCTATCAAGGAGATTACAAAAAGTTGTCAACAAAGTTGTATTTGAACTTAGCCCATCCTTTCAAACTTTGAGCATACTCTTTCTCTTCTAATTCCTCAGGAGATTGGAAATATCTATCGGTATCGAAATCCATGTCTTCTTTTTTGACAAATCTATCTTTACCTCTTCTAATAATCAACCACCAGAAAATATAAGTTACTGGGAAAACCAATAATTCCAAATAACTCTGGAAAAATCCGCTGACATCAAATGGTGATATTGTAGACCACCCTTGAATAATTATAATGAACCCACCAAACAAAACCACAAACCATGGTCCAATAGGATATGTCCAATTACGGAACAACAATTCGTGCGTTCTGTTCTGTTTGGCTAACCCTCTTCTGAATCTGATTGAAATAACGGCAATTAACCACCAGGAAATAAGGTTAGAAAGACCAACAATGGCTTGCAACCAGGACCATAAAGTACCGGCACCAACAAAAGCCAGCCCGAAACATAACCCACCAACAAGCCAAGTGATGATAACGGCAACGTATGGAATCTTGAATCTGTTCAAACGAGTGAAGAATTTTGGAAGGTATCCTTGAGAACCAAGGTTGAATGCAAGACGAGAGCCGGCAAATAAGGCATGATTACCTGCAGATAAAATCGAAGTCATGATGACTGCATTCATGAAACTTCCAGCACCCTTGGCACCTACTTGTTGAAACACAATCGTGAATGGAGAAGTAGCAACGGTCTTGGTCATAAGATTTGGATAGTCATATGGAATATTCATACCAATGAAAAAGGCAGTGAAGATGTAGAAAATCATTATACGCCAGAATGTAGCTTTGATAGTTCTTGGAATAACCTTTACGGGATTGACAGTTTCACCGGCAGTAAGGGAAACTGATTCTAAACCACCCATGGCATAAGCAGCAGAAACAAAAAGGGAACTAAAACCACGGATACCATCGACAAATGGTGCGTCTCCATAACTCCAAAATTTGAATCCGATATAAGATCCCAGGTCATTCTTACCAGCATTACAAATGATACTGACAATAAAGAAGATCAAGATAGTGATCACTTTCAATAATGCCAACCAATATTCGGTTTCACCATATAATCTCACATGAATGACGTTAAGGGCTAAAAGGAATACCCAGAAGATAAGAGAAATAACCCACCAATGGAAATCAGTCCAGTATTGGAATACCAATTGTAATGCCACTAAATCTCCAGCAACTGAACAACAATCATTGAACCAATAATTAAGTAAAATGGCAAACCCAAGAGAATCATTTCCGAATCTTTTGGCATATACTGTGAAGGAACCTGAAATAGGGAATTGCACCGACATTTCTCCAAGAGAAAGCATCATGAAAAACACAACCAAACCGATAATGGCATAGTTCAATAAAAGGGAAAGAGGACCACCAGTGGCCAACATTTTACCGGTACCTAAATATAACCCGGTACCAATGACACCGGCAATAGTGATCATATTAACATGTCTGGTAGATAACGAACGGTTAAGTGATTCTGTTTTGGTAACTTCATTAAGAGAAGAAACAGCATCGACTAGCTCCAAATCATGTTTGATGGCGTCGCTAGATTTTTCAATACTATCTGACATATCTGTGCTGTGATAATTATGAGTAGATGATGAACCTGTTGATATTAACTGAGACATTTTGAAACATTGGAGAAATATTACGTTTTATATATTCTAATATGAAATTTGTCAGCTTTAAGAGAAATTACTTATCTTGTGGCTAAAAAGGTACAAAGGATGCCCTTCGCGCTAATAGTTGCTAATGCCGCATAGAAACATTAATATTTCCGAGCGAAAAAAAATACTGGCTTCAATGAATATTACCTCCTATTTTTCATAATATTCGGTACGCCCATCGGTAGCAATCACCAGGATATGGGTCAATGATTGTCTTGTCTATTATCAAGGCTCATATTCTTTGTTTCCTGTACATCTAAAACCACTTGTTGAAATGACGAATTCAATTACGAGTGGAATGCCTTAATTAAATTCCACAAAAAAAACTTTTTTTGCAATCACACCAGTTCACGTGACCCAATAACGTAAGACATCAAACAAGGGAACCAGAGAATCCACAACAGTGGCGACTCATTGCCATCACGCTACTAGGGCTTATCAGGCGATATTCCCACGGCACCCGTATCTTCAGCCCACACATGGAATTCGGGGTGGGCGGATGTATGTCGCCAATCAAAGAGATGTGTCGTAGAGAGAATCGCGAGGTTTTGTATGGTGAGATGTCTTAAACATAAGTGATCTCACGTGAATAGTCGCAAAACTTTAAACAACGTATTCAAGGCTAGCTTGGTATATTATCAAACATTCGAGTCGAGTGATAGCGAGAATGTGTTTAGGAGCAAACCCCGCTATTCTAGAAATCGGTCTCTGTTCCACAAACAAGACCATTAGTAAATTGAGAAATAATTTATTTTTTTTTTTCGGATGTATGGTATTTTTCCGTTTATTTTGTGAGGCGGATAAAAGACATATTTTTTTCCGTTGGAAAACTTTAAATCTAGCACTTACAAATCTTGAAAAATCTTGTTCTCTAGAGTTCAAAAATTAAGACACATCATTAATTACTAATTAATAATTGTGATATAAAAAGAAATGCGCAAACCCGGAATCGAACCGGGGGCCCAACGATGGCAACGTTGGATTTTACCACTAAACCATTTGCGCCTCTTAATTAGTTGCGAACTTTTTTACTTTTCCGTGCCAAAGATTAGTCATGTGACACAATTGCCAATTTAAGTGATATTATTTGGGGAGAAGCGTCTATAGTTTTGAATCTCTGATTGGTTGTTCTTTGAAATACTGGAGTGGTAACCAAACGGATTAGTTCTTATTTTTATAAGAGAAGTAATTAATCAAAAGATTTTAGTTTTTTTTTGTTCTATAGGAGTTTTATTAAAATTTTGAACAAAATAAGGCTAAAACAAGCACTACGTTTTTATTTTTCAGTAAATGAATCTAATTGACAGCACTATTAAGTTGATAAACTTGTAGCATTAGCCCAGTTCTTGCAAAAATTGTTTTTGAATAGTCGCTCAAAAGTAGAGAAGAATTTGATATACCTGGGAATTATTTTCTCGTTTTCAATACCATCGCTGTTGCAAAAATCGACTGCAAAAAAAAAAAAAAATTTCCGTCTACAATAAACTTGTCTATTCAAAAACATTGCAATCTCTATATAAGTCTATAAAAAGTCAATGAAAACAAAGACAACTCTCTAATTCTGTTCAAAATTCGCAGCCCTTGCCATCAAATTAACAATTTGTTCCTTCATTGGATAAAATCCCCATTCAAATTGTCTAGCTTGATTAGTTCTAACACCCAACTTATCAGCAAATTCCCAAACCAACCCGGGATTTCTCATGAATCCTCTACCAATCAAAGCAAGATCAAAAACACCTTGTTCAAGAAGATCTTTAACTAAAACTGGATCTTCATGTAATCCACCAACAGTAGCAACAACAATCTTGTTACCAACATGTTGCTTAATTGCACGAGCAAGTGGGACGTGGACTGGTAATTTTGTATCTTTGGAATTCAATTCTGATCTAGAGACTTGTTGAGAATCATTACCACCTGAAGAAATATCAATCATGGAAATCCCATGTTGAGTAGCAACATCGGCCAATTGTTGGGATTGTTCAATTGTCCAAGCTTCAGGGTTAGGACTATTTTCAACAGCAGAAATACGTAAAAAGACAGGGATTGATTCTGGGATCTTCAGCTTCACGTTATCAATTATTTCAGTTAAAAACCTGATTCTGTTTTCAAAACTTCCACCATATTCATCAGTTCTCTTATTAGAAATAGGACTGTAGAATTGATTAATCAAATAACCATGAGCACCATGGATTTCAATGGCATCAAAACCACTAATTTCAACAGCTCTCTTGGCAGCATCACCAAAGTCTTGGACAATACTTTTGATTTCAGACTTAGTTAATTCACGAGGAGTCAAATAATTACCATATTTCCTATACTGAACAGAAGAAGGACCAACAACTTTCAGGGGCCATCCACCAACTGATTCATCAGCAATTTGCTCCAAGTGAAGAAACAACGGTTGACCACTAGCTTTTCTCCCACCATGATTTATTTGAAGAGCAATCTTTTGATCTTGAGAATGAGCATAGTCAACAATTGATTTCAACTTTTGTGCTTGTTCATCAGTCCAAATACCCAAATCATGAGGAGATAACGCACCATCGTGACTAACTGCGGTAGATTCAACAATGGTAATACCAGGACCACGGGAAACAATAGCACCATAATGAATCAAATGGAATGGAGTAGCTTCAAGGTTATCATCAGCAGAATAGGTACACATTGGTGAGACACCAATTCTGTTTTGGATCTCAAGACTTCCAATAGCAATTGGTTGGAAAATTCGGGGAATGTAATCATTAGCTGATTTTGGGAGAAATGTTCCTGCTGGAACTGGTTGTCTTGGAGTATAATAAGGAACTGCAGTTGAACGTTCAGCTTCGTCAGAAGAGTAGATTTCTTTAGTACCTGCCATTTACTTGTTTAATTGTTTGGTTTGAATTTATTGATAATAAGAGAGATAAATTGGAGGCTACATGATTGATAATTGAACATATTTATACTAACTTGGTTCAACGGTCAATTGCGGGATTAAGATAGTTGTTTAACCCCTTAACGTTGTTGCACTTACTAATCGAGAAGAAACAAACTCCCGTCTGATATAAAAGAAACGTTTTATTTCTAATCAAAAGAGGGGGGTGGTTTCGTTATCACCATTCCGGATTTAGGCTGAATTCCTTAGTTACGCTATCACCGGCTGACGAAAAATGCTACAATACAAAAAAAAATATTTACATAAACTAACACACTATCACATTAGTTAACTTGTTATATAATTTCGCAACAGTTAAATAACAATGCATGATTTCTAATCAACTACATATTTCTTAGCATCTCACCATGTGTTGAAGCGGCATCAATCGTACTTGTCATACAAGTTGCAAATGAGCCAAGTCAACAAGATATGACATTATTGTATAATAATTAATGTGTGTTATTCCAATGTAAAGAGAAATCACACATAGTCTAGAATTACTGGGTATAGTATTATTTTGTTCTGATAATTAATGTTTAAAATAATATACACTAAAAATGTCGCTACTTGCCTATTATAGTACAATTTGGATTTCAAAATCTTCTTCTAATTCAGTATCACCGACATGAGCATCCATATCTAATGGCTCATCATCAAATATAAGTTTCGCATGGGTAATATCTACCGTTCTTTCATCTAAACCCTTAACTTTGAGGTAATGCATTAGTAAGCTTCTGATTTTAGTTTCAGTTGACACCTTCACCTCAATTCTCTTGTTATCCTTACCCTTGAGACCAATGACAAAGAACTCATCAATTTCTTCAACTTGGGGAGCTATTGCAGGTTCATCATCTATAGTTAAATCAACTACATCATCTTCGTCTACAACATCTGCATCCGCATCCGCATCCGCATCTGCACCTGTTGGTTCTGAAATTGGTTGTTCCTCTTCTTCAGATATAGGAGCAGCAGTTTGGAATTCTGGGTATATGTTCATAAATTGTTCACTGTTTTCATTTTCTATCAATAAGCAAGTCAATACTGTTGGTTGCATATCTTCTACCTTGTCAATAACAAGATTAAAAGAAGCTGGTGGCGGTATACGTAATGTCTTTGGGGTATAAAATGTAGGTATGAGCATCTTTCCTTCTAGCCATACCAAGGCCGAGGTTTCAGGGGAATAGCGATCCAACAAATCAGATGATAGAGTGGCCATGAATATACTTTTGAAGTGTTTCAACATGGCTATTTTTATCTTGGTAAATGATTTCAATCCACCAGTTCCAAAATCAAGGGTATTGCTGGCTTGTTCAGGAACAGGTAGTTTTGATATGGCTCGGATAATATATTTTCGTTTCTTTTCATTGGAATCAGTGAATTGGTATTGGCCAACAGTTCTGTCAGATATACTCAATGACTTCGATTCTTTCAAGATTTGTACACCTAGTTCATCATCATCATCATCATCTTCATCGTTATCATCGTCGGTGTCTTCAAGGGCAGGGGTGGCAGAGCCTGTTGATTTTATTCGGCTGGCTATTTCAATTCGTATTGCTTCTTTGTCTACTGATGGTGGAGTTATGGTTCTTGATCTTACTGGTGGTTTGGATAACTTGATAGTGTTACAGTTTTCAGGTTCACTATCTGCATCAGTCTTGCTATCTTCAGTTTCCTGTCTAAATGAATCCTCTTTTAATATTGTTGAACTGTTTATATCTGAAACTTCGGTTGTTGACCCATGTTCGTTAATGATATCATCGTCTTTCTTGTGTTCCTTATGTTTCTTTTTGGTATGTTTTTCCTTCTTCAACTTCTTCCTGTCAATAGTACTTGACAACGAAAAGAAGTCATCTTCTAAGAACCCTCGTTTTACTTTATCCATATTGACACTATCATCAATTTTTTTTTCTTTCTCTCTCTCTTCACCGCCAACAGTAAAGTAGTCCTTCCAACACTTTGTTTGTCAAAATCAAATGGCCTTTTTATACTTTAAATTTTTTCTTTACAAAATCAAAACAAAATATCATAAATCTCATCCCAAGTAACCATTGTACCCCACCAAAAATGGTCAAAGTCACACTATCAAAGTTCCTGAGGGACCAGAGCTTCAAGGGAAGATTTGCACACCACTATGGATATAACTCGGAGTATTTCGATGTTCTATGCAAGTATAAGGACGATTGGCTGGATAAATTGTTTTTTGTCAATGAACAAATGGCTAAGAAATACGTCGAGCTTGCTAAACCAATTGTCACTATAATGGAGGAAGAATTGAACCTTGCAGAGCTTTCTGTTACAGAAATGACTCTGGATGATATTCAATTGCTATTTACCAATGATATTCCGATGAAGATCACATATGGAAAGGAGACTCATGAGGTCAATTTAACAACCATGGATAACACCGTGGATTTGACGAAATTAGTTAAAAGAAATGCTTTGATATTAAGTCCGGGCGGACATATAACTAGTTTGAAATGGCTTCCCCAAGTACTTAAACAGGATACTCCTAAAGTAAACTATTTGGCAGTATCTATAATCAACAACCCCAATGGTGTAGGTGACAGCATCCTAAATCCAGAACTAAGCATGTACGATGGGAATACCACCGATCATAAAATCAATTCCGCCATACAGATATGGAAACACGATTTAAACACCAATGAATTAACTTTAGAACATATGTTGGTAACTACTAACCTTGGGGCAACTTGTGACTTGACTTGGTGCCCAATGTACCTTGAAGAAGGGAACGTTTTGGGAGTACTAGCTGCAAGTTTCACGGATGGGAAACTTCATTTATTTAGAATCACCAAGAACTTACCACAGTATGCTAAAGTAGACCAGACATCTTTGCTGTATGTCTCGCAGCAGTCATCAGAGCCTCAGAAATCAGATCCTTGTACTAATATAATTTCATTTGAATTCTTGGGTATTGACAAAATTCTAGTGGGGACAACCGATGGTTCCATTGCCGAATATATCCTTCCATTTAAGCGACAGGAAGAAAACATAGATGACATTTCCATACCTTCATACAAGACGAAAATATCGGATGAGCCAATCACCAGTATCGTCGCCGCTGAATATGGCACTGGGGAATATATTATCTTAATAAACACCATATCTCCTATAGTATTTAGCTATGACTACAACAACTACATTCAGGATTTCCACACACCAATATCTAGAAGTACCCTCCCACCCAGCTATAATCACGTTCTTCGTACTTTCACAGTTACTCCAACTGTAGATAGTGTGGGCTACATTTTTCTTCGCAGTCCACAAGAAACGATGCATTCATTATTGAAACTAGACTCATATTTGACATCAAATCATGCGTCCGAGATCTTAGGACACCCATTGAATCTTTCCGGAACAATGTCGGGACAAATAATCGTGTTGAATTATAGCCGGAAAATTCTCAATGGGCAGAAGACAACTAATAGGGTACTTGTTCCATTACAATTATGGAAATTCGATGAAGATGAAGACAAACCAGGAACAGTGGTTTTACAGGCGGATTTTGGAAGGATGGTCGTGGATACACCGGTAGAGATGTCTATTATGCCACCAGAATTGGCGATTTCAGCTTTGGCTTGGAATGAAAACGTTCATGGAAGTTCAATCTATGCTGCAGGGACAGTGTCTGGAGTTTTAATTATTGAGAGATTAGATCCAAAATACAGAAAGTAGAACGATATATACATGTATGTAATTATGTACTAATATTTGGGAATGGAGTCATCAACATCATCACTCCACTTGTACAAACCTCCAATTATATCCTTGACATTAGAATAGTTCATGTTGATAAGCTTTTGCGCTGCTAATTGTGAGTCATTCCCAAATCGACAAACTACAATTATTGGATCGTCTTTTGAAGTTCCTTCTGGAAGATATTCAGTTAACGAATCTGCTTTTCTGAATATTGGATCCCATTCTATGTTTATCGAGTTTGGCAAACTTGTGATTGCAAATTGTTCCTTTGGTCTTACGTCAATCAACAAATGTTTTTTATTTTGCACAAAGTCATGGTACTCCAGGGGAAGTATTCTATATTGCTTGTCTAAAGGTGGGAAAGTGACTCTGCCACAGAATACACCGTAATTAAGTTCGTTCAGTTCAATCTTGTCTCTAGTTACACTAGGTTTCTCCCCACATACCTCACAACTTTTTTGCTTGCCTCTCATTTTAAACATTCGGAATTGTTGGAAAGGATATCCTGAATATACTGAAAGAAAAGGTTTGAAATTTTCCCGGGTGTAATACCCCGTAAGGACCTTAATGGTCTCCACGGCCATGCTTGTACCCACGAGTCCAATAGCTGGTCCTATAACTCCACCATCAGAACACAGAGTTACAGAATCGGGACTTGGAGGCTGAGGGTAAAAGCATCTATAACACGGTCCGTAAGTTTGGAAATTCAACACGGAAAGTTGTCCATCCGATTTCAAACCTGATCCACTTACAATTGTTTTGCTTAAAATGACACAGACATCGTTGATCAAGTATCGGATGGCTGGGTGATCAGTGCAATCTAACACCAAATCATATTTGGAAACTATTGAGAACGCATTATCATTAGTAAGCCTAACAGGATAAGTCTCAACGTTGACATGATAATTAAGGCGACTAATGTATAGTTTTGCTGATTCACATTTATACATTCCCACATTTTCAGAAGTATGCAATACTTGCCTGTGTAAATTACTAATGTCAACTACGTCATCATCCACGATACCAATAGTGCCGATCCCAGCTGCGGATAAGTAGAGCAAGGCAGGGCAGCCCAATCCACCAGCACCAACAACTAAGATTTTAGCTTGTTTAAGGCGGAGTTGTGAGGGAAGAGAGCCAAATTGTGGAACAATCATCTGTCTTCCATATCGTTTGTACTCATCTAAACTGAGTGTAGTTGTGGGCGAGGATGGGTCGGGCTTTGGTAAGTCGGGTTGTGGTTTGTCCTTTCTAAGACGGGAATTCTCTAGTTCTAGTGTTGCTATCCTTGCAAGAAGATCTTCTGTTGTAGGAGAAGTCATCTGTTGAGGTTGTGGTGGTAGTGATGGTGGTGGTGGTTGATTGTTTGATCTAGTTGTAGAAATTTATATTTTTTTCAGATCTTATCGCATCATGAGATGACTTAGCTTAGCCGTACAAACCAACCTGGGTTACACTGCCAAGAGTTAGGAAAGAAGCAAGAGTGTGAATGTAAAGAGGGAATAGCTTAAATAGAGCGATATCACATTGACTTTAGGCATTCATATGAGAAAATATTAACTTCTTTTATTGTTTCGTATACACAACAGACATTTGCACTAGGTACTACTATAAAATATAACAAATACCAGTGACCCTTTATGTTCTAATATATACTTTGATGCAACGATTAGACAATCTTTTGCTTGACAAAGAAACTCTTCAAATGACGTAATTGGTAAGCACAAGTACCAATCAAAACAATCAATTGAACAATAGTCCACTTGACAACTCTAGAGTTGGTGGATTCACTTTGATCTCTAAATTCAGCTTCTCTTTGTCTCATGTATTCTTGTTCCCAATGAATCTTATCCAATTGTTCATACAAACGTTGAATCTTTAAAGTCAATTCGTCCACAGACTTGGCAGATTTAGAATCAACGTAATCATGAGCGGAACCTTGAGCAACATCGAAAAAGATTCTGTGAACTTTGTTGTGGGTCTTGTCAAGGTAGACTGGAGTCAAACAGAACTTGTGTTCTCCGGCATCTAATGAAGTAAAAGTGAAGTCCCCTTCAGCGGTAGCCTTTTGGTCAACAACTCTGTGGTCATCATCGAAAGTTTCATCAACTGTTATTTGAACTCTTAAATTGTGGTTTTGGACATATTCATCACTGTTTTCTCTCTTTTCATAAGCAGCAACTTTACCCACAACCAAGGTATCTTGCATTAATTCTTCATAGAAACATTTGGTTTCACCGGTCTTGACGTAGAAATGCAAGGCTTGGGTTATTTGGAAAACAAAGAACAAAGCGAGTATAAGTTGATTCCGTCCGAACATTGTATATGCTTGATTTGTTTGAATGATCTAACTAACAACGTTTGATCGTTCCAGTTTTTTCCACGTCCACACATTTTAAGTTTTGGCGACACGTAGAAAATTTCAAAAAAAAAAAAAAAAAAAAAATACAATACACTAGTCACGCGATACCAGTCACGTGTATAAAATATACATAATTACGTTTATTATTCTATTAGTATAAATAAGGGATTACTTCGTGGTCTTTCTCTTGTTGATGATCTTCTTTTTGATGTGTTTCTTCATCTTGGTCTTTCTCTTTTCTTGTTTGGCTAACTTAGCTGCCTCTTTTCTTGCCTTCTTATCATCCTTATCTTCATATTTCTTACCTTTTGGAGCTTCTGCTTCACGTTCAACCCACTTCTTTTTGGGTTTACCTTCATCATCAGAAGCGTATTCGCCGTCACTCTCATCAGAGTTATCATCATAATCATCGTCGTCATCATCATCATCATCATCTTCTGAATCATCTTCGCTGTCGTCAGTCTCTTCCTCATCACTTTCTTCTTTCTTATTTGCCACCAATTCCTTCATAATATCAACTTTCCCTTCAGAAAACTTTTCGAAATCTCTTTCTTCTAAATTATTCAAGGATCTAACCAAATGCAATGATCTAAAAATCTCATCTTGAACTTCTTCATCATTGTCATCTTCAGTTTTCAATGGCAAGGTATCTAAAAACTTTTGCAATTCTTCATCTCCATTATCAGTTATTCCCAAACTATGATTGTCCTCAGTGATATATTTAAACAATAATCGTTCTGGGTATACATTTATCTTCTTTCTTGAAAAGAAGTCATTGACATTCTTTATATCCATTCTCAAAAAGTCAAGTGCCATGGGATGTTCTGGTTCAACCGATTGGGAAACGTCAATAATGTACAACTTGTCTTGATGGACAATGGAGTTATATTCACTGAGATCAGCATGAACCAATCTACATTCTTGATACATCCGTCTCATATAATACAACATCTGATGATAATAATGAACAATTTCATCAATGTCTTTAAAAGGGTGATCTCTCAATTTAGGAGAAGGTTGTCCTTGGCCCTTAGTTAAATACTCCATTACAAGAACGTGGGAACGTAATTCAACTGGTTCAGGACACGGTATGCCATTAAGATACAATCTCTTCAAGTTTCTAAACTCCTTTTCAGCCCACACTTTCACCATCTTACGAGGGTTACTTTGGTTCTTGGTGTTACGGAATCGGTATTCTCCATCAACGTATCTTTCTCTGTCTTTAAACACAAGAATAGAAGTTTTATAGATCTTGACTGCATATTCTCTGGTATCATTGTCAGAATCACCATGGTAGACGTTGGCCTCTTTACCAGTGGAAATACACCCGTTGATTCGGGAGAGGATTCCCTTGTTGATGATCTTGGCTAAGAATCGCATGGTTCTTGGATCTAATACTTGTTCAACAGTTGCTCTATTGGCACGATCTTTGTGAGTTTTGCCACTCTTTACCGGATCGGTATTAATCTTGTGGGCATATTTAGTGACGATGTCTTCTTTGTGCGTTGTCCCTCCGGTAGAAGGAGTAGAAACTTCTGGTTCTAAATCTGAATCCGAATCCGAATCGGAGTATATTTCAACTTGATTAAGCTTGTCAGCTAGTTCTTCAGTCATGGCTGCTGTCTATTGCAGATTGCAAATTTGGTATTAAAAAAATTTAGCGAAATAAGATGAGGAAAGAACCCAAGAACAAAAAAAAAAAAACAGTGTGCAAATTATAAACACCGAACAAACCGGTTTAACAACTAACCCCCCCCAATGGCAGTAACAATCACAAAGAACACAATCAGGGTGTTACCACAGGTATGTAATAACACCAGCTAGTTAATACAAGACATATATTAACATCAATAGAAATTTCTAGGAAGATTTCCACTTTTTATTGGTGCAGAAATAATACTAGGCATAACCATCCTCAACAAAGCCAGTGGTATCTATGGGATCCTTTCCCTCTTGACTGGCCATCCAATCAACTTCTTTCAATGGCTATTCAATGCATTAGCTCTAGTTCTTTTGCCAATTTACATTAGTGCCTTTATTAACATAAACACCCAACCGAAAAACGTTCGGAAAATGTCAATAGCCACGGTTGTCTACATGGCCGACACCGTGATTGGATTATTGTACACTTTATACTTTATGTACTTTTGGTTTTATGTTGAAGATACCGCTGCTCCAGAGTCAGGCAACACTAAACGACAAGAAATGGGTGATTTGTCAGCCCAATCTGCTTCCTACACCAGAGAATTGTTTCTCACTTTTGCAACAACAATTGTTGTCAAGGCCGTGAGAATATACTTCACCTTGGTAATGATGTCCTTCACCAGAGCACTCTTGAAACAACACATCCTCAGAGAAGGAAGATATGGTCAAGATGATGCGGAGCACCTTGTTGATGCTGATGAAGAAGAGATTTTGGGATCTGTTGGTGTATTGGGAGAAATTAGAAAGACAATCTTGGATTTGGAAATCAAGTCCAAGGAATTGTTGATTCAATTGTTAGCATAGTATGTATTACTTACCCTTTTTTTATATATATATACGGCAACACATTGTTGCTGTTTGTTGCAAGTTTCGTTCATGATCATGTGACTTACTTTATAATTTTAATTAATAATTTCATAACCTTGCCTTGTTTAAAAACGTTGTTAACTAAAATTTCTTTTATTTGCCGCACCGTAATTGCCTTCATACCAGTCACTACTTACAATGGGACAAGGATCATCAACAGCAGCAGATAGTTCATCACACCTGGAGCAATTCACTAAAGACCAATTGCACAAGTTGTTTTATGCGCGATGCATCTCCCTCTTAAAACCAATTGAACTTGCATTCTTGCGATCTAATTTAAATATCAACCCCGAGGAAGAACAAATATCTAGAGTCATTTCCAAGCTAGAATTGGCCAGTTTGTTGAAATTAGGGCAGACTGAAGATGATTTAACCAAAGGAGAACTCAATGATGCCATCGATGTGATTTACAGGTCATTGGTATTTATTGGTGGGTTGCCGTTTTTGGAACAAGGAGAAGAGGGATTGAGTTTGGAAAGATTAATTGTCGGGATCATATTTTACAGTGGTCAGTATAAAAAGATTTTCACCACGTTTGACTTTACCAAGTTGTTTTACTTATCGTTGGCATTACCCAAGGCACAAGTACAAGTAGAAGAAAAATCAGAGAAGGTGCCAGATGAGGAACCGAAGGAGGATGAGAAAATATCAGTTGATATGTTGTTGCCATCCCAACCTGAAGATCCTCCTGAATTGAAAGCAAAGAAGATCAATTGGACAAAATTGCCGTCAACCCAACTAGACCTTGCAACTCCTAAATTATGTGCAAAGCGCTTACAATTGATACTCACACTACTACTTATTCAAAGTTCCATAAATAAACAAACCTTGGATGTGCAAATAGAGACAATTCTTGAAAAATGGAGCCAATTTCTGGTTTACTCAACATACATATCAACATTTCTAAATTTGAACATCAAAAAAGACCATTCAATCACGTTTGAACAATTCCAAACTATAAACGATTTGGCTCCTGATTTTATTCAGAAAAAATTACTCAGTTTAATGACAAATAGTATAATATCCACTAATGCACGAACCCAGAAACCACCACATACGGATATTCCTCATATTGAACCAATGACTCCACCACCCTCAGCATCCAGACACAAGTTCCCTGAATTCATTGAATCCAAACTTGTAAACGCAGCATTTTTGGCATATATATCCCTGCTTCTTTCCCGATCAATCTCTCCCCAAAACATTGTAAAGTTATACGCTGGTTCTGAGTCAGGATTTTCAATTCGTTCTTTAGAATCAAAAATCTTTAAATGGCAAGCTCCTACACTATTCATAATCTCGGGAAAGCGACTCAAATCGAAAATCATAACCACCAACAAACGATACCAGGCTTTTGATCATGAATACCCTCGATATTTTCTCACCCTGGAACAAACACTAAAACTGTGGCAAAATGACGGCGAGAGAGTCACATATGCTGTATATATAAATTCTCCATGGAAAAACTCAAACAAGGTAAATTTCGGTGATGAAAACACAACCATCTTGTCCATACAACCGCATGCTGACAAATTCACCAGTATCCATAGTTCAGTGATTCAGGGCAAACTGATTTATTTTAATAATCTAGGAATGGGGATCGGATTTGGCAATTCCCAGCCATTGAATAAGAATGGAACGAGGAAATATTTCCCAGGGGATGTTTCACTTACTATTGAAGCTAACTTGGAGTTTGCTGTTTTCAGACACGTTCTCCAATCGTCTTCTCCCCAGGTGCAAGCTTTCTTTGAGAGGTCAGTTCAAGAAACGATCAGAAATGAACAATATGAAGATAGATTTATAATCACCGATTTAGAAGTTTGGGGGGTTGGTAGCTCTCGCGAGTTGGCTGAACAACAGAGAGAATGGGAATGGGAGAAACAACAGGCTGAAGCTAGACAGAGTGTGAATATTAGAAGTTTGGGAGAAGAGCGGGCGTTCTTGGAGATGGCTGGATTAGTAGGTAATCATGGAGCAGGTGGATCTGTATGACAATATATAGAAAATATTATGATAAAATGTAATAAATTAGTTATTAATCTATATAAAAACGTATAAATAAACATACCCAAAATGCAAAACAAAAATCTAATGCTGTAAAGCATACTTTGATCTAGCCCTTAATTTAGGTCCATTCAAGTAGAATAATACAGGAATAGCAATCATGGCAAGAGCGAGGAATGCCAAGATAGAAGTACCCCAAGCCACCGGAAATTCCTTGGTGGCCAAGTTGTCGTATAATGGTCTACCAAATAATGGGAAACAACCAGCAGTGGTTGATCTGAACAAGTTGTTACTGGCAAAGATGGAGCCAACATAGGTGAATGAGCCAGCAATGAAACAGAACAAAGTTTGGAAAATCAAGAACCCACCAGCGGAGAAAATGGCACCACCGATAAGTGGACCGATCCAATGAGTGTGTCTAGTTGCGGACCAACCGAATATGAATAATCCGATAGGCATACAGACAGCCCCGAAAATAGCAATCGGCATGAATACTTCTGGTTGGACACTACCACCATTGACGATCCTCTTTGTGTAAATTTGACGAACAACTGGAATATAGATGGCAGCAGCAATGACGATACCAATGACAGTGGCGAAATAAGTACATCCTAATTCAATCAAAGTGAATCCTCTAATTTCTTGAAAGAAAATAGGATAGACTTCAAAGAAAAGGTAGAAGATACTGTAAACCAAAGCAATGTATATGTTGATCATAAGGACAACTGGTTCCTTGATGAAAACTTCAATCGGTCTCCATAAGGTTTCAACGATAATTTCATTGGTAGTCTTACTTTTGTTTTCAAGTTCACCTTCACTAGTAATTCTTTGATTACCAGTAATACCTCTCAATCTGATAGCCTTACGGTATAACAAGGTCTTACCATAAGTTTCTGGGAAGGACCAAGACAAGAAAAAAAGACAGAAGCCTGAAAGAACACACATGAACCAGAAAGTCCATCTCCAACCACCTTTAACAACTAAGATAGAACCAAAGAATGGACCAAATGAAGGACCACAAACAGCACCCAAGGCCCAGGAGGCTAAACCAACTGGAATGTAAGGAGGTGTCAAGACATCAGCAACAGTAGCACCACCAGTGGCTAAACATGGAGAAGCAAAAACCCCAGCCAAGAATCTCAAGACACACAACCCAGCTATATTATGGACTAAGGCGGTTGGAACTTGTAAAATGACAAATAATGCTAATGTGTAGATATAGATGGAGTTTCTTCCGAATGCAGCGTTTTCAGAAAGAGGACTAAAAACTAAGGGACCAACAGCGTAACCAAGAACGAAAAGGGTTAATGGCAAAGTAGCAATCACAGAAGAAATGTTAAACTCTTCCATAAGAGCTTCCACACCCGGTGTATACACGGCAGAACCCATATAGACCGAGGTAGTTAAAAATGAAACTTGGATGATAACTAATGTCTTTTTATATATGGACCAGTTTTGTGGGTTTTCTGGATCATCATCACTATCCCATGTAACTATTATATCACCATTTGCAGTTTTGGTATCATCTGTATCTACGGAAACATCCGACGATTCATTTTCTATTTCTACCTTATCAAAGTTTTCAGCTTTCCCTTCACTTAAGTATTTTTCAGGTATGATATAATCTGGTTGCTCTTCCGGATAAGTAAAGAATTTATGACCAGAAAGTTGGTATGTTAATCTACCTAAAAAACTGTCACGTATTAATGTAGCAACCATTTCGATGATATGAATATGTACAATAAATTAAGATTTTGAAAGGTTGAGATGATTAATAAGACTTGTTGTTTAAAAGGATTTAGAGTAACTGAGAAGCAAGATATCGCATCTATTTATATCAAAATACGAAGGGTCGCAATGCGATAGCAGACTAAAAAATTTTTTTTTTTTTGCAGTGATTTGTAATGAAAAAAAAAAATAATTCTTTTTTGTTCCATCCTGTTTCGCGGGCACCGGACATGCCTAATTGGGAACCAGCGAGTACCTTCGGCGTTACCCGTTTAAGCTATTCGGCTATACTTTTGATTAGTAAGTGGCTGCATCAATTCCAAATCGTGGCAGATACGGAAAAATTATCTGCAACTACACCATGCTGTCAGGAGAAACAATGAGACTGAACTTTCCAATTTCAGATCAACAATTGACTTTGCCACTCTTTTATTAAGAACATAAAATGTTCGTTCACATAAAGCCCGAGACTTTCTAGAGTACCTCGGTGATAAAAAAAACACACCTTAGTGTGAATCACTAAGCACAATGACTCAATATAAAAACAAAGAAATTCCAAGTGTTTTTATTTGATTTTGCGATAACTTGGAATACACACAAATAATGTTGAAGCGAAGTAATTGAGACATAACACAAAGTCATTAGTAATCCATGTTTGGTGAGACTTTCATCTATCATACGAAACTTGTAGTTATTGTACGATCGCTTACAAGCTATGTATTACTAATAGGTTCTCAGCTTAGCAAAAAAAAATCTCACTTTAGCAATTGTGACACATGAAATCAGTTAAGGGAGGGGAATTTTTCGTTTGGAGAATGGGATCTCTTACTATATGAACTTGAAATTAATGATTAAAACGTTCAATTAAACAAAAGTCTATACTCTACTAAAAATCTCTATAAAAAAAAAAGCCAAGCAAAACATAGTTAAGTACTCTAATAATGCAATGCATATTTAGATCTAGCTCTTAACTTAGGACCATTTAAGTAAAATAACACGGGAATGGCAATCATGGCCACAGTAATAAATGCTAAAAGCGAAGAACCCCAGGCAACCGGGAATTCCTTAGTAGCCAAATTATTATATAATGGTCTTCCAAACAATGGGAAACAACCGGCACTTAAGGATCTAAATAAATTATTACTTGCAAAAATCGAACCGACGTAAATAAACGACCCGGCAATGAAATTAAACATGGTCTGGAAAATCAAGAACCCACCGGCCGAAAAGATAGCACCTCCAATAAGAGGTCCAATCCAATGAGTATGTGTGGTGGCTGACCAACCAAAGATAAATAATCCAACTGGCATACAAATAGCACCAACAATAGCAATTGGCATAAAGACTTCTGGTTGGACTCCCTTGCCACTGAAAATTCTTTTAGTAAACACCTGACGAACAGTAGGAATATAAATCAGGGCAGTGATAACGACACCAATGATAGTAGCAAGATAAGTACAGCCTAATTCCACAATTGTAAAACCTCGAACACCTTGGAAGTAGATTGGATAAACTTCAAAGAAAAGATACCAAGTACTGTATACCAAGGCGATGTACAAGTTAATCATAAGGATGACAGGCTCCATAATAAACACTTCAATTGGTCTCCATAACGTCTCAATAGCAATTTGACGAGCTGTCTTGTTGCGGTTTTCAAGTTCACCTTCACTGGTAATTCTTTGGTTTCCAGTGACACCTCTCAATCTAATAGCCCTACGGTATAACAAAGTCTTAGCATAGGTTTCAGGGAATGTGAAGGATAAAAAGACAAGTGAAAATCCAGCAACAATACAAATGAACCAGAAAGTCCATCTCCAACCACCTTTAACAGTTAAGATAGAACCAAAAAATGGACCAAATGAAGGACCACAGACAGCACCGACCGACCAAGCTGCCAAACCAACAGGGATGTATGGAATAGGAACAATATCAGCAACAGTAGCTGCACCGGTAGCCAAACAAGGAGATGCAAAAACACCCGTAATGAAACGTAATATACATAAACCAGCAATGTTATGTACCAATGCGGTAGGAATTTGCAAGATGACAAATATGGCCAAGGTGTAAATATAAATTGCATTTCTTCCAAAAGCAGCATTTTCAGAAAGGGGACTGAAAATCAATGGACCTATTGCATATCCAAGAACAAAAAGTGTCAATGGCAAAGTTGCAACTACTTCGCCAATTTGAAACTCTTCCATAATTTGTTCAATACCAGGGGTATATACTGCTGAAGCCATATACACTGAAGTGGTCAAGAATGACACTTGGAAAATAACAAAAGCTTTCTTAGAGAAAGACCAATTGTTAGGGTTGTCTGGATCATCGTCACCATCCCAAGTCACTATAATGTTTTCATCTTGTGGCTTTGCTTGTTCAGAATCAATAGAAGAATTCGAAGGAACACCCTCATCTATTTCAACTTTATCAAAATCTGAAACTTTACCTTCACTTAAGTACTTTTCAGGTACTATATAGTCTGGATGTTCTTCTGGATATGAGAAATATTTGTGACCAGAAAGTTGGTAGGCTAATCTACCTACAAAACTATCACGTATTAATGTTGGAACCATTTGAGTTATTGCTTAAGAAGTTGTTATTGGTGAGTAAAGTCTGATAAAGGAGAGCATGATTACTAGGAAGCAAGAGGGATATTTATAGTTCACCAAACCTTTCGCACAGCGTAGTTGGTTTGTCAGCATAGTGATAAGTTGCAGCAACTTCAACAGGTGCAAAATAACGGCGATTAGTCATGTGAACAGATCAAGTACTGGAAATAAGCAAGAGGGGAGATACGGGAGACCGGAGATAGAACCTGGATTTAAAATGAGGCTGTATTAATTTTTTTTTAAAAAAAATAATTTAGTATTTTAAACAATCAAATCCAACTAATCGCTTACAAATGGTTTATAACAACAATGATGATAATATACTTATTAGTTCCACAAAGCTGTTAGTATGTGGCAAAAGGGGCAGTTCCTATTGTGTAATCAACGTTGCGTAATTACTATTTGTCATCAAGAGAATGATAAGTCTTTTTATTTTTAGTCAATTGAACTACGATAAAGTATTAGCATGAGCGCTAGCTCTAAGACTTTTAAATGAAATATATGACTTAAAAGCAAAAGGGGCTCTCGATTGTATACAAACCCGTAATTGTGTCCAATTTTTAGCTTGGTTCCTAAAAAGAAATGGGGCAAAAAAAAAGTGGCATTACGGCTGTACCTAGATTGATGAAACGGCTCAACCGGAGTTACAGACTTAGTTTCTCTGAGCCACACAGCTATTACATAATATACAGGGTGGGTATGTATAGAAATGGGTGTTACTTATGGTGAGTGAATGACATCATTTTTCAATTATGAGCAACATCTAGTTCATTACATAATTCAAGTTTGATTTATAAAAGTATACATAATCTTTTTCATCTTTCTAGATAATTATGAATTTCTAAGGTTGTATAGTTAAATTCTCCTTAAATTTATTCAGAGTTCGATCTCACTTGTATCATTAAATACCAACTACTTCCGTATTACTATCAGTGTAGTTCTCATCAAATAAAGGGGTAGCGCTACCCCTTAAGAGTGGAAGAGAAAAAAAAAAATTCCTACAAGTTGATGAGCATCGATTTTTTTTTTTCTTTTGTAAATACATTTAAACAACCACTTACTCTGAAGATTAGCAAAATGGCAAAAGGCGACAAGAAGAAACAACAAGAGAAGGGAAAAGAACCAGTCATTACTGATGGCCGTTTCAAATCTGTCCACAATGATCCCCGTTTCAAGCTTCCTAACTTGAAAAACTTCAAGATCAAGGTTGATGAAAGATTTAGTAAGAAAGAATTGAACAAATTGAATGCAGGTGCCTTGGGGAAGAAGGTGAAGATCGATAGATATGGTAGAAAAATTAACGATGATAAGAACAAGAGTGCACTTGACAAGTTTTATGAACACGAAGATGAAGAAGAGGAGAAGGATGAAGAACATTTATCAGGTTCAGAAGGTGATGATGAAAGTTCTGATTCGGAAGGAGAAGATGTCGAGACCCTTACTGCCAAAATTCAAGGTGAACAAAAAGAATTTGACAGAGCAAGAGGTGAAGGTTTAGAATCATCTTCAGAAGAAGAATCAAGTGAATCTGAATCCGAATCTGATGATGACTCGGTAGTCTTCGAAGAAGAAGAAGAATCAGAAATCGAATTAGAAGAAGGAAAACCAGAAGAAGGTGAGGCCACTCTGTCATTTGCTGTTGTTAACATGGATTGGGATAACCTCCGTGCTGTTGACCTTATGGCCACTTTCATTTCATTTGTTCCTAAAGGTGGCTCTATCAAGTCCGTTACCATCTACCCTTCTGAATTCGGAAAAGAAAGAATGCAACAAGAAGAAATCGAAGGACCTCCAAGAGACTTGTTTAAATCCAAAAAGAAGAAAAAGGAAGAATCATCTGACTCTGAAATCGATTCTGATATTGATATAAACAACGCCGATGAATTAGAAAAAGTAACAAAAAAATTATACAAGACCAATGATGATAGTGAGGATTACGACAGTAAAGCTTTGCGTAGATACCAGCTTCAAAGGTTACGTTATTACTATGCGGTCGTAAAATGTGACTCGGTAGAAACTTCCAGGAATATATATCAAAACTGTGATGGTACTGAATATGAGTCAACGGCTAATATCTTCGATTTGAGATATATTCCAGAAGATATGGAGTTTGATGAAGATGAAGCCAAGGATAAATGTACCAAAATCCCTGCATCATACCGTCCTGACTCAACATTTATTACTGATGCTTTACAACACTCCAAGGTAAAATTAACTTGGGATGAAACTCCAAAGGAAAGACTTACCTTATCCTCAAGACCACTTTCACAAAAAGAAATTGATGAAAATGATTTCAAAGCTTATTTGGCTAGTGATAGTGATGGAAGTGAAGAAGAACAAGATTTGAAGGATAAATACCAAAGTTTGTTGGGTAATGGATTCAGCAAGAAGTTCGGCAAAGATGACGAAGAAGATGATGTTGATATGGAAATTACTTTCGATCCAGGATTAAAGGACAACAAGGAAGAAGAAGAGGGAGAAGATAAAGAACAAGAAGAAACTACTATTGATGCATACAAGAGAAAGGAAAAGGAACGTCGTAAGCGTAGATTGGCCAAGTTCAAGGAATCCAAGGCAACTGAAGCTGAAGAAGAAGAGGAAGCTGAAGTGAAATCCAAATCTAAATCCAAGAATAAAAAATATGCCCCTCCACAACTCGACGAGAAATCAAGAGCTGAGTTGGAATTGGTTCTTATGGATGAAGAGAACACTGAAAAACCAGACCATTTCAATATGAAAGATGTTATAAAGTCTGAGAAATTAAAGGGTAAGAAGAAGAACAAGAAGAATAAGAAGATTGATGAAGAAATGACCCAAGATAACTTTGTTGCCAACTTGAACGATCCTAGATTCAAAGAAATTTTCGAAAGTCACGAATATGCTATTGATCCTACTAGTAGCGAGTTCAAGAAGACTGAAACTATGAAACAAATCTTGAAAGAAAGATCCAAACGAGCCAAATCCGATAACACAAAGAACTCCGACAAGAAGAAGCGCAAGCATGATCAAGTTGCAACCGGTGATAATGTCCACTCTTTAGTTGACAAGATAAAAAAGAAACACAAAACAAAGTAAATAAACGCTCTTTAGTGCTACTAAAATGCATAGAATACATTTAGATTTTGTTAACAATGCTTTTAACTGTAGAACCTGATTTCCCGCCATACAGGAAACCATAGTTAACGGAACTTCTTTTTTTTTTTTCTTTTTTTTTTGCGCAAAAAAGTCATGCGACTTTATGTAGTTGAACACTAATATTTTTGCAACATTTTTGGGAAACAATAACCTTGCTATGGGGGCAGCCAAGCGGATTAAACCTGGCAACTACTAAATCAGATCCATGACCTTGGTTGGTGAAAGGATGATGACCATGGGGCGTCAATATGGGGTATATAATTTACCAGATTTGTTAGTTTCTATTCTCATTTCCACAATATTTATAAATATAAGTGGTATTGCTGCCAGGCGTTTCAGTTAACTTTAGAAAATATGGACTCCATAATCACCCACCGCTATCAGGTGTCCAACCCCAGATTTAACAAAGGAGAGCCTTCAACAATGCATACCAACGATAACCTTTTACTGGAGATTGCAAGCCATCAAAGTTACAACGATAAGGATTCAATCACAGATGTGGTTCCAGAAATAGTTGACCACGAAGAACCGGAAACTCATCCTCTAGAAAGCTCTATACCGGAATTAATTTCCTTACTCGATGAACGAATCGAGAACCTTAGGTCGTATATCGCTGTCGTCGGCTCGGCCTGGATTGACAACGCAGATGATAATGCATTAACCGACAACGTAATTTCCGGTGAAAATATGCACGCGCAGGAGATGGAAATTGCCCAATCAACAACGCAAGACAAAGCCCGGAAAAGCGAACCAAAGTTGCTACCAGGGGAGAAAACTCCACATGCCTCAGTTGACGAGACTGTCTGTGATTACAAAGAGCATATATATGTGTCTGAAGACCAAGTGCAAAACTTGAAAAGCACACAACAACTAATTCTCCTTTACAAGTGCATGAGTTTACCAGAAGAACATTCAAGATATGGTCTTGTTATATCCCCACCAGTGACTAGTCTTCAAAGATCAGTTTCTGAACGAGGAATAAAAAGACCTCTCACCTCTTTGCGAAAGAGGCCATTGACAATTACCGAAGAAACCCTCCATGCCGAAAAGAGGGACAAGAAGCTTATATACTCTGCATCGAAACATGGGGTGTACATGAAACATAGTAACGGTAGTTGTACCTCGTTACCAGGAAATGGCAACTCAATATTCGAAACCAGCAATAACTACAAACACTATACTTATCAACCACCACGAACCCCAATTGATCGAGAAGATTTGATAAATGTAAGTAACGAAATCATTAATTTCATTGCTTATAACGATAAGCACCCCAACGGAACCCCTTCGCCCCCATCAAGAGAAACATTATTGGAACCTATCGTTTTTAGCGGTGACTATGGAAATACCCTGGAAATAAGCTTACATTATCCGGGTATTCGCGGAACAAACATGAAGTGCATAACAAACCTTGAGCAGACTATTGATGGTGATAATAATAACAATAATGAGGAAGGCGAAAGAGACCAACCAAAATCCGGTAACTATTTCCCTACTTCCATTATCCCACCTATTCGAAAGACACTGCATATTCACAATATATTAGAAAGAATGACAATCAAGAGCATGTTTGCTAAAAGGGGAACTGCTCCTTCCCGACCTGCTATCATTAACCCTTATAGTAGAGACCTGGTACTTTCATTGGATACTTCGATTGAAAGTGAAAATGGAAAGCGGCGAGAACAGCAGCTGCATCATCTACATACAAAGCTTCGTACCAATGATAATGGAACTGAACCATTATCTCCCGTGCTAGTTGTTCAAGGTTCTGAAAGAGGAATCTCTACTCCATTGATTAGCTCTTCCCATGAAAGATTATTGAAGCATGGAACACCACCTTCATCGGCTGATTTCATTCCTCACCGCCCTGTTCCAACCACACCATCACCAGTGATTGTATCTAAAGCTGGCACCCCAAATACATCCCCGCCACCGCCTATGGAAAGAGCTCACTCACTACAAGCTTCTGAAAAGAGTAGGTTATCAAAGAAATTCCCCAAGAAGTTATTTAGGAAGAACTCCAATGGCGACTCTGCTTTCTATGAGAGAATCTTGGGAAGGCCAAAGAAATACAGCGCAGACAGTGAACCTACCACGGAAGAAGAATTGGAATTGCTTGCATTAGAAATTGATGATCTTGAACAACACAATATTGACAAAGAGGTTAAAGACAACACCATAAAGAACTTTTTAAAATCAGATATCATGGAAGATCATCAAGTTGTTGTTGACGCATTTAAGAAATTGTTGGAGGAAAGCTTTTAGTTTATTTTTTAATATTATCATTAAAGTGTATATTTAGCTCAAATACATTGGAACTGTTACAAAATAGTTTATTATTACAAAAGAGAGAAATATATAGCCAAGGAAATTTCAAACCCAAAAAAGACAACAAAAGATTGTATAAGTGAGATGTAGCATTCTGTAGCTTTAACTCTATAATTATTTCCTAAAATCGTTTAGAATTGGTTATTGTGTATATCGGAAAAGAATTCATCAGGATTATAAATTGGTATGTCTGTACTTCCCAAAAAGTTTGGATTTCCAGAATTGCCATTATTAGATGATTCCATATAGTAAGCCTGGGGCAGCTGGTTAGGATTATTTGTATCTGTATATCCGCTACCACTGCCAAATTCCGTTTCACCTAAAGTTTTTTCCAATGCTTCAATTTGACTCACCAACTGCTCTCTCACAAATTCTTGTTGACGTAAAACATAATTCAAGTGGTTAATATAATCAACCGATTTATTCAAGATTGTGGATTTGTTAGGTTTGGTTTCCTTGACTTTAATTGAACTTATTAAATCATTCAAATCATTTGAATCAATTGAGCTCTTGCGTTGTAACGCTTGAACTGCACTCAATTGAGGGTTTAGTAAAGAAGGAGGAACAATGACACCCAACTCTTTAATTCTTTCTTTGATCAAATCACGCCGTCTTCTCTCTACTGCATTGTGGAATTCTCTTCTCCTCTTGGCCTTTTCTTCTTTGGATAGTTGTTTGGTAGGAATACCTTCCTTGGAAATAGGGACACGATTACCCGAATTACCAGAACCAGGAACTGATGTACTTAAAATGGCAGTTTGTGGAGGAGGTGAAAGGGCATTATGGTGCCATTCTGACCTAGCCGGTATCGATGTGCTCATATTGGCCACACTATTGGTTCCACTTCTATTAGGATACTGAGAATTAGATGGAGGAGGCGATTGCAAATATGGTTCGTAAATTGGCGGTGACGCATACCCAGGATTGAATTGAGGGGAAAGATATTGTCCAGTAGCAGTAATATCAAGTTGATTGCTACCATTGTTGAATCCACCACCAGGTGGTCCACTTATGCTACCATTTCGGGAAAGATCCGGACTGAATACATCATCGCTATAAGGAGATGCCAATGGGTTCTCGGCAATTGCATTCAATGGATTGTAACTACTTTGGCCTCGTGTAGGTGGGGAAAAGTATTGAGGATTGAGGAATGGACTTGTAACATCGAATCCTCCTCCGCTGGTATTTGGTGGGGAAATAAGCTCGTCTAGATTAGCCGAATTGTTGACATTAAGGAATTGTTGATGGGGTGATAATGGTGGGTTAGGTGAAAGACTTTGTTGACGTTGCTGCTGTTGAGGCTGCTGCAGTTGCTGAAGCTGAGATTGGGTGTTAAGTTGTGGTGCTAAAACTGCTTGCAGAAAGGCAACATTATCGATATCATCCAAGAATGGTTCATTTGTGAACGATCCTGGGGAACCAGGATAAGTGTTCGACTCTGACCCTGTAGTGGCATTATAATTGAATCCTGTAGGACTCAAATATTCATTACTTGCCAATTGAGTATTTGAATTGAATGCGGAATTAGTATTGGTATTGGAGTTGGTTCCTTGGTTGTTGTCATTAGTAAAACCAGCAATGTTTAAATTAAACAGGAATTCATTGTTATTGGAAGGGTTTGGTTGCTGTTGTTGTGACTGTTGCTGCTGTTGCAGTTGTTGACGTGAAGATGACATGTCTGATTGAGATGGAAGAGTGTCAAAATTAAATGACATGGGTAAATTATATTTGTAATTAGGAGTGTCTGTTTCTGCTGCCACGTTACTATATTCAGAAGGACTGTCCTTTAAGTAATCTTCCATGGTTAGTTATCAATAGGTGTTGTTATTCGCTTCTTCTTTTTTTTTTCTTGTACTGTTCAAATAAAGTTCTTCTTTTGACCTGAAGGAGGGGCTGGTTAACTTTTGTTTTGTATTTTGTTTGTGCTGAGTTGTGTGTTTGGTGTGCGGCAATCTATCCAAAGTGACTCACTGTCTGTTCTATCTGTCCCTTTATCTATCAATATTACTCAGAAGGGAATTGATTCTTTCGCTTGTGACAGGTCGTTCAATAGGGTGCTGCTTGTTGTATACACTAGTCTTTACTTAAGGAGGTTGTTTTTTTACCCTCCAGATTTTTTCTTTTTTCTTTTTTTCCTTTTACTTCAAATGGAACGACGAACCTAGAACGGGGCAGGCACCAGACAAAAGAACATATATAATTTAAAAGCCGAAAAAACAGCAAGAGAAAAATGCGAGGCAGCCAGATACATCTTCAACAAAAAAATTATCTGGCTCTAAAATTGAATTAAAATATTAATTAACATAGTCAATTATATATATATGTATTTTTTTGTGGTGTTCTTGATTCGGATAATGTCTGCGAACTTAATTAGTTACCTTGGGAAACCTACCCGGATAACATCTATGTCCACAGCACGGATTTGAATTAGCTACAGTAGACCAAAAAAATAGAATTTACTGCTTTACAACCGCAAGCAAATGTTTCCCGCTAAGTCTGAGAAATTAAAAAATACTAGTTGATAAGGCACAGCCCTACTATAAATTATAAAAGACACATGTTAGCTTTTGCAAGACGGAGTTACAACCTGCATATAAACTCCCCAATGAGTTTTGCCATCTGACAACACAACTCTTGATTTTCTTTTTTTTTCCCTCTACTATCTACGAATAGTTACACAGGTCAGTTATTATTATCTGTTATCACCTTTATCTTTATTGGATATGTCAGCCGACACAGAAAATGTATTTAGACAGCTGTTCAAGAACTGGAACCAAAGATCAACTTCAGGATCTTCTTCTGCCAACGCACCTCGACCTATTCTTTCCGACTGGACAGATTATGTGAAAACAGGTGCAAATAACTTGTATACCAAACTTCCTACTTCAGTGCAAGAACTAGGTAATACAAATGCAACAAATGTTGACGAACCGCGATGGTTCCAGTTATCTCGAGTTGAGAGATTGATTGGATTCAGTTGTTGTCTTGCTGCTTCCGTGTTATGTTTTGTCTTATGTTTTTTTATGTTCCCCGTATTGGCACTCCGACCAAGAAAATTTGCTTTGTTATGGACAGGTGGATCAGTGTTATTCGTGGTATCATTTGGTGTATTACAAGGTCCTTACAACTACATACGGCATTTAACTTCGAGGGACCGTATTGTGTTTACAACAGTGTTCTTTTCCAGTATTTTATTAACACTTTATAGTGCTGTGGTGATTAAGAGTACAATTGCTACAATATTTTCCAGTTTGATTGAGTTCTTTGCGGTTCTTTATTACACCTTTAGTTACTTTCCATTTGGAGCTACAACATTAACCTTTTTCACAAGTTATATCATGGGATATCTTGGTGGATTAATCGGAGGCATTCTCTAACACTTTTGCATATTTACGAGAGAGGAAAAAAACAGCATACAATCGCATTTTAATGAATAATTCATATTTATTTATCAATTTAATATATATAAATCTTTTAACAAATCCCGTCACCTCCCCTTAATCTTACAACTTTTCCAACTTTTCAATCAACTCCTTATGTAATTTACCCAATTTATCAAAATCAGTAGCTTGTGCTGGCCATCCAACGCCCAACCCAGTCTTTGGATCAACCTTTGGAATTAAGTGGAAGTGAACATGGTCAACTTCTTGATGAGCGATACGACCATTGTTTTGCAAGACATTATAACCGGTTCCTTCCGGAGTATCGTTTTCATCCAATTTCAAAACCTTGGTCAATTTCTTGATCACAGGCAAAATATCAGCCAAATTTTCATCAGGGATGTTGTGCAACTTGGCTCCGTGGTGCTTAGGGATAACCAAAATATGTCCTTCAGAAAGGGGTTGGATATCTAAAAATGCAAAACTTAATGGGGTTTCGATTAACTTGAATGAAGGGATTTCACCCTTGATTATCTTACAGAAGATACAGCTAGCAGATGACATAATTTTTTTAAAGCGTTAGTTGTCAATTGAGAAGAAGATAAAAATTCAGTTTTGAAAATTGTGAATCAGCCAGGGTTAAAAGTATTTCCCCAAATCTGAATGGGTCGTGTAATTGTATAATTTTTAAATAGATAAAAATGATTAGCCCCTCGTTTTTACATTCTCACCACGAACTCCACACATTATTTCCCAATGGGGTTAGGTTACGAGATACCCGAACTCCGAGGGATATTTGCATGCAAATCAACAAGAAATCGTATCTAGTAAGCTTGTTGATGTAAGTGTAAACGTTTTGGTTGGCTTTATCAATTTAGTGTAATTACTGCAAAAAACTTTAGCAAACTGTAAATGTGTTCTCATGAGGGCTACTTACACAGCTTGTTACAACAAAGTAAGAGGTCTTAGATGCATGGAATCCAAATTTCTAAACATGAAGAGATCTAGATATATAATCAAACTTTCATCATTAAACTTTATGCTTTGTAGAATGCTGTTGCAACTTTTAGATCCAACTTATATTTAACCACTATTTTTAAGAGTCTTATAAGCGGAGATGCTGTTTTAGGGATATATTCCTTGCAGAAACTAGGTTCAAAATTTGGCATGCTAATTGCCTAATATGAATCAAATTACTACTAGTTTGTATGGATACTCATTTCATAATTCTAGAGACTAATCTAAGTTGCAATTGGGAAGGGGGCCAAACAGAAAAAGTATATCGGAATTAGAAGTAGTTACCTCTCCCAACGCACGTTATTCTAGTCATAGTTTAATTTTACCTTTGAAAGTCACAGCCGATTAAAGATTGGCAATATCTGGACATATCTAATTCTAGTTGCATTCACAACCAACTGCAGATAAGAGAGAGAGAGAGAATTGAAGGACATTCGAAATGGTAGAATTGTTGCATAAAGCAATTGATAGTAGTTTCAGATCAATATATTGTCTAAATTGTCAACTCATTGGCCATCTGGACATAAAATTTCACATTGAGCAAGTGGGAAAACTGGAAAATGCAAAATCAAGTTGTATACGGTGGCAAATCAGAACACAACCTGCATATAAGGTGGGACAAGGGATAACCTTTAAATTGACCTGATAATGAACACAATAAACTCAATTGGTTCTTTCTAACTTTAGGTTAGTCAAGAATTATATATTCGAGCATGCTGACATAATTTCATAACAAATTTGATATTTTTTGTTTGTTCCATTTGCTTCTTTTCGATTCTTAGCATTCTTAAAAATTTATTATTTTTTGTTGGCTAACCAAAATCCTAGTCGCATTTTTCTTTGACTATTTGCCTCCATTTTTCATATCAACGTTCACTTTCTTTCCCGCTGGTTACTTACAAACAAACACACAATATGTCACCAGATGAAGAACATAAACCTCACTTCGACGCATCAGGCACTGCTGATGTCGAAGATAAGACCGCAACTGCAATCTTGAGAAGAAAAAAGAAGGACAATGCTCTTGTTGTCGATGACGCCACCAACGACGATAACTCTGTTATCACCATGTCTTCCAACACCATGGAATTGCTTCAATTGTTCAGAGGTGATACCGTGTCCGTCAGAGGTAAAAAGAGAAAGGATACTGTCTTGATTGTCCTTGCTGATGACGATATGGAAGACGGTGTTGCCAGAATTAACCGTTGTGTTAGAAATAACTTACGTGTCAGATTAGGTGACATTGTTACCATTCACGCTTGTCCGGACATTAAATACGCCAATAGAATTTCTGTTTTGCCAATTGCCGACACTGTCGAAGGTATCACTGGTTCTCTCTTTGATCTTTACTTGAAGCCATATTTTGTTGAAGCTTATAGACCAGTTAGAAAAGGTGATTTGTTCACAGTGAGAGGTGGTATGAGACAAGTTGAATTCAAGGTTGTTGAAGTTGACCCAGAAGAAATTGCCATTGTTGCCCAAGATACCATCATCCATTGTGAAGGTGAACCAATTAACCGTGAAGATGAAGAAAATAATTTGAATGATGTAGGATATGACGACATTGGTGGTTGTAAGAAGCAATTGGCCCAGATTAGAGAATTGGTTGAATTGCCTTTAAGACACCCACAATTGTTCAAGTCTATCGGGATTAGACCCCCAAGAGGTATCTTGATGTATGGTCCACCAGGTACCGGTAAGACCGTTATGGCTAGAGCTGTTGCCAACGAAACCGGGGCATTTTTCTTTTTGATTAACGGTCCTGAAATCATGTCCAAGATGGCTGGTGAATCCGAATCTAACTTACGTAAAGCATTTGAAGAAGCGGAAAAGAATTCTCCTTCGATTATTTTCATTGATGAAATTGATTCTATTGCACCAAAGAGAGACAAAACTAATGGTGAAGTTGAAAGAAGAGTTGTTTCCCAATTGTTGACCCTTATGGATGGTATGAAGACCAGATCCAACGTGGTTGTCATTGCCGCTACCAACAGACCAAACTCTATTGATACTGCCTTGCGTAGATTTGGTAGATTTGATCGTGAAGTTGATATTGGTGTTCCAGATGCTGAAGGTCGTTTGGAAATTTTACGTATCCACACCAAGAATATGAAGTTGGCTGATGATGTCGATTTAGAAGCCATTGCCGCTGAAACCCATGGTTTTGTTGGGGCTGATATTGCTTCTTTATGTTCCGAAGCAGCCATGCAACAAATTAGAGAAAAGATGGATCTTATTGATTTGGAAGAAGAAAATATCGATTCTGAAGTTTTGAATTCTCTTGGTGTTACCAATGAAAACTTTAAGTTTGCCCTTGGTAACTCTAACCCATCTGCATTGCGTGAAACCGTTGTTGAAAATGTCAATGTCACTTGGGACGATATTGGTGGTTTGGATAACATCAAGAATGAATTGAAGGAAACTGTGGAATATCCAGTGTTACACCCAGATCAATATCAAAAGTTTGGTTTGGCACCAACCAAGGGGGTTTTATTCTTTGGTCCTCCCGGTACTGGTAAGACTCTTTTGGCTAAGGCTGTCGCCACTGAAGTTTCTGCCAATTTCATTTCCGTTAAGGGTCCTGAATTGTTGAGTATGTGGTATGGTGAATCTGAATCTAATATCCGTGATATTTTTGATAAAGCCAGAGCTGCAGCTCCATGTGTGGTTTTCTTGGATGAATTGGATTCTATTGCCAAGGCCAGAGGTGGATCTCAAGGTGATGCTGGTGGTGCTTCTGATCGTGTTGTCAATCAATTATTGACAGAAATGGATGGTATGAATGCCAAAAAGAATGTCTTTGTTATTGGTGCCACTAATAGACCTGATCAAATTGATCCTGCCTTGTTGAGACCAGGTAGATTGGATCAATTAATTTATGTTCCATTGCCAGATGAAACTGCCAGATTGAGTATTTTACAGGCACAGTTGAGAAATACTCCGTTGGAACCAGGATTAGAGTTGAGTGAAATTGCTCGTATAACCCATGGATTCTCGGGTGCCGATTTGTCATATATCGTTCAAAGATCTGCCAAGTTTGCCATTAAGGATTCCATTGAAGCCCAAGTTAGAATTAATAAGGAAAGAGAACAAAAGGAGAAGGATAAGACTACAGTCAAGAGTGAAGATGTTGACATGAAGGTTGAAGAAGAAGAAGATCCAGTTCCATACATAACTCGTGCTCATTTTGAAGAAGCCATGAAGACTGCCAAGAGATCTGTTTCCGATGCTGACTTGCGTCGTTACGATGCTTATGCTCAACAATTGCAAGCTTCCAGAGGTCAATTCAGTAACTTTAGATTTACTGAAGGTGCAAATGGTACTGCTGCTGAAGGTGCCGAAGGATCCGGGGCTGCATTTGGAAATGCCGAAGAAGAAGATGATTTATACAGTTGAGAGAAAGAAAGTTAGTTTAGTTCTATAGAATTCCTTTTTTTTTTTACTGTGTATGAGTTTATAACTCAATCTCTATTTTCATTGTTATGAATAATTGTTTTGTTAATTCGATAAAAGTAACTTTGTTTATTAACTTTTCTATGTTATGACATACCTAGATCTTATATAAGGATGCATCAACACCTTCCATTTTCTTTGGTAACCTAACAGCAACACCAATTGGGTTAATGATAACATTATCGATATCCCAAATACCTTCACGGTAGTAAACATCCTTCTTTAAGAACTCAAGAACCTCTTCTCTGGAATTGGCAACTAGATGGAAGGCACTACCGGCGAATTGAGTCTTGGCATCATCATGGTAGATAGCTCCAGCAGAGAGAATAGGAGAAGGAACATTCAGGGGGATGTTGGCGACATGTTCAGCTCTGACTTTTGATCTGTCGGCGTGAGGGTTATCGTAGATGATGACGTTATATTCAATTGACATGGCTCGTAATGTAGTTGAGAAGTTTCTAAGGTTTAATTGGCGTAATCCTCTGCCTAGCATTTAAAAGGGAGAAATCAAAAAGGGAGATCGAGTTTATTCGTTGGTCGGTTGGAAAAGTGGGGGGTTTTTTATAATTTTCCAAAATCGCGGCAACACATCCCGAACTAAGACAGTATCTAGTTTACGCTGGATTTCAAAATGAGTATGGTGGCACCTGATGCTTACACGAGATACATCTGGGGGTTAACAATTGCTCTTAAGAAGAATATTTACTAAACAAGAAATTCGTTGCATGATATGTTAGTAGTGGAAAAAGACTTAATTGTGATAAATTGTTGCTGATTGACCATGCCAATTGGTTCTTATGCCAAACTGATCTCTAATTATGACATTCTCTCATATCAAATTGAAGTCTTATGTCAATTGCTACAGATATGACTGCCTATATCAAAAAAATATATTGCTTAAATTAATCGATAATAAATAGAAAAGAATACAACCTAAAAAAAAAATGAATAATGAAATGTTAATGGTGAATGGTACTTTATCATGATATAATTAACCATGCGTATAGGTATAATGCCTTTCAATTTTTCAATTTTCTTGATGACCAAACTTCAAGAGTTTAAAAATTGCGTGTAATTGCCGCTTTCTTCTTTACAACTTCACACAATCTGATGCAGAATGAAACAACCACCTGGTGGGTCTACTCACTGGAGGTGGAGGTTGTATCTTTTGGAGCGAAACGAGGGAATCTTTCTCTTCTAGGACCCAATTCATTCAATTTTATACCAGCTCCAAATTCTTGAGCAAATGGAGATTGGGAAGGAATCAAAGTTTGTTCGCGGACAACATAATCCCCAGCACGTCTGTAAAGACGGTTTCCTATACCACCCTTGTCTCTTCCGTATTCCAGAATGAAAGCATTCTTGTATCGTTGTAAATAGTTCTCACTTCTTAAATCATCACGTTCACCACTTCTGGTTTTGTCAAATACTTCGTGTTGGAATAATGGTTCGTCAAAATCACGGTTGTATACAAGGTATCCTCCAGCCAAAGCAGCAATACCGAAAATCTTGGTGATGGTTATTTCAAATGGTTTGGATTCTGGTTCAGGATGGTGATGGTGGGCCGAGTTGAATCTCTTGAATGTTTGTGATATGGAACGACTAGCGCGAGACAATGGCTTTACCCTGTACATTGTATATTTGTCTACTATTTTCTATTATTAAGTGGATAAAAGTAATTGGTTATTTATATTTGGTGGTTTTTTCTTTGAAAATGACAACCAAAAAAAAACCAAGGGCTGATGAATTTGGAATTTTTTCAACCAATAAAAAAATTGAGAAATCAAAAAATATATAAAAAATCAAAGTCACGTGAAAATGGCTATATGCAGTATCGGTAGGTTTAAACATGGACCCCATATGGATAGATGCAATGCATTAGAGAAGATACGTAAACTTACGTGTATTTAGAATGGTTCTATGTTACAATTCCAAGTATTATAACAACACACACACATATATATATATAAACAAAATAATGCCAAAAAAAATTCGTATCAATGTTCGGAAGTGACAACATGTAGTATCAGGAGATACGAAACATATAATAGTATAGAGCAGATATATACTATTTCATATGTTCCAGTCAGATGCAAAAGTATATTAGTACATATCACATGAAATGTTTATGCTATTAGATGAACTAGCTTGAACCAGCAAGACTAACCTTTAGTTGCATCTGGGTTTACTTCTTGACATTAGAAGTATTGTAGAAATGATCTTGAATCCAACCAGTTCTGTAAGTATGGTGGTTGATCGGAGTATCAAAAAATGCAGTAGTAGAGCCTTGGGAACTTGTCAACTTTTTCGATCCAGTAGTGACTCTCGATTTGGAGAATCGGGAAATGACAAACTCACTGGTTAAGTATAACACTGGTGCAAGGAATACAAATAAACTTTTGGAAGGGAACTTTGTGCTATAATTCATATTTACCATATGGCGTTGAAGGCGTCTGATTATGTAAAACTGTCTATGATGTGGGTATTCTTATATGTAGAGGGTTCTTGATACCTTTGATTCCGATATCGGCCCTGGGAGCAATAATGTGTTCTTGTGGAAATGGATGCTTGTTGTAGGTAAACTATGATTCTCAACAGATGCAAACTATGTACAAGTCAAATAACCACTAAAGAAACAGCTAGATCACGGGAAAAGTGGAATCTAACAGGAAATCGTTTTTAATTCCAAAAGAAATAGCAATGACTAAAGTGAATTTCTCCATAAGTCTTTATTTTTTTGTTCTAGAAAATTTTTTAATCTTACATTATTATGCAGGCCGGTTTATCCTGCATATGAGCTTGCGCATCATGGGAAATAGTACCACCACACTTCAATTAAGGGGAAGGTTGAGGGTGGCACTAGACGGAGACAGCCCAGTTTTTACACTAGTATGACATCATATCGAGTCAATTGGAAGTGAGCGTTTCATATAGATCTCGATTGAATGTAAATTTACTATTTTTGAGTTTCTACATGTTCTAGAACAGATCTCACTGTGGTATTTTCGTTCAATTACATGCGGATTAGCTATGTATTTATAGAACAAATCCAGTAAATAACTTTGATTAATTATAACTATAAACCCGAGATTTCTTGTTCATCTCTAATAACCAACACTAATCAAATAGTCAGCCAACTTTTCTACTACAGTAGTGGCTTCACCTGCTTGAACACCCGAGGGATAGTGTGCCACCAAAATGGCTTGTTTGGTACGAACAGCAACCAAACCTTCAGCTTCGTGTTTACCATAGATAGATCTATCATCGGCTCTCAAAAGGAAGTATTTTTGACCAACGGCATGTAAACCATGAGCTTGTAAACCAGAAGCATCATCGAAACCCTTGGCCAATTCGGTGATTTCAGCAGGTTGAAGTTGGAAAGATCCCGATTGGGCCCAAAGAGAATCTCCAGCTCTGGAGTATAAGGCAGCTTTGTCGATCTTACCAGTGGCGACTAAGTTGTCAGTGTATGCTTGCCAGGACATTTCGTATTAACTCAATTGTTGAAGAGAGGTGGAAAAGAAGAAGTTACTAAGAAAAATAAATGTGAAATTGTTTTGGTGAGTGTGAAAGCTCGTTTGTTCATTGTAGAAATTTTTTGTGTTGCCAACAAGTGCCTTACGAAATTTGTATCTGACACAACAATCTATTGTATTGTATTGACTATAAAAGTTGTTATTTAAGCGATTTTTCTCCGTTTGGGGGATGGTTCATCGTCTATAATCAAAAGATCATCGTTTTCCTCATTCTCAGCTTCGCTATCGAGTAGAATTACTCCATCATTTTCTACATCCATCCCATTTTCCAAGAGTCCATCTTCGTTCTCTTGTTCTGGTTCGTCATGTGTAACCTTTGGTCGCAACACCAATTCAGGCAAACTAGTCTTTTCTGCAATATTAATATACAACTCCAAACTTTCAAGCTGGTCAGAATCATCCAGAATTAAAATCAATTCTCCGTCCTTTAAACCAGACATAGAGGCAAGAGTTAGATCCACATTATCATCATAATCTATATCATATAATAATTTGGAATTGGATTTCTGAATAGAAATATCATCTCTTGAATATCCATAATTTTCTAATTGCCCAATCAACCAACCTAAAGTAAGAGTGGTAAAATCTGTGGGTGATATTTTAAACACACCACGAGATACTAATGCATCACTAGGACATTTTTCGTTAGGAGGACCCAAGGTACCCGAGGTAATATATTTGTTGGGAGTAATACCTACGAAAATGGTGGATGACTTATGGGTAATCGCCAGATAATCGGTTCCGTGTGAAGGAGTAGTGAAATATTTGGTTCCGGCCAAACATGCAAACCCGGAAATTATCGCATTGGTGGTTGCAATTGCAGGAATAATATTCCCGGCGATCTCCTTGATATCGAACTTGGATTTAATTTCAATGCCGAATATACTGGAACGTAAATTTGATGCTGCAGCAACAAAGTTGAGAGTATCCTCATCATCTTTATCAAAGGAAATGGAACTTTCACGGCCGGATACAATACGTTCTTGTAAGACCTCGGATGATTTATACAATACGTAAATATTTTCAAGAACTGACCACATTTTGGTGTCCAAGTTTAGAATGTTTTCATTCAGAACATCGGCAAGCAAACCTGCAAGTTGTGAGCTGTATCTTACAACATCAAGTGGGGTTGGTTTTCTTGAGCCCCTTCTTGTTTCAATTGAATCTATAAGTAATAGCCTTTCAATATCAGCTTTGAATATCTTTACAAGAAGTTCATTAATGAAAGTAGGTGGGTCGGCAGTAGTAATCAAATGTCTCAATTCGGCCAACTCCGTAGATTCTTTTTGAAAAAATGCAATTTCTGCTTCGTTATCAGTTTCACTACGAATCTGATTTGGATCAGTCAAGTTTTGGTCCGACTCAACTTCATCAAACAACAGATGGAACAAGAATTCCTTGGCCCAAGTGATACAATGTACCGGCTGGGTTGGAGATGATCGAATTGTGCATACAGGGTATGTCTTGGCTGTTTCCTTGGTCAGACAATCAAAACATTCACTATAGTAGGGATAAATGGGTTGAATTTGTCCTTTAAACCCAGTGGTACCACTTTCCATTAGTGGTTTCTTAAGAAATAGACACATTTTATTGACATATCTTCTTGCTTCCAAGTTATCCAATGCGTTGAATACGTATTCAAATTGTTCCCACCATGTGATTGGGAATTTGTTGGTGTCCATGATATTTCCATGATGAGAAACCAAATGTGCGTTCAAATAGTTGAAATGTTGTACTGCTTTGGATACAGTCAATGATTTTGATTTGTTAATGTCGTTTTGACGGAATAGGAATTGCCTATTAAGGTTGGACAATGTAATGGTATCCAAATCAACAATATGAATTTCGCCATAGCCAGTTAAGACCAAATCTTTGAGGAGCTCACAACCAATACCTCCAGCACCCACCATAAGTACCTTGGACGATTGGATTCGAGAAAAGTTCTCTGCCCCTAATATCTTTTTCAAATATGAATCCTTAGCCATGTTGTATGCCAATTACAATATTGGTTCTTTCAGTTGCTTATTTGTTCCTTGTTGCAAGACAAAAAAAAAAAAATTACAGTTTTAACAACACGTCTGTTTACATAGAACTGCTGTGCTTGGTGGAATAAAATTACTTATATAATTTACTACTGACTATCTATACACTTGTAAACAAAGTCCACACCCCCTTAGCATATTGAACAATTTCATCACCCCCTAATTTAGATTCCCCATACAAACGATCAACGAAACTAATAGGAACTTCACCCACGGTGAATCCCAATGATCTTGCTCTAACCATCATTTCCATTTGGAAAACATAACCCTTGGATTGAGTAACTTCAATAATCTTCTTCAAGACAGGGGTCTTGTATAATCTAAAAGAACCAGTCAAATCGGAGACATTTGGTCTCAACACCACTGTGGCTAAGAAGTTGGCACCTCTACTAATCAACTTTCTCTTGAAATCCCAACCGTAGACACCTCCATCACCGGCATATCTTGTTCCAGTGACGATATCAAAGTTTTGCGATTTTTGCTTGGCAATGAATTCAGGAATTGCTTCTGGATGGTGAGAGAAATCAGCATCCATAATAATAACAAATTCACCAGTGACATATTGAAGACCGTGGACATAAGCAGTACCTAACCCTAATTTACCAGCACGAGGACGCAATTGGATGTGGTCGGCTCCATAGATGTCGATTAACTTACGGGCAATTTCTTGGGTTCCATCTGGGGAATTGTCGTCAACAATAATCACCTCCCAGTCAATTGAATGTTCGGTGAAGGTCTTGTTCAACAAGTATACCAAAATTGGTAAGTTGCGTCTCTCATTGTATGTTGGAAGAATGACGGAGTACTTATCTTGTCTGACCATGGTGATAGTTCTATTTGTCTATGTAAAAACAAGGGTTGGACTACGTGTTGTCTGAAAATGTGCTTTTTTTCTCTACGTGTCTTTTGGTGTGTGTGTGGATAAAAAAAAACTAATAGTATGTAGTTGCAAAAATATGTACAATTTAAATATAAACTATAAAATCATCCAAATAAAAAAAATCAAATTGTTTTTCTCTGTTACAAGAATATCATTCCTCTCCGTAATTACCTCTGCCCTAATTAAACCAAATAGTAATCCTAATTTGAACTAAAACTAAAACTAAAACCAAACGTTTAAAAAATTCACTGATTCAAAGTTAACGAGTTCATTTGATTGCTCAATGAACTGTATCCCAGACTGTTCAAGCTGGCATCTCCCTCGTTCTGAGGAACCTGCAGTCCACCACCCTGTTGGTAGTTACTATTGTTGTAGTAACTAGGATATAAAGACGGTGAATTGTTAACAGATTGTGAGTACTTCTGTTGTGTATTTGCACCTCCCGAATGCTGTTGCTGTTGTTGGTACATCATCATTTGCTGAGACATCATTTGATTAGGAGTACCTGTACCACTAGATCTCACTCCTTGACTATAATATTTCTGATTGGTGTAACCCATAGAGTTACTATTTCTATTTTGTCTTTGTTGTTGTTGTTGTTGCTGCTGCTGCTGTTGTTGTTGCTGTTGTTGTTGGTTGGATACATGCCCATAAGTATGAAGTGGTTGCGGTTGTTGAATACCCATAAATCCACTGTTCAATGGTTGACCACTAGCAGTAGCGGCGGCAATGGCAGTAGCTGTAGAATTAACCGAATGGATCGAAGCTCCAGCTTGCTGTTGTTGAGATTGCTGCTGTTGCTGCTGCTGATGTTGTTGATTCAACATGACTGGTTTGGTAGTTCCACACTTCAAGCAACATAAATTCTTTGCAAAGTTATGATACATACAAAGTTCACATTTCCAGTCACCAGCTCTGAATGGAACATTGTTGTTATAATGGGAACGCGAAGGATTATTTCCAGTATTAGCATTGCTACCATTGGTATTATGGTATTGGTTATTATTGGAATTATGTCCTCCTTGGTGGTAGTTTTGATGCTGCTGTGATTGTTGCAGTTGTTGTGGTTGTTGCAGTTGTTGTTGATCTGGATATCCACTGTAGTTCTGTAAAACGTTACCGGTATTCACCACAGGTTTGTTATCTCCAGTATGTGGTTGTGCATGAGCCTGTTGCGAACTACCTCTTCTATTGTTACCATTAGGATTGCTATAAATCGATTCCTGAATAGCAGCAGCACTCAGAGCAGGGAAAGAACATCTAAAACAATGAGTTCTTCTCTGGAAATTAGAAAATCCACATGATGGACATGTCCAATCTCCAGGTCTCGGTCTATTTTTCGAAGGTGGGAATGGCGTAAGTAAATCGTTGGCTTTATCTAATACTCTAGTTGATGATGGTTGTACTTCAATAGCTCTATCGGAAAGAACTCTTCCATTCATCGATAATGATTCAGTAGCTTCTTCATGAGTTGCAAATACGGCGAACCCATTAATTCCCTTTTTGACGTTTGGATCTAAATTCTTTAACGTCCAAAATGCAACTGGTCTACCACCAAAATGAGTAAACCATGATTCCAATTCTGATTGGGTAGTGTCTTGAGGTAAATTGGAAAGATAAAGGATTTTGGAGCGTTCACTAAGAAAAACTCTGACATCTTGAGCAGAATCATAAGGTTTAGTAAACACTGTAGGGTGATCTTCCAATGGCATTGACTTTTTGATTAATTGCGACACTAATTTTGCATACAAATCCACAGTAGATTTTGATTTAGTCTCAACGTCCCCAGAAACTGGTTGGGATGGTGCTGGCTGTTGATCAGACGATGTTGTTGTTGATGACGATGGTGGTGGCGGTGGTGGTGGAGGCGGGGTAGAAGCAGAAGAAGACATAGGTCCATACTCGTCAATATTCTCAACTTCGACTTCCAACGCAGTAACTATATTGGCTAAGGAGCTGGCAGTATACGACAATGCTTCAGGGTGACTGGTTTGCCACTTGCTGTATTCATTTGGCAAGTCAAACACACGAGGGTGTTGCAAATAAGGTGGCAAAACCACACCTTTATCCCTGGCCTCTCTAGGCAATGCCACTCTCAACTTATTCAAATCAAAGGTAACTAATGAAAATTCCTTGTCCTTGGCAATAACATTTTCTTGAATATAAGTATCAAACTTGCTTATAGCGTCCTTGAACGTGCCTGCATTCCTCACATGTTCCCATGAAATACGGTATAGTTGTGAACAGTATGGAGTAATGGGAGTATTCACCGGACGCACAAGTATGGAGTCACGATAGGTAGCTTCAAGGGTTTCTGCGTCAATAACAGCCCATGCAAGTTCGATTAATTCAGTTGAGTCTTTGGTGACGTATGAAGATGTGGAATTATCGTCATCACAAGTGGTAACCAAGTGAAGTACGACATAAATATCACTCATGTTATTTTTTTTGGGGGGTTGTGAAATCGTGGTTGGAAATTAATACAATTTTGTTTGAATAGAATCTAAAATACAAAAAAAAATGAACGAATAAAACCAAGCACACGTGATCGATGAGGTGAATAAGTTCAGCAAATTCAGTCTTTGATTAACTATAGACTATGTTGCCAACTAATGTTTCTATTAAAGGAACTGGTTGCTTTTGTATTGAAATTGCGTTGGCTTTTTTGTTTTAATCAGGTTTTTCTTTTTTTTTGTTTTGGCTCAACAACAAAAAAAAAAATTTTTTTTTCACAGTTAAGACGGATCACGTGATACAACGATCAACGGAAATATAAGGTTGTTCAGTTTAGCTCCGGGATTTGTAAATAACCATTGAGGGGACTAGTGGGTTTGTATTTCAAGTTGAAACGTTGACATTGCTACTGATATTATTCCGGCGTTAGCCTGATGCACGCATATATTCTGCGTTAGAACTACGAGTTTCCCTTGACGATTTAGGGTGAATGTTTCCTGCACATGCTTTGTGGATAATTTGGTAGCCGCGACTCGCCCCAGGCGCGTAAACGAGCAAAATTAAAATAAACAAAGCCGGTAACAAAACGGGCTTAAAACTTTAGAAAACCGTTTCAATATCATCTCCACGTTTTCAACCAGTTCTGTGTTAGTAACTACCAATCAAACTAATATAAACACAAAAACAAATTCCAAGACGTATACTTCACTATGGGTATATTGGAGATCTTCGAATTAACAATAACAAATTTTGGTGATGGAGGAGATGGTGGCACAGGGGAACCAATAACCAAGGTAGGACCCCAACGGGTGTTCACAACGCAATTAATCCTATGTTTGACTCTAGGTATATTGTTATTCTTCCTATTCTGTATACTACGATATAGATGGCCACACATATATGCTGTTCGAACGTTGAGAGTTCACTCACCGGCTAGTTCACTTAAGCCTTTGCCTAATAACTGGTTTGGATGGATTAGGGTTGTATGTGGGATAAGCGACGAGGAAATCTTGGTGAATTCTGGATTAGATGCATTTGTGTTTTTGTCATTTTTTAAGATGGGGATCAAAATATTTGCTATATTGGCAGTGATGGCAGTGTTCATATTGAGTCCCTTGCGTTACTACTTCACTGGAAGTTATGATAAGGATAGCATTGAATTTTTTGTAATAAATGGTGTGACACAATTGTTTGGTGGTCAACCACCTCCAGATTTGAATGATGATTTCCCTAGGTTTCTTTGGGTGTATCCTATTTTCACATATGTCTTCAGTATTGTGGTCTACTATTGTTTGTACAATTTTACAAATCAAGTATTGAGAACCCGACAGAAATATTTGGCTTCTCAAAACTCAATCACAGATCGAACCATTCGATTAGATGGTATCCCTAAGAAGCTTCAACAGAGACACAGATTAAAGAAGTTCATTGAAGATTTAGGCATTGGAAATGTCCTTGATGTCAAGTTGATTTATGATTGGGCACCATTAGAGAAATTATTCACCAAGAGAAAAGAACTTATTAATAACTTGGAATATCTTTATGCTCTGTTGTACGAACTTGATATTGACATATATAACAAGCAAAAGATTCCTTCTGTAAACCCGATATTTAACCATCCAATTGACGGCTCGGCCACGGATAGTGCCAAGGAATCGATTAAAAGATATACTGAAGAATTAATCAACTTGGATCAAGAAATTCGTATCATCCAAAACAAATTTGATTCAAATCTTTCCACTATTGATGTTAAGCAGCATAGTGATTTTAAGCAAGTTCCTTCGGCATTCATAACCATGGATTCAGTAGCTTCAGCACAAATGGCAGCTCAAACAGTTTTGGATCCTCGTGTCTATAAATTAATTGTTAATCTTGCACCAGCACCTAAAGATATTATTTGGGAAAACTTGAAATTGACATACAACCAGAAATTGTTCAAGTCCTATTTGATCACATTTTTAATCGTATTGAGTTATGGATTTATCATATTTTTAGTTGTTCCATTGACTTCCTTGCTTGATTTAAAAACAATTAGCAAATTCTTCCCATCATTGGGTAAATTCATTGGTCAATCAGAATGGTTAACTACATTTGTCACTGGTATTTTACCACCATTATTGTTCACACTTTTGAATGTTCTGTTTCCTTATTTTTATCAATGGTTGTCGCAATATCAGGGTCATTCGTCAAATAGTGATGTTGAACTTTCTACATTACTGAAGAACTTCTTTTTCATATTCTTCAACTTGTTTTTAATTTATGTTGCTGCTGGAACTTTTTGGGATTATATTTCCTACATTAGTGATACTACCAAAATTGCAGTACAATTGGCAACGTCTTTAAAAAGAATGGCATTGTTTTATGTCGATTTGATTTTGTTACAAGGTTTAACTATGTTCCCTGTGAAACTCCTCCAAGTGAGCGATTTCCTTGTTCTTAATATCCTTGGGAAATGTTTACCCAGAATGTTTCTCCGAACTCCTAGAAATTACCGAACATACTATTATACGCCACAAATCTTTGATTTCGGTATTCATTTGCCCCAACATATCCTTATATTTATGATTATTCTCATTTATTCAGTTGTTTCAACTAAGATTGTCACTTGTGGGTTGGTATATTTTATAATGGGTCTTTTGGTATACAAATACCAATTAGTATACAATTTTGTCCATCCTCCACATTCCACCGGTAAAGTGTGGCCCATGATTTTCCGCCGGGTTATGCTTGGTCTTATAATTTTTCAGCTTTTCATGTGTGGAACTCTTGCATTGGAAAGTGCAATTTTGTTATCAATAATGTGCACGCCTTTGATCCTAGTTACATTGTTCATATGCTGGAATTTCGAGACTTATTATGTCCCATTGAACACATTTATTGCTCTCCGAGCAATTCTCAATCCTTACGATTATGACAAGGTGTTTGATGATGACCAGCTGTTTAACAGTGAAGAAGAGCAATCTGTATCACTTGGACCATCGTCATCTGATGTGGGACCAATTGATGAATCGTCGTGTTTGCTAGAAGAACATGCTCGTCACAAGAGAAGAAAATCAACCATTGATGAAGAGAGAGAGGAGGATACCAATTATACATATCCATACTTGATTGATCCACTTGATGGACCTTGGGTAGGGTTTACTGGTGACCTGGTGACTATGGTTGAATATAGAGTGGATGGTAGTGTGCTTGAACTGGGATATAGAACGGGTCCGTTGGAAGGGGAATTTGAAACTATTGTTAATAAAAGATTGGTCGTTAGTGAGTGGGAATAGTTTAGATATAATTTATTATTGCATGGTATACCATAGAAACTTGTAAATGTAACCACCCTTGGAAGTGTTAAGTTGCGAAAAAGGTCGTAGTGTCAACCAAGGGGAAGTACAACTTAGCAGAGATGTTCTAGAACCCCCCCGGGGTGGCCAATTTACTACACGAATACCTTTGCCAATTAGCTACTTAATTAATCTAAGGTGAAGGGGTGGAAAATATACCGATTAGGACAAACTTCAGTTTACCAGATGACGTAATCTTTCTCCACAGATGGTATACAACAGTATACTTACAGATCAATCTATGAGATCTTGCTAATTTCAGTTTGCCATATGAAACAAGCTGAGAAAAGGATTGTTCCTCTTAGTTGGAATATGCAACAGCAACTATGTTGTCATGGTTTGAATACCAAAGCCAAACCTTGAATCTCATGCTGATCAATCCGATAACCCAAAGTAGAAATTTTATCTCAATGCAGAAAAAATATATATAGTGGAGAAAAGTTCCAGAAACGGCTCATTCCCCAGAAATATATATATATTTTTTTTCCAATATCAAAGCTTATCATGAGAGGACTCCCAGTGGATGAAAAGGCCGGTTCTAGGCCCAACAGGACGGTGTATATCATTGGAGGATGGGCAATTGCATTTATGCTGCTCATGTATGTCTGCAAAACATTATACCATAGCTCGATCTTCACAAGATCTAGTTTATGTCCGTTATATGAACCTATTGCTCCCTCATCGTTCCACAGAGACGATTCCAAGGTCCTTTCTATTTTGTTTGACAACAAATATAGAAAGCAGTCGATTGAAAGATTATCTGGGGCCATCCAAATTGATACTCAGATCTCCGATCATTTGCCAGATGTCCCAGATTCTCCAGAGACTTGGGAGAAATTTAAGAACTTCCACCAATATTTAGAAGAAAAATTCCCCTTGGTTTATGAAAACTTGGAAGTTGAACGCGTTAACACTTATGGTTTAATTTTCCACTGGAAAGGGTTATCACCAAAGTTGAAACCGGTGTTGTTGATGGCTCATCAAGATACTGTTCCTGTACAGAAGGATACGATCGCTGATTGGAGTTATCCTCCGTTATCTGGTCATTATGATGGCCAATATATTTATGGAAGAGGCGCTGCTGATTGTAAGAATGTGTTGATTGCCATATTGGAGACTTTAGAGTTGTTGATTTCTCAAGATTATCAACCACGCAGATCTATAATTGCCGCATTTGGGTTTGATGAAGAGTCTTCAGGATATCTCAGTGCTGGTAAGATTGCCAAACGGTTGGAGAAAAAATTCGGTAAGGATTCCATGTATGCTATTATTGATGAAGGAAATGGGTTAACAGTTGACAGTTTAACCAATACAATTGTGGCTATCCCAGGTACTGGTGAGAAGGGGTATGTTGACATTTCGGTCGAGTTGACTACGCCAGGAGGGCACTCCTCAATTCCACCAGATCATACTTCTATTGGTATTGTAGCCGAATTAGCTTATTTGATTGAGAAGGATCCATATAAACCCGTGTTGACTAATAAAAACCCTACCTTGGGTTACTATCAATGTTTGGCTTCTCATGATTCAAAGAAAAAGATCGACTTTAAGTTTAAGAAAACAATCTTGAAAGCTGGATCGAGCCGTCGTGCAAATAACAAGTTAATCAAGTACATCACCAGAAACAAGTTAACTAGGTATTTAATTGGAACTTCTCAAGCTTTGGATATTATTAGAGGTGGAGAAAAGAATAATGCCTTGCCTGAAGTCACCAAGTTATTAGTTAACCACAGAGTTGCAATTGAATCCAACATTGATGAAATTAAAGAACACTTTGTCAAACGTGTTATTAAACTTGCCAAGAAACACAAGCTTTCCGTCAAGGCATTTGGTAAGCGTGTGTATGGCCAATCCAACAACGAAGCCGGAGAATTTGTGATCACTGAATCTGGTAACTTGCCACCAGCACCTCCAACTCCGTTGAATGACAAGGTTTGGGCTTATTTGGCAGGGGTCACAAGGCATGTATTTGAAGATTTAGTATTCCCTGAGCTTGGATATCCTATTATTACTAGTCCCGCTATTATGACTGGAAACACTGATACCAGACATTATTGGAATTTAAGCAAGAATATTTTCAGATACTCTCCTTATTTTGTCAATAACTTCTTGCATGATACCAATGCACACAGTGTTGATGAAAAATTGAACTTTGATGGTCATTTACAATTACATGCTTTCTTCTATGAATACCTCCAGGCTATTGATACCAAGGAAGCTAATAATTAAAGATGATTTGATTTTTGTTTTTTTTTATTTTGTTTTATTAAATTAGTATATTGATCAATTAGTTTATTACAAGAGTCTTCAGACCTTTTTAATTGAATGAACAACGTAGAAGCTGTAACCCTTACTTGCAAAACAACAGCAAAAATATTGCTTTGTGAACATATGGCCAGGGAGAACTCATACCACTTTCTGCTCTGTTCCCCCCTGGCTAACCACGACAAGAAATTACTAAAGTTTGAAAACAGATATGTGGGCCTATTGTTTCAACCCCCCCTAACATCCAAATGTTTTGATCTCTTTATGGCTTATGGGTCTCCGCGGATATTCCCTAACACTACTTCTTGCTTCTGAATGCATCATTCCTTGTAGTAAATGTAATGAACAGCATGGTAATGCTACAACTAGTAGTACAAACAAATACTCAAAAGTGTTTAGGGCAAGGTGTTACGTCAAAAAATATCGTTCTCTTGCCATGTTGCGCTTTTACCGGCATTGTACAGTCTTGCATGCATCACCTTGCGTTGCGCTCAGAATCCAAGAACTTTTGGTTGCGAAAAAAAAAATATGGAAAAAGTATATGATACTCTTACTATCTCTAATATAAATTACAAACAAACATCGAAAAATACATAATTAATTGGCCGACTTACTCTTCTTACTTTTGGTACCACCACAAATACTAGCCTGCTTTTTCCGGGTGGTGGTAATATCAATCAACTTCTGTTTCCTTAAATTCTTATCGGTGACATAATCAGGCTTAACAGGATTATAATCACATTCAATACCAAATTTGAAGCAACTAGCACACACTGGTCTGGTTTCATCGCATTTCAAATGCTTGATCCTACAAATCCAACAGCCATTCTTGGAACGAGGGAGCAAACGTCTTCTAGTGTATTTCTTTTTCACAGGAGCAGTTGACTCATTGGAATCCAAACTTCTATCATAAGATGAATCATCACTGGGTGACATTTCTTTATCACCCTTGGACTTCAATTTAACAACCAACCCATCATATTTATACTTCAGAGTTGTGGTTTCATTAGGTGTGTATGCAATATTTGCCCCTTCAGAATTATGACGGAACACACACATAGTGGGAAAATTTGCATTGGCAGTGGTCGGAGAATTAGTGTATAATGTTCGAGTACCCTGTGGAGTAGTTGCTTTTGGAGCCATACCCTTAAACTTTGTACACAAAGGTGACATACGAGAATTGCTTTCACTAGAAGGAGTGTAGAGGGCATGGTTAATATGGTTACCAATTTGGGGAAGACTTCTCTTGGAATTCAACCGTGAAAGCGAAGGCTTCTTAGAAATCTTACGATTTTGGTTGAACAGAGAAGATCTATTAAGTGTTTTAGGTGGAATGAGCATAGAATCGTCGGAAAGGGGGGACCCTGTTGGTGGAACTGAAGCAGTGAGAATGGAAACCATAGAAACATCGGAAAATGTGGGTGTATTGGTTTCACTCATATTAGGACTATTATTATTATGCTCATAAGAAGCGTAGTCGTGAAGTGGCTGGGGCCTCATATGGTGGCGTTGATTGTTAGTTGGGGTAGAACTGCTATAATCAAGAACGGAATCAAAGGAACCTGTTTCTACAAACTCATTAATATTAGTAAATAAATCTCCCAGTTGGGAGTTGCTTCCAGGGTAGTTTAACAACTCTGGGGTTGACTCCATGTTGAGTCTATAGATATCTTTACCACCCAGAAGGAAAGGCGAAGATGTTGAATCTGTTAATGGCAATGAGCTAGCCGAACCTTGCGAGTTCAGGTACATGGAAGTCGAGTTAAACTTGGGAGGCATAGTATAGTCGAATGAACTATCTTCATAGTAGTCCTGGGATAATGACGCAATTGTTGGTTCTTGTGCAAGATTAAAGTTTTGAGCCAGCCCATTATGACCGTTGTACAGTGGTTCAAAACCATACATCATCGATTTCTGCATAGGAAATGAAGTAACCACAGACCCCGTAGTTGAATAGTTGATGACAGGTTCATAACCAGGCTGCATAGTGGGTCCCATATGGGGTACAAAACTTGAATGCATAATCTGAGGAGTATGGTGCATACCGTTACTGGGAGATGAAGGGGTCAATAATGACGAGTTAATAATGATGGTATCATCTGCTTCACATGGAGACATCATTGAAGCTGGGTCGGAAGTGGCCATCATTGGAATGAGCGAATGTAGTGAGTAAATTTTAAAAGAATGACTAGGTTAAATAAATTATTTTTGAATCAACTGAAATTGTCTAGAACAGAAACAGTGTAATAAGGAAATCCAATCGGTGATATAGACTAGTCGCAATTATTTTGGACTTATTTGATGTGTTGGCAATTCTGAAGGAATCTTGGAGTGGAATAGTTATAATATGAGGCGGAGATTTGATGATTGCCCACACTTTGAGGCTTTGCAATGATTAATTTGGAAACGATAGTTTGCTTTACGCAGCGGTATGATTTTAAGTATGTACTTTCAACAGGATTAAATAGGAGGTCAATTTCAATTGACAAAACCTGTGGCGGGGTGAAGGAAGAAACTTATAGAAGTTTAATTGCAAATAGAAGCATACGCGTGGTGCAGGTTGATGAAATCCTAAAATAGGATCATTTGCTGAACAATATTTTAACAATTTTTAACTTGCATGGTTTTTTTTTTACTACGATCATATAATTCTGATTCAGAAAAAAAATAAAAAATTATTCAAATAATAGAAACCAAAAAATAAAAAATAAACTATAAAAAATAAGCGCAAGATAATGAAGCTTCAAAAAGAAAATAAGGTTTTACATTTTTTTTTGCTTAATGAATTGAGGAAAAAAAAAAAAAGAAATTCCCCATTGGGCAATAAGGCGCTTTTGATTTCTTGGTGCTATTATACCCTTTCGACGTAAAGATGTGTGAAAAGTGTAATGTATGGTTTTTGGTGAATCTTAGCAATGTTTCCCTGTTGTTGGAACTTAATACTAATGAGAAAATAGCGACCGTGTTAACTTTTCAGGTTTATTTTATTTTTCTTTTTGTAACATTTTCAAATGGTTTGATAATTCTCCGGAAAAAATACCCTATTGGCATGCAAAATTATTTAATAACTTCATTTTGTACTACTTAGCAATTTTGTACGATATGTACGATGATTAATAATGTCTCATTTTACAATTCTAGATTAGGGTTTCAATTATTTTATATTCGGTTGTTTATAGTAATCCGCGCAAACATTGAAAAATACTCAGCGAAAATTGCCATTTCGAGTGGTAATGCCGAGGATAGCTGCATCAACAATATGTATTGCAAGCCATTCTTCACACAAATTTCCAAGCCAAAGAAAACACTTAGACCACAATATAAGTGGGTCTAATTTTATGATAAATAAGGACAGAGGCAATATTTCTGTAATGGCAGAATTGTATTCTCGAAAGCAATGCAACGCCTATAGTTGTCATTTTTCGATATTTTTTACGCTTAAAAGCAACTAATTTGCCAAATAGGTATAATATGCTCTGATCATCGGAAAATCCGTTATTGTTTTTGAAAATAAACTTAAAGATTCCCGCCAAATTGTGGGTTAACTTAGGGCTATGGACCCCTGAAAGTAGTGTCGTATCTATTTTGTCTGGCATGCAGAAGCGAAAAGTAAATAATGTCGCATAATCCGCCCTATACAAAATCACACAAAGCCAAGACATTTAGCCACAAAACTAGACCCCCTAAAAAATAAGCAGTCGGAAAGAGGAGTAAAAACGTACTAAAATTGAAGCAATGGTGCCAATTTGGGTCAGTTGCATGTATCTGAGGATTTGTCAAGGCAATCCCAGACTTTTGAAACACATGGCATAATAAGTTTTAGTAGCATCATGTTACATACTTAAATGCGCAACATATTATGATATAACTAAGATTTTAGACTAAGGGGAAATGAATTAGCCGGATTCGGTTTTGTGGTATCATTTGATTATGCAATTTTTCCCATTCGGGGTTAGGTGACAATGCTTCCATGGCTTGTCTCAAGTATAATGGATAGGCACCATGAACTAATTATTTGAAGTGAATTGTCGCCTCATGTAACATGCAGGAAGATAACGTGGTGGGTCGAGAGAAAAATATTATTAAACGTCCAGAAAAAAAAATTTTTGGAGATGAGCAGATTCAGTTCGAGTGAAAAAAAAAAATTTTTTTATTTGTATATTGTTTCATATGCTTTCTTTTCCTTTCTCCATACATATTTCACTTCCGGAATACCAGCAAGACTAACTTGCCTCTATTTAGTTAAGCACAAATGGCCGGAAGGAGATTAAAAGTCGAGAAAACACCATCATTATTAAAATCCAGGCTATTTATATTTATGTTTACAGTTTGGTTCGCGTGATGGATACATTGTCAGCAAGGCACTTTTAAATCAAAACATTCCATTGATTGCCAGATATTAATCTGCAACTCTGGTGCAACTTCTCAAATTGTATATCCGCATATTTTTTGAGATGTGACCGATAGTTCCGTGTGGCTGTGTACCAGTGCCAATGAGTGGTGGCACGGTTAGAAAAGATTGTAGAGCATCTCAATTAGCTAAATTTCCCGTGAACTTTAGATCTCAATCACGTATCGCTTTCAAGATTCACTCTAAATGCTTATTCTCCATTGTAACTCAGCCTAAATAATGTGCAAAAGTAAGATTGTTTTCAAGTGTTTACCATAACAATCATTTCTCTTTGTTTGTCATCGTCTAACTTGACGAGGGCTGGTCATCATTTTACAATTATAATTACAAAAAGTGAACAATAAACAATACATTGAAGATAATACACATGATCGAACAAACATCAATCCTTTGTCGATCAACAATCTATTCGCACATTGTAAGATGGTTCATAACGCCCTTCAAAATTGACAGTGTTCCAATCTGCAATATTAACACATCAAGCATAACTACCAAAATAGACCATAGTTAAATTTAAGCATGTGCTATTCGTAAATAGGTAGGGATATGTCTCAATAAGGGTTTTTTTTAGTTCCCCCTTTTTTTTTACCATAATTAGAAACAATTATTAAATCCGGCTTTCACCATAACAGGAAATCTTTCTTATTCCCCGGCATGCATTTAAGAGAGGAACAATCTCTATAGGATATTGTCATTGTTGGCCCAGGATGTAAGAGAAGCAAAATATGTTGAATGGGAAATCATACAGTTGTAAGTATGTCTATTGTGGCGCATCACCCATTGTTTAAAGAATCTTTGTAGCAAAATTGGAAACTCCGACATTATGTGTGTCGTAACTTTATTATGCATCACAAATTCAAAAATGTGGTAAATTAGAATTCTGTTCAATTATACTTCTATAATAAGATCAATGCATGCTTTAACCCTGATGAAGCGGGGTTTGATTGTATGAGGTGATTCAAAAGTACAAGGTGCAATCTTTACGAACTAGTTACCACAGCAATGTCATACTTTATTATACTTGATGTGAGCAAACTGTACTGTAAGCTTGTTAACAAGAAGCTTGGCAAGCTGATGCGCCAAGATCGGCTCAGTTTTATTTTAAGAATCGGTTTACAGCTAGATCTGGGATCTTCCGCTTTCAGACTTGCTGCGAAGGGATGGTCTCCTATTCAACTGATTGGGATTGGGAGTTGCGCATGTATTGCCATACCTGTAACCATGGAAATTTTCCCTTTCAAGATAAATTAAATAGTTCGTAAATGTTTCTTACTAATTTTTTTTTGTTTATTTGCAGGAACGGGGGTTTTTTTTGTGTAACAGCAACAACGGATTTGTATAGGAGTAACTGAAAAACTTTAAATCGGCACTAATTCTGCACGCGACTAAACCCTAAACACTAAAAATTGTGACAAATAAAAGATGCAGGGCAGAGCACATGGATGTGATCCGCAGTAGCAACCTCCATCAACAAGCAAGAGGCGACATGAGACAGCAGATCTATAAAGTTCTAATGTGTTTCTTCCTGTGCCTGAATCAAACCAAGAACCTCGGAATTGTAGACAAATGTGCATGCAATATTGCTTTAATCATAGCATACTCTGAAGCTAAGAATAATTTTTCAAAAGAACAGCACCACGGTTTAAAGGAAGAATTAGAAACGGGTTGCATAATTTTGCATTCGCGCGCTTTGGACCGAATTCAGTAACGAGCAAATGTGAAACATTCTCTGGTCTACATTCGCAAAATTCATGCAACGACTGTTGAAATGTGACTAACATTGCTTAAAAAATATGGATTGGGAAATTAATTTTCCGCTAAGAGGCAGTTGTTTATTTACATGTTAAATATTATTATTTTGTTGACTTTGAAAAAAAATAAACTATTTTTTCGGTAAAAGGGCGAACAATACCAACGCTCTCAACTGAAAATAAAACCATAAGTTCAAGAAATTTGAGGCATACATGTAAATAGAGAGTCTGGGTTTTAATAATTTACAAGCGATAATTTAGACTCGATCTTGCACAAACAACTATTATGCTATGGAGATAATTTGCTCCTTTGTTATGTGAGGAAATCACGCAGATTAAGTTAAACCTTGAGACAATAAACAAAGGTTATAAATAGATTTTAGAGGTATTTTTTTTTGAAATAGTTGTTATACCAATTCTGGAAATCTGTAAAAACCAAATCACAAAACAATAGGCGAATGTCGTAACTCGTAGCCTAAGTTTTCAACAATGTAACTCAGAACAATGTCGAATGTTGCGTGATTTGATACCCAACAACACCCGCCTCGAGCAATTAATTATTTCTCCATAAAATATTTGAACCTGTCGATAACCATGATGAGCAGAGATGAGAGTTCATGGAACCATAGATTCCACAAAAAAACATATTACTATAAATAATCAAAAAAAAAATGGGGCAGCCAAGAATAGCACTCTCTACAGACAAAAAAATCTTAAATTATAGACTTTAAACTTTAAATATATAAACAGGATTCTTATCAAAACGCCTAGATCGGGAAAAACGGCAACAAAAGGATTTTTTTTTCCCTCCAAAAACACAACAAAAAGAATAAACAAAGAATATTCTTAGTAGCGCCTGATATTCTTGTTTCTACTGTAAACTTTTGTAATATTCATACTTTCAACGAAACTTGTTTCTTTTAAAATTTTTCATATATACTCTTAGTTTTTATACTTGTTCCACTAGGAAAGCTTGAATTACTTTCATCATACACATTCTGCTTATTACAGCCAATGACAACAAGCTTATTCAAAACAAAACAGCATAAGTTTAAAAGGAAAGTTAAGGACTTACAAATATCGGGGCCACTAGATCCCAATACACTCACGCTACTTTCTCCACTTTCCCCCGAGTCAAATTTACAAAAGTCACCCCATTCTCAAAGAGATTCCAGAACTAAAGCAAGACATTCCTATCCAGTTTTGCTTGCAAAATATGAATTCAAAGCTGAAAGAGATGGCCAATTGAATATTAAAGCTGGCGATTATTTGATTTTGATTGAACGACCCGGCAATGGATGGTTGGAGGTTCATCATATCGATAATAAGGAATCTAGAGGGTTGATTCCTGCCAGTTTTGTAGATATTGCTGTGAATGATTGTGTAAATCCTGTTTCTTTGCGATGGCTAACCCAATTTGAAAGCAAGGAAGTTGAAGAAGTTGATACATTCAACAATGATTATTTTGAATTAGCTTCTGATTCTGCATTTGCAAAAAATTACCCAATCAAGGTTGTCATTGATAAAGCATTTCAAAGCTTACTGAAGAAATTCCTTTACAAGATGAAAGTAGTGATGACAAATAAAGATACTTTATATCTTGCTAAGCGATATCAGGACTTCTACCATTTCCATATTGAGCTCATGGAAACTTATCCCAACTTCCATAACTTACCTAAGCTACCTCCACCATTATTTCAAGTACCTCAATCATCCAGATTAAAGTTTGATAAAAGATTCGTTGATGATTTAATAAGCATAACCCAAGATTTAAACGAGTATTTCTCCCAATTAATAAATTATTTCCCAGAAATTCAAAAGTCAACTGAAATACTTGATTTCATTTTCGGAGGGCCATATCATTTAACGAAAAATTCACAAAAGGTTAATGAAGAAGAAGTGAATAACTTTTTATTTCCAAACTGCATCGATGTTGAATCGTATGTTAAAAGTTCAAAATCGACATTTTCAACAACAGCTCCATTACCCCCAGTCACATCATTTAAACAATACCCAGAATCCCCTCGAAGAAGATCTAACCAATACGACAATTCCAAATATTCAACTTACATAAATCAAAATCAGGCCAAAGAGATAACTCATTCCAATAGTACCTATTCTTTAGAAAGTTACACTTCTTTAATTGAAGTATATGACCGGGACGATTCAGCTAGTAGTGAAGAAGGCGGATGTACGTATTTCTTGAACACACCAGAAACTTCCGTGGAGGGCGATTCCACGTTCGCTACACCACTATTAAAGTAACCAGGATATCCTAACAGTAACTATCAGAGAACTCCACCAGGTTGCTGTGCTTGGACTCACTATACCAGCCACAAATACATGTAATAAGTAGATATGTGTAGAAAATACTAAGTCTTTCTAGAAAAGCGAATAATCCATAGATAATTTTAGAATTACTAAAATGAATGAAGAGTTCAGTATCATGTGATGTAGTTTGGGGGGGGGGGAGAGGAGGGAGAGAATTTATACATTAGTAATATTTCCACAAGGTGTTGTATTGCGTTTGTCTTGGTGCAATTCCATGGCTTGCGTATATGTGCATATTTACGTCGTAAACGGAAATCTCTGATCCCGGAAAAACAATACTGGCCCGATCTGAAATTCTGCCACAAAAACTTTCCAATTTGTTGGGAGAAAATCTATATTATTTTCTAATTATATTTCTACTTTTGTATCATAGAATCACTTGATGTTATTTGTCAGCAAGCCAATACAAATTAGGTTGTTTATAATTGAAAAAAAAAATTCTGGTTATTGTCTGAGCCATCGTCCAGAAAAAATCGAATTGCATAGAAGCAACACAAAACATTATATTCTCGACGCGTCTTTGGTTACAATTTTTATAAATACTTTAACCAGGCAAGAAAGATTCCTGCGTCATATTTGTAATTAGTAACCTATATTAAGATATATATACATATATATTTTTTAAAAAAAAATCTATTCACTTTCTAGGCGCTGTTCAAAAGTTCTTGTTCAGAAGTAAGTAATTTCGAGAAGTTTTAGATTTAGGAGAACAATAAGGAGATCGTAGATCGTTTCAGATCATTGTTTCGCGCAAAAAAAAAAAAAATCGCACCAAAATTCCATTTACATAAACTTACAACAAAGCTTTTTAAGTTTGAGTGTACCAAGAGCACCATATAAGATAAATTATCATCCCAGTTCATTTAATTTTGTAACATTATCAAACCTTCACTATTTCCCAGGAGCAAACTTAAAATAAAATCTTGATTTTATGGATTGCCTAACACACAACAATATGATTGCTGAAAACAGACAATATTCGTTCGATTCACAGCGAGTATCTTCACCTGAAATTGATTCATCAAGTTGTTCATTACATCGATCTGTTGATAGTTCTATGTTTACAAGTCATGAGCTGTTTCTGCAACAACAGTTTCATGGAATGGAAAGTTGGAATTACGAAAATTCAAATCTAGTTGGATCAAATAGCAACAATAACTTATGCGACCAATTACAAATTGAAACCTGCGATGAATCAACGCTTGATTCAGAACCGACTCCCACCTGGGATAAACATACCACAACCTACAGAACTCAAGACAATACGCTAAAATTGCAAATTTGGATAGACGACAATAAATTAAGTTTCAAATTACGAAAAGACCGTTTGGAAAGTACAACCGAATTGGTCAATGTGATATTATTCAAGTTAAAGGTTAAGCTTAATATGTACCCTGACCGTTTACAAATTACATTTAAAGATCAATCGTTAAATCCAATTTCATTATTTGAACATGGAGAAACTCAGACACCCGAGTTGCTACTCGAATATATTCAGTTAAAGAAAACTATATATATTCGTGCAATTAAGCAGGAGGGATAAAGTGGAATTTTGTCACGTCTGACTAAAAAAAAAAAGTTTCCGCTATTTGATCTGCGTTATGCCAATTGAAATATTTTTTTTTTCATGCAAACACACATGGGCGGGATATTTTTTAAACTTTTTTTTTTTCCTGCTTGCTTCACAGCCTAAAAAAAAACTTTATTCCACATGATTAGCAACACCTTACAACCAGATTATCACCATACCATGGTTCCAAAGAGCAACAGCACCCAATAGCAGACAAGAATTTATATATAAAACATGGCCGCAGTATTTGATATGGAAGGCTACGATGTAGCCGATGGAGCCTCAACCCTCGCAAATGAACTTAATTACAAGTTAATCATCCATGATGAATCACCCGATGAATTTACTCCACAAAGTTATTTCGGAGAGAACAGATCGGATCCAATTCCCATGTCAAAACAAACAAGAAGACGATCTTCCATTGCCTCGTCGTACGAAGTTAAAATCAAACATTCATATAGTTCAACGAATAACGGACCAAATTTACATAAACCCAAGCTTGCAGATTTCGAACCAATAAAAGTATTGGGGAAAGGATCCTACGGGAAAGTGCTTCTTGTTCGTGAATTATCCACCGGTCGATTATTTGCACAAAAACAGTTGAAGAAGGCTTCGCTTATAATCAATGAGAATACTAACGAAGTAAATGAAAAGAATTATAATCGTACGGTAAACGAGAAAAATATTTTGGAAATGGTGAATCATCCAAATATTGTTAAATTATATTACGCTTTCCAGGATAATAACAAGGTATACCTCATATTGGAATATCTCGATGGTGGAGAATTGTTTCATCATTTAGCATTAGAAAGATTCATGACTGAGAAAAATGCCAGTTATTATATTGCCCAAATGGTTCTTGCGTTAAGATACTTGCATGTTAATTTAAAGGTTATTTATCGAGATTTAAAACCAGAAAATTGTATGTTGAACTCGAATGGTAACTTGGTATTGACTGACTTTGGATTGTCTAAAGTTTCAAGTGAGAGTAAGAGCCATTCAATGACAGGAACAGCTCAATATATGGCACCTGAAGTGTTGAAAGGTGATGAATATGATTATTCGGTAGATTGGTGGTCGTTAGGATGTGTTGCGTATGATTTATTAACAGGATCTCCTCCATACACAGGTACCAACCCCACGAAAATTTTGGAAAAAATCAAAAATTCCAAAAAGACATTGAAATTCCCTTTTTATTTAAGTGTTGAAGCAAAAGATTTACTCAGGAAATTACTTCAAGTTGATCCATTCAAAAGAATAAACGTCGATGAAGATTTCAAGGCTTTCAAACAACATAGATTTTTTAGACATGTAAATTGGGATGAGCTTGAAAATATTGAAAATAGTGAATCTCTTCCACCAATATTGCCAATTATCACTGATCCCATATTGGCGGAAAATTTTGATGATGAATTTACTACTTTACCTATGTCACCTGAAACTAATATGATAAAAGATATACTCCATGTTAAAGGATTCACATATACCAATCCTTCATACTTGGATCAACAGTATTTAAATCCAAAAGATTTATAGAGTTTTTTATATTTTTTTTTACTTATTATTTATATAGATTCTGTATTATTAAAATTATACATCATAACATCATAACAACTATATATAATATGCAATACCAACAAATATGTTGATAAATATAATTATCAAGTTGACAATTGTATCGCCAAAAATTACCATTCTGAAATCTAATTCTCTTTCCAAACAATGCAAATAATTAACTTTAAACATTTTACAAGTAACAATGAATAAAACCATAAAACATGAAACAGACAGATTCAAGCTGAGAGCTATTCCAAATGTAAGAAACGTAAGGAATTGCCAAATCCAATAATTCCATTCGTCTAAAATTATAAACCATACGTTGATTGTTTTAAGAAGTTCCCCAAATTTCTTGAATACGGGATCGATGACTATACTTGACAATGGTTGTTCAATACAATAATCGAAATTGTAAAGGACAAAGTATTGAAAGTTTCGATATCGATAAATGCTAGATGATGTAATTGTTGGACTAATTGGCGACTCGAGACCCACGCACTCTTCATTGAGGCTATAGCTGTTTAATCTTGACTTTATTAAGGGATAACTTTGACCTTCAAATTTTGGTTTCTCTCCAATTGTAAATAATGGAGGAAATAACCAGGATATTAAATTAGTGTAATTTTGTTGACTCCCACTAACTGCACTAGTAGTAGTTTTGTCAAACTTGGTGTCTTCACTTGAATAGTTTTGTAACGTATTGTCGTCATTGTCAGGATCATTTCTCTGCTTACCACTTCTGTGGCTTCCGTCTCTATGGTCTCCACCCCTGTTGTCATTGTCATCGCCATCGTCATCATCACTATGGTCATAATCGCCATCCCTATAATCACCGCCGGCACCACCACCAAATTCAATTTCAGTACCACCAGGCAATTTTAACTTAAAGTTACCGCCTCCACCTCCACCAAAGTGTCTACCTTCAGTAGTGACTTCTTCATCTGAATCCATATAGTCATCAAAAGTCTCACTTGCTGCCGCAAGAGCAGTAGCTGTATTTAAATGATATGTGTTTTTAGGTGACACAGAATATAACTTATCCACAAAATCAGAACATGATCTATAGTTCTTGAGAGTAGGGTTGGCAGTTACTGTATCTATACTGATTGATTTTCTCATTGGCGAGCTCATTGGTGTACTTGCGCATGATTGTTGTTTTGAAAGGTTGAATTCAGTAGGCAATTTCATGATTGATGATCGATGTTGGACAATGGTCATGCCAGAGTCTTCACTACAGAATGAAGTTCTGTTCTTACCTGGTGCAAGCAAGGGGGGCACAAGTAATGGTGTTGTTTCTTCAGGGATTAGATTTTGAATAATGTAGTTAATTTCCTTCTCGTTCTTGAATGGGTTTGTTGTTTTAAAATAATCTTGATGTATCCAAGGATCATAAAACGTAAGGAATTTAAAATATTTCTTATCATAGTTTCCAGGGTAGTAATAGTATACATTTGTTCCACATAACGAATATCCCAATGCTAACCAGAAGTAATCTAGTGGTGCTAAATCTCTCGTTATCCATATCAACACTACTAATTTTGCCACCTCTTCGAATATTGGATAAATCACAGAATCAAAAAGACCTTGTCTGGTATTAACTCTTCTGATATTCAACGTTATGATTTCATAAACGTAATATATAATGCAAGGAACAACTAATACTGTACCACCAATTATGAGGTCGTAGAGCTTGGCAATATGCAAATCTTCATCATTTGTAATGTGACTTAATGCAAATGAGAAGCCAAACAATCCACAAATGGTAACGAATATTAATAGTAGCACCCCATAATATGACTTCTCTTTCATCATGTGAAAGTATGTAGATTGACTAGTCACTAAATATGAGGATCTTTCGATTGATTGAAGTAACGTTGTTTCTGGTTTCGAAGATTTTTAATTTGGCTGCCTAAAAATTAAAGTTTGCTTTTTCCAGTAATTTCTTTTGTTTGTAATTCATCCCCTCACAGCCTTTCGTGATAATTCCCTCGGCAAATCAAACCATGTGATCATCAGTCACATGATCAATTTCAAGAATATTTGTGTATTCAATTATTAATCAAGGAGTTCAAGCAACTTTAAGCTGACACCAGTATACAAACAAAGATGCAAGGAGATAGTAAACTGGTTATTCCATTAGAATCAAATCCTTCGATATTCACTGATTTGTCGTACAACCTCGGACTTTCTCCGTTATTACAGTTCCATGATGTTTATTCATTAGTTGATCAAGATTTACTTGCATTCTTGCCGCAACCAATATATGGAATTATATTGTTATTCCCTTTGACTCGACAATATGAAGAGTACCATAAGAATGAAGATTCCAAGCGAGACTTAGAGTTGAGTGATAAAGTTACCTGGTTTAAACAGACCATTGGCAATGGATGTGGACTATACGCCCTTCTCCACATACTTGCAAACTTGCCATCTGATTTAATAATTGAGAATCTGAAATTGGCCGAGTTTTTGAAACAGGTCCAGGGCAAATCCATACAGGACACCAGTAAGCTTGTAGAAGGGTTGGAAAGCTTTATCAAACTTGATGAGAATTTCGGATCAAAGGGTCAGACCGAAGCGCCTGAAGCTACAGCAAGCATTGATTTGCATTTCATTACTTACATCAAGGGTAAAAATGGTCATTTATATGAATTAGATGGTAGACGTAAAGGTCCAATTGATTTGGGAACTACTACTGGAAATAACATAATCCAGGAACAAGCTTTAGTAGATAAGATCCAATTCTATATTGATAATGCTGATGAAGCCAACAAACATAATTTCGCAATTATGGCTATTGGTCCAACAAGTGATTAATCTACAATCTATATAGTGAATACTTAAATCATGTTGTCCGATTTACTCTATTATTGTGAGATTTGGCCTCTTCAGCTTTAGCCCCCCCTCCTAGACACTCAAGTACAATTGGGCAAGACTCGAATCAACTTATGAATAGTTGTGTAGTACTCATACCAGGGTCTTGCCCTTGTGTACCAGAGTCATACAAAAAGGTTATTCCTCAAATGCAATATGCATATGATGCGCATTGGGAAATGCATAGTGATTCATAATTTCATAGTTCATACTTAATATCTTTGAAAAGCTACAGTTAGTATTCGACATCAGTCTGTTAATGTCTAAATTTGTCCCTTGATATCAACTTTCTTAAAATTAGATTTTTGCATCATTGCCACAACTAAATGCTTACATTTATGACATTCAAGTTGGCCATTATCATCACTGGCAGTGACATAATCTTTCAATCCAATCAGCTCTAAAAACTCAAAACACTCGGTATAGTTTGAGAATCCTAAACAATCAGTCAATACCTTCACGGGGTAATTCCTAAATGATTGAGTTATGATAGACATAGACTTTACTCTGAATTTCTGATATAAATGTTTTTTCAACACTGCTAACGCTAATTTGATATCTTGCTCTTGTTCAAATTGATTTAGTGAATCAAAGAATCGTAAGTAGTTTCCCGTGGTGATGTATACTTGACATTGAAACAATGTTTGTATAAATTTGAATAAAGTCATTTCCCGATCTGTAGTTCGAAAATCACTAAATTGTTGCAATATGCCCATTTTAATTCGAAATATTTCACTGACATTGAATGTAATCATCATATAAACCACTTGATACATAAGGAATTCCACTTCCAAACGGAAAAATCTTTTAGTAAATGCTGAATTATTCTTTCTAGTCAAGTGATAAAGATATTTCAATTGTGATTGACATTGATTGAATTGTCCTAAATCATCATTTTCTAACGAGATTTTTGCATTTGTTTCATAAACAACTATGGTGAAATCATTCTTGATATTCTGAACCATTAAGTCTTGTCTAATAGATCGGAATTGATCAAGGGCATATGAATAATTCTTTGTTTGTAAATATTTCTCCTGGACAAATTTCAAACTCTTTTGTAATACTTGTTGATTACGAACTCTATTGGGATCGGGTTCCGAAGTTAATCGAAGATAACTTTTTTCTAAATCAGTACATCTACCAATTACTGAACCAGCCTTAGAAATAGGTGTAGATACGCTGGGTGTACTACTATTGTTATCATTAAATCTTTCCATCCTTTGACGTTTTCTTTCATTTGAATCAAAGTCTCCTAAAGTGTTAACAGAAGGAGATTTGGATAACGAGTCATTAGATTCTTTTTTGATTGGCTTGGAGCTTGTTTTTGACTTTTTCTTCTGCTCTGGTTTTTGATGCTCTTTTGCTTTCTTTTCTTTAGCTTTTTCTTTATTCTGCTCTTGCTCTCGTTGTCGCCTAATACTCTCTAACTCCAAAGTAATATGCTCTCCATCCAAAATAGGCAACTTCTGCTTGCTCCAATCATTGGTCCAGATTAAATTATCATCCACTGCAGTTTCAATCAAACTTTGTAATTGACGGTTAAACAACACTTTGTCACGTTCAGACAATGTGCTTGACCTATTAAAACAAACTGTAACATATTGCAGTAATGCTGGTGGCCAATCTTGATTAGTATTATCATTGGTATTAGTTGGTGCTTCATCCCATGAACTAGGAGTATCCAGATTACTATTTCCTGTACTGTTATATGAATTACCAGTGTGCATGTTGGCTGCAGATGGGGTTGTCCCGTTAGCATGGGAATGAGAACGTTTCTCTCGTCTTCTTTTCAAACTTGTTGGTTGAACTTCGTTGTATACTTCGCTCATGACGATGATTATTATGTCAGTCTATAAGTTTCACTTACGGATGGGATATATGGTGTGGTTGGGTGATGATGGCTCTGTTACTTTCTAGTAAGGTTTGACAAATTCTTTTTTTTTTTTTGCCCTGGTTGAAATCAGATCTACAACAAAAAAGGGTTAAGGTACTGATAAGAATTTGGTAGGTATAAGCCACGATACCCGAAACGAACATAGACAAGGAATAACGTTGTTAATTCTATTAACTTGTTAAAGAAAAGTCGATAAGTACTACCGTTTGTTATACAATAGTCATTGTCTAAATTATTCTTGGTAGTTTTCTTAACAAGTTTGTATAAAGTTTGCAAAATATACTAACTCCTTGTGAAAAGATTAACTTTTCTTTGAAGTTAAAAAAAAACAGTCGATTACCAACATTTTATCCTTATTATACATACTTAACCGGAATTTAAGTAGAAACCAGCTTGTTCTAGGCTCTAATTTATTAGATTAGTTAACTTTCCAATTTACAACCAAATCCCCCGTATTGGTGAATCACGTGATCACATTAGGTGATTTTTTCTGGTCTCAACCAAATTTAAGCTTTTCTACTTTGGGGGAAGTACGTGTGTACCTGATTCTGTACTACAGTATCTGTGATACATCTTACCTTGTTAAATACTATAGTTTTGCATTATATTGCCTGTGCTATTTACTGCTTAGATCATTCAAAAAAAATTATCATTCCCCACAACTTTCACACCTAAAACCTTTCTCCGTACTAACCTTCCCAGGTATGAGATCTTCAATATTTAGCGGTGGTAGCAATAACACAACCACAGGAAGCTCCTCCAAAGTGTCATCGCCTAGGAAATCATACCACTTGACACCAACAACATCACAAGCATCGACTAGTAAACGATATCGATCTTCAAGTCCATATATAAATAACCCCAAACCCAGAACCCCAACAACCTCGTCCTTGTTAACCAATGGCAAACACAAACCTAGCTGGAATTTAGACGATTTAATCGCTAGCTATCAAGACTCAGGGGCATTACCGCCTATACTATCACCTACATTACCTAATGAAGAAACAGCTGAAACACCTGAAGATTCAGGGATACATAAGAGTTTCAGCACATCTAATCTCGTTAAGAATGAACCTAAGCTTTCCCTTGATTTCGATCTGGATGACGACAAACCTTTGAATAAACTAGTTGTTCCTGATGAAGAAGATAAAGTTCCCCGATTACTTTCACCTACATTACCGTCAATTTTCGATACACCGACATCAACTCCAAAACCAAGTTCCAGCTCCACCTTTACCAACAAACGAACAAGTACCAGCACAATCAAATGGATAAATAAAATGAATGATCCCAACAAACCCAAGTTTTTACTACGAATTGTGTTTGATAACAAAACAAAGTTTAAACGTTCAATGACTAGAACAGTCAGTCCGGTTAAGTTGGCAGCTAGTCCGAAGTTGAATAAAGCCGTGGCAAGTCCTATGAATAAAGTCCTGACCACTCCCGTCAGATTAAACGGATTAGGGATCCTGACGGATAGGAGGAAAGAAGAGGATCATGAATTGAATGTTAAGTTTAAACGCGAAGACAGAAAGGAAGAAGTAAAGAAGAGCGAGGAAAAGCGAAAGAAGGAAGAGGCAAGATACAAGCGAACAGAGCGTGAAATTAACCTTGAAAAATCTGTTAAGGAACTAGAAAGTCAATTACAGAATAAGCAAAAAGAACTCGTTGATTTGCAAGCTAAACTTCAAGAAAAGTCACAAGCCGTTCAACAGCAAGTTCATGCACAACCAGGCACTGATGAGCAACGTAAACGAGATCAGTTAAAACAGCTAACTCAAGATGTGATAATGCGAGAACAATCTCAACCAATAGAAGAAAGAATACGACTTCGATCTCCAGAACAAACGCATTCATTTTCAAAATCACAGCGAGATGAAATTAAAGACTCATTACAATCCAAGAAGAACCATTGGTTAAACTTGAGTAAATCTACCAAATCTAAAGCTGACTCGTGCAAGAATGAATTTTTGTCAATCATAATTAACATCGATTCTATCTTGCTTAAAATTGTCTCGTTTGATTTCGATGAACGTTCAAAAATCGTATCGGAAGTATTACCAAGTGAAAGGTCATGGAAATTACTCGATCAAGAGATAAACGGCTTAATTTCCAGAATTGAAAAGTATTCCAAATTAGTCAAGGAGAAGATTATATTTGAGTTTCTAAAAATCCTCGTCTGCATACTATTCCAAGCCAGAGCAATTATACTCAAACGAATAAACTCAATATTAACCAATGTAATTGATTCCTACATCAAGAAAAATGACGATAGACTAAACACAAAAATCATTGAATTGCAACAACTAGCATTATCAAATAACACCCTTATTCTAGAACATTTTATGAATTCACGCCCAAGTTTTATAAATACAAGCATACCCTTAAGATTCCCATCAACCTGGTTTAATAAATCCCTAAGTTTGGAAATTCCACAGCGGGATTATAATTTAAAGAATTTTGATAATAATATTAAACCAACCAATCAAGTGTATTATTTGCCTTTTGGGGTATATACTAATATGAATGAATTCACGGCATTTTTGTTTAATATTATGAATGAATTCATTGATATTTACAACAAGTATAATTCAAGCAATTCTATCAATTATAAGTTACAATGTGGATTATCTTAATAGTATACAGATTTACAAATTAATATATACTGAGGGGGAGCATCTAATGCTGCACTCTGACGTCATTATCATTATCAAGTTTCTGAGCAAGACTAGTTAAATATCTAAATAAAAGTCAAATACCATGCTAGCTTGAGCTCATATACTTCTCTTTATATATCCAACTGTTACCAATTGTCGTGATTCCAAAAATCTCACTTAATCTTAACCAAGCAGCAGCCTTACATAGATCTTTCTTATGATATTTTGTCTTATTACACCAGATATCTCCCAATTGAGTCATAGAATCAATATTCCCCATACTTCCAGCTTTACTTAAACATGCAATTCCCACCAATTCATCCCTATGGTCTAACCCCCACCCATTGATCAAGAAATTACCCAATTCATGATATGCCACCGAAGCAATGTCTAGTTTGTTTTTACATATGTGGATAATCTTTGTTATTTGAGCTTTGGAAAGGGATTTGAATATGGGGTATAACATGATTGGGTCATTGCCGTTCAAATGCTCATCCTTGTTCATGGTGACTTGTAGATTCTTCATAATGAGTCGGATTAATTCCTCGGCAGATAACGAATTTAGTTTCTCCAGGATTAACGCTGAATTGGATGAGTTTATATGGGGGAAATTCATGAGTAGACATTTACATAACCACTTTATAGCATGATGGTCATTCTGTCTAACACCTTGGCCTAAATGCAATGCCATGGAATATAAATACATTGCCTTGGTATCGAAAAACGGTTCATTGGCGGCAATTTGTAATTGATATGATGCTTCACGGTGTTTACCAATTTTCCTTAATTCTTGGGCAAGACTTATTCTCGCCTCTGCTGTAAGTGATTCATTTTTATATGGAAGTACAAATGACGAGGCTGAGCCATCAGAATTAATTCGTCTAGGTTCAGGCATTCCCGTAAATGTAGATTGGGAAGAACCGGAAGACGGAGATCTAACCGGACTCTCTTCTGACGCAAATGAGTCGAATGATTCTTCTTGAACCAGATTTATTGCACTTGGAGTGCTTGAATTCGTATCGGTTTTATTTAAAGTAGCCATATTTGATTCGATTGTTTCTGATGATTTACTTATATTTTCAAAAACAAGATTCATAGGAACATGTCTTATATGCTGTTGAACAAATGCTTGTTGGGAAGTTCGGCGATGGGTTGGTTGTTGAAATGGTTGAAATGTGCCTATCGACAGTTTGATATTACGTGGTTGAACATTGACACCTTTAATCAGTAAATTACTCTTTGTGTTTTGCGCTAATTGTAGTCGATCCAATAACCTTCCCGTCGAAGTTATAGAACAATCATCGGGCTCGAAATCTAGTTCGTCTTCACCTTCGCTTAATTCTAACCGATCTAGTAATCTACCATTGGTACTGACAGATTCGAACGAATATATACTCTCACGATCGAAATCATTGGGGATGCTATTGGTGGATAATGGACGAGCAGACGGTCTTTGCCCCTTGCGTAGCGAGCCTGATCGAACCAACTGTTTTTCAAGTGTGTGCAAAGGTGAAACCTCCTCAGCATGAAATTGAGTGGATGTTTGATTCATGATAACAGTCTCTAAACGTAAGTGTTATTAAAATAAAAGCTGAATATTTCTGCTGTGATAACTTGTTTCGTCTAATATATTAGGGAATAACGGATAACTTCAGGAGGTGGGGGAGCGGAGGGGCAAGGAAGAAAGAAAATGTCAGAGGTAACTAATCCACAGTATGAGTTCCTAAAAATAGCCTGAATCTTTTTTTTTTTTTTGCGATTAACCCACGATTATAGGGGTTACACTGTATCGCCAGTGTGACAATCTAGTGCAACACGGCTAACAAAGGTAGTAGATCCTAGTTACTCCAGCTGTATAACCTACAAAAAAGCGATGTAGAGAGTAGCAGAAAAGAAACAAACTGCAGTATTCTGTAATCATTGGTAAACAGAAGATAAATGTGAAGTGAATGCACGTGAAGCGAAAGTTAAAAATTGCCAACAAACTTTGGATCCCAGTATAGAATGTTTATCAGTTTAAAGTAACATATCTCTGATTTATCTTGTACAAGATCAGGAATATGCAATACAGTCAGAGATAAGATTTTGATCACCGCAACTGGTTGAAAGTTTCATTACTATGTTACGTGAGATACAATGTTTGTTTTCCAAACAATGGAATACCAATTAGCGGAATTTGAACAATAAAATAGTATTGTTGTAAAAGTCGCGTTAATGCTTCTCGGATTTTGTGTAGTTTCAACTTGAACTACTAACTGCCAAGAAGTCCACAGTATAAGACTGTAGCAACAACTAGATAAAGATCTCAAAACCATCTAGAACTTCTTAAATTTGAAGGTATCGTCACATCACACAATACGTAAACAGTTTATCCATCTACATAAACCTTCTAACTTTTGAGGCAGGCATGAATTTAACTTTAGAAAAACCTCGGTGATCTAGTGTATCTAGTTTATCTTGATGTTGCAATTGTTAATACTATTAATAAATCTTATTAAAATGGATAGTTTCTGATTTCAAGAAGAGAACGAGAAGAAGAAGAAGAACATCAACGACCGAATATCGTTTACACCAAGTGTGAGTATACCTCCGGGAAATTTGATCAATCATTAAGTAGCCAATGCTTCTTATATATAACTTACAGTTCATTTATAATGTCCTTCAAGAATAAAAGGTCTCTGTTTAGTTTGTTTTCAGGGGCGGTTGTAAATCGGAATATTTATAGTGGCTACTTTACATCAAGTCACATGATTCAATCAGCCCCAGGAAATTTAAATTCAGCTCCTCAAAGATGGATGGCATCAAAAATATTTTACGGCACTAGAATTGTAGGCACACAAACTTACAGGCAGTTTTTCTTCACTACTCTTCTACTCCTGATTAGATCGACCAAAACTAACTAATGCACGAAGTAAGAAAAAACGGTTGTCCAACCAGGGCTGCTGAAGTCGATCCTTCCACTTTGTCAAACTATCAGAGCTTCTCGGTCACAAATACAACCTTACATTTCGATATCTTATTTGACAAGGAAATTGTTACTGGTACCGTTGCTTATGACTTGAACAACTTGAAATCTACTGATGTGCTTGAATTAGATACTTCTTACCTTGAAGTTGAAAAAGTGTCAGTCAATAAACAAGACGGGACATATACCTTACACGAGCGTTCTGGTCCATTGGGTTCGAAATTGTCCATTCCAATTCCAACCAACGGTCCTTTAAATGTTACAATTCAGTTTAAAACTACTGATAAATGTACAGCATTGCAATTTTTAGACAAGGAAACAACTGATGGAAAGAAAGAGCCATACTTGTTTTGTCAGTGTCAAGCTATTCATGCTAGAAGTTTGTTCCCATGCTTCGATACTCCTGCTGTTAAATCCACTTACGCATTATCTGCAACCTCCCCACTTCCTACTTTGATGTCAGGAAGACCTGTATCAGCCAAAGACAATTTATACACTTTCACCCAACCAGTTCCTATTCCTTCATATTTAATTTCTATTGCTTCTGGAGATTTAACTAGTGCTCCTATTGGACCTAGATCCGATGTTTACTCTGAACCATGCAATATCAAACAATGTCAATGGGAGTTTGAACATGATATGGAAAATTTCATTCAAATTGCTGAAAATTTAATCTTTGAATATGAATGGTTGAGATTTGATTCATTGATTCTTCCAGCTAGTTTCCCCTACGGTGGTATGGAAATCCCAAATCTTTGTCAATTAACTCCAACTTTGATCTGTAAAGACAGATCTCAGGTCAGTGTTGTTGCCCACGAATTAGCACATTCATGGTCTGGTAATTTAGTTACCAATTGCTCCTGGGAGCATTTCTGGTTGAATGAAGGATGGACTGTTTATTTGGAACGTAGGATTCTCGAAGGAATTGCCATTGCTAAAGCTAGAGAAAAGGGATATCCTAACCCTGAGAAATATGGTGAATCAATCAGGCAATTTAATGCCATTATTGGTTGGACTGATTTAGAAAATGATCTTAAATCAATGGGTGATAATGTCGACAAATATTCTACATTAGTACAAGATTTAAAGGGTGGTGAAGATCCAGATGATGCCTTTTCTACTGTTCCTTATGAAAAAGGGTTTAATTTATTATTCCATATTGAACAAAAAGTCGGTGGTAAGAAGGTGTTTGATGCTTTTATCCCTTACTATTTTAAAACCTTCAGATATAAATCTTTGGATACTTATCAGTTCAGGGAAGTTTTGTACAACTACTTCAGCGACAAAACCAAGGAATTGGACAGCATTGATTGGAAGGCTTGGTTATATGCACCAGGCATGCCACCAATTGATCCAAAGTTCGATACTACAATTGCTGATAAATGTTATGACTTGGCCAAGAAATGGTATAGCTTCACCCAGAAGAATGAATTGCCAACTTCTGAATTTTCCGAACAAGATATTGAATCATTTGACGCTAACCAATCTGTGGTATTTTTAGATGCATTAATCTCATACACAAAAATTGAAGGTTTCCACTGGAAGAACTATAAAGACTTATTAAGCATCATGGAATCTAAATATACTTCTTATAGTAAAACTTTAAATGCCGAAGTGTTATTCAAATGGTTTTATTTGCAAGTTAGCGGAGAAGTTGAGACATTCAAGGTTAAACTAGGTGAATGGTTAGGTACAATTGGTCGTATGAAATATGTCAGACCAGGTTTTATGTTGTTAAACCAAGTTGATCGAGAATTAGCTGTGAAATACTTCAAGCAATTTGAACTGAGATACCATCCAATCTGTAGGGCTATGGTTAAAAAGGATTTAGGTTTATAGGTTCATAATGCGACATTTGCAACAATCTGTGGAAGCCGCAACAAATAATTTCTTTTTTTCTTATTTATTAATTTTTGTATTTTTATTTTTATTTTTATTTTTTTTTTTGGTCTGTGCGTGCGTGCGTGCTCTCGATCTGGAAACACGTCAATCTTTTCCCTTGGGCGGATACAAACCACTAAAACCACACCGGACACAGCCCAATAATATTTTCACAAAACCTTAACCAATCCCTATAAATAGCAACGAGACTTCAACTACCCTTAGCTATACTTACACCATACTAATACATCATGTCCCAGTTTTTAAACTTAGCAGTATGTATATGATAACTGCCTTTGATAACAATCGACACATATACTAACATTTCGTAGTCATTTGGCAATGTCGGCTCAAGATTCAACTTAGACAGAATCAGAAGTGACTTCAGTTCCGTTGGTACCTCCATCTCCAAGCTTAGACCACCACAAGAGTTTTTCGACTTCAGAAGACTTTCCAAACCAGCCAACTTTGGTGAAATCCAAAACAGAGTTGGATTCAACTTGGGTTATTTCTCAGCCAACTATATCGCCATTGTCTTAATATTGAGTGTCTACGCCCTTATCACCAATGTATTATTATTATTTGTTACTTGTTTCGTCGTTGGTGGTGTTTATGGAATTAATCGTTTACAAGGTCAAGATTTAAGCACCCCATTTGGTAAATATAACACTTCCCAATTATACACTGGACTATTAATCGTAGCTATTCCTTTGGGGTTCTTGGCTAGTCCTATTTCTACTATGATGTGGTTGATTGGGTCCAGTGCTGTTTGTGTTGGTTCTCATGCTGCTTTAATGGAGAAGCCTATCGAAACTGTATTTGAAGAAGAAGTATAATACAAAACCAATGATGTATCGAGCACTAGTGCAGAAAGCAATCATTACAAGTAACCAATTCCACCTTCTTAAATATTAATAGTATAATTTTAGTATAATCGTTTACACTTTATCCAAAATTTGAAGGATTACCTTGTAATGTAACAGTATATATTAAGATGCTATAAAGAAAATCGTATTAACCCATTATTTTTATACAGATAGAAGGGATCCATCATTGAATAAACATTATATGGAATTCGGACCAATTCTGATTGTAAAAGTAAATAGATAACCCAAATAGCTTAGATACCCAACTTAGTTCTTCTCCAGTGTCTTCTCTTGGCGTTGTATCTGATGGTGTTACCAGTTCTTAATCTGACCCATTGAGGTAATGGTCTGTTTTGCTTTTGAGCCTTGGCTAACTTTTGCTTAGTTCTGAAAGATTTTTGAGACTATTAAAATGTTAGTATTGATGTTCGTTCTATGTGGACATTTTGATTTAGTCATGATTTGGTTCTATACCATGTTATTCTTATTAACCATTTCGTGGTCTACTTTCCTTGTATGTATTATTCACAGGTTTCCAAATTGAAAATTCTTTCTTTCCAATCAATCGTAGATTACATTAATAGGTATGTTCTCTTCTGCTTTTGTATCAACGGTATTACTCTCGATAACTCTATCATACATGATCTATCCACTCATATTGGTATGATACATACAGGCATTGTTGCTAATGTAAATGAACTCTAGTAAAAAGAACTTCAAAGAGTATGAAAATATTTTACTGTAGTTTTTTTCTTCCTCTTCCTCACTCAGTCAAAGGGAAAAAAAGCACTTTGGAAGATTTTTTACATGTTGGTGCGACTTGTTTACATATTACACCTAACATGTAAAACGGTTGGAAAAAATGTACGTTGTGACTGCTTTTCGTTCATTGTGCACACGGCAGATTTGAAAAATTTCCCTTGTCTATGGTGCGACCCACTCAGCATGAGAAAAAAAAAGAATCTACAATTATCTTTCTTCCTACTTGATACTATCATCAATAACTGCCAAATATGACTAGAACTTCTGTCTTAGCTGATGCTTTAAACGCTATTAACAACGCCGAAAAGACCGGTAAGCGTCAAGTCTTGATCAGACCATCTTCCAAGGTCATCATCAAGTTCTTAACCGTTATGCAAAAGCACGGTTACATTGGTGAATTCGAATACATTGATGATCACAGATCCGGTAAAATTGTTGTTCAATTAAACGGTAGATTAAACAAGTGTGGTGTTATCTCCCCAAGATTTAACGTCAAGATCAACGATATCGAAAGATGGACTGACAACTTATTACCAGCTAGACAATTCGGTTACGTTATTTTAACCACCTCTGCTGGTATCATGGATCACGAAGAAGCTAGAAGAAAGCACGTTTCTGGTAAGATCTTGGGTTTCGTCTACTAAATGTGTTGTATAAAATAAAATCTAATTCACATATTACTTTTGTATTGCATATTTAATAAACATTCACGATATATAATAGCCTGCCTTGTATTGCATTGTAAGTAAGTACTAGTGCGATGATAACTTTGGTTGAAATTTTGACACTAGGGCTGCAGACCTAAACATGCTTTCTAACACGTGATATCTTTTGTAAACTGTATATAATAGCGCGAACGATATTGTTATTGCAGTATGGATTTTCTGCTGCATCTGAAAAATTTTCGAGTGCGCACAGAATTACCAAGCAAGAGCTTCACTGTGAAGCAAGAGGGAAAAAAAACTATTAGTAAAAATAAATTTTACAAACCTTCTTTTAACTATATCTCATAATACAGTAATAGCAAATAAACATGTCTTCTGGTATGTTCAGGATCCATGAACCAAGAGAATGAAGAAAGGGATGAAGGAGTAAACCCAGATGTTGAATTATAATCATTGTAATACCACAACCCATTCATTATGTGAATTGAAAAACTACAATCAGAGATTTACAATTCGACGACAAAGTATACGTCAGGTTACATCCATAATTTTGAAACTAATGTCATTTGATTCAACTATTAAGTAAATCAAGACCAACCAACCAACTCAAACTTGCGATGAGGTTTCTTTTACAAAGTCACAAAGTTTAAGATTAGCATAAAATTCACCTTCAATACACTCAAACATAAGATCATCAAGTTCAAAACTCCTTCGAATCAGAACATCCTAGTATCCTTTGAATCATTCATTTTATTTTCAGTTGATATATACTAACATCTTCTTTTTAGGTTCAGTTAGAGATAACACTCAAGTTTTTGGTGTTGCCCGTATCTTTGCTTCTTTCAACGATACTTTCGTCCACGTTACTGATTTATCCGGTAAGGAAACCATTGCCAGAGTTACTGGTGGTATGAAGGTCAAGGCTGACAGAGATGAATCTTCTCCATACGCTGCCATGTTGGCTGCTCAAGATGTTGCTCAAAAATGTAAAGAAGTCGGTATTACTGCCGTCCACATTAAATTAAGAGCTACCGGTGGTACCAAGACTAAGACCCCAGGTCCAGGTGGTCAATCTGCTTTAAGAGCTTTAGCCAGATCTGGTTTAAGAATTGGTAGAATTGAAGATGTTACCCCAGTTCCATCTGATTCTACTAGAAGAAAGGGTGGTAGAAGAGGTAGAAGATTGTGATTTAAATGGTTGTATCTTGTATTATGTCATGCATCTTTCTATTAATATTAAAATATCAACAACAATAAACAAAACCTTTGTATAATAATTGGAATTATTTTAATTAAATTGTAAATTCGTTCAAAAGAGGATTCCCTGTAGAATAATGAAACATTACTGAAGAGATCGAGCGGGTATTTGGTGTTGCAATTTGTAGACCTTTTACTAGCGGTATTGGCTGCACAAATATCTAGCAGATATCCAGTTGCATGAAGTTTGTTCAATCATAGAACTAATATATGCAAGCTTGATCGCTTGTTGTGGAACTCAAGTAATATACTATCGTAATGGTTCAGCTGCTTTAAGATCAGTGTCAAAAAGCAACATTGTACCAACAGGAATTTGCAAAGTAGTTACGAACTTCTTTCCAAGATGTAGTCGGCTTCCTGGATCACACATTCTCCAAAATCCATCAGCATACAGAATTTTTGATCCCCCTGTTCACAATACAACCGAATATAAAACTGGACAGTTATATTATAAGCATACTGGAACATGAAAATAAAGTTCCAGTACTCTGGTGAACCAGGAGGGCATGTAATCGGCTTAGAATAGAATTTAAGTCTTAACTAGATAGGGTTTCTACTTATGCATCTGCACATTGAGTGGTATGTATGAACTTCCACCAAGAAAAATCTCAACCAGGAATCGTATGACCATATTAGTCGCGTTAGTAATATGCTCTACTTAGGTCGATAAAACAACAACAGTATACTTACTATTTAACCATTAAAAGTGAACAAACTATCGCTTCAGTGACATGGTTGTTATATCCTTTTACTATCCTAAATGGATGCATTGATTCTGAGGTTGTTTATGGCTCAATCTTGGATGTACAGGTCATGGAGAAAGATAAGGAAAAGAAGAGACAATAATTTCGCAATTTGTTGTGGGAGTTTGTCTAAAGGATTTTGTAGGCGAATTTGCTTGGTGCAACTACGTATAATTCAAGAGAGACAAAACAGGAATATAACAAAGTGTACAAGCTTATATGATTGCTTAGCTGTTAATAGTATCAATAATCATCTGCCCAAATGTTTCCCCGAGCAATATCAGAGCTTATCTCTAATACTGGTGCCATATATCTGGCGGGATCCAAACAAATTTATGCTTTCGCAGTTTTCTGTTTCATCGATCGTTTTAATGAATACATTGATTACTTCTGCAGGGTTGTCCTTCTATAGTACATGGAAATTCCTTATCTTCTTTGGAGTGCACTGTAAATACTAACACCTTCTGTTTGTAGAAGTAATATCCATAAGAAATATAGTAACAACTCGGAGTTCACCGGGCGTGGACTTCCGAGTATCAGGTTAAGATGTAAGCCACTCATCCGAAACAAGTCAAAGATAGAGTAAACAAAGAGGAGTTTGATATGTGAATCCTGGGATTTCCCTATATGGGACACAGAATCCATGGTATAAGAGATTAGATAGACCGGGTAGATATAACAATAAGCGGGAAGGACCCTAAACAATGAAGGGAATCTTTTACTTGGTCTAGCGATTTGGCATGGTTTTTATTTTATTTTATTTTTTTTTTTGCTTGTGCATTCCATTACCCAATTTGGCTGCAATTTCCCGCAACAAGGGAAACAACACACCCGCACAACAGTTGCACCCATAGATAAACATGACATGAAACAGAGTATAAATAACACCAAGATTTTAATGTTTTATATGGAAAACTTCAATAGAATCAACCAAAGATGTTCGAAGCTGGTTTAATTGTACTTTTCATTGGAATAACTTTTTTGTTGTCCCATAAACAATGGAGATCCTTGTTGACCAAGACCTTCAAGTCAATTGATAACGAGAAACCTAAACATACAGAAAAAGAAGAAACCAACTCAATTTATGGAAATGGCGACACCCCATTACCTGACCCAACACCGTTAATGATCACACCAGAACAAGTTGAGAACTATGATGATAGACCATGGAGACCCTTCAGGTGGCCATATCATCAAACCATGTCTATTTTCAAATTAGATATAAACCATTGGTTAGATATGGATAAATATTACATTCATTATATCAAAGAAAAGGAAAGAATTTATAAGAAGTTCGGTGGTGATAATTTTGCTAGCTTGCCAGAGGGTATGGACGCTTGTATCGAATTAATGGAATGCGTTGCTGATCAAATGACCAAAAGATATCCCTTGTTATTTACCATGTTACAAGATGATGAAACTGATTGGACCAAGGGAAAGATTATTAGAAATGAAATCACTAAGGAGACCTTAGATATGACCAAACCTTTGAAGGAGCATCCTTTGGTTTATATTTCAAAGTTAGCCAAAGAAGATTTCTATCTTGTTAAGAAAAATCCTAATGACGGATTACACTATCTTGTTGCTATTGGGGTTCCATTCCCTGGTGGATCGTTTAGTGTTGCTGCCAAACTTGGTAAGCATATTGATCAGATTCACGAAGAAGTTCCTTACTACAAGGAAAAGTTAAGAGCATCAATGGAAAGATGGTTTAATAGAATGAAACCTAATGAACCAGTTGAAAGAGCAAGTTGGTATATCACTTGGGATGATAAGTTGAGAGTGAACAATGTTTATCAGTTACCTCAGTTTAGACCAAACTTAGAAGCTGATTTGAAATCAGTTGAGCCTAAACAATACCATGTTAGAGTTGAAAGGCAAACTTTAAGAAGATTACCTAAAACCCAGGCAATTATTTTCACCAACCATCCTACTTTCTATTCGATTGAAGAAATGAAAGATGAACCCATGATTCCAAGTTTAATTAAGAAAATCATATATGAAGCACCTGAGGCAATTCTCAAGTACAAGAATTTTGAAATCTTTAGAGATCATATTGCAAACTATCTTGACTCTTTAATTCAAAGACAAAAGGAATTAGGTATCATAAATGATGAGACCCCTTTAAGAACTCAAAAGTCTTATCCATTTGCTCATTGGGTGAAAACTGATTTTGATTATGTCAATGGTTGGAATAACCCAAGTCCTTCGTATAGTAAGCAACATCGTCATACTGAAGTATTTGATCAAAATGACTTGGCTGATAATGAGTAGATAGCTTATGATATACAATTTATGTCTTTTGTTAACATATAGTAAGGTGTTGCTACTTTTCGCAGCATTTAGTAAAGAATATTTCCGAATTATAATAAAAATCGCAAGTAGTCCAGAACTATCAAAAATCAAACATAAAAAGAATTCCTATTTTTATTTTTGATCTCAATCAATATAGATATCCTCTTGAGAAGAAAATCATTCACTCTCTTGGCTCACATCATCAATAAAGACAAATGATTTCAGAACACATGGTAGCTTATAAAATCAAACTTTAATTGCTTAATAAGCTCATAAATTAGTATAATAGCATGTTAATCCACTCTCTTTCCAAGGAATTTTTGGAAAGTTGTCGATTTATATTATTCTGCACAGTCGTACTAGTTAAAAATTCTCTCTCACTATTCATTTGTTTGTTCACATTGTCCGTTTCAAAACGGCAAAGGAGGGGAGAATCAGAAAAGTCCGGAGCGCACAAAAATTTCATGGCATATTTCAGAGACAACAACAAACACAACCCAAATCTATCACACGTTCTACAGAGTTTCATACAGCAATTCACTAACCGACCAATCAAGCCAACCTAAACGAATTGACACATCACTGACATCCACATGACATTTATAGATCTACTACCTCCCATCTCGATCAAAACAACAATCACGTGTCTCATATGGTACACTGTTTCTTCAATAACATCTCAATTGACCAAGATCATATTGACTAAATTCCCCTACCCTTTGTTTCTATCACAATGTCAGTTCTTGATAGGTGCATCCTTATCTTTACTAGTTATAGTCATTACTAGGAAGTTTCCTCAATCAGCCGAAATTTTCCCCCAAGGTATTGTCCCTACTGATAACTCCAGACCAATATTTCTGGTTTCTGTACTTTTAAAGATTTTACCATTAGGTCTATTTCAATTTGTTGGGAAATTCTTTTCCTTAACTGCCACTTCATTAATTCCATTGGTTACAGTTTCCAGCATCAAGGCATTATCACCAATGTTGATTGTGTTTGGTTATAGAATAATTTACCATGTTATATTTCCATATATTACTTATTTGTCGTTGGCCCCTTTATTGGTTGGAGTTGTATTGATTATAACCTCTGATTCACATACTGGCATATTGACTAGTGAATTGAATACGACTGGGTTGATTTATTGTTTGATAAGTACTATTATCTTTGCTGCTCAAAATATTTATGGCAAACAATTGATTAGCTGGGATAATTCCGATGCTAGCCCTCATAATCCCGCCTCATTAGTATTAAACACCGATTTAACGCGTCCTGGTACGCCTATGGTGGACGATGACAAAACTCACGATGACTATTTTGGTACTTCTAAAGGTAAATTGCCTTTTGTACGACAACGAAACGCGTTATTCCAATTACCCTATTCTACTTCAGATTTAACCTTGAATGAGAAGAAGGAGAATTTTAATTTGAATACCCAATACCAACATACGGTTGAACAAAACAAGACCAATTTTAATCCTTTCGGATATTTTATTGAAAGATTCCAATTAGATAAGGTTGCTAAACCAGATAAATTGACTCTTGTATTATATTGTTCATTAGTTGGGGTTGCCTTTTCTATTAGTGCGTTCGTAATGAACGAACTTCCCAGGATGTATACCCAGTTTACCACTGTTGCTAATTTAGATGAGCTCACAGGGACAGGTCCAATTACCACAATGTCGGAGTTTCTCGTAGTGTTGGTCCTCGTTGTTTTAGACTCATTATCACATTTTATCCAGTCATTATTGGCTTTTCACTTACTTGGTCTGATTCCCGCATTATCATATTCAATTGCATCCATGATGAAAAGAATAGTAATCATAACTGTCAGTATTGTATTTGTAGTAGGAAGTGATAGTAGTGGAAACAAATTGTTTGGAAAAATCTCATCGCAACAAGCGGTAGGACTTGCATTGATTGCAATTGGATTATATTCCTATGATAGATGGGGGTCAAGAAGTTTGAAGCCAAGATAAATACTTTTATATAGAGCAGCTTTTACGTATAGATTATGTTTGGAGGCTAGAATGCCCAGTTGAAATCAAGAATTTGAAAACAAGAAATATCGAAACAAGTTCCACACCTCTCGTAATCAGTCTTTAACCAACCACGCCCGTATTTTCCATGACTACCCTTGTTCCAAAGAACATGACTAGTATACTCTGGTATGCGTTGTAGAGAGCAGCAATCGTAGAAGTTTTAAAGGATAGTTGCCCTACAATAATACACATACGTTGTACAATAGAGAAGAAAAGAATAACAAGCCCGTTACAATTTTTTTTTTTCACTCGATGGTTTTTTTTATAGAAAGCACAATAGTGCGGGTAACCACATATTGGTTCTAACTCTCTCTCTCTCTCTCTCTTTTTTTTTTTTACAACCAACTCTCCTCAGTATACTTTGTTGCTACTTTGTAACTACAATACAATGACTAGATTGATAAATATAATAACAGTATTGTTCAGTTCAGTGCTTGTACTGGCAATTGGATTCCAGGGCCAAATAATTAACATCCCCAAACAGGTAAACGAGTTGTATCATGAAAAGAATGTTGTAGTGGTGAATGGCGACAATTACCCAGCAAGAATTAAAGTTGACTTGTATAATCTTGAATCAGATGAAAAAACTACCTCATTGGTCCAACAAGATTATTCATTCAAATTCCAAGATTTGAAAGCTGGAATATATGAATTAATTGTTAATTCTTATGATTTTGAATTCTATACAAATAGATATAGAATACTTGTCAATGACGAAATAATCTTGGCATTTGAAGATCGTCTTGGTGAGAACTCATATAACAAAACATCAGAAGTTAATATTACAAAAACACCACTAACTATTAATTTCAAATACACCAAGCAATTCTATGAAAATCCACAAGGTTCAATTGGCGATTGGTTCTTGAATGGCCCATTCGGATTCATTTTCAGAAACAGAGTATACACCATTATATTTACTGTCATGATGGGTCTTCTGGTTGCACCATATGTTCTTAAATGGATTAATCCTGAGTTAGCTAAAGAGCTTCAGGAGATCCAAGTTCAAGCATCAAAGCAAACCCTTGAGAAAGCACCAGCACCTTCCAAATCACAACCTCAAGGCAATATAAGAAAACGAAAATAAATAATGCATCTATTCTATATATATACACCTAAATTAAACCTTTACATTCAATTTCATTCCTACGATGTAGTACCTACTAGTTATCCAACCAATAGTTCCTAAAATCCCAAACAAACAACAAAACAATGCAAACATATTATACTGGTGTTTGCTGCCCTCGCCAATGATAGCACCACTTATTGGAATCCCAAATAAGTTACCCGTACTTACAAACAAATATAATAACCCATATCTCAGACCAAATTTGCGTACTGGTGTAATTGTACTTAAACAAACTGGAGTTAAACTTAAGATTGAAGAACTGAAGAATCCTGATACAGATGCAAATACGTAAAGTGCAGAAACAATGTGACCAAATGGTAACCAAATGACAAACATTGATAACGTGAACCCGAAAAGCATGATTATCATAATATTGTAATATCCCAATTTATCTGATAAATATCCTGGAACTAATCTCCCCAATACACCAGTAGCATTGAAAATTGTGATTAATACATATGATTTAGACTCATCCATTCCTTGAGCAATAGCATATGATGCTAAATATGTCAACATGGACAATAGAGAAATCTCTACTGCAAATGTGCCCGCAATACAAAATGCATAAGTAGGATCTAACAATGCTTTGAAATCAAAGAACTCCTTGACTTCACCAAGCATAGTTTTAAATTTTCCATGGCGTTGATCCTCCCTGGTTTCTAATGTACGAGTAACTCTTTCACGACAAAGAAAGATTGAAAATATCATACACCCCAAACAGAAAAACCCAAGAATACGAGTTGACCATACAAATCCAAACTTAGGGTACAACGATTTTAACATAATAGGTACAATAATCCCACCTATAGACCCTCCCATGGTGGCCATCCCAATGGCACTTCCCCGTTTCAAATTAAACCAGTGACTTAAAACACCAATCAAGGGGGTAATATTCAAGGAGTTCCCAATACCAACACAAATAGACAATGACAAAATAAACTGCCACACCGTGGTTGCATTAGCCACCGCCATGAATCCACCAAACATCATTATTGTCCCCACAATCAACGGCCAAGTTGCACCTTTGACATCGAAAAATGGCCCCACTATAACACAGTTGGCAAATGATAATGCTAAATAAATCGAGAAGATCCACGAGACAGTAGATGTAGGGACGTCTGTTAATTGATGAGTAGCAACATAGGTTTGAATCACCCCCATGGAATTTAAAGTTCCGAAATTAGCCACCAATCCAAGAAAAGATCCAAATACTACGGAATACGCACGGAAGCCGCCATCGGGGAAACTATCTTGCTCTTCATGAATTGAAGCTTCTGATATTTGCGATTCTGTACTAACTGTTGCTTCTAAAGTGTTGAGACGGATAACCTCAGCTGTTGAACAAGTTGAAATGGAGGACATTACTGCACGATACGAGATTACACAGAACGAGGACAAAGAAAGATCTTTATATATATTTGTGGGGTCAAAGAAAAGAGTCATAAATGAAAAATTTCTTTGCGCGGGATTTAGACGGAATTTTCGGGAGAATTATTTGCAGCAAATGCCGTGCAAGAATGTAGAATGTTGTTGCAGAACGGCTGCAGAACAGTGCTTAAAAATATTTGTGTAACATCGAAACGGGATCACCATTCCGACTATTGCACTGTTTACACGACAAATTTCACATCTGTTTTTATAAAGCAATAACTTGATTAGTATCTATAAAGTATACACATTACCCAAGGAATCACCAACCACTACTTTCAATGAACCTCTAATTAGCTTATCATCAACATCAACGTCAGAAACTTTAAACAAATTGAACGTAGTTATATCTCCATTAATTCGTAAATCCACATAATCCAAACCTCGTAAACTCCAACCATCCTCCAGGACAAGCTCCCATAATTGCACTGATTTCAGTTTTGCCATGGCAAATATTTCATTTGACCAGTAAACATGGTTATTTAAAATCAGCGATTTCCCAGTATCCACCATGGGATCATTAACTGAACCAAATCCAATAGCAGTGATTGAATCGCCAGCATCTAAAGTATCCTCCATTACTTCTTTTTGTAATATTAATTCTCCGTTGATGGTGTAGATTCGAAGTATGTTTCTATTTTCTTTAAAATGGATAGTTGCAAAATTCCCAGTATCATTAGAAATTGCAATCAAACTTCTGGTACAATTCCTTAATGGCGGTACAATCTTCCTTATAAATTTAAATCGAGTTAAATCCCAAAGAATAACAATACCATCTTCATCCAAACTAGCACCATACTTAAAGCTCTTATTATAACATATTTTGACAATTGAAGATAAATGGCCTCGTAAAACAGCTTGAAATTGCAACGAAGCAAAAGGCACTAATTCACATTTCCAAACATAAATTATCCCGTCTTCTCCACCAGTTAAAAATAACTGATGTCCAATTTGTACTATGCTTGTAATATTGTTCAGATGCATGTTCAACATTGGAGTCTTGTTAATTATAAGTGAACCACTATCAAATTTAAACCCATTTGCTTTTCGAATCATCAAATCATCCTCCCATGAGAAACATTTAGGTCTACCTATCCACTTCTTACCATTGGTTTCAAGCTTATCAATTGGTAATTTCAATTTATGTTCATATACCAACTTGGGAACATCATTTAAAGGAGTCAAGTAGAAGTTTGGTAAATTAAGCACATCTTTCATAGGGTGGGGTTTTGTGAATACTTTTATAGGAGTCTGTCCAAAATTATTAATCATACCAATCACAGCTTTCTTTTCCATTTCATCATGAATATTATCTAAGTCAATTGCACCGTGATACGAGGAGTGATGGAAAACATTCAACAGTCTGACAGCTTCAACCCCACTTTGTTTATAACCGAATACCAAATCAATCCATAAGTGTAAATTAGCACTTACATAAGGGCTTTCCAATGCTTGTCTGTGATTTTCAATGAATATCTTAGGATCGTTATTAGCCCAAGGTGGTAATTTAACATCATGCGAAGATTCACCAGTTTGCAATTTCCCAAATTCGAAATTATTGCTATTGGTCAAGAATTCAGGGAGGTAGAAGAACTCAGGGGTTAATTCTCGAACATCAGTAGTATTGTCTCTTGACGCAGATAACCATGCCTTTTCAATTGAATTAAATAATCGATCAGCATGGTCAAATTTACCTCCCTGTAATAAAAGATACGATTGAACATAAGGTTTCAATCTAATTAGAAATGATGAAACAATCATGGCTGATGAATAATGAGTGCCATAATGGAAAGCAGGTGCATTGTGATCATGTAAACTGTCTAATGCTTCAAATCTTTCTTGAAATTCATGAGCTCGCGCTGGAGTTTGGGCACCCATTGGTTTAGACAAATCTCTAAATGTTTTTGGATTAGATAGATCTAATGTTTCACTAGTATAGTCGGCTAGAACCCAAGGAAATACCGGATACTGTGTTAAATCATTAAATGTTCGTCCAGCCAACGTGTTTATAATCATTAGATAATAGAAATTTGACATTTCACCCATTCTCCATAATTTAGTAGCAGCAATGAAATTCATATTTGGTGGAGTAAATGCTGAAACAAGTTTCGACGTGAGCGATGTACCGCTATTTACTGACAACATTGATGAACTTCTCGATATCGATGAATTCAAAGCTTGCATTAAATCAAAATCAATTCCTTTACCCGTGGCAAATGTATGGAGTTTATTGTAAATCACATCTCGGTCCTTGGGTGTAAGACAAGTTATCAATATACTTGCACCATCATTAAAGAACATTTCCAAAGCAATATCTCTCAATAGAAACTGCCTTTTGGAAATGCAACTTATATTATCCAACAGCCAATGCTTACTTCTGTGAGAAACATTCTTATTTAAAATTTCGCTGGATTGAGAATTAACTAATTGTAAGATAGGATCGCGTAATTCCTCGGGAGCTTCCTCAACATCGATAACATTACCATCCTGACAATGGAAGTAATTTTCAATAAGATATAAATGTTTAGTTCCTAGAATCATTAAACTCTCAATTGGCACAAGTCCATTAATTTGACTGATATTATAAAGCGCCACTATTTGATCGCCCACAAATAAACTTCGTATAACTTTCCGATTTTTATCTTCATAAGCATTGTTATCGTCTTTGGTATCGCGATCAATAATTTCAAAGGAGTCTTCACTATCGTCACGAGAAAGACTTATTGTGTCTAGCCCACTAACGACAGCATCATATTCGTTAATGTCATAGAAGCTGGCACTAACACTAGTAGTGCTATCAATCTTTTTCAATGGGATTGTTATATTATAGGAAAGCTTTTCCGAATCAGCCAATTGATCTTCAATAATTAATCGTTTTCTCATTCTGTCAGAATTTTCAATATAATCCACAAGATAACTCGATTCGGTTTCTTCGAATAATCTTGCAATCTCAATTTTAATGCTATGATAATTTGTAATATAAAATTGAATGTTTTCTTGATGATCTTGAATCAATCGGTTAAATTTGGTCAACTCGATTCTAAATGTCAGTACTTTTAACAGTTCGCAGTCTTTTTCAAAACTCTTGATATAGATACTATTCATTCGTCCTAATTTTCCACCGTCATTCAAACTAACACTAATCATATCAGCTAATCTGAGAGGTTCCGTTTGGCTAAATTTTTCTCGAATGACAGCAGCTTCTCTGGTTATACTCTTGACAAATGGTGGATATTTATGTAATCTCGAAAATGTCTCATCATCATTTTTTGTAATCAAGTTTGCAAATAATTCATTCACAAATTGTTTATCAGAATTAAACTTATCAATTATATGTTCAAAATCATTCTGCCTAAACAAATAACAGGTACGAATAAATGTAAATGGTATTTCTAAAGCAGGTTGTTCTCTGCTGAGAATAACACCAAGGATCAACTTTATGATTGAACCAAGTTGATTATTATCCAATACTTCCTCGTGGAAAATTGTTGTTTGTCTATAAAGTAAAGACTTCAAAGAAGCTTCAAAATTTTCATATCCCAGTGGAACCACCTCACACTCTTCGGCCATTTTTAAAAACTTGAGGACGATATTCTCACCCAAGACTTGCTTCAACTTGAAAAGATTGTTGTTGCTACCTTCAATAACTAAAATTATGCATAATATGAAGCTATCTAAATCTTTCTGATTCACAGTGTAGTTTTCATGTAAAAGTTCTTCCTCGTAATAATTCAAAAACTGGATTACATTGTGATAAAACTGTTTTTCATTAAACACAAATTTAGCGCTGGTCAAATACTGGTTAATATGATCGAAAATCTTGGGAAACACAAAGCATAATAATAGCTTCTTAGTATATTCACTTAAATTATCAAAATGGACATGATCAAGATTAATGATATAAAAATTTGCCAAAACATCAACTAATTTTTCAAAACTTGCTTGCATTTCAATATCATTCCACAGAATTGATAATTTAAGATATCCTAATAATTCAACAATACCCTCAAGAAAATCCCTACTTAAATAAAACTTCTGGATTGATGGAACCTTTTCAAATCCTAAACTTAGAGAATCGAGATATTGGTTTATTAAATGTAAAACTTTTAGTGATAATGTGGTATTCTCTTGTGATGTGGATGTCATTGGTGTTGCTGGATTACTTCCTAATAATTTGCCAGCTTTCAAATTTAAAGTATACATTGAATTCAACACTAGGTTATTAAGCAATATTAAAAACTCCGGCATGAAAAGCTGGTTCAAATCCAGCAAATTGCAATGTATAGCTTCTACCAAATCATTACAACTTTTCCCAGTATCTATTCCAAACGCGGCAAGAAATATCGAACATAGTATTTCATCATTATCCCAAAGATCCTTTAAAAACACAGTTAAAATGTCTAAACCATGATTGACTTGAAAAAATTTCTTGATTATGGGTGTACCTAAAAGTTTGAGTAATTTTGTAAGTAGACGAATTCCACACTGTGAAACTCGATTGGTGTCATCATCATATTTGAATAATAACAATATCCAATGTATAGTAACTGATCTTGAAAATTTCTTTAGTGTTTTGATAGGGGTATTTACATCACATAAACATTCGGTTAATGCTTCGAGGGTTATAATTGCACATTCATTTGAACTATCAGGATTGTACAATGCATATATGATGTATGAAGTAATTGATTTAATGGAGTCTACTGAACCATCAGTGCTTATCAAACATGATATTAGCTTTGAAAACTGATTTTTTAACAGACCAGTTAGTTGAGACTCCAGAACATTCAGTTTCAAGAATTGTATTAATTTCCTTAAAAGTTTCATCTTGTGTAATTCTCCATAATTTAATTTCTTGTATTTGCAACTTAATAACTCCTGAATATGAAACAATAAGAATTCAAATGATTCGGTCCCATAGAACAAATCAAATTGAAGTATTAGATGTTTATAACTTAAAGGATTGATAATTATTGAGTCATATGGGTTTATAAAATCATAACCGGAAAACTTTAACAACATATAAAGAACATTCTCACCTTCAAATCCTTCAAGCACATTAAAATTAAGACTGTTGTTCTTTTCTTTATATTTTGTCAACAAAATCGATAGTATTCCATACCCATTGAAGTTTTCAAATTCTTTACTTAATCTCCAATTGTTACTAATGGAAGTTAACAATAATGATAATGATTTCTGTAGTATGGTACTAGCTAGTACCGATGAATTGCCATCAATTGTAGTCTCAATAAGTCGCACAAGCAATCCTGTTCCACCAATACCATAAAATGCATCATGAATAGAATTTGAATTATGGAAATATATCGAGTTAGCTCTGGTACTTAATCTAGTTGTTCTCTGCTGAATTTGCAACATTTGGAAATATTCATGGGTATCAAACAAGAAATTATCTTGATTAAGTCTACTTAATGAATTGATAATTGTCATTTTATTAGTAGCTTGATCCTCCATGTTTCTTTTTTGCTCCATGACCAATTTATCTCGCTGAGTTGGAGCAACTTTAAACAAGTGTGAATTGGATTTTTGGTGTTTTAATTCTTCAAATTTAATAGCAACATTAGATAATCCTCGATAATTCAAATGATTTAATAAATTCAGCAAACTTTCACTGGTAAATTCCTTGAAATCCCACTCATAGCCTAGTCCCAAGTTATATAAAAGGTTAATCCATTCGTATGATAATGCCGTGTTTAACAATGTAAAGTTCTTAATTAGCAATTCATCATTACTTATTACTAGTTTGTCATCAATTTCATCCCCAATATAGATTTTATTCCAACTTGAAAGTACTTTATGTATTTCAGGACACGGTATTGACTCGCTATATTCTCCATCAATAAATAAGTTTAAATTCGCATTATGATCGTAAGTTAAAGCTAAATGGGTATATCCTTGATTATTGGAATTGGAAGACGTAGTTAATTTCTGATTAAAGGGATAATGGATGGTGGAGCCATCAGAATTTATAACTTGGACAATAAATTGGTCGTAATTTGACAACTTGACCTTTAATGTAGAGGCTCTACTTCCATTTGAACTGGTTAGTACAAATAATGTGATTGGATCTTCATTTTGATGTAGTTGATGGTGAACTCTGAACCAAGATTGGATGGAAAACACCTTCTTCAATATGTCATTGACAAAAGGGAAACTTGTTTGTTTGTTGAAAAGAACAAACTTGAAATGGCATGGGTACTTTGTGAATATTTGTTGTAGTAATTCAAGTGATACTAACTTGGCATATAAATTTCCAGATACTAAAGGAATAAACAATTTCCGAACATGGACGACATCACAACCCAATCCGCAAAATTCAATGATCAACCTCATGTATTGACTTAATAATGAGGGTTTTCGTATTAGCGAAGTTGTACTTTTGTTTCTGGGGAGTTTATTTAGATAAGGAAGAAAACATTCATCAATAACATAGTCAAGCACCCCATTCCTGTATAGCTGAATCTTTGAACAATACAATAATGAAATAACATACAACAAAACTTCATATATAATGACCTTAAAATCGTGATACTCGCCATCATCCAACTCTTGTATATCTTCAAATAGTTTTCTAAACAAGTCTGTTCCTTCTTGTGTTGTATCCTCAACAAGGTCAACTATAACATTATGGGAAATTGCATAAGTCAATCCACTAAAATCTTCTAGCTTGTCGGCCAATTCAACTTGCCAATTAAGCAACAACTCTTCATCAATGGTAAAATTAGGTAATGCTTTGATTAGATGCTGGATAACTAAAGCTTCGCGATCTTCTTTAGTGATGGAGCTCATATCTGTCCCTAACAGTTACACTCAATTGATCAGGAAAACAGTTATTATTTTTGTAGTTACACGTTTTTGACTGTTGCAAGTTTCTTCTGTTGTAAAGTCTGGGGTGTTGTAAGGAGTTCTAGTTTTTTTTTCCCTCTATACGATAAGATCGAATCACGTGATCAAGCAAGCAACTGAGCCAGCAGGATTGCAAACTAGAAGGTTGCAAACAGTAGGCAAGTTACTAATCTAGAGTTATCATAGAAAATACAAAGATTAACAGTATATGCTCATTAAATTCTTAGACTATACAGCCCCATCATAAAGATCACCATCCGATTCCTCCAAATTAATAGGCGAGGAAGTAACCTCTTGTCTACCATTACTTTTAATTTGAATCAACTTACTATTATTGTTCCCCTTGGAGATTAATCTCTGTTTGCGAACATTATCATTATCATCACTCTCTTCTTCTGAAGTTTCTTCTTCCTCTTCCTCTTCTTCGGAAGAATCAAGTTGCTCCTCGTCAAGATTAAACTGAGCATTTCTCTTTTTCCGACTTTCCAACTCTTTATCCAATTCAATTTGTTTAATCAAGTTTGATTCAAATTCACCATATTGTTTAATTTGTTCGGCAATCACATCAATACTAGCTTGTCGATTAACCAATTCCTGGTTATATTGATCGCGGCCCTTCTCAAGCATATAATTTAGTTTTTCACTACCTAAAAATTCATTGGTGCTTCTCCTTCTATAGAATAAAAGATAGGCAGCATTGGTGATTACTTCTTCAGCCAGATCAATTCTGGTAACTCGTGAATCGTTAAAATAGTACCAATTATTATCGCGGAAATTCTTAACCAGGGCAGTGTAATGTCCGCCACCTAACCCACCATAATGATTATCAACGGCAATTAAATCATACACACAATCAGTTTGGATAGGATCACTAACATAGCTCAGAATATCTAATCCATTGATCGGGAAATCAATTAAAATGTCAATCTTGTCACTGAATGCCCGTGCACTATGAAACCTCTTCAAATGGATAGTTAAAATATCACCTGTAGACCAAATTTGAATAGTTTTAGTAGCACGTTTATGTTCTTTACATCTTGGACAATACCACAAATCATGTTCTCCAAGAACTTCAGGGGTACCAAAACTCCGTACACAATCATAAAGGGATATCTTAGCCTTGCGTTGACGTTCAAAATGAGCCCGGTTTTGTTCTAATTCGGGATTTGATAAACTGGGGATTTCATTCCAAGTAGTCAATTCCTCCTCGCCAAAACATCTTTGGAAAATCTCATTATCCCAATCACATAATAATATCGTGTCTTTAGTAACAAGAGGTCTTTGTTCATCCTCACCAGAATCTTCAGGAGATCTTGGTGAGTTAACATTGGACGGGATTGTGGATTCGGACCCTGGAGCTAAGGGTAAGTTTGCTGTAGAGTCAAATAAACTACCCACGGCCATTTCATTTTCGGTTTCCTCCTCCTCCTCTTCTTCATCATCAACAGCCACTTCGGCACTCAATTGCTCTTCAACCAGCTCAGATACCGATGGCGGAATGATAGGCACAACTGGAGGAACATTAACTTTAGGATCAACCATCACAAATTCTTCGTCGGTTGTTGAAGAATCTTCTGATTCAGCAGCCACAGCATCCTCCTCATCTGCCTTGTCGGTTTCTTCTTGTACTTCCTCACTGGCATTAACAACTTTCAGATGATGGTAATAGTTCCGCTTATTTTCAGGTAATTGATCTGCCAAGGATTTAAATTCGTGGAAGTTAGGCTTGTGCAATGGAACATTAATGGTCAATCCTTGGCTATTGTCATTTTCATTCTTGCTCTTGGAAAACTTGCTTCTGAAATAAGACAGCGACGTCAACTTATGGCTATTATAATCATGAATATACATCATGGTGAACCCGAAATCGCCATCAACATAGGGATTGGCAAGTGATACATCGGAATCATATCCCTCTGATTCTTCTCCGTCTGAAATTGATGCCACATCGGTAAAGTCGTGCTTGTTATAATATTCCTTGGCGATATATCCTGGCTTACTTTGTTTGATGGTTTCATATTCATCTACTAAATCAACAGTAGTCAAAACACTGGCAACTTCAACCAATTTCTTACGAACTTGTCCAAAACTAATGGCCTCTTTCTCCTTATTTAACACGACAAACAATGGGATACCGAAAATGTTAGTAACTTTATACGATTTATCCGCATTTTCCACAGCATTGAAGACAGGAACAATAATATCAGACTCTGGGTCATGAGGAATTATATAAACTATAATTTCGTCATTATCACGAATAATATCACCTATAGGATGGAATCTATTTTTGATATAATCCCGTTGAAAATCACTATAGAATGAATTATGGAAAATTTCATAAATAAATAAATTGGTAGTTGGAGTTTTAAGGAAATTGCCCAAGTAATTCAACAAATCATCAAAATTCGATGTTTTATTCAACTCAACTTCCAACTTCATGATTCGGGTACCAGTCTTGGTTTCAGCCGGTGACAAATCCACAATTGTAAAGGTATGATACCATTTCTTGCTTATTGGTAATGGCAAAGTCAAATCATTAAATGGATCAAACGTGATTGAAGTCTTTGAACAATCGGGACAAACTAAGGTGGATTGATATAACCCAGTAAACAAATCGGTAATTACTGAATCATTTCTTGCCAAATGTTGATTCCAACAAGTTTTGGAAAGTTCGATAATCGCCTTGGAATCATTAATTTCATCATCATTCAATTCTGGTTTTTCACAATATGGTTTCTCGTGGATACGATTAAGATCTTCATGTAATGCATCTAATAACCAACTTAAAAATTCTTGAGAATCTTGTTGCAAATACCCGGAAAACATGGATGAATATCTTCCAATTGTAGATTTAAAATCTCGTGGTGAAATACTTCCACTGCCACTACCACGTTTATCAAATGCTTGCTTTAACAATGAGCCAAATGAATTGGCAACATTACCATGATATCCCAATGGATTATTGACATTCAATTCTTGCTTATAAATGTTGTAATAAAAATAAAAGTTGATTTCCGGTACGTGTAACAAACATTGTAATGCTGAGTTCATATAACATGTGTTTCCCAAATTAGATAAACCTAAATGACCACCAGAGGTGGATGTAGAAGCTGCACCTGCTGCAGTTGTAACCGCATTGCTATGTGATAATACAAACTGGTCAAGAGGGAAATGGTTCCTTTCTTTAACTTCAATCAATATATCGTATGTTCCTTTAGTAATACCTTGAGATTTAATAGTCAGGCCAAATAACGAATGAGTCACCAACGATTTTTGACCAATTTCATATACAAATGCAGAAATTGGGATATGGAAAGGTAATGAGTCTTCATCAATAAACCAAATTCTAAAATCGGAAATTATTGACTTCTTGGATGTTTTGAATATGTTGGTTCGGATAGTTTCAATAAGATCATTAAATGTTTTTGTTCGTGAAAGGGCAATTGGAACAGGGGGAGGAGGGGGTGGTGGAGCCTGAGGGCGGTGTGAACTTCTGAAATGTGATGTGATATGTTGTTGTCTCTTAGGAGAACCTAATTGATGCACCAAAAAGGTAACTGGGTATCGTTCAACTTCTTTAGCACCAGTGTCAGAATTTATAATTAAATTTCTTGACACTGGATTACCAACAACTCCCATCCAACTTGACAAATGTTCAAAGATTTCCTTGGAAATATTGTAGGTGGGGATCGGTTCATTGTTTTCTGGGTACAAGTTACCAAGAGAATCAACAATAGATGTACAATTAATAGGGCCCAACTGCTGTTTCAATTCGTACAAGTTGTCAACAGGTAAGTTTAAAAACTTGGTGAGGTATTCGCTTGATATCAAGTAGAATTCATCTCCTTCTTTGCCGGTATTTCTATTATCAAGAAGAAGTTCGTTAATGAGTTGACGTTTCTCAGTGAGGTCATCAAAGTGATTGAGGTCTGTGCTATCCTGATCCGAAGTGGCGGATGGTTGTTGCTGCTCCAATGTTAGTTCAGACGATTGTTGTAGATTTTCTTTGATTGATTGGATAGCAGTTTGAATATCTGTGTTGGATTCATGAGAATTGGTTAAAACTTGATCATTTGTCTGGTTGAATGTCATGCCGGAGGAGACTGTTAGTATCAATAGAAGCTTGAGTAAATATAAACTTGATTGATTCGTTAATGTATTATGATAATCTGAAGTCTTGAATTATACCATAAGTCAAAAAAAAGTTACGATGGATAACGTGGGACTTTGGTGACAAAAAAATTTAGCCGTTGTACTTGATAGAATCGATTTGGAGAATCAGGGTCAATGTATGTTTTGAGTTTTTATTTTTATTTTTTTTTTTTTTTTGCTTTTTTGCTCTGTCAAAAGTCAAGAACTAATTGATATTTTGGTACTCCCCGTTGCAAAAATTTATCAGGTGGTGTTTGGTGATGTTTGACCAAGTGGCAATAATTAAAAAAAAAGCGAGATACAAACTGAGCATGAGAACTGTGGGTAAAATAATTTTGTGGAATCAAGGAACAAAGATATCCTACAAAAGAATACAACTGCTCCAGGAAGCAACAAGCAGATATATTAATACCGAGGTTTAAACTATTTAACTATTCTACATAACCCCTTCTTTGCTTCTTCTTTTAGATATTTCTATAGCATCACGTAATAGTTCAAGTGAGATATCACCATCACCACCATTAATCAAACTAATCCGATTGATGCTGCCAGTTTTATTAGTAATGATTGACATTCGAGATAATATGGCCAGTTCTTCTTCTTGTCCTTGCAAATCGGTCAACAAAATTGATTCATCATTGTTGTCTGGGCTCTTAACAATACCATAGTTGCTACTAATTGAACCTTCTTTAATATTTAACTCAATTGAATAGTAGTGTTGCTTGTTGGCAGTATCAATGTTAAGCTCAGCTTTATTAGTAGAAATTAAACCTCTCGTGGTTGATTTCTTCAGTTTAACTGACACTTTAGTTTGAATGGAATCCATAATGTACAACCTTGGCAATTTCAACTTTTGTAATGCATCAACACATGACAAGTAGCACAAGTCGAATAATGAATTGGTACTGGTATGCTTGGAGTAGACCTTGATTGAAGATAATATCACAAATGAATACGACTTTTCATGTTCGGATTGTGGTATATAATCTGCCTCTTGTAAATCAGGGTAATAAATAGTTTCACCATCTTCTTCTTTAATACCCAATCCAATAGGTTTAACTTGTAAGCTTTCATTGGGAATCAATTTGGAATGATAAATAGTCTCATATAAATCTTGGCCAAGAATCATTTCTTCATCGGTTGGTGCCCCGCCCATTCTGCCTCGTAATATTTCAACTACAGGATAAACTGTTCCGTACTTGTCTTTATCCTGACCATAATTTTCAACAACTCCCAATGTCAATGTATTTATGATTGTGGTTGGCCCGCTCTTAACAATGGAAGAAGCAAATATATTGTTGTAATTTTCTTGCAATTGCTGATTATTAGATTTAATATCAATGGAATTGAATTCAGTGAAATTACGCAAATTCGGTCTTATTCCAAGCGACAAATGTCTTTCTAATGAAACATCGGGTGCTATTCTCGCCAAAACATCCGGTGGAAACGACACTTGTTTTAAGTCTGCTGATGACATTGTTAGTCCTTGCTCTTAAGTAGCCTGTCTTACCTGACTCGAAAAACTTCAAACATAATTTCTCAATGAGATGGATTCTTGTATCACGTGATTATATTCACAATGTTGTCGCTACCATATTTTGCACCTCAATATCGGATGATATAACGGGGCGTCCAGTAGGACCACTTACATATTCCTTGTGGATACGCACCGTATCTGGCCATAACAATAACTAACCACCATTGCTTATGTGTTATGGTCAGTATATTTAGGGTTCTTGTTTAGTATCTAACTCAATACCAAAAAAAAAAAAATAACTTGCATATTGCAAATCAGAGAATATGGTACTTATTGTACAGTCAACCTGAGGCTCTGGTAACACATATCAATTCATAACTATAAAAGTATAAATAATCTATATATGAGTAGCTACAAGATTAGGCATACCCCAACAAGAGAACCCCAAAGGTTTAGCTAAATAACACAACCCTTCGGTTTCTATACCATCATATCCTTCACTTCTGTCCCAAGTAGTGCCAATAATATTGCTGGTTGGGAAAATTGCACCTTGCTTGAACACCATAGATTTAGCAAATAAAACCGCCCCACCAACAGAATCCAATGGGAATTTATACGTTAAATCTCCTTTATGTTTTACAAGATCTTTTTTTAAGAAAGTTGAAAAATGATAAATCTGGTCATTAACATCGTGAGGAACGTAATCCCAATCATTCCATTTTCCGGCATCCATTAAATCTAATTGTTTTTGCGTTGGTTTGGTACGTTGTCCCCTCCAGGAGTTCTTATCATAATCTTTTATACCACCGGCAGTGTCGACACGGGGTACCACGATATCTTTATCTGATTCAACAAAATATTCCACCATATTCTCAGTCAAGGAAATCATATCAGCATCCATAAAGAAAATATATTGCTCGTTTTTCAATGCAGTGGTCCAAAGGAAATTTCTTGATTTTGCAATTAATCTTCTTCTCAAACGTTGAAGTTTAGGGTTGTGTCTGTTTCCACGAGATAATCCAATTTGATCTTCCAACTTGGGAGCAGACACCAATATGATTCTTGATAGTATAGGTTCTAAGCTATCCTGGACCAGATCAATGGCGTTCTTGATCACCAGGAACTCGTTTTCATCATTGCATTGAACTCCAAGAGAAAATTCATATTTGGAACTGTCTCTTACATTAACAATACTACGAACAACATCCAAGAATTTCAGGAAATCACGGTCCCCGCCATATGACTTGCCACTGCCAATGGACGAAAGTATTAAGACACTGTGCTTGTTGTTATCGCTAGATTCCTTCTCGTATACCACTGTGGAAACTTGGAATGCTTTGTCTTGATGTTCAATTTTTTTATATGTCAGTTGTGACTGGGAAAATGATAGTTGCTGGGTGATACTATGACCGATGGACTTGAGGTTGGATGAATTACCTTGGGAGTATGGGATTACCATGAGTGTTACCACCGCGATCAATATTACTACAACCAAGGCAGGGATCCGCTTGGAACGGGCGAACGACATTTTCTTATATGTGTTGTAATAAGTTGTACGCAAAAGTTCACCTTGGTATTTATAGAACCTTGGTTATGGAAACACCACAGAGAACCTAATTGCTGTAGAATCGAATTTTTATTCACATAACTAAATTTTTGATTTTGGAAGACAATGTAACATACACATACACACAAGAAAAAACATTTCATTGATTGCTATGATAAGCCTACATGTTGCCTATAATAATTGGTTTACTTGTATGACAAGTTTATGTGTTACAACAAGAGACATACTTATCTCAAACACAGAATTTGTGTATAAGTTTTATTAATGGAACGCCTGTGTTGCTTTAGTTTAAAAAGTACAAGTAAAATATTACTTAATCAAATACAAATGACGTTTTACATTTTACAATTTATTGTTTTTATATTTTCGAGCCACATCCACGAAATTTATATCCTACATTTGCAACAAAGACATTCCCAACGTAAAAATTAGAATGTGATGATATCATAAATATGCCAAGTCGTTAAAGTCGAATCCTTCTTTTTTTGTTTCTTTTTTTTTCTTTGGTTCCAATAAAATCAAGTAGCATTGATTCTTCAGATAGCACATGTGTTCTTTTTGGAAATTTTTGGAAATTTTCAAAGCCTGCTTTTTTTTATATTTTTAAGATTTATCTAATATACGACTCTTGTTCCCAAATTTAGGAAAGCTCAGAAATTTGCCTTACTTGAGTTAAACTTTTGTAATGCAATTCACAAAATCAAATCAGATAATTTTAGCAACACTGCCTGCGTCAAGAAAGTTTAAATGTTGGGAAAAGCAAGCGGGATTTGCCGAAGCTATCGGCTAAAATTGCATGCCTTGAAAATCTCGCCAGTCAATTATTTTAAAACAAAAAAATCGGAATCAGATGTATTTTTAATGTATAAACAGAAGTACATCTTCTGTGCAGAAACTTGCATTGGAACAATTAAGGTAATGCACATTAGTATAGAGTAGTCTTGTACAAAAAGCTAGTATTTGAGTTGTTTCTTTGGATTGAAGTTGAAGCAGTCATTAAAAATGGATAGAAGTAATTGTAAAGTTTTCTTAATAACAGTGTCATATGGTGTTAACCACAACTAACCAGTTTCCTTAATAAGTAATTCGAGAATTTATTTGCTGTGATGATTTTAAAGCATTAAGGCCTATTTCTCGAGTCCAGATCCACAATCTTAAGCAGACTTGACGAAAGTATAAGTGGTACCATTGGCGTAATCTTCAAATTAGATTTTTCATTTTGGTTTTGATGCTTTAAGATATACGAGAAATCACAGGTAAAGTTAATCTGGTGAGTTTTTATTTTTCATTATCCAAGCCGTCTTTACTTATTTCTTCACCTGAAAATATTCAGTTGCATTTGATGGAAATATTTCAAGTTAATGGATGCTGCAGTTAACTATCCTGGAGTCGTTCTCTTTCTCTATAAGAACAGCCTGATGAAATAACGATATTTGACCTTAGAAGTAATCAATGCTTTCTGCATTGGAATTTTGGCCCATTTTCAAGAACTCATTAGTCCAGGGTCTTTTGAAGTCACGCATATCCGTGATATTCTTATTTCAACCTAAAGAGATGGTCAGGCTTCATGTAGAGACATAACTTCCCTCTATCAATAAATATAGATGGAATGTTTCCTAATGATAAGTTGAGTAGCTCTCTCAATGTTTCAATCCATCTTTGAGTCCAATATCACAGAACTGCCAACTACTAATTTTGCCATCCACTTCCAACTTTTCAATTCAGTAAGAATGATGTGTCATCTTAGTCAATACCAACGTGGTATATACATGCATCCATGCACCTTTACCAATGAATACGAATATACCAACACCTGTTCACTAGCAAGTTAATTTGGAATTCTCGTTCAACCCATTCTAAATTCCTAGAAATGGAAATAAGTTGTGTATTGATATCCCTGGGCAGATTTAGGTTTTCTTGGCGAATAAAAATGGCATCCTAATGCAATTTGACTAATGCTAGAGGGGAAGTTTTTTTTTTTTCGTTACCCTGTTGGTATCCTTTGTTGGGCTCCTATTTCATGTTAGCTCGTTGATCAATTGTTAATACTACAACCGATTACGCAGTAGAGTAATTGTAATTTCTTGGATTTGGCTAGACACGGAGTGAAAGCGGAATTCAAATTAAGGCTTTTCTAAAAATTAATGTATTTCTTGTAATAGTTTGCAATTGTCTAATTTCTATCCACAGTTTCATTTATCTAGTCTTGGCATATCAAGTGTTAATGTTCGGTCTGTGGCCATAATGTGTTCTTTTTCTTTTTTTGCAAATGTATAACATCAATGAGGGATACTCCAGATAAATATGAACTAAAAAATCAAAATACCGTATAAAGGAGGCTTAGTGAATTTATGGATTTGTAAACTCTTTGTTGCAGAAGCTTCAGATTATTACTTCTCAAAGAGAAATAAAAAAATACATTATAGCAAATTGTACAAACACTGTTCTATAGTCCTTCAATAGAAAATTATGGTGAGTATTTCATTTGCCATTCTTTCGGTATCGTTCGGGTTAGCCTCTAGGTCCACACTTTGTATTTTGTTGCTGATCACTTTGCAGCCACATTATTTTTTTCACTTTTCTTGGCTGTTTGCATCCACAACTTTCAACTCAATGTTTTAAATTAGCCTCATCCACGGTCGCAACTACAGTTGCAAATCATGCCAAGGCCATTATATACTTGGTTTGGGGTCAATTGAAGACCTATAAATACTTGATCGTTTATCCTTATGTCTATATCATTTAATAACAGCAATAACCATGACTTTATCCATCAACTCTTTGGAAAAAAATCCTTCCAGTTCTTTAAAGAAGAATGAAGGATCAATTAAAATTACTTCAGTTGATTCTCACTCATCTTCTGAATCTAATCAGCTAGTTAAAAACCCATTCTTGGATCCAAAGGTGGAAGCTTATTACCGTCAAGTATACTCCGAATGCAACTATGAAAGTTATTCTGCTTTTGATCCTTATTTCACATGGGAACAAGAGGAAGAGAAGAAACTTGTTAGTAAACTCAATTATAGGGTTGCATTTGCTGCTTGTCTTATGTTTGTTAGTTTGCAAATTGATAGAGGAAATTTACAACAGGCAGTCACGGACAATTTATTAGATGATTTAAGTATGAATACCAATGATTACAATTTTGGTAACACCATTTTTAAAATTGCTTTTCTATTGGCTGAGGTGCCTTCCCAATTAATTTCAAAATCATTAGGGCCTGATATATTTATTCCAATTCAAATTTGTTCCTGGAGTATAGTTGCTATGGCACAAGCTGCTCTTTCGGGTAAAACTTCTTTTTTTATTACAAGAGCCTTAATTGGTGCTTTGGAAGGAGGATTCATTGCTGATTTAGTATTATGGCTAAGTTACTTCTTCACCAGTAAGGAATTGCCAGTGAGATTATCTTGGTTCTGGACTACTTTGTCATTGGTTGGTATTTTCACATCACTTTTAGCATTTGGGTTATTAAGAATGAGAGGTATTCTAGGTTGGGCTGGTTGGAGATGGTTATTTCTCATAGAAGGATTAGTCACTTTGCTCATTGGTATTGGTTCTTTCTATATGATGGTTCCTTCGGCTGTACAAACTAAAAATTGGATGCATCCAAAAGGTTGGTTTACTGATCGTGAGGTAAAGATTGTTGTCAATAGAATTCTTAGAGATGATCCATCCAAGGGAACAATGCATAATCGTCAAGGCTTGTCTTTGAAAATGTTGTTTAAATCATTTTACGATTTCGATATTTGGCCAATATTTGCTATAGGTTTAATAGCATATATTGGTCAACTGACATTCGGATACTATTTTGGGTTAATTAATAGAAAACTAGGGTTTAATGTATTTGATACCAATTTGTTAGCAATTCCTTATCAAGTTCTTCATATCATCCTACTATTGGTCATAACGTGGTTTTCTGAAAGAGTAAGCGAAAGATCTTTGGTTTGTATGATTGCACCTTTTTTTGCAACCCCTTTAATTGCTGTGATTAGATGGTGGCCAGGTTCTGGAAAAGAAGTTTGGCCAACATGGGTTTTAAATACCTTATACTTGGGTCAACCTTATATACATGCAATTTGTGTTGCTTGGGTTTCCAGAAACTCCAATTCCGTACGCACTAGGTCCATTTCATCAGCTCTTTACAATATGTTTGTGCAATTGGGAGGAATACTTGGGTCAAATATATATAGAGAAGATGATTTACCATTGTATCATAGAGGAAATATGCAATTGTTTTGGATTACGCTTGCATTGATTCCTTTGTTGGGATTAACTAAATACTATTACTATTGGAGAAATATGTCAAAAGCTAAAGTATGGAACTCCATGAGTGAAGACGAAAAGGAACATTATCGTAACTATACTAAAGATGAAGGTGCTAGAAGATTAGATTTCGTATTTGCCCATTAGAGAACGTGTCTCGTTTATTTTTGATTTACTGCAGTGGAAATTGTACTAAGCGGGATATTTTTTTTGCTTTTTGCCATACAACCTAAAATGTAATTTACCCAAATAGGATAGTTTATATTTAAATAGAACCGTTAAGGCACGATTGTTTATTTCACAAATAACATTCCCGGCCACTGCACGGCGGCTGTGTCGTAGGAGTGGCTTAAGGGGGGGTAGTGGTTTTGATACCTTTGGATTACAAAGCGGAAACTATGCAGATCGACGGGTTTAACGATACACAAAAGAAACTTTGACTTGAACGCAAAAACCATTTGGTATCTTTTTATGCTTCCAAGCAAGTATATCATGTGTATTACGAGTTCTGACTTATTCATATAATTAACAAAGTTAGTTTGCCTCTCGCGTTCTCTCTCGTTCTTGTTTTCATACAATAAGAATACGATAGTATAGTACTACAATCTAGTAACGCGTGTGATGATTGTTTTTTTTTTGGTTCACTAGAAAAAAAACACCGATGAAAAATAAAGTAGAACAACAGCGGCAAAAACTACAATAAGATACCCCAGAGAACATCTAAATTTAGTCCATCACTTTGTTTTCATCTATAACAGGTTTGACAATAATGCATATTTGTTCTATTAATAATTTGGAGCAACATTCCACTTGCAAAGACCGAATAACACTACTTTTGATCTAACCTCCGCGGTTGCTTTGGTTAACCATCTAACATGACAAAGAGTTTAACTACTTTCGGAGATTTTGCAACTCGGCAAACCGGTTTTAAGAAGATGTACGTTAACCAAATCTGTTTATGTTTTGATTGCTTGATCAGTATATTTTTTGGCATGCAGGAATGGACCCTGCTTATGGAAAGGTGGTAACCAATTTGGATTACTTTTTACCAATATTCCAGTTCTGGTGGTGTTATTGGAAGAATAATAAAACAACTAATTTGACGAATACACATGCAGCCTTCTTTGACTAGATTGAGTTATAAATACTTTGAGTATCCCCAAACTGTTTCCCCTTTGCTTAGGCTTGCTAACCAATAGGTTTTGCAGCAATACAACTACCATTCGTTTAAATGCATTGCTTAATTTTGGTGTACTTGCTATTGCTACTGGTGGTAGAGGGTATATTCCTCCACCACGATGTATGTGATTGTAATATACTTGCTCCTAAATGTCCTGTTATTTTTGGAAAACATGCATTCTTTCAAGGTTATCCGTTATTAAAACAGTTTAAATACAGGGAAATCAAATGGCTTGAAGGCGATTATTATGAAGTTACTGTTGACTTCAGAATTCAGCATAAATACAGTGTTACAGATTTGGTTGACATTAGTTTGACCAACCTTAAAGCTCCAAATGAGAAGGATGGACGTCTCACTCTTTATAACAAACTTGAAGGTATCAATAAAATTCCAGGTAGAGAATATGATTTTTCTGCCAAATGGATTATGGAAGCAAGAACTTATTTGCACAAGTACGCTTGCTCTACTCCATTCAATCTTGAGTACAAATGGTTGAAACATCATGCCAAATACGTCCATGGATGTGGTCTACTCGGTGAAGATGTTCCTATAATGTGTTGGCCAGCTAAGTGCGGTCCAGGAGAAGTTATATTTCCTCCTGATACAACTGTAACTGAAACTGCTACTTTGGAACCAACATTAATAAATGAAGAGACTGAATGTGAAACCACAACTGAAGATTGTGAAACAACTACTGAAGATTGTGAAACTACTGAAGATTATGAAACAACTACTGAAGATTGTGATTGTGAAGAAACTACTGATGCTGGTCCAGGTGCCGAAACTACAACAGATGGTGGCCCAGGTGCCGAAACTACAACAGATGGTGGTCCAGGTGGAAACACTACCGAAGGTCCCGGTGGTGAAACTACTGAAGGTCCAGGTGGTCCAGGAGGTAACACAACTGAAGGTCCAGGTGGTGAAACCACTGAAGGTCCTGGTGGTAACACAACTGATGGTCCCGAGGGTCCTAATGAAACTACTGATGATTGTGAAGAAACTACTGAAGGTCCCGGCGGTGAAACTACTGAAGGTCCAGGTGGTCCAGGGGGTAATACAACAGAAGGTCCAGGTGGCGAAACTACCGAAGGTCCTGGTGGTCCTGGAGGTAATACAACTGAAGGTCCAGGTGGTGAAACCACTGAAGGTCCTGGTGGTAACACAACTGATGGTCCCGAGGGTCCTAATGAAACTACTGATGATTGTGAAGAAACTACTGAAGGTCCCGGCGGTGAAACTACTGAAGGTCCAGGGGGTCCAGGGGGTAATTCAACTGAAGGTCCTGGTGGCGAAACTACCGAAGGTCCTGGTGGTCCTGGTGGTAATACAACTGAAGGTCCCGGCGGTGAAACTACTGAAGGCCCTGGTGGCGAAACTACTGATGATTGTGAAGAAACTACCGACGGTGGTCCTGGCGGTGAACCTACTACTATAACTCCAAATGTTTCTACTGTTGATGGTCCTAATACAACAGATGGTCCTGGTGGTCCTGGTGCAACTGTTGGCCCCAAGACAACAGATGGTCCTGGTGGTCCTGGAGGTAATACAACTGAAGGTCCCGGCGGTGAAACTACTGAAGGCCCTGGTGGCGAAACTACTGATGATTGTGAAGAAACTACCGACGGTGGTCCTGGCGGTGAACCTACTACTATAACTCCAAATGTTTCTACTGTTGATGGTCCTAATACAACAGATGGTCCTGGTGGTCCTGGTGCAACTGTTGGCCCCAAGACAACAGATGGTCCTGGTGGTCCTGGTGCAACTGTTGGCCCCAAGACAACAGATGGTCCTGGAGGTTCCGGTGGAAACACAACAGATGGTCCTGGTGGTCCAGGTGGAAACACTACTGAAGGTCCCGGTGGTCCAGGTGGAAACACAACAGATGGTCCTGGTGGTCCAGGTGGTAACACTACTGATGGTCCTGGAGGTTCCGGTGGAAACACTACCGATGGTCCTGGTGGCCCTAATCAAACTACTGATGATTGTGAAGAAACTATTGATATTGGTCCTGGTGCAACTGTTGGCCCTAATACTACCGATGGTTCTGGTGAAAACCCTACAGATGATTGCGAAACGGAGATGCATTCAACTTTTACAACTGCTTCTTTACCTCCACTAAATCCAACAAAGGGAGGTCAACTACACACTACTGTGTATACCAGTAAATGGGTTACTACTTTCACCTCGGATGACTATACTTATACATCAACTGTTGAAGTTTATTCCACATCGACGTACTACATGCCTAGTGTTGCTCCTACTAGAAGACCACCTCTTTCCCACCAAACTGAATCTCCTCCAGAGATACCTTATGAAGGATTGGCAGCTGTTGTTTCTGTTCCAAATGCAGTGCTTGCTTTGTTTATTGGTGTAATATTTGTCTAAATATTTAATTTTTGGCTAGTATAATGAGAAGTAATACCCTATCTAGTTTATTTAGTTTATATTGAAATATATGATTGCTTTTTATCTAGGGTTTAGTAGTTTATAATGAGTATTCTCCAAGCGAGAATTTTATCATATACTTTTGAATTTGGGGTGCATTATCTGAATTGATACCTCTTCAATTTATACGGCAACAAGAGCTACAGAAAACTACAAGATAAAGTTTTAGAACATGTTTATTGAAATTATTACAGCTTCTGCTAATTTGAAGTTCTTGCAATTATTCATAAGTGCTTGGATCTTTTGGGTCAAATTTAAAATCTTTGATGATTTGCTTTGCTACTAAATAATCGGATACTCTTTGAGTCTTCCACTGTTTAAGATCTTCACGATGCTTCTTCAATATTTCGGGGTCGGCTTCGTACAATGACTTTTCTTCTTTGGTTAAGTTTCTCCAAGAATAGGCCAAATGTTTCATTCTCTCGTGAGCAGGACCAGGAAGGGTACCATAATTCTTTTTAACATATTTGGTATAACCAATGATAGGGTAGTCTGGCTTTGGTTTGAAATGACTAAATGCTTCTTTGACAAGTTTATCACAGCCCTTTTGGTAAACTTCAATTTCAGCTTCCGAAAGTTGCTTAATAGCGTCATGTTTATCCTTCAAGGTACTACCAGGAATGTATTTCAACAAAAAGTTAATCAAGGAGAAACGACTGGAGTTTCCACTGCAAGCCTTCTTTTCCAATTTTTTGTACTTTGCGAGTTCTTTCTTCTCTTTTTCTTGTTCCTTTTTCTTCTTGACCAACTCCCTTTGTTTCTTCTGCTTTTCCAATTCCTTCGCCTTCAATTCTTTCTCCTTCTGTTTCTTTTTCGCTTCTTTCTCTCTGAGTTTCTTCTTCAAAACCTTTTCCGCTTTTATCTCTGCTCTTAGCTTGGGGGCAGTAACGGGTTGGAAGCTAACGGTAGTGGAAGCAAAAGAACGAGTCAAGGGTTGCCTGGGTAACAAGGAAGTAGAACGGGCAAAATAAGCCAATGGGATCCCATTGCGAACAATTGGTGCGATGATTGCACTCGAACGAGCCAATAAAGTAGGTGTAACCATTGCAATTGGTGAAGGTATTAGGATGATGAAGTGTAAACAAACTTTCTACATGTAAAATTATTTTTTCGAAGTGCACTTAGTGTGGCAAAACTCGCGGGGGAGACAAAGAAAAACAAAATAGGTTTTTGGCTTTCGGAATTGTTTCATGAGCGTTGGTTACTAATTGAAACACATTTTGATTCGGTTTATGTATCATCTGATGCATTGGTGAAAGGTTATGATTCTTATATGAGAAGGGAAAGTGTTGGTCTTTATCTTGTAACTTTAGGAGGGGCGCTTTCTTTGTGTTAAAATTTATGCACATGACATTCATGATTATGTCTACGTATGCAACTCTACGTTATGTTTTGAAACAAAGCTATGAATTCCGTATCAATCAAATGTAACTTCATTAGTTATACTTGAACCTTCCATTGGAAGCTTCTTGGAAACAAAAAGTTTCATACTAAGATCTGTACCAATAACACCCAATTGTGAAGCTCTTTCTTCTTAATCTTTCTTCTACTGGATACCTGGTATGTTTTCTAGTATGTAGAACATGATAAAGCATTCGAGGAAAACAGGAAAACAGAAAAATTATATATATAACTTAAACTTGGAAATGCTTGAGTGAACTCTCTTCGTTCTCTTACTTTCCTTTTTTTGTCAAATCGGCTACAAATAATCCTGCTAGGTATGTCCAGTATGCAATATTAGATGGGTATGTATGAAATTACAGTGTCTTGGATATTTCACCGATACCGGGCTTAGGTGTCTATTTTTTCTTATCCTAATTAGGAAGTTATAAACGAGGTTGTGCTTTTTTTTTAGATAGGTCAATATTTGCAGACTACCAGATAAACCTTGTAAGCTAACCAAGCTTACATGTCTATTTGTAGGATTGGGCAAACTGAGTTTTTCCTCGATATATTATAACAGAACAGGGCATGCAGAAATAATGATAAGTACTGGTAATAACAATTCTAGAAGAATTTTTAGATTTTGTATAAAAATTTATGACAATTTCTTTCAAAATTGTAAACATCGGTATTAGCTGCAACGGAAAACCGGGAGAAATTAAAATATCTTGTGATGAGGCAAACTTGACTATTCCGGCGCCATCCTTTTCTTAATTATGACATGCACAAGAGCATACCATCAGGTGACATTTCTTTCATTTTGTACAGCCGATCGCACTACAATACAATCACGCGATGTACAACGATACAGATCGGTACGAGAACGTTTGTTCGTATGACAACAATTGACCGTGTTTCGTTACAATATTCTAATTATTTTTAGGGGTTTAGGCAATTTGATAAGACATCAATTAGCCAATATAATAATAGTTTTTTTTACGGAGATAAGGAAAGAAGGAGAAGCAAAAAAAAAAGGAATACTGATAAGGTAAAAACCGAGGAATTCCGCTTGACAAATTACATGGACCTAATTGGCTTAAGATAAACTTTTTGTTAGTATTGCACGTGACTGGGTCATGTACTACTACACAAAAACCCAGTGAAAAATTATCCAGCCCCACATGGATGAAATCCGTTTGTTTTCACCTGCTTGGCGCACACCATGTGCTACAACATACATGACGTATACCCTTAGAAATCTCCCCTCTCTGATTTGCCTACTGTGATTTGCTGGTTTTCATTTTGTGTCTATCAAATTGTTCTTTATTATTTTTTTTTCCCTCTCTTTATCTCCAGATCACATTTTTCTTTAGATTTAATTTCAGCCAATTTTTCTTTTTTTGATACTCCACCCTGGCTGTTTTACAACCACTTTTGTTTAAACGAATTGACTTTCAAAAATTTTCCAAAAACTTTTCCTCCTTCCTTTTTATTCCATTAGTTGTTCTTTCGTCTAGTTTTACTTGCTGTTGCTCCCTTGTTTTATCATCCACTCCCCCCCTAAAAAAGTAACAAAAAGCTAGATGTCTAATACTTCCTCCTACTTACCGCGAGAGGAATTCTCAACTACTAACATTTACAACTACGATGAATCTCCTGCCAATAAATCCTGGGCTTGTGCATTGCCAGTTGCCCAAGGGTTGTATAACCCAGAATTGGAAAAAGACGCTTGTGGGGTTGGGTTCTCTTGTCATTTAAAGGGGATCCCCTCTCACAAGATTGTTTCTGACGCTAGAAACTTATTATGTAATATGACTCATCGTGGTGGGGAATTGAACCCCAAGGATGGTGACGGTGCCGGTTTATTAACTTCCATTCCTCATAAGTTCTTTAAACGTGAATTCAAATACTATTGCAATGTTGATTTGCCTGCTCCTGGTCAGTATGGTACTGGTAACTTGTTTTTCAAGCGAGATGAAGCCGTGTTTGAAAAATCAAAGGCTACTTTTGAAAGTATTGCCGAGTCTTTAGGATTGAAGGTGTTGGGCTGGAGAGAAGTTCCTCACGATTCAACTATTTTGGGTCCGGCCTCGTTATCTCGTGAGCCTTTTATTTTACAACCAGCTATTGTGTTGCAAGAATTACTTGGCCAAGGTTCAATTGATGAAGCTGAATTCAAGAGCAAGTATTCTCGTCAATTTGAAAAGAAGTTGTTTATCTTGAGAAAACAATCTTCTCACACCATTGGTTTGCACAATTGGTTCTATATTTGTTCCCTTTCCAACAAAACTATTGTTTATAAAGGTCAATTGGCTCCAAATCAAGTTTACAATTATTACCATGATTTGGCCAATTCTGAATTTGAAGCCCATTTTGCTCTTGTCCATTCGAGATTTTCAACCAATACCTTCCCCTCCTGGGATAGAGCACAACCTTTGAGATTAGCTGCTCATAATGGTGAAATTAACACTTTAAGAGGTAACAAGAATTGGATGAGATCTAAAGAAGGGGTCATGGCTTCTCAATTATTTGGTGATGAAATGGATAAATTGTTTCCTATTATTGAAGAAGGAGGTTCTGATTCTGCTGCTTTTGACAATGTTTTGGAATTGTTGGTTATCAATGGTATCGTTTCCTTACCGGAAGCAGTCATGATGATGATTCCTGAAGCTTGGCAAAATGATCAAAACATCGATCCTAAGAAGAAGGCATTTTATGAATGGGCTGCTTGTTTAATGGAACCTTGGGATGGTCCTGCATTGTTCACATTTGCTGATGACCGTTATTGCGGGGCTAATTTGGATCGTAACGGGTTAAGGCCTTGTCGTTATTATGTTACTGATGATGATTTTATTATTTGTGCTTCTGAAGTTGGGGTCATTGAAATTGAACCGGAAAGAGTCTTGCAAAAGGGAAGATTACAACCGGGTAGAATGTTGTTGGTTGATACCGTTGAAGGTAGAATTGTCGATGATCGAGAATTAAAGAGCAAAGTTGCTTCAAGATATGACTTCAAGTCTTGGATAATGGCAAATATGATTAGTTTGCAAGATTTAAACTCCAAATTGGAAAATCGTGGTATTAATATTACTGCTGATGACATTGACACTTCGATAAAACTTGATTCGGATCCAAGATTAATTGCATCGGGCTATTCCCACGAACAGCTTTCATTTGTATTGGCTCCAATGGCTGAAGGTAATGAAGCCTTGGGTTCCATGGGTAATGATAATGCTCTTGCTTGTCTTACTGACCAACCAAAGTTATTGTATGAGTATTTCAGACAATTGTTTGCCCAAGTCACCAACCCACCGATTGATCCAATCAGAGAAGCAATTGTTATGTCCTTGGAATGTTATGTTGGTCCTCAAGGTAACTTGTTAGAAATGAAGCCAGACCAATGTAATAGATTATTATTGAAATCACCAATTTTAGACAATTCAGAATTATTAGCCATTCAGAATATTGAACATGTTTATCCTAAATGGTCGGTGGCCAATATTGATATCACTTTTGATAAACAGGCTGGTATTCCTGGTTATATCTCCACCATTGATCGTATTTGTCAAGAAGCATCTAAGGCCATTGCTGATGACAATAAGATTATCATATTAAGTGATGTTAAAACTGGTCCTTCAAGAGTTCCAATTTCAGCATTGATTGCTGTTGGTGCTGTTCATCATCATTTGGTTAGACAGAAACAAAGATCTAAAGTTGCATTGATTATTCAAACCCAAGAAGCTAAAGAAGTTCATCATGCTTGTTGTTTAGTTGGTTATGGTGCTGATGCCATTAATCCATACTTGGCCATGGAAACTTTGGTTAGAATGAATGATCAAGGGTTGTTGAAAATTAAGAAATCCCCACAAGAAATCATCAAAGGTTACAAGAGTGCCATTGATGCAGGTATCTTAAAGGTTATGTCCAAGATGGGTATTTCAACCTTGGCCAGTTACAAAGGGGCCCAAATTTTCGAAGCTCTTGGAATTGATAATTCAGTTATCGATCGTTGCTTTGCTGGTACTGCATCAAGAATTAAGGGTGTTACATTTGAATACATTGCTCAAGATGCATTTACTTTACACGAACGAGGATATCCAACCAGAGAGACGACCAAACCTCAGGGTCTTCCTGAAACTGGGGAATACCATTGGCGTGACGGAGGAGAACGCCATATCAACGATCCAGCAGCAATTGCTTCATTACAAGATGCTGTTAGAAACAAAAACGAACGTGCTTATGAGACTTATGCCAAGAAAGAAAACGAAGCTGTTAGAAACTGTACTCTTCGTGGGTTGTTAGATTTTGATTATGAATCTGGAAACAGTGTTCCTATTGATCAAGTTGAACCATGGACGGAAATTGTTAGAAGATTCTTCACTGGTGCCATGTCTTATGGTTCTATTTCCATGGAAGCTCATTCTACCATTGCTGTGGCTATGAATAGATTGGGTGGTAAATCAAATACTGGTGAAGGTGGTGAAGATGCCGCTCGTTCTCAAGTCAATGCTAATGGTGATACCATGAGATCAGCAATTAAACAAGTTGCCTCGGGTAGATTTGGGGTCACTTCATATTATTTGGCTGATGCTGATGAATTACAAATTAAAATGGCGCAAGGTGCTAAGCCTGGTGAAGGTGGGGAATTACCTGGTCACAAGGTTTCTGCTGAAATTGGTAAGACAAGACATTCTACTCCAGGTGTCGGGTTGATTTCTCCTCCACCACATCATGATATCTATTCCATTGAAGATTTGAAGCAATTGTTGTATGATTTGAAATGTGCCAACCCAAGAGCAAGAACTTCAGTTAAGTTGGTTAGTGAAGTCGGTGTTGGTATCGTTGCTGCCGGTGTTGCCAAGGCTGGATCTGAAAATATTTTGGTTTCTGGTGGTGATGGTGGTACTGGTGCTGCCAAGTTAACTTCTATCAAGTATGCTGGTTTACCATGGGAATTAGGGTTAGCTGAATCCCATCAAACTTTGGTATTGAATGATTTAAGAGGAAGAGTTATCTTGCAAACTGATGGTCAAATTAGAACTGGTAGAGATATCGCCATTGCCTGTTTATTGGGTGCTGAAGAATGGGGTTTTGCTACTACTCCATTAATTGCCATGGGTTGTATCTATATGAGAAAATGTCATTTGAATACTTGTCCAGTTGGTATTGCTACTCAAGATCCTATTTTACGTAAGAAGTTCCCAGGTACTCCAGAACATGTCATCAACTTCTTCTACTATTTGGCTCAAGATTTAAGGCAAATTATGGCCAAGTTGGGATTTAGAACTATCAATGAAATGGTAGGTCGTGCTGAAAAGTTGAAGGTTAGAGACGAATTACGTAATATCAAGAATGCCAATATTGACTTGTCACCAATTTTAACTCCAGCTCATACTATCCGTCCTGGTGTTGCCACTTATTGTGTTAGAAAGCAAGATCTCAAATTGCATGTTCGTATGGATAACAAGTTGATTGATGAATCAGAAATGACCTTAGCTAAGGGTTTGCCTGTTACAATTGACTGTGATATTGTCAACACCGATCGTACATTGGGTACCACTTTATCCTACCGTGTTTCCAAGACTTTTGGTGAACAAGGATTACCTCATGATACTATTCATGTTAATGTTACTGGTTCAGCTGGTCAATCATTTGGTGCATTCTTGGCATCAGGTATCACATTAGAATTGGAAGGTGATGCTAATGATTATATTGGTAAAGGTTTATCTGGAGGTAGAATTATTGTTTATCCACCCAAGGATTCCAAATTCAAAGCTGAAGATCAAATCATTGCTGGTAATACTGCGTTCTTCGGGGCCACTTCCGGTACTGCATTCATCAGAGGTATTGCTGCTGAACGTTTTGCTGTTCGTAATTCTGGTGCCAACATCGTTGTCGAAGGTACTGGTGACCACGGGTGTGAATATATGTCTGGTGGTAGAGTCATTGTTTTGGGTGGTACTGGACGTAACTTTGGTGCTGGTATGTGTGGTGGTATTGCTTATGTTTTAGACATGGGTCAAGATTTTGGTGATCGTGTCAATAGCAAGACTGTCGAGTTATCTCCAGTTACTGAAACTGAAGAAATTGCATTCATTAGAAGTTTGATTGAAGACCATCGTCATTACACTGGTTCAGAAGTTGCTGACAATATCTTGAATGATTTCACGAGATTTTTGCCAAGATTTGTCAAGGTCTTGCCCCATGATTATAAGAAGGTTTTGGAGAAGGAAAAGTTAAAGGCCGAAGAAGCCAAGAAGCAAGAATTGAACAAGTTTTTGAAATCAATCAAAGAAGACCCTACTGCCGATGCTACTAATGGTGAAGCTTCCAAGATCAAGTTGGGTCGTGGCCATACTCCACTCACCAGTAAAGCTGGCGGTGCTGAGCCAAAGGTTTTGGATGTTGAAGACACTATTTTCAATACTGATTTTGAAAAGAAGGCACCAGTCAAGTTAGACAAGCTTAGAGGGTTCATGAAATACAAGAGGAGAAATGAACGTTACCGTGATGCCAAAGACAGAACTAAAGATTGGAATGAAATGACTTCCAGATTAACCAAGGAAGAGTTGAAGTATGAAACTGCCAGATGTATGGATTGTGGTGTTCCATTCTGTACTTCCGATACTGGTTGTCCAATCTCCAATGTTATCCCTAAATGGAATGAATTGGTATTCCAGGATCGTTGGTTTGATGCCTTGCAAAGATTATTAATGACCAACAACTTCCCTGAGTTTACAGGTAGAATTTGTCCTGCTCCTTGTAATGGTGCTTGTGTCTTGGGTATTTCTGATGATCCAGTCAATATCAAGTCAGTTGAATGTGCCATTATTGACCATGGGTTTGAGCAAGGATGGATTAAGCCTCAACCACCTGCGCAAAGAACCGGTAAGACTGTTGCCATTATCGGGTCTGGTCCAGCTGGATTGGCATGTGCTGATCAGTTAAACAAGGCTGGTCATACTGTTACTGTTTATGAACGTAGTGATAGACCTGGTGGGTTGTTAATGTATGGTATTCCAAACATGAAGTTAGACAAGGGTATTGTCAAGAGAAGAACCGACTTGTTGGAAGCTGAAGGGGTTGAATTTGTTTGTAACACTACTGTTGGTGAAGATATTACTGTTTCTGAGTTGAAGAGTAAACACGATGCTGTTGTGTTTGCCGTTGGTTCTACAATTCCAAGAGATTTGAGAATTCCAGGTAGAAGCTTGAAGAATATTGACTATGCCATGACCTTATTGCATTCCAACACCAAGGCATTATTGGATAACAATTTGGAAACCATTAGAAAGACCATTGAAGGTAAGAAAGTTATTGTTATTGGTGGTGGTGATACTGGTAATGATTGTTTGGGTACCTCTACCAGACATGGTGCCAAGTCAGTTACCAACTTTGAATTATTACCAAATCCACCTAATGAACGTCCAAAGGATAATCCATGGCCACAATGGCCAAGAATCTTCAGAGTTGATTATGGTCATACTGAAGTCAAGACTCATTACGGCAAAGATCCTCGTGAATATTCTATCTTATCTAAGGAATTTATTGATGATGGTGAAGGAAATGTTAAAGGTATCAAGACGGTCAGAGTTGAATGGAAACGTTCCGATTCTGGCGCTTGGCAAATGGCTGAAGTTCCAGGAAGTGATGAAATCTTTGAAGCTGACATTGTTTTGTTGTCCATGGGTTTCCTTGGTCCAGAAGCTGATAATTTAGAAGTTGAAAAAACCAAGAGAGGTACTATTACTACCGTGGATGCCAATGGGTACCAGGTTGCCAAAGATGATAATGTCTTTGCTGCTGGTGATTGTAGAAGAGGTCAATCTTTGGTTGTTTGGGGTATTCAAGAAGGTAGACAATGTGCCCGTGAAGTTGATTTGTATTTAGAAGGCGCTACTAGATTACCAGGTAATGGTTCTGTTGAGCAAAGAGATTATAAGTTGTTGGAAGAGTTAGCTGAAAAGGTTTAGACTTTCGTTTATATTTCTATTGTATTGTTTTTATATATTTGTGTTTTTTTTCTTAAAAAAAAAAAGAAAATGTCTGTATATTAAGTTGTGTTGTAGCGTTCATGTATTTGTCAGAAGGCAGGACATTTTTTATACCCCAAACAAAAAACCGTCTGATTTTTGAAGTTGTAAAAATTGATGGATTGTAAACAACCAGTATGAGCAAAGTTACTACACCTGTACACAACTTGATTGCTCACTTCTTAGCCGAGAATGGGTATGAAAAAACATTGAGAGAATTCCAACTGGAACATGGACAACCAATTGATCAAGTAAAGGTTGGTGATGAATCTTTGACAGATATCATCAGTGATCGAATCAATTTCAATCAATTAGCACCTTCTTTGGAAAACTTAGATATCGGTAACCGTAGATTGAGTTTTTCCGGAAGCGGATACTTGAAATCGGTCAGCAAAGATCAATTACAGAATTGGGTGACTCCATTCCCTCACTTGGCTAAAGAACTAGTTGACATCGACGGAATGGTAATCAGTACCAGTTATCTAGACGGATGTGTTTATTTCAGTACTAATAACTCCCAGATTTACATCGTTGACGATAAGCATGTCGTGTACCGTTCGAAATTCCCGGTGGTTATTAAGAAGATCATTCCTATTAAACAAGACCAATTGTTGCTTGTGGGTATGAGTGGGATGTTTTATTTGTACTTTAAGCAGAACGAGCGCTGGCAGACCGTAGTGGAATTCCCTGTACACAAGCGATTAATTATTGATGCCAAGCATGTCCGTTTTAATGACTGCGATTATATAGTTACTTTGGGCTGGGACTTCTATTTGAAGGTGATTAAGTTGGAAGCAGAGAATAAGTTTACTATTGTGTCTGAGTTCAAATTGAACCAGCAAGGAACTTGTTTTGATTTGATTAATCACAACAACCAGTTGTTAATTGTTGTGGGTAAGTTAGACAATACATTATTGGATGTGTTTGAACTTCAAGAAAACAAGTTGGAGTTGTTATTTAAGATTTCCTTGAATGATGCCGAGTTTAGTGCGTCGGAATTCTCACCGAGATACATAACTATCCAACATTTCGGCCTGCTGGTGCCTTTAATTGCTGTTGCCACTTCCCATGAGCCATACATGAGATTAATCGTGGTTACATTAGACATGATCGAGGGACAAGAGCACGAAATCAAGAGAAACCAAATAGTCAAGAATTTGAACACGATGTCACCACAAGACAAGTTCTCGCAACCGATTATAGCGTGGAGGTTGCCTAAACATGTAAACGGGGCTGATGTCACCATAGAGGCCACCAAGAGTAGTGGGATTTGGATCATGGGTGATGACGGTGTGATTAGAGGTATTGACTTGGTTGATGATAAAGTTGTGGTAGAGCTTAAAGATGTACATCAAGGTAAAATTAAGGATTTCTTGACATACTATGATAAGGAATATAACGAACGATTGATATCGAGTGGTATCGATCATGCAGTTATGCTTTGGAAATAAGAATATGTAGTGTGGAGTTAAGGATGGGGTAGATTACGTAGGAATTAGTAGCCGGTTATTATTTGCGGGATATATAAGTAATTTAATCAATTTCAGATTCGATTCCATTGTTTTCGCAATGTGGTTCCGTGGGGGGTAAAGCAATTGTATGTAGGAAATCGATAAGTGGGGCGGAAAATGAGGTAAGACGCGATGGTGGTGGGGAGTGGAGAACAAAAAAAAAAAAAGAGAGAGAAAGTTCCGACACTTGTTTTCTGATAGCGGGCAAGACAACCAAAAAAAATTAGATCTTTTCCTCGGCAGTGGCTTCCCCCACATGCCGGGTATTTGTCAGGACAAAAAAAAAGGACTATTGCATATGAACCTCGGGTCATTGAATAGTATAAAAGCAACAAATAGTCAATGGTTTTTTTTACGTAAACGGACAATTACACGTATTTGTTTATTGAATATACTTTCTTCAAGTCACAACCCATTTCATTGATTCTAATTTGAAGTTTACTTATTGAATATACTGAAATTTCATCCCAGCATACTTTTCACAGCAAACGATATACCCCAATTTTAGTTTAATTACTCATTGGAAAGCACAACATTTTTTTTATAAACAAGTTAAAAGTTTCATTGGCTTAACTCAATACAGATAGATATAATAGAATATGCAACTCACTCCAATAGAAAAAGCTGCTTCTGGTGCCTTGGCTTCGGCTATTGCCAATACATTGGTATATCCATTGGATTTGAGTAAAGTGTTGATTCAAACCCAAGTTAAAAAGAGACACCCCAAACCACAAGCAACCGATATCACCAGCTCGTCATCTGAATCTGACGATATGGAAGATTCGGTATTCAAACAAACCTTGACTCAAGACAACGAATTAAAGTATAAGAACACTATTGACGTATTACGACAAATTTATGCCAAGAAGGGGATTTTAGGGTGGTATCATGGATTATTCTCGACTGTGGCCGGAACCGCAGCTCAGAACTTCTCCTACTTCTACTGGTACAGTATTGTCAAGAAAGTATATGCTAATTTATACAAACACATCCCCAACCACAAACCTAGCACATTGATGGAATTATTCCTCGGTGCCGTGGCCGCGGCCATTTCCCAATTGTTCACTATGCCAATTGGGGTAATTACTACACAGCAACAAACCGATAAGCATCACAAGAACTTGATTCAGTTAGTCAGAGAAATATTGGACCAAGATGGTGTTACAGGGTTGTGGAGGGGATTAAGAGTCTCTATGGTGTTGTGTATCAACCCGTCCATCACTTATGGATCCTACGAAAGATTAAAGCAAGTATTATATGGAACCAAGGAATTCTTGAACCCATTGGAAAGTTTCTCCCTTGGTGTTTTGGCCAAATCTATGGCTACACTTGCCACTCAGCCATTGATTGTTTCCAAAGCCATGATTCAAAAGAAATCCAAGCCAAAGAAGCACCATAATGATGAAAAGCACCACGAGGATGAAGATGACGAAGAAGATATCAAATTTGATCATTTCACCGACGCATTAGCGCACTTGTGGCACACGGAAAAGTTCCATGGGTTATACAAAGGTATTGCTCCACAATTATTGAAGGGGGTCTTTGTTCAAGGGTTGTTGTTTATGTTCAAGGATCAAATTGATATGTTGTTTTTGTTTTTGTTGAGTTTGTTGAAGGGTAAGCCTAAGGCCAGACGTTAAGTGGAGTTCAATAGAATTGTTTATTTATTTCATAAATTCATATAGTGTATCCAAGCGATTGCATTTAGTATATTTGTAGAGATAACATGTCACTATTCCAAGCAAAATAATAGTTACATCATTATATATTGATCTGTTGTCAATATTGTCTTTTAGCTTGTACGTCCTGGTGTACAGTCTTCATGTGCAAGTAAGCATTTTTTTGCAACCTGTAACGTTCTCGCATTACCGTGCATTAGGGTATAACCCTAATCAAGCATATACACACGTGATTGATTAATATGCACACTGGTTTACAAAACATCCATTCTACAATAGTAGTGTTGGGAAAATTAGTTTTCGCACGCAAAAAAGAAAAGTGACCCATACATTATTTTTCCCATAGTTAACATCCATAGTGCGCACCGTACGCACAAATCCGCTGCATCACTCACTACACACAAAACTTCGCACCCCCCTTGAGTTTTGCTACCGAAAATCAAAGAAAAAAGAATATAAAATTTTTTTTCATAGTTTTTTACTTTCCTCTTTCTTTCTTAACATAGACAACTAATTCAATATGGGTAAAGGTAAACCAAGAGGTCTTAACTCTGCTAGAAAATTAAGAGTTCACCGTCGTAACAACAGATGGGCTGATCAATCCTATAAGGCTAGATTATTAGGAACTGCTTTCAAGTCCTCTCCATTTGGTGGTTCTTCCCACGCCAAGGGTATTGTGTTGGAAAAGATTGGTATTGAATCCAAGCAACCAAACTCCGCTATTAGAAAGTGTGTCAGAGTTCAATTAATCAAGAACGGTAAGAAGGTTACTGCTTTCGTTCCAAATGATGGTTGTTTAAACTTTGTTGACGAAAACGACGAAGTCTTATTGGCCGGTTTCGGTAGAAGAGGTAAGGCTAAGGGTGATATTCCAGGGGTTAGATTCAAGGTTGTCAAGGTCTCTGGTGTCTCCTTGTTAGCTTTATGGAAGGAAAAGAAGGAAAAGCCAAGATCATAGATTACTTATATTATTTTGTGTGATATTTTCATTTCCAAAGAAGAAAGGCATAGAATAAATAATTTATAAGAGAGGGGGAATCCATAGTTTTGAATTGGAAATGATTTTTGAAGATATACTAATACTACCACTTTAATTAAATAAACAGCTTGTTTGCATTTTGTGGATCGAATTGGATTTTCTTTGAAAGAATCTCTAGTTCAAATCTTGAGTTCCTTTTTTTATTTAGGTCATTTATGGTTGTATAATTTTTTAAATTTACGTGTATTAAGAAATTTATTCCTTTGTAGTGTTACATGTTGTTGATTGTACTACATACCTAAATCTCTACCTTCGATGGATGGTCCACCCTTCTTGGTTGCCTTCTTCTTGACAGACATCAGAGTCAACTTTTGGTTGATTCTTCTGAATCTTTCGTCATTATGAGCATTTCTAGCTTGTTGTCTTCTTAACAAACTGGCATCAACTCTGGGAGCAACCTTATAAGCAGCAGTTCTAGCACTTGGAATGGCAGCTCTCTTTCTTCTTTCAGCATTCTCTTCGTACAAGGTTCTAGCCTCTTTAGGTTTGCTGGATCTCGAACTTGCCAATTGGTTGGAGAATTTACTCTTGTTATATTCATGGAATTGAATGGTACGATCCTTATAAGAATCGGACTTGTTTAAAATTGGTCTGGTCCAGTCACCAATTAACCTGTCAACAATCTTCTTTAATGAAGGCTCGGTTCTTTTGGAACGTTGGTAAAACACCAACACTTTACCTATACCTGAGGCAACCAAATGGTCAGTTTTAATAGGCAAAGTTTCCAAGGCATGGATTAATTCCTTTTGTATTTGATATGCTGGCATTGATGCATCAGGCAATGGCTCAAGCCATAATCTAACTGCTTCCAACAAGTTATTATCCAAGATGGAAATGGCCAAATCGGCTCTGGACAAGATATCGACCACTTCTCGCAAAAATTTCAACTTTTCCGTAGCAATTTGCCCCTGGGAGTTCTTTTCTACGTCCAAATTGGCAGCCTTGATCATTTGATCCTTCAAGAAATCAATCTTGTCATCTTGCATTCTTTCTATATCGTCTTCATCGGCTTTTCTTCTTCTGGTGGATTTGGACTTTATGGCCGCGTCCATTTTCTCTTCCAATAACATTCGCTTTCTCATTTGTGGATCGGAATATATTTTGGAATCATCTTGATAGTCGTCGTTTCTTGCTTGTGGTTCCGCCCTTGGTTGATTAGGCAATGCACTGTTGTCAGGTGTGTCTGACTTTTGCGCTTTTCTGACAATCTTCTTCTTGGTTACAGCTTTGGTTTCATCAGAGGCTAACTTGTGGGCTCTAATGGAACTATACACATTATCGTCATCTTCGTCGTCGTATTCGTCATCTTGTTGTTGTTGTGCTGGTTCTTGTTGTTCCTGTTGATGTACGGACTCTTCCTGTTGTTGATCGTCATTGTTGTGTTCATGTTCATCATGATCAACTCCATCCAGTGGAATCGTGGTAAAATCTTTCAATGGATCGTCACTCATTGTGCCTGGTTGCTGGGTTGTGAAGTGTCGAAGTGTGAGGATATCAAATGAGTGACTAATTTTTTTTTCTTTACATTGATTTTGAAAATATGCTCTGGTTGAAGGAAAAGGAATTCTCTCTCACCTCACCAACATGCTATACATGGATAACATTGGATTTTCTAATTAGTTATTGTAAGTGGTTGAGATGAATTCTGTTACATGGTTTGGATTAGGCTATACACAAAGCTGAATGATATGTAACATAGGTGTAGTCACTATTTTTCATGAAAATTCACCAGAATTACTGCAAAATGTGTGTCATATGTAATTTTTCAATACTAATTTTCACGAAAATTACGTTAACTTAAATAAATCAATGCCAACACATTCCTGTGACACTTAATGACATATTTCCACCTTAACCTAACTTTTATAAACCAGCTGGAAGTAAATTGTATGATTTTGACTACTCTGTTTCAGGTCGTGCCTTGATGACAAAAACCAGGTCAAATTTACCTTCACCGTTAAGCAACTGTGGACAAAAAAACATCTAATTAGCCACCCGATTCCGTGTTCTCATCCAATACCAAGGAATCAAAACAGGCCATGTCTCAATACATTGGAAAGACAATTTCTTTGATTTCCAACAAGGGACTTCGTTATGTTGGGCTTTTGGACAACATTAATGCCGAAGAGGCCACCGTTGCCCTTAACTCAGTCAGATTATTAGGAACTGAAGGTCGTATGGCTGCCAATGGTACTCCCAACTTAGAAGTTCCACCAGGAAACGACATTTACGAGTATGTTGTATTCAGAGGGTCCGACGTTAAGGATTTATCGGTGTTGGATACTCCGATTGATCAAGTCAAGCCAGTGCCTTATTCAGCATCATCTGGTACTTCGGGATACTATGCTCCACAACAAATGCCCCAAACCGCTGCTCCGGCTAGCGCTCCTGCTCCATCAGGTGTAGAAGCTGCCCCAGCTACAACCACTGCAACTGAAGAAGTCGCTGAGTCTCCTGCTGCTGTTCCAGCTTCTGTCCCACACCAACCAGTTGAAACTGGGGCTCCACAACACCAATCTCCAGAACCTACAAAAACCATTGCTGAAAGGGCAACCCCAACCACCACCGAAGAATCTCCTGCTGATCCAGAACCAAGATCTTCACCACAACCAACTTCCGCCAAGCCAAAGCCAGTTCATCGTAAACCCCATCACAAGGGTCCCGATATCCCAACTGAAGAATTTGATTTCGAATCAGCCAACGCTAAATTCTCCAAAGAATTGGAGCAAGAACGCGAATTGGAACATACCGGATACAACAAGAAGTCTTCATTCTTTGACAACATCTCTTCCCTGACTGAAGAAAGATCCAGCATGAGATGGGCCGAGGAAAAGACTTTGAATCTTGATACTTTTGGTGAAGCTTCTTTACAAAGGGGTCGTGGAAGAGGCCGTGGTAGAGGTTGGAGAGGTGGATTCAGAGGTGGTAGAGGAAGAGGCGGTAGAGGCAGAGGTGGTCATTGGAGAGGAGGCAAGAGTGAGAATAACGAAGGTTCTGATTATCATACCAAGCCTGAATGGGCATGAAATTAAATAATGCATATAAACAAAAAGTAGTTGTAAAGTAATATAAAGATTATTGAATAAATATAATAATTTATAAACCTATATCCTAGCTACTCCACCTATGAATATCTTCTTTTCCCGCTCTTCATCTTCATTAGCAAGTTTCAAAAATCTTCCATATTCTTGAGTAAGTGAATTTAAAGGACTGAAGAAGTGATTAATGGTAAGCATTCGAATAAATCTACCCACTTTAGTAAACACATTCTTACTAGGTTGATATTCATGACATCTAATCAAATCATTTTCGAAAATATGCATCATTGGATAACTAGTCAATTGATCTTCGTTTAATACACTTATGGCTGGGATGTTGTTCATGATATGAGACACCAACTTTTTATCCACTTTGATGTCTTCCATGTATCCAAATCTGAGTACACATTTGTAATGCCCTGGTAGTTTCATGGGTGCCATCAATACTCGTTCTTCTTCAGGGACATAAGGAATACTCAATACTCGAATCCCACAAAAGACAAAGTTGGAAGGAATAGAAACAAATGTTGACACCAATTTAGCGTATAGTTGAGGTAACGTGTTTGGAGAATTGGTCAAGAGGGAATCAACATACATGATCCCCAATCCTTCATGTTTGACCAAGGTTAAGTTACCGAATCGGGTATTGACATCAGTTTTCCCAACCTGTTTAATGTCTTCATGACTGACATTCTTGTTGTTAAGATCAAGAGTAGTCACTTTAGGACCATTGAAATAAGGATACAAATCCCCGATCCTTATCTTTGAACTGTACTCCTGCTCAACCTTTCTCGAACGGCACCATCTCCACACTATCAAAAACAGAGTCAACAATCCAGCAACCATGATTGGGAACCAGGCACCGTGGGGCACTTTCTTCATGTTGGCAATAATCAAACACATTTCCAAAGGAACAAATATCAAGCAGTATAAGATTGGCCAAATGATGTTCCAATTGTACACGTAAAACATACAGATCATGATCAAAGTAGATGTAACAAACAAATCCAAAGTGATACCTAATCCATAAGCTGCAGTGGTGTTGTTACTGTTTTGGAACCCAGCCATGGTCAACATAACCCCAATCATCAACATCCAGTTAATCACACCAATATATACCTTTCCAGCATAGTCCGAAGAAACATGGGTAATTTTCAATTTAGGAAAACAGTCCAAGTTGATTAATTGGGAAATGATACTGAAAACAGACAAGATCAATGCTTGTGAAGCAATAATAGTGGCTAAAGTAGCAAGAACAAACATAACCCAATAAACACCACCACCAGTTCCACCAGGAATTGACAAAAAGAAAGGATTAACATAAGCTTCAGGATGACCAACAAGATAGGCAGCTTGTCCCAAATAACAAAGAATTAAGGCAGGGTAAACAAACCCACCTAATGTTAATTGAATAGGAAGCCTTCCAAAATGACCAATATCTGCAAACATAGCCTCAGTACCAGTGATGGCCAACATGGCACCCCCAAATACATCAATACCACCCTCTCTCAAGATTTTAATAGCATAATATGGAGACAAAGCTGAGAAAATTGCAGGATGATACTTGGCAATGTTATAAATACCACAAATTATCAATCCAATCATCCAGATGAAAATAATTGGAGCAAATGTGAAGGAAATCTTGTTAGACCCAAATTGCTGGATTGCAAATAAGACAATCAAAATCACTTCAGAAACAGCAAGAACGTTTGTGAATGAAGGTTGAGCCACTTGAATACCACCCACAGCACTAAGAATAGAAGCAGTTGGTGTCAATAGTCCGTCACTAACCACCAAGGCACAACCAACAAAGCAAGCACCAAGAATGAAAATCTGGACAAGGGAAATCATAGTTGGATGTTGTTTAATCCGTTCAATTCTTGAAACAGTAGTGACTACTGAAGAAGCAGTAGTATCTTGTCTTGAAAGTAATTGTAAATCAGAGTCCTCATTAGCGCCACCAGGAATTTGCACCCCCTTGGGACCAATATTCAAATGACGAGCTATCTTGGCGTAAATTGCAACCTGACCACCTTCACCGTTATTTGGACCAATAACCAAGACGATAAAAACATACTTGATGATGACAATGATAGTGAAGACATAGAAAATAACTGATACGGCCCCATAAATATCATCTCTGCTGGGTGGTAATTGTTTGTACTTGATGGAGTTAAGAGTATACAAAGGGGAGGTACCCAAATCACCATAGATAGCACCAAGGGAGGAAAAAGACAACATGAGAATTTCTCTCCATGGTTGCTTTTTGACAGGAGCAGTCTTTTCATCGGAATCTACTGCCTGTTGTTCTTCATCTGATAAATCAATTGAAGAAATAGACCGATTGTCATTCTCAACAGTGGTGACACTATAGTTGTCATTTTGATCAACTAATTCATTCTCAGGAATGATCTTCTTAACTGAAGAAGTAGACATGTAAATTAAACCGAAGCAAGGAAAGAGGAAACTCAAGTGGTGAAATTATACTGAAGAAATAGAGAAAAATGGGAAATTATCGCTATTTATACCTTAACCCCCCTATCGCTACACGTTGTGGGAATATTCTGCTGGTTACCATAGCTTAACTAGAGACAGAAATTAGGCTTACTTTCCGCAACCAATAAATTGTAATTTTTCCTCTCTACGTAATGCTCTGATTTCGCTATGAAATGCTAGTACAAACAAAAATCCCTCAAATTTTGCGCACCATACAATAAAATAAAAAATTGTTACACCTTGTTCTCAATTTCCTTTTTTTCCTTTCGACCTATAAGTTTTGTGATTTACCACATGTGAAACATGAAACAATACCTCGCCCTATTGTATTTTTGTCCAGTTACAACAAAAGTATATGTTGTTGGTTTGGTTTGATTCATACCAATATTGATCCATTTCAAGTCCAGATTGCGAAAAAAAAAAAAAAAAACTACAGACAGCGCGATACAAATTAGAAAAAAGAAATTTTATTGATGTGAGGATACATCATACATTAAATGTAAACAAGGAGAGTCAAAATAGAAATATGGCAATTTTGCGGAATGAATTGGTGTGTCTGTAGAGAGATGGAAAGTTAAATAAGTTTGTGGCTGTGCATATATTATGCATATTTACGGGAATTTCTTTTTTTTGTATTCCCTTTTTAGATATTCCCCCCTATGACATAAATCTCAATTTCTTTGTTCGTCTTTTGTTACTGATTTTTTTTTTGCAGCAATACGAAAAAGTTTACGCTCAATAGAAAGAAAATTTTTTTTCTGCCTGAGGGATTTTCGCACTAGTTGCTTCAAGTGAATCCCCACCAGGAACTTTTTTACCCTTTATAAAAATTCACCATAGCTAATTTATACAGGTGTGAATTATTGTAGAGATGGCTTGTATCATAGTTAAAACAATGGTCTGGTAAATAGTTGTATGTTTGAATCGTAGAAAGGGGAAAGAATAGTATAAAGTTAACCTTAAATACCTCTATTTTTTTGTAGTACACTTTATATATCAATCGAGTATATAACTGTTAGTAGCCACTTATAATTTACCTTCATTAACCATATTGAGATCTAGAACTATTATACAACTGCATAGGCACAGATAGTAAGGAGCAGATTATTATTGGTATAGAAACAGTGATGACAACAAAGAACATACACCTGCTGGCCAATAAAAAATAGGATTGATTGAGGGATTATTTCAAAGTCAACACCAAACTTGACCACCACAATCACAAATATACATCATACTCACCACGAAACAATTAATCAAAATCGGGAAACAAGTACAACAATAGCAACAAAAGCAATGGTAGCTGAAATCAGAGAAATAAAACAGAGTAAGCTGTTCAACATCAAATTGCAACAACTGACAACAGACCAAGACCTCTTCTAACCCAAACCACCCAGTCACCTATATAAATGCATGAGTGAGCCAACCTTTTCAAGATGGAATCTACCCCATCATATATAGGCTTCTTGGAAAAAGCTTTTGTCCTTTAGGGTATCCTTTTCCAGTTTGTATTCCAAATAAAGTCGTTATTTGAACCATGATGAAGAATGACTTAGCCAACACGAAAATAACGATATTAATGACATTAAGGTTTTTTGCTTTCTGCTTGATATTAATTTTTGAACGAGACTTTACTATGCCTTCAACCCGCCGATGGAAGATTGATGTTGATCATGGGGGAGGGGGATTCAACTCTCATGTTTTCTGATGATAGAGGCACGTTTTCAATTAGCACCAGGATATTCCAATACAAATTTTACAGCTCCACCTAAAGTTCCAAGATTTTTTCTACATCTTATTAACTATGCTGTAGCAGTGCTGGATCTACTTTGAAGTCACTAAAATGATTCTTATTAATTCACATGGTAGCACTTCCATATCATAATACGCGCACGCCCAGTCTGAGCCGCATCCAAATTAGACGCGTACGGTCCAACAGATAAAAACAACAATTTTGAAAAATGTTTAATGAAGAGAGCTAGAAGGGATTACACGTCAAATGTCACACAAGAAGATCACCGCGTTCCCTGATGGGAACTCCTACGTGCATTACAACCCCACTAGTGATCGACTCCTTATTGGTAATAGTGAGGGGTTGATTAAACTATTCAACATTGCCGAACCGGAATTAGAACCTGTTTCTATTGACATTATTGATAACTTGACTTCATTAGCTCATGACTCCGACTCCAACCGGGCTGTTGTTACATCCACCAGTGGTCAGTTAGAATTGATTGATTTGAAAAGTGGAGAGAGCAACGGTATTATTCACAGATCTGATTTACCCTTGAGAGACGCCGTATTTGTTAACCTGGGTAAACGGGTAGTTTGTGGTGGTGATGACGATAAGTTGGTTGTGGTCGATGTTCAAGATAAGAGTACTCAATCGATTACCTTGCCTGATCAAATGGTTAACTTGGCCTACAATTTCTCGGGAGAGATTATCAGTGTTTGTTTATCTAATGGGAATGTTCAGTTGTATTCCGTCGTTAATGAACAACCTAACTTGATTCACAGTTTGAACAATGTGTTGAATGCCAAGATTAATACTAGTTTAGACCAAATTGATTTCAATCAAGAGAATCACGACGAGTTGGTCTGTAGTAAGACCCACTGGAGTTCAAATGGTCGATACCTATTAGTACCTACTATCGAAAACGAAGTCCATGTATATCAACGTGATGATTGGAAGATTATTAAGAAGTTTGATAATGATAATGCCAAGATTGTTGATTTTGCCTTGAGTGCCAATGGGAAACATTTGGTTATTTTATCTCATGACGGATTCAAGATTTTTGATTTTGATAGTGGCAATGTCATTCATGAAGATACAGTTGATTTTGATGGGTACTATCCCTTGAATACTGCTTGGAGGGGTAATCATTTGTTTATAGGTACCACCAATGGGGAAGTGTTGTCTTTGAAGAATATTGTTTCAGAATCAGCATCTAATTTGTTTGTTGACGAAGCTGAAGAACTGGATATTGAAGATGACGAAGGGGAAAAAGACGATGGTAATGATACTGATGTATTATTGCGTGATTCCGACGATGAAAACGAAGAACCTGCTCTTGCTAGAAAACGTGAATATAAATTACACGAAGAGGACGAGTTGATTATTGATGAAGACGATGAAGAATTGAATGGATTATCCAATGGTCATTCTGAATCTTACAAAAGATCTAAATTGAATGGACATTCTACCTCCAATGGACATGCACATGTTCCTACTTTTGAAATCAAACCATACTCTCCCGGTTCTACCCCATTCAATCATGGTTCCGTCAAAAAGAGATATTTGACCATGAATAACTTGGGATATGTATGGATCGTCAAGACGATCGAACTTGAATCTCAACAAAGTATAACTGTATCATTCTTTGACAGATCTGTTCATCGTGAATACAATTTCATTGATTATTCTGGGTTTGATCTTGCTTCCTTGAACGCGCGAGGTATTCTTTTGGCCAGATCAGCGGATTCCAAGAAAGAAGGGGGTTTAGTGTATTACCGTGACCACGATGATCTGTACAGTTGGGAACGTAAAATTCCTTTGGTTGTCAATGAGTACATTACTTCCGTTTGTATTTCCAATAGCAATTCCGAGAATGATTTGATTGTGGTTGGTACTAATATGGGGTACTTGCGTGTTTTCGACCAGTTTGGATTATGCGTCAATGTCATCAAGACCACGCCGGTTGTATCCTTGATTTCATCTTCTCGAGCGACCTTGTTCATGATTAACCAAGTTGCCAATGTGTTTACGTACTCTATTATTGAATTGGCTGATTTCAAATACTATCAACAAAATGTGATGCTTCCATTGAAACACCTGGATAAGCTCTTGATAAAAGGTGTGTTTTTCAATGAATACGATGATCCTATTTTAGTTGGTGGAGAAGATGACACCGTGCTTGTATTACATCAATGGAGACAAGAGCAGAATTCGAAATGGATTCCACTTTTGAATTGTCATGATGCGATCGTAGGACATAATCGGAATAAGAAAAATTGGAAGTGTTGGCCATTAGGGTTGATTGGTGAGAAATTGAACTGTTTGATTTTGAAAGGTGGTGATTCAGAATATCCTGGATTCCCCTTGCCCTTGCCAGTTGAAATTGACATTGAGATGCCGATTGTTGTCAAGGAGAGGGCCAAAGAAAAGAAAAAGAGTGATTTGGACGACCTTGGACTTGGCGAGGGTGATGACGATGATGAAGAGGACGAGGAAGAAACTAGGGTTGAAGAAGATGCCGAAGAAGTCTTTGTAAGGTCAACTACTTTCGGTAAGTTGCTCAGTGAGACTTTGAATGATGAGAATACCGAGGATACAGATAGACTGGATATCATGGAGAGATTGAATGAGTGCGCTAATCTTTTCGACAAGTCCTTGTTGAAATTGTTTGGCCAAGCTTGTAGCCAGAGTCAATTGAATAAAGCCTGGAGTATAGTTAAGATGATCAAGAAGGACAAGGCGCAGTATGCTGCATTTAGAATTGCTGAAAGAATGCAATTTATGAATTTGGCTAACAAGATCAGAGAGTTGCGAGAAATGTCCTTGGAAGAGGAGGAGGATGACTAGACCAGTTAGGTAGTGTATAACTAAGGGATAGTGGGTAGTCGTGTATATTAACAACCGCGATAACCTATATACATTGAACAGACAAGTGTAAAACAAGTAGATCTATATAATTCCAAATAGCAAGCCAATACCTTTTAAAACTAGTTCTTCTTGAAGTAGTGGAACACCATTGGGATGACCCATAAGGTACCAGCTAAAACACCAGCAAACACCAAGGTGTCGTGAGCGTACTTTTCACGAAGTTTCTTTTCTTCTTCAGAAGGTTGAGGACCGCCAAACATATTGTGTGAAGTTGATAATGAAGATTAGGAGATTTAATAATAAAACAAAAAAAAATTTGTTTTCATTTTCCACCTTAGCGCCTTCATGAATGAAACTTTGGTGTGAGCCGCAGAGCAGCAGCATGATCGATCGATCGTTCTCTCTGCCTGTCTCTCTCGCTCACTTGCTCCCGCCCATGTGCAGGAAGAAAGCAAATATAGAACAAGAAGACGAAGAAAAAATTAATGCCAGGCTCTTGTCAACATTTGACAGCTTGACAGCTATTTCCGTTTTTGACGAGGGCCACACAGAAACACTTTGCAAAAGTGACAATGACGTCAATCAAACCATTTCAAATCGAGGACTTGTTTGAGTTCAATTCAGTCAATCTCGACCCACTCACGGAAAACTTCAATATTTCGTTTTATTTACAGTATCTTACCGACTGGCCCCAGCTATTCTTCAAATCAGTAGAACTTTCCCGTCATTTTGGCCAACCACATGAAATCAGCGGATATATGATGGGCAAGACCGAGGGCAAGCTCGCGAAAAAGGAATGGCACACGCATATCACTGCAGTGACTGTGCAGGACCAGTATCGTCGACTTGGACTCGCCAGCGAGTTGTGTCTCGAGCTTGAAAAAATGACCAGCGTGGCACCCTATGAGACGTTGTTTGTAGATTTGTTTGTCAAAGTAACAAACACTTTGGGGAGGCAGTTGTATGAGAAGTTGGGCTATAGCGTATACCGACGAGTAGTCGGGTACTATGGCCAGACAATGCCGATGGACAGGAATGCCATTGACGATGAGATTGATGCGTTTGATATGAGAAAACTGTTGCCGCGAGACACGAACAATGAGACAATTAGAGACAAAGGAGACAAAGTATATGTGCTACCTCAGGAGGTGACGTTTTAGCAGACATTAGCATAGATACTAGAATAAACATTTACCATACCGATTAGCGATATGTTGTATATTTGTAGTCTTGGATTGGTTGGTCACGAAGGTTATTTCCGAGAATCAGCCCTTTGCCCTTTGTGCGGCTTAATCGTATGACCCTCCCCCCTCTCTCCAAAAAACTTTACCCCATTCCACATAGCAATTTTTGAAAAATTTTTATCATCACTTCTGCAATTCAATCAATCAACAGCCAGGTTTACCATGTCTCGCAGACACTTGTTAAAGAGAAGAGGAGATGGAACTCACACTCCCAAGTCTGGTGCGTCCTCACGCGCCCCCTCAGCTGCCAGAACACCGCTAAGACTGGCAGATGACTCTGATGCCGAAGACGACGCCAATGGTGAACAAGATCTTTTCAAATTAGAGGAGTTGCTTCGTGAGAAATTGGCCAATCTACAGCAGGCCGAAGTTGGAGAGATGAACAAAGAAGATAGAATAAGTGTGGGCGACAGACGTCAATACGAGGCCGACTCACTTAATAAGTTTAGAATTCAAAGTGAAGCCACCGGAGTCACCGACATCATTGTGTCTCTTTCCTTCAGTCGTGCTGATGTTTCCCTGAGTTCCCGAGAATTGCTATTGGCGCAATTGTACAAGGTGATTATCTCACGTCCATTGAGCGTGGTAAATGAAGAAAATGCCGGCACAGCCAATTATGTCGACGAAGATAAGGTTCTGAAATTGATTTCCATATTTAACGAGGGCGATTACCGTAGCGATTTTGAGTTTTTGTACCTTTACAAGTCCATTATTGCCTTGCTTTGTTCAGACATTGACGATTTTTCCACCTTGATATCGACGGATTTCTTGGCCAAGATCACCCAGCTCTTGGTCGAACCCGCCACCAGTATCATCACCAATGAAAACAAGGCCAACATAATATCTGGGTACGTTGTTCTCAATTTGATTCTCCACCACGGTGCATCGGCATTTGGAATCGAGGATCAAATAGCCATGCTCATGGAATTGGCCGAAGGGTATACGGCTAGTTCCAGTGCGTTGAAACGACAAGTTGAAATGGGCGACCGTGAACACGCAACATTTATCACCGATAAGAACATGGACAAGAGGTTGATTCAGGAAGCTAACTCAAAAGTCACCGAGGAAGCCGGTGTCGCCATAGCCGCATTGCATGGTGTCGCATGTTTCTTGACATTGTTGACTCGAGGGACTTTCTTGAATGACATATTACAAGACTTGATGATCAAATTAGTGCCGATTTTAGATAATGATGAAAACAGAGATATTGCCAAAGCTGCCGCCAGAGCTATTGGTGTCGTTTATGAAATGTTTGATTACGATGAGGAAGAAAGTGAAGACGAGGAACCGGATATGGATTACAATGTAAACTCTCCATATTATGAACAAGAATCTTTGTTTGCTATTCTTGAAAGGCTCACCAACTTGTCATCGAAAAAGGTGTCCAAGAGGGACAAGAAAGAAATCAACTCCATATTTAGAAACATCAAAAACACCGTGGAAAGTTATGTGGACCCTAAACAGAGAGTACAGATATATAAACGCTCACCAGAAGGAATCGAAATACTTGGCAACACCATCGATTCTACATCCATAAAATTATCCAAGTATAAAGTGTTGCGCATAAACACCTGGTGTTTGCATGCTCGATTACGTCATTTGAGATGGTGCTTTAGTTTTGGATTACACAATCAACTCATTAGTGATGATGGATTCCAAGATATATTAAAAGAGCCCGAAAATGAATATAATTCATATGGGCTCAATCATGATGAGATCGACGATAGTTTGTTGCATGAAGAGAATGCCCAGGTATTACACGAATACTTGGACTATAAACATTCAGCTGATGAAAAGACTCGAAAAGAAAAGCGTAAAAAGGAAAGAAGGTCAAAATTAAACGAACATCTTCAAAGTTTAGCTTTGGAATAGGTTTATAAATTATCTTTATATATATATATGTATAAATACCACTCCCTTTACAAAATTTCTAAACTAACTGTAAGACGAGAGTATTCATCTTCGTCAGCATCATCAGATTCTATCAAGGACACCTTGGAGAAATCTTCGATGACATAAGTAGCACCCGCCTTAAGTAATACTTCTTTCGAGAATGTACTGGCAATTCCAATAACCAAGAACCCACCATTGACACCACTTTTAACCCCGGTAGGCGCGTCTTCAAATACAATTGCCTTGGGACGGGATACACCCACCACTATATTGTTAAGGGAAATCAATTTCTTGAATGCAGTATAATATCCTTCTGGATCAGGTTTACCGTTAGAAACGTCATGTGCAGTAATGAAAATTTTCGGACGAGGAATAGAAGAGAATAGTCTATTGTACCAACCATAAGCTAATTCTTGAGTTCCTGAAGTAATAATCGCCCAACTATCCTTCGCACCTTTCTCATTCAAACTTTCAAGAAATGCAACACTTCCAGGAATAGGTTTACCTAAATCGCCGTACTTACGCACAATCTCCAGTTCCCATATGTCAATGTCCTTTTGACTCACAGGCAATTTCTCTGGAAAGCTCTTGGTGAATGTCTCCACGGTTCGCAGGCCATGGCACTCAAATAACAACGTTTGCAAATCGAGTTTTGCATCTGGGTGTTGTTTGTTATGCACTTCTACTTCATGTTCCCAGCTCTTTTCCACGGCCGCGGTAGAATTGACTAACGTTCCATCAAGATCAAACAAGATGAAGTTGGTGTTTAATGTGATGATATTGCTCATTTAGTATCTGCTTCAAGAAAGGAATGTATTATGCGGCGGTATAAATTAAAAAACACCCACATAGACTTTTATGTGGACGTTTTTGTTTTTTTCGGTTTGCCCCACAAATAAAGTGCTACCCCCTAATTACCCCCTAAGCTTTATAATACTCAGCCTTGGGATCGAAATAGCCTGCGTCATTATAGTTTCTAATACGGAGTTCTCTGGTCACACCCAATTCAAATAACCAGTGATCTAAATCATATAAGAACCCTCCATATCGAGTATCATTGTATTTCTTGTACTCTTCCATATGATCGATCCACATGTTCTTTTCTTTAGACATGAAAAATTGGAAAATTAGACATAAGCAGGAAAACACATACAATAACCTCATTGCAAATTCATGGTGTTCATAAAGAAGGTCACGGTATGCATCAGGGATTACTATGGCCCATCGGAATAATGGGATCGGAAATTTGAAGTACATACATGCAAACAATGCTTCATTCAACCCTTGAATTGCATCTCGGCAGATTTTGCGTTCATCTTCTGGTAACTCCGTGGTATCTAGATCTTCAAGTAGTTGAATTATAAGCGGGTATGTAGCTTCTTGGATCAGCGGCGCTAAATTTGCAATCGCATCCTTGAATACCATCAACTCTCGTAGATCCGTGTTCAAAATCACGGGAAGAGTTTGCGTTAAAATAGTTCTAATTCCTCGGGATATTGTAAGTAGATCTGGCTTGGATCTGTCAAATGAGATCAAAGGAAGAAGTTTATACGGATGGACTCCCAAGAATGCAAGCATTAAAATACTAGATATCAACACTTCTTTAGCCTTCTCCTCATTGCCATTGATACTCACCACCCGTTCCCGATTTTGTGCTAATGTTTTGTTGAAATAAGACAACGTTTTCTCAAATAGTTTATCCTTGATGTCATACGGTAACAATGCCATTGAATCCATATTTCCAGTTAGTTCAAATTCACTTAGTAGAGTCATGCCTGAAAAACTGTAAATGCTTTGCTGGACCAAATCACTTCCTGGCAATAACTTAGGAACCTTGAATTTCCAAGTATTTCTCAGGTTGACTCCAAATGAAAAGAAATCAATGCACCTATGGTTAAAAAAATGAAGAAGCCGCAATTCAAATGCTGAAATGTCCATTTGTGAGGTTGTCTGGGTAAGCACCAAGTCCTTTGTAGGATTCAAAATTACAATTGGTTCGGATGATGCAGTCACCCTGGGACTTTTGCTTCTACTTCTACTTGAACCAGGGGTAGAGGAGGCACTAGATGATGTACTTCCTTTGATAGGTCCCGGTGGTGGGTAAACACATTCTCGGTTGGTATGAACGCAATACTCACAACAAGGATGGGCTTCATTGCACTAAGGGATGTTAGTAAATTAACTTAAACTACGAGATAATACATCAGACATACCTTAATTCTTAACCTTTTACAACTCAAACATCCATTTCTTGATCGCTTTGGTAGAGCCATTGAGGTGCTACTTTGACTAATTATAATTTGTAATTGTTTACCAGGCTTAGCTTTCAAATCAACAACACAATACTCGTGCGGCTTTAGTTGCAAATTAAGTGCAAAATAATCCAGGAAGTGCTGCTTGCAATCACAATATTGCAAAGTAAGTTCAAGCAATTATTCGTAAACTGCTCAATAAAAGCGATGTATTAATAAATATTTGTATTTATTGGTTTTCTTGGGGAATTTTACTATACTAGAATTCCTTAAACGCACAGCCTCATTGTAGAAATACGCAACAACCAAGATAATAATTTCGAGAAAACCCATTGAACTATAAATGAACCAAACCTAACCTTCAATTTATAGGTCAGCAATGGGGTATTTGTAACATTATATTCAATCAATCTACAAGGTTCTCTTGGTATAAGCTAATCTCTACCACGTGAGATACCAAAGTTGGACAATCCACTACGTTACGATTCCAGATGTGTTGAATTGAGCACCAGCATTCAATATAATTGTACTAGAAACCAATTGCTAATAGCACAATTAAAAATACCAAATTCTTATGTAACACAAACAATTTAGAAAACAAAAACGCATGATCTAATACTCCTCTCCCCTCCCCCTCCCCATATTAACCTCTTAAACTTTGTAATACTCAGCCTTGGGATCAAAATAGCCTGCGTCATTATACTTTCTAATACGAAGTTCTCTGGTTACACCCAATTCAAATAACCAGTGATCTAAATCATATAAAAATCCCCCGTACCGAGAATCACAGTACTTCTTGTACTCTTCCATATGATCGATCCACATGTTCTTTTCTTTAAACATGTGAAATTGGAAAATTAAACATAAGCAGGAAAACACATACAATAACCTCATTGAAAATTCATGGTGTTCATAAAGAAGGTCACGGTATGCATCAGGGATCACTATGATCCATCGGAATAATGGGATGGGGAATTTGAAGTACATGGTTGCAAACAACGCTTCAGTAAATGTCAGGATTGTTTCACGGCAGATTTTGCGTTCATGCGATGGTAATTGGGTATTATCTAGATCTTCTAGAAGTTGTATAATAATTGGATATGTGGTTTCTTCAAGTATTGGTGTTGAGTCTGCAATAAGATCTTTAAATATCATTAGTCCTCGAAGTTCCGAATTCAAAATCACCGGAAGAGTTTGTTTTATAACTGTTTGAATCCCTCGTGCTATTGAAATTAGGTCTGGTTTTGACTTATCGAGTGAAATTAAAGGAAGAAGTCCATATGGATGGACTCCCAAAAATGCAAACATTAAAAAACTAGAAATTAGCATTTCCTTGGCCTTGTCTTCATTTTCATTCATACTTTGTACCCAAGTACGATTCTGCGCCAACATATTAGTGAAATAAGTCAAGGTTTTTTCAAACAATTTGTTCTTAATATCATAAGGCAATAATGCCATTGTATCCTTACTCCCCGTCAATTCTAACTCAGTCAATAATGTCATACCTGAAAAACTATAAATACTCTGTTGCACTAAATCACTTCCAGGGAATAATTTAGGAACCTTGAATCTCCAAGTATCATGAACTTTCGGATTGACCCCAAATGAGAAGAAATCAATACATCGGTAGTTGAAGTAGTGGAGAAGACGCAATTCAAATGGTGAAATGTCCATTTGTGAAGTTGCTTGTGTGAGGATTAAGTCTTGGGAGGGATTCAATATTTCAATTGGTTCAGGTGAAAATGTCCTGGGACTTGTACTTCTGCTTATACTAGGAGTAGAAGCTGCACTTGATGATGCACTAGTCTTGCCTCCTTTTATTGGTCCTGGTGGCGGATAAACACATTCTCGGTTGGTATGGACACAGTATTCACAACAAGGCCGAGCCTCATCGCACTAAGGGATGTTAGTACATTTCAACTTTAACTGGGGGAATATACAACAAACGTACCTTAATTTTCAACTTTTTACAACTCAAACATCCATTTCTTGATCTTCGCTTTGCTCGAGTCATTAAGGTGCTTTAACTGAGTTGTGATTAAATACGTGATTATTTACCAGGCTTAGATTTAAAAACAAATGTAATTCTCGTGCGGCTTTAGATGCAAATTATAACATGCAAAATAACCGAGGTAAACACAGATGCGATAACAATCACAATAGTATTAGAGATTGTCAGATAGATTCAAGCAACTACTGAAAAATTGTTAAAGATGAATGATTCACTCTTAAATAATGCATTTCTTAGTTTTTTCTTTGAATGTGTTTCTCTAATAGACCGTGTTTCAGAGCACAGCCCCCCTCCCTTCGTAGGAACAGGTAACCGAAACAATCCATATACTTTAAACACATCAAGTAGACACTAAATAAAACAAGCATGTCTCTAAGGAACAAGATACGCGTGATATATTCCAAACATTGCTTGAGCTCAATTTATAGATTGCCCAGGAATAGTCCACCAAACGCTACCACGTGAGCTACAAATGTTGCAAAGCCGGTCCGCGGAAATCATAGCCACTAGCCACCAGCCACCACATGTGTTTGATTGAGTGCTTTCTTTCTATATAAGTTGTATTACAAATCTTACTAATAGTATAAATGAAACATGTGAAATGTTTATATAACACAAAGGTTGGATTGACACAAATTTAGGGCAAATTTCCAGGTTACCCGAAATACGTTAAAATGCTTAGTAATAATGGTACAAAAGAGACAGGAATTTAGTTGAAATTCTTGAAATCTACAACTTGCAACTATAATTTGTTGAGTTAAAAACCAACAAAAAAAGCAACCACATTTGATGAATGTGCAGTGTGTGTGTGTGTGTGTGTGTTTACCAACATCACCAAAAATATCAGTAAATAACGAAACCCACATTTCTATTACAAAAAAAAGACGGATTCAGTATTTAGTGCCCTTAAACCATCGCGGTGTTGATGCATCACGTCATAGAAAAATTTAAATTTAAGACAAGCACTAAAAAAAAAACAGAGGCAACAATAAAGTGCGGCATCTGATACTCAAAATTATAATCACTCATTTTATTTTTCTTCCTTACAACAATTGTCTGATTACACCAAACCCAAGATTTACACAACTCTAGAGACCATCTCACATGTCGGAGCTATATTTCTTGCGGCATGCTGAAAGAATAGACCATGCCCAGTCAAACTCTATCGCATTGACCCCAACTTACGAGGAATACGACCCGTCGCTTTCTGCCAACGCGATACCTCAAATTGAACAGGTGGTCAATGATATAACCTCCACATCTACTGCATTTCCAACCACACCCACCATTCGAAACAAGACTATATACATCCACTTCAGTCCATACTTGCGATGTTGTCAAACTGCTGATCTACTTGTGACTCATCTCAAGCACAGGTTAAGTCATGATGACAGGTATGCCAAATACAATGTCAAGTTTCAACTATTGGGTGATTTTGCCTTGAGTGAGTGGATCCATGAGAAAATGAGCAATAAGCCCCCATTCACAGATTCTGATGATGCATATGCCATGTATACTGCCAATCTAAAACAGCTTGTTAACAAGTCGTGTTGTTCTAATTTTAGGCCCGCAACTAAGTTGGGACCATATAATGGACCAGGGTTGAAATACAAAGATTATCAGTTGAACTGCAAAGAATATTTCACCAAATTGTTGGCCACGTATGACAAGCCAATGTACATCAAAAATCAAGATATTATCATCATAATATCCCACGGATATGCCATCAACAACTTTATGACCTATTTCACCAACCATCCAATTTTTCAAGAGATACCCGTGGCCAAAATTAATTTCGCCCAGAGACTATTACTGGATGGGAAATCTGAAGACGGGACTTACAAGACCGACAACTACAAGTGGAAATTACTCAAGGACGCCCTTGAAATTATGGAGGAACATCATGAATATGCATTAAACTTGGATACAAATGTGGTTTATTACAAGACCAATTTCATCAGAAAGGATAAGTTAAAATGGAACGGATCGGAACCAGAATTGGCTGTTAGTAATCTTCCCCGCCTAGGGTTCAAAAATGATGCCAAATCTTTGGATTCCGATAGCTTGTTAACTCCGGCTGCTAAAAATTGGATACCTGGGGTTAAGATATATTTGATCAAGAGGGAATTCAAGGAGAAGTACATGAATGATGAATCATTCAAACGCGATTATGATATTTCTAATCCGCCAACTAGGCGAGTAACTCCGGAAGTATCACCACAATCAGCACCGTCACGAGTTAACTCGTATATTGATATTCTGAGATTATTAAACAATGAAAACTTATCTAAACCATTGAAGTTAAAGTATGGAAGCAATCAAGATATTCCCTCGCTGGCGTTGAATTCCAAAGTCAATTCTCAGGTCAACCTTATGGATTATTCCGCGAGCGGATACGCCAGTGGCACGTCTTCAAATTCAAGTATAGACAAGATGTTATTTTCATTGCAGCACAAGAGTAGTAAAACTGCAACTAATGCACCTGAGGAATACTTCCCACAAGTTAAATCACCCTTGCAAGCCGCATTACCAGATATACCAATTGAAGATATCCAAGGAAGAAACTCACCCATTGAAGTATTATCCCGAGCAAGATCGGGAATTTACAAACAATCTATTCTCGCACAACAATCTTCAAATTCACTAACAGAAGAATATGATGACGGATCTGACAAGAGACATTTCACGTTGGAATTCTCACCCACGAGAACCCCAAGCACGAATCAACGTCATGCCACTCCTTCTTCAAACACATCAACTCCCCGCCAAACCAGATCACGTAAAAATTCAATCAAGTTTATCCCCTCGGGTGTTGCAACAACCCTGTCTATGAATAGATCAACTGAACATATTTCCAAGGTTAAACCAATTTTTTATAATCTTGCCAGTGACAATGATGATGATGATGAAGAAATGAGTCTTGATGAATCTACAAGTAGTAGCACTAATAATAACAGCGGACAGTATTACTGGTTAGGACAAAATAGATAAGGTATAGGTATTCATTATATAGCATATTATTTGGTTCCTTTTTTTGTAGAGTTTCCAAATTCCATATTATACCACAACGATTGATATGGTAGCGCGGACTTTATTTGAGGTTGCGCTTTAATGCGCGCGCTGCTGTTTTGGTTGTCTGTGTGTTCAGGGTATCCTTTCCTTATCAATGTTAGCAACATGACGGCAACTACCGAAGCTCATGATGCTCTAACTCAAGTGAAACTATCCAATACATTTGGTCTTTCTAAAGATCTTACTGATCCAATAATTGTGAAAATATGTTATCTTGAACCAACTTTAATAACACAACATGAATCCATACCATTGCTGACCAAATTCGAAAACCCAAGTGTTTTCAAAACATCATCAAGGATATACAAAAACTCAGATTTGTTCATACGGATTGGAATGTATGATGGGAAGAACAACAATTTGATTGCACCCGTTTCCCAAACTACATTCACGCATTTCCGCGGGAGACGAGTATGGAACCAGTACGTGAAATTAGCCATGGAGTACAACCAGATATGTCTGGGCGCATACTTGAAGTTTGTCATATATGAAATTGTTGATTGTAAGAGTGTTGTGTTTGGGGTAGGGTACTTGTCCATGTTTAATCATACGAGGTCGACATTAAGGAGTGGTTCACAGAAGGTGGCAATTAATACGAAATTGCCAGACAAACCGCTGGTTGATTATGGTGATCCCAAGGGGTTGACTGAGTTGGAAACCAATTTGATCAAGTTTGAAAACGGTGAGTTTAATAGAGTCAATTGGTTGGATAAATTGGTGTTGCCTAAATTAACCGGGGGTCAGAAACTGGACCAAGAAGAAATCAATACTGATGCCGATTATTTCTTGTATGTTGAATTACCCAATTTTGAATTCCCAATAGTTTATTCCGACATAAAGTATGAAATACCGACCATACCCAAATTCGAACCCAAGCAACCGGAAAATTCAAGTATTGTGATTAATTCTGTGGATATACTGTCTGAAGGCAGTCAACCAAAAGTTTACGATCCCGATTTCCAAATAGCCACCAGGCTAAATCATATTAATGCTACAACAACAATCTACGATCCCATTGAACTTAAATATCATAAACTTGAAAGAAACATTAATAATAATACCATGTTGGATAAGGAATTGAAACCTACTCCACAATTGCGAGATGAGTTACTTCGAATTTTAGTCAAACCTTCAAATATTGAGCTTAATGATTATGAAAAGAACTTGATTTGGAAGTTTAGGTATTATTTCAGTAAGAATAACCAAACCAATATCGATTCAAGAAACAAAACCACGACTCAATCATTCTTGCCTAAATTCTTGAAGTCGATTGATTGGGATAATGATTATGAAGTAGATCATGCATTTAATGAGATTATTCCTAATTATTGGGGAGTTAATAACTTACAAATTGGTGATGCTCTTGAATTACTCGGAGATTATTTTAATCCGTTTGTATTGGGAAGATCTATGTATCCTGTTGAACAACCACAACGTGATAGCTCAAAGTTGAAAGATGATGAAAAGAGATTCTTGAATCTATTCAAGAATGTGACATTATTGAGAAAGTTGGCAGTTGATAGGTTGAGATTGGCAAGTAGTGACGAACTACTTTTGTACTTGCTTCAACTTGTGCAAGCATTGAAATATGAATCGTTGATCTATGAACGGAAGCTTCCATTTGATGAAATTGATTTACATCATCATAAAAACAATGGAGATCCTTTGGAATCTCCCCTTGCCAAATTCTTGATTGACGAGTCTGTACATTCCGAAAAGTTGGGAAATTTCTTTTACTGGTATGTTAAAGTTGAAAATGAAGATCAGTTAAATACTCGATCTACACCACCTCAGGAAAGGCTGCCATTCGAAAATACCGACAGTAAAATGTATGGTGCAATTTTGAACAAGTATATTGACAACCTTAAGAAACATTGTCATGAGCATAGATTGCCTTATTACAAACATCTAAAACGACAAATTTGGTTTATTAAGAAACTAACTGGTTTAGTTGAATTGTTAAGGAGTTCATTTAGAAAGAATGAATCAACAATGAGGAAAACTGAATTTTTAAAAGAATACCTTTCTAATTCTTCAAATGAACTCTTAAAATTTCCTGACCCGTTTCCGCTACCATTGGATCCTTCGATTATGATCTGTGGTTGTTATCCTGAAGAATCTGCCGTGTTTAAATCATCATTGGCTCCATTGAAGATTACATTAAAAACTATTGAGAGTGGTGGTGCAAGTCGTCATTCAGCAACATCGCAGATTATATTTGGAAAGAAACATAATAAGTATGGAAAATACCCTATGATGTTTAAAATAGGGGATGATTTACGTCAGGATCAACTAGTGATACAAATCATTGATCTTATGGATCAATTATTAAAGAATGAAAATTTGGATTTGAAATTGACTCCATACAAGATTCTCGCTACTTCACCAGTAGCTGGGTTAATTCAATTTGTTCCTAATGAAACGCTTGATTCTATTCTTTCGAAAACATATCCTGAGATTTCAAGACCAACTCTGAATCAAAGCAGTGCCAACAGTGGTGCCCCTCAAGTCAGTACTCCTACCACTACCAATGGAATTCTAAACTATCTCCAAGTACATAGTCGGGATCAACAAGAATCAGAACCAACACCCACACATAGTATTCTTGGGGCATCGCATGTTGCTGCACCTACATCACCACCACTGCCACGAGTACAACCTAAACCAGCAATCACATCTAACATGGGTGTCTCACCTGTGCTAATGGACAACTATGTTAAATCATGCGCTGGGTATTGTGTGATTACGTACATATTAGGTGTCGGTGATCGTCATTTGGACAATCTATTATTATCACCTAATGGTAAATTCTGGCATGCTGATTTCGGATACATTTTAGGACGTGATCCAAAGCCGTTCCCGCCATTGATGAAATTGCCGATTCAAGTAATTCACGGTATGGGTGGGTTACAACATGAGAATTACAATATATTCAAAAGTTATTGTTTTATCACGTATACTACATTGCGCAAGAACAGTAATTTGATTCTCAACTTGTTTCAATTGATGTTGGATGCCAACATACCTGATATCAAGTTTGATAGAACTAGAGCTATTGAGAAGGTACAAGATAAGTTTTGTTTGCAAATGACTGAAGAAGAAGCGATTTTGCATTTCCAGAATTTGATTAATGATAGTGTGAGTGCGTTTATGCCGGTTGTTATTGATAGATTACATAGTTTGGCTCAATATTGGAGGGCATGAGCTACGCCAACACACACATATTTATATATATATATATCGTGTTGTAGTTTATTTAATACATGGGTACTAGTGCTAACGCCGTGTGAATGGACTATAATTCTATAAATAAACTGAATTAGTTTGCATGGTATTTTTTTTTTGCAACTAAATTCCTGCACATAATTTTGTTGTTTACAATTTTCCCGATTTGGAGAGCAACCAGCGAAGAACATTAGGTGGATCAAATTCTACGTTTCTAGGCCAAGAGATCACAATGACGGCCAGAGACAAAGTTAATTTCAGGCAGTGATCCAAACATACTTTTGTGTGAATTGAACTGATTTGAATTCCACTTTCTTTTCCCTACACTTCCATTCTTGCCTTAACATATATAGATAGTCTGTTCTTAATCCAAGAACAGGATACAAACAAACAACCTTGCATTAGACACTCATTAGCATATTAGCATCTCGTTCATGTCATTACCTCCACTTCCATTCAAAGTAAAGACCAAGGTTTCATGGGCTGGTGAAGAGGATGGAGATTTAGGATTCCTTGAAAACGAAGTCATTGAAGTGTTTTCCATCGTCGATGAGAGTTGGTGGAATGGGAAGTTACGAAGAAATAACGCCGAAGGTATATTCCCGAGAGATTACGTGGAGCTCATTGACGATAAATTAAGTCAATCTTCTTCATATGCCTCGTTGAACAATTCCAGATTCAATACTCCCACCAAGCAACCACAAGCTCGAAGCAACAACACAACTCCCCAAAATGGCTTCTTCAAGTCTGCCAAGAAGAGCCATAGGTTAAATAACCCTAATATTTCCCTTGAATATGATGGCGATGCAAGTTTCGACACCAGCTATGACAATGAACGGTTTTTCAAGTCTTATACAGCCAGTCCAAGCAACAACAGAATGTCCAAGCAGATGCACCAATCAAGAAACAGGATGAGTTATCAATATCCTCCAGATGCTAGGGATATGGATAATATGAGATTTCAACAACAATCTCCTACTAAGTCATTAAATGACCTCAAAAGGTTACTGTTGCAAGAAAGAAGTGAGCCTAAGATGATCAGATCTCAGTCGTATATGCCCGAACCACAACCTCCCTATCCAAAATCTCCGTCGTATATGCCTGAGCAACAACACCCTTATCCAACCAAATCTCATTCATATATGGATGTACATGTTTCCAAATATAACGAGGAACCAAAATATAGAAAGAATAAGTCAGAGCAAGAGTTATTATATGAATTCGAGGAAATTGCCAAAAAGAAAGCAATGTTGGAAATGGAATTAGAAAGATTGAAACAATTAGAACAACCACCTTCCAAACCAAGAACCAGTCCTTTACAATCACAGCCTAATCCCTCGGTTGATTCATATAGCGATGGGCGCAGTTCCGATTTAAGTAAGAAAATGTCTCGTTATGTCACAGACGAAGAAGAAGAAGACTATGACAACGGGTACACTTATGCTCGTCACTCTTCTCCGCCTACTCCGCCTACCAGGGATGAATCTCCTCCACCTCCTCCACCTAAACATGCTATTTCTCCAAACTATGGCATGGAAGAACAATACGGAAGATCAACTCTACGTGCTAGTAATCACCGCGCCAGTCAAGGTGCAGAGGCAGAACTTGATTTACTTCGTTTAAGTCAGCAACAAGAAGAATTGAAAGCTTCTATTAAATCATTACAAAGCGATGTGTTGAACTTGTCCGAATTAAGCGCTACTAGTGCCGGTTCATTCATGAGACATAAGTACGAGAGATACATGAATGAATCAAAAATGGATGTAAACCGCGAGGAACCTCCAGAGGAAGAAATGGCAAAGACAGATTCTAAAGAAGCCTTTGACGCTGTTTTCCAAGATAAGAAATCTAAACATCCCAAAATATTCAAGATGTTAATGAGAAAATCCCAAACTGAACCAGCTTTAAACCCAATTGAACGCAATTTAAAGCAACAGGATGAAATGGATTGGGCTGATTTTAAAATTCTGATGAATAGAATGAATTCTTTAACCAGCGAAGACAAACAGTCTAGAACCAAGAGAGTTGTTAGAGAAGAAGGCAACTTAATTGTTAAGCCATTAGACTATGTCACTGAAATCAATACCAATGAAACAATTGGTGAAGGTAGTGACGGCTTCAATCTTTCAGATGTCAGATATTCCAAGGTTGCTTCATTCATGGAACATTACCAGACTAGCTCTGATATGAATGATATGATTTCAGACATTTCCGTTAAGTTCCATGCTTCCAAATTAAATCAAATAAGATGTGTGTTGTTGCACATGTGTAAATTCCGTATTATTGAAGAACCAAACAAGATTCTGATACTTAAACCAAAACTCAAGGATGTTCAATATAAAGGCGAAGCATCAATTTACCAAATTAACTACCTTTTTAAGAAGATTTTGGATGCCTTGCGAATTCCCCTGGAGATTGTTCCTGGGTTTTGGAAGAAACCTAATGAGTTTTATCACAATGAACAATTTGTCATTAATCATTGTTGGCTCTCTATTCTTGTTGATGATTCCTTCAGAGTTATGGATATTTACAACTTTAAACACGGAAGTGTTTGTAATGTCAAGAAATACAACGAGTTTTACTTTTTAGCTGAACCATTGAGTGTGGTGTCTACTTACATTCCTTCCATTGTTGAATTACAACATGTCATGCCACCAATTGATCCAAACATTGCATTTTATTTACCTAGAACTTACTCCGGATTTTATAAAAACCATTTAACATTCAAGAACTTTAATAATGCATTAACCAGATTAAAAGATTTAGAATTTTTCGAGTTGGAATTGGATATTCCTACCGATGTCGAGTTATTCACGCTAGTTAAAACTGCAAAAGTCACCACCAATGAATTAAGTTTATGTCAAGTCAAGTGGGTAAATAATAAGCGAATAGCTAAAATCAAGGCCATGCTTCCAGACAAGGAATCTATTGGTGTACTCCAAATCTTTGCTGGTGAAAAGGGATTACAGAAACATTTTGATAATATTCACGAACTAGCAATAGTCATTCCATTATACCATCAAGGAACATACAAGCCATCTTCATTCGTTCAAAGATTTCCTACCGTACAGTCCCAAAACAATGATTTGTACATTACAAAACCACAAGTTAATAAGCTTGTACTTAAAAATGCCTATAACTTTGAAATTGAGCAGCATCCATCCCAGGGAGTCTCATCTGTATCAACTACTCGTGATTTCAAGCTTGTTATTGAATCGCCACTGGGTAAGTATTTCCCATTGACCAAAGACGATGATTCGGTACCATATGGTGTGTATTCTTCCAATATCAAATGTCAAGAAACAGGTGTGTACCGAGGATTGGTTATTGGTGATAGTGGTACCAGTTGGTATGTGTTTGCCCAATGGGAGTGTATTGCTTAGCTTAACATTAATTTAATAGAATAATTTGATTTTCGATTTTGGTTGCAAAGTATTCGCACAGTATAAATTGAGCAGTTATTTCCTCTCAATTTGTTTTTTTTTACAAAATTCTTCTTCTTTCTTTTTTAATTTCAATTTATATCAAAATTCATTTAGTTGAGACAGCAAACTTATTAGGTATGTATAATACACCATTGTAAGGTTGAAGAGTCCATCATGTTTGATTGAGTTTGTACTAAACTGGGTATTGTTAAGGTACATGAATACCAGTTGACTGCAACAAGTTTTTGTACGCCAAATCCATATCATTTGAAGGGTTAGAGAAATCATCCAGCATCAATCAAACAAAAATAGGTCGTGCAGTTTGGTGAAACATAGATGGGGTTGTGATTGAGAAACAAGGTAAATTAACAGAACAATATTTTGCTGTATTTGCTGACTTGATTATAGGGCTTATTTACTGGTTGATTCAGCAAATGTTTTGAGCAAATCTTCTCCGTTAAATTTCATTGTTTCCAATACCCAGGCGTCTACTGTTTCTAAGGATTGGTGTAGCTTTTGTTAATTTTTTTTGTATTGGAGTTGGAAGATTTTCCTATTCTTTCTTTATGTTATTGCTTTGGCTTATTAAAATCATGAGTGTTTTGGTTGATATTAGCAAATTGACCATTGTAAATCATCTGGGCGTCTTTTGTTAATAGACAACTTTTTCGCAACAAACAACTTTGGTCGTGTATAGTTGTAATTTTTGAACCTGACAAAAAGAAATATACTGATAGATCTACCTAGGTTTTATAATCATCACTAGTAATCATGTCCACTCCAGTAGTAGCATCACCTCCTGTGCCTCTTAAAAAGCGTTCAGGGCCAGCCACTCACAACTATTCCAAAGAACGTAAAGTTGGGGAAGGTACTTATGCTGTTGTCTACCTTGGACATCAAGTCACTACAGGTCGAGAGATCGCCATCAAAGAAATCAAAACGGGAATATTTAAAGATGGGCTAGATATGCTGGCTCTTCGTGAAGTTAAATACTTACAAGAACTTCGGCATCCTAATGTAATTGAACTTGTTGACGTATTCTCAACTCCTCACAACCTTAACTTGGTACTTGAGTTATTACCTTGTGATTTAGAAGTATTAATTAAAGATAAGGAAGTTGTATTTACCATGGGAGATATCAAATCATGGATGTTGATGACCCTAAGAGGAATTCACCATTGCCATAGAAATTTCATACTTCATCGCGATTTAAAACCAAATAACTTGTTGATCGCTCCGGATGGACAGTTGAAAATTGCAGATTTTGGGTTGGCTCGTGCCTTGGGGAATCCCAATGAAGATCTTTCTTCAAATGTAGTGACTCGTTGGTATAGAGCTCCTGAATTGTTATTTGGAGCAAAGCATTATACTGGAGCAATTGATATGTGGTCTATTGGGATAATATTTGCAGAATTGATGCTTCGAGTACCGTACCTTCCTGGTAAAGATGATGTTGATCAATTGGATGTTACATTCAAAGCATTAGGTACTCCTACAGAACAAATCTGGCCCAATGTTAGTAGTCTTCCGATGTACAATGCCCTTACAGTATATGCTCAACCACTGAGGCAAGAATTGAGAAATAGGTTTAGTGCAGCTACAGAAAAGGCTCTTGATTTGATGATTATGTTGACACAGTTGGATCCTTCTAGACGTTGTGACTCTACCAGGGCATTACTTCATGATTTTTTCACTGAACTTCCTAGACCAACTGAACCTAGAGATTTGCCAAAGAAGAGTATTAAAAAGGAAGAACCAGATGCAAAAAGAAGAAAGATATAGAAGGTATAATGTATATATTGATAATTTATAAATTACTTGTATAATCGAACAACGTAATCAGCAATTGCCCAAGCTGCAGTCAAACCAGGACTTTCAATTCCCATTAAATTGACAAATCCAGGGAACCCCTCTTCTTTCTTAATTACGAAATCAGGGAATGACTTTTTATTACCTTCCTTGCCGACAATCTTTGGTCTAACTCCCGAATAATCAGGAATCAACGAGTCTGGAGGTATACTTGGAAAATATCTCTTGACTGCTTCATAAGCAGGTTGCAAATTGTGTGCACTTGGAGTATAATCTATCTTATCAGGGTCATCAATATCTAACCATTCCAAATCGGGTCCGAACCGGATTTGTCCTGCCATGTCGAAGGTAAGATGAGTTCCTAGCGATGCTGCATTGGGGTTTGGAGCAGGATAGACAAGAACATCGGTGATGTTTTGAATTGGAGTTGGAGGTTGGAAACTGAAGTAGTTCCCCTTGGCAAGGTATGTCTTGTAGTGTCGGTCTTGCGGAAGAAGTAAATTGGCAACTTTAGGAGCATACAATCCTGCTGAATTGACCAAGTTTGCTGTGGTTATTTGAGTGTCTTCACCGGAATCCGAGTCATGTACTGTAAGAGTGTACGTTCCTGACAGATACTCAATGGCTGTGACTTTCGAATTGATGGCAATTGTCCCCTCTTCATTCTCGAATCTGGATTGGTGGAATTGTAAATATTCATGAGAGTCTAGAATCCCAGTTGTAGGACTCACAAGAACGGCTTTCTCCGCACGAATCAAGGGATTCCTCCTTTTAGCAATCTCCACAGGTAATAATGTTGCTGCAACATTCAAACTAGTGGCATTGTCGTACAAACGATACAACAACTCTTCTTCTTCTTCTTCAGTTTGGGCAACCACCCATTTCCCGCATTGTTTCAACTTATCAAATTCTCCTGCTTTTTCGGCATTGTATATCTTGTATTTTCCAGCAATACAAAGTTGGGCCTTGAGCGAATCAATTGGATAGTATAACCCAGCATGTATCACTTCAGAATTCCGAGCAGTGGTTTCTGTTCCAAGACGAGAATGTTGTTCAAGTAGGAGTGTGTTTCCAAACCGCAATTGCAATTCTCCCGCTATGGCAGTACCGACAATTCCGCCACCAATGACAACAAAATCGAAATCATGATTGGTGGAATCGGCAGTAGTCAAACGTCGTACGATATTTCTTGTGGTGTGTCGAATCATTCGTGGATTGCATTCGAAGGAAAATAAAGTTGGAGCGAAAAATACGCCGGATTAATGTGTACGCCCCGGAGAGAAACAAAACAGCCGACGTGTCATTGGCTTCTTTCACAACGCCCCAGATTTTTTTTAATCTTCTTAGAGGCGTATCAGTTTGTGTAACAAACTAGTGAAACTGTCATGCAAGGCTGATATTTGCAACCTGTATTGTACTATATATTCCTTAGATCAAGTTTCCAGCAAGACACCTTTTTAGCACGAGAGGTTCCAATGAGCTACCAAGTGCTATAAAAAAAACCGTACTATTTTTTGATTCCATTTCCATTGTTATTTTCTTAATTTATTTTTTTTGTTTAGCATTTTACATACGATTTTCATATGGTAACCAACATGACAAGATTTTAATGTCCCATGTACATAAAAAACATGCATATAATAGTAAATCGTGTATGCGGCGTATCTACAATTTAGACTGGTAGATCACACAATAAATATTATTAGTAACCATACTGATGAGTATTTTTTGACGATCTAGACCTTGTCAATATAACATTCTAGAGGCAAATATTTAATTTATTATTTGTTTCTTAATTAGGCTAACAAGCGTGTCCTCATATTGTGGTGTGGAGTTGACTATGGAAGATTGGATGTAATTATCTAATATTACCCCTTAAATAATTTTTTTTTTTGTATATATATTTTTTTTTGCCCATGGCTTTACACTTTTTACTTACTCACTCTCTCTAAAAGTTAATTTACCGAAAATAAGAAAGAAAAAAAAAACTTAAACGAGATTTGAAAAAAAAAAAGTAATCCACTTTACTTTTATTTACTTCTCTGCAATAGAGTACATAGCAATCATAACCAAATGAGAAGTATCAAAGCAGTCGTTGTTGGTGATGGTGGTGTAGGTAAGACCTGTCTTCTTATAAGTTACACCACAAACACGTTCCCAAATGATTATATTCCCACCGTGTTTGATAACTATTCCGCCAGTGTAATGATCGACGGTGAGCCGATCAAACTTGGACTTTGGGATACTGCCGGCCAGTCCGAATATGATAGATTAAGACCATTGTCTTATCCGCAAACGGAGATCTTCCTTGTTTGTTTCTCGGTGGTGAATCCTGATTCATACGAGGATGTGCGTACCAAATGGATTCCTGAGATTAGACACCATTGTCCTCGAGACGTGTTAATTTTGTTGATTGGTACTAAGATTGATTTAAGAGAAGATTTCCACGTGTTGGATGAATTACAAGCTAGAGGGATAAATGTAATAACTGAGGCTCAAGGGAAGAAATTGGCCCGAGCAATTGGGGCTATCGAATACTTGGAATGCTCGGCAGCAACTCAAGTAGGGGTTCAAGAAGCATTCGACTATGCTATTAGAGCCGTTTTGGAGCCTCCAAGTACTGATCCAGTGGATCTGAAAGTACCAAACTCTGGTAAGCTGGACCATTCTGTACCAGCAGGGCAACAACGCAGTGGTATATTCAGGAGGTCAATGAGCAATAGTGAATCCCGAAGAATCAAGCGAAAAAAGTGTGTAATTTTGTAAGATATAGAGAGGGTGGCAGAGAGAAAGAAGTGAAGTTCCTTTTTTGTTCGAACTTAATAAGTATATATATATATTAATGCAATTTGGCCAGTTTTAGTGGACTAATCCTGTAATTGAGCTAATCTTGACGGATGGATACCCTGAGGTGGTTCCTTTGTTGTCTCTTTCTTCTTTTTCTTGAGATCATCATTTTTCCTTCGGTCTTCCAACATCTTTTCATTCTTTTCTTTAAGTTTATTTCGTCTAAATTCACTATTACCACCTCCACCAACAGTTAACTCAACGTTGATCTTTCTGTTTCTTAATAATGTGTGGTGCATACGTAATGCAAGTTCCATTTTACTTTGAATTTCCTTGGTATCGTTGTCAAATTCAAGAAATGCGATCCCTTTGTCAGGACGAATTCTTATTCTATCAGGACTGGAATTTTTAAAATGAGCAGTTAATTCAGTTGGGGTGGCGTCGTAAGGTAAGTTACCTACGAATATAATAAAACGAGGACCAGCACCTCCATTGACACCTTTTCCTTTCTTACCACGTCTTGTCTTTCTCTTTTTCACTGGTGGTTGGTCTTCAGTATTAGCATCTGTTGTTGGCTCTTTAACTTCTTCTTCTTCCTTTTCAGTTTCAGCTTTTCTCTTCTTTTCCTTGATCTCCTCTCTTTCCTCTTTGGTTTTTCTAAATCCAAGGGCCTTCTTTTGTTTCTTAGATAATTTCTCTTCACTCATTTGCGTACTAGTTTACGAAGAATGCATATATCCATCGCAGATTATTTTTAGTTTACATGCAAAAAAAAAAAATTATGTGAGAAGAGCAAAATCGGATTCAGATCAAAACGCACATAAAAAAAAAAATTACACACTCTCCCCTCCCCCCACATGGCTAATAACTTATCATACAATTCACCCATGATACAGTATGAGCAAGCAATTGCCAGAGGAAACCGGTTCCAACGCAAACACAAATCTTAAAGATACATACGGAGAATATGAAGAGCGAGGGAGGAGTCGCTGGCGGTTAATTAAACGGAATATCCAGGCGGAACAAGAATTGAATCTCATGGCGTACAGCATTGAAAGCAAGAGACTGAATCTGATCAAGAAAAAAGCAGCATCCAAGTGAAATGGCTGGGCAGGACACATTATTATTATGCATTTTTGATATTCTATATATTATTTGTGTGTAATTACTGGTTGTCAACTCGATCAAGTAAATTTGCATGGTCCTTGATCAATTGTTCATGTTTAGTTCGCAACTCTGAATAAACAGCCGATAATCGTTGTAACTTCAATTCCAAGTCTTTATTGTAGGTCTTCTCTTCAACCTGTTTAACTTCGGATGCAACGTCAGACAAATTTTTAAATTCTACTTCTTCTTGTTGCTTTTGATCGAGCCATTGTTCAAATGACAGGTTGTCAGAGAGATGATGCCCCGGGATGTCAACGAACAAATTGTGCTCCTCATCACTACGCAAGACCCGTTTGAAAGGTGGGATCATCCGATGTTTCTTATCGACTGTAGTGATCCCCAGGTCGATACTTTTAGGCAAGGTCTCTACTTTCAAATATGCAATGGCTGAATCACATTTAGTGAATGTCTTGATGATTTGCTTGGTAACAATGTCCAGCGCATATACTACTCCTGTTTCATCCCCTGAAATGAGGGAGGTTCCATCCAAGGATATGTCCAATTGAGTAATTGGTGCATGGTGATGGGTGAATGTATTGGCAAGATTTACATCATTATCAATAGTTATAATTTTGTTCATACCACCAATACTTTCAAGCACTGAAGTAGTTTTGTTAATGGTATATAGTGGGATCGTTCTAATCATTCCATTGACAAGACCAACGTAAAGGGCACGGTTTGCAGGATCTTTAGCAACACAATTAACACCATATGGCAAGACAAATGTAGTCAATAAACTCTTGCTAAGTACATCGTAAACTCTAACAGTACAGTCAGTACTTGTAGTATATAATCGCAAATCATGAACAACTCCACTATCACTCAATAATAAGTCTGTAATTGGTAACGTGTGGTCAGTAATGGAAAAGTATGGTTTAGCCTTGTCGTCAGTTAACAAATCAACTACACTCCAGACAATAACTCTAGCATCGTCACCTCCAGTGACTAAGAAGGTACCACATGGACTAAACTTGACCGTGGTTATACCTTGATAATGGGCATCACGAACACTTACAAGGTCACCACTGGTTAATTCCCAGATATATATTTTTCCACTTGCAGTACCACCAGCTAACAACCACGGGAGACGGAACTTGGTCAACTTTTCCAACTCATCTGATGCTGAGACTGGTTGTGGAACAACAGTAAGACAGGTTAATGCTTCTGGCAAAGGAATTCTTTGGTCGACCCCTTCTTTCCCCCAACTGTACACTTCAATCAAGGCTTTGGTTGCAGAACAAGTGAATAATCGTTCACCTGGACCAAATCCAGTAAGGTAGGCACCATTTCTCGGGGACAGAGATGCACGGAATGTTATATGATGATGCGAAGTATGGATTGAAGTCGCATGCGATGCGCTATTCTTTGATGGGGTAGGTATATAGAATATTGACTCGTCCATGGTTTGTTTCTACTAGAGCGATGAGATGAAGTTGCAGATCTAAAAAAAATTCAATTTTTCAGGTCGACGGTTCGGGGCAAAATTCCATACCCAAAAATAACACTGCGAACTCTTCAGAGAAAGTTGCCATTGAGTTACTAATTATTTATCCACACCATGCCAGTTAATTTCCTTACATCAGTCTTCTTTGAAGGTCCTCAAGTGATTCCATACTGGGAGCAAATAAAGGAATATGGCCCTACTGTTATCCCCATAGGTGTCTCATTAGCGGCCCTTAAATATTACTTCCGTGGTTCCACAAATACCTGGGAACGAGATATGCACGGGAAAGTATTCATCGTCACCGGTGGTACCTCGGGATTAGGTCAACAAATAATATATGAACTAGGAACGCGTGGTGCCCAATTGATTCTTCTTACTCGAAGAACCAATGATGCCTGGCTTGCAGAATATATTGAAGATATGCGTGACAGATGTAACAATCCATTGATATTCGCCGAAGAATGTGATTTGGCTAGTTTATACAGCGTAAGAAAATTTGCCACCTCATGGTTAGATAATACTCCTCCAAGACGATTAGACGGAGTCATTTGTTGTGCTGCCGAATGCATACCTCGAGGTAAACCTAGACAAATCACCACTGATGGGGTTGAACGTCAAATCGGGGTGAATTATCTCGGACATTATCAGTTACTTACACTTATTGCACCTTCACTTAGAGTTCAGCCTCCTGACCGTGATGTCCGTGTTGTCATTGCCACTTGTTCATCTCAAAATTTAGGTGATGTTGATGAACAAGATCTTTTATGGGATAAGAAGCGATATCCTTCAACACAACCTTGGAAAGTATATGGAACATCTAAACTTCTTCTTGGACTATTTGCTCGCGAATTCCAATCGCAATTAATGACATACGAACGTAAAGATCTTACTCCATGTAATGTCAGAGTTAATTTGGTCAACCCGGGTCTTTTAAGATCTCCATCCATGAGAAGAACCCTTTCAATGGGAACTGTATGGGGGTTGATATTATATCTTTTGATGTACCCTATCTGGTGGCTTTGTTTGAAAAGCTTGAATCAAGGGGCCCAGAGTTTCTACTTTGCCTTGTTTGCACCTATGTTAATGAAAATTGATGGTGGTGTGCTGATTCAAGAATGTAAGATTAATACAAAAGTACGTAAGGAATACAGTGACGAAGAGTTATGCAAGCGCGTATTTGAACAGACTGAGAAGTTGATTAAAGAGTTGGAAACAAGAAGTGCAATTGAAAGAAAGAAAAATACGACAAAAGAAGAACAAGAGAAGGAAGGGAAAAAGAAGAGAGATTTAGCGGTTAAACCAACCACTACTGACGAATTGCAACTGAAGTTGGATGTATTAAGAAGTCTGATCGGTAAGGAGTTGCCATTATTTCCTGATGAACTGGCTCTCAAGGCAAGTGGAGTTACAAAGAGTAATGTAAAGAAAAGAGGCGGATCAAAAAAGGCGTAGTTTTTCTATACATTAACCAGGTAATAAATAAAAGGCTCATATAATGTTTGATATTTGATACTGTAATAATTGGACCATATCCTAAAATTATCGACGTGGCTTAGTAATCCAATATACAGGATTACACGAGTGATTTTTTATTTTTTTTTTTAATATCTATCGTCCAATCCTGGAAATGTGACTGTATTGGAATAATCCTTGTCAGGAATAGATGTAAGCCTTGGTTTAACAATGTCGGGTGTTTCTCCTAACTGTGAATATTTTCAATTATACCTAGGCTAGGTAATTCCCCCAGTTCCAATTTATAGTATTATCGCACCGGAAAATTTAGCTCAGATTTAAGATTACAGATTCGCAGCCAATTGTTTTATTCCACTCATGAAAGCATTGCGATATCTTTCGAAACAAATATTACATATTTCACACATAGAGTCACTGGTAATGATGCTGCCAATATCTTCATATGCAAGTGAGAGGGTGAATACAGAAAATGAACAGCACATACAACCAGAAGTGGTGCAAGATAACTACAAAGAACCTTCTAACCAGAAAGTGTGGTCCCTTCTTGACCTACCAGATGAAGTACTCGAGCTTATCACTTCATATCTTAACCAACTTACTGTTCTTGAAATAGGATTAACCAATTCAAGAATGAACAACTTAGCAACTAGAAAACTCTACAGAAATATCTATGTTAACAATGGCCCATCTCCAATTTTGATCGCAAGAACGCTACACACATCGTTTTATATTCAATACACTGTGATTAACAACTTGAAGAACTTTAAACAGATATGTTCCAATCTTAACATGAAGCACATCCACAAAGTTATGTTCTATCTGGATGCAATCTTCCAAGACTTGATTCCCCTTGTCTGTCTTCTATCTACAAAAGTGGTTCTCGAGTTTGAGAACAAAGTCTCTTATGATACCATAGTATTTGATCATTCAGATTTATACATATCGAAAGTATTGAAGGTACCACCTGTATCCATGCCTTGTATTAACAAATTCACAGTTGATTGTTCAACGGATGTTGACCTATCAATATTATTATACTTGCCCAACTTGAAAACAATCGAAATCTCGAAAGCAAATAGTGAAACAATTTCACGATTTGATGCCATTAAGGATATTTCACTTAAAATAAAAAACTTTTCTATTTCCTTGCTTGAGATGGTTGACATAAGATTCATAGAGAAGTTTTTCAAACTTGATCAAATAATATTTTTCCAACTTCATATATGTGAACCAGAGAATTTCAACTATATTTTTAATATGCAGTTACTACTTGTGTTTGTACGAATGAAAAGACTAAAACATTTAGCATTATCAAACTTTCCCTTTGAAACAAATAATATAATCAGTGCAATCCAGAGCGATTTGCAGAGTTTATTTCTACGATTCAATACCGAGTTTGAACAGACTCCATTTTCCGTGCTCCAAGTTATATACAGTCACAAAGCACTTGCAAGGATATGCTTGACAATAGAGGAACCTGTAAATGAATTCTGGAGTTTGCAGGACTTTGGGAGGGTTTACAAGCATGAAAGCACGAAAATTAATGTTGATTGTATGGAAACACTTGATAAATTTCGATTAGCTGTGAAGCATGGGTTATGTCCAAAATTGAATCAAGTTATTTTAAATCAAGGCTACTATTCTGTAGAGAGGTATTCAGATGGATCATCCGACTTTGTCAAATACTAGTTGTTATGGGTAAAAAAAAAATAATAAGGAGAGGTGGCTCTTGACTCTTGAATATCTAAAAATTATTAATATTTTGGCTAGTGGGCTAAATAAGAATGGCTAAAACGGAGGTGGGTGACTGAATTGGGAAAACGCTTTAGTAAATTCATTTGACAATCTGGTGAAAAATCAATGGTTATTTTATTCACCTTGTCTGGAAATTTAGGTTTAGAATATTGGAGTTGAGAGACATACCACCCACTGCGATTCCCAAACCTCATGTTTGCCTCTAGAGTCCTATATTCATTAAGAGTAAACCACTCATGAGTAACTATAATAAATAGATATCATTTCCTTGCGGATATATTTGTCATTTTGTTGAGATACAATTCGAGGACTGCAATGCTTCAAGTTCCATGAATATAGCTTATCATCAAATTTTTGAATACCATTGATTATTATATAGAAAATCTAACAACTTAGGTGTAGATATTTTGTCAAATGGACTACATAGAGTCCATTGTTTACATATAAATTCAAGTACAGCTTCTTGCAATCCAACTCTTTCAATCTTGAATCAACCACAAAGTAGCTGGGAGAACGCCAAGTTGATTTATATGGCCAAGTATAAGTGCGAAAATTTTATCCAGTAAATCAAATAAGGTATACAGAAGAAAGTTATTGTTCAGGAGTTGTATTTTCTCTTCCATCTAATGTTAAAGTGGATTTATACGGAATTGCCGTGGTTTTCAATTTAGGAGGAGAGATTTTGTGGCATGGTTTATCTTTATGTTAGTCCAGTTCTATCATTTTGGATATATCTAATTCTAGGATAGCAATTAGAAATAAAATGCTAGTCAGTACTAGTAATAATACGCTGATATTAAAGATTACGTTGAAAATTGCAACGCTCAAAAGAACTAATACCCGTATCGAGTTCCAATTCGTTTAACATCAAGTTTGTACCAATTCACATGAAAACTAGGCAAATACAATAATGGTATCCTGGAATAGGAACAGGAAACAGAATGTAAAGCATAGAGCTCTGGTTTATATTTGCGTAAGCAAGCATAGTCCTAATGATTTCCTAGAAAAAGTAGACAAAGTTAATGGAAATAGCTGCGAAAAAAAAACAAAAAACAACACATTGTTAGTGCGTTTAATTAAGCAGAACATCAAGGAACTTTGCTACGTTGGTGTTTGAAACAAAGTTTAATTATATTAGTAGATTATTCTTATTTAATTATATGACGTCATATATACACAGTCGCAATGCTTATTACATTCTCTTGTTGTGCCAATTCATCCACAGTCCCAGAAAAATAAAAATGCCTTACAGTTTTTATCCCCCCACTTCCACACCAACAACGTAAATTTCCCAATTTAGGAGACAGGGAAGGAAAACTAGCCACGTAGTGGGGAAGAAATGAGGGGTTGTCACCCCACCCACTATAGCAGGGGCCTAACACAAGAAAAGTCCAAATCAAGGCATTAAATTAAGACTTGAAGCGCATTGCCAATGTCCATTTCAATGACTGGCTTTATATTATGTAAACACTGTGTGGTATGCAGGAACATCGTCGGCTGATTTGTAATGATTGTCGTGATGTCTGCGTGCAAAAAAATTGTCCTCCTCCACCCCCCCTTTTTTTTTGTCTGTTGAGCCGCTCAACCAAATCGACGAAGAAAGCAATAACCGATGGTTTTGAATCAGGTCTTATCTGATTTAATTTATCGAACGATATTGTGTCAGAGAATAGCTGGAAATTACATATTGTAAAGCCTTCCCCGGAAGACAACATCGGCTATATAAATTATAAGATTACATCACGTGCTTATCTTTAAAATAATTTTGACAGTGATTTTGTTTATCTTAAGCAAATTAAATTTGAGTGATTTGCAGATTGATTTTTGTCTTCGGCTTAAAAAAAGAAATGTCTGTAGTGACAATTTTTTTTTGATTCCGTTGCGGAGCGGAGGCAAAACAATAAAAAAAATAATTAAACCTTTTTTTTATTTTTATTTTTTTGGTAGTGGAATTTTCCATGGGCGTTTTTTTTACTCTTCACAATTTCGAGTTTATCTATCAATAATTGGCAGTCATCATTCCAAAAACATTTTTAGGTTTTTACAACCAATCACTTTTACTCACTAATCACACAGTCAGTAACGATCATACTCCGCATCAATCATATATTACATGACAACCAGCTATTAGTTGTCCTCTTTTTGCATATTATACACATATAGAGTTATTCCCAGCCACAATTTCATATTAATTAATTATCCGTCCATGTCCACAACATACAAACAACAACCTCAACAGGTTCAGCCTCAACAACAGCAACAACAACAACAAGCCATGTCATCCTTGACAAGACTATTGCATGAATCTTCGTCGTCCTCACTCAACTCACCGATTGTTTCCAGAAACGTTTCCGAAACTTCCTTGCCTAGTATTGTCGACGGCGGTAAATACAAGACTGCCAGTACAAGTGGAACAATCACTAGCGGAACTGTTACTCCAACTCATGTTATTTCTTCTCCACCTAACTTGAGAGCAAATGGGTCTGGTATATCTATTGACACCAAGAACCGAGTCCCGACGACGGCAATAACCGGTCATACGACCACAGCCCCGACCCCTGTTGTTGTTGCTGCTGCTAGTCCCAAGGTCGTCAACGGATTTGAAGCTCCGTCGGTTAGTGATGTGCCGGTATCATCATCTCCATTCACTCCAACCTCCCCCTTCCACCGCCAGTCTTCAAACTCATTCTCGAGTAACCAAGTGTTTCGGGAAAAGAGCACTTCAAGTCCAAGAGTCATAAAGAACAATTCCGTTAGTCATTCTTCGTTCTATGTTGGTGGTGAGAGTTTATATTCTTCAATTCCTTATTCTGCACCTGGTGGCGGTGCTGGTAGAACCAATAGTATTAGTAATGGCTCGGGTGTGAGTGCTATGAATAGACAAGGGTCCTTCTCGTCTTTGAATGATCAAACTTCCCAATCACATATCCCAAACTTACCTAATGGTCAACCAATTTCCTCCATTCATATTCAATCGCCTCAAGTTAGTTCCTCATCGATTGAAGCAAGATTTATTGTTTCCAAACAGCGTGTCGCTCAGGCTCAACAAGCTCAAGCCGGTCAATTGAGCAGTTCTCAAAAATCAGGGTCACAGTCGGGGTTGTCGTTCTTTTTCAGTCTGAAAGGAAATAAACCAGTCAAGAGAGACTCCTCCCTGACTGATTTAGGTTATTTTTATAATAACTCATACCAAGATGTTAGTGTCATGGCAAGTTCTCCATCATCCTCAATATCTTCCACGGAATCGACCAATTCTGCCAGTTTAACAAAGCATAGTTCCATGGCTAATCTAAAACGATTTTTCAAGAAATCAAGCTCAAGTGCTGCCATTGCCGTTCCACAACTGAACTTGACAAGATCAATGAACATGTCAAGTAGTGTCAACAGTACCAATGGATCATATATGGGTAATTCATTTGGAAGTATAACTGCTAGTAGTTCCAATGCTTCTATTTCACAATCTCCTGGAGTCGCCAGCACTTCAATAACAAGATCATCTACACTACAAAACAAGATCAATTATCATGAAAGAAGAACTTCAGTCTCAACTTTAATTGGTCAACAACCAACATTACCATTTTCTAAGAGATATAGTAAATTTGGTGAAAGTTTAGGTGCTGGTGCTGGAGGTGCTGTCAGATTGGTCTCGAGATTAAGTGATGGTAGAACTTTTGCTGTCAAGGAATTCCGTTCAAAGTACCAAACTGAAACTAAAAGGGATTACGCCAAGAAAATCACCGGTGAATATTGTATTGGTCTGACATTGAAGCATCCAAATATTATTGAAACAGTTGAAATTTGTTATGAGAACGAGCGTATTTTACAAGTTATGGAATATTGTGATTTTGATTTGTTTGCCATTGTTATGTCGGGCAAGATGTCCCGAAAAGAAATCAACTGTTGCTTTAAACAGGTGTTGAGTGGGATCCATTATTTACATTCCATGGGTTTAGCTCATCGTGATTTGAAATTGGATAATTGTGTGATTGATCTGAGAGGTATTGTCAAAATTATTGATTTTGGAAGTGCTGTGGTTTTCTCATACCCATTCACAAAAACATTGATTGAATCACAAGGAATTGTAGGGTCTGATCCTTACTTAGCCCCCGAAGTCTGCGTGTTTAACAAGTATGATCCAAGACCTGTTGATGTGTGGTCAGCTGCTATTATTTACTGTTGTATGATCTTGAAGAAGTTCCCTTGGAAGGTACCTAAGTTGAGTGATTCCAGTTTCAGATTGTTTGCTAGCAGGGCTACTAAGGACAGTGAATATGCACCACTTGCAGAAATGTTGAAAAAGACTCCTCAAGATCAAGATGTCACTGTGGAAAAATCAAACAGTCTCAATGATATAACCGAAGATGAAGAGCATGTATCTGAAGAACAACAAGATCATACTTCGTCAGAAACTGGAGCCAACAGATTATTATTGGCTCTTCCTGAAGATTGTCGTCCCTTGATTGGTAGAATGGTGGAATTGGCACCGGCATGTAGAATAACCATGGATGAAGTGTTTAATGATGAATGGTTAAGTTCTGTGGGGATGTGTACCGTGGAAGAGAAGAGTGAGGGTGGATATAGAGTTGTTGGATGTGATGATCATACGCATACCCAGGTGGATCAAAGTAAGGCCCATATTGCTGCTTTTGATAAAAATAAGAAAAAGTGAGTGTTGGGGGTCCATATCATGTACTTGTATATTTTGTAAAAAAAAAAAAATTGATAGACGTTGCAACTGGTTACTGTAGAACATTACTTTACTACGACAGTAAAATTTCATGATATTATTTATGCACTATGTACAAGATAACAACTAATTGTGTCTCTGCTCTCTCCTCATTACTATCCCTATGACTTCAAGCACTTTCGCTCACTTCAGCTCGGCTTTGCTACACGAAAGTTCGTTTATGGCACCACTTTAATCCCGACTGCCTTAGCAGTACTGATAACACTGCCGACAATTGCTTTCATGTCAGTATCCACATGTCTTTCGTCAGTCTTTTTGATCTTGGCAATTTCATAAACATGCTTCAAACTGACTTCACCCACGCTTTGCTTGCCGGTTTCACCGGCACCCTTGGATATACCGGCAGCCTTGAACAATAACCAACTAGTTGGAGGTGACTTCATTTCAAACGTGAATGTACGATCTGGCTTGACACGGAGCACTACGGGAATAGGTGTGTCTGGAATATAGTGGGCAGTTCTGGCGTTGAATTCCTTACAGAAATCTATGGCTTTGACACCCTTGGAACCTAAGGCTGGACCAACTGGTGGAGCAGGTGCTGCTTTTCCAGCACCGACTATTAACTTTATAAGAGCTGGTTTAGCTGACATTGTGTGGGTGTATATGTTAAAATGATAAATATGTCTGTCGATAATCAATCGTTAATCTGGAAAATTTTTGTTCGGGTTGATGATTTTGTGCAGTTCACACGACCTTGTGGATAATGCATGGAAAATGAAAACGAAAAATATTGAGATGTGATTGCAGCTGCTGTCAAGTGATAGGGTTATAGAACAGCATGATCAAGACACTTCCTTTAAATAGTCGTGCAAAAACGACAACTTTAAAACAACCAAGGGAGTTGTTCAGCTACGCTCGTGACATCGATGGTGAATACGTCTACGATGACGAATCTGTGCAACTGGCCATTTCGTATTACTACCTTCCGGACTCCGCCGTTGATTCCCGCCTTGACTTACAATCAGGGTATTCCAAGTTTAAAAAGATCCCCGAAGAGCAAAATGTTGCCGATTTCACAAGTTATTTAACTGCAATCCAAAAGCATGAAGAAAGTTCTGGTGAAAAGGTTCAAGGGGATATTGTTACCTTCAGAGGAGTCATGACCAAGATTCTCGCCCTTCCTTTTAACATTAATGAGCCCTTTGATTTGAATATTGTTCCGTTTGACGGACAATTGTTTATGAATGTTGATGTTAATATTGAGACAAATAGACGAGAACAACGTGAGGCAGAGTTACGTAATAATAACCCCCCTGACAAGTACGAGTATCTCAAGAAATGTGAATTCAGTGGATACAAGTTTGAAACCATAGCCACCTTGCCTCGACCATGGGCAGATTGTTCCCGATCAGAGATTGAGAAAAGACCAAAAAAGATGGTTAACAATTACGAGCAGCACTTGTCGGTAATCAAGACCGGAATCGGCAATGTCAAGCTTGTCCTTGCTGGAGAAATAGACTGTGTCTGGGATTACCTTCCTGATGACAACAAGCATACACTCGATCATTATGTCGAGTTAAAGACTTCTCGCATAATTGAAACCAATGGGAACGTAGTTACCTTTGAGAAGAAGTTGTTCAAGACATGGTGCCAATGCTTCCTCATGGGAGTCCGTTACATAATATACGGATTCCGAGATGACGATTTGTGTTTACGTAATGTTGAAGTCTTCAAGACTGATGAAGTTCCATTGCTTATAAAGAACAACCCATTGACGGCAGAAAGTAAGAATAAGGTTAATTGCGTTGGTGCGTTGAAATGGTATGGCGCAGTGTTGGAATGGCTAAATACGGAAATTGACAAGAATGACACCAGCAAGAGTTATAGACTTAGTTACGATCCGGGAAGCAAGAGTTTCTCGTTATTGGAGTTAATGAGTGATGACAATCAGAGATTAAGAAATGGTGAGATATTGACGAAGGAGTTTAAAAAGTGGAGAGAGGGTCTTGTGTAATTGTATAACTAAATCAAGGTAAATCACACTATAACGGTTTAAAAATATTTTATTTTACAGCCTGTCTCTTTTACCGAATGATGCAAGTAATACTTTGCAACTAAAAATTTATTTGTGCATGGGCACTTTTACAATTTAATACTTTATTGAGTAATTTCTGGCCCACCCCCAGCAACAAAGCCAAAAGTAGAAATTAGTCTAGCATACATATAACTCTTGGCCATTTGACCCCTATATTGATCTACAAAATGGTTTGCAACAGATCACGGGCTGAGCCTGGCCAAGAGCAAGTCATGCGCGAAATACGGAAACTTTACAACGATGGTGGGCTGGGCGATTGACGGGAATGGGCATATTATTTGATGGTTCCATAGTTAAAGTTCCCAAAAAATACGAGAAAGAACACAGAAATTTAATCTCCAACAAAGAAAAAAAGAAATGGGAATCTGCACTTCTGACGCGTCTAATTCTGTTATTTAACTTAATTGAGATAAATGGGAAAATATTTTTTTTTCTCGGCTTGCACGAAACAGTAGAAATTGGGTCAGAAATCGAAAGTCGGGGCGAGGTCATGAATCTAATATACCAAATGTGGTCATATGAGCATTGGAGCCGATTCCCTAAAAAAGTTTGACATGTGTTGGAATATACACCCGCACTATTTCATCTTGTAAATTCATTGTCAAGACTTGAGCGTGTGCCCCAAGCTAATTTAGTGTAAATCACTTGCATGAAAAATAAAAATAAGAACAATTATTTAAAAAAACTGACAATTCAATAAAAAGGTAAAAAAATTTTCTGAGTCAAGAATAAAGAGACCCATACGAGTTTTTTTTTTGTAACTGCGGTTGATTGTTGCTGTGTAGACAGACAATTGTGCATGGGTGAATTGTAGTTTTAAACTTAAATTAGAATTAAAAATTTTAACCTTTTGCATTTTCACTTGGGGTACTTCGTCTGATGCAACTACTACACCAGACACGTCTGTCCTTTTTTTTTCTTGCTGCACATTAACACCACAACACAAATAAACACAAAAAAACTCACAACTTAAAAAAAGACCAGACATTCTTTTTTTTTTTCACCCTTACGTAAAACACACACACATTTTTTTTCATAACATCTTTCCTTTTTACAACACACTTACCACTTTCATTCGTTCATTAGGGAGGTTTTAAGCACGTTTTACTCATATCAAGACACTTTTGCATGGACATCTACATATAGAACATTCGCTCACCTTTCCGTACCATAGCATCCTATTTTTATAGCTTCATTAGCATATCCCTTACTCTCAACTCAAATTGTTTATCGTTTTACACCAACACGTACTTTTACAGTACTAACCACTTCACCACATCGCATATATACACATATACATAATGGAGAAATATCTAATAAGTTCACCACCACAGCAACTATCACAACAATTTGACAACGATACGTTCCAATTAGGTTACGATTATGACCAAGCTATAGCTAACCAATCACAAACACAGCAAGAATACACCAGAACAGATACCGACGAAGATGAAGACGACTTGGTTGTTCCTGTATCAAACAACAACAACAACAATAGCAGCAACAACATGATGAATGACACCTCCGTTCAGTTTTCTCTGTTTGTCCATTTAGATTCAATCAATGCAAACTTGATGGAGGTTGGTAGTCGACCAGGACATTCCCGAAACTTTTCCTTTGATGACGACCCAGAAAATTCGTTTCTCGAACCAAAATCATTCCATCAATCGACCTTGTCCATGGTTTCTATCAATCAAGATCCTCCTAGCATGTCCCACCAAAACGGTAATTCCATATCGTTTCCCCTGATACCACAGTCCACCTCCACCTCCACCATGTATTCCATGGACTCAATACCGCAATTGACTTCATCCACATCCAACCAGTCATTAGCTGAATCACCAAATTCGTTGCAACCAAATAGCCAGTTCCAAAACCACATACATAACCACATACACCACCATCCACATGGAGTAATGGCCACTCCTCGAAGAGCAGGACGCAAGAAATCATCGTCAATTTCCTCAGCTGCTCCTTTCTCAACCCCATTAAACACTTCACATATAATGCAATCACCAATAGTAACAAACACCACCAGTAAAATCACAAAGACTCCCCATTTTAAACCAAGTCATGCTCGATCGAGATCTCGCGTTTCTGTTGATTTAAAGAATAGTGCCAACCCTTTCTATACTCCTTCACAACAACTGTTTTTATCAATGGCCGAAGACAGTGGAACACCTTTGTTAACACCCACTGCCAGTTCCAAACGAAGTACAAGAATAAGACCAAGTTCATCAGGCACATTCTTTAGTCCGTTGTCCAGCAACACTAGTACCACCATTCAGTCTAGTACCTTGGATAGGATTGAGATACCCGAAGATGATGCCTTGAAACAATTACGCAAAGCTAGATCATTTAGCAGTCTTCTGAAAAGAAAACTGCAACAGCAGTACCCTCAACAACAGTCGCAACTGGAGCCCCAGCATCTGATGATATTTGGTGAAGATTTATCCATTCGCCTCGAACAAGATCTCAATCCTTCGGAAACCCTTGAATCAACATCCTCATCTACACCAGGCGTGTTTTATAATGACATGCCTGGGTCCAGTATCAATTATGAAGCATCACTACGATCATTACTGGTTCCAAGCAGTGCTACTAGTTCCACGGCAGCCCTGGGAATTGATTTACTTCTGCCACAATTTGATAATTCTCGACCATCACCCTACCCACAAGTAAACAAGTCATTCTCGAGAAGTTTAACTGGTTCCAATTCGTTTATAAAGTCATACCCTGCATCTATTGATCTTGCCACGATCGCAAATTCTCATTACCAGGTCACAAATGGAGGATTACTTCCACCCATGGCAACATTCACCGTTCAACATAATGATGAAGATTCCGATGAGGAGCAACAACTTCCAAGGCATTCTGAGTCCGATGAAGACGACACCACGGTGACATTACCCATCCCACAGGATCTTCAGATTACTATACCAGTAGTGAGGAACAATCGTTCAGAAAAGAATGACAAGGTTGATCCGAAAAAGAAGCACAAGTGTCCTATTTGTGAATCAAGATTCCAGAGACCTGAGCATGTAAAGAGACACATGAAGAGTCATTCATCAGAGAAACCATTTCAGTGTGAGGAACCTGATTGTGGAAAACGATTCAATAGAAAGGACAACTTAAAGGCGCATTTGAAGAAGATTCATGGAAAGCAGGTGTGAACTTTATCACATTTACAGACACTCAAAAGACATTAGCTTTTCAATGCGTATTTTACAGTCATATATAGTTTAAGATATTAGATCATTTATTCAACTTAACTAGTAGCTCTAACAACCTCGTCAATGGCTTTACAGAAATAATCGACGTTCTCTTCATTCAAACCAGCAATATTAACTCTACCCATGCTGGTTGAATAAACGTTATGTTTTTCAATCAATCTGTTGTTTTGTTCTTCAGTCAACCCACTGAACCAAAACAATCCAGTTTGTTCCACGACATTAGACCAGTCTCCTGGAGTGGCCAACTTGGTTAACTTGTCAAACACCAACTGTCTCATATGTTGCATTCTATCTCTTACATTTCTCACATCTTGGTTCCATTCTTGCAACAATTTTGGATCCTCGAAGATAATGCTGGCCAATCTGGCACCATAAGCTGGTGCAAATGAGCATTCGTGTCTAAACATGGCAGTCAAGGTAGATTGCGCATGAGGGACATAAGTCTTGTCTTGAACTACAACGTGAACACAACCAACACGTTCACTGTACAATCCCATATTCTTGGAGAACGATTGGCAAACAACAAAATCGAGTCCTTCATTGTACATATGTCTGATTGGGAATGCATCCACATCTTTATCACCCGAGGCGAAACCTTGGTAGGCGATATCCAACATGGGGAGCAACTCGCGGCTCTTCATGATTTGCGTGATTTGGACCCATTGATCATGGGTGAAGTCAGCCCCGGTAGGGTTGTGACAACATGCTTGCAACAAGAATATAGTATTTTTTGGTGCAGATTCCAATGCTTGGATACAACTTTCAAAGTCGAGGGTCTTTTTAGCTTCGTCGTAGTAGGTGAATGTTTTGACTGTACTTCCTACATGTTCAATCATAGGAATGTAGTTTTGCCAAGCAGGTAAACCCAAATAGTAGTTTTTGTACCCGGCTTCTTTGTAAACCAAGAGACCCATATGGATAGCACCGGTTCCGGAAATAGTTTGTAAACTGGCAATTTTGCCTTGGCTGGCAATTTCTTCACCAAAGATAACTCGTTGGGCACCACGGACAAATGAAGGAATACCAGACATTTGAGTGTAGTTGTGTCCTGGATCGTTTTCGTGCAAGTGCTGTTTGGCCTTGGCAATCAGCGGGAATAAATATGATCCACCTAATGAATCCTTGTAAACCCCGATAGCTACTTCAATCTTGTTAGCGGAGGTATCATTGGCATAAGCGTTCATGGTCTTCATGATTGGATCGGGTTCTTCACGAGTAAGTGAAGCAAATTTACTAGTAACAGTCATGGTGTGTAAAAGTCTATGGAATAAGGTCTATAAAGTCTGAAACAACGTTTTTGAAACTCCCACTTGCTATTTATACAAAACTGTGGGATTTGTCAACTGTGTAATAAAAAATTTTGCAAACACCGTCGCCTACCGATGCGGCTCAGTGTCTCAAAAAATTATCATCGCCGGCAAATGCCGTTCAGTCCCCTTATTATTTCTGCGCCGCACTATCATTTCCCTCCGCCAGCTATAATTTCTTGACAAACTGCAAGTAAATCTTCCGCCTTCTCCGGGTTGAACACCTTGTAGGTAGTCGCAGCGACGTATTTGGTATTGTTGACTAACACTTGTTTCATTCCCGTTTCGGAATTGTCTTGGAGGTCCAATTGTGGAAGTAATTGACGTAGAAACTCGGTTAATTCTTTGGTATGTTCAACATAAGGACTAATTTTCTTGTCTTCTACCATTTGGTTTAATACCGCAATTGCTTTGAGTTTCTCAAGAATAACTTCAATCGAGATAGTACTAGGGATTGGAGATACTGCATTCTGGATTAATTTAGGCATGAGTGGAGAATGTTCGTCGACAGTTTGTAGGAGTGAATATTGAATTTCTTGGGTGTTGTCGTATTCACCAACTACTTCCCAGATCAGATCTAATCGTTTAGCGACTTCCTGATCTAGGTTTATAATCTTCTTTAGGAATCGAATTTGTAAATTAGTTACTTCTTGATAATAGTTGGCTTGGTCTAATGCTAGTTTCGTCATCTGGTCTAATACAAACTGATGATTTAAAACATACTTGACATTGTCTTTATTCAATATTTTGGTCAACAGGTGAACAGCTTGGATTTGTACCATATCAAAGAATTCATCACGGAAGAACAGCATGAAAAAATCAGCCATGCTCATATTTGATTGAATTTTATTAATTACTTGTTTGTAGGACTCTTCGCTAGTGATTTCATTTCCAATTGCAATAAAACATCCAGCATTGACATATTTGTCTTTGTTCCATAATTGTCCAATAGCTTTCAAAAGACACTCGGAAGTTGATAATTCACTAATTAAGACGAATAATTTCCGTTTAACGCTTTGCCTGTCATTTTCGATACGAGGAATAATGTCAACAATTGTTTCGAATGAATCGATTCCTGGCTCTAGCATTCCAAGAAGCTCACATATTGTGGAAGCGATTTCTTCGTCGCAATGTATAAGATAGTTAGTACATTTTTTGATAAATCTGCAATCGTTCTCTTGTAATAATTGCCCATCTAATAATTCAAGAATTGCATCAAATAAATCAGCAGCTTCGTCAACATAGTCCTCTTCAATCAATCCATATAACTTGTCCTTGATATTCAATTGTTGGAAATATTCGAGATATTGTTGTTTGCGTTCCGTTTCATACCAGAATTGGGACAACAAGATTCCTACTCGTTCACAATTGGTCAACACATTTAGCCAAAATTGGTTGATAGCTGTAGTATCCTTGGTAAAGAAATCCCGATTGGTATCACTGTTTGCTAGTAAGTTTACCACGACTCTCGTTGTATCATTGTATAATTCTCTATATGATTGATTATATATATCTTGGTCTGATTCATTCTCATTCTCAGTATCATCTTTGGTGATCAATTTATCGAATTTGTTTACTAATGCTGGAAGATTCTGTTGAAGCTCTGGTGCTTCTCGATTAGCTGGTTCACGAAGGAGATCTCCCAATGCGCGGAGAGAGCTGTTGAGCTCTTTTTCGTTGAGAATATTTTCAATCAATTGATTCATTCTGGTCTGGTTCTGATGGTTGATGGGTTGAATTTTCTGATCAAAAAATTTTGGATCTTGTTGTCAATCAACTTTGTTGATCCTTTAAGCCACCTGGTAGATTTTGTACACATCTAAAAATAATCATTGTTTACATATCCTTTTCACTACTACTATTACATGTATTATCCATTTATTTCTATCTAAACTCTATTACATTTCAAATAACTTTTCTCCCGATTTTAATCCTAAAATAAACCTTACATCGATACAAAGACTTAAACTATGCAACATGGGCAACAAGTTTAACAAGTCTCTGTCAGTTTGATCATTAACCCATCCTTCTATAGTGACGGCATTTTGTTCATGCAATGAATAACTTATAGGCGAATTATCTAAAATCAAGACATTTTTCAACTCTTCGTCTTTTATGAATTTGGAAAGATCTTTAATGTACCCCACACCTGGGCGATAAGTACAGTCATTTCTATAGTATCGCTTGGTAAATACTTTTGGCAGGAAAGGCATGTCTTCTGCACTGGTATATTTGTGCTTTTGCTTGCGAGAATCAATTAAGTCTGATTCGAGCCAATTGATTATGGGATCAGCATATTCTTTAACACTGGCAGTAAAGATTTGTAATTCAAACCATTTGGAAATTTCCTGAAGAAAATAATCACAATAAGGTCGTTTATGAACATAATATAATGAGCTGATGTTGTTTAGAGTTATTTCAATCATTTTGGAATGGGATGATGTGAAGGATCTTGGTGATCCCTTGGAAAGGGAGTGAATTAAGGTTTCGTCTAAATCAAGAATAAGAATCTTTTTCCGTCTGCGACGTTCAGGGTTTCTTGAAAGTGGGTAAAGTCGTTGTGGTGGTGGAATGAGATATTTTGATGTGGATGTGGGAGATTTGATTGTGTTGGCTATTATGGTTTGTTGCTTTAAAAATTCAGTTTGCTCGTCATAGTCCTCGGTATCGGACGGTGGTGTGGGTTGTTTTGCCGGGATCTCTCGTGTTACTAGTGGGTCTTCCTCTAGTAGTTCTTGTTGTTGTTGTTCCTGCTTGTTGGTTTTTATTTTCTTTGTCTTTGCGACTAAGCCCAATTGTTGTGCTATTACTGTAAAGGGATATGTAATCACTGTCCAACAAAACAATCCTGGTTTGATGATGAGATAGTTGGGAAAGAAGAAGAGTATATCGTAAACAGTAGTCATGACTATGTAAAACACCAGTACTGGTATGTCATTCTTTTCTTGCTGTTGATCTTGTTGTTTCTCCTTCACCAAGTTTATTGAGTCATCAAACTCAAGCTCTTCCTCCTCTAGTTCTTCCAAGTCATCCGATATGTGTTCTTGTTGTGATTCGCCCTTTTCTTTTTGTTGCTCTTCTTCTTCCACCTCTTCTTCTTCTTCTTCTTCCTCCTCTTCTTCCTCCTCTATTATGGTGTCATCTATGATAGGTTCGTATGTGGATTTCCTAGGGATAATGTTGTCTATTGAACTAACGAGGATCTTGATTGAATTCATTTGGGGTGGGGATGTGTAGATGAATGGTGGTATGTGCTGGAATAATCTAACCTTGATGTAGTGGAATAAATATAGCCGTTGTTGTCAAGACAAAAGATACCAGAGAATTGATATACTTTCTTCCAAAGCAACGTGTAGATTTCTGATTTTGAGCCTACCTAAAAAAAAATATGATTTTACGACATGTGGTTGTTACTGTTTTTGTTGTGCAATGCGCAAACTAAAGAAGAAAAAAAGTGGCAATGTCGTTCGCGGGAGAGTGACAGTCAGCTGCTAGTGGGGGATTGTGCGGAAAAACATGGTACAATGTCGTTGTTGTGATAAATGTCGCGATTGGCTTCGTAACTGGCCCACCTAAAAATAAAACTTGTTGGGTGCGAAAAAAAGAAATGTTAGATGCAACAGCAGGCAATCGATTTTACGACTGACACTCCAACAGCAAACAGCAACGCAAGTGAAAGGTAAATAAACATTATTGCTGTTGTTTTTGTTTACTCAAGATTGTCATAAGACATATTTCAATCGCGACACAAATATTAATGCATGACCTGATCCATATTTTATCCCTAGGTGCATCCCCCATGAATTCCAGCTTTAGCTGCTTTTGTTGGCTTGGCTCCCCCACCCAAATTCTTGAATTTTTTGGGTCGTTGAATTTTTTTTTTTTTGTACAACCAATCTTTTGATTTCTTTTTTTTTTCCGAACGTTCCCATAAAGCCGAGGGACAAATCTGTAAAAACTAACGCATGCTCCTGTGGTTTAACGTATTGGCTGTGGTTAAGCAGATCTGCCAAATCTGAACTGTAAAAGGTACGGCTTGATCAAGTCTCAGCCAAGTGTTTTCTACAAACGTTACAATCTACTAGCAAAATTTTCTTGATTCGGGCACATTTGCAGCCTAAGTTTTTTTTTTTTTTTTTTTTTTTTTCACATGGGAAATTTTATCTATGTATTAATTTCTATACTTTCTATTTCTTGGTAGCATTATTAATGAAATTCTGAAACATGTTCGTTATATATGACACATTACTGTTTATTCTATGGTAATCATCACTTAAAATGGCATTGGTTAATTTCTTCAAATCAACAAGATTCTCCGGTATTACTTCATCATATTCGTCTTCTTGCCTCGTATCTTCGTCTTCAAACTCTTCGTCTTCTTCATCATCTTCATACCCACTGTTTTCATCCTCAACTACTTGTGTGTCAATTCGGAAATTCTTCAGTAAATTGATTCGAACATCCCTCATAACTTTAGCATCAAAATCATGCATGACGTCCCCGTCTATAATCTCCTCCTCCTCCTCTTCTTCTTCTTCCTCTGGCTTAATTAACTTCAACTGGTTCGTGTTATAACTCTTGCAATACTTGCACTTCAACCCAAGGACATGGTAACTACAATTGCTCTTCCCCTTGCAATCATTACAACTGATAATGCATCGCCAGGCATTGTACGGTGGTGGCAATGGACTTTGCATAACTTCTTGGTCTAGTAACCTGAATTGAGTTTCCACATTAACAATTGTCTTTTTGCAAATTGGACACTTATAACTATGTGTGATTAATTCATCATAACAATGCTGATGGATTGAATGGCCACACTTCATAAACACAACCTTTTGAACCAGAGTGAATAAATATTCATTACAAATGGTACAATTACAATGAGTGGTGTTGGTGACACATTTATGTTTATCGTGAAGATCAATCGAAAGACAGACATTACAAGTGTCACAATGAAAATAGTCCTTGCCTATACCAAGTCCCAAACGGCAAATTCCACATTTATCACAATGATAAATATCTTTATTGGGATCATTATCATAAAGGACACATTTGCGACAGAAATAATTGGCAAGTTCTTGTTCACAGTTAATACAATAGTTTGTGTCGGGCACTTGTGGGGTTTGACAATGCATACATAAGATATGCTTCACTTCATTTCGAATCAATTTATGGTCGGTAATTTCATTATCATGACAGAATCTACAAGGATACCATTTAAGACATGTAGGGCATTCAACTTTACAGTTGCGGTGGTAATGGGGACATCCTAGGGTGGTATTGAATGGTGGGTCATTGTAACTGGGGACAGTATCTTCAGCAGTAAGGACAACATTGTCCTCGTCTTCATCTTCATCTTCGCCTTCATCTTCCATGTCCTCATCCTCTTGGGCTTCTTCTTGTTCTTCTTCGTCCTCTTCGGCTAAATTGTCTAAACCATCACCTCCGTTAATAACCAACGTTTGCTTTCTTAATGGACGTAGCAATTGCTTATTCTCCTGTGATAACTTCTCGTTGACATATTTGTAATAATTCCCCATCATTAACTTGGTCACCAACTTATTCTTTGACTTTTCATCAATGTTATCCAATTTTTGAATTCGTTGAATCTTATTCCGCAACACACCTTCTTCTCCGAAATCATTGATGGAATTCAATTCAGTCAACTCTTTAACTTCTTCAACGGTTAACCCGTCAACGTCACTAGTTACTGATGTGCCTTCCCCACTATCTTCAGATAAATCTCGAAACAATTTCCTCTTTCTCTTACGAAACAGGGCCATGGACAGTCCCGTGCGTGTCAGCATCTCCGGTTTAACAATTTCACTGATTAACGGTTGACTCTTGTGAACGATTTCCCCTACACCCACGGGCTCAATCTCTTCCTCGTCTAGCGGTTCCTCGTCGTATTCACTCTCGTCTTCAGCAGGCAAGAATATCGTTTCGTGGATCATATCAGTCAACGGTTGCAATCTGTCAATGGCAGTAGTGATATTGACCCCCAATTTCAAGTCATTAAGAAACTTGTTCATTTGGATACGTGTAGACAACACAGTCTTTATACTATCCAACATAGTCTCGTCATCCTCCTCTTTTCCTTGACTGGACTCCCCAGCATCACGTCGATAAGAACTGGCATAATTGAATACATACTTTGAAAATTCCTTCAGAAAATCCTGAATTCTCAGAAACTCAAAATTTGGCATTTGAATTAGCGATTCCCCCCATGAGGAAATCGACGTGATGTTGGGTAAGTTTAGTTTCCCAATCTGGTCCAAATCGGCTGTCATCAGGTCGATGGATGAGTCACTTAATGAATCGTCACTGTTGCGGTCGTCGACGGGAATAGTTTTGTGAACATGTCTATGTGATGAGTCTATGCTTGTTGTCATGGTGGGAAGGGGGGGGGGGATTGTGTTTGATCTGGGGTTCTGTTCTTCTTTCGTCTATCTTCTGGTCAACGGTGAGAGCGTGTAAAACTCAGTACTAATGATGTGTAAAGGTTTTAATGTATAAGTTGTTGCTTTTTTGAATGTGTTTCCACGGACTGTCCCTTGTTGTTGCAAGAAATTGGAAATCAACTGGTTGGGGGGGTGTAAATCAATTCGTATTGTGGGTCTTTTTCTGTGTGAACTGAGTATTAAAAAATTCGCGACATTTTCAAAATCTATACGAGAGAGAGATAGAGTGCAGTCTAAGACATTGACAGCATGAGCATACCGAAAGATATCGTTGTTCCTCCTAAGGACGTCAAGGAAACTATAGACAAAACAGTTACATATGTGATAAAGAATGGGAAATCATTTGAAGAGAGATTGTTGAGTAATAACAAGGACAACAAGTTTGATTTCATCCTCGATGGAGATCCTCATCACGCATACTATCTGTGGAAACTATCATGTGAAACCCCCAAGGAGCAAGAAGTTCCCACTTCCGATGAAGATATAGTGGTTGATAAACCTCGAGACTTGTCATTCTTGGTTGACCTACCAGCTATATCTACCCATGACCTTGACATAATCAATACTACAGCATTATACATTGCCCAGAATGGCACAGACAAGATCCCTAGCTTACTAGAACACGAAGCAAAACTTGGAAAACGAGCCCAGTTTGAGTTTCTTAACACCTCACATTCACTCCATAAGCTCTTTCAAACATACATCACCCAATATAAGAAAGTTATAGACTTGTACAAGCTGGAGCAACCACTACCTTCACACACGAACAAATTTGAAATCTTAACCATAGCATATGATAGAGCACAATACATATCTCAGAATAAAGTGAAGGAGAAGAATCAAGAACAGCTTAAGCAACAGCAACAGATTCACTATGCCCTGATCGACTGGCAGGATTTTGTTCTTGTGGGCAAGATTGAGTTTGACGCTGTTGATGAAGTGCAAGAATTGAGTGTACCTTTAACCCGAGATGAGTTGGTTACTCGCTCGCTTGAATCCAAGAGCAGGGAAGTCGAATTGCCCAAGGTTGCTATCGAAGTTGTACCGGAAGAGAAAGAAGAAATCTTGGATAAAGAAGAACCAGAGCCTAATGCTGCCGTTCCTGGCCCATTCAAAGGTATGAAGATTAAGGCAGCTGGTGCATCCCGATTAAAGAAATCAAGTACCCCAAAATCGCAAGAGCAGAATATCAAATGTCCAATCACTGGTAAGCTCATCCCCGAGTCTGAGTTTGATAATCATTTGAAATCATTATTGAGAGATCCAAGGTATAAACAACAACAAGAGAATTATATACGGAAGAATTTCACTTATGCTTCCAACATAACTACTGACCAAGTCTATGAGAATATTAAGCGGTTGGTAAGAAAAAGAACTAGTGAGGAACCAACTACTACTACTGGAAAACGTATTCAAAATGGTAAATAGCCAGGCACCCCCCATTCTAAGTCTAACCCTGTAATATATATGTTTTAACCGTAATTTTTTATATTAAATTATAAAAATGAAAAGAGAATAAAGATGTACTATAAAACAAAGTATGGTTACACTTAAGCCTTTAAGGATTCAGCTCTCTTCTTCTTGATTTCAGCCTTTTCTTCCTTACGTTCGTGTAATCTCTTGGCCAATAATTGAGCGTATTCAGCAGCAGCATCTCTTTGTTGTTGAGCGTTCTTGACCTTTTGAGCCTTCAAAGCTCTCTTTCTTTGCAAGGTTTGTGGGGTAACCAATCTTTGGATCTTTGGAGCCTTGGTGTAAGTCTTGTCACCCTTGGTAACTTCACGTCTAACAACGAATTGTCTAACGTCATCTTCCTTGGTTAAACCGAAGAACTTTCTAATGTGGTTAGCTCTCTTTGGACCTAATCTCTTAGCAGTGGTGGTGTCGGTTAAACCTTCAATTTCAGAGTCACCTTGCTTGACAACAGATAAAGCCAAGACGGCTAAATCTTGACCAACAATACAACCTCTGACGGACTTTCTCTTACGTTCACCGGTTCTTCTTGGTCTGTAACAAGAGTGACCCTTGGCTAATAATAACTTAACTCTGGTTGGGTGCAAGACACCTTGCTTCATTGGGAAACCTTGCTTGTCGTTACCACCGGTAATCTTGAAGATGTAACCCTTGAATTCGTCACCAACAGAGTCACCCTTGACTTCTTGGCCCATTCTCTTTTCGTAGAAGACACGTAACTTGTGTTCATCATCAATTTCGATACACTTTTGAGTACCGTTGGCTGGGTAAGAGATGTTTAACTAGATGAGTTGTTAGTATTTGCTGTTTTAATGCTTTCTTTCTGATCGCTGTACTCTGTATAACATGTGCTGTTCTTATTATGTTGCATGTTTCTTGTGCTTTATTTTTCTTTTCGTTCGTTCTCTTGCCGTTGTATTGCTTGACGTGTGGTTGAAAGTTGGGAAAATGGTGGTTCTTGAAAGCAGAAGCTAGTATTGTTTGATGGTTGTGTCGCATTCCTTTATTGTTTCATTAAATGTAGAAACTTTTCACTTGTTTTGAGTCTTTTCGTGGTCCTTTATTCGTGCTTATAAAATTTTTCAGCTGTGTCCGATCTTACAACAGCTCAATCAAATACGATTCGTTCCCACTTATACATTGATACGGAGAGTGCGATAGTAAGGATCATGGTCTAATGATCTCACATACCTTCATATTGGATCTATATGGTTGTTTCTATGCCCTGTTGAATTGAAGAGAAAATGAAAAGAATTTTTAATTGTAGTAAAGAAAGAAAACCTTCAAAAAAAATTTCCTAGTGCGTGAGGATTGTTCGCACAGTGACTGCGAGTGACAGAACAGAAAAAAAAAATCAATAATGCGTTGATGTTTGGGTGTAATGTTGGTTTTTGTGTACACTGTTTGGTTTGTGCGAAGACTAGAATTGATTTTTTCCTACAGGCCGCGCACTGGAAACGGCAGCTTGCCCAAGCAGCAAGGTTCATATGCAGGCTGTGTCACGTGTCAATTAGGGCTCTAGCCCTAGCTCTTGCACATGCCCCAAATTGGAAATGTTCTGTACACACATACTATGTTGGGTTTGGACTAAATGAACACAGGCTACTAGACACTGCTGCTGCATTGTCTTGCAGATAATATGAATGTCTGTTCGTCTTGCTGTTCTTTCTGCATCAATCAGTTCCTGTTGCTTGATTTCATGGTAAATTCCACAGATGTAGTACGGTATGGGGTGACTTCCCCTGGTTTTGCAACCAATTTATCCTACAATTAAAATTGAAAATCTATAAACTGTGAATTATTAAGCTATAATATATACTACAAATGAAGAAAAGAAAAAAAAAAGTACTACTTCCCAAGTTTGTTATCAACTGTGCTTCCTGCTGTAGTTGGATTTGTCCCTCCGTCGTCGCCTCTATTACCTTGGCTAGCTTGAACATGATATGCTGTAGGCGACATATTCCCATCAGTCTTGATTCCCAACCCATGCTTGGTATTTCCTGTGCTGGGGAAGGTAGTTGGAGGACCAGCCGTTGTACTTGTTAACGGCATCATATTTATAAAGTATGGGGGCATGTGTGTTGTTGGTGTTGTCCCTGAAGGCCAATCCTGCGGTCCCAAGAAGTTGGATGGTGATGGGAATGGAAACATATCGTTCACATATCGTGATGGAAGTCCAGAAAGCGGCGTTTGCTCACCATTGTTGTACTGATTGGTAACACCTGTTGGTGGTCTGAACCGAATTGCTGACTCTGGTTGTGCAACTTGACCACCAGGGTGTTGATTCTGTTGATCTTGCTGTTGTTGTTGCGGTAGCTGCTGCTGTTGCTGGTTCTGCTGCTGGTTCTGCTGCAGCTGCTGCTGTTGTTGTTGTTGTTGTGGGGGCGGTGGTCCTTGGTGGTATTGTTGAAATTGTTGGTGCGCCTGTTGTTGTTGTTGTTGCTGCTGCTGCTGTTGCAATTGCTGATTTATTTGATTGAATACTGGTGTAGGGAGCATACCACCTCCATATTGACCTCCTGGACTCTGGGCATGCATGGATGGGAAATATATACTGGCATTAGGATTAGTAGCAGAATTAGGAAATTGAGGCACAGTCGCACTTGCTGGCGAAGAAGTTTCTGATTTAGTCTGAATGGGTAAAGGTAACGTTGGCTTCCTATGGTCAGGTGAACGGAACGATGAGAACTGTGGGAATTTTGGTGTTGGTGTTGGTGGAGCTGCACCTGTTGACAGTGTATCTGGTTTGATTTTTGTATGGTCATCACTTCCTGATGTGTTTTGTAAATTAGTGTCTATGGCAGTTATTGTTCGGGCAGTATCTCCACTTTTCTCACTACTGCTCATGTTATTATTTGAGGCTGTGTTACTGTTTGTCCTTTTGTGCCCCTTGGCATCAGTAGGGATCTGCACTCGTAAGATCGGTCTTTGGGATGGTGCTTCTTCGCGATTAATAGGGGCAAGGGAAGGAGTCTTTGGTCTACTATCATCATCAGGTCGGAAAGACTTTGGATTACTAAAAGTCGGCATGGTACTTAGTGACGAGATGTGAGCTGGTGGTGGAGGGGGCGGCGGTCTGTTGCTATTGAATATCTTTGAGTTTTTGGATTTATTGGTTGTCAGATAGACTAGTTCACTATAAGATCTTTTGTGGCGCTTTGGTTGTGGGGAGTCGCTGTCATATTCAGACTCGTCATCTTCCGGAACATCCACATCCATGTCATGAGATTTTGAGATTTCCACCCCAACCACAGCCCCTGATTTCTTGGTCAATGGATCCTTTATGTGCTTCTTTTTCTTATAATTTGAATAATTCTCTGGTGACTTTGATTCATGGGGTTTTTTATTCGCCTTTATGCTTGAATTATATGTCTTGATTAAATCGGGAGTGTCCACAGTGGAAAACTCGTATATCTTGTTATTATTACCCACAATTACCACGGCAAGGTCTACATGACATAGTATGGCCAATTCGTATGCCTTTTTGAATAAACCAGCTTTTCGCTTAACGAATGTGACTGTACGATTTCTATCATCTGTCAAGGGTTGAATTTCAATTTTTCTTCTCCCCATATTGAATTAGTAAGATGTAAGTCTTCTATATAAGATGGACAAGTTTATGATAATTGTGCTGATGGAGTAGGATATAGATATATATGAAACCTATTACTGGTGGTTGAGTCTTTTTGATAGATTTAAAGTTAATGTAGATTAAATGACTTTTTTTTTTCTGTGCCTCTCTTGTTCTGTGTGTTCTGTGGGTCCCTCTGCGTATGTTACTGGGATAAAATTAAAAAATAATTTTTTTCCTAACCTGGTGTGATGATTTCCAATGGCAGTGTGTTCTAAGGTTACCCCACCACGTGACAACAAATAATTGGAACTGGTCTGATCTCTAATGAATTATAATTGAACGTCTTGTTTGATTAGACGATCTGAATGGGACTCTTGTTTGTTTAAATGCAACTTTATGTAGTGTTATATCCGTTAGCTGATTTTGTGTGTGAATTGAAACTTCTTCAAAAATTCTGGTTCGTATTTTTTAAAGCTCTTTCTCTTGTTCTCTCTGCGCAGTTAAAGAAAAAAAAAAAGATGATGTAATTGAATGAAATGACTCAAGAAGGCAGCTGTTGGAGAGAGCAATGACAGAAGAATAAAGAATTGAAAGCAAGGGGAACCAACTTGAATGTTTCAATTTGGTAGTAATTACCAAATTAGAGAATAACCCTAAATATTTATACCGGTGGCTTTTGGTTGTTTTTTTTCTTTTGAGGGGATTAGCACCTGGAGAAGCCGTGAACGCAAGTGATTACTAACCGTTTACAATTGGATGTTCGATTTTTACTAAAATAGACAATCACTTAACCTTATCCAATAGATTGTCTTTACAAAACCATATATCCGAGGCTATTGTTCTTAGAATTCCTCTTCATGGTTATATTTTCAGTGTTTATGTTGTTGAATTTACGATGTGCTAAATATAGAAACATTTTAGTTTTTCTCTCCTGCATGATTCAAAGTTCGAGAAATTTTAACTTGTCATAATTCACTATATATGGACATAATATTTGCAGGAGAAATCGTTTAATGTTTTAATTAGATTGTCTGGTTCGATTGCTTGCTAAAGTCATGTGTTACCTAAGCTCGTTTAAAGCAATTCCCGTTTGAGGTAATTGTTTTCTGTTTATTAGAGCCCAATTGTACCTGAGATGAGGTAACGCCGAGATATGCATCACAAAATCCTTACAACGGCCGTCTCATTAAATAATAATCGGGTTTCACATTTTTCCCATTCCTTAACGTTTTATCTTGCGGTGAGGCTTCTGTTAATTTGTATCCTAAATTTTCGTACCAATTCAACGCCAGTAAGTTATCTGTGAATACCGTCAATCCGGTACCTTCGAGATGTTTATATAAATCATGGTTGGAATCTTTTAATTTCTTTGCTAAATTGTGGAATTCGGCAATTAATTTACCCCCGAAATGTTGACATTGATATTCTTCGGTTAGGTGGATTTCATACAAGTAAAGGACCATTTTATTGTCGTCATCCAAGCAAAGTTTGAAACAATCGAACCCAACCAATTCTTCTTCCCGAGTAAACCAAATGTAAATTAAACCTGGTTCAGTGAGTTCATCTTCCTTGTCATCCTTCCAGTCGGCACCTTTGCAACGCAAGTACAAATGCCCTATGTTATCATCAATTACATCAATGAAACGGAAAATTTCCTCTTCGGCAATATTGTGCGATGGTTCGCAATGGAATTCAAACTCTTCGTCCAAATCTATAGGTGTTACGCGATTTAAACATAGATCTTCCGCAATCGTTTCCATCAAATCAAAATCTTCTTCATTGAATTCGCTAAATTTCTCACCGTCCAACTCAAACAGGAAACTCATTGTTTGTGTGTGCACCTGGCTTATACCAAATTAACCACGTAGTACTTGCGGTGATTGTAGGAAAACGTGATATCATCGTCTAAACCCCGTTTTGGGTTACCCGGCGAGTACTAGAGGGGGCGAGACGCGTGGTAGTAAATTGTTCCTCCGCAGAAAAAAAATATCAATAAACATATAGGAGGATCTAGATAGCACGATCCCAATCAAACAATATCAAAGGCTGACTTCCAGATGTATGGATCAGTCTCCACCATAATGGTCCTGCCATCATCATCACCTACACAGAGTACAGGCACACATAAAATTATTGGTGCAAAATCTGCCGGTCACACTGACAATCTTAGATCATCACCACCTAGAAGTATCCTTGAAGACATACAACAAATACAACATGATAGATCAATGAAATTGCTTCATCCTCTATCTTTATCCCCTATACGAGCGAAAGAACCAGAAAGATTCCAATCGCACCTGCTTCTGCTGCCACTAAGGAAATCAAGTGAGCCACGAAATGTAAAGACTATCAATAGTCGTAACAAACATGACATCATGCAAAAGACACGACAACAATATGTACAGGAGAAATTACTTCTTCAACGTGACAAGCAATCATCCCAACAATTCACCCAGGATCTTATTCGTAAGTACGAAGAGGAATATAATCAAATCATGCAAGGAGTCGATATTGATCAGTTGATTGAGGAAGAACAAAATGTTAATTATGCCGATGATGAGAGTTGGGAGGATGAATACCAACAGGAATTAGAAGAGTTGGAATTCGAAGAAGACTTGGAATTGGTTGAATTGTTACATAGTTTGGAACTAAATGAGCAAGCATCTGATCACTAACAAATATTCATTGTTTTAGTTTGTATTTCGGTAGGTTCGGTAGAGAGAGGGGGGTGTGGCTAAAATAGGGTAATTGTATATTGATTTATTATGGTAGAATTTGTATTTGGGATATGTTTCAAAGGGGTTGACATTACCTTGCAACATGTAGAAAATTGCTTACAGCGATTGAGTTGCTTTATATACCACGCTCATAACATTTAGACTTTGTGTTCATTGTCTGACATGTTCTAGCCACATTCTAAATTATTATTTTGTGGGAGAAAATTCCAAGTTGTGACACGAAAAAAAAAAAAGAATATTGACACAACGATTTCAGGTTCGAGAAGCCATTTTAGTTTGATCTTTTTTTATTGATCTCTCTTTCCTTTTCTTGTCATTTGCTTTCTTTACAAGAACTTCCACACTCGCTTTTACATAGAGTCGTTACATTAGCAAAGGAAACCCATAATAATTTCATTTCAGAATGTCCAAACAACAAATACCAGCCACATCTGCGCAACCACCCCAAATCACCCTAGAGGACAAACCAATCACCACGGAGCCAAAACCTGTCAACGACATGGAATTATCACAACAAGAAGAGCAACCAAATCAGTTCCTCGATCCTCAACAACATACCAAAGACCATGATAGCTCCAGTGACACTGAATCTGAATTCACTGATATTGGCAGTGGTTACCAAAGAGAACTGAACGAATGTAGTGAATTCGTTACCAGTTGTTGTACTTGTTTTGGAGCCCTTGATACATGTTTGCCAAAGAATGGTGAAGGTTGTTTCACATCTACTCTTACATTCATTGGTAACATCTTATTCGGTTGTTGTAAACGTTAGACATGGAACGGTGTCGTTATAGAAGAACTTTCATACTGTTTATACATATATATATATATATATATATATATATATACATTAGTTGAATTTGCATATACAGATATTTATTGTATTACTGTAGTTTTAGATGATGAGGCTGGTGTGATTTTTGCATCTTATGCTGCATGACACAAGAAAATTTTTTTTTAATAGCTGAGATCATGAATGCTAAAAATCATGACACAATTACAAGGTTATTTGCACAGACGTATTTTCATTGCCAGTGTGGATATGCTGAAAATGGATGCTGCTGTATTGCAGGATGACTCTCCTGCAACGAAGGACCAGTTAAATCGAGACATTTCAGCTTTGTTGCGCTACCATATTTCTGATAATCCATGCAACTATGAATATCTTGGCAAATAATTACTTATTGATTGTTCCATGTCTCTATATGAATAACCTTTGGGTTATTTAATTTCTAATAGTTTGCCAAAGCCGCCCACTACTGCCTCAAAGTTTGAAGAAAATCTTTCATGTTAAAAGCTTTTTTTTTTTGCAACAAATAGAGTAGAGCGGCTATTTACATAAAAAAACAAAAGTTGGCAACTTTTTTACCGCTGTTTACACTTTTGTAAAGTCACTATAGAACCATGTCGAATGAAGAACAGATAAGAGAAGATGAACAGCTTCGGAGCTCTACTGTTCCAGAGAACTTCCAAAACGTGTTTCCTCCCAAGCGCTCAGCTACGATTTCTGAGTTTCAGCCATTAAGTTCCGGCTCATTTACAGAAGGTGGCGGTCAAAAGAATGAAAATCCAGAACAACCGAAACTAACAAAAGTAAGTCCTTACAAGATAACTAGATCTCGATCAATCAACACTTTCAATGAGTATAGAAGAAGTTCAGAGATCTCTCCGATTGCATTCACTAGACCTTTGAAGCTGGGCCAAAATCAAGATCTTCCTCAATCACGCTCGTCACAAATCAATAAGGAACCTACTGTTTTGAAAATCACTGGGAACAGCATTGATGACGATAATGCAGAAACTCCAATTACGCTTGGACAAAGCTCTCTTAATATCCCTGCTTACTATTGTCTTGACCAAAGCGCTCTTCATGGCTCGTTATTGTCAGGAGCTATTCCTATTGCTAGTGGTACCAACACCAGTTCAGCTACAAGAAATGCAACTGTTATCTTCAGGAAGAAGAATAAGTCCCCATATGAATCAGATTACAATTTAACCGCGATATCCCCAATTTCTGACGAATCGGCTCCTTTTAAACCTATGAGAAAGACCTCTACTCAAATATTTAGTGGACCAATTATTAAGGAAGAAGACGTGGAAGAAATTAACCTTAATGATGATGAAAACAATACTGACAAGAATAAAACTAAACCCTCTTATGATCAGAAGAAAGATGACGGAACTATATCATCTGTTTTACATCCCTTGGTCTATAATAAGAGCATCCTCGGTAAACCCACGTTTCTGGAAGAAGATTCCATAAAAAATATGGATCAACTTAGTGAATCATTGTCCAAGCGTTCACCAAATAATGGTGGAAAACAACCAAGATTCAATTGGGTTCCCGCATTCCCTTCCTTCAAAATTAAAGGTTCTATTATTATCCATATATTTTTGGTATTGGTGATTATTCTGTTACTTTGTGGCTTCATTCCAGCAGTAGTGATATTGTCAAAGGGAACCAAATCCTCGGTTGATAATTACTTCTCGCAATCCACAAACTTACCGCATTTGAGTGAGCTATCAGATAAATATCTTCACACATCGATTACGCCAGAACCGATCCCAAGAATTAATTCTGTCCAAGGATTAAATGACGACGTGAAGAATGATACTGAAGTTATTAATCTAATGGGGGTTGTGTCAAACTTGATGTTTCATGGAATTGCTTATTCTCCAAATAATGCAATGGAACCAGATTGTGGGTACACTAAAAAGGATGCAATGTTAGATTTGGCCAAATTATCAACTGTCACAACGAGGATTAGAAACTATGGAATGCAATGTGATCAAACGGAAATCATTCTCGATGCAATTGAACACATGAATCTCAATATGACTTTGGCAATGGGGGTTTGGATCGGCCTGAATAATCTGGTTAATAGAAAACACATGGATACTATGAAAAAAATAATTGCCAAACATCCACATCCGCTGAGACTAATCAATTCTATATATATAGGGAACGAAGTTTTGTTTAGAGGAGACAAGACCAGAGATGAACTAATTGAATATATTCAGGATGCCAAGGAATTCCTTAAGTTGATGCATATAGATGACATACCGGTGGGAACATCAGAAATTGGTTCGTTAATTGATAAAGAACTTCTCCAAGCTTGTGATATCATAGGTGCTAACATTCAACCATTCTTTGGTGGTGTCACTGTTGAAGATGCAGTCAATTGGACCTTAGATTTTTTCCAATATCAAATAGAGCCTTATAATGAAAAAAATATTCCCGTTGTTGTTACTGAGGTTGGTTGGCCTAGTGGAGGTGGTAAGTTCAAGGGGGCAATTGCTAGTCGCGCGGGGTTGCTGTATTTTGTCAATGAATTCCTATGTGCATTCAACGATTTGGGAATTGACTATTATTTTTTTGAGGCATTTGATGAGCCCTGGAAGGAAATATTCTGGGACGGCAACCGCAAATGGGAATCCCAATGGGGTATTTTTAAAGCTGATAGGCTGAATAAATTTAATCTCCAGAGAGCTCCGTGTGCATGAAATTTTTAATTTCTCGCAGGCTGCAAAAAAAAAAAAATATTCATTTCTTAATTTCGGTTAGGGTGGTTTTATTATTTATAATTTCTGTGTATATCTAATTATTTGCATTATAAAAGTTGTATAGAAATTGTTTTATTCTCTGATCGTAGATATTGTTGAAACGTCAGGCAGTAAGTATTTGAAGGAGTTTTGAGAAATATTTTAGGAAAATTTTGAAAATTTTTAGGAAGAAAATGAAGCAACTTAAATTCGTACAAATGAAAACTTACAATATTTAAATGACTATTACAGAAACACTTGTAGTAGATGAGACAAGCTAATTCTCTTAAGGTAAATAGACATCTCATTTGTTGAGTGTTAAATTCTAAATTAAAACACATAACCTCCTACCAGATTCTTGATAAAACCCACGTGATCCAAAGAAAATATGAAAATAAAAATTTAAAAAAAAGGCAACTTGTCCGAGTGGTTAAGGAGAAAGATTAGAAATCTTTTGGGCTTTGCCCGCGCAGGTTCGAGTCCTGCAGTTGTCGTTATTTTTTTGTTTGTAATTTTTTATTTTTTTTTTTTGGAAATGAATTGTTAGTATATTAATTAATTAAAAATCTAATAAATATTATCACTTATGGAAATTGTCCCTTTCGTAAACCTATATAGCCATCTGGAGCCTGCGAAACATTCAACCAAGTATCAGGTAATGCACCACCTTCAATTCCTTGTTCTCCGATTGTGTTCCCCCACCATTCTAAGTGATGGGGGTGGAATTGGACCGTAAAGAATATTAAAAGTGCACTGAATGCAACACCAGCAGAAAGGGCACTTGTCAATATATAGTTGTACTTTTCCCACCAAAGCAAATAATTCTTTTTGATTTTATACATGAAGATGTATGAGAGATAAAGTCCTCCGGTAAGGTACAGTAAATTGTAAGGTGCATAGTCCAAGAACCCACCAATTATGACTGTTGGCTGAAAGTATCTTGTGAGTTTTTTTGGCCCATTGTTCTTAAACCAAACACAAGGGAATACTAATAAGGTACCCAAGAGGAAACACCACTTGAGAATAGGGTACAAGCCACTAAACACTTTAGCAGGTCCGATTTCACCATATTGAATACTAGAGAAAAAGTAAGTGTTGGCTCCAGGACATTTCAACTTATCCTTTTGATGGGGACTGCAGATATCAGAAACATTAGCCAATTGCCAGTTTGTTACAACCAACGCAACCACAACATTTAGCATAGTAGATATCAACTGTCCTTTAAATATCGCCTTTGGTGGGATTTTCGCATAGTGGGCAAGTTTTTGATCGGTGATATAGTTACTGGCTTGACTATCAATATTATACCCAAAGCTCTTTAAAGTAATCAAGGCAATTCCCGAGTTAGGAATGGCGTACCCGACAATCAACTCCACAAGAACATTCAATCCAAATGTGAACCCAGTGACCGAGGCAATAGATGTTAACGGAATTAAAAACACAAAGTTTATCAATATAGTAAAGAAAATCCCCCAAATTGGAGTTTCGGTGGGGTAGAAAAGCACCACAGCAAGGGCAAATACCGTACTAATTACCAATATTGCAACAAACCACCAATCTGGAACATCTTCGTATTTAGACATCATTTTACAATGGGGATCCTCAGCGTACCTACCATATATATTTTCGTGACTGTTATCTTTCCTAAACTTGAATGCTTCAACTAGGGAATGCCAAACATTGACAAAGCCAGACTTCATTGATTCCCATTCGGTCATGAAATGATAAAGAATTGCAAAAGGATAAAGACAAAAGTAGGCACCATACAATACCAAATTGGCTGCAGAAAAGTACGGAGGTCCAACTTCTTGATACTTTGCATCATCAAATAAATTCTTTTCGTCTAATATCTTATGCACATCGTATACCTCAGCTTTATTATTAAACAACCTATTGGAGTTTATGGGGAGATATCCAGTCCAGTTATTATTAGTGTAATAAACAATCAAAATCACGACAAAACCCATAAGAGATCCAAGATATCTGTTTGCGTAGGTATAAAACGGAACAGTCAAACAACCAGCGGAACCAAGGATATTCCAGTCAAACGAAGGAAGTGGATTCAATCCCAACCCATTTATGGAACCAGCCACATTTGTTAAGTGAATCAGGGAGGGGTTAAACCAGGTTGGCCAGTTAAAAAGTGACAAAGCCGTGAAAAAGTACGTTGGAATCCAATTATAGACAAAACTAAAGAAGAACACCACCATGAAAAAGGAGTATCTGGAAATAGACCAACCATGCACAACATTGTTTTCATCTTCATTCATCAATGCCTTATTGAGTGCAATAGTAGGTAATATAGTTGGCCAAAGAGCCTTACTTGGATAAACACATACCTTCTTCATGATTAATGCAAAACCAAATCCGAGAAACTGAGTTGAAATTGCTAACAAAAATTGAAATGTGTATGTCACCCATTTTAGCCCATAGAATCTGTCAAGTTTCATGACAACGATGTTGTAGACCAGATATGGTGTACCTGCAGAACACAGGTATATGATTGTACTCAACATCATTTCCTTGTACGTCCAGGGACCAGGGTTTAAATCTATTGAGTACTTTCCGATTCTGATTGTCTTGTTAGGGACAAACTTTTCCCATAGTTTCCCACTTGGCAACAACAATATTTGGATGGTATGAGAACTAAGTGAAATGCTAGGCATTCTATGAACAAAAAAAACATTTATAATGGAACCAATAAATGTCCAAAATAGTCCTATAAAATAGACACGGAAGGTCTCCACCGGTATTTCCGGATCATCAAACGGTTCAGTTATGGCACGTATTTCAGGGTATGGTGAATGAAAATGAATTAATGCAGCTTCTAATCGAATTTGAAGCGACCAATCAATTACATTTAAATAAGTTTTGTTCTTGAACACATTCACAAAATTCTCCGAAGATTCATGTTTAGGTTCTCCAGCTTCTGGATTCGCAGGGATCATACTAACCAACCTCTCAAGTAATTGGTAATCTTCTCGAAGGAAATTGACATCCCCACTATGTTCAGCCAAAGCGTCACGTACTATCTCAATAGCATCAGAAATCGATAATTCATTTATTTTGGTAATCATATATTTGGTTTCCTCTGACAAATGCGCTTGGGATAATGCAAAGTCCGTGCCATAAATTTCATCACTGATAACACCTAATCGCAAAAGGATAAGCTGCAATTGAGATTCAGTAAAATTCCATCGTTGTGGATTTGAATTTGTGGAGGTTACCCAACTCGGAGACTCTAGATACGGAGTCAACTCAATATATTCATACCCTTTGCTCATTACTGAAGAGTAAAGAGAGTAAACTTAGTTAGTTTGTGGGGAGATCATATATTTATTAGTATTGCCGAGTTTGGCTCTGAAAAAAAAAAAAAATAGAAAAACTTCCTAATACGGTAGCGCAATATTTGGTGATAAAGAAACCACAATAGAAATGCAGGTCTAATTAAACCATCTAGGAACGTACAGAAACGATCGGACCAACAGTTGGTTATTCTTTGATAGTGAACCTGTCAAAAACTATGGGCTGACTACATGAAACCGGAGGTAAATTAGACAGGTTCTGCAGAATAGTCATAAAACCGAATTTGCTATTCTGAATTAGATGAATCATAGTTATCTCCGAATAAATCAACACAATCACAGCCAAACAACCAAAATGCTGCTAGAAACTTCTTTTTTGACACGCGCATCTGACGTGAAACGCAAGATAGTGTTCTACATTGTCCAACAAGGTGGTTCACAAGCAAAAAAAAATTTTTCATGGGTTCTAGACCTTCCTTGATGAAAATAATAGCTGTTCCTATTGCTATTCATTAATAGGGCTATGCGGAGAAGGCTGACAGAAGTCATTCATCTGCAACAAGGGATTGTCTACCAGACGTTGTTTTTGTTTATACAAACATGTTAGTCATTATTGTTATTTCGGTCTTAATTGCCAATAGAGAAAAAACCCCATTGTTCTCAGCCGCCCCTAATCCATTGTTTCCTCTACAGTTCGGACCTTAAACATGACTACTACAACATTGATGGCAAAATAGGGGATACCCCTAATTATGAATTTGTAAGCTAATTAACCTAGTATCAGCCATGTTATATTCTCATACTATGTCACAGAAGAAACACAATTGAGAACTATATAAGGGAGTGATTTTTCCCTTTTGGTTTGAAATTAATACCATTCCTCTACTACTAACAACAATGATTTTCCAACAATATTTACTATTTTGCTTTTATCTAACTGCTATTTCCGGTGCTGCTTTAGTTGCAGATAGCGAACACGCTGATGTGGGACCACAAGATCTCGCTTCTTCAGTAACTCGTTATGATCCAGTTTCCGCCATTCTGCCACTCCCAGTTGCTTCCTCAACCTCAGCTATACCGACTACTGAAAGTACTGATTCATCTGGCAAGGCTGTTTCTTCTGCTAGTATCCTGATTTATTCCCAAACAATCATACTATGTTGCTTAATCTCAACTTGCATGGTATTATAAGGTTCATTGAACTTCTAGAAAGTTTTATTATCCAAATAAATATCTAGAAATAGAATTCATCATATAATCTTAAATGGTCAGGTACTATACTTGGTTTTCAATTCAAAATGAGTATATTCTACTCAATTATATAGTATATAATTTTAAATGAATGTATTGATTGATTCAAAAACGATATACATGTAGTCCTTCGGACGTTTATTCTCTTGATATTATGTTCATTTAGTTTGTAGTAGTGCTGCAAAAAAAAAATAAATAGGAATAACTACTTATTTTTCTGACAAAGAAGTTGCAAAAACTTATGATCTAACACACACAATTTTCATTAATCAAACCAATTATATTTTTTTTTTCTTAGTTTTTACTAAGATGAACCCCTTCGGGAACCATAGCTAGGACCCACGAAACTTTGTTTATAGATCCTGCTTGAAAGGGAATGGTACTAGACAAGAAAGAAAGCTCACACTAACGCTGAAACTCAGATTACTGTTAGTATTGATTCTAGCTAAGTCGAGGCAACATATTCCAATGAGTTTTGAAAGTGAATTAAATATGTGATCTTCATTTCATTTTTTATAGAATTACAAGAGCAATCAATATGATAAACTTGGCCATAGATGTATTAAACAGTAAATGTAATTATTCAGCGAGAAGACTTAAAACTGTCCCAATCTAAGCAGGGCCAACAGAGGGCCAAAAAAAAACACAGCATTCTCATCGGTTTAAGCACGATTTACTATAATTCTACATTTAACGGTATTGTGACAACTTACTTGATCAATCGAAATATTTTTTTATGTGAACGGAATTATTTTCTCTACCCTTTTTTGTGTTTAAATTAAAGCCAAAAGATTGAAATTGCGCCAAAGCATCGATTCTTTAATATATGTCACCTCTATCCAGGGTTCCAAACATATATGAATAACCATGGGAATCCAATACTAATCAACTTCTGGTAAGATTTTTTTTCCCTCCCCCCAAAAAGAGGAGATATTTAGTGAATTATAATAGCGGTACATGTGATTCCAGAACTGAGATTTGCCCCATGCAAGATGGAATCCTGCAAAAAAATAAAGAACAATAAATTTTTTTTTAAATTGCGGAAAGGAGGGAAAATATGCCTTAACTTTGCTAAAGCGCCTCGACGGGGTTACACATATATATAGGAGGATATAGCAATGTTTGTAATTTCCTAAGATTTTAAGCTCTTTCTGTTTTATATCTTCTTCTATACTCTTTTTATACACGATTAGTTTGCAAAAATGAAGTTACAATCCTTAACGTTATTGTCTGTTGCAGCCACCGCCTTAGCTGTTAACCTTGAACAAATAAGATTGATTAATGAAGATGCTTTGGTTCTTGATGGCACTCAATTCGATTATCCTGTTCTTGGCAAAATAAACGAACAAGATGAGTTCAAGGATATGGGAAAGAAGAAAGCCCACAAGAAGAACAACAACAAGGATAAGAAGAAGAAGACCCAAAAGAAGGAAAAGAAGACCACCAAGACTACCCTTACTACCCTTCCTCCATCCAGTACTCCTTCACTCTCATTTACTAAAGTCACATCCACCAAGCACTCATCTAAAACTTCAAGTGAAACTACTACTACTACTTCTTCTTCCAAGCACGAGTCCAGTTCCAAGTCTCACTCTCACACTGCTTCAATTACCAAGACTAACGGTGGTGACTCTGTTGTTGTTTCCATTGGTGGACCAATTGCTCTTGCTTTAGGATTATTGTTGTAAGGACATTTCTATTTAAATATTATATACTGTTAAAGGACGATTTTTTTTTTGACTTTTTGTAATGGTTTACTAGTTGGGCCTTATCTCTTATCATGCTCTTTAGTCTTTAGTAACCCCTGAGTCTATATGTTAGCTCCTTAAAAGAGAATAAGTGGCATCGAAATATACAAAGGGAGCCCACGTTGGAACCAATATAATTAATATTTTTCTGTATTGTTCAATTGAGGGCTTGTCACGTTTTGTGTAATGAAAAGTTTCATACTGGTTTTGAGCTCAACCACAGTCAGAGGACCAGACGGACTTTAGTTTAATTGATTATCATAACATACTTCTTTCTTCTTAATGCAATTCTGGGACGTAACTCTTTGCCTTTAATGAAAAAAAAGACAAGAGAGTGTTCAAACCATTGTGAACTTCAAATAGTGATGAAAGCCCAATAATTTGAGCTATAAAAGTCAATAGTCGGCAATCTCAACTATTTTCATCTGTATAATCACAGCTAGATCAACGGGTATCAGTCTTCAGTAATGATACAGTGACATCCTTACATAAGTATAAATGCCCAGTATAGGGATAAAGACCTAGGCAACAACTTACTCTATGGGGAGAAAAAGACATACCACAAGTAGCTCAGCCTTCCGCTTAAATTTCAAATAATGAAAGACATCAGAAGTCTCAGGAGATGCCCTTGGATACTCCGTTGATCCGTTTTGCTTAATCATGAGACTAGCAATGTTGGTCATACCGTTTGTCCGGGTGACTCACCTACTTTTTTTGTTGGATGTCGCGAAGAGATTTACGATCAAATGTCGTAGGCCAAAACCGGGCCGTTTACGAAATGATAACACTGCTAGTGCGCGCACTAATAAAAAATGAATCATTTCCTCCATAGTTAATTTCAAGCTGTTCCGTTAGCCCCCTCCCCCAGTAGAAAAATTTTCGTTCTCCACTCTGAGTTTATAAATCAACCACAAACCTTGTTTTCTTTTTAAAGTTCTTCTTGACACCACGCAATCATGTTGAAGAGATCAGCAAACGTGTTTAGAACTTCTACCAGAACCAGAAGTTCGAGTTCAACTTCTGCGTTGGCATACAAGACTTTACACAGGAATCAAAAGAGACCACCTCTCCCCACTATAGATACTCCTAGTTGGTCAGCAGATACAGCTGTTTCCTCAATCTTGTATGAAACGCCTGTTCCATCTAAGGCTCCAAAGAAGCAACATGTTTTGAATTGTTTGGTTCAAAACGAACCGGGTGTGTTGTCTAGTGTTTCTAGTACTTTAGCAGCCAGAGGATTCAACATTGATTCCTTAGTTGTTTGCAACACCGAAGTTAAGGACTTGTCTCGTATGACTATCGTGTTGAAGGGTCAAGATGGTGTCATTGAACAAGCGAGAAGACAAATTGAAGACTTAGTTCCAGTCTATGCTGTTTTAGATTACACCAATGCTGAAATCATAAGAAGAGAATTATTATTGGCTAGAGTTTCCTTGTTGGGTCCAGAATATTTCCAAGAATTGATTGCTACTCATCAATTACATGTTGATGATGCCTCTTCCATTCCTGACTTGACCGCTTGTGAATCAGCTTACCACCCAAGCAACTTACCACCTTCAGAAGCACTTAGACAAAAGCACTCCCATTTCAATCATATTTCCGCCCTTACTGAACAATTTGGTGGTAAGGTTGTAGATATTTCTGAAAGAAATGTTGTTGTGGAGTTGAGTGCCAAGCCATCGAGAGTCAGTTCATTCATCACTTTGTTACAGCCATTTGGTATTTTGGAATTGGCTAGATCTGGTATGATGGCCTTACCAAGAACTCCATTGGAAAGACACGAAGAAGATGAAGAACCAGTAGCTGCTGATATCGTTGATGCCTCTCAATTACCACCAGGTTAAACATATACAGATACACACACACACAAAAAAAAAAGGTACTTGGGTTATGCACCTGAGAGACTCTGTTTATAAATAAGAATATATAATAAATATATATGATACGCATCATAGAACTACACCGAGTGACATATGAATTGAATTATAGTGGTATGGCGCTCACAATGTATAAACAATGTATAGAGTTTTGACGTATAGCGGATAAATCACCCGCAGGAAAAAGGTTTAACACCCCTGAAAATATCTAGGGTGGACTGACGTGTGGCGGTATAGGCAAAGGAAGTAATTTAAGCGATGACAGGAATATCGCTAACTTTAACTAACAAAGCTTGAAACATACCCATAAATCTCCAGCAACCCTAGAACATGAATTGGTGCACTTGCAGACCTCCCCCCTGTAGTAGAGTGGGACCTGGGGCTGAATCTCAATCCCATATGAAAATTTACTGTCACACAAGCCAACAAAAAAAAAGAGGCGGCATGGAACTTTAGGCTTAGCAAAAGCGCATTTTTTTTAGTTTTCCCCCAAACAAAATCGTCCATCATCACCACAATCTAGTTACAAAATCGGATCGTCTATACACGTGCAATTATTACTAGCAAGGGGCTTACATTGAGATCAGAAACACTACCAGCGCGGCTTGAATGAAAAGTAGGTAATTCAAAGAACAGAAAGCAAATAAGTCCGTCAAATCGTCACTTCAACTTCATTGCATTTTACAACTTTTTCTGTAAACAAGATACATTATTGCATGACCTAACAATACCAGCATCTTCTCTGAGAATTAATAGACTTTTACAACTCATACTACAATGAACAACAGAGAAGGAAAACCAGAGTCTGGAGTGAGCAGTCTAAACTCAGGAACTCCACTGGCCATTCCAACACCGCAACCAATATCACCTCAACATGGAATCGGACCCCAGCAACAACAACAACAATACGTGAAAAATCAGTATTACCAAGCCAATCCCAACTACTATCAACAACTACCACCTCCGGGAATGCAACCTCAAGTTTTTCCCCAAGGAAACCCAGGTCCAGGTCCCGGGCCAGGTCCCAACCAAGGCATCTTTCAAAATCAAGGTCAGCAACAACCACAAATTATGAACCCAGCACTCCAACCTGGACCTCCCGGAATGGCACATATGCCAATGGGACCGAATAGCCAGATTCCCATGATGCAGCAACAACCACTACCACAGTTTAACCCTCAATTTCCCCAACAGCAGGTGTTGACCGCAATTCCAACTCCAGTTTCTTATGAACCACATTCCAAAAAGAGAACTCATTCGCAAGGACCAGAAACTACAAGAGCTACTGCAACTTATCCTCGTAAAAGAGCCTTGACGGCATGTGATACTTGTCGATTAAAGAAAATCAAGTGTGACAATGTTCGTCCTCGATGTGGATCATGTACTAAGAATGGGAATATGAATTGTCACTATAGAACTGATGACCAACAAAAGGATTATTCCAGCTATGATCCTGCTTCATTAAACATTCTATCCAAGTTAGATGTAATGTTGAAGGATATTAAGGACATAAAGTCGAACATGGGAATCGAAAAATCTGACCATGAAAAACGATTTCAATTTGACAAATGCATATGGGATATGTCTTTAACGTCAATTTTCAAATGGAGCTCATTTATGAAAACATTGAAAAACACACCCAGTGAAGCTGAACATATCCAGAAAACCTTGATTAACCACTATGATGACAATTCATTCACCAGCTTGGGACGCACCGACTCATTAATAGAAAGGGTTCAGAACACTAGACTATTGGATAAGTTTTTGTACAACAATTTTTCCACCATTATCAACTCATTCTTTGTGAATTGTTATTCAAAAATTCCTGTTTTGGACACGTTCGAGTTCTTTGATACACTTGAAAAGTATCAGCTCATAAGTGCAGAAATGCCAGAATTTTCATTTGTAACACTTATAGAACTTTGTGATATTACTGATGAGACGGTATTGCCGGCCAAAGTGGAAGAAATCTACAAGAAGCAAAATATTGAGATTAACGACGACAGCATTGAACTGTTTTACAAATTAATCCACTCAATTCCACTTATTATTTTAATATGTGCCATTGGTGTTATAAGCACCCCCATCCAACTTGAGAACCTAAGCCTGTTTTCCGATTCCCTCGAGGAAGCTAGATCCATAGACCTTGGTTGCCTTGGCGGTCCTGATGTATTCAAGGACTTGCCTGAGAGCTTTCCTCGAGATAGAGTACGCATTGCCGTCAAATTATTGAACTATTCGCAGTTGTTAATTATTGGATTTCCCTTTTTACTCGAGAGTAATACTTTAACGTCCGTAGAGTTTTACTTGTTGCTCAATCAATTCTATCTTTACGGAATGTCACCCTTATTGGCACACAGAACAATCAACACTGCCAACCAGCACATGATGTATTTGCTTAGAAAAACCAACTTGAACGAAGTCAGTGCTAGACAGAGAGAAACAATCGGCCGGTTGTTCTGGAGTGGGCTCAAGTTAGAATGCGAGTTGAATGTAGAATTATCACCGTTTGTACCATTATCAGGAATAACTCAAATGGAACCACCAATCTCATTCCCTAGAATACCTGATCAGGCTTCGATTATATCCAAATCGAAATATAGTGATTCCGTGATTAAATTAGCCCAGAAGTACGATGATGAGTATACTTGGTATTACTTTCTTACTGAAGTTGCCGTAAGGAAAGTCGATAATAAAATGTGTGATGAGATTTACTCATTTGAGAATAGCTTGAAACATTCATGGGATCTGGAGGATTTTTCCGAGAATTCTGTGTGGCATCTTTTCATAAAGTATTTGAATCAGTACAATGGGATTATCAATTCGTTGTCACCGGAAATCAGAAGTCTTGTGCTTCAAGAAAGCAACGTTGACCAAATCTATCGCCGGATTAAGAAAAAGTATGACAAGAAGAATGATATAAAGATGGAGCCTTTCGCTAGTGTTGCTGGAGACATCTTTGACAACTTGGACGATTTCTTGATTGATGATGACTTGCTTTATCGAGTTCAATCCGAATCCATCATGTATATCAAAACCAGGGTGATTACATCGAAATTGTTATTGTTTAGACCGTTGATTTATTTGCTACTTGAAGGCAAGATCCCGTTTGTTGATTTGTTAGAGGCTACCATGGCGGTAGCAGAAGCCAATATGCGTGAAGCTTCAGTATTGAGCAATTTCACATCGACTGAATCTCCTGACTCAACTATATCATCACAAGACATGAGAGCCGAATACGATATTGGAATCGACTATCTTAACATCATCAAAGCTCCCCAATTCTACCAGAAACAATTCCCGGAAGAAGACTTTTCCAATTTGATTGAATACTCCCCCAAGAATGACGAAGATGATGATGCTGTGTTTACCATTAAAGATATGCACCAAGCCAAAGCCAAGATCCTTCGTATTTTCATCCAGAATCTTATCTCGTTGCCCAAGTTAAGTATCCCTAAGTTGGGAGCACATAGACACCCGGGCCTGTGGTACTACTTGCGTAACTCGTTCATTGGTAATGTATTCCAGTTCTTGATGTATAAGAAGATCCATGGGATGATTGAAACTGCTGCTGGCGATGACCAATTCAAAGCTTACCTTGCCCAGAAGCAACAGAATCTGAAGGACAGTCCTGGAGGTTCCGAGGTTAAATCGTTGGAGGAAATAAATGCCTTGGTTAATATTGTTTTGAGTAAGCAAGGGATCTTGGCTGCATTTGAGCATTCGAATATTCTCTTTGAGTATTGGAAGGACGAGGTTAAAGACTGTGAGATTTATCAAGCATACATAAGAAGGATTTTGGAACTTATGTGAATGGTGGAAGGTATTAGTTAGAATGTAGATTAATATGTTCTCTTTGTTTTATTCACATTGTATTATTATTTTAGGGTTGAATGTGCTTGTATTATGAAATAAGAATTTATTATATTGGTGCCCGGCTCGTGATTGGCTGATTGCGAATTGAGGCTTGAATAACAGTTAGATTATAGAGTATACAAACTACAACGGATCATACATACACCAAAGACTATTGTTTGGAGATGCCCGAGCAAGCATTACTAGTGATTGGCGATGCCGTGTCCGAAACAACCGTCTTTGTTGTGTTCCCCGGGGGCGGCAAGATTGCTCCAAACGCTCGTAATATTTATCTGATCGGATCGCAGGAAATTTGTTCTGCGACATCGGAAATTTCATGCGAGGCACAAAACTACAGATTTTTTAAAAACACTCATTTATCCTTTCAATATTCCAACTGCCGTGTATACTACATGAATTGACCGTACTAGACACCAATAACATCAAAAATAACCATACATTTACTATTAAAACTTCAGAAGTTTAATTGTGTTTCAAAATTTTGCATGCACAATACTGTCTGCACTTAACAACCTTACCACCAATAGCCGAACTAAAAACAACCAGCTCCCAGATCCAATGCTGTCCCCAGAAATAGATGACGACTGGCAGAATAACGATTATGAAATCAAAGAACAGGACAGGTTCCTTCCGATAGCAAATGGTATGTGAAATTCTTGGTATCAGCTTAGCCCAGAAATATATATATATATATATATAAATATATTTATATACTAACGTTACTACTAGTGGCTCGAGTAATGAAGAAAGCCCTTCCTGACAGAGCTAAACTTTCCAAAGAATCAAAAGAGTGCATTCAAGAATGTGTGTCTGAGTTTATTTCATTTATAACTAGCCAGGCTGCCGATCGGTGTATATTAGAGAAAAGGAAAACCATGAACGGTGAAGATATATTATGGGCCATGCAATCGTTAGGATTTGAGAATTATTCTGAAGCGTTGAAGATATACTTAGCAAAGTACAGAGAGGTATGTATAACTGGAACTTGTTTTGGAGTGAACCTCGTACTAACAATTCAAATAGCATGAACAAGAGGAAGCAATGAGAAAAGTGAAAAAGAAGCCCAAGCAAAAACAATCAAAACGGAGGAAAAAACAAACAGAAATCCCACTGGATGAGTTCCTGGAGTTCCTAGTTCTTGATAGTCAACAAGGAAACTATACCACAAGTGAAGAATTTAACAAATCTGAAGACTTTACTGCAGTTATGCCTCCACCAGCAACTGTATACGCCAACCAAGATTTAGAGTTGCATTCAGTGGGACAGATACCTAGTAGGTCAATCAACACTGTCGAGCAAGATGAATTGCTCTCTCCTACAGGGAATCCTGAACTACCTAGGGTAGGTCCTACAATAATAACACCAAATCCCAGCATTGGTGCCATGGTCGACGTGGACTACCTGCAGTATATAAATACGGAACTATCGAGCTTGCAAATGCAGAGCCTAGGGTCAAGAGGACCAAGCCTAGACCTGTCAAATTCCGGTCGTATACCAAGCAATATCCTGTTTATGTTGCAGAGCACTTCTTTTAATGACCAAACTAGAGACAGCTCTCAAAGCATAAGCGAGTTGGATAAGGATTTGTGATAGCATATAATGCCAATAATGTAATATTAATAGAATAGCCCAGACAGACATGTCGTAATCAAAGCACCCAGACTTTTGTAGTTCCAAGAGAGAAAGAGCAGCTACTTACAAATCATCCAGTCTTTGTTGGTTTGAAGACAGAACACCGAAAAGAAGTAGTCTATTCTTTTATGCTTATTTTTCCTTTTCTTTGTCTCTGCTGAGGTCACCTTGTCATTTGCGAGAGTCAAATAGTTCCAGCTGTCCCTTGATCAGATTTGTTCTAAGCGTGTAACCAAAGTAGTACGATAATGACATGCATATATAATTTTTTTGCGGCCGGGAATCGACTCTCGCAATAAATCTGAGAATTTTTCCTGTTTGGGAAAAACTGTGCTCGGTTGGGTTGTCGCATTATTTTCGTTCCTAGTTTAACAAACTGGCACGATGGAAAAAAATACATTGTACCACAAACCAGTACCTGAACGCCACAAACTAGTGGTTTTCTTTCAACGGAAAGTGATGGACATTGATACAACGCAATCTAGATTGCAGGATAAACAAAACAGCACAGAATGGTAAAGTTTTTAGTCATATTCTTTTGTTTGCATTCCTTCTCGAAACAAGATCTGTAATGTTTTATTAGGAAGGGCTGGTTATGATCCATGAGAGAATTTCGTTCCAAGAGACCACAAGAAGCCACAAGAACAAAAGAGTTTTGTGTCCATTGGAAAAAAAAGGGGAGGGGGGGATGTATGTATGCCATTGATTAAAGATAAAATTCTGTAGTTACTAGAGACAAAAAACTACACGGTTCAACTTAAAAGTCTTAGTCTAGTGAAATCTCTCCCCATCTCAGTACTACCTGGTAACCCTATAAATTGCCCCACGTACAGATCCAGAGCTATTTAAATTTAGCTATGTCTCTAAAAGAGTATATAGATGGGAAATTATCGCCGTGCACGACTGACCATAAAAATTTAATTTCCACGCTAAAAGTTAAAAAAAATATTAAGGAAATTAATTTCAGCTACGTCTACGGGTTTGTTGTTCTAGTTTACTTTTACTTTATTTTATTTTATTTTATTTTTTTTTGGCTGTAACAATTTTTTTTTCCTGTTCAAAAATACCACCTAATAGATCATTCACGGTTTATCAAGAGAATCACAAACGTTCGCGTTGCAACGTCATATCACCACATCCATCTCAATACTATCAAGCCACTAGGTTACAGACACCTTTTCATCAGCTTGTGTGAATTTGTACGGTGAGAAAGAAAAGAAAAAGTACCGCATTTAGACAACACCGTTTGAACTTACAACCAAAAACATTCATCACTGGTAACCCCTAATTTCGAAACACGAAACAATAACCTGGCAACCATCAACAGAGTGGGGTTTCTTAAACTAAAAAAATCATTGTATTATCCTTGTTTGTTATAATTTCCGTTTTTTCTGTGATTAAGCCGTTCTAAACAGAAATTTACAACTAGACATTTATTCGAAACATAATACACTTATTGACAAAAAGAAAAGAACCATATTTCTTACACTCGTTAAGCGACATATAAAACAACCACACAGCACCAGTGTTTCTTTTCAAATAGACCCTTTGAATTATAGGAAACCACTACAAGTTTGCGCCGCATAAACAGAAACAACAAAACAACTCCTCCCATCATTTCAAGGCGACAGAACAAACATTAACCACAAATGATGAAATCATTCAGAAAAAGCAAGAGACTGTCAAGCTCTTCAACATCACCCCGACAAATTCGAGTCTCAGGCTCCTATATCAATGACGTGGACCCAGTTTTACAAGTGCCCAAAAAAGTCATCAAGGCAATTTTCGACTACAAGGCTCAAAGCTCTGAAGAATTGAGTTTTTCCAAGGGTGACTTTTTCCATGTTTTGGACGATGGAAATGACGAATTCCACAGAAACGCCAAAAAACTTGGATGGTACGAAGCAACAAACCCAATGACCCATGCTAAGGGGATGGTCCCAATCGACTACTTTGAAGTATTTGATAGATCTCGCCCTTCGGCAACTGTCAATACCAGCTCTTCAAATACAAACAACAACATTAACCATTCTCCAGTACAACCGGGCCAAAAGCAAAAGCAAACTTTATACGCCGTCACTTTATATGAATTTAAAGCAGAAAGAGAAGATGAATTGGATGTGCAACCAGGAGAAAACTTGATTATTTGTGCCCACCATGAATACGAATGGTTTATTGCCAAGCCAATAACCAGATTAGGAGGTCCAGGTTTGATCCCCGTTTCATATGTGCAAATAATAGACGTTGTAGGTAAAAACCCCGCCCGAAGTTTAATCGATTCAAGTAACCATGATGAAATGGTCAAAGCAATTGAAACATTCAAGATCCCTACTGTGGAAGAATGGAAGAGTCAAACTGCAAAGTACCAAGCTTCCACCATACCATTGGGGTCCATATCCGGAACGCAAACGCCACCTATCTCAGCAAACTCGCAATATTTCGATGCCAATCAAAGGCATCACCTTGGCTCTAACCGTTCGTCGTTAAGTTCATCCAATATTTCAATTCTAGAAGCAAATGTGGAATCCTATCAATTAGACCAAGGAAGATACCAGTATCTAGTCACGGCGGTGCTATCAAATGGCAGAATCCGCTATTTATATCGATACTATCAAGATTTTTACGATTTACAAGTGAAGTTGTTGGAATTATTCCCCTATGAAGCAGGAAAGATTGAAAATTCCAAACGTATTATCCCATCTATTCCTGGACCATTAATCACTGTCAATGATTCTATTTCAAAACTAAGAAGAGAAAAATTGGACTTTTATTTAAGGAATTTAATTGCATTACCATCACATATATCCAGATGTGAGGAGGTTTTGAAATTATTTGAAGTTTTGGATAATGGGTTTGATCGTGAAACTGAACTCAAACGAGCTTCTAAACCAATAAGTCAAAAATCCAGTTCCCATAATGATAGATTATCGCAATATTCCAATATGAATAACTATCCCCGAGTATCCGACTCTATCAGTAATTCTGCCGATTCCGGGTTAAATAATTCTAGTGAATCCTCAACTACAAATATGACCACCCATGACCACCCTACCAACCACAATGAAATCAAGCAACAAACCAAGATTAAAGTCAAGTTTTATTTTGAAGATGACATCTTTGTTTTGTTGTTACCAGTGAATTTGCGATTAGAAGATTTGAAAACACGATTACATTCCAGATTGGAATTGGGAGATCCTAGCCAACATAATTTTGATGATGCCAAATCCCCAGATTCCATTCAATTATACTTGAAGAATGATTTTGAAGACTTTATTAACGAGAATGGGATTGTAAACCAAGAGTTTAAGGACCATCACTTGCTGAAATTGAAGGAATTTGAGGTAGACGACGACATCAAATTCCACGACGTGTTATATGACAAGTGCAAGTTTGTGATTTTAGTCAAGTGATGTTTGAAATAGTAAAAGAAAAGATGACAACTAGGTTGTTTTCTCTGATATTTTTTTGTTTGTTTTATACTAATCTTTTTCATTTTTAATTTGTATTATATGGACATACACCAAGGGACTCACATTTTTTGTTTTTAAATATTTTCGGACCAAGGAAATTGTAATTGAATATATCCTAATACTTGACATGTTTGTGTAGCTGTTAGTGTTTAGTTGTAGCTTCAAATATTCGTTTGGAACATTTGCTGACGCTCGTCCCCCATTGTATTTCGATTGGCTAAACAATTCGCAAACGCGCATAATTCGGGAAATCATAACAAAAACTGGTTCATTGTTTTGACTAAAGTTACAACATCAGTGATTACTTTAGTAAAAGACCAATGCTGGCTAATAAGGCCAATACTCCAAGATCCTTGCTTCTGCGAGTGTGGGGCTACGTTAGAGGTGGTTCCAATAAAGAAACAAATAAAGCAAACAAACCTGAACAGACGACAAACAAAGTGGTACGACAACCGCAACAAACAGGACCATCAGGGAGTTCTTCAAAATTGAATCGAGAGTCACTTGCTGAGCTTCAAAATATCGCCCACGAGATTGGTACAGAATCTTTTAGAGCAAAAGAGCATAACATGGGCAAGCTAACTCCAAGCCCAAAGCGAATACGACCGCAAGAAAGCAATCAATCTATTAGATTGCAGAATACTTCCATCACACTGAACAAAACACCTTCGTCAGTAACTACCCCTATGTCAATAAAGGAGATAAATATAATAGACCTTGACGACGACGTAGAGGACTTGTTCTCTTCCCCGTTGCTAAATTCCAAAAAGAAAAGAAAACACCCACAAACCAACAGCATACAACATTCTGGAAAACGTCCTAAACAAGTTGAAAGCCCACAACCTATTCAGACACTAGCATCAAAACCAAAACTGCCATCCACGATGCAAGTATCAGCCAAGTCAACCCCATCATCAAATAAGTTAAAACCTATAACCGAGAAGTTTGTAAGCCATTCAGCACAATCTACACAGACACAAAAGAAGGCCCCTTCAGCTAAAACACTCGATCAAGCCCAGCTTGAAAGTCTCCAAGCACTTGCCAAGCTGATTGCACAAGATATTCCTACAGGCAAACGTCAGAAAGCCCCCTCTGGACTACTGAGTTCCCGGAGAGCCCTTGATCTGGAATTGAAAAGACTAAAGGATTCAATTGGTTCATCCAAAACAGCAGCCAAATCAGGACGTTCTTCTAGTTTAGGGGTCTATTCACAAATCCCCATTGTTATTGATGAATCAGATTCTGATGACAGGTCAATCAGAATCCATGGGAGAACACAAGCATATCCTAAGAGAGCAGATAACAATTTGCCTAAGATTCCACAAAGCAAACAAAGTACTTCAAAAGAAACTACAAAAAAGACAAAGAGGTCGAATACAACCCAATTAACTACACCAACTGTTAAAGCTAAGCTCCCGAAATTGACTTTGCGTGGATTAGAAGAACTTCAAAAGATTGCTGCACTGGTTGTATATCCCGAACTTGAACACTCACCAAAGCCACCTACAACAGCAAAGACTCCATTCATCTCGCCTAATTCGAAGAAATTGGTTGCTTCAGCTCAAACAAGATCTAGCCCAAGTGCAACTGATTCCATCATTCCAAAGTTTTTCGAACAGGAGTTGAATAAATCGTATCCTTCCACTCCTAGTGTTCAAATTGGCAAAAAGGAAGCATATCGCAATATAGCAGCAGCCCAGAGTGATTTACTCAGCAAATCGATGACACCCGAATCTAGCAGAGAGAAGCAACCTGAAATATCAACTTTATCTAGAAGATCATCATTGTTTGTCCCAAATCATAGTGGAGAAGAATTACAAGATGATATACTAGAGATTGAATTGCAAGAGTTTCAAAAACTGAAAGAAGACAATGCGCGTTCCGATGAAGTTAAAATTGTAGACGTGTCATATTTAAGTTCGAAGAGTCCTGATTTGGAAACCTTGGACGACTCATTTGTTACAAGCACTCAGAAGAAGCGGTCAATTGATGAACATCCAACACCTAGAAAACTAAGACGAGTTAAAGATCGGAAGAAGAAACGTCAAGTTGTAAAGACTAGAAATTCCATTCGTGTTATAAATAGTTCTAATGATGAAGGCGATTACCATGCAGAAGAAGAAGAAGACCCCATTGAGAATAGTGATAGTGATTTCGAACAGGAAATGGATCGTAATAAAGAAAGAGAATTGTTGACGAGCCAGGAAAGTATTCTTGAACAACTGCAATCTCAGAACAACTTGAAGAGTAAACCAAAGGTGAAACCTAATGTGACTGAGTCGACTGTAGGAGAAGTTAGCAGAGAGAATGAATCTCAAAAGGAAAAGGAGGCATTTTCTGGACTTAAAAGACCCCCAGTGATTGTTGATGATTCGGTTGATCAGGTTGAAATAAGCGAAGAAAAATCCCAACTAGTTACAAAAGATCAAATAATGCCAAGTCAATCTGATGAAGATCCAATACAAGCTTCTAATGAAACAGAAGAAGCAACAACAACAACAACAACTCAAGACAAGGAAAGTCTACCTGCTAAAGAGAAATTAACTGAGCCACATGCTCAAGTCTTAATGTCTTCCTATGAGTTGAATGAGAAGGAACAAGTCGCTGGTGCTGAAAGTCATCTGGATATAATTTCAGATCATACTAAAAGCTGGATGGAAAATGCCGATCAGGAGAAAGTGGAAACACGCAACCATATTCCCGAGAAAGTTGAAGCTCAAACTCAAACTGCTGTGCAAACAATAGATAAGGACATTGTTGCTTCTCAACTTCAAACCCAAAGACAATCCACAGACAGGTCTCGAGCAAAAGAAAAAGATGCAACAGCTACCCAATCTGAAATCCAACCGGAAACTGATTCTTTTAATACTGGTCCCGAAGATTCATTAACACGCGCCAGTGTTGAAGTCAATTATGAAAGGTCTGGACATGAAGTTTCTGCAAATGAATCCACTCAAACTGATCAAGTTGCACACAATCTTGAGACTGCTATTAGAGAAATAATCAGGAAATCTCAAGAGACACCAGAAAGTGAGTCTAGTGAGAATAAAACTGGTGAAGACAAGGTTGGTGAACATGATCATGAAGCTAACTTGGCACATGAGATAGTAATGGAGCCTCCAACTGTTGGAATGTCTAAACAAAAAGTCAGCCCTCGAAAGGTGACTAAGAAAGGTTCTGATCTTGAAGAAGCTCGAATCAGTTATGGAATTAAACATGTCCAGGATTCAGACCAAGCTGAAAGTGAACTAGATAGGTCAGCAGGGGAATCGAACAAGAAACTTGAGTCACATGTTAATATAAATGAAACAATCATGGAAAACGGCCAAGAAACACATTCGCAAGAACCATCATCTCACCCCCCAATTATCTCATCTCCATCCAGCCCACAAGAAGAATCAAACCAAGCTCCAGATAAAAACGCGAGACGTTATTTGGAGAAAATGAAAAAGAAGTTTCCTTCTAGTTATGGTGCCATTATGCAAAGTCAAGAATTAAGGTATTTATCAGAAACTGTTGAAGATTCGGGTAAGAAGAAAACATCAATGGAAGAACAATGCAATAAAGAAGGATCTGTTGAAGAAGCACACATTGAAGTTGAAGTTGAAGTTGAAGTTTCAGGAGACAAGCAAGGTTTCCCTGAAGTACCAAACAATAAAGAAGCTACTGTTGAAGAGCTCAGCAATCGAAAGGGATTTTCGGTTAATGCAATAAACCCTGAACTGACTGATCAACTGCACGCAAACAAGCCTGAGGAAGTAGTTGAAACGACAACTTCTCAAACTGCTTTTGTTATTGAAAAGTCTACCCAAGAAAGTGAAGCTGCTGAAAACCCAGAAGACGACCAATCTAATGGATCAAGTGAATCCATTACCGTCAATAACCAACCCATGGAAGGAGCTATTGATGGAAATACAGAAGATGAGGTTGCTGCTTCAGGTGCTCTTGATATGATGCGGGAAAAGTTTCCTGGGGCATTTGGTAAGTTAAGAGTAGAGTATCTTATACATAAGGATGGTAGTCAACTTAACGAGAAGCAAGTGGAGGTGAATGATAATGAAGAGGATGATGCTGGGAATCTAGACAAAGGCTCTTCTGATGTCGGTGGTGATTTTTTGGAAGATGAAGATAAGGAAGTCGAGAAATCGGAAAACCAGGAAAAAGATGATGATGACGAGGAAGAAGTGGATCTGCAAGAAGATGATGAAGAAGAGACTCAAGATAAGGAAGAGGAAAAGGAAAAAGAATCCGCTTCTTGGGGTAAAACCCCAGGGTTTGACTTAACAAGTGGGATAATCATGTTGGATGATACAGATGATGAACCTGAACAAGAACCCGAAGAAGATATTTTTGGTACTATTTCAAGTACAAAAACAGTTACCAAGAAAGGATATAAAAAGAGTAAACAAAAAAATAGGTTGCTGTCCAAGAAAACCCGTAAGCCGACTCGAGTTGAAGAAACTAAATCAGAAGAACAACAAGAACAACAGGAAAGTAACGAGCCTGAGCAAGACATTGAGACTGCAAGTGAAAATTCGAACAGAAATGAAGAAACTCCAAGAAGAACTAGAAGCTTAAGATCTAAAGAGGTAGATATTTCTACATCACAGAAGCCCAAACAAACTCCTCAATCTCAAGAAACTACTACTGCTACTCCCAGAAGACTTCTCAGATCTGCGGTAGCTGCTCAAGAAACTAGTACTCCCAGAAGACATCTCAGATCTGCGGGAGCTGTTCAAGAATCTGAAACACGGAAAAGCCTTAGTGATCTGGAAGTGGATGTTGAAGATTCTAGTAAAGTTACTACCAGAACTAGATCATCCAAGAATACCACTACTAAAACGAAAGAGAAAGAGCAGCCATCTGCTATTACACCTAGAAAAAACCTTCGATCTGCTGCACCTATTGAGTCAGAGGATGATTCCGACATTGAGATCATTTCTATTGTTGAGGTTCTGAAGAATTATACCCGAGCCCAAAGAGATGAAGCGAACCCGGTAAAGTTTGAAAAAGCAAATAAAGCTAGTGATCTTGGGAGAACGGTTACATATGATGAAATTCAACTTGACTTAGTTACCAATGTTGTTGATTTTGATCTGCAAGGCAATCAACTTTCAACATGCACTAAATGTAAGACCAACAAGGTTGAAAAGTTAGAAGATGAAATATGCGCTAACTGTAAGAAGACTAACCGTACCAAACGAAGAAAATCGAAGTTTGCCGATGTGGAGATCCCGGTTCAGATTCGTAGATCACAGAGATTAAATCCTAGTGAAGAAAGTAGTCCTCGTTTGACCAGAAGCCGTGGGGATAATTATTTTGATACTTCTCAAGTTCCTGATCGTTGGCCCTCGGCTGAAGATCTGATTAGAAGAAGATGATGTAATATTTGTATTTATGTTAGATTTGTATTAAAATTGTATTATTAGTTATGCATGTCAGCCACACTTTTTTTTGAAGGGTGAGAGGGGTAGCGAGCGTGGGGGGTTTCAGTTCTCGGGGGGTTTGTCCTTTGGGGGTTTGTCCTTTTCAATTTGACACAAATTATACCAATTCCTTTCCCCCCTGAATAAACACAATTGACATAATGATCTCGCCAAAGTATTCATTAACTCATTATTATCTTTCTGCCAAGACATTGGCTGCCTCACAAGGTGTATCACCTCACATTATCAATTTATACCTTGATTACAATTGTCCATTTAGTGCCAAATTATACTTGAAATTATACAACAAGGTTATTCCTGAATTACAAGCTAAACACCCAGGCAAGTTCCAATTCGTGTATGTTAATGTTATCCAACCATGGCACACTAATTCCAACTTGTTGAATGAGTTTGCCATTGCTTATGCTAAATTGTTACGTGAACAGCCTAGTGGTGATACCAACGGTGACTTTTGGAAATTGAGTGAAGTGTTGTTCAAGAATAAGGAATCATTTTATGATACTTCAAACATTGACTTGACCAGAAATCAAATCTATGCCCAGATTTACGATGTTGTCTCCAAAGAATTGAAGTTGGCATTCGATAAAAAGACTATTTTGTCACAATTGGAAATCCCCCATTCTGAAACTCCAAGTAACGCCGGAAATGCTACTGCTGTAGATGTCAAGTACTTTACCAGATACTTGAGAGGTGTGGGTGTTCATATCACACCTACTGTAAGTATCAACGGTATTGTCAATGATGCGATTTCCAGTGGCACACCAGAAGAAGAATTGATTGAACTTTTCGAAAAGTCTTTATAATTGCTATATATTAATATATGACTATTGTACATTTACTCTTCATCTTCATCCTCCATGTCAAGTTGAGCGTCTTCACCATCTGAATCAGAATCATCTTCTAACCCACCGGCTTCAACAGTCATGACATCTTCTGAGGCATCACCGTGGTACTTTCTTGCGATTCTCGAAGCACGGCCAATCTTGATTGCTTCTTCCTTAGCCTTCACTTGTAAGGTCTTTAATTCGTCTTTGAATGCATTTCTTACAGAGCCATTGGATAAACTATCCCACATCTTCAATGCACCGCTAACACCACCAATAGTCAAATTACCAGCAACTTCAATATCACCTGCAAAAGATGTGGTCAAGACGTTACCCAACCCAAAATCTCTTGACAAGATCATACTTGGCCCACCAGTAGAAGGACACTTCCAAAGCTTGACGGATTTTTCACCCATAGCACTGGAGATCAACATTCCTGGAATGTGGTTGTTTACATCAAGAGATGAGATACCCGAATCGTGTGCGTGTAAGGTCCACAATGGCTTGTCGACTACTCTAACATCGTAGGCGTAGATGTTACCATTATCGGTACCGGCATAGAAAATTTCTGGTATGGATGTATGGCCCCATCTTACATTTTCAACTTCTTCCCCAGGACTGACCTTGTAATGCTTAGTAGAGGCTGATGCATCGGAGATTCTCACATCGGTTAATCCGATAGTAGAGTCGTAACCACCCGTCAATAAGATTTGTGATTCGACTGGGTGCCACTGTGAGGATGAGACGGTTTTGTTGTGGTGGATGGTGTTGAATGAACGAACGGCAGTACCGTTGTTTAAATCCCACAATTTGACAGTGTTATCGGCAGATGTAGATGCCAAGACTGATCTGTGGATTCTATTATGCGATAAAGACAAAACGGCGTCGGTATGGTGGGTGGTTACATGGGCTGACTTTTTCTTCTTAGATTTCTTCTTGGATATGGCTGTGAATGAGTTCATTTCTGGTTCGCCCAAAATCAAATCTGGGAATGCCTTGTCTATGTAATCCAAGTTCCAGATTTCAATCAGAGGGTCGAAAGTACCAATAGCTGCGAAATTACCAATATGGTCATTGGCTTCGGATTTAGGGTTATAATTGATCCATTCAACACATAATGGGAAAGCAGGCAACATGATATCGTGATGTACATACAAGTTACTATCTCTGACTAAACCGTTAGCAACGTCTGGGTCCAATTTATCTTCTTCTTCCTCGGTGGACCCTTGAGGTGCACCGGCACCATCATCGTAAATGTACACGTCCAAGTATGAGATATCGTCTTCGGTACGGGTAGCCAAGACCAAGTTGTCGGTAGGATAGATTTGGTTTTCTTGTTTTTCTTCTTGGAGATCAACTTCAGTAGGCAAGCTCAAGAACTGTTCTCCTTCTTCGTCACCTTGGATCAACTTGGCATCGGTGTTGGATAAACCAGGGAACATAGTGATTGGCTCACCGTTTGGATCAACTTCGTCATCATCGTATGATTCCAAGTTGTATTCTTTCAAATCGTCGTCGATTTCAATTTGTTCTTGTAAGCTAGGTTTGGATTCTTCAGCCTGGGCTTCTTCGAGTTGTTGTTTGGCATCGGATAATTCGAGATTGGCCATTGCTGTAATTCTTTCCATTTCTTCATCATTTAATTCGTACTTCTCTGGAAATTCACTCGCGAATCCCCTTGGGACCCAAGTACTTGAAGAGATCATTGTAGAGCTAGCTTATACTATGAGATGAGATGGTACTGAATTTTTATGGTTATTTAAAGTAACTGAAAAAAAAAATGTCTCGATGGTGTAAAAAACTGTAAATCGTAAACTGTAAAAAAAACTTAATCTGTATTCAGAGTAAACTGTAATATTGCTACTACTTAAAGACAAGTTCTAGGGTATTAAAGCAAAACAACACCAATTCCACTGGTTTGGTCTTCTGAAACCACCTTGGATTCAGGATCAATCCCTCCATGCATAGGGAAGGTCTTGTAGTTGAACAAATAATAGTTCAAGAATCCATCACCACTGCCAAATTTACAATCTTTCAAAAAGTATGAATTGTCTTGACTGGTCAAACAGTTGAACACATCCACATTGAATGACTTGGCCGTGATTAATGCGTCGTTCAAAAGCGAAGTTAATCTTGTCTTGTATGAGTCTTCTGTGTTTGTGGCGTAATAATACAAGTAAGCAATTCCTAATTCATCATGTTGAGAGTTTTCCAATACCGTGAATGGAAGCAAATAGTATGAGAAGTAGTCAGTGATTTCCCCGTCTTTCTCAACAACATATGCTTTGATGACATTAGAAGGTTCATCACCGTTCAATCCCATCCAATGAGAGAATTCAGCCTCGGTGAATTCTTGCACAATATCAAACCTTTCTTGGTACTTATTCAACAACGCCAACACTTTAGTAACATCGTCTTTCTTCATGGCCCTCAAGCCTGGAATCTGGGTTACATTTGGCAATGCATAGTTAGCCACCATATTGGCTTTGGTTTTACCTTGGGGCAAGTGTGAAAATCCCACATCATACAACTTTGACCAGTTAATTGGACGATGTTGGTATCTGCATTGTGCCATGGGTGTAGGCAATATGATCCCTCCGGTATATAATGCTTGCCAGATATCATGTTTATTGACTCTTCTTGTGATTTCCTTGATCAAAACGGGAGCCAATCTCTTATTTCTCAATTTCTTGTGGATACACAAAAAGTTAATCTCGACGGAAGTGATGACTTTTTCACTCTTGTTGAGCTTAATGGTGATTGGAATTGCAGCAATAAACGCAACTAATTTACCAGTAGCCTTGACCCTGACACCAACGTGCCATTCCTTCTTCCAGCCAGGAGGCTTCAATGCCCATTTGAAAAATTCGTGGGAATATTTGAATCGGAAAGTGGCGTCGGTGTCTTCAACATAATTGTCATACAACAACTTGTACAACTCGTCTAATTGGGCATCGTCCTCAATGTCAAGCGTGCTCCACTCAAAGTCAGAGATCAAAGGTAATGGAGTGTCTGGGATATCTGCGGGTGTCTTAGTAGCGTCAATTGGTCCTTCACTGTCGATCGTTTCATCAAGTTTAGGTACCGGCTGGGTTTTCCAGAATTTGTAGTCCTTCATTTCCTTTTGCTGGGAAGGAGTAAGCTCCTGTCCCAAGGCGAGAAGTTTAAGTAATTCCTCGATTGACTTTGGTGTTTCCTTGTCTGACATTGCCGTAGTGTTCAGATGGATGAAGTTTAAAACGTCCACTTGTAAATTTTTTTTGTGCCTTTACGCGAGTGCAAAATTATCAACCATCAGAAAGACCCGGCAACAGTAACGATGGTGCTAAAGAATAGTAAATGGGATAAGAAGGCGAAATACAAGTTTATGAAAAAACATGGAATAAAGCCAGCTACTCCATCACAGCCTAAGGTGCATACCAAGTGGACATCCAAGAAACAGAGTGGTACTAGTAATCGAATCCTTCTAGAGGATTCAGATGATGATTGGGACAGTGATGTTGATGATGCATTGCTTGAACATTTTTATCCTCTGTTGAGTGACCAGGAATTGACTCATGAGCAGAAGATCAAACTTAAGCAGCAGATCATGACTGAGATCCAACAGCAAGAACAAGAAGATAACGGAGAAGGAGATAAGGAGGATGAGGAAGAAGAACTAGACGGAATATACCTCGGCAGTGCTGAAAACCAAGAGAAGGAAATGACACCTGCAGCTCCGGCCAAGTTCAATCTTGAGGAGTTTATAAACAATGTTCAAGGCGGTAAGCCTAAGTCACGTAAACTTCTCCTGAATAAAATCAGTGATAATTTTCTAGAAGAATATGGATTGGAGAGTTATAACCAACTCAAAAAGGATTCAGATGATTATAATGATTTGTATTATGACAAACAGAAGGAAAAAAATAAGAATATAAAGTATATTGACCCTGCTAAGTTGGATGGATTCATAATTGGGGAATCCTCTCTTGATGAGAGAAGCAATGCCAAGAGTAGTATTCGGGAGTTGACCCAGCAGGAGAAAGAACAAGACGAACAAAGAAAGAAATTGGTTGAGGAAGAAAAGTTCTATAGTCAAATCAAGAGTAAGTTTGGCAACAAACAACCGCAGAACAAAGTCATTGAAATTAATAATTATAGTGTAGACAACAAGTTGCAATTGAATGATAAGTTGGTGAGATCCGGTGGGAACGCTACTGCTGATCTTGATGAAGATTTACTTGCATTGGGTATAACACCAGTAGGCAACGACAACTCGGTTGACGATGTTGATGCTTTGTTGAATAACTTGGCAATCAACAAACCATTGACCGAACAAACAAAACCAAAACCAAAACTCAATGATTTAAAAATTGATGATGATGATGATGATTTCTTAAATCAGTTGCTAAAGTGAGGCATATATAGAGATAAGCAAAGTGTATAGAAAAAAAAAACCAATCAGCCACAATTACTAATCCACGCTCCTCCTCCTCCTCCCCCCAGCAAACTGAAAACTACATGAAACAGTCATCTCCATCATCTCCATCATCTTCAGTATACAGGAACAAAAACTTACTCTAGCACATAAACACCAATCATGAGCACAAACACGCTCTCGCCTACTGATCATGAAGCCATCGCCCTTTTTGAGAAGGCGGTGGAGAAAGAATCAATTGGCTTAATGTCTGATGCCGTTCAATTCTATCGAAGAGCATTCAAATTGAATGAACAAGTTGACTTCTTGTATCGTCAGCATAAACTACCACACCTTATAAAGTCATTGCAATTGGAGAAGGGGAAGAATAGTGGGTATCGACTTGACGAGAACAAGGTTAAACTGATCAATGTGGATACTTTACTCCACCAATTCAAACAGTTGGATATTGATGAGCATTATGACAAGTGCGATAACGGTCCGTCTCCGTTGGTATATCTCCCCAATGATATATGGATCCACATCTTGGAGTATCTCGTTGATGACAATGTGGAATCGTGGTTCAAGATGTCCATCACCTGTAAGAAGTTTGCATATCTTGGATTCGCCAGCTCTAGCATTTGGAGAAACTTGTGTTATCATGTATATCCCAAACAAGTGTACCATGACGAAGACGAGCAAATCGTGTATCAATTCAAGAATGATGAAGTGTTGGCATTACTTCCACAATATGATAATTCATGGAAGAAATTACTCACCTGTAAACCATTTGTCAAGTTCTATGGGTGTTATATAAGCATTGTCAATTATTATAGTGAAGGTGGGAGAAAGGAGTTTTCAAGTACAAACTTGTGGTCAAATCCCGTTAAGATAATCACTTATTATAGATACCTTCGGTTTTATCCTAATGGGGATGTTATAAAAGTGCTTAGTATATTACCACCAACACAAGTTGTATCTCATTTGCTGAGAATGAACAGTAGCATACCAGTAACCGCCGTTGATCATCCAGCAAATCCAGCCGCCGCTGCTGCTGCTGCTGCTACACCTGTACCTGCACCTGCTCCCACTGCCTCCTCCAGACAGGATAAAAAGAACCAACACAAGATATATAAAGGTAAATGGTCAATGAGCGACAACGGAAGAATTCATATTGTGCTTGACCAAGGAAGTGTACCATATTACGCCTTCCATTACATCTTTCAAATTGACACTTTAGGACACATTAACAAGCACGGTAAGTTATCATGGCTAGACTATTATGCAATTAGAAAGAAGATGCATGAACTAGACGATGATGATCGTATTGGAGAATTGAGTCAGTTTAGTCTAAGAAATGAAAAGGCATTCAAGTTCCTGAGAGTGAGATCGTATACCTTAGATAATTAGTCAATCATATAGTGTAAATTTGCAATCGCGTTTCAATTTGCGTAATTTCAAGAATGTCCGTGTAAATGTGATACCAAATCGCACTAACAAAATTTTTTTCTGCTCTTCGTTGAAGTGAAAAAAAATTTGGCAACACATCAAGACTCACAACTAAAGAGAGTATTAACTGTAACATGTCTCGTTTCTTTGTTACTGGGTACACGTCCGACTCTTCGTCCGAAGAAGAAGATTTATTGAGTACATCCGAGGAGGAATTACTTTCATCCTCCGAAGAAGAAGAATCCACCGATTCCGAATTTGACAATGACGAATCTAGCGAAGAAGAATCAAGTGATGATGAAGAAGGCAGACCATCCGGCCCTGCCTATTTCTTGAAGAAGTCGTTCTTGAAAGGAGCCGCCGGTGGTGATGAGTCCGATTCTGACGACGAAGGTAAGCGTGTGGTCAAATCCGCCAAGGACAAGTTATTGGATGAAATGAAGAAATCAATTGAATCAATAAACACCGACAAGAGAAGCAACAATTGGCCTAGTGTCCTTGTGGAATTTGACAAATTGGGTAGAAGCTTGATCAGAGCCAACCAACAAAACATTGGTACTCCAAATTTCTACATCAAGTTGTTACTGGGATTGGATGATTATATTAATGAAATTAATGATAATGAAAAGGAAACCAAGACTTTGAACGCCGCCGAAGCAAGAGCATTCAACACTACTAGACAAAGAGTCAAGAAGCAAGTTAAAGAGTTCCAATATCATTATGATTTATACAGAACCAACCCTGATGTGTTTGAGCAAGATGACGAACCTATTAAGGAAGTTCAAAAGACTGTTATTCAAGGTGCAACTGCTGCTACTGCAGCTGGTACCGCTGGTGGTGTCAAGGTCTTGTCTCCTGTATTCGCCACCTTGAAGCAAATCAGTGAAACCCGTGGTAAGAAGAATGTCGACAAGTTTGAACAAATTGAAACTTTGGAAAACTTGCTTGAAGAATATGCCAATGGTACTCCATTTGAATTGATTTCCATCTACCAAATGTTACTTTCTATCAGATTTGATGCTGGTGCTTTACAGACTTACATGTCTTTTGACTTGTGGCACAAGAACCAACAAGATTTGTTGAAGTTGTTACAATTGTTGGAATCCAACATTGCTACCTATCAAGTATCTGAATCGGGTGAATTAACCGATGACATTGACATTGAACCTACTGAAAACGAAGCCGGTGTCAAGGTTATCTTCGGTTCCATCACTTCTCTCATTGACAGATTGGATGATGAATTTATAAAATCATTACAAAATATCGATCCTCATTCTATTGAATACGTGGAAAGATTAAAGGATGAAATCACTATTTACAACTTGATTGTCAGAGGTCAAGCTTACATTGAATTAATAACTGAAGACTTTAACTCATCCGAACAATTGGGTAGAATTGTCTTGACCAGATTAGAACACATCTACTACAAGCCAAACCAATTGATTAAATTGAATGAAGAAGAAGTTTGGAAGAACATTACCAGCGATTCCAAGATTGTCAGCAAGGAATCCACTCCAACTGAAGTTATCAACGGATTAGCCAAGTACTTGATCAATCACACCAATTCCATGTACGGGGATTATGCCAAGTTGTTTAGCATCTACCACTACGCTGTCAACAACCAATACACTGAAGCTTATGAATTATTCATGAACTCCCAATTCTACAACACCATAAACAATTCTGAATCTACTTTACAAACCCAATACAACCGTGCTTTGGTTCAATTAGGGTTGTCTGCATTCAGATCCGGGCAAATTGAAGAATCACACAGAATTCTTAATGAAATTGTCAATTCGCAAAGATCCAAGGAATTATTGGGACAAGGGTTCATTTCCAAGTATTCCAACCAAATAACCAACCAAGAAAAGGCCAAGTTATTGCCATTCCACCAACACATCAACTTGGAATTGTTGGAATGTGTGTACCTGACCTGTTCGTTATTAATTGAGATTCCTCAATTGGCGTTGTCTTCCAAGGACAACTCCAAGAGAAAGTCCAGTGTCAAGTCATTCAAGAGCAAGTTGGAATTTCACGATCGTCAATTCTTTACTGGTCCACCTGAATCGATCAAGGATCACATAATCCACGCCTCTATTGCTTTAACTAAAGGTGACTGGGCCAAGAGTTATGAATTATTGTCGTCAATCAAGATCTGGAAATTATTCCCTGATTTTGATGAATTGTTGAAGATGTTGAAGGATCAATTACAAGTGGAAGGGTTGAGAACTTATATCTTCACCTACAAGACAATCTACAATAAGTTGTCATTGGACAAGTTGAGTCAGATCTTCCAGTTATCTAATGAAAGAATCAAGGAAATTTTGGAAAAGATCATTGAATCCGATGACGTCAGTGGAGAATTCAACGATGTCAATGGTAAGGTTTTTATCAACTTTGTTTCTTCCGAACCTAGAAGATCCAAGTTGCAAGAATTGGCAATTGTCATGAATGAAAAGGTTGGGTTATTGGCAGAAAAGAATGACAAGACTGGTAGTAATGGGTACGGTAAGAAGCAACCACAACAACAGCAGCAACAACAACAGCAGCAACAGCAACAACAACAAGCTCAACAGAGTCAACAACCACAACAGACTCCTCAACCTACTGAGGAACAACCCAATAGATTTAGATATGCTAATGTCAATTCAAATAATGACGAATTTCAAGCAAGTGTTTAAAAATAGCATGTCGGCATCTCATAGTTTTTTTTATATAGTTTAATATATTGATAAAGTAAGTTGTTATATTTTGTAGTATTCATATAAACTTATAAATAGTCTATTGCTTAGTCAACCAGTGATAAAGTTACAGCATTCCGTGAAGGTCCAATACATCGTCAGCAAATTCCTTAATGGAGGAAGATCTTGGTTTTGTGTGTTTCTTTTCTTGAATGTCATCAAGGACGTCTTTGACGTCATGTTTGGAAATGACTAGGGGGACAACGTAGACGAGGACAAACAGTATTATTAGAAATATGGCAATTTCATAAAGCATAGCGAAGTGATTATATAGATAAAATTGAAATGAGAATATATATATATGTAAAGGTATATGTATATCTAAAGGTATATGTATATGTATATATTAGTCAAGTCAGGTGGTTTCTTAGACAGGGTTGAAAGGATGGGGGATTTTCGCATGACCCCCCTTTTGCTTGTTTTTTTGGGGGTTATTTTGCAAATTTTATGTGAAATTGTTGGGCACCAACCACTGTACTACGTATATTGTACACTGTGTAACGATTGCTGGAACCAATTTCATCGACAGCCCTTGCACGACACTTAGACATCATGGAAGGACAATTCAATCTCATTCTCCAGTCTAGGAGGAAGCTCTAGAGTACTACGACAAACTTGTTTCTAGTTCCGAAAGGACTGTCATTGCGACCCTTGTTAATAGGATGATTCGACAACGTCTGATGCAATTAACAACAAGAAGTGCTTGGTTCAGCCATGCCATGAGTATATGCCTTGTTGATTCAAACCCCTCTCCCGTGAATATTCAAAGCACAACCTTCGTTTCTGAGCCGCACCAACCGTTTTCCACTCGATGAGAAAAAAATAATTTCTTTTTCCGAAATATATTCCCCTACTAATATGGCCACTATCACCACCACCACCATGGAAAAGAAACCGATCAAAGTATCTGCTCTCTGTGAGCTATGTCATTCCCGTAAAGCTGTCATGAAACGTCCCAAGAACTTACAAAAACTATGTAAGGAATGCTTCTACCATGTATTTGAAACCGAAATTCACAACACCATAACCAGTGCCAAACTATTCTCCCCTGGTGATTCAGTAGCTATTGGTGCTTCTGGTGGTAAAGACTCCACGGTGCTAGCATCTATTCTCAAAACTCTTAATGAGAGATATAACTACGGCTTGAACTTGGTCTTGCTTAGTATCGACGAAGGTATCAAAGGATATCGTGATGACTCACTTGCCACGGTCAAACGTAACCAGAAACAGTACCAGATGCCCCTTGAAATCGTGTCATACAAGGATCTTTACGACTGGACCATGGATGAAATCGTGTCGTGTGCCGGTATACGTTCGTCTTGTACTTATTGTGGTGTATTGCGTCGTCAAGCTCTCGATCGAGGTGCTGCTAAACTAGGCATCAACCATGTCGTCACAGGCCATAATGCCGATGATATGGCCGAGACCGTGTTGATGAATATCCTTAGAGGTGATGTTGCCAGATTAGAAAAGAGTTGCAGCATCATGACTGAAAGTGTGGGATCGCCTGTCAAACGTTCCAAGCCGTTCAAGTATACTTATCAAAAGGAAATCGTGTTGTATGCCCATTACAAAAAGTTGGATTACTTTAGTACCGAATGTTCGTATGCTCCTGAAGCATTCAGAGGTACTGCGAGAGAGTTGTTGAAGTCGTTGGAGGCAATCAGACCTTCTTGTATTATGGATATTATCTACAGTGGTGAACACCTAAGTTTGGCTCCAAAAAAGAAAAAGACTACTGTTCTGTACAAGAACAAGAAGAAGTTGAATGCCGAAACTGAGATCAACTCCGATGGGTCGGTTTCCTTACCTAAGAAGCAAGAGTTTAAAGACGGAAATATCTGTGAAAAATGTGGTTATTTATCGTCAAACAAAATATGTAAAGCCTGTATTTTATTAGCAGGATTGGAAATGAATCGACCAAAGGTTTCAATCGACAACAACACTGCTATTGATGGAGCTGCAAAGCTTTCCAAGACCTTGGAACAATTGAGCTTTTAACATTTCCTATATATGTGCACCGGCGATGCTTGATGTTGGGGATACACTATAGTCTCAGCAATCACCGTATTGTCCCTTCTTGAGCTTCCAAACACAATAATCTCAGCAATGTCTTCTGCAGTTAATGGTTCGGTTCCCTCATAAACTTTATCCGCGGCTTGTTCATCGCCTTTACATCTAACCAAAGAAAACTCGGTCAACACAGCACCAGGGTTGACTTCCAAAACTCGAACTTTCGTATCAATTAATTCCTTTCTCAACGAGTCAGTAAAGTACCGCACAGCGGCCTTCAGAGCACAATAAACACTACCACCAACATACCCATCCCAACCTGCAATACTGCCGACATTGAAAATAGTTCCCGTGTTACGTTGTTTCATCTTGGGCAAGATCTCCTGGGTCATATTAATCAACCCGACCACATTTGTCTCCATCATACCTCGAATATCTTCATCGGTAATCTCACCAACGTTTGCCCGACCAAGGGCTTTCCCACTATTGTTGACAAGAACATCAGGAGTACCTGGAATCCCATTGACGAATTCACGAATGCTATCTTTGATAGTGACGTCTAAAAACGCAGTGTGGACTTTGATATTAGGGTATTCCGTGGTTAATGACTGGGAAAGTTGTTGGAGTCGTTCCTGTCGACGGGCCCCTAAGATCAAGCTGATTTGGCCTCGCGATGCATGGGCGAATTCGCGAGCCGTGGCGGCGCCTATGCCTGATGATGCACCTGTGATGAGAATTGATTTGTTTGCGAGTCTTTCTGCTGCTTTAATACCGTAGGACATTTGCTTATTGATGTAGTTGTTGGTTCAGTTTGAGTTTCCGTGGAAAATGCCGTGGGGAAATACAATGTATAGATTTTTGTTTTTTTTTTGTAGTGTGTGTGGGGGGGACTCAAGTGGGGGGTGGGGTTTATAGAATTTTACAATTTATACTAAGTAGAGGTTATACTTCATAGAGTTTATACAATCTATAGATCTATTCAGGAGCTTTGTAGACATGAGTAGCAGAAGCTTGGTTGGTAGGGAAGACCAAAGTTTCAGCAATGACGGTGTTTTCTCTTCTAGTCAAGCCAAACACGATAACTTCAGCAATGTCTTCTGCAACTAATGGTTCAGCACCCTTGTAGACTGCCTTGGCAGCATCCTTATCTTGCTTAAATCTAACTAAACTAAATTCAGTCTCAACTGCACCTGGATCAACTTCCAACACTCTAATCTTAGTACTAATCAATTCCTTTCTAAGCACATGCGAAAAAGACTTGACAGCAGCCTTGGAAGGACAGTAGATTCCTCCACCAGGATATGGATCACGGCCAGCAATGGACCCGATATTGACAATAGAACCTGAGTTCTTCTTCTTCAAAATTGGCAATACTGCTTGGGTCAAGGCAATCAATCCCAACACATTAGTTTCGAACATGCCCAAGATATCCTCAGTCAAGATTTCCCCCACTGGTTCCCTACCAAGGGCTTTTCCGGCATTGTTAATTAAGAAATCAATGTCCTTGAACTCTTCAGGAATGGATTCAACAAAAGGAACAATGGTTTCAGTTTTGGAAACATCGTGTTGTTGAGTGTGGATCTTGATGTTTGGATAAGCACTCTTGAGGTCTTGGGTGACTTGGGCTAACTTGTCTGCTCTTCTAGCGGTCAAGATAAGTTTGATTTGTCCATTGGCGGCCGCAGCCAATTCCTTGGCGGTGGCTTCACCGATACCACTGGATGCTCCAGTGATTAAGATGGTTTTGTTGGCTAATCTCTCTGCTGCTTTTGCTCCGTAGGACATATTGACTTAAAGATAAGGAAAGAATGAAATTGTTGGTGGAATTTTTCAACGACGGGCTATATATGTTATCCGCGGTAAATTGACGTATTAAGCCACACTTTTTGGCAAATAGCTTGAACATAATATAGCTAGAACATGCAGACATTTAAATGAAAAGCTTGTAAACGCTTAAATAGAAAGAGTATATTGTAGCCTACACATTCGTTTTTACATATAATTTATTAAGTGATGAGATTTACTGTAAATTTTCATCAATATACACAAATGACCGTCAAATATTACAGAAATTTTAAGACTTTGTTATACACACTTAGTAGAAAGTAGTTGGGGCATGAGCTTGGAATAACTTCTTGGATTTTTGGACTCTGTGAGGTAATGGGAATTTCAAGTCCTTGGACAAGAATTGCTTGACGTATTGTCTCTTGACATCATCGGTCTTTTCCAATTCAACAACCTTTAAAATGTGGACATTTCTAAATCTAGCTCTGTGTCTAGCAGCTAAATCTTGGTACATGGTTTCAACAGCACCAACTCTGGTAACATCTCTGTATTCCTTGTACATGTTGTGGATACCAGATCTAGATTCGTATCTGATCCAGACACCGAAAGTCTTAACCTTGGTTGGACGAGATTCGGAAATAATGTTAACGGAAACAATTTCACCGGAAGCCTTCTTAACCTTGTGTAATTTTTGTAAGAAATACCAGTAACGAGACTTGGCAACAACGGTGTTTGGAGCGAAAATTCTCATTCTGAACAACTTTGGTTCTGGAACGTTTTCGGTTGGTAAACGACGACCGATGACTTGATATTCGTTTAATCTAGACATTTTCTAAAGTAGATTGTTAGTATAAAAGTTCTTCTAGTAATATGAAACTAGGGCAAGACTTCTTCATCTCATCTCATGGGAAGCATTTGTGTGGGTTCGTTGTAAGCTATGAGATAGCACTGAGTTGTTGTTGTTGTTGTTGTAGTAGTAGTAGTTTCGTTGCATTTTCGGTATGCATACACTGACGGTTTAAACTGGTTCTCATGTTGTCTCATCTGAAATCGTAGTTGTCAAAGCTGGCTTTTCCTCTTCTATTCTCTCGTCCCTTGATCTCTCATTCTCTTGTACGTTCACAATAGTTCACTTCTATCGTCTCATACACCTAGTTTCACTTGTAATATATGATCAATCACTTACTTCTTAAACTGTTGATATCCAAATTCAATAAAACGTTAATAATTGAATTTTTTTTTCACTTTAAAATTTTTTTGCGTGAGAGTTTGGCTGTGAGTGAGAGAGTGTCACCCTAGCCAGAGCGCCCAAAGTTTGTTAGTGCGAATTCCTTCCCATAGTGAGCGTGCGGGTAACAAACTGAGAAAACAAAGAAAAAATCTTGATGACAGTGTACTGCATACTGCGTTGTATGTATGAAATGATGTTGTAGCAGTCAGTGACAGCGAAAAAATAAATTAGAAATGCTAATCACGTGTGTGTAGGGTTGCAACCCTAATATCTAGTGCAACATGATTCACCCAGTTGTGATGTTACATAATAATAATATCCTATTCGATATCACTTAGCTAGACAATACGAATGGCCATATATATACACCTTTGATTATGATTTTAGTCGCTTACACATCTGGGCCAGGGAACATTCCCTACATTTAATGCACAATCGTGTATAATTACTATACATAATCTATATACTTATCCCATATCATTCACTAAATGTCCTTCTTTAATCCATTCTCAGACTTTTGTTGAATATTCTTTTCTCTTCTCAACTTAGCCAAAGTACCACATTCGGTATTTAACCAGAAATCCCAGTATCTAAAAGAACTGGCGTAGTTACCAATGAAGAAATGGTGATGTTCGTCGTGATGTTCAGCACCAGCCCATAATGGGAAGAACTTATTCAAACTCCATGGGAAATCATAGCCCGAGTGCGAGTCCACAGCTTGAAACAAACGAAGAACAATCCACAAAGTAATAGTAAACAAATGAATTGGTGGAACTTGTGGGTTCTTGGTTCCAACATAGGCGTACAAAATAGGGAATCCGACGGTTCCAACACCAAGAGCAGCGACTTCAACCGGGTGGGCGTATTCAGCAGCTAATCCGAATGGAGCAGAGTATCTGTGGTGAATCTTGTGGATATTCTTGTAGAACCATCCGACGTGGAAGAGTCTGTGGAAGGTGTAATGCCAGAGATCTTCAAAAAAGAAAAACACGGCGATTTGGGCTAATTGGATCTTCCAGCTGGGGAAGGGTACCTCAACAGAAATCTTCAATGTTTGACATAATGGATGGAATAACCAGATTGGAATAGCTTCAACGAATAAATGTTGTTTCATGACGGATTTGAAACATTCCCATTGTTCTTCATCGGTAGGGATCTTGGTTGGTTGTAACTTCCATTTGTTGAAATATGGTATGTGATCAATTATAAACCATGGTAAACATCTACCAAAATACATAAGCTCGTGAGTCAAGAAAAACAACAACCCCGTGGCTAAGGTATCATTGTTCATGTATATATACCATGATGCCCATAACTTTTCAATGTATGATAATTGAGAAATAAATGAATCAACACCAACTTGTTGTTGAATTTGATGGTACACTTGCCCGTAAGTTAATTCGGATGTGTAGTTGGTTAAAAGGTAGGAAAGAGATGAATTAGAATGAGCAAATTGATGAACCAATTCCATAGTGAATGCGTGTGATGATAAGATAAAAAGAAAACCGAAGAGCAGAAGTTAAATTCCAAGGTATTTATATGTTTATATATAAACCTTATGATTTCAAAACATAAGCCCATGCATGTCGTATAACAAAGGAATTCGATATATTTCTCTTTTTTTTTTTCTTTTTTTTTTTTTTTTTTTTTTTGCAACTAGAACAAAAAAAAAAATAATGAGAATCATACGATGTATTCAAAAACCGGTTATGTTTTGTTATTGGCATTGACAAATTTAGGTACGAGCTATACGACGAGGACATTGGTTTAATAGTAACAGTTTTTCCGATATTTTTCTTAACTGTTTATACGAGATGCTTATTCGTGGCATGAGACTCATCGCGTTACCTACGGTTGCAATCTAACTGGATGCGTTGGCGGGTTGCTTTTTTATGGAGCGACTTCGTTTATATAGTCTATGCATTGACGTTTTTCTTTTCCAGGAACGACCATTAAACGAGGATAAACGAGATGTTACTTCTATCTAATGCTATATACATACACTTATACTTGCTACGGGATATGGTTTGAGTTATACTATGACATTGTGATCGGTTTTCAAACCCCGTGGAACACACATAGCCATTTTCTATTGTTAGCTAATGCTACACACACACAAACAATAAAATTCACATCGGAACAATTACGAGATGCGCGGCAAGTTCCGAGCGTTTCATCTCTGATTACCGAAGGACATTAGTTGATACATACATACAGTTGTAAACACAAATTGGCCGTATTAATGATTATCCAATGTATGTTATGCTACTACAAATCTAATAAACTCTTTGTTTTGGTAAAATATCAACCAATAAGCTGTTGTCAACATTAGCCAAGTTCAAGCCATTGTTGCTTCTGTAAGTTTCGATATTTTCAAAAAACTTGTCAAACAAGAATGAAGTGTCCAATGGACCACCTTTAGCTTCTGGATGGAACTGGGTACTGAAAACAGGTTGGAACTTATGAATCATACCTTCGTTACTTAAATCGTTCAAATTGGTGAAATATGGCTCCCATTCTGGACTCAAAGTGGTGGCATCAACAGCATACCCGTGGTTTTGAGAAGTTATATGACATTTACCTGTGATCAAGTCCAAGGCTGGGATATTATGGGCTCTGTTACCGTACTTCAACTTGATGGTCTTGGCACCGGAGGCTAATGCTAATAATTGATGTCCTAAACAAATTCCGAAAATTGGTAATTCACGATGGGTGTCCATGGTTTGACGCAAATGTTGAACAGTAGAAGAACAGTGGGTTGGATCACCTGGACCATTGGAAATGAAAACCCCATCAAACTTATTGGCGATCTTGTGGATTGGGTAATCGTATGGGAACACAGTAAGGGAAGCACCTCTTTGAACAAGACATCTCAAGATGTTTTCCTTGACACCACAGTCCAATACGGCAATGTGAATGTTTTTAGAGTGTTCTGGAGGACAAGCAATGTGGAATGGAGCTTTAGTAGTAACTTTATGAACCAAGTTAACAGTTTCAGGATCGTCAAATGCTGCATCTTCATCAGCATCATATTCTTCACCAATAGTAATTTTTCCCAAGGACGAACCTTGTTCTCTAAGGTATGTGACTAATTGTCTAGTATCGACCCCAGTAATGGCAGCAACACCGGATCTTTGACACCATTGTTGCAAGGACTCAACTGCGGTCCAATGTGAGTATTCCAAAGCCACATCAGCCACAACAATACCAATACATTGCACTTGAGGACTTTCAACATATTTCAATAAATCAAATTGGTCCTTGACAGACGAAGAAGGAACACCGTAGTTACCAATTAATGGTTGGGTGAAACACAAGATTTGTCCCTTGTACGAAGGATCAGTCATGGATTCAGGGTACCCCACCAACGAGGTAGTGAACACAGCTTCACCACTGACATTCTTGTTGGCACCAAAGGAATAACCACTAAACACGGGCCCGTTTTTGATGGTCAAGGTAGCTCTATCAAGTTTGGATTTGTTATCAGTGAATGGAAGCTTGGCAGCTGGAGATGCAGCGGTAGCTAAACATCTCTTGCTTGCTATTTGTCTAAAGGCAGTGATCATTAGTAGTCTACTCGTGGTAAAAAGTGGAAAGAAGAAAATGAGCAATAGAAAAATTTTCAAGAAAGATAGTGAATCGCGCTTAACTTCAGAAAAAAAATGAGATTACCCAATTAGGAACGAATGACTAATTTTCTTCTATTGTTATCTTACCCAATTAAAATTGGAACATCTACTTTGACTATATTATCAGCAAACTCATTCTGGTCATTACCAGTACCCTTGTACTTCACCAACACTTGCAAGCAGTATAATCTTCCCACCAAACAATTCTGGAAACTTGGCAATAACGTAACATTATTCTTGTTCATTCTATCGAGTGGGATCTTCATCTCTTTAACCCATTCAATCTTACCACGGCTAGTTTGACTAGGTTTCCAGCCTAGTTCGTTATTAAGTAAGTCTGGATGAGTACTATTAGTCAATGGTTTAAAGTAATCAGTAACGGTATCCTTCTTGATCCCCAACGATTTAATAGACTTTAAATAAACAAACGAGTCTCGTGACAAGTATATGTCGTTTTCCTTCAAGAAATGAATGTAAACCCCAACGTGGTCTTTCAACTTTTGTAAATTGTTCTTGGTGATTTCTACCGGATTGTCAATGTCATATTCGTGGCCTTCGCTAGGACTAGTATAGAAGAAATCATACCCTAGTTCAAACGGTAATGGGAATTCGGTGCTATACGACCAGAACACCAAGTTTGTTTCTATGGATGTGATTATTGGTGGTTTCATGCCGGCATCCACACTTGCAAATATTAAACTAATGTCAATCTCGTCAATAATGTCCTGCTTATCACGATGGTACAACTCATCCATGTTAGAGGAAGTACTAGCCACTGGCCTTAACCCTTCATTAGACACGGTTGGAGTAATACTAGCAGATTCAGTATTGTATTTAGTGATTAATTTTGGTGACGAATATGGAATGATCTTGTCCGGCACCTTGGCATACATTCTCAGTTCGCCCAACCTAACAAGTGATGAAAGAATCATCTTTTTCTTCTTACCAAAGATCACACTCAGAGATCGGGTCCCAATCATAAGTTTCTTGTGATACTTGATTTCTTCAGGTGTAGGCGAATAATGTCGTTCAACCGCATATTTCCGTTGAAGTTTATGTATTTCCGAATGGATATGGGAGTCTGGGTTGACCAAGTGTTTCCGTTTCATATCATCAGGGGTTACTTCATCTTTGGTCAACTTTTCATCGATTTCCAATTCAATGTTGAAGTTAATTACATTTATCGCCCTCCAGGTTTCTTTGTTCAAATAGGTATGAAACAACTTCCCGTCAATCCCTTCGTGATTCCCAATGAACCCAGTGTTACTTTCAAATGCCAGTTTCAAATCAGGTACGAACCGTAAAAAGTATTGCCGATTTTTAGAAATCACATAATCCAGATCATTTTCAGCCTCATTGATTTCCTGATGTGACAATTTCTGATTGGAATTCACTTTGTCAATGACTTTGGCTTCAATGGTGTAGCTCACACTCACATCATCAAAACTATAATCTTTGGTCAAGACAGGAGTACCTCTAACGTTCATAAACCCATACCCTAATGCCTTATTCAAATGGATCGATTCACCCCGGTTGCTAAAACATGTTCGGTCAATTCCTAGTGTTGGCGGTGGAAGCACATGAGTCATGATTGAATCTTTACAGCTGGTATCCAACAACTTATCGGGAAACTTGAACGTGAAAAACTTCTTGTATTTTGTATTTGGTTGAAGAATTCGGTCGGTGGGGAGGGCTATTTGGCATCCATCGCTAACATCCTTGGTGAATTCTTCATATTGAATCCCCATACTATTAGGAATATAGGTATACCCGTAGCTTGCATTTAAATCGTACATTTTCAAAAACTTTTTCATGAGGATTCGATTATATTTATGATTTGACATTCCCAAATTATTGACATTCCGTTCAATGATCTTAATAGTTCCTTCCAAAGACACAGTAAACAATCCAAACTCAACTGGTTTGTCACTAGTGTTAGCCACAATAATATATCCATTCACGAAATCACCACTACTGTACTCTTTCAAACGAGTCTCTAACTCATTCGTGTGATTAGGCACCGGCACTCGTTTAGTAACATAGATTTGAATGTCGATTGGCGATGAAGGCGCTTTCTTTAATTTATCAATGTTGTCCAACGGCGAATAACCATAAGTGTCAAGCACAGCCACATTGGCATTATGTGCATTACCAGTTGCACTTCCTGGATCCTCTTCGTAATCATCCTGACGTCGTTCCCGTTCTTGTTCAAGAGTATACTCGCGCAATCGAGAATTCACTTGACTCAAACTAGCATCAATACCTGGTGATGGAAGTGGAGATGCCAGAGAGTTGGTGGTGTCATCATATCCAGGTGGTGGAGAATGTAAATCTTCTGAAAATTGTCTATCGTCTCGTTTAAGAATAGATTGAAACATATGGAACGAGGGTAAGATATCGAAATATTCTGTTTGTGTCGATGTTGATACTGTTTGCAAAGTCTGAATAGAACCTGTGGAAGGTGTGGTAAGCAAGTCCGCTTGTCTTTGTTGTTGGGGTGTAGGTTTGTATGGTACATCTTTACGGGGTGCTCTTGACGATGACGAGGGTGATGGTGATCGAAGACCCCGAAGTATGGAAGACACTTTGGGTTTAGACTTGGATGAGGTAAGTGTGTCATAGTCGGGTGGATCATTAGATTTCTCTTTATTAGAATTACTACCTAGCCCCATCGTTGTCTTGTATAATTAACCTCTAAATGAATAGTAGGTTTATGTTTTTGAATAAAGTTGATGCCGATCGGATTATCGGCGTTGCATCATCACGTGACCAAACCAAAAACGGCATATCCCGTGAATATCCGACCAGAGTCTTTCCGAGTCAAACAGATGTTTAACTCAGCTAACGTCGTCGGAGTAGATCAACATAAATACCTAGTGGTTGGTAATTGGCGAGAAGAAATAACAGGCAGACAAAGATACGCTGTATCTCTCTGAATACTTTACCCTCCTCCAGCTAAAGTTCTTTTCAATGCGGATATTCCTGAAAGTTCAGAAATACAAGCATGGACAAGTACCGTAACAAGAGTGATATCTACAATTGTATGTTCACAGTGTGTCAGACTGACATGCAAATCGAATAAAGTTTTTTTTGGAGCTTTCATTGAAGACTCTCAAATACAAAAACGTCATCACCCACACATATTAAACATAAATGATTCAATGATTCCCTCCTCCAAGTAAGAAAAATAAAAATTATGTGACTATATATCAGGAACCACGGCCCGGTCAAGGGCCATTCTTATCATCAACGTAAAGGGATTAACAGGTCCCTTTACACAGTAGACCGTCGTGATAAATGTGGTATGGTCATCATTTAACCACAAAGTTTTTATTTTCTTGCTTATAGGACAGAATCATTAAATCGTTTTAGTGATTTTACCCTTGGTTTTAAAACCAAACTGATTATGTACATCAGTAAAGACAACTACGGACCATCAGACATGAAAAAGCTTCTCTTCTTTAAAGATTCAGACATATGCTTGTCATTAACTTTTTATTATTCATCTTTTGGAACGTTGCTGACTCCCAAATGATACTCTCAAGTTGTTAAAAACCAAAATATACACATCATTTCATCAAACTCTAATTAAGCTGTTAGTATTACGTCAATATTAAGTAATGCATTTTTAAATCAGAAAAGCATGAATGGTATTAAAAAAGTTTTTGTCGTCAACGGGAATCCCGATTCTGACTCGTCATCTAGGAAATCATCATTTAAAAAATGATAAGATTGGGGGGTGTATACATACATTTTTCTTTACAATACTTTGTTAGTAAACATTTCAAAACGTTTCGCAAACAAATGAATTTTTTTTTGGTGTGGATGTCTAATCAGTCACGGTGGGTTTCTGAGGCCCACCAATAATGCATTGTCACTCACGAAATTTATTCAGTGCCCAGTGCAATAGATCCTCATTTGAATCCTAAATTCTTAATGAATTGACATACCTAAAAACAGTTAGTATTTATTGTTTTTTTTACAACAAATTTATTTGTAAATTCCAATAATCAGGGTTGTTGTGCAAAAACGTATCAATCATAGAGATTCAGCCAGTAATTCCAGCTTTTGTTTTTGTTAAAGTCATCATATAAAGGAATAAACTGTAGTAAATATAAAAACATACTAGTTGAACAAATATATTCATGTTTCAAATTCCACTAAAACATTGTTAGTAACGGATTCTAATCGAATAGATATCTCTTATAAGAATGGGTATATCAGTAAGCCATGCATAATAATGTTGTGATCATTCTAAAAAGTCACAAACTCTAGTTTGATTTGATTATTTGGATCATCCGTTAAAACATGTTCTTATAAGAGAAAAGCTACTATTCGACACATACGTTTTGATTTATAATCACGAAGACTATAAGAAACCATAACTGAAATTGAATTGAAGCTTGCTGAAGAAAAAGAAGGAGACGAAACATTTCGTAAAAAATTTTCCAGCATTCTTTTTTCTACTTCATCGAATTTACAGCAGAATTTTTGTTTGTAAATCCGGGTAATGATTATACTATATAGGGTTTGGTAGTATACTAAATGATGTAATGCATACTCCCAGAAGTTTGGATTGTGTATATATATGCAAATTAAGAAGAGATACTGGAATTGGATTGATCGTGTCTATGTTTCATCGTGTCTATGTTTCATCATATTATATACACTATACAATACACACTATACAACACACACTATACAACACACACTATACAACACACACTATACAACACACACTATACAACACACTGTACAACACACACTTATTTAGGTGGAGGTTGTTGTTGGTTATTAGTTGGGGGTATATTTGGAGGTATTGGCATCGGCATAGGTGGCATTCCTGGCATAAACATAGGTGGGGGTGGCATACCCATAGGAATGGGAGGCATACCTGGAAATGGCATAACTCCCGGTGGTGGCATTCCTGGGAACATGTCTGGTCTTATAGGCAATTCTCCGAGTTTTTGCTTCTTTCCATCTGAATCTTGGCCATTTTCCAAAGACCGTTTGCCCAATTCACTTTCTTTTGATTTAATATACTCTTGTAATTGTTCCTCCAATTCTTTGTTTTCAACTAAAGAATCTATGAAGGTATCTTCTGTACCACAATTTGGACAATGGAAATCATTATCAATAAGTACTCTTTCCAACAGTCCTTGGTTATAGTTAAAATTTTTCATTTTTTGAAGCTTCAGCAGTTCAGTACAACAAGGGGTCATGACAATAGGAGGTTCCAATACTTTTTTCTCGGCTAAAGGGTCAAGAAATTCCTTCTTATTATCTTGTTCAATAAGTTTAATCAACTTATCGTTAAACTCTTGTTGCGATTTCTTGGTAGCATTGGCAAGCTTTTCTTGGTAACTGGTCCATGTCTTTGAATCAGCCAACGCAACTGCATAATTCCCTTCATCAGTGATTAAAATTATGTTACCGTCATTATCTACAACATCACCATTTTCGTTAGTCGAGAAACTATCTGCTTTATTCTCTATATCTTGTTTAGATATAGTTTTCAAGTAAGATTTCGGAATACCCGTGGTTCTCATGATTTTCTTCCCTTCAAAGTTAGGGTCGTTATTTGTAGGACAATTCTTTATCCAATGGTCTTTCTTACCACACCTATAACAGATGTACCCTGGTGGAGGCGCATCTTCTTTTCCTGTGGTGGTAGGTTTGTAGTGAATGATTTTATGTTGGGCCAATTCATCTTGTGTTTGTGCCCATGCATTAGATTGATTCTCAAACATAAGCTTAATACGGTCTTCTTCAGAGATGTTATCGGTATTAGCAATGGGCGTAGTTGTGGTAACTGCAGGAGCCGCAGTGGTTGGCATTTTTCTATTAATTCTTGGTTTACCAGTGACATATCTTGAAGCATTATTGAACTTGTTATTAGAACTAACTGGACTTCGTTTGACTAATACATAACTTGACCTTTGGATGACATCTTGGTCAAACTCGTATTCCAAATCTGGCTGTTCGGAATGGTAAAGGGTTAGATTGAAGTCAAGACCATTTCCCAATTGGTTTGCTTGAATGATTTCCTTCTTGAGGTCAAACACTGATATTGCTGTACCATCAAAGTGGATTACACTCTGGTTCTTCTGATGCAAGAATTTGTAGTATATTATAGACGACATGTTAGCTATGCAGTTCTAACTGGATGTGCTTTGTCCCAGTGGCAATGTTCTTTGGTGGTGTAAAAAATTCCTGGTTGTAAATCTTTTTGTGCTTCGCAGTTGAAACAACAAAACATGAAAATTTTGTTTACATAAAACATCAACACAAGAAGAGCAGTGAAGTGGCAGCAATGACATACAGCAAATCCAATGTCATCACATATGAAGATCATCTAGATGTTCATTATGTCAAGTTACCGTTGAAATACAATGAATCTACCGTTAATCTCCTGCCAAAGGAGCAATTCAACAACAGTCTAGTCAAATCAGGCAAGCTACTCAAAGTCAATTCAATTGTGGATTTGGTGTCTTGTTCGGTGTTGCAAGACCAGAAAACCGTCAAGCTCGTTCCAATTGTCAAATCAAACTCTCTTGATTTCAAGTATCAGGAGATTCAAGTCAGATTACCCAACACATTGTTGGTCCATGCCATAACTAGTGAGCAAGACCAAATTATCCTTGACTTGGTCGATGAAACCTTTTTATTTATTAATATCGTTGTTAAAGTCAATGACTTCATATATGGGAATAAACTTTCATTGGATAAATTTGATTCATGGTGTCATATTTCAATTCCTTATTCCTTTGAATTAGCTAACTCTTCGCCATATTATTTGAACCATTTGAATAGCCACAATTTAATTGTATCCTTGTCCAATGGTCAACTAATCCATTTCAAACGAGATGAAATTTTGAGTGATTTCACCGTTAACCAAATTGCTCAACATACACCATTTTCAATCTTTGGATTGTTCAGTAACAAAACTGTCAAGGAAATTAATGGAATTTCCAATAATTTGGTGGTTGATTCCGTTTTGTTGAGCGAAAATACTTTGCTCACTTTAACTATATCAAAATGGTTAAAAGTTTGGAATTTACAATCTGGTCAGTTATTGAATTCTGTCTTTGTGGGTGACGAGACTGATAATTGGTTAACATTAATTCCAAACAAGTACATGCAATTAATACAATTTAATAATCAAAACTATTTGACTTTGTTTGTCAATGACGATACTGATGGGTATAAATTTAAGTTGTTTGAAGTGGATACTCTTACTGAGTTATCTCAGTTTGAATTCACCCCAAGTACCGATGTTAATTGGTTTATTCAAGATTTTACCGTCGAAGTCAAACAACAGCTTAAGTATCATATCTTATTTAAATCAAATGTTTATTCAATTTTATCAACTTATTCGATAGCAACTGATAACGGGGCAATTATTGAAATAACAAAGTCAATTACAAAGGAGGACATCGAAGAAGTTTCACCACATCATACAACTGAGTACTATATTAACAAAATATTCAATTCTGGGTTATATAACCAATTAATAGTCAACACTTCAATTGCTTTGCTTGAACCTCACTTGACTCATCCAATTGAAGATCATTCTAGAAATTCGGTTTCCAAGTCATTCTCCGGTGCTAACGAATTACAATTTTGGTTTAAACTTGATTCGTTATGTCAAGAGTTCCTTAAATTGTCGCAAGAATCTTTAGCCATTGTAAGTTATGAAAATTCCATTTTAAGTTTGCAAGTTAATTCATTGGGTGTATTCCGCACCTCACACTACTATCAACAAGAACTTACCCCTAAATTGACTCAAATCTTTGGTAAATTTAAAGAAATAATTTCCCAAAAATCGTTCCATAAATTACATCAACATTTATTGTTTAGTTCCAGCTTGACCACAGACAATATTGGTGAACTTTTCCAAGCCTTCATATCTGATAAATTGTCTGAAGCTGAAATTCAACAGCTCATTGTAACATTAGAATCAATTCCTGATATTGTTACCATTGTTCAATCATTGATTGGTACAAATCTGTTTGAATTAATTGATGGTGACTATGACAAGTCTATATCTTTATTTGTTAAATTGGACGCCATTGCTAGCTTCAAATCAATTAAGTCAAGTCATGAACTGATTCTTATAAATTTGGTGGTATTATTCGTTATTTGTCAAACCAATGATGAACTCTTGCACATGATCAACTCAATAATTTCCATTTTAAAGAATTATGATCTTTTAGAGTTAATATTTAACACTTGCTTTAGGAACGGTCAAATTGAATCCGAGAAAATTTCAGATTTGGGACAATCATTGTTTTGGAATGGTGTGGTTGATCATTATCCAAAGTTGAAGAGTCTTATTGCTTCTCTTAAGTTAAATGACTCATTTGATTTACTTGGTAATATTATGTCCAATCATGAATTTATAACCAACATTGTTATTGAATTGATTAATCGGGAACAAGCTAAATTCTTGTATAAAAATTTCCTTTCCAAGTTGAATGACTATAATATAGATGATAGGTTGTTAATTGGATTAATTCATTTAATTAACTTTAATCCTGAACAAGTTTACAACATATTCAAAGAATTTGCTCCGTTTAGGCAATTAACTAAAGTAAAGATCAATGATACTTTCAATCCTTTGATTCAAGCGATTTATGATAACAAAGAGTCAGATTATTACCACATCCTTGCTCAATTATGTCAGGCTCAATCAACCAAAAATAGTTCAACATCCACCACGTTTATTCAAGTTGCATTGAAATTTGAACTAGCAGCAATTGAAACAAGCTCCAACAATGATTACTACCTCAATGTGTTTGATGTAGCATTGTCTATATCGGACTATTCTTTAGTTGCTCAATCACTTCCATATATTTCTGATTTGAAACCATACTTGACCAAGCTTATAACTAGATTGATTTCCGAAAAAAGGATATCAATTATATTCCCACCAAACAACCAACTGTATGTTGGTCATTTTAAACTTATTGATGGTATATTACTTGATATGGCTAATCAAGAAAATGATATGGTATCAGCTCTCAGATTATATGAATATTTATACTCGTGGAGATTGTTGGGTATTTCCGAAGATCTTGCTGATAAGAGAGGGGCGATTGAATCATTGTATGCATTTATCAATCGTTTCAAGGATTCGGGAGTAGATGCCAAATGGAGGTTAAAGATTTTAGAAGTGTATATGATAATCCTCAACGTATTGAAAGGATTGGGTGATGGTGAGCAATGGTTATTGAAGCAAGGGGTTAGAAGGAGGGTGATTACTGTTGATGATGTCAAGATCGAGTATCTTGTTTGGTTAAAACAATTACAACATGATACCGAAATGATTCAGGTTGTTTAGATATAAGTTGTCAGACATTTATTATATAAATTTAGTCAATTATAGTAACAATTACTTATTAGTTTTATTACGAGATCTACTGGATATTTTTGCAATCATTCGAAAACACAACATAAGTCTTTTGTGACGGGTGAATTTTTGCGTTTATGCAGTAATTTATCAATAGAATATATATCTTCCTTTTATCAATTATATCTTATATTGTAAGATAGCAAGATAAGATCAAAAAAAATTCGAAACTACTACGAGATGACCAATATCGATTATCTTGTTCTTGCTAGATCCCATTTAGGAAATCAACGTTTTTCCTCGGAGATTCTGTTTTATTTTTTGAGATCCATAAAAAAAAATTTTTTTGTTTTTTTGCAGCATCACGCACGCTTAAATAATGCGCTGCAAGAATAAATTTCTCTGGATGACAGTTTTCTAGAAAGGGTATATTGAACCGATCATTCCGAACGTCGTCTATGCATGACAGAACGTATCGATTATTTTAACGGTTATGAATCTGGGGTTTAAGGAACATGGGTTTATCCGTTAAGTTGATTTCAAATTATAGCTAAGCGTTCTAGGATATTCAAAAATACATTACATGGATTAACGCTTTTGCCCCATACCATAATAGCTTTAGTTGGAAGTATAAAAATTGTATTATTATGTTGGTGTACCACATATAACTATTGTCAATTCCTTTCAAAAGCAGTATCCGGTTCCGCTTCTAAAATTACTTTCCAAATGACCACCACACTACACGTCATCAATGGAACAGTTTAGCAAAAAAATATTATTTTTTTTTTCCCGTATCTTAAAAAAATTCTTGATGATCAAGGTGATGCGATCTAAAAATATCGTAAGTTTCTTGTGGCTAATGATGTAGTTTCTTGCGGAGAGCAGCGCATGCAGCAATCATTCCCTGCAAAAGTCCTTGGTGTACAGATTATATTTCTTTCCTGACTGGTTACAGATACTATTTAACCCTTGATAGGTATGCGAGAATACAAAGTAAACAGTCGAGTCCTGGAAATTTATGATAGTTCGATGAATCTAGCACGATTATTACTTTGTTATGTCCGTGGGGACCGATATGGCGTCCGCATTTTTTTATTTTCGAGAATTATGCACCCTAATAATTTTAAAAATAATACTAATATTTGAGGCTTGTCATTGCACCCATGCATGATTATTCTTCGGGTTCTGCTCTGGCTTAACGGAAAGTTTCGATGTTTATATATTTAGAATTAATTACTTGATAATATTCCTATTCTTTATATTTATTTATTCTTAGTTTACACTAACTTTACTTATAAAACAATTAAACCATATACAATGCTACGATATTATTACTTTTGTTATTTGCTAATGCAAATGCTAATACTTGGTTTGTCAGCTGCCCAAGAAGATACGTTGACTTGGCTTCCGACATTCTCCTACAGCACTACGGAGTGCTCCTTTGAATTGATAGACAAATGTACCTACAACTTTGGATCTATGTCTTCCAGTAACAATTTACCCCAGTTGATGACTTTTGAATACAAGTACATACAGAATGTAATTGGCAGCACGGATTTATATGAAGTTATGATTGAATTTCAAATTCAGCCTCCTTCAATTAGTGACCAGATCTTGCGAGAACTTAGTTTTCAAAACCTTCAAACTCCTGATGATTACCTTGATAATCCCAAGGTTGTTTCTGACTTGAGATCAATTCTGCCTTACCACTTTTTCGTCAAATGGGTCATGCAAGCTGAACCTACAGGAGATAGAATTTGCACAACTCCCTTCCTGGTGAGGTATGAATGGACTAGGGATAGTCCACTTCAACAGCGAGATACTCTAGTGGCCGAGTACTTCCATTCATGTAATACTGGAGATTATCCACTTCAATGCTGGGTTCCAACATGTGGTGATATTGATTTTACATCAGAAATTGAAGCAACCACTGAGGTAGAATTATCTGAAATTGAATCATCTGAACCAGAAGTTATAGCTTCTCCAGCTACATTAGAGTTACCAAATGAACTATTACCATCGCCAACTAGTACTTGTCCAACCACTTGGTCTGATAGATGTACAATTGTTCCAGCTCAACCTGGTGGTTTTGCTCCAACTATGAAAACATTTAGCTTCATTGAAATTAATCTGATTATGGATGACTACTACGAAGTGTTTGTTGAATTTGAACTTGATGCGCCTTTATTCCCAGTTACAATCTTGGAATTCATTGACTTGAAAAATCTTATCACTCCATTCAACTATCTTACAGACCCATACAGAATTTATGATAGGGCTGCTGATGAAAATGTTCTTGCTGACTCACCTTATCATTTCTTTGTTCGTTGGGCTATGCAAACCCAGATACTCGATGGACAAGTTTGTACAACACCATTCCTGATTGAATTTAGTTGGAGAGATGGGCAATCCAAACCTAATAGCGGACCGACTTCCAGTTTCAAAGCTACTTTCACTCATGATTGTGATGGCATAGATACTCCTAATTCTCCACTTCAATGTTGGGCTCCTGAATGTAATGATGCTGAACCTTCGACTATTGAAACTTTACCCGAAGGAACAATTGAACCTACTGAATGTCCAACCCATTTTGAACTTGTTTATAGTTGTGATTACCGATTTGGATCAAGCAGCTTACAAAATGATGAATTCCCAGCCTTAAATACCTTTAACTTTGAATACATTAAGATAGTAGACGAAGATTTGTATGAGGTAATGGTTGAATTTGAAATTGATCCAAACAAGTATCCTATGAGAACAATCGAACTGATTGTTGTTGAAGGTCTCATCACCCGTGATTCATATGTCAGCGATCCTCTTGTTCTTTTCGAAAGAGGTAGTATAGACAAGGTTGGCGATTCGCCTTATCACTTCTTCATTAACTGGGTCATGAGGACTAAGAATATAAATAACTTGGCATGCACTACTCCATTTAAAGTGGTGTATAGTTGGGATAACTCTGTTGTTGCTCCTTATGGTCATGGATGCCCTGGTGATAACGGTGGTGTGTATGACTATCCAATGCAATGTTGGCCGAATGATTGTAGTGAAGATCCTGAACCTACTGATGAACCTACTGATGAACCAACTGAGGAACCTACCGAGGAACCTACTGATGAACCTACTCAAGAACCTACCGAGGAACCTACTGAAGAATCTACTGAGGAACCAACTGAGGAACCTGAACCAACTGAGGAACCAACTGATGAACCAACTGAGGAACCAACTCAAGATCCTGAACCTACCGAGGAATCTACCGAGGAATCTACTGAGGAACCAACTGAGGAACCTACTGATGTACCTGACCCAACTATTAAACCCTTAACCATTAAAATGTTACTAGAAGGTATGGGTGAACCAACTGCTTTCCCCACATCATTTAGTCCAGAAATTTGTAATTTCAATTTTGGAGAAAGTAGCTCCCAAAGAGCCACAAATCCACCATTGCTAACTTTTGAATATATTTATATTGAATGGATAGATGACGATTACTACCAGGTATTGGTGGAATTTCAGATTGATTCTACATATCCAGTACAATCATTGCAGCAGATATTTATTGATGGTCTCAAAACTCCCGACTCGTATATTAGCACCCCACTTGTTATTTTTGATCGAGATGTTGTTAACAAAGTTGGTAATTCTCCTTACCACTTTTTTGTTAATTGGATTATGGAAACTCAAAGCGTGGAGGGATTGGCTTGTACTACCCCTTTCACAATTAATTATATTTGGGATACTTCTGTAAGTGCTATTTATGGGCATGGATGTGAAAACGATAATGATGGAATTTATGACTATCCAATTCAGTGCTGGGATGAATTTGTTATTACAACAGTTGAAGAAAGTTCTACTGAACAGGTTTCGACAGAGATTCCTAGCTCTGATGGTCCTCTATCTGATTCTACTACCGAATTAGAAGATCCAACAACTACTTCAGAACTTCAAACTGAAACAGAGTTAGAAAGCGAATATTCAACAAACTTAGATGTGGATTCTACATCTGAACCAGAAGAAATTACCACGGTTTACGAAGATGAAGATACTACCACCGAGGCGGATGTACAATCTACCAGTATCAATGAAGAGGACCCCGAATCAGATACAACTGAACCAGAGCAGGGTACAACCGAGGTGAGCCAAGATACAACTGGATATAGCGAAATAATAAGTTCTACAGAAACAGAAGAGGAAGTAAGTGTTGAAACTACAATTGAAGTAACAGAGAAATCATCAATAACCGAAGAGGGAACAACTACGTCAGAAGTGGAACTTTCAACAGAAGAATCATCTACAGTTTATGAGGTTACCTCATCAGAGGATCCTGACACTGACGTTTCATCAACCCCCGAACACCAATTTTCCACTTTACCTGAATATTCATCTGAATTGGTATCTGAATCTGAAACTCAAACAGAAGTTCTTACAGATGAGACTGAGATAGTAACAATGTCCACCGAGGATAAACTGACAAGTGGAGAATCTACTACGAAATCAAATGTAGTACTGCCTACAGAATCCTCACATGAACTTTTCACAGAGACAGAAGTCTTGAGCGATCCTGCTAGTGAAGAAGAAAGTAAAGTTTCTGAAGATCCGATTACTTACACTCCTGTAGAATCATATACAGAAGTGCCATCTGAGGTAGTTACTGATACAAGATCCACCTCTGGACCTCCTACATCAGCTCCCTCAAGAGTTCAAACTACTATGGTCATTAAATCAATAGACCCAAATCCACCACTTCAAACGAAAACCTGGACTGAAACATTTACAACAGTCAGTGTTGATCCATCACATCCACATATATCCATAACTTTGACAAGGACTTTAACATCTACTTCTATTGTGCCACTGACTAATTCAGCTGTTGCCATGGAAAGCACAAAATCGGAGAATACAAATACAGAAAGAACAACCGAAATCACACACTCTGGCTCAGAATATATCTCTTCCCAATCACAAAATCCTTCTGTTTCAGTTACTATAATATCACAATATTATTCAGTTACAACAATTACCCCTGTGGAGCAGACCACTAATGTCTCGGGTGGAAAACCAGATGTTTCGCAACACGAAACTATTCCAGATGAACGTCCTCATGCTACTGCTACATCTTTGGGGGATGAAGACTATCCAAAAGAATTAATTGGTGATTTCGAAGATTCAGGCTCCATTGTTCGTTCAAATACCTTTATCTTATTCCTATCATTCATTTCTTCTGTGGTATTTGTTTGAAGATTGAATTCTTATCTGTATATCTTACACTTTTATCATAATTACTCTAAAACTTTATATTGCCATTTTATAGATCAACTGTGTTGTTTTATAAAGGATAAATTTATTTAAAACTTAAATTACTTTTATGTATATATTTTCGCTGCTAGGAAACTAGAAGACAGTAACTCTTTTTTTAAAATATCATCAACTCTAAACTGATTGCAGTTAACCTGATGTTAAATCTTCATTCAGGATTATCAAATTTATTGACTATATTTAAGTTAGCATGTCTTGATATAGAATTGAGGTTTGGTGATTTCTAGCTGGTTATTTAAAAGTGACAAATTTGTTTATGATGGGGTTCCTTTCTATAACACACAAATTGTATGTATTAATGACAAGAAATTATTTTTTTTCTATTCAACTTGACCTTAGTACAAACATCAGAATTACATATTGGGTATCTTCAATTGTTTTAAGACAACAAAACATTTGACATAACGTTTTATCTATTAGTGAACAAATAAAATTGGATAATTGTTCACAATAATTCATTTCTATCCTGTATATCTTTTCATTATCTTTAAAATCAGCAAGTTAACCGTACCTGTTGTTTGTTTAAAACTTTTGTTTCTAGTAGTGGTACTCTGTTGCTAGAAATCCCGTATAAATAAAAATGTTGGGTCCTTTCAATATGGGTCAAAGTAAAATATTCTAGTTGAGTTAAGATATTCTGGATAATTCTTGCCTTAATTGGTGGAACAGCCTAGATGATTTCCTTTCTTGATATGGCGATTTTTTTTTGCAGCAGCAGCAACAGCAGCAGCAACAGCAGCAGCATCAGCAGCTCTATAGTAGGATAATATAAAAGTCATAATCACAGTTTTTCAATCAAACATTTTGGGTGTTTGTCAATATGAAGTGGTTTTGGAAGAAGAAATATAATGGGAGATTACCATTATTACCGATGAACTTCTCGGTGGAGATATTTTATGAAATATTTAGTCATTTGAATCAATTTGATATTCTTCAGGTTATTCTTATCAATAAACAATTTTATGAATTAGGGATAAGAGAATTATATAAATGTTTATTAGTCGATAATGGAACAGATAGATATATCATTAGTCAACATATGCGTACTTCATTTACTACAAAATATACTATAATTGATGGTATACAACTTTTCAAAAAGAAGGTTTTTAAGCGGAAAAGAATGAAATTTGTTCAACTAGTAATTTTCCGTAGAGATACTTGTTTAGATGCAATTTACCAGGATATGATTAGGAAATATCCTTGGGTTGAAATTAGAATTATGGATCCAGATTTTATGTCGGATAAGGGTCCATTCTATACTAATCAAAAACTAAAACTTCAAGCGAAAACTTTGACCAGATTAAAGATTGAACCTAATCTATTTATTAAAGTTGAAGACGACAATTATTCAATTATTGAGTATGTTATTAACACTACTCCTACTCCAGTATTGTTGCTGTCAATTCCTAAGCTAAAACGATTGGAAACGCTCTGTATACTTGATCCTCAGCTGAATCATCTCATTACTGACCTCCAATCTAGTCAGTTAAGTGATATTTGTTTAAAAACCTTAATATTGAAAGTTAGCCTGATCCAATTATCTAGCCTCGGTGAGATATTCAACTTGACCACAATCACAAAGTTAAAACTTGAGTTTACAAAAAACGTTGCAGCACCATATGAGGAGCTAAAGACATTAACTAGTAATTTACCAAGGCTTAATTCTATAAGTATAAATTGGCGTTTTACCAATGCAGTCATCATTATGGATTATTTGGTGGGTAAAAATATTCGTCATATTAGTGTAAAGACCAACGAAGAAATTGATTATTCATATTTAAAGTATTATCCCACCAATTTTATGAAGCACCAACAATTAATTTCATTACATTTATGGGGTAACCCTCCAACTCCGCCACCTCCAGTCAAAACTCGTTCCCGATTAATACTGTGGTTTTCCAAGAAGGAAACTCCCTGTGATGATTTACATACTAGCAAGATCAATGCTATTAGAGGTTTTATAGACGGTGGTTTTCCAAACTTGAATCAGATTATACTTAATGGTTGGTTTTTTATGATTACAGGAAAAAGAGAGGTGAAGCTTGAACACTGGCCAAATAGTCATATGTCATGTATTTGTTGTTTTTGACTTTGAGAATGCAGATGAACTAATAACTTCCATAAAACTACCGTTGTTTGAATAGTTGCAAAATATTCTTTTATACACCAGCAGTAAAAGTGCAGATTAATTTAGAACTTGCTAATAATGTGATAATCATTCCTAGATATCTATTCTATGTATACTCTATCCAATATTACCACCCATATTACCAGCACCCTTTGGATTATCATCTTTCCAATCATCCCATCTTCTTTTTTCCAATTGAGCTTCGTCATCTTCTTCACTCTCATAATCCTCATCCTGGGGTTTATCTTTAACTTCATCCTTCATTAACTTACCATGAGACAATTCATAGTCAAGATATTCTTCCACTGACATTGAAGGTAAAACTTGTCCCGTACCAAACACCTTATCCTTAAGACGCTGTCTTTCGGATGTAATTGTAAATGGTTGAAGTATTTTACCTGATCGAGACACCAATTGAGATATAGAAGTAGCTGTAGTAGGTAAAGTTTCCAATTTGGTTGTGAATCCATAGTCGTTTTCTCGTGTAGGTTCACGTTTATCTTGAGCAGGTGGTGGTGGTGGTGGTGGAACATAGTTTGGTTTAGACTCCAATACTTTCAATTCTAATGCGTTGGACACAATTAAACTATATGCTTTTAATGCGTGTAATTTCAACTGGTCAACGAATACTTGACGCACGATCTCCTCATCAAAATGTTCAATTTCGTCATTATCATCGTTGTAATACCTATCAAGTACTTCTAACTTTGAAGATAATTCTCGCTCTGCTTTATAGTTGGATATTTTCTCTTCACGACTTATACTGGAATGGTTGTTAATTACGTTATCTGGACTTTTCTTAAATAGATCTAGTTTATTCTGTTGATTCTTATCGAGGATTTGGTAGTTGCTCAACTGCTTCAAAAACTGAATAAGCTGACTATTACTTAATTTCAATATTGTAGACCGATTTTCCATTACCAATGCGTTTAAAGTACCAAGATAATAATCAACATTAAGAAATGTGATATATGATGTATTTAATTCACTCAACTGTTCATTGTCGGTGAATAATCCAAGCTGATGAATTAGGTTGGAGATTAACTGAAATTCCTGTATTAATGTGACAAGCGAAGATTGATTCACTGGCGTTGCATTTGTGAGTTGACTATACGCCTTGATTGCTTGTCTATACCGTTGTCCTACTGTCAATTGCTCCATTATGCTATCATGAATGGGGGGTCTAGTCTTTTCTGTATTTTGTAGGGCATCATCTAAAATTTCTGTCTATATGGTGGCATTTCCGATCACGTGATATTTAATTTGGCCAAAGCAAGGGGAAAAAAGAAAACTCAAAAACGACAAAGTCAAAAAAAGAATGGCAAACGATTATTAATGTTTCTTTGCTGTTGTGTGTTAAGATGAGTGCACCAGCATATTATGAACTTTATAGAAGATCTACCATCGGAGTAACGTTGACAGATGCGTTAGATACGCTTATTTCTGATGAACGAATCCCACCACAATTAGCCAACAGAATCTTGACCAATTTTGATCGAATTATCAGTGATTTGCTTAAACATGAAAGTAATATAGCAAAATCGAAGTTGACATTCAAAGGTGATTTGGATACTTATAGATTTTGTGACGATGTGTGGACTTTTATTATCAAGAATGTGTTGATTAAAATGAGTGATGTAACTGGTGGTGGCTCTGGTAATGACAGTGTTGATACTGAAGTTCAAGTTGAAAAGTTCAAGATTGTTGCTTGTAATTCCAGAAAAGCTGGCGAAATGTAAATACGAGTTATGTTGTATATATTTAGTTCTATTATTATTTATTGTCAATCTATATTCCTTGATTGAATGAAATAACTGCCCATTTACCGGAACTACTCCAAAATTCTCCAATTTCATTGCCCATGTTCTTGTATTGCTCAATCAACTTTTCGTTTACTCCTTGAGGTAAACCAACAACAACATCAGCTTTGCATGTTCTTAATGAAAGAACTGGTAATTTCGAAGTGGCCAACTCTTGTAATGCGGTTTTGAATGGGGTAGTCTTGTCCCATTGTAAATCACCAGTCAATTTCCTATAGTTTAAGTCTCCTTTGAAAATAATCAAATTTGATTTTAAAAGCTCCTTGTACACTGGGAATCTGGGAATGGACCAGTAATTGTAATCCAAGGTCCAGAAAGGATCGTGAGTTATAACAATCTTACCCAGTTTGAAATAATTTTCAATCTCGTCATGGACTAACTTAATAGCTTCAGGTTCGTCTTTGTGAATGTTTGGATAGAAGCTTGGATCTTGCAATTGGTTGAGCAAATCTTGGAAATCCTTTGGCATGGTATCACTAACAAACCATGGAATTTCCTTGCAATGTAAATGTACAGATTCAGCTAATTTTGTGTCGAGTAAGAATAATGAAAGAATTAAATCAGCAAACAATTCAAACCCAGAATTGTCCAAAACAATATCAATTCTTTTGCCTGATTGACTAGAATAGTGTTTCCAAGCCTTGGATAAGTCATTAATCAAGATGTTTTCTTCATTCTTTTTTCTGACTTCAGCACCTTGTACAGATTTGATATCTTCCAATGTAATGTTACCAGCTAATAACGACAAGTCAGTAGCATTACCCCAAAGTGAAATGTCAATAAACTCGTTAAATAACAATTCAAGAGTTTCTTGATCTTTAACTGATTCCAATTGCTTAGAAAGACTTTGGTATCTCTTACATAATTCCAACACCCCGAATTCACTCAGTTTAAAAGTTTGAGTTTTCAAGTTTTGAAAAACATCATAATTTTGCCATTTGAATTCAACAAAAATCACATTGATGAATTGATAAAGGTAACATTCAAGGTATAACCAAGGACCAGTCTGCCAAGTAACCTTCTTGACCTTGTTACATTCTTCAAGACTAGTGTTATAATAAGCTAATTCAGGAACCAACTTGACTTCAGTGTCGGTGAATTCACGAACCACTTCATCGTTTTTGAATGCAGTTAAAAGATTGTTCAATCTGGACAAGATTTCCGACTTGCCCGGTTTTTCACTGGCTGATTCGACATCTTTAATGGCATCCTGAATGATTGTTGGCCAACGCTTATGAATTGTTGGATAAGCGAACGACTTTGGATCGTCATTGTAGTAAGGCAATGGTAACGACATGATGTGTATAGTATAGTGCTTGGAGTGAACGAACCTTGGCAGCACTGGAAATTTTAGGTTAGATTTGTTCTACGAGCGGTTTGACACATTGTTGAGCCACAACCGTAAGGAGGAAGGAAAAAAGAAGTTCCATCCACGTACTAACCAAAAACGAAAAAAAAAAAATGCGTGTACTATGCTAAGCGTGTGTTGAAGATAACAACAAATGTTTGCTGGCCCCGGGGGGTAAGGGGGGAGTTGGGAAGGGGGATTAGTTCAATTGATGTGCTAACTAGATTTGTATCAATGTGTCAAAGAACCTAAGTGAATTGTTGGCAATACAACATTGTTAAAATACAATTTATTATATCTACTATCAATTAATAATAACAAGTTCATTCAAATTACTTATATTTAAAACAAAACAATAAGAAATAAAACATCAAGTAAAGGATTATACACAAACTTTCAACATATAGTATACAAAAGTGTTCTTAAATAGCAAGACTATAGCAACATTTAGTTACCGTTTCTCTTGGCATATTCAGCCTTTTCCTTCTCGTATCTCTTCTTGTCAGTTTCAGCCTTGTTTTCGTAAGGAACCTTTTCGTCAGCAGTTAAGGCCTTCCACTTTTCACCTAACAACTTACCAACTTGACCAAAGGAGATACCTGGGTTTTCAGCTCTAACAATGTCTCTGTTTTCGTTAGCAAAGAACATGTAAGCGGAAAGAGATCTCTTTGGAGCATCTGGATCCTTCTTCTTTCTAGTAGCTTTTCTTTTTTCAGCAGCGGCAGCCATGATTGTCTATAATAATGTTAGTATAAAACCAAAAAAAGAAAAAGAAAAAGAAGAAAAAACCCCCTAAAAAGAAAAAAAACTTAGTATGAACTTATTGCAACTTATATATGTATGTCCCACAGATGCTAGTATCAGAAAATAAAAACCACAACAAATTCTAATGTAAACAAAACAAATAATCAAGACAATGAAAAAAATTCGCGTCTTGATTTTTAAAATCTCCTGCATATAATTTGGGCTTAACCAAAATTGTGAAATTTGTATGCGGTTTTTTTATTGCACTTTTTTTTTTTATTCGTTCAGACCTTATTTTTTTCCCGAGGAGGATTCATTTTTCTTCTACACACTCCCAAACCGAAAAAAACATCCCAAACTCAATTTCCCTCCCATTTCACCAAATTGAATTTGGAGACCATTTTCCCAAAAATCTCTCTGGCTCAACCCAATTGCTTGAAATAAATCCAAACATTGTCGTTTCTCATTTATGGTGTACTCTTGATAACAGTGCAGACTACTTCTGGTTTGTCTGTTCAACTGAGGTTGCTTGTTTTTTTCGCAACCTCAATTTTTCGTTATCATTAAACACCAAAGGAATGAAGCTAACGAGATGAATAGGGGTTAAAAAGTCACCAAGGGGGGACAATTAACTAGTAGACAACGCAACGTCATCATGCTAATTTAATTGTGTTGAGCGGCAATTGAAAGTTTGGCAAATTTTTTATCTTGACAGTGTGTCCGATATCACCATAGTAAAAATATAGTGTACTATTAAAAGGGCCTAACATACAATTTTGTGTGGTAATAAGTTTGGTGTAGGAAAAAATGTATGTAAATTTTTGTTTATGAGGATTTTAGTTAGTAGTAAGATATTTATAGTATTTGGCAGGCTTGCTTTTCTCCTCCCCCCTGTACTATAATATTTGTTAGTGCTGACATTTACGCGCACCCCACCCAAATTAAATAGGGAGGAAATTTACTTAAGAGAGAAAAAACAAAAACAAACTACCAAAAAAAAAAGAACCACCCGAAAAAAGAAAAAAATAATTACCACCGTCCGCCTTTGCTTTTTTTAGGTTAAGCCAGATTTCCGCTAAAAAACTATATAGCCAGAATTTATCTAGATATGGTCATTATAATACTATCACTAAATATATGGTTCTCTATAATCTTTTTTTTCCAATTTTTTTAACTGATTATCAACAAACTTAATTATTCCACTCAAGTACCAATTTACTACATCACGGTAACACTAGTAGAACCCAATTTCTTTAGATTTGCTCTGGTCTTCGACTAATCTGACCCCTATGACTTGCTTCCTCGTGTTTGCTGAGCAAATTTAAAAAAAAAAAGTATCACGTGCGCTGTCATCATGTGACTGTGGTTGGCTGCGAAAATCGGGAAATTTTGACGAATCTGTGTGTGCCCATGGTCATTGGTGAGGGGGAGATAAATGGTTCGATTTGTAAGATTACCAGAAAAGTTTAGAGGTAATTGGTTTTGTCGGATGTTTAATTAGTCTTGATTTGTTCTTATTTGGTATTACCGGTTTAGCAAATTTAGATTAATTTTAGTAAAATTTTCAAAGAATTTAATAAAAAAAAATTGCAACAAAGATCTCATGCAAGTGATTACTGCCACAACAATAGTGAAAAAGACGTTACTGAGATCTACATTCTACAATTATAACCAAAATTAATTACCCTCACGCTGTATATAATTTTTTTAAAGAGATACACTATATAAACAAAATATAAAACACATTACATCGCTAAACGTTAATATTAATAATAAACAAAAATAACAAGACGTACATCAATCATCCATTAAGAAAATACTTTCTTAGTACCATCCTCTATATTGAGCGGAATCTTGATATCCATATTGTGGATATTGTTGGTAGGCACCGTATTGAGGCATCATTGGTTGTTGAAGAGGAACTTGACCTTGACCTTGTTGTGGTTGTTGACCCTGTTGTTGAGCTTGTTGACCCTGGGCTTGTTGAGCACCTGGTTGGGCAGCAGCAGCAGCAGCAGCAGCGGCAGCTCCATCTTCTTGTGGCTGTTGTGGTTGTGGTGGATAGCTGTAGCCTGGATATCTATTGTTGTATTGGTTAGCATTGTAATATTGTTGTTGTTGACCAGCTTGACCTTGACCTTGTTGTTGCTGGTTACCAAATCCATTGCTAGATACACTGGCTTGGGTGTTGGCACCTTGAACTTGTTGGGTGGTTTGTTGACCTTGACCTGGTTGTTGTTGTTGGGTACCTTGTTGAGATTGTTGAGGAGAACCACTGAATCCAGTAGATGCTAAACCACCAGTGTTGAAGTATGGGTTGTTGTAGTAGTTGTAGTAGTATGGGTAACCAAATGGTGCTGGGATTTGTTGTTGTTGACCAAAGACGGCAGCAGCTGGTTGTTGCTGTTGTTGCAATGGGGTTTGGTTAGCAGTTGGACTTTGATCAGAACCAGTGGTACCAGTAGCACCAGTAGCAGCAGCAGCAGCAGTGCCAGTGGCTTGTTGGCCATATTGACTGTAGGCGCCAGCAACACTGGTAGCAGCATGAGTACCGGCTGGGGATGCAATACCTCCTAAGATTTGTTGATTGTATGCACTGTAATCAACACCTGGGTATCCACCAAATTGAGCACCTGGTAAGGATTGACCAGCTTGTTGAGGATATTGTTGTTGTTGGAATTGACTGTAGTAATCATATTGTTGGGTTGGTTGTTGGCCAATGGCTGGTTGTTGAGTAGCTTGTTGAGCTTGTTGTTGTTGTTGCTTATTGTATCCACTTTGGTAAGCATTTTGTTGGTATCTATTTTGAGATTGTTGTTGTTGCTGTTGTTGGTTGTATAATCCGTAACGTTGTTGTTGTTGTTGTTGAGTTTGTTGTTGGGCTTGTGGTTGTTCGACAACTTCTTCCTTGACTTGCTCAGGAACAGCAACTGGAGCTTCAGTAGCAACAGCAGCAGCAGCAGGGGTTTCTTCCTCACCTAAAGATAATGATCCAAATGAAATACCAACATTGTTGACTTGTTGTTGAGAAGTAGATGGCAATACAACTTGTGGTTGAACTGGAGCAGCGGCAGCGGCAGCTTCGACAACTGGAGCAGATACTGGGGCAACCTCGACTGGAACTTGGTCAACAATTTCCGAGACAGGAGCTTCAACAACAGGTTCAGCTTCAACAACAACAACTTCTTCAACTTGTTCGACAACAACTGCTTCTGGTTCTTGCTTCTTAACAGCAGGCTTGGCTTTTGGCTTTGGCTTAGTCTTTGGTGCAATTGCAGAAGCCCATGAGCCTTGTTTGAGTTGAGGAATAGAAGCTTCCTTCAATACAGGCTTGGATTCTATTGGTTCTTCTTCAGGTTGTTCTTGTTCTTGTTCTTGTGGTTGTTCTGATTCTTGTTGTTCTGGTACTTCTTCTTGTTCTTCAGGTTGTGCTTGTTGTTCTTCTTCTTGCTTTTCTTCTTCTTGTGGCTGTTGTTGTTCCGGTTCTTCTTCTACAATTTCTTGTTTAGGCTTATCACTAGACAAAGCAGAAGCCCACGAATTAGACACAGGAGATGTAGATGCAACAGGGGCAGTGGCGGTTGTGGAAGAAGAGACTGAGCCAGCAGAAGTAGGTTGGGATTGTTGTTGTTGTTGTGTAGTCTTTTTTGGCGCTCTTTCTCTTCTTGGCTTTGGACCGGCATAAGGACCTTTAGATTTAGATTGTTTGGATGATGCAGTGTTATTAGCAGGAGAAGCGTTGTTGACTGGAGATTCTTGGTCGTCCTTGTGTTCCTTCTTCTTGTGTTGTTTTTCCTTCTTGCTTGGTTCCCACTTGGAAACCTTATTATTAACAATCAAATCAATGACAACTTCCAAAGAGTTGTCATGTTCTTGCAACAACGATTGCAAGTCTTCCGATTCCCAGTCAGGGAACATCTCCAACAAGTTGGTCAATTCAATTGAAGGGGTATTGAATCTCTTCAGTTGATTCTTATAAATCTTTCGTTGTTGTGTCGACATTTATATATATGTTTTTTTTGGTGTATGTATGTGAAAATATGGGTGTGGTTCTAGATACAGATTCGATGTAATGATGCGATAAATCTTGTAGTAGTGATGCAACCCAGTTAGATGGTGTATTATATAGTGACGGGGGGATAAAAACTATGATGGTTTAGTTTAAAAGTTAAATGGATGATTTGTCTTTTTGAATGATGTTGTTATGAACGAACGAAAAGAAAAACTTGAACTTTTGCAAAAATTTTTGCCTTTCTTTGGAAGTTGACCAAAAAAAAAAAAAGAAAAAAGAAAAATTTTCCGTGAAATTTGGGCATGAATACACTACCGGCACGTGACGTGGTTTACGGCATTGGTAGCAGCAATTTTGCAGCTATTGTGCAATGTGCTGTGTTCGGTGTAGTGTGTAGTGTGTTCCGTGTAGTGTGTTCCGTGTAGTGTGTTCCGTGTAGTGTGTTCCGTGTAGTGTGTTCCGTTTGCTGTGTACCGTTTGCTGTGTACCGTCTGCTGTCTACTGTGTGCTGTGTGCTGTGTACCGTCTACTGTCAAATGTCTACTATCTGCTGTCTACTATCTGCTGTCTAGTGCCTGCTCTCTACTGTTTATTGTCAAATGTCTACTGTCCGCTGTCTACTGTCTACTCTCTACTCTCTATTGATCCAACACTTCAACCAAGGTACTGTCCGTGACGTCATTTCCATCTCCACGAATCATAGGATCAACAACTTCAGTGATTACTCTGTCAAACAATTCATAGATTAGCTCCTTCAAGTCATCCCCAGTTTGCTTGAAATCAGGATATGAATTGACTTCTAACAAACTGACCGAATGGTCGTCATTAACCAAGAAATCAACACCAAAAATCTCAATTGCATTAGCTAACGGCTGAAAGTTCATCTTGTCGACACTGGTGGCTGCTTTAAACAACTCCTTCACAATATCGCAAATCTGCTGAAATATAGTCTGTTTCTCAGACTCACTGACACCATCCAACTTCCAGAACGGCACAACCAACGGGTCTTCTCCTTGTAAACAGGTATTTGTCAAATGTCCCGCCATTGATATTTCATCCTCTTCCTCCTCAGGCAACTCAAACGGTTTATCGGCAAATAATGTAAGAATGTTCTCATACACGAAAACTTGCAAGTCCCCCTTACACACAACATAAGTACGCAAATGGAATTTCTTGTTGTCATAACTGGGCAATAACAATGGACTCGATTTGTATTCTTGAACTATGAAATGACGTAATTGTGAAAGGATAATTCCATTGTTGTCCTCCGCTTCTCCGTTTTCGGCATCTCCATCTTCATCTTCATCATCGCTTTCTTCTTCAAACGAATTGAAGATTTCTTGCAATTGGTCCAATGTTCTGAATATCCTAATACCCTGGCCTTTGTCACTCATACTAGGTTTCAAGATCCATACTTTATCACCTTGATTTACTTCGTCGCGCAATTCGTAAGCGTCATCCAAGGCATCATCCAAGAACTCGGCGTAATCAACTTCAAGTTGATAACTTTCGGGGACTGCCTTGGCCAAGATAGACTCTGGATGTTTAGTAACGTAGTGATGAATCGTATTGGCAAGATAATGCTTTCTAATCAACGCCTTTCTATAAATATATGAAGGGAGGATATAATTTGAATCGTGGATCCTGTCAAGATCTATATCTTCATATTCTCCATAGTGGAATATCTTTGCTTGGCTATTGAGTACATCACGGCTTGCAGTTATGTTATAGCCTAGTTTCTTGAAGGGTTCAACTAATGGGTTGTAAAGGTATGACTCTTGAGGTATAGTAATAAGGAAACTCTTATCACTTGTTTCTTGTTGTGAATCTTCCAATGTGATTTCGCCCAATTTATCAACCATGGCAAACCCAGCTTTCAATGGAGTAACACTGATACCTTCATCCAACAATACTCTGCTATCAGTATGTGCGAAATCCTTCATTCCATCCTTGTACACCTGCTTGAAGTTAGGACTCCACAGGAACTGCAATTGGCCCTTCTCGTTAGGTTCAGCCACGGGCGCATATATCGACTTCCAAGTATTTTTTAAAATCGGAGCGTAGTGAATCTTGGTGCTTCCCAACTTCAAAGAATCAATCAATGGAACATTGATACTAAACAAGTCGATCTCTTCGCTCGCTTGCAACTCGGCATACAACTTCTGAATTAACTTCACGGAGATCTTTGCCGCCTCTTTCAAAATGTGGAAATCGTGATCCATATTGTTAAATGCATAGCTCACGGCAATCGCCTTGACTCCATGTGTTACGGCTTCCATGGCCGCACCCACGGTCCCGCTGGCCAAAATGTACAAATTGCTGGAGTTCTTACCGAAATTAGGACCACTAATCACCAAATCGATCGGCTTGTTCTTGGTGTGGCTGTACAAATGATGAATTCCAATATCGGCACACGCAGCCGGGGTGCTATTTATCAAACACCATTCTTGATAAGCTGGGTCATTGTGGTACTTAGTTTCTGGACGATTGAATGGACCAAGATAGCTGTTAATCTGATCCGTGGGGGCCGAGGTGGAGTGGGTAGTGTAGATGTAGCTGGCACTAACTGTCTTACCGGCAAAATGTGCTTTACCAATCCAGGAGCGTTGCTGGTCCGGGATCACAATGGATAGATCCCAGTCTGTAGAGGAGTTTATTTCATCAACGAGGTATTTCATGTAGGGACAATGATTGTCGTTGAGCGGGCCATCATCGTTGGTTAAAAGGACGTGCATTGTTTAGGATAGCTGGTGTTTGTACTTAGTATGGGAGAGGGGGAGGGGGGGGAAGAGAAAGAATGTGAGTTGCTGCTGCTTCTGAAAATTTAGCCTGCTGCTCGCAGAGAAAAATTCTCCACCAAGATCTGAAATGGTCACTCAAATAACGAACAACTACATCCCACACTGAGTTTACACTTACATCATGTCGCTCTTTCTTGGTAATTCCTTGCAATACTCACAGGCTACAGTAGATCCCGAAAAGTTGAAGTTGGCAGAGGTGCAATTCACAGCTACTGCCCATACATTCAATAAGCTTCTTCAATCCTGTGCCAACAAGTGTCTTGTTCATGAATACGGCGAAGGTGAATTACTGAAAGGTGAACAAGAATGTATTGATAGATGTGCCGCTAAGTATGTACGGGCTAATTTTCTAATTGGGAAACATTTCCAAGAACAAAGACTTGATCCTATGAGCTCGTTGGTCAATTATGAGATATATAGGAAGTGAAGTTGCTGGCAAGCTTGAGAAAAGAGACGAAAGAGAACATAACAAAGACTGTATATAGATGTGGTTGTACATTAGCATAATAAAGATAGTAATATAAAGAGAGTTGTAGGTTGTATAAGCTGGCAGAACAGGTTCTTCGCGACATCCGATAAATCTTAACCGGCCCCCCTCTCCCACACACACACTCACACACACTCACACCAACCTGCCCGGTAGTCAACGGGCAAAGGTTCGCGACATACACCTCAGGTGATTTACAAAGTCAAATGACTACTTAGAAGAAGGTAAAAATAATACAACTCGTGAACCTGTCAATTGATCACCCATCATATATTAAAAAAAAAATACAATCTACTCTAAACATTAAAGAAAACTTATAATTGGTTCTTGGTGTGGAAGATATTCAAAGCTTCGGCGATTCTGGCGCTCATGGTCTTTTCACCTTCTCTAACCCAGACTCTTGGGTCAAAGTACTTCTTGTTTGGCTTGTCTTCACCGTCTGGGTTACCAACTTGACTCATCAAGTAGTCCTTCTTGTTTAAAACGTAATCTCTGATACCAGCCAAGTAAGCGTATTGACAATCGGTATCCAAGTTAACCTTGACAACACCGTTCTTGATAGCAGTGTCAAATTCTTGTTGAGTGGAACCAGAACCACCGTGGAAAACCAAGTACAATGGGTGGTCAGACTTGGAGCTAATTTGCTTCTTGGCATAGGCTTGGTGGTCACCCAAGATTTCTGGTCTCAAGACAACGTTACCTGGCTTGTAGACACCGTGAACGTTACCGAAAGCAGCAGCAATGGAGAAGTTTGGAGAAATTGGAGATAAAGCTTCGTAAACCTTGAAAACGGTTTCTGGGGAGGTGTACAAGGCATCCTTGTCAACATTTTCGTTATTGACACCATCTTCTTCACCACCGGTGATACCAATTTCCATTTCCAACCATTGGTTCAACTTGGCCATTCTCTTGAAGTACTTGGCACAAGTAGCAATGTTTTCGTCGTCGGTTTCTTCGGAAAGATCCAACATGTGGGAGGAGAACAATGGGGTACCGTTGGCAGCGAAAAATTCTTCATCAGCTTCCAACATACCGTCGAACCATTGCAACAACTTCTTGGCACAGTGGTCAGTGTGTAAAACAACTGGGATACCATAGGTTGGAGCAATGGATCTGATGTAGTGAGCAGCAGCAATTGACCCAGCAATTGAAGCCTTTTGATCAGTGTTGGAAACACCCTTACCGGCAAAGTAAGCAGCACCACCTTGGGAGGTTTGTAAAATGATTGGGGACTTGTTGTCTCTGGCGGCTTCCAAAGCAGCAACTACAGTGGAGGAGGAAGTGACATTGATAGCTGGGATGGCAAAACCCTTAGCTTGAGCGTAGTCAAATAAATCTTTGACGTCTTGACCGTAGATAACACCGGATTTAGATAAAACTGCTGGAGCGGACATTATAAGTTGCAATTGATTGAATTGTATAGAGAGAAAGGGAGAAGAAGGCGACAAAAAAATTAGGGAGTGAGGAGATTTCAAAAGATATTTATACAACGAACAATCTCCAATAATAAAAATGATGCTTTTTTTTTTTCACATTTATTTTTTAGTCTCTCTCTCTCTATTTTTTTTTTTTTTGAACTCCTCATTCTCGCTCAAGCCGTCAGGTGCAGACCAAAAAAAAAAAAAAAAAAAAAAACTCCGAAAGGAACACATTCATCCGGGATTTCACAAACATAAAATATTACTGGCAGAATCGGTAGAAAATTTCATAATGTAACAAATTTGATAAGGGAATTGCATAATGTTGCTAAGCATAATGTTACATTTTTCAATTGCTCAATTGTGAGGTTTGCTGCAGCTCAAGATATAGCTATTTAGCTAGAATATATGTAGATGTATGTGTCCCTCCCACCCCCAGATTTCAATAATAACTGAAATAATGGAACTACCACCCGAGGCATAGCGGCACAACAATGGCCTCATGGCGGAAATTTACTCCAATTGAATTAATTATATAGTTTTTCATTCAATTGTGTAAGCATAAATAAAACCAAAACATCGTTCCGGGGGAAAAACTTCCATACAAGCTTAACCCGGAGGATTTCGGTAAATCTTGGATCTACTGCGTTGGCCGGTGACCCTATCCCCGGAAAACCGCCCAAACAGACAAACTTGACTAGCAATGCGTTGGTTCATAGTAATAACCAACACAAACAACCACACAATTGCTTCGTCACATGATTTACGTTGCACGCACCTCTTGAACCGTTCGTTTGTGTAACTTACAGATCTATTACCGTTGAATGGACAGACGGAACAACTCAGTTGCATCAAACAAAATTACGTCATGTGACTCAGCGCAAATGGAAGAACAACAAAAAAAAAAAAACAGAATTAACGCTTAGTGAAAAATCTCATCAGTTGATTAACCTCAAACCACCATCTGTGTAAGTTACCTACACGTGCTGACACGCAAAAAAAAAGCACCCAATGAGCAACCTCCTAAGAACAATCAATAATCTAACGTATCATCGCTTCGATATAAACGATCAAGATGAATTCAAACAGATATCCAAATTAATAGCGATACATTTATCTGAACCTTACTCCATTTATGTCTATTGGTACTTCCTAAACAACTGGCCCCAATATTGTTACACCGTGAAAAACGACAAGTCAGTAATCATCGGTGTTATAATATCCAAAATTGAACCCCATCGAGAGGTGAGAATGCGTGGGTATATCGGGATGCTCGTGATTGATCCAGAATACCGTAAAATGGGGATTGCATCAAATTTAGTGAAATTAACTATTGAAAATATGACTCAGGATAATGTCGATGAAATAATGTTGGAAACCGAAGTAATCAACGAAGGCGCATTGAAATTATATGAAAGCTTCGGGTTCTTAAGAACAAAGAGATTGTACCGTTATTATTTAAACACTCACGATGCTTACAGGTTGATATTACCATTGACTGACAAGGCTCATACAAGAATTGCCTTTTTACCTCAACTTCCACAAGAGCAAGTCACGTGATCGCACCACGTCAGAATTGCCGTGACAAACAATTGTCATTTTTGCATAGAGATTATGACAGGCATTGATAAATGTGCGTGTCGTGCACGTCCGGGGTGATTGCGATATTGCAGCTACTTGGAGGCAATTGCCATCACTGTAGAGTTGTACATAGTTATCGTTTTATAGTGCAGGATATATTATAGAATGCAACGGTGCTTTCACTCACCAAGTAGCATGGGCTAGCATACACTATAAGCTTAGTGGTTGACTCATACAGTACAAGAATAGACATTTCACAAGAGAATGTCATCTCGTCTGTCCTAGTAATTTGCAAACAAGGCTAAATTAAATTTCAATACGCGTGTTCTTAAAAAAAATTCATACGCGTAATTTTATTTTTCTGTCGTTGCCCTTTGTATAAAACCACCAGAATTCAGCAATTGAAAATTCTCGTACTTTCTTTTTCCCACTATACACACATAATACAATACACTACACCATGCTTGAAGGTAAATTCGATCAAAGTACTTTGTTAAAGAAGATTGTCGACGCAATTAAAGACTGTGTCAAGTTATGTAACTTCAATTGTACCGAACACGGTATCACCGTCCAAGCCGTGGACGACTCCAGAGTTCTTTTGGTCTCCTTACTTGTTGGCCAAACTGCCTTTGACGATTATAGATGTGACAGAGATATCACCTTGGGTATTGACTTGGAATCCTTCTCCAAGATTATCAAAACCGCCAACAACGAAGATTACTTGACCCTCATGGCCGATGACACTCCGGACTCCGTCCACACCATTTTCGAAGATAAGAAGAAGGAACGTGTTTCTGAATATTCCTTGAAATTGATGAATATCGACTCTGAATTCTTGAAGATCGACGATATGGAATACGATTCCGTTATAAATATGCCAAGTTACGAATTCGCCAAGATTGTTAGAGATTTAAAGAACTTGGGCGAATCCTTGGTTATTACTGTTACCAAGGACTCTGTCAAGTTCAGTTCTGAAGGTGAAACTGGTAACGGTTCTGTTGTATTGAAGCCATACACTGACATGGACAAGCCAGATGAAAGTGTCAAGGTCACCTTGGACTCTCCCGTTGACTTAACTTTTGGTTCTAAATACTTGAACGACATTATTAAAGCTACCAGTTTGTCTGATGTTATAACTATCAAGTTGGCCGACAAGACTCCAGCTTTGTTTGAATATAAATTGGACGCTGGTGGTTATTTAAGATTCTACTTGGCTCCAAAGTTTGATGAAGAAGATTAATAGTGTACTAATAATATAAAATATACAGAAATTACAAAGCGTCTAGCTACTCTTTTTATCATGCATTTCTTTCCCCCATTTTAACAAATCTCGTTTTAATCGATCAGCTCGAACAATTCCATTTCTCAAATTGGTCAAGTTTTTGATGTACTCATGCTGTCTTTGAATACTAACCTGAAGATAGTTGATTAAATCATCTTTCAATAATTCATTCTTATCTTGTGGGGCGTTTGGCTCAAGTTGACGACTTTGGAATTGTTGATATCGCTTTAATGCTTGCGGAAGGGCAAAGAATGGATCGGTCACCGAGTCATCGTCCGACTCTTCATTAGCTTGTTCCTGCGGTTCGTTTTGTTTCTCGGTCTCTTGCTTGACTTGTCCATTTTCAGAGGCAGGCCTAGGCGCAGGCTCAGGCGCAGATGCAGATGCAGATTCAGGTGCAGCATCACTGGTAGTAGGTTCAGGGCCAGCTACAGGATTAGTAGTAATCTCCTTGGTAGTGTTAGCCAGGGAACTTCCATCCACGTCTAAACCATGATCATAATCAGGCAAGCCAATGTTTTCTTCCAATAAATAAAACCAATCTTCGCCATTCAACACTTGTAATAATTTATTTAGCCAATTCAAATTTGCTTGTTCAATTTCAATCAACTCAATCAACTCACTAGCTAACTTGTTAAAGATTGTCAGTTTGAACGTTCTCAGAATTGCTGGATGAGTGATTATTTCCGAGGGGTGATTCAATGGAGCTAGGATTTCATTGATTCGTAATTTCTTTAATGGATGTTGTTCATATTCGTCACTATCGTATTCGTCGTCGTCTTCATCTTGGTCTGCTTCGTCGTCGTCGTCGTCGTCGTCTTCACCCTCTTGTTTGTCCTCATCTTCCTCGCCTTCGTCACGATAATATTGCTGGTTCCATTTTCGTTTATTCCTGGTATTGTCAGTCTCAATGACATCGTTACTCAAAACCAAATGTTGTACCCCATCATATTCAACCACTTTGGGATGTAAGGAATCCAATGATAGAAATGGATTGTTTAGTTTGTATCCTCGATTACTTGTAGGAAGATAAGTATGGTCACCGCCTTCATGTTGTTCCTGCTCGTGTGAGTGTCTAAGCAAGGCTTGTTTCAACTTGCTTATTACTTCTATAGATGTATTGTCTAACATAGTGATGTGGGTGTGTAAGGCGGGTGTTATGGAAGGGGTCTCTTTTTTGTTTTTAAGAAATTTTGATTGTAAAGGTTCGGTCTACTCTTCAATAGTATGCAGGAATACACACCAAAATACACGACCCCCAATGTAGTTGTTCCGAGATTTTTCGCAGCCAGCAAGTGGGCCATAACACGAACCAATGGTATTAGGAACCGAAATAGCCAGGAGGCAGCGGTAATACATTCAGATATCGCCTAGTCAGAACGAGTGTCTCTATTTGGCTGGAGAAAAGTAGGGACGGAAACTCTTACAACATATCCTTACGACTGTTTAACTATTTTTAACTACCTTTAACTACTGTTTTTAAAAAAAGCACAACATGTTGCTGCTGGAAGTATTTATTAATTGTTTCTGTTGATTTGGGGGGGGGGGGGCTTAGTCTATCCAACGACGCTTGCGTAAAGTTGAATCCCATTTCACTCTGGATACGCTTAAATCTAAACAGACTAATCCGCGAGTGACGACAATGCCAAAATATTATAGAAACCAAGCGTTTAGGAGGGAAGCCAATATATACATATACATATACATATACACATACACATACATATACAGATAGATAGGAAACACCAATCGGACCCCTATTTCATCGACTATTAGTAATTCTATCTCATTGATTCCCTTCATCGCAGGAGTTGACACATTAGAATTAAAGTCAATCAAAGAAAAGTTCAAATAAAAATACGTTCAATACACTAGTATAGCTACGGCAATGACTCCATTTGTCATTTATACATCTATCAGAGTACTACCGTGAGATTCTCCGTCTAGGTGCAGTTACATTGGAAATTGTAAAACTTTTGAAAATAGCACCAGGGCATAGTAAAGTATGGAATGTCCAATTTATATAGACCAGATCATGACTACGGCTAACCCGATGATATATCTCATATCGAAGAAATCAGAACCCTATTGTATAGGGGACACATGCGTCCTAATTTGAACCAAATTGTATCGAAAGAATATTATGACATCATTTAATGGCATGTACCGGTGATCTACATTAGCACTTGTGACAATCCATCGTTCCCAAAAAGTGTAATTCTAACTTAAGGCTTGTGCTCACTTTTTGTTTTGCATTTAACATGCATTAAACTGAGATAAACACAACCTTGACGGTGTATACTTACGCTATTTGTATTGTTTATCTTTGCTTTGGTTTGGCAGCATTTGGTTGTAAATTTTTAGTTAGTGCGGATTGCAACTTTTTCATCCCCTACAAAAAATTTCCAGAATTTGAAACAGCACAAAATTGACTATCTCCTCATTACACCATTAGTTATTTACAACCAGCCACACTTGTCTAATATATATCCATACAAGTATAGGGAGCTGTACACTTATCATACCCAATCATTCATTCCTGGTCCATCAATCCATATATTTAACTTTTTTTTTTGCATAGTCACACCACTTGTATATCCCGCATATCCGATTTGCCATCAGCATTGATAAGACCAATCAATGATTTCTGATATTTCTTATTTGATAATTTACAATTCCCACAATGGTCATTCAATCAAAATCCCTAAACCCATCCGGTTCCACAATTTGAGAGATTTCAGACGATTCATACTGGGTTCTTTGTTGAGCACTGACAGTTCTGATGATAACCTATTCTTGCTTACTTCGTTTGGAATCAAACTTAATTTCAACTTGATTAATGATATTAACGAGGTGTTTGTGTACGATAAGCGATTGTTTGTGGATGATGTTGATTTCACCATTTTTGACCAATTCACGGGTGATGCCCAACAGCAACCCCAGGGAATACCCACCATACCAGCAGCAACCAAGACTAGTAGTGTGCGGGAAATGACGAATCATTTGAAGGTGCTTCACAATTGGTCTAGGTCAGTCATGCAGGACGTGCAACATTTGACGGAGTTGAACAGTAATTTAATCAAGTCAATTAATACCATTTTCAAAAGTTTGAATGTGATTTTCCAATTCATGAATAACTTCATTAGCGAAATTGAAGTTAGCTTTAATAATTACTTTAATTATATTAAACTAATCCAATTTAAAACATTGCATAAGTCGTGGGAAACCCATTACAAGAAGTTGCTTGCTTTCCCTATGGTTAAAATAGGAAACAAAAATATCAAGTTGAATGAATTCATCGAGTTTGCCAAGTTGAAACAATATTCGGGATATATTGGGAAATACCTTCCCTTGATAATCACCAAGTTTAATTCACTTAACTCGACAATTAAAACCGTTCACGAACAGGATAAATTCACTATTGATAAGTATATTGAACAATTGCGCAATAATTCGATTGATCAATTTAAACATAGTAATACCGACATCAAAAATCTTGAAAAGTACGCTGATACAATTGCCAATGACATTGATAGATTATCCCACGATTCAAGACAACTCGATAAGGTTTACCAACTGCACACTGAAGAATATTCGGTTAATCTATATCAAGGAGCTAGTCAAATATACAACCGTTATCAAGATTTGTACAAGTTCAAACTGAAATTGGCTCGTTATTGTCTCAACGTGTTTAATAATATTGCCAAAGTGCAAATGAATATGGTGAATGTCAAGACGGAACTTAAGCACTTGACAAACGACGAAGAGCCCGAGAAGCAAGAGGGAGAAATATCCATCCAGGTGATTAATACCGTGAAGAAGTACGAAGATTATCTTTCGTTAACCATTGACTTGCCATTGCTTTTTGGATTCATCTTGATTGAAAAAAGGAGACAATTTGAATGGTTTGATTTTTATTCGAAGGGAATTGTCAATAATTTGTCGGAACAGTTGTCTACAATAATCAATCACGAGAAGTTGTTTAGAACTATTTGGATAAAGAAGTTTGGTAATTTTTTGAAATTGTTGAGCCAGACTGAAGATAATACTCAATTTAATATTGTGCTTCCCAATATCGATATCACGTTGTTGAGTAATAAAGACAAGGCCAACCCATTTGCGATTTTGGATGATATTCAAATTGACAGAAATGATATCGTCAATTATATAAGCACCGTTGAAACATCAGGATTAGCTTCGTTTGTGGAATTGCTAAATAAAAACTACAAGGACTTGATTCAATCAACCAACAACTTGAAGAAGATCACCAAGCTTATAACTTCATTAAGTAATTATACTTCTATATCCAATCAAGACAGACTGAAATTGGAGGTTGATGGGTCCGAAGTTGACTTTGATTTAAGTTTAATCAAGGGGTTGAAATCGAGAATTAAGAAATTGGAGAACTTGTTACACCAGCAACAAGTTAAGAATTTGAATAATTGGCCCACAAATGGAACTCCAGCTAGGACTAACACCAATGGAAGAGTTGCTGTCAGTGGAAGTGTCATGCTCCTTGATCAAAAGAAAACAGGTAATCCTACTCAGTTGTTAGAACGTAGTGGGAGTATTACCAACACTACTGCCAATGGAACTGTGGTATCTCCTGCTAGCATTGATAAACATTTGGATAATATTCGATTGAAGAAGGTAAATAATGAGTTGAGTTTACAAGTTGATGAGTTGACCCAGAAGAATAATGAAAAGGATGCATTGATTGCTAAGTTAACTGAAGAAATCAAGAATTTGACGAATAATTCCCAGACTGTGAAGCAAGAGGCATCAAGTAAGGATCACCAGATTGAAACATTGGCAGAGACAGTCAAGTCTCAAACCGAACAAATTAAATCACTTACCGATTCGGTTGAGAAACACAAACAAGAATCTTCGGAAGAAATACTTTCATTAAACAAGATTATATCCAATTTGCGCACTGAATTGACCGATGCAAACCACATCAAGAATGAACTTCTTTCCAACCTTGCATCTAAAGAGACTGAATTCACCAAGGAACGCACCCAATTTGATCAAGATCTCAAAAAGATTCAACATCAATTAGAAAATACCCAAGAAGATTATGAAAACCTCATGGAGCTAACCCAAATCCGTCAATCGAAATATGACTCTGGCTTAGACACCATGAATGAAATAATGACATCTTGGATCAAACGCCTTTTAGGATTGGTGTTTAATTACATCATTGAATATTGTTTGATTTTAGAAAGTATGGGGTTGCTTTTGGTTAAGGATGGTGACAAGTTTGTGATTAAGCGGGTTAAAGGATTACGTAGCAAGAACGAGAGTCATGATGTACCTAGTTCGGAAGCTATTGATGAAGTTATGCTGAAAATGAAGTTTATTGAGGATATGACGATGCCAATTACCGAGAAATCGGATGATGACGAGATGTCAAAGTATAAATCGATCATTGCTCCATTTCAAGATAATGCCAATAATTTTAAAGAGTTTATTGAGCTTTTATCGTTTAAGGATAATGTTACTTTGCATGAAGATGCCACCTCAACCAAGTTTTTCCTTAATTCTATTTCCAAACGATTCAAGGATGTTGAAGGGTTTGCAAAACGTCAAACTAAAGAGAACAAACTCAATCAAACTGAAATTAAGAAATTATTATTTAAACTTCGTACAAAAATTTCCATGACTGGGTTTTCCGAAGATGATTTGTTGTTATTCTTGCCTACCCGAATTGAACGTGCTGAAGCAGACCACGATGAAAATACAGTTCGACCATGGGCGGCATTCAATATTGGTGCACCTCATTATTTCCTCAATGTCAAGGATGAAAATGATGTCAAAGATAGAGATTGGATAATCGCACGTGTCAAGAAGATTACCGAATTTAAAGTCACAGAAGATACATTTGACAATATTGACATAAACCCATTCAGATTAAGTGTTGGTGTTGTATGGTATCTCGTTGATGTCGATGAAGAGAAGTAGGGACTAAAAAAGTTTATATAGGATATAAATATATGTATATATATATATATGATCTATTCAGGCACATGATTAAACAAATAACTAACACTTTCACCGTTGTGTAATCTTCTGATTGCTTCTGCAAGGGTAGGACTTATGTCTATCATTTCTAACTTAGAACACTGTTCTAATTTATCTTTAATAGGTAACGAGTTTGTGCATACAACTTTATCCAATTTGGAGTTGTTCAAGTTAGTGATGGCATTACCACTGAATATACCATGACTGACAACGCAAACGACCTTTTGAGCGCCATTGCTTAATAAAACATCGGCCGCTTTGCACAATGTTCCACAAGTATCAGCAATATCATCCACCAATACACAAATCTTATCAGTGACATCACCAACAAGTACCATTCTACTGACTTCATTAGCCTTTTGTCTTTCCTTATGGATCAATGCAAATGGAACATCCAACTTATCAGCTATTGCAGCAACTCTTTTAGCTCCACCAGCATCGGGAGAAACAATAATCAATTCATTGATTTCGTTGCGGAATGTATCGGTAATGTATCTCAACACACTAGGTTCAGCATAAAGGTTGTCCACGGGCACGCGGAAAAACCCTTGGATTTGACTGGCATGCAAGTCCAATGTGATTACGTGGTCACATCCGGCACACTGCAACAAATTGGCCATAAGCTTCGCCGTTATTGGTGCTCGACTCTTGTCCTTCCTGTCTTGTCTGGCGTAGGGGAACGTGGGGATGACCACGGTGATACGACGGGCACTGGCGATTCTGCACCCGTTGATAATCACGAGCAATTCCATGACAAAGTCGTTCAAGTTGTCATAGCCTGTTCCGGTCTGGATAATGTATACGTCTTCATCACGCACGGACTCTCCGATGGTGACGGCGGTTTCTTGGTTGGTGTACTGAAATGCACCAACACGGGCAAGAGGGATGCCTAATCGGGCAGCAATGGCATCGCATAGTTCAGGATGCGAGTTTCCTGCTATTAGTTTAATGGAGTTGGGTAATCTTCCGTGCATTCTATGGTGTGAAGTTCTATCTACTTGAAATGAGATGAGCCTTTGTGGAAGCATTTTTTTGCAAAAATGGCATTTGACTGCGAACTTTCGGAGTGCCGGTCACGTGGGTATACCTCGGATTACAAAAGCGTTATAACTACGAATATACATTGTCCTACTAAAGTTTTGCTTTCTTTTCACTCTCAATGATGAATCTGGCTTCGCGTTCTCCACTAAACCATCCACCATGAGCACATCCATTAGCACTACCATTCATAGTTTCTGCTCCCGCGAATCTTATTCTATTTTGGAACCCCTGGTTGAGAATCTGGTTGATTTTATAGGGATCGTTCATACCGACAGGGGTGGTTCCGTACGATCCCCTCGTCAAGTATTCTCCATTCCAAGGTGAATTGTAAATGGCTACTGGGTCAGGAATTTGATGGCCCTTAGGGACAAGCGAGGCTTGTTCAAGTACAGGTTTGAACAATTTCCAGATGTCCTGTTGTTTGTCTTCCTTCGCGAGTCTCTCGATGTATTTGGAGAGTGGGTTTTGCGTGAGGATTACAAGACTGGGAAGTCTCATAAGTGCCTGATAGTTGACAATGACACTAGGGAAGTCCCATGCATTGAAGGACAAGTCGCCAAGTAAGTCGGGTTTACTGGTGGTGTTGGTAATAGCATAGAATCTTTCCACATCTTCTGGCCAGAAACATTCATTAAATTCAAACACTAGTTTACCCAAAGATCCAAAGTGAATATCAGGAAGAACTTTCTGTAAGGGAGGTGGCAACGTTGGCTCCCACTTCAAATAGCACAGATCCTTGGGGTCGGTTATTTGAAGAATTGATTGTGGGATCGTACAAATCAAATAATCACATGAATAACTCCTGCCGTCAAACAAATGGACAATGACCTTACTAGGATTAGAATAGTCAATTTTATCAACATGGGCATTCAATTTCACATTGTGATTCAAATACTCTCTAGGGAGTTCCTTCAAGACAGTTTGAAAGACATTATAATAGCCATTCTCAACAAATGCTCTTCTTCCGACATGTTGATTCATATTAGCAAAACAATACTTTCCTGAAAGGGTATCCCAGGTTTCTCCATGGTATAACTCGGCCAAGGCACGAATAACACCAAGGGCATATTGCTTTTGTTCCTCGGTCAATCGGTCCTTGTATTTATGCATATATTCCTCACATAATCTCTTTAACGAAACATCAGGCTTGGATGGATCCTTGTCGTAAGCCAACTTGAAATACAGCATCATTTCATCAACAATGGTCTGGAATTTCCAACTTGGAACATCGCCATCGTCCTGACTTACATACTGACATTTCCCATCATCAAAATGATACTTGACAATCTTGCTCTTGATGGCCCGCTCAAAAAGTGGGTTGTTTAACGTGTCGTGAAACCACAGTGCACCCATGTCGAACTTCAATCCTCGAGTTTTCTCGGAGTTGATTGTCCATAACCTGCCCCCTAACCGATCTCGAGACTCGACAATGATTGTGTCGGTGATGCCCGCTTGATATAAGTCGATAGCGGCCTTCACTCCGGATATACCCCCACCGATAATAACTACTTTTTTGTGAATCATAGTGATTGTGAACTTGTATAAGTAAGAAAAGATATAGGATATAAAGAATCTTATGTTAATTCCAAGGAGGTCATTCCCCCCCAGATATTATTATATAATTTCAGGATGTAAGGTCATGTGACCTGTTCTAAACTCCATTTCTCCGAGAATGACCCATCACATCGTTCTTTTTTGTGCGGCTGCAACCACTTTACCTTAGAATGGTTTAGGAATACGAATTGAGAGGTTTTACATTCGATTTAAGGTTGATCTTGGCGCTGTGCATTAGTATAGTCTGGGGCGCATAACTTATGGTTTGAAATTGAGGCACGACTGGGGTAGAAATATTCCTCGGCTTAATCTTTTTTTTCCGTCCTAAAATTGTCCCGCGGAAATCCTGGGGAAATTCCAGTACAGGTTATTCTTCAGTAGTATTTGATGAGTTTCTATTCTTTTGTTTGTGTTGATCCATTGCTTTATGTTTCACAAATAATTTTCATGGTCTAAGGTATATTTGAAGAATTTTAGATTCGGGTCTTTGCCACGGTGGAATATACATCCAATTTAACTACACTTTAAAAGAATCTGGTAGTTCTGTTCCAATTAATATCGCGGACTTAAAGTCACGAAGCGCTAACAATAGGACTATACAACGGAGGTAAAACAGAGAATTGGATCCTCTGGTTAAGTAAACACTTGCACAACTCAAATCAAGGTTATTGGGGTTAGGGGGACACGTGTGTGATTTCTGATCACGTTTTAGGTTATAGTTTAGTTACATTTTGTCATATTATTTGGGTCAGTGTGTACATGAAGTAAATCTATCAAGACAAACTTGTAAGCTTAATTCCTTAACCTTCATTATGAGTCCATTTAATTTTTATTCCTTCAGGGCAGTTCTCTGCTTTGCAATATAATCTAGGCGACTGCAACGGAAAGATCTTTCCAGCACATGGAAGAAACCATCTGAAAATATTCACATCACGGCTAAACTTTCCTTCCTGCATCTGGCATGTGTCAATTTACGACTCGGTCCACAAAAAAATATTCTTAAGCGAGCAACTATTTTTCTGCATCATGCATCTTGTGCAACCGGCTAAAATTTTGTATACAAATAATATTCTTTTTTTTATAAAAACTATATATAATATATAAGAAACGGTATTGAAAAACAATGCAAAATACATAATTAAAACAGTTGAACCTCGTTAGAGTAAATAAAAATTATGTCAATCTATAAACCAATGACAGTTTATCTAAAAAAAAATTAAGCACACAAACTTAAACAAACTCAAAACACAAACAAACAAACAAACACAGTAAGAAAAAAATTTTTGATATCCTTTTTTAATATATAATACTGCCCATTTTAGAGTGAGTCATGTAATCCGACAATCTCACCCATTAAACTCATGTATTCTTGTATGAATGAATTGAACACCCACCAATTTCCAAAACTATTGTTGGAACCGCCTTCTAGATCCTGGCTACTTCGCTGCATATTCAGTAGTTGTGATTGCTGCTGCTTTAAAAAGATGTATTTCAAAATATCATTCAAGATGAAGGTGATGTAGTTGTTGTAGATAAGAATGGGGTATTTTGATTTGAAATGTTGTGATAGTAATCGCTTATCGATCAAGTTGATCAACGCTTGCAATCGCGAGAACTCCTTACTTGATAACACCGCTTCGTTTGCCTCACCTCGTTTGTCAGATGTAGCAGAAGGTGAAGTTGTGGTGTTAGTGGTTGGTAAATCAGCACCCGATTGCGGTTGCAAATCAGGAGATAAGCTCCCCAACGACTCTTGTGATATTTCCTGCGTAGGGTCTTCACCCAGTTCTTCTTCGTCTTTGGCTTCTTCATTGCTGCTAAAACTTGAATTCAAAAACTCGAGCAAATCATTCTTGAAGAAATCATCAATTATATTAATTTCTTCATTAATAAACTTCATCAGAATGGATGACTTCAACTCATTGTTTATGTTCGGATCAAAGTTATATCCAATCAATGTGTACACCAAATCATTGGACAAGATATCATTTCTGAAACTGAAATTGATCTCCCCCATCGATGTAGTGGTTAGATTTGTATTCAAGTTAAACAAGAGGTTTTCATCATCTTGATCTTCCAATTTCAAAGTTTGGCTGTTTATCTTAAGGAAGTTTTCAATATCTGTCGACATCATTGATTTGCGACTATCCTTATTTATAAGCTTGATGAAGGTGATTAGCAAGTCATTAAGGTTGATGAGCTTCTTAATCATAATCAAGAAAATGGTAGAATTGTTAATGGGAAACTTTTCTGAATCCAACAACTTCAACTCAGAATTAAGATTGTTTATTAAATGCATCAAGTTTAATCTCAACGTTTTCAATAAACTTATATTAGTGGATGATTTAATCAAGAGCAAATATGGAGATATCTCAATCAAAATAACCAAATACAAACATAAATCAACATTGGGTATAGTAGTTTGCACATTCAACGGTTTAATCAACGATTCCATCAAGTTATGCAAGAGGCTTGAGTTAGATACCAAATTCTCGGGTTTCAAAAAGATTTCATGGATCAAGTTTGGTCCAAAAATCCCAATCCGATTATAACACTCAAAAAGCACTTGGTTAAACCAATTGTCTTCTTCTTCCGACGTCAAAATACTAAAGTTGTCACCGGCAGGGAATTTCAAAAGTGGTTTGATCGAGGAGAGATTGGGTGATGATAATGGTTGGTTTGAGTCCAGCGCAAGGTGCGGTATGCTGGGAGCCATCCTCTCCGCCGTGTCATCTCGACTTTGTAAAAACGGGTCGGACTGTTCCTCTGTTACTTCGGCTAATTTCACTTTATGTTTGGAAGAATTTCTTCTATGGGTCCCCGTTCTCTTCATGGTTGCTCCGAGCAATTGGTTTGACATTCTTGTATCACCACTAAAAATCTCATTCAAGTCATTCAACTCGTTCTGATCACACAACTGTTTGATTTCATCGTTGACGATATTCTCATTCCAAATTACTCCAAGATAGTTATACTTGGATTCACCACGACTTCCCAACCGCTTGATCAACAAGTTGGGATAAACCAACTTGATCAACTTCCCCAACTTAGATTGCCCAAGAATCAACTTTTGCTGCTCATTAGTGGTGTTTGAAGAGCTGGGGTAATTACAAATCAACTTTTGACAAATGATGAAATAAGTCTTGTAAATGGACAATCTTGGAATGGTGTAACTTTGTGGATCTTCTTCTGCTCCTAACGGTAACTGAATCAAGATATCATACAAAATCTTAATGGCAAGGAATGTCCTTAACAATTCATGATAGTTAATGTTCAACAATTTATTCTCTTTATCTTCCATGCTGGGTAAATACTCCATTAACAAGTTGGGATTCTTGAATACATTCAATAACTGATTAATCACATCAATGGAAAACTCACAATTCGAATACGGAACCATGGTTTTGTCCAACTTCTGGTGATAATTTATATCAAGCAATTGTCGTAACCTGTCATTATTGTATAGTAAATTGTAGAAATCATCCACTGGCAAAGGGGTATTCAATTTGTACAAGATGGATAAAAGGTAGTTGTTGATGTTGGACCCATCAACCGAAGTCAAATTAATTAGCAAATCATTAATTACCGAATTGTCAGATGAGTGTTGTTGGGTGACTACACGGGAAGCCCCGAGGTTCGAACCTGGTCTCTTATCGCCGGGACTCAAAGACACGAGATTGAAATGCGATGATATCGATAAGTTGTTCTTTTGGTGCTGTCTAAAAACCGCTGCTGCTGCTGGTGATAATGAAGTAGTGACATTTCGCAATATCGAAGATTGTGAAGGCACGGGGTAGTTCTGTTGTTGTTGAGGTGTACTTGAAGAAAGCACACGCGATGGTGGGAGTTGTTGTGGTATTGGTGCTGTTGCATATTCTGGTATCTTGAATGCTCCAGAATAGTCAAATGAAGGAAATGCAGATGTTATGGGTTGTTGAGGGTTGTATCCATAGGTCGTTGAAGATGAATGTTGATGCTGTAACTGTTGTGGTTGCTGAGGACGATGCTGTTGTTGTAAACCTGTAAATGTGGCTTGTTCTGGTGGTTGGTAGTAGTATGATCCTGGTGTTGCTGTAGTCACCACTGGTGATGTTCTCATGACTTGGCCGGGATCCAATTCCGACGATGCTGGTCGCTTCAACGGTGAAGATGTGTGATGTGATGATATGTCTAAATTTCCCGATGACAATTGTTGTGGTAGTGATGAAGAAGATGAAGATGATGGTGGTAATTCAGGTATTGATTTTGATCTTGGGCCAGCCGCGTAGTTATACGTTGATATGTATGCGTCGTTGTCATATGGCTGTGGAAGGTGACCTGAAGTTGTGTGCTGGAGTTGTTGCTGCTGTTGTGTTTGTAATTGCTGCTGTTGTTGTTGCTGTTGCTGCTGCTGCTGCTGTTGTTGTTGTTGAGGAATATAATAAGGTTGATTCAGAACAGACGATTTCTGTCGTTTATGGGATCGAAACTTGGGTGAATTGTCGGCCATATTATTCTAAGAAACATGTATGTGTGGATATAATAGCAAAATTGGCAAGTGGGTGATGGTACCTGATGCAGTTTGTACAGATGATATATTGTGCAGATAACGCGATGTCACTAGATATGCACGATGCAGATTTGGAAATGCAGAAAATATATAAATAATATTGGCAACAAACCTCAGTGGATTTTATATTTCTTGATGATGATGGTAGTGGTGGTGGTTTGGGATCAAATCGTGACAAAGAAATTATGGTGTAGTGCCAAGCAGTATAATCGATCCCTTGTTTAGTCTAGAAAAAACCACAGACGGTGCTTGGCTTGAGGGGGAGGGTAGATACACGGTGGGGTACTTCGCTGGGTGTGTCTGTGACTGTGTGTATGACGCGTTGTTGGTGGTTGACTCCCTTGTTTTGCTTTCAAGTGGTGGTGGAGGGGGGGCAATCTAAATATAGAAGTTGATGTACGGAGGAAAGGTGTCTGTTTTAGTATCAAATGATGTCAATAATATGGATCGGTAAAGACACACAGTGTGGAAATCAACCAGGGGAAAAAAACAAAAATAAAAATATTAATACGAGTTTTTTTTGCCTTTTTGTAATAAAATAATAATTTGCCAAATGCAAAAAAAAATTCAAGACCTTTTTCGTTTTGTGAATCAACTCAATGTAAAAACCGGATCAAAAACTCTTCCTCTCTCTCTCTCTTGGCAGATGCTCGTTGCTCCTGGTTATGATTGTTAACGTTGGTTGGTAATGGTAGACCAGGTTCCTTGACAAATTTTCGGTATCACTGGATTTTTTTTTTCCTTGCTAAAGAAACACAAACAATCCAAATCAAAATCAAATCAACAAGAAAAAAAAAACTTTATTATTTTTTTAGTTTTAAAAATAAAAAGTAAAATAAAAAAATAAAAAAATAATCAAATGTCCTTCCTGCACTGTGGGAGTAGAAAAAATAATATTCTTGACTTGGGTTGACTATCGGGACAAGAAACTTAAATGGTACAATCGAGGCTAGTGGAGTTAAGCAGATGTGTGACTTGATACGTTTTTACTTTTGTAACCTGTTTATTTTTTTTTCTTAGGTGGCAAAAGTTAAAATTGACAAGGTTGGTGTATGTGGATTTTGCAGATTTTAGTTTTACACTTTTGGGTGGTGTTGTGGGTTCTGTTCGAGCTAAAATGTAAATATAACCTTCGTCAAAGTGAAATTCGCCTGAGCCACTGGTATTTTCTGATATATCGATATGTGATTATGTTGAATTCTATTTTATTTTATAATTATCAGTGGAGATTTTATTATCTATGCACCTTGATGAATCCAAATTATTTTTTTTTCTTGTGCTATATTGTTCGATATCTCCCAATTTGGAATTCTTAGTTTTGCTGCCCTTTTGATCTTAATTGACGATCAATATTTTATGGTGCCTGGAAAAAAGAAAACCTCCGAATGCAATTGTATGTAGTTTGATGCAATAATAAAATCAATGACCCGATTATTTCCCAATGGTTTTTCTAGGTACGGCCCAATGATTATTAGTAGATTTGCTCTTGTGTAAACTCTTGGTGTAAGGTTAGGGTTATAATGCACTAACTAATTGCGAAACAAGAATGGTAAATTATTTTGCAATTTAGTTTAGTGGTGACAATTTAAGGCGGTACTTGTCCTAGCTCCGGTGTTGTTGTAAATTAGACGATGTGCGTGGGTACAAGTACAGGGGTTTGAATATTAACAATCCTGGGGCGTGTCTATGTTGTATAATGACTTCTCGCTAGTAAACTCTATTTCGCGTTGCTTGATGTGTGTTGTAGATCCAGATCTATTGATAACGGTCGGGTGTGTGTATACTGTAACAGGGTTGAAGATACAAATAAGTAAATGTGGCAAGCCGTTGTGGTTAGAATAAAGCAGAATCAAGCCTTCTCTATTCTGTGTTGCCAAGTCAAATAGGAAGATCTTTGCAGGGTTTTTATATAAAAAATCACAACTAACATGTGCGTAGGTAAAGAACTTCTCTTTGTTCTATTATTCTTCTTTATCATCTGTTTTCACTCTCAATTATAATTTGCACCATGACGTGGAATGGTTGTCATGACGGTCGTCAATTACTGTAAACAAAACACACGAAAAAGAAAAACACAGAATCACAACCGAACAATGTGTTTCAATTCCCAAACAATTGCTGTCTTCACCTTTTGTCCTCTCACCCCGTTCCGTAATTGCTGCAATGTTTTACTCATAAAGGATACTCCGAAACATCAACAAACGCAGAGTTCCATATAGGGTTCATATCAACAAAACCCTGTACAATCTGTAACAACCACAAAAAAAACCGTGTACAACCAACTCTTTGTGGCACCCCACAACGACGATGGCGTTGTCAATTGCATTGCCAGACAGCAATCTAACCCAGTTTCCTAATCAGGACCAATCCCCATTGAAATTGACGAGACAACAAATTTAAAACCTGGTGATACCCTTAAACCCTCAAGGTTATGGCTGTGAATGCCATGATAGTTTTAGTTTAAACTTTTTTTGCTGCCTTAGATAGCGTTTTAGTTTATCGCCTTTCCCCGTTGCCATCGTGACAAACAATGGCACCCCCGATGAAAAAAAATATTAGTGTAATTTAGACTCTACCGCAGTGCGCCCGATCGGTGCACTGACATATGCAGCAGCTAAAAAAAATCCCCCCCTCCAGTCTTCTAGAATCAGCACATTGGAAACTATAATTAATAAACCCATACAAATTCATGTTTATTTGAAAATACAACTTGAGCTAATTAGATACGCTTTTTTTTCCCATTCTATGTGTTTCAAAGTTTCTCCCCTCGTCAACCTTTACACGAATGCAACCCGTCACCGCCACAACATCCCCTGGGGCTTGTTTCAAGTTAGGTTAATTCAAACATCAAACCAACACAATCACTGCATTCGGAAATTTATTTCTATTTTCTCTTTCGCCGAAAGATAAAAAGCCCCCCGACCGTTATTTCCATACGGGTGGATATACAATTCCGTGACAACGCAACATTCTGCAATCGTAGCAGATAAAACAGATCCCTTTTAGGTGGGTTCCTCAGAAAAAAAAAATCTGTTGATAATCTTGGCAACAATTGCTGCATGTACGTTGAGGGGTAGCGTTTTCCTAGAAAATATTGGTCGGGTTCTGGATTAAACCCATTTTCTAACCAATCACAACATGCGTTTTCCCTCTGGCTATTTTTACAATGGATACGGCATTCCCTATTACGCATTTCTAGGCGCGCATATTTGTCATGCCATGTTGCGGTTATTACCGATTAAAGCAATATCCTCACTATGGTATGTGTATTCCGAAGTGACGCCATGTTTTTTTGTGATCCACCGGGGTAGCCACTCTTGTCGCTTCTTCTATAACCTGTCAAATCTGTCACCTGCCAATCTCTCTATCACATCCAAGTTTGTCTTATAGTAGCCATTTACAACGAAAGTTACTCACACGACTACGCTCATAACCCTCGGTTGGTACCCTCATCAATCTGATAACATTACATGCACCATCGATAATATCTCGCATTGTTCTGCTTCGGTTAGCACTAACCGAAGATTTATGCATGGATAGCAACACAAAGCAAGAAAAATATTTTAGTCCGACATTCCAAAAAAAAAAAAGAACCTTACTTAAAAAATAAAAATCAGGTCACGAAGGACGTACTGTGTTACCATGGAAGTTCCAGAAAATATTTTTGCAGACACTCGTGACAACCATGGCATTTAGCGGAGTAATCTGAAACAACCCCGAACGCAGGCTGGCTCTTCGTGAACGGTGCGCGGAGATAATGCAATGCAAAAAAGGGGGTTGTGTCCGGCCTGGTGCATATTCAGTAGCAATGTCCATCAAAAACAGTTCCAATCTACCACGTAACAATCTCTCTAATAAATACATATATTCAAATTTACGTATAAAAGATAATCTAGCTTACAACTTAGCCTTGCTCTTCTCTTCAACCTTCCCTTCTAACAAGCCCTTGCTCAACACGTCCTTCATTTCATTGGCGCTTTCAACAAGGTACCACTTCAAATGATCGGAACTCAACCCGTTACCACGTTTGCAACTGATGTGAACGTGGATCCACTCGTTATTGATCAAGTATGCTAAGCCAAACCCGTCGTCAATGACCTGCGACCATCCCCAAGATTGGAAATATTCACTTGGAATTTGACTCGACGAGATGTACCATTTACTCGAGTAGCTGAAAATTGGATCCGTGAAGATTTCCGGAACCGGTTCTCCTTGAGCAAGCATATTCTTGAGACCAAAGAAGTGACGATCAACACCTTGTCCGTCAGCGGCGGAGGACAAATACGACACGTGTTGTTTACAAGCAGCTTGGAATGTGGCAACCTTGTCGGCAATAGTTGCAGTTGGGTTGGTCCAGGTTTCGACAAACTTCTTGGATTCGTTAGAGACTGTACGACCAGTTTCGGTACGGCCCTTGAGGTACTTTCTAGTAGCAGCTGATTCATAAGTAGGTCTAACTTTACCAGTAAGCTTGTAGTATGCTAATTGCATCATCATTTGCACGTAGGCATCAGGAGAAGTTTTGAATTTCTTGATCAAATTCTTACCATGGCCATAGTATTGGAAAATTTCTTCGTCATGAGCCGTAATGGTTTCTTCAAACTTAACAATTGCTTCTACGATATTGGTACGGGAGACTGGGTCAATGTCAAATGGAATGATTTCCGCCTTACCAACACGAGGTAAGAAAGTAGCAACTTCTTCAACCAAGTTGGAGTTTTCATTTTCAGCAATAACTTGCTTGTAAACGGTGTTGTTTAATTGAACAGTTGGAGTGGCATCCATTCTTGAGTGTTCACCAAGGAAACCAGAGTTACCATTAGCACCAATAAAGAATTGCAAAGGCTTGTCAAAAAATCTATTTTGACCATCTCCGTGCCAACAGTTTCTTGACTTTTCTTCAATGGTGATTGGATTGTATGAATCTAAACAAATGACAAACGCAGATGCAAAAATAGTTTCCAAAGAAGCTTCGTTGACTGGAGATTTACGTAAAGTGTTGTAGGCAGATAACCATTCATCTCTGTTTAATGAGGTTAATGCACCTAAACCAATACCTGGAGGGGTTGCATCATTCTTGATTTGCTGTAAGTATTGGTAAATTTCACCCTTGTTCAACTTGTTTCCATTAGCATCATGGGTAGGAACCTTGTAAAAGTTGTTTTGGTAGATCACGACAAAGAATTGGTTTTCTTGACCATCATAGTGCTTAGTGATATCTGAACCTGGAGCTGGGACACGAGAGTTGTGGAACATATATTTGAAAGCATTCATACAGTATGGAGTTCCCTTGACAACTTCAGCTGGTAATTGTTCAGATTCAACTTGTTCCATAAATTCAATAGTGTAGTACGCAATCAAAGATGCTTTGAGCAATTGGTTTTCACCAACAACCCCTCTAATGTCCTTATGGGAGAAAAAGTAAGAGACATATGGCACAACAGGGTCACGGTATGACATATAAGCGTAATCATCCCAAAACTCAGCCAACCAGTTGTCTTTGCCTTGGGCAAACTGAGTCAATCTCAGTTGTAATGTTTCACCGACACCACCTGGCTTGATAAAATCTTGCACTTTTGCGGTGGTTTCTGCCAATTGTGCTGGTGATAAGAATGGTTCAACCGACTTTAAATACTTGGCTGCTGTGTCTTGCAAAGCAGGTACCGGCAATCTAGGCAATTGGGATTGAAACTTGTACAAGTCCCCTTTTGGTTGGGAAGAATTGTAACGTTTAGCGGAGGTCAAAATTGACATGATTGACTTGGTAGAAGTAGCTTTAGATGTGACTGATACTAATTGATTGATTCTTAATTTGATCATATTCTACTGGACGTTCTAACTCTCGGCAAATACTTTGGGAGAGAGAAAGAAACAAAAAAAAGGGTTGGAAATTTCACCAGTATATATTAATGTTGTAAAGCTTGGCGACAAAAAGGTTATGAGAAATATGGAAATTTTCACTTGAATTTATAGTGGGCAAATTTTTGATTGGTGTATTATGGTTATTTTTTTTTTTTTGGTAAGAATGTGGGGCGGTGGGGGAGTCGTGTCCTCGTTATATTTTATTTATTTGCTTTTATCCGAGGCAAAACTTTGGTACGACTGTTTGACCACGGATAAAAAAGATATTGTGTTCGTGTCATTGTTAGAAGATCGAAATTTCCAAACTAAGCCAATGCAATTTATCTACCTCGGGAAGTGTTCTTTATGGAAATAATCACTCTGAGATGCATCCTACTGTTGATGTCTTAACTCAGGCAGAAACTGAAAAGTAACCCCACAAAAATAACTACTGAAAAAAAATATTATGAAAGGGTTCGTTACTTCTGGTACCACTTTGCAGAATACCCGGGGAAACATTTCGGAGTTTGCCATGTCAAACAGACATTTGTGTACTTTCCCTGCATTTCCTAGAAGATACATAAACAATGACAAAACCGTTATAATATATATTTCTACGTAATTCCTTCCCCCCTCTAGTTGAATGTGACAATGGTGTGGGCAGCTTATATCTGTCTTATGATAATAGACCGAAGTCGGATCCTTTCGTCTATACCAGAAACCAAAAAAAAACAAGGAAAAAAGAAATTTCGGAGTATCAGCAGTTTTTTTTGCTTATCGTTGTCCAGTAAAACTAAAAAACTCCGAGATCGTTTTCAATTGTGATTTGTTTAGATTTCTTGGATAATCGTGTAATTGGCTTTGCATTGATAACGTCATAATATTTTTATTACTATTTCTATTTTGGTAAGATTAGGTAAAATTTTTAGTTTATGCCCACTACACTTTGTGGAAATGTGAATCCCAAGAAACTAAGAGTTTGGTAGTATATCACAACTTTATCAATGGAATGAGATAGGCGATCATAATCAACTGCCGTTGCTATTTTTTATCTATGCACTCCCATTGACTTACAGCATTACCCGGATCAAGCCATAATGGCTAATGCAGATTGACGCATAATCTACATCAGGTACAGTCGGTTGAATTCTATCGCCCCCACAGTTGTTCTCCACACGACGATCGTTTCATAGATCATTCTGGCAAGTAAAGAAGGAAGGAAAAGAAAGTGACCAACTACCAAAAATTTTCTCAACCGATGACTGAAAATTTTTTTTACATTGTGGAAATCAGGGGGGTATTTTTACATCATAGTACAAGTAATTGAGTGCTTTTTAGAAATATTCAGTATAAACAGTTTAATCACTCATTCTAGTACAATATCGGCCGAAGCCATATCGGTCCTAACGGTTTTTGTCAACACTCTTCATTACCCTAAGCCACGTATGCGCGTGGAAAAAACTTCACATTATTAATTCATTTCAAATACAACCAAAAAAAAAAATAGTGCTGTCAAATTTTACTACTTAAAGTAATTCGTCTGCCTCCTTTTAGCAACAGCGTGTCCATACCGTGATATTTAAAGTACAAGTGTCGTGTTATCTTTTATGTACATAGCCCACACACACGATTAATAGATTCCTTGTGACACCTCCCACCCCCCAAAAAAAAAAAGAATTTAGGGGTAAAACTAAAAAGCTAAAAATCACAGATCTAGGAATACAATAAGATCATGGATTCATATGCTCGATTAATATCTAGCTACTTTTTCCTTGCGTGGTACTTGTTCATTGTGCTTGTTGCATATATAGGATTTGTGGAAATCTTACTCAAATTCAGAAAGAGAAATATACTATGGAAAGTAAACCATGAAAAACAAGATCAGAACGAGGACCAATACGAAGGGGTCACTATAATCCGTCCGATAAAAGGCATAGATCCTGAGCTTAGTTCATGTCTTGAATCTTCGTTTTGCCAATCATACCCTATTTCAAAATTGCAAATTTTATTTTGTGTTGATAATCCATCCGATCCAGCTATCCCAATTATCAGGTCATTGATCAAGAAATATTCCCACATTGACTCACAAATACTTGTATCGGAAAACTTTAATGAAGTTACAAAAACTAGCGAAGATCATTACGGACCCAATCCTAAAGTTAACAACTTGGCTAAGGCGTTTGTCCTGGCCAAATATGATATCTTGTGGATAATGGATAGTAACGTATGGGCTAGTTCCAACATCTTGAAGAACTCAGTTATTACGCTCAACCAAAATTTAAATAATGGAAGACAATTAAACAGTCAACGTAAGGTCAAATTAGTTCACCATGTGCCGTTGGCCATGAGTATTTCCAAGAAAACATACGAGGAAGAAGATGATATCGATTTAGAGTATGGGTTGACACCACAACAATCTCATGACTCAGATTCCAGTACCAGTAATAGTTCAAGTGCAAACGTGCACATAGGGGTAGCTAAGCGGAAATCACCGTTACGTCAACAAATAAGAGTAGCAGATAGTTTTGAGCAAGAAGAATCGCCAAGAAAAGTCAGGTTTCTTGATAAATTAGGGGCAAAATTAGATGAAATGTTTTTACATACCTCCCATTCCAAATTTTACGTTGCATTAAACAATGTCGCGGTTGCGCCCTGTGTCAATGGTAAATCCAACATGTATCGCCGTTCCGAACTCGATCGCGCCGTGTCGCTTATCGCTTCGCACGATTCACCATTTTTCCATGATCCAATTGTGAAGCAACAAGCTGTGTATTATTCCTCGCTTGGTCCGGGACATGCAATCAAGTTCTTTGCCCGGTATATCGGCGAGGACAATATGATTGGTATTGCCCTTTGGGAAAATTGTTTTGCGCGTACTGGGCTCACTGGTGATGTAGTTGTTCAACCCATCTTTGAATCGAATAACACCATCAATGATTATATTCAACGGAGAGTTAGATGGCTCCGAGTACGTAAGTACATGGTGTTGCTAGCCACTTTGATTGAGCCCACGACTGAATCGCTCATTTGTGGGGTTTATGGGACGTATGCGGTGTCGAGTATATTTTTCAATTGTTGGTTTCATTGGGGGTGGTTTTTGGCACATATGATTGTGTGGATGATGACTGATTATATTCAGTATCATACATTCACCAATCATGTGACGGATGCTAGCGAAGTGAATTATATGCCCACATGGTTGAGATATAAGCCTGCGGGATCGAGGTTGGATTGGTTACGGGTTTGGGCTGTGAGAGAAGTCTTGGCGTTACCTATTTGGATAATTGCCATGGTTGGGCATGAAATTGATTGGAGGGGTAAGCCATTTATGATCAAAAAGGATTTGACGGCGGAGGAGATGTAAAAAAAAAAAAGAAAATAAAAAGAATGATAGTGTAGCAGTTGTTATAGGTAAATAAAGTAGGGTATAATAATAGAGAATAGAGCAGGTAAAGAAACTGATCTAGTGTAGATACGACAGAAAGATCTAGAGCGGCTAAGTGCACAATAGGGTACATGAGACAAGTCTAGTTTGTGATTGTTTATATCAGATCCATACTAGGCCGAGTTTGTGGTCTTTTTTTGTTGTTGTTGTTGTAGTTGTTTTTGCAGCAAACCCTTGGAAGATGGGCACATGGAGACCACTGGATAAATCCGGTCATTCTAGATGCAGGTGAAACATAAGGAGTCATTGGGGACAAAAACAAACCATGTGACTTTGTGGCTACCATTGCGATATATTACATTCGTAAATGTAATCAGGTGGCACCTGAATTGGGACGCTATTTCAAGTATTTCCTAATCGGGACATATGAAACGGTTCCTGGTTTAAACGCGCATTATAATAATCAGTCGACAAGACGATGACGTATCAAGCCAGCAATTAAGGTAAAACCAAGAATAACGCCAAACAAGCAAATTATTTGACAATTTGAAATGGGTTAAAGGGGGTTTAACAGAGTACACACCTGCACAGGCATGCAATTAGTGTTATATAAGGAAATTAACGTAATTAAATTTTTTTTTGGGCAGTTAATGAATGTTACCAAATAAGGCAACAATCAACAGCGCGTAAAGGAATCTGAAACCAAACACGTAAAAATTTGGCCACCTGAAAAAAGGAAAAAAAAAAAAATATTTTTTTGTTAGAAAAAAAAAAAAAAAGAGGCAGTGAAGTAAATATGACTGACTGAGCTGACTGGGCTGACTGATTGACCAAGCGAGGTTCGTGTCCATTTGTCAAAATCAGGTATTAAATTTAGAATTACGAACTGGACATTATGTACGATTGCCTTGTAAACAGATGGAATGTTTCTAAATATGGCAGGGATAGAACTAAATCCATCCAATTACGGTAATTAACTAGTAGCAGCCCCTCGAATTTCTATTATATAAGTTGTGAATAGCTACTAGTGATACTTTCTCAGTTTTACTACATTGTCTTTTTTAGGTTTTCCCATTAATTCAGGAACAAGTCAAACCCAAACTGCCACAAAAGGGAACGGGGCAAGAAAAAAAAAAAGAAAATAAATAAGGGAAAAAAAAAAACACAACCAGAATTTCTTTGTAATCCTTTTTATGGTCAATAGTTTTCCCCCCCGTTGTAAATCAATCCTTTATTAACGGTCCATTCGTTGATCAACTAGTAGATAGACCCCATATAGACTTTGAGCTATCACCATAGACACACTGCATATACATTCATCCACGTCTACACCTGCTACATCTACATTCATATTCACATTCACATTCACATTCTCGCTACTCCTTATTTAGGCAGCTCACCCGGCATATTGATTTTTCCCATATAGTAAGCATACACAAATCTTGACATGGCAGATATAATATCATCAGAGCCTATTCCCTCTGATCCATCGTCGAAATCACACAGTCACAGCAATACACCGGAATTGCCCAATCCGCGTGAAATATGTAAGAAGTGCCACCAGTTAATACTAGAGGGCCACGCGTATGAATTAGGCGAGGACAGATGGCATATTCTGTGCTTTACTTGCTCCAAATGCTCCACCCTGTTGGGATGCAACTCCAATTTCCTCGTGTTGGGTAACGGTAACTTGATCTGTTCCCAGTGTTCGTATAACTGTAAACAATGTGGCCGGAAAATTGACGATTTGGCAATTTTAACTGGGGACCAGGCTTATTGCTCCAATTGTTTTAAATGTCGCAGTTGCAAACAAAATATAGAAGACTTACGGTATGCCAGAACGAGCAAGGGGTTGTTTTGCATGGATTGTCACGAGAAGTTAATGGCCAAGAAGAAAAAGTACGATGCAAAGAAAAAGTTGATTCAAGCAGAAAAGTTGAGACTGCTGGTGCAACTGACTAAATCACCAGCAGCACTGACCCAGGATAGTCATAATAATACCCTTATACAATCATATATGAGTCCTAGTGATTTGGAACAAACACATTTGATCCTGTCCTCCACTTCTTCCACGTCACTTTCCTCCAAAAATAAGGATTTACCAGTACCACCTTCATTAACGAGCAACACCCATTACCAACATATGTCACCGTCCCCAGATAGATCATCAACCACAAGGGCCACCCAAAATGCAACACTGCTGCTTTTTGACAATGTTTCTCCCCATGCTCCTATACTAGAAGATGCCACCAGCAAAGTGACTCCTAGTTCTAGCGGCTCGTCTATTTATACACCAGTCCCTGTTCCAGAATCACGCGAAACCTTGAATGAATATGATTTCTCCATCGAAGAAGTTAAAGATGATGATGATTCAATTGACTCTGATGACGAATCAGACAAAAATCGAGGCAGGACGTTACGTAAACGTGGTCAATCTCAATCCCAGTCGCAATTAGCAACGCCACCAATAACAGCTGATAAACCAGACAAGTTATCACAAGAAGTTAAACTGGCTGATCAAACAAGCTTACCGGAGCCAAATATCACCCCTCAACAACAAACTCATTTAAAACCACCGGTACCGATCACACCTAGAATTCAACAAACAGGCGACGCCTTGCAGCAAACTCAACAACAGCTGCTTCTGCAGCAACAACAACAACAACAGCTGCTGAAAAATTTCCTAATTCGTTCACCCAACCAATATCACGATAATGAATTTCACAATGCCAAATCTCCAATTGTTATGGGCGGTCTTACATCTCCAATCAAACCTCAGGCAGTCACTATGGAACCCGGGTCTAATGGAGTTTCGCATGAAGTACGGCCAATTATTAGTTCGCCATTTGCCAAGGCAAACCGTCAGGCAAGAGTAGTTGAAAGTGATGATATTATTACCGATGGAATCGATATAGATACTAGTGCCATAGCCATGGGAACACCTCCAACCACCGGTGGAAATTTCAGTCATAATGGTACGCCATTTTTAACTTCACCACCGCCAAAATTACCCGTTCCTAGTACACCCGATGAAGCCCTGCAAGAAGTACGTGGGTTAGGACTAGGCGTAGAAGGCGTTGATTATGAATTAAACCGTGCTATGGCGTTGGCTACAGTTACCCATAGTGTTACACATCTTGATCAACCACCAGACCAACAACAACAGCAGCAGCTACTTCAGCAGCAACAATTAACGAGAAAGACATCACTTATCCGTAGTTTGAAGCATCGTCGTACGTCCTCAAATGGGTCAACTTCGACTCCTTCTTCTTTGAATAAGTTTAATTTCTTCAAAAAGGATGGTGTGGACAGCAAGACGCATTCCCGAAAAGTGAGTGAAAGTTCAATTCACAGTCTCAATGGAACCGCATTTAGTACTCCACCGTTGGTTAATCGCAATAGTTTTAATGGAAGTTTTGCTAGGGCCGATGTTATTGATGAAGATAAAGTGCCTGGGTTTGAGTTTGTCAACGAGCCCAGTAATTTGGGGATTGCTGGTATTAAAGCTGAGATTTCTTCACTTATGTCTACCAAGCTGGAACTTGAAACTGGGTTAATTACGTTGAAGGTTGAGAGGCTGCAATTGGAAGAACTGTTGAGGAAACTTCTGAAACAGGTTACGTTTGAAGAGTCAAAATTGAATGAGCTCCATAAACAGGTTGCCGAATTACAAGGCACTAAGGCAAGATTGACTGAAGAGAATAACCAATTACGGGAACAAAATCGACATTACAAGCTTACCAGATCTTCAAGTATAGAAACTGATTCAAGTTCACCTTTGAATAAACCTACTGATCTTGCCGAATCCGTGACTACCCTTGGTGAATCCACAACATCTAATGAAGATGAACAATCTCATAAAGCCACTAGACTCAGGTTCTGGAGACGCCAAAAGAACTTGGTTACTACTAATGCGCCAGTGGCTACCATTCCTGAATCAGCACAATCAAGTACTAGTAGTGTACCTTCCAGTTTCCTGGCCCAAGGATTACGAATCAGCCAACCAGTTAGCAACAGTGTATCTGGAAGTAAATTCCACCGTTCGATTTCCACCAATATTCTCGACTCATTTTTGGGTGATCATCAACAGAGCCATGATTTGTTTTCTAGTACTATTCAAGCTCGAGCTGATTATGAAGGGACAAAAGTTCCATTTATTATAACCAAATGTATTTCTGTGGTTGAGCTCCGCGGGTTAGAATCTGAAGGGATATACAGAATTTCCGGTGGTAATTCGACTATAGTTGCCATTGAAACCGCATTTGCCAATTTAGCACCAGGTGTCACTGAAGATAAGAAGTTGGAAGAGTTGATGTCGGGGGATATCAATGCCGTTACATCAGCGTTGAAGAGGTATTTACGCAAATTAAATGATCCAATAATCCCATTCGGTTTATATGATGAGTTTATTCGGGTATCTACCTCTAATCCACGAGAACGCCGGGCACAAGAGTTGAAGAAGGTAATTTACAAATTGCCACGGGCAAATAGACACACATTGTGGTTATTGTGCAACCATTTGAAGTTGGTTAGTTCGATGCAGAATGTGAACCGAATGGGATTCAAGAATTTGGCGGTGGTGTTTGCCCCGACTTTGGCCAGAGATTCTACTGGAGAACGAGAAATGACCGATATGGGGGCCAGAAACGACAGTACTGAATGTTTGTTGACTGAATGTGAAGAAGTGTTTGCTGGGTACCTGGGATGATTGAGTTATTCTCTTTTTTTGTTTGCCATACATAGACAGTTTAATTGTTTGGATTATATAAACGTAATGCACATTTGGATTATAAATGTACTAATCTCTTTTGGATAAACGTATTTGCAAAATGTATTGTGAAAGGACTGTATATAATAAATAAGGTGTATGCTATGTACATGCAATGAGACTCGTGCTAGCCATTGATATCTTTGATTTGGGGATCCAGCAACATCTCGAATCGTCTATGACCCACTCGTATCAAGTGCTCGATAGCGCCAAAGTCTTTCTTGGTCAAATGTTGATATCGCTTGAATTCACCCCGAATGAATTTCCGCCAATGTTCTTGCGCAGATGGCGGTTTCGTCTTGACTGTTCGTACGCATTGGCGATATAGTTTTAGTACTTCTCTTTGCAATCCTGATAATCGAGCCATGGTCAACTGTGTTGGTGGTTACAGCCTGTGAAGGAAGATGTTACATTACAGTTGCGTTTTGGATTTTTTTTTTTTTGCTCGGTTTGCTACGACATTGTCCGGGTGCGAATTTCGGAGTTACCTTGGCCTACACCATCGCTATATCATTAGCGTTTACACGTATGCTTAGTGCAAGTTGAAAGGAAATCTCTAGTTAGTTGTAATATTACAGTTTATATTAATTTATGAACATTTTATGAACCAGCATCTACCATTTTATTATCCCAATTACTTCAAGTTAGTGAAATCGGTTTCACCTTCTCTGTGACCGTCACAGTGAGAGTGAGATCCGCAAGTACAAGCATCCTTGTTTCTCTTTCCACACACACAGGCATCACCAGCAGCAGGAGCGACATTTTCAACAGTGGCCTTGTCACAGTTGCATTGTTGGGCAGGACGGGCACCACAAGAACAAGTGGACTTCTTAGCACATACACATTCAGCAGATGAACAAGTCATTATTATTATAAGTAGTAGTAGTAGTTATGAAAGTTAAAAGAAAAGTCTTTTTGATAACAAGAAAAAGGAAAGGACTTCTGGTTTTTAAGAGAAACTTGAATCATATTTATAGTTTCTGTTATCAGTTACTACCACAAAATATAATCACCTGTACGATTCGCATCACGTGAATATTCAACCAATCAAATTGCAACCATTTGTCAGCTTATAAGTATGCTGACCATGTATCACGTGAACATCCCTATATGAGTAATGGTAAACATTGGCTGCAAAAGAGCGCCTATTCTTTCCATCCATATCAGATTAGAGGCGCTTTCATTGCTAACTATCACCTAGTACACGCTCATAACTTTGACTTGACTAATCAAAGGCGATGCTCGGAGTTCCTAATATTCTTTCGTTTGATTTTCTAAATTCCAAATACTTTTCTGCCAACGGTCCCAATTGACTACGCAAGCGTGCTAGCTCAGGGTCGCTGTCCAATATATTGCTCTGTGGTGGGATAATGCCCGTTGCTGGTGGAACTTCTGCGTTCCTCAGAACCCTTGCCATGTTTTCTTCGTATTGTTGGGTAAGAGAAAGATTGGTATTATCACCATTTGTTTCTTTGTTATTGGGTGAATAGAAAAGGGTTGAGTTATTGCCAGTGTTGTCTAAAAATACATTTTCTTCGGCATTGTCAGCTGGGTTATCTAACTTTCTCCTCTTATTGGAACCTTGGTTAGGGATTTCTGTGGTTTCTAATTCAAGTAGTGGAATTTCATGTTCTTCTTGTTCTACTCTATCACCACTAGGTTGCACTGGTACAATTTCATTCTCAGAAATACGCAGTCTATTAGCCAAAGGAGTACTCATTTCTGCTGCTGTTGTTACTGCTGCTGCTGCTGCCGCCGCTGAACTACTTCCAATAATTCCTCTAGGGACGCTTCCACTTCTTCGAACGCTTCCGGTTCTTGGCACACTTCCACTTAAATGCTGGTCGAGTATTGGCGTATTGGATAATCGTTTAGATCCAGAACCCTGGATTCTTTGTGCAGATGAAAGTTGTTGTTGTTGTTGTTGCTGGTTCCTTTGAACAGATGACGACAATTGCTGACTTCCTGGAGTAAGTCTTGATCCCGGAGTATTTTGTTCGTATCTGTCAGATAATAAAATAGGTGGAGGAGGAAGAGGTGGTGAAGAATCGAGAATATCGTCGATGATTGTTCTTCTTCTTGGCGTTCTCAATCCCTTTCCATCTCTTACTTTTTCTGGTGATACCGATATACGGTGGTATGCATCTAAAGATCTTCTGTATGTACGAGTAATTTGAACATCGTTGGATGGCGGACCAAGGTTAATATTGACAGGAGCCAATGTATGAGCTGCACCATTGACTGTTGTGGTTGATGCTTTAGGAATTCTCTGGGGTGTGGACGATACATATGGTTTGTTGGGTGCTTGTTCAGTTGACCATGTGATACTTTCTTCGTCTTGAACTAAGATTCCCTTATTCACTAGCTTGTTGAATGGTTTGGATCCATCCTCTTCAATTGGCTGTTGTTGTTGCTGTTGTTGTCTTTGTGTATCTTCGGTGTATTCCTCTTGCTCTTGACGGTCGTCATTTCCAAACAACATTCCCTCGCTGCCGGAATGTATTGGTTCTTCATAAGCTTGTAATTCCACTTTGGCAGCTCTAGCAAAGAAGAGTTTCCACATTTCACCGAATTTGCTAATTTCTTCACACTCGACGCCATATCTTGCAATCGCAGGCATTAGTTTATCGTTGACATTGTCTATCGCAATGACCAATTTACGGTCGATCTCACGAAGAAGAGCCAGAGTTTCCCAGTCCAATCGGTTGAGTTCGGCCTTTAGTTCTTCCTCTTCTTCCTCGTCGCCGGTCTTTTCAATAAATGACTTCCTCTTGGGTATTATAGAGACTCTCCTGCTCATTGCTGTTATAGTTCTCGTATAAGTTTACGCGATTATTGGGGATATATACAGCAGGTGTTGTTTTGTTTTGAAGTTTACGTTTTTTTTTGTGTTGGTTAGCGTGAGTCGGAAATGGGTAACCTGTAAAATATTGACGTGTCATTTTGCGGGTTGGGCCGGCCGGTGTTTTTTTTTTTTGCCAAACGGTTCACACAGATCTGATAAAAAAAGCAAGCCTGAATTTTACCGCATCGGATTATCAGTACTGATACTACGCAAGCCGAAAGGAAGATATGGGAAACATAATGTCGGTGTCGTTTGCTCCAGAATGTACAGATGCAAAAACTAAATACGATGATTGTTTCAACAAATGGTACACTGAGAAATTTTTGAAGGGCCAATCTCTTAACAATGAATGTTCTGAGTTCTGGGACACTTATATCACTTGTATCAATGCTAACTTGGCCAAAAAGGGAATCAAGCCTATGTTGGACAAAGCTAGAGAAGATCAGCCTTTTACATCTGAAGAAATGAAGGAGAGTGCGGGAACTGCATCTAAAGAGGAGAAGTAGAAGTGGATAGTAGCTCCTTTTGAAATGATTACCATTGCTAGTGAGTTATTCTTGTATATAATTGTAGCTGAAAAGAATGCCCGGTATATATTTTTAGCAAAAGACACAATAAAAGTTTGTACACTAAATACCTTGAATCCTTGGTAAACTGCATTAGATTCCCAGCAATCAGAATACAACCTGCTTCAGGTCAAATCTCTTTCTTTTTTATATTAAATCCATCGACTGCTTATATCAAATCTACCTCCACTGTGTATCTGACTGCCACGTCAGAGCGAATCTTTAGATCGTGTCAAATCTTTCCCTAAAAATCGTAGTATAAAAAAGATCGCCAAAAAAAATGTGCGTTTAAGTTCTACTTTCTTTATTTACTTTTTACAACCAACTACTTTGACATCAGCCATACAATGCTTGTTGAGGAGATACCGAAGTCCACAAATGCTCATTCATCTACTATCTACTTTAGCTCGTCTATAAACCTCACAGCCCGGCTGATGAACAAGTCACATGTAATAGCTGATGGCGGACAGCAGTCTGGTTCCTCTGGTACTGACAAAAAGGGTAGGGCAAAAGTCAACTATAACGTCAATCAACTAATGAATGCACAAATAGGTGACAACAGAGGCAGTGGTACTTCTTCAGTGGGATCTGGCTCTGGCTCTGGCTCTGGTGGCCCCTTGAAATCTGTCCAACAAATCCAGTTGGAACGGTTGGTTTCTAAGCGAATTGTTGAACTAAATCAAGAGTCGTCGTCATCGTCAAAAACTTTTGAGTTACCTAAAAACTTTACATACAACACCATTCATTCCGCTGGAAAGAAGATATCTCAGAAGTCTAGATTAGGGAATACCCCTTCAACAAAGAGGATTCTTGCTGCTCGAAGAAACTTGAACCTGTACTTTGAAGAAGAACGCAACTTGATTTCGATAAACACCATCTTACAATTGAATTATCAGTTTGTGGACTTTCATGATTATGAAAACAAACCAAAGTCGAAGAAGCAGAAAACTCACCACATTTACCGCCCAAAATTAAGATTATGTTGCATCTGTGGCTCTAGTTCAAGTTATTCTCGTTGTTCCAATTGTGGACTTTTCTATTGCAGTGTCAAGTGTAACAATTTACACCAGCAACTGAGATGTACGTAAACGGCTAACCATAAGGTTTTATGTTATGCGTTGTTAAAACCCTGGTGAGTGCAAGCATATAGAAATTTTCTTGTGCTAGGTGGGGTTTGCAATCGTGCTGGTGAAATTTATTCCTAAAAAAACTAGCCCGAGATGTCATATAAGAATCTGGGTCATTTCCTCTCTTGTCTTGGTACATCGTAACATCCTAGATAGAGGATTTTTTGCTACTTCTTTCATGAGAAAGTTCATATTGATCTTGTTGTTTGTATTGCACCTTGCAAGTGCTTTGGATAAATCGCTGCCGCGGATAATATCCAAGTTCAGCGACAAGCATATCATTAACCATGCTGGAGATGGTCCACGCGTACCTGGTAGACAGAAACCTGCAAGAGATTATAGGAAGCTAGTCCAGTTTGCTAATTTGGCCACGGTGGGGTATTGTGTTACCAAGGGGTTGGAGACTGGGTTATTGGGTGATCCCTACACTAGTTGTCTCATTAAGGCTTGCCAGAATTCCAAATTACGAGATGTTGAAATTGTCAAGATTTTTGATTTTAATAATCGTGGAGAAGTGGGGACTGGATTTTATGCTCTTGATAAGAAACGAAAGACTATTATTTTGGTATTTCGAGGCACAGCATCCAGGCGTGACTGGTTTACCGATGTGAATTTTGTGCCGGTGTCATTCACCCCACTTGTCTATGATGAAACCTTTTCTCAGCAGTTGTTTATTCTGCGTGAATGTGAAGGTTGTAAGGTACATCGAGGGTTTTATAATTTCTTGAAGGATAACTCGGCGGCAATTATATCTGTGGGTGTTAAATTAAAGAGCAAATACCCTGATTTTCAATTTTTGGTTGTGGGGCATTCCTTAGGTGCTGCATTGACTGTGTTGTGTGGAATTGAGTTTCAATTGCTTGGATATGACCCATTGGTTGTTACATTTGGGGGGCCCAAGGTTGGAAACCAACAATTTGCCGACTTTGTCGATTACTTGTTTGATACTGAAGAGGTTGTGCGAGAAATTTCCGCTACCAAGGATTTCACTAGAGGTTATATTAGAGTTGTCCATAAGCGTGATATTGTACCTTCATTGCCACCATACCCATTTGTTCATGCTGGGTTTGAGTATTTTATTAATGCCAGACAGTTACCTCATACTGAAGAAGATTTAGAAAGACGGGGATTGGATTATTCCAACGTTTTAACGAAGCGAGATGACGAACTCTACAAGAGAAATTTTGATGGGTTTGAACTCAAGCCATCAAAATTATGGCCTGAGCAATTGGGGAAGTATGAACACACCCATTACTTTAGAAAAATTACTAGTTGTAAACCTGGAGATTAGTGTGTATATGTATGTTTGTGTTTGTGTCTGTGTGTGTGTGTGTGTGTGTTTAGAATGTTATATATGTGTATAATTCTTTCTATCTGGTCTATTTACAATGACTTAACATGTCGTTTTTATTGCAAACCTTGAATCGAGATTTTCCCAATTCTTGGCCCTTTTGCAACTCATAGGTGTCCAATTTTGTCCAATCGTCCCACGTAACAATTTCTTTTGGAAGAGCGTCAATGATATCTCCTGTTTGTTCAATAGGAAGAACGTGCTTATTGGAAATGTCTTCAAGTATTTTATCAGCAGTGTCAAATGAGTCCATCATAGTAGTGGCAATAACACCCTTTGGTCCATTTTTAATCCATCCAGCAACATACCATCCTTTCTTAAATACAGAGTTGACATCGTCGTTGTCTCGGGATTCTATGGAAAGCACTCTTCCTGCCTTATTCTGGAGCTTATTATTTTCAAACCAGATTCCTAAATCGTCAAAGCCGGCAAGGGCTTTTCCTTGATATCCTATTGAAATAATGACAAGCTCGTTGGGTTCAGTGATGGTGGTTGAAGTGGCCTTGCATTTGGTTACCTGTGTCAATGGGTCATGCACTAGTTCATTTTGGACAAATGTTGTAGATTCAAGCAAGTTCGGATCGGTCTTACTGGCAGTAAACTCAACTGGAGATTTAAGATATTCCAATGACCATTTACGTTGAGATGGAGTTTCACTCATTTTATTGTATTTTTCAATAATTGAGAGTTTCCGTTTATCCACTCTGCCCAAGTTCAGTTTATCAATGGAGCTCAAGAGAGTTTCATCCAAGGGTATGAAACTTGTGTTTTTCAATTCAAACAATTCTCTGATTTCCTTGTTGGAGAATGCAGATTCCAATACTCCTCGCCTGGCCACAATCCTCACGTTTTCCACTGTGCTCTTGGCAAGAAGTTCCTGTGCCTCGGTAGAAATATCAGTCTTGGCCCAGTGCTCGGCGGGATCTGCCAACAATATCCGGGCTACATCAAGCGCAACATTCCCATTACCGATAATACTCACCTGTTTAACTTTGTCTAATGGTGGTGGGACAAATTTGTGACCTGACTCATAGTAATCTGGGTGACCATTGTACCAATGGACAAATTGTCTAGCAGCAACCACCCCGGGCAAATCAGCACCGGGAACGTTCAACTTGTTATCGGCAGATGTGCACCCATAAGCCAACACTATTGAATTATAGTATTTTTCCAACTCGGCCAAACTGATATCCTTTCCAATTTCAACATTACCTAAAAATCGAACTGAATGCTTGTCACCACCGGAATAATCCCGCATGATGTTCGTCATGTATTCTTCACAGTTCTTAACCTCTGGATGATCAGGCGCAACTCCATACCGACTTAATCCAAACGGAGTAGGCAATTTCTCGAAGAAATCAATGTGCAATTTAACATCAGGGGACGATTTGTGTAATAGGTGATGAGCAGTGTAGAATCCCCCGGGTCCAGTTCCTATGATGGCTACTTTATAGGAATTGGCAAGAAGGGCAGTAGAATATGAGAACTTCCTTATTCCAAACTTTGCTATCAACGTTGGTCCTCTCATTTCGAAGTTTGCGTTCGTTAACAAGAGATCAATAAAAGAGGTATCCCTAAATGTTGAAATCTCGGATGCGATTCTCGGTATGTAGAACATCCATACTGCAACACAATTTTGCAGGAAATTTGTGCTCTCTAGTTTCGAGTAGCTGATCCTTTTTCCAATAATCAGTCCGAGATAGTTTAGTGGCTAGAATTACCGTTTGTCGCATGGTAGACCGGGGTTCAATTCCCCGTCTCGGAGCATCTTTTTATATTTTTGAAACACTACATGGTTATAATAAAAGTAATACTGAAATATAAGGGTTTATGGACTCATAGTTAAAAAAATGGTGATATTTTAAAGTTTAGGTATTTTGATTGTTTCTTTTTTAGGAATGGTTATTTTTTTCTGATTTGACTTAATTGATTTCGACCAGCCTTTATCCACGTGACTTATGTGTTACCCCTGAATCAACCTGGCTATATTCTTATAATAAATGCTATAATTGCTCTAAGCTATGGTCTGAGAAGAGTACTAATGTGCATCAATACATTTGAATGGCTCTTGATAGACTAATTTAGTTTTTGTCGAGTTGATCGCACAACAATCAATTACCCCAGATTATTCCACATTTTTCGCAAAAGATTGCAAATTTTTGTAAAAATAAAAAAAAATCGTACCAGTTAACAATACTAGTTCCTAAACTTGTAGCTCGCTACAAAACACTGTAGTTGAGATGCAGATTCGTAGAAATCTTTGTCTCAAAGAGATATAGCATGTTAATATTATAAAATGCTAATAGAGCTAATATCAACATGCTTTAGAGATCGCAGATAGCTTTTCCCCGGCTTCAATTGCGGGATAGAATCCGTAAACTGAAGTGCAGATCAAGTATTACAACACACTGCAATTACTAGCGAAACACAGCCTTGGCACTTTGGTGGAATTTGGTTTTGTGAAATTGGATATGTCATAATAGTGAAACATTTGTTGAAAATTAGCCCATACATATTATTCACATACATCATCTAGCGCGAACACACTTGCGGTGGCACGCTAACCATAATGATCTGTTACACTCTTCTCGTGTAATAAACAACGGTTTGTTTTGTTTAATACGAGAAATTCCAATTTGAAACAACATGGCCAAGCCAATGAATAAACAAAATTGGCGATTCAAAACATAGGTTTGAATGGACCTACTCAACCCTTACACAACGGCGCGGTACTATACCCCATACTTTTTTTAATGCAAATGGTTGCTAACAACTAAAACACGCTGGATGCACCCCTACCCCCCCTTTAATTTACGTCTTCGTTACTAAATAATATACCTCCTTCGGTTAAAATTTTTTGTCGCGTTTTAGTTTCTTTTTTTATTTGTTTTGCAATTGATGCGAAATTAAAGTGAAGCCATCTGTCTACAAATAAACGAGTATTGTTACACCAAAACGTAAATTTATTTGTCCTTAAATAACTTAATACATAGTAAAAACTGAAACTCTATACATAATGTTTCCCCAAAAGTGTCTTGATCTTTTTTTTTCTTCTTTAAATACATACATAATATAACCCAATAACCTAAAACACTTACAACCATTGCCAAGTGATATCGATTCTACCTAAACCTGGATCAGCAATTTGCTTGAAGGCAGCTGGGGAGAAGTCTAAATCATCTTCAGCGCAACCAACACATCTGTCGACAATAGTGACATCAACAGAGTTACCGCCGTAGAAAGCTCTGATCTTCTTACCACACAATGGGTTGTGGTTTGGGTTACCGTCGGTTAAAGCAGCATCGAACATGGTGTGGGAAATAGCAATAATGTAGTCAGAGTCAGAAGAGACAACACCACAAGCACCCATACCGGTGTCGTAGTAAGTACCTTGACCGTGGTGGATACTGCCAGATGGTTGAGAAGAAGAACCTTGAGCGGAAGGCTTGGCAGTTTCAGCTGGAGCAGGAGCAGAGGAAGAAGAAGTAGTTGGTTCTGGAGCTGGGGCTGGAGCTTGGCTGGAAGTAGTTGGTTCTGGGGCTGGAGCTGGAGCTTGGCTAGAAGTAGTTGGTTCTGGAGCTGGAGCTGGGGCTTGAGTAGTTGGAGCTGGAGCTGGAGCTTCAGTAGCAGATGGGTAGATGGTGTTACCCTTGGAGTCGACAAGGACAGTGGTGAAAGCAGTGACAAACACGGTGTGTAAAGCTGGAGCAGCGTTGATAGCAGTCATCAAGACTGAAGACAATAAAACAGTAGATAATCTCATATTTATATAAAGGAATGAATATGGTTAGTACAAAAGAATGTAATGTAGTAGGAATAAACAGAAAAGGAGTGACTGCTTAATTCAAAAGTTTCTTAAATGAAAGGAATGACGATTACTTGTAATGAGAGAAAAGACAGTATAATAAAAAAAAACGAGATTTGTATAAACTTATATATTTTCCGAGGGAGGTAGAAAAATAAATATGAAACAAGTCTCAGAAATGTACCAGAAATATTTTAGCAATTTCGACAGATTAGTGCGTTAATTAATTTAATAGCGGAAACAATAATATTATTTTCTCAAAGGAAGCTTAATCTTAATCTTCGAAAGGGGTGGGGTGTTGTATAGCTTGTGGCATATATGCCGAGTCTGGACTTTATTATTTTCTACGATATTTTCAGAAGAAAAACACAACATCGAGGGAAAAGGGGGTTGTGAACAAACAAAAAAAAAAACAAATTTGGTTTTGTGTACATGATTCGTCTAAAAAAATAATCAAAGGGAGATATTGCATTTCCGAATCGGGAAAAACAAAGGTTTGTTCTAGACAAAAAAAATTGTTCGTGGATCAATAGTTCACAACTTAATTACTCAAAAACAATTCGATCTCAAAGTTCACCTATTATATGTCAGAAATCAGTTTAGTCTTTCGCGATGGCTAATAATTACACCAAACTGTAGACAGAAACCTGGTATTAATATTCATTTCAAGAAAAAAAAAAATCAACGTTTAGATCAAAAACTAATGTGGATGTATGCACTATGACTTGAAAGATCTTTGCCACTATTATCCCAGTTAGGAATCCTAATTGTAGTTGCCCAAAATGGTTCAAGATACCCACATTTCCGTTTTCACACAAGTAAAATTATTGGTGTGCATGTGAGATGCCAACTACGAATCGAATCATTAAATGAAACTCCTGCAGACAAGCACATCAATTAAATTATATATGAAAAATTTTCGCATCTCTCTTTTTTTTTTTTCAGGTTACATCAGGTATGAAATTGCCCTTTCCCAAAGGTGCAAAACAAAACTTTTAGCAGCATTGCATGGTTTCAAACTTCTGTCACACGATTCCCGATGGTGGTTGAGTAAACAATACACGGACTACGCGTTACAGTGTTGACTGCTGTACCAGATCCATTACGGAATGCTTAGTGCATCCGGGGGATGTTGCAATCTATCACTGTTACGTCACTTACACATTGGTTTTGTGTGTGATTCATTAATTCGCCCACTTTAGTTTAGTGTACTCTTTCCTTGGCTTTGTTTCAGACTCGAAATTCTAGATTTGCTATTCGAGTCGGCGATCGCCCTATCCCCCCAACCTCCTATGCGCTTGTCCATTTGCAGGTTGCAATAACAGCCAACGGTTGGAGTGTTATTGTTGAGTTAAACACGAGAAAAAGAAATGCGTATATTATTAGCGTTCACGCTTATTCTGGCACTAATTTGATCTGAATCGGATCACTATGGGACAATCTAGACCTAATTCGATAATTCACATTTCCCGATTGGGAATAGTAATTGAAAAAATATTTTTTTACAGTCTGCCACGCTTATTCATCTCTACAAATTAATTAAATTAGATGTTGCCATACCCACACAGCAGTACTTGACAATGAAGTACAAATATAACCATCCGTTCCGGTTATTGGCTGTCTGAAATAGGGGATACTGAAAGGGGTAAATAATACTATATTACTATCTATTATAGAAAAAAGTTTATGTATGCTTTGTGCTAATATCCCGGCAAATTACAAAAGTGAAAAAATGACTCTTCTAATTCAATTAATGACTCAAAATGGGAATTACCTCTTCCCCCCCTAGCCTAATCAATACAAAGATGAGGAAATATCGTTTCCAATTGTCCAAACAACCATTTACTTTGGAATGAAGTCACTCCGATTGTCTTTGCTCTCAACCTCATGTTTCGATCATCCGTGATCAAAATACAATACTTGAACGATTTGGCCATTTTCGAATTCAAAACCACTGGTGCTTGGCTGTCGTAGACTCCTCCACTCACGCTTGATCCTCTTCTATTAATTCTTGTCAGATACAAATCTTGCGTTGGTCTACCAGCTAACCGTAAATTCAAACCAGTCATTAATCTCTTACCAATAGCATCATGTTCATGTACGGAATTAAGAATCGTTTCATCAACATTAGATCTCCAATTTGAGTTATTCTCAAATTCTGTAGTTTCATTGATATCACTGGCGATAGTTCCATCAAATCGTAATGGAAGTATCTCTCGGGCAAAGTACAATTCACGGACAATGATAACTGATCTAGTAGCTGCATCGGCAATGGTTGCCTCGGCTGATTTTCTCAATGCTCTCAACTCTTGAAACACAATCAATGGAATCGATACTTTAAAAACACCATTTCTCACACATTTGAATATTCTACCACAATGCTTTAACCAAATGTTTGTATCCAATGTAATGTATGTTATATTTGTATCTATCTTATCTCCGAAATTACCTTCAATATCACCATCTTCGCTTCCATGAATCATATCACCTAATGACATTGGGTCGGTTGGAGTACCGATAAAGCTATCCTGATAATAGTCTCTTTGTTGTGGTTGTTGTTGATATTGACTGAATGAGTTTGTCTGTGGTTGACGTGGTGAGCGATAGTCGTCATCTTCTTCGTCGACTTCACCTTCGATTTCTTCATCCTCTTCCTCGTCGTCATCATCATCATCAATAATCTCTTCTCCAATTTCAATATTTTCATCATCATACAAATGCGAATCACCAAACCACAATTCATCCTTTTGTGACGAGGTTAAATTGCTATTAATCTCAGTAGTCAAGTTCTCTATGGATATTGGTTGGATGAAATTATTCTGAACCAATCTACCATCACTCAACATAAAGTCCTCAATATACACGTAGTTGTGGTTATCATGGGACACCATGTCTCGAGACTCATATATTTGCATATCAAATTTGAATTCTTCACTAGTACGAACCAATCCAAAGTCATACTCATCAGCAAGGGTCCTAGCCAACAAGATTATTCTGATAATTCGTTCATCATTGTCATTCTCCATTTGGTTTCTCAGCTTCTGGTCAAAATTAACATCAGTTGCTCCGGTCGCTGATCCAGAACTCGACATATTGTTATTGATGACAGGATAGATTCCACACACGGGCAAGTCAAACAAAGTGTTATTCTTAACCCCAGCTTCATCCAAGTAGGCATAATCTCCCTTTTCACAAATAAAGTCAAACCAAAGAGTACCCCAACATTTCCACACTTCAGGAAGGAACTCGTTTTCATTGAAATGCTGGATATAATTCAACTGGAGATAATTAGTGTACATGGTACACAATTTTGGATTATTCTTGACAATGCCCAATAATGAATTCAAATAATTCAAGAGCAGCTCCCAAGGGAATAATCTACGCAACAACCACTGAAACATAGGCTGCGAAGTAGGGTATTTTTTCGTGGCTTCACCAATACTGATCAAAAAGTATAACCACACAATGACATGCCCAGTAGATGCTTGCTTGGGACCAACCAAATAATGATTCAAGATCCTGATCGACAATTCCAATACTGATTTATTGATGAATTGCAAACAGTAGAACCAATCGTCAACGGATAAATCGGATGCAGTGATTGATTGGCCATCGACACCACCACTTGCATTTGGCGCGGCACTAGCGGAAGCAGCGGCTGTACCCCCTGAACCACCACCATTGGAAGTTGTTCCAGCATTGATATCTTCAATCTGGGTCGTAGATGAAGTTCTTGACTTTTTCTTTCTATCCTTCTTATCCTTGCGTTCCTTCAATGCCTCTGGTAATTCAAACAATTTAGCAAATGGATTCTTAGCATCTCCAAATCCAATCAAATGGTTAATATTGGCAATGGCAAATAATGAACCTTTGTTGAACCAGAAATTCATCTTTTCAATCGTATTGGAAGCACTAGGTTGATGATGTTGTGTTTGAAGCTGAGCATGTGGTTGTTGATGCTGAAGATATGGGTGCTGTGGAATGTGATTCTGTTGGTGGGCATCTGTGGCTGTTCCACTTGGAGTATACATTTCCCGAGTAAAGAAGTTGTAACCATTTGAATCGGATCCAAACGTTAATCCATATCTAGTCACTAAATCAATTCCATATTGTACTTGAGAATCAAGAATCTCTCCATTATTGTTGTTTGTGTTGTTATTGGAGTCATTGCTTCTATTGGTGTATATACTGAGTAAAACCTTATGAATCTTTATGAAATCAATAATAGGTAATTCCAATAATGATAAAATATTTCGCTGAGTACAGATATTCTCAACCACTAATCTCAAATAGTGCTGGGTTGGAACAAATGGATCACGACAAATGACCGACTTACCAATATTGACTAATGCATCCAAATTATCTTGTTGGACGGTACACATGTGATAATAAATCTTTCCATGCCCATAAAGTGTCTTCATTGCTATCGAATACCAGTATTCAGCACTTATTTTCCAATCTATAAATTTTGAAGCATATAATGCAATGGCCATTCGTGATAAATCTCCCAACTTTTCCAGCCACCAACCCTCCATTTCTAAAATGGGATCAGTTAAATTGGAAATGATATTAAAACAATATGATATAAAACACAGACAAATTTCGTGATCTTGGAAAATCCCCATTATGTTCTTTAAAACTTCGAGAAATCCAACTATACCGTAAACCCACATTCTTCTTGGGATTTTATAAAGTTCCACAATGTTCTTCCCGGTTTTGAATTGAGTTTGGTTAGACGAGGGTTTTAAGGAAGTGACCAAGAAATCGTAATAATTGTCCAACAAAGTGATATTGTGATGATAAACTGTCCATAGATCATTCAGCAATTCCGAAGTACGACTCGTCGAAGATGTATTTGATACTAATGAGTTCGACATTTGTTGATTTAACATAGGAGAACTTCCATAAACTAAACTAGTTGGATTGTTGGAATTACTTGTAATTTGATTAATCTTGATGGTGATTTCAATGCAATTCTTTTGAACAATTTCTTCAAAATTGACAATGTTCTTATAAGTCTCTTTAAGCTTGGTAGCAAGTTGTTGTTCTTCATCTGACATAGCTCTTTGTTGCTGTTGTTGCTGTTGGGAAGTTTGCTGGTCTAAGGGTTGTTGTACTTGTCCCTTTTGAGTTTGAGTTGGAGATTGATGATACTGTGGTGGTGATGGTTGCTGTCGCTGTTCTCGTGAAGAGACCCTCTGAGGTAAATATTTCACATCACTACTGGTTTCCGGATGGGCCAGATCCAATACTGCATTTGAGTCAGACAGATCTGAGTGATTTTGCTGGGTTAAATGAGATAAATGATTAACATTCGGACTGGATGGAACCTCATATGGAGATGGTGTTGGTGTTTTGTGAAGGTGTTGGTGTGGCTGTTGCTTGCGAACATTCGTTGATGTAGGCTGTGTACGAGTGAACCTAGCAGGTTGTCCTTGTGCTTGGGTTGGTAGTGGGTTCGATATTCCTGTAGTAGACGTATTGAAGGGATAATCCTTTGTATTTGCAGTTTGCATGCCCAACGGGGTCTGCAAAGGATTGGGAGTTCTTTTATTGGAATTACTCACCATGTATGCAGATAAACTATTCTGTCTCTTTTGCGGAGTTGGATATAATGGTATATCAATCGTAGCTTGGTGCGGGATAGGCAGAGATCTTTGTTCAAGTTGTGGCTGATCTTTTCTAGTGACTCTATTGTATGTATTGTTCATTTAGCCAGGACTTAAAAAAAAAAAAATAATGCAAGGTAATCAATCTCCACTGGTGTCAACAACGTAGATTTCAACTTAAACTAAATGTAAACTAGGGAATTTTTGCCACTGACGGGGTGTGAATAGCCATATAAAAAAAACAAGCAAACAAAGATCAAATGCTTTTAAGTATTTTTGATGTATGAAATCTAATCAATGTAATCCAAATGAGGCTTATTCAGTATAATGACAGAACAAGTGAGTGTTTGGATTTGATAGATCGATATACCAAATGTCTAAATAGGATAAATGCAAAAGGTTGGTGTTTATATGAAATGCCAATGTATATAAAAAAAAGAATTAGTGCTGACAATCAATTCGGCTGAGCTCGTGAATTTGGGAGCAGTATGTAGCGTGTGGGTTGTCTGGGTCGTGTACCTGTAATGATCTATATGCTATGAGGACCCAACTAGGTGTTTAGTAGGTGGATACAAGGTACGGTATATGTGAGTATATGATATTCCTGATGGAAAGTTGCCAAAAAAGGGAGTAGCCTAGGAAAAGATGATTGATTGATTTGAGGGATGATGGGAATAGGAATGGATTGTTCACTTAGTAATTTTTTTGTTTTTTTGCTTGGGGGGGTAAAGTAAGAAGTGGGAAATGTTTCCGGTGATTGCGCTCACTTTATTTTTTTTTGTTTTTCTTTTCCTTGGTTGAAATTTCCTGGACTGAAAATACAGATGTTAAACAAGAGAAATGGATTTTTCAAAAACAAGCAGTCAGTAAAATTCAGAGATGTTGGGTGTTGATGTTGACAAGTAAACGTAAATCCGCATGCGAAGCAGGGAGATAGACGAGAGAGAGAAGGAAATCTGTCCTTTGGATTGGGCGTAATCACACGACTGGCTTTCTTTTTTTCTTTCTTTTTTGCCCTGCCTTGCCTCCCCCACCCCACCAAGCCTTGACTTTGCTAGTAAACTCAATTTACACTATAGCGAAGTGTAAAACGACAATTTGGTAATATTATCTATCAAAATTCATAAGCTGGTTGGCACATGGCAACCAAATCTCTAGTATAATTTTAATGTCAATCTATACTGCATAATCACAAAAAAATGGGCTCAGTTACGGTTAGTTTTTCGCTAAGATCAAATTGCAAATTTCATTGTTCGTAGTTTCAAGCGGGGGTATGTTGGAAATTACGTCTTGGGTAAACCAATGGAATTCAGCAAGGTAGATTGCAACATTTGCAATTCCAGTTTTCCGTGTCTGGACTTTTAGGAATCTCCTAAGATCTGGCGAAATCTCACCCACAGATCACCCCATAACGGCAAAAAAATAATCTACAACATCATCAATAGACAACACAACAATGCAACAATACAGAAATGTAACAGGTCATAGATTAGGAAATTCTTGCCTATAAGCAGATTAAGCTAATATTTCTTATTTTAGCAATCACTGGTTTATTAATTATCGTTTTGATGTTGTCCTGCCATGTGCTAAAAATAGATTCGACTATTTACTCGTGATGCATCCAGCAAACGAAAACTTGCAGCAAGTCAATCTTTTACAACGCTTGTTTTTTTGGATTGAATTTTTGATGGAACATATCTTGATTCCTAGTCAGGCAGATCCTCTTGTAATTCCTTTATGGAGATAGACATATGTCCAGGCACATTTTTCCGTTGCCGATTGATGGATCTAAACGGGGAATTGTTGCTTGTAATTCGTTAATCATACTTTCTCTAATTGATCAATAGCATCACTTCTACTAAGAATCAATAGCTACATAGAATAACTCTTGTACTAACCGTAAACTCGTTTTAAAATATGTAGCTGCAAAAAAAAAAATTATTTTCAGGTTTCTGATTTTCAATGGGAAGTGCTGTACCTATGCTACTAAAAAATTAAACTTGTAAGCGAGGACAACATTATGTAATTAGCAGGCCTACGGGAAACGATATCGAATAGCTGCAAGAACTCTTATACAATTGGCCTTGTATTCAGCTCGACAATTACTTTCTCGCTCGTCGTCTAGTTTTCTACCTAAACAGACCAACTCATATGCACTATTTCGGCCAGGCATGTGTTACATAATGCTTTGTTGAGCAGAGCTAGAACTGGCAAATTGAACACACTAGTATACATGGGATCCACGATCATATAAATAACCAAATTGCAGAGTTCTCAGGTCACAGTACCCAATATAGAAAGATAAGGAGACTTTGGGGCTTTCTTTTATTTTGCAGGAAACAACCCGGGGGTCTAAATTATATACATAACCAACTGTAACATGGCCCATATTCGATTACGATGTATAATCCAGAGAAACTACATTGTCAAAGTCTGCTATTCATGTTTGCCAATCAATCACCTCAACCTCAAAATACTTTGATCTCTTAAATATGAATTAACTCAGATCAAACCAAACATGAATATTCAACATGACAGCTTGCAAATATTAACGTAAAAAATTTTTATTAAATAACCATACAAAAATAAGCTATCGTAAAGAACTCTCCTTTACATCTTCCAACCAATTCATCTTCAAACCAGTTCAAGTGATATTATAAGAAACAAATCAAAGATTCACCAAATTCGTCATTCTTGCTTTTGTTAATCGTCCTACTTATGGAAAAATCTATATGCAATTTTGGAGGACCCACAACAACAAGAATTTAATTAAAACAAAACTGATAAAACCCACTTATGCAATTCAATCCTTCTTCTAAACATCTTGCCCTGCTTATTAAATAAACGATAAGAAAATGTAATATAAAATGAAGGGGGGCAGACGGATTACTTCAACTTCTTCTTTGGTCTTAATTGGTTGGTGTGACCACACTTTCTCTTACGACAGTTGGTGGCTCTTGGTGGTAATCTAGCGTAACATTTACGACAGATGGACTTTTCACAGTTGTACTTGGAAGCTAAAGCCTTTAAGGATGGTTCAATCATCTTTAGTTACTTTAAATTATATCAACAAAGAAAGAAAGAGAGGTTTTTTTTTTCAATATACCTTTGAATGATTGAATGGGAAAAAAATTTTGATGGTGAGTGCGCATGGCATGTCTGGTACGTACTGCATATGGATGCACCAAACAAACACCACATTATTGCCACTAGTATATTTTTGTGAGGAGTGTTACAAATAAGTGCGTGGGATAAACAAAAAAAAAGTACCTCACTGCAAAGTCTTGAGCCAGAAAAAATTCAACTTAATCACGTGTGATATCTCAACACTCGGGCACAAACCCTAAACTGCCATTTGTCGTAAACGGGCCAGTTGTCGCGACATGTTTCAGGTTTATGACACAGCCGCGATCGGCCCAAACAAGCAAAAACAAAATAACCAGCATCTTGAACAAAAGTGGTTGTAAAAGAAGTATAGAGGATTCAATCAATCACACTCGGACTCAATTCAATCAAAAAATGAGTGGGCACAATTCACCTATTGAGAAACATTCCGAAGCTCCGATTGATCAAACCCCCGATCAACCACAACAGGCGGTAGTTGAAACCACCACCAACGAACAAACCGTTTCAGTTGTGGAACCAACTGAGGAACCAGTGGCAGACCAACCAGTGGTGGATGCAGCAGCAGTAGCAGCTTCCGTTCCAGATATATCTATTGCCGAAGTTGGAGATGATCTGGTGATTCAGGAAGAGCCACATACCTCGTTTCTGCAAATCCCATCAGATAAACAGCAATTCACAACTCCATCGCGATTCTTGCCACCATTGAAAGATATTGACAAGATTGTCACCCCTAAATCATTCCATGTTGCCAAAGATGCAGCACACCCTGGTGACCTGTCAGTGGTCAATAGTTCACCTATCAAGAATCTTGTTTCGGAACATGATGTCACTAGCGGGGATATCGATGATCATTTTGATGAAGATGGTTTGCGAGCAGTTGCTAGATATTTATCAATAGATGATTCATCTATACGAGCGATCTCGGGTAATAGTGAAATCATTAGTGCTTTAATATCCAAGTCGAGCGAATTTCAAGAATTGGTATCCCAGAATGAATTCATTAAATTACAGTTGGAACAGAATATCCGTAGCAGTGCTAAACAAATTGAATCCTTGCAGGAAAAGTTCTCCAAGGCTGATAACACTGCATCATTAGTACAGGAAGAAAACCAAGCGTTAAAATCTAAAACCATACAACAAGAACACAGAATCCAAGAATTGGAAGATATCTCCTCAATCAATAATGAACACCTTGCCCGTCTTAAACAGATTGAAGAAGAGAAAAATTTGGAAATTAAGAAGGTGAGAGAAGAACGGGATACCCAAGAACTTGAGAATCAACAAACTATCAATCAATTATCAGGAACTAATATTGAACAGAGCAAGAAACTCAATGAATTGACCAAGGAGATCAATGAAACCAGAAATGATAAGTTTACACTTCAGTTGGAATTAGCCAAGTCTCAGAATGAACTTTCATACCTTCGCGATCAAAAAGAATGGTTTGATGATGAATTGAAATCAGTTCAAGGCAGATTTACCGACTTAATCAAGAAGCACGAATCGGAATATTTGGTCACTAACTCAAAAATCGCCACTTTGACGGCAAGAAATGAAACCCTTGAAACTTTGAACAGTCAAAACCAATCTACCATTAGCTCACTCAAGACTAAATTGGAACAGGAAATTACGAAAAATTCCAAGATTCAAACTGATATTGAGTTGGAAAAGTCAAGGTTCTTAAAAGAGTTGGCTTCCAAGGATGAGTTAATATCATTAACAAAGCTCCAATCCGAACAACGTCACACTCGTATTCAACAATTAGAATCATATGCTGAAGAAATCAAATCATCATTGGGTGAAACCGTTGATAAGCTTGAACAGGAATTATCAGAAAGGACCGAAAAAGTTATAGAATTACAAGAAAAGTTAAAGAGAACCGAAGAAGTATTGGATGCAGAATTACACAAGGAAACCGATTTACCTAAATTGACCGAGTCTTCTGCTATAATTGCCACCAATGGAATTTCCTTATCGAAATTATACTCGGAATATAATCATTTGAAGAAACAATTGGTTTTGGAGAGATCTCAAAAGCAAAAAATGGAACTTCAATTGGAGGCATTTGTTAATGAATTAGAATCTAAAAAGCCGGCATTGGCCAATTATCGTGATCAAGTATTGTTCTACGAAGCTTCATTAAAGGAAATGATTGGTAAAGTGGAAACCGTCAGGTCTGAAAAGACAGAAGTCGAAAAGGATGCAAAGAGATTAAGATCGAGAATCGTTGAAACTGAAAATGAAATGGTCAGCATGAAGAAATTGCTCAAAGATTTAGGCCGTCAATTATGTTACTATTTGATCCATTCCAAGATTAGAGATAACCATGAAGATCCATTGACATTGAGTGAAAAGAATGCCATTGAGAAAATTCTTGCTCAAACTGGTAATTTTGATGAGACTATGGAAACTGATTCTGATAGATTAATCTCGGATAGGTTAGTCGAGTTTAGGAATATTATAGAATTACGACAAAGAAATGAGGAATTGTTGGTTTCCATCAGACAATTGTCGAAACAGTTGGAATCTCGTGAAGAGGAAAACAATAATTTAGAAAGTGTTGCCATTGAAGAAGCCAAGGATGCTATTCTAACTTTGGAAAGTGAATTGGATAGTTTGAATGTTAAATTAGATGCCGTTACCAAGGAAAGAGATGCCCTCAAGGTGATAACCGAACAACCATCTTCATCCAATGCTGAAGCAAGATATCTTAATCAAGTTAATGAAGATTTACGCAAGAAGATTAATGAAAGTGAACGTATAATGGCTGATTTGAAAGAACAATCTTCCAAGACAGTTCGTGATTTGAGTGAAAAGTTGAGAGAAGTCACTGATAAGAAGAATGAAATTGCTTTACAGGTTACTGCATCTCGTCAATCTGCAGAATTGGCTGAATCAAGATTGGCCAATGCAAATAAATCCCTCGATGATTCCCATCAGGAATTGAAGCAAATTCGTAAGGAAATACAATTCTGGCAACAACAAGCAAACAAACAGGAATCCTTACTTGTCAACAAGACTCAAGAATTACGTGATTTGGAATCCACCATTTCTCAAAATAGAGTGCTCATTAATACACTTGAACGTGAAAAGGCATTTTCTGATACCATGCAAAAAGCATTACAGAATGAAATTGATACTTTGAAAGCCGACAAGATTAAACTTAACGAGTTTGTTCTTAATTTACAATCACTCTTGAAGGATCGCGAAGAGTCATCGAAACAATTGTCGGCCAAACTCAATGCTTCGGTTGAAAATTATCAATCATTACAACAAAAACTCTCTGAAAAGGAAGAACGTGTGCTTATTTTAACCAGTCAATCGGAATTAGCATTCAAGGCACAAAATGCCAAGTTGGAACAAGTGAACGAAATCAGTCAACAATTGTTAGAAACTAGAACCAAGTTGTCTGAGAAGGAACGCTTAGTTGATGAATTAAGAAGAAAGATTGAGAGCTTGAAAGTGCACCCTGCTCCTGCTGCTGCTGCATCTACTATTCCTGTTTCAACTCATCCTTCAACTGCATCTCAAGACTTTGAGGTCAATCAATTGAAGGAAGATTTACGTATTGCTGAACAGCAAGTGGACGAACTTTCGAATCTTGCTAAAGCTAGTGAAACTGCCTTGGTCAATGCCACTAATTCATTTGAGCAATACAAGGTTGAAGCCGATGCTAAATATCAATCGTTAGTTAAGGAAAAGGAATATGTTGAAGCTGAAGTTAAGCGTTTAACTGAATTGAGCAACACCACCAGTCAAGAATTAGAGGCAATTAAATCTACCCATGTGGAAGAAGTCAATGATTTGAAACTGAAATTGAATGAATTCAAATTCAAGGCTGACAGATATGACAATTTGGAAAGAGATTACCAAGCCAAGGTTGTTTCCATCCGCAAGGATCTTGAAACCCATATCAATGTTTATAATGATGTTCAAAATAAGTACAAGTCTGAAATGACCAAGAATACCTTGCTAGGCTCTCAAATTGAAACATTAAAGAATGAAGTGGAATCCAAGGGTAACGAAATTAAACAATTGAATGATGAGTTACAAGCGGTTAAGGAATCGTTACAACTTAAACAGGAATCATTAACTAGTGAAAAATCACAATTAGAAACTGAATTATCCATCTCCAACAACAAGATAGTTGAGTTGAAAGAACAAAATGACTTGTTATTGAATCAATTGGAATTAACCAAAGGATCAAGCACAGGTGAAGAAGAACTTGGAGGAGATTTCAGACAAGTGGTTAGTTATCTTCGTCATGAAAAGGAAACCAGTGAAGCTAAGTTGTTGGTTGCTGTTGAAGAAAACCAGGCATTGAAGGTCAACTTGGAAAAACTTCAGTACGAGCTTTCCATCGCCAATTCTGCTTTGAGCAATGCTAACCAAATCAACTTGGATGTTAATTTGAAGGAACAAGCTGAGTTGTCTTCCCAATTGGAGCAATTACATATTCTCAAAGAAAGTAATAGTACTTTGAGACAAGAAAATTCCAAGAAATCTGAAGAAATTGAAAAGTTGAACAATAAGTTGGTGTCCATGACTAACGAATTGGAACCTCTTAGAAGCAAGGTTAATGAATTATCTACCCAAATCGAGTTTGAAAAGCAGCAAGCCCTGCTACTTTCTGAAGAAAATGGCCGCTTGAAACTGACAACTGCGCAATCTGATTCTGCTACTGTCATTAGTTTGAGAGAAAGATTGAAGGAGATTACTCAACAAGCGAACGCTAAGATTACTTCTTTGAATGAAAAGATTAAAGCATACCAAACTGAAATAGCCCAATTGAAGTCTGGATTAGAAGACACTGCTGAGAAGGCGTCATCCCCGGAAGAAATTGAGAAGGTTAAGCAGGAAATTGAGAGTACTAAGCAAGAACTTGCCAGTGCCAAATCAGAGATTGAGGACTTGAATAATAAATTGAAGGCTGCTAAGCAAGATTCTAACAAGTATATCAACACTTTAACTCAAGAGAAGAACAACCTTGTTATTCAGTTAAGTACCAAGCAAGCAGAATTAAGGGAACAATTTAATCAAGAAAAGGAACAACTTCGTAAATCGTTGAAAGAAGAATTTGAAAAGCAAGCCGGTTCTAGTGTTGCTAATGAAGAAGAAGCACAAAAGAAGTACCAAGAACTTGAGCAATCTGTTAATAAGCGGAAGGAAGAATTGGAAAAGGAATACCAAGAGAAGTTATCTAGTAATGCTGATTCAACGAAGGAAATTGCTGAATTGAATGCTAAATTTGAACGGAAATTGGAGGAGGAAAAGGCCAGTGTTAAAGCACAAATTGAGAAGATGTTTGAAGTGAAGATTAAAATGTTGAACAAGAAGGTTGAGCGTTTGGAGAAGCAAACTGGTAATGCCCCACCAGCTTCATTACCGGTGGTGCCTAATGCAACTGCACCTGCGCCTGCCATAGTGTCTGCTAAGCCGGCTGTAGCTGCTAGTGAATCTGCATCTGCAACTGTAGCTAACGCTGCTGCTGCTGCTGCTGCCGCTGCTCAACAAAACCAACCAGGCTCAAGCAAATTCCTTGGCTATCCATTCACAGAGAGTACTTTGACAGTGCACAGACCGACTGTGGAGAAGCCCGAAGCTAAAAAGTTTAGTCCCACGCCAAATCCGGTTGGTCAAGATGGGAAAAAGAGAACCAATCAAGGTCAGCAACAAAATCCACCTTTTAAGAAGAGGGATCATCATTGATAGAGCTAATGTATCATGTAATGTTATATATTTATAATAAAAGCGCCTGTATTGTGATTGGAAGTAGTAGTGGTGGTGGTGGTGGTGGTAGCAGCAGTAGCCGGAGCAGCAGCAGTAAACGTAGCAGCAGCAGCAGCACCACCACCACCACCACCACCACCAGCGCCTTTGTTGATTGCCTAAAACGGCAACATGATCACGTGACTCCTCTTCGCCATTTTTTTTCTTTCTCCGATGTTTTCCAGCCAGATAAGATTCCAGTACAAACAGTCTTTCTCCTTATTCAACATTTACTACAGTCATCATGGGTGTTCCGGCATTATTTCGATGGCTTTCTAGAAAGTATCCCAAGATCATCTCTCCCGTGATAGAAGAAGACGAAGATAACAGCATTGGTGGAGCCAAGTACGAAGACGCTAACCCCAATGGTGAGATTGACAATTTATATCTTGATATGAATGGTATTGTCCACCCGTGTTCACATCCCGAGCACAAACCTGCACCAGCAACCGAGGACGAAATGTTCTTGGACATCTTCACGTATACTGATCGTGTGTTGATGATGGCCAGACCACGCAAAGTGCTTATGATTGCCGTCGATGGGGTCGCACCCAGAGCCAAGATGAATCAGCAGCGAGCAAGAAGATTTAGGTCGGCTCAAGACGCCAAGATCAAGCAAGAAGAGATGGAACGTGATATCAGAGAGAGAGAGTTGCGAGGAGAAGTAATCGACGATGCAATTAAAGGAAAGAAGCAATGGGATTCTAACGCCATTACTCCCGGTACTCCGTTCATGGATCGTCTTGCCGAAGCATTGAGATACTGGGTGGCCTACAAGTTGAGTAGTGATCCTGGTTGGGCAAATTTGCAAGTCATTATCAGTGATGCCACCGTTCCTGGTGAGGGTGAACATAAGTTGATGAGTTTTATCCGTTCTCAACGGTCTGACCCTCAGTATGACCCAAACACTAAACACTGTATTTACGGGCTAGACGCCGATTTGATCTTTTTAGGATTGGCCACTCATGAACCACACTTTAGAGTGTTGAGAGAAGATGTGTTTGCTAATCAAGAAAAGCGAATGACCGTTTCTGACCAATTATCCATGACTCAGGAACAATCGGAGTCCATCCAGGAAAAGGACAAACGAAAGCCGTTCTTGTGGTTGCACGTCAACGTGTTGAGAGAGTATCTTGCCGTTGAATTGTACAATCCCCAACTACCATTCCCGTTTGATTTGGAACGTGCCATTGATGATTGGGTGTTTATGTGTTTCTTTGTCGGTAACGATTTCTTGCCCCATTTGCCAAGTTTGGACGTCAGAGACAATGGTATTGACATCTTAGTCAACTGCTGGAAGAGATGCTTGCCGAGGTTGCGCGATTACGTCACCTGTGACGGACAATTGAATATTGACAGTGTTGAAAAATTGATGGCTAATTTGGCTTACAAGGAAGATGAAATCTTCCGTAAAAGACGTGAACAAGAAATGAGAAGAGAGGAAAACAGAAAAAGAAGAAAGATGGCCGATGATCAAGAACAGGCCCTCAAGAATGTATACTTACCCCAAGTGACCAAGGGCAAGGATAAAGCACCAATCACCGCAGATGTCAACATGCCTTTAATGACCACGAGTGGAGAATTAGTTGAAGGATACGCTCCTTTATCCAACCAAGACATTGTCCAGAATAGAGATATTATAACCAATGCCAACTTAGCCAATAGTGATGCTGCTGCTGCATTAAAGAAGTTGATTGATTCTAAAAAGACTCCCGTGAGTGCCGTGCAAGCCCGTGAGGCCGCTCAAGAAGATTCAGCCACCGCCACCACCACCTCGGAAGAAAGCTCTGACCTTGAAGAAAGAAAACGTTTGCTTGAAGATGACGATGAGGTCAGTGACGATGTCAAGTTGTGGGAGCCAGGATATCGTAAGCGTTATTACGAAGTGAAGTTCCATTTAAAGACTGATGAAGAAATTGAACAAACTAGAAGACAAGTTGTTCGTCATTACTTGGAAGGTGTTTCCTGGGTCTTGTTGTACTATTACCAAGGGTGTCCTTCATGGCAATGGTATTTTCCTTACCATTATGCCCCATTTGCTGCTGATTTCGTCAACATTCAAGATTTAGTTCCTGAAGGTACTATCAAGTTTGACTTAGGTCAACCATTCAGACCCTATGAACAATTGATGTCGGTTTTGCCTGCTGCTTCTGGACACACTTTGCCAGAAGTATTCCGAGAATTAATGTCTCATCCCGACAGTGAAATCATTGATTTCTATCCTGAAGAATTCAAGATTGATATGAATGGGAAGAAGATGAGTTGGCAAGGTATTCCATTGTTACCGTTCATTGATGAAACAAGATTGTTGACTGCTGTTCAAGCCAAGTATGTCCTGTTGACTCCTGAAGAAGTTGACAGAAACACCAATAAAGAAGCGGTGTTGTTCATCTCGACGCAAAATAAAAACTATACCAAGTTTCAAGAAGAATTGTACAAGAATGAAGCTGATAAGGTAGTGTTCAAGTTTGCCAGGAGTAGTTTAGCGGGAACAGCTATTAAAAACGACCAATTCAAGCCTAACGGTATTTTCAAGTTCCCATTGAAAGAAGGCAGTATGCCTAATATTGACAATAAGGAGTTCTTGCAAGTGACGTATGAGATGCCACCCAAGAAGTTGGGTAAGAGTATGTTGTTGAACGGATACATTCCACATCTCCCGGCATTGACGGAAGAAGACAAGAGCAACTTGATGTATGGTGGGCCAAGATATGGTGGAGGAAGATTTAATGCTCCTAGTGACAATAGAGAGTATATCAACAAGGGACCAGCAGGAACTGAGATATACAAAGCATACTCGATGAGAAGAGGTGGGTATAGATCTTATTTGCAATATTTGAAAGACGGTGTATTGCCTGATTCAGGGACACGACAAGGTGGATATCGCACCCAGAATTATGATAATAACCAAGGTTATAACAGAAACTACAACCAGGGGTACAATAATAGCCAAGGGTACCATAATCAAGGATACAGTAGTAACCAAGGGTACAATAACCAAGGGTACAATAACCAAGGGTACAATAACCAAGGGTACAATAACAACCAAGGCTATAATCAAAATTATAACCAAGGATATCAAGGACAAGGTTACAACCAAAACTACAACCAAGGTAACCACAGACAACAAGGTCATGGCTACAATCAGAATTACAACCAAGGATACAATCAAGGATATGGCCAAGGTAGACAAGATTATGGTCAAGGCAGACAAGATTATGGTCAAGGCAGACAAGATTATGGTCAAGGCAGACAGGACTATAACAAGCAGTCCAGATCAGGATACCTTCCTCCCAATTCAAACAGGGGCAACTACCGAGGCAGAAATTCTTACAGACAATAGGCAATTGTATTATATAAATTTCTTTAATGATTTCTAACGAACTCTAGTGCAATATATATAAGTTCCAGTTTTTATGTACATTATTTGATATGGCTATTTTGATTTCATGGCGATCTTGTTCCGGCAAGGCAATTATACTTCCGTCAACACAAAATCTTCGGTTTCTAATTGGTTCTGTATTTGTAGTCTTCAATGTAATTTCGTCTCCTTGTTTGAGTTTTTCATAAGTTACGTTTGGGTCTTCAGCATGAGCACCTTTGTTGTACACGTCCTTCATTACTTTCATTATATAGTCTCCATTTCCTTCTTTGTCCTCTTGGGTATTAAAGGTAACCAAGTACAAGCTCTCTTCAAAGATATTTCCCTTGGGTGAAATTTCAAACGTAGGTTCAAACCTCTGCGACGATGTGACCAACCAATATGCAAACGGGCCCGAGATTTTCCTATTGTTTATGTAGCAATCACCTTCATACTTTTGCTCTTGCTTTAGATTATTCATGGCAGCAATTTGAAATCTTTGAAGTCCAAATTTGCGCAATTCTGGAGTATCGCTATCCGCCACTAATGAAGCATGGAACCCCCATGAAACAACAACAAGAAACTTTAATTTACCTTGAATTTCATCCTTCTTTTCGTCTTGCACTAAATGGTATGAACCAGTGGGGAAATCAACTTCATATAGGTACAATGGCGCTGGTTGATTGGATGAGGTTACCAATTTAGCTACCGCCTCTATCTGCAGGGTTAAGTTTACAGATAGAGCAAGACTATTACCTGTTCCCCCTGGAATAGGGAATACTGTGATATTCTGGTTGGCTTTGGCCTCGGGGAGTCCATTTATGAATTCATTAATGGAAGTATCGCCACTGATAAAGATAATAGTCAAGTCTTCTTCTATCTTGCTCAAGCTACGGGCAAATTCAACTATAGACGCTGCTGAAGTGGTTGCGTAGTATTCATAGCCAATCTTCAACAATTGGAATAATGGTTTTATGATCTTGCTGTATAAGTTATCATCAGCACGACCTGTTCCAGATTTGATTGAGTCAACAATGTAAACCTTATTGCTTGTCAAGACGGGATTTAACTTTGCTTGGTTAATTGTAGTGGTGGTGGCGGTGGCGGCCGGGGCACCAGTGACAGTGGAATCGGACGATGTTGTGAAAGTATATACTTCTCCATCCTGTGAAAAATGGATCAATGTGGACTGATCCTCGATATATATACTAACCCCTGATTCTGACGACATGCTAAGTATAGAAAAATGTATAGATATAGTAGTGGATTGGAGCTGGTTTGCAATTTGAGGAACAAAATTACTAAGCTGATTTCCAAAAGGCTTGTTTTCGCCACAGTTGGTAGCTCCAATTTCTATGTGGCTCTGGAGATATCCATAACCTAAAGACCACCTGATTGCCCTGTCATTATGACGGGGAAGATTAGATCCGAGAGTATATAAAGGTTGGTACTAGTGTCTGGTTTATTTATATAAGTTATTTTCTGTTTAGAGATCTTAACTTCCCAGTAAATCGTAAATTTGTTTCTCAGGAGAATTGACGGGTAAATAGCAGTGTTAGACACAAGAAGGAGGAACAGATACATGCAACTAATCACCTCTAGTAGTTTGTCATGATTTGATTGTTTATATATTAATTCTTTTTGCAAAAGGTTTGGTAAAACTGGAATGGGGGGTAAATTGTGAAAAAGATTTCCAAATTTGGAGTCATTAACGATTGGAATATCTAGAGGGGCAGATCCTAATCGAGTTTACAAAAATAAAAACCCACTGGGTACCACAATCTGTTGTAAGAAGATTGTAATGTTGGAGTATCTATTAGACATCTCCTCCTTTGATTGAATCCACGAAATAGAAAATCAATTGCACCTTTTCAACCGATTTATTCCAAATGTTTCCTGATAGATTTTGAAATAGACTTGCATACCATCGTCATCATTACTAAAGAAATTACTAGATATACAAGACATATGACCTAGGTCAGTTACACTACACAACTATCGTATGTGCTATCGAATAAAGTTCGCGAGGGTATGTGGCCGCTGTGTAGTGAAAGCGTCCTATGTCATATGGATTAGTATATCCCAGTGGAACAAGACCCATTCTGATTGCCTGATCAAGATCTACACAAGTATATCGGTTTACATGATCATGCAAAGCTCCACTAAGAGAAAAATAGTGTCTTTCGAACAAGAAACTATTAGTTAAAACTACAACTGTAACTGTCAACATCAACAAGTGGCCTGGTTAGCTCAATCGGTAGAGCGTTTGACTCTTAAGTTAGACATCAAAAGGTTGCGGGTTCGACCCCCGCATCGGGCTTTCTTTTTATCACTTCTTTCACCTGACTATCTAGATAGTTGCAATAACCATAAATACTTGGTGCATCTGTCAAACAAAGCTCAAGTTTGCAATTTTAATTTTTTTTAATTTTTGGATTTTAAAAAATAAGGTTTTGTTGCACCTTCCCGCAGAAACGTGCATTAAAAATAGAACCAGAAAAGATTATGGAGCTTGCAATTGTATGGTGGACTACACTTGCTGAAAAGGGGAGAAAAATACGTCAGTTTGTTGCAAATAGAAACTTTAATCAAAGTTTATGTGTTTATGTAACCATGGACAATCTCGTTAAACTATGTTGGAGTTATTCAAGACGCAATTGTGGGTAGTTAACTCCACCGCGTTGATGCGGCTGAAGCTGAAATTTTCTTTGCAAAAACACAAACTCAAAGAAGGGAAGGGAGGGGAAGTAGAAAGCAGTCTGGAAACAAAGACACATCAATATCAGAATGATGGCTACAAATCTTAAAGGTTGTAGAAACCAGCTTGTAATGTTTGAGTGAAGATTTTCTCCTGATTCAATAAAATGAAATTGAGTATCACTAGGTAGCTTAGGGTTCCTGAAAATATTCCACAGATTATTTTATTAGTATTTGAGATGAACTCCTCCCTCAGCCTCGTCATGAAATTTAGTATTAAAATTTCTCATATATAGTGGATTCAACTACATCAACCTCTCATTCATAGTTAAGATATTTAAATGTATGTCAAGTTCGTCAATACAAACAATTCACCTGACGATTCCATTTTACCTTGCTCAACAAAACTCCCAGCATCAAAAAAAATTCCCTCCCATTTCCCCACGAGGATAAGGGTTTGATGTTTAATGTGAGGTTTATTTTCTTATAGAAGTGCTGAATCGTAATCTAAATTTAGTCCGAGTTGCTTTTTGTCTCCATAGTGCAGGTCTAAAATAATATTTTCTTTTGGTCATTCGCTTGAAGAACAGCCACTTTTGGCACTAGATACAAGACGTATAAATATGGCTTGAACGTCTTGATAGACTGTGGAGTATGTTTGGAATTATCTACAAATATGGTTAGACAATCATTACATTTTTGCATCATTTTCTTGCTTTTGGTTATACAGTTTGTCAATTCATTTCCAACAATTTACAGAAAAAGTGATATCGCAGATACGGGTGCCTTACAACTTAATAAGTTTTATTTAGCCAAGAGGAGATCACATGGTTCATCTCATAGTTCTTCCTCTCATAGCTCCTCATCCCATAGTTCCTCATCCCATAGCTCTTCATCCCATAGTTCCTCATCCCATAGTTCCTCATCCCATAGTTCCTCATCTCATGGAAGTACTTCTGGTTCTTTTTCCGGCGGTAGCTCTTCTGGATCTGGTAGTTCTATCCGCAAACCAAAAGGAACTACAGGAGATGATTCTGATTCAAGCACCACAAGTCCTAAAGGAAGTACTACTGGCACCAGTAGTGGATGGACAAGTTCAATTAGTTCAAACACATATAGTTGTGGAACCATAGGTGGGGCTAGAAGATGCGGTTATGGCCCATACTATGCCCCAACAGCTGCTGCTGCTGCTGGGTATGGAACTTCCAGATTTTCCAATTCTCTGAGTAGTGCAGCTGCTATTCTGGTTCCTTATGTTAAAATTGCAGTCGCTGTCGGGTTTGCACTTTTGTAAGTTTGTTTATTTATTTGAATTTATAGAAATAGAGTTATTTACAATATTAAGGTGTAGAAACTTTGGCTGTGAATTGAATTTGGGCCAAGAGGTGGTTTTTTTTAGATTATCTAATTTTACGAGATGATGGGAATATCAAACAAGAACCAAGTCAGAATCCCCCTTTCTGGTAATCTGAAAATTCACTTGGTCATGGTTATCTTGCCGCAAATTTAAAATGCGGATGTTTGTCGCAATTTCATGTGTGTGGAGAAAAAGTCATGTCGTTTGGTTAAGTAGGCTGTGTCAAGTCTCTTGGCTGTGCAACGGTTAAATTAAAAAATTGGTCTCGTAAAAATAATTCTCCAGTACTTCACCGGAGTTATCATCAATTCAGAGACTTTGACTGTAGTATTTAGTCAATTTGGTGGCTGAAAGCCATTATGATTATTTTCAAATAACGTGACCATAATAGTTGCTCGGGTCTTAACTTGCACTAAGAAATTTCAACACAATGATTCAACTTTATTCAATGATACGTTATGTATTTAATTTTATCTTGGCAATCGTATTTATGGGTCAATTTTAAGACTCGGACCGGTTGGTTTCCCCACTTTCTCTTGGAATATTACCGGTTTTAAATTATTCTTGCAACAGCTTCATCTTTAAATTCATCATCGCAACAAGGATTATTCCAATGTAGCTTAGTTTGCATTATCTTACATAGATAGACATCTATCGATATCAAAAAGCTACTGTATGTTAGACTCTTAACCTTAAGAAAATTGGACAAGTGCCTAGAGATCTTATCGGCTGTGAAGGATAGTTTTCATTACAATTTCCTGTATTGATCAACCGAGTATCATCGGAGGGGCTGATGATTCACTTTGATCATCTTCCGGTGTTTCCCAGGTGATGGTGTTTTTCTGATGACTATTTTATTGCCGTTTAGAGCTGACAAGGTGGCTGAACCATTATCTCGAGAGTTGCTAATTTATTTTTTGTTGTCATGCCACATGCGATCCGTCTCTATTGATGAAACCTACACGGAATTTTATAAATATGCTGCAAAATAACTCTGATAAGTTTATGATGTTTGTCTCTTAACTACACATACAATGGTTAAACAAACAAACTTTTACTTTATCTTTTTAATTTTTTTCATCGATCTAGTCAAGTCAATTCCCACCGAATACGGCGATAAATCTACTGTTGATCAACACGATATAGTTGAGAAGCATTCGAATGAAGGAAAGGATCGTGTTTATGGATTTGTTAATTATTTAGCAAGGAGAAGAGGTAGTGTTGGCCATAGTTCTTTCGGTGGTGGTTTCCATGGTTCATTTGGAAGTGGTAGTCGTGGTGGTAGTTCTAGTTCAAGCAGTTCCAGTATTAGCTCAGGGTCAAAACCTAAAGGAAACACTGGCAGTACTGGTAGTAGAAATCCAAGCTATTATACTTATGGGTGTGGGGCTCAAAGGTGTGGCTATGGTCCGTACTATGCCCCAACAGCCGCTGCTGCTGCTGCTGGATACGGTACAGCAAAGTACCATAATACCCTGAGCAGTAGTGCTGCTGCAGGTATGCAGATACCGTATGTGAAAATAGCCATTGCAGTTGGATTTACTCTTTTGTGATGTATATTCTATAATAAATACTAAATTATTCCTATTAAAACACAATAATGACCATGGGTTAATCCATGGGAAGTTGCAAAAAAAAAGGGTCCCGAGCCAACCGGGCGAAGCAATTAGGTTTCCATATCTTAATTGTATGAAGAAAGTTAGCATTGTTGATTGGCAGCATTTCAAGACATTTTTGAACCTGCAATTATCGTTTATTGTTACCATATGTGTTTTAAGAATAAGGTTGGATCATCGATATCGGTTAAGTAGGCTGTGTTATTTTTTAATAAGTGCCAAGCCTCAATTGTGCGTCGGTTGAAACAAAAAGAAAAATTAATCTCGTAAAAAACTCTAAATCAAACCACAGGGTTCAAGATGCACTTGATCAACACTTTAACATGTTTCATATTCGCTAGCACGATAACTGGCTTGATAATACCCAATGATGTCGACGATTCACATCCAAAATACCATGATGAAGTGCAACAAAGTCCTTCAGACGTCAAGGTCTTTGAATTAGTAAATGGGGCATATTTAGAAAAGAGACGAGGCGGTTTTAGGTCATCTGGTAGTTCTATTTCCAGTAGTTCTTCATCTGGCGGTAGCACTAAAGGTGGTTCTACATCCGGCAGTACCTCATCTGGCGGTAGCACTAAAGGTGGTTCTACATCCGGCAGTACCTCATCTGGCGGTAGCACCAAAGGTGGTTCTACATCCGGTACTTCCTCTGGTTCGAGGGTAGGACTGAATTCGTATGCATATCAATGTGGAGCTGTATCTGGGAGACATACCTGTGGGTATGGTCCGTATTATGCACCTACTGCTGCAGCTGCTGCTGCTGGCTATGGTACTGCTAGATATCACGGATTAAGAAATACAACTAGTCAAACCAATTCAACAGAGACGTCTAAACCTGAGCTGTCGTCGTCTGTATCAGAGAGTGCTACACCTGCAACCACCAGTACGTCAACGAAAAAAAGTAATGGTGGTATGACTTTGGGTTTGCCTTCGTACGGAACAATACTTCCCATAGTTTTTGCATTAATATAGACAAGTCTTATATATTCAATCTCACCTCAATGTATCCTTATAGTAAAACAGATAATTGAAAAGATACATCAAGTAGCCAAAAAAAATAAAATTATATCGACAACTGCAGGACTCGAACCTGCGCGGGCAAAGCCCAAAAGATTTCTAATCTTTCTCCTTAACCACTCGGACAAGTTGCCTAATTTAATTTTCGAGATTTCAGATTTTTCATCACATGCAGTAGATCCAAACTCAATGTAATGTTCTATATTTCGAGTTTACTACATGGACTAATCATCTGAATCTATCCTAATATGGGTTTGTCGCCAGATAAAATTACTCTATGGTATATTCAAAGCCACGTGATGCTTTAATGTTGGATTTTTACTGTATTAATCTGCTTTCGCATATGGAACAGGCCAATGCTGGGCGTTTGGTATAGAATTAGAGAAAAATTGCAATAAATTTGCAACAAATGTTCCCAGAAACGAACCAAGCTTGACTAAACCGAATTAGACAAAAGTGGATGCACACTTTCTGACGTTAGTTAACAAACACCACTCACGATAAGATTGGTTGCAGTGTGCGATTTTACAAATAGCTACAATGCTGGCTGCCACAATACAGACTGTATACCAGCATGCTACCACATGAACAGTTGAAGTACGTAAACTGGTGATTTTCAGCAGCAGACCACTCACATCATCACAGAGCACGCACAGCCAACACCGTTCTTAGCTATATTGCCACTATTGCCTAGAAAACGACGTCCCTGTTGCGTGTTTTCTAAAAATGCAAACCTCATCGCATCACATCGCAATGGTACAAAAAAAAATGTTAGTGAAAAAAAATGCCATTAGTTTTACAACCAACTTTCATTTAACAAGTTTACTCATCTCCAATGAATAATCAAATCACATTGAGCTTGGATCAGTGTGAACTCTTGTATGCAGAGTACAAGAAACAATATCCGTTAAAGAAATTACCCGATTCATGCAAATTCAACAAGTCATCTACCATAAACGAGAACTTGAACAATTTGGCAACATTCGCATTAGACCCAACTTTAGCCAGTTACTACTCGTACAAGTCCGTGTTTTTAGAGTTAGTGGCCAGATGGATCAATCGCACTGACGCATTTGAACACGAATACAACAGAATTCACCAGTCAAGCAATACAATTCACGGCTCTATTGTATTGTTGGCATTGTCTAAATTGCTTGGGATTTGTCCTGAACATTTGAACCTTTACGAATACTTTTTACAGGAAGTGGATTTCTTCACCAAATTACAAGAAACTACCCCAAGCCCACTTGAATTAGAATCAATATTACTTGCATTTTATAGAACGTTGAAATTTGACACCCACAGATTCAAATCACTAGTTAAACCAAATGTGTTGTACAGCATCATAAGGTTGGACTCCCAGTACAACGTGGCAAAGTATTTGGCCATTCAAATCATTTCAATTTACTTACAAGCATCAGAATCATCCAAGAACAAGATGATCAAGACCCATATTGGAGATGACAAATTAGTGTCTCAGTACGAAGGTGATACCATCGACTTTTCCTTCATTTCCTTGTTGGAAGCCAAGAGAATAGCAAATTATTTAAGTTTGCCTCAACAGGATGTTACCGTGGGTACAAAAACCATAGCAATACCACCAGAAGAGTTGTCTCCTATGATCACATCGGTATGTGGGGTCTTAGTTCCTAAGTTATTGTTATCACATTCTATTCCCGACTCATCTGAAACCAACTTGTTTGTTCCAACTAAAGGCTCTGTCGAAGTATTGAGGAAATTGGCCCAGAATATCCAAATAAACAAACCAGTGATGTTGTATGGGAAAGCAGGTGCTGGTAAGACATTCTTGATCAACCAATTGGCAAACTTTATGTCATACAACGATTCAATAGTCAAGATTCATCTTGGTGAACAAACCGATGCCAAGTTATTGTTAGGTACATACGCATCAGGAGACAAACCAGGGACTTTTGAATGGAGAACCGGGGTATTAACCTCAGCTGTTCAAGAAGGTAAATGGGTTTTCATTGAAGATATTGACAAAGCGCCAACCGAAGTATTGTCTGTGTTGTTAACATTATTGGAAAAACGAGAATTGAGTATTCCTTCAAGAGGTGAGGTAATCAAGGCCAAGAATGGGTTCCAATTGTTTTCCACTATTAGAACTGGCAATGATTCCAGGAAGGAAAGTATCCCTGATTTGATTGGTATGAGATTATGGGAATTGATTAAAGTGGATGTGCCTAATGAAGTTGATTTAAAGAATATCTTGATAACTAAATACCCATTGCTTTCGAAGTTAATTGTTCCATTCATCAAATGTTATAATGAAATCATGAGAATTTATTCCCTTACTTCGTTTATCACTTTGAATAAAGGGTCCCATCCAAGAATAATATCGTTTAGAGACTTGATGAAGTTTTGTGGCAGATGTAATAACATGCTTGTATCCCAAGGTATAACCCAACCAGACCAACTATTAGAATCAACCATTTATGACAATATTTTTGCCGAAGCAATTGATTGTTTTGGAAGTGCATTGACGGAACAAGCAGCATTAGCCCCTTTGATCAATGTCATTGGTGAAAGTTTAGAAATCCCCACTTCGAGAATTCATTTGTTTTTAACCAAGCACGTACCTTTATTTATGAATGATGACGACACTTTAAGAATTGGAAGAGCAGTATTGAAAAAGAAGACTTCAGTCAAAGCTAAACCTAGTGCTGGCTCATTCGCCAGAACAAATCATTCTCTTAGGTTAATGGAACAAATTGGGGTTGCAATAGATATGGTGGAACCAGTGCTTTTAGTTGGTGAAACCGGTACCGGTAAAACGACCGTGGTCCAACAAGTAGCAAAATTAATGAATAAGAAGTTAACTGTCATTAATGTATCTCAACAAACTGAAGCTGGGGATTTGTTAGGTGGATACAAACCCGTGAATACCAAGACCATTGCTATACCTATCCAAGAATCATTTGAAACTATATTTATTGCTACGTTTTCCGAAAAGAAGAATGAAAAGTTTTCCAAAGTGTTATCAAAGTGTTTCAATAAGGGCCAATGGAAGAATGTGATTAAGTTATGGCGAGAAGCTTTGAAGATGGCCAAGGATATTTTGAATACTGAATCTGAGCCTGAGGATGAAGGCGAATCCAGACCAAGAAAGAAGAGAAAGTTAAAGTCATTGGAAAAGTCAGTATTAATGGACAAATGGTTGGAATTTGAAAACTCAATTAAAGAATTTGAATTGCAGTCTTCGACCTTGGACAATTCTTTTGTGTTTAGTTTTGTGGAAGGTTCTTTGGTCAAGGCAGTGAGAAATGGTGATTGGTTACTTTTGGATGAATTGAATTTAGCCACTTCTGATACCTTGGAAAGCATTGCTGATTTGCTTGCTGATACCATCGAACAAAGATCAATCTTGTTGACTGAAAAGGGAGATGTTGAATCTATAAAAGCCCATCCTGATTTCAGAATCTTTGGTTGTATGAATCCTTCTACCGATGTTGGTAAGAGAGATTTACCTTTGAGTATTCGTTCAAGATTCACCGAACTTTACGTTCATTCTCCAGATAGAGATATCCAAGATTTGCTTGCCATTATTGATAAATACATTGGAAGATATGCTGTCGGTGATGAATGGGTTGGAAATGATATTGCTGAATTGTACTTGCAAGCCAAATCTCTTTCCGAAACAAACAAAATCGTTGATGGTGCTAACCAGAAACCTCATTTCAGTATACGTACCTTAACAAGAACTTTGGTTTATGTTTGTGATATAGTATCAATCTATGGATTAAGAAGATCACTTTATGAAGGATTCTCAATGTCGTTTTTAACTTTACTTGACAGAAAATCTGAAGATATTCTTAAACCATTGATCGAGAAGTACACCATTGGAAGACTCAAGAATGCCAACTCAGTCATGAAACAAACACCACCAACTCCAGCTAGCGGTGATTACGTTCAGTTTAAACACTATTGGATGAAACATGGTCCTGAAGAAGTTGTGCCACAACCACAATATATCATCACTCCATTCGTTGAAAAGAATATGCTTAATCTTGTCCGTGCTACTGCCGGAAGAAGATTCCCTGTATTGATTCAAGGTCCAACATCCACAGGTAAAACAAGTATGATTAATTATCTTGCTAGTATCACCGGTCATAAGTTTGTCCGTATCAATAATCACGAGCATACTGATTTACAAGAATATTTGGGTACGTATGTGTCGAATTCTACTGGGAAATTAGTATTCAAAGAAGGTGTATTGGTGGAAGCTTTACGTAAGGGTCACTGGATTGTATTGGATGAATTGAATCTTGCCCCTACTGACGTTTTGGAAGCCTTGAATAGATTGCTTGATGACAATAGAGAATTGTTCATCCCCGAAACACAAGAAATTGTGAGACCACATCCTGATTTCATGTTGTTTGCCACCCAAAATCCTCCAGGATTATACGGTGGTAGAAAAGTATTGTCACGAGCATTCAGAAATAGATTTTTGGAGTTGCATTTCGATGATATTCCTCAGGACGAATTGGAAATTATTTTGAAAGAAAGGTGCCAGATTGCTCCTTCTTATTGTAAGAAGATTGTCGAAGTTTATCGCCAGCTTTCTATTCAACGTCAATCCACAAGATTGTTTGAACAAAAGAATTCGTTTGCCACATTGAGAGATTTGTTTAGATGGGCATTAAGAGATGCGGTGGGGTATGAAGAACTTGCCGCTAATGGGTACATGATCTTAGCTGAAAGAGTCAGAAAGGAAGATGAAAAGGATGTAGTCAAGAAAACTCTTGAAAAGGTCATGAAGGTTAAGCTAGACATGGATGCTTATTACAAGAACTTGGAAATTGAAGAGATTTTCAACAGTGATTCTACCATTGTGTGGACAAAGGCCATGAGAAGATTGGCAGTGTTGGTATTCACTTCTATCAAATACAACGAACCTTTACTTTTAGTTGGTGAAACAGGTTGTGGTAAAACTACAGTTTGTCAAGTTATTGCCAAGTTCTTGGGTAAGGAATTGGTTACAGTCAATGCTCATCAAAACACCGAAACTGGTGATTTATTAGGTGCCCAAAGACCTGTACGTCATAAGTTGGAAACTCAAAGTAATTTGATTAAGGATTTACTTGAGTTGTTTGAAAGAATGAATATTGAAACACCTAAAGATTTTACCTTGGATAATCTTTTACAAACATTCAATGGCTTAGAAGTTCCTGAAGAATATGGTGAACTCGTGGAAAGAATCAAAACCGGGAAAAAGAACTCGACATTACTTTTCGAGTGGTGTGATGGTCCATTAATCAGAGCCATGAAGGAATCTGATTTTTTCTTGTTGGATGAAATTTCATTAGCTGATGATTCAGTATTGGAAAGGTTGAACTCAGTATTGGAACCAGAAAGAAGCTTATTATTGGCTGAAAAAGGTACTGATGATGCATTCATAACTGCCAATGCTGGTTTCCAATTTTTAGCTACTATGAATCCTGGTGGTGACTATGGTAAGAAGGAACTTTCTCCTGCATTACGTAATAGATTTACTGAAGTGTGGGTACCATCAATGGAAGATTTCAATGATGTTAAACAAATTGTCGACTCAAAACTTAAACATAAGGAACTCACCGCTGCTATTGTTTCATTCTCGGAATGGTTCGCTAGAAAGTTTGGTGGTGGGAATACTAATAACGGTGTTATTTCCTTGCGTGATATCTTAGCATGGACGGAATTTATCAATTCCTGTGATGATCTGGTTACTCCACATGCTGCGTTATTTCATGGTGCTTCCATGGTGTTTATCGATGCTTTAGGTACCAACAACACCGCATATTTAGCAGAAAATGAATCAAGATTGCAAAGTATCAAGAACCAATGTATTGAACAACTTACAACTTTTGCAGATTACGACTTGACTGAATATTCTACTACCAACTTTAAAGTGACATCTACTGATAACGTACTTTCCGCTGGATTATTTTCAATTCCGGTTGTGCAAGCATCTAATAACAAATCATTCAATTTACAAGCTCCTACTACTGCATCCAATGCCATGAGAGTTATCCGTGCCATGCAAGTCCATAAGCCAATCTTGTTAGAAGGTAGTCCTGGGGTCGGTAAGACCAGTTTAGTCACTGCATTAGCCAATGCTACTGGTAATCCCTTGGTACGTATTAATTTGTCAGAACAAACTGATTTAGTTGATTTGTTTGGTTCAGATGCTCCTGCAGAAGGTGGAAAAGCTGGTGAATTTGTGTGGAGAGATGCTCCATTCTTGAGAGCCATGCAACGAGGTGAATGGGTCTTATTGGATGAAATGAATTTAGCATCTCAATCAGTATTGGAAGGGTTGAATGCATGTTTGGATCATCGTGGTGAAGCCTACATTCCAGAATTGGACAAGTCGTTCAAGAGACATCCAAAGTTTACTGTGTTTGCTGCTCAAAATCCTCAATACCAAGGTGGTGGAAGAAAAGGGTTACCTAAATCGTTTGTCAATCGTTTCACTGTGGTTTATGTGGACACATTAAAGTCCTTTGATCTTAACATGATTTCCCAACATTTGTATCCTACTGTTGATAAAGATGAATGTTCCAAGTTGATTCAATTCATGTCAAAATTAGAAGAGGAAGTTATTACTAAGAAGCTCTGGGGATCTTCTGGAAGTCCATGGGAATTCAATTTACGTGATTCGTTAAGATGGTTGGATTTGTACACTTCCAAGAACATTAGTCAGGATATTTCGCTTGGTGATTTCATTGACATGATTATCTGTCAAAGATTTAGAAGCGTGGACGATAGAAAACGTGCCAGAAACTTGTTCATTTCCATATTCGACGGTTTAACCAAAAGGGATAATTATTTCTTCATGGCCGAATCATATATCCAAAGTGGCGGTGCTTTGATTTCCAGAAATGAAATCATTCAGAATGTCAGCGGGAACAATCTCTTGCCTTTACAATGTAACTTTCAAGTATTGGAAACCACATTCAGATGTATTAGCAACAATATTCCTTTGATTTTAACTGGTCCTACCAATGCTGGAAAGACTGATTTAATTAGATTTGCAGCAAGTGTGATTGGTGCCAAGCTTGATGAATTTTCCATGAATAGTGATGTTGACTCCATGGATATTTTAGGTGGTTATGAACAGGTTGACTTGTCGAGACAAATTAATGCATTGATTAGTGAAGTTGACACTATTGTTGGTGATTTAGTAGTTAATAATCTTCGTGTTGTATCTGAACAACAGGTTTTAGCTAAATCGTTGGAATTATTGGAACATACAGACAAGGAAACCGTAACCACTGAAAACTTTGAAACATTCCATCAGCTTATTAAAGAATATTCCAAATTATGTTCATTCCCTGAAGTTCGAAACTTATCAGAAAAATCAGATAAGTTATTGCAAAAGATTCAACAAGAAAAGAGTGTTAAATTTGAATGGTTTGATGGGTTATTAGTTCAAGCAGTGGAGAAAGGAAACTGGTTAGTATTGGACAATGCTAACTTGTGTAGTCCTTCAGTATTAGACAGATTGAACTCGTTATTGGAAACCAACGGAAGCTTAATCATCAATGAATGCAGTTTGCAAGATGGTCTGCCTCGAGTTCTTGCCCCACATCCTAATTTCAGATTGTTTTTAACTATGGATCCAAAGTATGGTGAATTATCAAGAGCTATGAGAAACAGAGGTATTGAAGTATATGTGGAATCATTAGAAAATAGATCTACTGAATTTGATCGAGAATTACTTGGTATTAAACCCGCTAGTGAATCATTAGAAGAACAAATTGAATTGTTGGAAGTCAAGGACGAAAGGAGAGTACCTACTTCAACTTATGACTTTTCCAAAGATACCCGTGCTTATCCATTTAGTTTAATTGATGATGTGGAAAAGTCTGGGGATACATTTAGTTCATTATGGAGTATGATTCCATTATGTGATTTGTCATTTGTGAATAACTGGAAGAACATTGTTGAAACCAGTTCAGAATTTGACAAGACAAGTAAGAACATATGCCATGAACTTTATCAAAGATTGCAATTTTTCTTGAATAGTTCATTATATTCAAAGGTTAGTGAATTGTATAACCAAGCTGGTGAAACTTCTACTGAAATAATCGGCAAGAACATCCAAAAGTTCCAATCACCACACCCATTAGTCAATGCTTATTTGGTATCGTCAATCGCTAAAGATCACGTTACAACCACTACATATGAACCAACTATGTTGTACGAAGTCATTTCAGGAATTTTACAAATGGAAAGAAGATTAAAGAAACTTGAGCTGAATGCCATGGATAAGAAGCTTCATGATTTAACATACTTGGAAAAGTCAGCTGCTTTTGTTCTTGGAAGAAACATCAAGACTCCACCAAGATTAACAATTTATCAATTCATCAAACAAGTGTATGAATTTGTATTATCTACCTTTTTGGAGAGTGTTAATAAAGAGTTGTTTACTGAAATTGTCTACCGTCCAATTCATGAACTTATTTTACTTTGGAATAGTATGATCGAAACTGCACAAGTTCAAAACGAAGCTAAATTGAGAGTTTATCAAGAATTAATAACTAAATGGAGTGAACAGTATGCAGCTACTATCCAAACAGACGTATTGGAATCTGCTATTAAATCATTTGGTAATGACTTGGTGTTGACTACTGGTGTTTCAATGAATAAGATTTGGGAACACAGAAGAGGAACATATCCACAAACAATTGAATCCTGGAATTATATGAGGAGATTGACTACATTGATGGAAGATTTTGATTTGGTTGCCAAGCAACAATTCCATGAATCTAAAGAAGCAGTTGCTGGTCTTGGTCAGTTTATTATTGACTTTTACTACTCCATTCTTGAAGGAACCTATGGTGATGATGAGATTGAAAACATCTTTGGTAAACTTGAAAATGGTATTGCTGAATTAAAGTCAGTTTCTGATTCATTCCTTAATAAGCGTCAAAAGAGCTATTCAGATGAATTCACAAGTATTTCTAACTTCATAGAAGCAAACGAATTGGTGAGTTCTAACAATAACAGAGAGGATTTGCTCAAGTTATACACTTTCTCAAACAAGTCAATGTTGTCATTAGTTAAGACAGAAAAATTTGATCCATATCCTAAGATATTTGATAGTTTATGGTATTCAGAATCAGGAGAATCTAAATCAAGGATCCCAGGATTATTTTCAAGTGAATTAATTACATCCCTTTTGAAGAAGTCACTACAAATTAACCAAACTTCAGGTAAGGTTCTTGATCAAACTAATGCTGATGTGAAAGAAATTTCCAAAGCGATCGTGGAGTATTCTCCTAGTATCTTACAGGATCAAAAACAAGTGTTTAATAAGTTGTTATTGTCATGGTTTAATAAGATCTTGGAAGTTCATATTGATTCTGATGTTGTCAACATGTTAGAGGAAGATTTGACCAGTGCTACTAAGCTATTGGACATTTTAGATTCTGAAGTTGCACAAATTTTTGAAAAGTATTTGATTCCATCGTTGGTTATATCATCCAATGCCACTGATTTGCAATCTATGGGTAAAGCCTGGATTATGTTTTCATGTGGGTTAATCCAATTATATGTTCCTAGTTCACCATATGATCCAGCAATTAGAGAATACGTTGTGTTTAAAGTGTATGAAGAACAAAAGAAATTTGCTGAAGAATTAGTAACAAGTTGGAGGAATGTTGCCAAAGTTACCAGTGGTGATGATGAAAAATTAGTAGAAACTACCTTGAGTTGTGATTTGCAATTGCCTTCCAAGCCGAAGGTATTCCGTGAACAAACTACCTCAATTGATAATTTATTTGAAGAATGGAAAGCATTCATGGATTCAAGTATCAGCGCTCAAGCAATTGAATCTTTGTACAATTCCGCAGTGGAGTTTTCAGATATGTCCAAGAAAATGTCTACTATTTTCCAAAACAATGCTTCTCAATTCATGATGAGGCTTAACCTGAACTATACTTTATATTCTGATTTGAATGATATTCTCTCTGGTTACATATTTGGATTGAAGCTTGGTTTTGATTTGGTGAATAGTCCAAATTCTGATTCATATCAAGAAGAGTGGTCGATTGATGTTTGTGAGTTTAGCAATTTTGAATCAGTCTCAGCCACATTCCCTTCAGTCAAGCAATTGGTTAAGAGGATTGGTGTTGATTCGCCTGTGGCTGAATTTATCATGAGTTATTTTATGAAGTTAAGTTTTGTTCATATTGACAACAGAGCCGATGGAATTTTCCAAGATACTCTTCAAACATTGTATTATAGATGGTCACTTAGAAGAATCAAAGAAGAAAAGGAAAACGTTCAAAAGGGTAGTTTGTATAAGTATACTGATCCAGATGAAGACATTGAAGGTGATTTCAAGAAATTGTTCCCTGATTTTGAAGATGTCATGACTATTGATGGAAGTACAAAGAAGAACCAAAGCTTTGAAGATATTTATGAAAACATTGCCTCTACCTATATCAAGGAATTCTTGCATAAGGAAAAGGCCAATTTGAATGATCTCGTTGAAGAAGGTTCTGAATTGGTGTTGCATTTGTCCAAGTATAAACAAGATTTGAGAACTTCGGCCAACAATGCTTCGATTTTGTCGTCATTAGTCAATTCATTGTCAAAGGGATCCTCCAAATTTACTGCTCCATCAGAATTCAATTTCTACCAAGAGAGTAATCCAAATGAAGTTAAACGAGCTATTGTGATTATGTCGGGAGTTTACAAATTTGCCAACAAGTTGTTAGAACAATGGCCAGAACATGAAACCTTGAGAAGTATCGTGTTTGCCACCAATGAATTCTTGACCTATCCAATTGGATTACCATTAGGTAGATACTTGCAAAAGTTGGAACAAATCTACACATTCATTGCAGAATGGCAAAAGTATGCTTCAAGTCAAGTATCATTGAAGGAACAATTTGACCAATTGACTAATTTGATTGTTTCCTGGAGAAAGTTGGAATTGTCTACTTGGAAAGCTTTGTTTAAATTTGAAGAACAAGAAGTAGAAAAGACTATTGGAAAATGGTGGTTCTATCTATTTGAAGTTATTATTCTCCCATTGATGAATGAAGAAGACGAAACTGAAGAACAAACTACAAGTATTTTAGCTGCCTTGAATGTGTTTATGAGTAAGGTAACTTATGGTGAATTTACAATTAGATTGAACTTGTTGAATGCATTTAGAAACCATGCCAAGAACATAAGCACCAATCCTATTGTCGATGCCTTGACAAATTTTATTGATTTTTACACCCAATTCCAATCAACAATTACCACCAAGATTGACGAAACCAAGACCAAATTGTCTAAAGATGTCTCTGAAGTTATATTATTGGCAAGTTGGAAGGATGTTAACATTGATGCTCTTAAACAGAGTGCCAGACGTTCTCATAATAATCTTTACAAGATTGTTCGAAAGTATAGATCATTGCTTGCTACTCCAGTGACACCAATTATTGAACAAGGAATATCACCAGAAACTAAATCTGTTGCTTCATTATTGCAATTGCCAAGCTTGAAAGCACATGTACAAGATGAAGGAGTATTGGAACAATGTCAATTGTTATCCACTTGGGATGAAAGACCAAAGAGACTTCAAAATATTTCAGTTCTTGATAAGAACATGAAGGTTTACATTGATAGAATTGTTAGTGAAGAATTACCAAATCTTTATGGTTTCACCAAGGATATTGTTTCAGAAATGGATAGACTTAGACAAGAGACACCAACCACTTTGAAAGAAGACAACAAGAAGCTTGTTGCTGCTTTGAAATCGCAAAAGCGTAAATTATTGAGTGACACAATCAAAGAGATCAGACGTTCTGGATTAAAGACTAGTATGAGATCCGATATTCTTGCTACTCAAGGTTCAGTTAATTTGTTATTGACCAACTCGGTAAGTTTCAAGGACACCTTAGTTGAAGGAAGTGATGTTTTCTATTTTAGAATCTTGGACTTGTTGCCAAGACTCAGAGCCAGTGTGTCTAATTCCTCAGCTGATGTTCCTCAAGTTGACGTTGAAAAGGGTCTTTCAGCTACTGAAAATTTAATTCACAATTTGGTAGTTATTCGTTCTCCATTGGTTACATTAGCCAAGAATATTGATGTTTTGAAATCTATGTATACCAGTTTTGGTGAAATTGCCAATCTCAACAGTCAATTATTGTCAGTGGAAAAAGTCAATTCTACATTATTAACTGCAGAAAATATCAGAAAGATTGGATTTTGGTTACCTAAGCTATTCGATTATGCTATCCATACCATCAATTCAGTTAGTTCATTTGGTATTGCAGCAAAAGCAGATGTTTTCTACAATTATAAATTGAAATTGTCTGAATTAATCAGTCAATTAGATGTGTTGAATGTTAATGTCTTGACTACTGAAACTGAGAAATTCATCACTGAATTCGCCTCTTATTATGAAGAATTACGAGCTGAACTTACTAATTGGTCTTTCAAGAATCCAAGTTTGTCATTTGTTGCTACTGTGGTATTAGAATGGATTACTCATCAAAACATCGGTAAGATTGAAACTACCGAGGCTACTTCCAAGAGCATCGAAGATATTGAATTAGAATTCAGAAACCTTTCATCATCAATTATCTTGGCTGTTCAACGAGTCACCGAATGTCAAACAGGGGAAATCACAGAAGAAGACGATGGCTGGTTTGTCAATTCCCAACAGAGAATTACCCAATACATCAAGAACCTCAGATTGAAGATATTATTGGACAAGCTTGACAAATGTATCAAGGTCGTTTCTGAACTTGACCATAATGAAGAAACATCCAGATTGGTATCCGCATTGGCATCATTCACTTATCCATTGCTCAATCACTACTTCAACCTCTGTTTGCAAATCTTCCAAAAGTCAAGAACCAACTACCATGACACATCCAAGGCTACATTCATTTTAGCTACATCCTTACATAATCTTGCCACTAAGGGATTCTGTACTCCTGAACCACCATCTGAACAAAAGGAAGACAACAACTTACAAGAAGGGACCGGATTAGGTGAAGGCTCTGCTGAGAATAACGCATCCAATGATGTCGGCGATGATGAAGATTTAACTGAAGATGCTCAACAGCCGAATGAGGAAAAGCGGGATCGTGACGAGGATGAAAATGATGATGCAGTTGACATTGAAGGTGACATGGCTGGTGATTTGGAAGAGGCTAGTGATCAAGAAGACCAAGACGGTGATGAAGAAGACGAACAAGAAGAGTTGGATGAAGAAGTTGATGATATTGATGATCTTGATCCTAATGCTATTGATGAAAAGATGTGGGATGAAGAAGTCAAAGAAGACAAGAAGGAGAAGGATTCTGATAAAGTTCCTGAGAATTCAAACAAGGATGATAATATGGAGGCCAATGAAGAAGAAGGTGATGATGAAAATAAGCAAGATAATGCCAATGAAGATCAAGGTGATGATAACAAAGAAGACAATGAAGAAGATGGAGAGGATAAAGATGTCGGTGAACAAGAAGATGAAGTGAAGAATCAAGAAAATGAACAATTAGAAGAACATGTTCCCGAATCTGAAGTTTTGGATTTACCTGAAGATATGAATTTGGATGGTGATGAAGAAGAAACCAAGGAAGAGGAAGAGGATGAAGAATTTGATGACAAGTTGAATGATATGATGGAAGAGGAAGATACTGAGAATAAAAAGGAAGAACATGAAGAGCAAGAAGGTGGTGAAGAAGAAGAAGAAGAAGCCGAAGCTGAACAAGGTGAAGCAGAAGATCAAGAAATGAATGAAGAAGAAAATGAACAAACAGAAGAAGACAAGGAAGCTGCTGGAGAAAATGACATTAACGAAGAAGCAATAGAATCAGATGAAGAATTAGTTGGTGAAGACAATCAAGAAGAAGAAGGTGGAAACGACCAAGATGAAACTGAACAAACTGCTGAAGGTGTAGAAGGAGCAAATGATGTTGACAATGAAGATGTCGATATGGATTCTGCCGTCAAACAAGAGATGGGTGAAAAGGGTGAAGGTGCAGACACACAAATCATGGAAGAAAACCAAGATGTTGGTGCTGCTGGTGCTGCATCCATGGATCAACAACAAGACCAAGAAACCAAGGAAGACGACACCGCCGATGATGCACGTGAAAAGGCCAATGAATCATTGAAACAATTGGGTGATTCATTGAAGGAATTCCATCGTCGTAGACAAGAAATTCTTGAGGCTAAACAAGAACAGGAAGAAATGGATCAATCGGCTAATGAAAGACCAGATGAATTCCAACATATTGAAGGTGAGAATGCTGATTTTGACACTCAAGCTTTAGGTGCTGCCGACAAGGAACAAATCCAATCCATTGACGAAGATAAAGCCATTGATGATGATATGGAAGATGTTAAGCCGGAAGAAGAAGACGGCGTTGAAATCAAAGAAGAATCTAAACCTGAAGAAATTGAAGACAAAGAAGAAGCGGATATTGAACCAACTGAAGAAAACCCAGATGCCGATTTCGAAGGAAAGACCAAGAGTGCCTTTATCGGTGAAAGAAAGTTTGATAAAGAAGACAATCAATTGATGATGGAACATGAAGTTGATATCGAAGAAGATGAAGATGTCGACATGGAAGAAGTCAAACAAGATCTTGAACTCGATCAAGACAATGCACCAATTAGTATTGATGCAGCTCGTGAAATTTGGAAACAAAGTGAATTAGCTACCCAAGAATTAGCTTCAGGGTTATGTGAACAATTGAGATTAATCTTGGAACCAACATTGGCCACCAAGTTAAAGGGTGATTATAAGACTGGTAAGCGTTTGAATATGAAGAGAATTATTCCATATATCGCATCTGATTTCAAGAAAGACAAGATCTGGTTAAGAAGAACAAAACCTTCTAAACGTCAATACCAAATCATGATTGCTGTTGATGATTCTAAATCCATGAGTGAAAGTAAATCTACGGAGTTAGCCTTCCATAGTATGGCTTTGGTTTCCAAAGCATTAACACAATTAGAAAGTGGTGGATTGTCGATTGTTAGATTTGGTGAAGATATCAAGGTTGTTCATCCATTTGATAAACCATTCAATCAAGAAACCGGGGCTAGAATCTTCCAATGGTTTGATTTCAAGCAAACTAGAACCGATATGAGACAATTGTGTAACCAATCATTGCACATATTCGAAGAGGCAAGAGCTACTTCTAATACCGATTTATGGCAATTGCAAATCATCTTGTCCGATGGTGTTTGCGAAGACCATGATACCATTCTTAGAATGGTTAGAAAAGCCCGAGAAGAAAAGGTTATGATGGTGTTTGTTGTCATTGACGGTATCAACTCCAAGGAGTCAATTTTGGATATGAGTCAAGTTAGCTATGTTCCAGATGCAAACACTGGAGCCATGACATTAAAGGTGGACAAGTATTTGGATACCTTCCCATTTGAGTTTTACGTTGTTGTTAGAGATATCAACGAACTTCCAGAAATGCTTTCCTTGATCTTGAGACAATACTTTTCTGAAGTTTCGTCAATTTAAAAAAGTTGTATATACTTTGTGCAATAGACTTATAGTTTGAATTAATTTGTTATATTAAACGCTATGTACCCAATCCTTTTCTAATCCCGATTTAAACCAATATTCTATAAATACAATCACATCTTCTTTGGATTATTAACAACTTTTGCAATCAACACTGACATATCATCAAGTTTCCCACCCACGCTTTGATGTCCTCGCTTCAATGTGTCGGGCAAGGCATTAACTTGTTCATTGTATGGCGTGTATGCATAATCATCAAACGCAACTTCCTTTGCTTTAATCAACAACTTGTTGGCGGCAGTCTTGAGGCTATTCTTCTTTTCATAGATAAACTCGTTGATATAGTTCAAGATTTCCGACTCATATAAGTTGTCAGAAATACCGTCGGAACACATGACTATAAGATCATCCTCCTTCAACTGGAAAGACTCCACCCAGGCAATTTCCGAGGGCAACAAGCTAAGGGTCTGAGTTCCAATTTGTTGTGGACACAAGTCCGAAATCATCTGCACTTCATTGGTCTTGATGATTTTCCCATCTCTGATAATATAAAGTTTGGAATCACCAATACTAATCATTTGCAACAAGTCTCCACTCAACATGACAAGCACCAAAGTCGATGATCCATTCAACTTTTGCAAATCCATCAAATGCGAAGTGTGCAAAAAGGAATCATCCAAAATCTGGTCAATGTCTCGCTTGTGCAATGCATGGGGAGAGTGCTGAATCTTATACTCTGTCATTAATCGACTAAATGTCTCCACCATCGATCGTGACCAAATTCCCGAGGATGTTTGAATCCCATCGCTTTCCCATCCGGAAACGCCATCAGCTACAGCCAACACCGTCGACGACACCAACATGGTATCGTCGCCCGCTTTGATCGAAAGTGTATCTGTTGGCGATCCCTTGGGTCTTCTTCTCGGTAACAACGTATTCAATTGGGTAGGATCCGTCAAATCGGAAAGCGAGTTGATCGAGGGCACAGTCGAGCTGGAGTGGTAGCCAAACGAGGCATGGCCAAACTCAAACTTAAACTTGTCGGTAGTGATCTTATTCAATTGATCTTTGGTCATCAAAGGGTATTGCATGTATGGAATAAATTCCGACGTGGGCGTCTCGTCAGGCTGGTTGAACCCGAGAATAAAACTTCTGGCTCCTTGAAAGAACTTGGACCCGCTATAGTCTCGTCTCGTCAATGTTATGGCTCGAGTACGCGATCTTACTATTCGTGATGCGTGGAATATGCCGGACATGGTTAAAGTGCGAAGCAAATGTGGTATATCTAGCAACGCGTGTGTGAGTTCCTAGCGGTAGATGGGTTGGTCTATGGTAATATCCAAGTGAAACAGGAAAAAGCAAAGTTGTGTGTTTATAAAGATATGGTGATGCTATGGGAACTAAAGATTTCTAAAAAAAAAAAAAAAAAAAAAGGAAAGAAAAGGCAAAAAAAGAAACGATAAACTCCGACCGTCCCTCTATATGCAGGTATCTAAGGCATTTCTTGACCGCCCCGCAACTAAGATATGCCATAACTGAATTGATGTCCCTATGTAGCCTCTCCAGCATATCAACTTATAAACAGAAACAATTGTCAATTACTCGACTGGTTGTTCGTTGGATGTTAGCAATTGCGTCCAATCAACATCAGGTGTTCTCGTAATTAACCTTATTAAGCACCCCTAGGTGAACCTGTTTTGTTCCCTTGCGTAAAAAATAAAATATTTTATATGAACCCATTATTTAAACCTCAATCTAAAATAAATGCACAATCAAGGTTTAATTTTGGCGCGGTGCGCATTGTTCCCGATTTCGGAGTATAAGCAATTCGCACACAGCGCATGGAAACGGCCAGTGCAATGCGCTTTTCTGTTTACCTTACTATTCATATACTTTTATATACAACAAATTAAACTATTCAGCTACTACAGCTTCGTGGATGGTCTTGTATGGGGCATTGAACCCGGTGTGGATCTTGAACTGTCTTTCTCCTTGGTTAACCAACATCTCTACTCCAGGAATAACATTCCATTCGTACTTGTCCTGCGCCAACTTCATGACTGGGGTGACTCTTGGTTTGTATGCGGCTTCTAATAAGTTTGGCACAAATCCTCCTTGTTTAGATTCGCTTCCCTTCAATAAAAGCGCTTCAATCTTGACAAGCAAGTCCTTGTCTAATTCACTGGTGGCAGGAACGCAGGAAACAACCAAGGAAACAGGTTCGGATGCATCAACTTGTTCCTTTGTTTCCAAAATTTCAATATTGTAGTCACTAGGGAATGATTCCTTGATTTCGTGCAATTTAGAACTAGTACGGTTAACCCAGTAGATCTTGTCACATCCCATTTCGTGCAAGGCGTAAATGGCTGCACGTGAAGTACCTCCACCACCAATAACTAACCCGTTGACCTTGGAGTTTTCAATGCTTGGAACACCATTTCTGATAAAGGAGTTGATAATACCCACATAATCAGTATTATCACCAAAGTATCCACCTTGTACTGGAATCAAAGTGTTGACGGCTCCAATGACTTTAGCAGCATCAGATAATTCAGTAGCATACTTCATGATCTGCAACTTCAATGGCATAGTTATAGCTAACCCGCCAAAATCAGCTTTGTCCTTGATCAATTGTTCGTAAACTACATCGGCATCTTCAGCCTCAAATCTGTCAAAAGTATAAGGCAAGTTCAACTTTTCATAACCTGCATTGTGTAAATTTGGGGATCTGGAATGTTCAATAGGTGATCCAATAACATAGAACTTCTTGTGGGTAAATCCACCAATTTCCGTGAACGCCTTGTTGATTTCTTTGATTGATAATTGTCCGGTTCCAGTTGGCTTGTTTGGAATCAATTCATGAGTGATTGGAGTCAAGATTGGATTCAAGACACGTGACAATTTCCCTTGTTCGCCCATATTTACAGCAATCAATGGCTTCAAGGTGTTTTCTCTTCTGAAAATTTCCAAATCAATATTGTCCTGGAATGACTTGGCAGTACCCACCAACTTGACAATGTCCGCATTCAATGACACTGCTTGGTTGTACTTGTTCTTCCATTCGACATTGTTCCATTTCAACGCACCGGTAAAATCATGATGGGATCCAATGATTCTTGTGAATCCCTTGTTGGCCAACACCTGTTCAATTACCTCATTAGGAGTAGTCAATTCCAAATCTAAATAGCCAACACCTAACTTAATACCAAGCAATAACAATTCTCTCAATTGATCGACATTTTCCTCCGGGAATGATCCACCTTGAGATTTGGTTCTCACAGTGTAGACAATTGGTAAATCAATGTACTTTCTCAAGATAGCTGTTTGTTCAGCGACAAAAGTAAGCGAGTAATCCTTCAAAAGATCAACTCTCAATTCTACAGCATCTGATCCAATAACAATTTCTTCTAAATGCTTGGCTTCATTCAAACTAGGGAAGGTTAAGGTGACAAAAGAAGATCTACCCCTTGGAACAGCAACCAATTGTTGACCAGTAATAGTCTTGACGAAATCAATGAATGAGCTTCTCAAATGGTTGAATTCGACATCGTTGGCACAGTGGCTGGAATAGTAGTGATAGTTGGAGCATTCTTGGTACCATTTTTCACGTCTTAACCAAACTTCTTTAATTTCATTGGTATATGCTGGTCTGGAAGCATCGGCCGACAAGAAAGTAACAGTTTCGTCCAAATCACGGTGTAAATGCAACACAATACCTCCGGATTTGACATATGCCTTCAACTGACTTCTGGCTTCTTCACCTTCAACAATTCCACCACCAGTAGAAAGAACGTAACCTTGGGAATACTGGGTAAAGCATTCCTTGGCAATAATGGCTTCCTGTTCACGGAAGTATTCCCATCCTTTATCCTTGATCAATTCTCTAATATCAACTCCCAACTTCTTTTCGAGGTATTCGTCCAAGTCCAAGAACTTGAAGCCTAAGAATGAAGCCAACCACTTGGATAATGTAGACTTACCAGCAGCTCTCATACCAATGACAATAATACTTTTATCACCATTACCTTCAACAGCACTAGCATCTTCCACATTGAATGGCAACTCGTAACCATCAAGAGTAACATTGAACTTGGAATGCAAGATATCCCACCAACCAGGCCAGGTCTTTCCCGTAGTTGATCTTTCCAAAATCAAAACTGGCTCTTTACACAAACCTGAAATCAACGAGAACGACATGGCAACACGATGATCGTCATACGACTTAACCCCTCTCTTTTCCGTAGATGGAGTCTTTAACTCGTCAATGTCTACCCCGTGGATTTCAATACCATCGGGTAATTCATTACAGGTGACACCATACTTGGCCAACTCATCAACCATGGCTTTGATACGGTTACACTCCTTGACTCTTTGGTTAGCAATACCGGTGATTGAAGTAGTTCCGTTTTTGGCCACAGCAGCGACAACCGAGGCAGTCAAGAACGCATCGGTCATTGGTTCCATATCAACATGGGGCAATGGTTTCAAAGTACCTCTTGGTGGACCAGTAACGGTGGTGGAAGTGGCAGTTTGTTCAACTTTGCATCCCATTGGTTTCAAAACATCAACGGCAAATCTAGCGTCACCTTGCAATGAGGAAGATCCAATGTTTGGAACAGTAACTGAAGTACCAGTCATGGCAGCAAATGCTAATGGATAAGTAGCAGAAGAAGCATCAGATTCAATAACGTATTCTTCTGGGTTTGTGTAAACACCCTTTGGAATGTGATAGGTGTGTTCTTCGGTGGATGATTTGGTGACTTCAATACCAAAACTTTTCATCATGGCACATGTCATGTCGATGTACAATTGAGAAATTGGCTTACCGCCAACTAAAGCTAATGTGACTGGTTCATTGGCATAGGGAGCACACATCAAGATGGACGAAACGTATTGGGACGAGATAGTAGCAGCCAATTCAATTCTACCACCACGTAAGCCCTTACTGGCTTGGATCTTCAATGGCAACGATCCTTGTTTGTTCAAGTATTCAATTTCGGAGCCGTTGGAAGTCAAGGCATCGACCAAAGGACCAATTGGTCTTTCTTGCATTCTAGCATTACCAGTCAAGACAACGTGTTGTTCATTGGTTTCTGGGTTGACGCCAACTAAAGAAGCAACAGTGGTTAAGAATCTAGAGGCGGTACCGGCATTACCCAAGTATAACTGTTCGCCACAAGTGACCAAGTTACCACCATTACCCTTGACAACAATGGTTTCACCATTATCTTCAGTAGAAATTTCTGCACCTTGCAAAGAAGCAACAGCATCTAACATGTGCTTGGTGTCGTCTGAATGTAACAAGTTCTTGATCCTGACAGTTCCGTTACCCAAAGCAGCCAACACTAAAGCTCTGTTGGAAATAGATTTGGAACCAGGTGGGACAATAACAGTGGATTGTGGGATTGCCTTAGGGTCAAAAGGATGAACCAAAACTTCATCAGTTAAAACAAAGGTTAAGTCACGTTTCGAGACTTCATGAGCCTTCAATTGGTAACATCTTCCGATCTTTTCCAACAAGACACATCTAATTTTAGATCCGTCATTCTTCTTATCAATGGCCATCTTCTTTAAAAGAGTTTCAATTTCAACATAGTGACGTTTAGTTCCAACTTTCTTCAAGAAATCTTTGTCGTCGATAGAGATTGGTAATCCGTAATTGGCAAGACATTTAGATAATCTGGCAACGGCAACTGGAGGCAAAATGCCCAAGTATCTTGATAATTCAGCTTCTTTAATCATACCTACGGAAACACATTCACCGTGCAATGCTTCTGGCGTCAATACTGCTTCAATGGCATGACCAATGGTGTGGCCAAAGTTCAACAAGTTTCTCAACCCGGACTCCTTTTCGTCGGAAGAGACAACAAAGGCCTTGACCTTGACTGATTCCAACACAGTCTTGACTAATTCTTGCTTAATCAGCAACAAATCTGGATGCTTGGAAGTGACCACGGCAAGGAACTGGTTGGCGAACTTTTCCAAACGAGTGAATTCCTCTTCATTCCAAATAGCGGCGGTCTTGATGACCTCAGCCATACCGTTGATAAACTGTCTAGGAGGTAAAGTTTCCAAGAAGGAGATATCACAAAAGACGTAATCCGGTTGATGGAATGCACCAATGAAGTTCTTACCTAAGGGAGTATCAATGGCAGTCTTACCTCCGACAGAAGAGTCAACCATGGCCAACAAACTTGTAGGAACCTGTATGACCCTAACTCCTCTCATGAATGTAGCAGCAACAAACCCAATCATGTCACCAATGACACCACCACCGACGGCGATAATCACGGTGTCTCTGGTACATCCTTGTTGTAACAAAAAGTCTTCGACGGCGGCCTTAGTGGTTCTGCTCTTGTTGTTTTCGCCTGGAGGGACGTAGTAGGAAAGTAATCTTGATTCGGGTCTTTCTTGTTTCAATTGGGTTTCGAAATTAGTTTTCAATTTGTTGAACGGTTGCGTTCTGGCGAGATTGGTATCGGTGATTATGACATAAGTAGACGAAGCCTTGTTAGCGATAATTTCGCTGACAATGTGGTCTTGAATGCCGTATCCGACGTGTATGGTATCCTTACCTAAGATTGTCACTTTTTCAACTTTAGACATTGTTAGAACAAGTGGGGGGAGGATGTGACAATAGCTAAGCTTGAATAAGTGTGAGAAATGAAATGTGGATGTAAATTGGGGGTAGGAACAAGAGAAGGCTCTTTCTTTCTTTGGTGATTTTTATGACTAACAATTTTTTTTGGCAGCGATGAAAAATGCGAACAAAAAAAAAATAAAAAAAAAAAATTCCGGGCCGGAAGTCACGTGGAACGTCTCATGTGCAATCTCTCGCGCTTGAAGTTCACGTGCGCATATTCACGTGCAGTGTCTCCCGGTGTTGTTTCACGTGACCGGTCGGAAGTTGCATTGTATTACAGATCTATGTACAGTTTTCTACAGTGTATACTTCGAGATGATGGTTTCCACAAACTTGAAACAGTCTTCGCGAGTAGCTCCGACGTTATCCAATTGCCACACCAAGATCTCATCATTGACGCACTTCAACCAAGGCCCAGGCTTCAAGTCTAACTTCTTCGACAAGGTAGTACCATCCAATAACGGCTTCACAGTATGCACGTCTGCGAGTCCAAGTTGGTCGATAGCTGCAAACAACTCCTCGTATTTGTGGACATTATCGTTGATAACTCGATTGATATGCTCGTCATTCAACATTTCCTGGCTCGATTCCGGAAACGGAGGCAACTCGGACAGGATATCTATTGCTCCATGCAAATCGTGCATACAATCAAGCAAGCAATCGGTTATAAGACTCAATGGGGCAAACCCTGGGAACTGTCTGAGGTACAACCCCAAATCTGACCTTTTCACAGTGGTTGGATCCTGGAATAGCTGTTTGATTACTCCCGTTTGGTATTTGTAATTTTGCGCGATAGCTTGCACTTTAATGACATCGCTTCGCTTGGACTTGAGTCCGTCTTTCATGAATTTGGTAATACCATCATGGTTGGGTTTGCGAGGCGGGAGGATCGAGTACGGCTGTAATATGATGGCTAACCAAAAGATATTCATCGAATCTTCATTATGCAACAACTCAGCAAACGCATGTCTAAACTTCTTGGTCGAGTTCACAATGATATGTTTGAAATTAGGGTAGATTTTTGTGGATAATGCTAGTTGAGCAGGCATCTTGTCACAAGCCAATTTTAACTCTTCCTTGGTGAATTCATTCTCCAAAGAATCAACATAGAAAATAGACCGGGCCAACCCAATATAGTTAATCAATTGTAATCCGTACCCTGGATTCTTACTCGTCAATATCTTTCTCAACTCAATCTCGATCCTCTCTTTACTAATCTTTGTCAGTAATGCAATCTTGTTGTGTTCCTCCTTCATAGCACATAACGTCTTTTGTTCAATCATGAAATTAAACTTGCTGGCAAACCGAATCAACCGAATGATTCTCAAAGGGTCGTCTAAAAATGTTTGAATTGGCGGTAACGGAGTGCGTAAGAGCCCATGGTGCAAATCTTCCAACCCCTTGCCGGTGAAATCCTCGATCTTACTGTGATTCAAATTGTAAAACAATGCATTCAACGTAGCATCTCTTCGCAAGGCATCCTCTTGCGGTGTCCCGAATTCAATCACAGGAACTCGACTATCGAGACTATATTCTTCCGATCGCAAATTAACAAAATCAATGTCGATGCCGTACAATTTAGTAGTACACGTTTCCAAATGCTTGGACTTGTCTGGGTTCTTCTTAATGGTGTGGAGAGTATGCATATCCAAATCAGGCTGGTACTTGCTGACGTAATCCAGTAACCCATGGGCGAATTGTTCTCCGGTCAAATGATTCACGGCAATATCTATGTCATGACTCTCGTTCCCTAACAACTTATCCCTGACCCACCCACCAGTGATTCTCAATTCAAGTTGATCTTCTTCACCAATGCCATTCTGGGTGTTGTAGTAATTACAATATTCCACTAGCAATTCTCGAACTCGTCTTTCTGGAGCAGTAAGTGTGATGTAGTCACACACTGGACGTTTCATACTACTTTGCTGATAACTAAGAAACCTGGAACCTAATCGTTGTTGATAGAATATACTACAGGCAAATCTCTTCATTAACACATTCACCGGATACACACAGTGATATTGAAATGAAACTTGGTCTAATTTAGAACGTGCTGTGTGACTAATAACTAGCCATCTCAAGTTATAAAAATCACAGTCAAAGAAAAAAAAAAAATACGGAATAGCAACAAAAGAAAAAAAAATTTGTTCAGCCTGGCACATACAAAAAGTTACTACGACAATTGAATTGCCAACAATCCTACTGCTTTCCCAGGTTGAACCGGTGTCATGTTTGGTGCAAGATGTAGTCGCATGAAAAAAATGAGCGGTACGGGAATCGAACCCGTGACACCTGCTTGGAAGGCAGATATGTTAACCACTACACCAACCGCCCCTTACTTTTTTTTGAAAAAAAATTCGCGTTTTTCAGTATATGATTATGTCACGTGTTGTAAAAAGTTTATGTTGCTTTTTCATTTGCTTGTAGATATAGATCCTCTCCATGATAAAAGACTAATGCGTACAATTAACATGCTTATGAGGCTTGAGGAGTATGGCATGATTGATTTACAATAACGGTTAGTCATCATTTGAAAGTCTCCTTCTTCTAGAAGGACCTCCTTTTCTAAAGATGTTTTGTCATTTTTGTGAAGTAAAAATGACAAAAACTTCCATGCTAGCTCCCCTTGTGAGAATTCTTAGTAATAGTGGGGAATCTTACATTCAACTTCGCATACACTAATGAACTGGGGGAGAGGGGGGGAGCGGAGGGGGGTATTTGCGGCTGTACCATTGTGTATTTGGTGATTTTGAATGATGCTTGCAGCCATAAGCTTTCATTCTCCAGAAATGATGGAAAGGTTCCGTTTCTAATAATTCTCCACGCGCACTAAATGGTCCTCACATAGCGATTGGAATCTGGAAATCCCTCTAGTTAATTCCGAGTATACGAAATATTTTACAAAAGTTAACTATCATGAGGTTGATCCGGTTCCAGGTTGCAGTTTTTCATATTGTTACTATGAATTTAAAAAATGCCCAATAGTGCCTTCGCGAACGTATGCACGACTGATTGGTTGATTTAATTCACTACCTGCTGCCTCTTTTGGCAACAATAAACATTAGGTGGCAGTCCCCTAGTTTTTTCTGGATATTGACGAACTTTTTTCTATTGGCCACGAAATAAAATCAGTTGACGCGTAGTGTTGTTAACCGCAACGCGCCAATTTATAACAGACAGTCACACTTACACATATTCATGACCCTGAAATTATGCAAGTAATAGCCACGGAGATGTAGATCTCAACAACAGAAACCAGATGATTGTTTTTCCCATGTCGTCATTTACGAAATAATTTTAATCAGGCCCCCTGGCTGCGCCTACGTCATGAAACTTTCTGAAACAAAAATTACAATGCACGAAAAAAGAAAAAGCAATTTCCCTATTTTTAGATTTTAAAGTTTCACACGGGAATTACGATTGATACAAAAAGAAGTGGAAGTTTCCAATTACGTTTTTTTTTTGACAACCACAATAGGTAAAATACACATCACTACCACCAAAACACCATGTACTTGCTTGATATAGATAAAAGAGACGTCTTCACCAATGCTAAAACTACCGCCCAGGCATTCAGAAGTTGGGACACATGTATGGCCAATAGGACATGTAAGATTGTGGCCATCGTCTTGATCGTATTGGGAGGATTACTAGTCATCTGGGTCGTGACGACCATATTCCAATGTTTGTTCATGGGAGCTAAATGTATTGATGCTTGTTGCTGCTGCTGTTGCAGAAATTCAAACAAGAATGCATATGTCGAGAAACAGCTGGATTATCCAAACCCTAATATGTATCCTCCTCATACTCAACAGCGATATGCATATCAACCACAGCCTCCTCCTAATAATGCTTATTTCCCTACTGATAATTATAACTCAAATGACAACAATTATGGTGGAAGCAACTACAGCTCCAGTAATTATAATAGAGGCTATGAACCGGTTCAAACTAACGCTGGAAGAGATTCACCATTTGACGACCACAACAAGTCTGAATACAGAGGGTACCATTGAAAGGGCCCAACTTAGGTTTACGAAATTATGTCTTATTTTATAGCTGGGTTTAATTTATATAGTAAGGTTGATTTTAAAGAAATTACTAAGGCTTTTAACGTTCTTGTGTTGTATAAATATATCGTTTTATTCGAGAGATATTAAAGACTTGTGATTCTCTGACTTTGAATGAGAAGCTTCTTTTTTTTTTTCAGTGCAAAGGCTGTTCTCAATTGTGGAGTCTGTAACGCATAGAGACTGTCTACTTGGATTAATAATTACTCTATTTTGATCACCTTTGCTTTTAAGCACTGCTTTGTGGAATACAATAAAGTAACAACCATTTGACAATATCTAACATTACATTATAAAGTGTGAAAATTAGCTGTAGGGTTTCTCCTGAATAGAGTAAATGGAACTAACGGTGGAGAAGATTAATGGGCCTGGTTAATTGTCAACTACGGTAAATATAAATAATAATTCAATCCGCTTAAAAGGTAATTAGAAGAAATATACGTTATGAAAGAGCGTATGCACTATCAGTTAAGTCATTTACGTTTTACGTTTCATATTTCACATTTCACATTTCAAATAATTATTGGGAATTTTGACAAAAATTTCACTATTTTTTCACTGATCTTGCTTGCAATAAAACACGTAAAATTTTGCTCTAGAATCAACATTTATGAGTATCCATGCAGACTTTAAAGGAATAGACTTCAACATCATCTTTTGATTTAAATACCTGCAAGAAGCAATCTTAAATTTGCAGCAGATTAAAATTACGTAAGATCTAAATGCACTGTCGCAAATTATTTTTTCATCTCGTAAATAGTAAAATTAACTATGGAAAGACACGTGGAAAACGCGTGATTAAACTTTGAGCGCTTTGATATATGAAAAACACCGACATCAAAAACATCCGAGATAGTTTAGTGGCTAGAATTACCGTTTGTCGCATGGTAGACCGGGGTTCAATTCCCCGTCTCGGAGCATTTCCCTAAGCGCAAATGGTTTAGTGGTAAAATCCAACGTTGCCATCGTTGGGCCCCCGGTTCGATTCCGGGTTTGCGCATTTCTTTTTAATTTTTGCCTACCTGGGCTAGTTAGTTAAATGGAGAATTGACTGTGCTAAATTTTTGGTATAGAAACTGACATAGTGGAGTCCATCCCCCCCAAATAAAAATTAAATTGTGGGCAAAATTAAAAAAAAATAGTATAGTGCGGTACACCATCTCATCCTACACCAATGTCTAGCAATCAACCCCAACAAGACTTGATATTCTTTACTGACAATTCATTGATCCCTAGCGATGTATTATCCTCACAAGCCTCCTATTTGTCAATAATAACCCATGTTCAAGGAACATCACCTACATGGTTGATAAATTCGTTGATCGAGACCGCATTGATGGGCACGGCATCGGTAGTGAACTCCGATCTTAAACGTATACCTAAACGATCCAATGTTCTTGTTGCTTCATTCTCACATCCCCACGAGTTTTACGTGAGAAATTGTAAGAAAAATGGATTGGATCTTTCAAGTAATCCTCAGTTTGAGTTTGTGGATTGTTTCTCAACATTGTTTACTGAATTAGTTAGCAAACCTAGCGATGCCAAGCGTGACGTTGATGCATTGTTTGATAAGATCGTTAAACGAGTGACTAATCCAAACATGGCCGTCTTTATTGAAGCTCCAGAGACGTTGTTGTATGCAACCAACATCTCCAGTTCTGATTTGTTATTCAATTTAACCAAAATCAATAAGAATTGTCGTCAATTGTATGTGATCAGTTCCAAGGATTACCCCCAGTATGTTGACTTTGACACCACAAACCCCCAAGATGTCTCATTCAAGACAACCGATTTCTTGGTTAAGTTACACCACAGATCTCTGTTGAACATCACTCTCGAACCATTATCTACGGGCCGAGCCAAGGATATTACAGGAAGCATAACCATCTCACGCGGATCAATACCGTATGAAACAGTCAAAGTGAACGAACGAGAATACATCTACCACGTAACCAAAGACTCAAATGTCAAATTGTATTTCAGATAAGAAAGACCCCCCCAACTACCGTCTCTTCATGTTCCTATGTAAATTATATAAATCATCCAATGCAAATTCTATAGAACATCTTGTCCACAATAACGGGAACAACGGCCACACCGACCGCTCACCCACTAATACCCAATAGGGAATATTCTCCATGGTTTTGTGCACGTCAAACACTCGTCCGAAATCCCGCATCAAGTATCGAAGTTCAGGAACAATTGTAATTTCTCTAATGGAAGCGAGGGATTGCAACTGGGACGGTTTCTCGTCAATGAACATTCTCTTCATGGTATCATTCAATAGCCCGAGTCGGTTCAACACGTTTAACCGATGTTGGATCTCCATGCCGATAATGTTCTTGATGTGTTTTGTAAAGTTGTATCCGGTATCTTTAGTGTACTTTTTAACTTCAGCACGGTTCCCACCAAGATCTTCATATGTTCTGGTTGTGGTTGTCCTGTCATACTTGACCTTGCCGAACTGATCATAATGCTTCAAATCATTGTTGATTAACGGGGCAAGGTAGGGACGTGCCAAGCTTATAATAAAGTGGTTGACATTGAATAGCTCAGTTAATCGTGTATATGGAGATTGTTTGGGTATTGTAGTTTCCGAATCGTTCCTCTGAAAGAATTGTTGATTGTATGTTACATCTTGGGGTTTCAAAAACTGTACGTCAAGATCAGGATTTTGTAAACTGATTTCGTTATTGTAGTCCTTGACGTATAATTGAACCGTGTCTGATAGCACACCAGTACCTATGGACGCATAAATCGCTGTCCAAATAATAACATTAGGGGCAGTAACGTAGTTTAACAACGAAGGAACAGCTTGATTTGTGGGATGCACAACAATGTTTAAAATCTTTTCCGTCTTCATGTATGCTTCTTCAAAAGTGACATCACCAATTGTATCCCGGACAAATTTCATAAAGATTAGTATGTCCTGCGAGTACCCCTTTTTAACGACATTTTCAATCACATTCCCATATATCTCATCAACGTCGTGGTTCAAGATATCGATATTCTTCATTAACTCTTCAATAGACATTAATATTGGAACCAACTCTTTGTCAGTTAACGTACATACCAATGAAGCGACGGCTGCACCCACGGCACTACCGCCAATTATCCGAGGTAACAACCCCTTCAAGTACAACGCTTTAACCACACCCAAATGACACAACCCAAACAAGGACCCACCTTGCAAAACCAAAGCAGTACACCCAAACGACTGTCTTGCATCATGGAAAAAGTCCAACTTCAACTGACGACTATTCATAATGAACTCATCGGTATCGGAGTTTAACGTCTCATTCAAATAGTCCAAACAACTCAACACTTCATTGATATACTCCTCAATCTTGAGCTTGGTGCCCATGTACGACTTCAAATAAAGCCGTTTCTGAGAAATGCCCCCAAAGTTTCTAATCAACCCTGATCGCAAAAGCGACATGATTTTGCGGGCGTCCCCGTTGGCACGGGCTTCCAGAAGTACCTTGATCCGGTCATTCACCAACACATAGTCGTAGTGTCGCGACACGAAGTTCTGACGCCAGAGGTCCATATTGGTGAGTTTGTCCACCTCCGCCGCGGTCTTTTTCCACTCATTGTACGTGACGACGTTCTTGAGTTTCTTCAAGTACTCCCGCAAAGGATCTTGGCGGTTGTAGAAATGGTACACTTGCTTGAGCCAAAAGAAGCAGATGTCCATGATGAATACGAGTAGTTCCCAGATATATCGCGGAGCAAGATTGATAAATTTGGAAATACACGGTAGTAAAGTTAACCAATTCATTTTATATACGGTAACAACTCACAGGGTAACACGGTTGGGAATTTTCACCTGTTTCTTGTAGTAGCGAAAGAATGCTGGCATGTGATTGTTACAACGTTCATCGCTCGTACGGTTTTTTGTTTTTACCCCACCCCCGCACACAAATCACATGACGGCTATTACACAAGTCTATACTTTGTTTCATACAATTTATAACAATATACTATGATTATACAAACTAATCCTATCCCTACTTGGCCTCCGAGGCTGATCGCATAAACTTTTTACTCCTACTGAAAAGCTTCTTCCCAAAATTAGAAGCATGGGCTCCGGTATCCTTAACAATCGACACTTTGCTGAGGATACTTCCATGTCTTCTAATTTCACTATGAGCAGCGTTCTGATAAGCATCAGTTGCAATCTTTCCAATGTGTATGTGTTGATCAGGGTCCACCTGTTTCAAGGTAGCCATAAGCCAATTCTGCAACCCCGTGTCATACTCGGCTTCCTTCTGTTGTGCGTCTTTCAAAGCCGCGATTCGGTCTATGGGCTGGGAAATGGCGGTGATTTTCTTCCAATCGTAAACAGGGTACTTTGCAGGCACAAAGGTTGGTACTGTCTCTGCCGAAAGACCAGACAGGACGGATTTCCTTTGACTATCAGTCTCGGTGGAAACGGCCGAGATGTCGGACAACCGGTTATTTTCTTTTGTGGGACTCAAGAATTGTTTCTCCTCCTTGGGACTCAACATCAGGGTATACTTTGGCGGCAAATTGTCAGTGGATGCTCCAGGAGTCAACTTCTCTTCCTTGAACAAGGGTTGAGAATATTGATGTTCTTTCAAAACGGAATCAACTGTAGTACTAGTCATAATTGTTGGATTCATTGATTGGGTCTCATTCACAGGAGACGGCGAGTACACATCAGGTTCATCATCTTCTTCATCAATCGTCTCATCAACTTTAGGCAATGATGCATCCACAGTCTCAGGAACTGATATCGAGCTAGTATTTGATTTCTCCTCTTCTTCTTCTTCTTCACGAATAGAATTATCATCATTGTAGTTTACGAATTGGTTTCTGAAATTATCGGTATTCGGAGTCCATCCTCCAAGATTAAATGTAGCATTACTAATGGTGGATACTCTTCTTGAATCGGTCTTTAGTGGAGCAGGTGGCGCAAACATATCTCTTTCGATATCGCCATTACTTAAATCTTTATTGTCTGGTTCCACTGATAACTTCCCAGTAGACAAGGAGCCGGTGGATGCCAGAGCATGCAATCCAGATTCTTCCGGTCTAAGCTCGTCCTCTTCATGTGCCGATCTATCACTGACACTTTCCAGTTGTTCAAGTGGACTTATGATTTCTCTCAACTTGCTTGAGTCCAAAGTATCTGACTTAACCATAGGTGGCTTCCTCACTGATGGTTTCCTGCTTGATAAAGTATTCATATACTCCCCATGTTCTTCTAACCTGGCAGTCGACAACGGTCTAATCGGAGATGTTTGGTCATCATTGCTATAGTTGATATACGAGGCATAGATACCAAATGACAGGTCACGAGCTAAGTTCGAAGAAGATTCAGACTGGTCAATTGTAGAAGCATGAATATCCTTGATTAGCTCATCAATACTATCTTTGCGGGTGTCGGCAGGAGCGTCCAAATTACTGCTATGCTGACTATTGTATCCCCAATCATCATCATCGTCGTCGTCATCATCCGACGAGCTATCGTACTTTTTCTTGTCAATGGAAAGAACAAATGGTTCTGGTTCTGCTGGTGGCACCACATCAGGTACAAACGAATCGGAGCGCTCTTCATAGCTGTCATCATGACCTCTTACCTTAAGGTTCAATTCTGTTTCCTTTTGGATGGAGTAGTCAGACTGGAAGCTTGTTTCGGACATGGGCGTGTCTGGAGGTTGATAGAGTTGTTTTCTGAAGTCACGATCAAGGATTGTTTGTTCTATGTTATGATCGGTTGTTATGGGAGATAATGACTGGAAATTCAATGATTCTTCTGAGAGAGGTTCTTTTTCCTGGGGCGATGCTTCCACTGGTGTGTGAGCTTCTTCTTCTTCTTCTTCTTGTTGTTGTTGTTGTGGTGGTGGTGGTGGTGGTGGCGGTGCGACGGATTCAGCTTCTGTAGTAGTGGCGATATCCTCAGGTTCATGCGTGTCTTCGTGGGTCTGCTTGACGTCTTCGAATTCGTCATCACTGCTATCATACTCAGGTTTCATTCTGTCAACAGACAAAACAAGCTCTTCTGGTTTGGCCTGCTCTTGCACGGCCTGTTTCAAGTTGGGCAAAGGAGGTAAATTCTGTGGCAACTCAAACTTTTGTGGTATTGGCTGTTGTCTCTGTTGTTCGTGATCCACATCGTCGTCTTCGTAATCATCGTATCCGCCATATGCATCGTCGTAATCACCATATGTAGGCACTGCTTTCTGCCATCTGGTTGATTTTTGTCTTCCGAATTGGTCTGTCATTGTTGGTTGGTTGTCCACAAGAGGAATCAGAGTAGGATTCGTGTTACTTTTTTTTTTTTGTTATTGATTTGGGAATGTCGCGACATTGAATTTACGTCATGAATCTCCAACGCTAAACGAGGTTATAAATCTACATAATAAACTGAATATTCATGTCCTGTGGATGGGATGAACTCAATTGTGGCTTTTGCGAGTACTTTTCACTCAATAAAGTTCTCATATTGTTCAACAAGGACAAATATGACTGGTTAGGATACTTGGTCAAAACAGTAATAAATGACCACGACATAGCACCAGTAGCAGTACCATTTTCTCTCGCATCAGCTGAAGTTTGATCATCCTTACAGCCGGAAATGGAAATAACATCAGCTGGGGATGCCTTCATCTTCTTAATTTGCTCAGAATCGGTATTACCCAGTCTGGAAACCTTCTTGACGACATTGGAAATGGAAGAAATTGCCCCAAATAAGTTTCCTGATTCATACTGCAAAATTGCATTCAAGGCACCAGAACCAGCATCCTTCAACAAATTAGGTTCCTTCACAACACCTTTGGTCGAGTAAACATAAGGCAAATCCAATGCGGTACCGGAATGACAAGAGTCATACAACGCAGTCAATCTACAACCAGCAGGCAAGGGTCTAACCATGATGGCATGCATGTCGTCGTCAACTATATGTCCCGCTTGCTCGAAATCCACAGGGTATATCACATCATCCATGCCGCTCTCTTCATCGCCGTCTTGATCCTCAGTAACACCACCATGGCCCGAGTAATGAAACACAAGCGAGTCATTGGGTCTAGCGTCCTTGACTAGCCATTGCATGGCACGGATAATGTTGGCCTTGGTGGGGACACGGGCCATTTCTCGTTGGTCATCTGTGAGAATGACAATGTCTTCCCACTTGTATCCCCATCTGTCCACCAAGAACTTACTCATGTTCTTGACGTCATTGATGCATCCTTTCAATTCCTGACGGGAGCCGAAATAGTTTACCCCGACCAAAAGCGCCTTCTTTCTTCCGCTACAGTTGGAATACTGAAATGTGAAATCGGTATTTTGGCCAAAACTTTGTGGTGCTGTTGGTGGTCGCTGGAACGAGGAGTCTTGTGGGGGTTGATATGGCTGTCTGCCGTAGTCACCTGGTGGTGGACCTTCTGGACGAGAGTAGGAGTTGGATGGTGGAGGGCCTGGGGGACGTTGGTACGAATTACTTGGTGGAGGGCCTGGTGGACGTTGATACGAATCGCTTGGTGGAGGTCCTGGTGGGCGTTGGTAGTTGGATTGTTGAGGTGGCGCGCCTTGTGGAGGAGCATAGTAGCCCTGAGGAGGTGGGCCCTGAGGAGGGGCATAGTATCCTTGAGGCGGAGCACCCTGTGGAGGAGGGTAACTGTATTGGTTGGGTGGTGGCCCGTAGTTGTTATAAGAGTGATGACCTGAACCAGGGAACATTGTCTATAGCGAAGGACTGAAGGGAAGAGTGTTGTAAAAGTATAAATTTCATGTACGGATTTTATTTTATTTTTATTTTTTTTTTTTATTTTTTTTATTTTTTTCTAAATCTGTTACTGTCTGCATTAAGCTATACTAAACAATCTACAACTTTGTCTCTGGATCGTTGTTGGCTTGTTCGACAATAGATGGGTACAAATCACCCATAACTCCTCCAATATGCCACCAGGCACCATCTACTACAGAAATTGTACCAGTAATGTAACTAGCAGCAGGCGAAAACAAATACACAGTATTGTCGGCAATGTCTTCAGTAGTCCCCATTCTCTGTAATGGAATCTTATTAACAAATGGAGTCGCCGAAGGTGGCGCTAATCTAGCCATACCTTCAGTACCATCGATCGCACCTGGGGCAATACAGTTAGATCTTATACCCAAGGGACCAAATTCAACTGCAAGGGCATTGCTCAAAGCATCAATACCAGCTTTCGCAGCACCAACGTGAGATTGGAATGGCACACCATAGTAATGCAAGGTTGCACTAACAAAAATAATGGCTCCCTTGTTCTTTCTCAATTGTTCAAAACATGCCTTGACGGTGTTGAAAGAACCAAGCAAGTCAATGGAAATAACAGATTTGAACGCATTGCTAGACAAGTGGTTAAAGTCACACAAGAAATTTCCCGCAGCACCAGCAATCACATAATCAATTTTCCCTAATTGTTCCACGGTGTGATCAACCGCCTTTTTCAAACTGTTGACATCACGGACATCAACGTTACCCAAACCGATAACTTTAGCTCCTGGACGTAAGCTTTCGATTTCTTTAGCAGTAGTTTCAGTTTTTGCCACGTTTCTTCCGATAATTGTAGCATTGGCCCCCAAGAGAACCATTGCTTCAGTTTGAACTCGACAAATGCTACCGGCACCACCGGTGACAAAGACGACTTTTCCTTTGAAAATGTCCGGCTTCCAGGCCGATCTAGTGACGTATGATTGATCTAATGTGTTTCCCATGATAGTTAGTTGGTGAAGAAAAGAGAATTGTCCGAATTTTGTTGGGAATTTACTTGGTTATATAAGGACCTGAATTTGTGGGGTTGAATAAAAAAAAATCCCACAATCGCACCGAGGTCTTGGTTAATATGCACATGAAAATTAATTGCAAAAAAATCTCAATGAAATTCAAGCAAATGTTGCAAACAAAATTTAAATGAAATTTACAGATAGTTGCAAGATGGTTCATTTCTCTATTAGTTTGTATTATGTACAGATCTATATGTTTATGCAGAAAACGCATCATCACCCATATACACATCCAATTGTTTCAACGACAATTGGTACAATAAAAGCATAATCGAACTTTGTATACCTGTCCATATGAATCTTGGTCCAACCCCCGAGAACGGACCCAATATACCCTCATGTTTGTATATCGACACAAGTGCTTTCAAAGTGGTGTTTTTGTTTAATAACCGTATGAGTGGGTTACTGCTTGGTTTGGCCGAGATTGACTCGGACAAGTCTGCGACGTTGGTCGCGGTTTGAATACGGGTCTTGATGACATCCAAGGGGGTAGTTAACGTACCGGCCAACCCACCCGCAGCGGCACCGGTGGCTAACTCCAAGGGTATAGGTAAGTCATTGGATGTGTTGTAGTAGATTGCCCATTGGCGGAATTTCTCATAAAATGCAAATTGCAAGGCACTAAAGGGCAAATCTCTGAATAACGTTTCCTTATACCCAAATGCAAATGTCTTGACACCTTCAGTTTTGGCAATGGTGGATATGGCATTGCCTAATCCTCGATAATTGTATCCGCATTCTTTAGTGAACGGATTGTTGTATTTCCCTTGCAATTGTAACCTTGTTTTCAACACTTCGGAAGGAACGTAAAACACACTCGAGGCCAAATCCCCAAGCACACCGGCGATGAAATACGACACGGTTTCGTTCATATGCAACGTGTGAATCATTTGACGTTTGGTGTATTCATACGTACCGAAAAAAGCTGCTGTAGAAGGCAACGAGCCAAGAATTGCTGGCGTATACCCACCGTACAATCCGCGGAAAAACCCTTCCTCTTTGAGTATAGTTCTATAAGCCGGGATCATATTCTTGTACTTCTTATTGAAGGGGAACCCCTGTTGTCTGGTCTTGACGGTGTCAAGCGAATGCATAGATGTGTCTCCAACCATCCCTCCAAACCCACCAGCCAACATACAGTGCAAGATAGGCGAGTATTGCGATTGGGGTTCACTGGGAGGTTCTTTTCGTGGTGGCGCTGTGGTTATTGTTGGATGATGAGGTTCATGAGGATCAAAACTCAACGGTATTGTGGAAGATGTGAATATTTGTGACATGTCATGAAATGAATGTAGTCAATGTAAGAATGCGGGGGGAAGTGTGCTGACCTCCCGTCTATATGTGTATATGTATAAGTTGCTAGGTATGGATTGTCATAAACACCAACGCCAACAGGGCTGTAAGTTGTTTTTACGAAATCCAAATGGCAAAAAAACAAAAAAAAAAAACTAACGAAAAAAAAAGAAACGGTGTTAAAAGTCGGAAACGGCTTCTGATAATCTCCGACTGCCTGAGTAAACTAACACAACGAACGATCACAACCAGTAGATAATTCGACTAACAAAGTCTAATTGAAGTGAAAACGAAGTTGCTGTGTAATTTGTGGGTATGTTTTGGCTATCCCGGGGTTTGTTGTCAGTTCTTCCGATGGCTACGGGTGGCTCTTTTTTTTTTTTTTTTGGCCCAATTCGATTTGACAAAATTTTTCACCAAACTGATTTTTACGGATTTAAAGAAAATGACCGAGCCTGCTCCCGAGGGTGCTTGTATGCAGTTTACCAACGGTTGCAACATTACCTCTACATCTCTATTATCATTTCTAAACTACTCCAGTATATATCTCCAGCAATCACACACCTACTTGTTGATTGTCGTTCATTGTAACAGCTATCCCTAGTCTAAGCCAATCTAGTCTTGTCTAGTCTAATCTGGCCTGTCTAGCTCGTCTCATATCCTTCGGTCTTCTGCCCCACTGAAATTTTTTTCTTGCCCTAAATATCTCTCATCTTGATCTTTTACTATTCACATCTCACACCCTACTATGATATGATGATTTGCAGAAACATAATAAGAAAAAGCCCGAGATCCCTACAACATATCCGGTCGTATAAAGTCCTAGCCATAGAATCATCATGCGATGACTCCTGTGTTGCTCTTCTCGACAAATATCACCCAGACAAACCACCGCTAGTAATAGACCAATTCAAGAAAACTCTAGACTCAGCAGATGTGGGTGGGATCGTCCCCACAGCCGCCATAAACTTCCATCACACTAATGTGGCTTCACTCGCTAAGGACCTATGTGCCAAACACAACATAAGCAGTACCAACCCTCCTGATTTGATTTGTGTCACTCGAGGTCCCGGCATGGTTGGCTCTTTAAGTTCCAGTATCCAGTTCGCCAAGGGACTATCTGTTGCATGGGACGTCCCACTAGTCGGGGTGCACCACATGCTTGGTCATTTACTCACAGCACAACTCCCAAAGACCGAACAGCCCGACATCGGACCTCCAGAATATCCATTCTTGAGTTTACTATGCAGCGGGGGTCACACCATGGTGATCCTTCTGAAATCACTAACCGACCACGAAATCATCCTCGATGTGAGCGGAATCGCCGTGGGTGATTCTCTCGACAAGTGTGCGCGAGAACTAGGCATGCACGGAAACATGCTCGGCAAGGAGTTGGAGAAGTTCGTCGATGCCATACCACAGGAGGAGATCGACGAGTTTGAACGCATGGATATGTCCACAAGAAAGGCCAATGACTATAATTTCAAATTAACTATCCCGTTCAGCGGCGCATTTAGTAAAGATGATATGTATTTTCAATTTGCCCAATTCTTGAGTTCAGTACAACAATACAAAGCATACTATAAAGGGAAAGTAGACGAAGGCGAACAATACGACCCCAAGACGAAACGAATGTTGGCCTATATGATCCAAGAACGCATTTTCGACCATATGATAAACAGAATCAACATGGCATTCAAGATTCACGGCACTGGTCCAAGAGCAGATGGGAAACTTGTCGGTGTGAAGCATTTCATCTGTTCTGGTGGTGTCGCCAGTAATAAACGATTACGAAAGAAATTAGAAACTGAATTAAAGTTGGATCATTTGGACGTTCCATCCATGACTTTCCATTTCCCCGATTTGTCCTTATGTACAGATAACGCTATTATGATTGGTAATGCCGGTATAAACTTGTTTGAACAATTGAAATTAAAATCAAGTCTTGAAATAATGCCTATTATTAGATGGCCCATGGATAAGATTTTGGATGTTGATGGTTGGATTGAAATGAGTGATGATGAATATAATAATGTACGTAAATTTTAACTTGTATATATATCCTAATAGAACTTGCACATATTCATAGGAGGAGAAACTCGTGTGTATAGAACGGGAACGTTCTAACAACAACATCTGTCTATACGTCTAATTCATCGTCGGGTATTTCATCTTCAGGAGCTTCATCACGATGTCCTAAAAACGACAGTTCTATTTCATATTTTTCAATATAGAACTCCCACGCTTGATAATTAAACCGGGCAATATGATGATGTGTCACTGCTTTATCTTCCTGCTCCATTTCCTGTTGAGTTACTCTCTGTATATACGGTATTCCATCTTGTTGATACAACTTTAGCCTGCCATCCTTGATAAGAAAACTGGTATAGAACAAATTTTCCACCGATTGACCAAAAGACTCAGGATCAATGAAAAATTTAAAGAAATTCATGCCTTCATCAGGAACACCTTTTTCTAGATATGTTTGATAAACCATTCTTACCATGTATGCCGTGTTGTGCTCTTCATTGATGGTGATATCTTCTGCATTGACATTGGATGCAGTTGTTAAATGTGCAGACTTTGTATCATCCTGATTTCGTGTTCGAACCACTGGCCTCCTTCTTTCAGTTGCCAATGGCCCATTTAGGAAATCAATCAGGATAGGCTTCTTACTAACTTGATGGTACAACACCCCTAATTTAAGCCAATTTGTCTTATTGAAACTATACTCATCAGGCTCTTCCTCGTCTTCCTCATAATTACCTTCTTGTACTGATCTTCCAGCAAATTCTTTCAAACTATTCATAAAGTCCTCTTCATTAACAGAAATCCCAAGGTCCCCAAGCCGGATATTCCTAGCATTGATCGCAGCGACATCCGATGCTTCCCTAAACACCTCAGAATCCTCCAATTGGATCTTGGTATCCAATCTCAATCGATCATTCTGGATAGCTCCATACAATCGAGTGAGTTCATCTATGTCATTTAGGATAGTGGACAGGGCCTGTCCCTTCAGGGCAGAGCTGAGTTGGGTTTTCATACGTTGTCGAAGCTTCTCATAGTTGTTGAAATGGTCCTGGCGACTGAGTTTCCGCTTACGACTGGCATCCATAATTGATTATATAGTGTTACAGGTGGGTGTAGTAGTTTAGGAAAAGTGTTGCAAATGGGTTCTGTTTTGATACTCATATTTTTTTTTTTACTATGTAAATTTTTGTACTTAACGCGTCTGACTTGATCAACCAAGGGAACACACCATGGAGGAACCACGTCGAATCCAGAAGCTAGATGTATCAGTAGTCAATAAGATCGCTGCAGGAGAAATCATCATCCAGCCAGCTAATGCTCTCAAGGAAATGCTTGAGAACTCAATCGATGCTCAGTCCACCCACATAGAAATCCTAGTCAAGGAAGGCGGACTCAAACTTCTACAAATCACAGACAACGGAACAGGAATCAACCTCGAAGATCTCCCGTTGCTATGTGAACGATTCGCCACTTCTAAGCTAGTCAAGTTTGACGACTTGAGCTCGATAGCAACTTACGGATTCCGGGGCGAAGCATTAGCAAGTATCTCCCACATATCGAGATTGTCCGTCATCACCAAGACCAAAGAGTCGAGTGTGGCATACAAGGCATATTACATGAATGGGAAGCTATGCAATTCCAATTTCAAAGGTGAAGGACAACCAAAACCTATTGCTGGTAAAGTAGGCACGCAAATCATCGTTGAAGATTTGTTTTACAATATTCCCTCTAGATTACGTGGCTTGAAATCCAAAAATGACGAATATGGCAAGATACTTGATATTATTGGAAGGTATGCTATACATTGTGGTGACGTTGGATTTTGTTGTAAGAAATACGGCGACCCCATTCAACAGTTGAACACTAGGCCCAACTTGCCTTTGAAAGAGAGAATTAGAACCGTTTATGGATCAGCCATTGCTAATGAATTGCTTGAAGTTGACACAGAGTATCCTGAGCTTGGATTGAATAAATGTTCAGGGATGATTACTAATTCCAACTACAACAATAAAAAGAAGATCCAACCAGTAATATTCATAAATCACAGGTTGGTCACTTGTGAACCTTTGAAACGAGCCATAAATTCTGTATTCCAATTCTTCTTACCAAAAGATTCCCATCCATTCTTCTATATAAGTTTAGAAATCACTCCTGAGAACCTTGATGTCAATATTCATCCTACTAAACGAGAAGTCAGGTTCTTAAATGAAGATGAGATCATTGAAATTATTGTTAATAATATCCATCTGGTTTTATCTAGTGTCGATAGTTCCAGAAAGTTCAAATCTCAAACAATCATTACTAAAAGAAAGTATCAAGAGAATGAAGAACCAGAGCCGCCTAAAAAGTATAGACAAGAGAATAAATTGAATCGAAGTGATGGAAGACAAACTAAATTGACGGCATACATACTGCAGGATAACATAACACCAATAAAAGCGGACTCCAACATGATTTCATCAACCCAATTAACCAACAGCTTTGGTAGTAGTAGTAGTGAAACCAGTTCACAGAGACAAAGAGTCCAAGTCAATTTAGAGTCAATATCCGAATTGAAACAAGAGTTAACCGAGAACATCCATAAGCCATTAACTAATATCTTCAATAATGCAGTATATGTAGGAATAATTGATCCAGTTAAACGATTATGCTGTTTTCAATATGATGTTACGTTGTATATGTGTGATTATGCTGCATTGCTTCTTGAATTTTATTATCAAATTTGCCTAGATAATTTTTGCAACTTTGGCGAAATCAAATTTGACGAGCCTATATCATTGACTGAAATATTGCAACCATTATATGATATAAAACAAGATTTGCAGCCTATGGAAGAAGTGATTGAGAAAATTGTCAGTATGAAAGATATGTTTGCTGAGTATTGCCAAATAATAATAGAAGATAACGAGTTAACTACGATCCCCATGATTATGCAAGGCATTCAACCCGATTATAACAAACTACCATATTTCTTGTATAGATTAGGAACAAAGGTGAATTATGAAGATGAAAAGCTGTGTTTGCAGATGATACTTCGACAAATTGCCTTGTTGCACTTGCCTGAACCTACATCAGAAGAAAATGAACGCAAGAAATTAGAAATTCAGTTTGAAAGCATTTTGTTTCCGGAAATCAAAAGACAGTTCTTGTCCCCTAAAAGTTTACTACAAGGCGTGATTCAAATCGCTGATTTGCCCGGGTTGTATAAAGTTTTTGAGAGGTGTTAATATATGTTGCAACAGGTATATGTATTATTGTATTTCTGTGTAGTAAAATTTTGCAGCCAGTCATAGCAAATCCAAATGAAGAACATCCTAGAAATTAACAACCAAACTTTACGCAATCATTTCTTTATAGTCACCGCTTGTTGTTCAGTCATGCTAACATCAACAGCTATCTGAATGATGACACAGCAAAGTACTCTATCCTATTTGAGATTGTTGGACCCCCCAACCATGATTGGTCCCACCATATGGGGCAATCCAATTATCCAACGCTCTTTGCTTCAAGGATGAATCATACAAAGCCTATCACAAGTGAGTTAAATGTTGTATGGTTCAGGGGAAATTTCTTGAATAATTCAACATAGTTGGATTAGTTCCCAAGTGAACACAGGGATAGGAATGACATAATGTTTTTTTGAAACTGGATCAAACCGATTGATAGGAATCAACTAGTAGCTGCGATGTTTGCCTTCCTTTTTTTTGGGTCTTGTAATGATTAGAAATTGAAATTAATTGGTATATTCCAAGTGATTGGCATATTCTAATTGAATGATATAGTTGGTTATACATTCTGTATAGCTTATTATTCTATATTTGTTATAGATAAAACAATATCGGAGCATGGTTGGTTTTTTTGCCGAACGAGTCTTTTGAAATGTGCCTATAACTGAAATAATAGTGTGTGTCCCATCTCTAGTATATAGTTAGAACAGTAGCGTGTGCTTCTAGAAACCTGTGTGGCGCTATTCAGAGCTCGCAAGGTATTTGTGACAATCCAATGACAACAAGAACAATTGCATTTAGCGAGATGTTTTGCAATTAGGGAGGATGGAATAACCATTGCATAGGAATTTCATAAGAATGAAACAAATGGTGTAAAGAATTTACAGTAATTACCTATATTTGTATCACCTTATCAGATGAATAAACGGGTGTACGATTCAACAACCAGTCACTTGCACTGATAATAGCTGTTTATTCCTTGATTTGGCACCTGGTAGCATTGAAAGTGACAATGTCTAGACGAGTAATTTAAATCTACTGGTTATTGGTAAACATGTGATTGTTTTTTTTTTTATTTTTTTTTATTTTTTTGCAGCTTTTACCCAAACAATAGCTACCAAGTGGATAACTGTTCAAGAAGTATCAATCTTGACATTTTCAAGTGAAACAAGTGATTACACCCTTTAAGAACAGACATAGCCTGATAATATCCAACCCAATTAAACTTCGTACCTTTTTACTTTGTTTAGTAAAGTTTATTGTTGATACAGTAACCAACATGAAGACATTGCCTCAAACGGGTAATTCCTCGACGACAAAAAAAAAAAAAACAGAATACTCTCATGCGTGAAAAAAAAACGACAGTCAGACAAAAATAAATCTGAATCAACATTAATCCCAGATCTCCCTTTGGTTTAAACCAGTTGACATCGACGACAACAAGGATGATTATTGATAATTCAATCAACGAAAAGTACATCCGAACATTAGCGTTTGGATGTTTTCCCAAGAATGTTCTTGAGTTTCAGGAGTCCCAGGATTTCTTTCAACAAATGATATTTATCGATTATCAGAAACAGTTGATTATCAAAGAAGAACATCACAACAATGACTTGTTCATTCCCGAACTGAAACAAAAAATCAACCAGTTGATCCAATATACAAATTCCATCACTTTGAATTACGAGAATACCGAAAAGTCATTTGAGGAGTTGTTATATTATGTCGTGTTGTTGGCACACTTGTACTATTTGACGGGACAAGTTGACTTCATGACCGACGTGTTGAATTCGATATCAGTTCCTTATAGCATCAACGAAGCCAATTTGACAAGTATGACCAAGAACCAAATCGAACTTGTAGAATATTTACACTGCAAGTACCATATGTTGTTGGGATTGGTCCATGAGAACGGGTTTGCCATTTGGTTGGAATACTTGTCCCACTTCAGCAAACCGTTCACGAAATCACAAGTAATTGCCAACCACTGGTTAGAACTCCTTGATTTGAAGTTAGCCGAATCAATAAGTCAGTCAATCACATTTGACCAAGTTAAACGATTGTCGTTTTTTACCAATGAAATATCAACCATTCAATTTTGTAATTTCTTGATTCGACCAGAAAATATTGACATGGCCGATAGCCAATTTAAATTGGAATATACAACGTTTCTTGTAAGCCAAATTGAAGCTAATATCAAAAGACTGGTAATCTTTCCTAATGCTATGAACAGTAATGATCTGACCATCAATAATTTTATCAACAACTTGTACGAGTCATTAAGTTATGTTCCTTTTAATCTTGCCATTGTCAAACCTACTGTGTCAAAGAGATATCTTATTGATGCTACAAGCAAGACCTACCAGAGCAAAGTGGTATTGTCTAATTTAATCTACACCTTAATCGATTTGAACGAGTATGATGAAGCATTTGTGGCGTTCAAAACATATATTGAGTACTTGGCTACCGAGGAGCAGTTGTCAGGACACATCGACGACATATTGTCGATCATTGATACCTTCAGCACATGCATCATCCACTTTAATCCAATAAAATCATTCAAGAATGAACAGAAGTTCAAACATACCCCTGATTCAATGGTGGAGGCTGACCTCAAGGTGTTTACTGACAAATTATTGTTTTATTTAAACAAGTTGCAAGAGTTTATTGATTTGACATACGATGAGTCTGATACGGAAAATGATTTGTCGTTTTTATACCGGAAATATAATCCAAATATTTTACAGACAGACAATTCTCAATTGATTGAATTGATCGCAAAAGCTTGGTATTCTATCGGATATTACTATTCATTCGTGTGTATGTATGACTCGGTCGATGAAACTACCATGAAGCAAAACGTGACCAAAGTGTTGAAGAACTACAAGAACAGTTTGATTATCAATTCAACCGGTAACATTCTTTATTTGCACAGCTATGCTCTCGCACTTGCAAATTCACAAGCAAACAAATCAGCATTGAAATTGTGCAAGTTCATCCTTAAGAAATACCCGGAATCATTCAAAACATGGAACTTGCTAGTGTTGTTATTGACATCATCTGAAATTGATAATCCCGACACGTCCAAGCCTGATACCACCAAATTACGAGACCTGGAAGATTTCATTAATAAGGCATTGAACATTGCTGGATTGTTCATTATGAAACACCAGGAAAAGGACATAAAACTTTCGTTTATCGAAAAGACCGAGATTCTTGAATTGAAGCTTACGCAATTAGCTGTTTTGGAGTCGATTTACGGTTTGAATTATATGATGGAATACTTGAACGAAGTGTTTATATTGTATCATGAGTTATTCGACGTTGAATTTGACACACCAGCAAGACAGCAACGAGATTCAGCCCGACAATTTGGAAGTTCAGCTAGATGGTCCCACCGTCCTAGTTTCATTGATCCTTCCAATTTACCCCACAAGGATGTTACCAAACTGAGACTGCCAATCTTGGATCCGTTAACAACTGCATCTAACGTGGTGAAGGCCCAAACTGTTAACAAATTAAAGCGACTTTCTAAAATTGGAAGAACTCAAACCAGACTGAGTGTGGTGTCAACCAGTAGAAAGAGCGATAATATCAAGGACCGCAAGCTTTTACAAGGTCTTTGGTTATGGACCAGTCGTGTCTTTATTCGTGCCGGGATGTTGGATGAGGCCGAACAATGCATTGTTGAAGCAGAAGCAATTTACAAACCTAACATCAAAACGTTTACTGCATTGGGATACCTCACTTCCAAGACTAGGAAATTCCTTGCATTGCAAGAATTTGAAAGATCGTTGGAACAAGTGGACAAGTATAATAAGCAAGATCTTGGTTGGACTTTGTTGGGTATGGCTAAACTTATATTTATTGACGATATCACGGACAACTCGTTATTTATATCTGATAAGGATTTGAATGGGGGGATAATAAGAATGAAGAATTTATTGGAAAATTTCACCTTGTCTTGGCCATGCGGAAGTAATAGCTCTGAGGTTTGGTACTATTTATCCAAGATCTATGAAATCATTGACGATAAAATCATGTTGGATAAATCATTATGGAAGTGTGTAGAGTTGGAAGATATTAGACCTGTTAGACTGTTTAGTTGTGATAGTTAGATAATATATGTATGTATGGATGTTTATACACTCAAGCTTTCCCTCCGACAGACATTGTGCAAAAAAAAGTCTTCAAAAAAATTTCAATAGTTGCGTTCACATTGTCTAAGGAAACCAGACAGACACATAATGACAGAACTTGCACCTAAATCAATCGTATATTGCGGTATATGTTCATGGCCACCTGAATATTGTGAATTTGGAGTCAGTAGAGCCAGATGTCAATCATGGTTAGACACCAACCATCATGATCTCTATGAGAAGATTTATACCGAAGACATCACCAATCAAACGTCGACACTTTCCCTTGAAAAGCAAGAAAAGTTAAATAATGATCTTGCCAAGGCCCAACATAAACAAGAATTGAAACAGGAAAGAGAATTGCAAAAGATGTTGAATTCCAAGATTGTCATTAAGAGAATTGAACGTAATAAGCGAAAACATATAATTTCAATTTCTGGATTGGAAGTGTTCAACTTAGATAGTAAGAAGTTGGCAAAGACATTTGCATCTAAGTTTGCAACTGGTGCTTCCGTTACTAAAAACGCCGACAAAACTGAAGAAATTTTGATTCAAGGTGATGTATCTGATGAAGCCAAGGAATACATTGAAAAGCTTTTACAAGATCAAGGATTGAACGACATCAAGGTCGAACAAATTGACGACAAGAAGAAGAAAAAGAAAGATGCAGCAGCAGCTGCTGCTGCTACCACCGCTGGTTCCACCTAAGTTACATCGTTCATCTATTAATATATACTTATAAATACACAAATTAAGAAATTAATTTTGAGATTGACACCTTTTCTTCTTCAGGTGGAGTAGTCCCACTGGCTTTCTGTAATGTAGAAATACTTGGTAATACAACTGTGTTTTCCTCCTTCTTATGAACACTTGCTTCACCAAACTGTTGTGATAAGCTGGGCAATATTGGTGATTTATTAGGTGATGAAGACGAGGACAACAGTTTAACATCAGAATATGAAGTGCTTTTAACAGGAGGCAATTTAAATTCACTGCTGGAAGTGGCGGACATGTTAGTGGTATTTGTTATTGGTGGCAAAGAAATTTCATCTGATTTAATCGGAATGGACTGTGATGCTTTAACTGCAACCGATGCTGCTGAAGATGTTATTGGAATTGAGGAAGGTTGTTGTGGTTGTGGTGGCTGTATAGCTTGTTGTACTTGTTGCTGTACGGATGGTGATATTTGTTGTGGTTGTTGTATTGTCTGTTGTGGTTGATGTTGCTGTTGTTGTATTTGTTGTTGTTGTTGCTGCTGCTGTTGTTGTAATTGCTGTTGTTGTATCTGCTGTTGCTGGATTTGTTGTTGTTGTTGTTGTTGGGCTTGTTGTTGCTGCTGCTGTTGTATTTGTTGTTGGACTTGATTCTGCTGCACCTGTTGTATTTGCATCATTCCTTGTTCTAAAGGATTTGCTGTTGGTAAAGTAGTTAAAATTTGTAATGGCTGCAGTAAGGTTGAAGTAGGTGCATATACAACCGATCCTGTGTTTGTCAATACTGCCACTAACGGACCATATGGGGATTGAACAACAGTTGGTGCCGGTACTGTAGTTGCGGTAGTTGCTAGTGGAGTTGCACCTGGCGCTGCTCCTGTTGTCATGGGTTGATGAATTGCTTGGGTTACATATTGCGGGCTTAGGTTTGTGGTTGGTTGTCCTGGTGCATATGGTTGAACTAATTGTACATGTTGTGGTGGTGCGTGTATTATGGTGGGTATACCCTGAGCATTTACAGTATTGGCAGTTGCATTTGCAGCAGCTACCGCAGTTGCTTCTTCCTTTTTAAATGCTGCATCTGACAATTTCTCCTGCCTCATATTCTGATTATATTGTGCCATCCGTAAGGCATTTCTGGCATTGGAATCCAAATTCAAATAAGCACAATGTAACTTCCCCTTTAAACAATTTAAACACGCGGGTAATGTTTCATCACACTTGATTCTCCTTCTCTTACATGTGCCACATCCTAAATGTGAATTTCTATGTTTTCTACGTGAATTTTTCTTCTTTCTAGAACTAGAACTTGAGGAGAGCTCTTTTGGTTCAGATGATGATGTTGGTGGCTTTTCTGTGGATTCCATTAGTATAGGTGGTGGTCTCGTAGTATATGCTGAATGTTGCGCGGAATATATTTCTGATAATTGTTGTTGTTGTTGTTGTGTTTGTTGTTGAATATCAGGTATTGGCAATTTCGGTTTTGGCTTCGCTTCTGATTTCTTTGGTGGGTTTGGATTTCTTAATGCTTTATGATAAACGTCCATCATAATAGTACACTAGTATATAGTCTTGCTTTATTCTCTTGTAGTATCACTTCCAAAGAAAATGTAGTTCGTCCTTGCAAGAAAAAAAAGGGTTCTTTCTTTTGAGTTTCTTGTTAAGTTTTTTTTTTTTTAATTAATTTTCTTCTCTTTTTTTAAAAAAAGGCTTCAATCTGAAAAGGGAAATTCATAGACACAAAAAAAAACCTGTCCGATGGTACCTTTTTTTCGTATTGATTGTTTATTTTATTTTTTTTATTTTAATGACTGGATTTTCATTTGTTCGTAGGGAGTAATCCCCCTTATTTTTGAATTACAACGTGTGATATTAGATACGCTAGTTGTAGATTTAAACATGTTACAAAAAGAGTCTAAATATACTATGTGTCATATTCATTATTATCCTGTAACTAACTCACTAAATTCCTAAAAAAAAGCTGAAATAGAGTCTAGTTCCTTTTTTTTGGTTGACCTCGTAATTGAAATTTTTAAGAGGTGCAGATGTTCTGTTCACAAAAAAAAAAAAACGAGCAATCATGATGCAGTCCGTATATTTGAGAAAAATGACAGTAAGTTTTTTTTTTGTTGGATTTAATGACGAATAAATCACGCATGAAATAATAATTTATCTACAACCAAAAAAAAAAAGAATTAAAATAAAAAAGTTCTATTTTCACTGTGAGGGGGGGGAGAGAGGAAACTTTATTATAATAATCAGTTGATTTCCCTCATAGCAAGAGTAGTTACCATTAAAATTTTTTAGATAAGAAACGTTTATGATAAGCTCGTTAGATACATCAACACAATTCTATCCTTAGATAATGTTATTAATGTAAATATCGCGGGTCAGAGTATTGTTATATACAGGCTTATTGAGCAAATTCCCAGATGTTCCGATTCCGGTGAGTTTACTATTTCGTATTATTAGGTCATTTATCTTTTTTTTTTTTGTCTTTCTTTTTTTTTGGATCAATTTTTTTTTGCGAATTTTATATCTGGTGAGGAGGACTGGAATCTCCGTGTGTGTAAATTGTGGATTGACCAAAGTAGGTCACTATTATCTAGTGGCTTGAAATTGATTTATAATTGATCTGAAATAGTCTGATTAAATCGATGATTTAACCAAGATCATTAGTGAGGGGGGGCGTTATATGTTTTTCATGTTACGATCGTATTCTCCATATCTTTAACTTCGCCTCGTCTTTTTTTTATGGTTGCTAATATTAAATTTTGCACGTGTGAATCTCACTTGTTTTTTACAGGTTACGTAAAAACCAAGGAGTGCGCCCAATAAAGTTTAGATTACAGTCGAAAATATTTCGCAAAGCAACAGCAAAAAAAATATAGGTACATAAAATAAAATAAAATGAAAAAAGATTCCGCCTTTATTATTTTAAATTGTTTCAGTTATAAATTTTCAATTATTTTATTCTTGCCGCCATTGTTCTCCATGTTTTGTGGAATTTTCATGTTATTCGAAACAATCAGAACTGCCTCCACCATTTCAGATCTCTATGCAGGTTAAAAATTTACTGGTTAAGTTTAGTTTAAAGGCGTTTTTTTTTTTGATGTGGGTTGTCAACAGTGTGTATGTGTGGTGGTTTTCGTCGTAAGGCTTACGCTTACAGTCTTACGTCATGTTTAGAACATGTGAGAAAAGCAATCGTAACAACGATTAACAATCATGGCATAGAATTTCGATCTCAACAACAAATCACACAATGCGCACAACCTCACCATCCTTGCATCTACGTAAACAGCAAACTTATTTTCATGCCGTATTTCATAACTTTAAATTTTTGATGTATTGGGAACAAAATACGAAATTTCGAAATTTTTTTTTGTGTGTGACTTGTACTTCAGTTTATGATTCTCGGAAATCTGGTCCTATTTTTGTCATTACGATTATTATTGATTAATGGATGTTACGGTTTTTTTTTGTATTTTATTTTTCTTGGCCAAAAATAATGCTATGGCTTAACAAGATGTCATTTATAAAAAAAAAGTTGCTGCAAATGTAAATAAAGTAGATAAGCAATTACGTTAAACGAAACGAGTAGCCATGACGAGCTTGGCGTCAAATCATCTCAAATACTTTTCTTTTTTCGTAGTTTTTTTTTCCTGTTCTGTCAAACTTTTCAAAACGTTGTCTCGAACACCTTCCCCCCTCTCATTCCGCCTCGAAACACTTGAAATTTAACATACGATAGTAGCTTGCTCGTAACCAGGGTAAATAGTTCTAGATCCCATCCGTTGTTAGACGAGTGAAATTAGAACCCGAAAAGGTGATCGGGATTTTCACAACTAAAAATAAAAAGAGATCTCTAAAAGTGAAGTGTCGTACCACCATAATATTTTTGAAATATTTTAGTTGAAAATTTCAAATATTTTCTATCGATATAGAACGTACTCTAAATGTAGAGGTTTATACCACGAGCTACAAGTATTGTTGTATGAACATTAATTTATGAGTTATTAATGTAACATAATGGTTGAATTTGCTCAATATAGAGCAAAAATTTTGCACCCAAAATTTATTTACAAGTACTTGATAACTTAGAATTTCCCAATATAAGTCATTCCCAACGCGCCACCGATTCTTTCATCATCTACTCTAACGTCTCCCTTCAAAATCAATTCAAGAATCGAATTAACGGTAATAATATTCAAATTATCAACTTTAAGAATCAACATTTCATCAACATTTCTAGGACTAGAAGCATGATTATAACTTAATTTTATTAAACTATCTTTTCTAATACCAGCATGTTTAAGGATAGTTTTCTTGTCTAATTTTTTATCACCAACCCATAAATAGTGAGCTTGTAAAGCAGATGCAGATTTCATCACTAGGTTTCCAATATACACTACTCCCATTGAATTAGAAGCTTGTTCTTCAGTTAGATCAGCACCCTCATACGCTATTACAGAATTAAATTTCTTGATATTTTTCTTTTTAAATAATGCCTCAAGTTCCCTTTTATCCACCAGTAAATCCGAAGCAATTATAGCAATATCTTCTTGTGGATAATATTTTATGATCATAAAATCCTCATCATAAAAATCCAAATCAACCTCCTTACAGAAATCGCAACGTAATTCTGTACTTGGTTCTGCATTATTATCATCCCCTGTAGCAGGCTCATTGTCATATATGGCCCATGCTTCCAAACACCGCTTTTGGTCTAAATAGCATTCAAAATCTGCTTCAGATACAAAATTTCCAAACCATACATATTTACTCATGTTGTATCAATCGTGAACACTCTGTTAAAATTCTTTGGATTATTTATACTTCTTGCCAAGAAATGTGGAGAGTTTACCCAATTCCGGGTAACTGTACTATTACCAGATATCTTGCACCCGAAAAAAGTAGCTATATAGATCTATTTTAGTATCATTTGCTACGTAAAAATCTCGTCAAGATACGTTATCAAATCTTTTAGATTGTTACTGCCTCAGTAATGGCCATCGCACTACTCTTCCAGTTTTAGCAACACATACACACTAATCATGTAAATCTAGCAAGAATTGACGACACGTTATTTTTTTTTCAATTTTCTTTTTATTTTTTTATTTTTTTCCGTGAAACAATGCCATCGAAGTCATCCTTCAAGGCTCTGCCCAGATCGGTAATATTAATTCTACATATATGAATCAGATCTTATTATATCGCTGCTCATTATGTCATGCAACAAATACCGCCAAGAAAAAAAAACAAAGTCTGTTTTGGCAATATTGTTGGTATTAGACTAAATCTTTTGTACTCCACTTAGAACTCCTAGGTTTTCCCAGTCTATTTCGGAAGAACTACAGTCCTCTATACATGGTTGAAGATTGTCAAGAATTTGATAACAATAATTTCTCAAGCCCGGTTTTTCACGGAATGGTTTCTCACTTTGGAGGGTTGCACCTTTCCTGGGGTATCTTTGTACTGTGTATAACAAATTACACAACAAAGCTTTATATGTGTTCCATGTAAAAGTGCACAACCAAGTAGATCGGGAATACAGTCATGTCTTTGTTGAAATGATTAAAACGTTTTAAAATAAAGATGACAGTTATTTCCATGAGGCGTCATCGTAAGTCAGATTTAGATCATTCTTTAGTCTCTTCTAGTAAAAAAAAATGTCTTGTTTCTTTTGCTGGAACAATGACGTAGATCGCATTAAAAAATAATTTGGCATACATTATTAAATTACGTCAATAGATCAGATCATTTGCAAGTTTACATATGGCTTTACCTCTCGGAATAACTCCCCGATTGGATATTGCCGCACAGATCGCCTCGTTCATTATTTTTGCAATAGCAAAGTGACGTTTGAAGGAATGCGTTTCAAAGAGACAAGTCTTCTCATATGATCTTGCTAACATGAATGATCACCATGATTGCAGGTATATCTGCATATTGGACTGGGAGAGAGTACATGAAGATAATCCATGCTCCTTAAGATGTATAAGTAGTGATCATCATCTTCCTTCTTTTGCAAAAAAAAAATCTAAACATTCCTTACTATATTAATTTTTGCAACAAAAACATTACCATTTACAATGCAACGAATTTGGTTCCGTTTTTATCTACTACTATTGCAGCTACTATCGCTTGCAAGTGGTATGATTATTTCATCAGCTGCTCACACTGTGAGCTTGCTACCACCTAAGCCTTACTACCAGCCAGAACAGTGTCCTTATTCTCCTACCCATGATTACTGTTCTAGTGAACCGGCAAAGAGTGACTATCCCGAATTAATTACGTTTAAATATCAATCTATTAAAATTATACCAAACACTAACGAAGTCTATGAAGTGATTGTTGAACTTAAAATTGATCCCACTGTACATAAGCCAGAAGCTTTAGTAGGTATTACCATGTACGGTCTCCAAACTGATTATATTTCTGATACTGTAAATTTTCCATTACTTGGTGTTGATAATCCCTACCACATTTTTGTTAAATGGATTATGCAAGCAGATTACAACCCACAAAGGGAGTGCACAACTCCTTTCCTGATTCGGTATACCTGGAAAGAAGACGATATAGTAACTGCAGAATACTATCATGGTTGCCCTGGTCAGCTCCCTATCCAATGTTGGGCTGAATCCTGTAACACAGATATTTCATCAGATGATGAACTAGAAGAGGTAGAGGGTGAAGGAGATCCAGAAGAAGAGCAAAGGGAACCAGAAGAGGATGATGAAGAAACTTCCGAAGTTGAGACCGCAACCGAAGAACTGGACCAATCTACAGAAGATGAAGAAACTTCCGAAGTTGAGACTGCAACCGAAGAACTGGACCAATCTACAGAAGATGAAGAAACTTCCGAAGTTGAGACCTCATCCGAAGAACTGGACCAATCTACAGAAGATGAAGAAACTTCTTTCGAAGAAACAACTACCAGAGAATCAATAATACCTTCCACTTTGACCTTGCCTCCAACATTCACCTACACAACAATAGAATGTCCCACTCCTACTGAATGGGAACCATTATGTGATTATCCAATGGGGGAAAACTCTTCAAATAATGAAGATATGCCCCAGATCGACACTTTTGAATACAAAAACATTCTGTACGTTGTTGGTAGTGGAAATTTATATGAAGTTATCCTTGAATTTAAACTTGATGATGAGCTTGACCCAGATCTTGTTAATTTTGTTAAGTTCCAAGATCTTTCAACTCCTGATAATTATCTTACCAATGAGACCATAATATTTGAAAAATATCTTGAAGAACCTGAAGAACCTGAAGAACCTGAAGAATCTGAAGAATCTGAAGAACGTGAAACTACTGATGGATTCACCCCAACCCATTTCTTTGTCAAATGGGTGATGAAGGCTGAACGTAAGGGTATGATGATGTGTACCACTCCATTCAAGATCGTGTATGATATGGTTCCCCCACCTGCTCCTGCTTCTAAACGAGACGATGATATAGATGACAGGTTCGTGTATTATCATGCATGTGATTCCGGTGATTATCCAATTCAATGCTGGGTTCCAACTTGTGCAGGAGGAGGAGGTGGTTGGCCCAGCGAAGGAGAAACCACTGAAGTAGAACCGTCAGAAATTGAATCATCAGAAATTGAAAGTACTGAACTTGAAAGTACTGAGATGGAAACCACTGAAATGGAATCATCTCAAATTGAAACTACCGAACCAGAAATTACAGCTCCTCCAGCTACATTAGAGTTACCAAATGAACTGTTGCCAACTGCAAACACTGATTGTCCAACGACTTGGTCAGGTTACTGTTCTGTTCCTCCAGTCCAAACTGGTGGTTTTGGTCCAACTATGAAAAAGTTTGAATTCGTTGAAATTAACCTGATTGTTGATGACTACTATGAAGTATTGGTGGAAATAGAAATCAACCCTTCTGTGTTCCCAGTTTCTAATTTGGAATATATTTCCTTAAAAGATCTTAATACTGCTGGTGATTACCTTACAAACCCATACCTTATTTATGATTGGTCGACTGATGAAAATGTCCTTGCTGATTCACCATACCATTTCTTTGTTCGTTGGGCTATGCAAACTCAGATGCTCGATGGACAAGTTTGTACAACACCATTCCTGATTGAATTTAGTTGGAAAGATGGTTCAAGACCGGCTCAAGCTAGATCGGCAGCCAGTATCAAGGCTAGTTTCATCCATGATTGTAACAGTAATGATCCTCATGATTATCCACTTCAATGTTGGGCTCCTGAATGTAATGATGCTGAACCTTCGACTATTGAAACGTTACCCGAAGGAACTGGTGAACCCACTGAATGTCCAACCCATTTTGAACCTGTTTATAGTTGTGATTACCAATTTGGATTAAGCAGCTCACAAAATGATGAATTCCCAGCCTTGAATACCTTTAACTTTGAATACATTAAGATGGTAGATGATGATTTATATGAGGTAATGGTTGAATTTGAAATTGATCCAAACAAGTATCCTATGAGAACAATCGAACTGATTGTTGTTGAAGGTCTCAACACCCGTGATTCATATGTCAGCGATCCTCTTGTTCTTTTCCAGAGAGATAATACAGACAAGGTTGGCGATTCGCCTTATCACTTCTTTGTTAACTGGGTCATGAGGACTCAGAATATAAACAACTTGGCATGCACTACTCCATTTAAAGTGGTGTATAGTTGGGATAACTCTGTTGTTGCTCCTTATGGTCATGGATGCCCTGGTGATAACGATGGTGTGTATGACTATCCAATGCAATGCTGGCTGAATGATTGTAGTGAAGATCCTGAGCCTGTCACTATTAATCCAGATAGACCAGAATTGCCAGAACCTACCAGTTGTCCTTCTCATATTTATTCAGATGCTGTCTGTGTAGTTGCTGATGTTGGTCAAGCCTCACGTGATAATGGTTATCCAATGGTACAAAGATTTGATGTTCAAAGTATATTTTACGTTGATGAAGATTTGTATGAAGTAACTATTGAGTTCCAGATTGACAGTACTGTTCATCCAAAATGGGATTTGGAATCAGTTTATATTTCTGGTCTTGATTCCGCCTACGATTATCTCAACGAACTTGAAATTTACCGTCAGGGTGCAGTCGACAACCTTGCTGGAGATTCACCTTACCATTTCTACTTTGTGGTGGTAATGAGAACACAAATCTGGGATCAGGTTACATGTACCACACCATTCAGTATTCAATACAATTGGGGTGACAGTTCAGCTACTTATCAACACGGTTGTTTCAACTATGGTGCCGGAATGGACTCTCCTCTTCATTGTTGGGATGATATTTGCGCTGAAGAACCTGTACCTGAAACCATTGATCCAGAAAGACCTCCATTACCTTCTGCATCAGCATGCCCCGAACAATGGTATGACAATAGATGGTGTCCTTCGGCCCAGGGAGAACGTTCTTCGCTGTATGGATACCCAAAACTACAAACTTTTGAATTCCATTCTATTAGACACATCGATGAAGACTTGTATGAGGTGTTGATTGAATTTGAGATTGATAGAGCATTTCATCCAAAGCTTGAATTACAATCAATTGAAATCTCATTCCTTGAAACACCCGAAAACTACCTCGATACACTAGTGATTTACAACCGTTATTACAACATTAATCTTGCTGGAAATTCACCTTTCCATTTCTACTTTAGTTGGATAATGAAGGCTCAATATTTGGAAAACTACGTCTGTACTACTCCTTTTGTCATATCATACACTTGGGATCATGCCTCTGCAGAATACGGACATGGCTGTCCTAACATTTATCCATTGTATGGCTATGGGACTGACTCCTCACTTCAATGTTGGGATGATATATGTTACCAGGAACCTGAAGGTGAACCATCTTTCATCATATCAACAAAGGATGATATGCCAACTCCAATAGCATGTCCTGAATCAAGTGGACATTATGAGTGTGATTTTGATGTTGGTCAATATTCTAGAACACAAGGTTATCCAGATATTTTGAAGTTTGATTTTGTTTCCATTGAAAATGTTGGTGAAGATGATTATGAGGTAGTGATTGAGGTTGAGATCGAAAGAACCATTCCAAAACGTTTGTTACAAAGAATTTCCATAAATAACTTAAGGACACCTGGTCTGTACGTAAATAATGTTCTATTATATGACAGAGACTTGCAAATGGACCTTACAGGTGATTCACCATATCATTTCTTCTTCAAATGGACGATGTCAGCTGATTATTATTCTGGTTCCCTCACTTGCACATCAGATTTCCATATTGTATACGAATGGGAAAACGATTATGCCGAGTATCATCATCGTTGCGATGATTATTCAGATTCACCTAATATATGTTGGAATGAAATATGTAATGAAGAACCAACTGGAGACCCATCCACTATAATATCCACAATACCAGATTTACCAGAGCCAACGGGATGTCCATCCTACGTCTCAGAGTTGTATTGCTCATACCCATTGGGACAAAATTCTAACCGTTATAATCTTGGATTACAGACCTTTAATTTCGTTTACATTACACTGTTACAAGATGGTTTGTATGAAGTGATGCTTGAATTTGAAATAAATGGAAATTTAGGACCTAGACGTGATCTTCAGAGAATATATGTTCTGGGACCAGGTGGCGTAGATGGTGTAGTACTTTATGACTACAACATCGATCTTGTTGGTGATTCACCATATCACTTTTACTTGGTATTTACTATGCCATCTCAAATTATAATGTCATATACATGTACAAGCCCGTTCGAAGTACAATATGAATGGTCAAATAATGGTGCCACTTATGGACATGGATGCAGTTACTACGATGATTCTCCACTTCAATGTTGGCAAGAAAATTGCGTACCCGAACCTGAACCTGAACCAGAACCAGAACCAGAGCCTGAACCAGAACCAGAACCCGAACCCGAACCCGAACCCGAACCAGAACCAGAACCAGAACCAGAACCTGAACCTGAACCTGAACCTGAACCAGAACCTGAACCTGAACCTGAACCTGAACCAGAACCCGAACCAGAACCAGAACCCGAACCCGAACCCGAACCTGAACCAGAACCAGAACCAGAACCTGAACCCGAACCCGAACCCGAACCCGAACCAGAACCTGAACCTGAACCTGAACCTGAACCAGAACCCGAACCAGAACCAGAACCAGAACCCGAACCCGAACCTGAACCAGAACCAGAACCAGAACCTGAACCAGAACCTGAACCAGAACCTGAACCAGAACCTGAACCAGAACCTGAACCTGAACCAGAACCTAGTTCTGAAAATCCAAATCCTCCTATTTCAAGAGATCCAATGGATCCAGGTGACGATGAACCAACTGATGGACCTACGGAAGAACCAACTGAAGTACCAACTCAAGATCCTGAACCTACTGAATTACTTACTGAGGAACCAACTGAAAATCCCGAACCTACTGAATTACCAACTCAAGACCCTGAACCAACTGTTCCACCAACCGAAGATGCTACTGATCCTGTTACTGAAGACCCAACTAAAGATCCAACAGTTCCATCTACAGAACAACCAACAGGACCAGAAGAACCTGTTGAATCTGTTATTGAAGAACCTACCGGTCAACCATCTGAAGAACCTACTGGTCCATCTACAGAACAACCAACAGGACCAGAAGCACCTGTTGAATCTGGTATTGAAGAACCTACCGGTCAACCATCTGAAGAACCTACTGGTCCACCAACTGGACAACCAACTGGACCAGAAGAACCTACTGGCCCACTTACTGAAGAAGTTACTGTAACCGAAACAACTGTACCACCTCCACCACCTGTAACTAGAACCGTAACTGAAACAATTACCAACACTAGTGTAGAACCAACTACAACTAGAACTTTTACTGAAACTGTTACCTACGTTACTGTTGATCCTCCACAAGAAACTAGAACTTTGACTGAGACTGTTACTACTGTTAGTGTTGATCCAAGCAATCCAGATGAATCCACGACTTTGACTTTGACAGTGACAACTACTTCTGTTGGTCCACCTCCAGTTGTAGTTACTACTACAGTTTCAAGTCCAGATACTACCTATGTGACAACTATCACTGAACCATTCAACCCACCAGTAGTTACTTCCACAGTAACTAGACCAGACACTACATATGTCACAACAGTTACTGAACCATATAATCCTCCAGTAGTTACTTCCACAGTTTCAAGACCAGACACTACATATGTGACAACTATTACTGAACCATACAACCCACCAGTAGTTACTTCCACAGTAACTAGACCAGACACTACTTATGTTACTACTATTACTGAACCATACAATCCCCCAGTCACAGTTACTGTTTCAAACCCTGACACTACTTATGTCACCACAGTTACCAATCCATACTATCCACCACCTACTGTCACTACAATTGTGAACTCTGACACTACTTATGTTGTCACAGTTACTCCACCATACGTTCCACCAGGTGTTGTTACTACCATTACAAACCCATACACTAGTTATGTCACTACTGGCCCATATAACCCACCAGGTGTGGTTACTACAATTGTATATCCTGACACTTCCTACGTTACTACAGTTACAGGACCATACGTTCCTCCACCATTTGTTACTACAGTTACAGGTGCTAACACTGTCTATGTTACCACGGTTACTTATCCTACAGTTTACCCACCAGTCCCAACCGGTTCTCAACCAGGAGGAACTACTCCAGGAAATGTTAATCCCGAACAAGAAGAAGAACTTGAAATTCCATATCCAGGTAACCCAAGTGATCCATCCAATCCTAATGTTCCAGGTGGTAATCCAAATGATCCTTCTAACCCTACGTTCCAGTGGTATCCAAATGATCCATCCATCCTATGTCAGTGGTATCCAAATGATCCATCCAATCCTAATGTTCCAGGTGGTAATCCAAATGATCCATCCAATCCTAATGATCCTTCCAACCCTAATGTTCCAGGTGTTGTTCCAGAACAAGAAGAAGAACTCCAAGTTCAATACCCAGGTGGCAATCCAAATGCCCCAGTCAATCCAAATGATCCAGCTAATCCTAATGCTCCTGTGAATCCTAATTATCCAGGTGTTACTCCAGAGCAAGAAGAAGAGCTTCAAGTGCAATACCCTGGTGGAGGTTCCAATACTCCAGCTAATCCTGATGGCCCAGCCGGTAATCCAAACACCCCAGCTAATCCAAATGATCCAGCTGGTAATGGAAATACTCAACCTGGCGTCAATCCAGATCAAGAAGAAGAACTCCAAGTTCCATCTGCTGGTGGTAATCCAAACGCCCCTGTCAACCCTAATGATCCTTCTGGTAATCCAAACAGTTCTTCCGGTAATCCAAATAGTTCTTCCGGTAATTCCAATGATCCTTCCTTGGAACAACAAGAAGAGCTCCTCCAAGATCCTAACGTGTTTACATACACCAGTGCTGTTCCAACCACCTTTGTATCTGATGGACAAACCTATCAAACCGTGGTTCCTGTCGTGTACACTACTGCTGTTCCTGATGGTGGTGTTCCTGAAGTTATGAGTTCACCTAACGGTAATCCAGCATCAGGTGGTTTCGATAATAATCTTGAACCAGATCTTGAAGAGTTACTTGAAGACTATGAAGGTTCTGCCTCGGGTATTAACTCTAATGTCTTTATGTTATGTTTATGTTTGATTTCTACTATGATGTTTGTTTAAATAGTTTATTTGTATATGTTTCCCAATAAACTTTATTGTTATCTAAATAATTCTGCAATATGAGAAGTAGATACCTAATTCTAAGACTCAAGCGTAAAACAATATATTAAAAATTCAGATAAGTCACTCTTAGAAGAGTCGATTAAAACAAAACGATCAGAATTTGTTAATATGTGGATTTATTCATAAGAAATATACTTACAATGTAGTTAACCAGCATCACTAAGTTGATATAAGATCCATGAACCAGAATAGGCTTTGATTATGGTAAATTGATCATATATCATCATGCTTTGACTATATTAAAACTTAAATCTAACAGTTAAATCGTTGGTCACAATAAATCCAACTCTCAAATGAAAACTATTACAATGTATTAATAATCTGAATAGATTGGAAATATACACTAGACACCTAACAAGATCACTCATCTTCTAATTAGATTAGTTAACTATGAGCAGGATTTATGGTTGATTTTTGGATGTTTCAAATCCCATCTAATGACAAAAAAAATAAATATCTTAGGCCTACTAATATGTGAATCTCTAGGTCTTTCTAGCTGCAAAATGTCTACAGAAGAAATACCAGTTAAAACCTACTCCAACCCACCACCTAAGAAATCAACAAAACAAAGGAAACCACAGACTGAAGAACAATACTTACACCAAGTCTCATTATGGAATGAATCGGGGCCCACTATAAATGATGATGACTGGTTATTCACCAATCTAGATCAATTAGATCCTAGCAAGAAAATAGACCGAGTTAAGATATTACATGCTTGCGAGCGAGCTTACTATCAACGTGATTGGGAGAAATGTTTGGAGTTAGTTAAGATTGGCGAGAAGATATTTAATGTTGATTTAGATGAGTATCATGATTATCAACTTAATCAGGGCAAAAGGAAATCAGCTAATTTAGAAAGACATGTTATTGATTTGTATAATATAAAACAAAGATGCTTACTGAAAATGAATAGTTAATCGAGAAATTATTGTGCTATATAATTTCAACTCTCGAACTATTCACCTTCAGTTGCCTTCCTAGATAAAAAAAAAAGCAACAAGATAATATATAAGCAGAGACCAGGGCTATAAAATTGACCATCAACATACAAAGAGACACGAGAGAAGCTCAATTACAATTCATAATAATACATGGAGAATTTATAGATAATAAATAACGAAAAATGTCCCATTATGGGATCTATTGACCCGGAGATAGAATGTATGCCAATTCTGCTGCCAAAAAACAGCCAAGCCCAATCAATTGTTAAAGTTTGCAAATGTTCAATTTGACTTTTTGATTACCTCTATCGTATAGACTTAATAATCGGATATCCTTTGTTGAGCTGTTACGAGGACTAATACTTCACATGAAAGATTTCAATTAAATGAAAACTCTGGATGTTTCCCCTCCCCAAGAGAACTCTAGATGTTGTTCTACTTTTATCTAAAAACCAGATCAATAATTCATTCCTTCTTTAACCAGATTTTCAATTCAACAGAACTTACTAATCTCTTTTTATACACCGATTCATCTTCATCTTGTTGGAATTCGTCGAGAACTTCAACGGTTCCAGTATGTATATCAACGTTGTACCTTTCTTGGAAATACAAGCCAACACTCAAAGTTTTTTCAATAGATTTACCCATACCTTTAACTGTGATGTATGAGACTTGCTTATATTGACTATATTTCTTTACTCCAGTTGAATGTTCAAACTTGGATAATTGCTTGGAGATCTTTTTAATTGCAGACACATACGGAGTTTGTGATTTGATTAGAAATGTCAGAATTTGTTCCGTTTGGGTTCGTGGTTTTATATTTGCAGTATGTTTTATATGTTTTCCTTGTATTCGTTTGGTCATGGTACGCTGTTGAACTTTAGCACTGTAACAATGGTTTGGGCGATGAACCTCAAAAAAATTGCAGGCGAATTTCGCGGTGGGAAAATTCCAACTTTCGTGGTAGAAATCTAGTCAACCAAGTAAATTTACAGTCGAACCACGTTTAACTACCATTCTTGATTTAACACATGCTAATGACAAAACGGAAATTTGAAGAGGATGAGTATTTCATCTTCTCCACTCCACCAACATCTTCAGCATCAGCATCAGCAACACCACCACCACCCAGCACTAAACGCGTCCAAACCAGTCGAATCCACAGTGAAGCACATATACGAACAATTCAAATGATGATGCAAGCACAATTAGAATTACAAAAACACGAAAAGAAACAAGATCATCAAGAGCTAATCATGGATGAAGACGCAGCAGACGAGAAATCAACCTTTGTCCAACGTCCTTATTGGTAGATTGACTAAAGTTCTTCCGCCGCACGCGATTTTGAAATTCCAGACAACCCAAGTTAAATTTCCTCAGCCACCTTGTCTTTTTTTTTTTTACAACCATTTTCTTTTTACAACCACTACAATGAATTCACTCGTTACAAGGTCAATCATTCGATTGCGGTATCCTCGTGTGTATTACCCTCTTTCTAGAAGAGCGTTTCACGTATCCCACACTCTTAAAATGGAACCAATAGTTGAAAACTTTCTTCAGGAGTTGCAAGAAGAAGAGCCAAAAGATGAATCCAAGAAAGATAAATTCAAATCATTTATATTCAAATGTCTTGAAACAATGGCAATTACAATTTCATCAGTTGGAGTTCTTGCTTTAGCTGGGTTCTGCTATCATAAATTCTATGATATTCATGTTCTTTCCAAGATCAATACTGCCTTTGAAGCGGGTGATCCTGCATCCCAATTGAAAATGCATAGACTGGATCATAAAGATAGTACCTACTGGGTGGAGCGTAGCCAACAGAAACTTTTAGATGACATAATATCTGGGAATGTAATTGGTAGGTATTTTCTTATAATCGGTGAAAAGGGAACTGGTAAAACTTCACTTATTCTTGAATCAATGAAGAAAATTGATGGATATAACGTCGCCATGTTTGATGCCCATAGTGACCCAGAAATCTTCCGTATTCGTCTAGGTAAAGCAATTAATTTCACCTTTAATGAAGATTATATAGGTTCATTGTTTTCTATCAAGGGACAAAGAGACACCACTGCCTTATTAGACATTGAGCGAGCATTTAATAAGTTGGAACAGCTTGCTAGCGCTCGGGTGAAGAAGGTAGGAAAGCCGTTGATCATGATTATTAACAATGCCCATTTAATCAAAGAAAACGAAGAAGGTATCAAATTGATTGAATTATTACAACAAAAAGCTGAAGCATTAAGTGGATCTGGTCTAGTCACCATGATTTTCAACAGTGATGATTATTGGGTTTACGAAAATTTAAAGCAATTAGGTACAAGATTGGAGTTGATCAACGTGAGAGATTTAGACAGGAAGGAAACTGTCAGTGCATTAAAGTTTATCAGACAAAGATATTTTCCGGAACAAATACCTGAGGATGTATGTAATACAGTTTATGATTTAATTGGAGGACGTCCGCAACATATCAATCATGTTGCTCGCAATAAGGATATCATTCAAGCATGTCATGAAATCATTGATCGTGAAAAGACCTGGTTCTTGAATAAGTGTGGATTATTAGGTAATGATATGGATGATGATGTTATGGAAAGTGGGAAATTTTCCTCAAGTGCCATGCTTCTAATGAAAGAATTAGTTGAAATGGATAAGAAACAACCAAAACTGGTTGATCATCATCTACCCGAATTACCATTATGGAGATGTCGACAAATCATGACCAGAAATGATTATATTCAACACTATGACAATTTGAATATTTTCACCATTGATTCGCATTCTAGAGTCCGTGCTGATTCCATGCCTATGATGAGAGCATTCCATGAGATTGCATCGCAGCCTAATTTTGATGAGTTACTACAAGATACAATTGACCGAGTTGCTGATATCGAATCTTTGGAAAGAACAAGAGAAATTGTACTTAAAGATTTGAGTTTAGGTGGAAATTATGAAGTCAAGAAAGATAAAGACAAGTATGCTATGAAATTAAACAAGTCAAGAAAACAAATTGACGTTCATGGTGATTGGACCGAATATAATAATGACATGAATGAAGATGATGATGAAGATTTGTTTTTGGAAGGAATTAGTCGTAAAGAAGCTAGAAGGCTTTGGAAACAAAGGATGGAGAAATTTAAGGAAACGGAATAATCCCGAGGAATTTTTTTTTTTCCTTTCTCAACTATGTTATAAATAATTACTCACCAGACAAAAATGAATAATCTTGTTCCATCATTTCTTAATATAGACCACTTATAGATTATACAACAGGTTATAGAGCTACCATGACAATCAAGACAAATCCAGTATATGTCTCCACCAAAGATACAGCCGAGCATATCCTCTCAAAATATGACAACTTTCTATTTGACTGTGATGGTGTGATTTGGTTAGACAACAAGCTCATACCCAAAGTTGATAAATTCTTACAGTTACTTCGTGCCCATAATAAAAAGTTTATATTTGTTAGCAACAATTCCTCAAAATCTCGTCAAGTTTACTTAGAAAAGTTTGCCGAATTGGGTATTCACAATATTTCCAAGAATGAAATTTACCCAACTTGTTACTCAGCAGCCCTTGAGTTGACTAAGTTACAAATTCCTCTTGGATCAAAGATCTGGGTATTGGGAGATGAAGGGATCGAACGAGAATTGACCGAAATGGGATATATACCAATTGGAGGAACTGACTCTAGATTAGATTCGGAGTGGCAGGAAAATCATCCTTTATTGACGGTTGATCCTGAAGTAAAGGCAGTTGTCGTTGGGTCAACCAAAAAGTTCAATTATATGAAAATAGCAACTACTTTGCAATATCTACTTTACAAGAACAAATCCATTCCATTTATTGGTACAAATATTGACCGTTCGTATCCTGGACCTGAAGGTATTATATTACCTGCTGGGGGAAGTGTGGTGAATTACATGGCATATACTGCGGATCGTGAATTTATCAATACTGGAAAGCCAAGTAGTGACTTTTTAGATATTATTTTACAGGACCAAGGATTTAAAAGAGAGAAGTCGTTGATGGTTGGTGATACAATGTACACTGATATTAAGTTTGGTAATGATGGACAATTGGGTGATGGACAGGGATCATTACTTGTACTTTCTGGAGGAACCAAGTTTACTGATTTAGCTAAATTATTGGACAATAGAAGTTTAGAAGATGAAAGTTTGGTTCCTCTGTTTTATGCAGAGTCTTTGACTAGTTTAGTAGAATTGTTAGAGTAAATAAATTGAGAAAACCACGTAATATTATGCATGGTGTCTTAATTTTAGTGTTTATATCGTTAGTTGCGATGTGCCATGCGTGATTTTTCTGATCTTATGATGGTGAATAATTATAGAGAATAAAAGTTTTTATCAGCAGTTACCTTTATCTGAATCAAGATCTATTCTTTCATAAAACCGTGGTCAACGAAGCTAAACCATATAACAAAGAGTGGATCGGTATAGCTTTTCACATAATAAACCGCACTTTCCAGATTTGCCCTTTGTTGTTTTTTTCTTCCCCTTATAAACTAAGAGACCCTGATCGCGCACACACAAGACTCAATTACTAATTTGCCTTTCTTAACGCTTCACAACATGATCAACTTCTCCGGACTGCTGACTAAACGAAGGGTAGTCAATCTTGGTGATAGAAAGACACCAGTGAGTTCACGCTCGTTCCTAGAGCAGTCAAGAATTACCAGAATCCAGCGAGATCAACAACGTACACAAGAAAAGTCGGCTGTCACTTTACAATGTTACATCAGAAGATATTTAGATTTGATGAGATATTCCCAGCTGTTGATTAATGAATCGAAACAAGAGGTTTCCAATGAACAAGAGTGGATACGTTCCATCAAAATCAATATTATCTTGTGTAAATGGTACATTCCCAGTCATAAAGATGTGGGGTTGATTCAGACAATATATTCCAAACTTGACCAATCTGGTTGGGCTCTCCATGAGAACTTGTATAATTCTTTATTACAAGCTTTGATAGGGTTGTTTGGAAGATTCATCAACGATAAAAGGCTGCATACAGAAGAAAGTGTGTTTATCCTTATCTTCCAAACCATTAAACTACTCATGGACAAATTTAACTCAGATTACAACATGAAGGTGGCGAATCTTACGTCTTACTTGTATAAATTCTTACACCAATCTCAAATACAAGGTGATCAAAAACAAGAGGTTTTAGATATGATTTATGCAATTAACATTCGAGATTCATTTGAAAATTTCATACAAGTGTTGAAACTAACATACCCTGGTCCAAACATAAATTATTTGAATATTCTTCGTCCTATCATCCTACAGAACCAGGAAGAACTTGGCCAGTTCGAAGAGCTAGACTTGATTCAAATGCTTGCTAGTTATTTAGCCATATTAGGAAGCGTTGACTACACCAAGGACGACTTTGTAATAATTGCTGCATTACTTGTAAATACCAACTGTATTGTCGGACTGGAAGTGGAAACTGACGATAATGACTCTCAAGTTGACCAAGGGAGAATAGTTCATGTGGATAAGTCGGTTGTGACACAATTGGAGAAATTATACACTTCAAATTTCATTAAATCGACAATTACATTGTTAACTGGTGAAAACAACTCCCTTGCATTAAAGATTTTACTTCCACTTATAACGTTAATTCCATCATTGACTGGAAAAATCTCCATGTTCATTTCCATTATCCCCGATTGCTTCTATTGGTTTTATCAAACAATACAAGGAAATGAGATATTTGATATGTTTCTAAATAGTGATAAAGACTATATTCCAAGTGAACAATTAGAGACTCATTCTAATGATAAGTTTTGGAAATTGGTGTTGTTGTTTGAAAAACTGTATTCATACTGGTTAATTGTATCCAATGATTTAGAAAGCTTTGCCGATGACAAATTATCCTTAATCCATGTTAAGCAATATCTCAAGTTTTTGAGAACACTTTGTTTGACGTTGGTGTTTAATAACAATTTCCCCCATTATTCTGAATTAAAACAGATTTCAATTGGATTGTTAAACCAATTATATTTGAAGAACTTACGATTAAAGTTTTTAAATCAAAACTTTTGGATTCCTAGAAGTATAACATTTGATATTGACGTTTTGATTAGAGTTGTTGCAGAGGAAGAAGTACAGGACCTGGATGAGGAAGAACCTAAATTTTCCGTGACCAGAACAGTTCCAAATGAAGTTAAAGCACGAGTGGAAATTCTTAAAACCATGCCATTTTTCATTTCATTCAAGGATAGAGTGAGAATATTCCAGGCTTTGATTGAGTTGGATCGAATGAGAGCATCTAATACAAGCTTTAACTTTTTCTCGTTTGATGAACCTGCAAGGTTATCAGCGGATATTAGACGTGAGAATTTGTTGGTAGATGCCTTTAATGCATTTAATAAGTCGGGGGCAAGCTTTAAGAATAGAATTCAAGTAGTGTTTTACAATGAATATGGACAGGAAGCTGGTATTGATGGAGGTGGTATTACCAAGGAGTTTTTAACTAGTGTTGTTAAAGAAGGGTTCAATCCCGAGAATGAATTGAAACTTTTCAAGGAGACATTGTCACATAATCAATTATATCCCAACAACGATATCTACGATAAGTTACACCTTGGGCTTGAGATGGAAGCACAACAGGTTAGGTTACAATATTTGCGTTTTTTGGGTATGGTTGTTGGGAAATGTTTCTATGAGAATGTGTTGATTGATATTTCCTTTGCACCTTTCTTTTTGAACAAGTGGTGTAATATGAAGAATTCAATCAACGATTTAAACTACTTGGATAGTGAATTGTTTGTTAATCTTATGAAATTAACCAAGATGACCAATGAAGAACTTGAGGCATTAGATTTAAATTTCACCATATACGAAAAGGTCAATCAGAAGACATACTTGTTTGACTTAGCTCCAAATGGACAATCAACTCAAGTAAATTCATCTAACATACTTCAATACATTCATCAACTTTCCAATTTCAAATTAAATCAATCATTAACAATACAAACCAGATCCTTCCTCCAAGGTCTCTTTCTGATTATATCTTCCAATTGGTTAAACATGTTTGATTGTTTTGAATTACAAATGTTGATTTCGGGTGAGCCAACTGATGTGAATATCAATGATTGGAAGTTGAATGTAGAATACGGAGGATATCTTGAAAATGACCTTACTATAAAATATTTCTGGCAAGTTGTGGAAGAGATGACCAAGGAACAGAGGTTCAAGTTGATTAAGTTTGTTACCTCAGTAGGTAGGGTGCCGTTATTAGGATTCGGGTCATTGAATCCGAAGTTTGGGTTAAGGAATAGTGGAAGAGATGGTGATAGATTGCCTACTGCTTCAACTTGTGTTAATTTGTTGAAGTTACCAGATTATCAAAATAAGCAAATATTGAAGGAGAAGTTATTGTATGCTATCAGTATTGATTCAGGATTTGATTTATCTTAATCAAGATATAACGTTTTCGAGACTATTTTACGATAGAGGAGGGAATGATCTTAGAAATAGATGTATATTATATAGAAATTCAACTGGTTTGTCTAACTTTTTCTTAGTATTTCATACTAATACACTTACCCTACCCTATTCTATGTATATAGGTGTTACGTACAATATTAGAGATGATGCAATCTCCAAAAAAAATGGATTTAAAAACAAAAATTCTGCATGAACTGAACAGGTGATATGACTCTAAGCTACTTAAGCTCTTACCCTTCTCTTGTTCTTCAATAAGATCTTTTGCTTGACTTGTTCAGCTTCGGATTCAGATTCGCTTTCCATTTCTTCGTCTTCACTCATCATATCCTCAGATGCAATTTCTTCCTCTTCTTGTTCTTCGACCATGGCATTTTCTCTGGCAGCTTGTCTTTCGGCCTTTCTTCTTAATTCAACTTCTCTCATCTTCAACAATTCTGGGTTTTCTTCAACCAACTTTCTGTCAGCAGCCATTTGTTTTTCCTTGTTACCTCTCATTCTGTTCTTGTAGAAGGCTCTTTCTCTTCTCTGTCTAATTTCTTCGACTCTAGCCATACCCTTAAGAGTAGTAGCAACTAAATCTCGGTTATATCTAACAGGAACGTTTCTTCTAGCAGCAAATGTCAAGGTAGAGTCAACAACTAATTCCTTACCAGCGGCCTTACGGAATGCCTTGGTCCATTTCAACTTTCTTGGGTTACGACGTTGTTTGAATGCTTTGTGACATTTTGATCTACAAAATCGAAATTCCTTAGCATCGTTACGAACAAACATTATCCCGTGTAATGGATACACTGGAGATGAACAGAAATGACATTGATATATTCTCATGATGGTGTATTAGTGTAGATAGTAAGTGTTCAACTGAATTATACTCTTCTTGTATGGTATTTGATTTAGATTAGAAATTTTTTTTATATAAAAAATGTGAGATGCCTAGATTAGCAAAAAAAAAAGAAATTGAGCCGCATTGAACAAAGTTGTCACGTGATTGAATATTGAATTTTTTTTTTATACTACAAAGAAAAAAATTTTGCCTCAATGTTGATGGTTATACACCTCTACCCCAGCATAGTCGATAGCATCTTCTTGTAAATATAATTCCATCATGGCACCTATGCAAGTACCCACTTTAGCCATCCCTGGCGAAAACACTCAACCTCAGACTATAGATATCCCACAGCACGAACATCAGCACCAACCACAATTTACCGGTCATTTGCAAAAAAAACAAGCACCTGAGGGATCAATAGAATGGTATTTTGACCAAGGTGTAAACTGGATGGGTGACCATCCTTGGATTACCGGTATGGGTGTGTTAACCTTAGCATATTTCGGTGCTGGGTTCATTAAGTCAAACCAACCAGGTATAAACGGAAAAGCGTTCATTAAAGGTGGATTTGGACAAAAGATGACTGCCAAGGAAGCATTACAAATATTGAACTTGAAAGAAAGTAATTTGAGTAAAGCTAAATTGAAGGAACAACACAGAAAATTAATGATGGCTAACCATCCGGATAAAGGTGGGTCTCCACTTTTGGCTACAAAAGTTAACGAAGCTAAGGATTTCTTGGAAAAAAGAGGTGGTATGAAAGATAAATAGAATAGTTAATGTCTTTGTAAATAGTTAATGGCATAGATAAATTGTTGTGTATCCAATTGCAGTCGCTAATTTCTTTGGTTGAAAAAATTAAACCTAGATTACCCCTATTACTCAAGCCTCTAGACACTATTCGGTCTGAATAAGCAATGTAAGTTATGGATCAGAGTTGTTGCAGTGTGTGGCACATAGAGGGGTGTATTGCACAACTGACCATATGGTGTAAAGTCAGGTTTTGACAAGAGCATTTAAATTATATGGGCTATGCAAGATTCCTCTAATAAAATTATTCGGCCGAACTGATGCGACGTCATCCCTGCAAAGGGCATGACGTGGAAAGCCAGATTCTTCTCATTTCCTGTAGAATTTCATGACAGAGATAGCTAGTCTTTATCTAAATTACCTATTATACCTACTATATATATAAAAAATACACATACAACTTACGGTTGTTCTCTGTTAGTGCTACTTCGGTTTTTCGGCAAATCGCCACTTTTTGTTTTGATTGTTTAGCGCCAGAATTTTGAGTCCGTCCAGAAAAAGACAAAACTTGAATTCCACACAAGAAATCCAGACAACCAAAAAGATAAGCCCACAAACCACCAGTCAATCATGACCACATATGAAAAGATTGTCAAGGGAGCCACCAAAGTAAAGGTGGCTGCTCCTAAACCCAAATACATCGAACCCATTCTTATGGCCACTTCAATTGAACACTCGGTGGGATCGGAAAATTTCAATACTATCATGAGAACTTTACATTTACGATTACAAGACAGTTCTTGGTCGGTTGTGTATAAGGCTTTGATTGTGATTCATATAATGATTAGAGAAGGTGATCGTGATGTCACTTTGAAATATTTGTCGCACAAAGCTCAGAATATGTTGAACTTAAGTCAAACCAGCCTCTCCATGAATAGTAGCTTCAGTTCAGATGTACGATTTATTATGAAATACTCAAAATATTTACTTACTAGAGTTAAGCAGTATGAGGCTACCGGTATTGATTATGTCCGTGATGAAAGATCGAACAATAGCACCAATCAACAAGGTGGTAGATTAAGAACATTGTCAATTGACAAGGGATTGTTAAGAGAAGTCGAGAGTGTCCAAAAGCAAATTGACGCTTTGTTAAAGAATAATTTCATGGAAAGTGAAATCAATAATGATATTGTTTTGACTGCTTTTAGAATGTTAGTGAATGACTTGTTGGCTTTATTTCAAGAATTAAATGAAGGTGTCATCAATATCTTGGAGCACTATTTTGAAATTTCTAAAGTCGATGCCGAAAGGTCTTTTAAAATTTATAAGAAATTCGTTGATCAAACAAAATATGTTATTGACTATTTAAGAGTTGCTAAACATTTAGAATATGCTACAAAGTTACATGTCCCCACTATCAAACATGCACCTACAGCATTGACTAGTTCCTTGGAGGAATATTTGAATGACCCTAACTTTGAAGCCAACAGAAGACAATATTTAGCTGAAAAGTCAAATAAGCCGGTTGATCCACCCAAGAAGCAACACTTTAGTTTATCTCCAGAGCAACAAGACACAGTCAAACAAATCGATAATAAACACCAGTCTTTGATTGTTCAGCAATCTACATATAATCCATGGGGTGCTATATTTGGTGACAATACTCAACCACTGCAAGTACAACAAGATCAAGCACAGGTACAATTACAGCAACAACAAGCACAGTTGCAACAACAGCAACAGCAACAACAAGCTCAACAACAGGTACAACAACAAGCATTGGAACAACAGGCTCAACAACAACAATTGGCATTACAACAACAGCAATTGCAACAACAGCAATTGCAACAGCAGCAATTGCAACAGCAACAATTGGCATTACAACAACAACAACAACAACCACATATAATTCAACATTCAAACCCAACAGGTTTCTCACCTTTGCCTGCTATTGTTCAAGGACAACCATTTCAAGCTCCACAACTGCCTCCAACCTACAATGGTGGATATGTTCCTCAACCACAACAACCACAACCACTCCAACGTCAAAATACAAATCCATTTATGCAACAACCAGTAGTACAACAAATTACTCAACAACAAATACAACCAGTGCAACAAATTCAAGCTTTTCCAGGATTGGCTAGATCCAACACAAATCCATTTGCCACTAGAAGTGTCACCCAGCCAATTCAACCTCTTCAACCACAATCAACCAATCCTTTTGGTAATACTAGATTTGCATCAGGTAGTGGTACAACTGCATTCACGAATGGATCACAAACTCAACAGCAACTGCCACTTAAAGCAAGTTCTACTGGAAGTAATCCATTTAAAGTTTCTTCAACCACACAAAACTTGTTTGATAATGCCTCAACTCAACAACAACAACCACAACAAATTAAACCTCAAGCTACGGCAGGTGGATTGGAGTTACTTCCTACAATTCCGGTATTCCCGGAAACTCAAAAGGAAGCCCAAAAACAACAATATATGCAAAATGCATTCACTGGTATTCAAGCACAAATGCAACAACAACAGCAACAGGGATTCCCTCAACAAGTATTTCCGCAACAACAACAAGCATTTCCTCAACAAGGATTTCCTCAACAATTTGGTGTGCAACCACAATACACAAATTACGATGGCCCTAGTTTAATTTAGATTTATTTTTATATAGAACATAATTTACTTCATTTTTGTCAACATTTGGGTCTATATTTACATTCATTATACACATATGCTGTTATTTACAAGAAAATTCGACTAATAATTCCAAAGATCTGCGGCAAAATCTTCAGTTACACTTGAATCTTCCCCATATTCTCGTGCCCAGCGTTGAAACCCACCTTTCAAAACATACACATGCACATTCTTGAAAAACTCTTGCAATTCTGGATCATCAATAGTATTCAACGATCTCAAAAACTTAAGAGCTGATGAAGGACCCCTGGCTTGTGATAACATACAATGAAACACCACATCATCGACTTTTTTCTCATACAAACTTTTTCGTAAACTTGGCAACAAACTAATGAAATTTGTAGCAGGATAGTTACAACTTCCCTTTATATGTCCTCCTACATAATCGTCGTCTCTAACGTCGATAATGGCGAATTTTCCTGAACCATGAGGTGATGATCCCCCGCGGAACCATGTCCGTAATGTAGAAGGTCTTATATATTTGAGATCAGATAATGCGTAAGTCGTCATGATTTGGTATGCTATAGCAACATGAATTTCCAATAAAGTGATCTTGAGTACAAGTAGTACATATATATTAGTTCAGAATTCTGTTTTCGGTCTTGTGTGGAAGAAGAATGTGACTATGTTATTACGCAAAAGCATAATGGAAGAAAAAAGAATTTCTCGAACAAAAGCCTAGATCCTCCGAAACATTCTCATTTGAAAAAGCCGGAATTAAAAAAAACACAACATCGGCGTTAGCATGAGTTAATCATTTAATCTTGAAATACACCCCCATTTGGTCATGGGGAACTAAATATCAAACTGGTTTGTAAAGGCAACGAAAACATCACGCGAGATTGACGGTGATATGTACATTGGCATGAAACATGAGGCTTGTTTGAAGACAGTATGCTACCCATTTTCGTCGTATTTTCTTGTCTAGAAGTTAACTAGTGACACCAGAATTGGGATTTAGATAAACACGTGCATAAACCACTGTAACCCAGCCACAAATCGTATTACCAACTAAGAATCCCGTAACTCGTTTAGTAAATGTATCAGAAACTATTTCATTCAAGATTTGCCGAAAAACTTGCCCAAGTTGTTTCAATAGAAGATATAACAACACCAACAACAAAAAAAAAAACGAGCAAACAGGAGCTACTTAGCATGTTCAGTTTGTAGTGGTTACCATTGGGAACCAATTGGAAATTTAATGGGTCGACAAGTAATTGGCAATGCTCTCGATTGCATTTTTATTTTGTGGGTGGGGATTTAAATTACTTGCAGCCAAGAAATTTGTTATGTTTTTATCTATTTCTCAGAGGTTCTTTGTTTAATTATAGTTAGTCTATTCTAAAAGCTTTCAATAAAAGAGAAAAGTTAGAATATAACCAAAACTGAAATTTATACCACTCCATTGTCTTGAATCTGGTAGCGGTTTAATACAAATTCTTGCAACCAAAAAGCCTAAAGCTTATTAATTTTCCTTTTTTTTATTTTTTCCTTTAAATTAGTGCCAATTAAGGAGAAATGCCACAGACCTGGAAAATTGGGACCGTTGCCAATGGTAGAGTCCCAGTGAATCTAGAATCAGTCTTCATTGATTATTTATCTAGTTTCAATTAGCTTGGATCATATTGCAGATTAAACATGTGGTCAAAATGGAGGTGGCTTTGAAAAGTATCTATTCAATTGCTAAACTTGCATTTATCAAGTTTTTTTATTTGGGATCGATATTCATTTCATACCACTATAAATGGTTCACTATTCAACTTCCAATTACATCTTTCTTAAAGGAATATTCAATTGTAAACCAAAGAATGGATTCTTTTGTTCCATTAGCTCCTAGTATTTTGTTAATTGCACTCACATATTGAATCTTTCACTCTGAAGCTATTTATTTACAATTATTTCAAAAAACTAGATCTTCCCTAAATCCACTAATAGTAAAGCTATATGACTTTGCGATTTGTATACTCGTATCTTATCTTCTGTGGATCTTATTTAATTCTAGTTCAGCTATTATTAAATATAAATTATTAGGTGGTAAATCTAAGAGGAAGGAGAATAGTAAAAATTGCGGAGAAAAATCCTTGTCATAAAAATCTAGACAACACTTTTTTTGTTTACCCCAGGTCAACCAAAGGGAAACACCATTAGGCCATAATGGATAACTTTCTTGTTGGAGAAAATCCACAAGCTAGACACAATCCACATGCTCCCATGTTCCCTGCTCGGGAGGTGTTTAACGAATGGATTTGCATTATCTTTGCAGAGTTCGCCATGTTAACTTGGTTGACCAAATTCAATCCACTCTTTATTGACCCACCTACATCCATGTTTAGCTTTCAGCAATTATTTTACTATTGGCAAAGCACAGTGTTCAACCTCATCATAAGATTTGATTCCGATACCCTTCAAAGAATGACCGGTTTACTTACACAGGTATTAGGCCGCATTTTCAATCTCCATCCGGAACTTGAAATGTCTGTTACACACTCTCAGGTGCGTGGCATTTTACGCTCTTTCAATGATAGTCGATTGAGTTATGGGTTGGATAGTGTAATTTGGATTTCAGATGGTATAATAAGGTCAAATATTACCGAAGTTTGTGGTTCAAATGTCGGTGCTGGTTTGATTACAGTTTTTGGTCAAGAATTATGCAAAATTTCCGATTGTGATTTGGACTATCTTTTGGTTATTCTCAAAAATGAATACCAGCTGTTCCTTCTAAACTTGCGCGATAACCCTTCATCGTTTGATTTGACTTGGATGAATACATATGATGCTAGTAAATGGCTCGAATCGAAGAAAGTTGAACATATCTTTTATTGTTTAACTTACCTGTTTCATTACCTCGTGCTAATCATAGGTTTTGTGGAAATTTTAGAATTGATCGTGGGCATCTGGGGGATATTTTCAACTGCTAAATTTGCATTTGTTAAAAAAGCATGTTTGGGATTGATGAATTCAATAATATTTTCATATTATGTCAAATGGATCTCACTGCAAGCTCCAGTTCAAGCTTTGTTAAAGGAATATCCAATTGGAGTTTTGAGATTGAGCCTCTCGTCAGTTATTGTTCCCAACATTGTTTTGGTAGTATCCACTTGGTACATTTTTCGTAGTGAATCTAAGAAATTGCAATTGTTTCAAAACCTGAACGAGAAAACTATACAAGTTTGGGGTTTTTATGCATTTTTGTATTGCTTAGTGGTTCCTTCTCTCTGTATATTGCTTTAAATGAATGTGCGTTCAGTGATTATTTTTGATATTGTAACTGTAAACTACAACAGTAAGGGATCTACGGGGGTCTACTTGATACAATATTACTAGCCGGGGATAAGTAAGAATATCCATTTTTTTCATCAAAAATAGGGCACCCTGGAGATTTCTTTATTGCTCTCTTTTTCAAATTATTTTCCTAGCATGAGTAAAATTTCACCAGATGAGCAAACATAAACCATGGTATCAGCAAAGCTACCACTTTTTTTTTTAACTTGTGAATTCTTTGTCTAAGCTTGTAATATGTCTACCTTAGTTTTCATTATATCTTGCTAGCAGAATCTCAATCAATACAACTTAATATGGTTGCTTTCCTTCCTGTTGAGCATAATCTTAAAATTGCCTGTGATTATTTTTGCTGCAACTCCGATCCTACCACCACGCACCCAACAAATAGAACAATGAAACGCTAAGAAAAAAAAAAAATTTCCAAACGATTCAAAAATCTCACACAATTAATTCGGCTATTAGCTTTTAATCCAATAATTGCCTATTCAGCACTACCTAATAATGAGTAGTGATAGCACAACTAAAAGTCTTCGGGTGAAGAATAAGGGCAACCCATCTAAAAATGGATTGACTCTACACAAGACCCTCTCCGTTGACTCCATATCGTCATTATTTAAGCGGAAAAGAAAGAGAAGTCATTCTGATAGCTCTTCGTCTCCTGACAGAAGCGATGACGAACAGGAAGATATCAAGCAAGAATATGACCAAGAACATATTCAACCACATCATAAAAAGAGAAGAGTCAAGACCGAGGAAGAAGAACAATTTGAAAAACGTGAAAAGGAATTAGACGAAGCATTACCGGTTGAGTATAGAAAATTCCGTCCCAGAGGGTTCATATTTAATATTCCTGATACCAGCAGACCTATCAGAATCTATGCTGATGGAGTATTTGATTTATTTCATCTAGGTCATATGAAGCAGTTGGAACAAGCCAAGAAATCATTCCCAAATGTTGAATTAGTCTGTGGAGTTCCTTCAGACATTGAAACTCATACTCGTAAAGGGCTTACTGTATTGACTGACGTGCAACGTTGTGAAACTTTAAAGCATTGTCGTTGGGTTGATGAAGTTATACCAGATGCACCATGGTGCGTTACCCCCGAGTTTTTGAAAGAACACAAGATTGATTATGTTGCACATGATGACTTGCCATATGCTTCCGGTGATGCTGATGACATTTATAAACCAATCAAAGAAAAAGGAATGTTTTTGACTACACAAAGAACAGAAGGTATTTCCACGTCAGATATTATTACCAAGATTATTCGTGATTATGACAAGTATTTAATGAGAAATTTTGCCAGAGGTGCCACAAGAAAGGAATTAAATGTCAGTTGGCTCAAAAAGAACGAATTAGAGTTCAAGAAACATATACAAGACTTCAGATCGTATTGGATGAAGAACACAACCAACTTGAACAATGTTTCAAGAGATTTATATTTTGAAATTAGAGAATTCATGAGAGGGAAAAGATTTGATGTACAGCAATATTTGGAAAATTCAACAGCCAGTAATACTAGCAATAACACCAGTGATTCTGAGGATGGGTTGTCCAAAGTTAATTCACCATTGACAGAGTTTGCGTCCAAATATATTGGAAATGCTAATAAGGAATTGAATAATGCGGGTAAGACTATTCTTGCCAATGTCCGAGAATGGATTGCTCGTGATGATGATGTTGATGACGATAGTGATGATGAGATCAAACCAATTGAGGTAAAGACTGTTGAAACTGGTGCACCAATTACTCCTAAAACTCATGCAAAGAATTCACAGCATCACAGTCATAAGAAATTACGCAGAAAATAAGGGCTTTTGCTTGAATATAGATACCACACCTTTCTTTAGTTCGCCCATTACTTGTTTATTACTTACATACTTTTTCATTATAAATATGTAATTAGTTTCGTATTCCCCGTATATTCCCAATTTGATGGGACACAAAACGGTATAATTTAACGTTCTGTTGCGGTGGTGATTTCCCATTGTCACGTTTTGGCTCGTGAACGGAAGCACTTTCCCAATTGGGAAGTGGCTAATTTTTTGCGCACCGCAATTTTTTTTTTGCATCCATCGAAATACGTTATACGCCACAGTTATTAACCATTATTGTTCTATTACCGAACAAACATATTTCTCGATGAGAGTCTGATTTCTTATATATAAAACCTCCCCCAGACTATTCTCAACGAACCAAACAAAAAAAAAAACCTTGTCAAAACTACAATAGCAAAAACATGACTTCTGAAACTAAAAGACAAAAGAAACAAAGAAAGCCATTGATCATCAATGCATTTGATATGGGCTGTCCAGGGCTTCAGACCCCAGGTCTTTGGAAACATCCTGATGATAAGTCTAGAGATTACAATACTATTGAGTATTGGACCAATTTAGCCAAATTACTTGAAAAGGGTAAATTCAACGCTTTATTCATTGCAGATGTCTTGGGTCCATATGATGTGTACAATGGTCCTGCAAATTTAACTGCTGCAGCTAAATCAGGAGCACAATGGCCCATTAATGAACCTACCGCTGTCATTTCTGCCATGGCGGCCGTCACCAAGAACTTGTCTTTTGCGGTTACTGCTAGTACAATCAGTGAAGCACCATATCATTGGGTCAGAAGATTAGCTACTTTGGACCATTTAACCAAGGGTAGAATTGGATGGAACATAGTTTCTGGTTATTTAGACAGTGCTGCCAGAAACTTGTTAAATGGAGAACCATTGCCAGAACATGATGCCAGATATGACCGTGCTCAAGAATATTTGGAAGTCGTTTATCAATTATTCTTGTCATCATGGGCAGATGATGCTGTTGTATTAGACAAGAAGAGAGGAATCTTTTCTGATCCTGAAAGAATTAGAGAAATTAACTACAAAGGAGAATTCTTCGATGTGCCTGGTCCTAACATTACCGAACCCACCCCACAAAGATTACCAGTTATATTACAGGCAGGTTCCTCGAGTAAAGGTATGAAGTATGCTGCTCAGAATGCGGAAGCTGTATTCATCACTGGTATGACTCCAGAAGGATTGGGTTACAAGATCAAGCAGTTGAAGGAAGAAGTTAAAAAGGCAGGTAGAGATCCAGCAACGGTGAAAACAGTACAATTAGTCACTGTTATTGTCGCTCCAACCCATGAAGAGGCCGTGGCCAAATTCAAAGAATACAAGGAATTAAGTGATATTGAAGGTGCTCAAGCTTTGTTTGGTGGTTGGACCGGGATTGATTTAGCCAAGTATGGATGGGATGAAGAATTAGACAAGATTGAAGGTAATGCCATTAGAAGTATGGTTGAAACATGGACCAAACCATTTCCAGGAGATCCAGAAAATCTTAAAAAGACTCGTGGTTATATTGCTGACAGAATTTGTATTGGTGGTTCAGGTGTTTTGTTTCTTGGTACTCCTCAAGAAGTTGCTGATGAAATTGAAGAATGGGTCGACGTTTCTGGTGTTGATGGGTTTAATTTCACTTATGCTATTACCCCAGGCTCTTTTGAAGATATTGTTGAATTATTAATGCCAGAATTAAGAAGAAGAGGATTAGCTTGGGAAGATTATCCTAAAGAAGGACTTACCTTCAGAGAAAATCTTTATGGTTTAGATAGGGAGGAACCAACTTATCTTCCAAAAGACCATCCGGCTTATAATTTGAGATGGAAAGCTGGAGAATCCAAGGAAGAATTCGAAGCAAAGTTGAAGAAGACATTGGAAGAACATTTCAAGAAGTCCAATTAAGGAATTAATTCCGATCTTGTATAATAATAACTTATTAGAATTAAAAACAAAATAATTGTATAGAATACAAACTAGGTAAGAACCGCCGCACCTCCAACTTAGATCTTAAAAAAAAAAAGAAGTCTGGCACCATTCTTGAATAACATAATTAACCCCAGACAACCACTACGATATGTCTGAACTTATAGAAACCACCACAAGTGAATCAAGTATATCTCAAGAGACAAGCTTGATTGAACAATTGCAAGAACAATTGAAACTACAGCAAGAAGAGCTATTCCAACAACGAGAATTACTCCATCTTCATGAATCCACAACCACAACCACATCTACAAACGCATGGGGATTTACCCATGGACTTATAGTTGGACAATTAAGTGTATTATTTGTCATAATTGTATTTGTTAAATTCTTTGTGTTTGCGGAGTCTTCATCTTCTTCAAAGCAAAGTATTCGTCGTGATGCCAGTGGTGTTATTGTTAAACGAGACAAGAAGAAATCTGGTAAACAAAACTCAGAAGATGGCGATGTAAATGATGAAAGATTACTCAGTGACAAAGCAAAAGTAAAAAGTATTCTTGAAAAGACCTATTATGATGTTGATAATCACGCACCTGAAACTTTGGATTGGTTTAATGTTTTAGTTGCACAAACAATATCTCAGTTGAGATCAGAAGCCATATTAGCTGATAATATATACCATTCACTTAATGGTTTCTTGGAGAATGCCAAGATGCCTGAATTTTTAGGCAAGATTAACTTAACTGAAATTGATATTGGTGATGATTTTCCAATTTTTTCAAATTGTCGGATAAAGCATAGTACTGGTGGAAGACTAGAAGCTAAAATTGATGTGGATTTGTCTGATACATTGACCTTGGGAATTGATACCAAGTTATTGTTGAATCATCCAAGAGCGTTGACAGCAGTTTTGCCAGTTGAATTGACGGTTTCAATAGTGAGATTTTCTGGTTGTTTAACTGTGTCACTTATAAACACAAATGATCCTGAATTTGTTGATTTGGCGAGCCACAACGGAGGAAAGGGTAATGGTTCAACCATAAATGGAAGTGCACAAAAGTCAAACTCATCTAAAGAAGGTGCAGGTACGGCGCTCATGTTTTCGTTTTCACCAGATTATAGACTTGAGTTCATAGTAAAGTCATTAATTGGATCTCGTGCAAAATTGCAAGATGTTCCTAAGATTTCAGAGTTGATTGAGAGTCAATTACGTACTTGGTTTATTGACAGATGTGTCGAACCTAGATTTCAAGTAGTTAGATTGCCTTCATTATGGCCAAGGAGTAAGAATACGAGAGAACCGGTCAAGACGAAGGTTGATGATGAAACTGGACGTAAGAACTTGTAAATAGAAAATAAACACGAGTATTCTGATGTCGCTCACTTACTCATTATACAGGAAACCTTTACATTTTGTTATATTAAATTTTGTGCTACGTAAACATAGCAAAGAAAAAAAAACGTATATGGGTGCAAAAGGAATCATTGCGTGATCTCCTTCTTTCATTACCAATGAACTCTGATATCACCAAAATCACAAATCTAGTATCAAATCAGTTGAAATTAGTGGATGAAACTGTCATCAAGAACGATCACTTTGATTGGAACAGAATTAAGCGAACACCTCAGTATTTCAAACAAAAGATCAAATACAATGGCGGTTCTTACACAATTGATGAAGAATTCAATGACTTAGAACAACAGTTCATTCATTATGAAAGAACTATTAAATCATTGCTCAAGCATTCAAAAGTGCTGCTTGATAGTTTGATTGAACTTCCCGAATGTTCAATTGGCATTGGTGAATCATTTCAGAATCTAATTGATCCTTATAATAATTTTGTGTCGGGGGGATCTGTGATTGAAAAAGAATATGAATCTTGGAATAAAGTTTCTAAATACAAGAAGTTGATCAAAGATATAAATATTGATGGTGAGATAAATGATATTTCAAAAATCATTGAACTGAAATTAGAGGAGTGTTTAAGGGTATTTAAAACTGTACAAAAGAAATTTAAGACTCGAGAATTTGCCCTATTAGATTATGACAAGGTCTATAACGACTTGGAAACCTTGATTATTAAGCAAGAGCAAGGAGAGCTTACATTGAAGCAAAATAATCAGTTGTTTTGTTTAAAGAGGAGATTGGAAGAAAACAAACTTAAATATGAAGATATCAATCAAGTGCTAAAGAGGGAGCTACCAACTTTTTTAGAATTGGCCAAACAGATTATTGCTCCTGTTCAAGCTATGACTTATTATATCAATTTACAATTTAGTTATGAAATTTTTAATGAAACAAAAAAGCTATTCCCTGTTGAATCGATCCTGGATATAACAAGTCACTTCTTTACTCAAAATGATCCTGTAATGGAATCTATTGAAAAGTTTTCTGTGCTTACAAAAGTCAATACTGACCTTAAACAACAATATGTTCAAGCTATGTTTAGTTTTCGTGCTCAAGAATCAACCGATTTATCTATTCGTAAAGGAGATAGAATTAAATTGTTACAAGAGGATGGTGAATGGTGGAAAGGTGAATTGAATGGTAAAATTGGAAATTTTCCTGCCAATTATGTTAAAAAAGTCTAAATTGTAATAATACAAAATTTACATAGAACAAAGACACTGAAATAATATAGCTAGTAAGTATAATCATTAGCTAGAAACTATATAAGAAGTAAGATTGCCCCTTTTTCAAAGATTTATCAGTGTGAAGTTCCTCTTAATTCGAAGGATTTGTTTGCGTAACAGTTTTTGCAATATTGATAGTTTTTTGTAATAGTTTACCTAGTTGCGCGTTCTCAAAATTGAGGCATTTGACAACATGGCTGCAAGTGGCAACTGGATGCAAATATTTAAATAGGAAACTATTAGTAAACAAAAATATAAAGCAAAATACCTCTTAAAAAATTTAGCTTTATATCATTCATCTTCTAAATCAACTCTCCACCCATGAGTATACAACGAAGATTTGACCTTCATTGCTATGATTTGTTTGGCGAGTTTAAATTGCTCAGAAGCAATTACAAAACCAGCATTCCTAGGAAATTCTGGACGAGATTTGAGTATTGTGTAATGGTGAGTGTTTTAAGAAGCTACAACTTGTTAGCTATATTTTTAACAATAGAGAAATTCCGTGGCCAATAGTTTCTCTAGGCTTTAATAGCCTCACTGCTACATATATTTATCGAAGGGAATATGATGAAATGTTAGATTATTCCCATAGGTCACTTGGTTTTTGAATGTTTTACTATTAAGATGAATGAAATAAAACTACGCAATGAAAATGAAAAAAATTGGCCATCGTCCATCGTCTTAAAGTAATATCATTGTATGGAACAAGTATGAAATCCCAATAAATTTCAAGTTAAAGGTTGTGATTGATCGTTATAATTTGCCAGATTATGGTGAAATATTTCCAAAAAGTGATGATTCATTGCCCTTGATTACTTATAGTAAACTATTTAATACAATATATAGCGCCAATAGGTAGGGGCATGGGGATCCCGATATAGAAACCTTTAAAGCTCAGATTAAAGAGTATTTACAAATATCAGGGTAGTTTTCAGCTTGCTGATGAAAGCAAAACATTCACCAATTTTGGTGCAGTATTCCTTGTCGCTTTACTATAATCTAAAATTGGATACACCCGAGGTTAATGTAAGAGATATTTTAGACAATATTAAAGCGGTTATTAGTGCCTAGAACAGTAGTTAATATATCGAGGAACGTTTGTTCAACTTTGTTTCATTGAATCCAGAATTTTCATATGAGCTAGTTAAAAATTGCAAGCCATTCTTGGTATTTTGCAACCACTCATATGCCGTTGAATATATTAACCTATATCGCAAAATAAACCTGATATATCGATATCAATTTTTATACACTTTTATTTTGTTGAGTAATAGTCTAATTAGAATTGAAGACCCTTATAAGGTTTTTAAGAATATAACTTAATTGTAACTTGCTTGGTTTCATGTAATATGCTTCTTTTTATGCTATTAATGAAATAATATAAGATGGTCCAGAAATGCGATAAGTTAATAGACTATAAAACAAAAGTTTTTTACTAACACAACTGAGGTAATTTTGAATGAAGAGGAACTATTAGCTGAGATTCAGTTTGATTTGTCGTATTACAAGAATTATACGTATATAGTCTCCTTCCTTGAAAAATATTGCCCCGGTTTACTTCTGAATTTAATTATACATAAGACTTAAATAAACAGTCAAATATGAGATCAAGTTTGGCAAACTTAAATTCTAGCTATGATTATCATTAGCTCTGTTATATAAACACAGAACTAACACTTTTCAAGTAAACAAGATAAAATACCACTTTATAGCTGAAATCTTCTTGTTTACAGAAATGCAGAGCAGAGTTGTTCAACGATTCAAAAAGCTTCGCAGTAGTAAACGTTGCAATTTTACCAAGATCCAAACCTCTACATATACCGATTGTGAATATTGAAAACCACTCAAGAGACATACCTTTAAGTATTTAAACTTGAATATAACAATATTCCTTGCAAACAATTTCCAAATTACCATTTTGAACACATTTTTAATTTTGTAAAATGTTTTGAAAGTTTTAGACGCTACCAAATACGTAGAAACTTCAAATTATCAAAATTTGCGTGGGTAGTTTAGTGGTAAAATCCAGCGTTCCCATTGCTGGGCCCCGGGTTCGATTCCCGGCCTACGCAAGGAATATTGATTTTTTTTGCAAAGTTCAACCAGGTCAATACAATGTCAATTGACCAAAGACATTGTTTATAATTTTTTCAAACTTTGTTTACTAAAGTCTTTACCGAGTAAATTGGCTGTGAAAATGCTTTTGTAATTTTGCATATATTTGAGAGTTACGGAGTTCACAACAGAAAAATTTCCAAGGCTTTGAGCAAAAAAAAAAATAAAAAAAAATTCAATACACAAGTGATCACATCGCAATCCACCACACAGCCCGTTGGTTAAATTTGCACTAACTATTGTACATTAAATATAACTACATTGCTTGTTACTTTATACTAGGAGTGCAAGCGTGTTAACAGAAAACCATGGACGCTAATATTATCATCAATTGTATTGCTGGCACCCTTGAGCCATCACCAGAAGTCCGTACTGCTGCCGAACAACAACTTCGTGAATTATCGGCAACACCAGGGTTCCTTGGATCATGTTTAGATATTCTTGTAAATTCCAACACTCCTGAAGGATTGAAGAAAGCCACAGCTGTTTACTTTAAGAATCGAATCGTGAGGTTTTGGAGAGAGAGTTCACGTCAAGGAACCATTGATCATGATGAAAAACCAATTGTGTTGGACAGAATCATCCCGGTTGTGATCCAACTGGATTACCATATTAAGCAACAGTTAATCCCTGTGTTGAGAGTCTTGATCACTTATGAGTATGAGAAATGGAATCAATTGTTGGAAATCGTGGCTCAATTGTTACAAGGAGGAACCAAAGAGGAGATTTACACGGGTATGCTCTGCTTTAGTGAGATTGCTAGAAAGTATAAATGGGTGGAAAATAGTGATCGTAAGAATTTGGACAACATTATTGTGCAAGTATTTCCACACTTGTTAACCATGGGTAGTTCCTTGATCAAGAATGAGATCGATGAATTCTCAGCAGAGATTCTTAAGTTGATTTTGAAGGTTTACAAATTTGTCACGTATTATGATTTACCGGAACCATTACAAAACAAAGATCTGATTTTTGCATGGGGAGAATTCCACGGTGCAGTTATCAATATGCCACCGCCAGCATACGTGCTTAATTCAAACATGTCCGAGCAAGAGAAATCTATGTTGCAAATTTCCAAATGTTATAAATGGGCCATTTCCAATTTGTACAGGTTATTTACAAGATATGCCCTGAGAAATTTGTCGAGAAAGTTCCACTATAGTGAATTTCATGAATTGTTCTTGAATGAGTTCATGCCCCATTTCATTGCCAATTTCCTTTCGATCATTGAACAGTACTGTCAAGGGAAGAGATGGTTAAGCACAACTTCTTTGTTCAAATTATTGGAATTTTTAAGTCATTGCGTGGTTGAAAAGTCCACGTGGATATTAATTAAACCTTACTATGAAACATTGATTTCTCATTTGATATACCCATTGTTATGTCCTCTGGATGAAAGTTTGGAATTGTTTGATGAAGACCCAGTGGAATATATTCATTTGTGTTTTGATCCAAATCATGAATACGATTCACCTGAAAAAGCAGCATTGGCATTATTAGCTACGTTCGTCTACAAACGTAAAAAGACCACCCTAGTTCCGATAATCACGTTTATCCATCAACAATTAAATAGTTTGAAAGACCAACCGGAAACTTTGGAAGTTGCCAAAAAGAAAGAAGGAGCATTGAGAATGTTAGGTTCAATTTCAGGAGATTTAGTCAGTCATGGAGCGTCAGAAGTTGGAGAATTTAGAGATCAAATGGAACCATTCTTGGACATGTTTGTTGTGCCATGTCTCACTTCGAAATATGGTTTCTTACAAGCAAGAGCATTGGAAGTGGTATCATTATTTTCTGATATCGAGTTTAGCAATGAAGCCACCCTTTCAGCATTATATCATGGAATCATTCGTAACTTTGATGAATCCAAACAACATGAGATTAGTTTACCCGTTGCATTTGAAGCTGCCCTTGCGCTTCAAGCTTTCTTGATTCGTAATGATTTTAAACAGGTTCTCGCGGGACTTATTCTCCCAACTATGTCCAAATTACTCGAATTGTCCAATGATATTGACAGTGATGCTATCCTGATGGTTATGCAAGAATGTGTGGAACATTTCTCGGAACAGTTGCAACCATTTGGTGTTGATTTGATGACGAAATTGGTGACCCAATTCATGAGACTTGCCATTGAAATCAATGAAGCTTCCAATGTTGAAGTTGATGAAATTGACGATGGATTCGACGATCAAGGAGATAAAGTCATGGCTGCGTTGGGATTCTTGAATACGATGATTACTGTTCTTTTGTCATTTGAAAATTCTCGTGAAGTTTGTATCAAGTTGGAAGAAATTTTCAGTCAAGTGATCTCATATGTTTTAGTTCATGAATTGGACGATTTCCTTGCTGAAATTGGTGAATTAATGGAGAATTCTACATTCTTGACAAGATCAATTAGCCCTGTTATGTGGCAACAATTTAAATTATTGTATTTATCGTTTGAAAAGGGAGTTGCATTAATGTACGTCGAAGAATTGATTCAATGTTTGCAAAACTTCTTGATTTATGGTCGGGAAGAGTTACAACGGAATCAAGAATTATCAGGCATGTTCTTTAAGATATTTGGAATTATTGTTGGATGCGAAGATACTGCTTATAATGAATTGGTTAATGGATTTGAGTTAGCACAAACCTTTATCTTGGTATTGGAACAACAATCGAAACCATACATTCCTGAAATTATCGAGCAAGTCTTATCCAAATATGGCAACAATGATGAGGAATCTACCGGGAAATCCCTTGAAACCAATTGCCACAATGTTTTGATTGCGTCATTAGTGTATGATCCTAATTCAACCATGGTATTATTGCAACAACTGGGTAAATTATTTGTATTTTTGAACAAATGGTTTAGCAATATTCCTAAATTAGCCCGAGTTTACGATTTGAAATTAACCATATTAGGATTGTTAAGTCTTGGAGGATTGGAATCCGATGATTCTACCTTGGCAGAAGTTTCACGCAATTTACTTTTATCATTAAAGAAATTACCAGTTGCTCTCGAAAACTTGGAAGCTAAAAGAAGAAACTTCAATGAATTATCACAATCTCAAGTTGATGAAGAAGACGTCAATGAAATATTGATCGGACAAGTAGATGTTGGAACCGAAGCAGATGACGAAGCTGAAGAAGATGACACTGATAAGTATATTAAATTCTTGAATAATGAAGATATCAAATTGAGTGGATATTTTGACGAAAAAGACGACGAAGATTTATACGAAGATCCTTTGGCTTCTACTGCATTAGACCAAATGAATGTCTACACGTTTGTTAAACAGTTTATTGACAATATTAACGGTAGTGCACGTTTCAATTTAATGTTTGGTGATTTAAATGATGAAGATAAACAAGTGGTTATTAAAATTATGGAAGGTGTGTAAGTAAGGAATAAATATTATAGTTTGAACCTTTATTGTAGAAGCAGAGTCATATATAAGCAAGAAGACCTAAATCAAGACCTAAATGTGGTCTGATTATAATAATTGTTGGTTAGGGTCAAAAAATATGACAGAAAATGGGTTGAGATGGAAATCTAGATCTATAGATCTTGTTGCAATTACGAAGTTGTCGTAGTGACGATTACATACGCGGCTTGTTTGCGGAGTTAACCTCTAAGCCAATACCAGTTACCCATTTGAGCACGATGTATACTCGATATGACTTCATATACCCATAATAGAATATACACAACTTAGGTGGCTTATAAGAACAAAGAGAAAGAACGTGTCCCTGTATCTTTTTTTTTCAGTGAGTCGTCTGATATTATTTGAATATTATTTTCGGGTTTTTACTGGGTTCATTTCCGCAATGAGAATTACATATGATAGTTACATACCACGGTAAATTAGTAGAAGCTAGCAGAACTAACTGGTTTAAGATTAAGTATTTACTTTTGCACCCAATGGGATGATCTCTGTAGCACCTTCCTGGCAGATAAAAAAAAAAGATTGCACTGGTTCACGTGTAGCAATTATGAACCCAATTTAGTAATTGCAAAAAACCCTCACCTGTGATTTCGTAAACGTGGGTTTACAAAAAATAAGTCATCGTGCACAAGAAATTTCTGAACAATGAAACATCCTGCACACCACCCTCATGACACAATAAGATACGTAATATCTCAAGCAAAAAAAAGAGTCCGGTTTAATCCTAATTGCGTCCCACGTTGTGCAACCATGAGCCTCTAGTTACGAATTAACAATAACATGGATAACGCCTTAATTCCCACAGGCGAAAGATGTGAAGAGGATAAAAATAAACCGTTTTGTCGTCTGCCATCTTCTCGTCTGCCATCTTCTCGTTTCTTCTTGTTCACACGATAGATACTGGGCTGTCTGCACTTTGAAGCTACTTACCGCCTGAATACCCTTACTACTACTGCTGCTACACAGGTTGTACCGCGATCCAAAAAATAATAAAAAAAAAACTAATGAAGAGCGCATCACTTATAATAGTACTCAGCTACGCTTTATCCTTTACTGTTGGTTTGAATATAATATTAACAACCACGGATAACTGGGTTTCCAAGAATGTCCGTATGTTATACACCCACTTGAAACACCATGATCATAATGTAATTCTTGTTGGTCCGTTATATCAAGAGCACGAAGACGATACTACCAACCGTACAATTGAAGACGGAGGCGAATTTGGTCATTTGCTTGATGTACACCAAATCTATTTCAAGAACCTTAAAAAGGTAAACAAAAGACGGGTGAGAAATGTCAAATCCAAACTGGAAATTGAACAAGAAGAGCCATTCACCCCTGTTTCCACCAACTACTATGGTCAAGATCCTTTAGACAAAAATGTCTGGTATGTGAACTCCAACTCCAACACTACTTTACAATTTACCCTTAACAATATCATTCCTGAATATTATCCTTCATTTAATGCTGATTTGGTTATTATTGGTCCTAACGAAGGTCTCGAATCACAAGCTGAAATCAAGGAATTGGTGTCATTGTCAGTAAACTCCACATTCAAGACCTTGGCTGTGAGCACTCAGGACAACCATGGTATTTACTACCAAGATGAAAAATATTTCAACATTCATCCAAGTTCCCACGATCATCTTAGTAAGCATAATGTGTTTACAAGAAATATCCATTACCTTAATAGAAAAGTCGACCAATTGATCAAGAAAATGTCTACTACTAAAGAAGTCTTTGGGTTGAATGTTGTTATCCCTTCAATCAACCACGATGATTCACATTGTATGATCGCTAAGCACCATGATATGTCCTATGAACAGATGAAGCCAACTGCTGTGCAAAAAGAAGCTGAAATAACTGTCCAAGACCACTTCAAGGAGCAACAACAAAAATTCAATCTTGAGGCAAGACTGGAACATGATGTTCAAGAAATTGAGGAAAGATCTACGTTTGTTGACGAATATTCAAACTACTACAAGCATGTTCTTAAACATTACCGTGAGCTTGAACAAGAATTAGCCAAGGAGGCGTTACAAAAGAGAACTCTCGGTCCATTAGAGCAAGTTTTAAGAAGTTGTCATGTTGCCGTTAATGTTATTGGTAATGAAAATGTCGATTTACGTGAAGTCTTAACAAGTTAGACAAAAGTTATGATTTATTGGGTTGATATTTGGGTTTTAGATTTTAATGGGTTTTTACGTTTCGTTGTTTTGATAGTTTTATAGGTTTTCTATTCTTCCTCCGTTCTTTTTTAATATTATAATTTTAACTAGAGAAAAGAATATTCAAATCCCTGCTTATTCGTTCACTGTGTGGTCGTTACAACATGGAACATTTCTGTTCAAATAATCTGTAATTTCGTAACTGTCATTATCGTATACAATGAATAAATAAAACACGTATATGTTAATGGGTTCACTTCTGAATATAGACCAATATAAGTCAAGATCTTATGTGTACTTGCAAAATAACAAAGATAGTTTGTGTGTATCAAGTAGTTTACATGAGACAAGCGGGCTAGGAAGGTTAACTATTACTTCACCGTTGGCATCCAACCTAACAAAAAGATACTCCAAGCCAAGTTTAGAATTCAGTATATTAATTATACTGGAAGTGTTATCAAGTGAAATTAGAGAACCTCATGAATGCAAAACTTATTTTTCATAAATATCAAATATTTTATTTAATTGAATCAGATTGATTACATGGTAAACATTAGTGCAAAGTAAAACACTATTAGAAGGAATGATTGTGGTTTCTACGTAAAGCTACGTCAAATACCATATAAGCGGCCATGGAAAGAATCTAGTTGCAAAAAAAAAAAAATTGAGTCTCACCAAAATTTGTACCATATTAGCTCGATAATTTCTTTTAAACAAATGAAGATCAAAGATAAACTTTGGATGTATGGGCATATTAATGGAGCTTCTTTAGATCAATCTTGGATGAAATAGAGAAATGCAACAAATATATCTTCTCTTCGAATTGTATTTACAACAAATCCTAACTGGGAAATTTTAACATGCTCCTAGTAGTTTCTTAATTCAAAATTTGCATATATTGCTCATAATTCCTTTCAATATTTAAGACTGGTATATGTTTTCACAGTATCAGAGTAAATAGTCAAATTACCATGACCCTATATCTTCTTCATTGCTCTTCAATATGAGTTTTTCAAGCGATGATGGAAATCGAAAATACCGAACACTATCAATCTCACAATCAGATAAGTTTAACTTGGTCAAGTGATCAGGGAAATGGAAATTAATTAGTTGTGGATCATTCCATATTAAAGAATTCTTTGAAATATCCAATACTTGCAAACTCTTTGGAAGCTTGCTCAAATTCTCAAGTAGAGTGAATTGGTTGAGACTAATATCTAAATTAGTTATGCTCTGGGGCCATCCTATTATATCATTAATATACTCTAATGCTTCATTATCTAATTTATTTCCACTTATTCGTAATTCGGTTAGCTCCTTTGGCCAATTACTACCCACGACAGACAGGATCTTGTTGCTCGATAAATCCAAAAAACGTAGTTCAGTAGGCAATTGATTAAGTGCTAAGGTTTCAAATTGATTCCCAACCAATCCGAGCTCAGTTAAGGTATCAGGAATCTTAGTTTTTAGCACTTTAAAACTATCTAAGTTCGAGTAATTGAGACAAACCCGTCTGACTGTTCCAGGAATCAGTAGTGTTGAAATATCAATCATATTATTCCAAGATAAATCAAGACTTTTCAATGTTCTAGGAAACCAAACATTCAGCCAGTCATAAATTCCATGTTGCCAGAATGTTATTTCATCAAGCTTAGGATGTTGGGCAAACTCTGAATTATTGACTAATACTGATCTTATCAAATTCAAATCCATTCGTAAAAAGTTCAATTTGGTTAAATTCGGAAAGGATGTCAAACACTGGAAGTCAGCAATTGTAATCTCACATTTCTCTAATGATATTTTCATCTCTTTTACTTGTCCAATTCTATCAGGATATGTTTCCATTATGTCTCTTATAGGTTCAAAATTACCAAACTCATTGAATAGAATTATTCGCTTGGGAACAAGGTCAGGGAATTCGTCCATGAATCTGAAAATGGCTTCTTTTCCATGGAACTCAAGAAATCTGTGTTTGTAACCAGAACGACCATATGACTTGGTTACTGTTGGTCGGTTCACGAAATGAACTTCATTACTGTAATTCTCACGTGTAAGTTGTTGGATATTGTAATCAGGAAAATGCATAAAGAAATTAACTAGATGATCAAAAGTAACATTGTTCAAGATTTCAATTACAATTTCATCAGGTAAACATACAAAATACGTCGTAAGGAAAGTACTTATCCAGTCACCTTGATCTGTGACCATGATGAGTGGCTGATAATTCAACTTTGTTGCCAAATATTGTGTAGACGATTTTTGTGGGGGAACTCCCGGTGGTTAACATGCGAACTCACGTGAACTGATGTAAAAATAATGATAAGTAAAAAAAAAAACCACCACTATCAGTACATTTGCAATTTTAAGCCGTAGCCAACAACAAATGTCAAAAGAAAACACTTGGATTTAAACTGAATAGTTTTTTATTACCTTTCTAACTAGTCATAACATTCAATGATACCAGCATCTGACATTGGTCGTCGTGCATCACAAGGTCTACTCTTATCTAGAGTAGCAAGCATTACCCCATCCAAAGAGAAACTAGGCACATTATCGTGTATTTCCCTCATAGTCAACAAAATTATAGGAACAGGAATATTCCTGAACCCATCTCCGATTTTTCAATACACTCATGGGAATGTTGGAATCTTTCTTTTATTGTTCTTCCTAGGTGGTGTCATTATATTCTGTGGGCTATTAATATATTTAGAATTTGCATTGAATTTACCATTTAAGAATGGTGGTGAGTTGAATTATTTGATGAGGTCATTTAAGAGACTACCTAAGGGATTGACTGGATGCATATACTCCTTTAGTATTGTTATCTTGGGATTCAGTTCAGGAAACAGTTACGCCTTTGGTAAATACGTTTTGTTTGCTATCACAGGCAAACAGGAAATGAATGATACAATAGTCAAGGCAATAGGGGTTGGTTGCATCTCATTTTGTATTTGGTTACATATAAAGTTCCCAAATCAAGGAACAACATTATTCAATTTCTTGGGAATATTCAAGATTTTGATCTTAGTGTTGATTATAATCATTGGAGGGTTGGCCAGTTTAGGATTGCTTAATATAGAAACCACTGATAATTTCAATGGTGATATATGGAAATTTCACAATAATGTAAAACCAAACAGTTATTCCATAGCAGTGGCTTTATTGGAAGTGATTTATTCGTTCAAGGGCTGGGAAAACGTCAATTATGTCTTGAATGAAGTGGATAACCCTTATCATATATTAACCGTGGCAGCCCCATTGGCCGTTGCATTGACTACAGGGTTATACTTCCTTGTTATAATATCGTACTTGATAATTATCCCTAAGGAAGAAATTCTCTCCAGCGGAGTTTTAATTGCTGGTATCTTCTTTAATAAAGTTTTTGGAGAAAGTATCACCGCCAGATTGTTACCAGTGTTCATTTCATTATCGAATTTAGGGAATGTGTTAGTGGTGAGTTATGCCCATAGTGTGGTTAATCAGGAATTAGCCTATAACAACTACATGCCATTTTCCAAGTATTTCCAAAACTTGTCTCATTCACTTTTGTTACATGGCGCAATCACCATTATTATATTGGTTGCCCCACCAAGCACCGAGATTTATGAGTTTATTGTTAACTTGTATATATACCCAGGAACATGGATAAACGTTGCTATCTCTGGTGGATTAATTTACTTGAAATTGAATAGAAAGAAGGAAAATTGGGGCGAATTCAATCCGATAGAGCATACTACCGTTGTAGATGATATTGTTGATTCTGATTCTATAAATTCGTATTCATCTTGTGAGGATGATGTACAAGAATATAATCCACACAGAAGACATTCACAAAGTCATATGCTTCATGTTACTATCACCAACGAGTCGACCTATCTAGAAAAAGACAAAAAGATATCAGCTCCGATGGTTTGTGTGGTGATTTTCCTAGTATCCAACATATTCCTTGCATTATTCCCATTTGTACCGCCTCCTAATAAAGACAGTTTGGCAATACCATATTGGATGTTTCCTGTTCTCGGTACCAGCGTGCTTGTACTAGGCGGAGTATTCTATTATGTTCGACCATTATGGAGCAAGCACGAGGACAAAGAAATCACCTACGGAGATGACTACAATCCGTTGAATTAGTAGTATGAATTTATATATATATATATATATATGTGTGTGTGTGTGTGTGTGTGTAAATAATAATATGCATCGTAATTTTTCGTTATAGGTTTACTTACCAGTTATTAGAAGACAACAAGATCATCTTCTTTTTCTTCTTCTTGCCTCCTTGTTGCTTAGACATTTCCTCTTTGGCCCGTCTAATCATTTCTTCGGCATCCCAATCATCTTCATCATCCTCATGTACTGGCGAAGCTGACGGTTCAGGTTTTGGAATCTTTGTTCCCCATACAGTGGTCTGGAAAGACTCTTCTGGAATAACAACATCGGTAGGAGAATTAGACAACAATGGAGGTTGTTCGGCAGTTTGGCGGTTATCAACAATTGAAAGTGCACCAACACCACCCAAGACACCACTATATCCGCTACTTTCATGACGTTCAACATCTCGATTCTCCTGTTCATAAAACTTCCGGGTTCTAATTTCTTCTTCATTTATAGCTCGTTTCCTATCTCGCTCTTCTTTCTTGAATTTACGTTGACTGTTTTTGGTTCGTTTCAATAAATCTTCCTTGAATGTTTGCCATGCTTCATGTGATATGTACTGATTACCAAACCAGTTACATTCCAAAAATCCAATCTGTGACCCAATAGGAAGATGTGACAAGTATTTGTACTTCAGGAGCGAAGTTTCCTGGGACAACTCTTCATACTTGATATTTTCAATTTTGGCCACGATCGAAGAAGGAAGATTATCATAGCTTCCATAAGTGGTTTTAAGAACCTTCATATCAAGTGGAGAAAGTACATAGGTACAACTTGAATTAAACCCTGTTTGATAGTAATGGTAAGTGGCATCAGAAGGAGGTGTAGGTGTTGAACTTGGGATGAGAGTGGGAGCAGGAGGTGGATCCTGGGCAAGCTTATTGGTCCAATGGTCAATTTCATCATCAATGTGATCGAGAGTTGCCTTGACAAGGGAAAAATCATCTGATCCATAAAGCAATTTTTCCTCATTGTGAGCTTGCAAGATTTGGTCTTTTTCCTTATTGTACATATCCAACAAGTAATGTGAACTTCCTTTGAAAATTCTCAGATATGACAAGAATTCATTCAATTTGGCAACATCAACAAAATCCAGATCATAATCACTAGAATCAAAATTGTCCATTGACTTTGGCAAACTGATAATCTTGTCTTGTTGTCGTTTCATCAAGGTCAACACAGTATCATGATGTACTTTCGGTAATTCAAACTGTTCATCAACATTATTAATTAACACTGGTTTCAATTCGTGCTTCCTAATGACGGAAGAACACAATGGACATTCACGATACTTTTCCACAATCACTTCACTTTCTCGTTTCTTAGCCTTGGGAACCTCGCTGCTCAATAGCAAAAGCACACATTTCAAACAGATCAAATGTCCACACGATGTAATCATACGTGGAGCAATTGGATCATCAGTGAGACATATAGGACAGGCATTGCCGCGGGGCACTATAATTCTAATAATATCTTCGATATCAAATGGAACGTTCGGATCTAATTGTTGTAAACGATATTGTTTACGGTTATCGACAACAAACTTGTAATTGACATTAATGAATTTCATTCCTTTCAATTGAATACGGGGTTTCTGGTACTCATTGATAAGTTTGTTGTGCTTTCTGGGCTTGGAGCGATTGGTATGGTATTCATCCAGATCACGATATGATTGAAATTGAAGCAAGTGGTTGGCAGAAATCTGATTCTTCTTATTAAATGTTTTTTTCTTGTTCTGTTTGATTTGCGTATCAATTTGGAAATTTAAATCAACCGGGGGATTTGCCATTCTCGCTTGGGTATTCTTAGGTTTGTTTTTGTTTTTAGTTTTAGTAAAACTTTTGGACGTGGTGTTAGCAATGTTGCTGTTGTTGGACACCATGGAGTCGTCTTTTGCCATCACTATGTTAGTAGAACTTGTCATCAGTGAAAACCAAAAGGCATAGTTGGGGGAGTACAAAGCAAGTTGATCACCCTTAAAACACGGTCAGATGCAAACTAGTCTGGATATTCACTAGATTCTCTGTGTTTGACAGTTGTTATGGTCTGAACCAGATGTCAACAAGCTAATGTGGTAGTGTAGATGTAAAGAAGGAAAGTTGATTTGAGGGTATCCTCCAGATGTGGATGATAATCCTTAGACCTTATAAACAGATGGTGTGAATTTAAGTCAGCGATTTTTTCTTTTTCTTTGTTTGGTGGTTGCGTCCTCCAAACAAAAAAAGGCCCATGAGGGATCGCGAGCTAATCTGTAAACATCTTGTTTTGCATGTTTTACTCGATTGCAGTTTACTCTAAGATAAACTGCTAGTGACTTTGCCAACACGTAAACCAAAAAACTTACAACCAAAAACCAGATAGAAAGAATACAAGCAATAGTATAGCTGAAAAAGATGTCCTCTGAACTTAAAAAGACCAATTTAAAGTATGTATACCTGTCAATTCATAATTGAACCCGCAATTACTAACACCAGCTTAGTTCGGTTAATGATTTACGTCAAGCCACTGATGATCAATTGGGTCAAGTAATGCAACAATTTGGATATGAAGAATCATTTGCCCTAATAGATATCAAATTAGGGTTGGGAGTAGCCACTGTTGTCATCGCTGGTCTCTTATTTCTTGTGGATAAGAAATTCACATTCAAGGAAAGTTACAACATCACTGTGATTTCAATTGTGCTTTATGGATTCTGTAGTGGGTTGTTATATTTACTTAACTTCTTGAACAAAAATGTGAAATACACCGGCTACAACAAAAAGGGAAGAAAAGTCACAATTGCCACATGGACTGCCAACAAATTTGATCCAATTTATCATATTAGCGTTACATTTGGCGACAGAAAACAGAGAGTGGTTACTTCATTTGAGTTTACCAAGTTTTTTGATGTAATTGGATTTTTCAATAGAGATAAATTTATTGAGTTATTAGGTAATGAGTTTGAAAAGGTGGATAAAAAGAGTCTTTAGGTATATAATATATGCACATAGGATTAATTGTCCTTGATTTTATCATCCATTTGGGAAATTTTACGACAAAAGTCTTGTAATATTGTAGGAAATGTCCGTACCATGGGGAGGAAATTGGCATAAAATGGACGGCAAATGGTTCCACTGTAACCAACATCGATCTTGGCAACAATATCTTGAGCTAATTTAAAATGATTGACAATCGGTGCAAAGAATAGTCTTGATGGTTCAACATCTTGAAACATTGCTGTGCTTAATTGTCCGGTAGTCACCAACAAGGTTCTTATCCCTTCGTACTCCTTCAATTCTTGAGACATTGCTTCATGCAACAGAATCAACGCGGCTTTTGTTGCCGCGTATATTGACAAGTTTTTGGGAGCTAATGTCCCCAAAATCGAAGACACAGTAACAACAAACAACGTTGCCTCGGGATCCTTGGGTAAAACTTGTTCTATATGGTTCCGGATAACTTCTCGTAATATCCAAATAGGAGCCATAAAGTTGATATTCACCATATTCTTAATTTTCACTTCTTTGAGATTCAACAATGAACGGCTATCACGTATCCCAGCATTATTGATAAGCACGCTTATATGACGGTTGGATTGGTTCAATTCCAGAATTATTCTTTGTAATTCCAAACCTAACGTATCTTCATTTCCAAGATCACATTTCACAAATACAAGTTTCTCATTCGTAAGTGCTGGTTCAGTCACATCCAACACGTAGATTGTTATTTTCTTTGCCAAAAAATGTTCCACCATAGCTAGACCTAAACCATTTGCCCCACCAGTGATTAGTACAATATCGTTCTCATTGAGGTTATTCCAGGATTGAGGTAGATTATGATGTTTGGTCCAGTTAGATAAGATTAGCAATAGTATAGTAGTTAGCAAAATATAGTATGGGATTGTTGATTTTCTAGTAAATATTCTTACAATTGTTAGTATTGAATCATATGGAATGGCATAATTTTAATATACATACATTAGCAATATCTCGACCAACACAACAAGAAATGTGTTCTTGGTAAACACATCTATTATGTCATCGAGTGAAAATGGCATTTACCCATATACTTGAGTAAAGAAGTGTAGTAGCTCGAGTTTTCCATTACGTTACATTTTTCTTTTTGCTTCACAAAATCATATGCTCTTTAGTTCTGTCTATTCTCAATTTATTTTTTTTTTTATTTATTTTTCCTATACACTATTAATTGTTACTTCTATCAAAATCGTATCCTCGGGCAATACCACCCCTTCCTTCTTCTACTAATGCACCGGTATTGTCCAGTTCTTGTGTAAAATCGCTACCCAACCCAGTCCATGCTCTATTTTGTAAATGTACTGCTGAAGTAGATACAGTATTTCTAATTGCAATCGTACTACCAAACTTTTGCACCAACTGTTTTTCCGTGTCATCATCATCCTCCTCCTCATTTTGCTCTTCGGATGAAATCATTAAATGGTTAATCTGTCTTAATGGACGCGATGTGCTGATGTATCTTCCAGTGACAGGATCAAACTCAGGAGGAGCATCTTCGTCATCGTCCTCGTTCTCGCCCTTTTCCTTTTCTTCCTCGCTCTCGGTTTCAGTCTCCTTATAATTCTCCAACACACTAGCAAAATCAGTAATCCACTTACCAGTCCAGGTCATTTCATCACTTAAAGCTAACAATAATTCATATGGAGTAACAATAGGCTTGAAATATTCACCAGCTTGATCAAGAACAATGCCTTGATGGTCGCACCCGACAACACACCATAAATCAACGCTCTCAAAATTAGCCAATTTTGCAACATTAGGTTTCCCAACAACAAATACATAATGTTTCTTACCAGCAGCTTTAATTCTTGCACCAATCACATTGATCAATTTCTTAGTATTGGTTAGTGAAAGTGTGTTCACCAAAAGGCCAATGGTTCCTGCGGATCTAGCAACATGCATGTACTTATATCGACGCATTAAGTTAGGAAATGGTCCTTGAGAGACTAAATTTGTTGATGGGTCATAGGTGGACACTGAATTGAAGCAAGTTGTCAATTGGAGGAGTCGTGGTGCTTCAGGTGCAGTTATATGGAAAAGGTCACACGACTCAAAGGAGGTATCCGCATCGAGATTTATGAATGACCGGTTGAATTTATGCAAGCTGGAACTAGATTCAGGTTGATATCCTATTATTGTAGCTTGAGATGTTTTACTAATGTGCAAATCAGCAACTATCAACTTGGTGTATTCACTTCTCAATTTTTCATATAAACAATGGAGGATATATGTGTGAGGGGCATCAGCCATAAGGACAATAGGAAGGTTCAAATCTTCGTATCTGGCTTTAAAACTATTGACAAGGGAAGTTATATCTACTTCAGGCTTTCCAAACACGTAAGCTGCAGACAATTTCTCAACATCATTCAAACAGGCATCACCAAAGTGAACCACTAAATCAGAATGGACATGCTCAGCAGCAACCTCATCTATACAACATGTCGAGTATGAAGTATCTGCCAAGATCCACAATCGCTGTTTATCTCCATTATCCACATCCTTCTTTCCACAACATCCTGACAAATTGTCGCATGCTGATTTGTCATCACTCAAACATGGTTCCAAGGCCAACTCTCGTTGTAATTCTTGGACAATTATTGCAGAATCACAAATCAACGAATCGGGAAACTGGAGTGTTATTCGTTTGTATTTAGTTTCTCCTTCGGTTTTCTGTTTAAGGAAATCTACCAAATCAGACAAAGTATAGTATTGCCATATTTTCTTGACTAATTCTTCTTCATTGTGAAATTCCCCGAGATGCTTTCTTTCATCAGTTTTCGCTGAAACCTTGGCAAATGTGAATGTGCTATCGTCTTGATAAGTGGATAATGACGGCGCCACTACTGTTTCTTCGGTCATGGTTACACCAAAAGTGTTTGAATGATTTGAAAAATTTAACAATGCTCATCTGTATTATTTTTTTTTCTAATACTAATTTTCGGGCTACCAAATACAAGTAGAAGGATATCAAACAAGTAAGGGCCATGAATTTGGGTGGAAGCGCTACAAGTTCCACTCAATTGTTTTTGGTCCGGAGACAGTCAAAAATTCTCAAAATCCAATAGAAGAAACAAGCTTTTAGTTTCTTAAAAAAATCAAAGGGATACTCCAAAGTATTGAGTAACAATCAGTAAAGAAGATTTTGCGAATTACGGGGAAATGTAAAAAAAAACAAGGGAAGGTCAACTCTGACCACTTTATATTTTATAGACTCAATCCTTGTTTTTCTTTATTTTCTGATGGAAATATACCAGGGACAAACAGTGGATAGATGTTCGGTTCGGTTTGTCTTGATAAGACAAACTACCTTCCCCACCTTCAAACGTTTGCATAATGATGTAATTCAAAGCCAAATATCTAAACTAGAAAACCAAGCCTCTCTAGATTAGGAAAGAGACCCTAGTCGACCAGATATACGTAATTACAACAGTTGAAAAACAAAATAAAAAGTAATTACGGACAATGGATGTCTCGAAATAGGGGAGGGGATGGAATGTGTATATTTCCGACACAGCCTGGCTTAGTCCTGACTATTAATCCACCACAGTTACCAGGCTATGTCATTTTCCATTCAGATCTTGTATATCCCCGGCAATCTATAAAATTCAAACGGTTCATGCAAGTGTGGGTAATTTTAGCCGCTGTCACGTTCCTTCGTATATGTCTACGCGCTTATGTAAGCAGATTCAATATGACGGATTTAGAAATACAAAAGTGGATTCAGGAACTAGTGCTATCAGCAAAATCTTTAGTGTGGAAACTTGTTATTAGCTAAGAAGTTTCATTATAAGCCTAGTTTTACCTAGATTTGCTACAGCCACTTGAGCCACTTCAATGCACTAGGCCATAGAACTATCAACAATGCATGCAAGGGAAGATGTCTGGAAGGAGATTAGATTATTTTTTATCTCGTTATTTTTTGGTATCGCCGTTTCCCGATTAATTCCCGATACACCTAATGCTTTGTGGAATAATCATGCAATCCAAAAGAAAAGTGCCCTAACACAGCCCATTCTTCCAGCTTGCTATTATAAGGAATAGTGACTTGTTGTGATTGTAAGTATGTACAAAAATATTCATGTAGAATTACAAATCTCTAAGGAGTTGCAAAAAAAAACAAAAAAAATAGAAAAACGCAATATAAAGATAACTTGAGATCTCTCCAAAATTCCCAGATTCCATTTGCTTTTTCTCTAATCACTAATCATGTCATTGACTATAGCCAATTGGACTCCAACAACTACAGCTACTTCAACTACCTTATCAAGCATTGCTATAAGCTATGCCCCGGCTTTACTGACAAGTTTATCTGAAGCGGTGAACAGTTTGACTTCAACTACACTCAATCGGAAAGACTACATATTGGCCACACGTGCAATCCGTGGGGCACAAGCGTCATTAACCATCATCCTGGCTGAACAAGTGTTGGCTACTGCTACAGATGCTTCAGTTCAAGCTAAAGCAACTCAAGCAATTTGGGATGCCACGGAAAATCTAAACGCTCTATTCTGGGAAGAAAACATTTATAATATCCCCAGTTTAAATCGTCCAGCTAACATTTTATTTTTGGTATTATTCTCAATTACTTTTGGGTACACTTTATTTATGCTAATTAAGTCCCGTTACCATTGGTACAATGTTGCTTTCACTTGTGGTTTAGCTCTTGAGTTCTTAGGATTCCTTGGTCGGGTTCTTTCATTCAGAAATATGACTGGTGATAATTTCTTTCTACTTCAACTTATTTCATTAACCATTGCACCAGCATTTCTCATGGGTGGGATCTACTTTCTCTTTGGTCAATTGGTGGTTGTCCACGGAAGAAAATATTCCTGGCTTAAACCATTACACTATTCATACATCTTTATTGGATGTGATGTTTTGTCGTTGGTTATCCAAGCTGCAGGTGGGGCTCAGGCTAGTATTGCTTCTCAGACTTATGAAAATGCTCATCCTGGAACATATACTATGATTGCTGGTATTGCCTTTCAAGTGTTTGCAATGTCTTTATTCTTGATCCTTTGGTTTATGTTTTGGTATAATGTGTACTTTAAATTCTCGGATCTTCCTCCTGAGAAAAATGAAGAGCTGTCTATTTTTCAAAAGAAATCGTTCCCAAATTATATAAAATTACTATTCAATGGGTCCAAAGCAAATGAATATAAGAAAAACCAGTTGGAACATAACTTTAATCCAAAATACAAATCGATCAGACAAAGACCGCTTTATAACTACTATGCATTAGCGATCTCAATAGCTGTGATTGCAATCTACATTAGATGTGTCTATAGAGTTGTTGAATTGGCCCAAGGATTCAGTGGTTACTTAATAACTCATGAAGCATTTGTTATGACGTTGGATGCAACTATGATTGCCATTTCTGCCTTGATTTTCATGCCATTCCATCCACAAATTGTCATGGGTTCAAGTAATGTGATTAGATTGAAGTCGATTACCAAAAATCATGATGAGAAAGATGGTGAGGAAGGTGATGAAGAAATTACTTATACCGTTGCTGATGCTGAACAGGAAGATAAATCAGCGGTTGACAGTTTCCAACGAGAAGTTGATTCTGAGTCAGTCTAGTTAACTCATTTTATTGCGAATTTTTTATATAGTTGTATTGTTTTTTTTTTTGCACCCATTTTATCAAATATTGACAAATTTTCTACAATAACCATATAAAATACTCTAACGTTTTAAAATACCTAAATAACAAACTACCAAGGAGCCCATTCAGCTGGCATTGGTCTATACACAGTCAAATCTCCTTGTGTCAAGTCAGCAAATATATACTCACCATCAACTACGACACGAACAGAATTCACATTTTGTTCAAGCACTTGTATTCTACCATTATTATTACCCACTACGACACTGGTATGATCAGGCGCACCCACAGTCTTAGTTACACCACTAGTGACATTGTAAAACTTACAAGACTTGAACTGGATGATATCACCTCGTCTAACTTCATCCAACTGTGGTGAATTGAAAACAACACCACTCCCGGTGTTTGAAATTTGAAGAATAGGAAAACCATGGGTGAAACCGGTGGAAACAAAGGCATGATTACCACACCCTTTGCTCAATGCTTCCTTGGCAAGATCCCAACATTCTCCACGACCCACCATCTGGCCATAGTTATGCTGACACCAAGATGCGATATACTCACCGAATCGGTTATGATTGTCAATCAACTCCTGCTTGCTAGGGATAGTCAAAAGTGGACTTGGGATAAAGTTGGCGATAGTGACCTTAACATTCAGGGAACTGGAAGAGTCCCATTCTAACTTGTACGTGATAGTAGATAAATCATCGAGACGTGCGGTGATTTCTCGAGTATAACGTGAACCACTAAAGGAATAGGAAGTTTTATAGTTCTTACCAGCTAACGATTTGGGTAATTTTAATGCGCCATTGCTGGTGTACCAGCCAGTATGGAGTTCCAAGTCTAATTCTGGAGGTCCTGTAGATACAGCAGGTGGAGTTGGAACCGGGGCACGATTATAATTTCTTGGAGGGGGAGGAGGAGGTGGAGTAGCTGATGCACTAGATTCTCTTGAATGCGGAACCACTGGCGGAGTATTCACCGCCGGTGGCGTATTTACAACAGGAGGAACATTAGCAATAGGAACAGGATTGGGAACATTGACTACTGGATTAGGGACGTTAACAACTGGTTTGGGCGCGGGCTTCGGGGCCGGCTTTGGAGCCGGCTTATGAGCAGGTTTAGGTGGTGCTGGCTTGTTTACCAATTTAGGAGCAACATCCGGCTCACTAACTGGTGGGGAACTTTCTGTCTTAACCTTCATTCTGCTGAAAATGTTATTCAATTCATTCAGGACATCTCCCTGTTGTGCTTCAAAAGTTGGTTTCTTAGTAATTGGAGGCTTTGGTTTTGGCTTCTCGTCGACCTCAGTATATGGAGGAGGTGGGCTCGTTTCTTCTAAAGTACTTGGCTTCCTCATTGGTTTAGGAGGAGGTGTCTTTTTGACTGCATCTGGTTTATGAGGTTTTGGAGGTTTGACTTTCCCGCTTGCTGGAGACGCAGTTTCACTTCTTCTAGCAGGTAATGCTGGTGGAGGTGGTGATTCTCTTGTTGCGTGTGGTTTGATCGGCAATTGTTCATCAGGACCACGATAAAGTTTGGGAGGTGGTGGTCCAAATTTGGAAACGTCTATATCCATAAAGCTGTTCTTCATTGGTCTTGGAGGTTGAGGAGGAGGTTCTGAAGCACCAGTAGAAGAAGCAGTAACAGGTGCCGATGATACATTATAGGATGGCGAAGGACTCAATTTCAGCGATGGTGGAGCGTTAGTGGGTCGGTCTCGACGTACTGGAGGTGGAGCAAATGAAGTAGGATCAGGAAGTGGCAGTTTTTGTTTGACTTCTTCAACTGGTTGTTCAACCACTTGGTTTTCCGCAGGGTTATACGTGTCAGGTTGGCTGACTGTAGGTGTATGATATGGGTTATTATAAGTAAGGGGAGCTTGAGTGATTGGAGTTTGACCAGTTGAAGGTTGTCTTGGTGGGAGTGGTACTGGTCTTTGAGGTGTTGGTGGAGGACCAGAAGCATTGGCTGGTTGAGGTGGACCATATGATGATTGTTGTTGTTGAGGTTGGCCATATGATGGTTGTTGTTGTTGAGGTTGACCATATGATGGTTGTTGTTGTTGTTGCTGTTGTTGAGGTTGACCATATGACGGTTGCTGTTGTTGAGGTTGGCCATATGATGGTTGTTGTTGAGGTTGTTGAGGTTGACCATATGATGGTTGTTGTTGAGGTTGTTGAGGTTGACCATATGATGGTTGTTGTTGTTGTTGCTGTTGTTGAGGTTGACCATATGATGGTTGTTGTTGTTGAGGTTGGCCATATGATGGTTGTTGCTGCTGTTGATTGAACTGTTGTTGATCAGCTTGTTGCTCTTGCTGCTGTTGAGGGTTGGCAGTTTGATTAAACTGCTGCTTAATTTGTTGACCGACTTGATGAGTAGCTTGCTGAGCAATTGCACCAGCCAATTTATCAGTAAACAGCAGAGCTGGTTGTGGTTGAGGTTGTTCTTGGGAGTTTTGAGGGACAGGAGCAGCCTGACCATACGATGGTTGTTGTGGTTGTTGGGGATGGACAGCATTATTGAATTGCTGCTTGACTTGTTGACCAACTTGATGCGTCACCTGTTGAGCCACAGAGTTTGCTAGCTGATCGGAAAACAGGCGAGCTTGTTGTTGAGTTGATTGTTGATTAAATTGTTGATTCAGTTGTTGTTGTTGTTGTTGTTGCTGCTGTTGTTGTTGTTGTTGTTGATTGGAATTCTGTTGGTTTTGTTGGTTAAATTGTTGAGATTGCTGATTGAAGCTTTGTTGACCTAGGTCGTTAAATTGTTGTTGTCCTTGTTGGTTAAACTGTTGTTGATCTTGTTGATTATATTGTTGACCTTGTTGATTGAATTGCTGTTGAGGATGTTGATTGAATTGTTGTCCCTGTTGATTGAACTGCTGAGGCTGTTGGAATTGGGGAGGTTGATCATTCTGTTGAAATTGTTGCTGACCAGAAAAACCTGGAGGAGCAACCTCCTGCTGTTGTGCCAGTTGCAGATAACTAGTTGTTCTGGCAGGAGCAGCATACTTACTAGCTTCACCCCTGGCAGGGACGTCATAAATAGGCACATTTCTCTTTGGCGGAGGAGGCAAATTGCTCAATTGATTCTTGTCAACAGTTGGCATAGGTGGAGGGGGAGCAGTGAAAGACTCACTCTCACCTTGATCTACACCGTCTTGACTAGATGAAGGATCAACGTATACTTCACCCTTCTTCTTGGCGTCGTATTGTTTGTACTTGCTGTAACCGGCCTTACTTACTGCTTTGGTACCACGACCGATTCCCTTGATAGTGGATTTACCCACTGATTTGAACGTGTCTTTGTTGTTATCCCAGAACGACATTGATGGTAGTAATCAAGGATGTGTAGGGCTATGTCGGGGCTAAGAATTTGCACATTTAACTTTTTTTTGCCGACCGAAAAATTTAAGTATGCCCTGGCGAACTTTTGCAATTAGGGGAAGGTCGGTATACAGTAATATTGCAAAGAGCACACTTCTCTATATGAACTCTTTTTGTTTTTATTAATTTCACTCTAACTAGTTAATCATAACTACCAAAACATAACTAAACACACTACCAAAAGCCAAACCAGTACTAAGGAACACAGTGGTAAACCCACCTGCGGCCTCCTTCTCATCATCGGTATCACAATAATCACCCACAATCATGAAACTCGAAGTACACAATTGTCCATTGGAGATTCCAAACAAAAATTGGAGCACAATGTACCAGATATCTGAGTTAATGTATGCACTCAGCTTACCACTGGCAGTATATGTATGAATGTTGCACGTGAGGAACAATGGAATAAAAACGAGTCGTGAGATTGAGTAGAGGATTAATACTTTTGGATCTTTGATCAACATCCGTAATCTGGGGTACCCACAGAGAATTCTTCCTAGCAAATCTCCTAAATTCCAGACAAAATAGATAAAGGGGATGAAGATGCTCTTGTGGAAAAACTTATTGGGTGAATCGGTATGAGTGGATTCAACTGTGGATGCAAACACGGGGAATATCAATGTGATTCCAAATGTCAAGAAAATAGTCATAACAATCAACTTCAACTTGGACCAAAGCGTCCAGAATGAAACATATGCCTTTTGCGCATGAACTGGTTCTACTAAATCCTCTTCTTCCACTTCTTCTCCTCCAGAAAACACCAGGTTTAACCTCTGATATGCAATTTCATTCTTGTGGTAAGTAACCCAATACAAAAGCAAAATGGAAACAATTGAAATCAAACTAGCAGTAATGTAGTAAAGAAATACTCCGTAATTCTTATCAACATACTCTTGCTTGGCATCGATTCTATCTCCCACCAACAAGATCGAAATGATCAAGGCACATGCAGGCAAAACACCGGCAACTGCTTGGCCCACCATAACGGCATTAGCGTAGATAGAACCCATGACATTGACAATAGCCATGGTACCATTCTGCGATAAACAGGTGGCCATGGCCGATAACAACACCATGAACATCAACAACACAAAGAATGCAATGTCATGCATGCGGATAAATAAATCGGAAATACACGAGATCCCCATTATTAAGAAAACTGATATTGTGATCCAAAGTCCTGTGTTGACTCTGAAATTATAATTCACTCCTGTTTGCACTTGCGAAAGGTAGAAGTTGTACAACATGGATGTGATTGTTGATACTGACATCATTGTGGAAGAGTATATCTTGATTAGGGACGGTGAGTGGCCAAACCGCTCAGCGTAGTATGCAGAAGCAGACAAGAATGCATTCCACGGCCATAACAAGGCAATTCCAATTATTGTGAATGTAAAGTACTTCAACAGCGATAATCGAAGGTGGAGCTTACCTAGTCTGAATATTATTGGATCATGTTGATGGGTAGTGGATGTCTCTAGTTGAGATTCGGTAGACCTGTGGTCAGTCATATCTTCAAGTTCTATTGAAGATGTGGATTTTGTATTATCTGACAGAATTTTAGCAACGGAAACAAAGCTATATATATATATAGTAAGAACAGGGACCCTGGTGTGACCTCCTCGTTTGAAACGGCAACCACGTTAACCCACAACCGAACAAACAAAAAAAAAGAAACAAGAGAAAAATGAACGTCACGTAAATTGAGATAAGACGCTACCATGTTCAGATAAGGAAATTACGCTAAAATACGCGCTTGTTTACATTCTTGGTTATCTATTAAGTCTATATTATGTTGAATTACTTTGCAAACGTCACTTTCTGCGAAGATAGTGCAGTGGAATTACTATTGTCTTCTTCCTGTTCTATTTCCCCTCTTAATTCTGCCAAATCTTGGATCTCTCGTTCAACAAGTTCTCGCAAACACAGTTCAATTTTAAAGTATATCCGCAAAATAAAATAGTTTGGTTCTTTTAAAGGAAGCCGTAATGGAGACATCTCCCCTAACCAGAATCCGTCCATGGGTAATTTCTTCTGGATGTCCAGATCCACATTATCCTCATTCAACGAAACAAGAAGTTCATTCCATTGGGTGTGGGTATACTTTTTCGATGTATTCTCGATTGAGTCGGCGATCAATGGCTTGAGCTTGTCAAGAAATTGAAGGAGTTGTTCATGCATGATTTTCTTTTCTTCAATACGCGAGATTGTATATTCGCGGGGAATATATTGATCAGTGTCAGCGGTCAACGTTTTCGTGGTATGGTTTTCTCGGTGTTCTAGTTCTTCCAACTCTTCCTCTTCTTCCTCCTCCTCTTCTTCTAATGATCCTATTTCAATATCTTCTTCCATTTCTTCATTACGGACAATTTGCGAAGTACTACTTGATGGACTAGTACTATTCGAATCACATTCCTTCGTGTCTTTTTTCTTGGTTCGTTTCTTCAAATACTCAGGATCTTCTTCATACAACCATTTGGTGAATGCATGACTTACTCCATTGAATGCATCATACAACTTATCCCCAAAATTACTAACCAAAATTGTCATTAATGGAACAGCACCAATAGCCCAACTGACAAAAAATACTCGTCCCAAACTTGTCTTTGGGGCAAAATCACCATACCCGATAGTTAAAAGACACAAGAAACAAAAGTACACACTGTTGAAATAGGACCATCCTTCAATAGCATGGAACACGGCAGCTCCCACTAACCAGAATCCCATAAACACAATCATGGTAATCAATAGTGACTTGTTCATTTGGTGGGCCTTTACGCGACGCCGTATGACTCTCATTTTATGGAATGCCTTTTCGGGTGTAAGGGTCTTGCCCTCTTGCTCTAGTTTGTGGACAAGTTTGAGTCTCTCGAGTTCAATTTTATGCCAAAACACAGCTGGGCCGGCTGATGAGATTATAACCAGTCGTAAAGTAGCCACAATTAACCCCATGAGCATGACCCCGCCGAAGGAAAGCGCAAGTACCATGACTTTACCTCCGGGAGACTGCGGCACAATGTCACCAAGACCAATAGTTAAGAATGATACAATGCAATAGTAGAGCATCTCACCATACCCTCCTCCTTCTATTAAATGTGTCATACAAACAGAGCCAACCACGGACCACATGGCAAACAAAATAGTGAAAAGCATCAAGGTCCGCTGTTTATGGTCGAGATTGAATGTGGCCGGGTACTTGTTAAGTTTATATCCCAAGAAATTGACAAGTAAAATGCACGAACAACAAAAGTAAAACACGCTTGTGAATATGACATAAAAGAATCCTTCTGTTTCATTACATATCTCTGTCTCTTCTCGGCAATTATGGTTGGTAACCACAACGGCCCCAATCAAGATCATCGAGGCACAAAACCACGACAAGATCGAGACACATTGACTTATCAAGTATCGCACTGTTCCAGAAAAGTTCATTAATAATGATATGTTGCCTAGTATCCCAAACCCGAGGGCTACCCCATTCATGGCTCGGATGGCATTGACTTCATGGGAATCAACAGTCCAATGTTCAATAAGGGCCACCACTGAGATCATGTTTGCCAACGGACCCAAGCATGCTGCCACCAATGGGAAATATGACGATATATTAAACCATAGCACGAAATAAGGTTCACCCGGTCGTACATTCAAATTAAGCACGGTGTTTATAGGAACATCAATAATGTTTTTCAAGGAGACCGGTGGACGAAGTCCATACGGCGAGTTACTATGGTATGAGTGATGTAGAACAGGACTTAGTTTATCCTGATAGTATTCCAAGTTTTTTGAATTGACTCCAGTAATGTATTCATGATCAGGACGGATTTGCAGGAGCGTTTCTCTCAAGTCTATTGACTTTGCTTTTTGGAGCCTGTCACGGAGTTCGATACTGGTTGTTTTAGGTAGTTTTCTTAGACGACGACGAAAAGACGGCATTACTTGTTTGTGTGTATTTCATAATGTGGTTATGAGAATAGTTTAAACTATAATATATAATTTATAACGTTGAAGGAGCTAGTGGTGAAATAGCATCATCACACCCCCAAAAAATAACCACGTTCAGCTGCTCGAGTTAAGCCTCACTGGGGAACAAACAACATCCGAGTTTTCCTACCCAACCAAAAAGAAAAATAGAAAAAAAAATACTTGCCAGTTTGCAAAGTTGTTGGTTGCTACCTAGACTAATCAAACTTCAAGAATTGACTATCGAAACAGAACTTTTACATGATACAATTGAGCCAGTCTTGCTATCGTTAGGTTCCAACCATGTTCGCAAGTTTCATTTAACATGTAATGTAGATTGTCAGTTCTACCAAATTTATGGATTGAAAAGTGGACTAAATCCACAGCAACACTCTTTGACTGAATTCTATTACGATTATGCCTATTCCAACTTCGATAAACTGAAACGAGTTTTACAAATTACCTAATAACGAAACAATACACCCCCAGATACATTCTTCCCTCCGACATGATCATTTATACTCTAAGCTCCATAGAATTGGAATTGACAGATACCACTATTTGATAGAAACAGCTTGGGGTGGGCAGCTTTCCATTTTGCCAAAACAAATGATCAAACTGGGACTCGACTTAATTCTAGTAGTATGAGTTTCAAGTAACGCGAACTTACCTGGATACTCTTATGGTTCAGTATTGTAGATCACATGTAATAATTGTTTTCGCTTTGTTTGAAGATGCCAAAGATACACACAATAATCATCACATGGTGTTTGAACAAAATTTATGTAAATTCTCTATATACAAGCTGAGGTTATTATACACTGTGTGGAATGGGAACAGGACATGGGTTTTCCAAATTCAATACATACTTTCTCAATATGTTCTTCTTGGTCGAGCTAGCCACTTCTTCAAATGGTTTCTTTGCCTTTTCATTCACCACGTCCTTGACAAACTCTTCATACTTTGCTTGACTCAATAATTCGTCCAAAATATACTTGATGTTGTTAACACGAGTTCCGTCAGCTGCCTTGGCTTCGTGGTTGACTTCTAATTCAATGAGCTCATCGGTGGTTGGCCATTGGGAGATATTATACTTTTGTTTAATCAGTTCAATTTCATTGACCAATCCGTCAATTTCTTCAGAAGATGCATTTACAACTTGTTCAGTCAAACTATCCAATTTTCTCAAATCAGCAATCTTGCTGAGTACACCTTCCGCTTGTGCATTCTGTGCGGTATTAAGTCTATCGGCAATTTCCTGAGACACTCTTTCCTTAGCCATATCTTGATACAAGGCGAATTGTTGACCCTTATTAACTTTGATTTCAGCCACGGCAAATGCTTTTTTGGATGAACGTTTGGGTATGGATTCTATTCTGACAATATCTCCTTCTTTACAAATCTCACCTTCGTCATGGACAAGGTAGTCTTTTCTTTTAATAATTTCTTTGTCAATCTTTCGGTCGTACACTCTTCCAGAAACACGGACCTTGACGGTCTTTTGCATCTTCCCCTGGGAGATGACTAACCCTACGAAGTTTTGTCTGGCCATATTTGTACTAATACCGTAAACTATAGTAAGCTCGTTGGTTGTGAAAAATTTTGAAGACAGAAAAAATTTCTATAGCGAACAAAAAAAAAGAAAGCAAACATTGTATTACCCGGTTACTGTGCGGCGCATACTAATTGAGATTAACTACGTGCACATCTATAAACCTCTCTACTTGGTTCCATTAACACTTTGTAAAACTTGCTTAAACTTTTCAACCAAAGTTTTGTTTTCTTGTTCAGTTCCAACAGAAATACGGAGTGCTCCAGTACAATTCAACTCTTTTCCTCTGAATCTAACCACGACATTGTTGTCCACAGCTAGCTTGTTATACACAGTAAAGGCAACTTCATTGGATGGAACACCCTGGTTATCCAAAATTTCAAGCAAAATAAAGTTAGAATCTAATCCACCGATGTTTCTGCCTACATGAGGCAACGCGGTTAACTCACGCAATAAATACTCTCTCTGTTTGATAATCTTGGAAACTGAATCTGACATTACTTGTAATCCGGTTTTATCACCTGTAGCACGTTTAGCAATATTTGCTGTTAATGAAGAGATATTATACGGATACTTCATGGCATTCAAGTATCCTGAAAGTTCTTCATTACAATAGGTTATACCTAATCTTATACCAGCCAATCCGAACGATTTGGATAATGTTTGTAAGACAACAAGATTAGGATATTGATTACAGAGTGTACTCATTGATTCACTATATCTTTCGTCTTCAGCTTGAGTAAAGTCAATGTAAGCTTCATCAACAACAACCAACCCATTCCATACTGGAGACAGTTTCTCTAATAATTCAATAATATCTTTAACACGAAGCAATTGACCGGTTGGGTTACCTGGCGAAGTCAAATATAACAATTTTATACTTGGATCTTCTTGAACCTTGGCTAAAATTCCTTCAATATCAATTTGGAAACCAGGAAACTTCAATGGGACAGTAGCTATCGCAACATCATTGACAGTAGCACAGATAGAGTACATTCCATAAGTAGGTGGACAAATCAACATTTTATCCTTTCCAGGAACACAAACGCATCTTAACAACATATCAATACTTTCATCTGACCCAACTCCAAGGCACAAATTGCCCGGATACAAGCCGTCTTTCTCAGGATTCTTGAGATTGACATTAGGTTTGGCATTTCTGAAATCAACAATTTGTTGCTTGAGGTCTAATTGATGTGGATCAGGATATCTGTTCAATTCAAGCAAAGTTTCGGTTTCCGAAAGTTGGTTCAAAGCTGGTCCATGGGTGTTTTCATTGGCATCGAGAAGAATTCCCTCTTTAAAATCGTCTCTTGCACAACGATACGGTTCAAGAGTAAGAATATTTGGTCTAACTATTTTCTTAAGATCGAACATGTTAATAACTAATACTCTATAAAAAGATAAGATACACTTGTAACTTCTCCAAATTTTAAACCCCGAAAAATTAAATTTATGACTCCAAGAAAAAAAAAAATAAAAATAAATTGACTCATCATTTATGACTATATGGTAGCGCATTACTGTCCATCAAGTGAGCCTTTGGTGATTTGTGATTCGGAGTATTCTACAGCTGGTTTTGCATCCAGGAAGAAATACCCATTAAAGAAACTAGTCAAGTCAAAATTAAATCTGCTAATTCCACTGGCTGGTAATTGTGGAGTGGGGAGGACAAGCTGGGCATCAAGGGATGCATCTCTTTGTTTTGGTGGCGGTGGTGAGAAAAGCGAAAATTCAATGGGCGATTGTGCCTGGGAGAACTTGGGTAGTGCTTCATCTCGAAAGGACGAGGATTGGTCTGAAGTGATTTCTTCCATTGCTTGGGATGCTAATATTAATGGAGATTTTGTCTTTCTCTTGGACCAACTTCTTCTAAATGATAATGAAAGACGGTGGGAAGTATGTGATGTAGACTTGTGTTTCTTAAAAGGGGAGAATTGTCGCTTGTTAAGTTTGCTGAGAAATCGTTGGAGTTTGTTACTTTTATTAATTGGCGTATTCAGCTCTTGGTCTTGTTGAAATGAGTCTGATCTTGGTTGTGGTTCTATAGGAACAGTGCAATTTCTCTTGTATGGAATCTTAGTAGATGTAGTTTCCACAATAGGATTGAAATTGTTCTGGGTCAAACTTTTAGCAGGAAATAAGTCAAAGTCAGTTATCCTATCACTATCATTATCGGCACCTCTTCTTAAATTCATCCACAAAGTAGTCCGGTTATCAAAATATGACAAAAGTTCCCGTTTAACGGCGCTAAACGTTCTATTATTGAAATCAGAATTTTCATGAACCCGCCCAGACTCCACGTATGAAACACAATCGTCGAATGTATCCTCATGTATGTTAAACAGCATTCTCTGTCGCCATGCCAGTCTGTCGTCAAGAGGAATTGTTTAGTGTACCAGAAAATTTGATTGCAAATATTTTTGTCTGTGTCGCAGAAACCCCGACACTGCCCAAAAAAAGGAATAACGAAAATTAATACCACGTAGTAAAAAAATAAAAATAAAAAAAAAGTTTCCGACAGTACAGTTAAACCGTGTTATTTACAACATAAAAACAGCAGCCATGGAAGCTTTAATCAACTACGATTCCAAGTCAAAGAACTTGTCTATTTCATCCGAGTTGGAATCAGAATTACCTCACCTCAAACTTGAAATCGACCAATTAAACACCCTCACCCATGAAATAATAGCCAATGGTGCCGACGTGCCTCCAGTACCTACACCAGAAACCTTCAACAAGGACATATCGAAAATGGTCAGGAAGTTATATGAAGGTGGAGTGCAAGCTTTCCGATTGGGTAAATTCGAAGAATCGGTAAAACAGTTTAATATCGCGATCGAAATGATCACTAGACGAGCAAAATTCGATAGTTTCCAAGGAACAATCCAGGAATTAAGCTTGTTGTTAATGAGCAGAGCCGATGCGTACCTCAAAACCAAAGAGTATTTGAAGGCTTACAATGATGCTGACTTGTTGTTGGGTATGATGATGAATACCCCAGAAAACTTCTTGAGACGTGGTGTTGCCAATTATTTCTTGGGCAACTATGAAGCGGCAAGAGCAGATTACCAAAGAGGGTTAAGTTTTGAAGAAGATCATGATAGATTGAATGCGGAATTGACGATATGTTTGGACAAGATTCTTGAAGAGAATGGTGATTATCTTTAAATTAGACCTTAGTATACATTTTTAGTTATTCCTTCTTGTAGGCAACAATAGCGCACTTCAAAAAAAAAAAAAAAGAAACAAGGCAAGGAAAAAATTGAAGTCAAACTTAAGCATTTTAGTATCACCTGTTTACAACCAATCCGATCGTGACTATTCACGGTATACATACTCATGGCTTCGTTAATAGATAACATACCCTTGATAGACTTGTCTGATTCGGATGATGAAGTGTTGCAAACTTCGCGAGAACGACAACAGCCACTTCCGGAAATATCAACAGACTTGCAACCAAGTCCGCGTCCATCAGTACCATCAGGAACTATAACTCCTATATCCATCACAAGTTCATCATCTTCTTCAACAGCTAGTTATACACCTAGGGTACACCTGCCAGCATCTATAACTCCCCCCATACGAAGGCCAAACGATGTTAATGATTCCAGCAGTGGCAATATGCCTAAGCGCGCTAGACTAGATTCATTGAATACCATCAGAAACCCAACCAACAGAATATCCTTAGGACAACCAGTAATTAATCGCTTTCCTGAAATACGAAATAAGATAATGGCTAGTGATAATCAAAACTCTAGGTTTCAGAATGCAGAAATCATCTCCATTGATTCTGATAATGATCTGGATTCAGACATTGACCGCGTCGCATTGCCTGATTCAATCGAAAAAGCAATTCCTATGAATCCGACTAGTTCACTCAATGATGATGACGATGATGAAATAGAAATCTTGGATGCTAACACTGTCAAGGTTGGTAAATTCAAACCAAGTTCATTCGAAATTATGCAACGAAGATCAATGCAGCCAGTGACACTATTTACATCACAACAACAATTGGTACCCAGACCAGAGCCAGCAAGCACAACACAACAACTATCACAAGCACCCCATCATTTTCACGAGACAACATCACAATTATTTAACCAACCAGCACCAGTACCGCATGCCACAGCTCCAGCCACCGACATGAATGATATTGTAGTAGCCCAGCTCAGACAACGGGAACATGCATTCAATCAAGAAATTGATGATCTTGAAAAGCAAAAGCTTGAAGTTACCCAATCAGTACAAAAGAAGAGAACTGAGTTACAACAATTACAGGGACATCTTGCTGTCCAAAAGCAACGTCTTCAGACTGCAATCACCCACGGAAACACTGCAGTGATGAATAGCCAAGCTGGAGTGATTGCCCGGATTCAGAATCATATGCGTGAACTTGAACAACAAATGCATGGATTCAGCCAAGTTGTTGGTCCTATTGAATGGAAATTGGGTTCTGTGAGAAGAGCACTTTCCAACATTCTTGGTTCATTAAGACAGAGAGGGCAACAAATTTTGAACGCAAGAGTAGAAGCAATGACTGCAGAGGTGATGAATTCATTAGGTAGCAGTCAACCTATGGGATACAGTTCTAATGTGTATTCTGTTGATGTTGATTTACAAAGTCTTGTGGATAATATTAAACCCGATGAGGATTTGATTGAAGGTATGGAACCAACTCCACCAGAATTGAATATCAATTTATTGAAACATCAAAGAATGGGATTGACATGGATGAAGCGAATGGAGGAATCCAAGTCGAAAGGTGGGATCCTCGCCGATGATATGGGGTTAGGTAAAACTGTGCAAACTCTTGCGTTAATGGTATCCCGTAAACCTGAACATGAGAGTTGTAAAACTACTTTAATTATTGCCCCAGTTTCATTATTACAACAATGGGCGGCAGAAATTGAATCAAAGACAGTGGCTAGTTATCAACCCAGGATTGGAATCTTTCATGGCATGGACAAAAAGAATATGCTGACTTTTTCTGATTGCCAGAAATATGATGTGATTCTTACGTCATATGGTACTTTGTCATCTGAATGGAAACGACATTTCAAGGAAGCGTTGGCCAATAGTGATACCAAGGCGTATCTTCCTTCGTCAAAGGAAGGGGGCAAGAGTTATGAATCACCGTTTTTCGCAAATGATGCCAAATTTAATAGAATTATCCTCGATGAAGCCCAAGCAATCAAAAATAAAATGGCAATTGCATCCAAAGCCGTGACTTACCTTCAGGCTAATTACAGGTTCTGTTTAAGTGGTACCCCCATGCAAAATAATTTAGAAGAATTGTATCCTATCATCCGATTTCTTCGAATTCGCCCATACCTAAATGAAGGTAAATTCCGAGCAGATATTGTGATTCCGTTGAAATCAAACAAATATGACAAGTATGATCGGAAAAGCAGTATGAAGAAATTGCAAGCTATTCTTAGTTCGATTTTGCTTCGAAGAACCAAGAATTCTATTATTGATGGTAAGCCAATTTTACAATTGCCGGAGAAAATTATTGAGAGTGATTATGTGAAATTGGAATCGGAAGAGATGGCATACTATCGTGATTTAGAACTGGGCATACAATCACGAGCTAAACGATTGTTATCGGAAAAGAGTTTCTCCTCGGGTATTCTTACACTTTTACTTAGGTTGAGACAAGCATGTTGCCATAGCTATCTTGTTAAGATTGGTGAGCTTAAAGCCAAACAAAAGGAACTTGAACAGAATGAGAATATCAAGATTGATTGGAGGAGGATGTATCGTATGGTTCTTGAATTGAAGGATTTAGTTAAAACCAGAGTTATTGATCTTACTATGCCTAGCGAAGCAGTGATCCCCTTGGATATTGATCTTGGGTTAGAAGACGATGATGAGAAAGATGATAAAGAAATGTTGACGTGTCCGATATGTTTTGATATTCTTAATTTAGACTCATCGATGGTGTTATTTTCCGAGTGTGGTCATTTGATATGTCAGAATTGTATTGAAGCATTTTATGAAGGTCACACTGTTGATGAAGATAGTTCTGGCAATAGAATTGCTAAATGTACTGAATGTAATGCTCTGGTTAAGGAATCTAATTTGATTGATTATGTTATTTTCAAGGCGGTGTATATCGAAAAAATGGATACTATGGAAATTCAACGTTTTTGTCGGGATTATTATAATCCCAACCCAAGAGGGAATTCCATGATTGTTAATGATTTGATTAAGGAAGACAATGGATTCACGCCAAGTGCTAAAATGGAAAAGTGTGTGGAATTGCTACAAACAATATTCAGCAAGCATCCTAATGAAAAGGTTATTGTTTTTTCACAGTTTGTGACGTTGTTTGATTTATTCAAGTTGGTGTTGAACCAGCAGGGAATTGAATTTTTAAGATATGATGGGTCAATGAATATGGAACATAAGAACACTGTGATTAAACAATTTTATCAAAGTGATATTAAAGTTTTACTTCTTTCGTTAAGATCGGGTAATGTTGGGTTAACACTTACATGTGCCTCGCATGTGATCATCATGGATCCATTTTGGAACCCCTATGTTGAAGATCAGGCTATGGATCGGGCCCATCGTATTGGACAGGAACGAGAAGTACATGTGCATCGGATTTTGATTGAAGGTACCGTGGAAAGTCGTATTATGACATTGCAAGAACGAAAGAAGGAGTTAATTGAAAGTGCCCTTAATGAAAAGGATATGAAGAATGTGTCGAGATTGGGACAAAGAGAACTTGGATTCTTGTTTGGTTTGAATGGATTAAGAGAATAGGTATATAGGTGTTTTTATTTAATAGATTATGGTTCTATCTATGTTTCTTGACTTTGGCAAGATTGTTAGCCCAGGAAGCTTCTGAGATTAGGTTTGTATTGTGGCATAATTCAGTCACGATTATTGGTTCAAAATCAACATGGAATGATGCAAGTGATTTGCACAAGTAGATAATTTGTAAGATTAACCCGTCAATTTGGTTGTGTAAGTCGATCTCGGCAACTTCACTGTCTTCATCGCCTTCGGGTTTAATTTCAGGAAGGTGAGTTTTCAACTCTTGACAGAGTAGATTGGCTAAATTTCGGATGAATTGGTTGATAAGGAGGTTGTTCTCGTCATCTTCCAAGTTTGAAGGAGTTGACTTGAAAATGGTATTGAATATGGATAAGGAGTTGAATATGTATTCACGGTATGTTTCAATAAATCGTTTGAGGTAAGTGAGCTTGTTGAACTTGATCAATGGTTTAAGACTGGATACTTCATTACTGATGAACTTGTATCTTGAATTCAAGTATATTATCTTGAGGAATTTTGTCTTTTGTGCTTGTTGTGTGTCATTAAATACTAAATTGCTGGTTCCTCCCAAAAGATCTAACTTGTTTAAAATTTGAAAAATCTTGAGAATGTTGTTTTGTTTAAGATTGGTATTTAATAACCTGATCAATCCCTTTACCATGAGCTTCAATTCAAGTTCAATTTGAGCATGGATCTGTTTGAAAATGGTCAATTTAGGGAATCTAATAATCAATGCCTGGATCAACATCGAGATTTCTAATGATTCCTGGTAGTTTCCTTGTAAGATACATACTTTGCATAACGTAGGTAATTCTAAAATATCCAATACTGAATCAATATTCTCTAATATAGAATTGTTGATTTCGATAGCGTTCATGGGATGCGCGTGTGGTTGGGTAGTTAACACGTCAGACTCGAGTAATTTGGAGATTGATTCGAGCTGGGATTGGTACTCGTGCGACAATTGGCTGTTTACTATATGTAAATCGTTACTGATGTCAATGATTAAATCACGGTTTGAATCGGTGATTGCGCTGAGTTTTCGGTTAATTTCACGGTGGTTCATGTCTAGTTCAGCGATTTCTTCAATGAGTGTGCGGCGAGGTTGTGGTTGTGGAGGTGGAGGTGGTGGTGGGGACACAAGTTCGGCAGTGGATCCAGTGACGGAGTTTGCATTGGAAGTTTTGAATGAAGTTGACTTGTCACTGGCTAGTGACACTGACGAGGCCATGAATGCCTCAGTAGAGAGTAAATCATCATTGATTAACAATTCTTGGAGGTATTGTTGGGATCTAGCTAATAATTGTGGGTCTGTCTCAAGGAGTGATTGATACTGTGGATCTAGCCCATCTTTAAGTGTATTCAAAAGAATTGACATGGTGGAGGCTGTATATCAAGTGTGGACGTAGCGGTAGTGTACACCTGGTTGTAAGTTTTTGGTGATGTTGGAAATTGCACGACCTCCTGGATTTTCTACCCACCGTGTGTTCAAGAAAAAAAGCTCATTTCAAGTATACGCCTATCCATCCATCAATACATCAATTGTTTTAGTAGACCATGGAAGGGTTATATTTCAATATCAACAACGGATACCTTGAAGGTGTTGTTCGTGGATACAAGAGTGGATTACTCACCACCAACCAATATGTCAATTTAACTCAATGTGACAATTTAGAGGATTTAAAATTACAATTAAGTTCCACCGATTATGGGAATTTCATGGCTAACTACTCCGGCCCATTGAGTACCAGTGTACTTCAGGATAACTTAAGTAAGAAGTTGTTCCAACAATTCCAATATGTCAAGTCACAATCTAGTGGTAAATTGACCAAGTTCATGAACTATATTAACTACGGATACATGATTGATAATGTGATTTTAATGATTACCGGGACTTTACACGAAAGGGATAAACTGGAAATTTTGAGAAAGTGTAACCCATTAGGTTGGTTTGACACTTTACCTACTTTGTCCATTGCTACCGATATTGAAAGTTTGTATTCTACCGTATTGATTGATACTCCATTGGCACCATTCTTCAAGAATTGTGTTAGTGCTGATGACTTGGATGATTTAAACATTGAAATTATTAGAAATAAGTTGTACAAGAACTACTTGGAATCATTTGTTGAGTTTGTCACAAGTGAATTTGACGGACCTGATCAAGAAATCATGATTAGATTGTTGACTTTGGAAGCAGATAAGAGAGTTATAAACATCACTTTGAACTCTTTGAACAACAGCGACTTGTCTAGCGAAGACAAGCTCAGTTTGTTCCCAAGCTACGGTAAGCTCTATCCAACTTATCACTTGCAATTATCTCAGGCTGAAGATATTGAACAATTAAAATCAATTGTGGAATACATTGGTGATTACAAGGACATTTTTAACGAAAGTGGAGATGCTTCCGGATTGAGAGGATTGGGTGATTGGTTTTACTTGTTGGAAATGCAATTTTGTAGAAATGCATTCACTCAACAATTCACATTATCGACAGTTTACGCATGGTTGAAATCAAAGGAACAGGAAATTAGAAATATCACTTGGATTGCTGAATGTATTGCCCAAAACCAAAAGAATAGAATTGACAGTTATATTTCAGTGTATTAGTCTTGATTAGTTTATATATTTACATCTATAAGAATAACGGTATCTCAACTGCACCTCCTACGTTTCTAACTTGCTCTTGCTGAGCCCGTTGTCGTTTTTGTGCCGCCCCATCTTCGTCATATATTGTTCGCTGTACATCTACACCGTTGTACAGACTAGGACCAAAGTCCATATCCATATTCATGGAGATGGTTGGTGCTTCGTTGGGTGCTTCTTCCTCGTCGGCTTCTTCTTGTAGGATATTATGTAACATATATTCATCGTGATTCACTTCCAACATATTGAACTGCATTAAAGTACCTGAGTAGTTGGCCATGTAAGCATTCTTGCAAAGAAGCTGAATTGAAAACCTTCCTTCGCGATCCTTTAGCATCTTACATTTGAAGCTATACTTGACTGCTCGGAATATCTTGAAGAAATTGACAAAGTCAAATTTGGAAATTATGAACTGGGAGTCTCCTGATAATGACACCTTTTCAAGTATGGTTTTCTCATTGGGGAATATCAACTTCAGTGTACCTATTGGTCCGGTACTTATAAATCGTAACTGTTTAGACTCATTCTTGACTGAGGCGTAAATATATAAATCCTGGGTATTTATCTGATGTAGATCCTGAAGTAAATTGGACAACACATCACTTTTGACGATAAGCTCCATATCTATATCATCATGGGATACGGCCATTCCTTCGTCATTCTCATCATCTATATAGAACGTCAAAAACTCCAACTTTTCTGAAATTAAATTATCTTCAAATTCAACAACTAGAGGGTAGCCTTCTCCTTGGTAATTTAAAAGACAAATCACAGTCTCTCCTACACTAACCACGTTGTTCTTATCCCGTTTAGAATCACGCTTGGTGATTGAGCTTGTCACGGAATTGAAACATTCAGCAATCAAGTTAATGTCTACACCTAGTCGTAACTCGGCATCTTCTGGACCTGACAAATTGTAATAACTAAAAAGGGAAGGGTCGATAGTGACATGAACGTTAGTGATGTGGTTATATGACGCGTAGATTGTGATACCGTCTTGTTTAATGGATATGGTGGCATTGGCGTTGATGGTGGTTATAGAAGATAAAATGTCCGCAAGATGGATTATTTGATTCGTTGAGGCTGTGAAAGATATTGGGTGGATTGATTCCGGAGGTTGTGAAGCCGGGTCTTCGTCTTGGTCTACAAATAGACTCATTGGTGGGCTATACGAGGTATTTTGGTTGTAAATCGATTTGATATCTAAACAAAAAAAAATAAAAAAATTATAGTGCGCAAATTAAAATTGTTAGAGCTAGAAGTTGTCTGGAATGGATCAGACACACAATGAGTTATATCAATGTAGATTATTCAAAAAAGACTTTAGATGTAGCACTAGAAGATTCAATAACAGTCGTATTGCATGAAAAGTAAGAGTCCATTTGGTAGCTCGATATTAATCGTGCATTCAACCAAGAACAGTGCTACCAATATAAAAACGAGGAGAGGATCGTTTGTTCTGAAAACCATTACCTTGGTGGTTATTTGCAGCAAGAGTGCTTGCAAACTGGCGAAATTTATAAATGCACACGGCTGAATAAAACAGCACTCCGTTCACTTATTCAAGTTAAAATTTCTGGGACAAGTAGTTCCCCGAAATAATATATGCTGAAAGTGTAAAACTGCAAATGCTTATTACAGAAATATTTCCTCAAATTCATGAGAAATTATCTACTCTCCAACATCATATAGTTTAATTACTCAACACACCATGATCTTCTGTAGCAGACAAATCTTACGAGTCACATCCTTACCCCTCAATCGCCATTATCCCCCCCCCCCTCTGTATCACCTTCCTCAACGACAAATCTTAAAATACCAAGAAATTTTACCAAGAAAAAAAAATAGTCAATTCGCAGCAAATGGAATTTCCATCATTGTCACCAAAGTTTTACCCTACTATGATGAGCTGACAAGTTGACTATTTGCCTGGGATACCTGCTAACATATGTATTATATATGGCTCATTCGGATGTGAGCGGTACACAACACGTGAGCATTCCCAATACAACGTTACACTTGAGGTCACGCACCACACTCCCCAGGTCTAAGCCACTTGATAAAACATTCCATTTACAGCCGGTGGGGTTTATATACAGGAACAAACAAAAGATTCATATCAAACAAATTTCTTCCCATTCTTCCTTTGTTAATTTTTTTTTATTTTATTTTATTTTATTTTTTGTTTCTTTTGAATTCCCTTCTTTTTATCTTTATTAATTAAAATCAGCAACAACTGATCGTAAATAACCACAATTTGGTTTAATACTTAGTAGAAACGATATACATTACTACTACCCATCCATCGTACACAAGGTAGTAAAACACATCATCAACAATCACACCTAAGATTTTATATTTTATTTTTAATCTTACGTCATTCAAACAATAGATTTGTCAAAATAAGTTAATACTACTACTACTACAACATCAATATCACCACCACTATGGTTTGGAGTCAACTAGAGTTGGAGGCTCCCCATATAGCGTACGCATGTGTTGGGATATTTAGTACGCTATTCTCGTTAGTATCCCTTTTCGTCAAGGAACGTCTTTATATCGGTGAAGCAACCGTGGCCACCATCGCCGGACTCATAATTGGGCCACATTGTCTAGATTGGTTCAACCCTGTAACATGGGGAAACACCGACTATATAACATTGGAAATATGTCGTATTGTCCTTTGTATTCAAATCGTTGCCGTGGCTGTAGAATTACCCAGAAAATATATGAAGAAGCATTGGGTGTCTGTGACGATTTTCTTGTTGCCCGTCATGACCTTTGGGTGGCTCACGGTCGGATTATTTATTTGGTGTTTGATTCCTCATTTTTCATTCAGTGATGGATTGCTCGTGGCAGCATGTGTCACAGCCACCGATCCTGTGTTGGCTGCTGCCGTTGTCGGTAAGGGGAAATTTGCCCAGAGAGTGCCAGGACATTTGAGGAATTTACTTTCTGCCGAATCAGGATGTAATGACGGTATGGCATTTCCATTTATCTTTTTGGCATTGTATATAATTACCCACAGGGGTGAACCAGGCTTGATTGTCAAGGACTGGTTCTTGTTGACTATTTTTTGGGAATGTCTATTTGGATGTTTATTAGGGGCTGTCCTAGGGTACGTTCTTAGAAAACTCGTTGCATTTGCAGAAAGAAGAAACTTGATTGATCGAGAATCATTCCTTGCCATTTTTGTATTCTTGGCATTCAACTCAGCTGGTATTGGATCCATGTTGGGAGTTGACGATTTATTAGTTTCATTTGCCGCCGGTACAGCATTTGGATGGAATGGAGACTTTGCCAAAAAGACAGAGGAATCACACGTGTCCACTGTCATTGATTTACTTTTAAACTTGTCGTTTTTCGTGTACTTTGGTGCCATTATCCCCTGGCCTCAATTTAACAATCCTGCCATTGGCCTTGACGTTTGGCGACTTGTTATTCTTGCATTTGTGATTATCTTTCTTCGTCGTTTACCCGCGGTTATCGCATTCAAACCATTCACACCAGATGTTAAAACGTGGAGAGAAGCGTTGTTTTGTGGTCATTTTGGACCCATTGGAGTCGGAGCCATTTTTGCAGCCATCCTTGCCCGAAAGGATTTGGAAGCCCATTATACTACAGAAGAAACTCCATTGGCACATTTACCTAATGAGGAATTCCCTCATTACCAATTACTCGCGTGCATTTGGCCCATGGTTTGTTTTATCGTAATTACTTCGATTGTTGTACATGGTTCCTCTGTAGCTGTGCTTACACTTGGAAGAAGATTGAATAGAATGGCAATCACCATGAGTTTTACCACCACCGGTGAAGGAAATGGACCTACTTGGATGCAAAGATTGCAGAAGTTAGATAAGACAAGCACGACATTTAGTTTGCATCGTGTCGACACCATAGCTGTCACGGAAAAGGAAAAACCCACTGATGAGCAAGGCGTGGCTACTGGAGTAGAAACCAGTGGGATAAAAGTACGTCCCGCAGGAGGTGCCAAGCGCCGGGCCCAGCTCAAGAAGAAAAAGAAGAAGAAGAAGAAGAAGCCGGCACATATCATCAAGAAGACATTGTCGAAGGTTACCACGGGTGGCATGTCTGATGAAGAGGAAGAAGAAGAGTATGAACATAAAACTGATCGTCAACGACCACAAACTGAATTTTTACAATTGGGGAGATCAAACAATTTGGCCCCCAGTGAAACCAGCGAGGACACTGTGGAAGAAAAGCCAAGCTCGCCCAAAGAAGACACTAGTGTTGAAACTGAAGAAACTATGCAAGGTGGTGTACCCGATAAGACTTCTGGTATGAAGAAGTATGGACAAAGGCCTCCTACTGAAGAGGAGAAACGGTCTATACCTACCGTAGCTTATCAAGATGGTGATCAAATCATAATTGAAGATCAATACGGGGAAATTATGGATTCGCTTAAGCTTCAACAACGTGCCAAACCTGCACCAGTTGAACCCGTCGAATCATTCACGAATATTAATGATGACGACGATGCCAGTGTCCATTCAGAAGCATCATTGCAACGTCGACTTAGCCAATATGCGTCGGCAGATTCCGAGTACTCATTTAATGACGAGAAGCAAGAGCAGGATGACACCGACTTGTCGCCTATTCGTAAGAGAATTAGTCGGTCTATATCGAAAAAGACCAAGGTTTTATATAGGAAGGACGATCCGCACCGTAAGAAGGTGTATGCTCATCAAGTTGATGATTTAATTGTGATTGAGAATGAAGAAGGGGAGATTATCAGAAGGTACAAGGTTAATAGACATCATAGTAAGTTTAGAAATCCACCTCAAGAACAAGAAGGAGGAACTAGACCCAGATCAACTACGTTGGTTGGCAAGATGAAACTGATTCTTGGATTTAATGAAAGCGAACCAACTTCTCCTACAACGCCAACTATTCAAGTGTCAAATTATGACTTGGAACAAGGTAATTCAAATATGATTATTCCTCACGAGGGAGATGAAGGAGATACAAAATTAGAACATAAGTTGTCAAACATGTTGAGTAAGAAAAAGAGTCCTCCACCACGGGTACTTTCTGATGAAGATGAAGAAGATAGTAATGAGTCACAGGATTCGGAAGAGGATGTTTCAGAAGTTGATTCAGAAGTTGACTCTGAAGAAGATTCCGACGAGCATGAAACTGAGGTCGAAAAGAGGAGGAGATTACAAGCATTGGGTAAATTACCTGTACATCGCCACCAAGACGATGAAGAAGATTAGATTTGCTTTTAAGTTTATTTGCATATAGTTTAATAATACCTTTAATTAGCCCTAGCTGATATCTTGAAAGTTAGATGTTGGCATGTTTGCGAGTGCACTTGGTAGCAACACAAAAATAAATCCTCGGCTTTATCTTCAAATTTTAAAGTGGACATTTTATTTTTTTTTATGTGGGGGAATATATAATTCAGCAAGACATCTAATACTACTAATAGAAACATTGTATCATGGACACCTCACTTATGTTATCACCCCTGTCGGTGAATGCCAACAAGACTATAGAATCAAGCTACAAGCTTGCCCTTAAACAGTTTATGAACAAGAACCTTGCCAAATCCTTCACTTTGATTCATCAACTTTATCAGTCATGCTTTGCAGAGTATGCCAAGAGCTCGATATCAGAAAACTTACTTATTAAGATTATTAACTTATACCTTATTGAAGTAGGTGTTGGGATTAAAGAAGGCAAATTTGACAAGGCAAACCGTACGCTTGCCTTGAATTCCATCACCAGCAATGAATTGATCAACCAAGTAAAACTGGTGTATGAAACAGTGATCCCTCTGGAAATCTTGTACAATTACCACTTGGTACATATATCCAACCAGGAGCTTCTCATTACTGACAAGCACAGTTATTTGAGCGAGTTGAAACTGAATTATATGAAGGTGACTGGCGAAGGCAAGTACGATAGAAAGTTCATGCAATTAGTCGTGTTTGAAATCTTACCTACATTTGATGAATTCACAGCGGCACAAAATATCCTTCTGATAAACCCCATGTTTGATGCCCAGGACTATGCGAAATTAATGGATATTCAGTCGAACAAAGCAGAAATTGTCCAGCAAGAGAAACTCAAGCAGCAGGAGTTAAAACGGTTGGAACAAGAAGAAAAAGAGAAGGAACTTGAAAAACAGCGACAATTGCAGAAGGACCTGAATATTAAATATAAGTCAATAAAGGAAATTCAGAAACAGTATGCATCAGAAAGTGCCAAACCAAATGTGGGAACGGTTGCCAGTGGGAACAAACTTACTGAATTAAGAGACAAGTTGTGGTATCTTACAAACTTACTCAAGATATATGTCAAGGATAATTCTTTGATTATCATTGTCGTGTTGATATTGTTGTTTGTTTCCAAGAGATTTATCAATACCAAGAAGATAAACTTGAAGGATAAGATTGTAGATACTGTTAAAATGGCCTTCAAATTTAGTTATGTGTAGTTTATAGATTGGCTTATTATCTAACTTAATTCTATTGCATTCGTTAACACCATTGTAGATGTTCCACATGGAAGTACCCTTTTTTTTTTTTTTTTTGACAGACAAGATGAAAATCAATCGCAGCCACTTTTACAACCATCAACAAATTTCACCACAGCATGACCAACGAAGGAATGTGGGTGATCGGGTATGGCTCCCTCATATTCAAACCACCACCACACGTGCAATTCAAAGTAACGGGCTACATCAAGGGGTTCATCCGTCGATTCTGGCAATCATCGTCAGATCATCGAGGTACGCCACAGTCGCCTGGTAGAGTAGTCACCCTTGTCTCGTTACTGGACCTCCAAACACATACAAGATTTCACAATGATTTACATATGTATGAACTAAAGGGACATGCCTACGAGGCTGAGTGTGTTTCTAGTGGAGAACTGGATCTTGATCTGATTGCTGACATCAGCAAGAAAATCAGTGATTTGTCGCAAGATGATTTGCGAGTATGGGGAGTAGCATACTATATTGGTAGCGAACACGTAGCTGAAGTCAAGGAGTACTTGGATATCAGAGAACAAGATGGGTATTCTACTCACAAAGTACCATTCCACATTTTGAATGTTGAAGGTGGTGATAAAGATAAGGACATCATAGACACAATTCCAAAAGACCCACTCACTGGTGATTTGTTTATAGAAAGTATGATATATATTGGAACGATTGAAAATGAATCATTTATCGGTCCTGAATCTATCGAAAAGACGGCCAAGGTGATCAAGACTAGCCACGGACCCAGTGGACCTAACAAGGAATACCTCATCAATCTAACTGAAGCAGTCCGTCATCTCGACCCCAAACTCCGCTCGCATGATTACTACTTGGAAGATTTAGTCAAATTAGTAAATTAAATATACACCTCTATAGAGATACAAAATCATTAATGGCTTCATGTAACACCTGTCCCACACGATCAATCTCTTCTTGAACCATACCAAACTTTTTCTGGAGTAACAACTCTCTTATCTTCGGAAATGTATTCCATTCATACTCATCAGCCACGGCAGGCGCTTCAAACGGCACGCCAAACAATATATTAGCATATCCAGGTCTGGCTGGATGTACTTCTTTAATCAAGAATTTTGCATTGAAATCCAACATATTATCATTCCATTTACGTCGGGACACAGCATACAAACTGGGTTCAATACCTCGAGACTCGCGAATGAAGGCTTGCCATTGATTGGACACATCATGATATCTCCGGGCATTATCCTTAACTAAATGGGCTGCACGGAGGAGAAAGTCAAAATGTAAAATTGGCTTGTTGGGTTGGTCCAATTTGTCAATTATGTCTTTGGAAAACTTGGACAAGTCGTCTATATACGCGTCCAACATAGTCCCCAAATCAATAAAATTATACGGGATAAACGGTGCTTCGGCACATCGCAACACTATTCTCGATATCAATTCAACTAATTCGGCATGTTTCTCCATTGATTTGTCAATTTTCATATTTTCAAAATATTCAAAGTTGTCAAAACAAGAGTTCTTCGGGTATTTCACACCTTTATACTTGATTTCTAAACTAGGCACATTGACAAGATTGATGAATGGGACGTAATTCTTATATTCAAGGAAATTATTTTTGATTGCCACGGTGTTTTTATTTTGTTGGGTGAATAAATCATAAAGAGTAAGTGGATTCCCATCACTGCCCTTTGCATTACTCAAAACTTTTTGCATTCGAGTGCTGACAACATCACGCAAGAATGGATGAGCTTGCACTGATAATTCATCACCAGCAATCAAATCACTAAGATCGACGTACAAATATCCCAGCTTCTTTAATAACTCCTTCTTATTCTCGACCCATTCTGCCGAACCGGCTAAATTATACTCAGTTGCATCAAAGGAAACAAAATAGATCGATCGACTAGGTGACCATTGATGTTTTCTTTGTAGACTGGTAAACACTTTGATCATCTCCAACAAGGCCACGGTTCCGGTATTACTTCCAATTGTACCATAACAAGATGAATCACGCGCAGCACCAATAATCACTCCTTTCTCTCCTTGTTCTCTACCTTCGATTGATCCAATGACATTCCAAATTTGATGTACAGGTCGATTAGCATTGGATATTTTCATTTGCAATTTAACTCCAGAGCCGTCCCCACTGGATTGATAATCGAAGTTTGCCCCTGGCGAGTCTACTAAATTCAGGAGTAATCGTTCACCGTCTTTGTAAGAGATGGGAATGGATGGGATCTTAGGGGTGGTTTCTGATTTATCCCAAGTGATTCGGGTAACGTACCCGTCATCAGATGCCCAACCTGGCGTGAGAATATCACCAGTACCCATTCTTGTTAATCCAACATTGGTTCGTTGGATTATTTTGGTATTGTTCTTGCCTTCAATTTCATACTGTGGAGAAATGAATATCACTGCTTTGGCATGATTCTGTTGAGCATAGTATAATTTTGTAGATTCTGGAACTGTTCCTCCATACCGTATCAACACAATATTGTCCTTGACATCAACATTACTCTTTTTCAACTCTTCGAAATCATCAAGGGTTCCATAATTAGCAAATATAAAATTTCCTTCTATTTGCTCGTTTGTGTTTAAGGCGTTAGGGTTGTAGGCTAACAGTTCCATATTGTTCAGTTGGCCCTCGTGTAATTTGGCAAAGAAAGTGCCGTCGGCCAATCTGACATAGGTATTCTTTTCATCAGGATAGTTCAAAAAACTCTGCAATTCATTAAACTCGATTGAATTTATTCCATTATTTGTCATGTATCGTTCAATAAATTTGGCCAAAGTGAGGTCTCCTTTGGTACCACTGATATGCGGCATACTACTAAAATACTCCAAGTTTTCCTTCATGAGTTTTGGATTTATATATGACTTTATGGAATCCTCCAACATATCGATATCGTAGAATATTCCATTGGTGAATGTCCCACCACTAGTTCCCTTTATGCTTTCATTGGTGTTATACTTTGACACAAAAAATATGATGACTAATACGAATGCCACGTATAACAATCGTTTGACAACCAACGGATTACCCAAACGTAATATACTCTTTTCATACTGCATCTGAAAGTACTTGTATCCTTCATAGATGGGATCCACGAGTCGTGATACTGGGTTTATTACACGGGCACTAAATCTATGGGCAAATCGTTTTGTGACAAGCGAGGCTCGCACAAGCAATGGTTCACGTTCTACAGGTTCGGGGTAGAATGAGTCATCAATTTCAAACTGTTCGATGGATGAGCTCCCTATTACGGGACCGTGACGCAAGTCCGGGTCTGAATCTAGTAAATCCTGATAATCGGGTGGTTGAGACGGGAGTGATGCCAGCGGTGAAAGTGGCACGGCCTCTAACCTGTGATAGGGGTTATTGTTCGCAGGCATGGTATTAAACGATAGATGTATGTTATGATATGTGCTTGCCTATATCTAGGTGTTGAAATATTGATGTGCTGTCTGGTTGTGATAATTTGCTCCCTGTTTAGATAAACAATTTCTTTTTTTGCCTACGTCTTTGTTTTACGCGGGAACTTTTTTCCTGCTCGTATAAAAAAAAACATTTACACACGCTACACAAACTAAAGTTTACTACTACTATTTCCAGTTTCGTCCTTGGAACCTTGTACGGCATTATACACTTCCTTTTCAAACTTGCGATACGATTCAACCACATATTCATCAAGGAAAGGATATATCTGCACCGCAAAGAATCCACCAATCTTATTCTCAAAATCCATCCAGTAATACAAATTGGCCAAACCACTCCAATAGATACTTCCCTTGGGTCTACCAGTCTCTAAATTGTTCATGGTTATTGCATTACCAGTCAATGTCCAACCATCTTGTTCATATTCATCGGCAAGATTGGACGATAATCCCAAAAACTCCATTTCGATATCTGGGGGGAAATGATTTTGAAGGGCAAACAGCACAGTAGACTCATTCAAGATACGCGCCCCTGTATCGGGGGACTTTCCATAGTTCAACCATAACCTTATAAACTTTAAGTAATCTCCAACAGTACCAAAACATCCTTGTCCACCTAAATCCAAAATTGGATCAGGATTAAGCGCAAACTTCTTCATCACATGTAACGATTCATCTTGGTTTCTGTAGTGAACCGGAACTAAATTGGAAATGTCCTTCATGTGAAATGTACAATGTGTCATACCAATCGGGTCAAATAACTCCCTCTTGAGGAATTCACCCAATTTCATTCCTGAAATTGCTTCGATTACAAATCCTAACCAATCAGTATTATGGCCGTACATAAATGCCGTACCTGGTTCATGAACCAAGGGGGTTTTCTTATTAGTAAACCATTCCTTGGTTGGATTAATGGCATCCATTCTCTCACCTTTTGTAATCAAAGTATAGTAATCCGGATGTAAGAACCCATACGAGAACCCTGCAAGGTGCATCATTAAATGCTTGGCAGTGACTGGAGTCTTGGGCTTACGGGGTGCTTTCAAGTACTTTCCTGTCTTCTTATCAATAATACCTTCTTCCAAAACACCAATGTCGTTGATTTCAGGAACATAATTGCTTATAGGTGCTTCAAGGTCCAATTTCCCTCGTTCATAAAGTATGAGTGCCCCAGTAACAGTGAGTGATTTCGTACAGGAAAACATTCCAAACATATCATCAAGGTTAATCTTAGAATCTGGCTTTTCGAGATTTCTAATTCCTCCTCCATTCAAATATACTGTTTCCTTGACATCAGTGACTCCAATCACACAACCAGGTGCGATTAGCTCGGGAGATCCCCCTGGTTTTTGAGTAGTTATATCAGTGATTATCTGGTCAACTTTTTGCTTTAACTGCTGTAATTGGTTTCTAGTGAACTTCATATTGGTGTTGAATTAATAAGAAAGAAATAAAAAGAAGAACAAGTAAATCGACTGATATTAATGTATATATGGTTGAGGTGGGGACAAACTACTCAATTTGACTGTGAAAAATTTCGAGATAAAAAAGTATCACCCCCGCACTCAAATGTTAATTTTCTGGAGTAACGAGCCGAACCGCGGGAACTTACAATTGCGGATAAACTAAGGAGGAAGGGCTACATGAACCAAGTAAGTTACATTTCCAATTAAATGGTATTGGTTATGGAAGAACACCTAAAACCATAAGTTTGACTGTGTTCACATAAATCTCGTCTACATAAGTTGAAGGTATTACCTTACACCTGTCATTACGTAATACACATCAGTTTGGACAAGACGTTTCATTCTCCAGATTGTTACTTTGGAAGAACCCCAACAACAATCCTAAATTCAACCTAACATGATCTATTCTATTTCTTGTGATCAACCTCATTGGTTTTTTTATGAGCCGCAATAAAACTTTGCTGTGAATAACACTTGCATAGCAATTTTTTTTTATTTTTTATTTTTTTTTTTTGCAGCTATTTGTAAATTTTCATTTTGCTTCACTAATCCCTTGAATGTCCTTCTTTGCTAAAGAACCACTTTTCTGTCAACCTATTCTTACAAGAGAATAATTCAATACAGATCATGCACTATATCAATCTAATATCATTCAAGGTATTGATTGTTCTATCGATTTTATTTATAAATCAAGTGGGCGCTTATGTTCATCCAATTACAATCCATGGTCATTTCTTTGTTGACAGTGTTACCAAAGAGCCAGTATGTACTTTCCCCTTTTCATTTAAATATATCCAATACTAACTTTGTCAGTTTTACATTAAAGGTATAGACTATCAACCCGGTGGGTCTTCGGCAGTTTCCAATCACAAAGATCCATTATCCGATCCAGAGATATGTGCCAGAGATATCATTTTATTTCAAGAATTAGGAATCAATGTATGTATACTATCTTTATAACTTTGAATATTTCCCTACTAACACTTACAGACTATTAGAATTTACTCCGTCAACGCCGATCTCGACCATAACGTTTGCATGACAATGTTAGCAACCGCTGGAATTTATTTGGTCCTCGATGTCAATTCACCCTTGCCTAACCATCATCTTAACCGATACGAGCCATGGACAACTTACAATCTATTCTATTTGGAGAACGTATTTAAAATAGTTGAACAATTTTCATATTACAATAACACCCTAGGTTTCATTGCTGGAAATGAAGTAGTGAGTGATCCCACGTCGGCCAGTGTCGCTCCACCATACATCAAAGGCATGATCAGAGATATCAAGACGTACATTGAGTATAATCTGCCCCGAACGATACCGGTGGGTTATTCTGCAGCCGATGATTTGAATTATAGGATGTCCTTGGCATCTTATTTGGAATGTGCTGATGAGAACCCGGCTGAATCAGTGGATTTCTATGGTGTCAACTCATATCAATGGTGTGGAGAACAAACATTTTATAGTAGTGGGTACAATATTCTTGTTAATGATTATCATGGATTTACAAGACCGGTTTTCTTTAGTGAATATGGATGTAATGAAGTACTTCCACGAAACTTTGATGAAGTTCAAGTGTTATACACTAATGACATGATTGATGTGTTTAGTGGAGGGCTAGTGTACGAGTTCACCCAAGAACCAAACAATTACGGATTAGTAGAAGTTCAACCTAATGGAGATATTAAACTATTAAGAGATTTCATGCAATTGAAGAAACAATTTGATTCTATTCCTGAATTAGACTATGCATTTGTGGCCAACTCCATGAGAACCAATGCTCGTGAAATTCATTCAAAGTTGAAGCAGTACAAATCAGCTATACCTAAATGCGGAGAGTCTTATCCAAATATAGGCATATCAATCGGTATCCCTGTTTCCATTGCTGAAAACTTGATCGAGACTGGAGTCAAGGTTAAACCAGGGCATTATGTCCATTTAGAGCCCCATCAATTGACGACAAAGTACAATATATTCCAAGCTAATGGTGAGAAATATCCCACCTATCTTTCCATTGATATTTTGGTTAATGTCACCCAGGATGAACCTGAGCTGAGTGTTACTCCTCCAAGCGTTGTCCCCCATGTTAAAAATCCACATAGTCCACCACCAGAAACTACGGAAATTGAAGAAGAGTTTCCTAATGAAGAAGAAGATGTTGCAGAAAGCGACCCTGACAATACTACTACTAAACTGTTTAGAGGCATGTTTCAACGCGTTGCCACCTCTTTCAAGAAACTTTATTCCAGCTTATTCAATTAATCTCTATGTATCTATATATTATATTTTGAACTTGAATAAAGTAGTTTATTTCGATAATTAAATATTTTCAACGAGTTGTCACTGTTTAACTCTAGTGGTTTTAAAAATACTTTCCATTCACCTGGTGTTAGCGAATCAATGTTTTTGTCCGATTGTTGTTCCGTGAAGCCACACTTTATACAAGTTTTCACCATACTGGGAGTTTTTCTCAACACAATCACTAATCGATTTATCTGCGAGACATATTTCATAAACGTTTCGAAGTTGTTGGTTGGTGGTTCTACCCAAGAATCTGAATCTTCGTGAACTACATCGTGGATGAAATAATCGAATAATCCAAAATTAGTTAATGTTAACGTGGTTAATTTGCCATATCCTGAACAAAGCAAGTTAAAGAATGGATTAAACCTGGTGAAATTAAATTCGGTATTCCCTGATGGTGTGTTGGTATAAAACATACTTGAAGAAGTGTCCATTATCAAATGATTCAAACTTGTATTGTTCAATCTGACCAAATCAATCAAGGACAATCCATTATCGTGCATAATACTCTTCAATTCGAGTGTGGTCACATTATTGAATATTGAATTTGGTTGAGGTTTGCGAGATTTCTTGAAAGAATTAGTGTATATGCATGACTCAATGATAAGTTTTTGAATTTGCACACCATCAATGTTGATTGGTTTCATATCGTCGATGATAAAGTTCACCAAGTGTAACTCCTTAATCACATCAAAATACTCACATACTAAGGATAAATGACCTTGCTTGAAAGGAATAGACCAACCCGACTGTGTACGAAGAACAAACTTCTCCAAACATCTTTTAGCTCGAGGAATTGTTTTCTTCTTAGATAATAGTCTCAAACCACCTATGGAACTTGTTGATGATGCTGGCTGCTCCATAGGGAATGTGAACTCCGGAGCTACTTCACTCAACACCAAACATTTCAATCCGAATGCTTCTCCTAGCAATGATTTAATCGATGCTATGAAATCAGTATAGTTCAACTGGTCCGCCGATCGATTCTCGCTCTCGATATGATATGCGCCCGCAATCCGAGACTTATACTTGGACGAATCCCGAACTTGAGGATTCACCAATTCAACTTTCTGTAAGTAGTTGATGTTGGAACTGGGTTCATGCAATAAATGTCTCACTGAGAATTTGTAAAATGTAGATGGTTTCTTGAATGTAACGGATGAATAAAGGAAGTTTTTGTTTATGATTACATGGAACTTCTTACATATTAGTGATAGAATAATTAGTGTTTTGGTATCTTTGTCGAATTCTTTAAATATTTGTAGGAGGATTTCTATTGGTAGTGAACACAAGTGTAGTAGTGGATATTGTGTATTTTGCTTTTTGAAGGTGAATAGCCTTCGTCTTCCTATGAGCTGGTACTTCTTCATGCTTCTATAGTGTATTAATGTCTATATTGTGCCTGTTGGTGAACCAAAAGTGACTGTTGTAATGTGTTGCAAAGTGGTAGTCAGGTGCTGTTTCGGTTAGTTTGAATGCAAAATGTTGAGCTTGGGAGAAATGGTTCAAAAAAGACTATGTTGGTGTATGTGTTGATAATCTTATGAAATAAAGTCTAGTGGATTGTGTGCTGTTCTCTTTTGTGTAGGTTACATATAATGTGGTAAATGATGTAAGTGATAAGAGATTGACATTATCTGCGCGGGCTCTGAATCTCATCGAATAATTTCGAGTCATTTCGCTCGTCCCGTCTACAGCCGGGCAAGACAACAACTACCTACACATAAATCATGATATATACTTTTATTCTATACATACCCACTTCTTCTATACTTATGATGTAGCTCATCGTAAGCTTGTCTCATTTGGACATATCCAAGATGAATTTTCCCTATAAAATGATCAGCCAATCTACGATCACTATCAAGACGTGACAAATAAGCACCACACCCTTCACAGACTTGCAACTTTTGCTGAGAAGTTTGGCCAACGTTTTCAGCAATGGTTCGTGCCAGCTCAGCCAATACTTCTCTTTCCTTGCATAGTTCGTCCAATCGTATCGACTGTAACAACGTCTTCGTTGTCTCTTTATTCTTGATCAAATACTCAATCTCTTGCATCATCAACCCAATGGTCACATCCAACTCATCCAACTCTTTAGTGACTTTCTCAATCTTCTCCTTTTCTTCAGGGGTATGCTGTAATCTCTTCTGGGCAATGGCAAGATTTCGATCAAGCTCGTGAATATATTGTTGTAACTGTTTGTAATACTCATACTCCAACTCAGGAAATTTTTCACTAAGCGTCTTGGTCCTATATTCATATTCTAATTTATGTTTTTGTAAATGCAATTGTGGACATTTCCCAAGGTCGTTTTTGGTACCGACAAATAAATCGTGTGGACATGTGCCGACAACGAAACTGGGACATACTTTGGGACTAGTCAATTCTGGATCCTTCCGTCGTATCAGGGTTTCTTTCCCCATTAACTGTTCTAATAGTTTTCTTTGTTCTTCTGCCATTGCGTTATATGGTTGATTCTCTGGTGTTTATACTGTTGTCTATGATGACTTTGGTTATGTAATTTTTTTTGTCGCACAAGATATTATTGTAACCCACGTTACAACATCTTTATACAATACTGGTTATCATACTATTTTATTTGTACTAAATACACTATAGATATTGTTAATCACGTTTTTCTTCTTTTTCTTCTTTTTCTTCCTTCTTATCTAATCCAATCTTTTCCTTGGAAATATACCCCAAGGCATCCAATCTATCAGGTAAAATAGGATGAGAATGATGATAAGAAGAATATAACCAATCAGCATTCATACTAGACAAATTTTCATTAGAAAGCTTGATCAAGGATCTACTCAAATTCTCGGCATACCCACAATTTTCAGCATATCCATCAGCTTCATATTCATGCTTTCTCGAGACTAAATTTTGACCAAAGGTCAAAACACATTCAAATGGTTGGAAAATATCATTAAACAACATAAATCCAATCAAAATCGGTTGCTCAGTAAATCCAAATGAATTATATAATGATTTGTTGTGGATAAAGGCGGAAAATAACGAGAAAATTGAAAACAAATGGACTTGAGAAATTGCCAACATCTTTGGTAAATGGTTCAATTTCCAATGGCCAATTTCATGGGCCAACACAGCAACAGTTTCATCAGTAGTGTTATGTTCAATCAAAGTATCAAATAAAACAATTTGCTTACTCCATGGTAATCCAGTAAAATAAGCATTGGAATGAGAAGAACGTTTGGATCCATCAACAACAAATAACTTGGTTAATGGGAATTTTTGCTTACTTGCCAATTCTTCAATGGCAGTCTTTAATTCACCATCTTCCAAAGGAGTAAACTTGTTGAACAAAGGTAAAATCAAAGTAGGAACAATGGTCATAGCTACCAAGTTAATAAACAATACAAATCCCATTAAATAGACAATAAACTTGTCACCAAAATAATCAATAATCTTCAAGAATCCAGCAATAACAGGTGATCCTAAGGCAATTGAAAGTCCAATAGTCTTGATCATATCAGTAACCCACAATTTCACGGTTTGCTTATTGAAACCATACTTTTCTTCCAAGACAAAATGTTGGTAATAATTCAAAGGTAAACCGACAATAGTAGACAAGATTTGCGAAGTAAACACAAAGAACAAAGATTGGGTAATAACACCACCCATAAACTTAGGCAATATAAAACTAGACTTGGCCATTAAAGAACCAGCCAAGTTCCATGCTTTAGGTAACACATCAAATTTGATAATAGCAAGATTTTGAACTAAACCATAGAATCCGGAGAAGATAGAGAACTTGGACTTGGCCCTGGAATAAGCTTGTGATTTCTCAAAAGTTTCTTGGGAAACTTCCTTCTTGATTGAAGCTGGTGGTGACTTTCTTTGTAATACTCTGTATTGTCTATATTCTAAGTAGTTTTCAAATATGAATTGACCAACAGTGAATCCAAGAATAATGGTCTTCCAATCGATGGAGGAATCGTCAAGAAACGAAAATGTCTAGATATGTTAGTACGGCTATCAATCAATACGTATGTTTCACTCTACTTACATCTACCAATGAAACCATAGTCGAATTGCTAAAGAAGAATTGGTTGCCACTTTTCTGGAGTTTTGTCCAAATAATTTTTTTTTTTTTTTTTTTGCCTTTACAACCTTTGCTGGCATATTCGAGTGCGGCGAGAAAAGTCGGCAAATCTTTAGACTGCAAAACTACTAGATATTTTTTTTTAATCTAATGAAACGTAATATTTTATGATTTGCTATATATCAAAGTGAATTATAAACTAAGAACTGTATAAGTTATCAACTGCAGATTTTTCAGTTATTTTATTTATAAGATGCAACTGTGCAGAGAACCTCTAGTTAGCTTCAGCAGCTAACTTTTCAGCCTTGGCAACAACATCTTCGATACCACCAACCATATAGAAGGCGTTTTCTGGTAAGTGATCGTACTTACCTTCCAAAACTTCCTTGAAAGATCTAACGGTATCAACCAATCTAACTAATCTACCTGGAATACCAGTGAAAACTTCAGCGACAGCGAATGGTTGAGATAAGAATCTTTGAATCTTACGAGCTCTTTCGACAGTCAACTTATCAGCTTCAGACAATTCATCCATACCCAAAATAGCAATAATATCTTGCAAGGACTTGTAAGCTTGTAAGGTTTGTTGGACATTGGTAGCAACTTCATAATGTTCCTTACCAACAACAGCAACATCCAATAATCTGGACTTGGAATCCAATGGATCGACAGCTGGGTAAATACCTAATTCGGAAATACCTCTAGACAACACAGTGGTGGCATCCAAGTGAGCGAAAGTGGTGGCTGGAGCAGGATCGGTTAAATCATCAGCTGGGACATAGACAGCTTGGACAGAAGTAACGGAACCCTTCTTGGTGGTGGTAATACGTTCTTGTAAAAGACCCATATCGGTGGCTAAGGTTGGTTGATAACCGACAGCAGATGGAATACGACCTAACAAGGCAGACACTTCAGAACCAGCTTGAGTGAATCTGAAAATGTTGTCAACGAATAACAACACATCTTGACCTTCTTCATCTCTGAAGTATTCAGCAATGGTTAAACCAGTCAAAGCAACTCTAGCTCTAGCACCAGGTGGTTCGTTCATTTGACCGAAAACTAAAGCGACCTTGGAGTCACCTTCTAAGTTAATGACACCAGTTTCCTTCATTTCACGGTATAAATCGTTACCTTCTCTGGTTCTTTCACCGACACCGGTAAAGACAGAGAAACCACCATGGGCCTTGGCAATGTTGTTAATCAATTCTTGGATAAAGACGGTCTTACCGACACCGGCACCACCGAATAAACCAATCTTACCACCTCTAGCGTAAGGAGCTAATAAATCGACAACCTTGATACCAGTTTCTAAAACTTCAGCAGCAGTAGATTGTTCAACGAAAGCAGGTGGTTCAGCGTGAATTGGGTTTCTTTGCTTACATTCAATTGGACCTCTTTCATCAATTGGTTCACCAACAACGTTAATAATTCTACCCAAGGTACCACGACCAACTGGGACGGAAATTGGAGCACCAGTGTCCTTGACTGGAGTACCTCTGACTAAACCTTCAGTACCGTCCATAGCAATAGCTCTGACGGTGTTTTCACCCAAATGTTGGGCAACTTCTAAGACTAAGTCTTGGTCACCATTCTTCAAGGTCAAAGCGTTTAAAATAGCTGGTAAGTTACCTTCTTCGAATTGGACATCGACGACGGCACCAATAACGGCTCTATAATAAAGTGTTAGTAACCAGTGTTGTGTACAGATTCCATAAAGGGTTTGGTTGTAAAAAAAAAAATAACTTGGCTGTAATTTTTTGTGGGTGGAGGTGAATTTTCGCGACCGTAGAAAAAAATGTTCTTGGAAAATTTTCATTGGCCAAACGGTACTGGAAGTGTCCCACACAACTTGGGTTGTGTCAATCCATGATCTGGAAAATAATAGAAGGACAATTGCTTTTGTAGAATGCAATGTATCTGTAGTAATGTAGTGGTAACGCCAATATCTTTTTGTAATCACTCTGAATCAGGTCCCCCCCAATCATTCTTTCCTAAAATTAGGTTCCCATGGCCGGACAGATATAAACCAACAATTGATATGATTTCTTATTGCAATTCGTTTGAACAATGTTTACATGGACCATTGCACTTGTTGGAATCAATTGGATACCTAAAACCTTTATGGGTAATTGATTTCTGAAAAGTTATTTTGATACATACCTAACTTTACCTTGAATTGGAGCAGCGGTAGCTAAACCTCTGAACATGACGCTACGCTTAGCAGCATTGAATGCAGTGCGTGAAGCAGTGTTAAATAATCTTGGAACAACCATCGTTGGCAAACTTTGGTAATTTAAAGACAACCTTGTAGAAGAAAGAAAGAGAGAAGAAAGGAAAAGAAATTGAAAACTCAACGCAGAAAAACTTCAATAAATTTTCACCAACATTTCGCACCATACAAAAAAAAATGTGCGCATAATTTGATCCAGGAACCAATGAAATCGCAGAAAAAAACTCTAGACTGTGTGCAGGACCAGTGTGGGTCCTATTTAATCTCCGATCCTCATAGGAAGATCGCAACTGGCGGTTGAATTACGACTGCGCGCACCGTTCCTATTGGACATTTTTCATCCGATGTAGTATACAGGACATTGGATCTGACCTTGCTTCGGAGTATTACCCAATACCATGAACACACAAACTCTTTGTAGTGTAATATTATACAATTGTCTAACTGTTGAAATACGATTACACTATTGGTCTAAATACTAATTCCTGTCAATATTTACCATGTTGTGTCTTCAATGTAGATCTCCCCGTACTAAATACTACCCCGGAGAGAGAGAGAAAGAAAGCATTGTAATGAAAATATCTGTCAATGCACATTTACTGCAGCAGATTAACGGTCTTGAGAAGCACAGGATGACATTTAATTCACATGACATACAAAGACATCTACAATACATTGCATATACTTACATTCATATTAAAAGCAGTTCCCCGTGTAATAAAAAAAAAATGGTTGCAAATGTCTCATAAATAGGGTATCAAATTACAGTGTTATAAACTCTAAACAAATATAAAAATACTAGTATACAGACTAGTAGCCCTGGATTTCAGTAATGTTTCTCTTTGTTGTTCGGATGAGATCCTTCAATTGGGAAGGATATGACCTATAAATCAATATTCCATGTACTGACTGATCATTAGAAGTAAGGCCACGGAATTTCTTGGTACATCCCAAACATAATCTGATCTCTTTGTTTTCTCGTTGAGTTCTTTTTGAACTTTTCATAGACATTCTCATACTATGAGTTGGATGCTGTATATGGTGTTTTCTTTTTCGTTTATGGGTTTGAAGTTGGGCGACTCTTGCTGTATATTCTTTTTCAAGTTCATCTTCATTCAAAGATTTTCTCGGGATAGTTTCTAGTCGTTTGGACTTTCTCCCGGCACTAACCTTCTCTTCAGTTCCACGTGCTTGTCTTTTGGCTTCCTGGATCAATCTGTCATAAGCATCCATTTCTGCTTCACGCTTTTGTCCGATACTTGATAAATTGTGTGAAGCTTCAGAATTAGCAACCACTTCAATCATTTCTTGTTTTGGTGAACTAAGTTTCTCCTCTAATGGAGAAGTATTAGGTGTCAATAATTGATTGGTCTTGATTATTTCCACATCAGGGGAAAGTTCTTTCAGAGTTTGCTTTTGCTCTCCTTCTGCGAGTGATTTTATATTCTTAACTTCTGGCAAGTTACATTTAAGCACACAGAACTGGTATCCAAGGTGGGTCTTGCATGAATCACATGCATAGTCATCATGGTTTTCATCATCATCATCATCATCGTCATAAGCACGGTTTGAATTAGGTTCTTTCTTCCATTTCAAATATTTTGGTTCAAAACGGCAATCAAATTTTGATTTATCAATACTCTGTAATAAAAATTCCTGATCAACAACAAATCTCTGAAAACTCAACAAGCACCTGTTTACCAAGTCAATCTGATTTGCCAGAATCTTCCCTCTTTGTTTATTGAATGATTTGAGAATGCTTTCCAACAACTCATAATGATTAAATACATTCTCCTTCTTAATAACTTTGTAATCTCCAATGGACTTTTCCCCAAATTCCAACCAATCACTCATGGTAAAATTCACAGCTTCATTGAAATTAAACCCACAATTGAATCCAGCATGATATACTCTTGGGTACGTTATGATAAATTCACCAGGATTTTGATCAGCATATGTGACAGGTATACCATGTTCCACAAGTTTAGTAGGAGACATCAATGTTACCAATTGATGTAACAAATCTGGTTGTTTTTGAAATAAATCAGGAGCAGAATTTCTCATCACTTTTTCAAACTTGTCGGCAAGTACAGCGGGGATGCCGTACCATTTCTTGGTTGCACCAAAATGACAATAGTTGGCAGAAAGAGTATAATGATCTTCAACATGCCAACAGAATGTAGATAACAACGAACCAATATATATCCATGGCACTGTCATTCCTGATATTGAAGAATTTACGTAATTGAGTAGCGATCCTTTGGCAAAAGGTAGCTTTGTAAGATTGAAAGGATGTTTGATATAGTGGTTGGTTAAAGGGTCATTATGGTCTAGTCCAGGAGTGTCTTTCATGGGGAATCCACTTATTTCTCCGGGTTTCAAATTGTGTATATCTGCCCCATATTTAACTTCAATATCAACCTTTTCATTTTCAACAAATGACCAGAATTTGTCTTCAATTACATCTACAGTTAGTGCTTCATTGTTGTTATATTTTGCAGCAAATTTGGCATCAAATTCATGACACATTTCGTAGAATTCTGGTATTGAATATTTAATATCTTGGTCTTCTTCAAATCCATATTCGCCTGTTCCTATCAAACATTTATCACAATACCAATTTGCAGCAGGAATAGATGTCAATGGGGTAGGCAAACACTTCATATGATATGGGTTGTCGCAATTATCACAAAGTAAAGTTTCTTCGGGCTTATCGTGCTTCCCACAAATCAAACAGTTGTCAAATTCGTCTTCATCGTCACTTTCTGGAAACTCAAAATCAACCTTATTGTGCAAGTACATGGCATAATACCTAACATTGGCGATATATTCCTGTTCAATGGCAGATGACACAGGATCAACATTCATGATCTTATTAATCTCGATCCATTTAGCCTTATTCATATTCTCAGGACCACCTAGTTTTTCCACTTCCAAGAACAAGTCGTAATAGTATATATTCACCCCATTAACTTTAAAAGACAGGCGCAACTGCTTTTTCCGTCTCATTTTCAAAAATCGATTAATACTTTCTTTAAAAAACATTCGTGATCTCGTAGTCAATCCCAAGTCACTGATCTTTTGTTTCCGAACATGGAATTTAAAATTAGGGGATATATTGAAGGGAGGTTTCCAATTTGGTGGTGGAACAATCTTGACTATTCCGTACAAGGAACCCAATTTTGCAATAGGTTCGCTGGAAAGATATCCAATCGGATCATTGAATTCGTGCTCCGTGGGGTTTAAAACTGGACACGGTTTCAATAATTCCTTCTTAAACGAAGTTGTAGCAGGCATGATTTAACAGCAAGGCAGCCAGAATAGCGACAGGGTATAACTAAAGCAAATTCAAGCCAATCTAACTTAAAATTAGTATTAAAATGGTCGCGTAGTTTAGGCGACGACAAATATGGTATTTAATTGGGAAAATTGGAAAATAATATATGCTGCTATAACAACCAGGTCTTTACTATATAATATTTGCAGAATGATCGTTTTTTCTGATCGTTAAGGATTTATCTTTTTTTTTTTTCTCTCTCTCCTTCTTTTTCTCAAGATTTCTGACAAAATTTGTTGAAATTTCGACGTAACATTAAAAAAGAAGCAAACATTTGGGAAATAGACTCCATATATTAGATCGAATACAATAAGTTGCTTGTTCCTTACAATTAGATGTAATTCATATTTAAAACACTTCTAAAGAAATATCCGACATGAGGATCAATCTATTACGGGGTAGTTTAATTTTCGACCCACATTGTTAGATTGCCTATTTAGGGTAGAAGCGCACCCGCCAATTTGTATAGTTGGAAAAACTTAACTACTGTTCCCAATTGGGTTACTCACAGCGACAATGACTGAATGCTTTTTCCGGCCCGCATAAATTTTCAACATTATTTAAATCTACTAGTATCTCCACTAATTTGCATTATTGTAATCTTATATCTACAAACTCAAATAAATCAAGTATGCCATATACAATTACTGTTTTAGGTTGCGGTGTTATGGGAACTGCCGTCACATCAGCTATTTTAAAGGCTCAGTTTGACCCATACCCAACCAAGATCATCGCTTGTACAGTTCCATCAGAAGAAGCCAACCTTAAGAAGGTTTTCGCCGACAACAAACTCGTTTCGGTTTCAGCTGGTGTGGAAAACAACAACAAGGCAGTTGCCGAAGCTGATGTCATTATCTTGGGTTGTAAGCCATATATGTATGAAGGTATCTATAACGAAGTTAAGGACTCTTTAACTGGGAAACAATTGTTGATTTCATTGTTGGCTGGTACCACCATAAAAGAATTATCCATTTTCACTCCTTATGTCGCCAAAGTTATGACCAACACTCCTGCAAGATTTGGATGTGGTACTGCTGCAATTGCATTCGCTCCAGAGGTGACTGAAGAACAACAAGAATTGGTTATGAAATTAATCGACACTGTTGGTATGACTGTCAAGATTCCAGAAAAAAACATGGACATTGCCACTTCTTTGATTGGATCCGGTCCGGCTTTCTGTTTGTTAATGATGGAATCAATGATCGATGGTGCTGTTAGAATGGGTATGCCTTACGATATTGCACAAAAGTCTGCTGCCAAAGTTATGGAAGGTACTGCTAAAATGGTTCTCGAAACTGGCGAACACCCAGCCGCTTTAAAGGCAAAGGTTTGTACCCCAGGTGGAACTACTATTGGTGGGTTGTTAAAGATGGAAGATAAGGGAGTAAGAAGTGCAATTGCTCGTGGTGTTGAAGAAGCAGCAATCATCTCGGCTTCATTTGCAAAGAAATAAAGTAAGTAGTAGTGCATTATGTACAAATAATTTATTTGGTAACCTATTTACAATGTCTATTTGGTTAAACTCTTCTTATTACGTAACATGGCAGTAATGAAGTGCTTGAAATCTTCATCATTGATCTCTCCCCTATGTTCTTCTATTATTTCATTCATCTTTCCTAAATGACCTCTAAGATCTCTACCAGATAAAATTCTATAAATGAAACCCATTGCATTTATTGGTTCCCCTTCTTTGAGATACCCTTTCTTCACAAGTAGTTCTTTAAATTCGATGGCTGCTTGTTTTAATTCAGGGATAGCTTGTATTTGCTCCTTTATTTTGTTTAATGCTGCGTCACGTTGTGGAGTTTCTGCACTTTTAAGATCAAGGAATCTAGCAGGAGTACTGCTTGAAAAAGAACGGAAACCCACTGGTCTTGCCAATGATCTGACTGCTATTCTTGGTTGATATCTGGTCAAACAAACTCTAAACATAATTTTTATCTAACAGCTATCAAAGATGAGTTTACTACTTTGTCCGGGGGGATATAAAGCTGAAAGCAACTAACCAAAGTTCTGGAAAAATCTTTGCTAAGGCGAGAAAAAGAGAGAGAGACAGACCCCAAGCGGCTTTCGCCTGCGCACGACCACAAAATCGAAAAATTTCCAACAACGCACCAGAAACTCAAAAACAAACTGTCGAACTGTCAAATTTCACCTTCACCTTTCTTCAAGCTTTTTCTATATCTTATACGAAATAGTTCATTAAACCCGATACAATGTCTCACGAAGGTCAAGAAGAATTATTGGATTACTCCGATTCTGAAGAAATCGCCGTTCCAACTACCTCAGCTACCACGGCTGGTAATGATGCTGGTGCTGAAGGTGCTGCCAACGACAAAGAAGCTGACAAAAAGGGTTCTTATGTTGGTATCCATGCCACTGGGTTCAGAGATTTCTTATTAAAGCCTGAATTATTAAGAGCTATTGGTGATTGTGGTTTTGAACATCCATCCGAAGGTTCGTACATTTAATATTACTACACTAGAGAATGAAAATATTGATTAGCTCTGGTGGGGACGAATCAAACCAAAATGTCAAGTTTGAAATATTCCTTGGATATTTATTACAATTATATCCAATCAATTGATTGATGAATCATGTAGGGCGGTTCATCCAAGCAAGGTGACTTGATTTCCAAGAATCACAATAAAAAAAAAACACATGCCCTAATAATAAAGGTATTGATTTTTGCCACTTGCGATCAATATTTCCATGTCTCAGTGTAAAAGTTTTAGTAACAATCCAACTAACCAAATTATAGTCCAACAAGTTTGTATCCCTCAATCTATTTTGGGTACTGATGTTCTTTGTCAAGCCAAGTCCGGTTTAGGTAAAACTGCCGTCTTTGTTTTGTCTACTTTACAACAATTGGACCCAATTCCAGGAGAAATTTCCACTCTAGTTATCTGTCATACCAGAGAATTGGCTTACCAAATTCGTAATGAATATGCCAGATTTTCCAAGTATATGCCAGACGTTAAGACCGAAGTCTTTTACGGTGGTACTCCAATTAAGAGAGATATCGAAAAATTAAAGAACAAAGACACTTGTCCTCATATTGTTGTTGCCACTCCAGGTAGATTGCATGCTTTAGTTCAAGAAAAGGCCATCAGATTAAACAATGTTAAATCATTTGTTATTGATGAATGTGATAAAGTCTTGGAGGCCATTGACATGAGACGTGATGTTCAAGATATCTTTAGAGCCACTCCTCACCAAAAGCAAGTTATGATGTTTTCTGCTACTTTATCACAAGAAATCCGTCCAGTTTGTAAGAAGTTTATGCAAAATCCATTGGAAATTTACGTTGATGATGAAGCTAAATTGACTTTACACGGTTTACAACAATATTATATCAAGTTGGAAGAAAAGGAAAAGAATAGAAAATTATCTGATTTATTAGATTCTCTTGAATTTAACCAAGTTATTATATTCGTGAGATCTACCCAAAGAGCCAATGAATTGAACAAGTTGTTGTGTGCTTGTAACTTCCCATCTATTGCTGTTCATTCTGGTTTACCACAAGAAGAAAGAATCGAAAGATACAGATCCTTCAAAGAATTCAACAAGAGAATCTGTGTTTCCACTGATGTCTTTGGTAGAGGTATTGATATTGAAAGAATCAACTTGGCCATCAACTACGATTTACCAAACGAAGCCGATCAATACTTGCATCGTGTTGGTAGAGCTGGTAGATTTGGTACCAAGGGTTTAGCTATTTCTTTGGTTAGTACCAAGGAAGACGAAGAAGTTTTAGAAAAGATTCAAAGTAGATTCGATGTCAAGATTACTGAATTCCCAGAAGAAGGTGTTGATCCATCTACTTATATGAATACTTAGACTTATAATCTTCCCAAATTTTTTGTGTTTTTATCTGTGTAAAAGATTTATTTGTAACTTTATAATGTGATTAAATAAAAACTCATGTTAGTTTAATTAGTTGTAGTATTGTTGTATATTTTATCCATATCGTATACACATTGAATCTATAAGTTCATAAACAGAGTCAATATCTTTCTTCGGAATCAAAAAAAATTCCTTATGAGTATTGAACTTCGGAAACGGAGCTCCAGACTTTGTCTTACCTGGCAGTTTACTAGTAACACAACCTTTACAGTAAACATCACCCTTGCCATAAGTATCTCGTAGTGATTGATGAATTTTCTGTTCTACAAGGTCAAGATTTTGTTTGCAGTAGAAACCATTATCTTTGTACCTTCGGTAAGAACTGATGTTACTGTTGATGACGTGATGGCTAGAAATATTTAGATTGAGAAATTTGGAAATCAACATCTTAACCGAACTCTCGTGTTCAACCACCAAATGTCGATTCATTGGTCCCAAATTAGTTATATCATGATGGCACTGACTTTCCCATTCTTTAAGACGCGTATTTACAGTTTTTGTAGTCATTCCAATCTTGATGAGGATAAAGGGAGATTTCTTTGCTTTAAAATCAACCCATTTATTTTTCTTTCTTGATGAGCAATCAGGTAGGTTTTGAACCTGGAACAGCCATGGGGTACCACCGTTTATGACAAAGTTCGTGAAAGTATACATGTAGATATAGCCTGCATTGTTTGATTTCTTTTTAGCCGAGTAATGCACGTAGGAATCGTACTTAAGCCCGGACTGATGCTCGTGATAATGGCAGAACCCCGCAGACAGATTTACCTTTATCTTGCATCGATTGCCAGTCTTTGTGATTCCATTGCATTGGAACGTTTGCACTGGCATATCAACCGCTGATCTGTGCAGGGCAGTGTTTGTTTTTTTTTCCGAGTTAGGCGAAATAGATGTTTTCACTTACTGTCAAATCATACGTGCGGGTGCAAAGTTTACTTCAAGTTCGAGCGGATTGTAAATGCGCCGATGCGCCCATGCGCCCATGCGCCCCCCCCCCCAGTTGATTCACCTTGCAATTTCAATTCCCTAACACCAGAGTTCACATTTGAAACATTAGATTACCGGGAGTGTTACACAACAAATGCGGAGTTGTAAAAGTTGGTCTATACGTCAGCGAACGTAAACATATCTAAGTTTAACTATATACGATCAGTAAGTGGAATGACTCATGATATTAGTTCTACATCTTTCAGGTTCATTAATTCATAATAACGCATGATCTCAAGTAATAATTCTAACAATTTCTTGGATGGAGAGCCGCATCAGACGTTATAAATTGGAAAGCCTAACTAATGTTGACATATATTGACCCCACTCTGGCCATCCTTTTTAACAAACTAATTACAATTAATCGGTCCTTAGAACATACCGCCACGGTTTCATTGTTTTTGTTCCTTGTGCTTCGCTTGTCATAGTTAAGCTGGGTGCAAAGATCGAAATTCTCGTATCAAACTTCCCGATACAGGCGTGTTAAATATACTAAAAAATATTTTTTACCAATTCCGTTAATCGCACACATGTCACGTGAAATGTCATAAATTTATTTTTATGGCGAGACTCACCAGTCAATCCCAACAAGGGTGGGGAATTTAAGCTTGGTCTGCCACAGTTTTTGCGGGTCAAAATTGTTGATTCACATGGTCTTGCATTGTTACTCGGATTTTAACGATCAGTCCATAAACGTATAAAGTTTTACGAAAAATTTTTCATTTAAATAGCTTTTCAATTCTTCTTTTCTTTTCTCTTTTTATTTTCCTTTTCAATTTAAGTAGTCTTCTACAGATTTATTATACATAGCAATGCCATCTCACTTTGACACCCTTCAATTGCACGCTGGACAACCAGTTGAAGAACCACACAAGGCTAGAGCTCCTCCTATTTATGCCACCACTTCTTATGTCTTCAATGACTCCAAGCATGGGGCTCAATTGTTCGGTTTAGAAACACCAGGTATGATCTACTCCAGAATCATGAACCCAACCAATGACGTTTTTGAAAACAGAATTGCTACTCTTGAAGGTGGTGTTGGTGCTTTAGCTACCGCTTCCGGTCAATCTGCCCAATTCTTGGCCATTGCTGGTGTTGCTCACGCCGGTGACAACTTTATCTCCACTTCTTACTTATACGGTGGTACTTATAACCAATTCAAGGTTGCCCTTAAGAGATTTGGTATTGAAGCCAGATTCGTCAATGGTGACAAGCCAGAAGATTTCGCCAAGTTGATTGACGAAAAGACCAAGGCTATCTACATTGAATCCATCGGTAACCCTAAATATAACGTTCCTGACTTTGAAAAGCTCGCCAAGATTGCTCACGATCATGGTATTCCTTTAATTGTCGACAACACCTTTGGTTGTGGTGGGTTCTTAGTTAACCCAATTGCTCACGGTGCCGATATTGTTGTCCACTCTGCTACCAAGTGGATTGGTGGTCACGGTACTACCATTGCTGGTGTTATTGTTGATTCTGGTAACTTCCCATGGGCTGACTATCCAGAAAGATTCCCACAATTCTCCAAGCCATCTGAAGGTTACCACGGTTTAATCTTGAACGATGCCTTAGGTAAGGCCGCTTTCATTGGTCATGCCCGTATTGAATTGTTGCGTGATATCGGTCCAGCTTTGAACCCATTCGGTTCTTTCTTATTATTACAAGGTTTGGAAACTTTATCTCTTAGAGTTGAAAGACAATCTTACAATGCCCTTACCTTGGCCCAATGGTTGCAAAAGAACCCATATGTTGAATCTGTTTCCTACTTGGGTTTGGAATCTCATGAATCTCACGAATTAGCCAAGAAGTATTTCAATAATGATGCCAAGTTCTTTGGTGGTGCTCTTACCTTCACCGTTAAGGAATTAGAAAACACTTCCAGCGATCCATTCGACGAAGCTTCTCCAAGATTGGTTGACAATTTGGAAATTGCTTCTAACTTGGCCAATGTTGGTGACTCCAAGACCTTGGTTATTGCTCCATGGTTCACCACCCATCAACAATTGTCTGAAGAAGAAAGACTTTCTTCTGGTGTCACCAAGGGTTTGATTAGAGTTTCTGTTGGTACTGAATTCATTGACGATCTTATTGCTGATTTCGACCAAGCCTTCAAGAAGGTTTACGGTGAAAAGTAAATATAGAACTATGTGTATAAACTGTATGTATTAGAAACTAAAATCTAAACAAAAAAAAAAAATCAATCTGTAAAACCCCCCCCCATTTATACCTTTTTATCTATCCCAAACATCAGATTATCCAAAAGTTGCATTTCCTCATCAGCCAAAAAAGAAAATGGTCTACCATTGAGACTTGGTTGTTCATCCGCAAACGGATTCTTTAAAGAACCAGTTCTTCCCATATCTTCCACAACAGCTGGTGGTCCTGAACTAGCATACCCATCATAAACTTCCTCTTGATAAGCACCACTTGCCACAAACGGATTACTAACTCTCACGCATCTAGGAACAGTCTGTCTAACAGAAGGTCTTTTTGAAATCGATTGACCCAATTTCCGCAACTCCTGCTCTTGTTTCACTTCCTGTTCCTTCACCGGTAAAGCTGGACGAGTATCATGGTGAGTTTCCGAATTGAGATTTTCGTGATCAGGGTTAGTACCGATTCTTATGCCTGCAAGCCTCCAGTTCTTTCTTTGTTTCCTTGGCTTTTCAAGAACCAAGTTTTCTTTCAGCAGGATAAACTTAAACACTTCTTCTTCATGTGCTTCAGGATTGGCACACCACATAGGAAGTACCCATGCACACATTGAAATCAAGGCAAACGCAACACCAAGATAGAGCAATGTTATCCAAGTAGGCCCAAAATGGAATGTTATCCCAAAAGATGCCAACGACCCAGATATTTCTCGACGAGTGTTGGCAAGCAAGCTTGTAATTACCACCGAACAGACAAATACACTAATAAATGATGCCAATGAGATACATGCCATGCAATGAAGAATCCACGATGGTATCTTGGATAAATCAGGTTCGCCACCTCGATTGGTATATATAACCAACATCATGAATAAAAGTACAAATTGCGAAATACAGGTAAATACGATAGCTGGAATAACAAGTTTGAAACGAGTATGGCGAGCTTCCATTTTATCCAAATATTTGTTAGTAGAATAGTCATTGGTATTATATGCATACGCCAATATTGCACCTAAACCGATATCTTCTAATTCTTGGAGATAATTAAACACATCCTTCAGCTTGTGACACGTTAGAACATCCTTATAGTTGATAATTTTCGATGTATTTTCTGTAGAGGGAGGGGTTGTAGATTGATTATTCCCAGAGCACCAACTCCATAATGTCACAATTATGTACTGAGGTGCACCAGCTACTTTTTTCTTGGCATATTGACTCAAAAGAGCAATTTCCGAGTTGGAAAAGGTATCACCAGCAATTCCGCTGTCAATGTTAAAATCTCCTTCATCATCAGTATCTTGATCCAGAAAATCAGGCGAGTTTGCGGCAACTGATTGTCTAAGTAACTGAAAAAACCCATGTGATACATCTAATTGCGAGCAGTTTATCCTGGCAATATATGTTGATTTATTGAATAGTGGTGCTAGTACACAAGCTAAACAATATGCAACCACGGAAAGGGCACAGAATAGTCGGATACACTGAAGGACCCGTTCTTGTGTCGTCAAGTTCCGGAAGGGCAGCAGTAGATTATAGGATATGTTTTTCCACAGCACCATGTTCCACTTAAGTCTATTAGTGAAGTATTTTCAGATAAAGGCTACTCCGTTTAATATTTTTTTTAAAAAAAAACGTCTGATATGTATTTTTTGTTTTGCTAGTGTATATTTTTTCCCACCCCCCTGCACAGAACAGAAACATGATGGTTGCGTTTCTTGCAACCTCACATAGCTACGAATTAATAGTACTATGATAATCAATTCAAAAGCTTGAATTTACGTTTCCTTTTTAGAAATTTATAGAAAATAGTTATTCTAGCTGATCATATACAATATACGAAGGTATTATCAAAAATTACCAAGCAAGCAATATTCAAATCGAGTCATCCAAGACTTCACGTCATCATTTATAATTTGCACCCCTCAGAAAGTTCCACCTGTCAAGCCGATTAGAAAATGATCTTGATAACAGCTGTACTAGTTTAGTAGTCTCCTTTTCACTGGTGATAAACAAGAACAATGGTTTATATAGAGAAAAATTGATATACCACAAGATTTTGCGGCATTTTCTTCTAAGATCTAATCTGCTGATGGCTTGATGCAAAGCTTAAACTTTCCGCTTCTGAAAAAAGTACCAGTTACTAGTATCAGATATGAAATTCATGCATTATAATGCCAAAATACATTATAACAATCGAAATGTACTGAATGTTGGGATATTATCCAGAAGTATCCTGGCTGTCCAACAATTTTCTTTTATTTTTTTTTGGGTTATTAGATTTGCCAAGGCTATTATCAACTTTGAGAGGGCAAATGAACCGAGATATTCATTTGTTTTAAAAGAAAAGTACAAAACTTCGGGTATTTATACCTACTAGAGACATCCACCGTTGCGTTTCCACTCGAGTGAACTCCACTCCCCCCACCCTCCACCCAACACCTCATTGCTAAAAACAAACAATCACCTCCACCGTTGATTTCGCTTAATTTGTCCACCGAAAACTTTACCATGGTGGATACTCCACCGCAACACAAAACAAACTTTAATTATGTAGACCTAATATTGGGTATCAATAATGAGTGGAGGTAGTGGATTATAGATTCCACCAAATGCATTTATGTGTGAATCAATTTGAAAAAGATCAAATGATGGTTCGAACATTAAAGAAGGTTATATATAGTACTCAAAAATATCCTATTTTCATGATTTGATACTTGCTTTATATTAAAATAATCCAATAAATATGTCAAACAAACATTTCTTACCTAAAGATATCGGGAAACTAGTTCCTAACTGCTTAAAAGCCATCACTTATGAACATGAGTTCCTTTCACTTTTGGAAAAAGAACAAGTTATTTATAACAATAATTTTGATCGGTCCAAGGTTGCATTAGTTAGTGGAGGTGGATCAGGGCACGAGCCAGGATTTTATGGATTGGTTGGTGATGGCATGCTTTCTGCTGTTGCTCAAGGAAATGTTTTTGCATCTCCAAATTACAAGAATGTTAAGGCTGCCGAAAAAGTTTGTCATGAACTTGGTGCTCCTGAACAAGAATGGGCTGGTTGTATTTTCATCTTGACAAACTACACTGGTGATACCCTTTATTTTGGAATGGCTGCTCAGGACTTGATTGCAAGGTATGGTCCAGAGAAAATCCGTGTTCTTAGGGTAACTGATGATGTCAGTATTAAAAAAGATAGCAATCCTTTGGTGGGAAGACGTACCTTAGCTGGGATTTCAATTGTTTCGAAGGTGATGGGTGCTGCTTCTGAATCTGGCTATAGCATCGATGAAGTTTATGAGCTTGGAAAGGCAGTAAATGATGCAACTGCTTCTATTAATGCTGGTTTAGATCACGTCCATATTCCTGGATATGATATGGATTTTGATTTTGGCAAGCTTGGCCAAACACAGTTGGAAATTGGTCTTGGTATCCATAATGAACCAGGAGTTCAGAAATTGAATTATATTCCAACAAATGAGGAATTGGTATCCACCTTATTGGACATGATTTTGAATGATGAGAGTCGTGGCTATTTCAGACATTCAGAAGGTGATCAGATTGTTTTGTTGATAAACAATCTTGGAGGTGTTTCTATTATTGAAGAAAAGAATGTTTTATTCGAAACATTGGAAGCTTTGAAAGAATTATACATTGTGCCAACTAGAGTGTACACAGGTAATTTTGTTGGCTCATTCAATGCTCAAATATTCACAATCACCCTCTTCAATGCCACTACTGCTGCAACCAAGGCATTTTCAACTGAAGAGATATTTAAGTTACTTGATGCAAATACAAATGCTATTTGTTGGCCAAATTCTAAATTCGCTACTAATAAACCTATTCAAAATAACAGAATCATTCAAAACTTTATTCATTATGATGACGAAATGTCTACCCATACAGGTACACCTGATGTATTTCATATTGATCCTAAGAAGTTGGAAGCTATTGTTCGTACTGCTTCAGAAAGAATTATAGCCAAGGAGCCAGAATTGACTGAATGGGATACTAAAATGGGTGATGGTGATTGCGGTATGGGTCTAAGAAAAGGTGCTGAGTTAATTTTAAAGAAGTTGAATGAAGAAAACATAGCTGAATCTGGTTCTATTTTAAAAGTTTTGCACATTGTCTTGAATATTATCAAGGATTACATGGGTGGGACTCTAGGTGCTATTATTTCCATTTTTATGAGATCAGTGGTAAATAAGGTAGAAGAAGAATTGAATCAAGACCCATCCAGAGAGATTTCTGTGATTTTTGCAGCTGCTTTAAGATTTGGGCTTGAAAATTTATACAGTTATACCAAGGCAAGAGAAGGTCATAGAACTGTCATGGATGTGTTAATCCCTTTTGTTGAAAGCTTTAGCAAAACTATGAATATAGAAAAAGCAGTAGAAGTTGCATTTGAGGCTGCTGAGGGTACGAGAAAATTAAGACCTAAGCTTGGTCGTGCTACTTATATTGGTGGATTAGATAGTAACAATGATCTCCCACCTGATCCTGGTGCTTATGGTGTTTATGAGGCTATTTCAGCCCTTGCTTTATAGTGTTTTTCTTTTTAGTTTTAATTATAAAATATTGAATTAGTTAAAAAATTAATATTGTTCATTTTTATTAAAAAAAAGTAATGGCTATTTAAAAGAATTAAGACATTTTCTACAAGCATTGGACCAAAGATTTTAAAGTTAAACGTAGCTAATTAAACTTTAAACTACTTTATTGATCTTACTTATATTAAAACATTATTAAAATACAAACTATACATCATAACTAATTAACATGTTCAACAACAACCTTTTCAATGTCATGGTCGCGGGTTTGACTTTCAAAGGGTAATTCACGAGCAATCTTGACAACATCCCAAGGAGTCGAAGTATTGGATAATTCGAAAATCTTATCCATTTCTTCTAAAGATCTTCCAGCAGTTTCTGGATAGAAAAAGTAAACAGTAGGGACCATCAACAAGTTAATTACAGCAAAAATAGTATAAGTATATGAACCAATATTTTCAAAAGCAACAGGAGAAATCATAACCACCATAAAGTTAAAAGACCAATTTGCTGCCGTACTCAAACCATTGGATGCAGCTCTGATATTCAAAGGAGTGATTTCAGCAGGGTATAACCATGTCATACCTAACCAACCAATAGCAAAAAATGTATTGAAGACAAAAAGAAACACGGCAGCAGCAATACCAGCTCCACCACTGTTAAGGTTGTCTGGACTGGCAGCCCAAGTAGTACCAGTTAATACTGCCATAGAAATAGCTTGACCAGCGGCACCAAACAACATTAACTTTCTTCTCCCGCACCTTTCAATGGTATAGAAGGCAACCCAGGAAACAAGGAAGAATTCAGTACCATTGGCAGCAGCTAAGATTCTGGAATTTAATGGACTCATACCAATATAGTTTTCAAAGATAGTACCTGCATAGTAAACAATCAAATTAATACCACTGATTTGTTGCATGATTTGTGACCAAACAGCCAAACATGTTCTATGAAAGTTCTTAGTTTCACCTTGAATAAACAAAAGACGGAATTTGGACTTGTCGCTAGCATCAATTCTTTCCTTTTCTAATGATTCAGAAATTTCATTGACTTCATAAACAATGGTTGGATCATTAACTGGGATTGCATCAAGAGCTGAAAATACCCTGGCAGCTTCTTGAATGTGGCCAGCTTTCAATAACCATCTTGGAGATTCTGGTAATCTTAAAATAAAGGGCAAAATGAACAATGGAAATAAGATTTGGAAAGCAATTGGAAATCTCCATGAGACAGAACTGTTCTTAATAAAGAAGAAACCAAAATCAATCCAGTAAGAGATGCAAATACCACCTGTGATTAAAGCACCTTGAACCATAACTAATTTACCTCTATCTTTACTCTTGGCACATTCAGATTGCCACACGGGAACAGTAGCTGTGTTGAAACCATTACCGATCCCAGTAACAATACGTCCAGCGATTAATTGGCCAACGGAAAATGAGGAAGCTTGAATAGTAGCACCAATAATCATAATAATACAACCAAGAAAGATTGTTTTTCTTCTTCCAATTCTATCACCGACATACATCGTTGCAAGAGCACCAGCCAAACAACCAATTTCATAAATAGCAATAACAAACCCTTGGAAAGTGGCTCTTTCTGGAAATCTAGTAGTATCGATAGAATCAAAAGTATTTCTGAAAGTGGGTAAAGTTAACAAAGAGCCCATAACACCTTGGTCATAACCGAAAAGCAAGAACCCCATACCAGCAAGAAAGGAAATAGCATGATGTAATCTTTTCCCATTCATTCCTAAGTACTTATAGGTTGTTGAATCTTCTGGTGATCCAGATTGGTTCCTTGATGGAACACTGTCCTGCAGGACTGATGAATTATCTTTAGTTTCAGTAAACATAGTTGATGATTTTTTTGATATCTACCAAACAGAGAAAATTGGAATAGCCGTGGGAGAGGTGTGGAGACTTCTAGGATATATATACTCGGGTAAACATAAAGTTGACAACCTCATTGTTAATTATTGGTTTGCTGTGCTTGGCGTTCATTTTTGCGTAATGGACTTTGCGTAATGATTTTGGGTACAATGAAATACTTTCTTCTGAAATTGCTAAACAATAGTTTCAACTTCTGGAGTTCATAAAAAGCTTATCTCAAAAAGCCTCCACCATAATAGCAACTTACCGAGGTATCAATACTCTTCTAATTCTTGTCGTCCACTACTATTGTTGCAGCCATTGTTACGGATCATCCGGTGCACGCCAAGAAAAAAGCGAACACGGAAAAACTCCACCCCACCTCCACCGAAATTCCCCCACGGGCGAAAACAAGCGAATGCCTTGCTATTGTCCATGCATTAAATGTGGACGCCTTGTCCGTTAGGTGAACGCCCATTGGTCCTCGTAATTTTATTTAGTGTGGCAATTGAAACAATCAATTCCATGTTCAAACGCCAAACCTTAGACTGCGGGGAAGCCATAACTTGCTTTGTACCTTAAATATCGTGTTGTTTTCTTCAGTTTTTCGCGAACCCGATGCTTTGCGATGTGCAAAATAACCGAATGGAAAAACCTGAGACATTGCTGGTGTGTGTTATCGTGAGTGGAATCGGTGGAGTGGTGGATGGATAGTGGGGTAGGTAGAGCAGTGGAGTGGTGGAGTGGTGGAACAGTGGTGGAGCAGTGGAGTGGTGGAGCAAGTGGAGGATAATATCTGCAGTTTCTATTTCGCAGCCAAAATATCAGGTTAACGACTGGAATAATCTGGCAAGAAAACAAATTCTCAGCTATAAATTTGATCAACAAACCAACATGTCTCTACAATCCAAAGGCTAAATTTTCTAACATATTCTAAACTTAATTATCAAAATGGCCCCCACGACTACTCAGGAAACTCCAATTGTATCTTACATTTCGGAAGAATTCACCGATGAACTTCCAAGAGAATCACCACCAAAACGTCACATCATGGACTTGCTTTCATTAAAAGGTAAAGTTGCTGTTGTAACTGGTGCTTATAGAGGAATCGGATATGCCATTGCAGAAACATATGCTGAAGCAGGTGCCACTGTTATTCTTGTTGATTATGTGGACTGTACTAACGAAGCAGTGAAATTAGGATTACAACATAAAGTCATTGCCAAGGCATATCAATGCGATGTTCTGAAATCTTATGATGTTGATGCTACTATTGAAGCCATTGAGTTTGACTTTGGTACTATTGATATTTTTGTTGCTAATGCAGGTATCATTTGGAAAACTGGGAATATTGTTGCTGAGGTTAACCAAGATGGTTCCACTTGGCACAAGCTTATGGATGTTAATTTACATGGTGTTTATTATTGTGCTCAATCAATCGGTAAAATCTTTCAAAGAAAAGGCAAGGGTTCATTTATTATCACTGCTTCCATGTCAGGAACTATTGCCAATGTTCCAATGAATTTAACCCCTTATAATGTTAGTAAAGCTGCCGTCAAACACTTTGCTAAATCCTTAGCTGTTGAATGGGCTGGTTTTGCTAGAGTTAATTCAATATCTCCTGGGTATTGTGATACTGGGCTTAATGACCACTTATCGAGAGAATATCGAGGAAAGATGTGGTCGTTGATTCCTGCAGGAAGAGAAGCTTTGCCTTATGAAATTGCAAGTGCCTACTTATATTTGGCCTCAGATGCTGCCTCTTATGTCACTGGCTCTGATTTTATTATTGATGGAGGTTATACATGTATCTGATGATGCAAATTTTTGACAAGCTCTTTTTATCGGTTTTCTTCTTTTTCTAGTATTATTTGAAATAAATGTTCACTATGCCGAAACAAATATACTTGCGAGTACTTGCTTTTAAATTGCCTGAATTCACAAAATATACTTTATTGGTGCGTGAATTATGAGAAAAGTTCAAGAACCATTGATTACATTCCAAAAAAAGACTTGGTTTTCTACTCATGTTTATTATCAATCAAATTTCTTAGCTGTATAGTTTTATGTTTATTTTTTTTTTTTTTTTGTCTTTCTCAAATACAAAGAAGGCTGAATTGGCTACACCACTTCGTATATTTGTCCAATTCATTTGATAGTACCAGCTTCGACATAGTTATGTCTTAGAAAAATTCAACCCATGCACTACTCGTAATTTTCCAAAAACTATTATTAATGCTACACATGTGATAAAAGAATCTCCACGCGGATTATTACAAGAAGCTTATTGATGATGGGAATTAACTAATTAGATGTAGGGAATTTCCTTCGTCTAGACCATTTACCCCTTGTTGAAACTCTCTTGCGAAAACACTGACTTTGAAACCCTGTTTGGTTGAATTAATACTCAAAAGGGAACATGTAATATATTCTCGAGATAACCAGGATAGGGACCATAACCTTGTATCATAACTCTTGCTAAAATTCAACAACGTGTTCAAAACTATTAGGTCATGACGCTTTAAAAAGGTATTAGTTTATTCAAGTCAGTTTGTGTCAAATTTTGTCTTTAAGTGCAACCAATTTGAATAATGATGCGCAAATTATTGAACAAGATGGGCACTATGGGTCGAAAGTATTTCAGAAAGGTACCTCTTATAGTAGCAGGTATTATTGTATTCACGCTTTACCTTTCCTTTCATTTTGACACTGACTTACAAATGAAATCCTATTTTCAATATCGGTCGCCAAAAGCAGAATTCTTCAAGGAGTTAGAATTACACCCGGACTATAAGACAACTGGATTAAATTTCCAACCAACAAACCCCGGAACTATTCCTTATAATACTACAGTTCTTCAAAAGTTAAAGGCTTTGTACCCGTATGACCCCACTCAACCTATCCCTAAACAAATCTTTAAAATGTGGAAAGTTGGACTTGATGACCCAGAGTTTCCTCAACACTTTAGACAATATCATCAAACATGGCTTGACAACAGTCCCGAGTATACACATTATGTAATGTCTAATGATGAACGAGATGCTTTGGTACTTAAATTGTATGCTGATATTCCTGAAATAACCCATGCGTATCAAATCATGCCCCAAGTCATGCACAGGTGCGATTTTTCAAGTTACTTGCTCTTATATGCATTTGGCGGTGTTTATGCTGATATTGATACCAAGCTATTGAAACCCATTAGCAGCTGGATCTCCAGTCAACCACTGTATTTGGATAAACCAATTGATCTAGGATTAATTGTTGGACTCGAGTCTGATTACCATAAGAGTAATTGGGCGAATTTTTTTGCACGTAGGGTGCAAATTGATGCTTGGACATTTTTGGCTAAAAAGGGGCATCCAATGCTTGCAGAACTTATTAACAGTATCGTTGAACATACTTCCTGGAGAGAAGAGACAGGACAATTGACCGCATTACTTGGTAAAGATGAAGGTACTGATGTTTTGAACTGGGGAGGACCAGGCAGATTGACCGATCTTGTGTTCAAGTATTTGAACAATGTCCTCCAGACAGATTTTGATAACTATGAAAAATTGATTGATGATGAATTTCTTATAGGAATAAAACTTCCTATAGTCATATCTGATGCTATGGTTTTGCCGTTGACGTGTATGCAACCAGGAAGGAAATTCCTCAAGTCGGGGAATCTTGATGATCCTTTAGCATATATTCATCACCAATTTGCAGGACTGTGGAGAAAAAAGAATAAAAGTAATGCGGTATACTCTTCATAATATTGTTGCCACTATACTTCAAAATTTATTCGTAAATGATAGTGAGCATGGACTGATTTTCTATTAAATATTACCCGTCGATTTTATGATCTCTAAACATATTTACTCAATGTATTTGATTATTCGTTCGCTGAAATTACTCTCATATAAATCCATTTAATAATGCAACAAAAAAAGTAGTATTAAACTATATGAATGGCCAATCCCATCACTAAAAATGAACTAACTAACACAAAGAAACCAAGGAACTAAATAAAAGAAATAAATTGAAAGAATTGGTCCACTTAAAACTCTTCATTGAATTTCAAATCGCCATACTTTTGATGATAGATTTCAACCTCATCAACGGCATCAAAAGATCTCTTGTATTTGTTTTCGTAATAAGTAGTGTTAATCATAACTGGGGCATTGTTGATCTTGTAGTAACTATCAAATTCTTCCATAGAACTAGTAGAACCAGCAGTGCTTCCCCCATTGATCAAAGAAGGAGGAGCATCTAAATGAGCAGGTAAACTTGGTCTAGCAAATTGTTGAGTTTGTTGTGGTTGCTGTTCTTGAGTAACTTGATATCCGTCAGCAACAGCCTTACGTATCCTCATCCCTATGAACTGAAGAGCAGCCACGTCTGGGTTAGATGGTTGTTGAGTAGAAGCCACCGAATGGTTCATTTGTCTTTTTATACGTTGTTGAGAAGACATGATTAAGATTTATGTTTTGGGAAATATCCTTGGCTGCACCTATAAGCAAATCGACGTTGCAACAAACTCGTCTCCTTCTGGTAAGCTTTTTTTTTTTATGTTCTTTGAGAAACAGACCACCACCACTATCGGAAGAGACCGCTTAAAGAGCAATTTAACCCAAACGGGAAATACAATAACTTTTGATTTTTTTCTTCTTCTTGTGGTCTATATACAGGATTGCAATTTTATCACTTCTGACACGTGACCACGCGCTGAGTTTCCCTATGGGAAGCATTTTGTTTGTTCGCACTTACTTGCTATAAGCAGCGTATCGTAGTCACAAAACTTGGCGGGGGAGGGGGGGAGAGAGGAAATGGATGTCCGCACAGATCGTTTACAACACCTATAGGCAATAGACAGCGATAGTCAACAACAGTATAAATAGAGGCTATATTTCCCCATTTACTCTGTTTCAATTACACAGTTCTTCTACATTAATCAACTTTCCAAGTTTATATTGCCAACAATTATAGAAATGACACCACCAAACTTTAACGTCTCATCGGAAACTGCCAGACAATACGAATCAGAATACTCTGCTCACAATTACCACCCATTGCCAGTGGTGTTTTCCCATGCCAAAGGTGCACATGTGTGGGATCCAGAAGGGAATGAATACTTGGACTTTTTATCTGCTTACTCTGCTGTCAATCAAGGACATTGTCATCCAAAGATTGTTGAAGCATTAGTTGATCAAGCCCTGAAGTTGACCTTATGCTCACGTGCCTTTTCATCTGATGTGTTTGGTGTTTTTGCTAAATACATCACCGAATATTTCAATTATGAAATGGTGTTGCCAATGAACACTGGTGCTGAAGCTGTTGAAACCGGGTTGAAGTTGGCTAGAAGATGGGGGTATGTCAAGAAGGGTATCGCTCCAAATGAAGCTATTATTTTATCCGCAACTAATAACTTCCACGGTAGAACCTTGGGTGTTATTTCAATGAGTACTGATCCAGATGCTAGAACTTCATTTGGACCTTATTTGCCAAATGTGGGCCCACAAATTCCAGGTGAACCAGAAGGCACATTTATTAGATATGGTGTAATTGAAGATCTTGAACTTGCAGTTAAGAATGCTGGTGATAAAGTTGCTGCTATTTTATTAGAACCAATCCAGGGTGAAGCTGGTATTGTAGTTCCTCCAGAAGACTACTTGCCTCGTGTTCAAGAATTGTGTAAAAAGCACAATATCTTGTTGATATGTGATGAAATTCAAACTGGTATTGCTAGAACTGGGAAGATGTTATGCTATGAACATTCTCAAGGAGTCAAGCCAGATATCATCTTGTTGGGTAAAGCCATTTCAGGAGGAGTTATGCCTGTGTCTGCTGTATTATCCCTGAAGGAAATTATGTTGACATTGGAACCAGGATCTCATGGTTCTACATATGGTGGTAATCCTTTGGCTTGTAGAGTAGCAATTGCTGCTCTTGAAGTGGTTAAGGATGAAAACTTGGTAGAAAGATCACAGAAGTTGGGTGATTTCTTGAAACAAGAGTTGGTCAAGCTTCAAGGCGAGTCTGATGGAATGATCTCTGAAGTTCGTGGTAAGGGGTTATTATCCGCTATTGTTATTGATGAAGCCAAGACTAATGGTAGAACCGCTTGGGATTTATGTTTGATTATGAAGAAGTATGGAGTTTTGGCTAAGCCAACCCATGATAATATTATTAGATTGGCACCACCTTTGATTATTTCCGAGGAAGATTTATTAAAGGGAGTTGATTCTATTAGAAAGGCAGTTAAGGAGTTACCAACTGCAGAAAAAACCGAACATTAAATGTGTATACTTGTATAAATTTGTATCAAATGAAATAATCTATTGGTAGTAGCTCTGTAGATCTGATCCACATTCCAAATGTGTAAGGCAGGGGATATATATTGGCATTGCTCATTAAGGTGATATCTTGGCTGCAAAAGAAATATAAAGAAAGATTCGCACACATTTCGGAGAAATATGACCAAGTACAAGAAAACAATCAAATAAGGTTTACATAAAATTGAACCCTATTTGAATATTTACTAAAAATTACGTCATGATAACAGCCCCGGATTAATTTTTATAGATATAGCATATGTTGTATTTGACTTCCGTAAGGAGCCGTGGGGGTGGGTGTGGAAATTCCCTCCCCTAGAAAATAATCTCCATGTTTTCTTTTTTTTCTCCGTGCATTTTTAAAGTTCCCTCGGTAATTTCTCGGCCTTTATAGGAGGCAAAAAAAAAAAAAAATGCTCTGATAAATATAGATTACGCCAGGGTGGGGTAGGGGTCTGCTTCAGCGAATTAATGTATAGCGTGATAAAAACTGCAGTTAGTCATATGCAAAATAAATACCCTGTCATTTCCAACAATTTCAGAATTCATTTCTCATTAGATTCTCTTTATAAACCAGATACTTTTCTGTGTATATTGTCAGACACACTTTCCCTTGTGTTATCCCTAATTTAATTTTTAATTAAAACTTTTTTTTTTGTTTTGCCGTTCAGTTATCACAGTCAATTTATAAGCACCGAAAATCCACTCCACTTTTTTCCAGATCAATAGTATTCCTTTTTATCTTAGCAATACCATACACTCAGTTTCTATCTAGTTAATATATCAAATAAAATGTCATTTGTCGGTGGAGGTTCTGAATGTTCAGTCAACGGAAACGCCGTTGCCCAATTTAACAAACATACCCAACAAGATAGGTCTTTGCAACAGCAACACAGCCAAGGCATACCAATTCAACAACAACCTGGTTTCAAGCATGACAATGTCATGAATTTGAGAGATCGCCAAAATTTAGAACAATTTATGAACAATAACAATAGTCAAGCTAACGCATTTCAATTTCAATCCATGAGACACGAGTTAAATACCATGCAACACCACCCTTCTCCACAAACACTGAATTGGTCAAACGAGTTTAAGTTGTCTCCTTCCCCAGTGACTCAAAATGCCAAGATTCAAACCATGGGTAAGACTTCGTCCCTTAATGGACAATGGGCTGGTGAGTTTCAACAACATCAACCACCACCACAACAGCAGCAGCAACAACAGCCGCAACAGTACAACACTGGTATGATGATGGGTGCTTCTAGACCTATGATGATGGGAATGGGTCCCATGATGACTGGTCCAATGCACCAACAAAATCAGCATCAACACCAACACCAACACCAACAACCAGTAGCTGCTCAAGAACAAAATGTTGATTGGGATAACCAATTTAAAGAAATTGAAGAATTGACTCAACAAGCCAAGGAAGCTGAACAAGTCAAGGAAGAATCGCCTGATATTATCATTGACGATAAGTATCAAGCTACTTTCCAAGAAGTTTGGGATGGTTTAAATGATACAAGTTTGGAAGAAGATTTTATTAATCAACAATATGAAGACTTTAAACATACTCAAATGGATACTTTACCAGCTGATTTGACCCAATGGGAGCGTGATTTTGCCCGGTATGTTCTGACTAGAGCGCATTTTGGAGATTATCAATTTGAAGATACCAAGAATAACCAATTTATGGATTTACCCAAAGAAGCCGATCCTTACGAGATTGGATTGCAATTGATGGAAAATGGTGCAAAATTATCGGAAGCCGCTTTAGCTTTTGAAGCAGCAATTCAACGAAATGAAAACCATGTAGATGCGTGGTTGAAATTGGGTGAAGTTCAAACTCAAAATGAGAAGGAAATTGCTGGTATTTCCGCCTTGGAAAAGTGCCTTGAATTGAATCCCGAAAATCTTGATGCATTGATGACTTTGGCTATTTCTTATATTAATGAAGGTTACGACAACGCTGCATTTGCCACTTTGGAACGGTGGATTTCGACAAAGTATCCCCAAATTTCTGCTCGTGCAAGAGAAGAAAACCCCAAGATTTCCGATGAAGATAGATTTTCATTGAATAAGAGAGTCACCGAGTTGTTCCTTCAAGCTGCTCAATTATCTCCAAACAGTGCTAACATGGATGCTGATGTTCAAATGGGACTTGGAGTTTTATTTTACGCCAATGAAGATTTTGACAAGACTATTGATTGCTTTAAAGCAGCATTGAGTATTCGTCCAGACGATGCAGTATTGTGGAATAGATTGGGTGCATCACTTGCTAATTCCAACAGATCTGAAGAAGCTGTAGATGCTTATTTCAAAGCTTTACAATTGAAGCCTACTTTTGTCAGAGCAAGATATAACTTGGGTGTCAGTTGTATTAACATTGGGTGTTATAAAGAGGCTGCTGAGCATTTATTGAGTGGATTGTCCATGCATCAAGTTGAAGGAGTAGATGCTAACGTGTCTACTTTGAATCATAACCAATCCACTAGTTTAACTGAAACTTTGAAACGGGCATTTATTGCGATGGAAAGAAGAGATTTGTTGGAGTTGGTTAAGCCAGGTATGGATTTGGAACAATTCAGAGGTGAATTTACGTTTTAGGAGAGGTGTATATAAAATCTTAAATATTTAATAATAACTGGTTATTTAATTGTGTGTACTCTAGATAGTACTAATCTATTATTGCTTTATGTACGAAACTTTGTACATGAAGGTTATATCTATCAAGCCAATCAGCTAACAAGTTTAGCTAATCACCTGACACTGGGTAAATTTTCTTCTTTTTTTTTTTTTTTTGTTTTGCACTTATCAATTTGACTTCGCAAGCGAGATGACTCAGAATTAAAATTGGCCAGAACTTTAAAATTGGGCCCGTTGTCGCTCTCTGAAAATTTTAGACAGCACCTCAACTTCTTATCACAACTCCACACAAGAACAGCACAATGTCTTTCCCTGTTCTACCACTCATATCTTCCCCTACTGAAGATGCAACAATTGCCGAGTTCTCATTGGTTGGCCAAGTTTTATTCCCATGGACGTCTGTCACTGTTTCCAAACACTGGTTACAACAATTTCCACCTGATTTAGAAGTCTACGTTGACGCAACCACTGATTCTGAAATCACGGTCGATCAAGTCGTAGCACTTTTAAACACTGGTGTCAAGCAAGTATTTATCCCGGCCGCAAGATACCACGAAATTGTCGCAGAATCCAGTTTGCCAACTGAAAGATTTGCTGTTCAATTCGATAAAGATGACGTTTCCCAAGATCTCTTGAAATCAAAACTGTCCTTCATATTCAAGTCAAAAGTAGCCAACTTTAAATCATACAATGATGACGAAAATAGACAAATTTATATCCGAGATGACTCCTTGTCTCAAGAATCAGCCAACGAGCTAGCCCAATCGGGTTATACTCCCGTGGTTTCTGCAACCAAATTAACCACCAAGAAACAAGAAGCTGGCAGGATTTCTGTCTCCTCAATTTTCATTAGTACCTTAACCACTGACCGTCCTGATGGTCTCTACACAACTTTGATCACAACTCCAGCTCCATCATACACTGCCTTGGGTATCGTATACTCTTCCAAAGAATCCATTGCTGCTGCAATTGAGGAAAAAGTCGGTGTCTACCAATCAAGAAAGAGGACCGATGAATTATGGTACAAGGGTAAGACCAGTGGTGCCACTCAATCCTTGGTTTCTATTTCCAAAGACTGTGATTCTGATGTTGTTAAGTTTATCGTAGTTCCTAAAGAGGGCTACGGCTTCTGTCACCGCCAAGACAACTTCACATGTTTCGGTGATGGTCAATTAGCCGGCACTGAAACAAGTTTCGGCAAGGGATTGGCTAAGTTAGACACCACTTTAGCTGCCAGATTACAAAATGCTCCCGAAGGTTCATACACCCAACGTTTGTTCAAAGACGAAAAACTTCTTATTGCTAAACTAAAGGAAGAACTCGATGAATTGATTGAAGCCAAGGGTAAAGAAGAAGTTGCATGGGAATGTGCTGATTTGTTGTATTTCGCCATGGTTTGGTGCATCAAGAACGGCGTCAGATTATCTGATGTTGAACGTAACTTGGATATTAAATCCTTGAAAGTCACTAGACGTAAAGGTGACGCTAAGCCAGCATATGTTAACAATGAACAAAAACAAGCACAACCAGAAGCACTTGACTTTTCATTGGAAACTATCAAGGTTGACGACATCAATGCCGACAGTGAAGACCTTAATAGAGCCATGACAAGACCAGTACAAAAGACTGCCGATATCATGAAATTAGTCCTTCCAATCATAGAAAACGTCAAGAAGAACGGAGATAAGGCTCTTATTGAACTTACTGCCAAATTTGACGGTGTTGAATTATCTAATCCAGTATTGAATGCCCCATTCCCATCTGAATTAATGCAAATCTCTCAAGAAATGAAGGATGCAATTGACTTATCTATCAGCAACATAGAAAAGTTCCACGCTGCTCAATTACCAAAGGAAAAGGTCATGACTGTTGAAACTGCCCCTGGAGTCTTTTGTTCCCGATTCGCCAAGCCTATCGAAAATGTCGGTTTATATGTTCCTGGAGGAACTGCCGTCTTACCATCCACCGCCATGATGTTGGGTGTCCCAGCTAAAGTTGCCGGTTGTAAGAACATCATTATTGCCTCGCCACCTGCTCGTGCTACCGGTAAATTAACTCCCGAAGTGGTTTATGTGGCTCACAAATTAGGTGCCAAATGTATTGTTATGGCTGGTGGTGCTCAAGCTGTCACTGCCATGGCATACGGTACCGAATCTGTACTTAAATGTGACAAGATCTTGGGACCAGGTAATCAATTCGTTACTGCCGCCAAGATGTATGTTCAAAACGATACTCAAGCTTTATGTTCGATTGATATGCCCGCTGGTCCATCTGAAGTATTGGTCATTGCTGATGAATATGCCGATGCTGATTTCGTTGCTAGTGATTTGTTATCACAAGCAGAACACGGTATTGATTCGCAAGTTATCCTCATTGGTATCGATTTATCTGACTCCAAATTGAAAGAATACCAAGATGCAGTTGCACGTCAAGCCTCAGTATTGCCACGTAAGGAAATCGTCGCCAAGTGTTTGTCCCACTCTTATATTCTCTTGGTTAAGACTTATGAAGAAGCCTTTGAATTATCTAATAAGTACGCTCCTGAACATTTGATTCTTCAAATTGAAAATGCCAAATCGTATGTTCCAGAATACGTCGATAATGCTGGTTCAGTGTTTATTGGTGCTTTATCTCCAGAAAGTTGTGGTGATTATTCAAGTGGTACTAACCACACTTTACCTACTTATGGATATGCTAGACAATATTCCGGGGTTAACACTGCTACTTACCAAAAGTTCATTACTGCTCAAGATGTCACCAAGGAAGGGTTGGAAAGTATCGGTAAGGCGGTAATGACTTTGGCTGCAGTTGAAGGATTAGAAGCTCACAGAAGAGCTGTTGAAGTTAGAATGGAGAAGTTGGGATTGATTTAAAGCAATGTATATCTTATAAATAAAACAATATATTTGCATAAACTATAATACAAAATTTAAAATAATACAAAATTAAGCAGCAACCATCACTTTATCATGCTTTATGTTCTCAGATACAACATCCACAGGATGATTCAATTCATTCAAATATCTAAGCAATCTCACAACTTCTTTACCCAAGTTGGTATCAATAGAAGGAACCAAGAACGTATCTAAGCTCATATTGATATCGGGGAGTATTCTAGGTAAACTGTAAACCTGCTCTAAATTATTCACCAACTCTTCATGTTCCAGGGGAATATTTTCAAGATCTTTGGCAAGAACAATATTATTAAGTAAAGAATTCACAACAATTAACAGTTTGGTCAACACCAAAGTCAAGATCTTATATTCATTGGATTCTCGCGCAAATTTACCAGTTTCCAGCGAAAGAGCAACCACCACCCTAGCGAAATTTCCTAATATAACTTCACGGTTAGCAATTATCCAATGAAGCGACAACCTATTCAAGTTAGTGGTTAAATCATCAATAGGAATCAAATCAATAATCAACTTGGCTCCAAATAACATTTGTGAAATAGTAGGAGCTCGTACAAAGATGAATTTGGAAAATTCAAAACTGTTAGCTTCATATGGGATTATACTCATAAACAACTTGAATGATCTCGTCAACAAAACTCCAGATTTGTACAGGGTTGATTCATTGCTCAAGTATGCCAATATTAACTTGCGGGTATATTCTTGATCAGAAACACTAACCACAAAATTATTAGTGTAACTAGCAGTCAAACTGACATTTAAAGTACCATTCAATACTGCCTGCAAGAGTGATCTATTATGAGGTTCCTTAACTAATAATTTCGTAAAAGCATCAATTGCAAATGGGAAATATGAGTAAGTTTCAATATTGCATTTGGGAATAATGTAATCCTTTTCATCAACTTTAGGACCAAAGGATGAGATCAAAACAAATGATAAGAATGCTTCTTCCAAACTTCTTAAATCAATGAAAAATGCAATATTGTCCAACATTAAAAGACAGTCCTTGAGTAAACACAATCTCTTACGGCTAAATACAAATTTGGACCCATCTAATCCAATGTTCTTGACAATCGCAAACAACAAATCTTTAAATACTTTATTTCCAGCCATGGTCTTCTTGTTTGGTTCTGAGAAGGAAATATTTCTTAAAATCATAGTAATGGTGATTAATTCATCAATCAACATGATCCTATCATCAGCAGCACTCCTTGTTTGAAGCTTGCTAAAATGATGTTTGTTTTCCTGTTTGAAGTTTTGCAATGAAGTCATATAATCAGGAATGTGGAAATGAGGCACCTCACGAACTTGGTGGTGTGAAGTACTAAGAGACATTGCCGAGTTCATTAACGATGACTCTGTTGTAGTTGTGCTGGTGTCCACAGTGAAAATATCATCAATCTCAATATCGTCATCATCTTCATCACTTACAACTTCACCAGTAAGTGAATCAACCACGAACCCGATATCTTCTCCCGCCATCCCATTTGCTCCATTGACATACTTTTCAAATATGTCATCAATCTGCGTTCCACCAGACAATGTAGAAACATCATCCGAAACATATTCATTTTCTCCATTAGTGCCATCGACAATTCTGGTCAAGATATCCTTACCTAAAATTGAAAGAGCATCCAACAATTCCAAACAGTCATCGATACGGAATCCATAGTTTGCATCGGATGTAGTCACAAGTAATGTGTTTAATGCACTAACAACTTCAGAACTGTGAACCCCTCTGTTACTCTTGATTCCCATGACAAGCGCTTGGATATTGATAACACCCAATTCAGGTGCAAACAAATAGACTGGTTTGGTAACTTCAATTTCACTAGCAATTTGGGAAAGCTCCTTGATATTATGCATACCATGGGTATCAACCACTCTTCTGAATGGAATATAATTCTTGAGAATACTAGCTTCTTCCTTGCTCACCTCTTGCTTAAGTGTCACCCTTGGACTAGATATATCAGGATGACTCATACGACTAACTGATTCCAACTGAGAAATTGCCAGTGGTGATGCTTGACTTTGACGAGAAGTTGAGCCTGGTCTTGTAGGAATTGAGGTTTGAGAAGCTTGACGGACCAATTGTGGTGCACCAGATCCAGGCGATGCCTGTGGATGGTGTTGCAACTGTTGTTGATGCATTGCTTGTTTAATTTGGAATTGATTTTGAAGCATTGATTGTTGTAAATTCAATTGCTGGTTGCTAGCGGTTCTAGGAATTTGTTGGTTTTGTATATATGGGGAGTTAACAACACTAGGCGAATTTCCAGATGATGGATTACTTGCTCTTGATAATCTTCTTTGAACTGGAGTTGGGGCATTACTCAACATTGGGCTCTGCTTGATACCTGGAGATGGACCACCACTTGGTTCAGGAGACATATGGGCTTGCACTTGTTGATGCATTTGTTGTTGTTGTTGCTGAACTTGGGGTTGTTGAGGTTGCTGCTGTAGTGGTGGCTGTTGTTGATTCTGCTGCTGCTGACGTTGACGATATCTCTGAAGTATTTGATTTTGAAATTGAATTCGTCTTTGCTGAAGATCTCTCATTCCTTCTTGAGTAGCGGCATATTCATCATACGGAAGCAAATAATTAACATAGCAATCACTGATTTCTCTATCAATACGTTCGCGAATATTTAAATCGTTCATATTGATACCTTCATAAAGACCAAGTTTTTGTCCCATAACACACCAAGGAGAGTGGTTAGGTTGTTGCCTATTGAATGGTTGTTGAATGAATCGTTGCAATTGTTGAGGACCTCCCAATTTCTGGGTGAACACGTGAATAAAGAACAAATTGATCTTTTTGTTGTTAATTGCCACAGGCACAGGAATGGGTGTACCTCGACGATTCATGAAGTCATACAACACGCTTAAGAACAATTCTACTTGCATTTGAACCTGTAATGATTTATTAGGCGGAAGCTGTGGTTGTTGCTGTGGTGCCTGTTGTTGTGGTTGAGGATGTTGAGGTTGCTGCTGAGATGGCGACATTGCAGATTGCATTTGTGGAGACATCATATTCGCCATTGGACTTGCATAATTAGTACCTTGACTTAAGTTTCTTTGAACATTGATAGGAACATTGGAATTGTTGAGAACCGGTGTTCCTTGTTGTTGTTGTTGAAGAACCGTGTTGGCACCCAGAGACGATCTGGTACTAGAAGCATCTTGCTGTTGGTTCATTGGGGAATTCACTTGAGGTGGAGGAACATTACCATAACCTTGTTGTTGCTGTTTATTGATTTCAGCTTGTTTATGAAGCATTTGCTGTTGAAGTATTTGTTGTTTCATTCGATAGAGCTGCTCATTCTTACCTTGACTTAACTGCTGCTGTTGGGCTGCTTGTTGTTGTTGTTGTTGTTGTTGCTGTTGTTGTTGTTGCTGCTGTTGTTGTTGCTGCTGCTGTTGCTGCTGCTGCTGTTGTTGAACTTGAGCTTGTCTGATAAACATTTGGGGATTAAGATTCTGAGATTGATTATAACCCGAATCCTGCTGCTGTTGCAAGGGATTATAAGGTGACATCATAGCATCATCAGGAGACTGCTGTTGTTGCTGCTGTTGCTGCGGTTGTCCTTGATTTTGGTCAAATATTGAATTTAAAAAATCGTCATTGCTATTATTGGAATTGTCATTGTTGTTGTTACCTGAATCTAGGTTATTATTTCCACCGTTCAGAAATGCATTATCATTGAGCCAATAATTGTCGGACATGTTGCGAATCCAAAATCTGGGTTTGATTCGGAAAGATCCAAGGAGAAACTAGGTGAATTAGCGTGGATGCTTCGACTAAACTCAAGTGGTTCCAGACAACTCGAGTAGCTGGTTTAAATTTCCAACCTCACTATTTTTTTTTTTCTGGAGCTACAATTTTTGAAATTACACACGACTTATTTTCTTTATATAACGCGGTATTATAAACTATGTAAAAGAGATAGCATTAGTACACACCTACCAGAACTTCCACCAATGTTTATGTAATTTCTTTGATAATGCTTTATAATGTTCCATTTCGCCCCAACAATCTCTTCCCCATTCACAACCAGCCATATTGATCACGAAATCATGGTCCTGGAAGAAGTATCTAGGATCATCAGCCTTATCTGAACAAGCCCCTGGTGGAAATGAATTAATTTTTCTTAATGGCAAGAATCCGATTCTTTCTCTAATCCAAGGTTGAGTATTAAATAAAGTTTCCAATGCATCTTGTTCCTTATGTTCCCATTGCATATGCATTTGTTCATACATGGCTGGATCCCACCAGATATCTAACAACATCTCCGACCAACTAGATCTTCTCATTAAAAAAGATCCTAAATTAAACCCACCACAATCTTGAGTTATAATCATGTCAACAGGTTCAGTGTAATCAACATAAGGCATGTCAACAGGCAAAGACAACGGGTTGAATGTATCCAAAGTTCTATAAGTGGCATTGTCCAAATTATTCAAGAAATGCTCTTCTAAGGAAATTTGCGGTTCCATAATGAATGTATGTAAATCTAACCACCAAAACCATTCAGTGTTAGGATATTGCCTCATTGTTTGTTTCATGATATCAACCTTTTCCCAACTTTCTCTCCATTCATGCGAATATCGCTTCTTAATAGTCATATCTTTGATAGATAATCCATATCCATGTCTTTTGGCATAATTTTTCTTATTAGCAATGGAAGATCTTTCAACCGACCATTCTTGTGGTGATTTCCATTTCAATACACCTCCGCCTTCGTTGGCAGCTAATATAATAACAATCTTTGGGTCGGAGGGTTTGAAATGTGGGATAAACGGAGCATTGGTAAAAACTGACAATATAAGTAAAGCGACCAAGACCACAAACGTTTTCTTGTGTCTGTATGCTAATTCACCTATGGTGTTTATAACCCATCCCACCGACGAATTGTTGGGTTTGAATGTGTGTGAGTATTGTTCATCAGCATCATCATATTTCTCATTACTTGTACGGCTGGCTGAACGATGATGCGCTTCTGCCATGTCTTCATAATTACCCTTTGAGTAGGGTAAGGAAAAGCTCTGCGATTCACTCATTGTTGGTGACACTAGGGAGAAGTAAGTGTGAAATCTGATCAATGTTTAATTAAAGCGCGCAGAAAGAAAAAAAAATGTGGTTTTTTTTTTACAACCAAACCGTTGAAAGGAGCATTGTTTTCAATTGTGCCTGAAATTAGTCCGTGTATTACTATGTAAACGTGTTTCTATCTAAGCGGTAACAAGTTCTGTTCTGCACATTGTTGTCTGCATAAGGGACATTCAGGATGTTCTCTGATCCAATCAACAATACAATCCCAACAAAATATATGACCGCAAATGGCAGCCGAAGGATTAACCATAGGTGATAAACACAACATACAATTACGCGAATTTTCTGGTAAGTATGGTAATTGAGATTCATCTGATAAATCGATGATGTGATCAGTTTCAAAGTTTTCACTCAATGTTTGTAAAGTATTGATGTCGTGTATTCTGGTACCATTATCCCGCTGAGTGGCTGTATTAGTCTTTTCACCTTTCTTTACTAATTCATCATTATAGGATTTCAATGCCATTAACAGTTTGACAAATAATTGTAAGATGATAATTCCACCTAGCAAGGAATAATTACCACTTTGTTGTTGAACCTTTTGAGGATCCTTGTTATGACCAAATGCATATCTTAATCCAAATATCCTTTTCGAAAGAGAGTAAAACTCTCCTTTAAAATAAAACAAGGCTATATGGACATTAAGTATCACATCTAATACCTTGTAGTAATTGGAAAACATTCGAATCAACCATTGTTTGATACTTATGCTACCGTCTTTCTTCAGTTCCTCTTCACTTGACGATTTGAACAGCTTAAAAATTTTACTGACAATATATGGTAATACCGCATATGACAAGATGAACCCAATACGAGGTAATAATCGAGGAAGTCTTTTTCCAGTTTTGTTGACATATATTAAATCAACATATTCTTCTCCCAATGTTCTTGCTCCAAGTAATGTGGTCAACAGTAGGTAAAGAGCCTTGGCCAACACAGTTATTTCTTGAGGATAACTATTGATGAACCTTTGACCGTGTAAAATTTGAAAGAAATCTTGTAAATACGTTCGATATATTGATTCAAAGTATGCATCTTTTTGGTGGGCACGAACTGGATGTCGGTGTTAGTATTGTTGATTCCCCACAATTAATGTGTAAATTGTGTACATACCTATGGTTGCTGCATCTGCAAATGGTAATTGTCTGCTATTAGGATTGGATGACATGATGATTGTATCAGGTTTGGTTCGTGAGTGATATGATGAAGAAATTGTACTGGGGATTTTGTAAAGTCACCAATTAGTGCGATCTAACCGAGGGCTGTTAAGTTTTTCTTCTGACTAGTAAACCCCACCTTCGTTGAGACTACTGAATAATTTCGCACTAATTTGCAGTTGGTGGGATACGCATATACACACAAACATTAGGGATATACTAGAAGGTGTAATAGCTACATAATGTAAACCTATTTAGACATCTACGTCTTAACTATATTTAAATAATAAATGTATATACATTAAATTTTTGGTCATAACTATACCGAATTCTTAGATGGGGGGGCTAACTATGAACAATTTTCAAAAAAATAAACAAATCTCTCTTCATCAATAAACTATAGGAGATTCCCAACAACTAGTGTACAAAAACGAAGCAATTCTAATTCTATGAAAGCATCATCTTTAAAAAAACTCGTGTTACCTCAACAACGAATTTAATCTAACTTTTGGACCAATGATTCTAAAGCCTTACCAATGTCCAAGTTTGGATCTTCCCAGTTAATGGCACCAGAAGTGACTGGAGCAGCCTTTGGTGGGTTTAACTTGGCATATTCAGCCTTAGCTTGCTTAATCAACTTTTGTTCTTCTTTCAATTTCTTAGCTTCAGCTTGTTGTTCAGCTTCACATTGTAAATTACGTCTGTGGTAAGCACCGTAGAAAAGACCGGCACCCAAGAAGGACCATCTTAAAATGTTAAAGTTGGATGACATTGCTAATAGATTGTATACTGGATGTAAAGAGATTTCGATTAAATGGATGAATTTTTTTTTTTCTGTGAAAAAAAAATTTGGCTCTGTTTACTTCAAAATGAATATTTGATTGGTTCACACTTGGTCACATGATTACCTGTCGAGTTTCTCCCACACCAATTAATTCCGACTGCTCTGTATCACGTGCCTTGGTCCCCGAATTTCGGCAACAATTTTTTTTTTTTTTAGCAATTAGTCCTATGGCACGAAAAGCAGCTACATCACAATTCAACTTTTTCTCCTGTACCCCATGATTCTTACTAGACGATCATTCTTAATTTATTGTGCCATTGTAATTATATCGATGTTATTGTCAGCAGTGGTCAAGAGATCAACACCAATTGGGTCGATATCTACTCGAATTGGGTTGAAAGCATCGACAATAGTCACTAAAAGAACATTTAACTTCTCGTCATGGACCGGCAAAGATGGAGCTAATAATAACAGTGGGGGCTCAAAATCTTATACACATAGTAGCAATAGTACCACAACTACTGTATCAGCCAATTCTAGTTCAACTGCAGCAAGCTCTACTGCCCTTAACTATGATACTGCATTCACCAGCACTTTGAATTATAACATTGCTGTGGCTTATCAACCTAAGGACCGCGAAGATAAGAACTTATTCCAAAGAAATAATGCCAAACAAGTACCACCGGCTATACAATCACCTACAGGTGAGGACAACTTATTTGTTAGCCAGTTATCTTCTAATGGATATCTTGCCCTTGGTGTTGCCGATGGAGTTGGAGGTTGGTCGGAAGCAGGGTATGATTCGTCCGCGATATCACGAGAATTGTGTGCGTCCATAAGATCACACTTTGAAAATAATGATAAAACGGTGTCTCCTAAACAATTGTTATCGATTGCATTTAAAGAAATTATAGAATCGCCGAAGGTGGAAATTGGGGGAACTACTGCATGTATTGGAATTTTGGGTCCAAATAAGGAATTTCAAGTGGCTAACTTAGGAGATTCATGGTGTGGAGTGTTTAGAGATTTTAAATTAATCCATGAAACCAATTTCCAAACCCATAACTTTAACACTCCTTATCAATTATCCAAAATACCAAGACATATACAACGACAAGCAGAAATGGAGGGAAGAAGATATATCGTTGATACCCCAGACCTAGCAGATGAATATGTATGGAAGTTACAACTGGGAGATTTAGTGATGTTTGCAACTGATGGTGTTACTGATAATGTTGTTCCCCAAGATATTGAAATATTCTTAAAGGATCAACTTGGAGAAAACAGCAAAAAGTTGGATGAAGTTGCAACCACATTTGTTAAAGAGGTAGTGACTGTATCTAAAGATCATAATTTCCCTAGTGCGTTTGCCCAAGAGTTGTCCAAGTTGACAGGACAAAAGTACTTGGGTGGTAAAGAGGATGATATCACAGTAGTTTTGGTCCAAGTTAATTAGAATGTTTATAAATGTGTAAAGATGTCTATTGTGTAAAATAGTATTCAAGAGCCAAAAAAAAAAAAAGCGACGTATTTTGGTGCTGCCAAAATTAGGCAACCAGGCAAACAAAACTATATCTAAGAATTTAACCTTGACCATCAATGCCTCAAAGATGTCTCCGCTGAAACCCAAGCCTAAGCGTGTATTGGGAAATTCCCTAAGTCCGTCTCAATCACCCAAGAATCTTGCATCAACACAGCCTATTGAAATTTCCACTAGAGATACATCTTCTTCTTCTTCTCCGTCGCCGCCCCCACCACAACAAGATACAACCGAATTTCATAAAGCACCCACCTTCAATTGTCCTATTTGTGATGAGCTGATGTTGACCCTAGTACAGTTGAACCAACATATCGACGATGCACATTCTAGCGAGCCACCACTCTCGTCAACTCCACCACGAAATCAACCCCACTTAACAGTAAAACCAACCACTAGAAATAAAACAACTCCAACGCGTAAGATAAACAAGATATCATATGCAGAAAACAACAAAGGGTTTAGTATCGCTGATGCAAATGAGGAATTCCTAACATTACCCAGTGCAACTCCTACTACTTCTCTGAGAGAATCCCCCGTCAGCCCCACACCAGGACCATATCTGCATAGAATAACTCGATCACATTGGAAATCGTCCCAAAACTCCACGCAATTAACTTGCAACGTTAAAGGTTGTGGAAAAACATTAAATATTAAGAATGGTATTGTAAATTGTCGAAAATGCGGAGAGTTGTATTGTAATGAACATACTCATTATAGAATACGGTTAAGAAATGCACATCAAGGAGAACCGCCATTACCGAAATATGAATCTAGTAAAGCTGGAATATGGAGTCGATGTTGTGTGAACTGCTACTTGGATAAACCTGATTTGAAATTGGGCACTGATGTTATTTATATTGATTTGACGACTGAATTCAAACAAAAAAGACAAGATAAGGTAGAGCTATATCACTTGAACAGAAACAAAATCCAAAAGCACTTTATCAAGTTAACCAACTTATTGGCAGAACAACAACCTCAAAAGAAATGGAGTATATTTAGTAATCTCCAACAACAGCATCAACTTGAATCAGAACGAGATATTGTCGGTGCTGAGGACTGGCAAGTGGACTTGGAAGTCAGCCATTGTTCAATTTGCTTTGTCAAATTCAATTTGTTAAATCGAAGACATCATTGCCGTCTCTGTGGGAGTATAGTTTGTGATGATCCTAATGGGTTTCGAAAGAGTTGTTCCATGTATGTGCCATTGAATAAACTTTTGGATAAGTTACCAAACTTGAATTATTCATCCCATGTCAAGGATAATTTCGAAAACTTATTGCAAGATGATTCTAAACGATTCCGTTGTTGTGTTAATTGCAAAGATGCATTATTGTACGATTGGAAACGTCAACGAAAACCAACTCACGATGATGAACAAATGAATCTAGTATTTTCAATTTATGAAACTATTCTATTGCAAAAGAATCAAATTGATTTTCTTTTACCAAAATATGAACTATTAGTGCATGGAACTGATGAATTAAACAAGAACAAATTACGTTCTAAACTAATGATTATTTTAAAAGATTTTGAAAATTCAGTCATTCAGTTTAGAAATCAACTATTTGTAACTAGAGATGATAAATTGGTTGTTAATCCCAAATACATCAAATTAGAAAAGGTAATTAATAATATCTATCAAAGTATTGCTATATATTTACAGGATAATATTGTACAATACAAACAAATAAGTGAGGTGCACAAGGAACAAGAACAAAACGAACTTAGACGTATCCAAAAGGAAAATTCTCCACAGCCACCAAGATTAACTAAGAAGCAAATTCGAGAATTGCGAGATCAATTAATGGTGATGAATGAACAGAAATTTTTAGTGGAGAACCTAATTACAGAGTATACAAAATCAAGAAGGTTTGATGAATTGGATGTCTTGATTAATAATAAGAAAGAGTTACAAGAAACTATTGATAATTTGGAACAAGAATTGGGAGAGTTTGGATTTTGATATTTGGATACATAACACTGAAGAAATTTATGGATAAAGCTTTGTTGGGATGATAATTGTAACTGAGTATGTAATCCTTGAATGTTGTCTTTAGTTAATTATATAATATCATATAGTAAAAGTTCTGAAGTAATCTTATTAGTTTCAAAAGGCAAGAAGTGAATTTCCCTTTCACAAATACTACATTCAACCACAGTCTATTAAAATTACTTTGTACTAAGAATAAATAATTGTATAAATCTATGCTAATGCAAAAAAAAAAACCTTTAACGCTTGTCAACATCTCCATGGTAAATAATTTCATGTCTTATTTCATTGCTGCTTCCTTCTGCAGTGGTATCTTGGCTTGCCTGATCTTCACTTTGTTCCAATTGATTCTCTTCGTCATCTGCTTTCGTGTCTTCAGCATGAATCCATTTCTTCATGAAATTAACTAACACATTTGCAGTCATAACTTGTTCGGCTTGGTATAGAACCAAAGGCACTAAGATGATACCTAATTTAGGATTGTGAGCTCCATATTGGGAAGATACTAAGGATACACCCAATGCGGCAGTTTTAGCAGGCCCACAGAGCATGATTGCCACTGTATCTTTTCTATTATAATAAAATGGGCGGAAAATCTTGTAACAATATTTGTAGACTGTGGTGGAATTTTCATCTGGCTCAGTACTCAACAATAGTTTAACAATATAAGGACGAGCATAAAGATATGTCAATACCGTGAAGAACAAATAAATTCCAATATTGAAAAACACGAGGAATATAATGGATGCGTGTGATACCTCATTGAATGCATTTTGATAAAAGGCAGTCGAGAAGGATTGAAACATAATTAATAATAACATAAAAGATCCAACTTTACCTAATTTGAAATATTGCATGGCCCATTTGGTTTGTTTTGTAAATATGTTTTGAACAACTTGACCAACAAATAATGGGATAAACACTGACAATCCCAATTGTTTCATGGTCTGAGCATATAAATATTGAATAGACTGAGTTCCATCAGTTTGGTGACTTGGATTACCAAAGTCCCATGTTCCTCTCATGTACATCTGCAATAATGCCGGAGTTATAAATGCCCCCAAGACATTACCGATGAACACTTCACACAATGTTAAAATATCATTACCATCGGCTAATTTGGTCATAACGACATTTGAAGAAACGGTGGTGGGACATGCATGGGTAACAATAAGACCAACTAATAACCAATCGCTAATTTCGGCATCATTAGAAAGTTTAATTCCAGTCGCAATACCAAAAATGATGGAACTTGTGATTAAAAACGACATGGATAACACGGTGAAATGTGCTCTCCAATTAGCAATATTAACTAGCAACTGTTTTGTAGACATTGATAATCCACTAATCAAAAAAATAATGGCAACGGCACCATAACTGATGGTGTATTCTGCTCTAATTAACCCTCCCTGTCTGGCAAAGTTAGGAAATGAATGAGCTAATGCTATGAACACACCAAGTAATACAAAAAACCATTGGCCTATTAAGAACAGTATTACCTTGGAAGTATATCTATACGGTTTTGATTGCTTTATCGTTTCTAGCGTAGTCATATCTACTATTATGGTGTTTAAACAAATGTTACTACCAGAGACCGATTGTTTTAGAAGGGAAAATGCAAGATATTATATATGAAAATGAGTAATTAAACCGTCCAACGATATATTGTGAAAAAAAAAAGTTGTTAGTGATCCGAGTTATTAAGGAACATAAGCAAAAAAAGAACAATAAGAATGATTTATCATGATGGTCCGGGAAGGCGGAAATGGGCTATATGCAGGACGTTTGCGTTCAGCCTTAGAAGTTCGGATAGATTTTCCCGGTACCTTAACTATGAGAAAATCACGTGTGATAAGAATAATCTCGGATCGGAGTTGACTTTAATATTAATTAATACTCGCCTAATTATAAAAACCCGTTCGCCACAATAATTGAGTCAAATGATTCATTAATTCACATGGTCTGATGGCCAACCAATAAGAGTGGTAAGGACATGCTTATTGTATCGATAAGTCATGGAACAATTTCCACTCGGAATGAATACTTTAAGTGTGTAATATTACACAAATGTGGGATTGTCAATTGCAAAGCTGGCTAATTCAACAGCTATTACAAGTACACTTGAACGCTCTTGTAAGTGTAACCTTACTAGCAAGCCTGTTTCGGAGTACCTGGTGCTTCAAATGCGTAAATTCTCGTAATGCCCCGATTTATACTTTGCAAGTTTGACAGTTTCATAACCAGAAGATCAGTATCAGAAAAAAATCAACAAAAAAAAAGTAAAGTGATCAGCTTGGAGCACACACTGACAATTATGCTGTAGGCTTTTAATAATTGACTAAGTTCCATTATTGACTTCTTGAGTAGCACACGAATGTAGCTTTTTGAATCAAACATTCGCCAAGGGAAAAATAATTTAATCCCGATGTCTCGCTTAACGAGGCCCCAGTTGCTCTTGCCTAATTGGGAAGAACATAAACATTCGTAACAAACCATTGAATTTATACAAAAAATATGGAGGGGAGGGGGAAGTACTTGCCTAAAATCCGTTTTCAGATATTCATCTCTTTTGCTTGTCATTCTTCTTAACCAGTATCCACATACTATAGAATAGTTCCATACATATATAACCACCTAGGATACCATAAGAATATTTGCAACTATAGTAAACATCAAGCTTGACATATTTTCTAAGACGACTCATATAAACAAATGACTCGAACAACCTTAGCACCACCACGCAATGGTGGCGGCAGAGAAAGTCAATTTGTGAATAACTTCTGGGGATCAGGAGATTATGGATATACCACCATTCAAACAAGAATTAAAGATTCGTTAAGAACCATGCAAGAGTTGATTGATTTTTACCAAGAAAAGATTCATGTTGAAAAAGAATATTGTAAGAAATTGGAGAAATTGAGTAATAAATATCCAATAGGTACTCATGAGACTGGAACTTTGAGGAAATCGCTAGACAAACTAAATGTTGAGAATGAACATATGATTCAAAATACCTACAAGTTTGTTAAATCAATCGATGAGATTAATCTAGTCAAATTGAAAAATTTCCAAGGTGTGTATAGTAAAAAGGTGAATAAACTACAACATCATATGAATAAAGTATTGATGAAAAAGCAAGACGCTTGGAAACATTTGGAAATCGTCAAGAATAACTATCGACAAGATTGTATCAAGATTAAACAATTTAAATTATTGCAGCAAACTACTTGGGGCAAGGAATTGGAAAAACACCAACGGGATTATCAAAAGGTGAATTCATCAATAAGCACAACTAGAAAGAATTACCAAATTGCTCTTGCAAGTTATAACGAAATTAATGATATTTATATTAAAGATTGGAAAATATCTTTAAATGATTATTACAAATTGGAATTGGAAAGAATTCAAACTTGTAAAGTGAATTGTTTTAATTATTGCAATAATATTGCCACCTTATGCGTTGATAATGATCAATCAGTTGACTTGGCAAGAACAGTATTTGCACAAATTCAACCTCCCTGGGATTTGCAAGAATTTAGTAACAATTATGGTACTGGAGACAAGATTTATCAAGGTTGTGCTTTTGTTGAATATATGAATGGAGAAGAAGAAAAACCTATTGAGTATCTTTTATCAAATGTCAACAATCCTGATCATGTACCTATATTGTCCAGAACATACCTGACATATTCCCTGGCTTCTCATGGAGTGGTGCACACTAATGCTAATAACAATCATGTCACTAATACCAATAACAATCCAAATACTCATGTCACTAAGCAATTACCACCAATAGCACCATTAGCACCATTGGATATTGCCAAACCAAAAACTCCTTCCCCTACAAGGAAGCAACCTCCTGAGATTGAAACAAAATCCAACGTTCATCAAGATGTATTTTCACTCAAGGACAGGGAGACCCATGATTCAGATGAGGAAGATTTCGCTCGTTCCAACGGTTCTTCTAATTACTCCAATCCAACCACATACTCTAACTATTCTACTAACTCTAATAATTCTGAACAAAGACATTGGGCATCGCCGAGAAGAAAAGAGAAACAGTTGCAACAAGTTCAAGAACAAATCACCCGACGGGCAACTAATGAATTCCTGAATTTAATGAAGAAACCAATCCCCAACTTAAGCAAACCTGACACTTCACCCACAAAAGTACCAGTTATAAAAGATTTTTCAATTGATTTCATTGCCAAAGCTCTTGAAGATTTGAATTCTGGTGGAAATGGAGATGTTAACCAATTTAGACGATCGGTTAGATCTCAAGCAGAATCTAAACGAGAAAGCTATCAAACCGAACCCACCACACCGGTAAGACCACAATCAGATTTTGTTGATGATAGACATGAAACCGCTACTCGATACGAATCAATTAATTTCAATTCTCCTGTGAAGTCACTTAATTTCGCTTCACCAGAACAACTCCAAAGCAAACCAAGACCAAAATCATTGGTTCTCGAATCAGAACTGTCAAATATTTTCGGGCATTCATTACTGAGAAAATCAACCAAATCATTTTTGAACTTACATGCAATGATCAATCGTACCCCGGCAAATCAAAAACCGTTTATTGGTAAGGCCAGGGCAAAGTATTCATTTACACCACAATCAGATGGAGAGTTGCTATTTAAAAAGGGATGGAATATGTACATTATTTATAAACAGGAAGATAATTGGTATGTATGTGAATTAGGAAACAATTGCGAAGACCATGAAGGTTTGATTGGGTTAGTTCCTGGTAATTATTTAATTGAAGGTGATGATTTATTTTAGAATTTTATAGTAAATAAACTATGGCTTTTTTATTATTACGCAATTTTATCAGTGCGATTTGTAGTTGGTGTATTTTTTTTCTGACCACCACCACCACCACCCATCGTTGGCTGTTTGTTCTTTCATACTACATGACTAAAGCTATTGGTAAATCTGAGGTGGTTGAACCATATTCAATCAAAAATATCCCGCCTTTAATTATTGGAGGTGCTGTGTTTAACACGCAATATTCATCTGATCCTCACCTGCTTCCAATCCAAGAAATTATTCAAACTGCATTTGATCTTGGAATTAACGCTCTTGATACATCACCATATTATGGACCTTCTGAAGAATTGATCGGAAATGCCTTGACTAAGATCACTTATCCTCGTGAATCTTATTATATCTGTACTAAAGTTGGACGAGTTAAGTTGAATGATTTTGATTATTCCCGTTCCCTGGTGCGTAAATCAATTGAAAGATCATTAACGAGATTGAACACAACCTATCTCGATTTGGTATACATGCACGATATTGAATTTGTTGAAGAAAATGAGATAATTGAAGCCTTGAAAGAGTTGAAATTGTTAAAGGTTGAAGGTAAGGTCAAGAATATTGGGATTTCTGGCTATCCAATAAAATTTTTGTACAAGATTGCATTGCTTGCCAAGTCAAATCCCGAAATTGGACCCCTTGATGGAATTTTATCATATTGTAATGGATGTATACAAAATATCAAATTATTTGAATATTATGACAGGTTAATTAATGAGTGCGGTATTCAAAAAGTTATGAATGGCTCGATTCTTTCAATGTCATTGTTAAGATCAGATATAACCCACTCATTCCATCCTGCCAGCCAAGAATTAAAGGATAAAGTATATGATATTTCCCAGCAATTATTAAAGGAGGACAATGTAGAATTGGCAGAATTGGCCACAAGATTTGCATTAAGAGAATGGTTATTTGAAACAACCAAACAAACATCTTCGGAATTAACTTGGAATGAAAGTACTGCTATTGTTTTAGGTGTTTCTAATATTAAAGAATTGAAGGTTGCCATTGATAGTTATTGGAATATTAAGGAGAATGTCCATAATATTAATACCACGGATATTCCCTTGGTTAAGAAAGTTCAAGATTTATTAGGCAAACAACATTTCAATGAAGTTTGGCCAAGCGGTATCCCAGGTAGAGATTAAATAGAATTATAGAGTAATTGTAACAACTTTTAATATAAAATTTTTTTGTTTACATTTCCTTTAGTAGGCGCCATGAATAGATGGAAGTTAATATTGAGAAATTGTTGCAAAAAATTGGTAAAATGCAATAACAAAATACCCAAGAAGTTTCAAGGAAATTCCTCTACTCATTTTCAACAATAATCAGGAGTAACCATTCGTCACATTCCAATATAACCAACATTTTGTGATTGATAAATTTGTTTAAACTGATTTATCAAACATCTTTACTCTTCCCTATGCACGGTCGAAATTTCGGAGATTAAAGAGCAAACAAACAAAAAAAAAAAAACCAACCCATGTAAAAACACGTTAACAAGACACGCGGTATAGTGAACAAATCTACAACGTTCAATCACTCACAATGGCATTCAAGAGATCATTTTCGAATAGGGCAGGTGGAAACGCTGGTTCTAGTCCAGGCGAAGAAACCGTTATAGAATTGGATAAAAAGAAGCAAGTCACAATTCGTAAATTCAACAACATCAACCTAGTTGATATTAGAGAATTCTACATTGATAAAGATGGTGAAAGAAAACCTGGTAAAAAGGGAATTTCATTAACTGAAGACACCTGGTATAAGTTATTAGAAAACACCAACAAGATTCAGAACGCATTGGATGTTTTGAATGGTCAAGTTCCAAAATCGGCCACCCCTTCTAAACAAGAAAAGCCAACCAAGAAACAAAAAGTAGAAAACAGTGATGATGAAGAGGAGTTTGAAGATGTTGACATTTCAAAGAAACCTCCAGCTAAACAAGAACAAGAAAGTGATGCTGATGATTAGAACTTCTAATAACATTACATAGTACATGTCATTTTGCTTTTACAGCCAAATTTATGAAATGTGCCAATTTATCCATACAGGGGCTATTCGGTTATATAAATAGAAAGTATTTAATGTGTTAGATACGCTAATATCAGATTAGGAAATCTCAAGCGCATTTCCTGTTCATTTTCGCACTGCTAAACTATGTGTAGAGTAAATTATTCCAGTTTGTGGTACATAACCAATTTTTTTTTTTTTTCTTGTACTGAGCAAATAACAAAAAACCTGACAAATTAAAATGTGATTATTCTTGGTTAGTACAAAATCAAGGACACTGGGCCAGTTGGTTACCAATAATAATTATCTTGAATATTTGTACGAATTCGTATGTTTTCGTCTTAGCCCGCATTGTTTTGTTGTGATTGTAAAGCTAATAATTGCACTACAATTTCCTCTTAATTTAAGGTAAATGCTCACGTGGGTGGAGAACAGCCTCCATTTCCACCACTCCAACAATAGGCACAGAAAATATTTTCGTATTGTGATTTGGAATTTTTTTTGTTATCGCAGTAGAAAAAATTAATACAAAATTGAATTAATTAGGTTGCTTTTGCGGAAACGATATTGCCTTATGTTTCTAACCCACTTTATTATATTCCTAAAACTCTTTGTCATTAATCATTTCCAACGTTAGCTAGTATCACCATCTACACATTTCATTTTTAATATCTTGTGACTTGAAATTTTCTTCAATTGATTCCATCTTTTTTTATATTAGCCTAAACTGATTTTTTTTTGAAACCGTGCAACAGATCAGGGCTTAAGTCATTAGCTGTTCACTACCGATTACCCTTTCTGAATATACCCACCGCATTTACAAATGGCAAAATCAAGAAAATATCCCAAGGGAAATTACAATGCTATTGAAGGGGAGCGGTCGGCCCCCTCTCCTTCAGATCTTAACTACAATGTCACGCCACCCCCACCTCCAACTTCAGAACAGCCATATACCCAACCACCAAGACTGAAACTCTCGACCACACATCAGTTCAACCCAGAATCCGGTTCTTCTAACAATAGATCATCTAAATCACGGCATGATTCCATTGTAGCCGGTGTTCGTCAAGCAAGACCCAATTTAGAAAGTGGAGATGACTACACCGAAGCAAGCAGAACCGCCAGTCCATCTGGAATAGCAAACCTGGCTTATATTGATCATAGAACTCATAACGATTTGGCACATCTTCATTCATCCCCCGCAAGATACAGAAGACGTACTACCCAGAAATATACCCCAATTGCCAAGCAAGAGCAACCACAAGCCGACCTTGACACCGATACTGATACTAATAACGGAGTTTATCGCAGATATACCGATAATCCAGCCACAAGTTTACCATTAACCAACAAGAATCTCCAACATTTGTTAAAGAACTCCAGAATATCCACTGCACCAAATCCAGGAACTTCTGGTGCAACCATTAGTAAATCTCCAATCAGTCCTTCTGCCATTGCAATTGATATGGATCAATATGCTCATGAGCAACGACAATTGGCCAGGGCAAGATCGTGGAATAATCCTTTCAGACCAACTAATATAGACGAAGAATTTGAAACGGGTGAAGGTGCATCATTCCATTCTGAACATGACGAGGATGGATATTCAGTTAATTCCCTTGAATTTGGTGAATCTAACCCTTCATCCGATCATTCAAGTGATTCAACATCTTTGGATGATGTTTGTTTCCCTGACTATTATCATGACGGTACCGATGCTGATGCTATTAAAACATCTCAATGGCCCGATTTACGAATTTTAGAAGAGTTTGTCCTAGAAGAATTAGAAGAAGCTGAAGTTGAACATTCAGTGCAACCCGAAGAAGATATGTTTCAGACTGTTAATTTCGAAGGCAATAATATAATCCATCATGATGATACGGGTGCTACATCTTCTCTGCCCAAGTATACCGAAACAACCCCGCTCATGGATAACTATCAAGTTAATGAAGTTGAGACACTTGGTCTGAAGGAGAATACAATGAGAGTAAGACCCACATCAATACAACCGTGGGAAATGAGCAAGGAGAAGATTCCTACTATTTTAAATAAATCCCTGACAAGGAATTTCAATGGTAAATACAACCAAAGAACTGGGAAATTGAATGGAGAATTATGTCGATTTACTTATTTTAGAGAAGATTTAAACAAGACCATTCATTCACCTTCAATAAGTGGATTAGTATTGAGTAGCACATTTGATGAAGAGAAGCGAGTGAACTCTGACCAAAACAGTACTGAAGAAGAAGATGGTGAGACAGAACAACAGAAAACCCTCTATGAAAAACTTGAAGATCTTTTCCAACCAACTCACTATAGTGAACGAGTTTCAACTAGAACATCATCTCTTCATGAATCATCAAATCATCTTAATATGTTGACTCCTTCTGGAATTAGTTCTACTAATTTGGCAATGCAAGCAAAAGCTTCTAAAGGTACGGTTACCGGTGAAGCAGAGACTCCCCGCCCAGGCACAGCTTATGGATCCGTAAATGATATTCCTTCGGCAACTTTAGAAAGCGAAGCAAGACCAGAACCATTTTGGTTGGATGTGTTAGATCCAACTGAGGAAGAAATGAAGGTACTTTCCAAAACATTTGGGATCCATCCTTTGACTACCGAAGATATCTTTTTAGGAGAAGCTCGTGAAAAAGTTGAATTGTTCAAGTCATATTATTTCATTTGTTTCACTTCTTTCGATGTTGTGTATGAAAGACGGAAACAGCGTGCCAAAGAGAACGAAAAGAAGATGAGCAAATTACAAGAAATGCTTGAAAATTCAAGTTGCATTGATGATGACGGTGTAAGTATTTCGGATCGAAAGTCAAAACTCTGGAGATATTTCACGTCAATGTTTGGTGGTAGCGTAAAAGATAGAAGAAGAACTCCTTCATTTGTTGAGAAACAACCCAGCACATCCGTTAAATCAAGAGGAAAGAAGATCAGAGAAGGTGAGTTGCTGCCTCTAAACATGTATATAATTGTCTTCAAGGATGCAGTTATTACATTCCATTTTTCGGCTACTCCACATCCGATTAATGTTAGAAGAAGAGCAAGAATGTTGAAGGAATATTTAACTGTTAGCTCCGATTGGATTTGCTATGCATTAATTGATGATATTACAGATTCCTTTGCACCTATGATTGATACGATTGAACATGAAGTGAATGCAATTGAAGATGCCATTTTAAAGATGCACTCCGGTGATACTGATTCCGAGGATGATTCAGATTCCGATAGTGATTCTGAATCGAGTCGTCACAGTCTACGTCGTCGTCGTCCTAATCCTCATCAATTACAGAAAAGTTCCACAAATTATACCAAGAAGCTGACTGCAGATAATGTATTTGTATGGAGAAAGCGGTCAAAATCAACCGTCGATCATCAACATTTACCAGGATCACGATTCAAGGTCGGATCTATATCGTCAAGCTCCAGCAAAAGTTCCAGCTCAAAGTCTACTGCATCCAAGATTTTAGGATGGAAACGTAAAGGAGATATGTTGAGAAGAATTGGTGAATGTCGTAAACGGGTCATGTCAGTATTGCGATTATTAGGAACAAAAGCAGATGTCATTAAGGGGTTCAGTAAACGATTTAATGAAGTTGAAACAAATCCATATCTGGGCAAACAAGAAATTGGAATGTATCTTGGCGATATTCAAGATCATATAGTTACTATGGTTCAAGCATTAAACCATTATGAAAAATTATTGGCTAGATTCCATTCAAACTATTTGGCTCAAATCAATATTGACATGACGAAAGTTAACAATGATACCAATGATGTGTTGGGAAAAATTACCATTTTAGGTACTATTGTATTACCAATCAATGTTGTTACTGGGTTATGGGGAATGAATTGTATAGTACCAGGTCAAGATTACGATGGTCTAGGCTGGTTCTGGGGAATTGTGTGTTGCATGATCTTGTTTAGTATTTGCGCTTACAACTATGCCAAAAGAGTATTTGGTTTGTAGAATATACATAGCTTATTATTTTTCAGCTCGTGCAAACGGTTGTCTCGCTAGGGGGATTAAAATTTCACAACCTTGGCAAAAAAAAAAAAAAAAATACACAAGGATAACTTTTTTTACGATTTGCCATTGAATTCAACGTCCCCTTATACAATTAGAAATTAGTTCATCATGAGTCTTCAAATGTCGTTAGTGTTCTGCACGATGATCGCCCAGATGATCATCTTGCTAGTGTTAGTTCTACCATTACCTCAAGTTGTCCGTCAACAGATTGTTAGTTTAGCCCAAGTTTGTCAAAATTCCCAAAATTTCAAAGTTGGTGTCATATTCTCGTTAATGTTAATGACTTTACAATTCTTAGATTGCTTGAAGAGATTACATAGATATTCTGGTGCTGTTGACAATCCATACTTTGACAGCTCTAACAACCATCATTATGAGCATCTGTTGAGCTATGACCAATTGGCAAGTAAGTTTTACGCTCAACGTAACCTTTACTTGAGTGGCGCCATTTTATACTTGATGTTAGCCATTGCAACTGTTTTAGCCATTGTTAAGAAGATGGTTTCTAAAGAAGCTGAATATAGGGAATTGGCAGCAACTGCAAATGACACTTCACTCAAGTCAAAGCAAGAACAAGAAGAAATTGAAAAGTTACAACAATTAATTGACAAGAAGCAATTGGATATTGACACTTTCAAGAAACAAATATCAGGCTTGCAAGCTGCATACAATGACTTGTCTCCCGAGGTTAAACCAGATTTAAAGGAAAAGAAATCTGAGTAGAGATAAAAAAAAAAAGTACAGTGATGTATATTTGAAAGTATATAATAAAACAAAGCAATAAAGTGAGGGTTACATTTCTAATCACAAATGTCCAGTGTAAGTACCAGTAATTAAATTACTAAAAGTAGGAATTTCTTGTGAAGGATCGTCATTATCATAGATGGAAATGAATTTATAGTTTTTAATTTGGAATTTCAATTGAACACCTGATTCATGTTCTGAACCTAAACCATTGGTCATGAATCTTGCAATAAATCTTTCTTCATTATGGCTAGGATCCAACACCAAAGCTTGCGGGAATCTCCATGTAATTCTATTCTTTTCCTTATTGAATGCACCTTGAGGCTTGGAAGACGCAGAAGTAGCTTCAATATCAGTATTCAAAGCCACAGAAACAACAAGGTTGTCTAATTTCAATTTTGATTGTATGCTTGGGTTTAATCTAAGACTAACCATTAAACTCGATTGATGAGGTTCAAATTTCCAAATTTGTTGGATTATCACTGGAACCTTGGATTCATCTAGACTATCCATATACTTGACACCACCCAAAGTTTTTGAAATGATAGGTGTAGACAGTAATTTATAAGTGCCATCGCCAATATCTTCCATAAACGATTTGTTAACAATAACTTTTTCATACAGATGTGGGATTTTCACTGAGATACTCTCAGGAATTTCTTCACCATTAGTCTTGTAATTGAACGCGACTTCCCCAAGAACATTAGACTTTTGCAATTTACCATCTTTGAAGTTGGCATTAATAACCTCGGCAACTGAAGCATTTAATCCGGTATTAGCATCAGCAAAGTCTTGATGTTTAAACAATTCATTGCTTCTCAATGAATGACCAGTATTTTGACTAGATAACGGTCTTATAGAGCTGCTTGTATATGAAGGAGCAGCAAAAGATTCTCTAGCATCAGGAAGATTATGAAACATTTGCGAAGTAATTCTTGCCTTCTTTTCTGATCCAGGATCCGCAAGATCTTGATGCGTAACAACCTTTCTGGTAGGTGGAGGAGGTGGGGCATTTTGTGTTCTATTTGGAGATTCTTCCAAGTTTGGTTCAGGTAATCCATTTGTTTCAGGGAAGACAGTTGTTTCCATCCTTGGAGTGGCAGCGAGAGGCTTTGCTTCATCTCCTGCTTCAAAACTATACTTTCCAGAACTTTCTCTTGATCTTGGAATCGAGGTGATTTCATTTGATATTCTATTGTAGACACGTGAGCCAGGGTCGAGGGTTGAACTGGTTCTTGCAGCTACAATTGCTTCAGTTGGTGGAGGTGTAGGGAAAGCAGCTACGGGAGTACCTTCAGCAATTTCATATCTTTGTCTAACATCAATTTGTTCAGGACCTTCTTCATCTGATGAGGATTCTTCGTCTGTATCTTTATAAGCTACAACATTAGGAGACTCAGGAATATTGTTAATTTGTCTAACTGGAGGTTCGGGAGTGGTTCCATCAAAGTGGGTAGTTACTTGACCTGCTTCAGGAAGTTCAGGTAATACTGTTTTCTTCTCAGCTGGTAATGGCGGTTGTTCCTTTACTGTTTCTCTAGATTGGATTGGATCAGTTGGACGTGGTTGAGGTGGAGGAGCAGGAGCAAGTGCAGGAGCAAGTGCAGGAGCAGGTACAGGAACAACATTACTTTGTGGAATTCTTGGCGTACTTTGAGCGGTAGATGGTGCAGAATTCTCAGGAATGGTCGATTCAAGTGCTACTGCCTTATCCTTCTTCTTTTTTCTTCCAAAAATGGAGCCCACTCTGGATTTAAGTTTTGAAGGTTTCTTTGAGGAAGAGGATGAGGAACCAGAAGCAACAGTATCAGCATTACTCGTGGTTCTACCAAAAGTACTCAATCTTTTGTGGGCAGCATGAGGATGGGCATTCTTATTCAATTGTTGTTGCTGTTGAATCTGATCATTGACATAACCTCTATTTTCAGGTGCAGGCGCAAACTCAGCGTTTACCAAATAGTCTAATTGCTGCTTGATTTCATTGTTTAATTTGAAATTTCCCAACAAATAATTGGTTGAGTTTTCATTATCACTTAAACTCTTTGTCATCTTCCCATTCTGCAATTGGAAATAATTTAATATTATATCAAATAACAACTGAGTTTCATGCTTTTTATAATTTTCAAGATTGGCGAATGATTGAGGAGCTTTATAATTCCATTGCATTTCCGCATCCTGTTTACCATTTTTCATGTTGGTTGCAATTTCTTGCAATTCTTGACCATTGATCAAAAGTTCAGGCAATTTGACGTCAGTTTCAGCCAAATCTTTTAATGGATTGATAATTTCCAACCTCAAATTCTTGTAAACGGTTTCATTAGCTTGGAATTCTAATTGTAACGAGTTTATCAAATTATTCCAGTTTTTTGGGAAATTACTGAATCCACCATGAGATTGTTTGCTAATTTTAGAACCTTGATCAATCAATTGTCTCAAACCTTGGTTATAATTGGAAACGATAGTGGCGTAATAATTGAACCAACTGAGTAAATCTTTACCTACCAATTGAGATGACGCATTAAGTGCATTGGGAATAATTAACGAAGCTTGATCAGGAGATTTTGAAGTTAGAATAGTGGTGGGGAAATTAACCGCCTCCTGATCATTACCATTCACTTGTTCAGTTGACATTTTTTGGTGTTTTTGAAATTGATTACACTAGTGGTGTCAATTAGGGGGCTGAAACTTCTTGTGAAGAGGTTGTCGTCGGAATTGATCACTGGTCAGGAATTTTTCGGTTGTTTCTAGCCGTTATTTGGCATGGGATTTTTTTTTTTTTACCGACGGCGATTTAGTAGTCAATGCAATTAATCTTGTAATTGCTGATATATTAAGGTATGAGCTAAAGATCCCTGTTCCCTTTTAGCTACGTAGATATAGAATATTCCCCTTTTTTATAGTCGACTTTTCATTAATCCAAACTATAAACATTGAAACTATGTTGAGGTATGGATGTAACGGCAAGGACGGATTAGTACTGCATATGCTGATTCCAGGATCTCAACCAAGGCAAGATGTACCTGAAGCCAGTAAGAGTTTTTGAAATTGGTCTTGGCAGCTCCATTTATGATGCAATGGCAATGAAAGGTTTAAATTACGAGAAAAAGTGGAGAAGATAAAGACTTCTAGATAATAATTTATAAAGGTAAAGATAAAGTAACATTATGTAACCTGGAGTAAGGGGGGAACGAGTTCGTAATATTTGCTACAACACATTGATACATGCCTAAGGCAATGTTGTGCGTGCTTGAAAATTGGCAATATAGATTGAAAATTTTCATTTTCAAAATTGATTCTCTTATCTTTTCACAGAAAAAGAAATCGGACACAAAATGCAAGAACCATATGTTTTAATTATAGAACAAATAGAAGGTGGAGTTAGTCCGACTAATAATAACATCCAATTGTGTGTATAGTTACAGGGACTACTGAGTGAAAGATGTTGAATTGCTAAGCCAAATTCAGACAATCTTTCCTATACGTTTGGATTTTTCGGCAAGTTTTACCTTTGAATGAAATATAATAACCGAAGATTATATGCACCGAATATTATTCTCAGTTATTGACACATTTAAAGGAACTTTCTCCTCCAGATTAAAGCATTCCCGGAGAAGGTGGAAGTTGAAATTATCATGATTCAAACTCCATTACAATGGAATCTTTAAGATCACCTCATTAGTAATTGATTAATCACACAAACGAACAAATCAAGAGTCTTCTCCTTGTTGTTCAACTGATGCACCGGTTATCTTCCTGCATATTGCTTATCTTTAAAACAATTTTTTTTGTTGTTTTATTGATAGATAAAGAAAATAATTGCATCTATTTTTATTTTTATTTTTCGTCCACCTAAATTGCAAAATGTTATTGGCTCATGATAAATTATCGTATCGGGATCTTTTAGCAGAGTCATATTAGGCTTTATCAGCGATCTTTATCTGCGTACAATAAAATTCGTAATTGATCTAACTAAGGCGATATTTTACGTGTCTTCCATGATATAAATACCATCCATATTGTCCATGGCCTGGAATTTTAAAAAATTTTCCTTGTGCAGATAATTTCCTTAATTCTACAAGATGTCAGATACTACAGGATTTACAGGTGAAGGAACAGGTGGAGATGTGTTCAAAGTTGATTTAAATAAACAATTCGAAGGTGCCGATATGGTATGGGTGGCCACTGCCTCTGCATTGGTCTGGATTATGATTCCTGGTGTTGGTCTTTTATATTCAGGGTTATCTCGTAAGAAGCATGCTTTGTCTTTAATGTGGGCTTCTATCATGGCTGCCTGTTTAACAACATTTCAATGGTTCTTCTGGGGTTATTCGTTAACATTTGCTCATAATGGTTCTGCCTTTTTAGGTACTTTACAAAATTTCTGTCTTAAAGGTGTTTTAGGTGCTCCAAGTATTGCTACCAAAGTTCCAGATATTTTGTTTTGTTTCTATCAAGGTATGTTCGCTGCCACTACTGCTATTTTAATGGTTGGTGCTGGATGTGAAAGAGCTCGTTTAGGTCCAATGATGGTTTTCTTATTCCTTTGGTTGACTGTGGTCTATTGCCCAATTGCTTACTGGACTTGGGGTGGAAATGGTTGGTTAGTTAAATTAGGTGCTTTGGATTTCGCCGGTGGAGGTCCAGTCCACGAAAACTCTGGTTTTGCTGCTTTAGCCTACTCATTATGGTTAGGTAAAAGACATGATCCTTTAACTCAAGGTAAGGTTCCAAAGTACAAACCACACTCTGTTTCTTCTATCGTTTTAGGTACCGTGTTCCTTTGGTTCGGTTGGTTTGGTTTCAACGGTGGTTCTACTGGTAACGCTTCTATCCGTTCTTGGTATGCTGCCGTCAACACCAACATTGCTGCTGCTTCAGGTGGTTTAACTTGGATGTTTGTTGACTACTTCAGAACTGGTGGTAAGTGGTCTACTGTTGGTTTATGTACTGGTGCCATTGCTGGTTTAGTTGGTATTACTCCAGCTGCAGGTTTTGTTCCTGTTTATACTTCGATTATTTTTGGTATTGTCCCAGCTATTATTTGTAACTTTGCTGTCGATTTAAAGAACATTTTACAAATCGATGATGGTATGGATGTTTGGGCTCTTCATGGTGTTGGTGGTTTTGTTGGTAGTTTCATGACTGGTCTTTTTGCAGCTGATTATGTTGGCATGATTGATGGTACTGAAATTGCTGGTGGTTGGATCAATCATCATTGGAAACAATTAGGTTACCAATTGGCTGGTTCTGTTTCCATCGGTGCTTGGTCATTCACAGTTACTTCCATCTTATTATTAGTTATGGACAGAATTCCACAATTAAGAATCAGATTACATGAAGATGAAGAAATGTTAGGTACTGATTTGGCTCAAATTGGTGAATTTGCTTACTATGATGAAGAGGATTCAGAACATGATGCTTACGTTTTGGAACCAATCAGATCCACTCCTGCCATCAAGGCCAAGTTGAAAGCTTCTACCACCAGACCAGAAGAAGAAGAACCCACTCCAATTGAAGGAAAAACCGTTGACGGTCAAGATTCTTTAAACCAAAACGATAGTGATGTATCAAAGGTTTAACTAATCTAAAAGTTATAAAGTTAGAAAACAGATTGTTCCTATTAATATTTTTCAGTTCTTGGTATATTTATTTGTATATGTCGTTTTAATCAATATTTTTAATACCTCAAACATGATTGATTTAGTGTATTATTTTTAGTATATTTACAGCGTGACCTTGCCTTTTTATGATTACAAAGCATTTTGAACTTCCCGAGAGTTTTAACGGGTGCCTAATGATTACCCCCTACGAGAACAATAACCCGAGAATCAAAAAATTTCTTGGTGCGAAAAAGAATGTGGAAGGGTTACCCATTTTGGTATCTCTGCCTGGGAGATTTTCGGGAAGATTAAAACAAAAAAAAAAATTTACATGGATCAGAATTGCTCTCTCCACAACAACCATTGTCAATTCGATGGGGTTAGCCCGCCTTAGCGTCTGGGGTATTTAAAGATGGAAAATGTATTTCAAGATGATTTAGAGATATAACTTTGATACATCAAGTATCTATGACGGAACGCAACCCATTTGTATCTTCTAGTGTTTCCCGCGTAGAAGAATACGATTTATCAGTCGAGTTGCAATCAATACACACTACTCCTAATGTTGTTCATACTTCGAATGGTAAAACACAAGTTGAAACTGTGTCGGTAGTTGAAGATATTGGTCCATTATCTTTTACTAACCCTCCTAAGAATTTATTTCGTATTATTACTTCTTTAATTTGGGCTTTCGGTTTGGGCCTTTCAGATGGTTCAGTTGGGGTATTATTGAATTATATTGAAATTCAATACCGTATTTCATATTCTGTTGCTTCTATCTTATGGTTGAGTAATGCTCTTGGATTCATCATTGTTGCCTTACTTTCCGATGTGATCCAAAAGAGATTAGGAAGAAAATCAATCTTCTTGGGATGTCTCTCTTCTATAATGATGTACACATTGGTCCTGACTGGTCTGAAATATCCCGTAGTAGTTATTGGGTTTTTCTTTGGTGGGGTAGGTGCTGGTATTTGTGTTGCCCAGTACAATGTATTTATTGGAAGATTAGAAAAATCATCAACGGCTCTTGGATATTTACATGGTTGTTATGGTTTAGGTGCTTCAGTTGCACCATTAATTGCAACAGCATTTGTTGAAGCTGGGATTAAATGGAATTTCTTTTATTTGGTTGTTTTGGGAGTATTCTTGATATCTGCAGTTAACACATACATATCATTTGTCCATGGAGAAGACGATCTCAAACCATGGGATGATGAGCAACAACCACAACAGCCCCAGACTCTGGAAGCAAAACAACCTGGGTTGATGAAGGAAGCCTTAAAGACAAAAGTCACTTGGTTTTCTTCGTTATTCGTCTTCTTTTACCAAGGAGCAGAAGTTGCATTTGGTGGTTGGATCACTACCTATTTAAGAGATTATAGGCATCATACTAATGCTTCAATTGGGTATGTTGCTTCAGGTTATTGGTTTGGATTAACGTTTGGAAGATTAGTATTGACTAGATTAATTCACAAATTATTAGGAGCAAGAAGAGGGAATTGCATTTTGATCACATTATCCATGTTGTTTGCATTATTGACTTGGGTTATTTCAAGTTTCCCAATTGAAATTGTCACAATCACTTTGTCTGGGATAATGATTGGTCCAGTTTACCCGTTAATGATTTCTTATATTGTACTGGATGATTTAATTCCGAGAAAGATTGCCGTTATATCCGTTACGGTGACAACGGCATTCGGGTCTTCCGGCGGGGCATTGATTCCATTCTTGGTCGGGTTAATTTCTCAATTTGTTGGGGCATATGTGGTCTTGCCACTGTTTATAGTTACATTTTTCTTTACCTTGTGTCTTTGGATATTGCTTCCAAATACCAGATACACTAAAGGAACTGGAAAGGTTGATATTTTCAAGAGAATTTGGTAGAACAAGTTTTATTAAATTCAGTTTTATTTATTATAGGCATAGCTTGAGTATAAGTTTATAGAATAATATGATGTAATAGAGACAATGTACTATTTTTTTTTTTCTTGCAAAATTCCTGCTCTTTTTGCACTCCAAAATCTTGGAGTGCAAAGAATCGAATTTCAAGAGAAACATATGATTTTAAACGAGTCGGAAATATTGCTGAACAAGTCGTAGTTTATAGCCGATTGGTTAATTTATAATACACTCGGATCTGCCGTGTTGAAGCAAGAATAAAAAAATTTTTTCCCCCAAACATTCCTAGAAAGTTCTATAATTAGATCGATCAAGAATCGCCGGACAGAAAGATGGCCAAAATGCTCTTGCAGAAGAGTTGCTATTTGTGCATAGAACAGGTTCACTTTCGTGTCTAATTGGCCAATAAACCGAAGAGGGATTTAGACAAACATACGATTTCCTCTATGATTGGCGGAGATATCGTTTTACTCTCGCCAAGACTTTTAAACTTTACATGAAAAATAATCTTAAACTTTATTATAAGCCAAGAAAGATTTGGAATTTTTATCTAAAAGATCAGGCTAGGATTATCCCAGGCTAATAGTTTGGTTATATAAAATTGATACAAATTACCCGATGTTCACTACTGTCAAATATCTATCAAAGCAATGTACGCACTTATCCCATTATTTAGTTTGATCTTGTTGGTCTCTGCCGCCAATCCATACGAAACTTTCCCCAAGGTTCCTAAAACTGCCAGTATCAATGGGTTCGCTGACCCTATTATTGATCTTTTACCTGAATGCGCTAAAGATTGTGTAAAGATTTCCACTGGTAACACCCCATGTCCTTATTGGGATACTGGTTGTTTCTGTGTGATGCCTCAATGGGCAGGGTTGATGGGGCAATGTGTTGCTAAGAATTGTCAAGGAAGAGATGTTGCTTCTGCCAGGTATTTGGCTACCTCTTTGTGTAACGCTGTTGGTGCAGGTACTGTGATTATGCCTGAATCTATCTCAGATGCACTTTCTAGCGCAGCTGGAGGTGCTAAAGACGTTACTACCATTGAAGGAAAGACGGCCAAGTCTTGGGTTATTGCAAGTGGAAGTAGTGAAGTTAGCAAGACTGCAGATCCTTCTGCTAAGTCAAGTGATTCGGCTTCTACTGATGCCAAGACCACCAGCAATGAATCAAAGACTACCAATACTTCCGAACAATCCGAGACTCAATCCCAGACTTCTGCTTCGGAAACTTCCGAAACAAAGAGCAACTTAGGAGTTTATGCAACAACTAGTTTAGCTGCATTATTTGTTTCAGTTATTTTATCTCTTTTTATTTAGGTATTTATGAAATTCAATATGCAATCGAAACCTCGTGTTAAAAAAACTAAAGTTCGCAAATTTTTTATCTTTTTCATCAAAGTGACACAAAACCAAATATGCCCTATGCCAAGAGTTGCAATTTTCTAGCGCAAAATTTTTTTTGCCAAGCCAAAAATGCACCACTGGTAAAAGAGGCATTCCCGATATCGAAATTGTTATAATTCAAGCCGAACACTCCAATGGAATAGTCTTTCCCAAATAGTATACTCTACAACCGAAATTGGTAATTCAATCATGGACTGATCTTGGATTATTTTTATCCATGTTTATATTTTAAGCTAAATTCTCCATTCTCTTTTCTATAAATAGTTCTAGTAAATCCTCAAAATGGAGATATATTTTCTGAATTACTACAACTACAAAAATGAAGTCCTTCCAATTCATTGCTGTTGCTCCAGCTATCTTAGCCCTTGTTACTGCTGCCGATAATCCTTATGCTACTTATCCTAGTGTTGCCAAAACCGCTACCATTAACGGGTTTGCTGACAAAATCTATGATCAATTAGCTCCATGTGCCAGAGAATGTGTCAAGCAAGATACTGGTAGTACTCCATGTCCTTACTGGGATACTGGTTGTTTATGTGTTATGCCACAATTTGCCGGACCAATTGCTGACTGTATTGCTAAGAACTGTAAGGGTTCTGATGTTGCTGGTGCCACTGAATTAGCTACTTCTCTTTGTTCTTCTGCTGGTGTTTGGGAACCATATTGGATGGTTCCAGAATCTGGAAAAGCTGCTTTGTCTAGTGCTGCAAATGTTGCTGACACTCCTGCTACTACCACTAAGGAAGAAGAAGCTTCAACTGAAGCACCAGCTAAAACTAGTGAAGAACAAGCTCCACAAACTACTGAAGAGCAAGCTCCACAAACCACTGAACAAGCTGAACAAACCACTGAAGCTGAAAAGCCAGAAGCTGAACAAACCACTGAAGCTGAAAAGCCAGAATCTGAACAAACCACCGAAGCTCCAAAGCCTGAAGCTGAAGGTACTACTGAAGCTGAAGGAGCTTCTGAAAAGACCGTTGAAACCGCTGAAGCTTCAAGCTCCAAGAGTGAAGATTCTCAAGAATCTGCTGCTCCAACTGTTTCTCCTGAACTTAATGGTGCAAACAATCAACTTCCAGGATTAGTTGGCTCTTTAGGTGTCGTCGGTCTCATGGCTGTGATTTTTTAAATGAATTAGATATTCTCTATTAGGATTTTAGTTTTGTGTTTCATTTCTTCTTAAATTTTTGTTAAATTTTCGCAATTTTCTTACTTTAACAATAAAAACAATTAGTATTAGACTTCAATGTAATAGGTTTAAGGAATCATAATTCGACCTCGTACCAAACTAGGCGAAATCTTTAAGTCAATGGATGATTTCCGTTTCGCAATCTTTCAGATATTTTTTTTTTGTAATCGCTAGAAAATATTTATTTCAATTGTTCTGTATTATAACCCCCACTTTAGAAATTCAGCCACCGAAAAAATTTGCAACAGGCAGGCTTAAAAAATTAATCAAATGAGGCTATTTCATAGGTTTTCTCTATTGTATCAATTAATATTTGGTCTAGCGATCTACATTTAGATTTGATTATGTTCATAGTTCTTGAAGTGTTTTCAAACAGCAGTTTCCATAGAATAATATTATAGAAAAGTTCAATCCTGGGTTTTAGCTAATAGAGTTTTTGTAATCGTTCCTATGAGAACTAACGGAATTATGCTCAAGGGTTTATTTAGCTTATATTAGAACTGCTACAAATGTTATGATGCAAACACTTCCAAGCCTTCTCAAAAATTCTTTTGAATTGCAAATCTTATTTCACCCCCCTACAAAAAAAATAGATCTACAAAGCACAACTTCGTCAAGCAATTGACATATTGAATGAAACTATATGCAACAATTCATCCAACACTTGACTATTAATCAAGTGCTTTTCAAAACTATTTGCATATAGTTTCATATATGACAACTTCATTTGGCTTATTTGTAGTTCTCAAAATATCTCTACCCGCAATATTACAAGAAACGACAAAAATAAGGTGCGGCCAGTACGTTATATCATTGACATGATGGACTCATGCAGTAAATAAACCCGGACAAATGGATGCTCGTACCAACTACCAAATTAATGATTGCTGAGCAGTTGAACCAGGAACGTATTACAAAGTCAAAATATAGGAAATTAAAATTGTTGGAAACTTCTTACATATGCATTGGTGATATGTTGACAACTAATCACTTGCTGTAAAGACGTTCATTGAACACGATTGTTTTCGGAAATAATATATGTTATCACAAATATTAATGGAACTTGTTTGTTATCTAATAAGTTACCTTTCTGCATGTTTATTCATATGTTGGTTCATGAAAGTATATCTCACTCCCAGTTACTACTTCCGTAATTCACCATATTAAACAATATTAAGATGAAATAATCGTTTAAAAGATGAAAATTTCACAAACAATAGTTCACTTCAGGAGTACCTCAATGTTTCACATCTAAATTACAACAAGGATCATCATCATTTTGCAACTTTTATAACTAACTAGTACTACTTCAATTCCTGATCGTGTGCACTTAAGAAGAAACTAAAATTAGAATCGTGGCTAATCTGAAATAATATTCTACTTTCGAATACTTCTTGGCTATTTCAGGTGGTCTGAGCAACCATGAAATAACATATTGTTGATAAAATAAAATCTGGGAATTCCATTCCCTAGGAAGTGCACGACCATGCGCAATTGTTATGAAATCGACTCAATTGACAAAAGTTTTTGGTGTTCCGCACATGTTCAAATATGGATGTGGTATTACCAAATACGCCTTGACTACCCCCTCCACGTGGTTGGTCATATCTTATATTGGACATTCCATACCTTGTTGTGGCTATCTATATTATATTAAATAAAAATCAATTGGCCGCTTTCCCTTTAAGTAAGATGTAAACACAAATGTGGGCGGTTACTATTATTTTATTGCTAGGGGAAGGCAAAGGGGGTGAAGTGAGATGAAATACCCGCTAGTCACATTACGACTGAGTGAAAAAAAAAGTGTTGTTTTTTTTTTCTTGTCAGATCTATATTTAGCATGCATGGCATTTATGTAAGCAGTTGTAGTATTCAATAATCTACAGGATATCTTCTTTAACTTACCTTCCTTCTGTATTTATAATCTTGACATTGCATGTCGATATAGTATTATGTCTAACTAATGAACTTGGAGTATTCAAAAATTCCTTCTCACCACAAAGATTTAGTCGATGGACTGCACAATAGGAATGACGTTAATATTTTTTTAGCTATACAAAAAAAAGATCGGATGTATTGTCCAAATCTAAGATTTGTTTTGACACAATATTGCCGTTCGATCTTAGGCGCATAGAAAATGTGAATTCCAAAGGGGGCACCAGTTACCTCTTTGGTGACTTCTCTACAACCACATGATCGTGGGACCTCCTTGTGAGTATTTTCGCATCGAATGACACATCCCACATTTCCTCTTGTAGGGATAGATAATTGACAAATTAGGATTAGATTGCTACTGAAAAAACGAAAAGAATATTTTTTTTTCCAACACGCAGACAGAGATTTCATTGTTACGTCAAACAATAAAATCGGACATGTGTGAACAGATGAAATTTGTCTAACAATGTCATCCATACTTTTTGGGAATATGTATTTCCTAAAGCACTCGCTGATATCAGGGGGTGTGTTTGTGTTGTTTCTCCTCCCCACGGGCACGGCGGCTTGAGAGCAATTCTTCTATTTTTATAACTAGATTTCGCAGTAATTTACAGAGGGAATAGTATCGAACCAGAACCTTGATATAAGTTCTATCAAGCATTCAATTGTGGAATCTATGCCATGGTCGGTGGGTATACTAAATTTTCAAAAATTTGAAAAAGCTGCTTCCAAATTATACTTTAAACAATATAATTTCATGATACTTAGTCAGATCATCCCTTTTTTTGCTGATCACCAACGCTAATGCCATTGTTCGTAATACACATTCAATATTTTCCAGGAGTGCATACTATTATTTTTTTCAACTAGTTTTTTTTTTTTTTGTCAACATATCTCCCACCCCCTGAGTTCTATATTTAGTTAGTATATATTATTCCCCAATTCCACAATTTTGTTAGAAAACTTTTCATGTCTTCTCTTTCTTTTCATTTTCAGAACCTCAAGTCTTGAACCGTTACCTTCGCTTTTTCCAACAGTTTATAAGAATAAAATGAGATTTACTTCCATCATCGCTACCACGGCTTTCTTGGCACAAGCTATTGCCGTCAATGTTGCCTGTTTAGTTAGAGGTGTTCAAGTTGCTATTGTTGACTTGGATACTGGTAACTGTCCATTTACTATCCCATCAGGATTACCAATTTTGTTTGACTTTGTTTCTCCTCAAGATTTCGACATCGTCTTCTACTACTCCCTTGCTGCTGGTGAAAGATTCTTCAATGATATTGTCAATGCTGGTGATGTCATTACTATTCCAGCTAACTTGTTATTTAACCTCCCAGGTGCTCCATTATACCAAGTTAGTGTTCAACAAGAACCATCTGTCAACTCTACTGAAGCTGTCAGAAAGAGATTGTGGAAGGAAACCGTTATTGCCAAGAGAGATGCTGCCTCTGACTTTGCTGATTCTCTTAAGGGTCTTGATGGTACTTTAGTTGACCCAGGTGCATTCTCTGTTGTTCTTGCCGATCAACCAACTTCTACTCCAACCACTTCTCCAACTGGTGCAACCACCACTGCTATTTCTACTGTTGTTACTGTTGTTACTTGTACTGAAACTGTCTGTAAGCCAACTACTGTTCCAGCCAAGCCAACTGTTACCACTGCTACTATCAGTGAAGTTGTCACTGTTTTCACCACCTACTGTCCAGAATCCTCCATCACTGTTCCAACCTTTACTGTCACTCTCACCAAGTCTGACACTGTTACTACCTGTCCAGCTACTCCAGCTCTTACCACTATCACTTCTGCTGGTAAGACTACCGTTGTTGTCACTACTGTTCCAATTACTGAAACTGTTAGCAAGCCAACCGGTGCTCCAACTGCCACCACTCCAGGTGCTCCTACTGTTACTCCAGCTCCTTCTCCAGCTACTGCCACCACCAAGCCAGCCGTTCCAACTTTCGAAGCTGGTGCCGCTGCTGCCGGTTCTTCTTTCTTAGCTTTAGCTATGATCCCATTAGCTTACCTCATTTAAGCAAATCCATATTTTTTTGGGGGATTGTTTTATGGTTAAAGTTAAAAGACAGTTTTGATACCGTTTATTTTTTTCGTTCGTTTTAAAGTGTGGCTTATTTTTTGCAGCCATCGGATTTTAACTTGGCATTGCCAAGGTGGACTTTTTTCTTTATTATTCTTGTTTCCGTTATATTTTTTCCACGTCGTTACCGCTGGACATTCGTTTATATTTTAGTGGTTTATTAGTTAGTTTCGGTTTGTTTTTCATAAATGAACAATTATTTAAACCTTTGTATATGTTTTTCTATTTTTGTAATATTTAATATACAAAAATTAACATAACCTTAGGAAGAGACGAATGATTTTTTTAGCCTAGTTTTAAATCACTATTTGAATAGTCATGATAATCAAAGTTGGAATTGGTTTACTCTGATATCATATCTTGAAGCTGATAAATAGGGACAGTATTGAAACAAAGAATTCAATACAAATTTGAACATTAGTATATGAATTAATGCTAGTGTATCAGAGCGTCGAACTTGTCTGGTGTTTCATGAAAGATTATCACTTGTTATTAGTGCTTGAATTTTTGCCTACACTGTTTTTAACATTATGGCGTGTTTCTTTTAAAAAATCTACAATATGCTGGCCTCGACATTGTAATTAATTAAAATTCAAGTGCCGCTCCTGGTTTTGTTATATTAAGCATAAAAGTGGTGGTTGAATTATACATCACTCCGTTCAAGAATAAATATTTCTGAATCTCTAATCGGATTTCCTCTCAACAAAGTACACAATTTCCAAAACAAAACTTACGTATCTATTATAAATATGAAACCCATGGATATGATAACTAGTTAACTAGTATTAGATTTATGTATTACTTTTATATTTTCTTTTCAATAGTTTTAAAGGAAATATTCAAGTGGGAGCAGTGATGTGGCAATGCTCAATAATTCAGACTCGGATATGGTAAAGCGAAATATAAAGTAAACCAAGTAATTCATAGATGATGACTGTGGTTTTCATTATTGTTTTGTTCCTTGGTGATTTTCGCGGCCTAATGATCATCACAAGCAATAGAAGGAACCACAGTCTGCACAATATAGTGGATGACTATATAGTTCAATGTAATGATTGAACTAAATATCACTATTCCTAGGGGATTATCTAACGCAGAACAAAATCAGTTTGATCAATAGTCATACACTGCAACAGAAATTATGTGTTTACATGAAACTTTGTCTACTATCTAGTAAGTTCAATTAACTGTGGTTGTATGAAATTCCAACAAACTACCTTGGATAGCACACATACAATACCCGTATAAAATAATCAGGGTTAAAGTCATGGCCATGTCATATATGCCACTCTAAAGTTTTCTACTAATCAAACTACAAGGGATGTTATACACATATTACAAAATCTGTGGCGGTTACTGTGAGCCACTTGATAATAACGTAATCCTAGAGCGAATTAAGCAAAGAAAAACGAATCCAATATTAAAAATCTTCAGTCTGACCCCACAATAGCCTAATTTGTAGTCACAATGGGAACTCTATTATTAAGCATGTTGACAGTGCCGATTACAAATTAAAAAAAACCAAAAAAAAATATGTGAACCTTTTTATTAGGAGTAACATTTTTTTTGTAAGCAATTTTAGTCATGAATTTGTAATTTTCTAAATTTCGGGGATTGAAAAAGCCACAAAAACATGTGCTGACAAACCAACTAAATTTTATGCAGGAGATTAGATCTAAGTTGCAAAAAATACGAGTTATGGATCCTCTCTATAAATACCACCAACGTGTCGTGTTTGTTTATATGAATTAAGTCAATCTTCACTCCACCACACACACAAAACATGTCTCCAGTTTCAATTGCAATTATTGGTCTTAATGGTTCCTTAGGTAAACCAACCCTTGAAGCTATCAATTCCGGTAAATTCGACAGTAAGATCAAATTTCCAATTAAGGCATTAACCAGAAAGGCCCAAACTTCCACAGACAAGATTCAGTATATTCAAACTGAAATCACACCAGACACGATTGATTCAATTGTCGAGAAATTGAGGGGCACTGATGTTATTATTGAGTTGGTTTCTCATAACCCTGATTTGCTCAATACTATTGAACCAATAATTGTAAAATCTCAACCAAAGTTATTCATTCCATCCCAATTTGGTTCTGATCTTGCAACGATGAACAAGTACATCCCAGGTTTCCTTGGTTTTAAGAATGCTCATTCCGAAAATGTTAGAAAGGCTGGTATTAAATCTGTCGATATCGTGACTAACTTCTTTGCTGAACCTAGCAAGTTCTTGTATGAAGTTGTTGGCCATGTTGGTATTGATCCAGCTAACAAGTCTATTCTTCAGCTCGGTGATTTAAATACTAGAGTTGCATTTACTAGAGTTGAGGATATTGGAAATGTTATAGTGGCTGTTGCCACCACTGCTCCTGAATCACTTCCAGACAAAATCAGAGTTAAATCTGGTTCTATTTCCTATCAAGATGCAATTGACAGATATGAACAAACACATAATGTTAAATTGGAAGTTAAGGAAAAGTATACTGTTGAAGAAGCCAAGCAGCAATTGTCAGAAAAGTTAGCTAAAGGTTTCAATCCTGCTGATTTCCTTTGGTATTTACATGTTGGTGGTGCTACTGGTGATCTTAATTATGATGATGATAATGAGTTAATTAATCCAAATCAATTCTTATGGAAATGGACTGAATATTAGTATAACATTTAGGTTTATATATTTTGATATATATGTATAACCACATGTCCTTGTAGATAAGGAAAAAAAATTGACACCTAGATTTGACCATTTCGTCTGTTCTTTTGAAATATTTGTATGCAGGCAATAAAACAAATGTTTATACTTATTCCATGAGAATTATCTATTATACAGGAGAGCGCAAAATCTTGACTATTCCTAGGGCCAAAATCTTTTTTTGGTATTCATTCTTTTGCAGACGTTGCTAAGAACTTGTATTTTATTTTAGTTAAGAAAAACATTTCCGTGTAATACAAAGTTATGGAAATAAAATTCCGGACAATCAGTGTGTAATATACATATTGGGGAGTCTTTCCGATTCTAATATAGGTATAGAAATTGAGTGAATTAAATATTGCTTCTTGTAGTACGTTATTGGCTGCTACCAAGTGATTTGTAAATCCATTTCGGACAACTATACAAAGCGCCGAGGAATAAATTACAATTCAATTGAAAACAGATAAATTTTAACGGGATTGGCAGATAAGAAAATAAATTCTGCGTACAAACGTCCAATTAAGAAATACCACTCGGAGTTTGCGAAATGCCAGACTTAATCACATGTGGAGAATCACTGTCGCAACACCACAAGCTAGTACTATAACAGTCAGATGACCAAGTTAAATAGAGGTTGCTGTAGATATCAAGACTCGAATATAGAACCAATGCCAAGAAAATAGACTATTATATAATTGGAATACATTGGATCATATTTTACCCAAAAAAGTGTGACCTAGATATTGAATCTAAAACGTTAGTTAATTCTAAAACATATCCTACTAGAGAAAAAGGACTTTAAACCTTATAACCGGTCAATTCACAAACTTACAGGAAGAACGCCTAATTATTTTTTTCCAGTCTAATTAATTGTACACGCATAATATGCGATACATAAACTATTAAGTTTATAGTGTCACGTTTTCAAAAAAATTTTAACACCACACATAATTTCATTTCATTCATAGTTTGCAGATAACGCCAACCTATTTTGGGTTAGCAACCTGGTTTAATTCTCGTAAAATCGTAAACCCTCAATTTTTGACAGAGGTATAAACATATTTAAATTATTGTTTACTATTTAGATTTCTTTGACAAACTATTACTGGTTAATTGATACACTTATTGAAATCGTTCAAACATTAAATACTACTGGTCATATCTTCTCTACTGAACGACACATTTTTGCTCTGTTACCTCTACTGAAAAAAAAAATAAAACGTGATGGAATATGCGAGCAAATCTTTTGAAACAACTCTAAAGTTAAATTCTTAAAAGAATCTTCCATTTAGATTTTCTTGGCCTGTTGATAAAAACTTTATTTGACAAAAACATGTAATGCCAAGACAATTTCATTTACCGAGGTGACGCAGATCTGAAATACTTTAATCAACACAAATCCCATGTTGTTATGTATTGGGTTACTTCTAAACTAAAATGAGGATAGTTGGTTTACTTATAAACTAAAATGCGGATAGTCGGTTTAATTGTATTTGCACAAGTAATCATTGCAGAATTGCTAATTGATGATACACGGATCTATACAAATCCTCCAAATGCAGGCTTTGAAGTATATGAAACCTGTCATATTACCGACACAGGAAGTTTACAGCTTCAAGATATGGAATTTATCAAAATAATTGGTGATTTCGCCAATTATGGTGAATTTTTAGTGAACGCATATGGGTTAAGAGAACATTTATACATAGAGTTTGGGGATACTTCCCATTCTTTCTTGAATATGGGAGACTTCAATATTAGGATTAGTGGTTATATTTCATCATATCTTGATGTATCGTTGAATAGTTTTATTAATTATGGAACATTATCGTTAGAATTTAGTTCGCCCGGAGGTGACACAGGGTATTATTTCTCTTCTAATACTTTCGTGAATGAGGGCATCATCGACATAACCAGTCCAGGATCACAAGGGATATCTGTATTTGGGACATCAAGCATAACGAACAACGGCATAATTAGGTTAAGCAATCAAAGGTACATGCAACTGTCAGGACCAATCATTGGGGATGGATGTGTGATAATTGGGGGCGATGCTCTTGTGATACTCAATTCCCGGTATTCATGTAATCAAACTTTTGTGATGAATAATGGATTTATTTTATTTTGCATGCGAAGTCATTCCAACGTGTACAAAGTAATGAATTTTGATGGACGGAGCCAATTTAGAGTCGATGGTGGTATAAATAATTTTGTGTATGATGTCAATCAAGGTATTTTGATGTTAGAAGGTTTTGGTGGTGATTACCACATTATTATTGGAACAGGATATGATCCAACATTATTTGAGGTAATGCTAGATGGAGGTGCTATCTGGTATAATGGAGTAGCTCCAGAGTATAGCTTTGAAAATTGCAAAGATTTTCCATTTGATGATATTGAAACAGAATCAACTACTGCTGGTGAGAACCTGGAAACCAGCGGAGTAGATGAATCTACCACTACAGAAGAAATCACCACCAGTGCTTCAAAAGAAGTAGATACTACTTCGGAAATTCAAGATGAAGAGACTAGCGAGGATGAAGTTTCCTCGCACGAAAATGTGGATACTACTACAGATATTGATGATGCCGAAACCAGTGAACCATATAATGATACCACCACTCATACAACTAGAAATAGCGAGGCTGCCACTCATACGGAAGATGAATTATCAGTAACAGATAATCAATTTGTATCTACCACCACAGGAGTTCTGACCCTGTACACTACTCAGATTTGTGATAAATATGGGAAAACAGTAGACTGTTTATTGATGGTCGTTACAAATTCCGAAGGAGTATGGTGTACTCTGACAATTATTATTGGTAATATAGACATTGCTAAAACAACGTCAACCTCAAAACGGACTAATATTGGATTGTATACTACTCCCGATTCCAACCTCAAGATTTCACTGTATACAAGGACTCAGACGCAGGAAGAAATTCCTAAAATATATGTTGAATATTCAAATGAATCTAACTTGATCACGTTTAAAATCACCTTTATTCTACTTGCAACACTTGCAATTGTTTTGATGAGTTGAAGCTGGTGTTAATGCAAACAATCTTTATGATAAACATTTTTCGTTTTTATTTTTGGAATTTCATACTCATTTAGTCTTATGTTTCTATATTATAAAAGGAACACGGTTTCCTTTGCTATGGTATAACTTTAACATTTATTATTATACAGTTTTGTACGTTAATATAAACTGTTTTGTATAAGGGGAACTAATAAGGAATGAAACTCGCAATTTAGTTGTAAACCCTCATACAAAATTGACCTGATTTTACCGTTTGGAAAAGACACATTTTACAGGTTGCACTTGTAACTTCTAAAGTATTCCAGAATCTTTTTTCGGGTGGTGGCAGTGATTCTGTCGTATTTTGGTAGAATGGACCCGCCGCAAGTTCCCAAAAAACATATAAAGCTGAAAAGGGTCATTTTGTTTACTGGCGTAGCATGGCTGGAACCATTTCGCACAGACACCACAAACAATAGTACACCGTCTAATTATTTTTTAACGATACACTGAGTTCGGTTAAATTAGAAAGGGGTAAAATTAATTCCAAACAGGAATAATACACGGTCGACACATTTTCTAGAAAGAGTTCCATATTTATATAACAATCCCTGAAATATGTTTTTCCTTTTTTATTTTTTTATTAGCAATGACGATTTTTGCACCAACCCATGATCTTTTTGATGATGAATTAGAAGATGTCGAAGAAACTGCAAATAGTTATGATCTGCCACAGCATCACCTTACGATCTCGATGTTGTTAAATTATCAGAAACTTATACTTATGTTGAAGGACTTTTGATACATACCCAAGGCAGAAACAGAAATCCATACCCATTTATTAAAGTACCAACGCCGGCCAGACTAGAGAAGATTTCAGAAAATCAGTTAGAAAACTAAGTCCAATCCAAAAAAAAATGAAGAACCTATTTAGGAAGGTCGTGGCTACTAAAGTGACTTGTTTTCCACACATGGACTTGATGAAGTATATACCTGCTACCACAGAATTGTATCTAGTGAGAACAGTTGATGGTGTAAAATTACAGCAGACCAACCCTGGCGGTTGCATCAAGGTTCCAATTTATAAACTATCTATGTGAGGATCCAATTATCGCATATAGTTATTTAGATACAAATTTATGATGTGCATCAAGGGGGTTTAGTAGTTTCCTCGAGGAAGTTTGTTGAACAAGTATGATATTTACTCGTTGT